TCCTCATGACAGTATCGTACCGGCACGATCGTTCGATGAGATGGTGGAGAAACACTTACCCCTCTATCCAGTGGTCCGTTTTGCAACCCAAGATGGTAGCACCCGGGTCCATTTTTGCGAGCCGGAGGAGTGGGCTGTTGAGCGATGGGTGCGCAAACCATGGGTGGACGACGGCTGGGTCGTTGAGAAGCTGGCAACGCGCGTTCAGGTTCCTCTTCTCCTCGCATGGGCGCTCAGCATACATAAAGCGCAGGGTCAGACACTGGACCGTGTTAAGGTAGACCTCAACCGCGTATTCGAGACTGGCCAAGCCTACGTCGCCCTCTCACGCGCGAGGAGCACAGGGGGGTTGCAAGTCCTGAACTTTGATCCGAGCAAGGTCACAGTACATCCCAAGGTCAAGGCTTTCTACGCGAGTTTGCCAAAGACTCGGAAGTGATATTTACTTTCCTGTCGCACATTCTCTTCTGATGATAATGATGGTATTAACCTCGCGTCTAGAAGGAGGACAAACTCCTACCCAAATCCCTTTAAGGAGTAAGCAGGCGAGATAAGCTAGATACCGAATCCTGGATGGCTTGTATGTACAAGAAAGGTGGATCAAACCTGGCAAGGGGGGCTTACTAGCTGGCACTTGCTGGCTGGGTCTTATGGTTGACAAGTCTATGTTGGGCTGTGTACCAGAGCCCAAGGCCAATCGTGGGATGACGGTCTATCAAGAACATTAGCCTCAGTGTATTCAAGCATTAAAGACAAGCAGATCCAAAGAGGGCGACGGGAGTTTTTCAACTCCGAGATCAGAAATCGCCCGAGCAAGGACACCGAGGCTCTGCAACAAGATATAGCGAGGCAATACGAAGCCGAGTCTCGCACTCGGAAAGTGTGCGAGTGTCCTGTAGTGGTTTAGCACACTGTCGTGCTAGCTGTTCAACAGACGGATACCATGTGACCTTCCGACGGGCATGTTACTGATGTAAGCAGCCAGCATTGTTAGCAGGTAAAGGTAGGGGTAGTCCCTGAGAATTACCTATAGTACGGTACATCCGGCCAGCCAATTTCTCGTTGATGGAACAGACTCTTTTGGGAGGTAATCAGACGGATCAGAGCTCACTCGGATCGTTAACAGTCAAAGGATAAGATCTTCCAGGGCGGCGCCGGTCATAGGGTCATCACGTCGCCGGGTTAACAGCCAGTATGTAGAATAATGATTGTTGGACGGGCGTTTGTCGAGTTTGCTTGGAACCCAACTACCGTGACTACCATCGTATTGTACCTCTACCTACCTAGCAGTGTAGGCACCCAGGTGGGTAGAATGGTACTGTGATAGTAGCACTACGCTGTCGTCGTAATCTATGCGTTCACTTGCTGTCCGAGTTCACTTGCTGTCCGAGTCTGAGGAACTTCCGCTTTGAGATTGGTGATCCAACAAGACGCCCATCCAGAGCCGGATCCAAGCTTGCCATCGTCTTTGAAATCTAAGTCAATTTGGGACTCCAACTCCACATCACTGGCAGTGCCAAACGGACTGCAGCGCCGCGTGTCCCTTGGACCTGCAGTGCTGTTAGGATTGGGCTGCCACGCCAACCCAACACTGGGCTGAATACTAACCTTTGAAGATAGTAGTTAGTCTTCTATACTGCTAGCTAGCTCGTATATATTCATCATCTTCAGGAGTCACCATCCAAACCCGCGACATGGAATGCTATAGAACGACACAATACTAGAGACGTTGAAGGAGAGACAGATAGGCGCGCTATGACCTACAGAAGTCCTTGCTCTGCTCATTAGAATTAATTCGCATAACATCTGGGAAGTGGTCAGCGAATTGAAGGGACCTTTTGCTACATTAAGCTCTAAGGAAGCTAGGCACCGAGGTAGGTAAGGTACTAATACTCCTGTACCTGAGTAATAAGCCATGGTATCTATACACCTGTTTTTCTAGACTGCGTTCAGAGCTCTACTAGTAGTCCTCAGAGCAGTCCTAAGAGCCCAGAACTTCCCTAGCAATGAAGGCATAGCGGATTACTCGGCGACGGAAGAAGTGGCTTCTGCCAGAGGGAGTATGTCCGATCGTCGTCAAGGGCGACGTACCTTAGACAAACTTGAAGACATCGCACCCTGCCAATAGTTCCGTAAGTAGACTAAGGAAGCCCTTTACCCTGCTGAGAGCTCCTGCGCTTTGATTTCATGCTTTCCCCTGGCCCGATGTGGTAAACCCCGGGTGGCATAATGAAGCCCCATGTTGCTCAGAGTCACATACTGTAGATACTGGATCAAACTATCGAACTGCGCTGGGGTCATGGACGCCTTGTCGAGATCGAGTGCCGAAGGTGCCATCTTCCCGTCTTTCCGCCCATGGATGCCTCGGATGATTTCGGGGACCGTGACGGTGACATTACATTTCGGTCACGGCACGTTGATGCTGCAGCGGCCCTCAATGACGGGGCAAACAACATCCTGTTGCCGCAATCGGTGATTCGTTGAACGTAGGGCCATTCCCAGGTATGGAACCCTTCGACCGGGCAAGGTGTGGTCGAATGTGGAAGGTGTCGCAGAGCAATCTCTCTCGGTCAAGGTCCGTTGGTGCGGCCCATCATCTTTCAAGACCTGGAACTTAAAGTCCGACGCAAGCCGGGGGAAAGGCAACTGCGACATTTTCCGCGCCACGGAATCAGCCTGTAGTCGCCTTCCCGTAGTGCGGCAGTCTTTTGAGCTCTTGGTAGGGAGGTGGTACCGAAAAGGCATCATCTCGTGAGGTGCAAATCTCAAGAAACCTCGACAGCGCCGCCATGTATGTATTGAAGGATGAGAGCTTGTATAACAAGCCCGGGCAGTTCGGCACGATTCCAAAGACTCGATGGGCGGTGCATATCGTTCCCAGCCAACCACAGAACTGGCGCGCGATGAGCATGAAGACCTTGAACTTGACGTGGTCCGGGTAATAACGTGTCGCATGGGCAGGCAGCGATCGATTTCTTAGTGGTCAGAAACTGGCTGCCCTGGAGGCAACCGTCAGCCGTTCACTTGAAGCAGCCTGAGGCACCCTGAGCGTTAGGTGCTGTTGCGCTCTTGCGGTTTGAATGACGTAAGGTCAGCAGTCTGAAGACCACTGCAGTCTCACACGCTGCGCGGCTGCGGTGTAACATCCGATACCGAGGTAGTGCCGTGACTTACTAGTAATAGTGTATGGTTGCCTGGTGCGATGTATGAGAATTACTAAGGTAGTATGTTACGGACAGGAGAGTCCTACTTTCCTAACATGAGACTTCCCCCTTTCTCTTGGCAAGGCAACCGCCTCCCATCCGCCCGGGTCAAAACCAAAGCGGCGCAGCAAGACAATCACCCACTCGGAATCCTATTTTCGGCAGCTATAGGCATTAGTACTTTGATGGCTTTGCACAAGCTCAGTCAGAAACTGGACATAAAATGGGGTGAGACGCCACACGCCCACCGAGTTAGTGTTCCCGACCTGCTACGCTGTACTAGTCTTCGGTGAGGGTCCGAAAGAGCCGTAAGCAGAAAGATAGCGAGGTACAGGTGCGCAACCCACACGATGAGGCATTGGGGGCGGTGCGAAGTCGGACTAGGTGATGCCACCGCGATGGCGTGATTACTCGTAACCTAGGTAGGTACCTGTCTACCTACGACTCACCTACTAATACTCCTACTAATACTAGGTAACCAGTAATGATAGGGAAGGTCCCACGCCCGGTAACCTTGGCATTTGAACCGCCACAATCTCAACATGAACAGCACGACCCTCACGTGATCACCCCTAGGCGAATACTCTCCGAACCGTCGCCAGTCAGTGTTCTGGTGTGCTTGTGACTGCCTTGTTGAACCTTGCTTGCTGTCAAGTTCCGCACGGGAACGCTGCTCTTGGAACGCTGCTCTTGGAACTTGAATTTTTCGCATATGAAATCACGGGACGATATCCAAATCCGATTCAATCATCAGAGGGAGGAGTATTGACCACCACGCGTCTTTCTCCTCGGGATTAGATAGCAACTGATAAACGCATTCTTTACCCATTGACCAACGGCCAAGGACTCCCCTCGCAGGCAACCGGCTTGCTTCGATTAAAATGCAGGAAAGCAAGGCTGCGGTCTGCCTGTGGGGGCGGGTTTTTCTTTCTTATTCTCCGTCCGATTGGGGGAGTTATGATACACCATGGCCACTCGCGGCACAGAGTACAACACAGGTTGCTAGTAGCTCCCTGAATGAAATTTCGCACACGCGAGAACTGGCAAAAGCCTCACCAGCTGAACAACGCAACCTGCGCCAATTGCTGTGATTACCGAGGGCACGTTTTCCCTTGAAGATGGGGTTGTCGGTGACTCAAGTGGGATGATGATCACAGCGTGGGGGTATGGGAGAAGAGAGGCAACTGATTCCTCGCCAGCTCCGGGCTTCTTGTGGCGTCTGTTGTAATGACTATGGCATTCAAGCCAGCAATCCCGACGATTTGGCGCATCGTTTGTGAGGCCTGGTCGGCAACCGTTAGACCGCTCAGCTTGCTCGCGAGCTCTGGGCGATTCTCAAGTGAATTAAGGAGAGAGTTTGAAAAAAGAAAAGTTGGAATCATGCCACCATTGGCATGATGCCTGATAATGGTGGAAAGCTGAAGCTTAGGGGATGGGAAATGTATGCAGTGTTCGACTTCTCGGGCAATTATGATATATACGGTGTCGTTGAGTAGTACCTAAATTCAATGAATTCGTTCCCTGAGATTTTATAGCATCAGCAAGGGTCGAGGAGGCCATGAAAGGCAGGTTTAGTAGTACCGCATGTATAAGCGGCAGAGATCTACCCAAGGTAGGTAGAGGTATGCTTTGGAAATCATATCGGGCGTTCAACGACTTTTCAAGTTGTTCAAGCCATGAAACGACGTTCAATGCTTTACCAGGATGCTAGGGGCCCACAGTTTCACTAACTTAAATCAAGCACAGAACTGGATGTGAATCTTGTATTGACAAATCCCAAGCTAAGCTCGCGTTGAACTTAGGGGGTCACACAGGTTGTATTGCTTGCTTGAGGAGTCTGAGTTTCTGGGGGACCTTAGTTCCTTATGTATACGGAGAGCCTGTTTCCCAGTCTTCTGCCCCTGTTCCTGCTGTACCGGTACTTCCAGTACCATGGCGTAAGAGTATGGAGGAGAGCGTGCATCGTAGTCCTCATTATCCTTGACGTCCGTATCATACCCCATCGTCGAGTCAAGGGGGAGAGGAACACTTCAGCGGACGCGGACGAGTTGTCGACGTGGTCCGGAGCGGAACAGGTTACCATTACTCGAGAAACACTTGCTTTGTGCGCCCAACGCCAAACTCTCCTATCTCAAGCAACAGTTCCTGCGTCAGGTAGCTCTCCATAGTCGACACTCTGCCCTGGCGTAGATGGCAATGGCATCTCCAAGTCCAGCTCCACGTCAAATGCCGCGTTAACCATGAAACGCCGGGTTTCCTTATCAAACCGCAACCATTTTCCGTCCTCTCTCTCCGCAATGCGACAGCCCAGCCAAACCACCCTCTCTCTCCTCTCCTCCATCATACTCGGTACTTCGAAATACTTGTCGTCATCGTCGATTCTCTCGTCCGTGACGAACCAACCGTCCGGGAAATAGTGCTCGACCCAAGAGAACCCTCGCAGCGCGAAGTCGTCAGGCAGCGGCCGCCGCCTCGGGCCCCTTGCCGGAGGGCCCCCTTCCTTTTCATCCCTCTTGACCTTATTCTCCTCGTCTTTATCCTCCTTCCAGCCTGGAAACTGTTCGCCACCGCCCAAGAGGCCAGCCAAAGCCTGTGATTCGTCTGCAGATGGGGACGAAGACGATCCAATCAGCGTGTTGAGCATATATGCCGTTAGCTTCCAGGAGAAATGTGGGGCCAGGTGGTCTATAGCCTCCGGGTAGAACGTAAGATGGTGAACGAAGACGAGAGTGACGTGCAGAAAAGGCAAGATGTTGGGGTCACCGAAGCGGCGACAAACGATATTATAGGTGCCGGTGAAAAGTTTGCGGGCGTTGTAGAAGTACCCGTCGTCTGCAATAGTGTTGATGCTAGAGGTGATCTCGGAGCTGGTTTCTTGCATGGGCTGGTCCTGAGATTCGGTGCCGCTTGAGCGAGTGATCTTGAGGGCACGGGCAATAGGGCTGTTCTCATCGCCGTACCCTAAAATCGCACAAATGTTGGATATGGCCATGTGATAGCTGGTTTGGATGGTTAATCAAGGAGTCGATGGGAGAGATAACGAACACATACCCTGACTCGCGCCACCGGCGCGTTGAGCGATTAATGTGGTTATCCAGTAGCTTGAGGAATTCGTCGATTGTAGGCTCCAGCTCTTCTTGCTGCTTGCTACTGAACAAGATCCCATGTGCCTTTACGAAATGCAGTTCGGTGGGCGGGAGTCTAGCCTGTTGCGGATTCGGAGCCCGCGACATAATAGGGTCAAACAAGGTCATGATACTTTCTCGCGCAGACGGGAAAGGCATCTCAACGCAAAGTGACTTCGCATAGTAGTAAAGCTGCTGGAGTGCGGAAGGACGAGCGAGGATTGCGAGATGATGGTAGAGTCTGCCTGTTGTGGGAGCCTTGTCCGAGGCCCGTGAATACCAATGACGGCTCACGGAGGTCCACACTTCTCGATCCCGAATGTCATCGTCCTCGATAGCCATGCGGTAACGGCCAAGGTCACCGAGGCACTCGATCCACGTGTCTTCGAACGCAGGCACCGTCTCGTAGAGCAGGGCCATCATCGAGTAGGCCATGTAGATAAACGTAAGCATGTGCTCCAAGCTGGCTGGGAGGCGGTGCCGTAGGAGCTCAAGGAAGCTGTGGATGCCGTGCCGCCACATCCGGGCAGGCATAGCGTATTTAGCAGCCAATCTCCTTAGTGCCGGACTTGCCGAGGGGTGCTGGGAAGCAAGAAAGAAGTCATGATGTTCGTGGAGCAGAGTACGATGGAGAGCAATCAAAGCCTGCCATTGATCGTTGTTGAGTTTGTTGCTGGCGTCGTTTTGCGAACTGCGGTCATTGTCCACTTCGATGCACTTGTTCTCGACCATTACAAGCCCCGCGTAGATTCCCTTGACCTCGGCAACCAGTTGCTCTTGGGAGATAGGCCGGGTTTCGGGCTGCTTGATAAGCTCTGGGTCCTCCTCCACGGGTGGAGGTGCCGGAACCCGTGCCGGAGGCTGGTGGGACTGGCGTGGCGGCTTGAGGAGCGAGCCTGAAGGAGGACGTTGGCGCGTTGCTACATTGGATTTGTCGTATGGTCGCAAGCGGGGAGCGGCAGTGCTGCCGTCGTCGGGACTCCATAGTCTGCCCTTCTGGGACGTCCCCCGGTCAAACTCGCCTCGACTGTCATCCAACGCAGGCTTTGGTGGTGAAGTGACCCTAGATACGGATCCCTCCCTTTTGAGGCTGGACACGGGGCTTGTGCTCCTGTGGCCTTCCGGGGTTGCTGTCGGAGTGTCTGGGTCAACCGCCTTCTTCTGGTTGGATGGTTCAGCGCCAGGGTTCCCCTCTCTGATATATTGTTAGTCGCCCAGGCGAAGCAGAAATGTGAGTGGAAAGGTGGCAAAGGACGGCAACGAAAACAACGAGTCGCAACACACCTCTGAGCAGCCAGCCACTGAGATTCAATCCAAGTAATCCTTTCCGAATCTGTTGTCTTCTCCTCAAGGAGCCGGGAGTGAGCATCCGTGAGATGTTGCTCAAAATCAACACGGGCAGCTGCATGAGTCTCTTGAGAATTCTGAGTATTCTGAGTGTTTTGAATCCCACGCCCGCACAGAGGACATTCAATCTTGAGCTTTGGTTTCTGCGATGCCCGTCGGAGATGCTCGTTCCATTTTTTGGGAAGATCCATTTGCTGAAGTTCAACACAGTGCAGACGACGGCGATGAGTCTCTGAGTGCCAATGCTGTGATGGGGGACAAACTTAGTACCTGAGAATCGATTGGTGCCTGTTCAAGTATCCGCACCTGCCGGTGCCGATGCAGTGTCCGTGCGTAAAGCGGGGTCGAGAGTGCGGCTCATGCGCAACCGTCTTCAAAAGCTAGAAAAGAGACAATGACGCTCTTCATCACAGCATTGAAGTGAGCAGTCTGCTTGACACCTTTCCAGACTTTATGAGAGCCTTCAAGTTATGTTGATGGTTACCGGAGCCTCGTTATCGATGGTGCGCGGAGCAAGGGGGATGGCATGCTTGTACTTGGCTAGGGTGACCCTGAAGCGGCTAGCTAGCTGACACTTTGGTTGCCTTCTTATCTCCAACAGTGGGCCGCGGACCGTGAGCAAGAGCCTCATGTGGGTCTAGCACACCCACACTCTAACCGCCCTCCATGACTTACCGGCATGCCCAGTGCATAGGTACATCTCATCCCCACAAACAAAACAAGCAGACCTATAGATTGGAGAGCGCGTTGACCGAACCCGCGTACAACGTGACAGATCAATCCTTTGACGCCCTCATGAAGCTACGATCATGCTGTCGTCCTAACAGCTGCAGCTTGCCTGTTGTCATCCTTTGTGCCGTCTACTGTTGCGGCCCTGCTGGTCAGCTGGCCGGAAACATGCGGCCTTCATCGTGGGAGGGCCAAAGGAACTGAAGAGGAGCCTCACCCTGCCCGACATGTGAATTTCCTTCCGGAACAAACTGACGAAAAGACCTCTTACAACCTTCTGCGGTCATCGCCGATCAGAAGGGAATTATTTGTGTGATCAAGTCGACCGATGCGAGACACGGAGCAACTCTTTCGGGTCCAGTTCTAGGATCTGATCCATAAGTGTTTTCGGCAGCGAAGGTTCCCGTCACTGGTTGTTGGTAGGATATCAAATCTGTACTTCCCCCATCTCACGGTCTCACCCCTGATTCCTGGTTGACGGAGAAGACACTTTGTCTCTAGATGATACTTCCCGGTGACCAATCTACTTTTCCCACGCCTTTCATTGGAATTTAGGCACCCGCCTTCTAGTTAGGCCCCCTTTCCTTCAGCTTTCCATATAAGCGTCCGGTGGCACAGCAAAGTGGCAACATCAACCGCTGTCGAGGTTCCATTGGACATGACAAATTAACACTTCATTGCTCGGAGTCTCTGGAAGTGGTCAGCTCAGCTGTGCCCGCGGCGCCCCGGTGGCCTGCTGAGACGGCATCCGGGCCTGCTGATCAGACACTGATCGATGAAGACGGGTCGAGTACACGACGCGTCTCGTCTCCTTTACCCTTGGTTTCACGAGTTATCAGCCCAGGCAAAGCGGGCAGTACCGCGATCTTCGCCGCCATCGCCTTGGGGCACCGTCCTTGGAGTTGTGAGAGAGGGGTAAGGCTTGGCTGGGTTAACCTAGAGTCGAGATTCGAGACGTTGAAGCGAAGGCACACGTTGGACAGTGAGAGGTGATCGACAACCGGTGAGCTTGAACGGTATCCTTCCCGCCTTGTATTGGCGCGGTCTCTCAACTATCAGCATCCGGTGAAAATTGTTCCAGCCAATGGACTTCACTTGACACGAACAGAACGGCATGACTCGACAACTCCCCAATCACATCACTAAGGTTGTGCGGTGACTTGTGCTCAGAAGGGTGACTCTTTGACTGCAATCGAGAAGGCCTCTTCCACTAGAGGCAGCGAGATCACAGCATCTGAACTTCCTCAAAGCAGACGACGTCTTCTGGGTTCCACTACACAAGACACGGGAGTCGGGGGCAAACATTGTTCTGGTGTTATGGGTACCGCGAGGCTGCAACACATGCCACGCTGTACTTGTTCACCAGCCTGGCGAAGACACCCTGCATAGCAATCCGTGGTGTGATGCCGAGTTGCCGATGCACAGGCATCCCGTTATCTTGCCGCTGATGCTGTCAAGTCTTTTGTAGGGCTGAAGTGCCAAGGGAAGAAATAGGCTGTGAAGTGAATGACTCTTTCCAGCTGCCTTGGCCGGCCGATGATGACCATCTTCAGTGACGAGGCTGTCTGCCTTCTCCAGTACCTATGTTAGCCATGTGGCTAGGTATGCGGCCCGTGAGGCGCTATTCTCGCAGCATCCTATATACACCGAAATCATTACAAAGGTAGTGTTACGTCGAGCTCGCAACCCATAGGTTGGTCGCTCCGAAAGGGGCCAATCGGGAGGCATAGCGGAGTAATTGATCGTGCTTCTTTCACGTCTTCCATGTAGGCAGTTACGTTTCTGTGCTATTTCACCTCCAATCCAAGTGCAGCTGGCGACTGGATAACAGAAACCTCAACAGCCTCAGGTGCGCACAGCAACAAAGCTTCCTCTTGGGCACCAAAACCTGCAGGGGAGGCCGTCGCCTTGACACCTATGGTAAGAGCTACGGTGAGCTGGTGACTCTGGTCTGGACCCCCTGGATTGGATGGAATGGCTGAACCGGGCACCACGTATGTGGCTAGGTCACCTCGCCCAACCCACGATTCGTCCTCCCTTGGTCTTTATCTTGCCTTGTGCCGACGCTTATTAGTTCTTTCTTATGCAGTCTGTCGACGTGTCTAGTGCAAATGCTTGCATTCGTGGGTTTCGACGACACAAGCAGTGTGCAGCCCCGTTCATTTCCATTGTTAACCCAGCTCTGTGTTTACAGGTCTCGCCCCGGTGACACTGCATCAGTCGGGACGCATTCTTCGACATGCAAACCAAGTGATAGACCATATTTCTTCATGTTTGTTTTTCAGCCACGCAATTCCAAGAGCATTGTTTGCTGTGTCTTCTGCAGATTTGGATGCCTGACGGATGCCCGGACGTTTGGACGCCCGAGTTTCGGGCAGCTTTGAAGGCGACACAGTCCGCCCCCTTGCTTTCGTGACGGATGCTCGGCTTTCGGAGGACTCAAGGACTTGAACTCGGAGTCCCAACTCAGAGTACTATTGCTTGGAAATGAGAGGTATCACCTTGCAGGGTGCACTGAGACAAGATTGAGATTGGGTCACAGATTCTGGAGGCACAACCACTCGGTTCCGGGCTTGAAACCGGTCATCCCAGTTCATTCGGGTCGGCAGCCATCCGACCAGCCCTGCAGCCATCCTTCAAATTCCCGCCCGGTGTCCTTGCTTCCCTTGGGTACCTCTATGCAATATGCCTCACATACCTAATAAGGTAAGGTAGGTACCTACCTCAAGTCCAAATTTCAGTGAGAGGCATGGTACACAGTCTATGGTGTACAGTGTAGATACCAGGCAGGCACTTGCATTTGTGCACTTTACCTCAGGATCGATTAAGTGCTGCATCATGCCTAGGCGCTTGAGGCTTCCAGTTGCGGACCACCGATCGCCCAACCAGGTGCCTTACGTATGTACTGAGCAGTTACATCCCCTCATATCTACAATTCTGATAAGCACCAGGTATATAGTATGTATAGGCGCTGTGCCAGGGCCTGCCCGGCCCGGAGCTCTGACCGCTCCCGTCTGAACTCTGAAGTGCCTGGTGAGCCCCGCACACCGAACCTTAACGATGTGGGGCCGTTGCCTCCACGGTTCCTGGAATTTCGGTCGCCTCCCCATAAGGCAGTTAGTCTCGGAACTTCATCCCCTGCTTTCCTGTTGATTCACAATCCCGCCCAATGTAAGGGCTGGCGGCTAGAGTTGCCGTTGTGTGCAAGATCCTTCGAGCAATTGCACTCCCTGTGATAGGTTTATGGGAGTTGCTATGTACAAGGGCCGACTTGGGCAGTCGGTCGTCGGCGAGGCGGTGCCGAGAAAAGACGTCGACGAGCATGAGTGGCTCATCCGAAACTGACGTTGTGATACTGCTTCATGAGGAAGCCGCGAGCTGGATAAGCTGGGACAGGGCCAGAGGCTTCCTAGAGGCCCGAGCTTCCCAGAGTCATGCAAACCTCTATTTCATATTATGAGTTGAAATGAACGGAATGAAACCTACCTTAACTATATGTAGCCAAGGCAATGCCTATATCAACATCGGCGGCTCGCTGCTTGGCTTGGAAGACTGATATACAACCCTTCTCTTCTCACTACCAGGTATAACTAAGTGATGACGGCCAGGTTGAGTGCTCGGTCAACGCAGGGAAGCTTGTCTCTAGTGATGTTTGATTACCGCTGAATCCATATCAATGAACAGGCTGTCATAAAATTGTCTATTACAGTCCTTTGCCAGGAAGTGTCAATGGAGGTTTTGTTCAAACCAGCTGCGGTTCGTGTTCCAACATCATCCCATCTTTTTGTTTATACATATCTGGGTTCGGTGTTCGGTGAATGCACAGAGTAGTACTACTTCAGGACCCCCGCCGATTCCGGCAGCACTCACACACAAAACTCACCTGTCAATCACACACTTGCATTATGATATGTCTGTACATGACTCGGCTAATGCACCAAGATGACCATGGATCGGGTGCACTACGCAGATGCCTCTGAGTCTGCCCTACGAAAATAGACTTCGTCCGCATCGGCTGCCGAATCTTCCTCGGAACTGGCTTAGTGTAGGGTCCAAGTGCTACCGTTACAGACCCCGAGTCAATGGCAACACCATGTGCTAACGTTACCCTATCCCCACATTCCCAAATCGGCGTTTGCTGCATGAAGGCGGCGGTGCGAAGGCAGCACATGCGTCAACCGCATGCACATGAGCACCAAATTACCCAGCGCCCAGATCCGTGTGTTACCCAAGGTTACACAACAGCTGCAGGTAACACAAGGTGACAATCTGGGACTCGTGAGGATTCTAGGGCACACGATAACTAAAACAAGTTCGTGACGGGCCGGCAACGTCTCGATTCCAAGAAAGCAATGCTCAAGGTAAAGACATAGTGTCACTGCCTGTGTCGTGCAACTTGTGACCTTCCAAACAGGGAAGCGTGTCCTGCTGCGGTTCGAGATAGTTGCACCATCCTTGCGTTATGTCACCTACAAGAGCAATGAATTTAATGACCTCAGCTTATAGTGCACCTACCCGAGTCTTAAAAGAACATACCTATATAGTGATTCGAGTTGAGCGTGACAACATTCAGCTTTTAGCTTCAAGTAAGTAGTATTACATCTAGTGCCACTAGCCCCGAGGCAGATTCTCGTGCTCCTATCATCACCCTTTGTCTTTCTCGTCTCGGAAATTTCAGCTATCCTTAGCACTCAACCATTGGATTGTACACCGTTTCACATGAGTCGTCAGCTCAAGCACACAACAGCTGCAAGAAGACTCGTATAGGCCCTGTGTGCGTTACGGTGGCGGCGGCGACAAGGTTTCCAAGACTTTATTCCCCGTCGTTCAACCACAACACAGTGGACAGTAATAATCATACGATTATACATGACACAGCATTACACAAAAGAGGCCGAGCCCGCCCTTTACCTTAGTCAAGTGTTACAAGTCCACAGCATCCTTTCCCTACATCCGATCCCAGGCAAGACCTTACCATCTATCGGCGTCCACAGACACGCGAAAAGCGAGTGGTAACCTCAAGACCATTTCCCCAACTAATCATTGAAGCCGGAATTATCAAGCCCAAAATAGGGTAACCGAGCCTGGGTAGACATTTTGAGCAAGCCGATTTTTTGTCCTCTCATTCAGGGGGGTTTGATTACATTCGTTGTCGAAGCAACCAACCATGGCCCTCACCTCCTTTCTCCACCACCGCAAATCATCCCCCCTAACCCTCAAACTCTGTCCCTATTCTTCGGAAGCAGCTCACTCATGAACCCGCGACGCAGCATCAGAAGCCGCCATCAGACCTGCGGAGATAGCTGTATAGGCCTTGCAATATTTTGTATCCTGCTCCCTCTATTAGTAGTTAGCTCCCCTTTGAGTTCGGGGTCTTGTCTTTCAAACGGCTTGCTAGGTGGCTGAGGTCTGTAAGCTGGAGGGCCTCGGTGAAGCCAGAGAGAAGACAAATTCACCAACACGGCATGATTGCACAACGAAGCAAAATGAGGAGCCAAAACCGTGCTGAACTGGTTTTGCCCCTCTAGAGCACATTAACTTGGAATCATTACTCAAATATACGTTTCTAGGACCACCACAACGACAACGACATGTTTACAACCCTACCACCAACACTAATGCCCACCGCACCGCACTCCCAGCCGCCCAGCCAGGTCATTCACGCGTTTATCATTTTCCCCGTCTTCCCTTCCACGCATCCATTCAAAAGATCGGCTCCAACCCTGCCCAAACGCCCTCTTCGCCTTGGGGCCCAGCCCTCTCCCTCCTCTTCCAATACTCCCCATTGAACTGCCAATACCACTCCCCGGTGATCTCACACCGCGCCTTGGTGAACCATGCCGGCTTGAACACCTCTCCCTTGGCCTCCCGCTCCCTCCTCCTCTCGCGCTGCGCCTCCTCCAACCGGTTCTTCTCCGTCGCGGCAAAATCATACTCGCCCTCTTCCATGGCCCGCTGGTCCGGCCTGAAGCGTGAGTCGGTCGGCGCCAGCCACGGGCGGAGGTTGTCGTCGATGTGGTTGAACGTCAGGACGAAAGGCGTGAGGTTGAACGGGATGCCCTGCGGGCGCGGGTTTGCCTGCCAGATGAGGAAGGCCTTGTTTGGATCGACGTTGCTGCCGCCGGGAAGCGAGTCGATTGTGGTAGTGGCGTCCTCGGCGGAACGCGGCTCCTCCACCGTGGCCTCATAGCCCGGCGTGAGACGGGCGTAGAGTCTGGAGTTCCAGCGCCCGCCGATGCTGAAACGCACGCGGCCGTTGCTGTCGACGACCTTGCCTGAGATGAGGTACGCGCTGGAGGCCTTCCAGCCGCGGGGCTTGAACTCGATGTGGCAGACTTCGCCGGTGGTCCAGTTCTTGATCTCCATGGGCCCGTAGTTGTCGACGACGGGATTGCCCGTGATAATGCCGACGACGGAAGAGGTGACCTTCTTCCAGGTGTAGAAGTCCTCTTTGCCGCCGTGGGTGGGACGGAGCTTGAGGAACCAGGTGCCGAGCGGGTTGATATCGAAGGACCGGCCGTAGAACTTGGACTTGACGTGCGACTCGCCGTAGTAGGTCCACTTGGGCGACTCGGCCCAGGCCGCACCGATTGGCGGGTGGTGACTGACCTGCTCGATGAAGAAGCGGTAATTCTTGTCCGGCCTGACGTACTCGAACGTCTCTCCCAGCAGGGGGTTGAAAGGCTTGGCGACACGCCCAATCGTGGATGCGTATTCGCTGGCAGCGAACGCGGCTACGTAAAGCAACCGCTCGAGCGAGTCTGTTCGGTCCGCGGCAAGATCTAGGAGGTCTGCATACTCCATATCCTCGGCGCAGCGGTAGAGCAGCGAAGTGGGTTCATTAAAGGATACCGGCAAAGTCATCTTTGTCATGTCCTTCCCAACCATGGACTTGAGAATGCCCTGTGCCTTTGGGTTAGCTGCACGCATTCTACCTCACATACATGTCGAGTGCGAAACCTACCCAGAGAGAGATCTTTGGCCGGTTATCCGCATCCAACTTCAACCGCGTACGGATGCCGTTCTCGTACCCCCTGAACGAGCTACTGATGTCGCAGGAATCCGAGATGACGAGCTGCTTCTCTTCTTGAGGCGCAGTGAGCTCTGACGGCGGCAACTCTGACACTTCCACCTGGCCGGCGTCGACGGCGTCAAAGAACTCCTCCTCGTCGGACTCGGAGTCGGAGATGTCGGCGATCTGAGTCATCACAGTCTGCCGGCGCGCCAGGCTTAGAGTTGGTGACAGGGTGGCCGCAGCCTCGGCAGAAGCCTCAGCCGTCGGTCCTTCCAACGGTGTAGGTTCAGCTGCAGGCGTCGGGGACAGAAGGGCCTCCTTTCCCTTCCCTTCAAGAATACCATTCTCCACAACCTCCTTTAGAATGCGCTTCGTCATCCGCCGCTTCTCCTCGGCCTCACCAACGCGGGCTTCGAGGGCTTCCTGCTCCTTGGCAACCTGAGCCATGCTGTCCTCCCACATGCGCCGCATCTCGGATTCCCGGTCAAGGCGGTACTGCCAGTACGCATCACGGTCCTTCGAGATACGGAGAAGGTCGCCAATGAGACCAGTAAGCGAGCGGACGGCGGCGTCGTAAGTCCCTAGTGCTTGCGATATCTTAGGGTCGGACAGCGTGAGCGTGGGATTCTTGGTAGACTCGACGAGAAGGGCTGACGTGACATTGGCGATGGTGTCGAGTTGCAACTTGGCAGACTGCGCAGTGATGTTGAAGGCGTCTTTGTTCGCCGGCGGCGAGTCCTGACCACTCGACCCCTCACCATACTCTTCGTCGTCGTCGGCTTCGTCGGCAACGGTCCCGCCGTTACGGTCGGTCTTATCTGCCTCGGTGGCTGCGTCGACGAAATCATCCTCTTCGTTGCTTCCGAGCGCCGGCAATCTCTCACCCTTGCTAGACGCCCGTGCTGAAGAGTGCATCCGCGTGAGCTGGATGCTGCTACGCGATGGCTCAGCAAAACTTGCGTTCTCGCTCCCGGCATCTGAAGCGATGTGGGAATGCTCAGCCTTGGCTTGCTTAAGCAGCTCTGCATTCCGGGCCCGCTGCCGTTCCTCCTCCTTGGCCTGGTCCTTGGTCCATTGGATCGAGTTGTTGAGGGCCCAGAACCAGCGCTTGGCTTCGACCTCGTGGTTGGCCTTAAGCGTGTACTTGACCGAGGACTTGCCGATGATCTCGAACTTGGTTTTCTCGTCAGCACTCATGTGCAGCTTGGCGATTCGCATGTTGATGGCGCCACGGCAGGCGGATCCGGCATCATCCTGGTGCTTGTAGTAGCTGAGCACCCCGTCTTCCAGCACGAACCACCGCAGCTGATACCCTTTCCTGTAGTTGGTCCATTTCTTGAGGTAGCCCTTCATTTCTCGCGCCTCCCGCCCGGCAAGCGGATCCCCAGGCGTCGCCGAGGCCGCCCCCTGCGTGGTGGAGCCCAGCACAGCCTTTTCCTGGATGCCCCTCTGGGCTGCCACGGCAGCGGGCGACTTCTTCAGCATTGCGCGTGTGATCTCGTCCTTTGTCACGTCTTGCGGAAGCTTGCCCTTGCGATCGCGACGGAAGGGGTCAGCTCCGTGCAGCAGAAGGACCTGAATCAGGCGGCTATTCTTGCGCCGGGCAGCCTCGTGCAAGAGCGTACCGCCGGACTGGACTGTGGTGGGCTCTGAAGCAAACTCGGGACTGTTGATGTCCAACACGGTCTTGAACCTCGGCTCTTCCAGCACCTGCTCCAACACTTTGAGCTCGCCGTGGAGAATGAGATCCTGTACCTGTCTGACCTTGTTCTCGGCGAACAGGGATCTAGAGAGCTGCAGTTGCTGGAATATCTCGGGATTCCTGGCGAGATCGATGGGGAGACGCCCCTGATGGTTGGCAATGGCGTCGTTGATATCCTTGTTGTCTAGCAGGAGACGGACGACGTGAGTCCGGCCTTGTGCCGCGGCTATGTGTAGAGGTGTATTGCCATCTTTGTCTCGTGCATTGATATCGAGCGAGCCGGCACCGTCGGACAGGACATACTCAACGACGGGCTGCTCGGCGCACTGAATTGCCAGGTGTAATATCGTGGTATCTTCGAGCGCGCCGGACGGGCCTGTGAACGAGGAGGTGCTCACGCGCGGGCTACTCTCAGAGCTCTCACGGATGGCCCTGGATATGAAAGCGGTATCGCCGTTTCGGAGCGCTTCGACGATGCGGAACTTTCTAACGGACGATTCGAGAGAGGTACCTTTGTCCGTCGCGTTAAGGGATCGCCCGCCGGCGAGCGATGGAGTGTTGGAAGGTATCTTGCCTATGAGGCTTCCGGAAACCGAAAGCTTCGAGCTGTGACGTTGATGAGCGGCGGGGATGGATGCCTCGGAAGTCGAAATCGCCGGGACAGACCCGAGAGTCGAGTTGCCCAAGCCGCTCGGGACGGCTTCGTCGGGTGAAGACATCTCCTCCTCGGCCCCTTTCCGCCTCAGCAGTGACAACGCGGAGGATTTCGTTCGCCGATGCGAGCTGGCATAGACGACTCGTCAGCAGTGACTCCAAAGACGCTCCCAGGATTCGTCGAGAACACGGACGACTGTGGGAAGTGGGTGATAGGTTGAGGGTTCTCGCCGCGCATACCTCTCCCCCGCCTCAGACATGGCCCACCACCCAACTGTCTCAGGATCAGTTCCCGTCGAGTGGGCCAGCAAATTACTAGGTATCAGAGCGAAACGCAAGATTCGTGCAGCACAAAACTTGAGCACAGCTAAGGAAGGGAAATTTGGCGATTCATTAAAGAATGTACAGTATATGTGCGGGCTACGGTCGAAAGAGAGAGAGAGCTGAGGCAGGGAAGTTGGGTGGTTCGGTGGGGGGTACACTAGGCCGGGTAGTGGGGATGGCAGTTAGCTTAAGACCAACATGGCATGCAGCAAGGTGGCTGATGAGATGACGTTGGGAGTTTGGCGATCCCAGGTCCGCTTGGCATCGACTCATCGAGCCCTCTCCCTCAACCTTAACCCTGACGGCAGCCCCCCGTTTCACGTGCACGGGGGTTACTGCAGTGATTGTAGGTCGAAGTTGTCAGGCGCTCAGCGTTGGGCGCTGAAACGCCATACCAGGCCGCTCTGGTCGTTTACATACCATAATCCGAGTATAAATAGAACAATGATCAGCTAAGGGCGGTCCGGCCTCCTTCAACCAGAAGCCAGAGTCAGTTTCGGGCGCCTTGCCGTCAGTCCCGTCACGAAGACCCTGAGAACTCGGATTCTACCTTATTGTGCCGGACGGCCCGGCCTTCAGGCTTGAGGGTCCAGATGCAGTCGCGCCTACGTCCCGGTTGACAGCTTTTCGACGCCAGTCGGGTGTGTAGGCGAGATCAATACTGGAAGGCGCCAGACATTGCTGGTTAGAAGGTCTCCGTACTCGTCTTGCAAGAGCATGCGATTGCCCTGAGTCCGTTTTCCATGGAAATGGATACACTATGGAAGAGCCCCCTGGGAACGGAGTTCGGGACGCGGGCCCAAGACTTGGCGCCGATCGATAGCTGCCGACAGACCTCGGCAGACGGACCAATTATAAGGGATCTTATACTTAAGGTTCCTCTGTAGCTGTCTGAGCTTGTGCATGTTTCATGAGACATCGTCGTCCCCTACTACACGTGAAAGAGCCTCAACATCTGGCCAGGGCATTATCTACCGGAGCTGATGTTGTCGTGCTAATTAGCCGCTCTATCCTTTTTTTTCCCAACTTACAGTGGAAAGATAGACAATCAATTCAGAAGTCAGCCGTCAAACCGTCCTCGCGTTTGCCCGTTTTACACGCCGCCGGCAGCCGGGCTTGAACCACACGAACCGCCTCCCGTCTTCAACTGGACCTTTGCCGCAAAGGTGCCGAACGCCGCAGTCACATTCCATTAGGAATCCAAGATCGCAATGGCGGACCGCACAACACTGCTTCGCCCTCCCCCCAACGACCCTAACAAGGCGCCTATCGAAAATGCCCTCGACGTGACAGAGCTGGCCGTCTTGGGTCCCGTAAGTTGGCCGCGGCGTTCATTTATCCCATGTTCATGTTCATGTTCATATAACACACGCTTTCCCAGACACACACACATACAAACACCAACCCCCTCCCCGCGCCCCCCTCTCTTCGAAACCTGAAACAACACTGACACCCCCGCAGAACATTTTCACCAACACGCATCCACCATGGCACCCCCCTGGTGCACGGGGCATCTACGGCGGCGCAGTGATCGCCATGTGCCTCGCCGCGGCGCAGCGTACGGTGTCGCCGGACTTCGTCGTGCACTCGTGCCACTGCTACTTCCTGCTGGCCGGCTCGTCCGAGCTGCCGATCCTGTTCCACGTCGAGCAGGTTCGCGACGGCCGGTCCTTCGCCACGCGCACCGTCCAGGCGCGCCAGCGGGGGCGCTGCATCTTCACTACCACCATCTCCTTCACCGTGCGGACGGAACCTTCTTCTTCTCCTTCTTCTTCTTCTGCGTCAGGTAGTGGGAGGCAGCGGCAGCAGCAGCAGCAGCAGGTGAGCCACTCGAGCGAAATGCCCTGCGACGCGGACGGCAAGCCGTTGCAGCCGCCGCCAGACGATTACAGCGATGAGCCCGACCTTTCGAACCCGGGCCCTTTTCAGGGCACCAAGATCGAGATTGTCAACGCGGGGAGCGACAAGCCGGGCGAGAAGAAGACGCGGCAGTGGATCCGGGCCAGGGGCAAGATTGCGGGCGGGATGCCGGCCCACCTGGAGGCGCTGGCCTACGTGTCGGACAGCTACTTCATCGGAACCATCACGCGCATCCACAAACTGTGGCGCTTCCCGTTCAGGGCCGAAGAGTTCGACAGCCTGCCCGAGGACCTGCAGCGCAAGGTGAAGTCGCTGCATCAGTGGGAGGGCATGGGCGAGGATCCCAGGGAGATGGTGGGACAGCCGGTCATCGGAATGATGGTGAGCTTGGACCATACCATCTACTTCCATAACCCAAGCAAGGTGAGGGCGGACGAGTGGATGTTGAATGAGATGGAGAGTCCGTGGGCCGGGGACGGGAGGGGCGTGGTGACCCAGAAGATATTCAGCAAGGACGGCACGCTGCTGGCGACATGCGTACAGGAGGTATGGTGCCCCTGTTCTTGTGGTCCCTCGATGGTATTCCGGCAAGCCTTTTCACTAACCGACTGGACTTACACAGGGTCTCGTCCGTCTCCAGCAGCCCAATCCCGAAGAGCGCAAGGAGTCCAAGCTGTAACTCGACAGAGGGCCTCCAATCGGCGATTGTGTCTTCCTGTGGATAACTTACCTATTGTACTCTTTTGACCATGCGTGTTTTCTGTTTTGCATAGAGAGGCATGTATGTATAAGGTAGATGGCCTGAGGCTGGGTGCTCAAGTGCCGCCAACGGTCCTTGTCGGCGAATCTCATATCGAGCACCAAATAATAGAGATGCATGGATACCTACTACTAATATGTGTGCATAGCGATGTGGTTTTAGTTAAAAGAGAACCATTTATCTGCCTTATTTCTGGAAGTCCTCCAGCTGGAAGAGAGGCAAGGAACAGATTGCACGACAGACTGTCGATGGAGTGGTAGACTTGTGTTCTTTTCTTGTCTCTTTTCTTTTTCTAAGATATGTCCCTCCGTGTTATGTTATTATCTTGGGGTCGGTACTCTGTTATTACTCGGATAACCGTAGACACAATAAACTCATATCACCACGGGTTGATAGGACTGGAGATGATTTGGATAGTATGCGTAGTCGACCTGATAACCTTGAGCTGGGCCAGGGACGCTTCCGATCCGGGAATGCCTGTCCCAAATTGCTTCTACAGCTGGGTCCTTGCTCACCCTCGCGGAACCGGTGGTCTTTATTTCCCAACTCTTTCGGTATCCTCTTCTTCGCTCCATATTATTTCGAACCTTAACCAACTTTTACAGACTCCGGTAAAGCTAGGGTATCATGTTCCTACAGCACCGCAACCTGCCTCCCACGGAGGCCCGTCCCCTCTCTTCCCCCAATGCATGCAGCCATCGGCCCACAGGCACCGTGGGGTTCTCTCCAATGCAAACATTCAGGATGTACCTGAATGGTAGGGGCGACGCGAAGAGTGCAGATGCATAAATCGCACGAGGGAAACGCAGGAAGCCGTAAGAAAGAGATTAGGTCTACTGTCGGGCAAGCACGACGTAAGGAAAAGCGACGTGAAGCTGACTTCAAGTTCGGGTACTGGTCGGTAGTAGGGGTCGAACTAGATTGTGACTCCTTCCAAGCGGAGCACCTTGGATTTGTCCCCGAGCAGCTGAGAGCGGACCTCAAGAATCTCGCGGGCTATTGTTTCGAAGTCCTTAACCTTGCCCGCCTTGAACTTCTGGACAAGCTCCCGCATGCCCTGGATGAAACGGCTCTTTTCGTTGCCGCTGTAGCCGTCGGGATTACCAAGTTCCAGGAGGATTTCATCATCTGGAAGGCAAAGGCCCAGGAGTCAGCGCCGAGGGAGGGGGAAGTGGAAGGTCTGATGTTAGCCGCCCATCCAGATTCCTGGGAGACTCACCGGCAACGCCGATGGATCCAAAGTGCTGGTACTCGCAATTGGGGGGGCACTGTTCCCCATTCAGCTCGAACGGACAGAATTCTTTGTCGGCGTCAATTCTGTTGGTGTAAGTTAGAGATTTCAGGCCCCCGGCAACTACACGCTGGTACTCTGGGTGAAATCGGTAGGCGTGGAAATAGCGAAGCGGGCTCTCGTAAGGTGTAAGTGTACTCTTGGGGCTTGATGGTACCTGGTCGTGCGCCTGTCCTTTTGTCAGCCAAAGATGCCGTGGTCGCGAGAAGAAACGACGTTTACTTGTCCTGCAACCTCCGTCTCAATTTCTTGCATCGCTTCGCGAGGCTGCCCAACGCTCGAAATCTGGTCTGGCAGTGGAACCGAGCGCTGACTTGCATCGGCTCCCTTCGTTACATCCTCGGCATCGACAATGCTAGGGGCTTCCGCTATCCCCGGGCTAGGCGATCTGGAATCTAGTTCCATTGGTGTCGTCTCGTCCAGTCCTGTAACCTCCACTTGTTCAGGCATGCCGAGACCAGTAACACTGTTTCCAATCGGCTGTCTTGATCCCGGCGATAGAACCGAACATTCCGTAGAACATCCACGAGGAGAGGTATCAGCCTTTGCTGACGAGGTCTCGGTGTCTGTTCCGAGTTCTGGGGCACGATTGGCGGGAGCCTGGGGCCCCGTGTCAGCGCTCACGCCGACAGCCTCGGTGGTGACCTCCTCCACGTTGATATCAGTGGCCGAAGAGGGCTCTCCTTGCGGCAGTTTGTGAGATAACCTGCCTCCATCCGTCAACCCGGCCCTGGTTCCTTGACTTCTATCAGATGCGGAGGGAGACGGCGAGGACGACCCGGTTTCGATGTGGCCTGAAGCTCCCTCAGTTTCAGGAACAGAAGGCTTTGCTTGTTGTTGAGCACCCAGCTCTTCTGTACCGAGCCCGTTAGGCTGCGAACTCTCCATTTGACTGGTGTCAAGCTGTTGTAACTCATCAGCCAACTTCTGCTTTTCCTCAAAGCTTCTGTCGATCTCGGCCTTCAGTCGTGCTTGCTCTGCTTCCAGTTGCTGTAGACGGTTCAACTTCTCTTGGAGAGAGGAATCGATCCGCGGGATCTCGAGACTCATGATCCGGCCGCGTCGCTCTGCTCGTTCCAATGGATCCAGGCGCGGCGTCTCGGATGACTTAGACTGCCTGATTGATGACGGCTCCGGCGTGAGCTGTGGAGAAGCCCCATCTAAATGATCATTGCTACACTGCGACTCGGTCCGTCCGGCTTCCGATGGCCGAGCAGTCTCAATATCCTTAGGCCCGGACGCCGACCCACACTGCTTTGGCGTCACTGAGCCACCCGAAGACTGCTTCGCTTTTCGCCTGGCCTCCGCAAGCGCGATCTTCCGTCTCATCTCCTGTATCGCCTTTTCCTTTAGATCCAGTTCGGTCTCTCGCTTTTTGTTGTGTCCAACCAGGCCACCAGGCGGAGTTAAAGAAGGCGCAGGGCTTGAAAACTGACGTGGCGAGAAAGTATCTGTAAGGGGTGGAAAGTCACGGATGGCCGGCCCACGCTGGCCGAAAATCCCACTAGATTGGGTTGAAGTTGGCGGCTCATCGACTGGAGATCCCATGTCCATGTCCATGTCCATTTCTTCATCGTCGGATTGATCACTGACGTCGATAATGAGAGAAGTTTCCTGGCGAACCTGGCCAAAAGGACGCTTGAACGAAGCCGGGATTGATGAATGTTCGACAAAATCCGCTGCCACCGGGCGCTTTCGCTGGGCTGAAGGATTCGTTTGAGCGTTGGGGGGCTGCACCTGGCTCTGGGTTGGGACGCTAGGAGCGACTACAGAAACGCCTGCCGCTTTCGGACCGGTGGGAATAGAGAAAGAAGCGGGGCTTCCTGTTGTCGTTGCTTGAGGCGCAGGGGTCCCGTTCTTGCCCACTTGCATGGCTTCCTGGTCAGCCTTGTCGGTTGTGGATTTCTGGGCTTGCGCTTCTCGAGACTTCTGCAAAGCTGCTATTTTCTGCTGAATCAACCGTTCTTTCTCGCCCCAAGTCTTGCTCTTCGGCGGCAAATTTGACGGTGCTGGCGCAGTCTCTTGCGACTGGGCCTCCGTCACCTTCGGGTTGGTCGTCGGGGTCGCAGCGGGAGCTGGCAGCTTCGGCACTGCTGGCGCCTTAGCAGCCTTTGCGGCAAGGAGCCGTGCGATGCGGTCCTTCCTCTCCTCGCCCTTTCCTGGCTGATTAGGCATGGAAGAGTGTGACTCCTTCGGGGAAGGAGCTGACTGTAGCGGTTGGATATCGGGGGCTCCGTCTGGTTTGCTTGACGCGGGGTTCCCACCCTGGCGCGGTTCTGTCTCTTTCGGATGTGTAGGGTTGGACTCATCGACGTCCTTCGGCATGTCGAGGTGAAGATCGCGGAAAAGTCCCTTGATCAAGTTCTCGTCGAACCCCTCATCGATATAGTTCTGATATTTGATGCCTAATGGCCAAAGACGTAGAATTGCTTTTTGCGCTTCCTTCTTGGCTTCCTGCACCGATTTGAAGGAACTTGAAGAGTCTTTTGAAGCACGAGACGTAGGCATGGTCGACTGAGTGGGACCATTGCTCGTAGGCGGATGTATCGCATGTTGCAGACCTGGGACACCTGGGTCCGGAACCTTCACTTCCGTCCTAGTTACGCTTGAATGTGATTCCTTGTCTGCCACGTGAGGCGGTGTTGGGATCTCGCTCTCGATCTCTCGCGGAGAGAGGAACGGCGAATAAGACGCAGACTGCTCACGACCTGTAACAATTAGCATGTCAAATGACCCAGAGATCGAGATCGGAACGGGATGAAAAGCATACCCTCCTGAGCCTTGGAGTCCTTCCCACCGTCATCTTCGTCGGTTGCATAGAAGTTCCCCTCGGGCGTATCAGCTGCGCTCATCGGTTGACTCGGCTCTGTAACCAGTGGAAGCTTCGCAACCCGTTCTCTGTGCTCAACAGGGACAGATTCCCTAGGCTCATACAAATCTTCAAATTGTCCCTCGCTCAGCTCGCCCTCCTCGACCTCAGCATCGGCAGTTGACAGAGCCAGTGCCGGAGCAGGTTGGCTCGGTGGCTTCCCATTACCCCCCGAACTGCTGGTGGCGAGGCCGGCTTGGGAACGTTGCTGGTCAAAAGAGCCAGTCCCGTAGGTCTGCGGTAAAGGAACGCTAGATCCCGGCGCCGTGAAGTTAGGCGGTTGGACCCACGGCGCAGTACCAGGTGTGAGGCTGTGGTGGGTGCCACCAGGCGCCGGCAAACCTCCTACCCCAAGCCCCGGGATGTTCGTCGCATTGGAATTGTAAGCTGCCTGAGAAAAGTCTCGATATATCTGAGCAGCTGCGGGATTGATGGATGCGTTAGGTGCTGGAGCAGCGTAGCCCGGATAGTTCTGGTAGCCGTACGGTTGCTCCACGGGCTGACCGTAATACTGGCTGTAGCCGAACGGATACGGGTATTGTGACATTGTCGACAACCTATGATCAACTGATCGCGTAGGGTCTCTTAACCCGTGGATCGAAGAGTCGAAGTAACTTGCACTTCTGCGCGCAGGGCGGCAAGGCCCAGTAGTGTAGAAATTCTTCCCGCGCGACGCGACGATAACAAAGAGCAGGCACTGGGAAGTCGGTGATTGTGCGCGGCGACAATTCCAGCAGCCCAAGAAAGCAGCAGCCGCTCTCAAAATATTATCCTCCCAAAGGCCGTTCGGGACGTTTTGGGGTTCCTATCGGTCAGTAATATCGTCGTGGGATAGAATCTGGTGTTTGTCACCTGGCGGAGCACTTTCGCGCTGTTCATCCGAAAATGGCGGGTCAGAGAAGGCACGATCGTGGTTGTGAGAAGGCGTCGCCAGCCCTCGTAATGGATCACTTCCGGAAATTCAGTAAGTTAGTACAATACAAATACTATAGTGTGTGCGAGACTTATTAGCGCATGATATGTAAGGTACCTTACATTGTTACTAGTGCTCGCGCACGTGACAGGTCTGTTCGGTACTAGTAGACTGTGACATCAGAATCGAAGTGGGTCGCATTTGTTTACTCCGCTTGAATTTGGTGCCCAGCAACGAAGACCCAATTGGGCGGCATGAGGCTTCAGCTTCCTTGATCCAGCAACTCTCTTTCCACAGAGCAGCCGGAGTGAAGCAAGGACGATACTGCGGACTTGATTAACCAGATTATCTTCATTTGGTTTTTCCCCTTGCTTTTCCCTGACTCTACCGCTACGTTCCACCTTCCATTGCCAGGTCATCGGAATCGCCATCGCGGGGCTTGCTTTCCTGAATGTTTACATGCGCGCCCCGTCCGAAGCAGCAGTGCAACATCCTTCTCGGCGGTATTCCATGAATCCCTTGCTTTCACTGCTTTTTACTTAGCATTAGCGCGCCATGTCGGTTCGCAACAATCCCTTTGCGAGGAATGCCTCGGCCTCGACCTCGAGCTCGACCGGTCCGAGTGGTCTCGGCAGGCCGAAATCCGTTATAGCTCCATCTTCGCCATCCCTGCTCCCTGGGATGCCTCCAGTGCCCGCCCACGCCCGGACACAGTCTCACAGCTTCGCTGCAACAACTCTAGCAGCGCCGGTTCCTCTCCGGACAAGCCATGTCCGGGCTCTGTCGAGGGACGGGATGCCGAGCTCGAGCACATTCGCGCCGTCGTACCTCAAGACAGAAGACATGCGGAAACCCACCGATGTCGTGAAAGGAATTGAGGGCGAGAACGACTTCTCAGGCAAAAAGTATGTCTGGCTGAAGGACCCGCAGACGGCGTTTGTCAAGGGGTGGGTGGTTGAGGAGAAGGAAGGCAATAGGCTGCTGGTCCAGTGTGATGACGGGAGCGTGAGTGCGCACCAAGGTTGTTCTTGGCCCGGGGCTTGCACTGACACGGCGGATAGCAACGCGAGGTCGACGCTGAGAACGTTGACAAGGTCAACCCAGCCAAGTTCGACAAGGCGAACGACATGGCTGAGCTGACACACTTAAACGAGGCTTCAGTTGTCCACAATCTGCATACACGATACATGTCAGATTTGATATACACTTACTCCGGGCTTTTCTTGGTGACGGTCAATCCGTACACCCCTCTCCCAATATACACCAACGAGTACGTCAATATGTACAGGGGCCGAAGCCGGGAAGACAACAAGCCCCACATCTTCGCCATGGCCGACGAGGCGTTCCGCAATCTAGTTGATGAGAACGAGAATCAGAGCATATTGGTTACCGGTGAATCCGGCGCGGGAAAAACCGAAAACACCAAGAAGGTCATCCAGTACCTGGCTGCTGTAGCACATTCCCAGGCGTCGACGAAGGGCAGAGGCAAGCAGCACTCCAACCTGTCCGCGCAGATTCTGCGGGCAAACCCGATCCTCGAAGCGTTCGGCAACGCCCAGACGGTTCGAAACAACAACTCCTCGAGATTCGGCAAGTTCATTAGGATTCAGTTCGACCGCGACGGGTCGATTGCCGGCGCTTTCATTGACTGGTATCTGCTTGAGAAGTCCCGGGTGGTTCGGGTCAATGCCCAAGAGCGCAACTATCACGTCTTCTACCAGCTTCTCCGCGGCGCAGACCAGAGGCTGAAGCAAGACTTCCTCCTGAACGGAATGGACGTCGAAGACTTCGTCTACACGCGCGACGGGCAAGAGAGCATCGCTGGTGTGTCCGACCGTGAAGAATGGGACTCCCTCATGGAGGCCTTCTTGGTGATGGGCTTCTCCGACGAGGAACAAGCCTCCATTCTACGCACCATTGCCGCGGTGCTCCACCTCGGTAACATAACAGTCGTCAAGGAGAGCAGATCGGCAGATCAAGCCCGCCTTGCTCCGGAAGCCAAGGAGGTTGCCGCCGTCGTTTGCAAGCTGCTTGGTGTCCCGCTGGAGCCTTTCCTGCGAGGCCTGCTGCACCCCAAGGTAAAGGCTGGTAGAGAGTGGGTCGAGAAAGTGCAAACGCCAGAACAAGTCCGCTTCAGCATCGATGCTCTTGCGAAGGGTATCTACGAGCGTGGTTTTGGGGACCTGGTAACCAGGATCAACCGCCAGCTCGACCGCGCGAGTGTGGGCCTCGACGACACCCGCTTCATCGGCGTGTTGGATATTGCTGGCTTTGAGATCTTTGAGCACAATAGCTTTGAGCAGCTCTGCATCAATTACACCAACGAAAAGCTGCAGCAGTTCTTCAACCACCATATGTTCGTTCTGGAGCAGGAGGAATACGCAAGAGAACAGATCGAATGGCAGTTCATCGACTTCGGCAAGGACTTGCAGCCCACTATCGACCTGATCGAGCTTTCGAATCCCATCGGCATATTTTCCTGTCTCGACGAGGACTGTGTCATGCCCAAGGCCACCGATAAGACCTTCACCGAGAAGCTGAACTCTCTGTGGGATAAGAAGTCACAGAAGTATCGGCCATCTCGGTTGGGGCAAGGTTTTATTCTCACTCATTATGCTGCCGAGGTCGAGTATGCAACCGAAGGATGGCTCGAGAAAAACAAGGACCCGCTGAACGACAACCTCACCCGCCTGCTCGCGGCTTCAAGCGACCCGCATATTGCGAACCTCTTCGCCGATTGTGCCGATCAGGACGACGAAACCGGCGGTATGCGGAGCAGGGTGAAGAAGGGTCTATTCCGGACGGTTGCCCAGAGGCACAAGGAGCAGCTCTCGAGTCTCATGGCCCAGCTGCACCAGACGCATCCTCACTTCGTCCGGTGTATCCTTCCCAATCACACGAAACGGCCAAAGCAATTCAGCGGACCGCTCGTCCTGGATCAGCTACGGTGCAACGGTGTTTTAGAGGGCATCCGCATTGCTCGGACAGGCTTCCCCAACAGGCTGCCGTTCGCCGAATTCCGGCAGCGCTACGAGGTCCTTTGCCGTGACCTGCCGAAAGGATACCTAGAGGGCCAAGTCGCGGCGAGAATCATGCTGGACAAGTTCGGCCTCGACAGGACTCTCTACCGCATTGGCTTAACCAAGGTCTTCTTCCGCGCCGGGGTTCTCGCTGAACTAGAAGAGAAACGAGATGCGCTAATCAGCGAAATCATGGCGAAGTTCCAATCGGTTGCTCGGGGATACATGCAACGGCGGGTTGCCTACAAACGCCTCTACCGAGCGGAAGCCACGAGAGTCATCCAGCAGAACTTCCAGGTGTACCTCGACCTCTGTGACAATCCTTGGTGGCAGCTGATGGTCAAGATGAAGCCGCTCTTGGGTGCAACAAGAACTGCGACCGAGGTGAAGAAGAGGGATGAGATGATCCGCCAGCTGAACGAAAAGATGCAGTCAGAGCACGAAAGCCGCAAGAAGCTCGAGGAAGAGCGACGGAATGTTCAGGCCGAGATGCTGCGGATCCAGCAGACCCTCGAGAGCGAGCGCGCTCTGGCACTGGACAAGGAAGAAATATTCAAACGGCTGCAGCTCCGGGAGGCGGAATTGGAAGACAAGCTGGCCGGTGCCCTGGAGGACCAAGAGAAGCTTGAGGATCAGCTAGATAGCCTCCTTGAAGCCAAGAAACGCGCAGAGGAAGAGGTCGAACGGTATCGGACGCAGCTTGAGCAAGCAGCTGGCATCATCTCGAGACTAGAGCATGAGAAGTCGGAACTAGCAGGGCGTGTCGAGGACCTCGAACGGGCGATCGACGACATCACGAAGGCTCAGTCTGATCGCAGTGAGCAAGAAGCAGCTCTTGAAGAAGAGATCAAGATGCTCCAAAGCCAGCTCTCGCTGAAAGATCGCAAGGTTCGGGACCTGGAAGCAAAGTTGCTGAAGACGGACCAAGAACTAGACATCAAGCTGGCGACCGCGCAGAAGGAACTTCAGGCGTCGAAGAGCAAGAACTCTCAGCTGATCGCCGAGAACCGCGAGATCCAGCAGCAGCTCGCTCAGCTGTCCAAGACGTCAACGGACTACGAAGATTTGGTCAGAAAGAAGGAAAGTGAGCTGGCTCTACTCCGCTCAGACAACAAGAAGTTTGAGATGGAGCGGCGGAGCTTGGAAGACCAGAGAAGAAGCCTTAGCGCGGAGAAAGAGAAGGCCACGGACCGACTCCGCGACGTTCAGGCCCAGCTTTCCGCGATGAAGTTTCAGCAAGCACAGCTCGAGAGGGAAGCCGAGGACGCAAAGAGACTACTGGAGGCCCGGCTATCGGAAGATGCGCAGGCTGACGAGAACCGTCAGGTCCTCGAATCCCAAATCAAGGACCTCAAGGAGGAGCTGTACAACCTTCAAATGGAGATTAGCAGAGAGCGTCAGTCTCGTGATGATGTTCAACTGCTCGGCGAGCACAAATACCAGACTTTGAAGGACGAGTATGATCATCTCAATGAATCGAAGATCATCATTGAGAAAGAGCTTTACGCCCAGCAAGATACCCTCCGTCGGACCATGGAGGCTCGAGCAACGGCAGAGCGGGAGCGGGACGAGGCCCGAGAGGAAATCCGCCGGCTTCGTGTCGCCAAGACGCAAGCGGAGGAGGCCCGTCGCGAAGCCGATCTCATAGGAGAGCGCGCCGCGTTCAAGATCGCGCGGGAGCGAGAAGAGAGCCTTCACAAAGATCTCGAGGCGGCTCACGAGAGGCTCAAGTGGTTTGAGGCTGAGTGCGCTAAACTCAACCACCAGATTGAGGATCTCAACAAGCTGATCCTCGAGTCTGGCGAGTTTGGATTGAAAAACGACCAGGCAAAGGAGAGGCTAGAGCGGGAGCTTCATACGGTGAAGAGCCGGCTTGCTGCATCGGAGAACGACAACCGTGCGCTCCTCAACAAGCTGCAGCAGAAAGGTCTCGAGATTGCACGCTCGACATCCAGAGCAAGCGAGGCTTCCCGAGGCCAGATCCTCGCCTTGCAGCGTGACAAGGCACGGTTGGAGGAGCAAAACACCAAGCTCAACAAGCAACTTGGCGACTCTCAGGTCACGATCGCGTCTTTGGAGAAGCGGCTCGAGAAACTGCAGCTGGACCTAGAAGATCTCAACCACGAAGTGGCCCGGGAGGTGCAGACCAGCCGCAATGCCGAGAAGGCTTCGTCCAACTTCACGGTCCAGCTGGCGGAGGCCAACCGCACCATCGAGTCGGAGAGGCAGCTTCGAGCGCAGGCCCAGGGAACGGTCCGGACCTTGCAGTCTACGCTCGATGCCCGGGACGAGGAACTTGCGGAGCTCCGCGCACAACTGCTGAATGCACTGAAGACTGTCGATCCCGAGTCTGTGCCCCCTGTTCAACACGACAGCGGTGGGGACAAATCCCTTGCCAGAAGCTTCGACTTGGCCCGCAAGATCGAAGACCTGCAACAGAATCTCCGTGTCCAAACGGCCGCTCGTGCTCACGCCGAGGCCCAGCTAGCGGGGCTGAGAGCCGCTAGGGACGAGTCGCCCACTAGACGTGGCCCCGAAGAGATCAGCATCGATGAGGATCCGTTCAGCGGCTCACCGATCCAGAAACGGTCCAAGTTGAATGAACGTCACTACTCCGGCACGTCCACGCCGCCGCGTCGGTTCGCAAATGGCGATTCCGACCGCCTTCAGGACTCGGTTCGTTCGGATCGGACGGCGGACATCCTCAGCTTCAACAACCGCATGGATCTCAAGGCCGAGGTCGAGGAGCTCCAGAATCAGCTGCAGCTTGCACAAATGCAAAACCGGCATCTGCAGAGCCAACTGGAACGCTCCACAACCATCGCGGAGGCTTACCCAGATGACAGCGGCCGACTCCGGAAGCTGGAGCAAGCAAACGGCAGACTGCATGACATGCTGGACAAGTCCAACAAGCAGGTGTCTGCTCTGGAGAAGGCCCTTCATAGCGGTGAACTCTCGCTTCGCGATATCCAGACAAGGTCGCACGAGGAAATTCTCGAGCTTCTCAACAGCCAAGAGGATTCCCGGCGGTTGCTTCTGCACAGCCATAACGACGCGATTGCGGAGCTGACGGATATGAAGGCCCAGTTGGAGAGGCTGAGGCACGACCGGGCCAAGCTCGAGGTGGATTTCCGCGACACGAGGTCTGACCTGCAGGAGATGTCGCTGGCCAGGGAACAAGAAGCGGCAAGCCGTGCTCAGTTGCTTGAGGAATTTGCTGATCTCCAGATCCGCATGGATGCCGAGACTTCCAAGCTGGCCGATGTGACTGCTAGTCTCAACCTTTACAAGAGCCGTGCGGACGAGTACTTCAGCAAGCTGGAACAGGCCGAGATTGCTGTTCTCAAGGCGAGCCGCGCCGAGCAGTTCGCCAAGACACAGGCAAAGGAGGCAGAGGAGAGCTGCGCCGAGATGATGGCTGAGCGGAAGCGTCTCGAGACTACCATTGAGGATCTCCAGCACCAGACTCAGAGGCTGGAGGAAAGGATCGAAGACATGTCAACCGATCTGGAGGCAGCAACGCAGGCGAAGAAACGACTGCAGCATGAACTCGAGGACTACCGCAACCAGCGCGCGAACGACATCGAGGACAAAGAATCAAGCATGGAGCAGCTGCGCAAGAAGTACCAGGCTGAATTTGCCACTCTCACCAAAGAGCTAGATCTCACTCGCGAAGAGAAGCTGTTCAAGCAAGCTGAGATTACGAGGTTGCGCGAGGAGCTCGACGATCTTCGGTCCAAGTGGGACGACGAGGTGCTCAACAGCTCGACCTGGTCGAAGGAGAAGGCTCGTCTGCAATCGACGCTCTCCGATGTGATGGCTTCGCGGGACGAGGCAGTCAGCGCTCACAACGAGGCCCAGGGCAAGATCGTGTCGCTGTTATCGCAAGTGCGCTCTCTTCGCTCGTCGGTGGATGAGCTTACCGCCGAGCGAGACAGCCTGCTTCGCGAGAAGCGGAGCGTCGAGTCCAGGCTGGAGGAGGCCAAGGCCGGACTTGAGGAGCTGGCCAAGAGCGAGAGCCCCTCTCTCCGCAACGCCGCCAACATCGACAAGGAGATTCTAGACCTCAAGGCAGGGCTCGCTCAGCAGGAGGACATCGCCGCAGCGGCAGTGGAGAAGATGCGGCGTGCCGAAGCATTGGTCTCGGAGATCCAGAAGGATATTGTTGCCGAGCGGGAGGCGAGCGCCGAGTTGCAGAAACAGAAGGCTGCCTTGGAGAAGTCGCTCAACGAGGTGCAGCTCAAGCTTATCGACCACGAGACTAAGGGTTACTCGACGGCCAGCCAAGACATCAAATTCCTTCACAAACGCATTCAGGAGGTGAGATATCCCAAAAGCCCCCCTGTTGACCCATGGTTCCTTTCGTATACTGACCTAGTTCGTAGCTCGAGACGCAACTCGAGGAACACGAGAACGAGCGCAGCAAGTCGCAGCGCTCGGTGCGCAACGTCGACCGCATCGTCAAGGACCTGCAGTCGCAGATCGAGCGCAAGGACAAGCAGAACGCGCAGCTCGGCGAGGACATGGCCCGCATGCGCGACAAGATCGACAAGCTGTTGAAGACGATTGAGGAGCTGCAGGCGTCCGAGAGCAACAATGAGCTGTCGGCCCGGCGCGCGGAGCGGGAGCTGCGCGAGGAGAAGGAGAAGTCGCTCCAGTTGGAGCGCGAGCTGGAGAACTGGAAGATGAGGATCGAGAAGGGCAGCAATGCCGGCGGCGTCAGCGTGGCCGGGAGCGTCTATGGCGGGAGTGTCAAGGGAAGACACGTCAACTGGTCTGCCGACGAAGCTGTCAAGATCCCCCAACGGAAGAGCAGCATTAGCAGGGTTCCGAGCTTGACGAAGGGGTTCTTGTGAGTTTGTGTAGGTGGCACTCAGTTTGTTGGGTTGAAGTCGGGTGAGGCATTGCTTGCTGGTTGGAGAGGCTGTTCTGCTTATGGTAATGGGGATATTTCTCATAGGATACCATGTTATGTGTTCGAAGGAAATCGGGTTGGGACGATGGACTTGGAGCACGGGAGGCAACATGACAACCGTGTTATGTTTTTCTATCACTATAATGTTTTGTTATGCTTGGAGAGTGGCTACGCGTAGTCTTTGTATCATCTTATCATCTCTATGTTAAGACTAAGTGTTTCAAGGCTTTAATTAAGCATTGGGGTTAAGGAGGTGTTTTGTAGATAATGTGAATCGAGGAGAGGACGATTTATCCGTGTAGACGTCGACCAATGAATGCTAGCTCGTACTTGATGTAAAAATTGCGGGCGTGACACCAGTCAATCCTCTGTGGCGCAATTGGTTAGCGCGTCTGACTGTTAATCAGGAGGTTGGAAGTTCGAGCCTTCCCGGAGGAGGCATCAACTTTTGTATTTGTTTTTTATTATCTTATTTTGCTTGTCTCCGTCCTGGAAAGATCTTGCCTTTTTGGCAAACATGATCCATACCTTATTGTTTAGCGTATTGCTCAGCTCTGACTGACTTCCTTTTTCCGCGCGGATGGGTTACGAAATCGGCATCGCGAGTTAAAACCCGACCCAGCGAGTTCCAGTGTTGGGTGGACTTGACACATCGAGTGGGCGCCTTCCCGACCAACGTCGGTCCCGACTTCCATCAGCTGGCCCTAGCTCACCGTTGTCCCCAAGACGGCCGAGCTGTGTCAGACGGGAAGGCAGGATTCCCGTTGTGGGTACTACGTCAGGTATCCGAGGTAACTCCACGACACTGGCACCCGGAGGGGAAGTCCGGGCACTGGAGGTCGTGTCCCCGAAAGGTCCTGAGTTGAAAATGCGACAGTTGACCTCAGCAGCAGAATACTAATACCATAGATATGGGTTCACCGCCGTCTTGACGGGAATTCGCAGGGCGAGACAACCGGCGCACCCGGATTCATTCGATCCTTCCTACCATGGCGTTTCTGGGAAGCCACGTCGTAGTATGGTAGTTCCTGCCGCGGCCTTTGAAGATTGAGCTCATTCCCATCCCGTACCTTCCCGTTCGAATCGACTCGTGGTGCCATTCTATCGCAGTCATGGTGCCACTGGCTCTGAGTTCCCTCAACGACAAGGCAGGTACGACAGGCTGATCGCGGTGCCCAACATGACCGGATTGCTACCATCTGTGTGTGCCTCCCCACGATATAGTGCTGTTCGGTGTCCTCAATCTTGATCTTGAATCAACCACCCTCGTTTCCAAGAACTTCGAACCCTCGTTCTAAACATTCTGGTCCGCTCAACAACGGCGCAAACCCTACAGCCAAGACAGTTCGACACTCGCTAGCTTCGTCTCAGTAGTTTAAGAACCGCTCACAATGAAGACCGTCATCGCTTTCTTCTTCGCGGCCACTGCTGCCGTCGCTCAGAACCTTGAGGGCCAGCCCAAATGCGCCGTAAGCCACCTCTGTTCATCAGACAACTCCCACCAAGAGTCATCCTAACTGACAACCTTCGCTCCCATCCAGACCGACTGCATCGTCTCGGCCGTCAGCGCCGTAGGTTGTGCGGCAAATGACATGGGATGCCAGTGTGGCCCGTCCCAGGCTGCCATCGGCATTGACGCCGCCCCTTGCCTTCTTGCCAGCTGCACGGGTCCCCAGCTGGTGCAAGCCCAAAGTGCCGGGGCTGCGCAGTGCGCTGCCTACTCGGCCTCGTTGACAGCGAAGATGGACGTCGTTGTCGTTGCCACGGGTGAGGCGCAGGCCGGGGCCTTTGTGAAGAGAGATGACCTTGCGACTTCAACGCTGTCGGTCAACGCTTTGGCGGCCGCGCCGACCCCGGTTGACCCCAAGTCGACGGCCGGCGATCCCAAGACGGCAGGCGATCCCAAGACGACCGCGGTGAGCACCGCTGGCGCGGGCGGAGCGGTAAAGCCAGGTATGGTGGGTGCCGGCGCACTGCTGGGTGTTGTCGGAATGGGGGTTGCTCTGTGAGTGGTTTGATGAGAGGCTGATATGGTGTTTACCGTCTGCGACGAGGCTAGTTTAAGGATGTGATGGTGGGTTTGTTGAGGGAAAAGTTTTGGTCCATGTTTCTTTATTTCGATTCGGCTTGTAGGAGCTGGGAGTCAAGATCCCTCATCCGTCCAATGTTCACCTGTATTTGCCGTCACCAGAGCTGGTGGAATACCAATTGCCCAGCAAGCTGAGTGGTTCCAGAGTCCTTCCAGCAACATCATGTGTGCCACTGTGCAGGGTGGTAGATTCTTACCGTACGTTACACCTAAGAAGGGCTGTATTCCGAAAGCAGTACCGTATCGTTTCGTACGTTACCAACCCATTGTGTGTTCGTTGAAGCAGCATCGAACACCCGGCGGGAAAGGACGCCAATTCCGCCCTCAACCAACGAACTGGCTGCAGTGACGGATCTCATAACCGAACATGAAGTGTCGGATCATAGTACAGTGTATTAGAAATTAGTCATTCTTGCTGCGTAACAGGCAAAAACGCAGTATCTCATCAGCAGATCTCGACTCACCGTTAATCTCACTCACATGATATATACCCTTTCATAAAAACCTCAGTATCCCACCATCAAAATGGCAACAGACGTAGCTCTGGAAACATCCATGGTACCGTGGCCTTGTTGTCCCTGTCCTCTGTTCTCTCGACTAACCATACTAATGCAGGGGACCATCGTTCTTGAACTGTACAACCACCATGCGCCAAGGACCTGCCAGAACTTTTCTACCCTCGCTTCGCGCGGCTATTACGACAACACCATCTTCCACCGCATTATCAAGGACTTCATGATCCAAGGTGGCGACCCGACCGGCACAGGTCGTGGCGGGACCAGCATTTACGGCGAGAAGTTCGAGGACGAGATACATCCGGATCTGAAACGTACGTTAATCTGACTGATATTCTCATCGTCGTTTTCAGTATCTTCTTTTTTTACCCAGCAGCACGCGCTCCCCTGCACCGATGAGATGGGAAAGTAGGCCAGCAGAAAACTAACGAAAAGGGCGCGACAAAAAACAGACACAGGCGCGGGGATCCTGAGCATGGCCAACGCGGGGCCCAACACCAACGGCTCCCAGTTCTTCATCACCCTGGCGCCGACCCCCTGGCTCGACGGCAAGCACACCATCTTTGGCCGGGTCAAGAAGGGGATTCGGGTGGTGCAACGCATGGGCTTGGTGCCGACTGACGGCGAGGACCGGCCCCGGACCGAGGTGCGTATCAATAAGGCATATGTCGTCACCGGAGAGGAGGCTCAGGAAGGGGGGTTGGGAGCTTGAGTAAGGGTTTGAGGACCTAGTACTTGTACATATGCGAAGAATGGAGAGCGGATGACATTGCGCGGACAAGGCTCAAAATGATGGGCGATGGTTCGACATGAACCTGTAAAAGGGAGCAGCTCCTGAACAGTTCATTCAGATGGACCGATGAACTGAAGTTTCCATATAGTTGGTATCGTCGGTTGGAGCTCGAGAGTTTCTCCGCAGGTGGATTTATTCCGCTTAACTGGTTTGACCTACAGCGGTCCATCTCGTTAATGATCCGGCTCACCCTGATCGGAGACAGCAAGAACTACCATGCGGTCTATCGTCCTATAATCAGTGGAAGACCCCAAGTAACGCGGCGCGCCAAACCTCCAAATCGCGACGAAAGAAATAGCACTTTAGACTATACTATACACCATGAACCTGCCCAACGCCTTCCTATCCACTCTTTTCCTGCTGTCGCTCCAAGGCGAGGACTTCGTAATAGCAACGCAAATCAACCATGGCTCCCGTGAATGCTAGAGCCCGTGGACATGGAATGCAGAAAACGCCTAAACCCGAACCAGCCCGCCGCGGGCAATGCAAGATACTACCGGATCGCCCTAGCCCATCATGCATGGATATGCCGAACAATTCAGTTGCGGGAGTGGAATTAATGAGATTATGCTCGCTCTTGAAATGCGTAGGCTCATCGAGGCGGGGAGGACATTGTGCCAGAGGATTCGCTCTCCATGTCACGGTCCCGCTTGCCCTTCTTGCCGGCTGGTGAGGGTAGTGGGGGCTTCGCCGGTCCCAGCTTGATCTTCTTGGCCGGCGAGAGTCCCTTGAGAGTGCTCGTCTGCTTCTTAGGCAACACTTGCACCATGGAGTCCTTCGCTGGGTTGTCGTCCACTTTGTGCTCCACGTTGAGCATTGAACTGCCCTTGAGCTTGTCTTTTTTGTTGGCCAACGGGATGGCGGTACCCTTGGCCTTCAGGATAACTTTCTTGTTCAGCGGATTGGGCTTCAGCTTCTTCTTTTTCGGGTTGGACGGGTCCGACTCGTCGGCATCCTCGTCGAACTCGTCGACGTCACGTTTCCGTGGGCTGGCAGCACGGCTTCCCGGCAGCGGTGTGCCCTTCTGGCTGCCGGGCGGGGTATTATCGTTCTGGCTCCCCGCATTGCTCCCGTTGCTGATCTTTTGCGCCGCCGCTCTACTGGCGTTGCGCCCGCTGTTGCCGATACACGAACCCATATGGTTGTTCAAGCGCGTCACCAGGATGCACCGCTTGCACTTGGAACACGTCGCACTGGGGAAGCTGAGAACATTCGGCGGTCGGTCTTTGGCGCTCCCTTCGACCGGCGCCGGGGAGCTCGGATCGTTGGGGTCGAGTTTTTGGTCCTTTTTCTTTTTGCCTCGCCCGGGCCCAGGAGCCACCCACGTCTGGCCGTAAATATCGTAGCCTGGCTTCTCGATGTACGGGTGCCTCTTGCAGTAGATAACACCCGGGTCCGGCTTCCTCGCCCCTTTGCCATCGGTTGGATGCAGCAACCGTGGAAGGTGGCATCGCGGACACAGTATTTCCTTAGTGGTCTTCAGCGGATTTCCCTTCAGCATTACCTTCCCGTCCTTGTAAATCGCCGCATCTGTCTCGATCTCGACGTCCGGCTTCGGGTCGGTTGTTGCGCCGTCTATGGCGTTCATCGCCAGCTTCTCCACCTTGATTGCCGCGGTGTTCGCACGTGCAGTCTTTTCGTCTCGGTGTACCTTGACTAAGAGATCATGGACGATGTTGTAAAGTAGGTCGTCAAGGACCGCATGAGACTGGATGTGGATATCATGTTAGCAGCTTGCAGTGCAATGCAAACTTTCCCACTTACAAGCTTCTCCACGGGATGTGCAGTATCAGGGGCGACAATAACGCCGGCCTTGCCGGTCTCGCCTGTTTCCGACGACATCATCGACTGTCTGCTAATGCAGGAAATGAAGGTTGACAGTGTCGCGGGGAGGTTGTGGCTGGCTCCAAGCGACAAGCAGCACCATCCGATCCGGTTTAATTGGAACCTTGGTATTCGGAACGGCGAAAATGGGTCGGCCTCCTACTAGCGCTCTGCTGCAGCGAAGCTCCGGCCGATGAGCAGACGGAACACGGAAACTTTCAATTTGAAAGCGCGTTCTGTGGTACCTGAGCGATTAATTCTTAAGTTACTTGCTGCAGAAAATGCTTGAAGATCACTGGTGTTCCTGGCAAGTGGGTTGTAATCGGGGCGCAAGTGATTTGATTCTGGGATGGCAAGAGAGTGTCGCGGTTTTGTTCGGTATAGGGCGCTGAGACTCCCGGTCGGTGGGGTTGGAACCAGTGACACGCACGGGGAACAGACCCTTATACAGTACATGTACACTGGGAGTGACGTCTAGCAGACCAAATAAGCTTCATCGAAAAGCGAAGTGGCAATTTCAAAGCATACCTTAGTTACCAGCTTCCTCTCATCAGGATGAATAGGTCAAGGAAAGTTAGAATGAACGCAGTTGGATGTCATTCACGCACCAATGCCTCTGTTCTACTGAGGGTACCTCTTTCGAACGTTATTACTGGCCGCTCAATGCATTGATTCTCGGCTTTCTTTCCAGCTTGATTCTGCCGACACAAAACGAGGCGGTGGCAGGGCGGTCAGTATTGTTACGTGGTGGTAATGTGAGTGAACCGTTCAACGATCAATACGCAGAGAGGGTCTTTCTTGAGACCTGAAGTCTGAAGATCTCTCAGACGGCAGTATGTATGTAACTTCCATACCCGCCTTATGATTAGCAAGTGACTCGCCCAAGCATCCATAAGTGTCTGTCTTTTCCCTAAGACTACATCTGTGAGGTGCTGAAATACACATAGTATCTAATGTCTGTCATGCTCGTTTCACTTTCCACAATGTGACGATGTACTCTCGGCACGTGGAACCTGCATTTCCCAAACTACACTTGTAACTATAGTCCTATACCCGTAACCTGCGCAGTCCAACCTTACGTTAATCTGCTTATTACTATTAACTCCCTCACTACGTAAGCTTCATACAGTGCTGACATATGTACGCTTCATGCAGTGCTGACATATGTACGCTTCATGCAGTGCTGACATGTATTGTACGCTTCATACAGTGTTGAGATACGCATGCTTCATACAGTGCTGTACTGTTAGTTACTGCCTGCTCAACTCATGCGCCGGCTCCGCTCTCGGCCCGCGCGCCGGGGCGACGCAGGGATTGTCAGGGGCAGACAACAATCAATTACGATGCTGACGAGAGGAATCCATTCGCGAGTCAGGACGGCAATCGGCGACACAGACTCTGCAGCACTCTGGGTCATGGTAGTAAACACTCCTAGCTAGCCCGGGAAGATGTCGCGTGCTCAGCAATCCTCGATCCGCTCATTCTTCCAACCACGGCGGCAATCCGAGTCCACCGCCCCTGCGTCGAGTGCCCCGCCAACCGCTACAAGCAACAACAATGGCGCAACCCACCCTCGATCGCCGCCGCCGCTCCCACCAACGTCCGAGGCTCGACAGCAATATGTAGGAGCCAAGCCCGTCCAAATACCTGTGACCCTCCCGCCGGACGGCGTTCCGGTTCTACCATCGCCACCGTCTCTCCCATCGGGCGCCACAATCGTGCCGCTCGCGGAGCAACACATCTCGGCGCTGCGGAGAATCAACTCCCTCCTCCTGCCCGTCCCTTACCCCGACTCCTTCTACACCAAAGCTCTCGAGCCCCTTGCCTCAGGCCTCTTCTCGCGCGCTATTCTCTGGCAAGACTCAGATGCTGACCCTCCCAAAGTTGTCGGCGGTCTGATCTGCCGGCTTGAGCCCAACCTGTTCGTCGACCCCCAAGGCCATCCATTGCCGCAATCGAACCCTCCGTCAGTTCCCCACAACACCGCCAATTTCGCCTTTGACACCCCATATCACGCTATATACATTCAGTCCCTGGTTCTGCTCTCACCATACCGCTCGCTTGGCCTTGCGGCGGCCGCGCTAGAACACATAATCGCAAGCGCCGCTCTCTTGCCTGCGGCAGGTTCAAGCATTGACGCACGGACAATCTACGCGCATGTGTGGACCGAAAATGAGGAAGGGTTGAAGTGGTACGAAGCGCGGGGCTTCTCGCGAGACGCCGAACCCGTAAAGGGGTACTATTTCAAGCTCCGGCCGGACACCGCATGGGTCGTGCGTCGGCAGATCGGCCCTAGTTCGATTCTCAACAGCTTATCCACGCATACGCGGGCGCAGACAGCGTCACAGCCTACCGAGGCGCCCATTGTGCCCGGCGTTTCCGCTCCCAGCAGTCCGGCCCCGCGGTCTGGGACCGTCCTGTCATCCGTGGTCAACCTTCCGCCTATCAAACCCTCCCCGCCGCCACCATCATCCCTTCATCCGCCAACAGCTGCAACAGAGGGAGTATCAACCAGCGGCCCGCCCAGGAGAGCAGGAGCAAGCACATCCCCCGCCCCCTCGTCCGTTTCATCGTCTTCTATCTCATTCCAGAAAGCCCGGCCCGAAACAGAATGGAACGACCTCCCGCCCGATATGGTCATATCGGGCAGGAGGAGTAATCAGCAACTTCTGCCCCCAAACAACAACGGGAATGGTAGCTCCGGCTCTGGGGCTAGTTCGAGGAGCAGTTCGGCCGCGAGGGAGAGGAAGAAGAGAGCGTATCCCTCTGCCGCATTTGGAAACTGAACGTTGGAAGTGGTTGGATTTCATTGCTGCATAGCCTATGAACAGATGAACAGTCGGGGGGCAGCGACAATCATGGCATCAGGCAAATACTGAGTCACGCGCAAAAGATGATAGAACTAGTCTCTACAGAGGGTTGGGCAAAGAGAACTGCGTCATTCGACGTTGCGCGGCTTGAGCGCATCAGAAAGATAACCTGTAATCAAGGGCAGCAGAAATGGAGGGCAAGCACGGCACGAGAGCGTGGCAATGGCCAAGTACGAGAGAGTGGAATCAGTGTCCGTGACAGACAAGAGAGCAGCCTGACTCGGCCAGCAATTCTCACGCAGAGTAAGCTGCCCTGGGACGTGTTATCACGAGGGACTCGTCGTAGTAGAGAGAAGGTGATTCAAAACACATCAGGCTTTCTCCGAGTTGACAAATGTATGGAAAACTTCCTGCGCTCTGCTCTCCGCTTCGCGCGCTGGGCCAACAGGTTTCTCAGTGACTTCTGATCTAGACATTCCCTAGACGGCATTGTCACACTGTCCCCCCAGCGCAATGGCTGCCGTTCAGCGTTGAGAGTGGCTTGGGTCACGCCCGGTCTCTCGCAAGAACTCGGCAAAGGCACAGTCCGGTAGTTAGTGTGCAGCGGATGGGTTTGCACACCCGTCATACTACAAAACATACCTATGGGATCCCGCAAGGGAGACCGTCAACTCACGCAGCAAGCGAAATCTGCGATCTGTCAATTCCATTGTCATCCCTATCGATCCTGGCCACCTTCAGTGGTTTTCTAACTCGCGCAAGAAGCAGTGCAAGAGCAGGTAAATGCTAGTTAGCCTGGCGCCCTCATCCTCCTTACCCACGAAAAAACCCCCATAAACACCATAAAGAAACCCATATAGGAAATGATAAGCCGACCAAGATGACGCAAAGCGCAGGAACAGGAATCATGCCGCCCAGAATGAGAAGACCATGCACCCCTTTTTCGAACTTCCCTCCCATGTCTAGGAAATATCGCTCCACCCCAGCGCAAAACACACCCAAGAACCCAGTTGCCTAGTTACTCTGACGACTCGGAAATCGCCCCTTCGTTCTCCTCATCAATCGTTGCGGTGGACCTCAGCTCGCTGATTCCTGAGACATCGCTTGCCTTCTCCATGCGGCCAGCAACAAGCGCGATCAGTGCCGCACCCACGCCCGAGCCGTCTCTGGCGATACCGATCCGAATGCGCTTCGCGCCCTCCTCCCCAATGCCATCAACGGCGCGCAACGCCTCGTAGATCATTTCCATGAAGCGCGGATAATGCTCCACAAGGCTTCCATCCACACCGATATCGATGGGCTCGTCTGCCAAATCAGGGTCCGTTAGTTTCCCGGTTTGGAGGACGATGGCGGCAATGGCAACCGCCGAAAGCCGAGCCGCACGTCGGACGACCGCTTCGGCAATGGTCTTGAAGGCTTGCGCGTCCTCGAATGAGGGGCTACTGATGTCCAGCGCCGATTCAAGCGCACCGCGCAGGGGCGACAGCCCAGGACTGTTGTCGATGGCGGCAATGGACAGCACCGACGTATCGAGCCCCCAAGCCTTATAGATCGCGGATCTTTCGGAGATTTCCGTTGTGGACAACCAGTCGTTTGAACGCGAGTCCACATCCTTAAAAAGTGGAACATTCGGGTTCTTCAAGAGGTCCAATAGGACTTGGCGAACTATTTCTCCCAGAAACATGCCCGATACACGCTTCTCGTACATCTGCAGGCCAGGGTTGGGTGTGATCTTGTCCACTTCAACGTCCCACGGAGTATTCGGCAGGACGTTCAGCTCATTGTCGAAGGAGCCCCATTCCGTGTTGATTATCATTTTGCCGGTGGAATTGTCGTAGTCGCCAAGCAATGACTTCTTGACTTTGCTGAGCTGCTCCACATAGGCACCGTTGGTGCCAGTGCCGAAGATTGCGCCAAGTACGGCGCCATGCTTGCCTGGGGCGCCGTAGGAGCGAGCCATGAGTGTGCCCACGGTGTCGTTCACAAGGGCAGCGATCCTCACCGGGAGGTGGAGTTTGTCGATTTCTGCCTGCAGGAGCGCGCAGACGTCTTTGCCTACGGCATCCGGGATGTCAAACCCTTTGGTCCAGCGGATAAGGGTTCCCTTGTTGATGCCGACCTGCTGGACAGGAAAACTGAATGTGAACCCCATACGGAACACATTCTCGTCCCTGAACCCAAGTGGAGAGCTGGCCGTCATGCGGCGCCTGATGTGGGCCTCGAACTTTTCGCTGTGATGCTTTTGGAGGAAAGCCTCAATCTGCCGGGCCAAGAATGCGAAGAGCTCGGGGGCCGTCTTCGCGACCATGAGCTCCTTCGGAATAGGAACCTTGGTCGAAGTCAGGTAGAATGACCCGTCGCCGTTCAGCTTGATGGAGCAGACACGGAAGTTGGTACCGCCCAAGTCGACCGCCATGTAGAGACCCTGTAGAGTGTCAGTAGAACGTAAACAAATATTGCAGGGAAAATCCTAGAGACCAACCTTTTCCGTGCCATTGGGCACATCAGTCACATACGTCGGGATTTGGCTTAGGCTTGTCCCGTCTTTTTCTAAACCTTCGGCTGCAGGATGTTAGTGAGGACTAGCAAAGCGCACCTTGGGGAATTCCAGTACATACCGATCTGGCGAAGGAACTCATTGACGCCCTTGTTGACATCCGCATCGGTGTATTCGAATTGGTGGGCAATGCGATTGATTTGCTCGTTGAGCGTCAGTGATTGCTCGTTGCGTAAGCCCGAAAAGCCTGGGAACCACATGTTGGAATACTGTGGGTGAAGAACGTCGGTATGTAGAAAGTTCGGAGGTTCGCAGATTGTCAACAAGTCTTGTCCTGAGTGTGGTTTGGAAGAAAGGGTGGCTTGCGGAAGCGGAGGCGGGGAAGGTGTATTTATTGGTTGTATGGCGGAGGGTTGGGAGATTCGGAGGCAAACCTGGGTGGTCAGCTGGATACCAACGGCTCGAGCAACGAGTGGCACGGAGGGTGGTGAGGATAGCAACGAGACGAACCCCCCAACAGAGATTCAGACCAATGAAGTAAATAGTGACGACGTAGTTTCCCAATGCGTCTCAGTGTGTCGTTGGGACGGGCCAATGGTCATGTGAGGGCGGCGTAGATACCAATGGGGGGCACGACTGTTGATGCGTAACTTGCCCAAAACGGGCAGAATGGTCGTCATCTGAGAGCTAACTTACCGAACCGAGAATGACGAACGTCACAAAGCGTGCATTGAGCAGCAGAGGAGGCGAATTGGCACGATGTTCGAGAGAAGGGCTGCGTGTGACAGTCGCAGGGGGTTGCGACCTCTTCTTATAAAGGCTCGCCCCAAGGCGCCCGACAAGTTTGGAAATGACGTTTTGCCTGCGGGGGCAAGCGCGCTGCCCGTGGGACAATGGCAAGGTGGGGTTGTGCTTGCCCTGGAGAGCTGGGGCCCCAGCCCTTCGAGTTGCGGGCAGTTGCGGGCCGGGGATCGTTGCTGGGTGGCCATTGCCCAATGGAATCGTCGTTGACCGGCTGCCGTTCCCGCCTCGTTCCCTTTGCGGCCTCGGAACTGCTGGAGCCCTGCAAAATTATCGCTCAGTAAGACCCAGCGCAGGCGATATGTCACGCACACGGCGGAGCGTGGTTACCGCGATGGTGCTAGAGTCGGCGAAATAGGCGGTGCTAGCTCGGCCGGCCCACGTGTTGTTCCTGGAATTCGTTTATGCCCGTCGTGAGTGTCGGTCCTTCCCTTGTTTGCTTGTTTGCTCCCTCGCAGCTTCCATTACACTTCCGTCTCCTGACTGCCAGGTGATGCGGAAACTGCTATGGCCCGGTTTCCGTCCCTGGGGTTCCGCCAATGGGTCAATACAGAAGCTCACGGGGACGCGCATGAGCAGACGACGCCGCGCTTTCCGGGCACGGGGAGAAGTTCGGCCTTTCTTCGTTGTTATTGTCGCGAGGCACTCACAGCGGACTCGGATGTTGGATGCTTTCTTTCGCTGCACGGCCCGTACGTGGAGCTAATGTCACCGTAGTGTACAAGAACGCCAGTCGCCAGAAGTACAGATAGAAGCGCGGAGAAGGGCAGACTTCAACATCACAATGGAGTTTCACAAGCAAGAACATCGCCCGCGGATTTATTTTGGTTTCCATCAAGACAACCCTAACACAAATCTGGAAGTGGGGGAGTCGACCCATGCAAACGTCGCATCCAGATCAGCGTCACGCAAGGAGCTTTCCGCAGCATAGCGTGCATAGGTACCTGTAGCCATGAACGGGGGATCAACCAAAGGCATACACTAGTGTACAGAACCCGATTGGGGGACGAGGCAGGAACAACCTAAATCTGTGAACCGCCAACCCCTGATCAGCAACGGGCACATCACAGTCTTGCGTTAAAGTGATTGACGACCTCGCTGTCAATGCATTTCCGTACCTTTACACCAAACGCTAGCAGCAACCAAGCGTTAGTCTTGGCGGGCGTGAAAGACAGCGACCTGGTTGAACTATCTTGTTCATCCGCCCAGGATAACCATCTTGGTTGGACGTTCTCAGCATTTTACCTAGACAGTTCATACGTCAGGTAGTAGATACCTACCCATACTTAAACACTACTTTGATATAAACCGCTTCCACCAGGCCCTAGGAGCATCGACACCGAGTGAAAAAAGACTAACGAGGCGAATGGACTTGGAAGCGGACGTGATGGGAGCGTACAATACAGTCAATCTAGTGAAGTGACTTCACGGTGCGTACTTAAGAGGGAAAGTATTAAGGATACTACTCCGTACCTAGGTAGGTATGAACCAATCCTGTCTCAATCCTCGTTGCCACGACAACCATTGCAGTTGCTGCGAGCCGTTCCACCTCCTGACCTCCTGAGACCCTGATGAGCACGGTTGTCGAGGTGGCTCTGACGTCACGAGGCTCACCGTCAAAAGAGCCCGTCTCGCCCATGTGACCAGGCCGAGCGTAATCTGAGTCATCTGAACTAACCAACATGGCGTAAACACTCCACGAAGCCTTTGCCACTTTCGCGAGTTTGAACGGTAGGTGTTGTCCGATACCTACTGGCACGACGGAGTCCTATCCAGGGCTGTGTTGACGTTGCCACATCTGCTGCCTCCTCTTTGCTAGGCGGTTCCGTTTCCCCAATAGATCGATATCAGACTAGGTCGAACACAACGGGATACGCGGGAAACGCGAGGCTTCCGTGGAGGGACCTCGCTGTCGGCCGCTCATCCAGACATACTCTCCTCGCTTGGAACCTCTAGGAGACGCCCAGGCGACATTGAACGGAGCAAGTGGAGCGGCTCTTCGGCACTAAATGCGCCGTCTCAGATGGGACTTTCCCCTCCAGCAGCGACTGAAAGATGGTCGTTGCTCTGCCAACACCAACAGGAGCACTAGGGAGTGGTTATCGACAATAGGGTTGGCTCCATTCGTGCCAGTCAGAGATACTGCTTTTGTCACCGGGTGTTAGTCGTCGCTCGTCATCATCAAGATAACCTGCGCGCCCTCGACAGCCCGCCAGACGAGTGGCAATGGTCGGTCCAGTCGAAGGAAGAATTCGAGAGAGCTCATCTGCCGTTTCGCGATGTCGTGACTTGGAACTCGAACCTGAGTTTCTGCTCCTAGATCAGTCTTGTTCCGGAGGACGCGGTACACCATGCCTTTTCAAGTGCGACCTGAATCGGTGACTTGCCTGAGGGGACGCAGCAATGGGGCAGTTGACGTTCCTTTGGATAGTAAAGACGACGGCCGCTTTACCAAGCGAGCCCTTCTGACCGAGTACGAGGATATGCAGACCGCCGAGACAACATCATGCTAGAATGCGCTTAAGATTCCGTTAACCCTGCGCGTATATATGGGTATAGGGCACACACCGGAACTGAATAGTACTGTACTACTTCCGAATACAACGCTGTTTCGTTGCCTATCTTAGCTACCCGTCACTTAAAAGCCCAGAGTAGCATCTTCCGGGCGATTTCCCACACCCGCATAGGTAGGACAAGCGGCTTCCCAGCAGTTGAGACTGCGTATTCTGATCGTCTATAGCGAAGAAGGTCAGCTTATTCAAAGCGGCGCAGCAGCCAGCAGAACTGGAGCGCAACCCGCCCCGCGTGGGATTATGTACGGAGTAGGTACATACATACACTGCTGCCCCTTCGAAGAAGGAGGGAGAGACGGGCGTTCGATGCTGTGCCGCTGGCGACACCGAATCCCACCATTCCCCGATTGGTGGCGATCCTCAACGTCTTGGGTAGGCCAGGCTCGAGCCAGGACGGCAAAGCGGTGGAATGCCAGGTTCCGGCAGCCGGTCTTTTGCGGCCCATAACGGCGGCAGTCCCTGGTCTTGTGAGCACATGGTTTTGACGGAACGGTCGTTTGAGGACATTGGTGATCACACAGCATTTCTGCGCATTCACATGCAGCATGAAACTGGCCAGGGTGCGTTGGCTCATGAAGGAAAAACCTCGTTCATAGGCGATTCCTCCTGAGGATGCTCAGCTTGCAAGCTGTTGCCCGAACCGATGAGAGACCAGGAAAGTTGAGCATGAGGTGCCCATCCATAGGCGGCCGATGCCGCCTGACGATGAGCACAGTATATCTGATAGTACGACGTACACCCACCTGTGCCTTCAGGTCAACAACAGCAGTTGTCCGCCATCGAGGACGACGACTGCGAACGGACGGCGCAAGCATACCTCCCCAGAGACCGTTGATTGGTCGGTTGCCGCTGGCAAGCAGAGCAAGGCAACTTGCTCAGCCACAGACCCACAACAAGGACTCCAAGTCCTACGCAAAGGTCCTACCAAGATGTCCTGTTTGGGCTTAGGTCAGGCACCACTGCACCAGCACAGAGATACCGTTACCCGCCCTGACCCTTCAGGTTGACGAGATGTGCCATAGGGCCAGCAATCAGTTGCTCTCATGCAGATCCTGCCACTGCAAGTCGCCCCCGCTTCGTTTTCAGCTTTCTATGTCGGGTGCAGCGAAGAACGGCGGCGGCAAGGGATGTTTGGCATTTGGCCATCGCCAGCAACATAACGTTAGCAGGAATGTGATACTCAGCGATTAACCCTGGAACGTTTTATCGGGGCCAAATTGCGGCAGAAGAAGACCGAAAGTTGGAACGCAGCTCGTGGGGCTGGACAGGAGTTGGCGATCACCGTTGTTGAACCCCACCCATCGTGATGCCTGACATGACCTGTTGAGATTTGTCAGTGGCAAGTGCGATCGGTCTGACTGTCGCTGTCCTGCCGTGCCTGCCTATCTCGAAGGGCTCCAGGTGCGCAGAGCAAAAGGCTGTGGACGATAGACCTACGGTATGCACTGATCTCTTTCCCGCTTGATGATGTAAGTCATTCGAGGTGTTCGATACTTGATGATAGTACAGATCCGTACGGAGTACGGATACCTGGCAAAGGAAACGCCAATGGGTCAAGCAGCGGAGAGCAGCGGAGGACGGGCAAAAGTAAGGTACGGATAGGTGGGTATCTTATTCGTTCAGGTGTACTGTATTGTAACTTTCGTAATACCGCCCGCTCACCTGAGGAGACAGAGCGAATGCGATATTGCCCAAAACCAGGCTGCTGAAATGTTGGTCTGCCATCTCCATGTTAAAAAGGTGGGAATCTACAATACGGTCTCGTCGCGCTTGAGGCGAATTTGCCTGTTGTCGTTCTCGTCTGCTGCTAGTATGTAGTACTAGTATGTAAGGTACGGAGTACGTACGATACATACGTATAGCGTCAGCAAGCCACGGCTTCCCCGCGTTGGCGGTGCGAACATCAATCCCCTGAGACCCCAACGGACTCAGCCTTACAAACCCGGCCATCGAGTTTTAATAACTTAAGGTACCGTATAGGTGCGTGAGAGTCGTCTCAGCCACAGACCTACCGGGATCAAGGACTTTTTCGCGGGACTTATATGACCACCTGCAGACAGGACGGAATCCAACCTAAGGGTAACCAAGCAAGCAGTGCGAGCCGCGCCCACAGGTCGCGCGCAAAGCCGTGAACCCACCGGCCGCAGCCAGGAGTCCTAGTGCACCCCCCAGTCCCTGAAGCACGGAGAGCTAATTTACCCCCTCTTTCCCCGATTCAGCTCTTTCTTTCTTGGGTTGCCCAGCCCGCCGCCGCCGCCCACAGCCTCCCCTCGGTCTCGCCCCCTCCCCCATCTGTGCCCTTCCTTTAGGACTCCGTTCTTATTAACCTGGCCCTTCCCTTATGAGCTCTTTGAACTCTCGCCTGAAAGGCTTTGGTTTCGGTAAACGGAAGTCGAGCGCCTCGATCCAACCCCAGCAGACGGGGAGTCCCAGCCCCAGTCCAAGCGTACATCAGAGCCCGACCCCGCCTCCGGGACCCCCCCAAATACCGCCAATCTTCCCTTCGCGCCCGGGTCCCGTCCCGACGAGTGCACCCAATCTCCCTCACGCAGGTATTCCAATGAATCATCCAGGTGCTGGTCCGCGACCGCCCAGCTACTCCGCGAACTACCCGCCAGGCCCTCCAGGCCCCGTCGGCCGAACAAGCCCGCTCACGAACCAAGGACCGACCCGTACTCCACCGTCGCAAATGGTTGGAGGCCCTCCGCCCATCAACACCGGGCCCCCTCCGGTTGCTGGGTACCCACCCCCCGTCATGGGAGGCGGTCCTCCTCCGGTCCCTGGTGGTCCCCCGGGATATGCTGGTCCTGCCGGCTACCCGCCGCCGGTGGCACCGCAGCCCACTGGCCCGATCGCTCCGTACCAGCGCAATGCCGCCGCCGAGGTTGAGGGTAACAGCCGGAGCAAGGCTCAGTTGATCGTCGGGATTGATTTTGTACGCAACACAGCCGTGCCCTCCTGCGCGATACCCGGTCTGCGATTCAAGAGTTAACTCTAACAACTGCTGGTTGTGCAGGGTACCACATTCTCCGGGGTTGCCTTCGCTTTCGCCACGAACAACGAAGCCAAGGAAGACATCATCACCGAATGGCCGGGTGCCGGCTCCTACACCAAGCAGAAGGTGCGTGCGGGCAGCCATGGGTGAGATGGCAATGCCAATGCTAATGCCGACGGTCTCATTCAGATCCCGACCGTGCTCTATTATGACCAGTACCAGAAAGTGGTTGGCTGGGGCCCCGATATTGCCGATGCTCTCGCCCCCACGGGTTACCCCAAGCCGGGGGTGCAGAAGGTAGAATGGTTCAAACTCCAGCTGATGTTGTCGGGCAACACATACATCGATCCCATCAATCTGCCGCCTTTGCCGCCAGGGAAGTCGGAGATTGACGTCGCGGCCGACTACCTCTTCAAGCTCCGCCAGGCCATGCGGGCAGCCCTTCAAAAGACGCTGGGCGAGGTGTTCAACCGTGAGGAGAGAAACATCCGATACTACTTAACCGTCCCCGCCATTTGGAACGATGCCGGCAAGGCTGCCACGCGGGCCGCCGCCATTCAGGCCGGTTTCCTCCGCGACGAGAACGACAACCGCCTGACGCTGGTCAGCGAGCCCGAGGCAGCGGCGCTTTTCTGCTCCAAGACTGGTCTGCTGAACCTCAAGGTCCACGATGCCGTGCTCATCGTCGACTGCGGTGGCGGTACGGTCGATCTCATCGCATACGAAGTCGAGGACGAGAACCCGTTCACGGTGGCCGAATGCACAGCTGGGTCCGGCGACTCGTGCGGCTCGACGGCGCTGAACCGGAACTTCAGCAACATCCTGCGCACCAAGATCAGGAAGATGAAGCTGCCCGATGGCTCCAAGACGGCCGGGCGGGTGTATGCGAAGTGCATCATGGATTTCGAGAACCGGATCAAGGCCGACTTCCGGAATAACGGTCAGAAGTGGGCTGTGGACGTTGGTATCGAGGCCGAGTTCCCCGAGGCGGGCATCGAGGAGGGCTACATGACCTTCACCAACGAGGAGATTCTGCAGTGCTTCGAGCCTGTCGTCAACCGCATCCTGGAGCTCGTCCGGAACCAGATCATTGCCATCCAGGCGCAGAACCGGACACTACAGAACATTCTAGTCGTCGGCGGGTTCGGCGCGTCGGAATACCTCTTCCAGCAGATCAAGCTCCACGTTCCGCCGCAGTTCCAGTCCAAGGTGGTTCGGCCGATGGACTCGGTCGCTGCCATCGTCAAGGGCGCCGTCACAGCCGGTATCACCGAGAGGGTCATTACCCACCGCGTTGCCCGCCGGCACTACCTCATGGCCACGCTGCAGCCGTTCAAGGAAGGCTACCACCCGGAAGCGTACCGCGTGCCATCCCTCGACGGGAAGGACCGTTGCAAGTTCACTCGCCAGATCTTCGTCCAGAAGGGCCAAAAGGTCAAGATCGGTGAGCCGGTCAAGGTGTCCTTCTTCCGCCAGGTCGCCCCAGGGGCAACGCTCATGTATGAGGACATTCTGTATGCCTGTGACGACGACGTCTGTCCGGAGTATACCAAGGATCCCAGTAAGCTATCCATGCACTGCAGATAAATGGAGAGGGGCTGCCGCTGACACGTTTCGAACAGGGATCAAGGAGGTGGTCACGCTCACGTCGGATCTATCGCGCAAGAACCTGGAGAAGGATTTCGAGCGTATGGACACACCGCAGGGCACCTTCTACCGCGTCTACTTCGACATTTACCTGACTCTGGACGGCTCTGAATTCAGCGCCGAGCTCGTCTGCCAAGGCGAGGTCATGGGCCGGTGCAGGGCACGGTTCCGGTAGAGACGGAAAGCGGCTTGTCGGACGGGAGTTATTACTTTTTTTCTTCAACGCATTCGGTCTCCGCAGTGATACCTCAGTCTCAATTCAAGTAGGAAAATGGGCGTGATTCGCATAGCTGGCAGCGTGAAGCTCATACATAGGGCGATATCGCAGATCCGGTTTTTAATTGTTCAAAGCACTTCTTGGGAACCTGGGGGCGTAGGCGAGTCAAATGAGGAGGCAGGAGAGAAAACGGGGAGGATAATCCGGTATACGAGGTGGGGGGCGGTATGCGGAAACGTGACAATGATCAAGTCCTGTGCCCAACTGCTTGGTTATGGGCGGCCACGAAACCCCTCGCGGGAATCAGGGAAGGCGAAGTGACGAAATAAGCGTATACGAGCCTGATTTCTGTTGTTAAGTCGATGACCCTAGAGATGGAAAAGAAGTTATATACTCGATGGAAGCTGAAGTACATTACATTAGTAGTGCCTACTTACATCATGCATGACGGTAACGGACAGCGTCCCCCATCACGGCAGTTCTGTGCCGTCCGGGGTTCGTCCACCGGATATGGATCCAGACTCGGAGCCTTGGGGCTCCCGGATTGCTGCTTCAGCATTGCAGTCATCAGCTTGTGGCCTCAGGCGAGGGCTCCTGCCGGAGACGATGCCGGGATGGCAACCCCGGCAGAAGGCGGCCTTCTTCTCGCCTTCCGTTGTAAGAGAGACACCATTGGAATTTCAAGGAACCATCGCAAAGTCTACTACAGGTGGTAGAAAATCAAACGACAGTTGAGGTGACCTCAGCATCCACTCTCTGAATCTCTTCCTTCTTTTTTTCCACTCTCGTTGCTGAATGCATTATCCGCCTGTCCCTCAGGTTTCCACATCTCCCGCCGTCATTCCCTGGCTCCCCTTATCTCACATCCCCTCTTGTCTTTATACCTAGTAGAATCTATATTGACTCTTGTGCCAGGTGGATGTCCATTGCCTTGCGGACCGCTTCCAGCGTGCGAACGGCGAGTCGTTCTCTTCGTTCCTATGCTCACCGTCGCATGCCCTTCTTACCTCAGGATATCGGGTGACTCAGTCCGAGGTTGTCGCTCGATAAGGTGGCCCATCAGCAAAGGGTCTTCGTCTTCGAGCAGGAGGATCAACAGAGTGCAGACTTTCCAAGACAATTTTCCTCTCGCTGCTGCTAATCACCAAGAGAGCCGTTGCGTCTGTCTTGACACCGAACAGCTACACGCCAATCGACATGACCACCGCCAACATGGCCATCACCCCGAGCAACTCGACCGCAATCCCGTTCACCATCGCGAACAGCTGCGGCGAGACGATCTGGCCCGGCATCGCAACTCAGAACGGCACTGGGCCCGGGACAGGCGGCTTCGAGCTCGCGCCGGGCGGCAGCAGGACACTGTTCGTGAGTCCAGACTGGGCAGGGCGAGTCTGGGGGAGGACCAACTGCTCGTTCAACAGTGACGACAGCGGGGCGGGCTATCGCAGCGGTGCGGATGGGTACGGAGCGGCGTGTCGGACGGGGGACTGCTTTGGCAAGTTGGACTGCGAGTTCCCGGTAAGTGTCCTCGGCGCTGAACTGAGAATATCTAGACGGTTAGGTAACAGAAATGGATGGTTCCCAGGGCCAAGTTCCCACCACCCTCGCCGAGTTCACGCTCCAGGGCGGCAGCTCCAACAACCAAACCTTCTACGACATCTCCCTCGTCGACGGCTACAACCTCCCGCTAGCCATCATCTACCACCCGGCCGCCAACACCACCTGGATCCCGCCCAGCCTGACCAACCCAGCCTGCATCGCCACGGCAGGCTACATCTTCACGCCTGTCGCCTCTTCCTCACCGTCGAACTCAAGGCTCCGCTTCACCCACTCGGTCTACCCTTACCCCTTTGAGGATTACCAAACAGACGCCACCCTCTCAACCTGGTGTCCCCCCTCCTTGCTCCATTCCGCCCTGCCAAGACCCATTGGCCTCCCCTGGTGGGAGCGTCGCCCTTCATCCACTTCATCTACTTCACCATCTCCCAACAGCAACAGCAACGACAACAACCGCCCGGCCTTCCAGCCCTGCCTGTCCCCCTGCTCAGCCTACCACACCGCCGCCGACTGCTGCACGGGCCCTTTCAACTCGCCCGACACGTGCAAGCCCTCGGCCTACAGCCAAGCCGCGAAGCGGGTGTGTCCCGATGCCTACAGCTTCGCGTTTGACGACCGCGCCAGCACGTTTGTGGTGCCCTCAGGCGGCGGCGGCTGGGAGGTCCGCTTCTGCCCGAGGGGGATGCGGAGTACGGATATCTTAGGGAGGTTTGCTGATGAGGTGGAGCAGGTTGGCCAGGGGAGGAAGTTGAGTGACGATGCGCTGAGGCGGATCAGGGGTGGGAGTGTAGAGAGGGGCGAGGCGACTGGGCACTTAAAGGGCAGAGAAACGGGGTGGAGGGTTGTGGGAGTTGTTTTGGCGGTGGCCATGGCTTTGTTTATGGTCTAAGGGGGTGACGGTACCTAGCTACGGTACCTATGGCAGAGATCATGGCGGTCTGGCGAGATAGATATTGTATTGTACATACATACCTGGCGGAGGGTGTAGTTAGCAGAGGTTGGGGTTCCACCTAGGAGGCCCGTTGCTCGCTTTTGAGGCGTGTGTAGACCCTACATTCTCCCAACCTAGAGAATTCATACAGGCGCCTTTTTCTCCGTTAAAAATGGCTCCGGATAAGAAGGTTCGAGCGTGGCGAGTGCGCATGAACGTGCCATCCAAGCAGAAGCCACCACCTCTAACGCTTCACCAGAATGTCACCCCAGTGCATCCGGAGGCGCCCAGACTCCTACGCCCCCGAAGACAAAGCCAGCTGCCATCTATCCAGCCAGCGTGTATGTGGAGACGTCGTTCATTATGTAAGGACCAATTTTACTTCGTCACGCCCTCTTCGCCTTCCGCCGCCTCTCCCACTCGGCCCTCTCCTCCTCGTCGCTCCCGCTGAACTCGGCGTCATCCTCCTCCTCCTCCTCTTCCTCGGCCCCATCTGCCTGCGCCTGTTGCCCCGCCAACAGCTTTTGGGCCCCTTTCACCTCGTCCGCACTGACGAAATCGCCCGCGTTCAGCGTGGCATACTCATGCTTCCGAATCACCTCCTTCAGCCCTTCGTTCCGCGGATCGACGAGCTGCAGCGGCGTCAGCCCGCCCTTGTTCTTGATCCGCGGATTCGACCCGGCCTCGAGCATCATCTCGACCAGCGCGTTCCCGAACTCGCGCTGCGCCGGCGGCTCGCTGTTGATCCACCGCACCGCGCTGTGCAGCGGCGTGTCCCCCTCGACCCGGTTGACCGGGTCGCACTCGAAGCCCGGCTGGTCCAGCAGCATGTCGATGATCTCGTAGTTGCCCTGCGACGCGGCCTCGTGGTACAGGTGGTTGCCCAGCACTGTTGTTGTCGTGTTGAGCAGCTGCGCGATCGCGTCCTCGTTGTCCTTGAGCCCCGGCGACGAGAGGATCTCGTGGAGCAGGTCGGTGTTGTTGCGGCGGCAGGCCTCGATGAGGAGCTCGCGCGTGGAGGCTCCCTGTGGACGGATGGGGTTAGCAGGGGCTCGGTCAGCTTGGGGGGCCGCAGGGGTAGGAAGGCTGGCTGACCTCGTGTTCTTCCTCCTTTGCGTGGTTGGCCATTGTGTCGGTTTAAGGGTGACTGGTTGGGCTGCTGGCGACGGCGCAAAATGCACTCTGCAGTGAAGGGGGAAGGTACTGGTGAGTGGTGGATGACGGGTGCCAAAGCAGGCGTCGCAAGTATCGGGGTGAGATATCGTACGATGACTCTCTGTACGATATCTAGGTACTCGGTTTCTTGGAATCAACTCTAAGCTTCCGTTTGTGTGATCGGAACGTGCGGTGGCCTCGCCAGGAGGCGCAGTGTGTTTACCGCCGCTGTGTAATAGCCCCGCCAAAGGTTGGGGGCAACTTCGGGGGACCCCACTCGTTTCAGCGGAGGGACTGCGATAGCCAGACTCTACTACTGTGTAAGGTATGTAATAGTGCCCTTTGCCTCCTCGAGGCGTATACATGTACGCGCGGACTGTAGGTACCTGAGTCAGCCAAAATGAAGCGAATCTCAGCTATTGATTCCAACAAATATCATTCCAAGATACTGGCTGACGGTGCTGGCTATAAGAGTGCACCAAGGCCAACACATACCACAATGCGAGCACAACCGGGGTTAGGGTTATGGCCTGTCCTCTCGTCTCATCGCCTCCCTGCCGATTTCTGCTGCCCCACTAAAGTTTTCGAGGTTCTCGTTAAGCCAATGTGAGATGTGATGACATCTGCGAACCAGGACACTAATAAAAGCCATTCAACCTGGAAGTTTGAAGAACAGAACTTTAAGCCAGGGACATCGGCCGCCTGGAGTTGCGGTACAACCTCAGTACACAACAAAAAGCAACCCACCAGTCAGAACTAGCTCAGGAGAACTTAACTCTCACAGACTTGATCACTAGCGCCTTGCCTTACTCTCACCCTTCAATATCTTGCTGTTGAGTACCTGGTATCATTAAGACCGTCTTGAGAACCAACAACAATAAACAGACCAAAATGCCGATCCTCTGTAAGCATCTGCTCTCCCATCATCTCCCAAATCATGCCCCCTGACTTCGTCCAAAACAAGTCTGCCCCTACTGCGCGAACCTGCTCATCCTCTCGCGGATGGACACGGGCAACAACCGGCTCGAGTGCCGCACCTGCCCGTACCAGCACGCCATCGAGATGCCCATCTACTCCCGCAAGAACTTCCCACGCAAGGAGAAGGAGGACGTGTTTGGCGGGCCTGGGGCGTGGGACAACGCACAAAAGGGCCGGATACAGTGTCCCGCGACGGACTGCGACGGCGACGAGGCCGCCTTCTTCCAGGTGCAGATCCGCAGTGCGGATGAGCCGATGACTACGTTCTATAAGGTCCGTTTCCCACAATCCATTTTCTCCTTACGTCCCCCCGCGTGATCTTGGGATAGGCTGACGAAGGGCGTCATCTAGTGCATGACGTGTGGGCATCGGTGGAGAGAAAATTGATGGATGGTGTGTGGCCTGGGTTGCGTATGGGTGGATGGGCTTTGCAGCATCTTCTCACAGGGCATTGCGAGGAGTTACGGGTGGGTATTCGTTTGGTTTGGTATTTCTCTTATGGGTTTGCTCACCCAAGGGGCGCATATTCTCGATTTCCGAGCTACGCAGGGTTGTTTCCCCCTTGCTCGTTCTCTCTCCGCCCGAACTCCCAGGCTTCCTCCACGCCGCGCGTCGCGGTGTGCTGTTGCGGTTTGTGCCTGCTGGTTGTCTCCAGTTGCGTCGCAGCTTTCCGTGTAAGAAGCCACTCGCTCTTGGACATAGAGACGCAAGACATCAACGCGACGGACGTCCAAGACTTCGCATCAGCGGGTTGTCGTCTTAAACGCTCGATCGATCCTCGCCTCTTGTGACATTCCTTCTCTGACGGGACCCGTTTCTCACGCCTCGCGATGCCACTCCACGGCGGCCCTCACCCCCTCGACCATCATGGCCTGCGCGAGGTCCGGGCTCATGATATCCTGACGGAACTTCTCTTGCTGCAGGAGCTGGAGCATCTTGAGCGATGCGGTGGGATGGGTCAGGTACTTAAGATAAGGTGGCCGCGTCCAGTACTGGAGGTAGTCGAGGTACGCGACAAAGGCCGGGTTCGTCAGGAACTTGCGCGAGGCCAGATAGTTGAGGTACAGGGGGTTGGCGAGAGATTGAACGAGCTGTCATGCTGTCAGCGTGGCGCAGCGCAAAGACGAGGACATCGGCAGACCTCCAACTCCAGTTCGAACCGTGAATGCCCACCGTACTTCGGCTCGTCTGCGGTGCTCTTGGACGGAGCAGGCGCATCCATGGCTGAGCTGTCCACTGACATAGGCCCGGAATCCATTGTGAATTTGACGACAGCCTGAAAGTTCGCCGATGAAGTTGGAGAATGGACGGGTTTGAGTCGAAGATGCCTGGCAGCAAATGCCCCGCGCACCGTGCACGGCACTTGCCCCTTCTGTTTTGGCACGGATTCGTCAAGCTTTGGCCGTTTTCTGACCCGGAGAGAAGCTGAGCCAGATGACCAAACACGGGATGCAATTCAATGGAAACGCAACTACATCCTGTCTACTCGTTGAATGCTGCAATTGATGTGGCCATAATGTCAGCGCCAAAACTGAGTTTCAGGTGGGAATATGTATCTTACACAGTGAGACAGTACACGATATTACGAACAGTACCTCGGTACTCAGTAACCCGAACCCTGGATCTTGAATTGTGTGGGGCCCATGAAGCGAAATGCAGTGTGGCTTCTACGTTGTGTCAGGACTCTTAGAACGTTAGATCGGATTCAGAACCTGTATTCGTACCTACCTATCTTAATAACAAGAACGAAGGACGCAGCTCAACTCAAGGAAGCGGCAAGAACCTCTGGGAAGGCCTAGTGTTTCCATCAGCATATTTCAACAACCGCTGAAACTCATTACTTGTCTCTGACTTATGGAGCCCACATCGAAGCATTGATATATAGCATTCACGCTATTTCGGGCAGTCCTCTTCTCTCTTTACAGTTGAATTCCCACGCGGTGTCTGCAGCCTTCAAGGTGGCGATGGCGTCGGATACCAATCCGCCCGATGTGGCCGACTTATCCTCCCCGTCTACACCAGGCCTTACCGAAACGGGCGCTTCACCAGCTTTCGCCCTTTCGTTGCTATTGGAATCACAGTACGTCCTTGTGATTGTCAGTGCAATGATCATCATCTGGCTAGGCGCCCATGGCTCGCTCCGCCGACCACCCTCAGCCGCACTGGCCAAGCTCAAGATCGGGGAGAAAAGACGGAAGGAAGAGAAGTTCGCCGAGAGTCTCGACGCCTCGGATGCCATCAGGTTCCCAGTCATGCTGGCTGTCGTCCTGGTCGGCCTTTATTATCTGATCCAATGGCTCGAGGACCCAGCCATCTTGAACAAAATCCTCCGGACCTACATGGGTGTCATGTCCATCACCGGTCTGGGCGAGCTTACCGGGGACGCCTTGGATATTTTGGCAAGTTTGATCTTTCCGGCCGTGTGGGTCGACGGCAAAGGCCAGGTCTACCACATTGACCGGGATCGCCGTTGCCAGTATGTCATCAATCGGGAGACTGGCGAAGAAATTGTCGTCAAGGGTAGGGAAACCCCGTTGCCTGGCCGTCTAGCCAGCCTGGCGCCATCAGACCGGTCAAGGCGCCGGCTCTGGAATCTGCGCCACCTGCTTAAGGAGCAATGGTCCTTCGTGCTCATGATGCGTGGCGTGTTCTCCGAAACGTTCAACCTCCGGGCCAGCGATATCCTGGGCTTCGCCTTCGCGGGGGCGGCCGCAGTGGCTTACCACCGGACTGGGTGGGATGCGCTGTCCAACCTCCTCAGCATTGCCATGTGCTACGTCTCCTTCATGATGATCTCTCCGACGTCGTTCAGCATCGGCACCATGATCCTAGCCAGCCTCTTCGTCTACGACATAGTCATGGTTTTTTACACGTACGTCCTCCCTTGCCAACCTGCGCGCGTTAGATTCCATGGGAGGTCCTGACTTTTGATAGCCCCTACATGATAACCGTTGCGAAGAACATCGATGCGCCTATCAAGCTCGTCTTCACCGGACCCAAAGGCGTCAGCATGCTCGGCCTCGGCGACATCGTGGTGCCCGGTATGCTAATGGCCCTCGCGCTGCGCTTCGACCTGTTCCAGCACTACCAAAAGCAAGTCAAGCTGGAACCGGTTCAACTCACGACCGAAATGACGTCGGAAAGCGCGCCCGGCGTCACCAACACCACCACCACAACCACGACCCATTATCGGCGCGTCAAAGCCCCCTATGTCGATACCCGCGGTCAGTGGGGGAACCGCTTCTGGGCCACACCGCTAGGCCGCCTGTGGCCCGTCCCTGAAGCAAGCGAGACTATTGCCGCGACCGCCTTCCCCAAGCCGTACTTCTACGCTTCCCTCGCCGGCTACGCCGCAGGCATGCTTGTCACGCTCATCGTCATGTTGGTGACCCGCCACGGGCAGCCGGCGCTGCTGTACCTGGTACCCGGCGTGACTGGGTCGCTGTGGCTGACGGGGTGGTGGAGGGGTGAGCTGAAGGATATGTGGGGATATACCGAGGACGGGAGCTTAGACACGGAGGATGTCATTGTTGAGGTTGATGGTGAGGGGAAGGTTGTTCAGCAGCGAGTCGAGGGCGGTTCGGCCGAGGACAAGAAAGATAGCGGGGAGGGTGAATCTGAGACCAAACCCCGAGGGGAGAACGGGGGTGGCCAGGAAAATGGGGTGGATAAGGAGGCGTCACAGTCGTCTTCCGAGTCCCTCTTTGTTTTCTCTGTCAGCATTCCCCGTCACCCGAGACCGGCGGCTTAGGCATTGCCTATGCTGGCGTCTGGGATGAGTTGTGTCAGCTTTCGGTTCGGGAAAGGTATGGTCATAGCGGGCATCACTGGTTTGTTTTGCATGCTGTATCGAGATGTTATAGAGCGTCGGAACTTCTATTGCTTCCGCGTCACGAGTGTATTGTCTACCCGGCTATGTGAATTTCGTCTTGAGCAGAACTTTTGCGACTCGCATCTTCAAGGTATGCTCAGCCTTCCAGAAGCGAGGTCAGACGCAGGTTTGTCGAAGTGGGGTCCGGTCCGGCCCGGCCTGTTAGGGCTGGACCCGGGATCTTCGCCGGACGGGGCCGACGATTAGATTTGGTGCCGGGCGACAAAAGGAGGTTCGTTCCCTCTCACTGGCGGGGGAATGGCCGGGGTGATGAGTATTCATTCAAAAGGTGTCGACGAGCCGAAGTTCTGCAGGTATTCCAACTAGAGCGTAATTTGGTGCTCAAGTCGCACTGCATGAATCTCGCGCACGCTGCCGATGCAGTCTCCAATCCCACACGTCGCTCTTAGTTTCACTACTTCCGATGCACCCGTGGATGAGGCTGTAAGCCGATGAGAACGACGCCGAAACTCATTTCCCCCCCAACATTGCCCGAATCCTACAATTCCTGATATGTCGCAACAATAAGGTTTCAAGCAATCCTCAAAGCACGCTGACGGACGGACCCGGCAAAATGTCGCCTGCCGAGCAGCCGATCCTCGCCCAATGGATCCTCGACACGCGCTCCTGGTTCCCCGAAGTCACCAGCACCCAGCAACTCGAGACTCATGTGAGTCTCTGACTTAGCTCTCATCGATCTTCCTGAGTCGTCTTATCTTCTTCAGTCACACCTCTCTAGCAACCCCTCAACCCTTGCGCCCCCAATCGCAAAGACGATGTGAAATACAGCCCCTGACCTTCATCGCAGGCCGCTCGCGCCTTTTCCTTTCTTCCCCCATCCGCCCGCACTGCCATACTCCGCTACTACCATCCCCGCGACGCGAAAATGGCGCTGGCCTCCGCTCTGCTGAAGCACTACGCCGTCGCCAAGCTATCCCACACCCCCTGGTCGCAGCTCCTCACAGCCAACAACAACAACAACAACAACAACAACAACAACAACAACAACAACAACAACAACAACAACAGCAACAACAACAACCCGGACGGCGCCTTCACCCGCGATGCGCGCACCAAGCCGGTCTACATCGACCCGGCCACCGGTGCGCAACCCGTGTCCTTCAACGTCTCCCACCAGGCCGGCATCGTGGCCATCATCGCCGTGGCCGGCTACCACCCACCACCACCACCACGAACAGCACCCTCCTCCTCCACAAATGAGAGAGAAGCAGGGCAAGCGGAAGCGGGAGCAGAAGTGGGAGTGGAAGTGGGCGTCGACGTGGTGTGCACCAGCGAGCGGCGGGCGCGCGACCACGCCATGATCGCGCGCGACGGCTGGCCCGCGTTCGTCGACATGCACGCCGACGTGTTCGCGCCGGGCGAGGTCGCCTACCTCAAGCACCGCGTGCTGCTGCGAATGGCCTCCTCGGTGGGTGGCGGCGGCGGCGCGCCCACGACGGAGCAGCTGGTGGACGTCAAGCTGCGCGCGTTCTACGCGCTGTGGGCGCTGCGCGAGGCGTACGTCAAGCTGACCGGGGAGGCGCTGCTGGCGGACTGGCTGAGGGAGTTGGAGTTTGTGGATTTCCGGCCGCCGCGGCCGACGGCTGGGTGGGAGGTGCCCGCGCGTGAAGGGGGCGGGCAAGAGGACAGGGACGGTGAGGACGCCGAGGTGATTCGACGGATAGACATCAGGTTCAAGGGGAACAAGGTCGAGGACGTGAATATGTGCCTGAGGTCCGTGGGACAGGATTACATGATTGCCACAGCGGTGAGGACACCAGGGAGGAAGGAGGACGGCTTGGGCTGGGGGCTTGGACCGTACGAGATACTATCATTGGAAGAGGTGCTGGACTTTGCCGAGTCCAGCAGGTGACGGCAGAACAATGAGCCGGCCCACGGGTCATCGCACGCTCGTGAGCTCGCAGATCCATCGTCAACTCTCAACTATGTGGGAAGATATCTACTCCAATATCCATCTGTCTTTTTCTGGTATAGTCTCAGGTAGGTAGGATTGCAATTTGCGAACCGTGTACGGTGGCATGAGATTGTTCCGAAACCAGGGAGCATTTACATTGGCAGCTTCAACGGTGGCAATACTACGGAGGTATGTACTCGCCGGACAATCAGGACAAGGAAAAAGACTCCCTGAACAATATGTACCTGGTAGTCTAATGTCCTCACTGCAAAAAGTACAGGTGCAAAAGTGAATATACCGCCTCCTCCGGGAAGGCTCGAACTTCCAACCTCCTGATTAACAGTCAGACGCGCTAACCAATTGCGCCACAGAGGATTCGGGCCTAATTGGTTGTTTGATGCCGAGCAGAGAGGTTGAAGAGCCGGACAAGGCGGGCCTCCGATTGTCAGCGCTGAGGCTGGTGACCGAGCGAGCCTGAGCTCGGTTTGACATTGACAGGAGGCGAGGACGAGGTTTCTCACAGCATGTGTACGCTCCATACATCTACCTATTTATTTCATGTGCTCCGGTCCTGGTTGGCGGGCCATCATCCAGTGATCAGCGGTGGCGCAATGAACCAATAGTGAAGTGACAAATGGAACGGTCTGAGACCTTCTCAAGTACTCGTCGACAGGTGTTCTCTCTCCGTCACCCCTGAGCTGAAGCTGAAAACTGTCCACCCTATAATGCTGCCCGAGAGCACTTCAGAGGTTAGAGCAGCACAGTCCAGTATGCCCTCGTCCAGACAGCTTGGATCGTAACACCCTAACCTTCGAGCGCGCGACAATGAGCCGCTCTGTAGATACACTAGGTCCCTACCTACCAGATAGTAGTTGTGTGAAGCCGGCTAGGGAGACCTTGAAAAATGACGTCGGCAGCGAGGGAGACGGCACATCTCGTGTGTGGGACGCCAAGCTCACCTATGATTGGATCGGCAATGCAGCCAAGAACTGTGTCTGCTAGCACATGCGTGAACATGCGTCATCTCGAGCTCAGCTGCATTTGCAGGACCCACGACGGCTCTTGTCTGAGGTGGGCAACGTCAATTGTGATGGAAGTCTGAGATCGACCTGATAGGGATGGAGAGACGTTGGGCATCTGCCCACCCACGTAGGTAACCGTGGCTTGCCAGTGTCCTTTATTCTACTCCTTCCATTGACCTTCTGCCATATCCGTAAGCCGGTAACTCGATGCTCCTTGAGGTTGTCCTTGTCGTGAACCTCTAGCTTCTTCACTTATGTACTCGGCGCCCTCCCACAGCTGCCCGTGTCGGTTTCACATTGAGTCCACCTTTCACGCCCAGTAACTTTACATCCAGAGAGCTCTTGGGCATCGCCAGATACTCCCATCCGGTTGCCTCCCCCGGTGTTGGGCTGCAGCGCGGCATTGATCAGGTGTGAAATCCAGTCGGCGCAAGTCAACCACAGCTTCAATCACCCCTACTCGATTGCAACGCGCCGGCATCTAAAGTCGGCCCGAGACCTCTTCTCACTTCAACTCCATACCCAAGCGCTAGGGGCACCGAGCCAGATAACATAGCTGGCCGCTGAACATGGCGCGAAGTAAGTTCCCTTCATTAGCACGCAAGAAAATTAAAGACAGCCAGACAGACCCGTAGCATGCACTAACACAACTCTTTAAAAACTCAGCTGCCCGCCTGGCCGCTCCCGCCCTCCTCCTTCTCGCGGCCTCGCTCGTACTCCTCTGGTTCATCATCCTCTCCGGGATCACCCGCACGTCGCCGCTGCGACAGACCTACTTCCTGCGCGCCGACACGTCGGGCATCCCGGGCGCAAGATCCATCTCGCAATGGACCTACTTCCGGGTGTGCGGAGCAGGCAACCTGGACTGCGGCCCCTCGCGGCCCGCGCTGCCCCTCGGCGACGCCTGGGCGAGCGGTGCGGGCGGGGTGCCGGCGCCGTTGATCGGCCGCTATGGCAACGGGACGACGTCGTTTCACTACTGGTACATGTGGCGCTTCGGGTGGGTGTTCTTCCTGCTGGCGCTGCTGTTTGAGGTGCTGGCCTTCGGGGCCGGGCTCCTGGCGCTGTGCAGTCGGCTTGGATCCGTGCTCGCGGGGCTGATTGCGCTGGCCGGGTTGGTGTTTTTGACTGTTGCTGTGTCGTTGATGACGTAAGTGGATCACCTTCTCTTTTTCTCGCGTACTGTAATGAGTGGGAGGGGGACGCATGGAGCTAAACAAACGGGGGGTGACTAGGGCGACTTTCGTCGGGATGCGGAATGTCTTTGCCGACGCCGGACGTGCGGCCTCGCTGGGACGGTATGCCTTCGGCTTCGCCTGGGGCTCCTGGGCCGCGCTCTTGATCAGCGCCATCCTCTTCTTCCTCGCAAGGCATAAGCGGGAGCCCGCTATTGCTGCTACGAGCACCGGCCGTACGCGCCGGTCCTGGTGGCCATGGAGGAGGTCCGCCACGCGGAGGTCGAGCCGGGTTAAGGGCGATTATGCCTGAATAGATCCGGGTGTTATGGAGCTCGCCGGCCTGGGCGGGAATAATAAAGAGGAGAAGTCGAATGAATGGTTAAATGGACGACAACACAGCTTGATGAATAGAAGAGAAGCGAACGACATATATGAGATGATGATGATGGATGGACCGGCAAGGATCAAGATTGCAACCCATCGGCGGACGTGTTTCTTTTTGTCTATGATACCAACCAAGCCTGATACCTACAACACACCGGGACGTCTTCCCTGTTTCATTTATGTATTTTGTAATAGCCAGATAGCGGAGAGCACCATCCAGTTATACAATCATTAATTTCTCTTCGTAAACATCATAGCAGTCTCGATCTCACTACTCGGGCTGCTCTCCACGATAAGGGACATTTGATCGGCTTCATCTTTCCAACCTTATTAGCAGACACCAACCATCACGCACCGCTTTCCCCAACCTCTAGGTACTGTCCTCTCTCAGATTCACAATCCTGGGCACAAAAGACAATTGCGTTTCTGAGAACAATGCCGACCCTGCAATCTGTCTACAACAGTGCCGTCAAATAGTCTGCAAGACGCCGTGCGGTAATGACACCAGAACATCGAGAGCCAGCAAGAGAATGCCGAGGGACACGCCGTTCATCCAAGCAAGCAAGCAAGCCATGGAAGGTCGGACCTTTGTCAGCAAAGCGAGGTACCGGGTATGTTATGTTCACCACCCAACAAGCCAGCCGTTTCATCCGCCAGGAATGATCGGTGCACTCCTGTCATTCTTAAAAAAGCAGGAAACACAATTCAAGAAACGAACAACCTCTCCTTGTCCCCTTGGATAACTCCCCTCCCGGACTTCTCCAGCCGTCGATGATGTACACATCGCTTGAACCATCTGGAACACAAGCCGACCAAAACACCCGACGATTCATGGTTTGATCCCGCCAAGAGGGCTCCCAGCCGGACTGACCGAATCCAGCGGCGCAGCGTGCAACGCAGGCCTCTCGGCCTGCTCCTGCAACAAACCCTCCCTCTTCCGTTCTAACACGGTTTTTACCCACTCGGCAACCTCGTAATCTCCTTCGCCTATCAAGCCCGACGGGTTGTTCAGACTCAGCGAGCCCGTCGCGTCGGCCAACTCGTTATCGGCAGCCGCTTCCTCCGCCTCGGCGTCCTCGGTGATCGTCTCGGGCTTGCCTAGGCTCTTGATCCAAGGATGGGCGAGGAGCATCGCGTACGTGTGGCGCTTCTTTGGATTCTTGTTGAGGCAGGATCGCACGAAGTCGCGAGCGAGCGGAGAATAGCCCTCCGTGGGGAGGTCGGGAGGGTCGCCTTCTACGATGGCCTAAGTAGAACATGTTAGAGGGGATATTTGGCAATCTGGGAAGTCGGGAGGAGTGGGAGTAAAGTAGCAACGTACGCTGAGCTGGCTAAAGATGGTACTCGATACCTCAGGCGGGTACGGATACCTCCCCAGAGCGCACTCGATGATTGTTAAACCCAAGCTCCAGATGTCGCTCAGCACGTCGTACGTCCCGTCCGCGGCGCCAGGTGCGCCAACGACAAGAGCACCGCCGCTGATGCGCTCGGGCGCCATGTAACTCTGGCACCCAATGTTGGTCTTGGCAATGCTGGCCACCAGATTGCCCGACACGCCAAAGTCGCAGATCTTGACCTGTCCGTTGGTGTTGACCAGGATGTTGGTCGGTTTCACATCGCGATGGATGATGTTATGGTCGTCTTTGAGCGTTTTGAGGCCCATGATGGTCGCGAACGTGATCTTGCGGAGGACATCCTCTGGGATGCCGCCGGCGTAGAGTTTGTCGATGCTGCCGCCGTCCATGTACTCGATGCACATGTACACTGCGCCTTCCTGATAAAAGGCGCCGTAAAAGTCAATGATGTAAGGAGAGACGCATTCGTGTAGGATGACCAGTTCTTTGAGAATCGTCGTGAACTTGGCCTCGTCGAGCTCGAGCCGGATCTCCTTCATGGCCATCACAACCCCTGTGGTTGCCCGTCCGCCGCTCCCGGCCGAATTTGGTGACGTTTCTTCACCGGCCTCGCCTGTCTCAACCGCAGATTGTTGCCAGGCAGGAGACATCTTGAATCTGCTCAACCCCTGACCAAAACGGGGCGCCTTTGGCCTTGCATGCCTAACCTTGTAGACCGTGCCGTAGTTCCCCTTACCCAACTCATCGAGCACTTCGATCTCGTCGAGCGAGATGGAGAAGGTCTGGCCGTTCGCAAAGTTGACCCCCGTGCGGGTGATCGTCGCGGCACCCTCGAATGTGATCCAGCCCTTGTCTGCATCGATGTAATTCTTGAAGTCGCTGAGCTTGGAGCCGCGCCCTTCCCCGTTCACGGCGGGCTGCTTGCCTGCATCGGCCCCTAAATCTGACAGTTTTGGCGTTCCGGATGGTGATGGATCTCCGGACCCGGAAAGATTTCCCAGCTTCATGGCTCTTCTCTCGCTCAAGCTCGGGGGCTTCTTTATGCCGGGAACCGCAGGTGCAGATTTCGGGAACCCCGGAGGGAGGGGCCGTCCCATGCCACCCGGTAACCTGAGGTTGGATGGCAGGCCACCCGCTAGCCCGCCGGCGACGGGTCCCTTCATATTGACGTCCCTGCTCATGCCTGTGGGCCCACCGCTTCCCCGGCCCGCCATGCCCATGCGCTGCTCTTGCAGGGCTCGTGCCTTCTGCATGATGTCCGAAGGCAGAGCATTCGCGCTTGGGGTCGGCCGTCTCACAGTGCTCAACAAGCCGGTAACGCTGGAGCTGGGGCTCATAGGCGCAGTAGACTGCGGATCTGACAACGTCCTTAGACCAGGGATCCGACGGGGCAGATCGCTAGCGCTGCCCGGCGAGAGTCCAGGTACCGCGTCAGAGCCGGAGCTGGGCGGATCGAGGGGCGTGCTCGCCTCGGAGGAGTCGTCGATGGAGCCCGGCGATGTTGGGTTGCTCGGAGCGAACTCATCCGCCGGCGTTACCGGCTCAGAGTTGTCGGCGTAACCAGCCATTGCGCCGGTGTCGAGGCCGTACACGGGTGTTGTATCTGCGGTTTCGGCTACCTACGGCCTGACATGTGTGGTAAAACGGCGTATCTTCGTTTAAATGAAGTGCGTGTGCGTGTATTAGAATGATATGTCGGGGACCTAAGGCCGCCTACGGCAAAGAATCCTCTGTGGAGAGGACGTGAAGGCACAGCCGGGCAGACAAGAGAACCTTGTTGGGGCGAGATGAGGATGAGTCTCTCTGCGCTAGTCAAGCGATCGTCAGGAGAGAGTTAAAGAAGTCGGCCGGTTTCGCTACAGCGGAGGCGGAGGCTCAGACTCAACACACGGGGAAATTTTCTGGAAGGCGGAAGCGCAGTTGGCACGGATTGGGCCGGATGCGGGATCGAGATCTGGATTGCAGAGTTGACCTGTGCGGGTCGGTGCGGATGAGAGAGCTCAGTGCTAAGGAAGCTGAAACGGCTCGTCTATTGGCCCGTGGCGGCCCGATGGAGCTCTAAAAGCGGCGAGTTCCAAAAGCGACAGCGCACTTCGACAGGCATGCAGGTAAAGAGGCAAAAGAGCCAAAAGACGGAGAGGACCCTCTCGGAAGCAAAGCCTCGGTTGCCACGAAACACAACCTTCGAAGATAATACTCCAGGAGCACAATAAGCGAGAGCATAAGTAACATAAAACCAGTCCTCAAAATTCATGTTAACGTGTGAGCATGTCACCGGTTGGGCTTTCGGCCAGCACATGTCTGTAAGAAGGCCTCCATTGACTTCTCTGCCAAGGATCAACGAGCTCATGCGATGAGAAACCTTGCTGTGGACCGCGGGGCTCAGCGGGAACGAACCCCACCACAGATTGCCACCTCCTGTCGCATATACCAGTTATACCAGTGTCCTGGAACAGCCATTGGAGGTAGTCTTAATGAAAGTCCACGCGGATAGTTGTAGCTGGCAGTTATGCATATCCGGTGATCCCTCGCCTGGGCTGGCGAACCGGTTTCGCGGACTCAGAGCAGGGCAACGTCTAGGTAGTAGTATAGACTATAGCTTATGCTGCGGCTATCAATGCAGTATGACGTCCTAGCTAAGCCTGGTGGGGGCTTGATACGGCTGTGGCGCGGGGCGCATGGCCTCGGCGTTCCAGGATCGACCGATCAGCGAAGGAGTGATCGCCGCGGACGCAACCCCAAGTACATAGTCAAATAGAATACGAAGCGTATGTATGCACTTTGCGAAAATAGCCAAATAATGAGTTGGAGTTACTGTAGTCATGATCTGTTGAGCGTGAGGCAAACTGAAGCTGTCCAATGATTTGCTGTGTGATTCTGAAACAGGCGACGAAATTTGGTCGTGCGGATCGACGGGCCCTGCAACAGCTCCCTTATCTTATCTAGGAGCAAATACTCCGGGCTCTCTATCGGGACGCTTTCCGCTCAACCTGCCCAATCCGGAGCGACGTACCGACATTAGGCGAGACCTCGGGGACAAGACGCCCGAGGGGCCGCCGCATATATAATTCGAGATATTTGGTTAAGACAACGGTCAGCTACCTAAAGTTGGGTGTAAAGTGGTTATCAAGCTTTGCTGAACCTTCAATGTAGATTGTGCAACATCGAGGATTATGACTACGGTACGCAACGATCGTTGTGCGATTCTCGAGCTCACCATAGGGTACCTATACAGTATGACGGGAACTAAGGCAGAGCTAACTCCCGCCGTCTCTTCCTGCGATGAATGTGTTCCTGTGTACTCTGTATTGTACATGTAAATCGAATTGCATCAACAGGAACCAACCAGAGAGCTAGGCCGAAACACGTTCCACGCAACACTAGGTAGGTACTGAGTAAGGTAACGCAGATATACATCAGTAAGTACCTACAGTTTGTATACAAGATTCATCAGCTGCGTCGTTGTGTGTACTGTAGCTGACCTCGATGCAGAAACATAGCATGCGGATGATACTACGGAGTACTAAACCGCTAGACTCGGAGTCGGAGCGCGTACAGTACCCTGAAACCCCATTCCCGCCGCGTTGATCACTTGATAAGCCACGTTTGCATAAAACATTACTGTCTTTGTTTAGGATTGAAGAGTGTCCATGTCAATGAATATGATCTGGAAAGAAGCATGATACACTGCGTCCATACCTCTACACAGTACACGTGTAACAGCCAGGTCGTGCACACAACGTCATCGCCGGTCAGTCTTGCGCGACTCGTGTGTCTTGATAGGCGCTTGGCGATTGCTTGGCGTCGCTTGGCAGCTCCCTGGCCTGCAGGTGTTGAGAGAAACAACCTACCGAAAAAGAGCGTCTTACTCCGTACTACAATAGTGAGCGCCTTATGATTACTCCGTCGAGGCAGTGGATTGTGAGGTACTGCACTATCAGTCAGCTTGTGCCCTATGTTGGCAGTGGCATGCTTCTTTTCCCAAACACAGCGCCGAATCTTTGCAGCTGATATTGCAAATGTGAAAGCCACGCCGCTCTTAGACGGCTGTCCTGTACTTATTAGGAGGTAAGTAACCTGAACGACTTGTTATTCCGGGACAATCTCGTCATTGTACGCCCGGAGCCATCGTGGACATCTCGCCTTTGTTTCTGCTGTGTCTCATTGCGTCAACCCAGCTGGCGAATCAATCTGCGGTGCCAGCTCCACCACTCCCGTCTCACAGCTGCCCTGTCTCGCCTTGTCGCAGACTCAGCAAGGCCTACAAGACAACTTGAACCCCGTGCATGACAACGTTGCAGTGCAATTGCGACATCACCATATAATAAGTGACCCTCATCATCGCCGGCGAACCACCATTTCGAGTCAATTCATCCAGACTTGGTCCTTAGATCGCAGCGCAACATCGGGATCGATTAATGGGTTTCCTCGACATACGGGCGCCGACATCATTGCGGCTGGCCGCGTTGGCCGCCGGCGAGCCTTGGGATCCGGCCCAAACCACAACAACGCCGCCCTTTGTCGTCTTCAAGAAAAAGCCGCATGACTCGCATCCGTCTTTCGACAACCTGGTGCTCTTAGTTTTCGGTGCTGTGTTGGAAGTGGTCTGTGTCAGCTTGCCGGGCTACATCATCGCGCGGTTGGGCCACTTCGATGCCGACAAGCAGAAGTTTCTTGCCAACCTCAATGTCATGCTATTTACGCCATGCCTGAGTGCGTCCTGGTTGTCTCGCCGTGTTGCAATAGGTAGTAGTACTAACAAAGTCCATAGTCTTCACCAAGCTCGCATCGCAGTTGAATGCCGACAAGCTCATCGAACTCGGCGTCATTCCCGTCATCTTCATAATCCAGACACTGGTGTCGTACGTTGTCTCCAGGGTCGTTGCACGATGCTTTGGTTTCAACCGCCGCGCATCCAACTTTGTCACAGCCATGGGCGTATTTGGCAACTCCAACTCGCTACCCATCTCCCTGGTCATTTCGCTGGCGCAAACGCTGAAGGGACTACATTGGGACAGAATACCAGGGGACAATGACGACGAGGTCGCCGCGCGCGGTATCCTGTATCTCCTAGTTTTTCAGCAGCTCGGCCAACTGGTAAGGTGGAGCTGGGGATACCATGTACTTCTCGCGCCCAAACACAAGTATGACGAGTACGCCAACGAGACGGTTGAGGAAGGCCGCTATCACGATGAAGAGGAAACGGAGAATGAGGAGGAGGCTGAACAGGTTCTCGAGGGTGTTAGCATCGTTCATGAGACAGGCGACGAGCAGGGACATCACCGTCCCGCGAGCCCAACCCACACCGACGATTCGCACGCGTATGAGCCGGCCGGCCGGACCCCGGTGGCGGGGTCGTCGGGAGGATCACCGAATGACTCGGATGACGACGAGCATGGTGGGACATGGAAAGCACACAGGAAGTCATTATCAAACGGGCCAGGTGCAAACGACGCTCTTGACGACCATGAGGGGCTCGACCGGATCCTATCCTTCCCCCGCATCCGCAGTGCGGACGAGTTCGAGGCTCCCCAGGGCATTAAGGGAGTTCCCGTGCGGATGAGGCGCTTCATCAGGAAGACAGAACTCAAGGCGTGGAATCACATGCGTATCACCAGTCGCCGCGCATATAACGCCCTTCCGCAGCCCGTGCAGGTCGCCCTCACAAAGCTCCACCACGTATGGCAGCGCGTCTATCAATTCCTCTGGGACTTCATGAACCCTCCCCTCTGGGCGATGCTCGTGGCCGTCTTGGTTGCCTCCGTCCCGGACCTGCAAGCCCTCTTCTTCCGCGAAGGTTCTTTCATCAAGACCTCGGTCACCAGCGCCATCAGCTCCTCCGCAGGCGTGGCCGTACCCCTCATCCTCGTGGTCCTCGGCGCCAACTTGGCACGTAACACGCAGGCGCACGAAGACGAGACGGACGCGGAGGAAAAGCAGATCGGCTCGCGGCTGCTGGTGGCCAGCCTCATCGCCCGCATGCTGCTGCCGACGCTCATCATGGCGCCAATCCTGGCGCTCTTCGCCAAATACGTACCTGTGAGCATCCTGGACGACCCGATTTTCGTCATCGTGTGCTTCCTGCTCTCAGGCGCACCCAGTGCGTTGCAGCTGGCGCAGATCTGCCAGATCAACAATGTGTACGAGACGGTCATGAGCAGGGTCCTGTTCCAGAGCTATGTTATCTGGTGAGTGCTTGCACACTGGGTTTACTTGGTTTGATGTGGGGGCGAGATGCTAACTGACTGATAGGATTCTGCCGTCTACGCTGATTCTGGTGTTGTGTGCTATGGAGGTGGTGGAATGGGCAAAGTAGCCTGCTTGCTTCCATGCATATGTTCCAATGGAAGATTGGAATCTGCGGTTTTCCTTTCGAAACCCCTGGGATGGTCTGTGAAACAAAACCTTACTTGTAGGCGGCGTTCCGGCTTGGGTGGGCATCCAGCCAACAACGAAGAATGCCTCCGTGGACGTGCCGTCCTAAATCAGGTGGGACGGCAAGGGAAGTGAGGTTGGCTGCGTTCTCTTGCGCAAAAGGATGGATTCCTTTGTGAGGGCTTTGCGTTGGGGGGGGATACGGAAATACATAGATTGGCGCGCGAAAGGGCAAATCGGAAACCTGGGCATCTGGTATGGTTGTCTGTAGGATTATGATCTGTATTATTATTGCGAGGCATAGCGAGCGGATTAGTTAGGACGCAGGCAAATTGGCATGACTTGCTCTCGTTTGGTAGCGGCGGTTCGGTGAGCTTATCTGGGACTTACACGATAATATGCGCCCGCCTAGGTACCTATGAGAAGGTATTCAGGATGTGGTGGATGGTTGTGGCAGCATTGAGCGTAATAAATCCTCACCAGCTTCAGTCAACGCCTTGCAAGTTGGCTGGCCCAGGCCAACTGTGTCCTCACCACAACCTACCTACCTACCCTAAGTTATCCAACTTCCCCCTACCGCACCCCGTTCATCATGGCATTCCCCTCCCCACCTTCCTCGGGTGCTGTAATAACCCAATCCCTCACTGCCCCCTTCCAGTCTGCAATCCTGACGTCCCGTATGCCCACAACGATCACTCTGGCCTCGTTGCCCGCCGCAAACCGGCTCTGCCCGTTGCTCTCGCCATCCCCGCCTCCCCCCGGTTGCCCGAAGAGCCCAGCATCGGCAGTGCTGTCGAACGTGTTGTTCTCCAGATGCACATCCTTGTAGTACTTCTCCTCCTCGGAGCCCCGCTCGACGAGCCGGGCGCTGCCGTTGATGGTGGCGCTGATGGAGGACACGGCCGACGTGTTGAGGTTGAAGAGCAGCGCCGCGAGCGACGAATGCGGTTCCCTGTTGGGCGAACGGGAGGCTGACCCGTCGGAAGAGAGGCGCCGTGCTTGGGCGGTTGGTGTTGGACGGTGTGAGACCCCTGGAGAGAGAAAGAGAGGGTAGGGTTAGTTTGCTGCCGTCCGCGAGGAGGAAAGGGAAAAGGAGGGAGGAAGGGAAGGTGGGTATATTACAGTCGTGGACAAGTAATGAGACGTTGGGATTGCTGGCTAGGTTGTTCATCTTCTTGCTGGCTGGGTTGGTCGTCATCACGATGACTGGTGAGCGGGAGTAGGGCGAGGATGGGAGGTAGGTGTAGTTCATAAGCGAGACGTGCGGTATGTTCTCGGAGCAGGTGGCCAGGTGGAGGAAGCGCGCGTTCTCGAGGCACTGCACAACTTCTTGCGGGAGGGAGGTCGTCACGCGCATGTTGGTGTTGCCTGCGGAGGCTTCGTGGCTCAAGGGTATTTGTTGCTCCATGGCGATGAACTGATGATACTGGGTGTATTCGTATGTCCCTCGTGGGAGTCCCTCGCGTCTTGGGCGGAGTGCCGCGTGTTTCGATGGTCCAGAATATGGTTGTCAAGAAGATGGCCTGTAACGTACACAGAACCAGCCCAATTACATGCCAGGAAGCTGAGCTCGTCCACCACTTGCAGTTACTCTATTAGTATCAGGCTGCGATCATCGTAGGGTGGGGTGATCCATTAGTTGTACCCCTGGAGGATGACTAATGCGGGGCAGCGTGCCAGTGACCCCTACCGTCTCAGAATGACGTATTGGCGTTCCAAAATCGATAACGTAGCAAATTACATGTGTACGGAGTCGGACAACAAATGTTACACTAGGTAGGTAGATACTTTGAATAATACTTATATACTGGATTTGTAACATAAAGTTGACAAGTATTGAATTATATACGTTAGTAGCACGTTGTAGCTTTGACGCAGGATCTCAAACCTCCGATGTGATGCTCCAGAAGTCGGGATATCACTCAAGACTCAAGAGGTACTGGCAATGAGTTGGCTAAATACAGACGGTTTATAGGGATAACTACGTTCATCTAGACCGAGGTTCGTTAACATAGAATTATATGTACGGTAAGGTCGTGGGCGCCTTATATACTCCGAGTACATTGTCTCACGATGGCCGTTCCTATCAGGAGACCTGACACCGGTTGCCGATCTGGAATCTCTTTACCAATCTCTCAAGATACAGGGTAAGGTATATAGAAGGACGCTACAACCTATACAAGGTGGATCTTTACTGGGCTACTAGCCTTATATGTTTGATATGCTATAAGAAGACTCCTCTTACTCGCTCCTGTTTTAGACACACCCAGGAACAGAGCCGTTGCTAGATTGCTAGATCTTTAAGCTTGCTTCACTTCTTAACATGGTCCATACAATACCTGGACAGACTTAACGCTCACAATCCCCACTCTACAGTCAAAATTCGATACAGTAAGCGATATCGAATTTCTAGATTCCTCCCGTCGCCGAACCCCCATATCCAATAAAACAACTAAAGTCCCCGAGGGTAATATCAAACGACGTAGATTGTCCTCCATGTGAAATTGATTTTGTTCAGCTCAGCAGGTGTGACTGCCGGTGTGTTTGACCAAGCCACCATGGCTGCAACCTGACCTGCACTGCCCAATTGATGCCTGGCCAAGCCATATGCGGGCGCTTCTCTTCGTGCGGCGGTTGGGGGTGAAAGGGGGGTCGCAGCCGATGTGCAATCTAAATCACCGCAATATCTGTGTTTACAGTTCATTGGCGGGGCTTTGTTGTTTCCGGCATAGATGATAGAATCACCACACGCTCACGCTGACCGTCATGCTCTCTCGCCACGGGTTGCCACAGCCTATCAGGGACTTTGCACCCACACCAGCCCCGAACCGTGTGTCGGTGGGCGCGCGCAGGGTCTGCAAAGGCTGCGCACAAGACGTGTTCAATGCCTCGCTGGGAGGCTCTCTGCTAGCATCACATGCAGCGGCTTCACCTTCATACACATTAAGCTATTCCAGGCTGGCCCGCGACATCTACACATCGATTCTTGACGGTTGTCGCTGGTGCACCGTCGTCGGAAGTGCGGTGCTTACCAACTCTGAGCTGGAGTATTGGATGCGGAATTGGAACGGATCGCGCTCTGATGGTGCCAGTCTGTTCTCAACTAGCAGCGATGGGGAGACGGAATCGGAGGCAGAGGATGGCGATGCAGGACCAGGTGAATCAGAGGAGGCCACGAATGCCGAAGAAGACGCGACTGAGAACCCTGGCTTCATCATGGTTGAATCGCTCGCTTGCGCTGCCGAATTAGACATCGCGGTCGAATTCCTGAAATGGTCCGACAGCCAGGCCTTCAACCTTGCGAGAGTTACTGTTGAGGCGGCTACGTCGATGGTCCAGGGCCACTGCTCCCTTCAAGAGATGGTCGGCGACGACGCTGTGGTTATGACGCTGGAAGTCATATGCGAAGGCTGGTACTATTCCGCACAGTCCAAACACATCCACATTCCCATGGACTCAATGCTAACGTACCCGGAACATCAAAGACACCCTTGGTGATACTCCATCTTTCTTCCCTGAATGGAATGTCGTTTCTGCGGCCGATGTGAATGAGTGGGCACCGCGCGCAGAATCGTGGCTTCGATCTTGTACCGATCATCATGCATCTTGCGCTTCCACAGGCGGCAGCTTTCAGCCCACGCGACTCATCGATGTGCGCGACCTCAGTCACCCCCTTCTTGCCATCTCCGGCGGCGATGCCCAACACCGTGCCCACCCGTATGCCGTCCTCAGCTACGTCTGGGGACCAAAGCAGGACTACGTCCTCACTAAGGCAACCGTCAGCCAGATGTGCATGGGGCTGGACCTGTCAAGGACCCCGAAGACCATCTCGGATGCGATCAGAGTGGCACATCGGCTCGGCTTCGACTACCTCTGGGTTGACGCGCTTTGCATCATACAGGACTCGCCCGAGGATAAAGCTAGGGAACTACCGCTTATGGCGAATGTCTACAAGGAAAGTTCTCTTTGTATTGTTGCAGCTACTGCCGCGGCGGCCTCGGAAGGATTTCTCGAGACGCCTACTCCTCCTACCCGTTTCATGGTCGAGCCCTTTCAAATCCGGCTCGACTCCGCAGACGGCGGCCCGTCATCCCTGACCTTCGCGTACCGGGCACCGTACATGGCCTCGGCAGACCCAATCAGCACCCGGGCGTGGACCTTGCAGGAGCGTGTTCTTTCCCGGCGTCTTCTGCTCTTCGGACGGAACGGGGTGATGTGGATGTGCCGGGAGTGTTTCATCAACCCCGGCGCAGCACCAGACGCGGGTCCTCCATATCAGACGTCTCTTGGGCCCGACGCCGGAGAGAGTGAAAGCGACGACGAGGGGGATCACGCCGCAGAGCTGGAGCGGTGGATGGCTATCCGCGCCGACTACAGCGAGATGGATCTCAGCTACTGCACTGACAAGCTGCCCGCCATCTCCGCCGTCGCCGCCGAGGTGGGCAGGCGAACGGGCTGGACATACCTGGCGGGCATGTGGGCGCACAACCTGTTCTCCGAGCTACACTGGAGATGTACCAAGCACGGTCCCTCGGGCGAGCAACTTGTGCTCAAGCCTGACAAGGCGAAAAGGGCAGGGTATATTGCTCCGAGCTGGAGCTGGGCGAGCGTCGGCCTCGGCGGCATTGTCGACAGCGAAGGCGAGCGCGGCGACCGCGAGCCCTTTGATTTCACGATCCTCGAGTGCCACGTTGATGCAAGTCCGGACTTTCCGTTCGGGCCCGTATCCGGCGGGCATCTCGATGTACGGGGCAAGGCGGTGGAATTAACCTGGAGACCGGAAGAGAATGGCATCAATCCGGGGTGGGATGTCTCGTTGATCGATGAACAGCAGCAGCTAAGCAGTGTCGGCACGCCATATATAGTGGGCGCGGCGGCACTCGACCCTCTGGATGCGCATCTGGACCCGGCCCGGAAGCTGGTCTGTCTGGGGATGAGCAAGCTCAGGCTCGGCCGGCAGCGCATCCAGCCTATTGAAGGGTTGTTGCTTCTCCCCAGCCAGTCTCATAGCGGCGTGTTCCACCGCATCGGTTTCTTTCGCATGAATGCGCCCTCCGTCTTCGACGGTGCAATGACGAGTATCTTCAGGATTGAATAATAATTAATCAATTCAACCAGTAAGTTGCGCGGTCAGTCGCTAGTAGAGGTTGGCGACCGTGACTAGTAGTATGTATGCTCAACTATCTCTCCCTAGTTTTACCTCCCTTCCCCTTCCCCCAATCCTTATTAACGAACGTCCAACCGGTTTCACCCTCGAAACCCATTTCTCATGGTCTTCCGCTTCGGATGCTTGGAGGGCACCGTTTCGAGGACAGCCACGCTCAGGTTGGGCATTGAAAATTCAAACCTCCCACCCTTGCCAGCCGTGATCTTCTCCCGGGTGGTCTTCACCACGTTGACGCCGGTGAAGGGGTCGTTGTAGCCGTAGGGGTCCGCAGGCCCCGTCAGGACGGTGAGCTCCGCCTTGGTCCCGGGCTTGACGCCCTCGAAGGCCAGCGAGACGGGCACGTCGGCGCCGTCGGTCGAGTTGTACACGGCGCCCTTGAAGATGTAGCTGCCCTTGTCTTCGTTCTTGCCCGTCACGTAGTACAGAGGGTTGAAGGCAGACGACTCGGACGCAACGGGAAGGGTGTGTGTCATGAGGTGGTCTGCGAAGAGCTGTTATTGAGGGGGACCCCGGGGTCGTTAGTATTCTTTTCCAGTCCTCTTCGCCCCATGACCCATGATGGACCCTTTTTTGATACTCACCTCCCAGACATACCAGCTCGCCGACTTGGTCGTCAGAGCTGGGTCGGCGGCGAACTGGATCATGGTGACCGCCCATTGCCACCGGTCCTACCCAAATTGTCAGTATTTCATTTCATTACATTTGGAAAAGTTTTGGTGAGTTGCGGTGTTGTGTTAACGTACCAGGCTGCGAATGATCGGGGCCTAATATGCTGTTAGCATCTACTACACGTGCGTTCACTGATTCAGGCGGCGTGGTAAACATACGTAAGCCGCGCCAATGATTCTATCCGTGTTGCGCTCATAGCCCAGCAGCGAGATGGCTTCGCCCACGGTGCCGATCCAGAACGGGTACTCCATGAGACCGCCATCCCAGCCTGAGCCGCCATTCGGGTGAACGGCAGCTGCCTCGCCGATGATGTGTGTGACGGGGGTCTGGTCGAAGAGGTCGAACTGGTCGACCATGGCGTCGGGGGTTCCGTAGATGTGGTAGTCGCCGTTGCCCGGGGCGGGGATATCGTAGCCGTCAAAAACCGATCCCGACGAGATGACCTGGATGTCGGAATACCTGGCGTTTATGGCCTTGAGGAACATGGGGAAGCGGTACGCCTTGTACGACTCCCAGCCGGCGGCGCCTCCGGCCAGCCAGTCCTCGTTGCCCACCTCGACGTAGCGCAGCTTGAACGGCGCAGGGTGGCCGAGCTTGGCGCGGACCGATCCCCACTTGGTCGTGGGCGCGCCGCTCACAAACTCGATCTGGTCGAGAGCGTCGTCGATGAAGGGCTGCAGCTGGTCTTGCGGCGTGATGTCTCCGTTGAGTGAGAGACCGGCGTAGACGGCGAGGACTGTTATAAGTTAAGAGAAGGTGAATTGGGAGTTAGCCCAATTGTCTCAGTCCGGGCAGGCATATGAATTGAGACTTCATATTTTCTTACCAATCTCCAAGTTCATGTCCTCTGCGAGCTCGAGATACTCCATCAGTCCCAGGCCGTTGGTCTGCTGATAGCCCCAGACGTTGGGGTAGCCGGGACGATCCTCGAGAGGCCCAATGGTCTCTTTCCAGTCCCACCATGTCTTGTTGGTGTAGCCCTCAAGCATGTTACCGCCGGGAATACGAAGCAGCGTCTTGGAGTAGGAGCCATTGGTTTAGCGTACGGTATGAAAAAAAAAAAGGGGGGGGGGGGGGGGGGGGGGGCGAGACTTCAGACTCACAGGGTGAAAGCCCTCAATTGCCTCGGCGAGATCGATCCGGAGCCCATTCTTGCGGCCCTTGTAAGTCGGCGGGAAGAGACTGATCAGGTTGAAATCCAGCGATCCGCCCTTGACGCCCTGCTTTCAGGTCAGCAACCGGTATCAGCTTTCAACAGTACTACCGTCAGAACATACGGCAGCATCAAAGGTCAGCGTGAATGTGTTGTTTGAATTTGGCGCGCTCTTTGTCGGGACCAGCTTAAAGCTGTGCTCGGTCCATTCAGCTGCTCTGGCCTTGGAACGGAGCTCAGTGCTGCCGAACACCTCGCCGGTGAGGTTGGACCTCAGCGACGCCGTGAAGGTCCCCTTATAGTCACCCTTGACCCAGAAGGAGCCGGTGTAAGTCTTCTTCTTCTTGACGTCCATCCCCCAGTATCCGTCGTTGGAGAAGCCGACTTGGCCCTTGGACGAACCGACGGCAACGTTCATAGACGTTTTCAGAGCGCGGGAGAGAGGCTTGTCCAGTGTCTTCAAGGACAGCGCGGCACCGTTGACGGGAGTCCAGCCGCTCAGGTTTGCCGGGAACCGCTCGCTGGACTGGAAGGCCCGGTTGCGGATCAGCTCCGCATAGAGACCCCCGTCGCCCGAGTTGCTGATGTCTTCGTGGAGGAAGCCATATTGGTGCCGTGTTGTTGCGTTTCCGCCCGAGGACTTCACCGTGATCTGAACTGACGAGACCACGGGGGCAATGACTGCGGCCACGATGGCCAGACTGAACCGAACCATGGCTCCTGGTGTTTCGAAGAACGCGGATAACGCATTGAATTGTCTTGCGAGGTAGCAGCACGGCTGGACCTTCTATATATAACGTTATATATGTATATATATATATCTCTAGTTCCGGGTCTATTGTAATATTCACACCATACTATCCGCGCCATGTACGGTACACTCTCTCCCAGCCCCCCGGCACTCCCAATCGGCATTGGTCCGCTTACACAGTTGCAACCAAATGGAAGATTGCCAGATCTCAGGTTCCATGCGGAGAAATTGGACGCTAAATGCCGTCTAAGTTGTTGGTTGGAGGAATCCGGGCCGGCTAACTTGACGCTCGCGTCGATCCGGCTAAATTGTCGACTGGAGAGACGCAGTTGGAACCCGGTTGCCGGCACGAACGCAATATATGCGCTCCTATCGGAAGAAGCCGTTGGCCTTGGCCTTGACGCCATGTAAACAATGTAAACAAACCCCCCCAATATGTGGGCCGAGATTTGAGAGTAGCCCCCCGGCTGAAGTACTACGGAGGTTACCGGCAAAAGTTTTCCAAGTGGGCCAGGTACTGGCAAAGGTGGCCCACCACCCCCTCGATGTACCTTCGCCATGACAGCGCGTCGCATGCGCAACAGTCAATTCAGAAAGGAATATACATTCCGTTGGCATCAATAACTGCCTGTTGCCGTATGGGCATTGTATCTACACACTCCCTTAGAAATTCCTCAGGGACTGCATCCCATGCAGCGCGTACTGCCTCTCGCAGTTGATCGTATGACATCTTTGCTAGGTAGTTGGCTGCAATGTAATCCTTCATCCAGTTCCACGCGTTCTCGATAGGATTCAAATCAGGGCTAAACAGGGGATGGGAATAAACAGAGATCCCTCGAGCCTCGAGCTCCTCGTATGTCACTTGCGCAGAATAAGGAGAGGCATTGTCATATATGAATACCTGACCTGGATGGAGACGAAACCACCCGTCAACAAGAGGGACCACTCTCTCTATATACTTCTCTGAAGTGATTGTCCCCCAATCTTTCTCCTAAAAAAGAGAAGGCCCTTTGCTATATTTCACTAAGTACGACCCCTAGAACATCTATCCTTTTGGCCGTAGTTCGCGCTCGACAATGCAAGTGGGATCGTATGCTTCGTTTTGACAGCGTATGACCCAGACCTTTCGATGGGTACCAGCAGTCACCCAGGTCTCGTCGGTCCAGAGGATTTCGTGATATCGCTCGAGGGGCCAGTATACACGCTCGACAGCGTCGTTAAGGCGGAGTTGTCGGTTCTTCTCGGTAATCGGAGGCTTTCGGTATACAATATAGCGTTTAAAGCCAGCGTTGCGAAGAGCGTAACGGATGGCGTACTCTGAACAATCCCAACCAAGAGCAAGAGGAATCTTCGAGTAAGGCATTCGGCGAGAGGCTTTCGAGGAGGTAACAAAGGCAATTAGCTCTTCAATCTGTTCAGGATTGAGAAGGCTAGGTCGGCCAGAGCGTTTTTTTGGCGTAACATTTGGAGCGCGGCAGGCATGTCCAACTTGGTCGTAAGTAAGCCCAAGTTGTGCGACGATTTGATCGTACGACAGGCCAAAATTGCGGAGGGTTTGAACTTGAAGCCGCTTATCGCGGGAAAGATCACAGCTCTTGAAACGCTGGCTGGGTGGCGTAGAGGGGGGCTCCATTGAAGGTGATGGTGTTGGTGATGACTGTTGCGCATGCGACGCGCTGTCATGGCGAAGGTACATCGAGGGGGTGGTGGGCCACCTTTGCCAGTACCTGGCCCACTTGGAAAACTTTTGCCGGTAACCTCCGTAGTATCATGTAGGTACAGCGAGATCGCAATGGCGCAGGCTGTCATGTCAGGCAGTCAGAGCCCTTCCCGTTCTTGTTCCTCAATAAATCTTCCGCTTTTCCATTTGAAGATCGGACGTATAAAACACAAAACAAATTTGAGCAGTGGTATCACAAATACCCACACATCGAAGCATGCATCGTCAGCAGAAAACATCGAGGCCGTATATAAGGCACGACGCCTACGAGGCTTATACACAGACAGAACATCCCTTCCCTTGCCACTGAAGGTATGTATGGTTTCTCCCCTTGCTCTTCCATTCATATAGGCTTCAATCCCACTCAGCCCTCGACGGGGACCACTTGAACTTATCGGGAGTCTTTGCACCGGCTTCCAGTTCCTTCCCCACGGGCTTTCCTCTCACATTGACTGCAACAAGCCTCATCCGGCTCCTAACCATCCTCATAGATCCTGCTCCTCGATTATTTCCTGAGCTGAGCCAAACACCTCCATCTCCTCCAACTCGTCTTCCCGCTTCACTGTTGCGGAATGCGGACTAGGCCGATGTTGTGGGGGAAGTCACCGGCTTGTCAGGCTGAGTATGCCTAGGTTGAGATAAAACTCTCTAGCGAACTATGCGCACCGATAGTTAAGGACCAAGTTAGGTACCTAGATGGAAGATAAGTAGACAGAGAGAAAAGAACGGAAATAAAGAGAGAAAGCAGAAAGAAAAGAACCAAAAAGTCAGAGAAGAAATAGATAAAACCGGCCAAGAGAACAGAATGTGAAGAGTGATAGTCAAACCTATGAACCTATGTTAGCAGCTCAGTTGATGATGAATTTCGTTCCACCTCCTACTAAGGTGCGTGTCTGGCTCACATCGATTGTTTTTAGATTCCGTTGGTGAACGGCCGCCACAGAGAGCGGCGATGCGAGAGGTGTGGGGATGGTGGATCGGCAATTACCCCGGAATAGGGATAATGCGGGGTAGCGATCCCTGTCGTCGGATGACGTTATGGCATTCGCCAATCCATATCAGAGAAACCGCGTTTCCCATCGCGAAGACAGAAGAGACGAGCTCTGCGCTCTCCTGAAAGGGGCCGAGTACCTAGGCATTGCCTGCCCATCTACCTAGACGGGAGGGATCAATGCATTGAATTTAACCCCCTGTGAGAAGGCTTCCAGTTTTGCGCAGGTCACGGGTCCAGGAAATTAACCCCGGCTTCCATAGGGTCGGGAGACAGGGGGTTACTGGCGGCTACTGTCGGCCTCGGGTCTTCCGCTGGCCTTGGACAGTTGCTCTTACCAACGCCCGGCGAACGCTGCGGTTCAAATCCAAAGTTCTCCCTTTCACTCCTTAGTTAATTCATTGTGAAACTCCCAGATGAGCCATTGAGCCTGCCGCGCATAATCAGGAGTAGTCAGCCCACAATGCGCTCCCTCAAACGAATCTCGCACCGCCTCCGGGCGCCGATTGGCGGCAGCACCGCGTCCTCGCCCCGTCTCCTCCAGGCACCGCGCTTCATATCAACCCACCCGGCCAGCTCCAACACGGCCACGGCCGTCAACCCGATCAAGACGCTCCTGATCGCCAACCGCGGCGAGATCGCCCTGCGCATCGCCCGCACCGCCGCGGCCATGGGCATCCGCACCACGACGCTCTACACCGACGTCGACGCGGCCTCGCAGCACACCAAGTGCGCGCCGCACTCCATCGCCCTCGGCGCCCCCTCGGCCTACCTCGACGGCCCGCGCATCGTGCAGCTCGCCAAGCAGCACGGCATCCAGGCCCTGCACCCGGGCTACGGCTTCCTGTCGGAGAACGCGGCGTTCGCCCGGGCGTGCGAGGACGCCGGTATCGTCTTTGTCGGGCCCCCCGCCAAGGCCATGGCGGATATGGGCGACAAGGCGCGCAGCAAGGAGATTATGACCGCCGCGGGGGTGCCGTGCGTGCCCGGGTACCATGGCCCGGAGCAGACCGCTGAGCAGCTGCGGGCGCGGGCGAGGGAGATCAAGTATCCCGTGCTGCTGAAGAGTGTGAAGGGCGGCGGTGGGAAGGGGATGCGCATTGTCAGGACGGATGACGAGTTTGAGGCGCAGCTGCGGAGTGCGAGGGCCGAGGCGCGGGCGAGTTTCGGCGATGGCGGGGAGGTGATGCTGGTGGAGAAGTATGTCGTGCGGCCGAGGCATGTGGAGGTGCAGGTGTTTGCGGATCGCTATGGGAACTGTGTTGCGCTGGGCGAGCGCGACTGCAGCGTGCAGAGGCGCCACCAGAAGATCCTCGAGGAGAGCCCGGCCCCCTTGCTCGATGACGCTACCCGGCATGACCTCTGGGACAAGGCAAGGACGGCGGCGCTGGCGGTGGGATACGTGGGCGCCGGCACGGTTGAGTTCATCCTCGACAAGGACACGGGCGAGTTCTACTTCATGGAGATGAACACGCGCCTGCAAGTCGAGCACCCGGTTAGCGAGATGGTGACGGGCACAGATTTGGTCGAGTGGCAGTTCCGGGTCGCCGCAGGCGAACGGCTACCCCTGACGCAGGATGAGATCGAGGCGCGCATCTTGGAGCGCGGCGCCGCCATCGAGGCCCGTATTTATGCCGAGAACCCGGACAAGGGGTTCTTCCCGGACTCGGGCAAGCTCGTGCACCTCGTCACGCCCGACACAAATGCCGATGTGCGTATCGATGCTGGGTTTGTCGAAGGGGATACCGTGTCGGAGGCATACGACGGCATGATCGCCAAACTGATCGTGCGCGGGCGGGACCGCGAGACGGCGATCCGCAAGCTGGAGCTCGCGCTGCGCGAGTACGAGGTAGTTGGGCTCAGCACGAACATCGAGTTCCTGAAGCGGCTGTGCCGCAGCCAGGCGTTCATTGAAGGCGATGTCGAGACTGGCTTCATCGAGCAGTGGAAGGACGAACTCTTCCAGCCAAGGCATACTTCCGACGAAGTGTTTGCGCAGGCTGCGCTTGGCTTGCTCAGCTCCCAGATGAAGTCCGGCGCCGGTCCGCACGGCGGGTCATTAGGCTTTGGCGAGGCAGGCTTGCAAAGCACACGGAAATTCGCCCTCCGCGTTCGGAATGATGCTGCTGCGGAGGAGAGCGAAGGCGAGGTAGTCCAGGTGAAGGTGTCACAGCGAGGCTGTGCGCTCTACAGCGTATCTGTCTCGCGGACTGGCGGCGCTGCTAACCCCCAGACCCCTGTGGTGTTCGAAAATGTCGTCTGCGAACCATCGCTTGCATCCACCACTAAGACGAAGCTGACGACCTTCTTCCCCATGGCCCGCGTCGAGTCTACTCTGGTGCAGGACCCTGCCGCCCCAGAGAAGCTTACCGTGTTCCAGCTCGGCGAGAAGACGGAGCTGACGCTCGTGCCGCCGGACTGGTTCGACAAGGCGCTGGGCCTGAAAGAAGTGGTCGGCAGCGTCGTGGCGCCCATGCCGTGCAAGATCTTGAGGAACGAGGTTACAGAGGGACAGGAGGTGGAGAAGGGAGCACCGCTTGTTGTGTAAGTTACTGGAACTTGGTCATAAGTGAGGCGGAGCGTTGCTGATCCATACTGTGTGCAGTATCGAGTCGATGAAGATGGAGACCGTCATCCGGTCGCCGCAGAAGGGGGTTGTCAAGAAGTTGGCGCATAAGGAAGGGGTGCGTACGCTGTGTGCCGTTGCAAGGAGAATGGCTTTACTGACTTTTGCAATAGGATATCTGCAAGGCTGGCACGGTCCTCGTGCTATTCGAGGATGCTGAAGGGTCTGGCGCGGCGAGTTCGTCATAGTCAGGTGTGGCCACGAGATGAGGTGGCTGAGATGTCCACCGGCTGTGAGGCCGTGAATGCCAGGCGTTTCTTGGAAGTGACGGCTTCTCTTCGTCTTAACAGTTTGGTTACGGGAAATAGGTATTCGCGTTATGGATTGCAGTGGAAGACGGTTTCTAAGCAGCATTGGCGTTTTGTGGTGAGCGATGGATAGCATGCCATGTATATGACATATACACAGCTACAGCACTATGACCCGGAGTTTGTGTTACGGCGGATAAATATGTTAGCTCCCATTGCGTTACGTGTGGCTATGAGGATCATTCGAGGATATGGTATTTCAGTCAATGGACTTGAGGATGTCCGTGCTTTACTATAGATCTGGTGAAGAAACAGAAGACGGCGGGAGTGAGGCTAAGGAGGGCTTAACCCATCTGCCAACTGCCACCTGATTATACGGAAACTGGTACTGAGAGGCATACAACCATTTACTAGAATTGATAAAGTGTACATGGAGAGGTCGTTGTATGTTCTGCACGTTCGAATGCCATACACCGTCCCGGGACAGATGTCGTGGTGCGCGCCATGATACCCCAACTGGATGCGATAGCCAAGGGGGGACCTTGCTTCGGACGTAGGGTCCCGGAAGTCGTCAACTGCTGCGCTGCTGAGTACAGTGACCTTCACAACCCTGCTCCTCCTGCCTTCTTATCGCCCGGACTAAAGTTAGTAAGGTGTTGACGACTGCTGCTCTCCAGAGCGGCATCTCTAATCGCTGATAGTGTGCCGAGGCATAAGGTACGGTACGGTACCTTAAGGCACCTATGAGCGAACCTTGATGTCTTCAGGTACGGCACCCCACATTTTACAAGGGACCCCACCCATTGTCCAATGAAACGGCGTCGCAGAACTTCAACTTCCAGAGCCGACTTGGGCCGGTTCTCTGAACCCATCATCTCCCAACCTGCACCTTCGGCCAGTGAAATAAGCACAGCATAATGGTAACGAGGATACCATACGGCCAGCTCCTAAAGCTGGCTCAGCGCCACGGGTATGGGTCCAGCCTCGCGACTAAATACTTCCAGCCGAAACCGTCGATCTTAGCCGTACAAAGTCGCCAGCTCCAGCCCTTGTCAACATCTCCGACCCCCCGGCAGGAACCGAGACACCCACCCGTTCCCCTAAACCCATCAGAGCCAACCACCGTTCAAGCAGAGCCTGCCGATCCAGAACAGACATCGACAGCACCACCACCATCACCAAAGACGAAACCCCGCCTCGCGCCGCGCCTCATCCTCGCCCTAGCCTTCACCCTGCTGGGCGCAACGCTCGGCTCATCCGCCCGCCTGCTCCTCAACCCGCCCACCCCTCCGACACCGGGCAGCGAGGAAGACACCTACACGACCCGCGTCCTGCACGAGCAGGCCTCCAAGCTGCCCATCGTGCAGCAGCTTTCCTCGGACGCCGCAACGTGGGAGGAGAGCTGGGCCGCGTACGAGTCGCTCTCGCCGGAGCACCGGGCGCAGCACATCAGCGCGGGCGCGCTGGGCGGGTCGCGGGGCGTGGGCGGGTACCAGCGGGTGTGGCGCAACAGGACCACGGGCGAGCTGGTGAGCGTCATCTACTTTGGCGCCGCGACGGCGGGCTGGCCCGGGGTGGTGCACGGCGGGTGTCTGGCGACCATCCTCGACGAGAGCTGCGGGCGGGCCGCCTTCCGGGAGTGGGGCGGCCGCGGGGGCGTGACGGCCAGCTTGGGCCTCGAGTACAAGAATGTCACGCTCGCGAATGGGTTCTACGTCGTGCGGGTCCGGGTCCGGCCCGAGGAGGAGCTGCCCGAGAAGGAGAGGGGCAAGAGGCATTACAAGTGCTTCGTGGATGCTACTGTTGAGGACGCGGTGACTGGGGCGATAACCGTTGTCGCGGAGGCGCTGTTTGTGGGTGGCCAGGGGAAGAACGGAAAGAACAAGATTGGCGGAGTGTTGCGTAAGAATCCGCAGGACGCGCATCTCCGGTTTTGAGTCACGAAGTGTCTCTGAGTAGAAGATGGTGCTGCGAGGTGGGATGTTAGATTTAGACACTTACCACCGGGTCGGCGTCGGCGAGCTGATTACTTCTGTTTGTTGATACCATATCTACGAGATGGGGCAATGGTTTAATACCCTCTCAGGGCGACCAGGTATAACCATTGATAGCAGGCTCCGCATTCCTGTACCTCAGTGACGTCTCACCTTGGTTGGCTGACTACCTACCTGTTGCCTAGTGATGAAGGAAGCAGGAATCCTTAAACTAGGGTTTTCTTGTCATGGCTTATAAACAGGGGACGGGTGGCGAAGAAGCCAGTATGTAATGCAACCAGCTATGCTCTCCTTCCCATTGCCAGCGAACAGCACCTTTTGCGAATCTTCTCTTTTGTTTTTTCTATATACGGTCTTTCCGCTAACAGTCTACTCCAAAGTAGTTCACAGGGTTCGTTTACCGCACGCTTTTACCCCTGAGATGATCAACATGGCTTTACTTCTTCCTTGACCCATTCAAGTCACCCTTCCAACTCGTTTTATCATCCTATATTTGTATCACCCGCTGAACCTGAATATCAAAGTTATTTTCCGTCCAGTACTGCCGTCTACCCCAGGGCTCTACTCGTTCTCATATCAAGAGCTTATGATTCGTGCCCTACAAAGTCACTTGAAGTGCTGTAGCCATTGCATCTCTGACGACGGTTCTCAAACGATCTAAACAACAAGCTGGGATGTCAGCTCCCAAGCAGTGTTACCTCGAGCGCCTCCCACACTGCCATGAGACTTGGCCCCCTATAATAAACGAGCCACACAAGATCTGCGCATGAGCGAGTGGCAAGGGTGCTCATATTATTCCATCCACACGAGGCCGAAATCTGGCCTCACCTTTCCGCAGGACCCGGGCCGGCTGACCTGGAGTGCCTCGATGCTGCGTCCGGGCCAGTCAACGAAACGAACGGGCCGGGCGAATACAATACGACGATAATAAGCCCACCAGGTCGGTAACTATATCATATATGTATCCGTATTCATGTTTCGTACCAAACCCCCAAAGGCGTATCCCGCCGACAAGGGTACCGAAAGAGTCCTTCGGAATCTTGGCCCCCAACCGCCCCAACCACAACCACAACCACAAACTTCTCATCTTTGGGTCCGGCAGTCGGGTCCTACAAAAGGCGGTACTTGTACATGTGTAAGCAGACCACAACGCCTACTGCCGGGCAGAGAGAGGCTAGAGCCGAGGACTGGGTGAACACAAAACAAAAAGCAAGGATCGGGATGCCGGTGGCTTTCCCAGTTGTGCGGGTTGTGTAACGATAAGAAGTGTCCGAGTTGTTAATCAAGCGGGTACCGACTCGCCTGGGTACGGTACACGCCGAGAGTCGGGGTCGGTGCAACACTGGCCCTGCTGATCGGCTAATTTTGTCTGACCACCCTCTTTCTCATCAGTTTTCGTCTACTTCCTCGATGTATCCGGTACATATGTAGGGTCGACTGACTCCGCTGCCCAACGAGATAAGTTCACAAGCAATGCTAAAACTAATGCAATCCTCCTCCGATAATTCCTTGGCGGAAAGAGGCTGAGGTCGTTGGATGCAAGTGGTGGTGGTGTAAGCAGCAGTTAGGTCGGTGCTAGAGTAATAAAGTAGGTAAGCTGGCGGCGTCACGGGCCGTCTTGCCGAGCATCAACAAGCCTCAGCTACTGGGCTGGCTGTAAGTCGCTCGCTTGCCATACTGTGTGTATCGAGGTACTCGACATGCACCTCTCGTGAGCTCCTCTTCGGCGGAGGAATCCTCACATACCTGGTACTAGCGCCGCCAAGTCCGTTTTTCTTCGCGATGCAAGCGTTTCGAAACGGACGAACGGACCGAATGTTGCTGATCTATGGTTCCGAGGGATTTGGGGAAGTTCGCGAAGAGGGGGGTGTACGCTGCCAGGGGCCGGCTACGTACACTAACTTAGCTGGTAATCTGTGACCCGTGTCAGGTCCCGAGACACACCAAGGGCCTTTAGCGAGCTGCATGGCTCTTCCTGCACGTGAAGAAGGGTGTGACCGAGGGCGTGGCTGGCTAAGCTGGTGGACAGGACAAGTTGGACCCGGAGGGCCAGTGTGATCCTTTCGTCGCCGAGTCAGGGAGCACTTGAGTGACAAGCTGGGCGAGAATCGAGAGCAATGTTGAGAGTAATTCACGGTACCAGTTCTATTCTTGTGTCTCAGAGCCCTTCCCCTAAGAACCGTGTGTAGATCTTATCCTTCCCTATGGGTGCCTGGTCTCCGACGGCAGAGTCAATCTTGTGGCAGTAATTAGTGACACAGCTGAAACAGCATATTTGCGGGGTCGAACCAACAAACAAGACAGTTCGGTGCTAGCAGGGCACTGTACCTCTGTGCTGACCTGTCCCCGTGGTTGTGTTCCATGTCCTTGACAACGACGCATCAGCATAAGAATCGGATCCTGGGAATGGCGCCGGCGAAGGGCCGCCGACATGCGGTACTCGAAACTCGTCGGTCCTCGTTGCGACATTGCTACAGTTGTGATAGGCCACCAAGATGCTCGAGGACAAAATGCTGAGCCAATACAAGAAACAACTGGCCAGGAGCGGGATGGCCAGAATGTTCTCCTAAGGGGCGAGGTGGTGTTGGCACGGGTAGAATTTCTGCGGTCAAGACTTGAACAGCGCCGTGGTTGAATTCATGCTGGCATTGCACCGCCAGCTCAACTGCTATCCCACAACCTCCTTAGCCCGGTCAGCGCTATTAACAGCGCCTCATCTGTCTTGATGCCCCTCGTTCCCTGATTCGGCAGCACGTTCACCCAGTGGTCGAACAGCTCCTTTGTCCGCGGGCCGGCAATGCCCATCTCGCCTAGTTGCGGGTCGTTCATGGCCGCAAACTCCAGGCCCCGTGGGCCGCCAAAGACGATCAGTAAGTGGTTGAAGTTGGCTGGTTCGTAGCTGGGGAATGCTTTTGACAGAGGGAGGCCGCGCTCCGAGGTGCCGATGCTCATGTCGTAGCCGTCTTCGTATGGGCTTTCAGTGAGGACGTTTGATAGCGATGAGGCTTTCCGCACGCTAAAGCCCCAATAGTAACCTGCTTCCGTCCTAGGCGCGGCAGGATGAATCGGTTCCGGCGTGCCATAGGAGTCGTCGGGCATCTTAAGCGTCACCCGAGTCCTAGGTGGGATCGATTCGGTTATTGTCACGGTGCTGGGCATACCGATGTCCACAACCGTGCTGGGTCCATTAGCGGCGCGTTCTAACCGTCTGTCACATCTGAAAGCAGCTTACCCCTTCCCCGCCTTTGGCGGCGTTTCCAGCGTCATCCCCTCCCGGTACGGTAGCCACTCGTCCTTGTGCGGGTGATGCGGCATCTCCAGGTTGGGGAGCAGGCCCTGGGATCTTAGATTTGGGTGCAGTGGAAAGAGAACTTTGCGCATGAAGGGAGGCGTCTCAAGGTAGGTCAGGAGATGCTCCATGAAGTGCGCCGGATCCACATCGCCTGTGTAGGCATCTGGGTCGGCGTTGGTGATGCGCTGATCGACAGGGCTGTCATCGAAGACGACGATCTCGTCGACAGAAAAGATGGCTAGGGCCCGTGCAACACGGCCAACATTCGTCGTCCTTTGCTCTCGTGTGACGCAGCTGCCTCAGGAATTAGCAAGGGGCTGGAAAACTGCAAAAGCGAAGGCGCATTCTTACTCCGTGATTATGCTCGTAGGCACGGCAATGGAGACGGTCCACTCTCGCGGCTCAGTTGGCCGGAACCGGGACGGTGCCCTGAAGTTTGGTGGTGCGCCGTCATCCTCGGTGTCCAGACGGCGTTTCTGCAGCGCGTGTTAGCTGCTGTCGCGAAAACCAACTGAAGCGAGGAGGCCCGGCGTTCAAGCAATCAGCAGGGTTGAGTAAACCCTCTGTCAATTGGAAACCCTCAACTCGAAAAGCAGGATCTCACTCGGCGCTCGTCACCTGTCTCGAGACTCGTTCTTCCTCCTTTTTTGCCTTCAAGAAAAAGCGTTGACTTACTTTTGACTGGTGTTCGTAGGGAGGCGCCATGGCTGTCACAGTACACAATAAACAAAAATAAAGGGGGTATCAACCGCAGATGCAATCTTCGCTCTCTGAGTCCAGGACTTCAAGCATCTCATAGGATCGATCATGAATGATCCAGAAGTTTTGGAAGTACGGCGGATTAGTCTGGCAGAATGTGATGAAAACTTGACCGCCTTTCGCAGCGTTCCACAGATGAGAGGCCTTAACCCTAACCCGATAAATTCCATATATTGCCCCCCTGCCGATCTGAGTGGACAGCTTTCACGGATGTCGTCAGTTGCTGGTGCTCATCAGTGCTGACAATTGCTTGTTACCGTTGAATCGCGATTCTAAACTCATCATCAAGAACTCACACGTAGCCCGACGCTCAGCACCCTTGCGATCATGACGATAAGTATCGGCTCATCGGCGCAATGGCGCCAAATTCTAAGCTCCCATTCCATCGTTATCGTTGACTGTAAGTCTTCTTCTAGCGTCAACTGGCCCTGCCGGATAAGCTTTGATGGAACCGCCCACTAACCTCGTGCTCAACATCCAGTCTACGCGGATTGGTATGTAACCGTGTACATACTAGCTCCGGCTCGCCATGCCTATGTCCTGTTCATAGAAGAAGACGAGGACCACGTGTAAAGTTCAAATTTGCACATCCAACTAACACCGCTCGCCACGCTGCCTAGGTGCGGGCCCTGCAAGATGATCGCCCCAACCTTCGAGTCCCTCTCGACGAAGTACTCCAAACCGAACAAGATCGCCTTCTGCAAGGTCGACGTCGACAACCAGCGCGACGTCGCCCAGCAGTATGGTGTGCGCGCCATGCCGACCTTCCTCGTGCTGCGCAACGGCTCGGTCATCGAGACCATTCAGGGCGCCAACCCGCCCGCTCTGACGGCTGCCGTCGAGAAGGCCGTCAAACTGGCCGGTCCGGGCGGCGGCGGCGGCGGCGGCGCGACCTTCTCTGGGTCAGGACAGAGACTTGGTGGGAGCGGGGTTGGGCCTAAGACGGTGAGGAGGCCGATGAGATGGGCTTTGAAGCCGGTGTTGGAGGCTGTGATTGCATTTTTCGGCTTGTATTTCTGGTCGTTGTTCTCAGTGAGTACATGATTATACTGGATGATCAGGTCTGCAAGGGTGCTAATTTGCTCGCAGCTTGATCCGTACAAGTCCGCTGAGAACTCGCCGTTCAACAAGATCAACCCACCGGCGAGGGTGCAGTCGGGGACAGGGACGAGACTGGCGGCTCGTCCGGGGTTCAAAACCCTGGCCGACTTGGGCAGCTCATGATCTATCCTTGGCTTGGGCGGCTGGGACCTGGTGTCTGGGCGTTTAGGGATTGGGCTTTGGATGTTTTATTTCGTGGGTTTGCATTATCTCCATGTACATTGAGAGCGGCTTTTCTTCTACATGAAGCTTTACGAAATCACGATACTGCAAAAATCACTGTTTGACTTACATTCGCCACTCCAGGGCCCATGGCTGCAGGCGGAATCCACCAGGGCGACCATTCACCTGCAGATGAGCGGGGCGACGATTTTGAAATCAGATTTTTTGATTGGCTGAATGTTTTAGGAAGTTCCACCGTTCTGGGACTACGCCCTCGAGCTCCGGGCGGCCAAACTCTTTTGTCGCTATCTTCGACACTGCAGTTTCTGCAGCACACTCACAACGGCAGGAATCTGAACACCATGATTTCGGCCGGCAAGATGCAGAACCGGTGCCCTGGGTGCCGGGCCCAGCTTTTGAGCTTCTATGATGCTCTTATGCTGCCGCGCAGCAGGCCAACCCAGCCATTCCTGCGCAGGCGCACCTTGGCGGCACCCTCAGCAGTCCCCGCCGTGTCTGCAGCCCGTCCCTGGCGGACAAGCTCCATTCGGCAGTTCTCGACCACTAGAACCGTGAGACAAGAACCATCCCAGGAAAGGAATGCCGCAGAGTCATCAGATGCAGTCACGCCGACGACGCCAGAGGAAATCGAGGCGTTCGTGCGCCAGGCCAGACAGACGTTCGGCAATACATTACCCGCCAACTACCTGTCGCCGGAGGAGTACAAGGTCTACGAGAGGCTCTACGGGCCGCCACTGCACGAAACTCGACCCGAGGACGTTGGGATTCCCTTCCGTATCGAAAAGGACAACGTTTTCGACGGCCAGCATGCTCTCCTGAGGGAGACGGAGCATGGCATTCTCGAGGAGGTCGAGTACTCCATTGATCGCTCTACGGCAATCAACTCGGAAGAGGTGGAAGAAGGAGAATATCCAGACGATGCCGAAGCAATCGATGCACTTGAGCCAGCGGACGCATTCCCGCCACTCACCGAGGCTCAGATCGACTACCTCCAGGTGACCGCCAACAACCAGCGCGAGTACAACGCGCTGGTGAAGCTGCAACGCGACTTCGAGGCTGCCTCTCTGCAGCCGGCGGAGGAGATCCACGAAGAGGAGAACATTATTGAAGAGGAGGAGCCTCGCGAGGAAGACGAGATCGATGAGGACGAACGCGAACCGGACGCCACCTTCCTCCAGGAGTACGAGCATTCGGGTGAGCGGCTGCACGAGTACACTAGAATGGGCCAGTTCAGCACCGATCCTAGCACTATTCAGATTCCCAAGCCGACTTTCATCGAGCCCATCACCACTCTACTGAGCAGAACCAACACAACACATATCAGAGAGACCGCAGAAGAGGTGTTGGGTGGGCCAGGCCTACCCTATGGTCCCGCTACGCCAAAGTCCAAGTCCAACCTACCGCAGAAGGGTATCTTAATGCAGGCAGGGCAGCATAGGATGTCTCCCATCGAAGCCGATGCCTACCTCGCCACCGTCCTTCCGGGCCTATATGTGTCAGTGACAAGCATCCTGGTCGAGGTGCGGAAGCGGCTTGGTGAGGACTGGCTGAAGGGCCTCCTGACAAGACCCGATGGAACAGGTCCCCGTGTGCTCGACATCGGCGCGGGCGGTGCCGGGCTCGCGGCGTGGCAAGATGTGTTGCAGGCAGGGTGGGACGTGCTTCGCGAGAAAGGGGAGGTCAAGGGTCGGGAACCCCCCAGCAAAAGGACGGTTGTCGTGGGCTCCGAGAATCTGCGGCAGCGCATTTCTCAGTTCCTGCACAACACGACCTTCCTCCCGCGTCTTCCCGACTACATACACTCGATCGAGGGCGCAGAACGGAAACTCGACTCTGGGGGTGGCCCCGCGCCACGCAAGGTCTTCGACGTAATCATCGTTTCTCACATGCTGATGCCGCTTGAGAAAGAGTACAAGCGGAAGGAGCTTATCGACAATCTCTGGACCATGCTTTCGCCGGAAGGCGGCGTCCTCATCGTGCTCGAGAAGGGACACCCGCGTGGCTTCGAGGCCGTGGCCAATGTACGCGATCGGATGCTCGACGAGTTCATCCTCCCGCCTTCAGCGCAGCCTCGCAGTGAAGACGCGATCCAGCCGGAAGCGGAGCGCGTGAGGGAACCGGGCATGATCATTGCGCCGTGCACCAACCACGCCAAGTGCCCCATGTACCTCACGCCCGGTCTCAGCCAGGGCCGCAAGGATTTCTGCCATTTCAACCAGCGCTTCGTCCGGCCACCCTTCCTGCAGAAGGTGCTCGGCGCATCGCATCGCAACACCGAAGACATCAAGTTCAGCTACGTTGCAGTGCGCAGGGGCGTCCCGCCGGACGCGGTGGACTTCCCGCAAGGCCAGAAAGCCGCCGACCAAGCCTTTGCCGGGTACGAAGACACCGATGGCCCCGCGCCGCACCCGCTCTCGCTACCGCGTAACATCCTCACGCCGCTCAAGCGCCGCGGGCACGTTACACTCGACCTATGCACCCCCGCCGGCACCATCGAGCGCTGGGTCGTGCCCAAGTCGTTCTCCAAGCAGGCATATCACGATGCCCGCAAGGCAGCTTGGGGCGATCTATGGGCCCTTGGCGCCAAGACGCGCACTGTCCGCAAGGTACGACTTGGCAGGGGCGGCGTTGATCCTGGCGATGGCGGTGTCCGGTCGCGGGCGGCCGCCGCTGCGGACCGCAAGAGGCCCAAGGTGGTGGATATAAACGTGGATCCGAAATATGGGGTCATCTCGGCGAGGGAGAGGCATCCTGGCGGGCGGGCGCCGGTTGAGAGGAGGACCAAGGGAGGGAAGCGGGTCAAGCTGGATGATCTGATGGAGAAGATGGGCATTGATGAGGTTGAGGACCCGGACGACAAGGAGGATGCCGAGTTCATGCGGAGCTGAGTGAACGGAGCACGGAGTGTACTTACATCTGAAGAGTACCTGTACAATACGGGCTGTACTATGTAAAAGAGAACCTGTTATCCTGGACCACTATACTGTACGGTAGTACATACGGTACCTTACATGCATCGATATGTACTGTACAATACAATACAGTTGGTGTAGGACAAGCAAGTCATTCAGTTCCAGCGCTCTGGAATCTCGCAAGCTGCCCAGGCTGGCTTTCTCGCACTCCCATCCGAAAATGGAAGGTGTTCCAACTCATGCAATGTAATGAATTGACTTGGCCGGCACAAGGCATCGTCACCTTGCCGCTTCAGGTCTGGCTCAGCCTGACTTGCGTATGTACCTCAACGAACCGGCGTTCCTCCACACAGTCTTGCATCGGCAGTCGGCATGTTGATCCCTACAAAGGACTGCTAGTCGCTGGCGCTGGGGCGTAAGACGGAACAATGATTGACCAACGCGACGATTGCGACTAGGTTGTTATGTATCAACCTTTCAGATTCCATTGACAATGTTGTTTCAGAATTACCTCTGCTGTTCTTCTGGCAACCGTGAATTTCAGGAACCACTGCACCCCACATGAGCACGGAACCCGCATGGAAGCTGCAATGACCGACTGCCGAGCTTGACAGGGCCAAGACCTGGGGCGGCGCGGCCAATGCCGCTGCGGAGCCTTGGTGGGACGCAATCGCAGACTCGAAACATCCCGCCCCCCTGGTTCCTGTGTCCTGGCGCCGTTTTTGGAGGCCGGGCCAGTGATCCTTCCCATTCAACGCGACGGGGTAACGTTAGTTAGCGCGGCGCCGAACGGGAGTAGCAGCTCCACCGCGCGCAAAAAAACAGGCAGTATCCATACTGCCGTATCAGTAACGTTACCGGTTTACACAAACAACCTAGAAGACGGTGAGACAACTTGACAAGGTTTGTTCTTGCGCCGCGAGGGCATGCAGTGCGCGTCCCCAACCAGACCCCAACAAACCACCAAACCAGGCCCTGACCACTTTGACAGCCCTACTACTACCGAGTGAGTGCGGAATCGGAGTCACTTCCTCGCAGTCCACCATGCGCCTCCGCCTACGGCACCTGCACCTCCCCAGCATCCACCCGCACTACATCCCCTACAGCCTCGCCAGCCGCGTACAAGAGCACCTGCGCCGGCAGCACCTCGACTTCAAGGATGCGCAGTCCCACACCAGCACCTCGTCGTCAACAGGCCTACTACTACCATCGTCACAACCACCACCACCAACCCTAATCTCCTTCACCCCTTCCCCAATCTACACGCTCGGCCGCCGCCAAACATCCCCGCTCACGCCGTCCGAAACCGCCCGGCTCACCGCACCGCTGCAGCTCCCAGCACCAACACCACCACCACCACCACCATCATCATCATCATCACAAGGTTCTTCACAAGGTAGTAGTAGTAGTAGTGAGCCGGCCTCCCTCCTGCCCGTCCGACTGACGCACTCCCCGCGAGGCGGCCTGACAACCTACCACGGGCCGGGTCAGGTGGTGCTGTGGCCGGTGCTAGACCTCAAGTCGCGGCAGCACAGGCAGCTGACGGTGCGGTGCTGGGCGCGGGCGCTGGAGGACACGACCATCTCGACGCTGGGGCGGGTCTTTCGGCTGGCTGGGTTCACGACGGAGGATCCGGGCGTTTGGGTCTCTCCTTCTTCTTCTTCTTCTTCTTCTTCTCCTCCGACGACGACGACGAGAGGCCGGGTTGGTGATGATGTTGGTGGTGGTGGTGGTGGTGATGGTGGTGGTGGTGATGTAGCAAAGATTGCTGCGCTCGGCGTGCATCTGCGGAGGCATGTTACTGCGCTCGGCACGGCGATCAATGTTGTCATGCCCGGCAGCGGCCGGGGGGAGGGAGAGGGGACGACGGATGAGCGGGGGAATCCGTGGGCGAGGATTGTGGCGTGTGGTCTCGAGGGCAGGGGCGTGACCTCCGTCGCGGGCCAGCTGGGCGGTGGTGTGGCTGAGGTTGATGCCCTACTGCAGAGGGCAGGGTTGGAAGCGGGTGAGAGGGGAGGGAGAGAGCGGGGAGTGGCGGCCGCGTGGGCAGAGGAGTTGGCCAGGCGAGTCGAGATTGCGGGCGGTGTTGAGGTGGTGAGCGCAGAGGAGACGTTAGCGTTAATGGAAGGATTGGCGGCGAGGGAGAGTGATAGTGCTGCTTGTGAGGATTGGGATGAGAGGGCGGGAGAGGAAGAAACGGCATATCTAGCACGGATTAAGGAGTTGATTGGTGGTAGGTAACTTCGTGGTGGATAATCTAAACTGTACGTACAATATGTGTGCATAGCTGTTGTTAGAGGGCCGGCTGGATACACATAAGAGCGAGGGCCTTCCAAGTTTAGCTCAGGGTTGGCCTGGCCACCCGCGGCCCGCGTCGCGTGCACACGGGGTACGGCACCCGGGTGACCCAAAAGTCTCGCTCGGCTGTCATCTGTCATCTGCCAAGTCATCCCGGAAGCACTGCGATTCGCTTGGCTACACAAAGTTCATGCCGCAGACCACGGGATGCATGTTTCAAACTGCTGCCGCACGATGGAACGATGCAAACTTGACAGCTCCCATCCGATCCAGCAATGCAGGTCGAAGCTTAAGGTGGCTTGCGCGGGCTGCGAATCGGAATGGAGTATGAACAGGGGTCGCACCGGAAGAGCTTGGAGTTTAAGAAGGTTGAGTGAGTGCTCTCAGGCGACAATCTTTGATCCGGAGGAGCTCTTGCACATGGGAACACCAGAGAACTGTCAATGCAACGGATTTTGTGTGGCGGAAGAGGCCAAATCATCCACGGATCCTTATCCTCCATGGAGCCTCTTTTATGAGCCTCCCGGAATCGATTAACACTACGGTACATCTGTCGTTGACCGCTCTTCTCGAGCAACCGGTCAACTGTTCCGACCACAACAGGCATGAAGCTATGGCAGCCTCGCCCGGTTGCTGCTCGAAAAAGCCCTACCCTACAGCATCACCTTCAGAAAGGACTCCCTCCCCTCATCAGTTTTTTTGCTGACCCGCCGGCTTTTCGAACCCTTCTTTTGTCTCCCGCGCTCTGTCGTCTGATGCGACATACGACCTGGGCCTAATTGTCTCTGCCCGTTCCCTTTTCCCCACCCACACCAACGCAGCCGATCGCAAATGCCACAAGAGAAGCCTGGAGAGTAAAACGTCAGAAAATTCGCGAACAAAGCCATGGTTCCATTCCTGGAATACCATTGGCAGTAGGCTTCGAACATGACGTAACAAGAGAGGTGAATCAGTAAATGACACCGCCGTTGCCTGCCGCTTGTGCGGCTGGAATGCATGAGGTGGTTGGAAATCGTGAAACTGGAGTGAGCACAGCGATGGCCCCAATGCGTCGAAGACCCAGTATCCGTATGCTCTCGGTTATCCTCATTATGTGCCTGTAAATTGTCGAGTGGCGCTTCCGAGAAATGCAGCAGCACTCTGTTTGACCATCTTTCCACTTCCTGATCACCAGAGCGCCGGCTTCCATTACGCCGTCCAATGCCGTCCAATGCCGCCCTAGAGGCCGCCCTTTGCCATCCGCCTCTGAGCACCTTAGCCCGCACCGTCAGCCCTCTTGCAAAACTTGTCTATACACTACCTCTCTTCCGGTAACTCCGCGGCGGTGTGTCATGATCGTCGGCTCCAGGCTTGTACTCCTCCGGTTGGAAGTTTGGGTTGTTGTAGTGAGCCACATTGAAGTGGCTATTCTTGAATGTCGTAGTCTGCAGCGTCTGCTCCCGCCACGTGTTGTTCTCGACGTATTCCGGTAGCTGGCAATACTCGCTGAAACGCAGGGGATGCGCCTGGGCCACTGGTGAAGGCGTAGAGATAGGTAGTGGTGCCTGTGGTACCTGCTGAATCGGGTCGACAAACGCCGCGGATTCCCATGGCGACACCGGACTCGGGCTGTAGGTAGAGAGCGGAGTAGGCGCCGTGTCGAGCATGGAACCCAAACCCGGACTTGATACACCGAACCCTGGTATGAGGGAGAGCGTCTCTATGGCGACCCCGCCATAACTGTGCAGCGCCATGGGGGTGCTCTCGATCTCGTAGCTCTGTGAGAAACTGGCCACACGGTGAACCTGCACATCCAGCAGCTCCGGCGCGTACAGGATGTCGTAGTGATCCGGACGGTAGAGAAGGTGGATGATGGGCCCGAGTTCTGACGGATGCCGATTATTTGCTTCTTCCGGAAACCGGTAGGTATTGACCTCTGACCCTGGACTCCGGTCGAGATAGGCCACCTCCAAGACGAAGCCGGCATCCTTCAGGAGCACATTGACCAGTAGCGTCAGCCCTAGGTGGTCAATCTCGATATTGTGGCGCTCAAGGACTTCCTGGCAGTACCCCTCGACACCCGAGTCGGTGGTGACAAAGGCGCCGTATGTGTCGCGGTTGGCCTTCAAGTACGAGCTTGCCAGCAACCTGAAGTGGTACATGATCGAGTTGGAGATGTCTGGCATATTGAAGGCATCCAGCAGCTCCGTCATGGCCTGCTCAGGGCGGTCGACAAGCCCGGCCATTTTCGTCAAGAGCGCAAACGTCTCGTCGGCGAAATCCTGAAACACATAGGGTGAGAAGCCGCCGATGCTCTCAATGAAGGCGTTCAGGGACTCTAGACGCTGCCTCTCAGACTCGATGCGGGCCTGGCTGCCGCTCTTGACCAGCGTCTCAAAGTAGCCGAATCCAATTGCTACCGCCTCGCTGTCAGTTTGGGAATTCCCAACACCCCCCTCACAGGACAGCATGTTGTACTTACCCCGCCAGCCGCAATTTCCGTCTCCTAGGACCGGACGGTAATGGGAATATGTTTGTGGCAGCACCTGGCCCAAGGTCAGTGAGGCTGGCCTAATTTCTCACTTCGCATGAGGCACTGGCTGATCGATGATCACCCACCATTGTCTTCTGCACATAAATGGGATCGGCTTTTGCATATTCCTCCGTGATGGCTGTGCTGGGCGTCTTGTTGCCGATGAGAGGTCCCTGTGAGAGCGTGGGGCCTTTGTGAGCGCGGGATCTCGAGAGGGCAAGGCGCCGAAAGCCAATTGAATGTGGACGTTACCTGGAACTGTGGCTGATATTCCCGAGCAGCCGCCTCCTGGGCGACGAGATCTTCGGCATTGGAGGCCATCTTGGGCAAAAGCGGTAACGACGGTCTGTGGTGAGATGGTGCAGACACGGTCGCAGACACGCTTGAGGTGGCAGTAGTGGGCAATGTGGAGTGGAAGTCGACGGGGAAGGAGCCAGCCGTGGACGATGCGGGGCCGACGCGCGCGTTGGGGACGTTGGTGCTGAAAATGGGAGTTCCGTAGAGCAGCGGCCCAGCGCTCCCGCCTGGCCCCGCTGCTGCAACGGAGCCTCGGCCGTCACTCAGGCGGAGTGGCGTCTCCTCAAATGTGTATTCCGGAAGAGTGTGCGGGATTGCATACCCGGTCGACACCTGGAAGTATCCCGTGGGCTCTGGCTGGAACATGCCGGAGGTCGGTTGCGAAGGGCAACTTGGGTCGAGTCTGCTGTCAATGGCGTTTTGCGAGTACTGCGGCTGCCTGGAGCATGTGTGCTGCGTGTGCGCACCGAAACAGCGGCTTGCAGTAGCAGACGCCTCAGCATGGGAACGCCAGCAACCTGGAACGTCAGAAGCAGCTGAGCACCACCGGCAGCAGCAACGACGAACAGCCTACAGTCAGGGACGGGGCTGTCTGTTCTTATCGTCTGCTGCGTGTTGGCTCCGGGAGCCAAAGTGGAGATTTCGTGGCGCCAGCTCCGTCGGCTGTATGTACTCTACCGTAGTTTGTATGTCCCTAACCGGCCGAGCAATCACAGGGGGCACCGCCGACGACACAGGGAAAGTGATTTAGAAAAGAGAGGAATCTATAGCGGTAAAGATTCAATAAAGATGCGGGACAACGACCGACTCGACGATCTAGATGTATTGTACCGCGGCGACACCCAGCATCAACCACCTAACTAAGGGCGCACAAGCAGCAAGAGACGACGGCCAGGTAGACGGGAAGGGAGGAGACAAAAAAATGGACACGGCAGGCAGGGTAATAACATAATAAAGGATTATCCGCAGGGGAAAATTAACTAGTCCGACCTGGAAGATTGGAGGGAACAGCCCAGTTTGTTAGCAAAAGAAGCGATAGCCGGCTCCAGCTCGTCGTCAAGTGGGGACCACCTAGAAGAACGACCTAGCCTGGATGCATCCATGGATTGTTTTTGCCTAGGTACCCAGGTCTAGCTAGCCCCAATCGCTCGCAATATATCTTGGATGGATGGCAGCTTTCGTTGCAGTGGCTCCCGGCCATCGCCATGCCCCGATGTCTCTCTGCGGCATCATAACTGCAGGTGATGCCACGACGGCGATTCGATTTGCCCTGGCTGGAAAACAACAAGTTCGGAGAGTGACGGATCCCTGGCCTTCCCTCTCTACCCCTGCCGGTCCCAAACGCATTGGCCCGCTGACCACAACGCAGCAAGCCCCAGGCTCCGGCCTCTTTGACCCAATCAGAGACTGCCAACCCTGCCATTGACGATGAGAACCGGCAGCGCAATGAGACGGGGACTTGGCGGTCTGAGCTCCTCGCAACAAGCAGCCATGTCGTGTGCGTGGTGGACATGGAGACACCCTGTCGTGATTCTGTGATGTTGTTTTGTCATCCTCAACGCCTCAACTTTTGACCACACCGTACCTGGTTCTTGCATGTAAGCCGGGCATGGGTCACCGACGTTTGGATTACAGTGTACATACGACGTTGTACAGTACACTGCATACAGTACAACCTCCGTAAGGTACGGAGACCCACTGAACCGTTTCCAGGAACCTCCGTCAACAGTCTCCACATCCCGCTCGATCCTGGTCGGTTTGGAACAGGGGGCATCTTCTGCCTGCGACCCGGCTGCTTATAGGTAGGTAACTACTGTACTGTTTACATCTAATTGCATTTCGCTCAAGATCATGGGAAATAGAAACTTCTGGGCTTGCCTTCAGAACATCTACAGTGCAGCTTGAGCAGTTGCGGCTCCCGGGCTTATGATCGTGCAGACTCCCACAGTACGTAGACAGGTACCACAGGATATACATGTATTGTAGTCAACCAGTACTGGCGTGGAATGCCGAATCCACATGCAGATAGCAGACCTCCATTTTCTGGGGTGCTGTGAGGGAGGGGTTCACGCGGTGAAGGAAACGGAGGCGTGAACCGATGAGCGAGACCGCGCCACGCTTTTTCGCTGTTGGTCCGAGACTGCAGCTCCAACGGGCCCCTGCACCACCACAGCATGCAACCGAGTGTAACAATAGGTCTTAAGACATAGGAAAAGTCGCTACCAGTATCGATGGAGAGTTTCTACTACCCGTACTGAGTGCGGACATTTCCGGAGGCGGTGACAGTTGCTGCACCTTGATAATGCAACACGACTCTAACAGCCGCCAGGCCAATCATTGTAAACACTCAGAGCCGGCCCGTCTCTTCGGCTGGTGCTCTCCGGACCCTGACCATCCACGGTCCGAAAAGTTGTGGCGGAACTCGGTGTGCGTTCAGGGCCAGCGGCCTGCGGATTGCATCTAGGTTTGGGACCTCATACGTACCTTACGGGCATGTTTAATCGTAACATATGCCGGACCGCAGGAGGGCTTTGTGTCTTTCCATACCGCGAACAGTAATGGTAGACCTGAGATGAGCTTTACATCTAATCCAAGATCCTAAGCATCCCTTGAATCCCTCCGTGCTCATGACCAACAACAAGAACCCGGCAGGCAACTGACTGAGCAACCAACATCGCCGTTGCAACCCGCCCAAAAGCAACCGCCGTCACGGTCGCGCTCAACCAACCCCAAGCTCAGGAGAGCTTCCCGGATTATATGCCAGGATTCAGAGGCTAAGATACCGTTCCCCACACCAACTCGGCATCATGTGCACAGATAAGCCGCAGACTACGGCTGCGCTAACGTTCAAAGCGAGGCACGCTGCTCGACGTGACGTGACGCGGACGCTTAGCAATACCGATGCTCACCCATTACCCTGCCGGACCGAGACATACACCTGCAATGGCAAGTGGAGGACTGCTTTGTTGATGGCAGGGAGAAGCGTCGCAACATCAAGACTGGGGTTCTGATGTCCAAGATCCTCCGCGAACCCAAAAGCAACACTTCGACAGAATTTGTTGCGCACTTGTGTCGATTCATCGGTCGAAGCATGTGTTTGCGGAAATGGCCTTGGCGGATGCGGAGCCTTGCTGGGGGCGTTCGTCCCAGGCTCGCGGTACTGGTGTGGGGCCCGGCTTTTCGAAGGAGTGGCTGACCACACCTGGACATACTCCGTCTCACTTTCCCCGGGATCCGAAGGATGGAAATTAGGTATGGTTGGCTAACTGGAATTGCTGATGTGATGGATTCTCGCATTCAAGTTAGCTCGCACACTAAAAAGCACCCTGCTTACACTATAGGAGAGACCTGACCATCAGCCTCGGTATCCGTATTACGAATGCTTCGCTTGCAGTTCGCAATGCATCTGTCTCCTTAGCAAGAAAAGGCACTGCCCCTGGTTCTTACGCAGTACTCCTCGTTCTGCGATGCTGGAGGCTTGCAGGTTAACTTGGCCAATCAGACCACAGTGTCTTGTGCGTTGACACCCTGACTTCGTACCAAGCTTGCCAGGCTACATGGTGGAGTGTGACACAGAGAGCTGCCAATATAAGGCCGACATTTATGGACATTTATGCTCGATGATGGTTCAAGAACAAGCGGGATGACGGTTCCGTCGGTTTGTGAGCACTGTAATAAGCGTTCTCGTGGGGTGGTGTCAGGCACATGATGGAACCCAAGTCCCCAGTTGGCTAAACGATGCGAACACTGAACACCCGTTTGCTCGGTGTATCCGTGTGCTTTGCTAGGTGGTTCACAGCACCGCTTTGCTTTGCAACAGAGTCAGTTGTGTGTGACGCATAATTGGCGGGCCATTTTGAGTACCATAATATTGAAGGTTACTGAGTGCATAACGTTGGAGGTTAGTAGCTCGACGTCCATGGATGGTTTTCCATGGCCGTTTCTGCTCAGAGCCCTCAGGGATCGAAGCTACGACAGAGTCACAAATTGTCTGCCAAGCGCTCTGGTGGAACGTCGCTGATACAACCTGAACTGTCGAGATCCGTGTCGTCCCGCCCATCGTCTTTCCCGCTTCCATCAAGTGGTGGTTTCTCTTGAGGTTCGTGTATACTAGCAGGTGGCCGCCCGGTTGGCAGTGTACTGTGGTACTTGCTTTGATTGGATTGTTACGTAGATGTAGTGGGGCGTTACATCCTGTCCAGAATGCTCGCCCGAGTGTGGGGAAGGTCCACCTGCGTACTTACTCCACACACTAGTGTATCCGTAGTGCAGTACCTGAGCTTTGTCCTTCTATCCATGTCCCACCTCCTCAGACCTTCCACTCGTTTATGTAGCTAGGTACGAGGCGCATTTCTTCCTTGCCTGTACGTCGCCGTTCTCCCATGTCTCATCAATCAGAGACGGGAAAGGCTGCGGTTGGGACAGGTCGAGACCGACGCCAGTTCCCGCCTTCCAACCCCACAATCCATCTTGTACGACCCTCCGATCGCTAGTGGGGTAATGCACCATCAACCCCGTTCAAGCTCGTTTACCCGCTCTCCGCCCGTCTGCCCGTCATTGTGCCATGCTTGCCGGCGCTGGACCATCGCACTGTGTCAGTGTGTCTTCTCGTGTGCCCGCCCGCGCGTACCTGATCGCAACGGCCTCTGTGCGGTCTGTTGAGCTCGGTCGATCGCCAAGTTCCAGCTAGTTAGTTCGCTTAGGACATCCTTTGGCAGGACGGCGCTCTTGGTGATTCCGGACCGCGGCGATTATGACACCGGCGACTAGGTTGGATTAGGAGAGCACGTTTGCCTGCCGACCCGGCCCCGGAATACGACCCGCCGTCGTCCGTCGACTTTCTTCGATCTTACACTTGCCAAGCCCATGTCTCTTCCCGCGCGTCTAAGGTCCTACAGCCAACAGCCCACAGCCGAATACAGCTACAGCTCAAGATATAGTGGCGCCTTATGTTACCAAAATGCCTTTGCCCGTCCTTAGACTGCGGTACAGGGCTAGGCATCTCTCGCCGATACTTGATGAGATCTCAAATCGTCATGGAGTGGAATACGGTCAAACTATCAACAAAATGGACATCGCAGAACCCACTGGAACGGAAGCCGAGGGTTGAGCTTTCATCTGCGGATACGATCATTCACCGCTCGGTTGGGCAACGAAACAAACTGTCGAGTGCAGGCCAGAGCATGCCGTGCAAGACGGCTCGGACTGGCTGCTTTTAGCAGGACGGAAGGCCGCTCTTGGTGCGGCCACCACGGTACCAGCTAGCAAGAAAGCGGGGATTGGCTTGATTGGCCTTGTGCGTGCCTCAAGGCTGAAAGACTTCAGAAACAAACCTTGAACTGATATCGCGATGCGGACTATCTCCACAACCCGACGGGCTTTTATGCGCTTCCTGACCGGCCTCCTCTACCCGTCCACCGGTCAGACAACTCTGATCTGCGCCCTCCCGCTTCGCAAGCCAAATTGTCCCGGTTACGCTGGCGTGACCATCAAGGATAACCTCTCATCCATCTCGGCAGCCATGTGTATTGCCGATACGGTCCGGGATTCAGCTGCAGCGTTGACCTGTTTCGTCACGGCAGCTGCGGGCTCCCGTTTCCTAGCAGCAGCGGTGTCACCGGCCCAGTGCTCGGCGTCTCGCTTGAGAAATTGCCTCTGCTTCCCACAACGCCCCCTCACACACACCGAATGCAACGGTTAGGTAGTGCAGCTTTAAATGCCCTCGTATGCTAATCAAGAAGTGCGTCTATGTGGGGGCCGTATCTGCCATGTTGCCTCGGCCAAGATGTGCGGTATCGGCATGCTCATGCTGTGGTTTTGGCTCACATGAAGGCAGGTTCACCGCTCCTCAGGTTGACTTTTCGGAACTGCAGGAGACAGAGTGCACCTAGATGCAACGGCAACGCATACTGTTTGCGGACCGCTGCGTAGATTGCTCGATGCTGATCTTTGGTCGATCACTTGTACGGGATTCTCTGGTAAGAAGGCAAATGCCATGGATGGAGCCCTGGCTGAGAGCTTCAGTCGTAAGTCTCCGTTTGCTCAAGGTAGCTAGCTGGAGGGCTCGAACGACACCGGACCACTGAGACGGCACTTAGTCTTGAGGCGCATACATTTGGGCATCACACGGATTCGCGCTGCTCACAAGGAGGAAAAGGTACCTGCTCGCGTGTGGAAGATGACAGTGGCAACCGGGCACGGCCCAGCGGAGAAGACCGTGACGCGGGCGTTAGGACATGTCATCTCTTCGCTCAAGGTAGAAAAACAGATAGCACTCATACCATTACTATCTTTCTGTTGGCCCTGCCATACGAGTCTGTCGTTGTAAGGGTACTTCCCAGATGCCCTGCATCACCTCCCAAAGCTTCGACGCGTAATCCTCATTCATTGCACCAAGCCATACTTTGTACATGTATTTGCTCGTTACACTCGTCAGCAGCTGTACACTGCTAGTAGTTCGGCAGGCACCAAGCATCATGCTCACTCCCTAGTGTGTCGTCATGGTCACACCTCTCAAGCCTCCCCGGCGCGGCCCCCGTCCTCTTCCACCTGGTCGGCCTCGGTCTGAAAAGGTATGCCCGGCAGGGTAATCGGCTAGTGGCTCCGAGAAGCCACCGCCCTGAGCCAGCTCTCCGGCTAGACGGAAGCCTTCCCCGTCCTTAAATATTGCGGTGTACAGATCCCCCACGGCAGATGCTAAGCACTGAATAGCCCTCGCGCGCTCGGCGTCCCCGTTCGACTCGATCTCCACAGTGCCCGCGTGCTCGTCAATCCGGCCCTTCACGCGACCATCTACAATCAGGTAGCTGACAATGTCCTGGACCTCAGGTTCGCTGATACGCAGACGTTCGGCAATCCAGGAAAGTCGCATGCGCGTGTAAGGGGCAATCAGCTTGACAACACCCTTGGTTCGCATGTTGCGCGTCACCTCGTCGATGTTCTCGGCGATGAAGGGGTCGGCGAGTAGCTCCTTGTTCTTCTGGAGTACTTCCTCGTATTTGTAGATGTCGTCGCGTTGGTAGGCATCGACGAGGTCGGTCATGGCTGCGATGCGCGGATCGTTCTTGTAGGGCTTGGTCTCTTGGCTGTCGAAGGGGTTGATGTCTGACTTCATGAGCATGGTGACCAGCAACAGGTACTTGAGCACCTGGATGCGGCGCAGGTCGCCGGCCTCGTCGTAGTTGCGAAAGGCTTCGAAGAAGTCGATCTGCGCATCTGTCCAGTTCTCCTCGCTCATGTGCATCTTGCCGCCGCACTCGCGGATCACGCCCTGGATCTTGGGATGCGGCACTGCCGAGCGCACCTTAAGCGCCTTCTGATACAGCGCCTTGAGCTGATTGTTGTTCCGCGTTTCTGAGTACATTTGGATTTCGAGGGCGTAGATCTCGAGCGAGTAGGTGCCCTTGCTCGGATCATCGGTGCCGTCCTCCTTCTGACACACCCTGTGGAGCTCTCTTAGCTTCCGGGCAACTGCGTGGTATTCCTTGCGGTCGAGGAGCACCTTGGCTAGCTTGATGTTCGTCTTGAGCCAAAGACGCTCATTGTTGGTGCTCTGGAAGCATTGTAGGGTATGAGAATAGAACCGTTCGATACACTGTACTGCCGTGGGATTGTCGGCGCCCTTCTCGACGAAGTTGAGCATGTTGTCGATAGACTTCTCCGAGTAATTCCTCGTAACGGCCGACTTGACATATGTTAGGAGTTCTCGATAGTGCTCGACGGCCTGCTGCTTGTCAGATACCGAGTCGCCACCGCTTGCCCGCTGTTTCATCCACTCTACGGACCTTCTCATAGCGCTGCAGCTTGAACTCCAGTTTGATGGCTTGTTTGAGGGCCTTGAAACCCCATTCGCCTTTCTCTTCTTCTAATGCCGGTATCCCTAAGAACTCCTCCAAAGCCTCCTCGGGATCGGATGTCTTGGTCTGCTTCGCGTTGTAGTATTTGTTCTCGATGTCGACATCGCCGCTGTCGTCATCATCCTCATCTTCGTACTCAAAGTCATACTCCTCGTCAGAGGCTTGCATAAAATCGTCGTCTGACATGATGGCTGAATTGAATCAACTGATACTCCACGTATCTGTCTGTTACGTAGTATCGAGGAATTGTAGACGCAAATTTTCCAGGTTACGGTCGCTGATTCAGGTTCAGTGGTCGGTGAAGTCCAGGCCGGCACGGAGAAGCGATAAGGCTGAAGTTCAATGGGGAGGCGAGCTAGTTCATGGATGTGGGGTAAAGCCTTATCGATTGGCTACAGCTGGTAGCATGTCCCGCTGAACAGAATAATTGATACAGGAAACGTAATCCACCACCATACAAGTCATCATAACTAGGTGAAAACACATGCAGTTTAAAACTAACTATACGGGAAATTGAGTAAGACTGATTGTAGAGGGAAAATAACATCATGAAACTGTTTATCTACATCGTGCTGTGGCTAATGTAATTATGGTGGTGTTCTGAGAGACCGGTTTTCCTGTATCAATTATTCTGCTTAGGAGGAGCTCCCGTACCTTTGACTACCTAACCGGAGGTTTGTTGATGGATCATAGAGGCATGAGGGGTTAGGTCTGGAGCCATCACACAAGCTGAAAGAGTGACGAAAGCGCCGTAGGAACCAAAATAAAGTGAAAATGATCAGTATCTCGCACTTGGCGTATGTGAGCAACTTTGGTTACTGACTTGCACAAGACCTTGGGTCAGCACTCCATAGCACTCTATAATTATCATGGCACTTAGTCCAAATACCTGCTTTCTGCACTTTCTAACTTCTCTTGGCCACTCGAATTCGGGGTCAAAAAGGCTCGGGTCGCCACCCCAAACCGCACGCCAGCACTCATCAAGATCGATCACTACAAGGAGAATTAGCCATTCTCCATCGCCCGATTCCGTCAAACAGACGACTACCTTGCTGCGCTAGCGCCCTTAATTACCGTCCACCCTTCGAACGCCTCGCTGCCCATTCTAGCATTTGTGCTGCGCTGGCAGCATCAACACCGCCAAGATGGGTTCCGGGGATTTGAATATGAAAAAGAGTTGGCATCCCCAACGATCAGGGAATGTTGCCGCGACACAAAAGGCCGAGGCGGAAGCGATCGCGGAACGCAAGAAGCTGCAGCAGCGTTTGCAGGAGATCGAAGAGGAGCGGAAAAAGGAAGAGCTTCAGAAAGCGCTTGAAGCTGCAGGCGGGAAGCCCAAACCGCAGAGGGTAGAATGGATGTACTCAGGTCCAACTGACGGTCAGGCGGGCGACGCGGCCGAGAACGAAGCCTACCTACTCGGAAAGCGGCGGATTGACAAGCTTCTCCAGGACAACGATGTCAAGAAGTTGCAGAAGTCAAACGTGGATGCGCTCGCCGGAGCGCCGGCGGCCGCTGTTACAAACTCCCGGGATATTGCCGCGAAGATCCGGGAAGACCCATTACTTGCGATCAAGAGGCAGGAGCAGCAGGCATACGAGGCGATGATGAATGACCCTATCAGGAGGCGACAACTGCTGGCATCGATGGGCATCGACGATTCACAAGACAAATCTAAGCGCAAGGAGGAGAGACGACACAAACATCGCCATTCACATCACCGATCGCATCGTCACGACGACGTCAGAGACGGCGAGAGACATGCCCGCAGGCGGAGATCAGATTCTAGGGACAGGTCGAGGAGTCCGCGAAGATACGATTCGGAGGAGGAGGATCGGAGGAGACGGAGGAGAGATTCCCCCGCTCGCCGCGATCGAAGGCGAGACAGGTCTGGGTCCGCAGTTTCCCGGGACAGACGAGAGAGACGAGATGATCGCGGCCGAAGGAGCAGCCAAGACAGGCAGGATCGACGGGATGAACGAGACAGGAGCGCAGATGGTCGATATAGGGATGACCGGTTCAGGGCAGGTTCTCGATCGTTGTCCCCTGCGCCGCGCAGGAGAGACTACTCTCCCGACCGTGATGATCGGAGAAGCAAGGATTATTCCCCGGGCCGTGATACTCAGAGAAGAGAGGTGTACTCACGGGAAGGCACCGGGCAATCACGGGGATACAGTGAAGAATCGAGCAGGTACCGCAACGGCAACCCGTCCCGGTCACGGAGAAATCACGACGGCCATCCTGACCGTGGCCCACCAAGGCACAATAGACGTCCCGTTGGTGCCGAGGTAGAGAGGGAGGGGGCCGAGGAGGAGGAGCGCGCCCGTAAGCTCGCTGCCATGCAGGAGGCAGCAACCGATCTCGACAAAGACCGCCAACGCCGGCTAGCGCTCATAGCGGAGCAGGAGCGGGCGGCACAAGAGTCAGATGAGCGGGCGCGGCAGCGCAACAAGCGGTTTGGTGGTGACGCCGGGTTCATGAACCAGCTTCATAGTCGTGCTACGGAGCTCAAGGTTGCGGATCGCGCGGGGAGGCGGTAAGACTACGGTGCTTGGTATTCGTTTCCCTATCGCAGCGGTCGTGGTGTGCATCATTTTACGGGTGAGCTTGTTGGGAATCATCTATAGGGTCTCAGATTAATGGATACGAGACGTGATACCCAGCGCAGAGGTGGTAGCTTCGGGTGCGCCGCCGTGTACGAAGTATGACGACGTGTTACCGTGTTACCACTCTAGGACCGGTATGGCATTGGAACTACTGTATGGAAGCGAATTTACGGTTTCGCGAGGATACCTACCTACTCTGGCAGGTCGGGCCTGAACCTCTTCGGGCGCGCTGAATCCAGATCTTCGGGAGAAGCCGATCCATGGTCTTGCTTGCAGCGAAGATCAATAGTTCAAAACCAGTCGAAACGTTGGAACCAATGGGCCTAACGTTAGCGTCTCCGAGTCTGATCTGCCCACTCAAAGCTGCCATAGGGCACAGCACCTGACGTGAAACATCCATCGCTAGAGCGAGAAGGATATTGCTGCCACCGCTTGGTGACATGAGCACTTTCGGGCATGTGAAGCCTTGAAGGGGAGACGTTGTCGGTTACTGCTGTATTCTACCGAAATTGTCGTTGCATTCGTCGCACAGCGTTGCCCCCTTCGCCTGCATTTGTCGCTCCGCCACTTACCCTAGGTTTCCTCAATAGCAGACGAATCTGGCCCCGGAACGCCGCCAAATCCTTGCAGGTTGAACTCGGTCCAGGTTCGAGCATGTGGGTCCCTACCTGTCACTGGTTGCGCTCCACACCTCCCCGTAGTGATGCTGACTTCATCTCCGTCTTCAATTGCACCCCAGCTTCAGTCTCTCCCTTTCGCCTCGTCGCTCGTTTATTACGACGCCTGCCATTTCGCCTGGTGTCACGCTTTCCGGTGATACACGTTCACTTTAACTCTGGCGACGGCTCGGTTGAGGACTCGGGGTTCTGTGACTCCTAACTTCTAAGCGCCTGCTCCTTCGTGTATCCATATCTCACACCGGGCACTGCTGCCTCGCCAGCTCTGTTCAACTTGCGACTCCCTGGGTCGGCCCGTTCCGACCCCATCGCTCACACTTTCCAACGGCGTTTTGCCCGATCTTCGTTCGCTATCCTTCCGTCTGGTTTCTTGTTCCTGGTTTCCTGCAATAACCGGGCCCACATTCCGACCACCTTGACGGACGCGAACGAACATCGAGCGAGAGCAAGGAGTGTAAAGCACCGACAAGCCACTGGCCCCATACACACCATTTTGTCCCTGCCTCGTGGACACGGCCGCCTTTGGAACAATCATATTCTCTTGCTACACCTAAGTCGCAATAATGCCTTGTGGACTGGGGGGTTCCAAGACGGTGCAGCGCAAGCTCGTCTTGCTGTGAGTTCCCTCGGCCAACGGGACATGGCATCCCATGTTGGTACTCGATTGAGCTAACACCCTGCGTCCCGGCACAGAGGCGATGGTGCGTGCGGCAAGACATCGTTGCTGAACGTATTCACACGAGGGTGAGTTCAATACCAGCACGCCGCCCAGTTCGTCGCCTTGCTCACCCACGTACAGCTACTTCCCTACCGTCTATGAGCCAACAGTGTTCGAAAACTACGTGCATGGTGCGTGCATCCCTGTGGGGTACAATTCGGGGCGAATTGCGCGACATAGGTGACTGACTCGCCGATTGTACAGACATATTCGTCGACAATGTGCACATCGAGTTGTCGCTATGGGATACTGCTGGGCAAGAGGAATTTGACAGGTTACGGAGTCTTTCATATGGTGCGCCCGGCCGCTCCCACCCCCCGCCTACCCTCACGCGGCAATATCTGACAGATTTGCAGACGACACCGACTTGATCATGCTTTGCTACTCGGTGGACAGCAAAGACTCGCTTGAGAACGTCGAGAGCAAGTGGGTAGGCGAGATTGCCGACAATTGTCCTGGCGTCAAACTCGTACTCGTGGCGCTCAAGTGCGACCTGCGGGAGAATGCCGAGGAGGAGGATGGAGCAAACGAAGATGGCAGTCCACGGGAGAAGAAGCCGATGATCAACTACGACCAAGGGCTGGAAGTGGCACGCCGGATTCACGCTCTCCGATACCTTGAATGCTCCGCCATGCGGAATAGGGGAGTCAACGAAGCCTTCACTGAAGCGGCCCGTGTCGCGCTATCAGTGAAGAAGGAGCGCGATGACTCCAAGTGCACCGTCATGTAGACGGACACGACATGACCACCTGGATGCCTGGGCCGGACAGATCAGAACGGCACCTGTTAGACGCGAGTCGCTGAAAGGCAACCGAACACATCAGATTACAGCCATATGTCGCAGCTCCATCATCACACCAGAAACGGCCGGGGGCGTCCTCCGAGTCCGATGCCATCATATCTTCATCCTGGTCCGACCGCGGTTGTTTCAGCGCGCTGCTCTACCTTCACGATACGGATTCGTTGCTTCTATGAGGCGACTAGTTAGACTGTATATATTCTCGACTCGATTCCCGCACGTACGACCACGTGCTGCAGCCCTTCCCCCTCGAACTGGTGCGCTACACCTCACATCAGATCAGCACTGATACCGGCACATTCCGTTTGGTCGCTTCCAAACGATACATGGGCAATGGCGACGGACGACTGGCGGAAAATACAGGGTTCCAAGGTGTGGTTATGTGATCCGAAAGGTGTTATGCGGGGGTTGCTTGGGCTGCTTAAGGTATTTAGGGCAGCTTGCGGTTTCTTCTTACACTTCGTTAGGTGTTTTAATTTGAACGACTGCGCCGATTATGGCCAGTCGTGGTGGCAATTGTTATCCCTTTCAACAGTTACCTTATCGACCTTGGACTGGAAATCGCAATCCATGAAGTAACAACACAGCCCAGCCAGTCTCTCCCGACCCCTAAGTGCAGTTGAAGTGGGCCGACACTCAATCCTTAATAAGCTGCTGTGTTATGTACTGCCTAACCTAGACGCAATCCGACAGGAAATGCGGATCCTGATTAAAACACTGCGAGGCATAGGCTTGTCCCAAATGCGGCCGACAACGTCCTGTTCGAGGATCTCCGGGTTGGGCGCGATTCCCCGCGGAGTCGAGACCGTTCGTCCCTCCTTTGGCACAGCGGGGTGGCGATAAGCGATAAGGAGCGGCGCTGACCCCGTGAAATGGCGTGAGCGGACACTAACTTTTCTAAGAAAAGATTTCGGAGTAAGCCGAGAATTGGGCACTCTGACTGGTTGGTTGGAGATGCCATATCCACGGGCCGCCGAAGTGATGATAAAGAGTTGAACAAAACCCATCATGTCACACCCATCGGAGTCGGCGGAGATGTGGGTATCGTTGGCTGGACCGGGTGCCCGGGAGGGATGTTTCGAAGGGAGTCATAACCGTCTGTGGCCTCCTTGAGGTTTTTACCTTCACTTTCTCGACCATTTCCTCCTGTACCGTTCTGGCCATCTTCAACCGGTGATCACAATGGCATCCTCATTGCCAGCACCATCGCCGCCACGGCTGCCACCAACCTCCAACACCTCTTTGCTCACAGCGCAGCACTGTACAGGGCACGTCCACCTCATCTTGGGCGCGAACCCCCTCGCCGCAGCCCGGGCCTCGTCTTCTCTATCCGCGGGTGCGAGGCCAATCCTCATAGCGCCCTTACCAGCACCATCGCCATCAGAATCAAAACCAGCAACAGATACGCAACAACAACAACAGCAGCAGCAGCAGCAGCAGCAACCCCTGCACTACAGCCTCGCGGCCCTCATAGCGGCCGGCTCGCTCACCCACCTCGCCCGGCCGTTTACGGATACCGACCTCTTCACCCTCGGCCGGGAGGAAGTCGACAGCGTCGTCGACGCCGTCTTCATCACGTCCCACCATTCCTCTCTACCATCCGAGTGCAGCAGTAAAAGAGAGGAGGTGGAGCGGGTGTCGGCGCTGTGCCGACGGCACCGGATCCCCGTCAACGTGGTCGACGCGCCCGACTTGTGCTCGTTCAGCCTGCTGAGCGTGCACGTGGATGGCCCGCTGCAGATCGGCGTGACCACCAACGGCAGGGGGTGTAAGCTTGCCGGGAGGATCAGGCGCGAGGTGGCGGCCGGGTTGCCGCAGGGTTTGGGGGCGGCGGTCGAGAGGTTGGGGGGTGTCAGGAGGAGGGTTTTGGCGTTGCAACAGCAGCAGCAGCAGCACCAGCAGCAGCAGCAGCAGCAGCACCAGCAGCAGCAGGCGGAGGAGGATGCCTCGCAGATGATGGATGATGGGGTCGATGACTCGGTTGATCAGCCGGCGGGGCTGAATCGGTTGGTTGTGGAAGGCGATGCCGAGGCGGCTAAGACGAGGCGGATGAGGTGGCTTGCGCAGGTGTGCGAGTACTGGCCTTTGAAGAGGCTGGCTGCCATTACGGACGAGGATGTCGAGGCTGTTTTGAAATCGTATCCGGCCGGGCAAGGGCCCGGCTCCGTGGCGAGCAGCACCAGCAACTCCCGGCCAGGCCGCGTCATTCTCGCCGGCAGCGGACCCGGCCACCCGGACCTGCTCACCCGGGCCACCTACAAGGCCATCCAGGCGGCCGATCTGGTGCTCGCAGACAAGCTCGTTCCCGCGGGCGTGCTTGACCTCATCCCGCGCCGCACGCCCGTCTCCATCGCGCGGAAGTTCCCCGGAAACGCCGACCGCGCCCAGGAGGAGCTGCTCGAGCAGGCGCTCGACGGCGTGCGGGCGGGGAAGACGGTCCTCCGGCTCAAGCAGGGCGACCCGTTTATTTATGGCCGCGGCGGGGAAGAAGTCGCTTTCTTCCGGCAGCACGGGCTCGGCGATCGCGTGGTCGTCCTGCCCGGGATCACCAGCAGTCTCAGCGCGCCGCTGTTTGCGGGTATCCCGCCCACCCAGCGGGACGTGGCGGACCAGGTGCTCGTCTGCACGGGCACGGGGAAGAAGGGCAAGCCGCCGCAGCCGCCCGAGTTTGTGAAGAGCAGGACGGTGGTGTTCCTGATGGCTCTGCACCGCATCGAGGGGCTGGTGGCGGAGTTGACGCGGTATACCGCGGCCGAGGAAGAACAGCAAGGAAGGCGAGTGCCGGAGCTGGGGCAGGAAGGGGAGGGCCAAACTCCCGTCCAACCACAGCAGGGAAGCAAGATGAGGACGCTATGGCCGCTCGACACCCCCTGCGCTGTGGTCGAGCGGGCAAGCTGCCCCGACCAGCGGGTCATCAGGACGACGCTCAGGTTTGTCGCCGAGGCCATCGAGCAGGAGGGGAGTCGGCCACCCGGCTTGCTCGTGGTCGGCCGGGCATGCGAGGCATTGTACACACCGGAGAAGGGCCGCTCCTGGGTTGTTGAGGATGGGTTTAAAGGCTTGGATGTGGACGCGGATGGGGCTTTTGCGGCGAATGGGCCTGGGATTGCCGGAATGGCGTAGGTTTGTTAGAGGCACCTAGCATTGTAGGCATACTTCCTACCGTAGAGATCATCAAGACATGAATATTTTGTCTGAGCATTCCGTCTTTGACCTGTTGAGGACACCTCCTCATTATTCCGGGCCGGGTGAGAAATCGACCGATGAGGCGAGTTTGCCGCTGGCTGCCGAGATGGGACAGGACATCGAGCTCTACGACATTGAAACAGTGTTCGGCCGGGGATGACAAGGAAGCAGAGTACAGCACATGAGGGCCTCTTCTTTGTATGCACATACAATTTTCTTCCCCGTTCCACCATATTCAATACATTCATCCACCTACAATCTACGACAACGCAACATATGAAACAAAAGCTGAACAGCCCTCTTGAACAATTTCCTTCGGAGAACATACAATGAAAGACATTTCCATCCAAACCCAGTGCTCTCTCTCTCTCTCTCACGCTCTCTCTCACATCAGCGCAGCAACGCGGGCCACCAAAACGGGCCTTTTAAGCGCCGCTGTCAATCTGATCGACAACATTGTGCTTCGACCACTGGGCCCAGGCCTGACAGTTCTGCTCCACGTCCGCCGGAAGCTTCATCTGCCTCACCTTGTCCCGCTGCACGATCAGTGATGCGAAGAAGCCGCCCGAGGCATGCCATGCGACGTGGCAGTGGAAGGCCCAGACACCTGTTTTTGTTTTTCCCCTTTTCGTTAACTTGGGGTTGGAAGGAAAGGGGCGGGAAAAGGTGGGGAAAAGAAAAGCTCATACCTGGGCTTCCATCAAATTGGATCACGAGATGACCGTTGCCACGCACCAGGGCGACGTCCCGGCGGTGCGGGTTGGATGGCCGAACGATGGTGCCGTCCCACGCACCCGGGCCTTCGTGAAGGACGTAGAAGTTGTGGCCGTGGAGATGCATAGGGTGTCTAAATCAACAGAAAGGTTTTATTAGTACTTTGTTTCACTAGAGTAGTTCAGCGGGTCAGGGAACGGAGGGAGGGCATCGCATACGCATTAGGGGACTTGTTGTTGATGATCAGGCGGATCGACGTGTTCTCGTGATAGTTCACCACGTTCCACTCGCGCGGGTAGCTGAAGTTGCCCTGCGCCGCGAGCGGGAGTACGGGGCTGTTGTAGTCCGTTCTCATGGACACGCCGTTGAACTTCCACAGCGTCACGTCCGAAGCGTTCTTGAACAGCTCGATGTCCATGGTGTGCGTGAAGGTAGCGTCGGGCAGCGCAATGGGATACAGCGGTTCCGCGACGGCGAGGTCGTCGTTGGTGCAGGTGCCGGGATCCGGCACATTCCAGGCTTTGCTGGACGGCGTCGCCGAAGTGTCTGCCTGGTCGTAGTACACGGCCGCCACGGCATAGGGCTGCTTCGTTGCGGTGCACGAGGTGAGGTTGGATCGCATCCAGAAAGCGGACTTGGGCTTGCCAGCGCTGGCCGTGACGAGAACGTCGGCGCGCTGGCCGACCCCGAGCGTGACCACCGAGGTGTTGTACGGCTTCACGGCGACAAAGTCCTCGGCGATGACGGTCAGCATGTGGCCGTCGATCGAGAAGCGCTGCACGCCGTCGGCACCCGTGTTGACCAGGCGCAAACGGTGCGTCTTGCCCGTCTGGAACTTGAACTTCGCGATGCCGGCCTTGTTGGTGCACGGCGTCTTGTCGCCGGAAGCAACGGTCGAGCAGTCAAAATGCATCTTGCCGTCGATCAGGTTGTTGTCCGACACCACTCTGGGACTGCCGTTGGGGGCGAGCATTTCCTTGATGATGTCGAAGTACTCTCTGTGGTGCCAATCTGACAAGCGGATGGGTGAGCCTTGATCGAGGAGCTGATCTATGTGAACGGCATGGGAAACCACACTGGACTCACCACTAAGCAGAATCGGGCCGAGATCGATGTCGTACTTCGCCTTTGTGGGTCCGTGGACGACGATGGGCCCGACGATCCCCCCAGCATATTGCGCCGAGTAGTGGGCATGATACCAGGTCGTGCCGTACAGGCTGGCGATGAACTCGTATGTGTAGCTCTTGCCGGGCGGGACGGGACACTGAGAGATTCCCGGAGCACCGTCCTCCCAGGGAGTGTCATGCTGAAGAAAGCCGTGCCAGTGGATGCTGGTACCCTCTGCTGGGTTGCTGATATTGTTGTGCACGTTCACGACGATCGTGTCGCCCCAGTTCGCCTCGATGAGAGGCCCCGGAAAGGCGCCGTTGACAAGGAGGACGTCCCGCTGGTATCCATCGGGCGCAATGACGCCGCGGCTCACGGTGAAGTCGTAGCGTCGGACTACTCCGGTCTTGGGGTAGTCCCGATACGGATTGTTGCCCCAGTCCGTCAGCGTACCCCATGGAAACCCGTCCGGTAGCGGGTTGCTGGTGAGGAAAATGGGCAAGATCGGGGCTAGCAGAGTCCCCAAGAGTGAAAGGCTGCGGTCTGTCAGAACGGGTACTAAAAGCCGCGATGGCACGGAATGGGGCATGGCGTTACCCATTAGTCTGTTGCTGGGTCAAGGCGGCGACGGCTGTATATAGCACCTCGAGTGCGTCGGACACAGTGTCGATAATGCCGTCCAGGAGGTCCATAGTGGGTAATGATATAGAAGGCAAATAAACCTATACAAGGGAAAAAGACAAACAGCAAACGAGCGACTGCAGGCCAAGATCACATCCGCCGCTCAAGACGGAGCAGATCTGCTCAGCCCAGGTGATACAGCGGGATAAAAATAATGGGAATGCTGGGGAGAAGAAGGAGGAGAGAACGGGCAGCCCAGTGAGAACATAATATCCTCCGCGAGGGCACCGAGACGGCCCCCCTGTAAGCGCCACATGCTGTGAAGCCCACACTGCAGGATGATGGCGGTCGATAAGCTAGCGAAGAGCAAACAACCTGGAAGGTCGCCTCAACCGTGATCGGGTCTCGGCATGTCAATGTTGGCGCAGCCGACGTTTAGGGCATCCCGCTCGTATGCGCACACCGGTGATGCCGCCAAGTGTGTACCTTACATATCGCGCGAACACGTAGTTCCTGCTCAAGGGGCCATCCCGTCTTGCGGCGCGTGGCTGCTGCGCGGCTGAAGCTCGAAGGTCTATGGCAGAGCCGCACGGTATGCAAAGGGCAGCAGAAGGCGTCTAAGCACGGCGATCCTTGCCGACCGCCACGCAGCACGGGAAAAGCAAAAAGCGTTATGTGGAAATCCCGCAAGACTGAGACTTGTCTGTCGGACAACACACCCGCCGAGCTGCGGCTGAGCCATCCAGTCACCAAATCGTCGTGATGGTAGAATAGACCAGATATCGAGTCTGGTTTGGCGTTGTGGAACGGGGCCATTCATGGAGGACAATGTCAATATTCGGCGCCCAGCAACAAGCACATCAGCTGAAAAGGAGCATATCGGAAAATTCCATCATGTATGCGACCCTGCGGTGGCAAGCCACCTCAGCTCCTCGGGATGCTGCATCACCATCCGAAATGGGAAGGAGAGCGCGTCGGCGATGAAGCATTCGAGACCTCCAGGGTCTGCGGCTCGTCTGCGTCGTCACTGCCGCCCCTTCTAGGGAATTCTCAGATCACCATTTGTAGTCTAGAACTGCATGGTCCTTGTGTTGGCCCCGGTGTCCCATCCCGCCGGAAGACGAGACGAAGCCCTGGTTAATACCAGGAATGGGACCCGCCTAACGTCTCGGCCATATGCAACGAGCCGACGCACGCCAAAATAAACTCCTTTGATCTGCCCATGTTCGAACTTCCATGTGGCACGGATGTCTGCTTGCCCGGCCGCTTTTCCCGGCGGACGTTCCTAGAAGTTGGTATCACCGGCACAAAACGCACGACATGCACGTTGCTTGGCCCAGTGTCTTGGTCCTGCGTCATTTTGTGAGGCAGACGGTGCTGAACGTCGGGTCCGTGATCATGCAATGGAGCGTAAATATGGCCGAAGGTAACGCTGTGCCACAGTGACGATATCTCCCACCAGGGATAGAGCCGGTTGAGGTGCATTCCATCCATGCCTTCGTATTTTTAGTCGTGGAAGCGCCACATGGAATCGTCCAAGAAGCGGTCTTAGACGGGTGGCATGGGATGCCTGGCATCGGCTTTGGGCGAGCCGTGCGCGAGTTGGTCGAGGGAGCACGATGCAATTTCGGCCAAGTCGAGCAGGGATCGATTGAATCAAGCTGAGAGCGGTGTGAGCTAAGCCTGGTCACTGGAAGATGTCCCGCAGGAAAGAACGGCGAGGAAGAGCGCTGGATCAGTGTAGTATTGACACAACATATCGCGCCTAGGTAGGTAAGAGTTGGGAGATTTCCACCTGAACGCCATCCCATTCGGCCCTATGGGCATAACATATGTACCACATATGGCACTGTACATCGCCTTCTGCGTACTTCTGGTAAGCGGACCCGGCGAATTTCGTAGACAAATGCGAAACCATAGCGAGGTCATCCGATCAGTTGCCGCCAGGTCGTCGAGCGGTTTGGTAAGGGGCGCGGAAGGCTTGCGAGGCCATGATAATCGGCCGCCTCTGGGCTCGCAGGTAGGCCTCCTGGACAATGGGTGACGAATCAGATCGAATGACGCTGCCGATGGACATGAAGAAGCTGCGCAAAGCATCATGTTAAACAAGTATCACCGGCGAGTCCTCGGCTGGAGACCACGACATACCCGAATGTGGCCCCGGATCCTAGCATGTATTGGCCTAGCGTCCTCATTATGCCGTTCGGACCAGCGCCATATCTGAAGATGTTGACGGTTCCTGAGCTCCATGTTAGACATGTCCCAGCTCCTCCAGAGTCAGAGTCAGTGTGTCCGGAAGCGCCGTACCAAAAATGAAGCCGATGATCATGCCGACCGCTGCGGGGCGTTCAGTGTTAGTTTAGGAGAATATGATTTGCTAAAGGGCCGGATAGCGCGCATCGCGCAGAGTGGCACATACTGCCGCCCATCATAGCACCCATCTTGACTGATCACCAAGTTAGTTGCTGCTCGTATGATGTTCCAGAACGAGCTGGCGGGGGTGCATACGTTTGTCGAAGTTCGACGGCCCAACGGCCCCCGGGTGACTAGGCGGCGGAGGCATGATGGCAGAAAAATTGCTGATTTAGGCCGAGGGGCTGTATGTACAAAGTGCGCTGTTCGCGTCGTCGTGGAAGGTATCGACGTGATGCATGGTATGATGCAGGCAGCGCAATGTTGGTGGAACTTGCCGTCGGCAAAAGAGGAGCCCGTGCAGCGCACGGACCACGAGGAGAACGGAGCACGGCCCGGAGCTGGAACGCGAAGTTCCATCCGCATTTTTAAGTTGGTACGGAATATTTGGTAACCACAGAAGCCACAGTCGCCTCAGCACCTCTACCGTCCATATTAGTAGGTCTCCTGCTTGACGTAAAGTACCGCAGCTATACTGTGCCCATTTGAAATGTTAGTTGAACTCGGGTTCGAGTCCCACTGAGCAGCGGTCGAGCCACATCACGATTCATAACCAGCAACGGTCACGTGACAGGTTCATCTAAGATACAGGTATGGTACAAGGTAAGGTAGATAATTGTGTGGAGAATGAGATGCCAACAGGGCTCAGGAGGGCTCTGAGACCACAGCACACTGATCATGGATAGTTAGTTTGGTTTTCGAGCCATATGACTCTTCTGGATGGATGAATGCGATCTTGCACCGTGCGGTGGTAGAGGGCAATGAATGTTGGTCAACGACGTGACAGGTTGCTTGGCGTATCTGCAAATCAGGAGTCAAGGGGGAGTGGCGCGGCCAGCCTTTCGACTGGGACTCGAGCAGGGGCGCGGCGAGCACATGGGCGAGCAGGCCACCTTCTGGCCCAAGTTCGATCGCTAAGCGCCTCAACAACCCCAGCCAAGGGGCACTTCCCATCAAAATTCGTCAACCTCACCTCTCCGTATCGCCGCATATTGTGACTGTTTTATTCCACCGGACGACTGCATCATTGCGAGGTGCGTGCATCCTTGTTCTATCCATCGCCGCACACCCATTTGTGCACATTTTACGAGCGCGCCCCGGCCCCATCGCACCATCCGCATCCGCCAGCCGACGGTTTTGTGACGCCTCGACGTCAGTGCTAATCTCGACAATTCTACGCAGGTGGGCCGCGAACTCTTGCCCTGCTCAACCGCGGCTCCACCAAGAGAGAGCACTATAAGTGCTTCTGCCCAGGGCCCTCGTTCAACGTAACGCGCATGCGAAGACCGCGAAGGTGTCAGCGCCGGCCTGACCCTGCCAACATCCTCATCGGCCCCGGCCGCGCGCTGCTTCGCCTTTTTCCTGTTGCGCGTTCCCCATGACTGCGGTTGCGACTCCTCCCAGCTTTGCGAATCTTAATCGGCCGGGATGGATTAATGGGGGACAGTCGCTGAATTCCACAAACCCGTCGGACGACATCAGAGGAATCAACATGTTTATGCAGCGGAAAACCCTACAACGTACGAACTCTTCGTCGTCAGTGTCGTCGACATCTTCGAACTCGTCGACCTCCACTGTGACATCCAATGCTGGCTCGCAATCGAACGGCGTATCCTTACAGGCCGCTGGAGAGGCGAATGGGTGGCCGAATCCTGCACCGCGAAAACGTCCAAACCCAAAAGGGTGGCAAAATGGAAAACCAGACGGGGCTGCCGACTTCTCCAGGTCTCGCACACCGATGGCCAACGGCGTCAATGGCACCTCAGCTTCCCACCAGCAACAGTCGGCCATGTTAGCGTCCCAGAACCAGCTCGCAGCACAAGGCGGGCTTGGCCGCCCCGGTACCGATGCCGCTTCAGGACGACAACCAATGCTTTATCTGCTCTCCCTCAATGGGAGCTTCGAACGTAAGACAATCACAGTCCCGTTTTATCCTGAGACTCTCCGCATCGGGCGGCAGACAAACGCCAAAACGGTACCCACCCCGGTCAACGGCTACTTTGACAGCAAGGTACTGTCAAGGCAGCACGCTGAAATATGGGCGGATGCCAACGGCAAGATCTGGATTCGGGACGTCAAGTCGTCGAACGGGACGTTTGTGAACGGCACTCGGCTGTCGCCGGAGAATCGAGATTCCGAACCACATGAATTACAGGCCCAAGACCATCTCGAGCTTGGAATCGACATCGTCAGTGAGGACCAGAAGACTGTTGTGCACCACAAGGTGGCTGCCAAAGTTGAGCATGCGGGCTTCGTATCCCCGACGAGTAATGTTCTGGACATGAACTTTGGGGATCTCGATCCTTCAAGTAGCTCCATGATGCTACCGCTAGGCGGTGTCTCACCATTCCGAGGCAGAGCTGGCAGTCAGGCTGGAGCAGCAGGCAACAATCGCATGCCTCCAGGGGCTATGGGAGGACAGCCGAACACGCTAGCGCAGCAGAGGCAGTTTTGGCTTAACCCGGTCACAACTGAACACATCGTGAAGAAGCTCCACGTAAGTCGTCGTTCTGTATTCCCCAGCCGCTTGGGGGGGGCCATGGCACTGACGATGCGATAGACGGAGATGCGCAATGCGCGGTTACAGAACCAAGATCTGGCGCGCACAAGCCAGTTCATCAATGCGCTGTTATCGAAGGAGGATATCAAGAACGCGGACAAGCCCGCCGAAGTTTCTGAACCTCCTAAAGCGCACTTAACGAACGGGAACATATCGTTCCGGTCAGATGGTGGCAAGACGCGATTTTCGGAGCCACCAGCTCCACCGCCGTCTCAACCGCTGCCGGAGAAGCCGGACGCGGCCCGGCCTTCGGACGCCCCGTCGCTGAAGCGAGCTACAACGGAGCGGCCGAAGGCGGCAAGCACGTCCCCTGTACGACAAGACAACAACAACCTTAACCAAATTCTCCTCCTTACCGAAGCACTGAACAACGCCAAAAGGGAGCTTGACAACCATAGCGCCAGAGTGCGGGATCTCGAGGAGATGCTGTTAAAGGAACGAGAGGCACGGCTATATGCCGAGGATATGATGCAGAAGATGGAGGAAAGCAAGCATGCGAAGATGAGTCTCGAGACCGGAACCCCGCTAGTGAACGGCCACTCCGAACTTGATAAGGCCTTCGACCCGCCCGTCGAACAGGCTCCAACCGCCGAACCTGAGGGTCCTCCGAGCATTTCCGAGACCGAGACTGCGTCAACCCAGCCAGACAAGGCCGAGCAACTGGCAGCCGCCTTCCAGGCCCGGATAGACTCTATGGCATCAGAAATGAACAGTCTGAGGGAGCAGTTGGAGGCATTCAGAATGCGGGCGGAGAAGGCCGAGGCCGAACGGGATGCCGACCGCAAGACTCTAGCCGAGATGGTGCTCCAGATTCGACAGCGCGACGAAGAAGAAAAGAGACGAGAAGTTGAGAGGAGAAGAAGGTCGCCATCCGAGGGCAGGCGGCGTCGCCCCAGCCAGGACAAAGCGCTATGGAAGCCCGCCACGACGATGAACGGCAGCGCCAACAAGGGGCAAACTCCCTTGAGCGAGGAACCTGCAGCAGAAGGGGATGAGTCGGAAACCGCCCCGGCCGCGCCTACCATGCCGGGGGCTAATACCACCAAGCCCAGTGGAGGATCCCTAGCAGTCCAGGGACAGCAGCAAGACGCGACGCTACTACACACACTACCATACGCGTCAATGATTGGGGTTGTGCTTCTCGGGATGGGATTTATGGCCTATCTCAACGGCTGGCAGCCACAGCCGAGACTGGACCGCTAGCCCAGGGGTTAGGCGACAAGTGCAGCCACCGGCGACGATACAATAAAAAGGGCGGCATTCTTGGCGGATGCCATGGCGCATACTCTCTATTGCATATTATGGCATGGCGCGAGCACGGGCATCGCGGCGATGGTTTCTGATATGATAACGATGAACTATCACAATTCCCACTGGCACCGTAATATTTCACTTGTTTGATGACTGGACATGGGCTTCATTCTTCACTGTTACAGACGGACTCGTTCACTTTTGCCTCTTTTCCTTTGTTCATATTCTCTGTGTCTGGTTCTTTAGCGAGCAGAAAGATTCTTTGTTGGGGGTGGTGTGTCGGGTACACCCAGAATGTTCAATTGGCGTTGTCCGCCTTCTTTTTTCCCAAGGACCAAAGCGGACTCTAACAGGCCACCTGCCGTATGTTGTCGAGGAACGGTCACACCCCTTGTGGCCATCTCCCGGTACTGCACATGGACGGAGAAGGCGTGATTACTCGCTGGCACTCACGACGGACACACACGCTCGGCGCTTTTCCTGTGGACCTGCTTCACCCGGCAAACAAGCAGTCAACCATATGTGTATAATGTTCAGTTTTCCTTTTGTGTGTTGTGGTGACTTAGGAGTCTTCATAGGCTAGGCCAAGATTTCAAGGGGCGTTGGGGGATGGCGTTGCTTTGTTTCTGAATTGATACTGCACTTCAAACCATGCTCTTTGTGGTCACTTACTTGCAACATCCAAGGACATGCGCGTAACGGCGGGGATCTCGGTATCCGTAAGTAGGTACTCTATGCGTCACTGTGCAGTTCGGACTGAGAACGATGTGGGCGTTTCGGTTCGTATGTCTTGGCTACGGCCTCGACCGCGCGACCGTCGACGCCCTGCCCCAGCGCATGCGAATCGCGCCCGGGTGGTATTCGCCGGGTCCTGGAGTGGAGTTCGCCTCTGCCGGCGTCTTGTTAGACGGCGGTGCGGTAATCCGTGCAAGCCATCGCCTTGCACGGGTCGCTCAGCGCCCCGGCCGCATATATCCAGGGTCAGGGTGCTCAACAGGCACTGGCATATCACGGTCGAGTCTCTGAACACCAGTACCTGACGAGCGGCCGGGCCCATAGTAGTCCGCTGAGGTATACGGCACTTGTGCGGGTTCACTGGTTACGTGGACCCGGAGAACAGGGTGTCACGTGGGCAACGAAGGTACTGCGCCGGCGTGTCTCGCGATTCAGCCGTGTACACCTCGCCGTGGGAAGGATTTCTGTGACGCCCTTGGTGGGACTATCAACGGCCGCCCAGTGCCTACTCTCATTGGCTGGATGGAGGCTTCTTGGGCATAAAGGGCGCAAGGGGTGTATTGCTACAGGGCGCGTGGACGAAATAAATACTGGCAACCTGACGATGGACATACCTTAGGTACTTGGGACATTTCTTAGCGGGTGCGCCGTGTAAAACGCTCATGGTTCCCGACATGTTTATTGAAAACTAAACAACCAAATGTTACCAAGTTTTCAAGTCTTATCTCAGCGCAGCAAACCACAATCCTTGTCAGCAGCTCTAACTTATAAACTCCTCACCTGATTATGCTCACCCGCTAAGTGGCGTGTCTCTTCTCTTGGGTACGGCAGCCCCTGGCAAACAGTGTCCATCACACTCAGCACCGCGCCGTCTCTGGACCTCGCAAAACCCACCCGGGTCAAAGTCCGATTCCCGCTCGGTCTCCTCGCGCACTTCGATCCCGCCGTCGACCTGAGCGCCGAGAGGGCCCACCATCTCCTGCACTGCACAGGGCCTGCCGCCCCCGTGGCTGCCGAAAAGCATAGCACGGCGCTATTTGGCTCGCCCGAGACGCTCTCGGACCCCTTCGTCCACTTGCTGGGGGGCTCTCGAGACGGGCCCGTCGAGTATGTTGCCTTCACGCTGGATCACAAGATCGCCCACGACGACCTGGACCCGTCTACCTGCGCGCCACGGGCAAGCTGGTATCCACGGATGGTAGGGTGGTGTTTGGGGTTGAGGAAGTGACGGGCCAGCGGCGCCAGACGCTGAATTACCGGCACGAGGTGGAGGAGGCGGACATGCGGAGGTCTTTGCTGCGGCCTGGGGAGGAAGAGGAGGAGGAGGAGGCTATCGGGGCAGTTTAGCATGGGGAGTCATTTCTGTTGCGTCATGGGAGTTTCACAAATGGCGGTGTTTTCAAGTTCAAGGGTATTTCACCAAGCCCCTGAGGGATCAATCTCAAACTTCTCAAGGATAGGGTGGAGTTAGGTTAAGGTACTCATTATTATTAAGGCACCCTAAAGTGATGCTACTGCTCTAATTCATGCCATCCTAGACTCCATCCCCCTCCCCCTCCAGTCCTTCATTGATGCATCACCCACCCTCTCTCCACAACAACAAAAGTCCTCAAGCTCCCGCTCCCATGCAGAACCCTCCAGTCAGTCCCCTTCACTGATGCTGATATCACCCACCTTCCCCCACAACAACAACAACAACAACAACAAAAAAAAAAAAAATATCCTCAAGCTCCCATATGCTTCAGAACCCCAGCCGCCCATCAACCTCCTTGACCGCCGCCTGGCAGCAACCCGCCTTCTTCGAGTGCGCGCCACAGTACGAGCACAGGAATTCCCAGCGACTGTTCACACCACTGCACTCACAGCACACCCAATCGGCATCCCGCGCGAGATAGGCACTCATCTCGTCCTCATCCTCGCCGGCAAGCCCGAGCGGACCGGCGCGGGCGATCTGGCATTGGTCGTTCACCCAGGCCGTGTTGGGCGGGATCATCTCGTTGTGCTGCTTGTGCTGCTGTTTCTGCATCAGCCGATGATAGTCCTCCTCGTCCTCGTCCTCGTTGCAGTTGATGCTTCTGATGCGGCTGGTGCGGGGGAAGGGATGGTAGGGATGGTGAGTGTCTTCTCTTGCAATAATGGAAATGGGCTTGGCGGGCACATAAGAATAGAAGGAGGTGGAGGTGGAGCTGATTGTGATTGTGGTGGTGGCTTGCTGGTGCTTCTGCTTACCGCCCAAGAGTGGTTCTTGTTCTCCCGTAAGGGGCTGTGGCTGTTGTTGCGTCTGGCTTTGCTCACTTTCCTGCTGTTTTTGGCCGAAGCAGGTGGTGATGAAAGCAATTGATCGCTTGATGCCGACCGCCAGGTCGGTAGCCAGGCGGACAAGGAGCGGCGCTTGGTCGAAGGATTGCTGCTTGAGGCCTGCGTGTGCCACGAGTTCCGCGTAGAAGGCTGCGCCGCCGTCGGTGCTGGCTACCTCGTTGTCATCGTCATTGTAGTTCGCCGATTCGACGCTCGGTTGAATGTCAACTTGGTGCTGTTCATCGACGAATTTCTGGATGTACGAGAACTCCCTTGCAGGAGCGGCCTTGCGCTGGCGCTGGCGTTTCAGGGCAAGCGTGAGCAGCGACTCGGTTTTCTTGAGCGGCGTGATGTCCCGTCGATGGAAAGAAAGCTCGCCCGCAGGAGGGCTGTAGTAGCCCGAGTCATCCTCGTCGTCGGTCTCGAAGACCGACTCCCACGAGGTGATTGAGCTGAGGGGTGCCGGCGCTGGTGTTTTGGGGAGGCCCTGGAAGGTGATTTTCTCCCGTTGCGGCGACAGCGAAGTATCGCTGCATGAGTCCGGAAGCTTGAACTTAACCATGATGGGTTATGGTTTGTTGATGAGTTGCGGAGTTCTGTGGCTCGTTGTTGTGAAAGTCTGTCGATGGTGTTCTCGATCGAGGCTCACAGATGTGTTTCTGCGGTCCTCCTGAGAGTTGTTTGGGAACATGAGAGAGCCCGGGAAAGGAAGCCATGTTGATGAAATTTCATGTGTTTAAATAGACTTTGGGCTACTTGGGACCAACAACAAGTGTGGTGTTCACTGGGCCTGTTCATGAGCGTTTCTGATACAGACGTGTTGTACAGTACAGATGTGAAGTTCAGAACAAAGGACGCCATCATCAACAAGGCGAAACCATCCCACTGCATACCTCTGGCCCTTATGCTGTCCGCTTTTTGATACTCTGAACAGGCTATGTGGGCATGGACAGTAAAGCTCATGGACTGACAGGTGGGATTAGTGGGATAGATGTTGTATTTCTCCGACCCGTACTTTGATATTGGAAATGGAGTCGTGTTCATGAAAGTCCATCTCTAAGATCCGAGTACAGAGGATCAGAAACGTGGGCGGCTTTGTCCTGCACATACCGGTACGCCAAACCTTGAGCCTCCCGTTAAGTAAGGCTGCAAGTATAGTTATGTACAAGTGAGAACAGTTGAGCTGTCAATTTCCGAGACGGCTGTTCGAGACCCGAAGCAACTTGAATGAGAAATCGAACAACAGATTCATATTGACCAAATATACGGTGGAGCCAAGTAACTTCACGAGGGACTCGATCTACCAGTCAGGGTTTTCAAAGCAGGTGAAGAGACTCCCTCTTTCTTCTCTAGAACGCTTGCTAGTCTGTAGATAACAGCGAGCCGCTAAAATTCTACAGGGCCGCCTTCTTTGCGAAATTCTCAGGACCGTCTACCTGCTCTTCTTGACCCGTAGAGCTCTTGTCCCGAGGTCCTGACAGATCCGCGTTATCTTCAGGGCGGGACTCAACAGCAGCTTGGTCCGCCTCTGTTTCTTTGCCCCCTCCGTCGTCTCCAGCAGAAACAGGGGCTGATCTGCCCTCCTCATTCTGCTTGGTGACCTTTTTCTCCGCACCATCCTTGCCCCCCTTATCACCGATATGGAGCACTTCCTCCACCTCGTCCGCGAGCTTGCTAACCTCATCATGCAGAGCGGCCACCCTCTTCTTCGCTCCTTGCAGCTGCCTCTCGGCCTCTTCTTCCCCCACCAAGTCCCTCCACGTCCTCTCCAACTCATCCTTCCAGCCCAGCTCATCCGCTAGCTTCCTCACCCCGGCATCGCAGTCCTCCAGCACCAGCACGTCGTCCGCCTGCGTGCCAAACGACCCCACCCGCTCCAGATTGAACAAGACCCTCGGCACCTCTTCGTCGGCCGTGTTCGGCAGCCCCGCGAACGGGTGCACCTTCAGACTCGTCCCCATGACCAGAAGCAGATCGGCCTCCTTGACCATATCCATCCTCTCAAAGAACAACCGCGGCAGCGCCTCACCAAAGAAGACGATATCCGGCTTGACCAACCCGCCACAGCCAGGCGTGCTCTCGCACCGCGGCACCTCGCCGCGGGCCACACACTCCTTCATCTTGGCGTCGTCGAACGGCGCCTTGCACTCGACGCAGCGCTGCGTGGCGAAGCTGCCGTGCGCCTCGATGATCAGCTCGGGCGGGATCCCCGCGGCGCGCTCCAGGCAGTCGATGTTCTGCGTGAAGAGCTGGTGCAGCAGGCCCTTGCGCGCGAGCAGCGCGATGAAGACGTGTGAGACGGTCGGCCGGTAGCGCACGCCCGGGTACAGCTCCTTGGCCAGCGCGTAGAACGGCCGCGGGTTAGACTTGAAGAAGGTCAGGTCGAAGACCGCCTCGGGCTCGGGGAGGTCCAGCGCCGCCAGGTTGGCGTAGAGGCCTGTTTCCGGGGAGCGGAAGTCGGGGACTGGGGGAATGGTGGTTTTAAGTTAGTAATTAGTAGCAGGGCTCCAGGGACCAAGGGAGGGGGAACGGGGGGAGCGTACTCCCTGCTGCGGTGGAGATGCCTGCGCCGGTCAGGACGACGATGCGGCGGGCGCGGCCCGACTTGATGAACTCGGCCACGGCGGCCAGGCTGCGCTCAGGCAGCGTCACAGGCGGGGTGTCGTCGTCAATGAGGGACTGTTCTTGGCCCATTTTGCGCTTGTTCCGTTTGCCTTTGTTCTTCTTTGGCTTCCTGTGCTGTCGCTTGCCTTGGACGCTGAAGTCGCCGAAATCAGAATCGCCGTCAGCGTCGTCAACACGGTCAAGTCCGCCGAAGTGCTTGCTCTTTCCTGGGCGCGGGGCCCCGAAGTGCTTGCGGCCTATGGTGGCGAGGCTGCGGCTGTGCCGTCGGTGATGATGAGACTGAGGGGTGGGAAATCGAGGAATGAAGCGTCAGAATTCAGATAGGCGTGGGAGATGGCGAAGCTTCATCAATCACACACTGTACTGTGGTTAACAGTGTGTTAGAATGACGTTGATTGCGAGAAGCGAGAGTCGGTAGGTGAAAGAGTCAGGCTCAGATCGGCATCGATGTGTTACATCACTGCCCGGTGACAAACAACTTAGTATTTACGTACCCAGGTCTTATCGGCAAGGGAATCAAACGGAGGACGGTGGGGCAAACTGCAAAGAGCGTCAGGGTTAGGGCTGAAGCTGGATGTTACAACACTTACACAGTAGACGGTTCGATCCCTGAGCCCCCTGAACTCCTGGCAAGGCTTAGGATAGGTAAACAGAGGTAGGTATGTGGCCGTTAGCATCTTGCTGTCGCTGAGCTTCTTAAAGCTTGGTTCAAAGAGGCGAGAAAAGAACCCGGTATTCGTGGGTTGGAGCTGCTGGTTATGCGGTGTCATCGGGACCGGTAATCACTACGTAGAGTGGCGCGGGATGTGTAGTGTCTTGAACATAATCAAGATCTTAACTCAAGTCTGTTTGAGCTGTCGGGTGATTGGAATCCTGCGCAACTGTAACCTGCGAAGCTCCCAGGGTTCGTTTTGAGCTCTCTCCTACTAAGCTTGCGGTTATTTCTAACATATGACTTTCTGAAGACCACTCGGTAGTACGACCAACTCAGTAACGAAGGGCGAGGGCTGAAAGTCTTGTTTTAGCCAAGCTAACTAGACGATGAATGTGGTCCTTGTGGGGAAGAAGTCAAGAATGCCAGGTAGCTTGGATATAGAGACAACTCGCAAATGGAACGGTCGTCTTTAACATGAGTCGTAGCCCAGGTATACCTCCATGCATCCAGTCTCAATTTGTATTGCTACGCAGCTGAAGCTGGTGAACGACGAGCGATCCCGAGAGTGTGGTTTGAAATATCTTCACACTTGAGAAACGGGGACACTCTGAATCTGCCATCGAAGACGGCCGTGTGGTAGTCGAGAAAAGGACCTCGAAACAACAAAGGAAATCAGACTAATTAAGAGGTGGAAACGTCTCTGTTTCCTCGGCATCTACCTGAACGCAGTCAAGCCAGGGCCGCTACCAGCCAATACAAGCTTTTTCTCAAGGCAAACTCCTCCCTTGCCTGGTGGCCTGTCCAACCTGGGATTGTGTCGTGTCCTCGGCATACCGCTTATACGCCTCAATGTATTTCTCATCATCACTCCACGTCGCCTTGACACTCTCCCTATTCACGACTGCCTCAAACCAACGCTCCCATCGCGCCCACACTTCCTCATTCTCTCCCCTCTCTCCCTTTTTCGGAATGCCCACCCCACCAGGCTTGTAATGATCAATCAAAAACAGCCTCTTAGCCCAGGGAGCAAGCATCACATCCACCATGCTGAACCGGGACCCCAGAAACCAGGGCCCGTCAGCAGCCCCCAATGTCTCCCCAGCCGAGTCGAGCATCTCCTGCGCAAAGTCCCTCAGGCCCTTGAGAAAGTCGGCACGCGCCTCCTCAATCGGATACTCCTTCTCAGGCGTGTGCTGCAGGAGCCGATAGAACACCGGCACGATCTTGGTCACGATGTGGTTGATCCACAGCCGGCACCGCGCCCGCTCAAACACGTCTTCACGACGCTCAGAGGGCAGCAGCCTCGGCCCGTACGGGTCCTCATCCGCGAACGCCTCGTCCAGGTACTCGCAGATGACGGTGCTCTCGTACAGCGCGCGCTTCTCCCCGCCGTCCGCATGAGCCACACTCAGCGTGGGCACCAAGCCCCGCGGGTTGAGCGCGAGCAGCTCGCCTTCCTTCTTGTAAGGGTTCACTTCGACGTACTGGTGCGGGATCTTCTTCTCGACGAGCACGATCCAGGCGCGCTGCACGAAGGGGCAGAACCAGCCGCCGTAGAGCTTGAGCGGCCGCGGGGCGGCGTGGCGGGCCGCCAGCTCTGCTGCGGCGCCTGTTGGTTGGGGAAGTAGGGAGGTGTCGATTGAGGCCATTTTCTCTTTCTTCGATTTCGGCTTCACTGTTGACGGTTAATACCTGGTAATTATGTGAGAGAAGGGTGAGATTCGATTGCTTTGCTTTGAAGGGTCAGGGGTTTGTTGGTGAAGGATGCGGGCAACGAATGACGTGATGCTGCAGAAGTGGGGAAGCCCCGAGCCATACAACAACTTCTAGTTGAAGATGAGCCGCAGGTTGGTCGATTGGTTGATTAGGTAGCATCATATGTGTTCACTGAGCTCAGTATTAACAAATCCCCTAATATATCGCGGTGTTGCTGGCCCGCATCTGTTATTATTACATCAGGATCTGAAGGAAAGTACCGTGGGTGGGTGGCCAGCCTCAAGAATCTCTCACGTAGTACGGTACAATACATACTTGACACAACCATCACAGTCTACCACAGCGCCATCGTCACCCAATCCACGCGAACTAAACAGCACACACTCACCCGTACCAACGCGCAGTGGTGTTCGTAGTCTCCGTTGTCATGGTGTCCCGGCCAAAATACGCCGGCCTCGGCGGCTCCGGCACCCTTCCACCACCGGCAAGATGAGGCAGTCCCGGTCTCGGGAGCGTCGCCGAAGGGGGCATCTGCGGGGTCGGCGGCATCTCGGGACCGTTGGGCTGCGTCGGAGTCTTCACTTCGCTCAACCACTGTGTCACTGGTACAGACACAGCCACAGGTGGAGGTGCGGGTATGGGCGGGCCCGCCAGCGCCACGTACGCCTTCTCATCCATGAACGCGTTTGTCTGCTGCTGCTGCTGCTGCTGCGGCAGCTTGGTCGGTGCGAAAGCCCCTTCCATGTCGTTTGTGCCGTTGTCGGCCGAGTAGGCGGCTCGCATGAGTTCGTCCATGATTTGGCTGTTGGTTTTGACATGGTCCTGCCCGCCGACTCTGCCTGGGAGTGGGCCGCCGATGGATGGGGCGTTGGAACCGCCATCATCGTCTCGGAGTCGGAAGCGCTTCTCTGGGAAGAAGGGCAGGCCGCGGTCGCGGCGCCGTTTGCGCCAGAGCAGAGCTGCGCCCACTAGGAGGGCGACGAAGGCTGCAGCAGCGTTAGTAAGCAGTTAGACTAGCGAGACCGGCGAAGGATAAATTCAGGTGCATACCCAGGACCCCGATCACTATGCCTGCCACAGCTCCAGAGCTGAGCGTGTTCCGTGAGGAAGGAGCCACAGCAAAGTCGCTTTCCTCGCGTTCGTGTGCGTGGCGGTCGGGTGGTGGCTGGCGATCAGGCGCTGGGCGATCGCCGGGATCCCCGGACTGCGCAGCGCCGGTTGCTGGTAGCGAAAACGAGGGTCCGCTTGTTGCTGATACGACTGATGTCGCTGCTGATGTTGACCGCGCCGTCCGCGTGAGGGAGGTAACGAGTTCGTCCAGACTTGTGCTCGTCGACGAGTGTGGCAGAGGTGTCAATGTGATGATCTCTCGCTCCGTTGCACTCGACGTGGGCGTTGCGGTGGCCGAAGCACTCGTCGACTCATCGTCTGACTCCTCGCCATCGGACTCGGGCCCATCGGACTCGACCTCCCCATCGCCTGCCGCAAGCTGCGAGCCGCCTGCAGTCAGTTTGGCCCCTGCGGTGGGCAATAGTACCATCCCGCTCCCAGCCTGAACTCCCACGGACGCCGAGACAAGCGGTGGGGCGACGGTCTTGGTAGGTTGGGCGCTGGACTCATCGTCGGATTCCTCCCCCGAGTCGGAGGATTCGTCGCCCGAAGTATCGGCGTCGTCCGAAGAGTCGTCCAATTCCTGGCGTCGAGCAAGTCGGGCAGCTCGCCTCTCGGGGCTTCTCATCTGGAGCCAGGCATGGTTCCGCCGGCGGAGAGTCGGACCTGTCACCTTCATGCTTGTCGTCGTGGCCAATTTCCAACCTCAAAAAAACGCACTTGGAGCGCAAGAGAGCAATCTTGGGTCATCGGCTCCTGTCCGAGCTGAGAGATCGCACGGAGAAACGAAGAGAAGAAAGGCCAAGCACACACCCAACGCCAAGATTGCAGACCAGCTGCCCTTCCGAAAAGAGTCAGACGAGAAGAAGAAACAAGAGAGGTAGCGGTCTGATCTTCTCCCAAACGGAGCGGCGCCAAGGACAGGTCATAAAGTATCCGCTCGCAGGCGCTCGGGGAACGGCGACGCGTAAGCAATTCTCTCAAGCTTCCAACCCATCCCTCCACATGTTTCCCCCTTGGGCTCTCAGCCCCCTTGCATCTACGCACGCAGCCATACGGGGCATCCCGTGTCGAAGCCCCGTTGCAAAAGGAAAGGTGGTCAACCCAGCAGAGCCAATCGTCAATCTCAGCGGCGATCCCGCTGCAGGACCTCTCCCGGACGCCGCTGTGTCAGGCCGGGATACGCTGAGACGGCTGTCCGCCGCCAAGAGAAGGCGGAGCCAGGGAGCGTTACCGCGCCGGTGCTTCTCCGGGCGACGAAGCCCAAATCTTGCAAGGTGCAGGCGGCGATCCGACTTCGATCGGCAGGCGGAGATGTGACAGGGAAAGAAACCGATCATGCAACATCCTGTCAGGTTTCGTCGCAGTTCGCAGGCGCTGATAGGTTGGCTTTTGCAGGTCCCACAGCCGACACTTTACCGCCGCACACGACCACTTGCTGTGTATGGAATTTGCGGAAACAGACTTCCACCAATGTCCAAACACTGACCGACCTTTTCGCCCGTTGTTTGATAGCCCGTGATCATATTGCTATTCTCAGCATACGGACCCATACTCTGCTTATGAAAGTACGGGTAGGATCATGCTCTAGAGGATGGCACTGCGCAACTCAGAAATTCCAGCGTAATATTGCCATTGGTTCAAGGCAAGATTATGTATATATCATTACCTAGGTACGTATGTCAACCTGAATCCCAGTGAGTGGTTAAGGTGCTTATAACCAGACACTCAACTGAATTGGCTCGATTGGACACTTCAAGTGCAAGTCGAGCCGAGTGGGCAGGTGGAACCGAAAGCTTCCCCTGCCCCTCGTGCACTGATTCGATGCAACCGAATTTCAAGAAACATCAAACGAATCTGAAATCTGGGTATCCTATCATATTCCGAATGCCACCTGCTGCCCACTTTGCAGCTCCCTGCAGCACCAGGTATCTTCTCCTTTCTGGAATTTGGGGTGTTTCTTACATCATGACAACTGAAAGCTACCAGTACCTGAGGTCCCTCATCAGGCACTCAGCTTCACTCTACCTACCTACCTACGGTAGGCAGTGTATTAGAGTTACAGGGCCGCACATTCTCGTTATGTATAAAACGCCAAGATACCCCCCTGAACTCGGCAAAGTCTCAGATGGTGGCAGACGAAGCCAAGTATGATCAAGCTTCGGGCAACCCGATACTCAGAATCTCGGCTAAGATTGGCCTGATAGGCTGATAGAGACTGTCGCAGCAACATCTTTGGCACGCTGATCCAATTTATGTAGGGACCGAGGCAGCGGAATGAGTTGGAGTTGTGAAGGGGACGGCTACGAGAGTACATATGCAAAACCTATTATAGTCCTACCTGATTAGTTTAGGTAGATAGAAAGAGTGGAAGAATCACTGGCAATCATTCAGCTCCCAAAGACATGCCTGTTCGGACTTTCGGAGGGAACAAGAGCAAAAGTGTAATGTACAACGGGGCCACCCGGGGATCGAACCCGGGACCTCTCGCAATGATGCTTCGGGTTGGAGCCCTAAGCGAGAATCATACCACTAGACCAGCGGCCCTTTTGAGTTGTTGATCCTTATTACCAAATGCTGTTACTATCAAGGCTCTAGGTAAGCGAGGTTTGAAATTTGACCCATTGACTAAGTTTGTCAAACTGAGATGTCTTGAAGAAAATAGTTGATTTCCAGATTGTAGCTACTGCTTAGCCGTAATGGCAGAGGCTATGATGATGCGCGTATGCTAAGTGCTGGCCATGCTCTATGTGCCGTGGTGTGCCGAGGCATATGAAGCCAAGTGAGATTACTTCAGGTAGGTATACTGAATATTCTATACGTCTCGCCAGTGTCAATACTCTACCTGAGTCACACTACTATTGGGGACGATGACGAGATAGGGGCTGTGTGAAGGGAAACGGGTCTCGTCAGTGCGTGGTCCTAAGGAACGCAGCAAGAAAGGCCGACTGCCGCTGCCAAAGGCATCTGTACCGGAGGACTGAAAACTATCTAGGAATAGAAGGAACGTGCTCTTGAAAGCTTTAGTTACATATCGATTGTGTAGCCTACTATAAAGTTACCATAATTCAGTGTAATGTGGCACTGCCCTGCCTCGAGATTCGACTACAAGATAACAAGCCCTGCTGCTGCTCGTGTAAGTCAGTCCGAAGTCTATCTGCTACGAAGCATAAGTTGTTCGTGTTTGCTTTGGTGTGTGCCCAATTACTCTGTATGCCTGAGCCTATGTACTTGTTCATCGCTTCCTCTCCGCGCTCTGTTCATATTGTGACACAATGTTCAGATGGAACAGATGAGCTGTTTATACCCGTGGATACCTTGTTCATCTTTTAATAGCACTGATATAAAACCGACCTCTGCGAATTTCAAAGTTACCTACAATTTCGGCCGCACCATTTAACTTGCAGCCAAACCAACTTCTTATCAATCAGTATTCAAGAATTTGGACTGAGTCAAGATCGTATCAGCCAAAAGACGTTACCTCTTCTCAAGCAAACGGTCGCCACCTACTGCAGACTCCTCACATTTTCTTACTTGTCCATTTCTGAGTTTTGTCGGAATGGCCGAGAAAACGGACAATAAAGACAGCAGGCAAGCCGTCGCCAACCGACGTCGCCATAGTAAGCATCTTCCTTCCCCTTCACGACAGTCTACCATGCCCTGTCAGTATAGCCCCCGAGATCCCTGCAGTAAGCTAACAACGCCAACTACAGCAAATAAGCTCACGCTTGACCTCATCCGCTCGGGAACCCCGTCCGCCTTCAGGGAATTAGCCCGCCGCGCCCTCGAGGCGCACCAGCAACAGGGTGAGACACTGCCGATGATCCGGACACGCTTCCTATGGCAGCTACACCACAAGAAAGATTTGATGGAGGTTCCCAAGCGGATAATGCAGGCAGCAGTCGAGATCGCCGAAAAGCGTCTGATCGAGGCTTCGGATGCACGCAAGGACCTGGGGGTGTCCCTTGATGACGACAACGAGAAGTCGGAGAGTGCCGGTTGGCTCACTTTGGAGAATACACTCGAATAGTGAGCCCTGGGGAAGATCGGGCAAGACGGGCACAACCAACGATCCAGACGAGCCGCGCAGGAACGAGGGTGCCCATGAGGGAGACCGCGGTGGGACCGTGGGAGTTCGGGAATTCGATGGTGGAAGCAACATCATCGGGAGGTTGATGCGGATTGTGGACGAGGAGTGGGACTCTGGGAGTACAGCATTCGGTTCGGGGGCGTGTATTAAGACGACTCTGCCGGCGAATAATAGACAATGGACAAGAACGGGTGATGGAGGCGGCAGGGGCAACTTATACGTTTATCCCTTGGGCACAACACATAATTTTTCGAGAGGTCAGGGTCCTCACCGACCAAGCCGGATATCAGGTTTGGTAATTAACCTTTTTTTGAGGAGATTATGCCGTCAATCATTCGCTCATTCACAATAGACCATGTTCTCGCATCCCATCATATCGTACAGCCGTGCCTCAGTTTGTTGAACCCCTTCCGCCCTGATCTTTTCCTTCGACCTTTCCGGCGCTGGCACTCTTTTCCGCCAGGCCCTTCCCACTCTCGTACTCGGGCATCGGAGCCGCCTTGTCGGCACGAGCGACGCGAGTGCTCTAGGAGGATTGTTAGGGATCAACGCGCAAGGAGGGATTGTAAAATTATGCAAACATACCTCTGGCTGGCCCGCTCCGTGGATGATGTTGTGGCCGGCCTCGACCGCGTTGTCTCCTGAACCGTCTCCTTGGCGAGGCATGATGATGGCTTGAAATTGAGGTTGAATGAAGTTAAGTCGGACTGTCGAATATCAAGAGTCGTTTTTTTTCTTGGGTTATTGGCTCTGCTCTGCTATACAAAATAGAACCACCTTTCGGATCAGGGGAAGCAACTTATATCTGCCGACTGGTCGATCTCTGTGACATCATCGGGGACAGTCAGTGGGGCCGCTCCAGGCCCGACTCGGAGCCGGCCCCACGGCACGGGTTCCACCGGAAGCTCCGCGTGATATTGGCATTTTGCGGGGCTTAGGTCTGACGTCAAGCGTACTCCAGCAAAAACGACAAGTACTCCATGCTCGAGCAATCCCCGTGACAAGGCACTTCTCAGGCACGCCGCGAGAAGATACCTGTGTATGTGCACGTGATGTGGTGTAGACTATGCAGCGGAGCCGGAAGAGATCAGGGGCGGTGCGAACTAGTGGCTTGGAGTGAGTTGGTTGGTTGGTTTGGCGATGCTGGTGGGTGAGGGAGAGGAGCAGGAAGCGAGCGCGCGGTCGTGGGATTGTGTCCAATGTGTCTACAACCAGCACGGTTCGCCAGGCGAGTCTGAGGAGGATATCCCCAACTTCTATGCCCGAGCAGAGCATGTGGAAAGAGCAGCTCGGGAAATGGACTCTAGAGATTGACCAGACCGAGAAGCAGGGAAGCAAATGATCGACGTCTGGTTGACTCGGACTCTACATTACGGTAAGGTATCACTCTCTATATGCAGGCGTTTCCCTTCCCTCCGTCCAACTCCCCGTCTATCCCCATACCTGTCTATCTCACTATATCCGTCTCGCTACCCGCGGCCGCTAGAGCTTGAACTTCTTCGCGAGCTCGATTCCTTCGGCAAGGTTCGCTATCCGTGCGTCGATGGCATAACCCTCGGCCTCGAGTCTTTTGCACTCCTCCCAGAGCGAGTCCAGTCTGACGAGAAAAACCTCAATGAATTCGTTCTCTTCAAGTTCGGGCTTCAGATCTTGGTTCTCAGGAAGACTCATGTCAACGCTGACGTGAACCATGCGCAGGTTGGTGTTGCAGAAGCCAGGGTCTGCCGCATCGGTCAGAGGAACGTAAAGTTGGGGCAGCCGGTGCAAGACTAACCGTTGAACATGATGGGCGAAGTCTCGAGCACCTCGGCTACATAGCCTGTCTCCTCCTTAAGCTCTCGGATCGCCGCCTGCTCCGCCGTCTCACCTTCGTCGACGAGCCCTGCAGGGAGCTCAATGACGATCTTGTCCAATGGTGGACGGTACTGTTTCTGAAGCACAATTTCTGGACCTACAATGCGTTGTCCGTTCAGTACGGGACTCGCGCGGACGGAAGTAGCGGGGCACGTACCGGTTTCTTTCTCTAAAATGGCGACAATCCCGACACCATCGATTTCGCTGTCCTTTGGCCGTGTGCGCCGCTCGGCCGACTCCCACGTCCGCTTTACGCCATTGGGGTCTCTGTATGTCTTCCTTGAGGTCTGTCAGCTCTGCATGCACCGGGGGATTTATTTACTACGACAGGAGGCCTGCTTACTTCACAAGCTTTGTCCACACCGCCTCGCTCTCGAGCTATATGCATAGGTTAGCATCTCTGATCAAGACTGTGGCGGGGTCCGCTGCTTCTGTGGTCGACGTACAAGGGGCTCCGTAAGTATGACCTTGGCTTCACCTTGAGACATGGTGCTTGCGCTTTTCAGTGAGCACAATGTCCAGAGTAATTGATCTGTTGATGATGTAAGTCACAATTCGGAAGCACCGATTTCCATGAAATCAGATTTTTGTTGGGTACCTGTACCTATCGCGTGACTGGACACCGCCGGTTTGGAAAGGCCGGGAGCCGTGGGCCCGTGGCATGGGCCGCACGGCCGCGCCCGGCTCCGTTGTGGGTCCCAACCTTCTCAGTCAGGTTACGGAAACAGCAGGGCAATGTAAATACGGACCCTGGAAGTTAAAATCACCGGTATTATACGGAACACGAAACCATGGGTGGCATCTCTGAAAGTAAGTACCTAAGGTATACAGTACATACAATCCGTCCCTTAATCTGACCGCAGCAAAGTTTGCATTTCACCTGATTTCCCGGTAGGGGATTGAATGAGAACATGGCTACCTAAGGTACCTAGGTATCCAATCGCATGTGCAAACCTGATGTTGGGTATAAGTCGCTGCTTGGCCCGCCCGGTAACCGAACCAACCAATAGCTCCTTGTAAAAGGTTGTAAGGCAATGCTGCGCGCTGACGTGTAGCTTCTGCAGCTTGCGAGGCATGACTAGGTAACTAGCAGACGGGAATGGGAGTTGCATGGGTATATCCTCATTCCATACGTTCCCATCCATTTCCGTTCTCGATTGTTTGAGTTGTAAAGTCTAGTCTCTAGACTCCTTCACATGTAAGGTAGGTAATTCTGGGCGGACGCTGAGACCTGGGCGGAAGTACGGTAATTCTTGCGTATCGAAAGGTTACTGGGTATGAACTTGGATACCGTGTATTGGGTGAGGACGCCATCCTGTACTTACGTACCCGCATGTAAAGTGCGCGCATTCCTGCACCAAGTCTTGGAACTTACGGGGGATCTTTACAAAGTTACGCATGTGCATTAGTAAGGTACCCACGTTGGCGCCCCATTTCCGTACAACTGTACATTACAATGATACAATACTGTATACTAATGTTACATACATCTAGTAGAACATCATCAATTGTGGTGCAGCCGGGCCGCAGCTGTGCCGCACGACAAAGCCATAAATTGGCGTCCCGGCCCGTGGACAAGAACTTGGAACTGATGCAGACTCTTGCAGAGAAATGGTTATAGGAACTTGAAGCCAAACCGGATCGTCGAACCGGATTGCTATCTGGGCTTCGACCTGCCCTTCTCGGCGATAGTTCTCTTTTCGGAAGCCTCCTTTGGACGGTTAAATTACCAAGCTTAACCCGCGATTACGCGGACACCAACTTCGTGTCTGCTCCGAGTTACTTGCAAGTTCACTCGCATCATCTACATCATCTTCCGCCACGTCCAATACCCAATCTTTTCTGCAGTGGCTGCTCCAATTCCCATCTCCCTCCACTCCTCCCCCCCAAATTATTACATTAGTCCATGCACCATCCCAATGAACAGGTAATGCCAGTGTTTCCAGCACTACAATCAAGTCAACGCTCTCGTACTACTTCGGGCCCACCATGACCAGGACATCCGGCGGCCGCTCCGTCGACCGCATCGACACAGCTACGGAGGCCGACACGGAGCGGACCCCGCTGCTCGCCGGAACACCCACCCCGACGGCAACAACACCCCCGTTTCTCCAAGAAGAAAGCAGCACCGCCACCACTGCCACCTATATCAATGACCCGGAAGACGACAACCGCAGCAGCCCGGCCGATGCAGACCCCCTAAGCCACCTCCGTGCCGCACTCCGTCCGCGCGTGATCCTCCTCTGCTTCGTCCTCATCTTCCTCCTCGAGCTGGGGATCGGCATGGCCGTTCCCCCGATCAACGCCGTCATGGAGAGCATCATCTGCCGGCAGATGCATCCAGACGCCTTCTCACCCCCTCCTCCTCGTCCTCCTCTTTCTCCTCCTTCTCCTCCGGATATTTCCCCTCTTCCGCCACCTGGCACTGGCACTGGCATTGGCAGCAACAACTTGGCAGCTCGCCTGGCGGAGCACATCATCCGCCACTACGCGGGCGGCATCGTCTTGTCGGACGACCCGATCTGCAAGAGCCCTGATGTGCAGGGGTACCTGGCCATGCTGCGCGGGTGGTCCAACACGTTCGAGTGCATCCCCGGGATTGTGGGGGCGGTGCCGTACGGGATCCTGTCGGATCGGTGGGGGCGGCGGCCGGTGTTGGGGTTGTCCGTCTTTGGCATTGTGCTGTCGTATGTGTTCATGTATGCTGTCTGTGAGTCTTCCTCCCCCCGGTAATGATAGGAGGGGCAAAGCGCTGATTAGACGGGCTAGTTTACTTTTCGAATGTGGTGCCGTTGTGGATGACGTGGTTTTCGTCGGCCTTCCAACTGTGAGTCTTTTCCCGTTCTGGGGGAGGAAGGCAAGGGGTGCTGATGGTATCCCTAGGATCGGTGGCGGCGGCGCCATTACGGTAGCCATGGTCTACACAATCCTCGCCGACGTCATTCCCATCAGTGAGCGTGCGACAGTCTTCTTCCAGATCAGTGCCGTCTTCCTCGCCTCGCAGATGGTCGCCGGTCCGATCGGCGGTGCGATGCTAGTCTGGGGCCCGTGGACACCGCTCCTCGTCGGTTTGGCTGTTCTTATTGTCGCCAACCTCGGCGTTGTGTTTGTGCTCGAGACTATGCACGTCCATGATCGGAAGAGGGTGGAAGAGGATGGCGAATGGGACGGGCACGGCACGTCGAAGGCGACTAGTCTCTGGCAGAAGGCTTGGGCTGGTCTCGCAGAGGTGTGGGATTTCATCCTTGGCAACAAGAGTCTGGCCTTCCTGATGGTGTCCCTCGTCTTTTGCATTCTGGGCCGTTTTGTTGGAGAGCTACTGCTGCAGTACGCAACGGACCGATACGGCTGGAGTTGGAGCACGGCATCGATGGTTTTGACCATCCGTAATGCCGGAAGCCTGGTGACGCTCCTTTGCCTGCTGCCTGTTGCCGGTTGGCTCTGTGTCCAACGCCTTGGCATGACGGCCGTGGCCAAGGACCTCTGGCTGGCGCGATGGTCCGGCGTGACCCAGATTCTGGGGAGCTTGCTGATCGCCGCGGCAGTCAACGGAGGACTCTTCTCGTTCGGACTTATCTGGCTCGCCATCGGCTCAGGCATGACGGCGCTTATTCGGTCCTTGCTCAACGCGCTCGTCGAGGAGCATCACGTTGGCACTGTCAACTCGCTCGTGGGCTTCATGGAGATGGTAGGTGGGACCGCTGCAGGGCCTCTGTTGGCTGCGAGTCTCAGGACTGGCCTCGACCTTGGTGGAGCTTGGATAGGCCTGCCGTTTATCACATCCGGCTCGTTCTTCATGGTTTCGGTGACGATATTGTGGGTGTTCAGGTTACCGAACGAGACAGGATCACCGGTTGAGCCTCCGTGCTGAGGTGTCATTTACACTGCGAGGAAACAGCAACCATGATCTCTCTCCCTTTTTCGGCTGAAGAGGGCGGTGGCTTTAGAAATGCGCTGCCGGGGAGCAGACCTCAAGGTGGTCCCAACGGAAGCCAGGCTATAAGAGTAGTAGTGTCGGGTATCTTTTCTGAATGACTCGAACATGGTCAGTATAAAGCACACCAACGCAGCAAGATATGGACCTCCGAATATACTATGAGCATTACCTACCGTAACTTCCGTGCCAAGTCGCCCGATGGTCAATCACCCGCCTGATGTCACCACCATCCCCTAAAGTCAACACTGATGCAACCAGAAACGATACACGTAGAGACCTTACTCTTGCCATCGACATACCCGATTGCGAACCCGGTTGACATACCATAGCGGACAGGGCTATCATGCACGCGCATGTGACTACAGGCACTTGGAATAGGGTAATTTGAGGTCCCCGAATCTATGGAACTACGTAAAATAGCCCAAAAAGCCCAGAAAATGCTGTTTTGGCCAGTTTGATACGTTTTACCATATCTGTTTGGCTGCCCGGCCTTTGTTGTTCTTACCTGTGCCGTCAAATGCAATGCCAAGAGGACTTCGTGGTTTCCGCCCACAGCCTCTGTAGTGTAAGAGAACGATCGCCGGTGATGATTGCGATCGCTCTCCTCTTCCAGCTTGAACTTATAAACGAGCACGACTGAGCGCGTTCACGTCACACTGAAACGATGGCGTTCATGAAAGACATCAAATTTAACTCAAAAGGGCAGGCACCCCTCTGCCCCTGAAGGGCTCGCTAGTGCAGGGGTGCCATTTTCGCTTCAAATCTGCGCTAGGCGAGCGATCAACCCCCACAGCCAATTCACGAATGGTTCCCCAAATTGGATACGAGCCCATGTCTGTTTTGTCTCCAGCTTCTTCACTTCTTCTGCTCTCCTACCGGTGGTCGCCGCTGTCGTCGTTCGTTCTCAGCCTGCCTTTGCACTGTCGTTCTTTTCTTTTTCTTCGTTTCGATTTTTAGTCGGCCAAAAGCCATCTGAGCATTCCTTCAAGAACCCCACATCTACGAGCCCCTTTTCGGACTGGGCGCTGCAGGGGCCTTCATTCAGCTCCCGTCGGCCCTGCGCAGTACAGTACAGCCAGACCAGACCCCTCGTGGACGACGTTGGAAGCTCGGAGATGTCGTTGGCCTGAATTGTCGTTGCCGTCACCGCGACAACATCCGTTCTTAATACTAGTAGCTTAGCAATAACCGGCTACGGAAACTATTTACAATGTTGGCGACATGAGACTGCCTCGACGCTGGCATGTGATGTGCTAACCGTCCCGCAGTTAATGTCTTAGACTAAAACCTAGTCAACTGCTCACCATGGTTTCGTTCTTTGGTCTAAGGTTCGGGGACAAGAAGAAGTGAGTGGCTCGATGATCTCGCAAGGAGGACCAACCGCGAACCGCTTATGCCATAGGAAGTCCGACGGCAAGCCTGCCCCAGGGAAGCAATTTCAGCCCCGAGACCAGAACAGTGTGGGAGAGGGACAGCTATTTGGGCAGAGCATCAACCGAAAAGGCGTCGTCAATGGCAGCAACGTGTCCGTGTCGCGGGCAGGGACGCCCAACCAGGGCGGCAGCGGCAAGTCCCCGTACGCGCTCTCTGATACACACAACCTTGCCGCTGCCAGCATGTACAACCTGAGCACGCTCCGTCCTGGCCACAGAGGCAGCCAAACGAGCCTTCACCTCAAGATGCATGCCTCCGATGTGAATTTACGAACTCGGTTCGGCGCGAACAACGGGTCGTCGGCGAGTTTGGCCGCCCCGGCACCTGGATTTGGGGCGCGTTTCGGCGCAAACAACGCATCATCGCCGACCCTGGCAGCCCCTGGCCCCGGATTCGGATCGCGGCCAGGGACGCCCGGCAGGACCAAGCCTTGGGTGAATCCGTTGGATGTTCACTTTGCGCGCAGTGCGCCTTCCGGCCCGCCAACACCGCGGTCTCCGCTCATCGGGTCACCGCAGCTCCCGCCCACCCCGACCACGGACAACGGGGACTCTGGATCAGTGTTTGGCGAGGAGGCGGACGAAATGGTGGACGCCGTCATGGCCTCGGTCAAGAAGCGGGAGGAGGAGGCGAAGCGAGCAAAGGAAAGGGAGAAGGAGTTGGAGAGACAGAGAGAAACCGCTCGGTTGGAGATGGAAAGGCTGGAGAGACAGAAGTCTACGGAGAGCAACCTGTCAGGTCGGCGACCCTCAGCACCACAGGTCCAGAGTGCGCCGCAGCAGACAGACCCAGAGGCACCGGTCCTGCCAAGTCTCGTGTCCAGAGGCGATGAGGCGAGGCCGAGTAGCCGCAATGGCCCGGCCACGCCCCTGCGCCCACCTCCACTGCATCAAGGACCCCCTCCCACGGCCGCTCCGACGCAGTGTCTACCCCAGCCCCCAGGGCAAAACTCACCCCGACATGGACCTTTAGGGCTAGGAACACGGCCGAACACCGCTGGGGCCCACGTTCCTCGGCCGGCATACGCCGACCTAGTTGCAAATCCTCACCGCGCCGAGCCGGAAGGCCCCAAGCCTGAGGGTCCTCCGCAAAAGGTCTTCAAACCCTACAGGCCGCCTCCTCTCCAGGGGACCAGCCCACTTGGTCCTTTACCCGACGATGTTCGCTCGCCCAGCCCTCCGCTCAGCACCCCGGGCATTGAAAACCGTCCCTCACGAGTTTCTGTGCTCATCAGAAGCGCTTCCAAGGAGCATCGTCCTGCGATGTTTCACCCAGAACCCCCAAAGGCGGCGGCCGCCGACGGCCGGAACACACCGGGTGCGGAGAGACAGGGCCTAGGGCCGCTAATATCGTCTCTGACCTCGCCTTCCACTGCCACCTCCCCATCGGGATCGATTCGGAGGTCGTCACTTGACGATGAGCCAAGCGAACAATATCCGCGACCCGTCATCCAGAACGTCCCCGCGATGCGCGACACTCTGGCGCTCAGCAGCTTGTCGATGAAGATTGAGGAGCTGGAGAAGACGCTTGTAACCGCACAGCAAGCGCACCAGGGACAGACGCCGCGAATCCAGGACGCCAACAGAACCAGCACCAGTAGCAGCGTCTACAGCGAAGGCATCAAGGAAGAGGACGATGAAGACGACGACGGACCGATCCTGCCGCCCGTTCAACTTGCTCCGCTCCGCATTCCCTCTCCTATTTCCATCCCGCCCGTCTCTCCTATGTCGCCCCCCGCCGTAGCCTCACCCACCGTCAACCGGCCGCAGAGTCCCTTACGGGGACCGCCTAGACGCGGACCTCTTCCACGCCGGCCGGGGTTGGAGGAGTATGGAGTGTCCAGCAACAAGGTAGCCCGTGGTGGGACCCCGACACCGGGCTCGAGGAGCGGGAGCACCGACAACTACAGCACGCACAGCTCTCCGCCTTCGCGCACCAACACGCCGCAGCTCCGCCATCCCAACTGGCGGCGCGACCTCGGCCAGCCAAGCCCAGCGCTAACCGTTGACACGTCCTCCGAGCGGCCTCGCCCACCAAACCCCGCTGTCGACACGGGCTTCAACTTCGACTTTGGCCTCCACCCCAGCGCCGGTGCACCCCCGACTCCGGATTCGACCACCTGGCCGCTGACGTCGCCGACGACCGCTGAGAAGACGCCCTCCGCCTTGCCGCCGCCCACGTCAGAACCCAGCGCCCCGACACAGCCGCCCAAGACCGAGCAGCCATCCAAATTCACGCGCGCCAATGTCCCGCCGCCGCTCAACCTCAAATTCAACTTCTCCCCGGACGCGCCGTCGCGTGACCCGAGCATGGGCAGTCCCGCGATGTGGACGCCGCCGCCGCCGCTCCGGTCGCTGACGGCGGATGGACGACCATCCACTTCGGCCGGGCCCGGTTGCGGCAAGGGTGGTGGCGGCGGCGGTGGCCTGGCCGCTTCGCCGAGGCTGATCTCTCAGTTCCCGGAGTCCGTGCCCAGCGACGATGACGCAGCGTCTTTCATGGGAATTGGGGTGGCGCGGGGGCCGAGTATCAAAGTGGCGAGGAGGCCCGGGACGGCCGGGGGCAGACCGCCGCCGCCGCCGGCATCGCCGGTGGTGGATTCTTTCGGGACAGGGTTCATTTGAAGGGGTTGAGTTGTTTCTCTAGGTATCATATCATGCCGTTTCCTATTACAGGCCATAAAGAACATTTCCTATCAATCATGCTATCTATACCCGGGCAGTCATCCGACGTTACTACTACAGTTGCGGGATTCCTTTTCTGTCATGCATACCCCTCACCATCGAAAACACGAACATCGACATATATGTCCCGATAAACTTCCGTATTTTTGGCACTCGTCAACAAAAGTTGATCCAATTTCATTGCGATATATGACTTGCTACCACAACAAAAAATGCCAAGAACACCAGACATGCTCCCAGATGCAGATGCGGGTATAACACCGTCTATACACACATACTCTCTCTTTCTTTCTCCCTCTCAGAAGATGCACAAACAACCCCACCTCCCTTTTCACTAGCCACCCCTTCCTTGGTTGCTAGGTAAATCAGCCCAGGAAACTCCTCACAGCGCCGCCAACGTTCTCCACATCCAACAGGAAGGTATCATGGCCGAACAGGCTCTGCGCCTCGCTCAGCTCGTAGTGGCTCACGCGCGGGTTGCCAGCCTGCTTCAGCGCCTCGGCCACCTCCCGCTGCTGCCAAGCCGGGAACAGGATGTCGCTCGCCACGCCCATGACCAGCACGGGGTGCTCGCGCAGGGCCGCTCCGAGTCCCTCGACCAGATCGGCCGGCGGTTTGGGAGGTGCACTTCTGTCGTTGGCGGAGAGGGCCGCTTCTGTTTGTAGAGAAGAAAGCATCGGCGAGCCTGGCTGGGGCTGTTCCTCGTAGGGCTTGTCCGGGAGGGTGAGGTTGCAGGTTGCCGCGTTATCCGAGGTAGAAGTCGAGGAAGCCGAGGAACTGGACATGAAGGATTGGCGCCGCGCGGCCGTGGCGAGCTGGTTCTCGCGGCCGAGATCGAACAGGTCCATTGCCTTGCTGACGTAGAGCAGGCTGTTGGGGTCGTAGGTGAGGCAGAACTTCTCGCCTGCGTGGTCGAGGTAGGTCTCGACGAGGAAATCGGGGCACAGCGCGGGGGGCTTGGAGGCGTCGGCGCGCCGTCGCCCGAAGCGCTGTTCCCACTCCGGGCCAGAGCGGTACGTGATGGTGGCGATCTCGCGCGCCAGCTTCATGCCCACGTGCGGAGGGACGCGGCCGTAGTAGAAGCCGCGGTTCCAGTTCGGGTCGTTGAGGATGGCCTTGCGCTGGACGTAGCGCATCGCGATGCTGTAGGGGTGGCTGCGCGCGCAGGCCGAGATGGAAACGATGCGTCTCACGCGCGACGGAAACTCGACGCCCGCGGCAAGGGATTGCATGCCGCCCATGCTGGAGCCGACGCTGGCGTAGAGCTTGGACACGCTGAGGTGGTCGAGCAGACGGAACTGCGCCCGTACCATGTCTTGGATGGTTAGAATCGGGAAGCGGGTCGCGTATCGCTTTCCGTCGGACGGGTCGATGCTGGAGGGCCCCGTCGAGCCGTAACACCCGCCGATGACATTGGTGCAGATAACGAAGTATTTGTTCGTGTCGAGAGCAAGACCGGGGCCGATGAACTTCTCCCACCACCCCGGTTGCGGGTTCTCCGGCGTGGAGTGTGCGTGGGAGGAGGCGGAGAGACCGGTGTGGAGGAGGATCACATTAGACCTGTCGGCGTTCATCTGGCCCCACGTCTCGTAGGCGATGTCGAACTCGTGCAGCCGGCCGCCGTGGTCGAGCAGGAGGGGCTCATCGCAGTGGAATGTCTTGGTTGCCCCGACTGTGTAGGACGGCTCCGGACCGCTCTGGTCGGACCGCGCAGCTTGTTGCTGGAGCGTGGCCGAGCGCGTTTCGAGAGCATCGAGGCAGGGGAACTTGATGGCGGGGTTCGAGGGAGCGCCGCTTCGTCGAGCAGCATGTCCATGAAGCTGACGTGAGGTACTTGGCCGCACTACGGATTGCAGGCCTGCATTGACTCGGTGAGCGGCTGTTGTGCATCGCACGCTTGCTGGCGAGGCATTGCTCAGCGCTGGCCTGCCTAACAGCAGTGTTGAGCCCTGGCGCACAGTCGATGTCATTCGTTGCGTCTTCATGCTGCTCTTCGCCAAAAGTCACCAAGAATGGTCGGGATGTCAAGACTGTGTTCCGCGATGATCCTACGAGATCAATTGGCGCTGCAGCTCGCAGAAAAGGAGTCGTGTGGGCATGGGCAGCCATTGCCGGCGCCGCCGGCGATGTTGTTACTACTTTCTGTCCGATCCGGGCTCCGGATCTGCTGAGAAATAGTATTCCGTCATTTCACGTGGTTTCTTGGCGTTTGCGATAAGCCGATAACGCACCCATCTTTGAGTGGGGGTGTTCCCAACAGAGGTCCTTGTTGACGTTGCTCTTGGCACGGTGCGGGGTGATGTCACAACTTTGAGTTGGGATATGGCATGTTCTTACCCTACTATGCTCCCGTACACGCAGCCATGGAAACTACAAAGTTCAAAGTGTCGGGCGACTTCAGCTGGTGAGCTCCTTGGACCCTAGATAAAGGTAGAGGTATACATGCCAACCAGCTGAGGGCAACAACTTACTTACCCTGAAAATCTGCTTTGCGCCGGCAACAACTTAACTCAACTTGGAAGAAGTCTAGACGCTTTGTGCCCAATTATTCGCCAGCTCCTGAGCAAGGCCTGACTGACACGCAACTCCGAGCTCTCAGAATCCACTTATTAGTCGCTGTACTTGCAGTGGATTATAAACAAGACCGATGGACGACACAAAACTCGCGGCAACTTCCGCGGCCCTCCTCCTCTCTCTCATCTTGTATTTCTTCTGGACACCAAGACGAGCGAGCGGTGCTCACACCGGCATGTCTGCAGAACCAGAACCAGAGAAACCAGCCGCCGAGTCCGCCGAGGACCATGCCGAAAGCCCACCCCATGAGCCTAGCATTACAGACGTCCTTGTCGTAAAATCCATGTTGAACAAAGCCCTGAATCTGCCCCCGGAGATTGTCAACGCCACCATCGACTTGGCCGAGTACTGGCCGCACTCCACTACCGAGGTGTCGTTCGGCGAGTCGAGGGTGACGGCCCGTGGCGGCAGGATCGGCGGCAGGGAGGCGGACGAAAACTACTTCCTGGTAAGCCGCTACCTTTAATGCCCTTCTAGAAGCCTGCCTTCACCCTCATGTCAGGAGCTCACCGTGACGGGTACTTGCCCACTTTAAGCTACGCTCTGCTCCTATCGGCCTACAAAAACTAGGACGTCGCAGGGAGGGCAGCTTGCCTATCCACCGAACGCCGCCGAAGCCGCAGCCACCAGGCGAAGAGTTCTCGGTTGATGATTTCCAGGCGCCCGAGGCGTCTCCCCTGTCCATGCTCGCCCATCCTTGCCGGCGGATTGTCTTCACCATACGTAGCCACGACCAGGGTTGGGGTGGCGACTATCACAACCGGCGCACCTACGAAAACTCATGGACATGGTTCGAGGCCGGTCTTGAACGGTGGTGTAGAACCAGTCCGGCGAGCACCGGCGCGGCAGAGCAGCAACAGGCATCCCAGGACCAGAGCGGGCCCTCGCTACAGCTGGAGGACTTATGCACCGTGTTGCCAGAGGTCGAGCGGAAAGAGGAGGCGGACGACTACGTCTTCAAGCACCCCCTGCTCCCGCGCGAGGATCTCAGAATCCAGAGCAATCGGGTTGCGGATGGAGACACACAGACGCACCGCGTTGTTTGGAGCTATACCGACGATATCGATCCCGTGCGCGATCTCGAAGCCGCTACTCGCCTCAAAGAACAAGGCCGTGGTGCTGCTACAGCCAACGGCAGGTTTGTGCGCGACCTCAAGCTGGGTGACGTTGTGACTGTCTGGGCCAAGGCGAGGTTCCGCGGCTGGGCTAACCATGTCGAGTCGGTGAAGCTCGATGTGTACTATGCTATCTGATATCATTACGGCCCTGCGTTTGGAGTTTACGGGGGATAAAGAGGCGTTAGCGACAGGCACTTTTCCCTTTTCTTTTCCTTCCCCTTATTCAAGACAGTAATCCATCAGCAACTTGAGCCGGCTACGATGCTAAGAACTTTCGCCTTGCCCTGGGCTCTTCACAACTTATTGACGCTTACGTATCCTTGTATGTCCAGACAGTCACGGTGATATTGATGGATACTCGAAATCAGCTCGGTGGTTGGGACTTCGCGGTCAAAGAACCCTTCCAGCCCGCATGACACTGTGGAGGGCGGCTGGGTTCATGCTTTGTCTCAGCCGAAGCAGATCAGCTCTGTGTTTGTGACGGTTCTGTCTAACTAGTAGGTCGATCTGGAACGTTCGCCTTCAACCGATTCCTGCCTTCTTGACCTAGATTCTACAACCATCGCTTACCCTGGATCGTTGACTTCAGCCAGCGACATCCTCTCTCCCCCTGCTGGTAATAATAGGTCCTTATAAGCCTGTAGTAGTCTCAACGAAGCGGGATGAGAAGCCTCAACCCGTCCACTGTAGGTACCTTGTTTCTCATTACTTGACATCGTCACATACCTTTGGGGTTACCCCCTGGGATCCTATAGGCACTCCAAAGCTCTACCAAACGCCCAGTTGCTCATTTCCTTCTGACACTTCATTACCTGAACCATATGCAAGCCGGAGAAAAAGTAGGTGGCAGTCCCATACTGTCCATTCATTGCCTATGGCTATGGCTAGTAGGTAACCAAGGACAACCGGTTGGTTGAAAGATCATGGATGTGCAACGCCGCAAACGTTCTCTACACCACTGTGGTTTGCAATGCTGTGCCTGCGGTCGGTCCTAACAGTTAGCAGCACATGCCAGCAGATGTCTGTATTAGCAATTCGCAACAAAACCAAAATACGAAAAAGGCCGCGCCGATGCAAATGCAGTGGGTGACATGTAGCTCGCACTTGATATCCCAAATCATGGACCCCTTGGGGGGCTTGTATCCTCCCGGTATCTGTCCACCGACCATGGTCTCGGCGAAGGCAGAGACAACTTCTGAGACACCGCGAGCAAGTCTCTGAATCACCGAAACCAAAGGAGCGAGAATATCTAGATGCTTTTTTCCATATCCATTTCTTGTCTTCTCTCTTTCTCTGACAGGTGGGAGGTATGGTATTGCGTAAAAGGGGGACGTGATGGGATGAATGGACATGACATGCCGCTCGCTCTGCATCCTTGCGCTGCTTTTCGTATGCGCTTTCCCAGTGCCTCAAAAAGCGCGACAACCAGACCCAGAACCATGGTATCCCCGTTCTATAAATCCATGATGCACAAAACATACGAGAGGAACAAACAGGAACCTAGGAAGGAAAGAGACATATAATAGATGATTTTTCCCTCCCTCAGCACATGTGCGCGTTGGTACCGGCCGACCCAGCCCGATCCCAAACCAGGGTGAACTTGCTCTCAAACTGGCATCTTTCAATGCGAGCTGACATCCCGCCCTCTTCCCCGGAAACGCCACGTCCTGTCCAATCCGCACCACCGCCCCATTGCGCTGATAAGTTGATATTCTAACGACAATTCACACTTCGCTTTGCCGCACCGTAAACGCTCGTAAGGCCCGCTTGGTGAGGAAGTAAACAACAGGGGTCGTCGCTCCGTGATCTTGATCCTCGTTTCACCTGCTCATTTCGGCGTGGCAGAGCAAAGCAACCATAGCAAAGCAACCATGCCAAATCGTTACGCTCGGCCTAAGGTGCACACGCTGCAGCAGCATACAGCTCAGTTCAGATGACGAGATCCTGAAGGAGAGCTGTCCAACACAAGAGGGGCCTCTATCCGGTCTGCCGGGGCCGGCATCAACCATGGACAGCACATATCCAAGAAAGCCAGCCATTCGTAGACCTTGTTTTGGCGATTGGAGCTTGAGGCACAGCGCCGCAACACCAACCCGTTATGAGTGGCCTCTTCAACCACCCTTGCGGTCGGCATCGTTCTTGGGTGGCTGCTCACTTTGCGGGGAACCGTTGGCTGCATTTTTGGGGTCGGCCACCCCCTTCTTGCGGGCCTTCGGCTTCTGCCACCCATTGAGACTCTCCGTCTGGCTCTTCGCAGCACGAACATGTCCGCTCTCTCTCGCCAGCCCCTCGAGTCTTTGGTCTCGAGGGGCAGGGCGCATCGGAAGTTCTTGTTGCCTCGCCGTTGACGATACGGTAGGCGATCTGCTCGTCTGTAACTTCTGTGCTGGCTTTGGAAAGTCAGTCCGGAGGTCCTTTTGCGACCCCGGCCCGCTGGATTGAGCAACGGGCGACGGCTCAAACTTGCGCGCAACGGTGGGTGACGGCGTGCGGTGCTCGTAAACAGGAGAGAGATGTGGCAAGTCTTGATGAATCCCATAGTCGCCGGCAAGGTCCAGAGGAGCCAGCGGCTGCCGGCTGTGCAAGCGCGAAAACCCTGCCAGGCCGTTAGGGTCGCCCGCTACGGCTGAGTAAGGGAGGTGAAGTGCGGCGCCCATCGCAATACGTTGTTGAAACGACGCATCCAACATATTTGGTAATGCTGACGGAGACCGGTTTATCGACGAGCCATTCACAATGACCGGCCGCTCCGGAGCGGGCGGCGCTACAGGCGCTAAGGGCGCTGTATTGCTTGACGGAGACGGTGAATGCTGCTCTGGCCACGAGCTGCTGGGGTGCAGACCTTGGTGGATGTGCAATGGATTTTCACTGTTCACATCGTCCGATAAGGCGGGCTCCACAATGGCTGCTGGCCGGCTATGTCCCGAGCCCGGCACATTTTTCGGTGCCGTACCGTTGACCACAAGGGGCTTAGATGACAGTTTGCCATTAGCCTGAACAAATGGCGGTGACGAGAGCGGCACTGAGTTCACTCCCACAGAGACGGCCCTAGCATGTCCCATGGGTGATGGAGACCGAGAAGTTCTCTTCATCCTGCGGTCAAGCACGGACTGCGGTAACTGATCCGTCGACAACCGCCGGCGACCACCGCCCTGTCCGCTTTGGCTCGGCTCACCAAGCGCCGCACCATTGTTGGGGAAACCGTTCACTGGCCTGGTGGAGTTCAAATGGTCGTTCACATAATACCCGATGAACCGCGGACCATCATCATCGGGTGGTGAGTCCGACGAGGCCCTTGTGGATGCATCATCAAACCCGGGATCGCCTCTCTCATCGGGTATATAACCTGTGATAGACATGCCATTTATTAGACGGGAATGCGAAGCGGCAATAGGGTTCCGCGAAGCCGGTTGGGATTGCGACCTAAGCGCACCGCTACCAGGGGAGATTCCCGAGTCGCTCGTCGCTGCACCCCGATGGAGACTCCTTCGGAATTCAGACTGTCCATTGGAAGGTGGAGCCGCCGATGCTGGGGACGAAGGATAGGTGGTGAATCCTGTATGGTAATATGGCTGAGGCTGGAGCGGAATGCTGAACCCATACAGCAATTCCGGCCGGATTGGCGCCGTCAATGGTGCGTTGTCGACCGAATTGGTCCGGGACCTGTCGGACGCCGACCCACTCTGCTGTGCCCGCTGAGCATGGGCGAGCGCCTGCTGTTGGTTGAACTGAGTAAACAGCTGGAACCGCATTGACTCTTGCGCGGCTAGCGCGCCGAACGATGTGCTCAAGAGCTCCTGTGGCACGGTGAGCTGGGGACTCTGTGCTGGGTACCACAAGAGGTCCTGCGGGCTCAGGGTCGGAGGCAGCCCTGCCTGTGCGAAGGCTGGATTCGTCTCATACGCGACGCTTGATGAGGCTCGTCGATTTCCATTCCCATTCCTAAACTGGCGACTCCCACGGAAGCCACCACCACGGGCACGACCGCCACCGTTGTTGCTGCCGCCGCTGCCATTGCTGCTGTTGATATTCTGCTGGGAGGAGCTCCTGATCGTGGCGGGCCTTGGGACTGTGGACGGCTTCTGGAATATCCTCTCCTCTTCCTTTGGGAACACATACTGCTCGCAGCACTCCTCAAACTTTCCCTCAGCAATCAGGTCGAAAGCCCTCCGCAGCTCCAGATGGAGACCCCGGAACGATGTGTCATCGGCCGTGTTCCCCAGATTGCGCGCTGTGTTGAACGGCTCCTCGATGCAGAGAGCGTTATTGTTAGCACCATACTGCCAACCCTTCTCAGCCTTGGTCAGGAGCTTCCCCGTTCGTATTGACAAGGCATACTTGTCATAGTCAAACTCGTGAGCATAGAAGCGAAAGAACTCGAAAAGGAGGGTGGCCAAGCTGTCCTTGTTCTTGGTGCCAAACCCGCGCAGCTTCGGGATGTCGTCAGCAAATTCACTACGTGTCCCGTCCGGCTTGACCAGCTTCAGATTATGCCGCTGGTGGAGTGCGGGCACTATTGGCGGATCGCGTAGCTGCAGGAAGGCAATGATCATGCAGATCCACGTGTAAGAGCTTAGGGTTCCACCAAATGCTGCGTGGCGCGTGTGAGAACTCGCGCTATCTCGATCAGGTCGTGGGTTGGGGGCTGCTAACCTGCATCATTGACGATCCTCCTCCGCGTCCAGTACTTGATGATCATGGCCAATGGCCTGACGCGATCGTCGATACTAACATACGTTCGCACCATCCTGGTGTTCTCCAGTGCTGGCGTGTTATTAACATTCATATCACATGCCAGATTCAGTTCCGGGTCCCAAATCTTCACGATCGGCACTTTTGCTGACGCCACGCAAACAATCTTTTGCATGCCATCTGCGGTCCGTTAGCTTCTCATTGACCGAGGAAGGAAAGCTAGCCGTCTTACGCCGATGGAGGAGGTCCGCGATCATGCACGTCTTCGGCTGTGATTCGAGCCAAGGTGTGGTAATACATATGTCAACTTCGACATGTCAGCTTTCACGTTCCTGTGATTGCAGCACTCGGGAATCACGTACCGTCAGAATCGTCTGAGCATAATAGGTTGCCAGACGAACCAAACAGGTGCACCTGAATATTGTGGCCCGGCCACTCGTCGTTGAAGATCTTTTCTAGTTTGCTGACCAACCTGCGCCTGTTGATCTCCACGGCCTCGGTTGGAAGTAACCTGTCGTACAATTGTCGCACAGCGGTTTCGAGCTTTCTCTCGTCGTCTTCTGACAACTGGCTCTTGATCTTGTCGGGCTCCACCTTTTCTAGCTTGTCCGTCCCCAGGCTATATGGCATTCGGCGACGTGAATGAGGGATCGCTGTCTCGAAGCGGCAACCATAAACCCTGGGCGGCAGAGGTCGCAGGGAGGGCACATTGCCGTTTGTCTCGGAGTAGGCGGAGCGCGGGGAGTGGTTCTGAGTGGCGCCGGGCGACTGCTCCCGGGACTCGAACGAGAATGTCCGAGGATGTTGATGGGGAGTCGACGGCACCGAGCTCGACTGGTTTGCTGCAAGAGCTGTGCTTTGGCTCGACGTAGGGGGTAACCGTGCAGACACGTCGCGGTTCGCGGGTTGCTCGGCCGGTTTCCGGGCTGACATTTTGGCCACCTGCTCCTTCCCCGTTTTCATAAGCGCGCGTTCGGCGGTATCAGAGGGCTTCGTCGCTCTATTCCCATGACAGCTTTGCAGGACAGACTTTGTGTAGCTGTTGTCCTTGTTCGACGCCTTGGAAGCCGACCTCGACCGCGTGGACGACTTTGTCTGCGGAGACGAAAGCACTGGAGGAAGTGGCGGGGTTTGCAGACCACCTCCACCGCCCCGACCGGCGGAAACGAGCTTGTTGTATTGGAGAAGCTTGTCGTGGTAGAGCTGCTGGGGGAACAGGATCGGAAGGAGATCCACCTGAGTGGTGAAATAGCTCGACGAAGATTCAGATGGCGACGTAGGCTTTCCCCGGGGAGTCCCTGAAGCAGAAACCGTGGCTGACCAAGGATGGGTGTGGTAAAGATGCTTGGATTCAGCCGTTACAGGCTGGCCGTCCATGAATAGCGCCTGCAAAACGATTGCCGAATGCACTACCTGGTCTATGCTGCACGGGTTGACTGGAGCAAGCGGTGTAGCAGACTGCTAATGAAAGCCCGTATAGGTTAATCCTTAGAGAAAGGAAGTCGCTACGCTGGCACGTTGTTGTCCTTCGCACTGGCGCACCAAGTCCCGAGATCGACACGAAAAGCCCGATACCAAGTTCGGAGTTCCCGACCCACTGCTCTTGCTGCTCTCTTTAATCCTGCGTGTGCCCCGTTCTCACAGATGCACTTCGAAGCCGGAGGGCGCAGACACAGTGATGTTGCAGAGTACCCGAATTATCAACCAAGCAGCCGCGAGGAATGCCTCGTCGATGCTCCAGCAACGAATGCCCTCCACTGCCAGAAGCTCGGTTGTAGGTAAACTTCCACGGACCAAGACAACTTGAAAACTGCCTGTTCAGGAGTTCCAACTGTTCGATCGATGTTCTCCGCGAACCCCTGTCAGGACTGAGCGGTAAGGTCGGTGAGGTTTCACACCTGGACGACGCGATTGATCGATAACAGGTCGGGAGTAGAAGCGGGAAGTCGAGGAGAGTCAATTCGTTGGCACGAGTCCAGGGCAGAAGCGAAGCTGCCAGGGTGATTGGCAGGTACTAGGAGGAAGCCGCGGTGGTCGAAGGAGTGCGATCAAGCACAACTAACGCCGCAGAAGACTGTTGGCATGGAAAGAACGCGCAAACGCCGGCTGATGAACGCGCAGGGTGCGGGGAACGTCGACTAGGAAAATGGATACAGGAGAAATCAAGCCGTGACGATATTTGAGCGAGCCAACCCGAGCGCGTGCAGGGAACCTCGTATCGAGCAGAGCGAAGGCGTGCCGGGGCAGAGGAGGGAGGTTCAGACTAGAACTGGAAGTTCCCGGCAAAGGGGAAATTGATGTTGATGCTGGCCAGCGTCGAGCTGGACGATGGTGCAGTTCCAGGAAGAAGAGGCACAGACAAGGACGTAGAGAGGTAAAAGGAGGTGCGGGCGGAAGCGGCGTCACTTGAGGTCGACCGTTTCCATTGAACGATGCGGTCCTAAGCTGCTGTCACCGGTCGATGCTGCACTCAAAGCGGGAAACCTGGGGCGCTGGTTTGGCGAGCAGGTGCCACACACGGCCGGGGTCAAGGCTAACAAAAAGGAGCGCCCACCTGGGCAATATTAAGTCAGGGCCACTCTCGTCCGGCAGCCAGTCAGGAGACGGCCCTGAGCCAAAATCAGCCCCGCCGTGGCCCCAGCACCACAGACCTCGCGATCCGAGTTGAGGCAGGTTCCAGGGGCCAAACAACACTGCCGAAATTCACACAGAACGCGCTCGAAAATGGACAACCGATTCGATTGGAGTTGCACTCGGCCGCCTCCTTGACACAGTCAAATGAGGCTTACAAGAACGGTGAACAAGCCACGCACTGGAGGTCACAGCAACAACCAACCGAGGCGGAAGTGCTGTCGGCTTTGTTCTTGAGGTCGTCCTTGCGATTACCGCCCCTGCTCTAAATGTGTAGTCCGCACTCCAAACCACCACCAGCAAGCACATGAGACGGCAGACCTTAGAGAAGTACCTATTCCCAAGCCCATTTGTCCCTTCTGGCTGGTCATCGACATCCACGCTGCTGTGGGAAGGAGCTCGGCTGAGCAGTGGGCAGGTGCCCCCCAAATTCCGCGGTCAACGTCTTCCAATCTTTCCCTATGATCTTCTCTGTTTTTTCCATCCCCCAGTCATAACCTAGTACCGAGATGCCATGTTTCTTGAACTCAATCGATCACCTTGATGGGCAGCCGAATCCTCGCTCAGCATTTCCCCCGTTCCAAGTTCCACCTCCGCTGTCCGGTTGCACGACATGACGCTTGAAGGCCCGTCACATTCCGGACCATCTCTCGCGCGCTTGTCTTTCGTCCAAATCCCCGCCTATTATCCCAGCCCACCTCATCTCATTTCATTAAGCCCAACCTGCGTTTTCTCGTCACATCGATTGAGCCGCAGCACAAGATGAGGCCTGAAATCCGGCCGTCCGGCACTGCCGGCTCCGGAGCAGTTCGGAGGGGGCCGCTCACGGCTCCACTCAGAGCCGGCACATCGGTACCCTCACCGAAGGCCTCAGCACGACATCGCTCACTTGTTGGCCATCAACGACATACGGATTGGCCCGCCAGTACCTCAATCCAGTAGATGCCTGGGCCAACACAGCGGGAGCCCTGCCTGCAGATGGCGATCTCAGCGGTGCATGCCCGTGACTGTTCCGTTGGCACCGTCATAGGCTGACTTGCCAGTCTTGCATCGCCCCAAATGTTGCACCCACCAGTTCCTGTCCATCTCGAGCCTTGGGTTCAGGACTCGGCACGGGAGAAGCAGTCAGACCGAGACCTCGCAAACGGCTCCGTCGAGCTATACTGTGCAGTGTGTGGAACTATCACGCGTAGACCCACCGTTCTGCAGTAAATGTTTCTCCCTACCGCCTCTAGAGTTCCTTGCGCTTGGATAATGACCAAAAGTCTTACGTCCCGGGTACGACGACATAACTCTTGGGGGTAGGTGTACTACTACGATGCCCAAATGCGGCAATGTCCGGTGACATGCATATTCTAAGATTTCGAGCAATTGTCTACGTTGGATTGTCCTCTATTAACAAGGGTTGTGTGTTTCCAGGGTCCGGTGAAGGCTCCGCCGATGGAGACCACAACCGAGATGTGCAAGTCATGCGAGTCAGGCCTCCCCAGGTCAATTAACCCTCTGCAGCTTGTGTAAAACGAATTAGCGTCATCTCGTTATTCCCTACCAGGCCAAAGTAACCCGCATCTATTCCCGGATCGTCAATCGTTTGGTTCCCGGGTACCAGCGTAGCGTTCTGCATCACTGCATTCTGTGTTGTGCTCATATCACCCTATCCTCGGTCATTCCGTAAATATGACCAGCGAGAGGCCCGGTCTCCTTCAAAATGATGCTCTGAGTAACGAGGAACACCAGTTGGCTTACAGAGGTACATACATTGGGCACTGCCTAATAGGTCACATAGGTATTGTACCTTACGACTTGAGCAGGAACCTCGGCTTCATGGCGACGGAAAGCAGAAACAACGCCGGGGGGCTCAGCCCTGCGGAGACGGTCATCCGAGAGTTCTTCTTTTGGCCGAGATTTCGTGGTTCCGGGTCTGGCACGGAGCAGATGCGAATGAGTTCCAGCGATAGTAGTATCAGTAAGGTTCCGCTCCAGAAAACTATCAGGACCTCGGTAGAGCTCAAAGATTTACTATCCGCGTGTGTGCTGGTTGGTTTCAAGCCAGCTTTCCATATCACAGTTGAGGATGTTAGGCGCTCACTCGAGTACTAGGTACCTCTACCGTTCAGCTTCAGTTCGCCAGATGTTGCGTAGACCAACTCCGAACCTAGGTACACAGTACGAAGTAAACGCCCCGCGATTCATTCAGCCAATCGGAAGATCCCGCTTCGGCTTTAACAAACAAGAGCCGGATTGGTGGTCACACGTGGAAGTGTGGGCCGAGCTGGGGTCAATGAACCTTCAAGCTGCTTCAACCATCTCGTAATCGGCTGTACGTATAATCCGTACGCATTACGTACCAAAGACGGAATCAGCATTTGTGAGTTACCATGTTAAAAGCACCTGCCATCAAAAGCACCTGCCATCTGGCAGGTGTCTATACCAGCAGTGAAGTCTCTTATAGATGCTTCGTGTGTCAGTCAACGGACATGGGCGCTCTGCTCGCCGCCCATACGCCATGGCCACTAGGGAAGGCCACGGCAGAAGCAGAGCGGGGGGGTAGAGTTGGGGAGGAGGGTAGTGGTCCGCTGATGAGGCATTGGTTGGTTGGGCGGGCGAATGGGGGACGGAGATCGTGTAAGGGTGGGAAGGGCGGCAGGAGCTGATGATGCGGTGATTCACCTCGGCCGGCTAGGTTGGCCCATCCTGACTGTCGCACTATTATATCTGTTGGCGTTCAATGGCTGGGGTGTGCTGCAGTCCCGGTGTGCTGTTTTCCGGGGTCTCCCTCCAGCTGTGCCGTAGGCTTGGGCGGTATGATCGGTATCCCACCGAGAACACAATCGTTGCTCTATGGTTAGGCGAATCAGGTGGAATGCCGCTGTGCCTTGCGGTCTCCTTAGATTAGACCGTTGTACGGATAGTGTTGTTGGGCTGGCTTGCTGTTGGGCATCTCCTACGGGAGTGACTGTTGGTTCCTCCAGTATTGCCTGCACCAGCATGCCGTCCAATGAGAAACGCGAAAAGCATGTTTAGGGTCCCGAGCCTCTGGGCCATCCTTTCGCTGCGTGCCACCGGCGGCCGCAAGTTGCGGCGCAGGGCCGAGCCGTCAGGCCGAACGCGCATGGATCAAGGGTTGGAGTCCGTTGGTCAGGTCAAGGCCGATGCGATGCTGCAGTCGTCTGCTGCGCCGCGCTTGTTAGTCGACGAGAGCCGGAAGCAGAAGTGCTCGCCGCAGAGAATCCCATGGGGTTATGATCGCAAAACACAATTCTACTCAGAGTCGAGGACACCTCGCATTTCGGTTTAAAGTGCTGACAGCCCGGGGAAAGTCATGACTCGTGCCACATATTGCTAGCACCAACGCACCGGCAGGATGGGTCAGCCAAGCTAGCTTCAAACGTTGAGAGCAACTGCGCTGTCTTGGTGGTCTTGGTTCCGTCATTGGTGAGCAATACGAGTACCCTGGAGTTCGACGGAGTGTAGACCACGGAGCGGGATCGGTGAAGGTGTGGGTATGTTGTAGCCTGCGTTGCTAACAGTAGGTATTAAAGGCGTTTTCCAGCCACAGTGACCGGCCACTTTCGAGGATTAGACTACGATGTCCAAAATATACCCAGCAGTCCAAACTGCTGACTCCAATCCTGGGCAAGGTTGCGGGCAGTCACAATCAGCAATTGGTCAACGGGTCAGCTCGATCAACCTCGTTAATGACTGAATTCTTGTGCACTAACTGGCCCTGCTGACTTGACTTCACCGTGGACTTCTCGAGCAAACCAGTGCTCATCCTCTCGTTTGCTATTGAGATCCTCTGACGTGGGCTCTGACCTTGCAGCCCGAGTGGGCATCCACGATGTAGCCTCCAATAGACTGCCGCCTGCGGCTCCTCTTCTTTCTATTCCCCGTCCTCTCCTTGCCCGCTTCACGATCGGGCCGCTCCCGTCGTTTGCTGTCGTCCAGATCGCTTGCGTATATTGGCTGCCACCTGCGGTTCCTCCCCCTTCTTGGTTCTTGATCCGACGAGTCACCTACTACAGTCACGTACTGCACGCCTGGGAACCATTCCGACTCCTCACGGTATCTCGATCCTGGTTCGCGGCTGCCATGTCTCGTTTCCCTACTCGGCGGATCTCGTCGGTCGGGACGCGCGAAGGGAGAGACATACCGTACCCCTGAGACGATCTCGGGACACTCGTAGTATTGTAGTTCGAGCTTGCGGTTAGTTTGTGTTGTTTTCCGCCGTGAAGACCACCACCGGCCCGGGGAGTCGATTCGGGTCTCCGGACTGGTCCGCCTGTGTCTTCTGCCCTGTCGTCCCGGACTCTCGGAGGGATACTCGGCGTAGTTACCGTCACATTCCGTTTACAAGTCTTGGTTGATAGCGGATGCGAAGGCGTATCCTGTACCAGGAGGCGGTGGCGGCATGGGAACAGGTGGGGACGCGCCGTCTTCTGTGTGGTTTCGGCTGTTGCGGGGTCTCCAATCTCTGCTCCCCGCCTGGGGGTCGCTCGAATATAGAGCTTGAGATCGCCCTCGTGGCTTGCCTTGGCTGGGGCCTTCGAATGACTGCCCTACAGATCTGTGGCCTGTTCTCTGTGGCCGAATTCCGTCATGGTGACCGTCCTGGTAGGCTGACTCAGAAGTATATCGTCGACTGGCCGAGTGGGAATAGTGCCTCTCCGCTGAGGCTGGATAGACACCGTCAAGCCAGCTTTCAATGCGCCCCATTTTCCCTAGTTTCATGGAGTAGTACAAATATATTCCAGAGCCTTTGACTCAAGCATAGCGATTCAGCGCGTCGTAAGCGAGTGGCCGGCGTCCATCAACGCAGTGGCAATGCATGAGTGCAAGGCACAGAACTCAGGAATGGCCAGAGGGTTGAGAGTAGCTTAAGTACTGGGAGGATCGTGATGGCCATCTCAACAAGTTGCACGGCCAACACAGCGGTACCTGTATCAAGAGGTCACTCGCGAGAGTTCATAGCATGCCCGAGCAGGTGGGCACCACGTACCTAGAGCCTATAAAGGAGGTCAGCTTCTCTCTGAGCTGCTTTAGCCGCCATCACAAAGCGGCAGAGGCATACTATATCCTCATACCGGGAAGTGCCAAAAGAGACTGCTCTCTGATAGTCTCCCACCAGCGTTAGCCATCTTTTTCCTGGGTGCTGAAATTGTGAGACATACCATCACAATTTGAAAGACACCTCAGTTTCAGAATGATAGACTGGGGTATCCCCCGAACGCACCATGCCCAGAGATGGATTTGGTAAAGGACAACGAGATTTTGCATTAGGGGTAGTAGATATGGGTAGGTAGATAGAGTGAAGTGACGGGGACCTTGTATGCCATGCCGTGCAGTGTCTTCCAGTTTGCAAGAACAAAATAACGCCCGCCCCTCCCGAACAAATATGACCCAGGGAATTCCGTCCACCGTCCGGCCCTTGAAAGGGAATAATCTCCCAACACCACCCCAAGGAGGAAACCAACCCTCATCCGTTCCCCTACCGTGTTTAACACCATCTCCGTCCCACTCCGAGTGACCTCACCCCCCTTCGCCATTCTCCAGCAAGAGTTGTTTTCGCCTCCGATCCGTCTCCGTAATTGGTTCTTATATACTGACATAGCCGCAGTAAATTCAAATGAGCGTCTGAGTTGGGATAAGCAGGTAGCGCGGCTGGTTCCCTGGTTGCGTTGCGTTGCCGTGTGTGTGACCAGAGATGGGTATGTGGCCGTGCCATTTGACTCCTTGGTTCGCTCAAGTGGTTCACTCAAGTGGATTCAGTCGCTCGCTTCCTGATCTGTCGTTATGGTCGGCGGTTCCTGCCGAGCCCAATAGAACGACAGTCCAGCCTCCCACCAGCCTTGCCGCTGCTATCGCCAGAACAGCTGATGTCGACATGTTGGTTGGCGCAATACGTCCCGAGCCATCCACACCACCTGTGGCCGATGTCGAGAGCGCCAGGGAAGAGGTAAAGATTGGTTCGCCGCTGGGTATGTCCTCGTTGAGCAAGGATGACCCTGAAGGTTGCCCGTCCGTTCGCCGAAGGAGAGCAACGAGCCCTCGCAACGCCCGGGGCGGGGCATGAGCGCCCGCCCAAGCACGTTCAAGCCACACGCTCGTGAACCGTTCGCATACTGTCCCGGTTTCCTTGCCCTGTTGGTGTCCCTGAGAAGAGTTCCATGCCGCACACGACGTTGAAGAAGAAACCAAAATGCAGATGATCCGTGGATGTCCGATGCAACCAGGGAGGCCCAACCCTCCCATTGCCCAATTTCGCCTATCCCTCCGCCTCATTCCCACCCATAGTTCCAGCTCTTTTGTGTGTAAATAAGCATGAAAAGGCCAAAAGCCGCACTCCCGCCCCACCTTTCCATTCCCTAAAGGTATGCCAGCCCCCTTCCCCAGATAAGCAATGACAAACTCCGTTTCTCGCATTTTACCCGTGCAATCCCGTTGATGCTGTTCGAGCAGTCCGAGAAACCGTCGTCAAATCCCGACTTCTTGATGAACAAAAATACCCCGGACTCCGCAAAAAAAAAAAAAAAAAAAAAAAAAAAAAAAAAAAAAAAAAAAAAAAAAAAAAAAAAAAAAAAAAAAAAAAAAAAAAAAAAAAAGAGAGGGAGAGAGAGAGAGAGAAAAGAAAAGAAAAGAAAAGAAAAAAAAAGGGGGCAAATAATGTGAAGGAAGAAAGGAAAGATAGGAGTGACGGCGACGACCATTGCGACATCGACGTCCTCGTCACTCTTGAGAGGCGGGTGATCCTCAGCCAAAGCGTACATCGATGTTGACCTTGCCGGCCCGGCTTACTTTTCAGTATAATATTGGCCGTACAAAAAATCTAGCCCCAGACGCTGGCCGGGACGCCAAGACCGGGCTTACTACCCCATCCGTTCGGGCGGGCACCCCAGCCAGCGAGGCCAACAGAGGGAGCCTCAGTAGTGGCCGAGGACGGGTTAGTAGGGGCAGTGCTGCTCGGCGTGCTGTCCTCGTTGCCGTTCTCGTTGACTGCAGATGCGATATAGCCTTGGCTAAGAGGAGACGGCAGCTGGGTCATGTCTCGCTTACTCGATACAGGATTCGTTGAGGCGGTGGTGGCGGACGGGCGAGTGCCGATAGGGGCGACGGAACCCTGTGATGGTTTGATGCCCGGGGGCCCCTGGCGCGGTGGCGAGCCTCCAGGAGACGAGGCGCTGGTGCGGTTAGACTGCTGGGTCCCTGATGCCTCCAACATGCCCTTGCTGCCTGGGTTGGACTGAGGGCTTGTACTGTTGGCTCGCGACTGCTCGTTCGGCCCGGCAGACCGGGGTCCTTGGCTAGTTTCGGCAGAGGGTTGGTGACCGATGTTAGTATGGACAGCGGGTGCACGGCCGTAGCCGTATGCCAGCGGCGACTGGCCACGGAGGGCAGTCGGCCCCGGAGCGCCAGGGAGGCCCGCTCGGACAGGGCCGGTTTCGTCGGCATAACCAGATTCAGCAACAGCAAAAGGACTCTCGCCATACAATGCACTACGCTGCTGGGCGAGGAGCTTGCGGCGGTCCTCTTCGGACAAGCCGCCGGGGCTTATGGTGCGATCGGGTTTATTGGGACCGTAGGACATTTCGGCGAGGACAGCTAAGAAGAGAACTCAAGTTAGCCTAGATTCTTTGACTTCTGTCTCGTAACCCAGTAACCAGAGATATCCCCCATAATGTCCATCTTTACAGTGTTCAGGGAGCACAAAACGATTGGGCGTCGGACCGCACTTGTGGCGCAACACAGTGAGAATGGAAGCGCAGCGAAAGCGTCTCGTCTTTATGGATTTTTTTCTGTTTTCTTGCTGTGGTAGGAAGACTGATGCTATACAGAAGAGGGCGGCCTACTTCGGTTGTATTGCTGCTCTTGATGATAGTTCCGAAGCTCTCGCTCCCGCTGGGCGGCCATTCTCCTCTTGGCCTGCATCATCTGTTCCGCCTCGTTCGAGCCGCGTGAGGACTGGTGTCTCTGGGAGGCGTAGAAGTTTTGCAGATTCGTGCCTGGGTGCGGACCGCGCGCATCACCAAAGTCAGCAGCCATCGAGTGTGGGCGAGAACCGGGTCCGGCAGGCGGACGTCCGTCTAGGAGGGTCATGGTCAGTGGGTCGGGCTCTTCGGGTCGGCCCGGCCAGTCCCACGCATACTTACCGAAAGCTGGGTACATTCTGGCGGGGCCGGGATAAGGTAGGGACTCACGACGGGTCCCAGCAATTCCAAACAGCTTCCCGCTCTTCACAAGGTTGTCGATGGCACGATCGACCTCTGAAAGACAGAGGCGGTTAGCTACGCATGCCTTTCCATTCTCAATCCAAAAAATCCCAGACGCCATCCAGCCTCCCAACACAAAATGGGACCGAGGACGCCCAGGGTGCAGTATGAAACCTTGGGATTCCAGATAGACACTACGTACCCTCGAGTTGATGGGTAAAAGCAGCGGGTTCTTCGCGCGGGATAGCCGAACTAGCACCTGTTACCGAGTCCTATGTCAGCTGATGGAAACACATAATGCGTTGACCAAGCAGGCACTCACCGGAGCGGGCGGGCGGCGGAGTCTGGTGGTCCCAGCCAGCCGGCTGTCCAGTGGGGTTCCATTGCGAAGGAGAAGGCTCGTAGTAGCCCGACATGCTGGGCTCTGTTGGTTGTTCTAGGAAGCTTGGTCGTTACGCTTGACCGTAAAGGCGTAGCCACTTAGTGTCGGCACAGTCAACGGGGTTCGGCGTGGGTTTTTCCGGCTCAACAATGGCTGACTCTTGCAATCGATGGGAAGTCAGCATTCGTCAGTAGAGTGCAAAGCATGCAAGGATGGCGCGCTAGAACGGCGCGACTGGGTGACCAGCACAATTGCCCTGTGGTTGAAGTTGCTGGAGCTTTGGGAAAGGGGCCGGGGAGCTGAGGCGCGGGAAATCGGTCGAGAGGCGCACCCAGCAAAGGGAAAGAAAAAATTATCCTGGCAATGGCCTCATCCACATCACACTCACCTGCAAGTCAACTCTGGTCGTCGCTGAGGAAGTCCTCGTCCGATCCAGAACTGATTGGCAAGAAGACCCTGAAAGGAGTGGAAAGGAAGTATTTCGGCACACAGCTCAACGCGTGGGCGACTTTTTTTCCGAGTCGCGCGCTGGGGGGAAGGGTTGCTCCAGGAAGAAAAGACCGGGGGAGATGAGGTTCAAGTCTTGGGCCCAGCGTAAAGGATGGACGGGGCGTGGGTCGATCCGTGGCAGGTGGTCCGGTCGCCCTTGCCGTAGCCCGTGAGACCCCTTTTCGTGCACTGTCGTGGGACTCGTGGGAAGGTGGCCACAGCTCGGAGCAGGGTACGAAGTGGGTGCCAGCCCCGGCAGGCCTGAACAATTCCAGCAGGTGCCCAGAAAAGGCGAGATTTCAACAAAACCTCAGCAAGTTCCAGGTTCATGCACAACCCGACATCAACTTGAAAGCAGTTCACAGGTATTGTACACTGAAGATTGGGCGAAACAGTACCATGGTTTTAAACCCCATTAACCAAACCTACGTTCCGAAGGCCGCCGCGTCTCCGGGACGACTCCAAAGTTCGTTTCCATTCGCCAAACGACCAGCTTTGCACAGACCACAAGGTGACGACAGGGGTAACGTTACCAGTTAGCGTGGAGAGCGGGCCAGCGAGAACCTTAAGTTGCCGCGCGCCGGTATCGTCATCCTAGAGATGGGCAGAGCAGGATACCCAGCATGTTGTTGGTATTGCTCTTGCTTGCATCAGTAGGTGCCTACTTTAGGTCCCCATTACATACCTTAGGTACGTCATGGACCCTCTCTATCTTGCCCTATGTTGCCTATGCGTAGAGGTACCATACCTTTGAGCAACAGACGATCGCTGCCTCGAGTGCTGCCGCGGCACCCATCTGCCGACGAGGTCACCCTCAGAGGGTAAAAGCCTGACCGCGCCAACAAGCCAACCCGCCAACCGATCCGTTCCTCGGCGATGGAGTTCAGCCTGCTGTCAACAGAGATATGCTGCAACACCCTTTCCGAATCGGCTCAAGGCCATCAGATGAAGCGGCATAGAACACAACCATCGCCCTTAAGTGAGAACGCCCAAGCTGCAAGATCCTGTGATTGCCGTTGAGAAACCCGAGGCCTGGGACAAAGCATCGAAGGTGGGGGATGCGTGGGCGGCGGGTACGACTCAGGCGATAGGTAGGTACTCCGTACGCCCTTCCATAATGGAAACGGGTGCCGCAATGTTTTAGCGCCTGGAAAGGGGAAGGCGGTTCATGAAGTGGGAAGGGTCTCAGTGGTGGAAACGTGAAATTGGTGGGAATGCCCCTTTCGCAGCAAAGCCCAATGAGGGCATTGGTACGAATGGATGCTAACGTTAAACTCCTTATTTAGCGCGCCTCATGTACTGCGCATCTCAGGGAACTTTCTGGGCATCACATCCGTCATCTTCCTGCGACTGTGTTACCTGTGTGAGGCAAGGTACTTGTTTGGTCATCACAGCCTTGATCGAGGCACGACCTCACTGATACAGTAATATGGAAAGGACTCCATTGTTCGGCGGCACTAACTTACCCCTGGAGGTCCGAGAGAGTGTCGGAATGGCCTGCTGTGTTTCCCTAGCGGCCTAGCCAACATCGACCTGATTGTTTTCTGGAAGCCCTGTCATCGGAATCTGGGATTTCGAGAGCATTCTTCTGCCATTCTGCCGCTCGCAGCCTGCATTGCAGATTCAGACCCCCGCCGCTGCTGTGTAGGTCCTGATTGTGCAGCGTGGGGTTGGGCTGACGGGCAGCAAACGGAAAGCACAAGAGTTCGGGCAGAATTGACCCGCCACCACGCAGCTTCTAGGTTTCCTACCCGAGTTCCCGCCGACGCGATCGTCTCGGTTAGGTATCCCCAACAGCAACCTCTGAAGTCATCGTCGGGCTTCGTGGTTGCTGAGACTATCGACAGTGCTTTTCCCGTTTGAGACAGTTTGAAGCTGGTGCATGTGGGATACACAGTACAGCATGCATCATGGTCCCCAGATTGCTTTCTCGTTTGCGTTCAGCCCTGCATCACTGTTGGAGCAGGTGGTGGAATCAATTTTTTCTACGGTTTCATCATTTCACGTCCAGTTGCTAGGTCAGCACTGTCTGCCTGTTGCCGCAGGAATCGGCTGGCATACCCGAGCACGACTCTCTGTCTATGACGCGAACAGCTCGCTGTTTGAAACCGGCCTGGAACAAGTGTGCAAAGCTTGAACGCGAGGCTTTCAGGAAAAAGAACCGGACAAACCCTCCAGCCCTCTACTCCATTGTCGGGAGGGTTACCCGATTAGATTCAGGTACTACAGGTTCACCTTGAGGAACACGTTCATATCTAATCTATCAACGGATTTTCGATCCGAGGGTCGTTCCCATCTCTTCTCGCATGCGGCTTCATGAACGCTAACGGGGACTAACAGTACTAGTAACCGCTGGTTAAGTCAAGACCGGCTTCAGTTGTCGGACATGGACACTCAACATCGCAATTGAACTCTCGGAAACCGATGCTTCTCTGATTCAGCATGCCGGGAAGAATACTTGCCGGGCCGCCTGTCTCCGCCTCGATTTTCGCCGAGGCGCCGCATGCGACGTTAAATCGGCACGTTCTCCGAGGAACGTGGTTCTAACTTCTAAGCCAAGGCTCAATGGCAATTTTGATGTATGATGATGCACCTATACACAGAGACAGTGCCTACACTTATGTCACTGAGGCTTTTGACTGCGAATCAGTCACTTGCATGCTGGATCAGCTGTCCCGGGCAGTCGGTCCCAAAGAGCCGCCAAGACCGAGGCGTAATGCCGACTTGACGCGCATCGCTGGCTCACACCTGTGGCCACCATTTGCGCACGACATTTACACAATCTCGTTGGTTCATCAGCCGGCAGTTCACATGACATCACACACCTTGATATATATTCTACACGTGTGCCTTCTAATAAAAACGCATCATTCAGGGCGGAGGGTAGACAGACATATTTTGTACAGTGTTGGACTGCCCCTCTCACCTGTCCCACACCTACCACGAACACCTCTCGGTCTCTTTCGGCTCATCATTGCATCTCGCTCCCACATACCTACCTACCTATCTTCGTGCATAGATAACCTTTAGGTGCGGGGTCTGCAGCCGGCGGGGTCTGCAGCCGGCAGGCGTCAGCTTCAGGCTGAGGAGAGGATGCTGACACATCCCAGAGCAATGGCCTCCATGACTGCTGCATGAGCCGTTCAGCGCTAATGGTCGCAGACTGGCAATATCACACATGTGTGGAGCTTGGCAAGCAAGCAGGCTCTGTACTGCACGGCTGATTGAGGCCAAGGTCAACAGTATCACATGCTCTGCCGACAAGGTAAGCTGTGGGCCGAATGAGAAGTCAAGTGGAAGAAGCGACATCATTGAGTGGCCAGGTTGATGTCGCGTAATTTCCGCTTGAGAAAGCGCGGGGGGCTAGCGTAGGTGGCGTTGAGCGACACGCAACAAACTCGCAAGCGCTTTGGGAGCGTTCAGACTCTTACGCTTCCTGATGGGGCTACAACTACGGATATAGTCAACGTGTATATGTATGAGGTAAAACACCGGCTGACTGGTAACGGATGATATCTGCGGGTGGCGTGGATCTCAACAGGTCGTCGGACCTAAGCATAGTAAATCGCTGGTAGAGAGCATGTCAACAACTGCAAGACCCGAGAACATGGGATGGGAGTCCCGAGTGTGACCGGGCAGACCCGAGCCGGCGGCCACCGAAGCGCCGGAGGCGCCCCCCACTCCCCGTGCCGGTTGCCAAGCCATTCCGGCGGCCCATGATTCTGGATCGGGCCATCCCCGCAGGCACTTGCAAAAGTTTTCTGTTTTTCTGTTGAGCTAACTTATCGCGCCCCGCGCATGTTGCCACGCGTTTAAGAAGAGTATTGCTAACTGGCGCCTCACCTCTTCATCCAGGCATCAGGCATACATACTTTTTTCTCGCCCTTGGCAGGTTTCCGTCAGTCGTCGTTACGGACGCGCCGCTCACCTGCAGTACACGCCCGGCTCTGACATCGCCACCCGCTGTCCGTGCATTCTCCCGCCCCCTCGGTGTAAACACCTTATGTTCTGCCTGAGATCGGTTGCCATCAACACCTTCGAGTCCTCGGCGCATGATTTGATGTGCCGAGCTAGGCGGGAGTAAGGAAACGGCAAGCGACTTGAAGTCTTTGCGCTTGCTTGAGGGGACGTCAGAAAGACTTACGCACGACAAACATTCTTGTTTATTTACTTCTTTTTCATCCGATCTTGTGCTCCGTGATTGGAGCTTTGGCCTGTGAGAGAAGCATTCTGATCCAAGCTTTATGTATGGTAGAGCCAGATTGCTGCAGACCATCCGCGCCCGGCTTTTGGCACCTCTCGGAGTCGACGAACAGTCTCCTCAGGCTCAGAGCTATCAACCCCTGATCAATTCCGACGACATGGCAGCCGAGGCATCGGCCATAAGCAGTGGGCCGGTCTTGTCCAAGGCAGACGCCGATGGCGCCAACTACGGAACCGCGGCTGCGACGGTGAAAGACGTGCAAGACTCGCCATCCACATCCACGTCGGATGCCGAGGCCGAAGTCGTTGCAGCGGGCCTCTCGCAGCTCGAGGCGCGCAACACGCACTGGTACTCGTACCTGCTGACGCTCGACTTCTGGGCCATCACCGCCGTCGGGCAGGTGCTCGCGCTCTGCATCACGGCCACCAACACCTTCACTACCCTCCTGGCGGGCGTGAACACCAACATCCCGGCCTTCCAGACGCTCTTCAACTATGCCCTGCTGACGCTCATCTGGCTGCCCATCTGCTGGCACAAGCACGGCTTCCGCGCGTGGGGCCGGATCGTGGTGCGCGACGGGTGGAAGTACTTCATCCTCTCGTTCCTCGACGTCGAGGGCAACTACTTCACCGTGCTCGCGTACCGGTACACCAACGTGCTGTCGGCGCAGCTGATCAACTTCTGGTCGATCGTCTGCGTCGTGACCATCTCGTTCTTCCTGCTGCGGGTGCGCTACCGGCCGCTCCAGATCGCCGGCATCCTCATCTGCTGCGGCGGCATGGGCGTGCTGCTGGCCAGCGACAAGATCCAGGGCACAAACGACTACGGGCCCGAGGACGCGCTCAAGGGCGACCTCTTCGCGCTGCTGGGCGCCACGCTGTACGGCATCAGCAACGTGTTCGAGGAGTGGTTCGTCAGCAAGCGGCCCGTGTACGAGGTGTTGTCGTTCCTGGGCATCTTCGGCGTGTGCATCAACGGGGTGCAGGCGGGCATCTTCGACCGCCACTCCTTCCGGGGCGCGACGTGGAACGGGCAGGTCGCCGGCTGGCTGGTCGGCTACACGCTCTGCCTGTGCCTGTTCTACTCGCTGGCGCCGCTGATCCTGCGCATGGGCAGCGCGGCCGTGTTTGACGTCAACCTGTTGACGGCCAACTTCTGGGGCGTCATCATCGGCACGAGGGTGTTTGGCCAGGTGGTGCACTGGATGTACCCCATCGCCTTTGTCCTCATCGTCTGCGGCCTGGTCATCTACTTCCTGGCGGGCAGCATTCTGGGCGACTCCAAGAAGCCGTGGCTGGGCGAGAACCAAAAGGATGGTGTTGCGGGCATTGGCACGGCCAAGCTGAAGGCGCTGAACGAGGCGAGGAGGAGGGGGCTGGCCGGTGATAGCGATACGGCGCGGGTTTAGGGGAGAAGATATGGAGGAAGTGGCAGTGGGGCACAGAATCGGTAATGCGCTTTGGTGATAACAACGAGTGGGGGGGATACGATTTGTGGCATCGCATGCGGTCTAGGTATGAGTTTTCGCGGTCAGTCAGTTGTATGCTGATTTAGATTTTCTTTGCCGGGTTGGATATTCAGCGAATGAGCTTTGAGTCAGGATCTAATACTCTACTTCTTCAAAATACAGTAGTATGAGCATTAGGGCTCCTAAGCCGGTCGCTGCCGCCTGGGGCGGTTTGTTGGATTGGCCGCTCTGAGAGGCCAGTGACTCAACAACGCAGTTGTGTGGTTTGGGTTTCCATGCGACCTTTAGTTTTATGATAAAGTGCTGATAAAGAGTCACACACAATGAGGCCTCCTCCAAGCGGCCTGTTTGTAACCCGGTGGCGCAGCCGCATGAGCCGCATGATGGCCGAGCGATTAGAATGGAAGTGGAATAAAGAACGGGATGTGACAACCGTCACCAATCTTATTAGTACTACTAGTACCTCTCTACGAGCTCCCCCTCCACCCTCACACCCAAGGCCAAAATCTTTCAAAGAAAAGAAAGGACCTTGAACAACGCATTTCATCATCAAACCAAACCTACGAAGTCCTCCTCGCAATGAGCACGCCACGCGCCCCACGGTCTCCCAGGGACCGAAAACTGTATTTCGCCTTCGGCAGCAACCTCTGGAGAGAGCAAATGGCTCGTCGCTGCCCAAACTCACCTTTCGTCGGCATCGGCTGCCTGAACAACTTTGAGTGGTTCATCAACGAACGCCGCTATGCCAACATCGCTCCGGTCAATCCGCTGCCACCCGCCCGCGGAAACAACCGTGGCGGCAGCGGCAGCAAGAAAGTCTGGGGGCTGGTCTACGAGCTGAGCCAGGCCGACGAGGAACGGCTGGACCGATACGAAGGCGTGCCGGATTGCTACCAAAAGAGGATGGTGGAGGTGAACTTGTACCCCGTCACTCGGGAGTCTCAACGCACGGGCATGCTGGGCTCTGCACGTCCCGTCGACATGCTCATCTACATCGACCTCCAGCGCAACCAGGGCCACTTCGAGCCCAAGGAAGAATACGTGTACCGCATGAACCTGGGCATCGAGGATGCCCTGGACGCGGGGGTCCCCGAGCGCTATGTCGTTGACGTCATGAGGCCCTATATTTCTTGCGTGAGCCCTGATGCGGCAAGGAGGGCTCTTGCGCAAAGGGCCGCTGCGGCTACCGAGGCCGGATCCCGGCGTGTCAGGGGCGGTGCGGCTAGGGTCCCTGCGCCGAGAGACCTTGCGCCGAGAGCCCTTGCACCGAGAGCCCTTGCACCGAGAGACCCTGCGCGGAGGGACCTTCCGCGGCCGCAGGGGCTGGCGCCAGTGAATGTAGTGGAAGTCAGACCTCCCAGGCGCCGGTCGCAGGCAGTCCTTGCCGTTGGGCAGGAGAATACCGCCGTGACGAGGGCCACGGAGCAGAGGCCTCGGGTCGCAAGGGCCCCTCAGCCAAGCAACCCTCAGCAACGGAACCCTCAGCAGAGCAACCCCCAGCAAGGCACCCCTCAACAACGGAACCCTGAGCAAAGCGCCCCTCATCCGAGCGGCCCTCAGCCAAACAACCCTCAACAAGGCACCCCTCAACAACGGAACCCTGAGCAAAGCGCCCCTCAGCCGAGCGGCCCTCAGCCAAACAACCCTCAACAAGGCACCCCTCAGCAACGGAACCCTCAGCCGAGTGCTCCTCAGCCGAGTGCCCCTCAGCAGAGCCGGGAGGCTCCGGTGTCCAGGTCCAAGTCACTGAGGGAGGCGGGCGAAAAAGGCCTTACGCGGGCGCTGGCGGGTCTGGGAATCAGATCCGGGTCACGGAAGGACGGGGGCGAGCAGGAAGGGGGTGGTGCCGTCGAGAAGGGCCCCGAGCAGAACAAGTCTTCTCAGGAGCAGAGCCCCGAGCAGAGGCGTGCCGGTCCGGCTTCTGGCTCCGGGCCGCAGAAGAATTTGACCGGCAAGGACCAGCCGCAGCCAAATGCGGCTTCTTCGGAGGCCACGTCTCAGCGTAAAGACGGGCCGCAAAAGGGGACGGGTGAGAGTCATTCTTGAGGGGTCAATTGGCCGGGTAACTGCACCGTTGGTTGCGTTTTGGAGGAGCGATGCCTATTCTCTGTCTCATCCCTTTTCGATACTAGTCTTGCTGCAATAGAGTGAATTATGAACCAGCTTTCATTTATTACCCGAGTGTTTTTCAGAAAGATGATGGATGTTCCCAGGGCTTCCATTTGAAAACCTGGGAAGGGGAGGAAGTACTAACTAGAGTAGTAACAACCTTCGTTCGGGACTTCCACATTGGAGTCGCCTCATCAAAAGCTGTTTCTCTTGGTCAGTGGCCATATTCTGACCGACTCGAAATGCATGGTGGTGTAGCGATTTAGAAGTCAGGCGCTACGTATTCCGAGGCCGAGCCCGTAACGATTCATAGAACGAAGTCAAGAAAAGGAGTTGTCGTCTGTGACAGTGCGAAGTCCTTGATAACTACCTATTTCTACCTCGTCGAAGAGGAAGCTGTACCTGCGTGAGGCGAACTTGATTCATGATGCTTTCCTTGAATTTTGTGTGTTCGATCAATGAAGTAGGCGGCGGCTGGATGGTGAGAGTGTGGTGCAAGTGGGTTTGCTCATCCAGGACGGAAAGCCAGCCCTGGGATAGCCATCCGGACGAAGATCATATGTAAACATGACGACATACCTTCTAAGCATATGCTCGGCATATCCGATTAGCATTCCATTCGAAATGGCTCACCGCCTTTTATATTAGATCAAAGATCCTCGCACACTCCAGTTTGCACCTTCTTTACCCAACACCACTCGATTATCTCGATACCTATTCCGGTCTCCTCCTCGCAACAAACGGTTCAAACCTCCATCACATCACAGGGCCGGCCGGTTCGGGGGGAAGTTGTCGTCGACCAGCCGCAGCTCGTACTCGCGCGGCATATCCGCCGTGATCCTCGGCCCTCCGCTCCCCATCGCCCGCAGCAGGTCTTGGAGCGGGTCGGCGGACGGCCGGAAGTCGGGGTCCATGACGGCAAAGTCGTAGGCGTGCGTGCTGGCCCAGCGTCGACCGCGGGCACGAGTGGCAGAGGAAGCACCCGCGGACGGTGGAGAAGCAGGTTGACCAGTGGGCGCTGTGGCGGGTATTTGACAGTCCCAAGTACCGGGGTGCGTTCTGCCATTTCTCGCACCTCGATTACCTGATCCCTTGCTTCTCAGCTTTAATAAGAGTCTCAAGTCACCTGGATTGACAGATGAAAAAATTGTACGCAGGCAAGCAAGTCATCTACATGTATGACTTCGGCGACAACTGGGAGCACAACCTGTCCGTCGAGGGCCGCGCCGACCCAACCGACCGCTTTGTCTGCCTGTCGGGAACCGGGCACGCGGTCGCCGAGGACGTAGGCAGCGTCGACGGCTGGAGGGAGCTCAAGGACGCGTATTGCACCTCGCACCCAACCAAGGAACAGCGCGAGAGGCGCCAGTGGTACGAAAGGACGGCCAGCAATGGGGACCCGGAGGGGCTGGCGGGCGATCGGGGCGCTCATGACGAAATGGGTGCTCACAGCTCGTACATCATGAGACAGTGATTGATTCACTTTTTCCTTGATGCGGCATATATTCTCTTCAATGTAATACCCGGAGGAGCCCAGAGCCCAGAGGAGAATCATCGCCATGTAATCACGGAAAATGACGGACAACGTATAAGACGCTGTGGAGCTGACTTGGTGTTCTGGGATCCCCCTAGCGAGAAGCCCACCGCGTCCAGGTCTTGACCTAGTAGGTTTTCGTTTGTTGGTGAGATCAGCCCGTGAAATTGCTCCCGATCACATCGTTGCTATGCCTACTACTAGTGGTAACTCATCGGGTGTAGTACGTAACTTTGGAATTATACTTGAACAGAAAGGAAGAAAGTGAAATGGAGAAGAATGAAAGCTGAAAGTAGGAGAAGGGAAAAGAAATCAAGAAGTAGAAAGAGGAAAAAATAGGAACAAGTGGGAATACACTGTGAGTCTGGTTGAGTCTATGTTGATGATGGACGCATCTTTTTCGCCGGTGTGAGCCAACGTCGCCAACGTGCCTTCGCAGTCGCAAGCAAATGCTGACTTTCAAATTCCGGCTTCTGTGACAAAAGACGACGATCTGCAGTGCTAGCGGGTCGACAAAACATGTTAGCAGTGCTGTATTGTAGGACCACTGGCAATACCCGTTTGCAGCCCCTGACATCGCCGAGGAATGCACAATGCCATGCTCTTAGAGGCATCTATCGATCTACCAGAGACGAAACGGGATGACAACGATGGGTCGTGGCAAACCGCGCGAAGGAGGAAGTTGCGACCTGGCTGCTGTGTGTGCCACTTCGATGATTTCATCCCCCTCATTGACGCGTGTCACATGTGAGACATTGTCATTCCTCGATGCCTCTGAACTTACTGATCCAGCGGACAAGCCATCAATGTGAAGGCCAGGTTGTTTCTAGTCTCCGTGTTCGACCCGAGGGTTGCGTTCCCTTCATTTCACGTCCCACCTGCAACTACCCGACTTTCGACTGCACACTGCTGGTCAGTGGAACTGGGTGTGGCACTCTGTCTTGACGGTAGCCGCAAACCTGCAAGACCAGTTGGCCTGCTGTCAAAAGTTCAACAAACGTGTATCCTTCTGAGATATGTCACTGGATCAGTGACCGGTCACGGCACCACAACTTCCCTCGACCATTTTAGCGACTCTTGCTTTTGTAACTTGATTGCACGGAGTGAGCGACAACAATCCTGGCCCACTGAGAGAAGTAACAACGGATCTCAGATTCACTCTTGACACCATTTATCGCCAACTACTGACTTCCGATCAGGACTCCCCCATGACTGAATCAGGAGCGTTTGGTGCTGGATAACTCGGCGTTGACTTTCGTCAGCATCACTTTTCGAAGATACGCCCAACATGTCATCACCCGCTCATATCGTCGACCCAGGCGAGGGGCCGGCGTATAAGTTACCCGGGTCTCTCCCTCCTGGCTGGGAGCCTGTCAGGGCATTTGGTCTGGAACATGAATACGCCGAAACCCAGCATAATCCCCCACCCGAGGTCGTTTGTTGTGGTCCAGAGGGTGGCGCCCAGAACGTACCAGCAGCGTCACAAGTAGGCGGCGGTGACGGCGCCAACGGAGGGGGTTCCGAACATGACACGCGTTCATCTATCCGGCCTGATATCGAGGGTAATAAAGAACACGGCTTCCACGACACCCCTGATATCGAGCCACCGGAGCTGCCATGGTACCGGACAATCTCTCGGGGACGGTGGGCCGCCATCGTTATCTGCCTCGTCGGCAGCACTGCGGTCGTGCTGGCAATCCTCGGAGCCATGAACAGGCTCTCTGGAAACAACAGGTCCGCCACGCCTACAACCAACAATTCCGAAACACAAACCCAGCTCATCGCTGACGTGAGTAGCACTTCATCGGACTCGTCCCACTCCGACGACGAAACAGCCACCACCGCTACAGCCTCGTCCTCGACGTCAACCACAACCGCCGCAAAGCCAACCTCCACGGTACGTCTCACCCTTGCCCCCCATGTCTCTTTTCTGCAGACAACATGACCACTAGGTAACCACTAACCAAACTCGCAACAGACCAACCCGGCAGCAACAATGATAGATTGCACCAACTCCTCAACCTTCGTCAGCCCAGTGACCTGGATCGGCGCAGAGCTGGGCTACACTACCCACTTCTCGCCCGACTCGGACGCTGAATCCTGCTGCAACTCCTGCCTGCACCACGACCCGGGTTGCGCGGGTTGGCTGTACGATAACACTACGAAGTTCACGCCGTGCACCAAGATCGTGATCAATACCAAGCACGCCGGCCAGGATGACGACGACGAGACCGAGACGTGCCCGCAGGGATATACGGATAAGACCTATTTCACCGAGGGCACCAACGGGAAAGGAAGTGTGGCGGGCTTGGGGCCTTGCAGTCGCATGATAAAGATGCAGTGAGGCGTGTCCTTCGGGCTTGGACGGGATACGGGCCCATGCAAGCAGGGATGGAGGGGCAACCGGGTAACCAGGCAGAAGAAGGGAAGCCTTTGTACTGTACTGTGTGTTTCGCTTCGATTTTGGCGATGGGTGGTGTGTCGAGGGCAGGATGCGAAGTCTTGGGACGGACGTCTCGTTATCGCAGACGGGGGGACACGGGAACCAAGAATGGGATGACAGCGGGAATGGTAGCTTCCGGTATACCCAGCGCTGATTGCATCTACTGCTTCTTTGGGGGGTATGACTCTGTTTGCGGCGAAATGGCTCAAGAACAACGTTAACAAGTACACAATTCCCAACAACCTGTCGATTAAACCATTACAGACCAGCTCCGCCTAAATCCGGCCCATGTCCGTGACAGGCGCAAAGGAAATATGCGGCAGGCAAACAAGCGCAGGATCTTCGTCACTTCAGCCCCATCCGTGCTGAAATTACGCCGTCCTTCCACCGCCCACTGGAGTGAATTCCCTCAGCCGGAATCAAAGATGCGTCCTCAGCGGCTTAGAGGCGGAGCAGCTTGGCGGCGTACTGCTCGATCAGGTTCTCAGTCGGGAAGCTCATCTCCTCGAGCTTCTGGGCGTAGGGGGTCGGGACGTCGGCACCGGTGACACGCTGGGCGGGAGCATCGAGGTAGTCAAAGGCATACTCCATGGTGAGAGCCAGGATCTCGGCGCCGACGCCAAAGGCCGGGAAGCCCGACTCGACGGCCATCAGGCGGTGCGTCTTCTTGACCGACTTGACGATGGCCTCGATGTCGAGCGGCTTGATGCTGCGCAGGTTGATCACCTCAACCTCGACGCCGTACTTCTTCTTCAGGTTCTCGGCCGCCACGAGCGACTGGCCGACGCACCGCGAGAGCGTCACCATGGTCAGGTCCTTGCCGGCACGCTCGACCTTGGCCTTGCCGATGGGCAGCACGAAGTCGTCCTTCTGCGCGGCCTCGGACATGGGGAACGACTGGCCGTACAGGAGCTCGTTCTCCAGCACGACGACCGGGTTAGGGTCCCGGATGGCAGCCTTCAGGAGCCCCTTGGCGTCTTCGGCGGACCAAGGAGAGACGACCTTGAGACCGGGAATGCTGCCGTACCACGCCGAGTAATCTTGCGAATGCTGGGCGGCGACACCGGCGGCGAAGCCGTTGGGCCCGCGGAAAGTGATGTTGCACGGCTGGATACCGCCGGACATGTAGAGGGTCTTGGCGGCCGAGTTGACGATATGGTCGATGGCCTGCATGGCGAAGTTGAAGGTCATGAACTCGCACTGATGTGTGGTTGTGTCAGCATCGGGCCCCTCATTCTCCGAATCGTAATGTATCTGAAATATCGGGGCTGGGGCTTACCACAGGGTGCAGCCCGCTCAGCGCAGCACCAACCGCCAGGCCGGTGAAGCCCATCTCGGTAATCGGTGTGTCGATGACACGCTTCTCGCCGAAGCGGTCTAGCAGGCCCTTGGTGACCTTGTATGCGCCGTTGTACTGGGCAACCTCCTCACCCATGATGAACACCTTGGGGTTGGACTCGAGCTCCTCCGCGAGCGCCTCGTTTAGGGCATCGCGGACTGTGTACTCCTTGACGCCGGACGCATCGGCATATGTCCGTTTTTGTAGCCTGGGCACGGCAGCGGCTCTGGAAAGGAACGGGGAGGTCGCGGCAGGGCGGATGGCTGAGGCGCGCGCAGAAGCAGCCAGGCGGGCCGCTGGTCGGAGATAGCGCGACATGGCTGAGATTTTGTTGCCGGGAAAGGAGGGAGCGAATAGAGCCGGAGAATAGAAAGAAAACAAGGCCTGGCTGAATTGAAGCTCAATTGGAGTGCCCGCTCGCAGCACCAAACGAAACAAAAGGCGAGGTCGGCAGGGCTACTACTGATGCTAGAGGAGAGGTCTGGACGTCGGAGGGAATTTTTCTTGCCTCAATCGAGGAAGCTACGGACAAGCAATCGGACTTGACGTTGAACCCCAACGAACCAAGTCGCGCTAGCGCAAGAGCGGGCTAGCGCACTGAGACCCTGGTCGTGTGGGTCTGTAGCTTGGCCCGCGAAACTTGGAGCTTTTGCGTGGGATGTGGTGATAATAAATTCTCGGTTCACAGCTGCATAATGTAGATAACGTTAACGCATACCTTAGGTACGTAGTGTAGACGTGATGTGCAAACGATATATTCTCCTCGCATGTCAGGTATGTGGATGCTATCTCTTTAGACTTTGGGGAATAAGCGGGTGCGGCCTGGTGTCCGTCACTCGGAATCCGAGGGTTCCCATACCCTTGTAGTTACAATATGTACTTGTCTTACATCAGCAGTCCAACCCCGTAGCAGACATGCGCCAATGCGAACCATTGCGCTGACAACACTGGATGGGTGAGATGCCATCGAAACACCAGGCCCGTTACTGCAGTCGTGAATTATTAGTGAGTAGTCTATTACACTCTAGCTATATACATGAAATCCATGAAATCGGGGCTAGATGGTGTCCTCAGTCGTGAATACCGTGCACCGAGACCAGTGATATTAGTACCGTTTATTACTCCAATGCCATCATCGCCATAACCCTTTTGTATCCGCCTACCCCGCATTAGACTGTAGTCTGTTTATCATCCCATCGTAGCGTGTCTAGGAAGATTCCAGCAGAGCCGTTCAGTTGGCAGGCTTGCGGCCCACCATCAGGTACATCGGGGTGAAGAGGTCCTTCTTGGCACCCGCGACGAGGCCATCTGCACCCTTCGCGAGCGAGTCGGCTGTCTTCTTGGTACCCTTCGGCGCCAGACCGATAGTCTCGAGGAGGCCAGTGAAATGGTGCACCGCAGAGCGGCCCGCGTGTGTCATGCGGAGGACAGTGAACAGGTCCCAGTAGGACTGCATGTACTTCATCTCGCCAGCAATGCCCCAGTACCAGGGGATGGAATCGGGCCTCTTGGCCAGATCCTCGTGGTGGAGCAGCTCGAAGCCAGCCTCCTTCATGGCCTCGAGACCCTCCGAGATCTTCACCATGTTGGAGATGCCGTTGCCCTCCTCGATGGCGAGACGGATGTCACGATGCTCCAGGTTATTGTTGTCGTAATTGTCTGTCATCAGCCACTCGTACACGCCGAACACGCCGCCCGGCTTCAGGACCCGGAAGATCTCGCTGTAGACGCCCACGAGCTTGGGTGCGTGGACTGTGGCTTCGATGGCGTAAACAGCGTCAAACGAGTTGTCGGGGAAGGACATTTGCTGCGCTGGTTAGCAATGGCTTGTGCATTCTGGGGCATATTCTGTGGCCGCATACCATGAAATCGCCCTTCACGAACTTGAGCTGGTTCGAGAGACCCTCCTTTGCCGCATACCGCGTCGCACGCTCAATCTGGTAGTCGTTGTTGTTGAGCCCGGTAATGTGCGCATCGGTGAACTTCGCGATTTCTCTCGCGGGCCCGCCCACACCGCAACCGACGTCGAGGACCTTCATGCCAGCCTGGATGCCAATCTTCATGGCAAGGTAATGTTCGTGCCGCGCAATGGCCTGGTAGAACGGCTCGCCGATTGAATACCGGCAGAAGTGGAAGCTCTGACCCCAACCATACTCGTACAAATCCGTCGCGAGGTTGTAGTAACTGTAAATGGGAACGATTAATACGTTGATCACGAGACCGTCCCAAGGTTGAGCTTACTGTCTTGTCAAAGTCGCGTATTCTTTTGTCCGGGCCTGGTTCTAGCGGTGAGCATGAGCCATTGGAATTGGGATGCCAGCAAACTAACCTCTCTGTCGGCATCCGTCTCTGTCTCGGCGCTCTTGTTGTCGAAGTGCTTGAAGTACTCGTCTACCGCAACCTCTTTTGCCTTGCGGTCCTTGGCAAGCATCGCGGCGAAACCAGGGGCGGCCTCAGTCGACTTGCCATGGAGTGCCTTCATGAACTCGGCATCACGAGCATGGTCCTCCTTCTCGAGGGCCACCTTCACTTTGGGAGCCATCTTGAGCTGGTTGGTAGGAATTCAAGAACGCTTTCCGAACTTGCTAAGTAGAGAGCACGGAATCGGCACGACGTGAGACAATGGAAGTTTGGGTTCCTCTGATGATTGTCAGTTCAACTTCCAGGGAACAAGAAAAAATGGGCGGAAGTGCCCCTATTAATTATTGCCAGCCGACATTGCACCTCACTAGGAAATAGGGGCAGGGGTCCTCGATAGCCGACGCGGCACGCTAATCTAGCAAATCTGCTGGCTCAATTGGCAGGGAGGCGGCAGCTCCATGCTGCTCCACATAAGCACATGAAAACCAACGCCCGCATCCAGCACCAAACATCGCAGTCCAATGAGCGTGTACAACCCTTCTGCAGTAAGATGCGAACAAGAACTCGGCTTCCCTTTGAGTAAAGCATCCGAGGCTTCCGTTTCCGCGGTCCATGCCGCCTTCCCGACAAGAAAGTACGAATACCGTGGGAAGGTGGAAATTTTAACTATTAGCATTTCGCGTTCGCATGTGAAGCTCTCGCGAGTACGTTGCTCCCAGCGCTAACAGCGATCCAAAATGGAAGGCGGTGAATCAGTAAACGAAAGAAGCGGGAAGGCGAATACGAATAAGAGACGCTTGGACCATGCATTAGCCACAAGTGAGTCGGCGGTGGCGACCGATAACGCTTATCACTCAGCAAGCCACATCTTTCCGTAGTTCATGTCCAAACTCGCTGGATCCAAAACACCAAGCCTCATCACCCCACGTCGTCCACTGCCATCATTCTGCCTTTCCGGTCGACATAGTCAAGCGCAAAACAAGCCAATCCGTCATCACGATGCCACCCCAGATCAAACAGGACCTCAACCGCTCCGGGTGGGAATCGACCGACTTCCCCTCGGTGTGCGAGAACTGCCTGCCCGCGAACCCGTACGTCAAGATGCTCAAGGAGGACTACGGGGCCGAGTGCAAGCTGTGCACGCGGCCCTTCACCGTGTTCCAGTGGGCGGGCGAAGGGCGCGCGCACGGGCGCAAGAAGCGCACCAACATCTGCCTGACGTGCGCCCGCCTCAAGAACGCCTGCCAGTGCTGCATCATGGACCTGCAGTACGGCCTGCCCATCGTCATCCGCGACAAGGCGCTCGAGCTGGTCGCGCCCGGTCCGCAGAGCGAGATCAACCGCGAGTACTTCGCGCAGAACAACGAGCGTGCTATCGAGGAAGGCCGGGCCGGGGTCGAGGAGTACGAGAAGTCGGACGAGAAGGCGAGGGAGCTGCTACGGCGGCTGGCGCAGAGCAAGCCGTATTTCAGGAAAGGGAGGGAGGTAGATCAAGAAGGGAACCCGGTTGCGGGCGTGAGCGGGAGTGCGACGGGTGGAAATCCTGCTGTCGGTGCTGGCCTGGGCGGTGTGGGGCCGATTCGGACGAGGGATTCAAGAGCGGCGGCGGCGGTGGGCGCGAAGGCTGGACCGCGGAGAGGGCCGGCCCCGCCGCCCGGGCCGAAGGACTGGTTGCCGCCGGCCGATCGGAACATCATGTCACTGTTCGTCACCGGCATTGAGGACGACCTGCCCGAGTACAAGATTCGCGACTTCTTCAAGGTGTTCGGCAAGATCAAGTCGCTGGTTGTGTCGCACATGACACATTGTGCATTCGTCAACTACGAGACACGCGAGGGAGCAGAGAAGGCGGCAGCAGAGTGCAAGGGACGCGCTGTCATTGCCGGTTGCCCGTTGCGGATCCGGTGGAGCGTGCCCAAGGCGATTGGGACGATGGACAAGGAGAAGAGGGCAGAAATGCTGCGCGACGGTTGGTCTGCTTTCCCCCAGGCGAATCGGGGCGGTCCACACAAGGCGATTGAGGGCGGCGCTGCACAAGGAGGCGGCCAGACCCCTGCGCAGAACGACCTTTCTGCCCTTGCCGTTGCTGCGCCACCAGGGGCCGCCGATGTACAATATGCTAGTCTATCCGGGAACTAGGCGCATTTTCGGTTTTATATGTGCTCTTCGGTATGGCGTTTGGGAGGCTATTGGGTCTGGTCATGGCGGGGGCAAGGCAAAAAGTATCTCTCCTGCATGTTTATTTGTTCGGTATCTTGTTATGTATTGCTGTTGTTACACTGAGGGGTATCATAGACGGCTATACAATGCAAGGCAGGTTTCCCTGCCGGTTGACTGCGTTCTGCTAGTCATTCCTCGTCCGTCTGTCCGACATCAGACACTTCCCTCGTGCTACCTCTCCGAGCAGCACTTTACACCGTCGACTTTGATGTTCTTGTTCCCCAACTTGACGGTGTCGTTATCTCCCCGCTCAGTATATTCGTGAATGCGGAGTCCTAGGCGAAGAGCAGTTGGTATCTAAGCCCGTCATGCCAACGAGAGAGTTGGCGTAAACTCACTGTATCTGTCTCCTTCCCTTCTCCCCTGAACAAGGTTCGCTTTCAGGAAGCTGGCAACTTCCTCGGCATGCTGAATGGCTGGCTGTATCGATGGGTCTGACGCTGACAGGGCCGCCTTATCCCGGAAGCCCTGTCGTATTTGCTGCCGTGCGGCGTCGAGCATTCTGATATCGCCTGATCGTTCTGTCAGCCAGAGAAACAGTGAAAAGCTCTTTTGCCTCGAACCTTCAAAGGCAATTCTCGCGGCGCGGAGGAGGTTTCTGTATGCTTGAAGAGCTGCCATATTGAATTTGCCGCCTGGGTAGGACTCCGATCAATTTCTGATTGTACCGCCAAAGGAACGTTCGAGTCTGGCAAGTGACATCTTCAGTCGCAAGATCCTGGGGCGGTTCCACTTGCGGCTGCAAGGCGAGGTGTGGGTGGGCAACTAGTTAGCCCGGGTCTGATTGGGCAAGCCGTGCAAAAGTGGACCTGACTGGGACAGGGTCTGGCCCGGGAACCGAAGAAAAAAAATAATTCTTAGCAACCGAAAAACTGCCCCTCCATCAACACTGGAACTTACCAGACCTTCCACGCACAAGCATAGCACAATGGAGGCTACCGTCGTACCACTTCCACTGCCCGTGCTGCCGGAGGGCTGGGAGGGCGAGAACGGCTTCAAGGTGATTGGCAAGATCACCAAGGAGAGCGCATCGCAGCGCACGCTCGAGCCGGTCGGCCCGTACTTCCTCGCCCATGCTCGCCGCGCCCGCCACAAGCGTACCTTCTCCGAGGATGACCGGATTCAGGCGCAGGAGCGGGCCAAGAAGGTTGAGGATGATAACGACAGCGAGATCAGCGAGCCCGAGGACGCCATGATGCTGCAACGAGACGCCAAGGACTGGAAGACGCAGGACCACTACAAGGTGCTCGGTCTCTCAAAGTACCGTTACAAGGCCACCGAGGAGCAGATCAAGCGTGCTCACCGGAAGAAGGTGCTGAAGCACCACCCGGATAAGAAGGCTGCTGCTGGCCGCGCCGACGATGACAACTTCTTCAAGTGCATCCAGAAGGCCACCGAGATCCTGCTCGACCCGGTCAAGCGCCGCCAGTACGACTCGGTCGACGAGGAGGCGGATGTCGACCCACCCACCAAGAAGCAGTTGGCTAAGGGCAACTACTACAAGTTGTGGGGCAACGTTTTCAAGTCGGAGGCCCGTTTCAGCAAGGTCCACCCGGTGCCGTCGTTCGGCGACGAGAACTCGACCAAGGAGGAGGTGGAGAACTTCTACAACTTCTGGTACAACTTCGACAGCTGGCGGACGTTTGAGTACCTGGACGAGGACGTGCCCGATGACAACGAGAACCGGGACCAGAAGCGGCACATGGAGCGCAAGAACGCCAACGCGCGCAAGAAGAAGAAGGCCGAGGACAACGCGCGCCTGCGCAAGCTGCTGGACGATTGCTCCGCCGGGGACGAGCGCATCAAGCGCTTCCGGCAGGAGGCCAACGCGGCCAAGAACAAGAAGCGGCTCGAGCGCGAGGCGGCCGAGAAGAAGGCTGCGGAGGAGGCCCGTCTGAAGAAGGAGGCCGAGGAGAAGGCGGCGAAGGAGGCCGAGGAGAAGGCCAAGGCAGACCGCGAGGCGGCCAAGAAGGCCAAGGAGGCGGCGAAGAACGCTGTCAAGAAGAACAAGCGTGTGCTTCGCGGGTCTGTCAAGGACGCCAACTACTTTGTCGAGGGCGATGCCTCTGCGGCGACCATCGATGCCGTCCTGGGCGATGTCGAGTTGGTGCAGGCCAAGATCGATGCCGACGAGATTGCCGCTCTGGCGGGCAAGCTGAACGGGCTGAAGGTGGCGGACGAGATCAAGAGTGTCTGGAAGGAGGAGGTCGAGAGGCTCGTGGCGGCTGGGAAAATCAAGGAGGGAGAGGTCAAGGCGCTTGTTGCGTGAGGGGACATATTCGGGTTGCATTAGAGTGGGCAATTGTAGATCTCTCAGGTGCATGCATACACAGTGGGCTTTGACGGGTATGAGAAAAGAATCGCTGGCATATAAAGCCGGTTCGATATTTGCCACTGACATCAACAGTGACTGGGACGGACTCCTTGTGACCTGTAGGGGGAGTGGTTCAACAACCTATCCGGGAATTAGTATTTTCGTAGCTAGGCCTAACATCAGCGAAAGCAGCAACTTTGTCATAACCCTCGGAGAGGATTCGAATCCATGACGTGAGCCGCACCTGAAGACGATAGCTACGGCACGACTCAGCAGGAAGAATATGTAGACAACAACCTCGGCAGGACCTGTACAATACGTCCCTACTCACTACTAAGGTAATATCACCCCCCCAGAAAGCTCGACCTACCAACCCCAGCCCCTGACAACCTACTGCTGCTCACTCATAAACATAACAGAACGGCCCATCCACAACACTCACCAAATCCCGAATCCTCCACACCTTATCGCCCACGACACCCAAATCCACCACGTCATCCAGGCTCTGCTGCCTCCCAAAGCCCATCATGCTCGACCCGCCGGCAATGACCTGCACCCGACTCGCCAGCTCCTGGCTCTGCCAGATGGTCCACGTCCGATCGATCATCCCGTGATGCACCCAGAAGGCCGGGTCGTTGGGCGAGGTGAAGAAATCGCCGGCCGGGTCGCCCGCAATGGTGAAGTGGCCCGCGGCATGCACGCCCATGCCCGCGGCGCCCGGGGCGGCACCGCCGAACCCGCCGCCGAAACCCCCAGCGGCTTGCATGGCGTTCTGGAAGGTGCCGATGTCCCGGGAGGAGGTGATCAGCGAGACGATGTCCTGCGTGCGCGTGTACCGGCTGCTGAGCTGGTTGGAGATGTCGCGGCGCAGGCAGCGCGGGTTGTCGCCGTAGCCGTCCTGGCGCGGGTTGCGCGGCGGGGCCGGGTCGACCGCCGGGGAGAGCGGGCCGAGGTGCACTGTCATGCTGTTGATGAGGTGTGTTAGCTTTTTGGTTTCTTTTTTTTTTTTTCTTTTTTTTTCATCTTTTTCTTTTTCAAATTTTGTGCTAAATATGGGATGGGGCTTTTGCGAGTTGGATGTGTACTTCTTGAAAGGACCGGTCTTGACACAGCCGCCTCCGTTGCCCGCGGGAATGCCGGCCGCCGCGCGGTGCTGGATCTTCTCGCCGTTGCCGCTGAGCGAGGTGTCGCTGCCGTCAAAGATGGGCGATTTCTCCGGGTCTTGGGCCCAGCGTCCCCAGTCCCAGTACTATCGGTTTACGAGTGAAGGCGTCAGCAAAAGCGGGCGGGTGCGATGGGGAAAAGGGGGAGGAAGGAAATGCTTACCGGCTGGGTGCCGGTATACCCGCACTCTTGGCGGAGCACTCGCTCGAACGACCAAGTGTAGTAACGATGCCACGACAGGAAGCTTCCCTGATGCGACGGTCAGCACCTTGGCGTGGGTCTTAGAAGAGACGGTGTACTAGCAACGCACGGTGCCGTGGATGTTCATGGTCTGGTTCATGTGGACGACGACGAAGTCATCGTATCGCGACTTGGCCCCGGGGAACTTGGTCTGGTCCAGCTTGGACGGCTTCTCCATGAGGCAGAGCATGGCCGCAATGTAGGCCTTCTTCTCGGCCGCCGAGATGTCGCCCCTGAAACATACACCCACAGATCAGCAGCGTGTTCATTATTCCCCCCTGAGTTGGTACGATCAGTATATGAGATTATCAAACGCACCATTCCCGGCGGACCCGAAGCTTGTCCTTCGTACATGTTGTCGACTTGGCGATCTGGGCGTCGATGCTGGGCCTGCCCTTGTTCTGGAGGTCCAGCACGGCATCGCCAGACGCGAGGCCGGCGAGGAGGAGCCAGGGCACTGCGAGCAGTGCAACAAGCGAGAGCCGGGCCATTGCCAAGCGTCCAAGTTGAGGTTACGGGCTGGCAACAAACAGACAGGACAGGAAGACCTGCTGGACCAAAAGACTTAAGCCTTCAATGAAACGACCAGGCACTTGGCCCGTTTTATCTCATCTTCCCCCTGGCCCCGTCTGCCTCTCTCTCTCTCGATTCCTTAGCCAGGATCGGCAAATTAAATCTGACTCTCGGATCCCGGCAGATGCCATGGAGCAGCGATGTTGGATGCTGGAGAAAATAGGTGAAGGGCTGAAGGCTGGTCACCGGCACATGGGACCCGACATGTTGGGAAAGCCAGACGGCTCGCAATGCTGCCGACTGGTCCGGGAAAATCAGCGGCCAAATCCGGGGTAAAATATCCATATTGTCGTGGGGAAGAGGCTGTCCTGTCGTGCCACTTATATGGACGCTTGGCGAATAGTAACAATATGTGTGACAATAATGCCGTCTTTGACTTTTAAGTTGCGTCTGCCTGCTTGGATCGAATAGATCCTCTCTGCTGACCTCGGTGCACTCCATCTTGGCTGGGAAAGGCCCAAGCATGGCTGACTTGCAATGTCGCCATTCCGGTTTTGGCAGCGTCTTCATCTATTTTGCTGTTTGTGATGCTTGGCGAAAAGGGATCCTGTCGGCTCTTCCGCGGTTTCATTACCGCTCGCAGGTCGAGCACCAGACTTTTGAGCTTCCATGGCGAGTGAGGAAGGAGCTTGCAATTGTCGCAATGTCGTCCGCTTTTAGTGCTCTAATTGTGAGCATATTGGATAAGCATATTGGATACATGGGCTACAGGATGACGGGGATGAAGTTGACAGATGTCGTCTGCTTGTTGATGCCCCGTTCGGGAGAATCACACGTTCCAGGGCCAGATTGAGGATACGCAGGACAAGAGACGTTAAGAATTAGGCGACGTGTAAGGTGATTTATAAGGCCGCCCTTCCGGCAAGCCATCTCGGCAAGAGACTCGCTTCATGGGAAGTTCAGTACCGGAGAGCTAAATGGATCCCCATCTTTGACATTGCCGCGTGGCGAGGTGGCGTTTGAGTGAAATAGATCGAGCGTATTCAGGATCCTGAGCCGCAGATTTGGGAGTGCAGGGCTGCCTTTTGCTCTCTCTGGCTAGCAGACTTGGTCTTTGAGGGAATGCCGGCTGGACGCTACCACGAGATATGCTAGCGCCGAGAGGACTGGAACATACCTACCTTAGTTATACTGAGTTAGTACTAGTAGTAGTATGCGACGCTCGTGCACCTCCTTTCTTCACTTCTGATGGAATGCTCGATCGTGGAACCGAATATTCGTCACACAATCTTTCGTACAGAGATCCCCGTACAATACCAGTCGCGTCACAACGCTCAGGGGTAGAGTACACAAGCGAGAGAAAAGACTCCAACTACCAGTGATCAAGGATGTGCTGTTACTCCTTGAAGAGAATATCGTCCTTTGAGGGCTCAACGTTGACATCATAAGTGCCTGGTAGACAACAGAATCATTGGCCTTCACATCCACACAGAATAAATAACCCACCCAGACATTCCCATAGAATCACTCCCATAGAGAACACACCCCCATACAGAGATGCCCATACATAAATGTCCCGTACAAGAACTTCCATTTCAAAGTTTCAGACAGATCTGGAACGCAGGCCAACAACCCCGTGAACTCGGCGTCGGGATACAGCATCCCAACAGCGGCGAGGAAGCGGGCTGGGACGAGGAGGACGCGGTCGGCTGCCTCGGGTTTGATAAGTGGGGGATGGAGACACGCCATGAGGCAAGGGGCATGTAGGGATCGGTGTCGCAGATGGGGATTGTCGGTTTCATGTACATGTCATCGATACAACCCGGTGTGTCGGATCCGCAGACCAGAACGCGGCGGCCTGGGTCGACCGCGAGGTTGAACATGCCGGGAGCCAGCCGGATTCCATCGACAGATAAGTACCCAGGCATTTGATCCGAACATTGCCGTACAAACATTCCCATACAGATATCCCCACAAGTCGGTGGTGAGATCCGGGGATCGCCGGCTCCATGTACTTGTACATGTTGATTGACCCATGGCCGGGTTGAACATGTCGCATATCGGGACATCGACAGATATCCAGACACTTTCAATCCAAACATTCCCGTACAAACGATCCCATACAGGATACCCCCACAAAGGAACGGCTGGGTTGAAACATGTCGTACAATGGGACATCGAGGATGTGGGGGATAGGGAGATCACCCTCATCATCGTTGCTGTCGTCGTCGCTGCTAACGGTTTCATTGTCGCTCCCTTCATCGCTGACGTGGTCAAATGTTGTTGTTAACCGCGTCAGAGCTCCCGGCCTTCTCGCGATAGCTGTTCCGTTTCCTGGGCGTTGATGATCGTGTTCGCCCGCTCAAACCACTTGACCGCTATTGTGAAGCCGCTCCGGGCAGACAGAGACTTGCCAATCTCGTTCAGGGAAGACATCGGCGTTGAACCGGTCATCGTTTTCCTTGTCAGCCTCTGGGTCGACCAGGAGCCAGCCGGATCCCATCCACACAAATGCCTATACAGGCACTCCCATGATCATCCAGACAGATTGTGTACGTTTTGTACAATACTCGGTGACCTTGCTGTTGAGCTTAATCCCACGCCATCCGTTGGCTGTGTTGGTGGAGATCGCCAGGTTGATCAGACTCTAGCCGTCCAGGATCAGGGTGCCATTCCTATGGATGGGGTTTGTACCATTCGAAATTGCCCTGCGATAGCAGACTCTGGTCGAGTGTTAAGACGCGAAGGTGGTGAGTCAGGCCCTCAAAGCTTCCCCTGTACTGAAGATCTCAAAACAGAGATTCCCATACAGAGTTGTCCCTTACAGAGAGGGTCCCGTACGGAGAATTGCATAGAGAGAGTTCTGTAAAGATTTCCATACAGAAACTCTCATAGGGGGTGGTAGCTGATCGCATGGCATGCGCGCTCCACGTCGCCAACAGGGGGATCCAGAGATGAACAGGTTTTCAGTACAGGAATTCCCGTACAGGAACGCCCGCCTCGTGAAAGCCTTCGAGTGAGCCTAAACTGGAGACAATGGTGTCGTTCCATTGCCGAGTACAAAGTCGCAGCAGGTTCGGGTTGAACGGGATGCCCGGATGAACAGACGTCGGATCGTTGTGGACTTGGAGTCACAGGTTTCGCTTGTTCATCTGCTCTTTAGTACCGGTATCCATGGGTTGATGCTCTTAGGAAGCGCTTACCGTCTTTTTGTTGATTCTCAGCGTTTCTTTTCCACCTTTTGGTTTCTTCTTGACCACTCGCTGGCGTTGTAAGTGGGTTCTGATTGGTTGAAAGTGCCTGAGCTGCTGAGCATGGTGGTGGCCCGGGTCCCTGCGGTACATCACCTGCGCCATAGCTGGGTCTGAGCAGCTGAGACTATACAGGGGAGCTCTGCACTTGTTCATTACCTGGAGGTGTTTTCCACCGCAATCTGCTCTCAGCGCTCAATCTGCAACCCTTCGAGACCTGGAAAGGGCCACTCTTTCATTGCTGAAGGATCTTTGGTAACGACTCCATCTCCGTTTGGCACGGGATGACCGCGTTTTAATAACCAGCCTAGCCAGTCCGAGTCGTCATGACTACCGCCGTTGACCGCACAGATATTTCTCCTTCTTTCGATCATGGCCAGACCGAGCAAGCGGCCGGTTCCAACAGCGACGCCCCGGAGGATATAGAAGACATGTGGAAGACCTGGGAACGCCGTGTGATCATCAGAAAACACAGCGTCGTAAAAAGCGAGCGGAGGACAGACAAGCTTCCACGTCTACCGAACGGCAGGATTCTGTACCCTTGGTGGTCCCAAGAACGGTTGCGAAACGAAGCTGCCACGCTCCAATTCATCGCGTCAAACACGACGATACCTGTGCCAGATTGTTCGTTATATAGCAAGGATGGACTGCTGCATCTCGAGATGACTCGTATTACAAACGGGGTACTTCTCTTGGACGTGGAGCAGGGGTCGAGGGCAGCCGCCGTCCAAGCAGTCGAAGCGCAGATGAACTCGGACATTCTGCCTCAACTCCGTTCTCTCCGTCGAAGCTATATTGGGAGTGTAGACGCTACTCTTCCCGTTTTCCCACCATCACGAATCTATGGTCGCGACCGACGAGCCTGGCCACGAATAACGACGGATGGCGACGAGTTCGTGCTCTGTCACAATGATCTGGCACCGCAGAACATCATTGTGGACCCCAACACGTTCCAAATAGTTGGGATCATAGACTGGGAGTTCGCAGGGTATTTCCCAGAGTCTTTTGAATTGCCACTCTGGAGGGAGTTCGACTGGGTCGGCGGGAAGCGACTGTACGACGAGGCGAGGCCGCGGGATCTCGGCTTTTTTCGACTTACGACAGATGATTTGCGAGACGACAGAGCTTCATCGCCATGACTGTGTTCTACCGCGAGCGTAAAGATAGCAAGAGAGCGGTGTTTCAACGAGCATGCAGCCAGGGCAATGTATTGAGACTTTATCTAGGTCTCTTCAAGGCAGTTGAGAGCGGGAGAAAGAACTGATTAATTGTAACTGGCGTGAACATGCCCATCGTCGTTCTGCAGGTTACCCGCCAGCAAAAGGGGAAGCCTTCATCTTGTTCTGGCGAGAGTATGCGAGAGGAAGGCCAGACTCTCTCCTGATTTTATAGAGAAGGCAGCAAGGGGGGGCGTGATTCCGTCCCAAATTCTCGTCCGTGTTCTTCGTTTTCGGCTCAATTCTTGCAGTTGCAACTGACGCCCTCGTCGTCAACTCCTGCGTGATCTCGGGATTGTGATATTGTCTGCTGGTTGTAGGCATCGCCTGGCTGGTTTGTCGATCCTCCCTTCTTGTTTCGTTGACAGTATAGTACAACTCCATGGAATCCCAGCGTCTTCCCACCAAGAGCGCTCAGTTCATCAAGGGACCTAAGCTTGCTCGTACGGCCTGGGCGGCTAAGCAACTCCAAGTCATCTACCGTGGCCATTATCTCCCGCCTCAAGTTTGTCAACCGTGTTTTGCGAGATTAGGATGTCGATGCAGATGGCTCCGGAATCAATGGCGTTCTCGATGAGTTCCTTGAGCAGGAGCACCGGGCTGGTGATGACAAGGGATGACCCTAGCCGACGGACGCCGTCTACGCCTACCCTTCCTCCCCTGCCTCGCTTTCTTTCTTTTCTTGTTCAAAATTTTGTTGTTGGACAAGGACAAGAACAGTATCCGGACATCCTTGTCTCCTCGTCACTTCTTGGCCTTCCTTCCTGAGCAGTATATATCTATACATGATAATATCCGATTTTTCTCTCTCTTTTTTTCTTCTTTTTCCTTTTCTTTTCTGGTTTTTCTCTTTTGTCTTTTTAACTCCCTCGCTCGAGACCTTTCCACCCTCGGGAAGTGACAGAATAAACACGTCTCCGCCTCTCCTTGTTTTTTGGAGTGTCAGTTCTGTACAGTGACTATACGAACCCCATCCCTCCCGCCGTCGTGGTAAGCCCGCCAGACGCAGTTGGAATCGCGCGTCTTGGTGGGTCCTCGAAATGAGTCGGGTTGAATTTCGGAATGATGCCGCTGCCGTACTGGTAGTGCTGAACCTGATTTGCGAGGAGGAGCTGTGCCAATAAGACCAACGTCTTCTCCGACATGGAAACAGTCATCCCCGCTACTCCGAAGGGCTGTGATAGCTTGCGGCTCCGCGAAATTGGGTTACTCTTCTGGCTCTTTCGTGTGCGGCTTGGGCTTCGGCTTCGGACCTGTTGACCTCTGTGTGGGCAGGGCCATCCAGGAGCCTGACTCGCTAGGCTGTACATTGTCTGGGTCGTACATCCACTCTTTGCTCTGTCGAAGACAGGATATCCTACATGACCTTGACATCCTCGAGTGTCCTCTGCAAATCGGCCATCGCTGCCGCTTTGGACTCAAGTTCTTCTCTGAGTTTGCTTGTTTCAGCTTAGACGAGAGAGAAGGTCAGGACCAATGGGTGATGGAGAGATTGGTCTTTCGGGTGTGGCAGTAGAGTTGAAGATAACGTATCTTATCAGCGAGCCGATCATATCAGCGAGCCGATCACTTTTTGCCGCAACGCGTCATTTTCACACCCAACATCAATTTTCTCTACAATCTAACATGCCTTCTCCTTCAAAAGAAGCCAGGGTAATCCTGGCACTTGAAGCTTGTCAAAACAACAAAAAACTAAGCCTCCGAGCCGCAGCTAAGCTCTACGACGTACCCTATACAACCCTCCATAACCGATCTACTGGCCGGCTTACACGACGCGATCTTCCAGCCAACTCGCGTAAGCTTACCAATCTAGAAGAGAAGGCGATAGTTCAGTATGTGATTGAGCTATCTGCACGCGCATTCCCACCTAGACTAAGTGGGGTGGAAGATATGGCCAACCATCTGCTACGCGAACGCAGCGCGCCCCCTGTTGGCAAGCTCTAGGCACATCGGTTTTTTAAACGCCAGCCAGAGCTCTATACGCGTTATGCCTGTCGATACAATTACCAGAGGGCTAAGTGCGAGGATCCAAGGATTATTGGGGAGTGGTTTGCGCTCGTACGAAACACTAAGGCCAAGTATAGTATCGTAGATGATAATATCTATAACTTTGACGAGACTGGGTTTATAATGGGTATGATCTGCCCGGGTATAGTAGTTACAACCTCGGATGGCCGTAGTAGGACAAAACTAGCCTAGCCTAATAACCGCGAATGGGCAACGGTAATCTAGAGAGTCAATACGCTTGGCTAGGCTATCCCGCCCTTTATCATCTTGGCCGCGCAATACTACCTCGCCAACTGGTATACCGAGTGCAACCTCCTAGCAAACTGGCGCATTATAACTACCGATAACGGCTGGACTACTAATATAGTAGGCCTAGATTGGATCAAGCACTTCGACTTCTATATAGCACCTTATATAAAGGGCAAAAAGCGGTTGTTGATCCTCGACGGCCACGAAAGCTACCACTCTACCAAATTCGAGCTCTACTGCCAGGAGAATAACATTATCACGCTCTACATGCCTCCGTATTCCTCCCACAAGCTCCAGCCACTCGATGTTGGCTGCTTTAGGCCGTTGAAACAGTTATACGGTCGCCAGATTGAGGACTTAATACGCGCGTATATCAACTACATCAGCAAGCTCGAGTTCCTCTGCGGCTTTCGCAAGGCCTTCTTTGCTTCTATAACGGAGAAGAACATACAGGGTAGCTTTGCAGGGGCTGGCCTAGTACCATACGATCCAGAGAGGGTCCTTTCTACGCTAGACGTAAAGCTTCGTACACCGACACCTCCAACCTCACGACCTAGCACTGCGCAACCCTAGGTCTTCCAGACACCATATAACCCCCGAGAAGCCGAATCGCAGTCAACACTTATCAAGACTCGCATTGCCAACCATTAAAACAGCTCTCTAACTTTAATATTAGGTGCTGTGGATCAACTTACTAAGGGTACAATGGCCATAATACACCAGGTGGCCCTCCTTCGGTCAGAGGTCTCTTCGCTCCGTAAGGCCAACGAGGCACTAAGCAAGCGCCGGAGAGCCAAAAGAACACGCGTGCAGCTTAGAGGATCGTTTGCAGTACAGGATGCAAAGGATCTACTAGACCAGAAGGCCGTAGTTGGGGAGGTGGTACAAGAAACGCAGCCGGACGGTGGTGGTACAAGGGGGGGTCGTACGAAGGTTCGGTGCTATAGTATGTGCGGCAAGCCTGGCCATAATGTACGTACGTGCCAGGAAGTTGCAGAAGGGTCTGATTCAGCTGTTTCTGATGTAATTATAGTTGGTTCCTAGTGTTAGTGTATTGTAATTGAGGATAGATGTTTTGGTGTGGTGGAAATTGATCGGCTCGCTGATATGATCGGCTCGCTGATAAGATACGTTAGGCGAATTTCCTCTTCTTCGACCTGGATGGCACGCCAGAATCATCGGAAATCACGAGATCCCCCAAGGCATCTGCGTATCTTGTTAGTCCGGGCTTATTATCAAGCGAAGTTTGAATCAAGGGGAAACATACCATCGGCGTCTTCAAGCCTTTTGACTTCCCCGTCCTATGTATCCTCATCCTCTTCATCCTGACGAGGAGACTGACTTGACGGTGAGCTCATAGCCCCCGTTTTCCGGTTTCTTCCATCCGATAATGGTCCGGCTTGTCAAAACATGCCGTTATAGCAGCCCGTCTTGGCCCGCTCCAAGCTCTCCTTCAAGCGACTGGTATGCTCCCACTCGCGCTTCGCCACCCCGGCCCGCTCAATCACCTTCGCGTGGATGCCGCATATGGCGGCACAGTGCCTGCCGGACGAGCCCTCGGCGACGCCGTCCTCGAGGGGCTCACAGGGTACTCAGACATCACCATCTTACAGGTTACAGGTCCTCAAACATTCCCCTCTTACAACCACCATAATCACACAACCACCATAATCACACAACCACCATAATCACACAACCACCATAATCACACAACCACCATAATCACACAACCACCATAATCACACAACCACCATAATCACACAACCACCATCCTCGTACAAACACCATAGTCGAACAACCAATAATCGTACAACAACCATACAATCGCATCCACAGAACACTCGTACGACGACAATACGCCAAGGCGTAAAGGCCTGCTGAACCGGTATTCAGACATTTAACCCATGCGGGGAGCCGCAAGATCGTGCTCAGGGTCTACAGCCAGGCCGCCTTGCCCGCATGGCAGACATCTGGCGCCAGCTCGTAGGGAACCCCTTGGCGGACCTAGGGGGACCCCACGAGGCCTGACAACTCTCCTTTTGCCCACGTCGGCGAACTTGAGCGTCTTAGGTTTCAGGGTGGTCTTGTGTCCGTAAAGAAGTTACGTTGTCTTGTCGATGTCGTGGTTGACGATTTCCAGGAAAGTCAAGTCGTCAGGGAGCGCCGAACATTTGACTCGACATTCTTGTACACTTCTTTGGACAATTGACTCCAATTGCCCCCTCGAATACTTATGGAGCGCCACGGTCCAGCTGCGAACAAACTCGTTCTGCGTCTGTGTGTGGATGAAAATGAAACATGGTTCAACATTCTCTAAAAGCAACCGATGTCCCGACGAACGTCGTCGATGCCTGCTCTCAAGCATGTGTTGCTAGCAATGGGTGGGCCGAGTTCATCCAGCGTTTGTTGCCGCCGCTTTGGCGGAGGGCGGCGACGGGGGGGAACAGGGTCGAAGGCGTCCTCTTCCAGTTCCTGGTCCGAGGCCACGAAGTCGTCTTTGTCGTAGCTGTGTCCCGTCACGTGCTGCCCAGAGTCGTGGCGATGGATTTGGATTTCTATCCCTTCGAGGACATGTTTCGACATGTTCGACAGCTGTTCTTCCTCTCTGGTTTTGTTGTTTCGATTTGGCTTTTTTGGTTTCGGAACATCCTAGGCTAGTACTAGGGACAATAGGAGAAAGTCAAGCGTTCTGTCCCTAAGGTTAAGGCCATGGGATAAAAGCCCCGGGAACGTAGCTCCTCCGGGAGTGTTATAGCCCGGGGCGTAATGCCCTCGCGGTTGCGAGAAAAGGGGTCCATTCGATGTCGAGAACCGCGTAGTCCCGCATGAACGCTGCGAGCACTGGATGGCGTAACCTGAGCTAGATGACCGTCAGCCTTCATAATGATGAACTTCCATGGCTCAAGATTAGCCGTGGTTACTTACGATTTCGTGTCCCTCGCGTAGCCTCTTCTCGACCCGCACCAACGAATCCCTTTCCAACCCGGCGCCTTAACCAGGCCACCGTCACAGTGCGCCGCCCCTTTTTTTGTTGTTTTCCTTCTTCCATCCGAACACTACCCAACACCATGTCGTACTGAACCCAGAACAGCCACGGATCCACCGGACATAGAAGGAAGATGAGACCGAGGGCTCCGGACTTCTTCCGCAGGGTGAAGTGGGGAAGTTCCCTTTTGCATGTGGAGGAAGGCCCATCCTCGCGCATCGGAACCTTCCGACCTGGAATCTTCGTGAAGTGGTCAGGGGATAGTCGTACCCCGGGACCATACTGGTAGCCCCTTTCTAGTCCGGCAGCCTGGAAAGACAACGCCGTTCTCCTCTCCGGGACGCGACCGTGGAGGTTCCCCCGTCCAGAAGGTCTCATACAGAGCTGAGAGGATTCTGTAGACGGGGGGAGTTCCGACTGGATGGCTCTGATAGCAGCTGGCTGCCGTCGAGTCTAACTCGATCATGGTGTTCTTGCCGCCTGTTGTTCTTATTGAAGGATATCTGAGCCTGCACCAAGCCGTCTGAGCGGGCCCATGGTCGTTGGCCCAGGCGTTCCCGCAAAGCCAACTCCGTCGTAGACGTATTCATGGGGAGAGGATGTGGGCAGTGTAGTTCCTGATCCCAGTATCCCATACCGGGAGTCCAGTAAACAGATTTCTGTACGGATACCCATACAGCGACTCTCATTGACGGATAATGCGCGGCGTCGACTGTGACTGTTGCCAATGTCGAGGTCGTTGCTCGGGTCGATGGAGCTTGGCCGTCATCAGTGCCCTGAACTGGTCGTTCCGTTTTGCCAAACGTGCCGAGGATGAAGTGTTTCGGCCGGAAGTGTCGCTGGAGTTGTCTCCCTCTGGAGTAAGCACCTGAGGACGCGCGGAGACACTGTGACCAAGTGCGACAAACAATAGCCGGATCTGGACAAGCACCCATTGCGCGAATAGTTCAGGGAGGCGGCCAACAAGAGTGGTGCTTATTCACGGACCAAGGCCGGATGCGCACAATGGAGCCTCGGGGTGGCCGACAGGCGCTCAGTAAGTGGCTGAAGCGAAGGTGACGACAGGTCTCTTGTGTCGACCACTGGTCCCGTGTTGGGAATCGGAGTCCTTCACTGCTCTCTGCCAGATATGGGATACTTGGAGCTTGAAGACTCGGAGGATCGTGGAATCACCTTCTCCAACTGGCTGGCGAAGACTATTGAGGTAGCCTTTTCGGTGCCCGATAATGACCTTGGATCAGCTCATTGATTGACACTTGCAGTTCCATTGGCACACGATCTTGATGGCGGGTGCGTGCGACGACCTGTGTTGTGTGTGCCTGGAGGGGATAGTGGGTCGGAGTGTCTCAGTAGACGAGAAGGGGGATGCTTGCTGCCAGCCTGTCACAGCACCCCATCAACGCCATCCTTCATCCTGGAACCACTCGCTCCCGGGCTAGAATGACTTGGCCAGGACATCGAAATGGGTCGTCTTCCGATGAACGAGAAATTTGGTCTTGGGTTTCCGAGCACGCAGGCTGCCGGTATTGGTGGACTTCTCGTCGGGCAAACCCCAACATCGGTGGCATTGACCCCAGCCTCCTCGTAGACGGGCAGCAGCAGCAGAAAGACAACAAAAAGCGGCAGAAGGCCAGCAAACTTGACTACAAGCGCGTTGACCAAGTCTGGGACGACACGATCCACAACTACAAACTCCAAGACACGGCCGAGGGGATAGTAGACGCCCAATACGATGAGTTCATTTTCCACGTTCGTCGTACCTTCGATTGGGAGGGCAAGTACAAAGCCACCATTGTCGATATCAAGAGCAAGCTGCTTCGCGAGTGCCTCCAGGATGTCATGGGGGCCATCAAGGGCGTGAGCTTGGTCGACGATACGCCAAAGCTTGACCCCAACGTGCTCTTCTTGTAAGTCGTTGGCCCTTCTCCAACTACTTCACCAGTTCCGTCCTTCTTCTCACCCTCAGTGCCCTCCGTGCTCTGGCTGGCCTCGCCGGAGTCGGCACGGACCTTGTGCATCTTGTCGAACAGGTTCAGGCTGGCCACCTGGAGCTCATCCGTCTTCTCCTTGATCTCGGCCGCGGTCGCAGTGATCTCACCGGACTGGGCCTTGGCAACCAACTCCCGCAAAGACGTGATCTTCTCGCGGATCTGGTCGGCCTCGCTCTTGTCAAGCTTGTCGGCATACTCGTTGAGGGCCTTCTCGGTGTCGTTCACAACGCTGTCGGCGCGGTTGGCAGTCTCGATGACAGCCTTGCGCTCCTTGTCCTGCTCGGCATACTTCTCAGAGTCCTCAACTATGCGTTGAATCTCGGACTCTGAGAGGCCAGGCCTAATTCTCCACTTGCGGTAGTTCCCATGACTCGAGCGCCTCCCTCTGCCCAAAATAAGCCGTAGCCCTGTATCACCCACCAGGCGTACAGATGCGGCTGCCAATACCAGTATCTTCTTTCTTACGGCTTACGCCTTCTTGCGGAACATCATAGTATTCCCACAGCGTCGTTTTGATGCCGCATCGTTTTGGTACAGCTCATAACATTCCCCCTTTTGAGGAACACAACAGTATCCCACAGCATCTTTTTTCATGCGCCCAATACTGCTTCTCACCGAGAAGTTTCCCTTTTTTTTCTTTTCTTTTTTGATGGTTTTCTTTTTCTTCTCTCTTTCTCTTTCTTTTGTTTTTGGTTTGTTTTTTTATTTTTTTATTTTTTTTGTTTGTTTGTTTGTTTGTTTTTTTGTTTGTTTGGACGCTTCCTTGATGGCAACCCGCAGTCTGAAGGGACGACTCGAGAACACCACCATAACGCAGCACACCAGCAAGACGTTACATCATTGAGATGCAAGTCCAGTGCTGAAAAGCTGTACAGCTGCTTCCTTTAACACTTCCGCCCGGCGCGGGGGCGTTTGACAAAGCAAGACATGCTGGCGTCAGGTGTTACAAACACACAAGACATGTGGGGATTCGGACACCACAGCCATACGATGAGGGAGCCAGCCCCTTCGCAGTCTGGACAAGGATGAGCGGATCATCGTGTCGAGCACACGAAGCACGGCTTGTGGTAGCGCCCCGTCAGACGCCCGTCGGCGCTCGAGATGGACTTGCCCTTGATAGGCAGGCCGCATGCTTTGTAGTTGCCGCGCGTGGTCGTCGCTGGTGTCGTTGTCGTTGGTGGTGATGGTGGGGGTATCGAGGGGGTTTCGCGTTGCTGGGGCCGGGGCTGGGACTGCGAGCGGGTGGGTTTGGGGCCTAGTTCTAGGCCTGGGCCCCGTGGCATAGGATGCTGGTGTTCTTATTGCTGTTGCGAGTGATGTTGTTCTTGTTACGTGTCCGCCATTCGCTCCGGTAAGCTAGCAGACCGTAGGGCTAGGGAAGGAAGCGCTACCGTGCTTGGCGGGAGAATGTCACTGGGTGTTTGGACGGACAGACTCTCCGGAGCGGAAGAGTTCACCGCGGGCGAGGGGAAGGGAGACCTTCCTCGGGCAGCGTAGCGTGGATTTTGGACGAGTGAATCAATGCGCGGATCATAGCCGCGATCTCCCGTACGAGGAGGTCGGGCGCTTAGCGGCGACGGTCGATCCTTCGCATAAGGATCCCTAGTTGGAAGCTTCAGGGGGCTAACGCTGGGGAGGGGGGGGGGGTCGGTTTGGTGTCATTCATCGATGCTTGAATATCTGGCATCAGGTTGTCAAACCTAGATGTGTCTGACGGTTTCCTTGTGCCGTTCAATGTGTTGGCGGCCGAGGATACTTGCGTTGACGGATGCGTATGCTGAGCTGAGTTCTTCCAGACAAGGTCGACTTCTGCTCCGGAGTAAACGCGTGTGGGGGCGGCGGGTGTATTGGTCGACTTTCTTCTCGAATACAGTACGTAGTAAGTCTGACCGGCGGCGTGGTCTTGGTTGCTTCCTCGGGTCGGGAAGAAGGCGCACGCGCTGCTCAGAGAGTAATACAAAGGAGAGTCTTCTTATCGTCATCGACGAAGCTCAAGTTGAGAGGTAGAGGGTATTCTGCCACCCCTGTGTGCTCTCCTGGGGGGCCGGGGGGGGGGGGGGGGGAAGCTCTAAAGCTACGTTAGTGAGTGCCTGGGAAGACTGCCTAGGCGAAAGGTTAACTCACTTACTGGAATTAGCCCATGGCTTTCGGCTTCGCACTTTCGCCCGTGACGTTGGGCAGAACCTCGATATTCCGAAACCCGCCGGAGGCATCAGCCTCAACGTGGTCGCGAAGGCGGATAACGGATTTATGAGCTCAGCCTTCCTGAAGTTTGAGCCAAGGGGTTGGAGTGCCAAACCGAGCACTCGGTCTGCCCCGTCACTTGGAGAAGGGACCCCGTCTTCTCGCCTGTCTGTTGGGAGGCATTTCTGTCTTTCCATTCCAACTTGCCTGTTATGTTGGAAAGAGTCAGCTTTTCGATCTCATCCCGTCCTTTGGTCTTCAGATTAGCTCTTACCTTTCTTTCTTGGATGGCTTTCTCCAAGGCTTCCCAGTATTCTGACAATCCCGCCGTGTCGGCTTCACGAGATTCAGACACGACTGCTCTGACACTCCGCGGCCAGCGCAATCTTTTCCCGAGCTTTTGCTTGAGAGTTTGTTCGCAGAGAAGCTCCTGATCATCAAAACCTTACTCTCCCTGATCACCTTTCAGATTCTGAATCGCCGTGACAACCTTGTCCGCGAAAACAGCCTGCCTTTTCTGGCGGGCAAGTATATCCGAGACGCAGCGGTCAGGGCAGAGTCTCGAGGCTGCTCTGCTAGTCCATGTGGCCAGCCCCCGTACACACAGAGAGCTTTTCTGTTCTAAGTATCTATCAGTTTCCGCCCAAGTTCTGCGTTTAATGGACGCGTTTGGATGAGGCAATGATGGAGGTGGCAATCATAGATGGCCCAACGCTGAATAAGGCGCTGATGAACGAATCGAGGATAGAAGAACCAGTGACTATCCTGATTGACAGGGCGCTAATGGCGGAGAAGCGATGATCGAGGAAGCAATGGAAGAAGTGGTGTTTAGGTGAAGCAGAGATACTATGGGCCGTTGATGGGCGAAACAGGAAACTTCCGAAGCGGAGATGGAGAAAGCAGGGACGGAAATAGGAGTATCGAAGAAGTAAAAAGGAAAAAAAATCGGTGGTGGAGGCAGCGGCAATGGGAAAAAGAGGAAATGACAGGTGAAGCAGTGAACATACCTCTTTGCCTGGCCGACACAACGACTTCTTCAGGAATACCACGCTTCCTGGGCTCGAAGCAGGATTCTTGACCTTTCTCTCCTGGGTTGAAAGGTTGTGACGAAGAATGGGAATGGGAATAAAGAAGCGGTCTGTGGAAGAATGGCGAAAGTCTGAGAGAAATGGCGGAAGCCTCTGACAGTCACAGGTCGGTGAGGAGTCAACTCCGGCGCTCCAAAGAAACGGTGGGAATTGTGGAGGGCTAATTAGGTCGTAGGGTTGGACCATGTGAACCCTACGAGTGGCCGCAACTTTGAGACAATTAACTATGGCACTCCAGAGAAACGGTGGGGACTTGTCGAGGGCTAATTAGGTCGTCTACGAGTGGCCGCAGCTCAGAGAGCAAACCGGAAAGGGAAAGAGGCGGCGAATGACAAGGACGGAGCGGAGAATGAACCACCAAGAACGGTGGAACTCCCCTGCGGCAGCCCTCGTAACAGTCCGGGCAGGACCCTTGCTGGGTGCTGCAGTGAGTGCGGGAGTTAAGAGAAGGCGTGACCCCATGATTCGTCCCCTCCGGAGGCTGTTAATATCCCCAGTCACGTTGCCATCTCTTCGAAAGAGCTATGTAAGGTATAGAAGGCAGACCGGTAGGAGCTGTCTAGTATGTCATGTTGCGTACGTGCCCTTCTCTCCCGTACTGAACCAGTTTCATCTTGCTCAAGAACGTTACGAGCGTGTAATCATGGCAGAGCCGCTGCCTGGAGCTCGGCCATCCGGCATCACACACTACGACAGGAGATGTACAATCAATGTTAGATCATGCTTGCCCGACTCACTGGACGTTCCGGACAATCCATATGCTTCATTGTTGCGTCAGCACAGATAGAGCTAAGCATCTCCCTAAGCAATTGCACGCTGTTCTCTAGTAAGAATGGAGAACCCCCTAGATTGGATGAAGGGCGTATAGAGAAACATGGTGGCCGAGATGTACAGTGGGATTGCTATGCCATGCTCTTGACATACTAGTACCTTACCTAAGGTACCTACCTAGGTAGGTAGGTTACCTTAGTCCATAGCCATCTCGTATTATGCAATATGTACCAAGACCACCTGGATCAAGGTTTGAATTACGTAGGCACCTAGTCTTGGTAGTATTGTATACAGTTTCTATCATATTCCCCCTTAGCCCCAGTGCCAAAGGCACCCTTGTTTGCCGTTTAGTTCAGGCTTCAAGGGTGGGAGAAAGGAAACAACGATGGATGTGCAGAATCAAATGATGTCCTTCAGTCCTGCTCGGCCGGTACTTACCTACTCATCTTAACCTTTAAGGTACTGAAACATATGGGTTTTGGGTCATAAAGAAGTTTCCTCCACACTGGGTGTACTTTACTCACGAAGCTCGCCTCTTCGTTTGCTGTAAGCACTCCTGCATAAGGTAGTGAAGGCAAGGTAGTCCTGAGACGCAGACCAGATTACTGCCAACCTTGAGCTTGACATTGACCGGGAATTGCCATGGCAAGTACTTAGGAAGTCGTGCCGCTGGTTACCTACCTCAAAGTAACGGCACCATGGACACTGATGACGGGACTGTGTGGTTGAGCTGTCATAGTTCATTGCAATAATAGCTCGAAAATCACAAAAGGCTAGCAAAAAAAGAAGCCCTCTCTGATCTGGGTAGTGCAGTTCTCCCTTGTCTTCTGAGTTTCTTCCCAATGGGCTGCAGCCGGGCCGCTGGACTCCAAATACAGAGGACCGAAAGGAAGACACGCCAGGAACGAATCCACAGCAATGTTTCTTATGAAAGAGCGGCGGAGTGTTGGCATCAAAGACCTCGAATATGCCTTTGTGTCTGCCTTATCATGTCGAGGTCTCGAGGAGGATCATGTATCCGAATCGAAATAGGAAGGGTTTCACATTCAAGCTGGAGCGCACCAGGTAATGAAATGTGATCAGAACCCAAGGAGACCAAGGAAGCGGAATTACCTTGATTCCGCTACTCTCAGCAGAGATAGACAGACTGGGAAGGTGCGAGAACTCTACTACCTACCTTACGTATGGTATCCATAACTTAACATATACGTTAAGCCATATGATATATCGTGATTCGTAAGGTACTAGGTAAAGGCTGGCAGTTGCCTGGTTTGTTAAGCGAAGTTATTTTTATGCAAATACCAAGTCGTTCCACAGCTTTCCTCCCAGATTGCCGATGCTTAAGGTACTATAGTAGTAGTCCTCCTCAGAAATTGAAAGTGATGAAACCTGCGGAGGAGGAAAGGCCGACATAAGCACCGCACAATAGCCCTAACCCTTACTATTTCCGATACCCCCAAGTCATAAGCCATAACCTGAACTTTAACCACGAACCGGTAACCTACTACCTGTAGCGACCAAGACTTGAAAGACTAGAAAGTGAAGCAGAACAGGAGAAGCTATGCGATCAGCTGTGGAGGCTGATGACGATGCGGCGCCATGGCATCGAAGCCGAACTGGCGATGCCAAGGAGAAGGGCGCACAGACCGCTGGTCGTCTGATGTTCCATGCGTTCCTCACCGGCCGTGTCGTGGGTCTTGATCGACAGGGCCAATCGCATGCCCGGATATATCCGCGCGGACCAGGATTCCCGCTCGCTCCCTGCTCGCTTAACCGTGCAGCGGTAGAATGCAGTTCATCTGGCGAGAAAGGGGGTGCGCGTCCACTTAAGCGCTTGAAAGAGGTACCTTAAGTATCTCATTCGTTGGCGTCATCGGACGTAAATTTGTTAAGGAAAAGCCGGCAGGTCAGGTTTCTATCTCTTCCTCCATAGCCCAGTACGGCTGGCTGATACACGGGCACATATCCCGCAACCGAATCGTTTACACTGAGTCTATTACGGAGGTTACCGGCAAAAGTTTTCCAAGTGGGCCAGGTACTGGCAAAGGTGGCCCACCACCCCCTCGATGTACCTTCGCCATGACAGCGCGTCGCATGCGCAACAGTCAATTCAGAAAGGAATATACATTCCGTTGGCATCAATAACTGCCTGTTGCCGTATGGGCATTGTATCTATATACTCCCTTAGAAATTCCTTAGGGACTATATCCTATGCAGCGCGTACTGCCTCTCGCAGTTGATCGTATAATATCTTTGCTAGGTAGTTGGCTATAATATAATCCTTTATCTAGTTCTATACGTTCTCGATAGGATTCAAATCAGGGCTAAACAGGGGATAGGAATAAACAGAGATCCCTCGAGCCTCGAGCTTCTTATATATCACTTGCATAGAATAAGGAAAGGCATTGTTATATATGAATACCTGACCTGGATAGAGATAAAACCACCCGTTAATAAGAGGGACTATTCTCTCTATATATTTCTCTAAAGTGATCGTCCCCTAATCTTTCTCCTAAAAAAGAGAAGGCCCTTTGCTATATTTTACTAAGTACGACCCCTAGAACATCTATCCTTTTAGCCGTAGTTTGCGTTCGACAATGCAAGTGGGATTGTATGCTTCATTTTGACGGCGTATGACCTAGACCTTTCGATGGGTACTAGCAATTACCCAGGTCTCGTCGGTCTAGAGGATTTCGTAATATCGCTTGAGGGGCTAGTATATACGCTTAACAGCGTCGTTAAGGCGGAGTTGTCGGTTCTTCTCAGTAATCGGAGGCTTTCGGTATATAATATAACGTTTAAAGCCAGCGTTGCGAAGAGTATAACGGATGGCGTACTTTGAACAATCCTAACTAAGAGTAAGAGGAATCTTCGAGTAAGGTATTTGGCGAGAGGCTTTCGAGGAGGTAATAAAGGCAATTAGCTCTTTAATCTATTTAGGATTAAGAAGGCTAGGTCGGCCAGAGCGTTTTTTTGGCGTAACATTTGGAGCGCGGTAGGTATGTCCAACTTGGTCGTAAGTAAGCCCAAGTTATACGACGATTTGATCGTACGACAGGCTAAAATTGCGGAGGGTTTGAACTTGAAGCCGCTCATCGCGGGAAAGATCACAGCTCTTGAAACGCTGGCTGGGTGGCGTAGAGGGGGGCTCCATTGAAGGTGATGGTGTTGGTGATGACTGTTGCGCATGCGACGCGCTGTCATGGCGAAGGTACATCGAGGGGGTGGTGGGCCACCTTTGCCAGTACCTGGCCCACTTGGAAAACTTTTGCCGGTAACCTCCGTAGAGGTAGGGAAAGTTCGGTACACAGCAGTTACATAGTTCCACAGTACTTATACAGTACATGTACGACCAAAACTGGATACCTATCTTGGCAGGCGATCTTTTTGATGCCTTATTTGCTCGGGTTGCGACCCTAAGTGTCGGGCCGGAGAGATCGGGGATTGCTCGAAGGAGTCAAAGCTGCGGATCCATATACCGCCCCCATCCCGCGCAACAAATCGTCAAGGCCCAAATTTGACGTCGACTTGGCCTTGTGGGGATCGCGCTGCAAAATCGGCCGCAGGTTTCGAGCTGGTCGGCTGATATTTCCCAAGCCTAGTTCCCCAATTGATAGCGACGGCGGCTCCTTCGAACCAGAAGTTCTTGGGCTCTCGTCGACTGTCACCCGGGGCTCAGTAACTACCTACTAGTAGTCCCCCAGTTATGACCTAGGGCTGCAAAACGCGATGAGGAACGGCAAAACGGATGGCCATGATTCGGATAATTCGATGCTGGACCCTTTGCCCTGCTCTCAAGGTCGACGCCTCCGCCGGACCAGACCGCCTGTGCATCGGCAACCATGGTCGTCTATGTTGACCTTGCGACCAATCCCCGCGGACGGACTATTATCGCAGCTTTGTGGCCTATGACCACGCTTGCAAGCGTCTTCCTAGGCCTTCGACTCTACAGCAAGCTCACGCGCAGCCGGGGGCTTTGGTGGGATGACTGCTTCATCATTGCCGCCTGGGTATGGCCCCACGCCCTCGACGCAGAGAAAAAGACATGTCTCGGAATCTAACATAGTATTTTTGGTTCAAGATGACGCTTCTTGTCAGCTGCGCAACGTCGACGGCAAATTGCCGTCTTGGATTCGGTCTGCACGACTACCAGATACCGCTAGAAAATATTGTAACGCTGGGCATCAATAGCCTCACATCCGGTACCACGTCCGTGATTTCCGTGGCCTGCAGCAAGACGTCGTTCGGCATAACGCTGCTCAGGCTGACCGATGGCTGGATGAAGCGGTTCATCATTGCGCTTCTCGTCCTCCTCAACACCACGCACTACTTCAGCGCAGTGGCCTTCTGGGTGTCATGCAACCCACCGGCCAAGACGTGGAATCCGCTGCTACCTGGAGAATGCTGGCCAGCATCCGCGACGGTTAGCTACAGCGAGTTTGTGGGCGGTACGACAAGTTCCCGCCTCTCAAGTCACGCCGCTAAAGGATGGTACTAACTAACGCGCCGCCCGTGGTAGCCTGTTCGGCGTTCTGCGACTTTGCCCTTGCGCTGTTGCCCTGGCGGCTCCTGCTCAGGTACGACATGTACAACAGAGAGAAAATCGGCGTGGCGATTGCCATGAGCATGGGTGTCTTGTAAGTGCTAGCTCTGGGCTCTCCCCCTTGCCGAACACTAACACCTGGTGTGTCCCAGCGCCGGCATAATATGCATCGTCAAGATGACCACCATTCCCCTCCTCAGAGACGGCGACTTCAGCTGTGAGCACCTCTTCATCTCGACCGACCTTCCCTCCCCCTCCGGATAAGCCCCTAACCGCCCACGCTCCGATAGATAACTCCCTCCCGCTTGTTTGCTGGGGCTTCGCGGAGCCGGCCCTAACAATCGTGGCCGCCTCCATCCCAATGATGCGCCACCTCTTCAAGAGCTTCCGCCGCGATGCCGGCTCCGGCCAGCCAACCCTCCACCTGAGCAACGCGAGTCTGAGCATACACAACTCCATAGGCGGCGGGCACAGCGGTCGGGCTGCTGCGGCGCGCGCGAACAACAACCGCGGCGGTGCCGTCAGCCGGGCGGGGCACAGGATCAATCCTAATTCTAATCCTAATCCTAATCCTAATCAAGACCTCACACAAAGTCGCGACCTAAATCAATATGGCGCTTCTCGGCTCGAAGAGGGACGGGCGCCCGGTGCGAGGGACGATGATCGGAGCGAGAGGAGTATCTTGGCGCCGGCCGCCGGGAGTAGTACCGCTACCTTGGGCGTGAGTGACGGCGGGGGATCGCCTGTGTCTGGGAGGGGTGGCGGTATAGTCAAAATGTGTTATGAGATTGGGAGCTTCGGGAAGGCTGAGGACGTTAAATAAAGTGATCTTCATAGTGATCCATCATGGAATCCTTCGACATTTCCCAGGTACCTCACTCCGTTTGCTGTCGCGCGCCGCTATTTATATTGTTGTCTCTACCGTACAACCTGAGCCCGTCACCTACTGCTGGTCCATCCCCGTTGGCCACTCTACATGCATTGCGTTATGCACTCTACCATCTTTTGGTCCAGGCCCGGGCTTGCGTAGGTGCCAGGCAATGGCCGCAGCCTAGCCACTTGTCGTCGGAATTCTGACCGAACATGGCCGCAAATTCTTCAGCGGTCTCTCAATTTGGGCGAGTCGGGGGCCATGGTTCTACTGAACACCCAGAGCAGTACGTTCGATTGGTGCACAGGAGACTTGTCAGACTGATGCTTTCTGGCATTGAGGGAGAGTATCTCGCCCCGTGGTGATTCATTTGAGACAATGGGCATTCACTCTCGAAGGGCGGCTTGCAACTTTGGGCCACACATCTGTTCCTAGGTTTTCACCTGAGTGGCCCTAATTGGATTGCTGTCTACAGCCGACCGTCATTTCGAAAATCGAAACAGCAAACCATACAGTTACACACCGAAGGGCTCGAAGAGTCACCCGTCCAATACACATGGATGCCGCCAGCACACAGCCGTCAGCTTCTCCGCATGGGCAAATATGAACTTCGACTCCCCACGTTCAGATACCACCTAATGATGAACCGGACCGCTACCGCCTCTCTGCTGCTCGACGCGCCGCTCCCGCTCCCCAAATCAAATTCAAAGCCCCAGCTCTAGCAGAGCTAGTTGTACGTACATCTCCGGATGACAGTAGTCGCAGTTGTACTGTTGTTCATTGATTGATTGACATAATACAAAGCATTTCTGGTTTAGAACTCGCTATGTCTCCGCCCTCGCCACGATGCTCTCTTCCCGGCACCCCCATATTCTCGCCTTACAACTTCACCCCTCCAGGATGGCGGGCGCCCTTGGCCGTCTCTTCAACCTGCTCCCGGCATCAAAGTCGCAGAAGTGAGGGAGGATGAACTTATAGAGAGGGAGTTGTTTGATACCGAGGTGCAGGCCTACCACCGCCTGAAACCTTTGCAGGGCTTCGTTGTACCGCCCTCCTTCTAGAGCATCTACCAGGTGTCTCGCTGGCGTCGCCGGAAGGATCGACGCTAACGCTAGAGCAGCTATCCGTCCTGCTGCAGTCATGCTACCGAGCCATCCATGCCTTTAGCGTGCATCACAGCGATCTCCATATAGCGGAACTTTCAGCTTGTAGACGGCAGGATCATGGCCTCGGATTTGGAGAGGGTGGAGTTTGACTTGAGCGAGGACGATATGGAGCATTTCCTCAAGACAAGTGTCATGGATATGGCGTCTAATGCGGTACAATTGCACAGCCTTATTCTCTGAACCTAGGTTTGATGGGCAATGGAAGAATGCAAGGCTGGGGGAAACGCAGGGTGGAGGGGGACCGGAGGGAGTTTTCTTTGGGCCTATTGAACGGGCCATCTACGCAACATTTCTTTAATTATGAATTGGTTCTCGGGTCTGGGGCCTGATGCTCAGGTAGCAGACAATCAATTCGAACACCTCGGCCGGGTCGAGATCGTCATTACCACCGATTCACCCACGCTGTCATCTATGATCAGGAATACAGGTTTCACCATGGTGTTGGACGAACCACGCCGAAGCCCACCACAGCATTCTTGCTCACAGGCGAACGCTATTAACCTGCCTTGCTCATCACCCCTGAAGTCTACGACCCGTAGGCCCTCGTTCAGCTGTGGACCGGTGCATAATGTATCGGATCAGCCGCAGAGAGAACATGTGCACATATTACTTGGCAAAGCCAGCAGTCCCGGACTAGGTTCTGCGAGACGTTCACTGTCAAAAGTCGGCAGGTTAGGGTGGGTGACTAGGGGGACAGGAAGTGCGAGCACATAGACTTCTGGTAAGGAATTGCGAGGGCAGACAAGTTGAGGTATACGGCAGCTAGAGCAACTTGAACATCAAAGTGATACTATTGACTTGAAGAGCAAGCTACTTCTTAAGGACAGTACCGGGTAAATAAGAAAGTCTCCGCCCGGTGACTTGTTTTACTGGCTTAAAATACCACTAGGTGCCTAGTACGGAGCAATGTTTCGAGGGCTGCTTGAGTCCACTGGTCGTGAATAGGTACCCTAGGTACCTACTCAACACTCGTGCGGATCCCAATGCTTATTTAGGACGCCAGTTACGCCATGCCGCCATCCCGGTTCCTCTCACCCAGCCTAGGACATCGCCGCCTTCCAACTCGGCCCAATCATATCGCCAACATGCAAGCTTTAGATCCCGGATGGTGCCTTCCACAACCCGCCCTGGGTCTAACTCAACAGTTTCGTGAGGATATCGACCAGCCAATGCGTCGTTTCCAGACCCGAGGTACCAGCAGCTCCGGGGACCGCAATGGGGATTGCCATATTCGAACCGCCCTAGCGACCGCCGCAGTCCCATCAGCCTCCACCATTCGCATACCTTCTCCCTATACAAAGCCTTAGCCTTAGAGCATCCGAATCGCCAATAGAAACAAGGGTGCGCCCGGCTGAACGAAATCCAATTTAGTCGGTCGGCCCTCTTGGCAGCAAAGCTAGACCAGTGGGCAGTGTTGTGCCATCCTTCGTAGAGTATGTAGATCTTCTTTATACCACCGTCCGAGGATGGGGTTGCACGGGGACTCTCGGCGAGCACGGCGCCGGTTCCGCTCTCGTTGCTTCTCTGCCCGCGGAGAGAGTCGAGAAACTGAGCGATCAGGACCAGAGCCTCGGGGCGGAAGTCGTGTGGAGGGAGACCGTGTTGAAACCCGACATGTCGTAGCAGCAGCTCCTCCATCGGCAGGTAGACTCCGACATGACGAGGTGGACCACGGGTGAAGGAGATCGCGTTTCGCTCGAAGTCGAGCGGTGCCTCTTTCGGCGGGAAGCATAAGATAACGAGATCGTCGGGGGCGATCCAGTCAAAGCTCTGGAAGATGGGGTAAGGATACTGCCATTCGGACGAGTCGACACAGTCCCTGTCCTGGAGCCTCCTGTAGTACTCGGCGATGACAGTACGGGATTCCGGGCACGCCGCTAGGAGGGGGTAGACGGCATGATAACCGGAATCGTGGCTCACGGTCGCCTTCACGCGGAATTCTTCCGACCAGTATCCCCGTAAATGGTACTTTCTCGGGTGGTTCAGCACTTCGAAGAAGTGCGCTGTCGGACGGGGAGGGAGGTTCTCCGTCCAGATCTGGTGTCGAAGCTCAGCTGGGGGGCGGCGGAATGGAAAGAAAGCTTCGGTGGGCTTGGACGCCACTTCTTGGGCGTTCTCCTCATTTGCCCTTTCAGGTAAAGTCGTGGTGGTGGTCGGCAAGCCCTCTTCCGCTTCCACTAAACGGACCTGATCAACCGCCCATCGCAGGAGCGCTGCGTGGCGCTCAACCTTATCCTCGGCAAGGCGATACTCCAGAGTCAGCTTCTTGAACTCCGAGAGTTTCCTCTCCCTGCTTTCCATCGACTTCAGTTTCCCCTCGGCTTTAAAATACTGGATGTAATCGTCAAGCATCAAATGTCAGTCGACCAACAATACGTTCTTGGTCTCCTTTGCATTCCACTCGGCTGCGTGCCTGAATTCGTCGACCGTCTCCTCGGATGAACGCTTCTGATACAATCGAAGGGCGAGGTCGGTGCTGCTCTGATTGCAGAGTTTGCGAGCTAGTAGCACCCGCTGCCTGGCGTCACCGCACTCTTCGTCAGACTGAAGCACTCCCGAGTCGACAAGGGCGCACCATGCTTCCATATACTGCGACTCGTGCCGTCTCGTCTGGCCTCCGTAGCGGCGGTGCGCCATGTCTTCAAACCAGACATACTCGGCCCAGGTTACTAGTTTGCTCTGCTTGCTCGGGTCTCCGCTGAGTCGGAGGTCCTCTAAGCAGACACACTGCAGCGAAGTCGCTAGTTGCCCTTGCAAGCTCAAGTCTTCGCTGAATCCGAGGTAGCTTGTGGATGTCGAGGTAAGCGCGCTCAGTTGCCTGAGGTAGACCCCGAACGCTACCTTATAAACAAGAAACTTCCTGCCGGTCTTCCTCATATTTGCCTGGAGACGCCGGAAATCCTGCCAGGGCGACAGTTGCTTGGTGAAAAGCTGCCACTCGTCCGGACGGTTCTGCCAGTAACTCACGATATCACGATGCTCGCCCGGTGCAGTCACGACCTTCTGAATCTGATCGAGAGGATGTGAAGGCCGACCGCCGTCAACTACCAGGGCATAGTAGGCGCTCTGCTGTGCCACCATGGCGTGGGACTGAGTTCGGGGCCCCAGAAAGGGAGAGGGAAATGTATTGCAGGAATGGTTGGTAGTCACTAGGAGCGGCCAGTGCAGTCAGGGTCGCTAGAATTGGGAAGCCACGGCAAGCCGCCGCAGTCAAGAACATTGTTTTGAGGATTGCTATCAGGGGTTGACGAGCACTGGGAACTGGGTGAGCCAATTCAAGTACCTCACCTAGTTGGTAGGCGGGAGAGCAACTTCCATCCCAACGGTCTCGAAAGGCCCTTGTGGTCCAGCACACCTAGTGAGTCACATTGGAAGTCAGTGTTATATCAGGGTGCTACCACGGTACACACGTTGTTCGTTTGGAATTGTGCCAGCATTTTCTGACCTGCCACATGATCTCGTACGTGTTTTCATTGCGACTCGAGCACGAAGCCGAGGTGCGAACCGGCTTTATTGACTTTCTCCATCGCAGTTTGCTTGTTAGGTCGGAGCTCAGTGTCGAATGGGCCGGTTGTTGACGCTTTGTGGCTTTCTTTGAAGGCCCCTTTGGCCGTATTGTGCTCTCTGACATACCCCCAACCTTACCTTACACAAGGCGGCATTCCGACCTCATGGAGAAGTCGAAGCACTACACCTTTCAGTATACATCCGACCTTATCAGTCTCGGGCATTGTTGTGTCAGCCAATTGCCCGGTTTCTTCATTCCTCGCAGTCTACCAACGTAAGGTAGTGCACATTAACCCACTCAGCATGCGAAGGTCTTTATTCTTCGGTAGGTATGCAGGGGGCATTTTGTATGTACTGCGCGCTGAAAGACGCTGTTCACTTTGCACAGCACTGCTCGTTTCCATTGCAGGATATTGTCTTGCCAGAACACTCGCACTCTTGAGATGGACTTGGATTGCGGGAATCCGGCATCTGTTATCTCGGTTAGATCCCAGGGAGAATGTCACGGAGGGACTTCGTTGGCGTAACTCTTAAGTTATGTGAACTTCCAATGTGCGGCGTCATTGACATGTTAACTAGCTCCCGTGCAGCAATTGCACTTGCATGGAGGACTGTTTGACTGGGAAGACAGCTCGTCAGAGTAACATGAATGTAACTGACAGCAAAAGAGACACAAGGAAGACGAGAAGAACGGTTGTTGGGGATGAAGTGGGCATGTACATCACGTGACGCTTGTTGACGATCAGGGTTGGGTCGCCCGTCGGCCTTGGCACCTGCGATCGCAAGGCACCGCCAAGTCCGCGCCGCTTCCATCATGCGGCGGCTGCCACTGGCCAGGGCCCAGGAACAAGTCAGGTCCCGTCATTCTCGAACTTGTTGCCTCTGGTTTCCAATCCCTTCTGTCACCCCCCTAAGATATCAAAACACAACACCATCCATATCTACTCACCTCATTCCGTGATCCTTCCCTCGTGCGTATCCAATGTCCTCAACACTATTATTGCACCACCCGTTTCTGCCAATACATCACGGATCAATAACTAGGTCCATCGCCGACTTAAGTTGAGGTGACCTACTAGGTACCGTACCTACGAAGCGCCGACTATCAGACCCTAGTCGCGAGAAAACACGCAAACGTGCCCCGGCACCCACTTTCCTGGTACCTTAACCAGTAACCTGGAAGCTCTCGCCCACCCACCGTCCACCAATTCCAAGGCGCAGGTTTCCATGCGCAACCGTCTATGACGTCCTCCTCCCAGCACTGGGCTGCTCAACACCAGAAGAATCCATCCAGCGCTCTTTGCGAGGCCTCAGCGCTTGATACCCACTTTGCACTTGACCAGGTAAGGCGCCGCAACAGGAATCCCAGCTCCCCAGGTACTGCCCCTCTCTCCCCTCATCAGCAGCCTCCTGGATCAGCCCAGCCCAGCCAGGCCGCGCCCGAGACAGACCCGTCGCATTCGACAATCATACCGACACATCGACTGTTGGATACCCAAGAGTGCGCCGTCCAGCAGACTGGCGATTGCTGAGCGCTTGGAACTCTCTACTTGAAATTCCCGTTTTATCCTAGATTTGGCCGCAAGATTTGCTTACGGGTGGCGCACTCTCGTGTCTTGAGGCGCTCTCCTCCCACCTGCGCATGTCGGGCCGGCCCAGAGGCCCAGTCAAGTTGAAGCGCGAGCATCACGCCGCGACCTAGCCACCGAGCTTTTCCCCTTGCCGGCGACCCGCTCTCTGTCATCGAATCAAGTGCTGTTGCATATTAACCTGCCATGACCCGATCTCCTGGGCATCAAAAGGCTAACTGAGCTGTCGGGACAGGCTTGAGAATTCCTCAGTCTCCGTCCGGCGGTACCTTTCCCATCATTATCGACAAAAGACTACAACAGAGCGTGCACGAGCTCTCCCCCGCCGAGCTATTTTGTTAGCTTAATTGTTCGACTCCTCTGAGCGCACACAATGAACGGAGCACAACAGACAACAAAAGACGCTCTCGCGCAAAAGCCGCCGCAAGACGCAGCGGCGGCTGCACCTGCAAACGGCAACTCAGCAATAAATAAAAAGAGGAAGAAAGACGGCCTGAAGCCGATTATCACTAACGAGGGTCCTGGGTACGTGCATCACGATGTTTCTTGCCCTGTTACAAGGATTGTTCAATGCCTTGATCCTTTTCCCCTTTGCCCCGTTTCTAGAAGGCAGCTCCCACCCCCTGTTGGGTTTTGCGGGATCAGATGCCTTCCACCTTGCGAACACATTGCGCGGTGCGTGCATCCGGATAGAGGTGGCGGGGTGCGATAGGCGAACGACCATGGGACCCATGGAGACATCCCTGGATGGAGGGGAGCCCATGCGCACATGCTGCGACATCACACTGGACCGCACTGGCGCATGGGAATTCCAAGCCTGCTGCAAGTGAGGGCGGACCCAGCCCGTGAGTAAGGTATTTTGTGGTGTCTCCGGCTCAAGTGAGTTGGGGCATTCTGCATTCGCCGCACCGCCCCCTCCAACCCCCCGCTCCCTCGACTCCTCCCGCTGGATTGGAGAGACTATCACCGCTTGCATTCAAAGCCGGGCAAACACACATCGGCACAAAAACCGCCTATGTCGTCAGCTTGCAGTGCGATTGCGCGGCCAACATCAAATAATGAAGACGATGTTAAAGACAAGGTCCCCGCTTTCACTTTTTTGAAACACCGCCCATATTCCACTGCGCTTAGTGTGGCTGCCGAAAGTTCGGTACGGTGCGCAGCGGCGCATGGAGGCCACCAGGTCCCGCCACCAGCTTCGCCCCTTCAAAAAGTGTTGTCGCCGGATAATAGCCTTAGATTCTCGTCATGTATGCACTAGATAATCCGCTCACACTTCATTCCTTTGCAGGGCCTCTCATCTCGCATCAAGCATGACGCAATCACCGACCTCATCGTCATCTCCCGAGGATGTTGCCGAAAACACGGCCGACGAGGAAGATTCTGAGGATTACTGCAAGGGAGGGTACCATCCGGTCCAGATTGGGGAGAAGTTCAAAGACGGAAAATACACAGTTGTGCGGAAGCTAGGTTGGGGCCATTTCTCGACAGTGTGGTTGTCAAGAGACAACACGTCCGGGAAGCATGTCGCGCTCAAGGTCGTGCGGTCTGCGGCCCATTATACCGAAACCGCCATCGACGAGATCAAGCTGCTCAACAAAATCGTCCAAGCCAACCCGAACCATCCCGGCCGCAAACATGTTGTCAGCCTCCTTGACTCCTTCCAGCACAAGGGCCCAAACGGCACCCATGTGTGCATGGTATTCGAGGTACTGGGGGAGAACCTCTTGGGTTTGATCAAGAAGTGGAACCACAGGGGCATCCCGATGCCGCTTGTTAAGCAGATCACGAAACAGGTGCTGTTGGGGTTGGACTATTTGCACCGGGAGTGCGGCATCATCCACACGGATCTAAAACCAGAGAATGTACTAATCGAAATCGGCGACGTCGAACAAATCGTTCAACGGGTGGTTAAGAACGAGCCCAACGATAAGGAAAACAATAGGAATGGTCGCCGGAGGCGGAGGACCCTCATCACAGGCAGTCAGCCTCTGCCATCGCCGTTGAACGCGAGCTTCACAGCCTCTTCACTATTCCCATCACCAAGTGCACACAGTCTTGGACAGATGCTGCACGAAGGCAAGTTGTCCCATCCGCAAAACTAAACCATCTAACTCCAGCGACTGACCGAAATGTCGGCAGGCGCCACGCCGAAAGACTCCTCGCAGAGGCCCAATGCAGATACCACAGAAGAGAGCCAAAAGCAGCGAGAAAAGACGGCCGACATCCTGACTAGGGAAGTTTCAGGTATCTCGCTGGACAAGACAGCAACACCTTCGTCAACGACTGGTGAAAAGCGCAAGGCCGATGATATGCAGGCCTGCGACATAATCAGCGTCAAGATTGCTGACCTAGGGAATGCGTGCTGGGTCAACCACCACTTCACCAACGACATTCAAACACGCCAGTACCGCTCCCCAGAGGTGATTCTCGGCGCCAAGTGGGGGGCGAGCACCGACGTATGGAGCATGGCGGCCATGGTATGCTTTGCGCCCTTTCCCATACCGCCATTACAACGGCCACTAATCATGTGCGCCAGGTATTCGAGCTCATCACAGGGGACTACCTCTTTGACCCGCAGTCAGGTACAAAATACGGCAAGGACGACGACCACATTGCGCAGATCATCGAGCTGCTCGGGCCCTTTCCGAAGTCGCTGTGCCTGTCGGGCAAGTGGTCGCAGGAGATCTTCAACCGCAAGGGGGAGCTGCGCAACATCCACCGTCTACGGCACTGGGCGCTGCCCGACGTCCTCAGGGAGAAGTACCACTTCAAGGAGGATGAGGCCAAGCGCATCTCAGATTTCCTGACCCCGATGCTCGAGCTCATGCCCGAGAAGCGCGCCAATGCGGGCGGCATGGCCAGCCATCAGTGGCTGGACGACACGCCGGGCATGAAGGGCATCAAGATCGACAAAGTGGAAGTCGGCAGTCGCGGGGAGGGTATAGAAGGATGGGCGTCTGAGGTTAGGAAGCGATAGACGGATAGCGCTACGGACGGCCGGCGTTTCTGTCAGCTTTGTCTGCTTGCCCCCCCGTGCTGGGTCTGAGGAAGGAGGCACAACCAATAAAGCGCCATGGAACGGGGATTCTCCTCCGCGACTTTGTCATCGCGCTTGGTGGCTGTTGGCTGCCTTGAACTCACCTGGCACGAGCGTTTGGGATATGGTAGAATCGGCAAGCGAGGCGCCGGACCGGAGGATGAGGGTGGTGGATTTGTCTTCCTCTTCACCTACACTCACGGCAAACCTCTCTACCTGCGGATGGTACCTATAGCCTGCGAAGGGGACCTTGCATGATGTTTTGGTCTGTTCTTCCATAACAAAATACTCCTTCGTTTTTCCTCAACAAACGTCCAGATGTTTCCGGTCCTTGGGTTGTTCTTGTGAAATATGGGCAAGGTACGCGGCTATAGATACGACAGACACGTTGGGGCATGAAACTCTCCTTACCTTCCTTCTTTCTCCGCTTGTTTTGTTTTATTCTTTCTGGCTAGATAATGAGCGATGCATGATGGTATTGACTTTCTCAGCCATACAGCGAGTAGCGATTCTACCCCATATACCGCACGTTCATCCTCTTCTTCATGTTTTGCTCGGAGCCTTGGCTTTCTCGGCTCGTTCATGAAGTACCTATTTATGCGGATAGACCAGTGTGTTGGTTTCAGATCTGCAATAGCTTTGTGTATCGTACCCGTAACACTGGTGACGAGAATGTGCTTCTAGTGCAGGTCACGAGAAGTTATGCCAGCGTCAACATGACTACGAGTCTTCTACAACAGCGCTTGTTCCAACTTTGTCAATGCTAGGCTGGTGATGCTTTGCTTTGCGGACTCAAGAGGGGATCCAGATTGTAATATGCCAGTACTTGATACTATTCGTGTCCTCTCAGACATACCTGGCGAAGGGAGCAACCATGAAAACAAAGACAAGGTAAAAACGAAGGAATGCAACCGGTAACGTCCGATTACTGAGGCTATAGGACCTCTTATGCGTAGTGTCAACCCATAACCGCATCCCGTAATAGCATGTCCGTGCCAGAACACCAGAAAGAAAAGCCGGCCACGAAAGTCCAATCTACGCTAAAGCCCCGTTACGCTCGGTGCCTCCCTATGCTCGTGGAGTACACAAACTTCGCCCCGATTTCTCGCCCATGTATATAGCGAGCATACAAGCTAGCGCCTGCCACCTTTTCCTTTCTGCGTCATCCTCTTGAACGCCGCCATCGTCCCAGCCCCCATGGGACGAGCGTCGTTGGTATCTCGGGACGCGTCGAAGGTGCTGCGAGGGGCGATGGTGTAGCTCGCCGGGAGCGCCGCGGGCTGGGCGCGGTTCCTCTTGACCTCGGGTGCGAGCATGCGTTCGCGCTCGAGCTCCAGGCGCGTCTTGTCCGCCGGCCGCTGGGTGAGCAGCATTTGTGAGCCCGACAAGGCGGCTTCTTGGCGCTGGGCGAGTTTCGCTGCACTGTGACGGGGGAAAAGGATTAGTACTAGAGTGCATGTGGGGATAGGAGTGTCCGGCGGGAAATGGGGAGACATACGCAAAGTCAAAGTCGCGAGTCTCGATTCTCCGCTTCTTGTAGTCATCAGTTCGCTTCAAGATTGGGCGGCTCCACTCGCCGACTAAACGTTCGGCAATGCGCTTGATGCCGGCCTGCGGCCGCTTGCTCCGCGTGTAGAAGTAGACAACCTTGCCGATGCCGCTGCTCAGAAGGACCTCTTTGTTGATTGGCAGCTTGGTGAGGGCATTGAAGATATCCCTCTGGATGTTGTAGGCAGGCAGGCTGCCATCGTTGAGAGGCTCTAGGAAGTACTTCACGGACTGGAGGAAGTTGATCTCGGGATCAAGGACGGAATCCTGCACCGAGGTTTGCTCGAGAAGCGCTGTGACCTGCGGGAGAAGCTTGAGCTTTTGTGTAGCAGCCATGCCTTTCTCGCGCGCTTCGTTGTCCGCGATACACGCATTCTCCATCGCGATCTTGAGGTTTGCTATTTGTTGGTCGATTTGGTCTTCAAGGTCCTAGATACGGCAGGTTAGAGACATCCTGGGAGAGCGGATACGCGACAAACTTACGATATCGTCCTTCTTGCGTCTCCGCTTCGTCGGATTCTTCAAAGCGTTGTCCATGGCTCTCTGGATCGCGCGACGTCGACGCTCTTCCGGCGTGAGATTCTCCTCGTTCACTTCCTCCTCCTCGACTTCATTCGCTACAGCCCGTCGCTCACCGGCTGTGGCGCGTGCCTTCCGCGGCCGACTCTCTCTCTCCGGGAGCTCACCACCGTCGTCGTCATTTGCTCGCGCCCGCTTCTTCGGCCTGCGCCCTTCTTTCGGTTTCTTCGTGGTCTCGCCATCTGTCCGCTTGCGCTTGGCAGCCTTTAATGTCATCGCGACATTCTCGTCGATCTCAACAGGTCTCTCTTCGAGGGTGGGATCATAGTCCTCGAATTGATCTTCGTCGATCTCGGAGAGGAGATCTGAATCCTTGTCGGACATGTTTCCGGCATCGTCGTCAGGAGTATCAGCAGGAGTTTCGTGATGATCCGTGTCCAAATGCGCCGCAGGTTCGGCTGGGGAACCAGCTCGCGAGCCGGCTGCAGAGTTGGCGTCCGACATGTCGGAGTGAACTAGACGCGGATTCGAGCGCCGATGGCGACCAGCTGAAAGATTATCTCGGTGTTCGCTGGGGGTATAGGGGAGGCGCGTTGGAAAGTGATCGTAGCGTGCTTCTGTTGCTGCTGTTCACTTAAAGTCGGTTCGGTGAAAGTACGTAGAGTCGCTTTTGGGAGATGGTTGAGAAACCAAGCGGCCCTGGACCTGGTGGGGCCGGCGGAGCCTGGCCTGTGCGCTGGCTCTTTTGGCTGCTAGCGTGTTACTTGGGACAACGCCACTCTGGGAATCAGTCTACTGTGCGCTCAATAACCCTTGTTTACTTCAAAACATCAACCTACTAACCTTACCTTACCTGTGTAACATCGGACGATTGCTGCTGGCAACGTACTTCGAACCTGAATTCTACAGACGACTCAACTTGTCAGATCTTCCTCCTGCCTCTGATATTGTCCTCAGCGAGAAACAACGGTACGAAGCGCGGTTGCGATTTCAAACTCGACTATCGCAAACTACCCCGAATGCGCAGCGAGTCCCGTCAGTTGCTACATAATGGACCGCCGAACTCATGATGGCTGGATGGACTGGGAATACCACTCGCAGCCGCCCGTGGACCCGTCCAGCCCTTTTACAACCTTCTCTCAGACACGGCCGACGTGTAAGTCTTGTTCCGATTTCCCAGCAATCCCGGGATTTACATGTCATACACTCCTGTGCCTCTATGCTAGAGTTCGATCGGATGCCGCAACCTTCACCAGCAGCAACCTGAATTGCCTCCAACTGCGCATCCTTTTACCTATTGCGACTGACTTTCCTAGCTTCGGTTATGGACTCGCCGACGAAATTCGCAAGCAACAACCCGTTTGCCTTCCCCGTTGCTTCCAGGGGATCACCGGCCAAACCACAAAACCAACCGCGGCCGCCGGCATCATCATTCTTCAACCCTCAGCTTCAGAGCAGGCAGTCAGCTCCGGCCTTCCGGAATCCCGCATTCACGACGCCCCAAAAGCGCCCTGATGAACGTGTGTTCTCCGAGTTCTCTGGTGTCGATTCGAGCCCGGCTATGACGGACACATCTGAGGTGCCGGCCGAGACGCCGGAAATCTATCGAGCGGAGGATGACGTCAGCAGGTTGACTCTCACGTCGTCTCCCAGCAAGCAATTGTTCAAAGAGGCCTTGTACAGAAACCATGCGTCAGGGCGAGGGGAGATCCCCAGGGGCAACAGGGACAAAGTTAGGAAGAGGAAGCGGCTGCAGAGCGACAGAGATGTGGGCAGCGTACGATATCGTCTCCCTCATGCGTCCGACGATTCCGACAGCGATTGGGAAGAAGGTGCGAGCGATAGCGTGAAGGGAAGCAAGAAGGGAAAGACACGTCGAGGGGGCTGGTTCAACAACTTTTTGTCAGCCGTCAGCGACCACCCCAGTGCGCCAGCAATTCTGTCGAAGTGGCTGCAGTTGGGCGTGAATATTATCCTCCTCGGCATCGTTCTTTTCGGCATATTCGGCCTCCTCGTTCAAATACGATCCGATTTGTCTCATGCCAGCGAGAAGGCCCGAGCCGCCATCGCCAACGAGATGTCCATCTGCGCCGATAATTACTCCAAGAACAACTGCTCACCCCGAGCAAATCGCCCTCCGGCTCTGGACGGACCTTGCAACGAATGGGAGACATGTATGCACCAGGACCCGTCAGCAGTTAAGGTTGTTCAGATCTCGGCGAGGAATGTCGCCGAAATCATGAATGAGTTTGTCGGCGTCTTAACGTTTAAGACATGGGTGAGTAGACGATTGTCATCTCCACCATTGCCTGGCCACGCTAACAGCTTTCCTAGGGCTTTATTCTCTCGCTATTCCTGGTTACAGTCGTCGCTAGCAACGTCGGTTTTGGATTTCTTCGCGAATCTACGCTTTCCCACTCGGCGAAGCCGCATGTACCTTTGCAATCGCCGCCGGTTGTACCCCCCGTTTTTGGGTCCGCGGCTGCGCACAACCCGCAGCAAGCCTACATCTGGGCCCCTATCGGCCGGGCCCCTCGCGACGTTCGCAGGAACTTGTTTGCAAGCGATGCCGCGGATTCGGATGCATCGCCAGATTTCAAGGCGATCATGCCACCGGAGACCCCGTCGGGAAGGAGAAGTCCTAGCAAAGGGGACCGGGCACGGAGCCCAACGAAGGGATTTTGATATGCGTGTTTGGGCTTCGCATCGGCCGGATCGGTTAGCTTGTCGCCAATGGGTGTGTAAGACTACATTGTATGTGAGCTGTCATTGGATTCTGCTGCACTGTCTGCGCTTGTTTGACCATGGACTAGATAGCGCAGTTATCAGTTGCGGCCTGGTAGCGATTTTCTGCCAACTCTTTAGAGGATGATATTGGTGTCGCTTGTCTCGTTCACTTACAGAGGCACGTGCATGCTTCATGCCCTTTAAAGCTCCCTTTCGTCATGAGAGGGACATCTCCCGGTGAAGCACTGTGTACGGATTACACTACGGATACATAAGGTATGTACGTGCAGAACGACTCTCCCGGATCTGCAAACATTGTGTCCCAGTCCCTGCAGTGGTCAATATCACCCTAGCTGCCTTGTTACCTCAAAAATCATGCCACTTTTCTCAGCCCTTGTCCGGCCTGCCAAGTTCTATTGGCTTGTTGCATACCAATGACGCGCGCCGCAGGCAGAATTTTCGGCAAATTGGGCCCAAGGAACTGCTCGGAACTGCTGTCCAGAGCTGTTTCCGCGGCAGCTAATCTCTCGAGCTTCAGGAACAAGGAGAAAGCAGGACCTTGAACCGCGGTGTGGAACGAATCTCGGCGTCTGGAACATTCGCTGACTAAAGAAGCTTACCAGGGGTTCAGGTGGGATTCCAGAAAGTCGGCTATAGCCGAGCCTTGGCGCTAGACGGCTGGGTCAACGGCTGGTCGCACCGTCGCAGAAGCGCATACAATAGGTACGCGTATCCGTACGTATGTACATATATGTACCTTAGAGTATTGGTCGCGGCCGAGGTGGAGTGCGGGGGATGAGGACGCGGGAGTGAAACTCATCAACTTCCACCACCTTCTCAATGCGTGATGGCTAGCGAGGCCTCATGACTAGCGCCATCCTTTTCACTTGCGAAACCCCATATTCATGCAAAGCTTATCCATGCGTACGAGAAGTGAAGGACACGGATCACCAAGCAATGGATATATCGGGAAAGCCTCTCGGAGATCTAATCCGCCTTTCACCAGGGCTTGCACGGTTGTAGTTATACATGTATGTGTGGCGGTACAGTGCGAGCATGGATGAGGTGCTATGATACCAGCCTCTTGGTGTAGGTACCCAAACTGAGATAACGTCCCAGGTTTCTGGCCCGAGCTTCTCGGCCGCAGGACCCTTTAGACGCGACTGCCACAAAATCGCCCTGCTGGTCGCCGCCGCGACCGAGCTCTCAACGCAGGCCAGCCCCCAAGCGTGATCCTCGGTCAGACGAGCTTGACATTAGGGAAAGGTCACACCTGAGCCCGCCGCGCGTTGTCCTCAGCTCGGCGCTCCTTGCATCTGATTTGGGACTTATCCGCCATTCTCCACAATCGCGCGACCGAGAATTCGCTGGCTGCATAGGCATGGACAACATTGACGCTTGCCATCGCCTCCGAACTCACATAAGGCCATCACCTCGCCTTACATCGGCCACCGCTCGGACTTCCCGCACAGCTGTGCGGTTACCACTATTCTCCTTCTAGCCTTAAACCATCCACAATTTTCCGAAGTTCGAAGCGCAAGTTCTCCGACCGCCGTCGCCTTGCTCCGACTGGTCTCAACCATGGTAGTGAACTTCGACCGGCGGATCTCCCGAGTCTACTGTCCGGATGATGTTTGAAGAAAGGACGCATCAGTACCGGAAATATGAATCCCATGGAAGGCGACCCCCCGGGTGGGGGTCGGACACTGGCGCCGCCGGCTCCGTCGCAGTCGAACCCCGCATCCGGCGAGATCAACGACACGTCTGCTCCAGGCCCATCACCTCTTCCTCCGGCGGAGTTAGCCCCGGGCATTTCGGCATCCGGCACCCCAGGATCGTCGAAGCGAAAGAGAGGGCTTGGCGTCGTGACACCGAATGCGTGTACCGAATGCCGCAAGAAACGTGCAAAGGCTCGTACTCGACCTGGGCGTTGCTCAAGCTTCCCCTTGCCTTATCGGCAGCAACGGCTCCAAGCTAACACTTGACGGCCTACTCAGTGCGATGGGAAGAAACCTTGCGGCCGATGCAATGCGCAAAAGGATGTGGAATGCAAGTATGAGATTCCGGTCCGCCAGTCGAAAGAGAACCTTCGCCACGAGATCGACCGGCTACGACGCCAGCAGCGCAACAATGAGAGCGTCATCGGCGCGCTCGCCCGCCCCGATATGTGGGAAGAGGTGCTTTCGCGTTTACGCAGCGGTCAGAGCGTTGAAGCGATTTCAGAATGGCTTGAGGGAGGTCCGCATTCCGGTGGCGAGTCCCTCCGTTCTGTAAGCCGCCCTCTTAATCATGGAAGCGATATTGGTGCCAGCATATCTGGATATGCTATAGCGGCACCAGGCAGCCACGCACCGATTCTGCCCAGTTTAGGTGCGGGGAGCCCAGCTTCCGTTCATCAGCATCCCAATGCCAGGCACGATGCCCAGCAACAGAGCCACTGGGCTTCGCATTTTCCGACGGCACCCGCAAGTTCTACTCATCCGAAAATTCCGGACGACTGGAATCCGGAGGCCATAACGCACGCCCAGTCGCGTGTGGGATTGTGGGTGGAGGGTCAAATTCAGGCTCTAGATGGATGGAAAAGCCGGGGTTCCGAGCAGGTCCTCCTTCCGAACGTCCCCGAGATGCAAGTGCCTGCGAGGACGTGGACGACGATAACGGCGGATGCGGGTCTTGTTCAGCACCTATTGGCCCTGTATTTTTGCTGGGAGTATCCCACCTTCGCCTCGCTGAGCAAGGAGCACTTCCTTAAGGATTTCATGGAGGGCCGGCCTCGATTTTGCTCGTCGATACTTGTCAATGCGCTGTTGGCCCTGGGATGCCGCTTCTCGAATCAACCACACACACGATCCGACCCAGACGACCCGCACACGTCGGGCAACCACTTCTTCCAGGAATGTCAGCGGCTGTTTGAACAGGAACAGAACCACCACAGCCTCACTACCATCCAGGCGCTGGGGATAATGTCCATCAGGGAGGCAAGCTGCGGCAGGGATTCGGAGAGCTGGTTCTACGCGGGTCAGAGCATTCGACTGGCCGTTGAGATGGGCCTACATCGACTTCAGGACGACGGCTTAGAGGACGATGAGAGCGCAGTCCAAGCAGCCACTTTTTGGGGGGCTTTTGCTTTAGACCAGTATGCATCGCCGCGTCTCCTTCCCCTCTCTCTGTCCGTTGGACCGCCCAGGCCCGCCCTCTAACTTGCTGTAGCGCCTGGTCTTTGGCAACTGGCACGCTCCCCCAGTGCTCGTGTTTTCCCCAACTGCCACCCAAACCGGCCATCATCGACGACATCGAGGCATCGTTGTGGATTCCGTACACGGATGATGGTAAGGGGACCGCACTCTCATCAATGGTCGTCCGGGGCTAATTGGTCACCAGGGGCCCCCCTCCAGCGGGCTTGCCAACAGCCCTCCAATGTGCGCTCCGTGTACAAGTGTTTCTGTGAGCTTAGCGAGCTCGTGCATCAGTCGTTGTACATCCTATACTCGCCCGGCCGGCCACTCACTAGCCGAGACTTGCTCATCATCTATACCCAATACCTGAACTGGTACGACAAGATCCCTGAGGTGCTACGACTAGGTCATAACTTCACTCCGGCCGTCTTGTTTGCGCAGTGAGTCACTCCGGTCCAATGCTGCACGCTGTGGGCGTGTTTTCGCCTTTGCATCCACCGTTTCCTGACGCTGGCGGCAGTATGTACTATCAATTTGCCATTCTCCTGCTCTTCCGACCCCTGATTAAACTGCGGATTATCGGCTCCAGCATATCTCCGCGCGATGTCTGTTTGCAGGCGGCCGACGCCATCACCGGTCTCTTGCGCTCATACGCGCAACTCTACACGCTGAGGCGGACGCCGTCGTTCGTCCCGTACTTTGTACTTACATCATCAATCATGCACCTGGCCATTGCAGCGACCCACACAACAAGCGTCGAAAGCAGCAAGGCTGCGAGTCAAGACAGCGGCTCGCCTCACCCAGCTCCGAAGCTGGACCCCCACGCTACCGAGGCGTTCGCACGAGGAATCGCCGATCTGACTGAAATGGCGCCGTGCCATCACTTTGCTGAGCAGGCACTCAACATCCTCCGGTTTCTGGCCAAAAAATGGAACATTGACGTCGAGATCAGGACAACCGGGGGCAATGAGCCTCACCGTTTGGAATTGCCGGATTTCGAGCGGGCTACGAGGCCAGTGACTGTGAGCCTCAACTTGTTCGCGCCGAACTTCCTCGAGTCCGACTTCAACTGCACCTGGGGTGCCGGCACATCGGGAGGCATTCCTGCGGAGGTGATGCAGGGCGGCCGGCCCAACACCAGCGCGCGCGAGACAGATGCGTTGGAGAACCCGCTCTTCTGGCCCTTCCCGATGCAGGGTCGTCCTATACTATCGAACGGGAAGGAGCTGAAGGAGGCTGGCTTCGAGCTGCTTTGAGACCGCTTTTGACGGGTTGCACGAACGAAAGGTGCCACATCGGGCTTCCTACGTGCCCTCATTAGTTAGGCTGCATCTCGCATTCCTTCGGTTCAGGGGGAAATGGTCGACAGTAAGGAGATGGGGAAATGAAAGGGTGGGCGATACCATGGAGTTGGGACTTGGTAATCATCTACAGTGGATACACGACATTGCATGGGGAAGGGCATCAAAAGGAAGGCATCGGGCTCACGGAGTTTGAGAACAGGGTGGTCGCTCCTGTGCAACATATACTACATGCTGTTCCGCGGGTGTTTCTTCGGATCATTCACTTTTAACTTCGTCATAGTGCGATACCCCCTTCTTTGCCCAAGAAAAGGACGCTTGATCTATCTTCAAGACAGAATTGACTGGTCACAATGCCGTGTTTGACAGTTGAGGGCTGATAAAGAGCATGGGCCCTTCTCTCTAGATGGCAGGTGGCCGCGGGTGACTGTGGGGTATTAAGGACTCGGTGGCCCCATTGACGGACCTGCTTCCGGGCCATCTCATTGACACGCGTATGGCGGGAGCATACGGCACAGCTTCCCTGCACTGTCCTCGCTGCAGGGTAGTGTAATGTAGTTGTAGAAAGTGCCAGAAATTGATAACGGCCTCGCTTGTCGGCGAGCAGCGAAGGCAGTCTGACGAGGTCCAGATCACGGAAAGTGGGTTGATGCTCCTTAATTCAAACTTGAACTTTTCGAGATGGCACCAAATCGCGACTAAGGCAACCAGGGAGTCGGGTCGTGTGTCCTTCGCTTTCGCCTTATCTCGGCTCGATCTCGTCTCCAGAACTCGAGTGGACTCGACCGGCGAGCCGGCCTGGTAACGAGCCGGGGATTTTGCGGGTTGCTCTGCGGGGAGAAAAACAACGCTCGCAGAGCCCCGGTCAACGCCACGCCAGCATTGGGCCAAGAGACCATTTCCCGGTTCGTTTTGTTCGTTCGTCTCAGGCTGTTCAACGAACAAACAACATGCCAACTGCGCCAGCAGCGCAGCAGCACCCTCAGCATCGCATCCCTAGGACGCGCGCTGATTGGGCGCTTACGCTGCAGGCTTGGTGTTTCGAAACGCAGTGTCCAGCAGCTCCCTGCTTCTCTGTTTCAGGTGGAACAGGGGTTTGAATGTCCCCGGGCGCGGCAAGCACCAGTCAGCAATGGAGGAGCGCGCTTGTGGATCCCCCGGCGAGCCATGGAAAGCTGGTAACCAGGCGATCTGCCGCACCCTGTCTTCTTCCCCTGTCGCAGTCGCAGTGCCCTGGGCTGACCAGCTGCTTTCGGCGGAGTTCGAAGGCACGCGCTAAGCACACGCTTGGATGGACAATGGTTCGCGCGATTCCGCGCCGCTCTGCTTGAACACATTCATCACTCATCACCCCAGTCCTTCGGTGTCTCGCCCCCGAACCACGCCGCATGCCGTCCCCTGTGTCTCCCTTTTATGACATGTGAGGGTACTCCGTACATATAGTTCATTGGGGGCCACATCGTATTAGTATATTCTTGGGCGGCTCCCGCGGCCCTGTCCCGCCGCACCACCTGAACCTAGCGGACTTCTTTCCTTCTCCCTTCTCTTCGCGCTTCTGCAATTTGGGTTCGTGACGTCGTGATGGACCGTTGACGTATCGTTTTTCGGGGAGCATTGGTTCTGTTTTCGCTCTTGCTGTTCATCTGATCGTTTCTGAGTGCGAGAAGAGTTTGAGTTCTGGGCTGGGCTCGGGTGAGCCTCGTGGCCGCTCCCCTCTTCGATGGATCCTTTCCGCAATCCGCCGGACGACAGTCTAGCTGCGGCTCGACTACACGTCCAGGCCCTCACAGAGTGCGGGCTATCACGCGAGGCGCTGTTGCACGCGCTGCTGGAGAATTATCCCGACGGTAAGTAAGGCCACGACTGCTGCTGAAGCGGGAGAATTGCGTTGTTGACTTCCCGGCAGGAGATGCTACCACAAGGACCGTCACCCCCCCGCAGCAGGCTGCGCAGCAGGGGCAGCGTGATCCACGACTTTCGGTGTCAACCACGAGCTCAAAGTCGTCCGGGAGGACGAGCCTCTTGTCGACGGCGACCTCGATGAGCTCAGTGTCATCCCAAGGCGGAGGACCTGCCACCCAGGAGATTGCACCGCCACATCCCCCGCCCCCTGCGCCGCCCGTGAAGAGCAACAACAGAGGGAGCTCCAAACCGCAGGGCGCTTACTGGTGCACCTTTTGCGACGTCGCCTTCCAGCGCAAATTCGACTGGAAGCGCCACGAAGACGAGTTCCACGAGCGCTACAAACGTTACCCCTGTCCAAACTGCAACCGCATCTTCTGGGGCGCCAACACTTTCAACCAGCACCACAAGAACGCCCACGGCTGTACGACATGTCCGCATGCTGACCGCGTCGTGCGGTATACGCACAAGAAAACGGCGTGGTATGTGTTTTGCCTTCATGTCGAAGAAGGGCTCTCTCTGCTCTCGCCTGCTTTCTTCATGTTTGCGCAAGTTCGTTTCGGTGCCTCCGAGTCCAGAGTCGTGTGACCCGACGACTTGCATGACACCACTCACCATGCCATGGTGCATCCAACCATGTGGAAGACAAGCTGACCCTCGCTTCAGGGCATGTGGCTTCTGTGGCGGGTTCCTCGCCAGCCGTGACCGTTATTTCGACCATGTCGCCCGGCACTACGAAGACGGTTGCAACAAGTCGCACTGGAACCACTCGCTCGTCATATACGGCCTTCTTCACCAGCCCTCTATTAACCAAGCGTGGGAAGACCTCGATGCCGAGCTCTATGGTCATCTGCCGCGCAACCAGCACCCCATCCTAGAGTGGGATCCCAAGTCAACAGGTCATGCACAAGGATTTCTTGAGGGCGAGAGTCCTGGGAAACTACAAGACCTGCTCGAATTCTTCAACGAAGGTCGCGATGACCCGAAATTCCTTGCCCGTCTCGCCCACGACTCGGCTACCATGCGGCTACGGCACGAGATCCAACCGATTACTTCCGCAACGCCGCCCTCCGCATCCTCCACCGCGAGACCCATCTCCGAACCGCCAAAGAAGAAGGCCATGTTGAAGTCGTCGCCATTAAAAAGGCACATGTCCACGCCTCAACCGCCACTACCGCCCCCACCGCCCTCATATGAGGATCCGCCAATCCCGAAGAAGGAGCACAATATCGCGCCTCTACCATCCGAATTCACGAAAAACAACCCCTTTTTTGACCCGACGCAGCAGCAACAACCGCAAACGCAACAGCTTCAAGGCCTGATATCGCCGTTCGACCAGCAGATGATGGGCACGCAGGCGACCATGGCCGCGGCGGGATACTACGACTTGGCGTTAACACACGTCCACCCGCACATGCAGCTCATGTCGCAAATGCCGCAGCAGAGCAACCAACAACCCCATGAGCATCAACAGTTTTCTCAACAACAACAGCAGCAGCAGCAGCCGCCGCCGCCGCAGCAGCCACAACAACAGCAACAGCAGCAACATCACTTGACAGTCCCAATGAACCTGTACGATGACTGGAGCAGCGTGGCAGGAACGGTCATGGATGACTCGATGTTTTCCAGCATCATAGCAATGGGATGGCAGGCGGATATGGGAGGGACCCATCCTGGGACTGGCGGGTGAGAGGACCGGATGGTTTTGCAGCACAATCACCCCCTCCCAGCCCTTCTGGGTAGTGACGAGGTCTCCCGAAAGAGGCCATGAGCGGAGGGTGGAGGATAGGAGAGGAGAGCAATTCTCTGCATATCCGTGTGGCTGTTATGCAAATCGTCAGCGCCTCCGCATACGGGATGATACGGAGAGGAGGAGACGCCGTTCAGGGGTGCGTTCTGTGCCGGCGCTTTGCTCCACCGTTCGTCCCCCGTCAGCGTCCTCGTCTTCCTCACCCTATGGCGGATTTCTACTATCCATTACCTCGTGGTAATGGCAAGAGGCCTGCATAATGTAGGAGCAACATTGGGGGTGGCGTCCGGATTCGGAATCAGTACGACACGGCGGCATTGCTGGCTGACTGGCTGGTTCACGTGGGCCGGGGAAGGTCGGAGTATCCCACACAGAATCTCGTCATCCAGGGACGAAAGGATAATGTTATGTATCCAGTGGAGGACCTTCGGGGGATGGTAGGCATGACGTGCCTCAGCAAACTCTAGAAGCAAAACGGGTACCTGGCTGCCCCGGTATATAAGGTGTATGAATATCTTACTAAACTATACCTTCGAACGCACCAGATCTCTTCTCAAAACCGTCAGTCAGTGAACGTAGTGCTGTAACACATGCGTTTCCCTGGAAGTGCGTCACAAAGGTCATGTCTAGTCGTTAGGTGGTGAGCAATCCAGGCTGTGCCACCACACGTACGTCCCAGAAAACCCCACTGGGGAGATGAGACAGCCGTTGATCGTCTGCTCTGACGAGAGCGAGGTCGCCGAGAACAGGGGACTTCCCTAAAAGGGGGAACTTCGCAAGTACCTTAGCGGATCCGGAAGGTATGGCCGCCTCCCGGTCCGGCGCGGGCCGTTTGTGTGCTCCACTCCCCGCCCTTCCATTGTATCCATTGTATGTTCCCCGGTCCTCCAACGTGGTTGGCGAATGTCACTGGTCTCAATGAATCAGGTATCACAGCATACGTAAGGTACCTTATTAAACGCCCTGGACAAAACAAGCAGAAGTTCTAATCTGATTATTCTGCATACCAAGAACGAACACAGGAACGGAAGGCGAAGCGGGCAAGGTCAAATGGAGATGGAAGAAGCGCAGACAGCATTGGTACAATACAAATCCAATACACGTCCCGAACTCGGTCTCGGGCAGTGTAGCCTCAAGCGTGCCGTCCAAGTGTAACGAAACGGTGTATCGCAATGTGAGGCATTTGATCTACCACTACCAGGTATGCATAGGCAGCTTAGATCAGGTGGTGAAGCTCGGTGCTTTTGAGGAAGATTGCAGTGCCCCAACCTCACCTTCAGTCGGTCAACCCTACAGCCACCAACTGGGCAGCATATACGGAATACCTACTCACAGAGAGGCTGCAGCCTCGGAACCTCCCTTGACTTCGCTCCGAAGCCGGAACCTTAATGGCCCCGGAGAAACGTTGCGCTGGAGCAAATCTCATGCTCGCCACAAATCAACTTCATGACAGAAAGCTTGCGATGTCTGGTCTGAGCGAATCAGCTTTCAAGTCACGACGGAGAATCTCCGATGTCTCATCGGGGAGTTGGATTCGGCAGTTTTGGGGGGCCCAGCAAGTATTGGTTGGCTACCCAGGTCGGGTATTTCAAAGTTGCATGAAATACCGACTTGCGACTTGGCGTTTCCTGCAGTCTTGCTGTCTCTGCATATCTTCAGACTTCAGGACACGTTGCCCAATAGCCCCGTGATCGTGATGTGTTGTGGAATCCCAGAGGACGGGACGCCATCTGGTTTGAGGGGAGTGCAGATGCTGTGAAGCACCTTTCCGCTCCTAGTATTGGAAGAGTCAGTTTCGATTGCAGCCAAGTGCGGCAGTGCCCGCCGTCTGAGCACATCTGACTGGACAACCATACCTATGGATATAGGGCGTAGTTCGGTGTACTCCATCAGTCCGGGCGCATTCGGTGGCGGCTCGATGACACACCACATGCAAATCAAGTGATCCCATGGGATATGTAGATTTGCTGGGCAGTTTGCTGCGCTTCGCAATCCGGCCCACGTCTCTCCTGAGTCCTCACAACAATATCATACAGTACATACCAGCCCCCATCTCCTGGGTAGCCTCTTCCACCATCTGCAGTACCTCATCGAGACCAACGTTCTGCGCATACCATGATCATGGCGGAAAGAACCAAGTCAAGCATCTCAGTGACGGTGGGGGGGAAGGATGCGAGTTGTTTATCCAAGAGCCTGCGGCAGTGGTCCGTGAAACGAGCAAAACGTCCATTTCAGGTCGCGGAGAGTTGCGGTCTGTGGAATGAGCCCTTGGCTGACGGGAGTGCTTTTTACGAGCCTCGGCCTGCCCAAGAAAAAGGGTAAGGTACTGGACGGAGAATTCCATACCTAAGGTAGGCATTTCTTCGAGGGGAACTGGCAGCCCCGCAAAATGCAGTACGATCGAGGGCGACCGGGGGCGGTGCCACCGGGGCCACCTGCGGGTTCGGTTCTAACTTCTAAGGCTGCTCTTGGGTTCTCCATGTGGGAGTGAGTGGGACACTAGCCAGTATATTGGTTCACCCCAACTATACCGTACGGTCCGTATCGTGCTGCCGTAGGTGATAATAAAAGAACAGCAGAGGGAGCACTGTCAATGTTGAGTGCAAGGACGCAGATGCGTTAGGTTGCGTTGGGGCACTTGCACGGTGCAAATAGCTTTCAACGAGGGCGGCAAGGCCTGCTCCCAACTTTCAAGATCACTCGAGATGGCTTTACTTCACTAGTACCATACTATGTACAAGTTACATACGTACAGTTCATTCATCTACCCAATATTCCTTGTCAATTTTAGACGCATCTTGTCACCTTCCCTCGACTGAACCAGACAACAGACAGGGCACTTGCAGGCAGTATCATCATATCATGCGTAGCTACCTTACCTACTTATGCGCTTTCCCGGACCTGCCTGCTACCCATGTCTGTCCATCATTCGTCGGACGACGGCAAAGAAGCCTTCTCGGCCCATGACTCGGCAGCAGCAGACGATAAGTGTACCCGTGCAACGGGACAGTGAGGAGGGAAGAACGACATGTGGCATTCATGTGGTTTTCCGCTCCCAAAAAGACAAATAAGACCGTGTCCCCCGCTTCCATAGTGTTGCGGGAGTCTTTCTCCATCCTACTTGCCACCAAGCTCCTTGTTCACTTACAAAACATCACCCGACGCAAACGACTGCGCCGCGGTCACCTTGGCTCCCAACACCCCGGGCCCGCTCCTCCCCCCCGCGGCGCAAGCACTGAGTCCCGGCCCACAGCATTGCACTTGGGTATCCTCTCTCGAAATCATCCACCAGAGCTAAGTCAGTCATATCTTCTTTCCCCTCGTCGGAGTCACTAGCCTGCTAACCGCCAGAGCGTAACGACTTAGATAGCTTCGCTTCCGATACTGTCTCCACCGTTTCCCCCCCTCACCATGGAGCCATTGACGACGAGGTCAATGAGTAACCACCAGACCCCGGAGACGACGCAGCCTCCGTGGGCAACCAACAGCGGGTCGAATCAAAGACAGGCTTCGTCTGGCTCCTACACCCTGAACCGATGGCTCAGCGAGAGCCGGCGTGAAGAGCCGTGGCGTCATACGAATCCGTGTTGGCTCACCACCGGCACTCATCCCGGGGCCACAGGACATCAGGCCAACCCTCCTGGGAACTAGGAGGTCAAAGGACGCCTTGATGGGAGAACCTGTGTTGGGCTGCTAGCTGAGGGAGGGGGTATTGTACTTAAGCTGGGACTCGAATGTTGCATGCATTTTTTTTTCTTTCCCCTCACCCCTGTTCTTTTCGAAATACATCTCTCTTGTTGCGGGTGTCTAGGTACCCATGTGGTCGTCGTTCAGCACATTTTTTCTTTTTCTTTTTGTTTTTCTTCGAGGTACCCTTTCATGTGGACATCAACTTTCATCTTTTCTTATATGGCTCATTGTCATCCAAGCTGTTCGGCTTGGCTGGACTGTCAGGTTGCGTTATTTACTCTCTATAGGTCTGCATGAGCTGGTCAGACACCTACCCCTCATGAGTACTGACCGATCGTATTGTCAATCAATAGTCGACATCTGCGTGGCTTTCTCTATCCAAACAGGCACATGTTGATTTCTCTTGGAAGTAGTATACCACTGCAGAGCATCTATCTCTAGGCGACACACGCCTGACCTGGAAATATAGTAATTGCTGCACGGCGCTATTGGACCAGCTTCTCCTCTCTGCCACCAAAACTCCACTTTTGTCTGGTATGAAAATGATTATAGATAGGTATGCTTGGACCCCCAACTACCTTTCCTCTATCGTCGAGGTGTCGACCTCTGTCCTGTTTGAAAACACTCGTCAGCATACTGCAATGTTTCTTATTTCTGCCGTCTTTTCCTTGCTGCTGATTACGGAAAGCGACCTCCTGCCCGGGAATATGACTACGACGGTGGAGGTCCATGTGTGACCCGTGATGAATGTAGCTGATGCTTTGAAGATCATCGTTGGCGGCGGCACCGCAGAGATTGTCCTCGCAACCCGCCTGAGCGAGGGGCTGACAAAGGCCAGCATCCTCTTCATTGAGAGAGGGCAAGCAGCCATCGACGAAAAAGGCATCAGCGTTCCAGGCACAAAAAGTGCGACACTGCGCGGCAGATACGACTGGAATTTCACCACGGTGCCCCAAATACATCTCAATAACCGCATCATCCTTACTCCTCGCGGCCGGGTCCTTGGCGGTACATCGGTCATTTTCTCGGATGGTTATACCGGCCTCAAGGGGTTCAGCCGCTGCGGTTGGTGTGGGTGGCCGAGTATGAGCCGGGTGAGGAGCAGGTGCAGAAGGATGAGCAGTGGAGGGACTACATCTGGAACACGACGATGACCATCTTTACTACCCGATGGACACGACTGCAATGCTGCTCAGGAAGGATGGCGGCGTGGTGGACTCCAAACAAAATTGGTGGTGTATGGGACGACGAACATGCGGGTTGTGGATGCGAGCGTCATTCCGGTTCAGACCTTAGCTCACTCGCAGACCGCCGTGTACGGCATTGAGCAGAGGGCAGCTGAGACCATCATTGCTGGCACTGCCAAGAAGAGGCTGCCCGCTAGCTCATACGAATGAGTCTGGAAAAGGGAGATATTGATGACCGCACATAGGTGAAAGAGGGGGTGGATTAGGCAGTCGCTTTCTCCTCCTTTCTCTCGTGATTTTTTTTCTAGTTAAGCCTTCCATGTCATGTCTCTTGTCCTTGCTATAGCCGACAATGGTGTGAGGCATCTGGCTTCCACGAAAATCTGCTTGCTTAGCTGACTTGGTCGGTTGAGGCGTTCTGTACAACCTATCTGAGAAGCTTACATCTAATATTGATTAGTTGAACCCCTGAATATCTTGTGAGCAGTCTCGTGGACGCTCTGTGGTACGCACCTGTTAGGAGACTCCACTAAGGGGATGAGTGAGCTCTCTTAGGCAGAAGCTGACACCTCTGAGCAGGGCATTACTCAGCCTCACAGGCCGATGCAACCTCACTCTTCTGAATGAAGAGCGGAGGACCGTCGAAGGTCAAGATATAATGAACGTACCTTGCCACTTAATCGCTGAAATGTAGACTCGCCAGGTTCACTTGGCCTTCCGGGCTTACACTCCAGCCGAACCGAATTCAAGATGAAGTCTCGAGTCCTCCCACCCATTATCTGCGCCGTAGCCACGTTACTGTGTGAAGCTGCAGGAGCATGCCTCAACAGTGGCAGTCAAGATACCATCAATCAGCTCCTGCAACAGGGCGGCCCTGATACCGTCGTCTCGCTGTGTCCGGGTGCGACCATCCCCATCACGGACTCCATCGTCTTCAACGCACCAGGGCAGGAGATATCCACCGAGGGCTACCCGACCGGTGACACCCGGGCCACCATCATCATCCAACCGGGAAGCAACGCGACAGTTGCGATCCGCGGTAACTGGCAGGACCGTGTGCGAGTACTCAATGTCCAGGTCGACGGCAACCGACCCAATGCGGGACCTCTGGGAGGCGACGCACTCCTGGAGATGGGCGGTGGCACAACCGGACAGACTGTCTCCCATTCCGTGGTGAAGAACACGCGCAGCTGGAGCTGCCTCCACCTGATAGCCTCCGGTCAGGATGACAACCCTTGCCGCAATGCGGTCATCACTTTCAACACGGTTGGACCATGCGGCACCGAGGGCGTTGATGAGACGGGCCGTGGACTATGGGCCGACGGGCTGAGCATAGAGTGCGTAGCCACGACCGTGACTGATAATACCGTGAGCCTTCCCAATCCGATGCCATCGTGGAACTTGAACTCTTATTGCGAAAATGATGACAGGTGACCGGGGCAACGGACGGCGGCATTGTCATCTTCGGCTCGCCGGGATCCTCGTTCCTGCGCAACACCATAACATCGTCCGACACGCAGCGCCAGTTCGGCGCTATCAACATGGTCGACCCCAACTACAACGGCAACTATTCGGGCGTGGTCGTGTCCGACAACGTCATCACCGGCACCGGCAACAGCTTCATCGAGCTTGGCATCGGCATGGGCAGCCAGATCTGGTCCAACCCGCACCCGCTCGACAACTTCGGCCCGACAACCGTCACAAACAACATCTTCCGCGGCAACATCGGCTTCTCCATCGTCATCAACGGCTGGGAGGACGGACTCACCGTGACAGGCAACGACGTCTCCCAGATCCACGCCCCGACCTCTGACTTCTCAGACGCCTCGTCGTGCGGCAGCCAGCAGCAAGCCGCATTCGCCGCCAACAAGCAGCTGATCGTCTACAGGCCCGGCGCCGGCACTCCGCTGACGCTGCAGCCGGACTTCTACGAGCTCCCCGCCAACGCGAGCAACTGGCTGTGCCTGGACCACCCGCTTCCGACCCAGCAATCCTTTGGGCCCGGCGCGCTGTCGGTCAATGCGCGGACGTCGACGGTGGTGCTGCTGCAGAACTTCCGCGTGCAGGTGCAGGGAGACGGGAATCTTGTGGGCTATGACACCACCGGCGGGGTGTGGACCGTCAAGTGGGCGAGCAGCAAGTACTCGAGCAACTGTGGGAGCGACGGGTCCAAGTGCGAGGTCGACTTTGGCGGGGATGGGAATCTGGTCCTGTACGATGCGCAGGGTCCGGTTTGGGATGCGGGCACGTCTGGGACGGGGAGGACGCTGGTGTTTTACAACGCCGCGCCGTGGGTGGTGGTTCTGGGAGCGGAGGGGCAGACGCTGTGGACGATTGCGGATTTGAGCTAGTTACTGTAGGTGATCGGCTGATCCGCGTTGCGAACATACCTAACCTTATTCACATAGGAATTATTCCTTGACAGACCAAGTTTTTGGTTGAAAAACACCAACCTCCGGATCATGAGGGCAGAAAGAAGTTCACGCTATGTGGATCGCCATGATCTCTTGCGACCAGTCCCTGCACGATCCTGCGAGTTTGTGCGACGATACACGGGCTTGGCGCCGAATTGGCTTGCTGAGAGCGGGGGATCAGGCATCTGGTTGGCCAATGCCCCACATCGTGCATCGAGGTGATCTGCGTCCCCTGCAAAGATAATACTACTTTACACATACATGTAGAGCAGCTTCCCTTGACTTTGATACCCCTCTCTTTTTCTGCATGTGTTTACTTTGCTCCGGCTTGAAAAGGTCGGTTTACGACATTGTCTTCCCCTGAGGTTTATGAACCAAACATTTGGTTCGGTCAGTGGGGTTCAGAACCCGCCGCAGGCGCTGGGGATGTCACTGGAACATCAGGAACATCAACCACCAGGACTAGACGTTCGGGATAGGCGGATGGGTAATCCGCAGGTGCACACAAATGGCGAAACGTGTCGTATCACGGAAGTCTCCGGTGTTGGCGGCATTGCCTTTCCTCGCTCTGCAGGAATCACGGGTTGTGCACCAGGTCAGACTCGTCCGAGCGCCAACATGCCGAAGCCTTCCACTGCCATCCCAACCCCGTCGTCGGTTTCCGATCTGGGCTTAAGTAGTAGGGCTCCTCCGAGTCCTGGTACACGTCCGGATTCACCTGTCACTACTGCCACATCCAGAGCATCATTGAGTACAGGCCGTCAAATCAGCATCTCCACCAACATGGCGTTCCTTGTGGTGCTGGCAAACTTTGCCGTCTTCACGGTATGCTTCACTCCTAGCATTGAAGTTTGAAATCGTTGAACGCAGGGATATGCTAACCACCATGAAACTCGCAGGACGCGTTCCTCTCTGGACTGGTATGTTGCCGCCAGCCGGCGGGCTCGCCCATTGGACTCTTTCGTGCTAACCACCGCCTAGATCATTCCCTTAATTCCTACCATCATCAAGAATGGGACTCGGGCACATTATTCCCATCAACAACGTACGCAAGTCTCAATGATTATCCGGGAGACAGCCGCGCTAATTGGTCTGTGATTAGTCCAGATGTGGACGTCCGCCGTGGTTTCTGCCCATGGGGGCGCCTTTGCCCTGTTCTCGCGTGAGTGCTCCCGACAATGTAGGACAGCTACCTCCTGAGCGTTGACAAGCTAATTGGAAACTCGGACAGCATTGAAGCCGCTGTTCATGCGACAGGGCCCGTCTAGCTATGCTGTGGTTCTCATCTGCCTTGCCTTCTCAGCTGCCAACTTCTCGCTCCTGCATCTTCCCTCTGACCCCTTAATAATGGTTATGGCCCGGTTCATGCAGGGGCTTTTCGCCTTCGGCATAACTGTAGCATCCTCCGGCATGATGGCAACGGCAGCGACTAGCAGTGGACAGATTTCTGGTCCCACATGGCTGACTCCGACTCTGATCCGGAATGTTGCCATGACAGCGGCGCCCTTCCTCGCTGGGTGCCTGAACGAATATTATGGCACAGATGTCGTTTTCTACTGTGGATACGCCCTCGTCATGGTCAGTGTCTCGCTGATCCTGGTGGCCGTCAAAAACATCCCCGTCAGCGAAGTCGGTATCGAGGATAATGAGCAGCCCAACCTGCAGCCGCGCGGCTACGGCACGATGCCTTCTGGGGCGGGCGGGCTCAGCAGGAGGTCATCGCGGTCGATCTCGCCGAGGACGGCACTTCCTGCGAGGGCAGGCCAGCGGGATGCTCTTGAGACCCTTCCTGCTGCCGCCTCCGGCAACGCGCGGCTTTCGGTTGCTCTATTCGGATATCTCGTCGTTGGCCTGCTTGCCTCTGCCCTCCAGAGTGTTCTTCCGCTCTTCGTCAAGCGCCACTTCAGCTGGTCGATGCTAGCCACCGGATCTATGTTCGTGCCGCTCTCTGCGCCCGCTGCGCTGGTGGGGCCACTGGCCGGTGCTTTGGCCGTTCGGGTTCCCAGGTCTACTCGTTTTCTGGCGGCAATCGGCTTCTTCGCCTGCTTACCGGCTTTCTTGTACCTCGGCGAGCTTAAAGACAACACGAAGGTTGTCCAGCATGGGTTCCTTCTGATGCTCGGCTGCCTTTCCTTAGCCGCCGGACTCTGCGGAGACCCCTTGGCTAGGGAGATCATGAATACCGCGGCGTCTTCCGGAAGCGATCGTTGGTCGGCCATAGCACAAGCCACCAGCCTTGAGAGCACTACCAATGCGTGGGGCAGCTTAGTTGGGCCTCTCTTCGCGGGCGGTGCCAGCTGGGTTTGGGGTTGGTCAACCATGAACAAATCCTTGGCAGTGGTTGCCGCTGCCGCTGGAGTTGTATCACTATTCTTTCTGCAGGGCTGGATTGGGAGCCCGTACCCAAACATTCAGTCCCGCCGCACAGAACCGACCTCTGATGAGGAGTCGGCTCCTCTTCTGGCAAACGACCGCTCTAACCGCGGCTTATACGGACGGCCGGAGACTTTCAGCAGCAGCAAGGAAGACGGCTACTACAAGCAGAGACAGACCTCGGAGGCCGCTTCTCCGCATGCCTGTGGCGCGAATGATGGGAAGAACCGCCCTCATCGCCGACACTTCAGTGTCGATAACTTCTCCGTTGCCACAACAGCGGGCCCGGGCAGTGTGGACTCTTCCACGTCTTCAGTTCGTTTCCAGGCGGCTCTGGAGACGCCGGTGCACGGAGCGCTTGGCAACGGAGCGAAACGACCGTCGATGAGCGATAGTGCTAGCAAGACCACCGCCGAGCGGCGGTACATAATGCGAGAGGCGCCACACGCTCCAGCCACCGATCCGCTCCTTGCCGCCGGCAGCCTCTACGTCATCGATGAGGAGCGCGATACTGCTGCGGGCGTCGAGAGCGAGCGGCAAAAACGGCGGGTCGTGGTCTTTCCCGAGGGGACGGCACCGCCCGAGCTGCTTGAGCGTCACCGCCACCATATCGTGGCCATCAACGCGCTGGACGGGACCGCCCAGATGGTCTCGGACAGCACCAATGACCATGCTGTGCACGTCACGGAGGAGAGAGGGAAGGAAGAGCCCGCTTTCTCAGAAGCTACATCCAGGCGGTATGTTGTTGTGGTGGTCGAGGATGAGGATTGCGACTCGGGATGAATGTGCACCCTGTGGCAACAGTTGGAGCGCGAAAAGGGGGTGGTGTGGGGCGTGCTTTTGGGTGAATGGGTTGTATGATTTGACGACAAGTTGAGACTGAGATACCCCGAAGCAGCGTGTTGCGAATTCACACAATCGTTGCCATAACAACAACTCGGGTTAGATGTCATGATGACGACCTTGCCACACACAGACGCGTCCGGTCGCTTCTTCCTGGTATTTATCCCCGCAAACTTCGCAGCAATTTTTCGCAGTTCTCGTTCTTTCTTCATCACCCACTTTGTGACTTCTCTGAAACTACTTTCTTCGTCACGCACTTGCTTCCCCCTTGTCGCGGCTTTCTAAATTCTCGCTCCCTCTCGCTTTCTCGCCGCAAAGATGTACAGAGGCATCGTGCTTGTATGCATTAACCTGCCCCCTGCTCTCATATCTCAAAGTCCGTGAAGTTAACAACATTTAGACCTATCCCAACCACCGAGCCTCCGGCTCGCAGCGAACGTCCGTCGGGACAGTTACCGGCATGGCCAATCTCTTCCCCTCCCAGCACCTCTGGCGGGTCCCGATGCTATACTCGAGCAGACGCCCGCCGACGCCACCCTCGCCGACGCCACCCTCGCCGACGCCACCCTCGCCGACGCCACCCTCGCCGACGCCACCCTCGCCGACATGGCGCGGAGAGTTCAGACGCCGTCCGACGCCCTACCCGTCGGAGTCCTCACGCACCGTCGCCGCCCTCCTCAAAGGGCGCGATAGTCCTCTGCACGACTCATCCGAAGACCTCGAACATGAGGGGGATGAGTTCGAGGAGGAGGAGGAGGAGGAGGAGCCGCTGCCGCAGTACACCCGGTACCACGTCGATGCCATGGACCTCCCGCCGCCCTACCTTCCACAGCCCGACGATGATCCGCCGCCGCCCAGCTATGGCGAGACCGTCCGAGGCGACCTCGCTGCCCTTCCCGCAGCTGCAGCCTGCACTGCCGCCGCCGCCGCCGCCGCCCGCGACAGCGAAGAGACCAGACGGTCCCTCCGACTGCCCGAGCGGCTCATCCCTTCTCCCACTCGCATCCATTCTGGTACATCTCTCCCCGCCGGCCCGCCGGCACCGTTGGAGCAACATTCGGATGAGCGGGCCAGTCGAAGACGGCAAAGGCGTCAGAGATATGGTCGGGTGATCCAAGCCTTCTTGAGCAGAGCCCTCCTTCCTCCCGTGGATGACTTGGCTTATCCTCTTGGGGTATGTGGAGGTTTTTGATTGCAGAGGAGGGAAAGCCAAGAAAAGAAGGGAAAATGCGGCACGAGATTGCTGTATGGGGCCTCGGCGTCTAGTAAGGATCAGGAGGGGGGGTTATATTGTTTTAAATCTGCACTGTATGGATTTACAGAGTTTGCATTGTTAATTTTTTTTTTTGGGGTGCATGCATTGGATAGGATGAGCATTAGACGATTAGTCAGAATGGCGTCGCCGCCGATTTCAAACGACTCTTTCTTTTTCCCGGCAGGGACTAAGTAGTCTAAGTAGTGAGTGACTGGACACTGCGGAAATCATGACATTCGATTCTCCTAGAAACTAGAACACATTGGGTATGTCAGCAATTCCGGACCTTGCAACATAAGGTAGGTACGGAAATGCCACCATAAATTACACTAAGATTACATTGAGAATATATGAGGGCTTACCACTCAAATTAAGTTATTGAGCCTACGCCTTCAGTTTCGCGATTCAACCGTCGCCCCCGGTCTTATCAACACCTTGGACTCGGTGTTCAAGCTTCCTTCGAATCTCAAACTCTCGGGCGGGCAAAGCATGAACTTGACCCCTCTGTACAGATGTTCCTTCATATTTAGGAGGCTTCTTCCTCACACCCGAGGCAATGCCCCAGATTGCAATGAAAAAGAGCATAGGTCGCGTCTCCTAGAGGCAGTGTAATACCAGGGACACAGTGGGAGTCAAGCATGTGCAAGCACAGAGGCAAGAACCCCGAGAGCCAAAAATAGGAATAATCACGATCCTGCTCCGTAGAGCAGTTTCAGAGATTAAACTGAAAAGAACAGATACTACACTTGATCTAAGCCAAAAGGCAAAGAGAGCTGAGGAAAAAAAAGAAAAGAGGTTCGAAATTGGGGGATTGAGCATTGAATTTATAGCCTTGGCTGGATGGTCTGTGCACGCCTGCAGGATTTCAGTGTCATGCAACTGTCCGTGCCACCTCACCTTATTCCAAACGCCATTCCCACACAGTCCCGCTGCAACTAGACCGACTTCCTCAGCAACGTTCCTCCATCTTTTCGAGAACCGTGAACTTATTTGACTTTCAGCTGCAGTCTGCGCATAGTCTACCAGTACCAGTGTCCAGTCTTCGACTTCGCTTCTTCAAGGGAGTCCATCTTGTCAGTACTGCTGAACCGTCTTTTCTTGGATTACAAAATTGACTCTTCACAGTTTCTCGGCCTTCCCTTGTGATTTCGGTCCTGCGGGCTCTGCCGTTCTGGCGAGCGTGACTTGGATTTCGTCTGCGAGTTCCGTCGTTTTGGCGGGCTTGCTTCTTTTCCTTTGGCCTCGGCCTGGTCGGCCATAATGTAAGTGCCCTTTACTTACCCACGGTACTAACAGGTGCAAGTTATGAAGATGTCGAAACCCGGTGATCTTCGGGGCTGCGTCTTGGCCTTTTCTAATGACAAGGACGCCTTGGCCTTCCCTATCAATGATGAGGGCCCCACCAACAAAGCGGTTCGTGTAATCGGTGGCCTGAATTTAAACGAGGTCCAGAATACCCCGACAAGCACGAGACGAAGTTCTTCTTCACTGCCGCAAGCGCTATCCGTCCTTTCGTTGGTATTCGAATACTTTTCCCGACCAGACAGAACGTCGACTGTCAGCTTCCAGGACAAGGATGGCCATCCCCTGAAAGCACACTCCATAACCATAAAGTTATAGGCTGGGACGTTCACAAGCTCTGGAAAGAAGATGTCGCCAGATGAAGTCGCGAGACTCCCTCCTCTGACCGACATCAAGCCGGACACACTGTTCGTCCTGCGATTTACGCTCAAGGACGGCGAGGTGCCGCAGGTGGAGAGTTACGGCCTTCCTACCGTCTGCGAGGTCAGAGACCAGGTCATATTCGACGGGGGCGCTGAAATCGACGGCGTCATGAGCCTTCGCGAACTCTGCCACCAGAGGAGATTCAAGGTCATCAGTGCGCACTGCGGCATGTTCCTGCCAAGCATCAACAAAAACCTCGAAGACCACTTTGGCACGATACCCCAGCGTCTCTACCCGTGCACAATCGGGTATGTTTCCCATTTTACTCTTACTCTTACTCTTCTTCTTCTTCGCCTCCGTTCTGGCAACCGATGACCATGTCCCTGGCCGTGATCGCTAACAGACGAGTAGTGTATGGGACTTCCTGGCTTACAAGGACCAGCTCGCGCGGAAAGAGTGCATCCGATCTGAACCGTACGAGACGGTGTACAAGTTCGGAAGCCACGAGGACTGTGCCATCGCCATCTCGCAGGGTGTTGTTCAGGACGCCTTCCACTTTATAAAGGACGTCCAGGAGATCAGGGAGAGCAAGGTGGAATGCGTATTCCTGACGGACCCCGATTCCGATGGCGACCCCAAGAGTACACGGTCCTCGTCTGGCACCACCTAGACGTAAGTGGCAGTTTTTTTTCTTGTCTTGTTTTCTTTTGTTCATTCTTTTTTTTCTTTTTTTTCTTTTTTTACTTTTTCTTCCTTTTTACTTTTACTTTTTCTTTTTTTTCTTTTTCCTTCTTTTTTTTTTTTTTTTGTTTTTTTTGGTTCATCATTAGCGGCCGGGGCCGGGTCCGCGAAGCAGCCCGGCCATATGCCGTCCGGGCATGTAGGGACGTGCCGAGCAACCTACACTAGCAAAACGCGCCTTTAACGGGCCCTGGGAATACCTCCGGCCACGTATATATAGTAGAGTTGGTTGCCTTTTATATCGGCTGGCACCCAACACAGATGGCCAAGTACGGCAACACTCTGAAGCGCCTACTCAAGGGAGATGCCCAGTTCGAACTAGCTTTCGAACTGCCGCCCTCTAAGAAGAGCAGGGACTTCAAAGTCTGGAAAGCCCGCCAGATCTCCGCGGAACCATGCAAGGAGACTCGCTGCGACTTTGCCATGAGGATCCGCCGTCCTCGACGCGGTGAGCGAGGGGAAAACATGCGCAACGTCGATCTCGGCTGGAAAGTGTCCGTGACGTACAGCAAGGTCAACAAGTCGTAGGGCGACTTCTACCTCACGTTCGACGATGGCAAAGATGTTGCGGAAGCCCGTGTCAACGGCGACCCTATGGGAACATCATTTGGAAGGCGACGATGCCGATAAGGCGCGCGAAAAGATGCTCGACAATCTCTGTAAGGCCGATCTGTTTGCGGGGTCGGGGTTTAGCACCTTGCTGTTCCCACCACCCCGGCCAGGTGCCCAGGGCGATAGCGTCGGGGCCATGATAGAGAAAATGGCGGCCATGGAGCCCTCCCGCAAACTTCGGCGGGTCGACTTCACGCCCGGCACAGACCAGCTCCAGGAAATCCTCATAGAGGGCATCGGCGCCGCCACGTTGGGTCGCTTCCGCCAGTACCTGGACGTCAGCCGCCTCGGCGTCATTCCTATCGTCGGGTTCGCTGGCTCAGGCAGGCCGATGCCGTCTGCACCACCCCTCACCTCGCCAGCCAGCAGCCCTATAGCCGATGGAATGGCGAACTTGCTAAATCCATTGTCCTCGACGAGGCGTGAGCCATGTACCAAGCCGACGCCCTTCTGGTCTGGGGCAGGGGGTGCCGCCCTTGTATACTGGCCGGTGACGAGAGGCAGCTGCCGCCGACGGTCATGTCACATAACGAGAAGCGACACTGTCGCTGCATCAACTTGTTCTCGAACCAGAGCAGAGTCTCGGTACTCGAGAAGCTCCGCCGGAGCAGCTGGCCGTGCTTCGTCCTTGGCGGCGGAGGAGGAGGTGGAGGAGGACGTAGTAGAGGAGGACGCGGTACAGGAGGACGTGGTGGTGGTGGTAGTGGTAGTGGTGGTGGCACACGTGGTAGTAGTCGGTGGTTGCCGTGGCCGTCGCGGCGGCGGTAACTTGAGTTGGTGATGCAGGTATTTTGCACTGCTAGTGTTTGCAAAAGGACGAAGGAAGTTCTTCACAGCTCAGATTGGAATTGGCTCCTTGCAGGTACTTGTACGGAAGGTAGTTTCTCGAATAGAATCTGCCCTCGTAGCTTAAGTACCTTAGGCATGTAGCACCAAACGTCTCGCTTCGACGTAGTGGCGCCCCATGATTACTATGAGTGATGATGAAAGTCCCATGTGCTTCTCAAACTGTACTTCGTTTTCAGATCCATCAAAGCTGCCGCCGTGTAACCATGACATTCATATCGCTCTGGATGAAGACAGCCGCGTTGAACGACTTCCACGGGTTCGTCGGATCGACCAAGGTGAAGTCGAACCGGCGAAGTAGCTGCAACCCAATCATTCAAGCACACGGTGTGTCAGCGATGTATTGAACAAGTACCGTCAACTTCTAGTAGACGGCTAATAAACGGGGACATCTCTCCATACCTCGACGTAGGTCTTGTTCAGCTCGATCTGGGCCACGGTCTTTCCCAGGCACTCCCACCGACTGCCCGAGGCAAACTCCATCATGACGGTCTGGTCCATCAGCCGGTACTTGGCCGGTGGGATATCAAGCCAGCGCTCAGGCCGGAAGATTTCGGCGTCCTCGCCGAAAGTCTCTTTGTTTCTCATGATGCTCCTGACCCGAACTAATGTCAGCAATACAGAAGAGAAAAGCTGGGGGGGAGTGCTTTATAACTCGTATGCATACCAGGGCGCCCACGCAACATTGGTTCCCGCGGGGATGTGTACGCCGCACACAACCTGGTCCTTGTCCGAGACTTTGGGTAGCACGGCCGTCGCCGGCGGCCACATCCGCAGGCCCTCGCGGATGACGGCCTGGAGATAGGGGAGGTTGCGGGCCTCGGCGTCGGTGATGGGCGAAGAGATGCGGCCTGCCCTGATTCCGTCGTCGATCTCGGCCTGCAGGCGCGTGTAGACGAGCGGGTTGGTCATGATGAACAGCAGGGTCGATCGAATCGCTGTCGCGCTGGTATCACTGCCAGCAAGGATTTGGACCACAGTCTCGCCCTCGGCTTCCTCCCTGCTCAGGCCGTGCGCGACGAACGAGCCGAGCATGTCACGCTTGACCACCGGCTTCTCGCCGTACCGTTCGGCTACGACGTCTTGGGCGAGACCCATGACACTGCCGATGCCGACCATCTCCCGGGCGTTGGGGAGGAGCCACTTGAGTCGCGGGGACTGTAGGATGCGCAGGAACCAGGGCATGAGCGCGGTGGCGAGGAGGACGGGAAGGGTCGTCTCAGTGGTCTGGATGTAGCTGAAGAGATCCGCGTCGGCTTTGAGGTACCCGAACGCCTTGCCGAACGCCAGCGACGAGATGACGTCCAGAGTAAAATACTGGACTTTGCGTGCCATGTCGACGGGTTTGAAGTCTGCCTTGGTCGACAGATACTTGGTCTCCAGGAGGGACACGAGACCGGCGACCTGCTCGTCGATGAGTTGGTGGAGGTTGTCGACGTCCTTCCCGCTGTACCCGGGCATGAGCTTCGCTCTCAGCGTCTCGTGGACGTGGTCATCCAGCGTCGAAAAGGCGTTGTCTCTGTATGGTTCAACTCGAAGCCCCCGGTACCTAGTTAGAAAAGGGTCGCTAATAAGTATAATACTACGCCTACTAAAGAACTGGTTATGATAATAGGGCTAGATCTTACCAGAAGGCGCGTTGCCAGGCCGAGCGGACTGCCCACATCCGCCGGAGCTCTGCACCGTCGCCGCACACGACCCATTTAGGCCCGACTCGTGCAATGGGACCTTGGGGATCGACGTCAGGAGAAGGGTGCGGATGCGCAGCTAGGGAAGGCTACATAATGAATGAACGTTTAGCTTACCATACTTTCCGATGGCATCATGAAGGATAAAGTTCATTCGGCCACTCAGTTGCGCGCGGATCAGCCAGATGTCGGTCCAGCCGGCCCAAAACGGGCCCGGAATGTGTCTCAGTCGGGCATATTCTTGGACATGCCGGACGATCAACCAGATCACTAGAAGAGCTGGGCCAACAAGGACGAAAAGGGCTGGTGATGTGAGGAGTGGAAACAGCATGGCGACACTCATTAGGCCGTGCTTGGAGTAGGTCATGTGTATGTGTAGTATCTTCGGCGGCACGGCAACACGCTAGAAGCTGCAAGGTAACAACCATGGTCTGACCATTTACATAGGCGGTGGTTGCACATATTTAGTGTGCGCATGAACACCTCTTGCGTAAGCCCTCGCGGACACTCTCACACACGACATGCTGCTTTGTGGCACGTCACAGCGTAGCATCCAGAGCGAGGGGGCACTCACACTACGGGCCCTACGGCTTATTAGTGTATGTAAGAATACCTTAGTTATCTTCTCACCACTGGCCGGTTGAGACGAGAACCCTGGGCATGCAGGAGGGTTGCCAACTCGGGGAAAGAGGGTTGCACCACTGGAAGCGGTCAAGGAAAATATGTAAGAAAATCCCAGAATCCCCCCCACGCTCGGAAGTTCAAGATGAACTTCAGCTCAATTCATTTACAACTGACGCAGTAACTACCGTACCTATTAGTAGTATGGACCACCTTACCTACCTTACCCACCGGTACCCGGATAGCGAAATGTGAACCTGCACTCATACTTCGTATTACCCGGGCCATGAAAGATGCTCGCCATCGGGTAACTGCAGCATCCTGTCTGGGCACGGGCAGCCACACCGTGCCTGCGGCCAATCCATTCCACTGTCGACCCTTGCTCAGATGTGAGATGTTAACCGAGAGCTGCGCATTTGCACATTCTATCACATTTCAGCTAGACAACTTCACATTTGCTTTGTGCAACGATTCAGGGAGTCAGCCCCCGCCTTTTTTTTTGCTACACGGTGTCGCTATTACTACTTCTCCAACTGCCATCGCCGCTGCAGCAGCGCAACCCTCCCCGGCCTTTTGCTCCTTGATTCCTCCTGCCCTCTTCACCGGTTGTAGGTTTAAGGATCAAAGCGGCATAATGTCTGACTTACACCCTACAACAGAGGATCCGGCTGATCAGCAGCAACATATCGAGCTTGTGGGTCTATTCCTTCCGTCCTAACACTAGTGTGTGCCGAGCTGCTAATAAGGACTTCCCGGACGTTCTAGGTGGCGGACGAGGAGCGCGACTGGCCCGACGTCGATTCGGCACTAGGTTTGGTGCGCCCGCCAACTCTTGGCCCTTCCATTTTTGCCTGGATTACTGGACCCGCAAAACCCATGAAGCGATCCCTGAGGATCAGTTACCTCGTTAGCTAACCTGAATCGATTTTCCGTGGCGGTATAGTCGGTATCAGACAGCCTCACTTCGTTGCGGTCCAGCGTGCTGGCCTATCAGCAAGAAAATGGCCGCACCTACCATGCTATGAGCGCCGGAAGTTACGTCCACATCCCCCCGAAGCCCCGAACACCTCCACACTTTTCATTCAGTCCCCTGCTGACGCGGAGGCTCTTGGCAGAATACTTCTTGCCCAATGATGATGTACGTAGAGCACTGCACCGAGCCCCCCATGGTCGCACAGCTCTTACTGAAACACCTTTTTCAGGCCGAGGTTGAGAGACTGGGTGAGTGAGAGTCGGGGCGAAGGGCAAATGCCGCAAATCACGACGGCACTGACCTAGACTCGGACGCTAGACCTGCAACACCATGTTATGACGTTTACGCTCGATGACCAACTGTGTCTATCTCCGAAGAAGGATGGAGCAAATCGGGTGCTCGACCTGGGAACAGGAACGGGGATATGGTGTATCGAATATGGTGTGTGAGACTCTCATGACAAGCATCATGATCGAAAATGCTAATGCATGCCTGAAGCCGATGAACATCCCGAAGCAGAGGTGCGACACTCCCGAATCCTTGGGGACGTTGGCTGCCTCGAGGACCGCGACTGCTGACACTCGCTCCTAGGTCATAGGCGTGGACCTCAGTCCGGTGCAGCCCAACTGGTTTGTCCAGCACAACAAATCTGGATTCGCCGTCTCATAACTGCTGACTCTGCGTGAAGCGTGCCGCCGAATTGTCGCTTCGAGGTAACCTTTTCCTATACCCCGGACATCGCAGTGAGGAAAACGAGGCTGATAATCTTGTAAGATCGATGACCTCGAGAAGGATTGGACGTGGTCAAAGCCGTTCGACTTCATCCTCAGCCGCATGATGACGGGTAGTTTCGCAGACAACGCTTCCATTGTGGCGAAGGTCTACAAGTATGTTTACCCGTCCGTTTCCTTTCTCCTTTTCCCTTCTTCTTTTTCATTTTTATCTTCTTCATCTTCTTCATCTTCATCTTCATCATCATCTTCATCTTCATCTTCATCTTCATCTTCATCTTCATCATCATCTTCATCTTCATCTTCTCTTTCTTTTTTCTTTTTCCTTTTCCTATTCCTTTTCCTTTCGTTTTTCTTTTTCCTTTTTATATTTACATTATAACCTGCTATGCCTCTCTTGTAAATGCCAGCTCACATCGTGTGTCATGCTACAACCAGCCAACTCGAGCCGGGTGGCTATTTCGAAGCCCACGACATGGCGCTGCCCCTGGGCTGCGATGACGGCACCCTATCTGAGGACTCGGACCTCTGGATCTGGATGACCTGGCTGATACGGGCCATGGAAGCCCTCGGCCGGCCACTGACTGCCGCGCAGAACTGGAAGCCCCTCATGGAGGAAGCCGGGTTCGAGGACGTCGTGGAGACCGTCTACAAATGGCCGACCAACAGCTGGCCCCGCGATCCCAAGTACAAGAAGCTCGGCCAGTGGAGCCTCTACAACATGGATCAGGTCCTCGAGCCGGCCATCCTGGCTCCGCTGACCAGAGCGCTCGGCTGGAGCCGCGAGGAAGCGGTGTTGCTCGCCGCCCGGGCGAGGAAGGTGTTGAGGGACCCGAGGGTTCATGCTTACTGGCCAATGTAAGTCTTGCGGACTCCCAAAGGAGGAGCTGTTTGCGAATAACTTTACTGATCTTGAGTCTGACCGCTGTAGATATGTCGTTTATGGTCGGAAACCACTCAAGAAGCGCGAGGAATGACTTGATAGCTGATGAGTCGGGAACACGGGATTGGGCCAAAAGAAACGGGCGGGTATGTTGTTGAGCAACAGGCAAATACAACTTGAGTTCTCCTTGTTTGCTTGCACCCTTTGCTTGGGGGTGTTAACTGTGATGAGTGCTGTCTCCAAGCGTCAGACTGCTTGCGAGCATGCGTAACTGATTGGTCTCGCTGCTTGCCTCATGGTTTGATGAGATTCAGTGCATCCAAAAAAAAAAAAAAAAAAAAAAAAAAAAAAAAAAAAAAAGAAAAAGAAAAACAATGGAAAACTGCGCCTATATGTCCGCCACAGCGTTGCCTGGGACCAGGTCACCAGTAGGATTAGGCATTTGGTACCTGTTACCGATGGGTACCTGCATTCATAGAATTGCACTTGCCGTTCCGTGGCAATCTGCAATGCGCCGTTTGTCCACAGGCTCTGGCCCGGGTCAAAGGCCACCTATCTTAGGTACCTAGGTACCTGGTAGACATCGCCGCTCCTTCCCTTTCTTATTCAAGCTCCCCTCGTCAGTTCGACGCCCACCCGCAACCACTCCGGAGTTCAACTGATCGGTATCAGAAATCAAGCCAATCCATTCCATCATACTTCTTTCCCTGAGTGCCCGTCACTCACTAAAAGCCTCAGCCTTGGGTCGAGCTGTCCTACTGTCGTCCGAAGGTCCTGCTTAGGAAACTACTTTGAATTTTAGATCGAGTACTCTCTGCCAAAGCCTGTTGCTGCTCCAGTAGAAAGATGAATATTGTAGGGACCACCCCAGGCGCCCAGGTCAGTTCTCAGGTCCGCCCTCATTTCAGGCCGCTGTTGAAGTCATGCTCGCTTACCATCGTGCTACTCGTGGCAGTCTGCAATAGACATCATTGAAAACCATGTCTTTTTCCGACCCAACAAAGGAAAGGGCTGGCGGTCCAAACCAGAGCTTCCTGTCGCTGAGGAGATCTTAGCCAGGCAGTCAGACATCGATGAATTGCCGGAGAATCCCGTCGATACCGCATGGGCATCCAAGGACGAATATCTCGCTGCCCAGTATGGCATTCTTCGCTGCGAAGCGGTTGAAGGATTACGCTACTCGGTCAGGACCTTCGCCGACCATCGGGACAAGGAACCTATGATGGACGACGACTTCACAAATATCTACACCAAGGTACGGCTTCGTGTCATATTTCAAGATACTTCCTAGTCTTCTCCTCTGACATGCCAGCGTACTTTGACAGGTGCACGTCAACAAGTACGTGATGTCTACCATCGGTCCCCTCGTCACGGTCTCGTTTTCCACCAACCGGTCACGGTACAGGATCCAGTGGAAGCAGTCGAAGCGTCTCCAGCCGGGGAAGATTGTGGCCCTTTCTCCAAAAAGCGACGGGTTCAAGAGCGTCTGCAAGATTGCGACGGTTGCTCAACGGCCTTACCGTGACGGGCTCGATCAGGACCCTCCCGAAGTGGACCTCCTCTGGGCGAATCCCGAGGACGCAGTTCTTGATCCAACCCTTGAGATGATTATGATCGAGTCGCTTCATGGATACTATGAATCGGCCCGCCATGCGTTGGTCGGGCTGCAGCATGCCGCTCAAACTGAGTAAGTGCCACCTCAGCGTGCTCTCAGCGCCACTTTGGAAAGGCTCCCAGAGCTCACTGTATGCTCACACAATGGATAAGCTCGCCGCTCGACAAGTATCTCATTGGCGCTTGCACTAAAGACAATTCACCTGCCTTCCTCAGAGATAATCCGGTCATGGACCTATCCTCGCTCGCCAACCGTACCATCGGCGGGGGAGATTCTGAAGCACTCACGTTAAAACAGCGTCTGAAGACGCACGATATTGTCAGCAGCGAGGTCCCAGCCTTGGAAGGTCTCACCTACCTCGATGAGTCTCAGCTACTCGGCCTCCATCGCATCATCTCGAAGGAATTAGGTATTGTGCAGGGTCCGCCGGGCACGGGCAAGACGTACACATCAGTGGAGGCGCTAAAGGTCATGGTCAACAATCGACGCCGGCATCGAGGACCCCCTATTGTTGTTGCCGCTCAGACAAATCATGCTCTGGATCAGATACTGGTTCACTGCATCAAGTCTGGTGCAAGTGTGCTTCGAATCGGAGGAAGAACCCAGAATGAATTGATCAAGCCGTACACCTTGTACGAGTGGCGCCAACGCCCGACAGTTCAGATTCCCGCGGACCATAAATGCCACTCTGTCGACCACCAGCGCCGTGAGAACATCAGGAAGATTCAGGGGCTCGTCGATGGTATTTTCAGTGATCGGCTTCTCGATCCCGATGCTCTCCTTAAATTCGGCATCATCACGGAGGCTCAACACCGGTCTCTCACTGACGATTCGATGGAGACGCACGTTGTTATGCAGGCCTATGGCCCTTTTGCACTTTGGCTGGGTGACTGCCTCATTCCCGCGCGGATTCGCGAAGACCGGCACCCTACACAGCTTGAGGTGAGCGAAGCGGAGGGCCGCAAGAACCTCCCCGAGTTTGAGTGTGACGACGATGAGGAGATCGAGAATATCGCCGACGACGAGGAAGACCTGTACCGCTTCCGAGGCAGCCCCATCAGGCTCAAACATGTCTGGTCGGGCAAGGATCCGGCGAACCTGACATCCTGGGACCGCGCTGTCAGGCGAGCGCTTCAAACCGATGACCTGTTCACAATTAGCAGGGACTTACGCGGCGCTGTCTACCAATACTTCCAGGCTAAACTGCTGGAGGCAATGCGACCCGAGTTCGCCGCCCTGCTTGCCGAGAACGTGAGGCTCTGCCAGAAGCGCAAGGCCTTCAAATTCCTGGGGAATTTCCAACTCGTTGAAAAGCAGAAGATCGATATCGTTGGCTGCACTACTACGGGGCTGACCAAGTACCGTGGGTGTCTGGCAGCGATGCAGCCGCGATCGCTGCTCATCGAAGAGGCAGCAGAAACCCGCGAGGCCAACATTGTGTCAGCACTCTACCCTTCAGTCCAGCAGCTCATCTTGGTGGGAGACCACAAGCAGCTCGCACCCAAGTGCGACATCCAGAGGCTCGGCTATCCGCCTTACAATCTCAACGTATCGCTCTTCCAGAGGATGGTCAACCTGGACATGTCGTTTGTAATGCTCAAGCACCAGCGTCGGATGAAGCCAGAGCTCAGGCGTCTCCTGAATCCTTTTTACCCTGAGTTAGTGGACCATCCTTCCGTGGAATCGATCATCCATCGACCCGATGTTCCCGGGATGGGCGGCCGCAACTCCTGGTTTTTCCACCATAACTGGCCGGAGGAGATGAACTCGGATTTCAGCAAGTTCAACGAGCAAGAGGCCGATATGATCACCGGCTTCTTTGCCTACCTCGTCTCTAACGGGACTGCCCCAGAGAGCATCACGGTTCTTACCTTCTACAAGGGCCAACGAAAGGTGCTACTGCGGAAACTGAAGCGGCACCCAGCGCTCATAGGTTCGGCATTCAATGTGTGCACAATTGATTCTTATCAAGGCGAGGAGAACGATGTCATTCTCCTATCATTGGTCCGCAGTCCCCAGCTGGACCGTTCCTGGGCCGTTGGCTTCTTGGAAGATGAGCGCCGTGCCGTTGTCGCCATCAGCCGTGCTCGTCGTGGGCTTTACGTCTTTGGGAATGTCGACAACGTCCTTGGAGCACACCTGGCATCGTTCAACCTATGGTACAAGATATGCAACGGATTCGCCACTCAGAGGCGAGCGGAATGGAACAGGGGTCTACCTCTGGTGTGTCAACCACATGGACGGGAGATCTGGATCAAGGAGGTCGACGACTGGGGCGATAATTGCGGTGGATGCAACCTCCCATGCAAGCAGACGCGCAACTGTGGCCATCCGTGCACCCTCAAGTGCCATGCGTAAGTGGAATCCCATCATCAGCTCTGTTTCACCACCCCTACACTATACTAACTGCTGGGTGCAGCACTAGTCATGAGCAACTTCCATGCAGCGAGGCATGCCACGAGGTCCTAGTCTGCGGACATGGATGTCAGAGGCTATGCGGCCAGCAATGCTCCTGTGACTGCAAAACCTTCCAAGAAATAACCCGTCAAACCCAGGCTGCAGCTCGGCCGCGTATGCCGCTGGAGCAAGAGCTGCTCCAAAATTTGCAAATGGGTACCGGACGGACCGCAAAGCAGGCTACCGGCACCCAAGCCGCCCAGACAGTAGCGCAATGGAGACAAACTATCTGGGAACACGACGAGCAGCAGCAGAACCAGCTGGCGCCCGCAACTCATCATCCGAAGACGGTGGTCCTTGATGTCTATCAGCCAACAACCCTGGTGGAAGGCCGCCGCGTTGGGGGCGGCAGCAGGAGTATCCAGCAGATTTCTCTAGCAAACAACCAGACATCTGCAGTACCTGCCAACGCTCACCCAGAAGCGGTGGAGGATCTCTTGGATCTTACCGACCTAACTCTCACAGATAGGCCGCAAGGTGGCAATTCCGCTGGCTTGACGGTCTCGAGCCCCTTTCCCACCACCAACACAGCCCACGACTTAGTAGATGTTAGTACAATCATCAGTAAGGGGGCACCCGGCCATCACATCACTCCACCTCTTCTCATCCAGATCGGCGTCCCTCCTCCCCTATCGAGTGCCCGCCCCAGCAGGAAAAGTAGCAACAGCAGCGAGCAGCTGGCTTCCGCCGTCGCCGTGGCACAACAGCAGGGTCACGACCAGGAGAAGAGGAAGGAAAAAGAGCAAGGGGATGGGGAGGCCGAGTTATTGATCCAGTTCTGATCTTTCTCTTGTTCCTGTTATGTTGCACGGTCTCTGCGTCGGTGTTGTTGACAAATGTAGTCACTAGACTGTTTGGCACTGGGTTAGGATGGTCATGTTTGAGCGGATGAGTGTACGTACAGTACCGATACTGCACATCACAAAGCTCAGAGCATGTTATGCATGCGCGAAGCTTTCGACATAAATCCGCCATGGAGAAACCTGGCGTCGCCATGTACTTGTTTTTGCGGCCAGCCGGGCTGGAGGTAACTTAGGGCCCCCTGACACTGCTCGAAATGATACCTAGGACGGCATGGTGCGGTAAATGCAGCCATACACGGCGATGAAAATCATCGCCATAGAGTAAACCTCTGTTTTCTTTTTCTTTTTCTTTTTTTCCCCTTGATACTCTCGCGCACCGGACGAGGAGGTGGCGACGGTCATTTCGCCTCACTCGCCTCCCGCCCGCATTGAAGGATTGACCTCGCCATTGCGACGGTTGTTGGAAGACCCCGCGACCGACTCCGAGCGAAGAATATGTATGACGCTCGTAGGTATTCTGGTTCTAAGTGCCATCCATCCATCATTCATCAGGAAGGCGGTCGCTCACTCCTGGTCCTGTGGGGAAGGGCGGCAGTCGCCGTTCTTGGTGCTTGTTGGTTGCGGCACATCATTGGCCCACCGTTCGAGATCCCGGCGCTTAATCGTGCAACCACGTTGGAGGACGGGACCGGGACCGAACGGATGTGGAGAGGGGAATCCAGGAACACCAAGTTGTCACCATTGCCCTCTTGCGCGTCGTCCTCCGGTTTCTCTTGTTGTTCGAGGTCGTTGTGCGACCGGCTTCTTTTTCCTTCGCACCCATTGCATCCTGAGAAAATATGAGGCGACAATGCAAATGCTTTGCTGAATAGGTCGGGGCTTGAGCTGCCTGAGGGACCTTGCATGCGGTCGGATCACCGATTGGACGGATAGGATCGTTGGTGATGGGGCCCCCGGCGGCCAGCTACAGCTGCTGGTTGGTTGCAGCTGGTCCGAGGTGACAGGGGGCGGGAGGGCCGGCATGCACGACTTGCACCTCAACAGCCAGTTCGCCCACCTGAGTGGCCGGGCTGCTGGCAGAGAAACTGCGCTGCCAAACCTGCAGATTGGGTGGGTGGGTGGTGGTGTGCGGCACGCGAATGTCGGCCTATTGCTGCAAGTGCCCGCTCCGGGGAACGGGGCCTGAGTGGAAGGCAAAAAAGGTGATGCAACTTTGGGCGAAGTGACGGCCCCCGCTGGGCGGCTGCAGAGGGGAGTGGTTCAACTGCTGAATGCCACCACTCAGATGCATATTACCCTCTCGTCGCCCAGCCTGCGGCCTGTGGTGGCCTCTTGCTTTCAATTTCTTCGAGTTGCACGGCCAAGAGACCTACCTAATACACGTCAACGGCTGGGGTTTTTGTCGGTGTACTACGGAATCGTGGACCACGCAAGGCCGGTCGCAACCTACAAGTCGAGTCACACGCGGCAGACACAAAGTACGACAAGGAGCTGTGCTCCGCCAGGGCACCGGGTGTCTCAACCTACCGGTCACAGAAGGAGATCGCGCGTGATTAAAAGAGCAGGACATTGTTGGGGAGTGATAGGAGGGAGTGGAGGGAGTTTTCTACCATCGCAGTATCCATATACGACATACAACCCGGAGACCACGATATGATGCTCTCAACATTCCTTGCCATCGCCGGCGCGGCGCTGGCATCCGCACACACAATCATCACATACCCGGGGTGGAGAGGTAACAACCTGATTACAAACTCGACATTCCCCTATGGCATGCAATGGATGTATCCATGTGAGTCCCTCGCTGCCCCTAAACACGCGCGAGGGGTGCCGTTCTGACCCGCAGCTCTAGGTGGCGGCTTTCCTACAACAGAAAACCGAACCTTCTGGTCAACGAAGGGCGGCGCCCTCTCCTTCCAGCCCGGTTGGTTCCAGGGCCACGCAACAGCATTCATCTACGTCAACCTGGGCTTCGGCAACGAGGGCCCTGAGCTCGCCCCGCAACTCGCCGGGCCTCCGAACATGAGCTTCCCGATGGTGCCCCCCTTCCAGATCATCGGCCCTACCAAGCAGCCCTACCCGGGTACGGTATGTCTGCCGCAGGTGCCGCTGCCGGCGGGGGCGAACGTCAAGCCGGGCGACAACGCCACCATCCAGCTGGTGGAGCTGGCCGTCCACGGCGCAGCGCTCTACTCGGTATGAAGCATTTCCTCCCTCCAAAAAGAAAACCTGGTGTGGTGTGAGGTGGTAGCCTACCCGAGTTACTGACACGAACACACGAAATCCAGTGCGTCGACATCACCTTTGCCGAACCGGGCGACCCGCGCATCCCCGAGGTCAACGAGACCAACTGCTTCAACAGTACCGACATCGGCGTCGCCGACATCTACACCCTGACCATCCGCGACTCCGGCCAGGTCAACGCCACCACCACCAGCGGCGCCGTGCCGGCAGCAGCACTGGCGCTGAATGGCGGCAGTGCGTTGGCGCTTTTGCTGGCTGGGCTGTGGGCGTTGCTGTGAGGTTAGGAAGATCAAGGAGGTGGTGGGATGGGGGTTACTGGAGGTGGAAACACTCGGGCTGAGAGGTATGCGACGTTTGAGGGGAAGTTCGCTACCTCCTGTATATATCTCTTTTCTCTGGCATCTGGATTGGCGTTCTCTTGTGTCGCGGGATATCTCCCGGGATGGGTTTGGTATATCCGACTGAGGTCTTTTTTTTTTTTTTTTTTTTTTTTTTTTTTTTTTTTTTTTTTTTTTTTTTTTTTTTTTTTTTGGCTCACCCTTCACTTACTCTTATTAGCTATCTAGCTTCAGTGGAGCTCAAATGATCCACAGCACTATTAGACTGGTGCTCTCCGTTTGCCTCGGTATGGATATCGGAAACACGATTCCAGGTCTGGGTTTCTCTATGGTCTCGGGTAGAATTTGCTTACAAGCACGGAAGTTGACTGCCTTTCCGCACGATGCTCACCCGTCCAACACCCAGCCGCTGGAATCACATTACAGAGGACCCGCCCAAATTGTCTTCTCTCGCTATGATTCCTTGGTGGTGCGCTGCAAGACAGGTACGGACGGGGATTGTCAGTAGCAACTGAGCACAAAAGGGGTTGGCACACTTATGTCAGTCTCGACAAGCGCCGGCGAGAGAGGGTTAAGGAGAAGGAGGGACATGGTTTCACCGGTGCGGTTTCATCAGCGTTGGGAATGTCTTCCCGTCACAGTGGCAGGCGGCTGCAAAGATGCTGTATGCGTAAGACAGGCCATGGTCAAGCATCACTTCACGGGGTTCACTTATCCTTCATCCGCAGAGTCTTCTCTGTTTAGTGTCATTGCGATGCCTATCTTGTGTCACTTTAACCACCGTCTATAGGTACTGCAATGCAAAGTCGGCACACACCTCACCGGAAGTGGGCAGACCTGTGAATTATCAAGCCACCCAGCTGCTCCTGCCTCGGCAGCGAGGTACCTGATGAGTGCCGCATGAAGAGTCCCCGGCCAGTGAGCACTCGCACTTTTATTCCTTTCCCGCCTATCAACGCTTCAGGTACTCAAAACATTCTTGCGCAAGCGTCTTGGTCCTTGCCTCGCTGGATTTCTTGATCGCCTCGCCAATCGCCTCGTCCACCTCAAGCGTCTTTGCTAGATTCAAGGCGTCATCCCCGATGGTCAAGATCATGCCCAGCGTCATGAGCGCGCGAAACAGCACCTCTCCATCGTTCTGCCGGCGGATGACTGCCTCCGCGATCTGGCAGAGGGTCATGACCAGCTCGAGGTCGATCGAGTCGCGCTGGTTGAAGGCGAGGCAGGCGAAGTTGAATGTTGTCGAGGTGAGTGCTATTTGAAGGTTGTTGTTGTCCGCCCCGATGGCGCCTTGGTCGCCTTCCACGCCCCCGATACGGGCCAAGAGCGAGATGATGGCGGCCGCCTCCGAGACCACGAGCTTCCGCCCTTCAGCGGTGGCAAAGAGATTGGTTGCTGCGCGCAGCGCCATCATGACAATGTTTGCGTTGAGCTTTGCGGCATCAAAGTTCTTGACAGTTTCGGCCAGGGGTTCGCCGCTGGAAGCGAGAGGGTCTTGGGTGTCCAGCGCACCCTTCAGGGCGATGTCTGCTAGGCTTCCGTACTTGCTGTCGGTGAGCGACGCGGAGCCGGGCCAAGGTGCTAAGCAACGGAGGACGTCGAGCGCTGCGAGCCGGTCGCCGTAGGGCCACTGCGTGATGACCATGTATATGCTGCGTTGCGCTTCAGGGAGTGCCGTCGGGGACCCTGCGTTCTGGTTCGCGGCGCCCATCGTTGCCTCTAGCACCTTTTCGAGTCGGCTGAGGCCGTCGGGGTTCATCGCGATATGCTTGTTGCCAGCCAAGAGTTGCTTCTCGTTGAGACTCTTAAGCTTTCTGAGGGCCGGTTCCCATTTGGCCTGCGTGAGAACCAGGTACTCGGTGTGCGGCAGATACTTCGGCGACGCTGCTTGATCAGGCTTATACCGTGAGTCGGTTCCATACGGATCTGCAGACGGGGCGTCCGTGGTCTGGCCAATGGTTGCACCTCTGGTGTTAGTTACGATGAACTTGGCGACTTCATCAATGTACGATATTGGAAGCTCATTGTCTCCCAGAAACTTAGTCGCCGCCTCATAAGGGTTTTCGGACAGGTTATATGGTAACTTGAGGGGCGGCTTGCCCTCTTCGATGTCGACATCGAAGACGTAGTCGTATTCCTGACCGTTGTACTGAACCTTCCGCCCACTGCTTCCCGTAGAGTCCACCACGGTGCCGACGTGCACCCACCGTTGCTCAGCTGCCGATAGTTAGCGCGTGCACACACCGCTCAAAGCACTGCTGACATACACAAGGACCACTGATATGCCCCAATGGTGCCATCATCTTCCAGCACGGTGGTTATCTGACCGTCCTTCTTGCCTGCGTTGTTGAGAAGCCAGGACTTGGGGTTCAGCCGCTCCTTGTTGATCGACTCGCCCAGTTGCTGCTGCGGAATTGCAGAGCCCCGAACTGCTTCCTCAAATTGTGACATGACCTCGGCAGGGGCCATTCGGTCCGCATTGCGCGTGAACACCCGGACCACATTGTCACTGGCGCCAGAAACAATGTCACCATTCTGGGGACACACAGCAACGGACCACACGGAAATGGCCGGGTGCGTAATTGTCTGGACGCACTCAGAGCCCCTCCAGACCCGAACTGTCCGATCCTCCCCAGCACTGACGATTTCTGAACTGGGCAGGCAGGCGAGAGAGTAGATGAAGCTATCGTGGCCTTGCAACGCTCCAACCTGTGTGCCGTTCATCTTCCACAACTGGATAATCCCGTCGTTGCCAGCACTGGCGAACTCGGCCCCACTCGGGTGGCCCTTGAGACCCGTAGGAAGCTTGCACAGCGCGCGCACAACAGAGCTGGTGCTGAGAGTCCGCCGTGGCTCAACTTCGTTGTCATGGTGGGGTTGCCGGAGGTCAAAGATGCGAATGTGAGTGTCGGCGCTGCCCGTGATTACCGTGTGCTCATCGTAGGCCAGGACTGCCCATACACTCCTAACCTCCCCCTGGTGCACGAGCTGCGCCGAGATCGACCATTTTTCCGTATTCCACACGAGCGCCTTCCCGTCCCACCCGCCAGACACGATGTAGGTCCCACGAGGAGATACGTCGAGTGCGCAGACATTATGGCCGTGGCCGACAAGCAATCGGTCGGCGTTGTCAGTCGTGGTTAAGCTTGGCCGCTTCGCTTCGATTATGGCTTCCTGGCCCGCCGAGATGATAAGGCCTTCGGGCCAAGCTTCGGAGGCGCTGAGATATGTGAGAGAGTTGATATAACCATGGCCTTGGCTCGTTATCGTAACATCGAATGTCGGGGGTGTCTCTGCGGTCTTGCGCCAGAGACGTACGGTCTGGTCGCGCGACGAAGAGAGCACCGTGTTCGCGGCGGGGAAGCATACAGCACGGACCTGCAGGGGTTTGCGTCAGCGGCGACAGTCGGGGGAAGCGGGACAGCTCTTGGTCACTCACATCCGCCTCGTGGCCCTTTAGCTGGGCTGAGAGCTTGAAATCCGGCATCGCGCCGGAAGGATATCAAGTCGAGGACTGAAGACCAATCTGAGCTACTCTTTCTTCTTGAGTTGGAGATAGATGGTAAGCTGTTGGGCACCTGGGTCGTAGTGGGGCAGCTCCCGATTAAGCCCTGTATGGAATGCAGAGGAATCGTTGCAGACTGCTTTCGTATCTAAGTCAGGACGAACTGTTCCCAGTGTCGTTTGGTTTCCACAGTCGTAGCTCTAAGGCTAGTTCGCTGCTGTTTGATTAGCGAAATATAAACTGTGTTCAAGTTGCTGGAAGGAATCCAACTGACCGTCAAGGTCCATCCATCGCCCGAGCCTTTACCGGGCATAAGGAGATACGGATATTTACGGGATAAGGGCATGAATGCACTTAAGCGTGTAGACGGATCCACCAGAGAACTGAAGGATCTCAGACGATCACTTTCGTCCCCACGGTACATACAGGTACCTATACTAAGGGGAGTTACTCATGAATAAACCTAGAGCTTCCGCTAGGCTCTATGATGCATGGATTATACCTGGTGGTTGTGAGTTAGGAAGAAGCGGTGATATGTGGCAAGTAGGGAGCATATTTGTAGTAGGACTCGCATATTGCATTGACAGACACGGATGCCTGTTATTTCATTGCCCCTTGATAAGCATGAATCCCTTCCATGAGCATTCTCTCGATCTTGCATTTGTTCCGTCATTGACAGAGACCGTTATAAGCCCTCTGACAAAGGCTAACTGGCAGTTGCTGCTACGTGAAGGACACATTGCCCGATTTAGAAGGGCAAGGCGACTCGGAGTGGCCCAGTGCCTGGACGAAGGAGAAGCGGAGGGGCTGCACCTCCCCGCCTGTCAACCACTGACAACCTACTACCTTACCTAATAACGTACGGATTACTCTTACCCCTGTCCACATTTACACACCCCGCTGCGCATTGATCGTCCTCGTCTCGTCGCCTGCTGTTGCACGCATCAACGACTGTGTGCTTCTCCTTTGCAAACTCTGCCCACCAAACGACGTGGCGGCCAGTTTGGCATATTTTCCGGCCTTCTCTCCGAGCTTTACCTTACGACCCGTTACGACCTTACGTTCTTTGGGAGTTTCTTTTTCTTGGTTTTCTGTTTCTCAGTTCTCTTGCTTCTCCCATCAACGCGCAAGGTTCTTACCGGAGACAGCACGACCCCTTCTTCTGGTGACGACCTCATTTGGCAGGATTCTGCATTTTGCGTTGACAAAGGCTGTCGCCATCTCTTTGGCCTTCATCATACCGCACTTGAAAAACTGCAATCGCTCAACTTGATCTCGGCTTGCCAGCATGAGTGACGCCGCTGCCCCTCGCCAATACGTGCCTCTGACCTGCCACGGCCACTCGCGGCCCGTCACTCATTTGAGCTTTTCTCCGCTCGAGAAGGAGGACGTTTATTATATGATATCGGCGTGCAAAGGTTTGCGGGGCCGTCCAACCTACCTTGCCCCCCCACTTCTTGCTGACTGACTCGTGTGGTTGCTGCAGATGGCAACCCGATGCTTCGCGATGGCCAGACGGGCGACTGGATTGGCACCTTCCTCGGCCACAAGGGTGCTGTGTGGCAAGCGAGATTAAGCCCCGATGCGACGACGGCCGCCACGGCTTCCGCCGACTTCACTGCAAAGGTCTGGGATACCCACACCGGCGAGCTGCTGTACGTTCTCCAACACGACCACATAGTCCGCGCCATCGCCTACCCCTTTGAGCAATCCGGGATGCTTGCCACGGGGGGAAATGAGAAAAAGCTTCGCATCTTCGACTTGCAGGACGAGAAGCCGTCCGGCTCGCCGACATCAACGGATCCGAGCGCGGTCACTCCTGTCACGATCGAGACGTCGCGAGCGTTCGAGATTGGCGAGGGGGTTCACAACGATGTCATCAAGTTCATTGTCTGGGCCAAGGATCCCAGCGTTATCATCACCGCGTCCGGTGACACGCTTCGCTGGTTTGATCTGCCCAGCCGCCGTTGTATCCGCGAGGTGAGGCTTGAAGCAGAGATCAAGTCGTGCGAGCTGGTGGCGCTTGCGCCAGCGTACAGCGAGCCTACCGATGTTGGCGGCGGCCTGCCAGTCCTTGCGGTCGCCGCTGGGAAGACGGCGTATTTCTGGGGTGGGGCGAGGGCTGAGGATGAGCTCAAGCAAATCAAGCTCCCGCATGGAATCGCCAGTGTGGGGCTAGATCTCAAGGGAAGGAAATTCGTGGTTGGTGAGGATTCGGGCACTTGGGCGCACGTTTATCGGTGGGATGACGGCACGGAGCTTGACGTGCACAAGGGTCACCACGGACCCATCTGGTCGATCGCGTTTTCGCCGGACGGGAATCTCTATGCGACAGGGTCGGAGGACGGCACAATCAAGATGTGGAAGAACTGCGAGGGGTTCTACGGGCTGTGGCGAGGGGGCGTGTCGGGCAACGGCACGGACTAGGAGGCGGACCAACGCCCTTCACACGTCCCCCTTGACGATGGTACCGTCGAGACGCTCGGCAGCGAAGCGTTATCGAAGGGCGAGCGTCGAGTCGATGTGGCCCAGACTAATCGCTCTAGTTCTGAAGCCACGGCGGTGGCGTCTATGGACGAGGATGCTGACCGGTTGGTCAGCTGTGCGGTCAAGGGAGTTGCCAAAGTCCCTTCACGATCGCGATTCGACCACGGCTCTGGATCGACCTGTTCCGACTTCCGACTGAGTGAGCAGGACATGGACAGGAAGGAGCCGTTGCCTTGCACTTGTGCGTCATGCCCTCGGCACAGCCCGGCGAAGCTACCTGGTGACAGCCGGTTGGAGGAGTTCATGCGTCGGTCAGCTCTCCATATGATCAACGCTGCAAAACCCCTGCGTTGAAAGGGTCAATGGACCAACTATTGCTTAGTTTATGTGTAGATGTTATCTGCCTGCGCACCGAGATGAGAATGGGATTGCTTGGGACAGTAGACAACGGCTCCAGCGGCCTGCAGAATCTGCGCGTTTAGTAATATGATATGGCTGTAGTAAGATTGTCTCTTAGATCTTCATAGCCATTAGCTCGCGGGCAACATGAAGGTTGGGGACTTGACCACTAGCTATGTTAGGAATACTGTATCGGCCCAAGCCGTTACGCAATATATACATATGACTTTGTTTCGTCTGGTGTAGTATGTTACAATACTGTACACTGTATTTGCTACATACTGTACACTCGGTGTGTAGCACCCCTCCGTGGGGTTGCTGAAAGTGGGCCTGGCCAAGCTCCAAGAATCAATGCTGATGCAGAAGGCGGCGCGCGTCATTCACAGGTTATTAGCGTGTTCTTCCCGATAGGCCATATCGCAAGCTCGCCTACCTAAGGTAGTACCTTGCGTTACTCAGTCCACTACTACCAACTGAAGATTCCAGCAATCTAAAAGTGCCAGCGTAGGTACTCCGAGGTATTAAAGAGCAGATAGACATCTGCTGCATTCGGTATGGACGATGACTACGGAAGCTCGGACAACGAGCAGGATGAGCTGATGGAGGAGGCCGACGATCTCGAGGCCGAGAACGACGCCGAGGAGGACAACGATGACGAAGAGGACGAGCAAGACGAACCAGACGAGCCCGAGCAGGAGCCCGCAGACGATGCCGAAGCCGAAGCCGAGGCTGACGCTGAGCCGTTCGACGAGTCCCAGGCGCCGGCGATGCTCGACAGCCAGGGCGCAGGGCAAGATGACACGACGCGGGTAGCGGCTGGGCCGGCGACGCCGCTCACGACGTCACGGTGGCGGCCGGTGCTGCGACAGGAATACATCGATGCGCCGCTCTACGACATTGTGCCGACGATGGCGGCGCCGCAGGCCACGAGCATCAACGCGCTGGCGGTCACACCGGACCTGCGATACTGGATCACGGGCGGGTCGGACGGCTACATCCGCAAGTACGACGGCATGGGCACGATCAACGGCAAGCAGCAGCTCACGGTGGCGCAGCGGCACCCGTTCGTCGACAGCGTGGTCAAGGCGGGCGTGCTGATGAGCTACTGGGAGAACGAGGAGCCGGCACCAGCCAGCGCACGCGCCGACGAGAGGACACTGTCGGCGGTGTACAGCCTCGCCGTGCACAGCGGCGCGTTGTGGCTGCTGAGCGGGCTCGAGAGCGGCGGCATCAACCTGCAGAGCGTGCGCCACGACGAGGGCAAGCGCATCCACTGTCTGCAGGGCGGGCACACCAACGCCGTCAGCGTGCTGAAGCTGGCGCAGGACGAGAAGAGCGTGCTGAGCGGGAGCTGGGACAAGACCGTGCTCGACTGGGATCTCAACAACGGCCAGATTCTGCGCCGCTTCGAGGGCAGCGGCGGCCAGATCTCGGCCATTGAGCTGCGTCCGGCCAACGGCGCGCCCATCCCCGCCGAGGCCAGCGAGGAGGTGGCCGCCGTCAGCGACACCTTCTCCGCCGAGACGAAGCCGCGCGTGAACGGCACCTTCTCCAACAGCATGACGACCGACGACGCGGCTGGCGCGGGCCAAGCCGGCGGAGGCGGTGCGGGCGCGGCCGACAACACCGGGGGCGCTTCGCCCGAGCACGAGTCGCTCTTTGGCAGTCCCGCCGGGTCGCTCTTTGGCGATAATGACACCATGGGCGGCGGCGGCGGCGGCGGGGCCTTCGGTGATGACGACGACGACTTCTCCCGGGCTATGGACATGGGGCTCGACGACCATTCCGGCGACTTCACCATGGGCGATGGCGACATGTCGACCGGGCCCGGGTTGGCGGGCATGGCAAACACGTCTTCGGCGGCTGAAGCACCTCCGTCCGCACCGCATCAAGCGGAATCCCATGGCGAGGTTTCCATCAGCGACACCATGACGAGCGACACAGCTCGCGACACGTCCATGGACTTCAACCAGGTCCCGGCCATCACAGAGACCAGCACGCAAACCCAGCATTCCGTCTCTGACCAGGCAAACTCACAGCACCCACAGCCCGACGCACATCCTCCTCCACCTCCGTCTCCCTCTCGTCCCAACGGGGCCCCAGCATCCCCCTCCATGGTGTTCACATCTGCGCACCCGCCGGGGCACGCCGACCCGACGCAGTCGTCAGCAAGCACCTTCCTCTCGGCCGCGATCGACGGCACCATCCGCATCTGGGACCGGCGCGTGCCCGACCCGGTGGCGCGCATCAACAACCGACGCGGCGTGCCGCCCTTCTGCATGGGCGCGTGCTGGTCGCCCGACGGCAACTGGATCTACGCGGGGCGGCGCAACGGCACCGTCGAGGAGTACTCGATCCACAAGGCCACCAGCGGCTGGGCGCCCGAGCGGTCGCTCAAGTTCCCCGCCGGCTCCGGCGCCGTCAGCTGCGTGCGGCCCATGCCCAACGGCCGCCACCTCGTCTGCGCGTCGCACGACATCCTCCGCCTGTACGACCTGCGGGAGAACGCTGCGTTCAAGCACAGCAAGGTGCCCTTCATCATCATCCCCGGCCCGCCCCGCGCCGGCGTCATCGCCGACCTGCACATCGACCCGACCTCGCGCATCATGATCTCCATCGCCGGCACCCGCGGCTGGGACGGGACTTCGACCGAGGTGCTGATTGGCTATGAGATTGCCGTTGCGAAGTAGTTAAGGGGGGTTAGTAGGGGTAAGGGGAAACGAAGTCACGTTTACTTTTAGTCGCGAGGCCCCCCGTGCGCGGGCCAACAACGGTTGCGAAAAGATACCATGGTGGGAACGGCGTCTGGGTGTAGCAGTGATTCATTCATTCATGAGCGGGCATTTGACTTGGGAAGCTTCGCCGTAATTGTTTTGATAGGCGTATTTGATACCTAAGGTACCTTCCCTTATGGTTGTTTATTCTGTATATGCTCCCCTGTTCTGGGTTCTGACCCATTCATGTTGGCGAGATTTATACTGACCCTAGGAGACAGTAAATAAACGGCAGTCACTGGGCTTATAGGGATCGCGGGGCCTCCCAGAACGCCCAACCCAGCTAGTCACAAGCTTCTTCATGAGGTTTTGATTCGAGACATACTTTTGTTGGGACAGTATCGTAACCACATTCGGCCTAGCGCCTGAGCCACAGCCAAAATACCTTACTATTCCCAGTTTGAATTTGTCAGCCATTTCGGCCCGCGCATTCAGTCGTCAATTGAAGTATCCGAATGGCAATAAAATATATGGTAATTGAGTGTCATGTTGGATGTGCGTTGTGTGGGTGCGATGCGCAGCAGATATAGTTTACGGGGGCGCTAACCTTATTTGGTTAATTACTGTCCCCGGGGTCCGGAGTTTACTGTCCCAAAATCATGTTCTCTTTGATTGGGGATTGAATTTCAACATCATGATACTGACAGTCTCACCCCGGACCAGGGAAAGGGAAGCACATCTAGAGAGCCCACAAAATCCAAATCATAGCCCAATAGTCTATCATTTCATAATCTCTTTGAGTCCTTTTATCACACTGTCTAGTCTTCATCTAGTACCTAGTTCTTTTTTTTTTTTTTTTTTCAACTTTGTTTAGCTTTATCCACCCCACTGTAACCTCAGCAGCCCCAGCTATCACACACAGTGGCCGTCGATGGCGAAGCAGGAGGGCGAGTGGAATCAAGTCCGGCGGAAGGGCGGCCGGTTACGACACATCCCCTCCCCGGCGGACGGTCTCGCAGATTCCGTGCTCCCCGACGGCATCCGGCCAAACCCAACCCCGGAGCTCTCCATCGACGACCTGTGGCGATATCACCAGACGGTGAGCCAAGACGGCGAGATGGCAGAGTGGTGGCAGCACGTGCGAGGGGTTCTCGACGACGCTTCGAACAGTACGAACCCTCCAGTCGTCATCACCACTGCCGTCTGCTTAGGGCCCGGCCCTTACGAGCCAAGCAACGGTAGCTCCAAAGCCAGACGGACCGCTCACATGCAGACGGCCGCCTTCTGCGCTATTATCGACTACTTGAGTTGGTCTACCCTTATACCCCCCCCTGTCCCTTATGATACCACGGCCGTAAAACTGAAGTTGCTGACGATGAGGCAGGATCTCGGAGTGGCCACCAGGACATCCGGTGTGTGGTGCAGGAGCCGCGGTTCACCGAGGTAGACAAGGCGTTCTGCGCCCGTCTCGGACTCGAGGTCCTAGAGAGCCCGGACGCCTTCGCGCTTGTGGACGAGAAGACGCTGCTGTTTGGCATTCACCTGGAGCTTGAGATCTACAACCGGGCCCTGGCGGCCACGCTTCCGGGCATATACGTTGGCGTTCCGCTGGAACAGTGGGAGATGGTCGTCAAGCACGACGCGGGCAGCGAAGGCACTGGATGTACTACCTTGGCGGCGTTTGCTAAGATGGAGGCCGGATATGCCAAGTATGCTTTCCCTGACGTAGACTACATGTTCTCGAGCACTGTCATGTACTGGAGAGGGGAGCATACTTGAGAGAGCAGAGTTTGGTAATGTCATGCAAGGCTTTGCCACACGATGGCACGTACACGATGCATCACATCCCAACCAACCGTGAAGTCGCGCGGACCATCCAGAGCGCAAAAGCAAAAGCAAAAGCCACATTCGTAAGAGTAATCTGTGTTTCCTCAATACCGAGGCTGTCACCGCCAGCCGTTTGATTTTCTAATCGAGAGAGAGAGAGAGACTATGAGAAGTCCGAGAAGCGCGTCGGTCTGCCGAGAGCGGAGACGCAAGCAGTGCCCTTGTAAAGCACACTGAAATCATTGATAATCGTCCCACCGCCTCCCCAGCATCGCGAATTACCCCTTAGAAGTCCAGGGCTTGAGGTGAAAGAAAGAAAAGAGTCGTCGATGGTATCCGGGCCGCAGCTGGTCGGTGGCATGCCCTAGGTAATCAAAAAGCCCAGTGTCAGCGAGCAACGACACTTCGATGGCGGATGGAGAATGGAAATATGTTACCTTCTGGAAAGAAAGTCGCAGTCTTGAGTCTGAGTGCTGCGACGGAGGAACCCAGGGACGAACTAGAGTCCGAACCAGCTCAGCCAGCGCGGCAGCTTCCTAAAGGCAATGTCAGCAATGCGGCCTTGCACTGGTCAGGGCTGTATGTACATACCTGGTTGGGCCATGTTTGCCGCGGGCGCAGCGCGAGCAAATCGAGTACGGGCCCTTTGCCATCCTCTCGCATCTGCACATACACATGCAGAGAGACTTTCCTTCGGGAAACTGCACCTTCTTCCCTTTCTTCTCGTTGACTTCATGATTGACGTCCTTGGGCATGTTGCCCTTGTCTGCCTGCGGGAGCTTTTCCTCAGACATACTGACAGTCGGAGCTTCCATAGTGGTCATGGTATTTTCAAAGAGAGCGACGGAAAAGCTGGTTGCTGTTGATGTGAGACGGTACCGGAACTAGAAGCGGAGGGTCGCAAGTATGGCTGCGGTTGAGAACCGTAGTCGGTGAGAGTGGAAATGGGTTTCAAAAGCGACCTCGGTCTGTGAAAAGAAAAGGTTCCGTGCCTAAAACTTTAGAAATGTATTCCGAACTCATGGCGCCGAGCCGGTCTGTGTGCCCCAGCAGCACTCCGCTTAGTCGTCGTTCGCTTAGTCGTCGGTCCCCAGGTGCCATAGAAGCCACGGAAGAACATGGGAGTGAGCGGAAGGATCGGCGTGGTCCTCACCACCAGGCCCGGACGCGGTGATGCCGTGATGGTCCGCTAAGCAGCACTGATGCGGACCTCCATGCCGCGGGACTGAGTCTAGCTGACTAGGACTTGAACTGCGAGGCTTGCTGGTACCTCCGGCGGACATGGAGCTCATGCAGTTCCAGGCAGAGAAGCACAAATGCCAACTGTTACCCCCTGATATGTCCTGAAGTCCATGCAAATCCATAGCTTCCGTGCGTCACAGGTTGATGAGAACGTGGGACTGTCAACAACTATTCTTCTTATTAGTGACCTCAACATTCATATGGGTCCCGTGAGTAGAACTGGGGGGTTCCACATACCTCCTGTGTATGCCATTCTCGCACTTACTGCACCTCACGTGCCGTCTGGAAACAAACTCCGGGCAACGGCAGATACACATGCACGGATACCACCCTGGCTCACGATCTCGATCCCTGGACGGGGACTTGCCAGAGTCCTTGCCCTTTCCCTTGTCCCTCTTGTCCTTCTTGTCTTTCTTGTCTCCTTTCCCTTTCTTGCCTCCGCCCTTACCCTTGTTCTTGGTGGAAGTAGACTTGCTGGCCGACTGCGAAGCAGCTTTTGTTGAGTACATACTGCTGTTATAGTATGGATGGCGTAAAGCTGAGTGTGACTTTATTCTTTCTGTGTGATAGGGATGTGTGAGGTGATTCGGCGAGTCTCAGCCTAGTTTGCCACTGTTGATCATTGGACGGTATATAAAAGACAGGAAGGCGTTGCCAAGGCGTTGCCAGAATGGGGTGGGGGAGGGCGCAACTTCCATTATAGACTACTAGGTAAGTACATCCGATGGGAGTGCGATGCTGGGACTCGCTGTCTCACACGCATGTCCGGTTGAGCCACTTGGCGCCCCTGACTGGTGCCCCTGACCGCGAGGTTTGAGAGCCCAACCGGCTGGGCCTTATGCTGCGTTACCCGTAATCAAGCCTCATTCGGCCACACTCTCAGCCCGCACTATGGACATGTGATACAGGTTGTCGGCAGTGCCGTCCTGGGGAGCGGTTCATAACTTCATAGTGTATGAAAACCCAAAGTTCAGTTTTGGAGCGAGCGCACCCGGCTGCAAGCAGCTACGAGCCTACGATGCAGAATCATAGGGACGGAAGTTGGAACAGACAGACGGTAAGTATTATTCTGTATAGTCAGTCAGTGGCTTCACGGCAGCTAGTCTGAGTTAGTTGGTGCGAGCCCTACCTACCTTACCTAAGGTAGGTTGACTGATGGCCCGGCTCGTGTATTGGGGATGCACTGAATCGCTGGTCCAGTGCCGGTCACATCAGGAGTATAGAGTTGCTTTTCCCGCGTACGGATAACCAAACCATTGGTTGCATCTATGGATGTGAGATTGAGCCCCGATATCCGTCCCTAGCACAGTTACACTGGGCCGGTTGGGACATATCCCGCACTGACTCCAGTCTCCAGGAACTTCCACTCCGGAACCTTGGTATGTATGTTTGATAAGTAGTCTCCGATATCGCTGTTGTGAACCACATCGGCCACACGGAGGTTGGGGACAATGGACCGGAGGTACTGTTTATTAGGGTAGAGCCCTATGTCGGGGTTGCAATGGATTATTATGGGACTAGCAGCCCAAGGAGGCAGCTGTAAGGTTCCATGGCGGCGAATCAAGTGCCGGGCTTCCCCTGGGTTGGGAAAGTGCACCTTTGGGCCTTGGCAGGCCCAGGCCCAGGCCGCCCCCCGACGGGAATCCCAGTTTGGACTTTGGAGTGAGACCGTGACCCCCACCACCTACTCCATGGCCAAAATCACAGTGCTGTGCAAGAATCACTGTCAGCAGGTGAATGAAATAACACGGCGTGTTCCGTGCATCGTCTTGTCTTCAGCTGCTTATCGGCTGCGGTCTACACTAGAATAACAAACGCGACGTCACTACCTTTTCCTCTGGTGCTCAATGGATGCCCGATTAGGACAGGACGCAACAACCCCCACCTGAGCCCACGATGGCCGCAACGAGCGATGCAATCTCGCGAAATTACGCGACCAGGATCTGGGGTCCCGTTCTGGAAAGGCGATGTTGCCTTGGCAGTTGGCACAAGGCTAACGTACCGGTACTGTCGTGCCGCTGGCCGACAGTTTCTTCTCCTTTGCTTCCCTCACGCTTCTCCTTAGTGTAACTTGCGCGCCGGCGCATCTGGTCAGCACCCAACACCCCCCGCCGCCGCAAACTCCAGACTTTCGACTGAGCAGACGCGGGCACGAAGCGGAACGGGGCACCCAGGGCTGAATCGCCAGCGAGATGGACCCCCGGCTCTGAAGCGAACCATGGACCCATCGCTGCCCAGGGGATCCCAGTCCCATCTGTCCCCCAGAAACAACGACGCCAGCAGCAACGAACTCGCCCAACATCGAGTGCGCTTCGCCGAGGGGGAACCGCAGGCGAGCCACAAGATTCACCAGCCGACAGCGCGGCGCGAGGGCTCTTCGGGTGCCACAGCCCCGGCTACGCAGCCCGCCGTATTCTGGGACGACCGGGACAACGACGCTAATGTGGAGGAGGGGTTCACCTTCTACCGCGAGGGCACACCGACACCGCCCGAATATGAGGGCCACGAGAAGGGTTATGGAGCGGGCGGGGCCGCCCCGGTAGCCGAGGCCTCGACAGTCGGGGGAGGTACGATCGGGAGCGAGCGTGGCTTCAATCTCGGAACGCCGGGGCAGCGCGAGGTTAGCCTCGCGGACAGCAATGAGATGTCCCCGACCGCCAAGAAGAGGATGCTGTGGGCCATCATTGCCGTTGGGATTTTGATGCTCGTCGGCGTTGGTGTCGGCCTGGGCGTTGGCTTGACGAAAGGGAGATCGACTGCTTCTGCGGAGCCTCTGGAAGGGCCATCAACAAGGTCCGTCATCTTCTGAAGCAGGGTTCGTGCTATTTCTTTTTCGAGACGTTCTCTTAACCTTGGCCACAGCAGCTCGTTTCCGGCGTCAGCAATAGGGTCGAGTCCGACACCAACGGAACCCCCTCCATCCCCAACCCTCGCCGGCACTGAGAATGCTCTACAAACCACGACCAGCTCGGCCGCGGGCGCTCGCCCCACCTACAACTCGGATTGCCCATCGTTAAACGACACGATCTACCACGTCCCGGGCTCTACCAAGAGGTTCTTGCGGCTCTGCGGAATCGACTTTAGCGGCAGCGGCGCCACTGACTTGGCCCAAATTTGGACGGGCAGCATGGCGGACTGCATGAACAGCTGTGCCTCGTTCGACCAGTGCACCGCCTGTGCGTGGGGCTACATGGAAGGGGATGACGGGGACAAGCACCGTTGTTATATGAAGAAGAACCTGAAGACGGGTCATGACGCGGCGAAGGATTGGTGCCTTGCCATTTTGCAATGAAGGCCACGGCATGCTGCTGGCGTTTCATGGATTTAGACACACGAGATACCCCCCGTGCGTACGACTTTTGACAGTACCTACTACCTATTTGCTAATATTACATATGTAATGAGGTTATGGCAGGAACTCTATTATTCAGGATTTTTAGGGGGTCGGAGTTTAGTACTACTGATTTGCTATACCAAACAGTCGATGCATCACCATGCTCTTGTCCTTCATCAGCTCCTCCCCCCCACTTCCAGTCCTCCGCCATCCCCTCGATACTGTCGCCCGCCCTCTCCAAGTACCAAGCCCCTGCTCCCGCCATCTCCTTCAACCGACACCGCCGAGACATGGCCCCACCTCCGCTCCACGGCCTGATTAATCGTCTCCCTCCCAAACAAGATCCATGGGGACCTGAAGATCGCCAACGCCGACTCGTCTGCTTGCAAGCCTCCCAGCTCATCGCCGCCTCCTTTACCCTCCGCGTCAGGTCTGACCTTTCTGCATACGCTCTGCACAGCTCCCGAACAAACCTCTCGAGACGCCTCTCTCACGGCTCCGAGTTCCGCTTGCTTGCCCTGGCAACGACAACATCAACACTTGGTATCGATGCAGGAAACAGCGCCATTTCCCCATTCACGCCCGGTGGTGGCAAACTCCCAGTCTATCCCCCCCCCCCCCCCCCACCCAATCACTAGAGGAGAGGAGGAAGAAGGAGCGGAAGGAGAAACGAGCATAGCCTTGGGGATGGAAATCCCCCATCGACAGGCACCCTTCCTCGGCTAACCGGCTCCCGCTCCTAGCCTAACGCCTATCGTGGCGGAGCTGTGCTCTGTTTGGCAGCGGCGGGGGAGGTAAGGAATTCCCAGAGAGAGTGAGGAGCTCGTCGTCGAGGTCTTTGGAGAGCTAATATGCTTTGTGTTCGGTCATGGGAGATTACGGTGGGGGGTTGGTGATGTTTCCATGCTCGGAGGTGATTGTTTAGGTGTGCAAAGGGTCCCGTGCTGGGATGGAAGAGCTTGAGGACCGTGGCTTTGACGATTTGGCGCTCCGGAGAGAATGGTGCGGCGGCGCCGAGGGTGGCGATGTTATGGTGGCGCGTGGTTGAGAATCAAAATAGGAGGTAAAACCGGGCGGGTCTCTTTGGTCGGTGAGGTGGTTGAACCATTACCAGGGACAGAAGGCATCGTTTTGGTGGACGCCGCGCGGGCGAAGGTGAAGTTGACTAACCCGCTACTCAAGGGAAGCCGTGGTAGGTAGCTGATGGGTATCGTGTGGGGAGGTAACTCTCGATTCAAGTCGAAGGTCATGTTGGTTGCTGGGTGGCCGTGGGAACGTTGCGTGTGTGTAGGAGGGAGTAGGACGGGACTGCCGAGACTTCAGGACACTCGGAAGGTGTGACGACATATCGGATTTCAAGGCTTTCCCGCCATCATACGGCACATGGAGAAGGCGGGACGGATAATGCCGCTGTGCGCGTTCTTGCGCTGAAGAGAGGCAGGCGTACTACCAGCAAGCTACCTCGGCTGACTTCATGATTGCCACTGGATCGCTGCTTACACAACAAGGGACGTAGAAGGACTCGGTATGTACTGTACAGATGAAGTCCGATGCGTCATTCGGCGAAGCAGCCAAGACTTGTGGAACCTATTCAGTGTGTCTTGGGCAGCACATTCGCCGCCTCCAGTTCGCCAAATACGTCCGAGAGCGATTTCCAGCTGTCTTGGTATCTGAATCAAGGTCAGCTCCTGACACGACACGCCCTCAACGCCACGGCAAATTTGTCTCACTTACCCGGTCCACCCTGCCTCTCTGGCCTTGCTCATGCTGATCACCAGATCGAAACTCCGCCCCAAAACGAAATCCACGAACGCCCACGTCGCCTTCTCGAACGCATCCTTCTGCAGATGCTCCCTCTCCGCCAGGCGCTCCCACGCCTTCTTGACTTCATCTTGCTGGCTCCACTTGGCCAAACTCACCCGCTGCTCCAGCACACTGCCCCGGATCCGGCCCTGCAGCCCGACCTCGTCCGCCATGACACTCAGCGGCGGCGTCTCCAGCAGCTCCGTCCTGTTCTCCAGGCCCGTCCGCCCCTCGAACTGATCCTTCTTCACGCACATGCCGAACCGCCTCGCCAGGCGCGGCCACATGTCCTGCCAGCTCTGCACGTCGCCGTTGACCACATTGAACGCTTGGTTCGCCGCCTTGGGCTCCGTCGCGGCCCACTCACAGAACTGGGCGTGCAGCGTGGAGGACGTGAAGCTATCGAACTTGGTGTAGAACACCTCGGATCCGGGGAAGGCCAGGTCCTGCTGCCCGAGCTCCTTGCACACGGCCGCGTAGAGGCCCAGGCCAGACGCCAGGTTCATGAAGTTGCCATTGGCGAAGCCGATGACGTCGTTCGGGTAGGTGACCGTCCAGCCGATGCCCTTCTTCTCGCAGAAGTCCCGGAGGATGTCCTGCTGGCGGTAGTAGAAGTTGGGCGGGAACGGCGGATTGTCGCGGAGCCAGGGGTCCGTCTCTAGCATCGGGTTCTTGGGCTGGCCCAGGTGCACGCCGTACTGCTTGCAGCCGGTCACGAGCAGGATGCGCTTGGTCTTGTTGATGGCCGAGCTGAGTTCGAGCGCGCAGAGGAAGTTGTCCAGCATGTCGCCGTTCACCTTCCAGTTGTCCTCCTCCGTGTCCTTCTGCAGGTATGCAGCAAAGAAGATGTACTCGGCTTCAAACCCCTTCAGGTCTTTGGCCATCTGGTCCGCTGAGCTGAGGAGGTCGATGTGGCTGTGTACCACGTTGGGAGCGTAGTCATCCTTTTTGCTGCGGGAGAGTGCATAAACAGTCTTCCACTTCTGCGGGCTTTGGGACAGCTGCTTGACTATTTCCCGTCCGAGAATACCTGGCATCAAAGTCAGTTGAAATTCACTACACGGTTGAGAGGTGGTGTCAATTTACCCGTGGCACCAACTACGATCGCAGAAGCCATGGCTCAAAGCGCTGAGAGTTAAAGATACAAAGGCACTTAAACAGTGGTATGTCAAGTTTTAGCGAAAAGGCTTTTCACATCACTACTAGTAGTATAGAGGAACAGAAGAAGTTGTGTTCATACTATCCTATCTAGAACAGCTCCAAGTAGGCAAATGTATGACGTCAACAAGCGGGCACTGATCGACTTGCTAGAATGTAACATCACCTACAGTAAACTCACGAAGAGCAATACATAGTACTCACGTGATAGGTAGTGTATACATTGATACTGTAGAATCCACATTCTGATAGAACGTGCTCAGAACGTGTTAGGAACCTTATAACCCATTCGCTCAATTCCGCCGGCGAAAGGCACTCCACTGATTTTGAGGCCACCAGCCGTCATCGGCATACCACAGTAGTACTGGGCTCCTTCTGTCGCAGACTAGCCCAACTCCATCATACGATTCACCTTACCCGCGCGCTAGTAGAGCTCCGCTATTCCTCCACATAATCGGCGATTATTCTCGCGAGCGTTGCTGTCTCACTGTCCCTGGTAATCTTGGAGTTCGACTGATATCTTCACCACGCATCGGTCGTGATGAGACATAGGTAGGTAACCTTGGTGGTACAATACATGATCAAAATCAAGCACTATCAAAAGTCGGAATTCAAGGTGGTTCTAAGTGAGGAAGCGGTCTAGTTTCGAACCGGCACAGCCCGTTTGGGGGAATGGAGGAGCAAAGCCACGCTGCCACATCACTGTCGGTCACGGAAGGAGCAAATGAGCTTTTGTCGGCTGGCTGCATATGTACCTTAACGTGTTGTTTCGATGCAGCTAGATGGGTTTGAGTGCTACCCAACCCGCAGCTTCCAGAATCCTAGGGTCTTCACGGTCTTCACCACCGCTGCATTTTCGCCTTTTTTTTCCCGCAACGTTCATGCTGTCCGAGATCCGAGTCTATTTTGTGGGGCGACGACATTCTCGTCGAGCTAGGTACAATCCCCTCAGCCTTTCGGCGTTTCATTGCAAATTTGCAGGACCCTTCATCATGTAGCGTCGGGTGCTACCCAGCGCGATTGTACTACACTCCTACTACTCAAACTCAAAAGCGCCAAGGTGTCACTGCAGAGAACTACTGATGTGTCCCGGATGGCCATGGCGATGCACTCTCGGGATCGACCGTGAGGGAGTCGAGGAGATCCTTTGGTTGAGCGGTGACACTAACAATATGAGCGATAACGATGGCATCATCGGTGGCCTGGGCCTCCCAAGCTACGACTTTAGTTCGAAAGTCGAAATCATGACGGCATACCCAAGAGTCGCTAATAAGACCTCATCTCAGACCCGCCTGCAACTTCAAGTGGCTGGCGAATAAGCCGGCCTAAGGTGACGAGAGGCCAACCTCGGCGTCGCCGCCCCCGTCTATCGACAGGCCCGATGGGCCGATGTGAGATGTCCGGGTGATGGGACCAGATGGGTTCGGGAGCTCGGGGTCAGCTTGCCCGTTCGGGAAATTTTCCAATCCACGTTTTCGGTCTCTCTCCGGCGCTTGCCCTTGAGGAGGTTGAGATCCGGGGAAGCGCTGTCGCTAAGGCGCCGCTGGGGCACCGACAGCCTGAGCGATCGGATCCAGCCTAGGTCGCCGGTACCACTTGCTGCCGCTCAACCCCGCCCTCCTCTTCATCGCGGAACCCCGACGGTCCCGCCAAGCCTGCAGCGCCTCAGCCCTCTCGGTTGCGGTCCAGGAAAATAAGCGTCCTGTCGTATCAGTCTGCATGCCCTCAGCCGAAATGGCGGTCGAAGAAGGATCTTGGCCAATCAGTACGGACGGCGCATGCTCCGCCGCAATAAACTTTAAGCATGATGCCGACAGGGAGATAGAAGCCAATCAACAGGGACCAGGTCGTAGTTCAATTCTGCCGGCGACTCCAGTGGACTGGAACCGGGGGGCACGGTTGTGCATACAGAACGGTCAGAGCCCTGACGGTTGTCACGTTACGTTCTGACTTGAGCCCACTCCATGCGCCATCCCGAGTCGTAGGGCTGAAAGGAGGAGGACGCCGGCCAGAATGATCGGCGACGGGCGGGAAGGAGGCTGCTGGTTCGTGCTCCGGTCCCCGACATGTGGCTCCGCTACAGAGCAGGGGGGGGGGGGGTTTTTTCCACGATCGCTTCATGGTATGATGGCGTGTGACTTGAAAACAGGTACGCACCCTCTAGGTCTCGAGGGGTCTTACAACTTATAAGTGTCTGCCTCCCAACTCGTCCGCTCTGTGTATTGTTTACATAACCCAGGGGCTTCCATCACCATACTACTAGTAGCTGTCTGCGAATACACCACACCGATACAGCAGTGCTCAGCATCTCAGACCTCCCACGATGGCGTCATCAAGAACAAGCAAACATCTACCAGAAGAGTCTCCGTGTCGCGGGCCAAAGGTCCGGCAGGCCTGGACTCCGGAAGAGGACCGGCTTCTGTCCGAGGCGGTAGCAAAGGGTATGTCACCACGTTCGCATGGTCGGATGGGTCCCTTTTTCATCGGGATGACTAACAGCCAGTAGAGACTCCAAAACAGGGCACACTCAGCTGGCACAGAGTCGCATCTCATCTGCCAGGACGGAACAACAAGGACTGCCGCAAGCGTTGGCACTACGCAATCGCAAACACCATCCGCAAGGGCACCTGGACGGAAGAGGAAGACGACCGGCTGCGCGAAGCCGTCAAGCTTTATGGCGGACGCTGGAGCAGGATCGCAGAGGTTGTGGGCACCCGCAATGGCGACCAGTGCTGGAAGCGGTGGTACGACTGCCTGGATCCACGCATTGATAAGAGCCCCTGGACGGCGGACGATGTAAGTATCCGAGGAAGAAGGAAGAAGCCCCCGCCGCCGGTTCGTGGCTGACGATATTATTCTACCGACAGGACGTGAGACTCGTACACCTCGTTTCCCAAAACGGCCGGAACTGGAGCGAGATCGTGCACCAACATTTCCCCAACCGGACGCCGCTCTCGGCAAAGAACAGATACAACATCCTGCGGCGCAAGCAGGAGGGTGGCCTGTCCCGGGCATCTTCGCTGCGCCGTGCAGATTCAAGGCACAGCACTCACTCTTCCTGGACATCGACGCCGAGTTCAAGTCCGTACCTAAGCGTGCCGACAACACCATCGACCACGGCGTGCACTACCCCCGAGCCCGAGTTCGCGTCAGAAGACTGGATGACGTTTGCCGAGACAGACCTAGATAATTTTGTCTTCCAGTCATCTCACACAGCCGGAGCCGACGGGTGGTTCTCGCCAGAAGTCGGGGCCTCGTCACAACCGAGTCTGCAGACAGTGGATGATTCAAATCCCAGATCTGGCAACTGGACTACAGCGAATTCTGCCACTTGCCAATGGCCCGCCTACGGCTTTGATTCCGGATCTGCGGCCCTTCCGGAAGAGACGGCGAGCATGGCCACTGACTATTCCTGGTGCTATTCGCAGGGGCAACAGCCTGACATCCCATTCACGGGGTGCGGGTACAACGCGGCGGACATGCTTGGGTGGTATGGTGGTGACAGCAGTCATATGGGCGCGTCAAGTCAAGCTATGTGTGACACCGGTCTCGGACTGATGGGTCAAGGGGCGATGGGTGATTGGCAGGGCGGACATAGTATGGGAGCTTGGTGAGAGGGAAAAGGCCTGTCTCAGTCTGTTTGCAGGCCAGCCGGACTGAGAAATATCAGGATATTCGGTCGGGACGTTGCAGGTCCTTGGATGGGTTGACCCAGGACTGAGTAACCGACTGTCTAAGTATTCTACAATACATGTAGACATGCTTTTCATGATATCGTCTGTGTTGATCCGACTTTGAAGGTGCTTGTTGACCCCATTTCGAAATTCGAATTCTCGTTCCCTCCCCCACAGGCTCTTTGTTTCTCGCCCCCATGCCCGGTGGGCCTCGGTTCGCACCATTGACAGACGCCAAGCCCGAGACGCCCCCAGCGTCGTCTCCGCTGTCGGGATTTTATCAGATGATCAGATAAGATTCCTGACTGGACCGACCCCCGATCTCGAGGCAGCCGGGCATCCCACAACATCGCCTCGTTCGATCTCCCGCCGTTGCCATTCCCATCCCTCCGTTTGGCCATGGACGGGACACAAGCATGCTCCCGGGCGCAGGGCGCACTCCGGGATGCGCTACCCGCCTTTGTGCGAGCCCTTTGCCCAGGCCCGGCAGGGACGCCGGTAGCGCTCGGCGAGGGCGACAACGACTGGATGAAGGACCCGGAGAAGGTGGAATACATCCGGCAGCTTATCGAAAGCATATACGAGGCCCGCGCCATTGTCGCTTGCTACAACCTCGCCATGCTTCTGGTGCTTCTGATGGTGACGGTCTGGCACTGGCGCGAGTCGAGGAGGGACAGGGAGAAGTGGCAGCAGCTACGACAATGCTCAGGGCCTGAGATCGATGACGGAATCTCTTCTCAGCCAGCGGCGGCCTTGTCGGGCACTCCTGCAAAAGTTACCAGCGTCGTGGAGGATCTCGATCTAGAGCGGGCTCCGTTGCTGGCGAGGAACCAAGCAACGGCGAGCCACAGGAAGAGCAAGAGCAGTAGCAGTAGCAAGAGCAGTAGCGCCTTCAACAGCATGGCGATACGCTCCTGGCTTACGCGGCAACCGGCGCCTCTGCCCGTCGTCCATCGCACGCTTCCGTCCAACGGAACGTCGCTCTTCATCCTCGCCTGGCTGGGGCTCAACGTCTTCTTCCACTTCTTCCGGCTCCCGCTGCGGCGCGACTACTTCTTCATCTTTGCCGACCGGGCCGGACTCGTCTTCATCGTCAACCTGCCGCTGCTGTATCTCCTGGGCGCCAAGAACCAGCCGCTCCGCCGACTGACGGGCTACTCGTACGAGGCGCTCAACATCTTCCACCGGCGCGTGGGCGAGCTGATGTGCTTCGAGGCGGCGGTGCATCTGGCGGGCATGCTGCTCTGGCAGTTTGTGCTCTCGCCGGAGTGGCTGCTGGCGTCGCGGACGGCGCGCGCCTACTTCACGCACCCGCTCATCCTGTGCGGCATCGGCGCGCTGGCGGCCTACGAGCTGCTGTACGTCACGTCGCTCGCCAGCGTCCGGCAGCGCTGGTACGAGCTCTTCCTGGCGACGCACGTCGTCCTCCAGGCCGCCGCGCTGGCCTTCCTCTGGTTCCACTTCTACACCGCCCAGCCCTACATCGCCCTGTCGCTGGCCATCTTCCTCGCCGACCGCCTCGTGTGGCGGCTGTGCCTCAAGCGCGCCGTCATCGCGGCAGCCGACCTCGTCATCCTCGACAAGGACACCTACACGCTGTCCGCAAACTGGGATATCCCTCCTCCTCCTTCTTCCTTGGACACAACAACATCACAACAGCAACAAGAACAACAAGAACACCCACGGCGACGGTGTTGCTTGTCGTGGTGGTGGCGGCGGTGGGCCCCGTCATCTCTTCTCCCCCGCAACCAATCCATCCTCCACGGCTGGCACCCAACCGACCACGTCTTCCTCACCGTCCCGTCGCTCGGATCGACCCACGCCCTGCAAGCGCACCCGTTCACCATCGCCTCTGCCGCGCCGGGCCGCCATTCCACACCCTCCAATTGCACTTCTCGGCCCGGAGGAGGAATAACAAGAACAACAACGACAAGAAGAAGAAGAGAAAGAAGAAGAAGAGCGCCACACGCCTGGCTAACCCTCCTCATCCGCGCCCACAGCGGCTTCACCCGCGATCTGCTCGACCACTGCATCAGCCACGATATCTACCGCCTCCCCGTCCGCCTCGACGGGCCCTATGGCTCCCCCGCGGCCCAGCATGGCGCGCTGAGCATGCTGCGCGCGAGCGGCTGCGCGGTGCTGGTCGCGGGGGGAAGCGGGATCGCGGTGGTGTTCCCGCTTGCTTGGGCGCTGCTTGTTCAGGACCATGTTCCATTTCCTTCTTCTTCTTGTTCTTGTTCTTGTTCTTGTTCTTCGGATTGTGATTGTGATTGTGATGATGATGGTGGTTTTACGTCGCCGGAGGAGGACCAGTGCGCTAGAGATGATGATGGGAAGCTCTTTTCGTCAGGGGGTTTCGGAGATGAGACAAGAAGAAAAACAAGAACAAGGAAGAGGAAAGTCCACCTGCTCTGGGTGACGCACTCGCGCGAGCATCGGGAGTGGGTGGCCGGGTTCCCGCTTCAGGAGTTAGTGGAGCGCGGGCTGGAGCTGGTCATCCCGGAGCCGACGGCGGAGGCGGGGAGGCCCGACGTCAGGGGATTGGTGAGCGGATGGATTGGCGATGCGGCAGCCGAGGGGCGGGAGGTGGGCGTTGTGGTGTCCGGGCCGGACGGGCTGAACCGGGCTGTGAGGAACGTCGTGGCGGATGAGATTGCGCGGGGGAGTGAGGCAAGGGTTGCGGTTGAGAAGTTTGGGTGGTGAAAAATTATATGCAGAGGGCGCGGTTGGTTAAATTGGCTGCATTCGGGCCGCAGACAGGTGAGCACATTTGAGGCATTGGTCGGCGTTTGTTGAAATCGCCCACGCATGAAGACAATGATAAACAAGCTGAAAGAAGCATAGAACGAATATGAGGATGGGTTCATTACGAGAACTCAATACAACCTAAACCTAGCGTACAACCCTTCCTTCCTTCAACGTCTCCTATTTTCTCCTTACCAGCCATTCCCCTGGATCATACCAACCTCAGCATGATCGTTCCATGCACCTATGAGCCCACGACTTTGGCCACACCCTTAAGGAAACAAGAAGAAAAAAAAATCGAAAATCAAGACTTCTTCTGACCACCCTCAGAAGAAGGCGCCCACTGCCCGGCCTTCTGCACCCCCTCCGCCGTCTCGCGCGCGGCACCCTGCACGCCCGCTCCGATGTTCGTCACGGCATCGCCCACGGGTTTGCCGGTCTCGCCCGTGGCCGCGGTGACCGTGTCGCCGACCCCGCGGGTCGCAGCGCCCACGATCCCGCCCGCCGTGTTGGTCACCCCCGCCGCCGTGTTGCCCAGCGTCGACGTGACGCCCTTGGCCGCGTCCGCCACGCCGCCCGTGATGCCCGACGCCAACCCGCCTGCTGCGCCGGCTGCCTCGGCCGCGTGGGGCTGCTGCTTTTGGCTGTCCTGCTTGTTTGCGAAAGGGTTGTTGGACATTTTTGAGTGTTGAGTGTAATGTGATTATTTGAAATACGGTGTTGTGTCAGTGCTCTTAGGCCCTTTAGTATCTTGTGAAAATATGATTGCGAGGCGTTGTTGAGAATCGTGAGAAGAGGAAAAAGCAATAGTAAATAAGGAGTGATGAGATAGGAGAGTGATCTGTAAGACGTACTCTTGACGTCACATACGTCATGCAAGGCAGTGGTGGAGTGGAGGTTGGTGGACTTGACTGATTATCCCGGAAAGCAGTCACTCAAGCGGTAAGAGAGTTTGCGATCCGTGCAACAGATAAGGGCAGCTACGCGTATGATCGCGCAATGAATGGCGTCTCAAGATCGGCGATGTGGTCAGTCTCAGGCGTGGCCTGATAATTGATAAACAATGGTACTTCGTTGCGTTTCCCTGCGATCTTCGCATGCGACAGCCTATGGTCAAGATGGCAGAAGGCATGTCAATCGAATAATCTGCAAACAGAGCAGACCGGTACTTGGTCTTACAAACACTGCAAGCCATATCCATACTAATATCCAAGAATCGAAAGAAGTGGACCCGTTGGGTATATGCCAACAAAAGGCTCCCGTGCCTGCCGTATATGACCAAACTCAACGTACCATACATATCTCGTCGCGTTGCTTTTCGTGCGAACTCTGGTAGTAGCCGCCATTAGGCGAAGAAGCCACGGTAGAACATATTGTCCCAATTTCCGAGCTCCGGCTCCTCTGTATCGTCTGCTCTGAGGCTTTCGTAACGGTCGCCCATGACATAACCTTCGGCGCGTTCTTTCAGGGCCATCTTCTCCTCCAAATCCCAGTAAACACTAGTCGTCCTCGTAGTCGTAGTCCGCCTCTGCCTCCTCCTGTAAGTGCCTTGCCCCTTCCTCAGTGTACAGCCATGAGTAGGCGAGGTTGGCGTAGAACTTAGCAAGGCCATCGTTGGCCAGCTGTTTGAGAGGCTGCAAGAGATCCATATACGCCTCCATTATCACTTCGCCTTGGGCATCTGATATGGTACCGTAGTACGAGGCTGCTATCGTTTTCGACGTGATAGTAAGGGGGCAACGAATCATCGGGCATCTCTGCTACGACCAACCGTAGGGTGAGCCCGGCGGGATTGATCTTGCCTCGGAGCCAGCTGACCGTTTCCCACCAGTCCTGTACCGCATGGTGATCGGTCCCGGGCCAGCTACAAGGTTGGTAAGGAGGAAAGACCAACTCGAGGTACCGGAGATGGCAAAGCGAGCGAGTAGGCACAACGTGTCGTAGAAATTGGGAGGCGGCGAGCATATTGCATGCATAGGGGTATTTTGGGAAGGGCTCTTCTTCGTCCCACTCCGAAAACAAGGGTACCGCCCACGGCGGGAATGCATGGAAGTCGTGGGATGATGAAACGATTGCTGGAAAGGAAGACGTACTGGGCATCCGCGTGTAGGGTACGGCAGATGAGAAACAGGCTGGGGCCCCGACAAGGCCCAGCACTTGCATACAAGCGAAAAGGCGGCGTGTCGACGGCGGCAAAAGCAGCCGTTAGGGGGTGCCCACTCGTCGAGCCAGCAGTTGAAGAACTGGGAGCTGTCATCCTCGAAGCATACGCGATTATACACCACGTATCCGCGGTCCTGCCTGCTCCATGTCACCTTTCTCCTTGGGGTGACAAAATCGGTCTACTCAAGGATCGGGATGCGCAGCTCGCGGGGAATACTATTAGTTGACCTCACTAGTACCTACCACCTTACCTACGGTACTATCTTAGGTGCTTTGGGGAATTCTTCTATTTTAGGTCACACGGCTGAGCAAAATTACACTTGGTATCGCATTAAGGTCTGGGCAACCGAGGGGGGCCCGGAGTTCGCGGCCGACCTCTCTGGGTAAGTAACTGAACCTCGCTTGCGACAAACTAATTTCAGCGAGGAAGAGCGACGGTGAGTACCGGGATTGTGTGGCCATCGCACTACTAGTACAGTTACCTAGTCGACAATAGTCAGTCCCCCTCCATCCATCCTCAGGCGCACCAGAGGCCCTGCTATGCTTCCGCCACCAGCGCGTACGCGGCACAACATCTCGTTGACCCACGTAATCTCCCGACTCATGTCGCCCGGCGCGAACAACCAGTACCCCTTGACCAGCAACAAGCCGGGGATCGCGCTCGCTGGGCCAATCGGCCGCACGTGGCGGAGGAGGAAGTACTCGATGCTTTGACAGACATGATATGCCGGCCCCGTGGGCCACTCCTCTCGGTGCCCAAGTGGCGGCAGCAGACGCATGGCGAAGTGCCGCAAGCACGTCACGACGGGCTCCAACACACCCGCGCAGGTGCACACGAGGTTGCCCCGACCCACGGAATCGAGCTCCCGTGAAAGCTGCGCCAGTGTGGCGTACGTGAAGCACCAGTGGGCTTGCACGCTCATCAGAGCGATCCAGTAGTACATCATGGTCTGGCCGACAAGGAAGTTGGGGAAGCGGAAGACGACGGGGAATAGCTTGCCCGTCTCTGGACTGTCGACCACGCTGTCCATTTGCGACAACTCGGGGTGGTACAGCGCGCCGGGTGCCAGAGCCTTGAAGCGGTCATACCAGGCCTCGAGCACAGCCTCTGTCCTCTGACCTTCACGGACGCACTCGAGGCCGTCTAGGAGGGTGCGCCGGAGGTCCTCCTTGGCCTTCAACCTTCGCTCTAGCGCCTGGCGCCGTAGAGATAGGTCTTGGAGGCCAAGCAGGATGTCTAGGAGAAGGTCAAACGGTGCTTTGCTCTCTGGGCGCGGGTCCCAGGGCACGTCGCGCCAGTCGGGCTGGGTGAGGAAGTTCGTGCTGTTCCAGATGATATTCTGAAAGACCTGTGTGATCCATGGACATCAGCTTCCGTAGTCACAAAGGTGACTCGGTCGTTTACTTACGCTGTGCAGCCGCAGGAGCTGGAAGACGCTGTGGGCGAGTCCGGACTGGTGAGCGGCGGGGCCCCGGATGCGCATCAGCTCCATCGCGCCCCGGTAGTGCACCATGTACCCGTTCGGCGAGTCGCCGGGGCACTCGGAGATCTCGTACAGCATCAGGGTCAGGCAGGCAGCGAGGCTCTGCTCGTTGGCCGGGGTCGACTTGCGGTTGACTTCGCGGCGCATGGCCGACAGGCCCTTGGCATAGAGCCGCTGGCTTTCCCGCGTAAGGGCTGGGCGGTTCATTCGGCGACCCAGAATCGCCATGCAGGCGGCCAGCAGCGAGTCCTCGAGGCTCGGTGTCAGCTCGGGCAGGTTGAGTATGCGCACCAACCAGTCGCTGCGCTGGCCGAAAGACTGCCACACGGCATCACTAGCAGACTCGAGCGAGGCATCGGTAGCGGATAGGTTGTGCTCAGCGAACAAGGCGAAGATGCGATCACGGAAGACGTTGCGGACGGACATCTCGGGCGGGAGAGGGGGACAGGTTCGAGCCTGGGCGAGGGGGGTCTTGCTCCCTGCTCTGCGGACCGCGCCCGATGATGACGACGCGGAGACGGAAGAAGAGGCAGAGGAGGACGCGGAGGAGAAGGCGACGTGCGGCTTGCTACCCTGGTCTGTGGCCCTCCACCGGGAGACCATGACCTTGCCGGAGTCAGACTCGTCCAGCGAGGGGAGCTGGGATGAAGGGTCGCCCGGCATGTCCCTGGACAGAATGAAGGCATGCTTGCGCTGGTAACCGGTGCATACGCGGCGGGACTTTACGCAGTTCCGACAGCTCGGGAGATCGCCGTCGCACTATTCGTCCCGTGTTAGCCCCTTTCCCGCGTGCCGATGTTAGAAGATGCCGAGAGAGACCGTGCCTAATGCGGTCGCATTCGGCGGATGCACAACATGTACGTACCCTGATCTTTCTCGACCTGCACGTGTGACACGCCTTGGACCGCCCGGGAACGCCCACCATTTTCCTGTGAGGTAGCACTGAGTACCCTCCACCTCAGTACTCCGTACCGGATCAGAGAAGTCTAACGATCGCAGCGTGGACTCTGAATTTAGCTTTCAACTTTTAACTTCCGGATGTTGTAGCTGGGCTGTGCACGATGGGGAAACGACGTGCTGAATAAGTATTCTAATAAGGGCATTGGCTTTGCTCTCAAGATGAGGCCGCCAGGCTGACAGCAGGTGGTAGTTGCGTTACGTTACCTCGAGGCTCGTGTTGTGCGCGTCTCGTAGATAGGTGAATGCGATAGAGATTTGAATCAGCCCAAGTTTCCCGCCCTATTCCCGCGTGCGTGGTTGTGGAATGCCTGCGCCGTTTCAAGAAGCTGCGGTCTGACGGCTTGGCGCTATACCGCTTTAGTTCCTAATCCGCGAAATAAAGTTCGAGACCAATCGTGCTGTCGTGGCTGCGCCCTGTCGGTTGCTCAATACTGAAGCCGAGCAGCTCAACTGTAGCCAATCTGAGTGATTCCTTTGATCCAGGGGCTGGCACCTCACTTGAGTACGGGGATCTGGGTAGGCCGGAAGACAGGACACAGGTAAAACAGACTGGATGAAATATGGATATAAGATGGTTTCTTCTCCTGCTGCCATCGGCCCTTGGCTCCGAGTCTGTATGATCTATCCTCATCAACCGTTTTGCTTGCGAGTTCAGCTCTTAGTTTCAGTTCAAGTTCACCTTCAAAGTCCAGAGCAAAGCAGCAAAGCAGTACTACGAAGACGTATACACACTTCCTCCACTTGCCTACTCCCTAGGCCCCAGCAATGGTCGTCAACCCCCACACGGCGGCTGCCATCGCGCAGGTCGTCCTCTACGTTCCCATGGTGCCCCTCGCCCTGTATCTTCTGGCCCGGAATTGGAGATACCGGCCTCGCACCGCATGGTATCCCCCAGCAGTATTCTCAACCGGTAAGTTGCCGAAACAGGAGGCGGGCATAGTCTAACGTGAGCTATGGCTGACACATTTGCGCCGTTCAGTTCGGTTGGTTGGTGGTATCGTGACCATTATCGAGCAACAAAACCAGAGAAACCGCGGCTTGATCATCGCGACCATCATCCTCCTTAACCTCGGCCTCATCCCGCTCATCCTGGCCTATTTGGGCTACGCTCGCCTGGTGTAGGCAGACACGTTGATCCTTCTCTCTTCGGGTCCCAATTCTAACCAGACACACGCGCGCAAATTAGACTAGAGCACCACTTTGCGGACAACCGGAGACTGAACATCCTCCTTCGCCTGATCAAAATCGGGGTCCTGGTGGCAGCCGGCTTCCTCGGCACCGCCGGTGGCTACGCCGGACAGCCCGAGCACGCCGACGCCCAGTCGAAACTGTCAAGGGCCGCTTATACCATATTTGCCCTCGCGCTCGTGGTCCTTATTGCTTCCTTCATCAGACTGTTTCTGAATCTGAGCCAGATCACACCAGCCCACAGAACCGTAAGTTGCAGGCAAAACCCGGATTTTTCCACCAGATCTTTGATGGGGAGCTTTTGTCGGAAAATGCTAATCATAACACCCACTCGCAGTATGTCAGATGGGCCCTGGTGGCAGCCGTCCCGCTCTGCGTCCGCGCGGCATACGGCATCATTGGCGTCGTCGTGGCTTCAGGGACCAACATCCTCACCTCGGACTGGAGCCCGCTGTTTGGATCGGCTACCGCATTCGGACTGATGGCCCTTCTGCCTGAGTACATCGTCCTGTCAATCTACATATTTCTCTCCATCTACCATTTGCGCACGAACAAGCAAGAGGAGCTCATCGAGGAGAGGATAAAGCTCGAGTCGCGCGACATGAGCTAGGCATTATTACCGCAGGTCTTTGTTTCGAGCTTGTGAGCCGAGCTGTACATTTGGGTTCAGGCGATCGCACCGCGTAGTATATGACGTCCGTTCTCACTGACCGAGTGCGGCGAGTGCTGCTTGGACTTCTTGGTTTAGAAGCATTGTTGACGGATCATTATCGTTCAAAAAGTACTAGTACTAGGTAGTAGTGGAATAGACTTAGCGGGTTGATTTGTACATGTTACCTTACCTTGATTAATCCTCCATTTAGCGGCCAAGCACTCATGTCTCCTTTAATTACTACTGGTATTCGGACTCGCGGTCTTATTGATATTTGCCAGGTAATTGCCGCACACTCATCAGTGATCACTCCTGCAGAGCAAATTGCGTGCTGCTGTACTACAGTATAACAGGCCTGCAGTACTATTACCTCCAAGTGGTGCGTTACGCACAGCCACACTTCCCTGGGAAGGTCAGTTGTCTGAACCAACAGTATATCACTCGAATAACCCCGTAGAGACGGCAACGCGATTGCGATGGAAAGGGCCGTTTCTGTTTTCTTGCCAGGTAAAGTAAATGGTCTGCTTATGATTTGCTGATTTGGCCTTCGGTTGGGGCACAAGGGACTGTCAGTTTGGACCTATTCTGCCACTACACAAAGCTCCTCGTCCTCTTTTGAGTATCACCGTACTTTATGAGAGTCTGAGACACCAGGTTTCGGACCAGGCAGCCCCAGGAAACAGCGACCTGCTATTAACTGCTTCAATTACTACTACCAGGTAGGCAGGCACCTTAGGTTGTGTTCTGTTTGCACAAAGAAACCCAACTTGAAACATTCTTGGTCACTCCTTCCCGCTCCACCCTTTCTATCCCAACATCATGATGTGACCCCCTTGTCACATGCTCCCCACATCTATGCTGAACGACGAGTGATCATAAAGAACTCTCCACGTAACCTCCTCCTCGTTATGCCACGTCTACAATATGTGCGCTGGCCAAGCCGCGACGAGCGGGGTTCCCTGAGGCCTCCTGAGGCCTCCTGTCCTGTTGATTCGTTTCGGCTGTGCGGCATATGGCACCTTGTGGCATGGCAGGCCCACTAGGCGGGACCATTGCGGTTGTGTATTCGCAGCTTAAATACTTCGGGCCTCGTTCTCATGCCACCTTAAGCTCCGAGTCCCTCATCATCCACGAGTAGTCTTCCCCTCCAGTGGCGCAAACTCTCCCTCGCCGTCGTTTTCCAGTCTCCAACGTCACCAATTCACAATGTCTTTCCACGCTTCAGCTGAGGATATCCGTCTTGACGACGGCCACATGCTTCGGGCCCGTCTTAGGAACGAAAATGGGGACCTGGTTGATGCCGAGTTGGACCTCAACCACTACATTGGGAACGATAACGGTGCGTTACTGATTAGCCCAGGCTGGTACCGCTGCCCCGACACCGTGATCAGCCCGCTTATAACTTCTTTTCACACAGGCTGTTTCGAGTGGGGCGGTGTGAACTTCTCCGAGAGCGCCGAGGGCATCACCTTTGCGATCGAAGGTGGCGACTCAGTCCCCGTCCTTCGCGCCGGTCTCAAGGACCTCGACGGCAATGTGCAGTGGAGGGACCTGAACCTGGGCGAGCGCATTGGCAACATTGATGGCAACTTCCAGTTCGGTAAGTGGATTATACTAGCATCCAGGTAAGCGGAGGAATGGTATTACTAACCCGAGGGATATAGTGTGAAGCCTATTTTTATCGGAGGGCTGTCGACGGTCAGAACACATCGCAGTACCATGTCCAGCGTTTGATGATCAGAATGGCCCGCCCAATCATGGCCAATATCAGGGCCTTATCCACAAAGTTTAGCAATCACCGATGTATGTCGCTGAACCAAGTGGTTGGTCGTTGCCGGTATTATTCTGGGGCGTTGTTCTACCCTGCAACAAGTTTCGGGCATCTGCCACCAGGGTCAACGGAGCGTTCTTGCTACGACAAGACCCCCGATGAATTCCATCATGTTGGACGTGACCCTATTGACACTTACTGAGTCACTGAAAATCAGCAACCCTATGACCACAATGCCACATCTGACTCCCAGGTGACTTGTTCAGCATACAGAAAGGTGACGCAAAGAGCTCTATCATACTATCACTGGGCAGTGGGCAAGCTGCCACATGATCTAAATCAGCATCTCCACCCTCCCCAGTACGGTACACAGTAGGTACTAGTAGTTAAAAGGATCTCTACGGGACAGCCGAACAGGCGCATGTGGGCCTTATCAAGTTCAGACTCATGCAGAGGGACATGCACCGTTTTGAGGGCGTGTTGCATCTCCGTGCGTGGCGTGACTCCGTGGTGATAGCGTCGGACCTCTCATCGAGGATAAGGCGTTTATTTGGGTTGGAAGGCAGGTCCCCCTGTATAGGGGCACAACGTCGACCCGCGCTATGCGTGTGAGGTTGTTGTATAGGAGATACAGAACCTGGTGGACTGGAGCAGCTGTATGGTGTTCCACGGGACCCCTTGTTGCTTCCGTTCTTTCCTCTGTCTTTGTATATACGCACCTAGCTCAGCACGCCCTGGCAGCAATAATCGATATAGGAAATCGATGCACCCCAAAACCAATTTATCACGACTAGGTCAAAGCACATGTAAATCGAGCACTGCTCTCCTGTTCTATTGCCTGATCAAACTATAATAAAAAGCATGTAGGGTCAGGTGTGTCGTGGTTCACTAGAAGACGGTTATCCCCTTATCCACCGTGCTGTACCCGACAATGCCGCACCAACATGCCCATCCTTTGGAATGGTGAGAGGGTTGGGCATTCGGGGCACCGGAGAGGCGGAAGGACCATGGCATCGCCATGAAGTTTGGCCTTAATTGGCCTGACGACGAAGACTTTGACCCGGCCAATCATTTCGGCCATACCCACTGCACTGTCACGGTCGATGCGCAGGCCACGAACATGGGGATGCGCAACTTCCATCCGGATACCTGGGAAGGCATCCGCGGAGTGATCTCGGGCGTGCCACTGAGCCACCCTCTCTGGGACATCGACCAAGCACTCGGCGTCCGAAGTTGGGTGGGGAACTGGCACGCCGCCATGCCACAACCGCAGCCACCTGTGCCGCCGTTCAAGATCCCCCTGCTTCCGATCGATCCCAGGCTGAGCGGCAAAGAACCCTGGTTTTTACAGAGGGACGCGCAGAAGGGGCTATTAGGCCAATGCACAACCGGGAGGCCCCATCGGTCGAGTATATCGAAGGCGATTTCCTCTGACGCTGTGTTCGGCCCGTCTTTCTTGTTCTTGACGTCCTTTATCTTCTTGCATAGGTGGTGACACCACCAGACAATGAGGACGAAGGGCATCCATCTTGGCCTCTCCCTCGCCGGCCTGCTCGGCCCACCTGTTGCAACGTGATCGCATGTTCCTGAGCATCCTGACCGCCGTTGCGTACAGCGTCCCCCAGTCCCATTGGAGCTCTTCTACCTCAGGCCGAGATGAGACATGGAACGGGTAGAAGACGCGCTCGCCTGCGTTCGACGGCGAACGGGCAGTACACCAGTCCTTGAACTCATCGGCTGTTAGCCCGTACTCTGTTGCCACTTGTTGGAGCCATCCGTACGTGGTCTCCCAGGAGATGTCCATGGCAGACACGAGCTTGCTGAGTAACAATCCACGGGCAGATGTCTCCCCGATGAGCTCACGTATGTTCCAAGACCCCAGCTCCTCTTGAATTGCCGGCCTGAACTTTCCCGTCCTTAGAACTTCGAGCACTGCTTGCTGCTTCGGCAGGTCCCATTGTCCCCATTCCTCGAGTTGCTTTCTGTGGGCATTGTGTGACAATGGTAAATCCTGCCAAGGACGGTCATGTTCCGCGTGGCAATATAGGTCCAGGACATGGCGGCTCTCCGGACTTGGAGGTCGGGTTCGTCTCGCAACCTTAGCATGTTGGCAAGTAAGGGGACTTGCAGAATTGGCCAACGTCTTTTTACCCAGTTCAATGTAGGGAAGACTGCCCCTACGTTGCTTGAGACGTGGTATAGACATTCGTCATGTTGCTTGGCAAAGGGGTAAAACGCCTCGAGACCCCGAGACCATGCCCCAGGCGCCAGGGACATCTCCGTGCCTGTATAGTCACGAAGCATTCTCACATGGCCGTCTCCATGCGGCATGAGACGACTTCGTATGGCCATTTCCAACTCGTGCATCCGGACCTCGAGTTCCCCCGGATCGGCGTCCGTTGCAGCGAGGTTAGCAAAGCACATCCTCTTAATAACTGTCTCAACCTCGCTCAAAGGCCCGGAGAGGACAAACGGGCACTCCTTCTGCGGCTGAGGGCCAATCCGGGTAAGCCCGTTTTCGCCGACCCATGGCTTATGGACGAGTTCGATCTTCTCCGGGGCACAGAGTTCTCGTCTGCTGCGTCTATGTTGGAAATTCCCTCGTCGCTGGCGACAAGGGGCGCTTGCTCGAAGATGTCATGCTTGCTGTCCGATATGTCGAAGTCGTCCTCGCTGTCAAGAAGTTCGACGTCATCCTCGCTATCAGGATTATCCACGTCGTCTTCGTTGTCCGGGATCTCAACCTCAACACGACGACGCTTGGCCGGGAGGGCAGGGCCACGCGGCTGAGGAATGGGCGGTATGTACTGTGTGTTGGCGCTTGCTTTTATGCGTCCTTGTTCTTGGACCTTGACACGGGCGATAAGAGCTGCTGCTCTCTGAGGGCGAGACAGGGGGGCTGCTACGGGCGTCAGGAGGCCGGACTCAGGAGTGGCAGTGGAGAGGGTCAAGGGGCTTACCGTTGCTAGTCATTTTGGCCGGGGCCGGGGGGCCGAGGGGGGAAAGCGGTGGGTATCACCGGAGACAAGGCAGCACCGCCGGGGGGCGGTTACCGCGGGCGAGATGCGGAGACGAGGTAGAACTGGCTAGGAGGTAGAACTGGCGACGGGGCTGTACTAGGCAGGGCGTCGGGTTGGGACTTCGGATTGAGCGGCCCAAGTATCGGGCTGTACGAGAGGCAGGGCCGGGGTGCCAGGGACTATACTCTGACAATAATGTTCGCGAGACAACTACAAAAAAGATCAATTTCGTCTCTACGAAAAGTTTTCTATCTCCTCTGTGTGGCCCTTGTTCTTCCAGCTGAAGAAGGCGACGATGGCTAGTTCCTCTTGAGGCCCGGCCGCTCTCCGCGGAGACGGCAGAACCCGATCCTATCTCCTATCCAACAACCTCACGCGCATAGCACGGGTCGGCGTTGTGCCCCTATACAGGGGATCCCGCCTTCCAAACCAAATAAACGCCTAATCCTCGATGCGAGGTCTGAAAAAGCTCAGCGACTGGGAGATTAGGACTCGTTTGGCAAGAGCAGCTACCCACGAGGCTCGAGCCGGGGTGAGGCAGTCGCAAGGCGGTCCTCTTGCCGTTGAAGTCGGCCTAGCTGTTCGTGAATTTCGCGGCTTCCTAACTACCTACGTAGGTACGACATAGCAGAAGCGATCAGCCGCTTAGAAGCTCCTCGTAACTCTCTAGTTGCGATTTGGCCCAGCCGTGTAAGGTTGGAAAGCATCCGGCTGATCTAGTTCTTCCCTTTTCCGCCTTTCCTTTCTCTTATATCTCTCCTGAGTCCTGGCCTTTCTTGCTTGCATAGCTGGTTTCAAATGTTTATCAGCCATTCTTTTTATATCCAGGAATTCGAGTTTGTGTGGCCTGACGTACACAGTAGTGTACGCACGAATATCAGATTCCTTGAAGGATCTTGCCGATCGGGTTCAATTGGTGGACGGCTATCCGTCCTCTTTTTATGATTGAAGTAGAGGCGGCAGCCTGGCGCTGATTCGTGGAAAGTTGGACAAGCGTCCTCAAGACCGCGCTGCAGACCTAGAAATTCCTCGAATCCGAAGCCCCGATTGAGCCCCTGTCGCTCGCCCCCATGGGGCCCCGAAGTCGCTAGTTGTGCCGTGGCAGCCTCTCTCGTTGGCCACCCCGCATCCCGTAAACTCCACCCGTCGAGAAATCCGGGGTCAAAGATGGCGCAAGATTCGGTCCGTATCAGTTTGGGTCAAGGCTAGCGCGTCCGCACGTGGCCCGGAGAGGGCTGAAGCTTGTTGATAACGAAATGGGTTTAAGAGGGCGCCCTCCCGGCTTGGCCTGCATACCAAGAAACTGCGGCATCTCCTGGAGTCGTAAGTTAGCCGCCAAGCACAGCCGCCATCATGGGACTCACGTTCGGCTCAACAAGAGTCTTCAACTGGTAAGAGCATGATCTGTCCTTCCCGTTCAAGAATCAACGCTCAGTCAACGCTAATGAAATCTCATCTCAGGTACATCTCCCTTGTCGCGGCCGCATGCATGGTTCTGTATGGCTACGATGCCTCCGTCTACAACTCCGTCCAGGGCTCCAAGAACTGGGTCGCCTACTTCGGCGACCCGGATCCTAACATGATCGGCGCCATCAACACGGCCTACACGGTCGGCGCCATCTTCGGAGGCTTCTTCCTGGGCGGTCCCGTTGCCGACTACCTGGGTCGGAAAGTCGGGATGGCTTCTGGATGTATTTTGGTAATTGCTGCGACCTTTATGCAGACCTTCTCTCCACGCCACAACATAGCGTGCTTCCTGGCGGGACGCTGCATCATTGGTATCGGCCAGGGGGTTGCCTTGAGTATGCAGACTCCCGAGCCCTGGTCGGCACGCGCTGGGAACCGAGCGCTGACGAATATTTCTACTTAGCCGCCGGTCCCATCTACATTGGTGAATTAGCCCCTCCCGAGATCCGCGGAAAGATCATGACGTTCTGGCAAACCTTTTACTCGGTCGGATCCTTCATCTGCTTCTGGGTCAACTATGGTTGCACGCAGCACAAGGAGAAACTCGGTGAATGGGACTGGAAGATGGTCGTCATGTTTCAACTGCTCGTGCCGGCTCTGATTCTTTGCCTTCTGCCGACAATCCCTGGGTCGCCGCGATGGTACATACCTGTGTCCCACCTTTTCTTTTCCATCTGCCCCACCCGTGCACAACACGACTGACAAGTCTCTCTTGAAGGTTCATTCAACGGGGCAACAACATCGAAAAGGCGCGGGCTGCCCTCCTGAAGGTCCGCGAGACGCCGGAGGAAGTCGACGAAGAGCTCCTAAGGATCAGAGAAGCGATCGAGTACGAAAAGGAGGCCATCTCGGGCAGCTACTCGGCGCTCTGGAAGGACAAGTCTCTCCGGAAACGACTTCTGCTCTGTTCCATCCTCAACGCCGGGCAACAGCTGACGGGCCAGGGATCGCTGAACACGTACTCCACGTAAGCTTGCAGAAGAACGGCCCTTCGATACGTAGTTGCCCCTTTTTTTTTCTAACCATCTCCCTCTGCAGGAAGATATACCAGAAGGTGTTCACCAGCTCGGGCCAGATCGCTCTCATCAACGCCCTCAACGCCACGTTCGGAATTATCTTCACTCTCAACGCCATCTGGATCATCGATCGTTTCGGGCGGAAGATCCTTCTCATGGCCGGAGGTGTAGGTCCTTGACGTTAGCGTTTTTTTACCGTTAAAGGCCGTATATTAACGCACTTTATACCTAGTTGGGCATGGCCATCTGCATGGTAATTGCGGCCGCCGTCGAGACCGAGACACCATCGCCGGGCGGGGGAAAGTCAGTTTCTGTGGGCATCTCGATTGTGTTCCTACTCTTCCTGTTCATCTTCTTCTGTGAGTCGGGCTCCCGTCATCCCCGCGTTTTGCTGTTTCGCATTCCGCTAACGCGCCTCGTCTTACTTTTACTTAGACAAACCGTCATGGGGCGCCACCGTTTGGATCTTCACCAGCGAGATCTGGAGCATGAACATCAGAGGACAGGCCGTGGGAATGTGCTCGCAGGTGCAGAACGTGGCCAATGCCATCTTCCAGCAGTTCTTCCCCATCTTTCTCAACAACTGTGGCTTCTACGCCTTCTACATGTTCGCGGGCGTGAATCTCTTGCTCGCCGCCTTCGTGTATCTCTGCATCCCCGAGACCAAGCAGGTTCCGCTGGAGGAGATCGACGCGTTGTTTGGCGGCGCCAACCACGCGACGCGCGGAGAAGAGATGATGCTGGAGGGCAAGGGCGCACAGGCGACCGGGGTCGAGAACGCCCAGGGAGAGACCGCGCAGAGGGTGCACAGCCGTTGATGTGTTTCGACATTAAGAAAAGAGTTGTTTTCACGGATTCATCTGACGGTTAGACTGGTCGCTTGTGCAGGTATTGTACAACACGGAGAATACCTAGATATGTCGGATCTACAGCCGTACATGCAGTGATAGCACGTAACTACCTGTGGAATCCATCTCATCTTCGTGAAGTTGTGACTCGAACCGGAATTCAACATCCAATTTATATCCCGAAAACCGTTTCTCTTGCAAGCATCATGATCACCGTCGCTCGTGAGTCGTGCCACTACTAATCCAAAAACCAAGGTGAATGCTTCGAGAACCCACACCAACCGTAACATCCCTCGGCATTTCCGCGAAGCTTTGCGGGGCGCTCAGTAAACTGCCACTAGCGTACTGCCAACCTCGAGCCACCCCGCGGAGCTCCGCTGATCGGGCCCAGTTCGGGAGCCACTGTCAGCCAAGCATAAGCCAAGCTGCAAGGGACAATTCGACAACCTGACACAAGCACCAGGGCCCAGGGATAAGGATGAATCCAGCTCACCAGCACCATAACTAAGCGAACCGACCCCCAAGGCACCCGGATTTGTTGATGACAACCTCGGAGTTCCAGCCGAGCGAATGCCTAAGGTAGTGTAAACGAATGGCGAGCCCTGATTTCCCACACCGTCTCGCATCATCTTCCCAGCCTCGCAATTCCCATTACGTTTTTGATACAACCCTGTAAACGCGAGGAGCAGCGAATTGCCGACCTGTAATGTTGAGCTGATCGGAACCATCTGGTGGGCTGAGCTGGGGAGTATCATTGGGGAGATGTGCACCTAACTGGGACACGTACAGTACAGTATTCTGTCAGACATAAAAGCCATGTAGTGTCCGACTTCATTATAGAGTGATCGAACCCCCCACTCAGTCTTTCCCGGTACTGTACGACACACCCACCAGTCCACCATGTGCGGCATCTCCGTGAGCATCCGCCTCGACCGGCGCCAGACTGGCCGTGCGACAGGAGCCGCATGCCAACAAGAGACCCGCACCAAGCTCGAGACCCAACTTAGCAAGAGCCTCGACCTGATCGCCCACCGCGGCCCCGACGCCAAGGGCATCTGGATCAACGATGACGCCTCTGTCGGTGAGCAGTCCTCTCCCCCTCCCGCCACAACCTTCTCTTAGCATGCCCCCCCCGCCACAAACCATTGACGGTCAATGGGGAAAAAAACAAAAACAGGCCTGGCACACAATCGGCTCTCCATCAACGACCTGACCCCGTCCGGCACGCAACCGCACCACTCGTCCGACGGCAACCTCCACGCGGTCGTCAACGGCGAGATCTACGACGAAGGCGACGCCCTGCGCACGCGGCTCGCCACCGAGCACGGCTACGCCTTCCACTCGCACGCCGACACCGAGCTTGTGCTGGCGCTGTACAGCGCCTACGGCGCCCCCGCGTTCCTGGACCATCTGCGGGGCGAGTTCTCGCTCGTGCTGTACGACGATCGCGACGGCGGGCGGGTGATCGCTGCGCGGGATCGGTTCGGCATCAAGCCGCTCTTTTGGACCATCATTAAGGATGAGGAGGACGGAGAGGAAGGCGGCGGCGGCGGCGGCGGAGAAAGGCTGCTGATTGCGGCCGAGGCCAAGGCATTTCTTGCGCTCGGGTGGCAGCCGGAATGGGATGTCGGCGCCATTGTGGAGGGTGTCTGGCAGGTCGGCGAAAGGACGCTGTTCAAGGGGGTGCAGAAGGTGTTGCCCGCCTGCTGGATGGAGGTGGGGCGCAATGGTAACATGGTGCAGCGGCGGTACTGGGATATGGAGTATCGGGACAAGGTGGGTGGCCGGAGTGAGCCATGGCGAGCGGTATACCAGCAGCGCTGACTCGGTGCAACAGCGGGAACGGGAGGTGCGGTCGGTCGAGGAGATGGTGCTCGGTGTCCGGGAGAAGCTGACCGAGGCGATCCGTCTGCGCTTGAGAGCCGACGTCCCCGTGGGCATTTATCTGTCGGGCGGCATCGACTCTTCGCTGCTGGCGGGGATCGTGACACACCTGGTGAGGGACGACGGCATCCGGATCGGGAACAGGGACGCGACCAGCCGCATCTGCTGCTTTTCGATCGAGTTTCCAAGCGAAGGCCACTTCGACGAGTCCGGTATGTATGGTTGTAGTATCCCTTGCCGACGTCTTCGCTAGAGACGCTAATAACTCAGGCAGAGATTGCTGAACGGACGGCGAACCACCTCGGGGTGCAGATCCTCAAGAAGCGCATGGACGAGGCCACGCTTGCCGAGAACTTTGCGGACTCGGCCTACCACTGCGAGCACCACAACTTTGACCTCAACAGCGTCGGCAAGTTCTGCCTGTCGACCGTACCACGCGAGAACGGCTTCAAAGTAGTGCTCACCGGCGAAGGCTCGGACGAGCATTTCACCGGCTACCCCTTTTTCGTGCCCGACTTCCTGCGAGAGCCTGACCTAGCCATGCCAGACACCGAGCTGTCCAAGAACTCGGAGCTGCGCGAAAGGCTGCAAGATAAGGCGCGGAAGGACTTCGACATCTTGCTCCGCGCCGGCGCCGGCTTTTTCCAGCACGGATCCGACTTTGGCGAGACCTTCCGCGCCGTCAACGACGTCAGTGTCATGGGCTGGGCCGCAGTGTTTCAACCATCCCTTCACCTGTTTGCGCCCTGGGTGCGGGAGAAATGCGCCGGAGTGAACGTCGCATTGGCCGAGATCAACGAGATGCCGGCCGAGGCGAAGGAGAAGATCCGCGATAAATGGCACCCGCTGCATTCCTCGCAGTATCTGTGGAGCAGATCGATGCTGGCCAACAACCTGCTGACGTGCCTGGGCGACCGCACCGAGATGGCGCATAGCATCGAGGCGAGGCCACCGTTCCTGGACCACGTGCTCTCCGAGTACCTGAACGCCCTGCCGCCGAGTGTGAAGCTCGCATACACGCCGCAGATGCAGGATTCAGACCGCAGTGGGGGCTTGCCCTGGGCCGGGACGCGGGAGAAGTTCATCACAGACCTCTTCACGGAGAAGTGGATCCTCCGGGAAGCCGGGAAGCCGTACATCACCAAGGAACTGTACGAGCGAAAGAAGCAGCCGTATGTGGCTCCCAACAGGTGGCCAAAGGATGGGCCGCTGCACAACAAGCTGAGAGAGATCTGTACGAGGGAAGCGGTTGAGCAGCTCGGGTTTGTAGACTGGGAAATCGTACGACGAGCGTTGGACACAGCGTTCGGCGAGGGCGCAGATGGCGCGTCATTCAGGGTGTTGCTCGTCGTTGGAGCCTGGGTGACGTTGAGTGAGCGGTTTGGCATCAAGCGGGCGGAGCTGTAATTAAAGAAGCAAGGGAGTCAGTTCCAAGCGTGATTGCCACTCCCAGAGACGCGTTGGATAAACCGAGGGCGCGAACTGAAATATCCCGCTGGCCTTTCTTTTGTGCAGATGAGAGGGGAACCAAGTGGTCAGTCGCTACCAGACCATGCCGTGGCTCCGCGACCCAGCGTACGGGTCTCCCTGCTTCTTCCGCTGCCGCACCTCGTTCCCACGGGCCAGATCCTTCATACCCATATAGCCCACTCCAATCAATGCGACGGCAAGCACGAGGGCTATGGCGAGCATCACGGCAATCGGAAACCAGAGCGAGGCGTCGATGAGTCTCGTCCATGCTCCTCCCTCCGGCTGGTGGCTCAGATCCATGGCAGCAAGACTGACCTGCATCGAGTTGAGCACCACGGAGCAGACGGCAAACAGCGTGACGATGGGGGCCAGGGTGTGGTGTATCCAGGAACCCCATTGCGGGTAGATGTGGAAGTAGGCCAGACTGCCCCTGAAGAAGAAGGCGGCCCGGTTGATGCGCGTCAGGCGGAGCTCGCCGTAGTGGTACCGGCGATTGACATGGTTGTCGCCGACTCTGGCGAATGGCCGGATGAACTCGCACCACTCCTCGTAGGTCGGGAGCTCGCCATTGCCCTTCTTGGGGATCAGGCGAGTCTCGCAGGCCAGCTGGAAGTCGATCTCGTATTGGATGAGACGTTCGTAGCTCCGCATGAAGCCGAGACACGCGCTGTAAATCTCTGGACGGGCGTGCTCGATGTAGTCCCAGAAGGCCTGCGAGTAGAAGTACGCGGGCACCGGCTTGATGAAGATGATCTCGTAGTACCAGACCAGGTGGAGGCCCGAGCTTTCCGTCACCTTGATTTTGCGCTCGTGCGAACTCTGGTGATGCAACGGGTTGATGTGTATGTGCGAGGGTGTCTGTACAAAGATATACCGCATGAACGGGAGGAGCTCATTGAGCTGGTCGGTGTTGTGGGAATGGTGCAGGTAGTCGAGCAGATCCGTGTTGCTGTCCGCATCGCCCCTGGGCTTGTTGTCGAGGCGTATGCGTGGCTGGCCGGGCAGGTACTGCTTTTTGCCCTCCCTGGCCCTCAGAAACCTCCGCGGCGGCTTCCGCTTCTCCGAGTAGTCGACCGGCACGACCTCGAGGTCATCAATGAACTCCATCGCTAAACCCTCAAAGGGCGTATCCATCGTGTTAGACGGGGAAACCCGGGCAGTGGGCGCTTCCGACGGTGCGGGGCCAGCCGCGGTCGCACCGGACGGGGATGAGGCTGTGGCCATGGCTTTCAGTCTGTGTTCGCTCCCGTGGTCGTCTCTCTTGCTGTGAGTTGGGACGGGATTGAGCAGGACGAGAGAATCTGGGTTGGGCCGGGGGCCCGAAACTTTTAAAACATCACCAGCTCGCGGCACAGGAATCGCAGCACTGAACTGCATCGCTGTGTGCGACCCATCTTCCCATGCGAGGTGGCTGCCTTGGCGCCAATCCCGACCCCAGCGGATGACTTCCGGGTGCGCGATCACACACCCGCAGCACCGCGCCGCAAAGCCCCACCCAGCCGAGACGTCTGATTAGTCTGAGCGGCTGATACAGGTAAGAATCACATTCACATGTTCCTCGTCGGAAAACTGAGCAATCGTGCAGATCGGGAAGCTGGATTGCAGATGAGGAACGTGAAGATTAATGATTCTAGTTAGTAGGATATGTTAGCCTAAATGAGACGGGCCGATGGGCGCGCTGAGCGCTGAGAGGGGCCGCCAACTTACACGTCCAAGCGAGAGTCAAGGGGCAGGCGCTGTTGGCGGCCTTGCATCTCACGGGCGGCTAGTGGTGCAACGCTCAACCAACAGCCCGTACAGTAATGCCCGCTCAGCCCCACGGCCTGCATACTGTGAGACAGCAAGGCAAACTGAACTGCCAGACCAAAACCCAGAAAATCTGTCGCACTGTTGAACAAGACCCGTCGTTCAGTCGGCATCCAAGTGCCTTGTAACTAAATAGCATACGTGACGCCAACACGGACATGCACGTGTACTACTAGTACTGTACAATACATACAGCGGGTATTTGACGAGTCAAGAATGGGACCTCAGAAGACTCAGATCCAAGTGGATTGAGGAGCACTCAGTCATCTCCGGTTAAGTCGATAACTACCGGTGCCGTCTGCCTGACACCTCGCGAAGGAGTTGCTTGAGAAGTAATCTCCTTTTTGATCTTGGGATGACTACGTGGTGGCTGGGCCGAGTTGAGCCGGCTTGAGGAAATGGGGGCTAGCACAGTGCGCGACCCTGAAGGAGGTAGCACTGTCGCGGCTGCGGTGGGCCGCGACGATGGGGTCGACGGCCACCTCCGCGAAGCGCTACTTGACGCAAGTTGTCCGCCAACCACATTTGCTGAGCGCTGAAAAGGTGTCGATTGGGACTGCAGTGGCGCTCGACGAGGCAAGGATTGTGGAATAGAAGGCAGACGACCGCCGTACCGGTTGGGAATTGTTGGTGAAGATGCTCCTGGAGCGGCCGTAGGCCGCAAATTGGCGGCCTTGACACTGTAATACTGTCTCGACCTGTCCGACAGCTCCTTCCATCGCTGTGCCAACTCAGGTGTCGTGAACGTAGGCAGCCTTAGGTCGTACCGGCGTTCCTGAAGCTCAGCAGCGAATAGAGTGTATCCATTTAGGCCCGCCGGGTGCGACGCAGCGCGGTTGATGGTCGACATTTTAAAGCGTTCCAGGCTCGACGCATGACTGCCTCCCGAAGGTTTAGACGCAACGTAGGACGGGGACTTCGGTGGCGTGGAGAACGGCGCTTCAGCTGCGTCAAGGCGCGGCGTCTCTTTGCCCGACATCATCAGGCTTTCAACGGGAACAGGACTGCTTTGTTCAAACTCCTGGTCCGGCTGGAAGTCAAAGATGGCCAAGTAATCATCCCCAACGATAGTGCGCAATGCTAGCCTCCACTTCAGCTTGGCTAGTTCGCCGTTTGCCTTGGCCATCCTGTCCTCCCAAATCTGCCGACTTTGCTCATCGGCTTCCTCGCACTTCCGGACGATCATCACCCCGTTCTCCATGGTAAAACGGCAACGGTGGCTTTTGTAGCCGTACGGCACCAAGCGTCTCTTGATATAAGAGACATCCGCCGGTATAGTGGAGGTGAAGCTGGCAGCAGTGGCGCTACTCTTCAGGAAGCAGTTGAACAGGTGGCAAATCCTGCACAAGCAGAAGACCTTGCGGAACTTAGGGTCCCATTTGACGGACGGCGCCGAGCCCACACAGCGAGCAAGGTAAGCCTCGAGGATTGCGGCAAAGAGATGTCGGTAGCGAGCCGTGGGCAGCGGAACGCCACGTTTCTCGTGGGTGGCCCAAAAAGGGTATCCAAAGAGATGGGAAGTCCTCGGGCTTATGAGGGCGGCATCGCCGGCGATTTTGAAGGCGAGGTATGCCACGACGCTGTGCGTGCCGCGTGCAAGGAGCTCAGGGATTAGCGAAGCAAGTTGAAGACCATCGATCGCCCCAGACGAGCTCCTGTTCGAAGATACTGAGGAGCATTCACAAATGCGCCCTAGACGCAAATCCAAGATTTCGGCCCCCCTTCGAAAGAGTTTCGATACAGCAAGCGCATCGGTGACAGTCCTTGCCAGCCGCTCGACAAGGCCTGCGGGAGGTGCTATGGAAGTATGGTCCACGCGCGGCTCGAGGAGCCTACTCAGGGCACCAAGCCAGAACGATGCACATGCCGCATTGTTCTCCGCGAGCTGTGGAAGCCTGCATAGTAGCCCGTACTGACTTAGTGGCGGCGAAGACGGGAAGGACAGGGGGATGGACAATTACCTTGATTGCCACCTCCTCGGGGCCTAGCACTGTGTGGACGAGGTCAACGAAATTGTAGCCAGCATGAGAACACGCCCCATCCAGGTTCAGGTCGTCCAACAACCCTAAAAGCAACAGCCGTAGCAGCTGTTCACCCGTAGCGTTTAGTGATCGAAGAGGGAGAAGTAGGCAGGCGATGAGGATTCTCTCGGAGCAGGTCGTTGAGGTGAGGGCGGCAGCCAGCAAGCTCCAACACCGTTAGCGAGAGCCGGCCCCAGAACGACAGGAGCGGGTGCATACTTTTTCTTGATCTCCACGAGGCCGAGGCGCCCGGAGCGCACCTCTTGAACCACCCAGATGAAGAAGGCGAACGGCGGCGACGGGCCGAGGCGGCCAGCGGCCAGCCCAAGGAAGGGCCAATCTTGGGTATGAACCACGGCCTTTAGCAGCTTCTCAGTCACGTCCCGCGGAAGGAATGAAAGCCCCTTTGCCCCACCTAGCTGCCACAGCGTAGCACAGAACTCTTTGAAGATGGGAAGCATGCGGTCGGAGTTACCGGCCACCGCCATTTGAGCGCTGAAATACTCCACAAGCCCCTGTATGCCCGGGACTTTAAGGGGGTAACAGTTGGACGAGGCAGCGAGAGCGTCAGCGCACTCCATCAGAAAGTCCACCACGCTGTCTCGTGGAACTAACAGTACCGCCTAAACACAGACAGTTCATGAGCTGGCATCCATCCGATGCCGGTTTCCAACAGGGTATACGGCTTACCATCTCCCAATCCCATCCACATCCCACTTCATAGCCAGGAGCACGAGCCGTTAGTGAAGGAGCTCCGCTTGCACCCAATTCTGGTCATCCACCGGGATATCCGAAGCTAGCTCGCGTCCCTGTAGGTCAATAAGGCTCCGGGCCAGAAAGCTCCGAACCGAGTCGATCGTGTCCTCCCTCTCCAGCACGGCAATGAATATTTCAAGAGGGACGTCTCCCGTCAGCTCGCCGAGCATGTCGACAACGGCGCGATCGCGTCCCACGAATGCCGGCGGCTTGTAACTGTTGGTTGCTGGGTCATAGGCACGGCTGTATCTGTTATCGAGTCGGTAATAAAGATGGTTCGTATCCCGCAGCGGCTTGCGCTGTTCCACCCACTGCCGTAGCGCATCGCGAAGCGCCTTCTCAGTGTCCCCGTCCCGGCCCTCGAGCGGTTGGTGAAGACTGTTCAATTCGATGCAGATGTCTCGTTTGAGGTCCCTGAAGCCGTCCTCTTGCAGTTGCGCAAACAACCCCAGCGGGCGCCGACGTCGCGAAGCGGCTTCGCTGTCCCGGTCATTGGCGGCTGCTGCAACGCCGCGGCGCGGCTCCAAGACCTTGCAGCCGTCCGGCTCGGCGTCACTGCTTATGACAATGACATCGGCCACCCGCCTCCGCTTTGATGGCGTCGGCGCCGTCACGGTACTAGTACTAGTATTTTGCAAGTGCGTGAGCGCGTGAGTCCTCTTTCCCCGGCGCGACATTTGTGCGAGACGGATGTCAAAATTTAGGACGAAGACGCGACGCGTCTGCACCGGGGGCCGGAACACCCCAGGACCCCACGCCCCACAGATTCATCTGGCCCATATGGTTTCGTACGTAATGTTCGTATCCCTCACGTACTACATACAAGTACGTACCTTATTGATTCAGGTTTCATTGTTGCTCCTCTCGATACAGCTCATTCCATCGCGTGCTTTTGATGCTCGTCATCAGCTTCGGTTGAGTGATCATGAATGCAGAACCCGTGCCATGGACATAGCAATGCAACGAACCGAGAACCTGCAAAGTCACGCTAGGCTATAAACCGTGCTCATAAACTCTGATAATTCCATTATCGAGGCGATATGGTCTGTGCAGACCTCAGCGGGTGAATCTTTGTACCGGGTGTTGCATCTACGGATCACAGTAGTACTACGGAGTTGTAGGATTCAACCAAAGTGACCAGCCCGGTTTGCGCCGGCTGCGCATCAACAACTTGAACGATATATTCCACTGCCCGTGACCGTGACACTTGTTTGCAGTTGATAGTTATCCTAGGAGCGTAATACAGCACCTTTTTCCCCAGCCACGGGATGCAGAGCAGTTTTGAGGCCGCTCTCAGGTTCCTCGGCTAACCAAGCAACGGCTTACGATCTCACACAAACATGATCGGTTCACACTCCCAAGCCGGCCACGGACGCCACAAGGGAAGCTGTTTCGAATTCGACAGTACTACGCCGCTGGCCTTCGAAAGCACCGTGGCCGCCCGGACCTGGCCCCCTCAGTCCCGGACGTTCCTCGACGACTATGTAAGTGGAGGCGGTGGATGCCCGTGTGCTGCAGGGCGCCGCTGTGGCGGATGTAGTGGTGGTCTAGGAGGTCGTCGTATAGGCTGTTTACGATGGGGAACGTAGCTGACTGCTGTCAGACATTATACAACACCACCCGCCACAGTGTACTCCCCGTCGTGGCGGTTGTTGGCACGGAGGACACTGGTGCTAGACACCGTGTAGTCGATGGTCGATGAGTCTTCCTGATCCCCATTGCGGGCCCGGTATTCAGCTTCACCTAACCCGCGCCCGGCCTTTGGTGTCCTCCGTGCATCGATGTGGGCGGCGCCCAATACCGAGCCTTTTGCCTGGCAATTTGGGTGAGCCATCTGCAAGACCTCTAGTACCCGACTCTCCGAAGCACAGAGTCCCTGAAGATTGAATTCAGGTACCTGTACTTACTGCGTACCTCCCGGATTTACTTGCCTGAGGTCGTATACCACCAAGCATTACTCATCTACTAGTACTTACTACTAGTACTACCTAGTATAGTACGAGACAGAGACTGCCATAACTGCGGTTACGATCTCTCGCCCTCGCAGTCTATATACGAGTTCCGGGACGCTCACAGTAGCAAGGCCAGGTGCTGATTGCATATTCTAGCAGCCAAGTTCAACTGTCAAGTGTCGATTGAGCGGTGCATTGAGATGTCTTCGTCGCTGTGGCGTACTAGTATGTGACGGTGAGAAATTCTGTCTTGATGCTGTCACTGCGTAACCCAACATCGTATTAAGTGTTCTCAGGCAAAGGTCGATCAAGGGGATATGTCTTGGACTTCTTAGTACCATGCCGCAGACAACTATAGGGAGTCGTTACTAGTATGGACGATCGCTATGCGTCTGGGTATCTTTCCGAGCAGTTAGTATCATGATACACAGTAGGTACGGCAAGGTACCTTATTGGCCTACTTACTGTTTTTGGTTTCCGCACTCGACCTCTCATCACCGCTCAACTCCAGTACCAAGGCTTCACACACCTTTTCTTCTGTCAGGGCCTTTCAATCCGCCTCCAGCATGCTCGCTCCATACCACTACTTTGGTATCTACCATTGTCACTGAATCCGTAATACTACCTTATTTACTTATACACTTACACACCACTCCGACAACTCGGTGGACAGCGGCACCGAAGGTGAAAAGACTCAATCTCTAACTCTTCAGCCCCGTAGGTTAGTTCATGATAGTAGAGTATATGTACGGTAGCTAGCCTAACAGTAGCTATGGTACTACCTAGGACCACCACCACTTCACGTATGCCTCAGTAAGGTACTCATCAGGTCTAGGCTAATAATAAGTCGTAGGTGCCAATGCTTCCACGCGCAACTTTGCAAATTATCCTCAGGCATCAGCGGCATGCTTCTGGATGACGCTGATTTCAGGGTTTGTGGTTACGCATGCCAACATGCTGTGAGGACCAGCCTGGGAAGCAGCTAATTACCTACTAGTACCTTCATGAGATGTCGTTCGATGGCTCGCGAACTAGGAAAACCCTCACGCGACAACATCGTGGGTTTTCCTACCCGGGTTTGGCTGCCAAGCCATTTATTTATCCACCCGCCAAGCTAGCGGTGCCAAAGATCGGGGATCGGGAATGGCTTTCGCCACGTTTCCGCGCCTTGCATGGATTTCTTGGTCTACGGATATACGGCAATCGACCACCGACAAGCTACTATGTTAGTATGTAATGTAGGAGTGCTTTGCCGCTCGAGATGCGACAATGCACTAGGTAGGTAGGCAGGCTCTCGGTAAGCGTCAGCCCTGCGGCGCAGGTGACGGATACTTCACATTGGCTGGTGATGTTCCGTTTCAGCAAACCCGGGAGGCATCACGGCCATCGATACGCGTATCGCTGGGTGCACAAAACTGAATCTCGCAGAGCGGGGTTTCAAGGTCCCGAACTGCCGCTTCAAACCATCGCACTAGGTGCACGCACAAAATCAATGACGTGGGTGCCGGGAGTTACAGCGCACGCGAGCTGGTATGGTACTGCATACGTTGTCTCCATTGTCCGAAATTTCGGTTTTCCGCTCCCTTCGATTGATCATGGCACCGTAACCTTGAAAGAGATCGAACTCGGACTTCCTTGCAAGGCCGGTTCGGGCACTCGGGGAACCAAATGCGCCGACTGGGCAGCGCTCAGTTCTATTGATGATGTCTCGGAGTCAGCTGAAGAACTGAACACCGCACCTCGGACTGCGTGTGTCGCACAGGGCGGCTCCGCCGTTTCCATGCGATCGCATTTAGAAACTGACCGTTACTGTAGGCAGACAGTGCAAACAACGCAAGGAGGCGGCAACATCTCAGCATCCATCAGCTGCTGTGCCCCCATGACCAAGGCAGACATAGTCAAACGGGCAGGATTGAAAAAGCCCAACACTACCTTACGCAGTACTTATAGTAATACTGTAATGAAAGGCAGGATCACCGGCTTCGGCACAGCAGCGCAGCAGCAAGACAAAGCAAATCCTTTTGGTGACGGCCAAGCGAGATTCTGGAGCAATTACGTCATTCGCACATTGGGTGGAGTACTAGTATGTACTAGAGGTACATAACAGCCATATCATACCGGCCCCGCGTATTCCGCGATAAATTGAAGGTATTGGACTTCTTATCTTACCGTGAACCTCAAAGGGTGAGATCCGTGTGATACACTAGGTACGGTACTATACGCTGTGTGCCAGGCTCGCAGGAAACAACGGAACGTTTGTTACTGTCTGGGCCGTGTCCAAGTCCGAAAATTACCATTTCGAGATGCAGCGGGGCCTCGAAAGCACTGAAAGTCTGAAACGCCACTCGTAGGCGAATTCTGTTCTGTTCGTGCCTCCGACTTATCCGAGAGCAGTCGTGGAGAGCGACGACGGCATTGGCCGCATGCAGGGTTGCGATGCTTTCCTGGGCATTGCCAAGAGGAAAGAATGTTACGCAGAACCTCTTCGCGCTCCGTTTGCATTGAGACAGTGGCCATGGATTGGTTACCGGGCTTTTTCGGCGCGTTAACGGACCGTCCGGAGTCGACAAACAGGCATGGCCTGTTCCAAGTTTCTTTGAATCGGCACGCCGCAGATGGCTAGAGGTACAGTACGTATGAGCTGGTGGGGACGGGTTGTGGGCGGCGGGTCGCCAACAATGATAGTCGGTTGTGGAACTTGAAATGCCATGCGACTCTGATCAGGGATTTTGGAAGGAGGGACCTACTCGGGACATGTGCCCTTTCCCGGGCCGTTCTGGCTGATAACTTAATCCCAACTGTGCTCCCAACGAACCCCGTGCGACCCCGTTGATTGATCTTTCTCGATGCCCCTTCCTCCCCTCTCGACATCAACCTTCCTCACTTGCTCGTTCCGCCTCACACACGCAAGGCGAATTAGTTCGCCTCTGCGTATCAACGCAACCCCTTCCCAAACATGGCGATAGGCGCCGTTTTGGAGCCACTGGTTGTGGTGAGCTTGCTTGCCTTTGGCACAATCGTCAACCGCAACAAAAGTAATTCTTCCTGGTCCCCCTTCTCCGCCAAACGACCGGAGCCGTGGCGGCACATCAAATACAGCTCAGACTCGGATGAGGAGGATGTCGAAGCTAGCAGAAGGAGAGAGGACGAAATCACCCTTCTACCACCAACTTTAAGCCGGTCTAGTAGCAGTTCGGACACGACGTTGGCAGAGGATGGTTTCGACAAGACAACCCCGCCATGGCGGCCACGGAAACTCAGGTTCATGGGTTGGGAGAAGGAGGTGACGACTCCGAACACCGAAGTCTTCAGGACTCGTTTCCTCAGCCGAGTACTCCAGCGGTTCCCGTTCCTCGTGGAGGTCTGGTATTGGGCTCTCATCTACTGGGTAAGTAGTGAATGAGCTCGTTCATTGCCGAATTTGCCGCCGAACCCAGAGAATGCTTATACTCTCCCAGGTCTACCAGCTCGGGCGCGCCTTTACCGCCGTGACGCTACAGGAGTCCACCGTCCACACTGCGCGGGAGCATGCACTCCAGGTCATCCATGTCGAGCAACGCCTTGGGATTTTCATCGAGCCCGCTGTGCAGCGATGGTTCCTTCAGAGTCCGACGCTCATGCGGTGGACAAACAGGGTCTACTCATTCATCCACATCCCCGGTACCATCCTTTTCCTCATCGTCCTGTACCACTTTACGACGGCGCGGCCGAGGCGAACGTTGCAGAAAGAGCAGGGTGACCGGGCGCAGCTGGGCGACAACTGGAGAGAGCTCGCGCCGCAGTTTGGACCGGCCGTGTACGAGAGGAGGAGGAGAACCATGGCCATGTGCAATCTCTTGGCCTTCATCGTATTCACCTTCTGGCCGTGTATGCCGCCGAGGCTGCTGAGCGACCCCACCTACACCGGGGAGTACGCGAAGGAGGCGAAGAGCTTCGGGTTCGTCGATACCGTCCACGGGGCAGACGGAGATAGTAGTGTCTGGACGACCAACCGATTTTGCAATCAATATGGTCAGTGCTGCTTACTGCAGAGCGCTTCGAAAGCCGCGAATGGCGATATACTGACTGTCCATAGCTGCTATGCCATCTCTTCACTTCGGCTATTCCTTCCTCATCGGCCTCACCATCGCCACGGTACCCCTGAGGAAGCGAGGCCGGTTCGGCTGGAGACGCCTTGCGATCGTCGGCATTGGCATGATTTACCCAGCCGTCATCCTTGCGGCAATCGTTGCCACTGCCAATCATTTCGTCCTGGATGCAGTCGCTGGAGCGTGCGCATGCCTTCTAGCGTGGCATTTCAATGGATTTCTGCTGAACTTGCTGCCGCTGGAGGATTACTTCCTTGCGTTGGTGAGGATTCACAAGCCTTGACCAAAGCAATGATCAACCTCGAGCTGTTGGTCTGTCTGGACCTGCCGGCAAACCCTTTCAACCCCCAACGGCGCAACCTGAGGACATGGAGTCTTGAGGTTCTGAAGATATGTTACATAGGGCACCAAGGACACTGGCTCCATGTGCATAACCGTTTCTGGGATGATGGTTCGAGTTGTTGGGGCAGGATGGCATCAGTGGCAATAAAGCTTACTAGTATGGTGAATACTGCCAGGTTACTGTATAGCCTAGCATGTATTCCTCTTAATATACCCAGAGGCTTCCTAAGGTAGTGAGCTAATATGGGTCACTTTCTGAACTTGGCCTTGTATATCCCTGAACTGGTTGAAGCCCCTTTTCTGGCCATCACTGCGCTCTCGTTTATTACCCGCGTGGATTATAGCGCTTGATCCGCCTTCGTGTCTTTAGGTCCTTTCGAGAAACTCCATACGTTTAAAACTACTAGTAGCATACCTCCCTTACTAGTAATGCTCGGGTATCACTGTTTCTCTGTAGAGGTACCAACTTAACCCCTCATAGTGCCTCGGGTAGTATGCAAACAGCTTGAAGCATCTTAAAGCCCTCTCCTAGTACTCCAGCTGAGAATGGACACCATGACTCAAAGGCTTGAAGGCAATGCCAAGACAAGCTGCGTGGAAACATGGCGCTTCTTCCAGGGAGTGTTTTGCTCAGTTGTGCATTACTCTGACCTATCTCTGCTTGGACACGGAGAAGGTGGGGGAAGGTGCGCAAGGCGGGAGACTTGATTCGCCGCCGGCCGGTGCAAGCAATCACTGCCACCACCAAGATCACACCAACTAACCGCTTGTGGCCTACTAGTACAACTAATTAGAATGCTGTAGGGCTGAGAATGTGGGCAGGATTCCTTTTGGCCATAGCCAAGCTGGGCATTTCTGCAGTGAAATTCAATAAATTGATGACGCGCTTGGGGTCTTTGTCTTCCGGCTCTTTCTGGCACTCTGCGTAAGGTACGGAATACCCTCTTCAGTCAATGGAGCGTACAACCGACCGCATTGCATTCGTGCATCAGGTAGGGTGCTTTCTTTTCTTGATTGCCCTTGCTACTATAAGTGACTTACACTTACACATGCTGACAGCGATCGCCGATTCCATTACATCCAATTTCAAAGCTCGAGCTGCCCAATTCTTGCACCGACGAGCCATTGACAAATGAGGGTCCTCAAAATGGCTCTCCACGGGCATATCTGCGGCGTTTATTATGTCTCGCCATCGTCCAAGCGGATCTATCTCCCGCAGTTGGCGCTCACGGCCCATGCCACCATGGTCTTTCTGACCAGTCGAACGACGCTTACGCAGACGTTCGTCAACCCCGGATGGGAACCGATTGCGGAGCTGAGATATACCTTCCCGCTGTACGAGGGCGTGTCCGTTGTTGGCTTTGTCTGCACCATCAACGACGACCGTGTCATTCGGAGCGTGGTCAAGGAGCGCGGCGAAGCCCAGCAAACTTACAAGGCGGCTGTCGACCGCGGCGAGACTGCCGGGCTGCTGGAGCAGCTGCCCGAGGCCAGCGATGTCTTCACTGCCATGGTGGGCAACATCCCCGCCAATGCAACCGTGAAGGTCGAAGTCACGTATGTGGGCGAGTTGAAGCACGACGCAGAGGTGGATGGTATCCGCTTCACCCTCCCTACCCACATCGTGCCGCAATACGGGAGCTACCCCGGTCAGTTGCTGCAGTACCCGACGGTGGTCAGCGACAATCAGATCCGCATTGTCGTGGATGTCGAGATGCCGCAGGGCTCCAGTATCCAAACGGTCCAGTCTCCGTCGCACCCCATCTCGGTAACAATGGGCAACACTTCCACGGGGGCTGCCAGCGGCGCGGAGTGGGACCTGCGGAAGGCTTTGGCGACCTTGGCCTTGCCCACGACTGAGCTGGGAGACGACTTTGTCCTGCTGGTTGTGGCGGCCAATACGAAGCGGCCGGTCGCCGTGCTCGAGACGCATCCCACAATCCCCAACCACCGAGCATTGATGGTCACGCTTGTGCCACAGTTTTCTACTGCTCCCATGCGACCCGAGATCGTGTTCGTCTGCGATCGCTCCTATTCGATGGGCACCGGCAAGAAAATGGCCAACCTTAAGGCCGCCCTGAATCTCTTCCTCAAATCGATCCCGGTGGGCAGCAAGTTCAACATCTGCTCGTTCGGCGGCACCCACGAGTTCCTGTTCCCGTCCGGGTCGCAGACATATGATGCGTGGACTCTCGAGGAAGCCACCCGATACGGGGACGGGTTTGTCGCAAACCTTGGGGGCACAAATATCTACCATCCGATGGAGGAGGTCTTCAAGATGCGCCACGTCGACATGGACTTGGACGTGTTTCTGTTGACTGACGGCGAGATTTGGGACCTGCAGGGACTGTTCGACATGTTGAATCGGCGCGTTTCCGAGAGCCAGGGCCGCATCCGCGTCTTCACCCTAGGCATCGGCCGTGATGTCAGCCACGCGCTCATCGAAGGTGTTGCCGCCGCCGGCAATGGCTTCTCGCAAGCTGTCGGCGAGGATGAGAACATGAACACAAAGGTCATGCGAATGCTCAAGGCCGCCCTGACGCCCCACATCAGTGAATACGCCCTGGAGCTCAAGTACGGCAAGACTCTTATCGACGAGGGTTTGAGATCATTTCGGCCACGGATGCTTTGGCAGTCGACGTGCAAGAGCCAGACAAGAAGGGGAGAGAGGAGGCGGCAACCAGCAAACCCATTCCCCTATTCGACGAGTCGGTCGACCCAGATGTCGAGATGGCCGATCCTGATGCCGACATTTCCTCTGGCGGCAAATACTCGCACGTTCCGCCCGTCTCCGAGCCGAAGATCTTGCAGGCGCCGTTCCGCATCCCGCCGCTCTTTTCGTTCAATCGTACCAGCGTGTACCTGCTGCTATCCCCAGAAACGCCCCAGAAGCAGCTCACGTCTGTTGTTCTGCGCAGCATATCCCGCAACTTTAGGCCGTTGACACAAGAGATCCCCGTATCCCTCCGGGAGGATGGGGAGACGATCCATCAGCTCGCTGCCAGGAAGGCCGTGAAAGAGCTGGAACAGGGCCGCGGCTGGATCTACCACGCGAAGGATGCCAAGGACCCGGCCGCCCCTCTGCTCAACGACAAGTATCCCGGCCGCTTCAGCGACATGGTGGAGCGTGAGGCCGTCCGACTCGGCGTCACGTACCAGGTGGGCGGCAAGTGGTGCAGCTTTGTCGCGGTTGAAGGGGACCAAGAGCACCGGGACGCCGCGAGGGCAGTGGTGCATGAACAACATCGCAACAGAGGCATGGGTGCTGGCCTACTAGCTACTGCTAGTACCCGCAACGCCAAGTACTCCGTCACGGCCCGCGCCACTTCAGCTCCTGTTCCTCCTGCGCCGCGTGCCCTTCGCAGCTTGCACAGACTCACTGGGGGCAGAGGAACACGGCACAGAGGGTACTGGAACCGACCTTCCAACCCACCGGTCGACGACGCGGACCTTGCTCAGAAGTTCAACATGCTGGTGTCTCTCCAGACCTTCAACGGCGCCTGGCACTGGGAGGAGCGACTGCTCCTGCTGCTAGGCCTGGACGGGCAGCTGACGACGGCGCGGGCCGTGGGAGCAGACCTGGGCGAGCCGGGGGACCAGCTGGCCACTGCGCTTGTGCTGGCATTCTTCGGGGTGTGTCTCAAAGGCAGGGAGGAGGAGTGGGAGATGGTGGCGGCTAAGGCGTGGGAGTGGCTCACGGAAGTCTTCAAGAACGACGGGCCGTACACGTTGGAGCCGTACATGAAGGAGGTGATTGCGTTTCTGAGGATCGAGTACTTGAACAAGTCGCTCCTGGGGGAGGCTAATGCCCTGCTCGAGCAGGGTAATCCTAACGTCAATACCAGGTAGGGGTCGATGACGACTGGGCGAGATGGATACCGACCAGGTACCTACTAATAGTGTTGATCAATCATGGTTGTGTAGTCTCTGGTACTGGTTGTTGTGGATTATTCATTTCCCTTCAGCTCTGCCGTCGTTACACTGCGGGATGAGGTGAGCTTATCGTGGGCGGTACCGACAACTGTTGCCAAGCTGATCGTGTCCTATGGCTGCCCTTCAGACTCAAATATTTCTGTAGTGCATTACTCATCACCTCGCTTTCTGGGTGGTATCATATGCAGAGGCGGAATGGGGAATCATGCAGCCATTATAGCTGAAGGCTTAACTCGTGCGGTTTATGGTACAATACAATTACAAATAAGACCCTGCCCCTAACATGGCAGCACCTCACCTCAAGCTTTCTCGCGTCCTTGGATCCTGACAGCCGATAACACTCTGCCATATCATATCAACCAAAGCATGACCGCAACCAAATTCACCTCCCTTCTTCCCCTCCTGGCCGTCACCTTGTATGCCCTCCCCACCATTAGCGCATCCGGAACCCCGTCTTGGTTCGGACAGCACTGCCCGCCCCTCCCGCGCGGCGACATCATCGCGTCGGCCTACCAGCTCTACCCAGAAAACGCCGACTGGGACCCCGTCCTCTGCCGCGTCTGGCTGGGCGCCGTGTGGAACGCCACGGTCGTGCGCTACAACCCGTACGCCAACGCGGTCGAGGCCGTGCTCGAGTTCCCGGGCATCTCGCACACGGGCGCGCTGCACATCGGCGGCGTCGCGTGGGATCCGTACTACTACAACAAAGCGAAAGGGAAGAAGGAGGGAAAGGAGGAGGAGGAGGGGAAAAGTAGGCATGTCATCAGCATCCTGGCGAACTCGGCGCGCCCCTGGGCGACGGAAGGGCGCGACGTTACCGGGGAGAGGGGCCTGATCAAGTATGATGTCAGCGGAGGGGAGGTACTGTGGGAGGTCAATGTCACGGACGTGTCGAGGGACCTGTATGGCGGGTTCCAGGACATTGAGCACGACCGCTGGGGGAGGACATACATCGTGGGCACGTGGCCGGGCACCATTCTCCGGGTCGAGAGGGACGGGAGGGGCCTGCGGGAGTGGCTTGTGCCCGACCCGCTGCCCGAGACCCCGCAGAAGGGGTACAGTGGGCTGGCTGTGGTGAGGGAGACCGGCGGGGATACCATGTTGGCTGTGGATGGCGATGGGCGGTTGTATCGGTTTGATTTGGCCGAGGAGCAGGACCGGGGCACGCCTGTAAATGTGCCGATACGGCCCGAGGTGCTGTACAACGATACGGACGCCATCTACCTGCCGCCCATGTACGGCGGTAGAGTCCTGCTGGTCGCGAGTCTCTTCTCGGGCATCCAGGTGTTGCGGAGCAAGGACCGGTCGTGGAAAACAGCCGAGTACTTGGGGACGATTCCCATTCCGACGGGGCAGCTGTATGAGCGTGCGAACGTAGTTGTGGCCTCGGTACAGATGGGAAGCTCGTCCGTTTACATGGTCCTCGGCTGGAACGATCCCTTGGTGCCCGGCATCGTGCCCGGCAACAGGATGCAGTTCCCTTTTCCGGACATCACGGACAGGATTGAAGATCTACTGAGCAAGTGAAAAATGGGTCGGGTTGAGTGGATGGTTTGATAGAGAGGTGCGAAAATCCGGAGATGAACCAGTCGGGATTGCTTTGACTCGATGATACAATGCAGAATACCTACCTCTTCTTACCTTTGCTCGCAAGTCGGTTAAGTCAGTTGACCTTACCTTGCCCAAAGCCGAGCTTGATTCTGCTTTCGAGGCAAGCCTTTGCACTCTGTTAGCTTAAGCATCGTCTCCATTCCCGTTGATCTTTGTCTCTAGCAATCTGGAGCGGAATGAAGTCGGCGGATGCCAATCCTATGCGAAGTTTCCCTAGAAACAAAGAGCGATTCATCACACCCAGCCACCAAATACGGATAAAGGCGCAACAACAATCTCATTGCCAGACCTTCGAAGCGTTTCACTATCAGATTGCGAACCGCTTATTCCTGGCTGGAGCTCACCCATACCCGCCGTCGATCCGCTGTCGCCAGACCTGGATGCGGAGGGCGTTCCACCACTATCGGAACTTCCGCGTACTGAGGCCAGGATTGGCAAAAGAATGCGGGGGCGGCAAGAAAACGCTGAGCGACGAAGCTCAGGCACCCGACGCTCATTATCAACAAGGACGGGCAGTGCCGAGCGGCCAGTCAAGCGGCGGAAGGATAGCAACTACGAGGCCGCTAGTGAGGTTTACGATTATCCCCAGAATGTTGGGAACGCCGGGAACCAAAAAGCGAGAAATGAAGAGGTCGACATTGAAGGTTTCCTCTCCGTCGTACAGGATGAAGCCCAGGAGGCACGCGAGCGCATCGAGCTGAAAGCCTTCCTCGAGATCTGGATGTTCAGCCTGCGCAACCAGGCGCAATCAGGCGCAAACCTATTTCAACCTTGTCGACAATACACTCGGTTGGATCGGGAACCACGGGCCAAGAGCGAGCATCCAGGATTGGCACGAGCGGTTAAGCACCTGCCGCGAGAGTACCAATGAAGCCGACAGGATCTATCAGGCGCAGTGGCAGCGGCTTCTGGACGGCGCGGATCGTCAGTATCGCATACACCCAAGACGGCTATTACACAGCTTTGGCTGGGAAGACGATAACGCGGCGATGCTCCCCGAAGATCCGGTCACCAAGCGTCCTAAGTAACGACAACAAGCTTCCCACGCAGCGCAGGGTAATCTCTTAATCATGTGCTCAACATTCCATTTAGACGAGAGATATTCCATGACCCGCCTAGGTGGAAGAGGAATGAACGAGAGCTAAAAGTACTCGAGTCAGATGGCGTTTGCATTTTGACTCCAGACAGACCGGAGAAAGCATAAATTAAAGACGGGATTTGGCAGAGGAAGACTATAAGGGGCGCTGAGCGATACGCTGGGTAGAGGAAGCGCCCTATAAACAGTGCCGGATGGAGTCGGAGAATGACAGCCATGGCGAACCTGAACATCAAGATCATGGATGATGAAGTCGGACGTGCCACAGTCACGGTGGGCTGGATGGAAATCGACTCGGGAGAACGGCAGGTGCAACCTAGGTACTCTTGTCGTCGCAGGCAACAACAACCTGACTCTCAGTAGTAATAATCTTCAATTCAACTTCCGACGAGTCAATGACAACCTGCAACTTTACACGAAAATATGCGACCTGGTGTTTCGAAATCCCATGCGATTACAGCCTGGTGTGGCCAACAAGTTCCCGAATTGGATGCATCAAAGATCCATGACCTCTCTACTGATCTTTGACAGTTACGGTTCTTACCCGATTATGACCTACTATAAAGCAATATAAGGCGCCCACTGCACTCGATACAGGCGCGTCACAGACTGGTAGTTCTGATCAACTCTCTTACCAAATTCGTTGACCACGCCTCCTGGTTGGTAACAAGGGCTGCTTTCAAGGTTGGTGCAGTGTGGCATCAGAAGTCTCCGCGTGTCAATGTGTAACGTATCATCACCTAATGCTCTCAAGTTTGCAGTTCGTATGTACCACATCCGTCCTTCACCTCTGTGAGCAAATAACCATGCGGGTGCCAGACACAAACACACACTCTCTCTTGGCGGTCGCATTGTTTGAGGTCGCACCAGCCATGTTGTGTTCAACCTCTCCACGCCTGCTTGCTTGCTCGAGAAATCGCATCATATCCTTGAATATGCGATGCTCGTCCTTGCTCGATGCAGCGTCATTGCGGGGAGCACAGCTGGTAATATAGTTTTGCTGACCTGGATGCTCCCTTGGCGTCACCTTGTCATCCCAACAGGGAAGCTGCACATTCCAGCCACTCAGGTACCCCTCATTCGAAGGATTCGCTCTTGCAGTCGGCCTGCAGTTCTGGCCGATCTTAGACACTAAAATGCTACCCCGTGACAGGCCGATCACCTGGGGTTGACTCCAAGATCTCGTGCGGAGTTCTCCGCAGAACGGAACGGCCGATTGTGATCGGTGGGGATCGAAGTGCCGAACTGGCAGCAACCTGGTACTTGGGATGAAGTCTGAGTCTCTAAATACCAACACCTGTTCCCATAGAGAGGCATAGAACAACAACGCTGTTCACGACGTTCCATGGCATGGAGGCCTATCAACCGTTACCAGGGTATTCTGTTCTGTTTACTGTCACACTGCACAGCCCATCTGCGTGAGCAATTGGGTATCGGTCAATATCCATTCTTTGGTTAGAGAAGCCGCCCATTGCTTTGGCACAAACCAACACATAGCATATCATGTTTACCGTCTCGCGCTTCTCTCTTCTGCTATGGTCCCTGCTTCTGCCATGGGTTGCCGGGGCCGCAGCGCCATACCAGGCGCTCGCACCTCCGCTCGATACGCCATTCACCGAGCAGGCACGGACCAAGCCTTGGCCCGAGTACCCACGCCCGCAGCTCCGTCGAGATGTCTGGCAATCCCTGAATGGCATCTGGACCTACCAGCCTGCGCAGGGGGGCGGTGATGCCGGGAACCCGCCTGCGCTGCCTCTGGCTCAGGAGGTCCTCATTCCGTCCTGCATCGAGAGCGGAATTTCAGGCATCATGGACACTAGCGGCATTACCCATATGTGGTTTGGTACAAACTTCACAGTCCCATCCCGCTGGGCAAAAGGTCGTCGGGTCTTGCTCAACTTTGAGGCGGTCGACTACGAGGCCACTGTGTTTGTCAACGGCGCCAAGGTCGGCTTCAACCGCGGCGGCTACTCGCGCTTCAGTCTCGACATCACCGCCAACCTCGTCGAAGGCAACAATGAGCTGTAGGATATCTCGCAACTCTGGGCAGGTGGCAACTAGTACTAATCAATAATAGACATGTCTTTGTCTTCGATCCGACTGATGACCAGAGCATCCCACAAGGAAAGCAGACCAAGCGGCTCTCTCATATCTTCTACACTCCCTGCACGGGTATCTGGCAGACAGTGTGGCTCGAGAGTGTGCCAGATAACTACGTCGCGGGCCTGGATGTGGCGGCCGACATGAACGGAAAAGGCGAGTCTCATCGGAGCTCGAATGGCAGAAAGCTGCTTCTTACTCCCCACTCCAGTTACCGTCATCGTCCACAGCCGCACGAAGCAGGCTACTCCGGTCCAAGTCTCAGTTGAAGATGCCGATGGTGATAGGGTTGCCCTTCATCAGCACGCATCGGATGAGGAATTCACCTTCACCATTCCGTCGCCGAAGCTCTGGTCCCCAGACTCGCCTACGCTGTACAACATCACCGTGACGATGGGGTCTGACAAGGTCAAGAGCTACACTGGCTTCCGCACCATCTCCACAGGAGTGGTCAACGGCATCAAGCGGCCACTGCTCAACGGCGAGTTCGTCTTCCTGTTTGGCCCTCTTGACCAGGGATACTGGCCCGACGGTTTGTACACTCCGCCGACTCATGAAGGGATGGTCTATGATCTCCAACTCATCAAGAAGCTTGGTATGAATATGGTCCGCAAGCACGTGAGTTCGTCCATATTACAAAAATGACTCTCTGGCCGTTTCTTCTGACAACCTCGCAGATCAAGATCGAGCCGGATCTGTTCTACGAAGCCTGCGACCGCCTCGGCCTCATGGTCATCCAAGATATGCCCTCCATGCGACAGTACACCAACGCGCGGCCGACGGACGCCGAGCAAGCAGAGTTTGAGCGCCAACTTGAAATCATGGTTAACGAGCACAAGAGCTATCCCAGCATTGTTACATGGGTCATCTACAACGAGGGATGGGGCCAGATCACTGACTACTTCCCGGAGTTTGGCATCACGGACCGCATCCGCAAGCTGGACCCAACCCGCCTGGTCAACGCGGTCACGGGATGGTTTGATCATGGAGCTGGCGACTTTTCGGTTGGTTCTTTGGCATCCAGCTGATGATGCTCCAAGACTCTCGAAATGGCTAACTCTAGTAACAAACTTAGGACAACCATCACTACGCCGATCCCCAATGCGGCACACCCTTCTACTCACTCGCCTCCTCGCCCTACGATCCGAACCGTATCGGATTCCAAGGCGAGTTCGGCGGGATCGGCCATCGCCCGGAGGACGCCAAGTATGTGTTGTCCCTGAACTTTACCTCTTATACCCCCCCGTCTCCACCCCGGGCACACCAAGTTAGAACCTCCATGCTGATAACAACAAACAAAATAATAAAAGTCTGTGGCCCGTCCCCGAAGCAGTCAACACGATCAACCAGACGTACGAGATCCACGAGGGCCTCGAGTCGTACCACTACCGCGCGCACGTGCTGCTGGAGCTGCTCCGCCAGCAGGTCGAGCGCTACGCCTGCTCGGGCGCCGTCTACACCCAGACCACCGACGTCGAGGGCGAGGTCAACGGGCTCATGACCTATGATCGCCGCTGGGTGCGCGTCGACGTTGAGGCCTGGCAGAGGGATATCAAGGCGCTGTTTGAGACCGCGAAGAAGAGGCGCTGATGAGGCGTGCTTGGGAACTTTCCGTGTAGGAGACCCCATATCATCTTGTGCTTGTTGTTGGGGCTTTTCTTGGGTTGGAGAATGTTTTACTTTCCCGTAGCCATCTTCTTGGAGATAGCGATGCCTTGTTTTTACGGGCCCATTTAGTGATATGCTCCCTTTTCTTTCTCTCCGCTTCTTTCCTCTATGTGGCATGCCATTCCAACACAACACCATCCGTCCACTCTTGTGCTTGGCATCATGGCATATGCAGCCAGACGATGCTGTCGCCGAGTGAAAGGGAGCACATTCCCTTGTGTGTTTCCCCCCTCCCAGGTCGGAAGGTGTCACAGTCCCCTTGTTTTGTCCAGCGCGCAGGTCTTGTCCTCGGAAGGTTTGCCTGCGGTGTTGCAATGATTCCCGGTTTCCAGCCTCCTGTCTTTCTGGGATGAACCGTACACAGGAGGACACACGAACCGGGATAGATTATGTTGGTTTCACTGCACGTGCTAAACAATGAGCGGAGTCCCTTTGGGATTCTCGTCTCTAATGTCACACGGAGCGTTCTGGGTCTCGGGCAGCTACCTGTTCTTTGGGCGGTGTGACGTGGTACTTGACCGTGGCCATGCGGTAAGACACTGGAATACGAGAGGCGCAAGGGGTGTAGGCTACAATCTTCCAAAGTGTTCGTGTCTGACTCCGGCCGATTGTGAGTACTTTCTTGTGTCGTAGCCCCGTTTCTTGACGGCCTAGCGTAAGGGGGTGGTTTAAAGACAAGATGGCCAAGCGTCATCCACCTTCCTGACGTCCTCTAAATCAACAAAGAAGAACAAGGAATTGGAGAGTGAATGGAGAAGAAAGCAGAGAAGACTAGTTCGGCTTTTAGTGCTGGAAATGGGCACAGTGCATAGGTAGTCAGTGCGCTATATGTCTGAAAGCACGGGGTTCCGGGGTAAAATCTAAACAAACGGTCCTACCCCTGACTCTACACGGGCCAAAGACTTGAGCTAAAAGCCTTGGTCTCAGCACACCTGCCTATTGAGATATTAGTGATTTGCTATGGAAAGGCGCTTTTACACAGTAGAGCAGCCCAAACTGCGTACCTATGCCCGGAACTGTAAGTTCCGAACCTCGAAATGGAATGCGTTCGAAGTGGAGCAGTCAGAAGCTGAGAGATAAAAGAAGCCCTCTATATCCACTATACAACTTCATGTCCTCTGTGGCGCAATTGGCTAGCGCGTCTGACTGTTAATCAGGAGGTTGGAAGTTCGAGCCTTCCCGGAGGAGAATGTAGACGTCCACGATCATCAGATTACTTTTTGCAGGTTCTCGTCACCAAATCCACGCAATATCTCGCCGATTGATATTTATGGTTTTGGCATACTTGTTGAAGCCGCGGTGTCCAGTCTGCTACAACCCATGAAATCGAGCGAAAGAAATTCAACCCCCATGCTATCCGCAACAGATCAGGCGGCATTCATAGGGCATTCTAGTCTCAAGGCCTTGTCAGCTACCAATACTATCCAGCCATGTCTCTTGGTCTGTACACATGCGACACTGACTTTGCCGTTCGGGTCATTTTTTCCGTCCGCTGAACCCCGTTTGTACTGATCGACAATGCTCCGCACTTCTTCTGGCTCAAAATCCCCTAGAAAGTCCGTGACGGAATCGCCGAAGCGATTCTTGGCCGTCGGGTCGGCTCCGTTGGCCACCAGGGCCTTGAAGGTGGTGAAGAAGCCGTGTCGCATGGCGGTATGCACTGGTCGGTCGCCTGAGAAGCGGTTCTGCAGGTTGAAATAAGTGGATTTGTTCGCCGTGCTGCCGAGAAGCTCAGCCAGCGTCTCTATGGAGCCTGCAAACATCATCAGATCATCGGTCTCTCTTCCAAGTTCCGGTCTCTGCATTGAAAAGGAAGCGTGGCGTAACTGGCGGCAGTGCTTACGGGTTTGTCCTGCCTTGGCGGCGGCATGGGCTGCTGTCTGTTGAAAGTCGTCTTTGCATTCCATTAGGACCTCAGCGGGTGAGACGCCTTCCCGCATAGCCAAATTCCTGACACAGGTGGCTAGGGCAAGGGTGTCGCCCAGGCTCGCGTGAACCGCGATTTGGTGCGACTCTTGGTGTGAGATGGGCATTGTGAATTTGCAATGGTTTGATCGGGGAGATGTTTGTATTGTATTGTACAATCAGCTCACCACTAGAGGAAGAGGCTGGAGCAAAAGCAGAGATCACCGGAACCTTGGAAACTGGGTTCGGCCGAGGTGATGACGGGAGTGGGCATTGGAGCTTTGCCACCGGGAGGCTGTTTCCTCTCGTCTGATGTCCTGTGCCTAACACGTGATGCCCTGCACCTTTTAGTTGAGACTGGCCCGAGAGTATTGTAAGAGCTCAGACCTCTGTTATTTTGCAGCAAGTGAATTGTAGCTCACTTGGCCACACGGCTCCATGGCAGGTAGTCAAGCTACTAGGAATAATGCTGGAATTCCGCCCTTATAGCTCCGAACTGCCCGGACGTCTGCAGTTGCTCTCCCCTCTGAAGTGCGACACTAGCAAGCCGTCCAGCCCATTCTTACCTAGAAGTTTAGCAAGGTATTCCAGAAATACCTACATTTCTTATAGAAGCTCAACTACACCCCTGTTCTGGTCTAACTTTATCCTGAGTCATGTCCGCTACTAGAAGTTGTTTAGCAGACCGAACTGACGTCACCCCTAAAAGAGATTAGGAACAACCGTGTCCGCCATCTAGCAATCTGAATCTACTCCTCGAACATCTTCTCTATAACGTAGGTAGGTACTATAGCTAGTCGCTCCGGGTTGAGTACGTAGGTACACTACCCTAAGGTAGATACAATATTTTGATTTCCCGTCTGGGTTCATTCATAGCCCTACTTTTCAGAATCAATAACGCGCCTCAGTATAGTTGCTCGGATAATGGGGCGCTGAGACCTTGGTCCGACCTCGAGAGCCCTTCGAACCGAGCAGAGATGGAACATTGTTCACAACGATTGGAAATGGCTAGTCCATACCATTATCCGTGCTTGAACAAAAGGGAGAACACACATTGGGGTCGCACAGAGGTTTGTGTGTTAATTGAGGGGTTTGAAAGAGAGTTGAGTCTGACGTCTGACATCTCCCTATCCGGGGGCTCAGGGGTAACGAATAGGGGGCGTGGGGGTGGGGGTTAATCGAAAATTCGAAATCGTGGTTTCTCTCGGCGAAGCATTCTCGAAGCGTCTCCTAACTGTCTTTTTATTCCGTACGGGCTCTGCATGTATTAATTTCCCTGATGCCGCCACTGTTATGCTTGGAAGCAGCACTGCTACGCTGTTGATGTCGAATCCAAACGATGTCTTGCGTGCCGAGGACGAACCAGAGCCTCCTCTTCTTGGGCTTTTCTTTCCCATCTGATGATCTGGATCTCTGTTCATCAACTTGGGATTCCCATACCGGCATCAAGATGTGTATACCGGGCTTTCCGAAAGCAGACCACGGATGCTTCCGACAAGACGGGCGATCGATCCGAAATCGACCTCCCCTGAATTTCGACCACCAGATCCGGGGTAGCATGTTAACGTTATTGTTTCATTTTTCGCAACCCGGTTGTGGGGTCCCGGCACGCCTCTTGTGCTGCCGGCTAAATAACCAGCGTGGGATTGGCCAAGACCACGACTCCATTCACCTCTTTGAGTATCCGGACATCAGCTATCCGCGTTTCCTGGATTTGAGGGTGGTTGTTACGGGGCCAAGGTTGCCAAGTCGTCCGGCTGCCGGCCCGAATTGGTGAGGCCAGCACCCACGACTCCACGAGGGCCACAACTGGATGTAGGAGTAGACAGTTGATGTCCCCGTTGACCCGGTCCCCGGGAATGCGCCGCGGCGTAAGGCCAAGCTGCACATATATATTATGCGGCCTGGTCCCTATCCAGCTTTCCGAGGATCTTGCCCCCAGATCTCCTCCAACACCGAGCACCAACAGCGAGCACCTCTTTCAGTCTTCATCTCGTGATAATAATGAAGGGACTCCTCACTGTAGCGGCCGTCTCGCTGGCGGTCAGCGAGGCCTCAGCCCACTATATCTTTCAGCAGCTCACGACGGGCGGCGTCAAGCACGATGTGTTCCAGTACATCCGCAAGAACAGCAACTACAACTCGCCCGTGACAGACCTGTCCTCCCACGACCTCCGGTGCAATGTCGGTGCCACCGGAGCCGGCACCGACACCGTGACGGTCAAGGCAGGCGACTCCTTCACCTTTACGCTCGACACGCCCGTCTATCACCAGGGTCCGGTCTCCCTGTAAGTGCTTCTCAGGGGACCAATTTCCCAAGAAGGATCGTTTAGCTAACAGTCCCGAAGCTACATGTCCAAGGCTCCTGGCAAGGCATCGGACTACGACGGTAGCGGCCCTTGGTTTAAGATTAAAGACTGGGCCCCCGATTTCAGCAGCGGCAGCGCAACATGGAACATGGCGGGTACGTTCTCCCTTTCCCTTTCCCCATTTCCCTCAAATGGTTCCCACCCATCCCTCATGAAAATTTATCTTACTTACCCTCCTGCTATTCCAGGTTCCTACACCTACAACATCCCAACCTGCATCCCCAACGGCGACTATCTGCTCCGCATTCAGTCCCTCGGCATCCACAACCCCTGGCCGGCAGGTATCCCGCAGTTCTACATCTCCTGCGCCCAAATCACCGTCACGGGAGGCGGGAACGGCAACCCCGGCCCGACCGCACTCATCCCGGGCGCTTTCAAAGAGACCGATCCGGGCTATACGGCCAACGCAAGTCCTTTTCTCATTTCTCCTGTTCCTTCATCCTCCACCTTTGACCCCTCACTCCCCCTTCCCCTGGCATCGCATCTTAGGGTATCCTACCTATGCACTCTTGTCCCGCCAATGGAACCAACCTCCGGGGACACAAACAACAAAACAAATTGCCAACCAACACTACTAACTAAACACGCCGCTCTCCAGATCTACTCCAACTTCCACAACTACACCGTCCCCGGCCCGGCCGTCTTCTCCTGCAACGGCGGCGGCGCGAACCCCAGCCCCGACCCGTCTCCCTCCCAGAACCCAACACCCACCACGCTGGTGACATCGACCACGACAAGAGCAGCGCCCACCACATCATCTTCTTCGGCCCCGCCCTCCTCGTGCACCGTCGCCAAGTGGGGCCAGTGCGGTGGCCAGGGCTACAGTGGCTGCACCGCCTGCGCTGCGGGTTCCACGTGCAGCAAGCAGAATGATTATTTCTCACAGTGTCTTTGAAATGAAAGAAAGAATCCAAAGAAAGAGAAGCCCCCCCGGGGGTTATGGGACTGAGTTGCGGTTGTAGTAAGAGACGGTGTGCCCTGCGCAGCAGTGAGGTCCTTAAGTTGGGGAGGGGGAAAAGGAGAAGGAAGGTCACCTTTTTCGTTGCATATACTTCTTGACGAGTATGTATATATTCTCTTCAAATGACAAATAGCTTGTGCTTGTTACGTTCGGCTCCGGCGTGTTGATCGCTCGCGAGGCAAGATAGATGTGGCATTATTTCCGGGAACAGCCAGCCCTTCTTCGTCTTCGTACCGGAGTATTAGTGTATGATCGAGGCAGGGTGGCCTCCGTCGCTGTCTCCAAGCACTCATTTACTCCATGTTTCCAAAGGAAAACCCAAAGAAAGAAGAAAAAGGCGTCCCAAGCAACAATAGAACAGGACCAAGCGCTGCTCGGCCGAGGTCATCATCATACATTAAGTCATTACCGAGTCCCTCGTGCTCCTGCACACATGCTCCAATCCCTTCAACCACCTTCCTGGTGTCGCCGCATGCGTGTTCTTGAGGTGCTGTCGGAAATTATCCGCCCTGTAGAAGTTCTTGCTGCGGTCGCATTCGCCAATCCTATGCGTCACCTCGACATGATTCACAAGCTTCTCCCGGTCTACGGCCCCGTTCTCGCGGAGAAACCCAAAGCCGCAGAATCCACAGACGTCCCACGCCGCGCCGTCGACTGTCTCGGTGTCGTAGGCGAGGAGCGAGTCCTCCAGCGCTTTGCAGGACCAGAAGTCAGATTTGACATGAATGGCGTTCATATGCCGCTCGGCTTCTGTGGGACTCTTGAACCGCTTCTTGCACTGGGTGCATGGATGGGGCTTCTCAGCTTCGTGCCGTCTGGACGTCTGCAGTTAGCAACCTACAATCTTGTTGACCGACAGAACACACGTACGCTAGCCCCTCGCTGGTCTGAAACTGCCTCGGTGCTCTAGGGCAACAGTTGCAGAAAAAGATAGACTTCAAGCCCATATCCGCCACTTCGCTTTTGGCGGGAATCTTGGCCGTTTCCGGGACGGGCGGGTCAAACGACTGCGACGAACGGTTATGGCGTCCTGAGAATATTGCACTTGGGCTGAGGGTACCGATATCCAAGCACATCTCGGTTTCCAAGTTCGCCGCACTGTCCGAAAACGAAGCTCTAGTTAAGAGCGAGGATTCGTACAAGCTCGTCATATCCGTCGACATGGTCCGGGCCAAGCTATCCGAGCTCTGGTTCGAAAACATGGTCGAGGGTTGTCCCGAGTACCGACTATCGACAGAGTCCCTCTTACCCTGAGGAAAGGGTTTGAGGAAGGCCTGGCGTTCATCCCCAGCACCATAGCCTGGGGAGCTGGGTGACAAGACCATACCACGGCCCGAAGGCGGAGCGTCAAGCGCCACGGGGGATCCTGACTTAGACATCTCCAAGACATGATGCCCAGAGTCGAAAAAGTCCAGGGAGCCAATCTGTAGAAGCCGCCGGAGGAACTGGTAGGGGGTCCTGATGCCGACTTCGGCCCACTTGTTCACCTCGCAGGCCACCCGAGCGCACGCGTGATGGAGCTCGGGCACCGAAGTCTCCGGGATGACGGAATGGTCCGTCAATGCATAGTGCAATCGCCCATCACCGAGAAGAGGGTCGTACTTGGCGGACGCAGCCGTGAACAACACGGCCGGGAGATGCAGGTACTGGGTGGCTGTGAGGTCTTCGGCGGGGACGTCATCGGCGGACTGGAACCGTAGCTGTTTTTCGATCGCGATCAAGGCGTGCCGCACATAGCTCTGGATATAGAGGCTGTAGAAGGTTGATAGCCACCATCTCCGGTCTCGCATGTTCTCTTTGTTGAAGACGACAGATGAGAGTTCATCGATGTACGTCGCAACTCGGGAGCTGAGATTCCGAATACATTCCACCCGGCATTGCCCTCCACCGCAGCTCTCGTGTGCTTCCGGCTCAAGAAGGTTTGCCGAATGAAGACGTAATGCTTCGAGCGAGTGCCTGAGACACACGATGGAGAGAATCACTAGCGACGTCTGCCCGCAACGTGAGCATTGCGACTGCTTCCCCTCGGAACATTCTAGCAGCTTACCTGGCCGACTTCGGACTCGTAGACGCACGCCGTTTCCAACATGTTCATGAAGCCGTCCCAAGATCTGATCTCGAGCAAAGGCAGGAGCGCCGAGTTTTCTGCGAGCTCCCAGGCGATCATGGCAATCAGTTCTGTATATGTGACAGACTTGCCTTCATATGAATAGCTTCTCTTGAGGCATTCACGGTCGCGGTAGCGGCCGGTCTCAATGAACAAACTGAAAGAGCTGTTGAGGGGCGGGTCCGTGATCGACAGCTTGTATGACGCGCCTTCCAGGACGGCCTTCATGTCAGCCAGCCGTTGGTCCTCGGCAGCGAGCAGGCACCGATCAGCGGCGTCCACAGAGTGGCACCGCCGGGAAGCCGCGGGCCTCTCTCCGCCGGCAAGGCAAGGATGGCGATTTGACCGGGGACAAAGCAGTTGTGCCGGGATCGAATCGCGGAGTGGGCCGCGTCGACAACCTATCAGGGGCCAGAGTGGCGCGTCTTCCCCGAGATGAGGCGTAGGAACGCTTTGCAGACAGCACCTACACGGGCTGTCCGGGTCACACTTGGGGAAATATCAGTCTTGAATCCGTAAGTGGCCGAGGCCAGCGAATGGGGCTCACTTTGCGACGAAGGACCTTGCATCTCCAGCACGCACCACCAGCGCCTTCTAATGCCTTCATAGCCCGCCGTCCATTCTCGCTCAGTGGGCCCCGCCGCCCACCCTTGGAGATAGAAGTCTTGAGGGTCGAGATGATCCGTTCACTGCGGCTTGGGCGCCGTGTCAACGATTGGTCGTTCGGCGCCGCATCTGGCTCGCTTGGTGAGGCTGTTTTGGTGGGCACCGGACTCGGATCTTGAGTGACGTGGGTGGCTACTTCAGGCAACTGACACATGGGGACCGCGGGCAGGCCCGGCAGGCAAAGAGTCGAGTCCAGCTCTGTTGAAGAACGCGGAAGCGAAGATGAGAGACACCCGGGCGCGAGTTGCGGTCTCGAAGGCGGTTGAGCGGGCCCGAGGCGGGACATCGATACCTCGCGACTCCGGACATCGTGACTGTAGCCGAGGCCTAGCTCCATAGCCAAGGAATGCAAAACGATGGCCTTGGCCGGATCGCAGTTCTTGAACCGGATTTCATCTCCAGCCCAGCCTTTGGACAGGAGTGACAACTGCCGCCGCAACCGCTGGTGAGCAACATCATGGCCGTGCGCATCCTCCTCCTCCATGTGCCTCGCATCGTCAGGTGTCGTGTCTGACCGCGTTACCGGGAAGATGGTGCGCGTCGGGGAGGACTCGGCCGGAAAACTTCCTAGCGCGGTGTCAGGAGCATAGGATGGCCGTGCATTGTAACTTATGGTTGCGGGAAACACTCCCTCGTCCTCGGCGAAGAGAAAGTCTGCCGGAAGCCCGAACGCAGAGGGGACCGAGGGGTAGTAGTCCAGGTTCAAGTCCGGCTCTATTGGCGTGGTCGAATGGTCGAGGTCGCCAGACCACAAAGCGTCAAAGTCGAAGTCAGTCTCCATCGGTTCTCCGAGTGCTTGTTGGGCGTTAGCCACATCATGGCCAGTAACCGCTGGACATGCACCAAACACGGCAGAGCTAAACCCCCCGATTGAGAAGTCGCCGACAGCACTCTCATCGATTCCATCCGGCACAGCATCGTAAAAGTTTGCATCTATGTTGGGGTCAGCTTCGGTATAGGTTTTCGTAACAACGGTAAAAGTTAAGCATGGGCATGTTCATGACCATCCCTTACCCATCACATCCAGATGCAGGGCTCGGAATGAGCCGCTGCGCAGTTTGAAGTTGCGGAGACGGGAAGAAACAGAGGTGGGGTCGTCAGGAGAGCAGGTGAGCAACAGTCCCCGTCCACTGCCACGAGGCGCCCCTCTCCTCAGACAGAATCGCGACAAATCATGGGACTGGCGCCTCGATTATTGAAACAACTGTCAACATTCTCTGCTGATTGACGACATCAAAGTATGAGGCGAGAAGGGGGTTACCATGAGACGGTATCTGGCAGGTTGCGAAGAGAAGGAAGTGCCAGGGCAGTCACGAATTTTCTGGGCGTGGCAGGCCCATGTCATGGGATTCTGCAAACTTGTCAATCGAAGGGGCCGTCAATTGGCTTGGACTCTGCCTCGGTGAGTGTGCATGCCTTTTCAGACTCCGAGTCATATTAAGTAAGCCACCTGCTTCTCTTGCCGTCTCTTGAACGGGTTAGTAAACAGTAAATTCTCAGCAAGCTTGGAATGCAAGGCGGCTGCAGCTTGCAGGACAAGTGACCCCCAATTCAGGACCGGAGACCGCTTGCCTGGCAGGGGTCAGGATGCTGCGTGTCTCATTCTGGACTGCGGATAAGAAAAGGGCGCCTTAACAGAATTGCTCCCGGTGGCTGTCCGCAGCCGTTACGACAACACAGATAATTCTTGTGAAAGGCTGATGCCGCTTCGAATTGCTCGATCTTGTCACACGACAACAAATTCGGCTCGCGGCAGCTCGTTCTGAATGACAGGGACTTGACGGCTCGTATCCTGTATACGAGTTTGTGGCTTAACCAGGCCACTGGCCGCTCTTGCCTCCAACCAACGCCACAATCTCCGGGGTTCACGAAGCGGCGATTCGCGAACACCAGGTTACACCTTATGGACGACGCTTTGGCCCGATGCCTTTCCCCTCCAGCGCGTCCTCGACCTCGGTCCCAAGGATTTCCCATCCCTTGCCCCTGAACCGCTTGGGCCAAATCCCATTCCTGCCGGGCGCGAGGATGCCATTCGGATCGAGGGCATCCTTGATTGTCTCGTTGAAGCGCATGAGCGCGTTGTCACCCCAGTTGTACGTCTGCGCCACCATGTCGGCAAACAGGATATGCGTCCTGCGGGGATCATTAGCGATTCGCGCACGAGCACGCGGAGCGGGATTCTCGAACGAAGCACTACACGGCATACCTGTACTCGCCATAACCCTCCGCCGCCGCTTCAGCGATCATCTCACGCATGCACGCGGCTGCGCGCCTCTTCTCGTCCAACGACGACCGGTCGTATACCTTTGTACCACATGAAGTTAGGGCTGCCCTCCAAACTTGGGATGGCTCTTGGCATCTGGGGATCTGGGGATATACGCACGATATTGACAATGTAGTGCATCTCCCGCCCAGCGACGCAGAGCGTGGGGATGAGGTCGAAGCCGTACTTGGCATGGAGCCGGACGACGATGTCGTGCACGATCTGGGCATCCTTTCCGCGCGTCGGGACGATAGGACTGAAGAAGAGATGAGCGGCATTGGGAACCCAGTTGAGCCAGTCGAGCTCGCGCAGGACAGGCACGCCGCTGCACACCTGGACGCGCGAGTGTAGATAATGCTCTGCGGGCAGGTCTTCGGGGAACAGCATCTTTGCCCCCTCAACTTTGGAGAAGGCCTTGCGGATCAGGTCGAGCTGGGTGGCAATGCTCGCAGGGTCGCCGTATTGCGTGCCGTAAAAGACCCAGGAGACATCGCCGAGGGGAAGCTTCGAGGCATGCTCCCGGATGATGTCCCGAGGCATCGGCCCCGTCCCGCTGTAGAAGTCGGACTTGGCCCTAGCCGTGGTTGCGAGTTCCTGGATGGCGTGTCGCAGCTGCGGGATGTTTCCGAGGACTCTCTGCTGCGCCAGCGGCCGGATGATGTCGACGATCTGCGGGAAGTCGTCTTCGCGCGGGAAGGTGATAACATACGATTGGTGTCCAACTTCGGGCATCAGCCACATGCCCATGCGCACGACGATTCCGAAGTTGCTCTGGCTGAAGATGCCATCCGAATAAGGACCGTATGCCGGCTGAAACGATTGCCACGTCGGATTATCGGCTCCTTGCTTGCCTGGTAGGGCGCCCATGCCCGTCCGGAGGAGCTCGCCATTGGGAAGGACGATCTCAAGGCCGCAGTGGTTGGCAAAGTGATCTCCGTACGGCGTGTATCTTGACGCCCGTCAGCTGTGCCATCCTTGCCGTGAGTCCGTGACGCGGATCACTCACCCAACACCTCGATCGATGGCATTCCCAAGCACGCTTCCTCCCCCGACATCAGGAGTGTCGATCCACAATGGCAATCCCCGTCTCTGGACCTCCTCGTACAGCGCAAAATACGACACGCCCGGCTCAACGAGACAGGACGCGTTCTCTCCATCGATGTTCAGAATCCGGTTCATCCGCCGCCCGAGATCGATGACAACACTTCCCGGCACTCGCGGTGCGGTGCCTCCGTACCCTATGTTCCTCCCCATGGAAACGGGGTAGATGGGGATTTTGTGCTTGTTGGCCCATCGGACGGTTGCCTGCACCTCTTCAACCGAACCCGGATACACCACCGCGCTGGAGACTAGATCCTCCTGCAGGGCGATGTGGAATGCGTCGTGGGTATTTCTACGCAGTGGCGGTCAGGTATACACACACGCACACAAGAATGCCCGGCCTCCTCTGCACAGTCGAGAAACTTACGGATGCTCCACATACCACCCGTCCACCAACGGCTTGTCGTTGATGTCGACATGTTCCTCACCTAGAATCTGCTTCAACTCGCCAATGGCTTGGTTGAACTCGGCCCGCGTCGTATCGGGCGGGAGGCGAGGGAGTTCTCCTTGACGGGGCACGCTCTCTGGCACCGTCCGCTTGCTGAGCAGCCGGTTTTTGGATTCGACCCCGACATCGAGGAGCCGCTCGGGGATGCCAGAGTGCTTGGAAGTAAGTGTAGGCGGCGGCGGGAAGGAGGACGCGGTCGACATTGTAGCTGCTGGTTCGGCCTGCAATGACTCTCTATGGGCGGGAGAAACAGGAGGGAATGGTGATACACATTCGTAGGTCGCTGAGAAGCTTCGTCCTCAACCCGGCGTACGACTTTATCACCATCGGTCATGCGTGGTCTTGACCGTCGTGTTACGAGCTCCCCGTTGGGGGAACCCCGCATGATCGTACCCGTCTAGTTCGATCCCCCTAACAAGAGGGGAAAACGTACCCTGAATTCCAAGCGTCTCCGCGTGTGTTTATCCATTCCAGGTCGGGCATAACTCTGTATCTTGAAGCGTACCATACGGCACTCACTCGGGAACAGATTACCGCTGAGGGTTGTCTGCCCCGCACAAGGAAATATCAACTAACATGGATAATGGATCATGGCCGTCTGCAGCCGACCGTCCGCGGAAACGAAACCCGAAGCGTCTCTTTTCTTGAAAATGCGTGTCTCCAAGTGACACAGGACCTGTGATCTTCGACTCCTAAACATAGAGCTTTGCATGTTTTATACGGATACATTTCTCACATCATCTCTGCTAATATTTCACCATGGGTTCGCACGAACAGACGCTACCCGGAGCGCCCTACTCGAGACTTGCATCTCCCCACAACCCTCCCCTGCGAGGTCTGCATAAACCCCCCCCGCCTTGTCACTTTGACACGCCATGTTGACCATCGGCCATCGCAGTCATTGTGGTCGGTGCCGGGTTGGGTGGGTGCGCCGCTGCCCTTGCTCTCCATCACCATGGCCACGAGGTCGTCGCTGTGCTGGAGAAGATCCGCCAATTCCGCAGGCTCGGGGATTCGTTGGGCCTGGGCGAGAATGCCTACAAGCTCCTTGCCCGCTGGGGCTGCAACATCAAGGAGATTCAGGAGATTGGGAACCAGGCGCCGACCATGAAAATCCGCAGGTGGCACGACGGTAAGGTGCTCGCCGAGCAGCCCCTCATGGATATGGCGGGCTATATCGGCCATCGGGGCGACTACCACGACACGTTTCTCAAGTGGTATGTTGTCTCGGTGGACACCCCACCCCCCCCCCCCCCCCTACCCCCCCTTCTGCGGCAGATGTCCCGATATTTGAATCTCTCTCTGATCACCAACCAACCAACCAACCAATCAATCAATTAAAACTAGGGTCCGCGAGCGCAACATCCCTATCCGCATGGGCTGCGAGGTGACGTCCTACGACGACTCGGACCCGGCCCCGTCGCTCACGCTTGCCTCGGGCGAGACGCTGACGGCAGATGTCATCGTCGCGTCGGACGGCATCAAGTCTCTGGCACGGCCCCTCGTCCTCGGCGCCCGCGACGACCCGGTCTCGAGCGGATACGCCTGCTTCCGAGCCTACTTTGAGCCGAGCGAAGAGATGAGAGCGGACCCGAGGCGCAATGCTTTCCTCGGCGGTGACAGCGTCAACTTTTGGATCGGGCCGGATATGCACGTCGTGCAGAATACGTTGCGGGGTGGCAAGGAGTTTAACTGGTATGCATACTTTTCTCTTTTTCTTCTTTCTTTTCATTTTATTATTTTCTTTTCTTTTTTTTTTTTTTTTTTTACTTTTTTCTTTTTTCTTTTGCTCGCAAGAACGGGGTAGGTGTCATATACGGCGGAAGTGCTGACATCCATCATCTGTGTCCTGGAGGATCCTAACCCACAAGGACGACGGGGACGTGCCCGAGTCGTGGTTCCAGCCGGGCGACATGGACGAAGTTCGACGGCTGGTAGCCGACATCGACCCGGCCATCCGCGAGGCCATCCAGTCCACTGAGCAGTGCCTCGACTGGAAGATCTGCTACCGCAAGCCGCTGCCCACCTGGGTCTCGCCGCGGTCGCACCGCATCGTCCTGCTCGGCGACAGCTGCCACGCCCATCTGCCTACTTCGGCGCAGGGCGCGAGCCAGGCGACCGAGAGCGCCGGCGTGCTGGCCGTGTGTCTGAGCATGGTTGGGCGGGACGAGGTCCGCATCGCGACCCGGGCGTACGAGAAGCTCCGCTTCCCCCGGATCCGCGTCAGCCAGACGCATGGCGAGGACTTGCGCGATCGCTGGCATAACGTGTTGAAGAACGTGGACGAGAACGTCGAGATCGATCCCGAGATGGTCAAGATCAAGGTGAGGATAGTTGGGATTATCATCGTGCAATCCGGGAAAGGCATTTATATATAACAAAACTGACTGCTTAATGAATACATGACAGAACCGGCCGCTGTACGCTTTTGACGCGGAGCAGGACGCGAAGGATAGGTGGAGCGAGGTTTCAGCGAGGGTGCGGAACGAAATTGCCAACGGTAAAATAGAACCGCTCTGCGACTGATGAGGCGGGGGGTCTGTGGATGTATTTGGACCCGGGATGGCCCTATCTGCCTCCCATGGAGGCCTTTATGTTCAGGCTACTATAGAAACACAAATAGAAGCAATGGCGGCTCGATGTGACAATGCACAGCTGCATGGTACCACTGGATGAGTCACCAAGGTGAGATGATATTAATATTATTATTAGTACTAATTGACCACGTCTATCTGCGACATGTAAACCAGTCCAGTGAATCCAAGAAAACAAACAACAGTCACCATGCTTCTAACCACAAAGAAAGGGGAACTCTGCGTAGACCTGAAAGAAATAACCCCTGAAATACCACGCTGTTTCGTCCATCAGATCCCACTTGAACGATATCCGTCTCTTGAAGGACACGGTCACTCCATACGGTCGTCAACAGAAGCGTCCTCGGTTCCGGAGATGTCGAGGTCACGCATGGCCTGTTCAAGACTGTCAACATTCATTGACTCGCCCGCGCCGTTGTCGTCATCCCTGATCCCGTTTTCGCCGCTGTCAACGGCCATTTCATCCGATCCGCCGTCAACAGCCATTTCACTCGATCCCTGAGGAGCGACTTCATTGGACGCGCTAGAAAGGACGTATCTGGGGCCACCCGCTGGGGCCGGTCTACTCCAGTCGAGTGTGTCAGCGTCCAGAAACGCGTCGATTGCGCGCCTGAGTCTCCTTCTGGACTCGGTCTCGCGCTCAAGCAGCTGCTGGCTTCGGGGATCATTGCGCCGTCTCTCGCGAGCAGCACGGAGTAGTGAAAACCACATAATGAAGAACCGCGGAGGGCAACGGCTCCACACAGCCCGAAGTCTGAGTCTTCGTTTAAGCTGCTGCTTATACGCGAGGGGGGTTGCGATTGACGCGTCACCCCGGCGCTGTTGCGTTAGCCTCGTGGCCTTATCGAAGAGGCGTGTAAGCAGATCATTATTCGCGTTTGTCGTTAGCGATCTTATAAACTCGTAGAATGCCGCGCCGTTTCTGAGTTCGGCTTCGAGGCGGCGTCTGGAGTCCATGATTGTGGATAGAGTAAATAAAGTGGTCCGGATGGAAGTTTGTAAGTCGTAGGTCGGCTGGAAGAACGCAGCACCGAAACGTGGCTGGAATCAAGGAAGTGGGAATGACAACGCTGCGAAGAAGGTGGTGGTTAGGAAGAAGTTAGCATGCGCAGTTCCAATGGTGTTGTTGTTTATATACGGCTGGGGGCAAGGGGGGAGCCTCTTGCCAGTTGACACTGTGTTTGTGTCCCAGTGGCGTCCGGTGACGTCGGTCATGTGAGAATCTATGGATGTCAACATCGGACGGTCACCTGGCAGCCACCCGCTCCGGTGATGGGTTGAGTAACGCCTTCCTCCCGCATGTTGGTACGGTATCTGGCACGGTATTATCTCTTCTGGCTTCCGAACCGAGCCATCCCATCATTCAACCGACCTAGAACAAGGAACCTCATCACCACTGGGCCTGGCGCCCTCACTTTTTGTTCGATCAATCTCTTCATCATACCAATCAATCAAGGTATCCAAGTCATCGTCCTTTTCTCTCGCCTGCCTGTGGTTGTCACTGGTTGGTGCGCTGCTGTGGGTACAGGCTACAGCTACCTTACTTATACATAAGGTACGGTAGGTACACACTGATGACTCTCTGTCAGAACAGTTCCATGTGCTCATTGCTTTCGCTCTTATCTGGGACTCTCATATCAAAGATCTTTCGACATCCATTAGACTTTTAGTGTTGATCTTCCCCATTTGTTGATATCTGCCACTTCTATATCCATATTTCCTGACTCCCGCCGTCCTCCCGCCGGCTTCTTGCCCACCTGAGTGTCAAAGGCTCGGCGGAGTTAACACTCTCCGATACAATCGACTAAGAGGACAAAGGCAGACATTTGAACGTGACGTGTAAAAAGCTAACAATGGCAGAGTTACGGAACGTGCTAATCTTACAACTGCTGCCATTTGCCGTACCGGGACCCGTTACTCGAAAGCGCAATCATCATGTCCGCGCATATCATGCACGGCCAGCGGACAATGAGCAGCACAGGCTCACGGCGAATACACGGTAGGTAGTCTTTGTCTTCCGTCTTCCCGTCTTTTTCCGATCTTCCATTTTCTTTTTTTGCTGCTAGCAACGAGAGCAGCAATAAACTCTCAGCAAGCGTGATCTACGTTGGAAGAGCAGTGCGGTCACGGCAGAGAGTCTAGCTACCTGTCTGTACGGTGTGGTGTACATTGGGTTGAGCAAAATGAGGGTGGTCAACTGGGGAAGGTGAGCCGAATCGAACCATACGACACAGCGTCTCGGAAGGGAAGGGGTCTGTCTAGGAGCAAGTATACTACGCAAGTCAGGTACTGTAGGTAGGCAGGTGTCTGAGGTACCTCCAGGCTCCAGCATGAGTTGCTGGACGGGTAGTTCAGTCGGCGTTAGAGCTATTATTACCTCTCGTTCTTCCTTCTGCCTATGATTACTACTTCCTCTTCCCATCGCCTGCTCCATTTTCCTGACAGCGGTCAATGACTTGATATTTCCAAGCTCCTCAGTCTTGCTTGTCCCCCCGGCGAGCGTTGAATAATCATCCGTTCATTCTTAGGAGGACCGAGTGATAACCGGAGACCGGGACTCCCTCACCTCGAACAGGTGTCAGTATCATCGGCACGGCCGGCTAGTGACGCGAGGAGGAGGCGGGCCTACGTTGTTTGTATTAAACCACCCGTCAGACCGGATTAGTATTAGTATGTATCCATAAGATAAGCAATCCACACTGATTACCGTATGTGGGATTGTGCTGTATGTGTTACCGGATTCAGAGGCCCCGTCGACGGAAAGACATTCGTGCTTTTTCGATGCCTGCTCCCCCATGGGGCCCATGCTATTCCCCGCTGGGACAGGGACATCCAGCTTCATCAGACGACGCCTTCAAAAGTTCGAATATGAGTCTTATCCTATGATATCGAAGCTGGTCAACCGCCCAAGCCAAGGCTTTCTAACTCTAAACATGAAACCTGCTCGCCTTCATTGTCGCTTATTAACCCCGTGGAGGATAGCAATTCGCGGCACAGAACTCAACCAGCCTAACCAGGTTGCTATGGACCGACTCGTCTCATTTTCAACTCAACCGCCAACTTACAGAGTAGGTTAAGTAATGAAGAAACATGCAAATTCAATCAAGATATGGTCAGGGGCCGTTCTCGCCAAGTTGCGGCGAGCAGACTTGATGTTACCCCCGCGAGCTCCGGAATGGAGAGAGCGAAGGGAGTCTGCCACCTTCCTGATTCTGTTGCGCCAAGGAAACACGCGATGCTACGGGATCCCTGTAAGGGTGAGGCGAGTGGCCCGCCTCTCGTGCCACGTGAACGGCGCGTGAATGGGCATACACCGCTGTGGTTCTGCGAATGGCAAAAGAGTGTCAGCACTCGATGCTGGTAGTGTGCAGTAGTAGCATGCGGCGGCCCGAATGTCTGCGGCATTTCATTCCGGACTTTTTGAGCCCCCGAACTGTACGGTGCAACCTAGCATGGGAGTTGCATAAACAGGTAAAGTTACCATGATAAGTAAACCTAGGTACTGGGCGGACGGTGCGTCAAAACAATACTAGTATATCTGACTGTGGCACCGAAGCAAGCTACCCCCCTGACACTACCTTATATATGTGTTGTATACGTATTATACTTGTTACATATACATTAGGTACCTTGGCTACCTAGGTTCCTGCAATCATAACAACTATAACGTTTGTGTGCGGTATGGCATAGTATTTCCCGCGCCACATATGGTCGTCCAGGGGTTACGTATTCGTGTCGCATCCTCCTCGAACTCCGGTCGGTTCCGAGCGCAGCCCAGGCGCCAGATCATGTCCATAATCCGTATGTACAGGAACGCCGTCACCAATACAGGAGAACGATTGCCAGTGTGTAATTTCTCGGCGCGTGGTTGACCAATACAATTTGCTGCGCTTATTATGAACCTACCTTTTAGCGCAATGCAATGTCTGGGAGGTCGGGCCTGACGCCATGGCATGGGGCCGTCGACCGGGGTCTCACCGTTGAGCTAGGTATGGCGGTGGATCGGGCTACTCCAATGGCTCGGAGCCGAGACGAGTGGCGCATTCCAGGTAACTAAGGTACCTTGTTCCGCTTTTGTTTGAGCCCTGCGTGTTGTGTCCTGCGCCGCTGTCGAATACGACTCATCGTGAATTGTCCACAATCGTGGTTAGTAGGAGTAGAGAAAGTGTTGAAGGATGTCCGCTGCTGCCACCGTCCATAGACGAGCACTCATTCTGCAGACCTTACTGATGATTGTACTCCGTACTTAGCGAAGGACTGTGTAGTTCTGCTCAAGGGATGGCTTGCGAGATCCACTCCGCGCGTGCGTGCATATGTTGCGTTGCTGCTACATAAACCAAACGTGATGCTCAGCTCATTTACCCTAACACGCTAGCAAAGGGTGAGAGAGGCACTGCCGTTCCTTTGGGAGTCATTAGGTACCCGGTATGGTCTGGACTGGCAACCGGGCAGCTGGTCATCTCCCTGCTTGTTGACGATATGCTGCCAAGTACGGAGTATGTACGGACTACCGTGCTTTGTAAGGTATGATGACTCTGCAAGCTAAGGGACATGCAACCTAAGCTGCAGGATGCAGTATCATCGCTTAGGCAGTCAAGAGTGTACCCAGCGGGTACACTAGGATAACTCAACATAAGGTTATGACAGCCGCCTGCGTTGTGCGGCAGTTGGCGGCATTGCGTACAGCAGCGTAGGGAATCCTCTATCGCATGGAGCGTCGGATGGTGCGGCCTCGAACAAGTGCAGGCGTTGCGGTGAGACTTGTGATGCCTGCGATTTATGAGTCGATGAGGGCTGCCCAGGTGAGCTTTCTTTCTGCAGCGCTTGTTGAGAAGCTCCCTGGGTCACCCTAGTAGCCCGATGGGACATCAAGGTGCACTTGATGAATCGGGTTTTATCTTATCGTAGGAGCATGCTCCGGCCGCCCCGGCGAATCCTTGCTTTTACCTGCTAGGATGGGTTAAGCGCAATCGCATCGTGATGCAGAGATGCGCGTTTCCTGATCAAAATTCCAAATGACTGTTAGGTACCCCACCGTGCCCTCCAGCTCCTCTCACGTTTTCCCGGCTCCGGCTGAAAAGCGGGGATGGTGCGACGCGGGGCTGCCCTCCGACCACCGCTCCTGCAGGGGCATCTCTGGGATAACCTGGAAGCTCCAGGCATCAGTTAAACCGTTTTGATGGGGGGGCAAGCCGCTGCATCTCAACATCTGGCGATCCGCCCACCAAGTCGCCCATCCTCGCGATCCTCATCACTGCACTCATCGGACCTATCCCACCCATCCAATTCCATCCGTACACTACAGCTCGCGCTCTGTCCAATCCTAGGCGTCCCCTCTTTGTCAGCAAATCCAGAGCCTTCCATGCGCCAATCTTGAGGGAAAACTCTGTCAACTATCAAGCACTTACGATGAGTTCTCCCTGCCCCCGTAATTCTCCCCAAGGGCCAGGCACACCGCCAAGCTAGCATTCCAATCGGTGATGGATCTAGGTTCCTCCCCATCTGGGCTAGCCCGCCCGGCGCACCGTTTCGGCAACACGCGAGCGAGCGATTGGACGATAGGTGTCGTTTGAATCGCTCGAGAACACACCTTGCGGGAGCCCCCGGCCTGATCTGCAAGCCATGCCAGGGTCATGTCATTTTGTTTCGACCGTCGCTGCGCGGCCGTGGCGCGGCGGGGAAAGTAAAAGAAGACTCATCACTCCATAGTGTATTGTACGTACTGGACGGGACTCGACATTTGGTATCCGTCGCAGGCTCGCCACGAGGAAGGATGGAGCGGAGTGGGACAACACAACGCTGTCCCAGTGCTCATTTTTTGCACTCACGCAACCTGGGGTTTCATCGACGCGTTGACCATGACAATAGCGGCAAGCCCCTGCGATGGGGCAAGCGGACCTATGTCCGGTCTGAAATCACATCAGTGATGTAGAGAGCATGTTTCGGACGCGCCGCCTGGTTTCGATCTCTCTGCTACACATGAACTAGAGCCGGAAGCGACTCAGCACGGTCGCGTCTGGATCGTTGACAGGATCTTAACTACGCAGAGCTGCGCGGCTCAAGGAGTAAAGAAGCGTGTGCGGACACTGCGGTAAACTGTATCGACAACAGCAGGCACGGGAGAGGTTGGTGTGGAAGCCCCCACCACCCAAGGACAGGCGCCGGCGGCGCAGGCCATGCCGCTCCGCTCCTCTTCCTGCTCAGCTGCTCAAAGGCAGGATTGGACAGGGGCAAGTTAAGTTGCGCTCAACCATCCCGGCTAGTGCAGTCGAACCCCGGCGAGCCAGGTGGAGCGGATCTCGACCCCTGCCCCGAGTTCCTGAGAGCGAGGACGAGCACATATGTACGGAACCGCTTCCTCTGAGATTGCCGAAAGGATTGTGACCAGGCTCGACTGTCAGCTCAACTCGCAGACTTGCAGACGCGCAAGCGACGAAATCAAACCTCCGCTAACATACAGCCAAACTGAAGGTTCTGCAAGCGTCAGCAAGCGTCAGCAAGCGTCAGCAAGCGTCAGCAAGCGTCAGCGTAGTACATCATGACCGCGTCACTGACACACGCGCGGGCTTTTGACCCGGTACCGCCTCCCATGCCTCGCAGGCAGTCGTGCGACCGCTGCCATGAACAGAAGGTCCGCTGTGTCACCGAAGGAGCCGATGGCGCCTTGACCCTCGGAGGCATCGCCGAGGAGAATGCGTCGAGCCTGAGCGGACATGTGGTTTCGTCGGTGCCGTGTGTCCGTTGCAGGAAGGCCGGGGCAGTCTGCATATACAGCCGTAGGTGTCTTCTCCGGCCACACGCCTGAACGTGCACGCTGACAGCAAAATCCAGCTCAGCTACGGTCCGGTCGCCCGAGGCTCCGCCGAGACTCGAGTGCGCCTCCGCCGCGCAAGAAGCCACGGCAGGTGTCAAGGTGTTCCTCTTCCTCTTCGCTGTCTTCTACCTGGTCTCAATCCACCTTCTCGCCGTCATCCGTATCTCGGCCGTCCACTGCAGCCACCTTCTCCTCGGCTGGCATTGGCTTGGGCATCCTTGAGCACCCAAACGAGCCTGTTCACGAGCATAATGCTCCCCCGATACAGCCTCTCTTTTCGCCTCCTGCAACAGCGCCGCTCTGTGAGCTAGCGAGCCAGCACGGCTCGACGTTGGAGGGCCCGCCGCCTCCCTCCGGCCAGTGGCTGATGTCTCCGTTCAGCTCCGGCAGCAATCATCAATTCCAGTCTGGCATGTGCCAACTGGCGTCTTTCTCAGAAACTCTGCCTGATCCGACCATCCCATGTGGTCCTCTTTATCCGAGTTCTGACCCCCAGGGCTCCTCGCCGGCGGAGAAGCTCATCGGGAACCATCCATGGGTCTGCCCCAGCCCTCCCAGCCCTCCCGATTACTCGCTCGGGGAGTTGGCGCAGATCAGTTTGCGCGTTCATCTCGCTAGCCGCGTGCTGGCTTCCTCGGCCAGGACATTGGCCACGTTGTCATCGCCAGCGGTCAACGACGTGGTGGAGGCGGCTTGCTCGTTGGTCAACTTCGTGGACCGTTATGCGCAGAAGCGACCGGCGCCGCTCTCACCGCCGCCGGTGGAAGGGGGGATGCCGGTGCATGGGAGCATCGAACGCCCCGCCATGACGGGCTTTGATTCGCCGTATCCCGGCGTCTGTTCGGTTACCGACCAAGCGTTGGACTCTTCAATTCGGCTCATGATACACTCGTGTCACCAAGCGATCCTGGGCGTCTTCGAGGAAATGACAGTCTCCTCCCTGCTTCTCCTAGCAGAGCCGCAACAGCCCACACCACCCAGGACGCCGCCACACGCGGGGGCTTTCCAGCCATACAACACCCAGATCATGGTTATGATGAATCAAATAAGCAACCTCCTGAGCCAGCTGGATCGCGCCATCCTGTCGCTCTCGGGGACGCCAAACGCTCACCAGTCTCAACGCCACAACTCGGTGCCGCTGACGACGGCAATGTTCCGCCAGAGCACGCCAACAGAATACGGGCTACCACGAGACATCGACGGGCATTTTGAACCCCCTCCCGATGCACTACGCCAAAGGGAACACGGCGCGTGGCGGCAGACCGCCACTGGCTCGCTCTTCACCGAGATGGAGCAGAGACAGCTAAGAGTGAGATCACAAGTGAAAGCAGTCGAGAGCTTGCTGATGAGACAGTCGCATGTAATAGTATAAACCAGAAAGGTCGGTCATGTAATTCAGTTCGAGCCTGCACCCGCAGACATTGCGTAAAATTCCATCTTAAGAACTACCAACGTACCAATTTTCCCCAACCGTGAACCATGTGTCTTTTTAGGCCACCCCAGACTAAGAAGAAGGATTTTAACGACCGTGCAACAGAACGATGGACCAGTTACTCAACAGCCCCGCAATCTTGGTTCCGACGCCTGTCGGGAAGACGGAAACTTATGCCCAGCAACCGAGCAAGCCTGAGGTGTGTGGGCGGGCTTCGGGTGCGTTTGCGTTTAGGTGTCGGGCTTGACCGAACATACAACCTGTAGGAGGGTTGGTGTCCGTAGCCCTTATTAGCTCCGGCACCATTAAGACTCATGGAAACTGCCCGTACCTTTGCATGCCCAGGTGACGAGTACACTTTGCCATTTTTAAATGCTTCGCATTGTTCAACACGTCTGTGACACAATCCTGTTTTCTGAACAACCCCTACAACGTCAATGCAGGGCAATCATTATACCTTGTCACTCCAGCCACCGACGGTCCATTGTGGGCAGACCAGATTACGTATTTTTTGGCCCGTGGTTTTGCCACATACCTGCCCCAAAGATGCTGTGTTTTGGTGAGATTATCTCGGCTGCGTGCAACATGGCGAGTGAGACCAAACCTCCCAATTACCCCCTCCTGCCAGGCTTGGGTGCTTTTACAGAAAAGGCATTACGGAATATGGCGCTCCTTCCATGGCGTAGTATTGGAGAATCGTCATCGTATCAAGCATATCACCCAAGGCCCGCTTCACATGCAAAGAAAGGGTAATGCAAAGAGTAAAAGAGAAAGCTGCGGAATCCTATGAGCCATCATCTATCTAGAGGTAGGGTAGGTACCTGACCAAACCCGCACGCCCAACCGAATCGAGCCCCCAAAACGCCCCCAACCCAGCAGTGAGCAATGTGCAACTCGAATTACTGTCCTGCTCACGAAATCAAATGCCGAATATTTCGGAGGGTTCACTTCCTCCTTTGGCGTTGCACGACCTCCTGGTACAGCTGCTCGTAGGGAATATCGTCCCTGGTCGGCACCTTGCCCACAATATCGCGCAACTTGCTCTCTATTTGGCGGGCCTTGCCTTCTTCATTCCTGTTCTTGTACTCCTCCATCTTTTTCATCAGCGGCAAGATCTTGCTGAGGAAATCTCGCGCGTTATAGGGCGAGGCTTTGGGGTTGTGCTTGAGCGTTTGGAACCCGCCCATCTGGTTGGCTGCGTCGTAGGTCGACTTGAGACCCCCGAGCAGGAATGCCTGCATGACCTCGGACAGTTTCTTGGGGTTGATGCCGCCCAGGTCATCGGAACTTTCGCCAAAGATGCGATGCTGGCCGACGTTGCGGTTTTCCAACACGCCAAATTCGCGCATAAAGTCGTCACCCACGACTCCGACGGCGGCGCAGCAGTCGTAGGCAATGACCTTGACATCTTCCGCGACTTCCTCGAAGCCCAAGCCCAAGGTCTCGGATTTCTCTTTCAGGTGGTTGAACTTGGGGGAATTTTTCTCCAGTCCGAGACGAGTGTTCAGGTACCAGTCGACCTTGAGGTGGGGCATGAAGGGCCAGTTCATAGGATCCCAAAAGAACTTGAACTCCTGGCGCAGCCAGCTCCATCGGAGGTGGGCTCCAATGGGTCCATACTTGAAAAGACGCTGCATGAAGCTACCTTCTAACCTCGCCGCTTTGGCCGCCTCTCGGGACCAGGCATCAGAGCGGAGGTTGAAGCTGACGAGACCATTACAGTAATTCTCCGCCTTGGGAAAGTTGTAATCGTTGTTCATCATCCCCTTAACAGGGATTAGGTCGACGCGATTAGGTGCGATTTTGTAACCCCCTTGCGAGACGAACTTGGTGAATCTTTGTTGGAGATACTTGGACGTTGCTTCGTGACCGGTCTCCTTGTAGCGAGCGGTGAAGAATTCAGCCATGTCTTGCAGGCTGGAGATAAGAAGCATAGTGAGCGGCCGGCGGGGATCCGCAAGTTCCTCGATGAGGTCTTTTCCTGATTTGAAACCTTTTTTGTTCCAAGACGCGTTTTCGAATGTCTCATTCTTGAGAGCATAGAAGTGGTCATGGACGTGTTTAGCCCTGTCGTCGGTGCCGACGGTGCCCACTGCGACGGGGACATTGGGCAATTGGAGGAGATGAAGAACGGTTCGCAGGAACTTGGCACGTCTGTCGGCAGGCTCATGGTTGGCGATGAATCCAGCAAGCTCCACGGCACCCATGCGGTGCATCTCGGCGAGGAAGATGATAGCGAGCAGGTCGTCATAGTCCTGCTCGATGTCGGTAATGACTATGATACGTGGTGTTTCGCGCCGTTTACGCTTAGCAACCACGTTTTCGAGTTTCTTATAGAATGAATACTGCCAATCGTCCTTGCTAAATGGGATCGAGCGAGACGGCAACCGTGGAGTCGATTCCGGGCGTGTGTCGGGCCGGGCATCCTGCATTTGGACCTTCTGCCCACTGCGTCCGGTGCTGGGAGAAGAGCCCGTGGCTGCCAGTTGCGATGTGGTACTGGTAGTAGCAGATTGTGGAAGTGAACTAGCAGAGCGTGTTGCGTTAGATGCAGAGCGTGTTGCGTTAGATGCAGAGCGTGTTGCGTTAGATGCAGAGCTAGACGCAGGAGCCTTGCGGATGGGAAGTGAGTTGTCGCGTGATGGTCCTGAGGGACGCCCGGATGTGTTGGTATGTTTGGAAGACATTGTGGTTGTGAGTGTAGGCGAGCTTGGCTTTTAAAGCAACCGTTGACAACGTAGGTAGATAAGTAGGTAGCAGTGCAGCGCAAACAAGGCGCAGATTTGAGGAGGTGACAGTCGGTTAGACGGGGTGACCAGCACCAGTTAAAGGGTTGAGTCGGTTGACAGCAAAGGACACAGCGATCTGATGTGTAAACACAAAGAGGAAACGGATATGTATTCAGAGGAAGCAAAGGGCTTGGGGTCACGCAAGCCTTATCAATGCCACAGGCGCTGACCTGTGTGTCGTGGTCGCGGGCAGGAGGAATGCAGGTGAGGTCAGAGGATGACTTTTGGTGAAGTTTCTGAAACCATACAAACACTACTAACTTACTAAGTAGGTACCTACCTAGATAAACAATGGTGTAGGATAACGGCCAGCTGTGGGGCTGTGACTATTCGTGGCAGACAATCAACGGCTGGAGGATCATTTGACCTGACGTGGGCCGCATGAACAAGGCCAGGTGATAGGTCGCCTTTGCCTCAAAGGACATCGTCTGAGGAAGATCGCGTAGCAGATTAGGTACTCCAACTCACGGAAATGAGGTGGTAGCTGTGAGTTAGCCTCTCAAAGCTGTAGGTCCCTAATACTAAGAATAATAAGCTATCATGCCATGGCTTTCGTGGGCACTTGAGTCACCGTGTCACGTCACGTGTTACCGCACTGCCCGCCACTAGGGCTGGGCAAGGATGTTTTTTTGGGCCGCTTATTTCCGATTACCTACCTGACCTTCCCTTAGGTACTTTACCGAGGTATGCACCTACGGTCAGCGGCAGTGCCAAGGAAACTTGGAATTGCGAGTCGCAATTTGCGACTTTCTGCTCGGCTTGCACAACATGCACTCGTAACAGTGGGTCGTGTTTGCAGCCAAACAAGGGACTTGTACTTGTTGCGGCGGGACCGGTTTCCGTTTTGGGGATGGGAACAGTACCGCTACTCCGTAGGTCCGTAGGTACCTAAGGTAGTATCGGCCCAGGCCGACCCGGCCTGGCCTGGTTCTAGGTTCTAACGTTAATCTTAAAAATGTGCCGCACACAAGCACAGCCATAATAAGCGTGACCCGAAACCCAACAGCATGGCCAACTCCAACCCGAACAGCAACCCGTTGTATTCTTTGCTTTATCCATTACCTAATCAAAGGAGCCGGGTAAGCGGCCTGCTGCATTATAGGCTTGAGATTTCGAGACTGAGCACTAGTATCTGTCAAGAATGGCCCTGTCTTATGCTTCATGGGCCAGTATTACGGACAGAAGACAATCGCACTGTCATTCGGGCATGCACGAGGCGATTTACGTATGACCTACTGTGGTAGGGCCGTATACACCGGCAGCAGTTCAGCTGCCCTGGGCATAAACTGGCACGTCATCATGCCAATGGCTACAGTCGAGATACTCCGGGAATTCTTGACTTGGCAGAAGAGAGCTGAGAGTCTGTGCCGGAGGTGAATGAGGAGCATCCCAGCTCCAAGGAGGGACTTGGACTATAGTCCTGTCGAAACGGAGATGATGTTCGCCCCAGTGTCCCGTCGGCAGCCTCACGAAGCTTCGGGGTTTGCCGTGCCATAGACGTGCAGAATATCCCGATATCGGCCCGCTCTCTCTCTTGCTCGCAATCTCACCTCTGATGCTGCGTGGTCCCTTTCTCACTCAAACGGAAGATCTAGCTCACACCACAGTCTCGGAAGACGTGTATCGTCACAGAGCTGGCCATCTGCTCCAAACGCTTTCCCCTACCGCATCCAAGAGTAGTACAGTACTACTGTCGAGTGTCGATCGTCAAGCCGACCCGGCAATCCCAATCCACCAAATCACCACAATGTCTTCAGACTCCGCAACAGCTCTTCACCCGACACCACAACAGTCTCCGCCGGACCAGCCAAGCCCCTCTTTCGCTGCGCGTGACGGCGACGGCAACGAGGCTGCAAGCCTTCGGCTCCCACGCATCCTCTGCCTCCACGGCGGGGGTACCAACGCAGCCATCTTCCGGATCCAATGCCGCGTCCTGCAGAAGCGACTCGCGCCGCATTTCCGCTTCGTCTTTGCCGACGCGCCAATTTCGAGCCCGCCGGGGCCGGGAGTGGAGCCGGTGTTTAGCGAGCTCGGGCCCTTTCGGAGCTGGCTGCCGAAGCTAGGCCAGACGGACCCTCCGGACCGAGAAGGGGTGCGGAAGATCGACGAGAGTGTCGCCGCTGCTGTCCGGGCGGATGATGCGCGAGGCGCGACGGGGAGCGTGGTTGCCTTGTTGGGATTTAGCCAGGGGGCGAAGGTTGCGGCGAGCCTGTTGCTGAGGGAGCAGCAGACTCTCGCGGACAGTAATAATGGGGATGATGGGGGCGGGGCGACCAAACTAATAAGGGGCTATCGCTTTGCTGTGCTGCTTGCTGGGCGCGGGCCGCTGTTTGTTGTGGGTCGGGATCTTGAACCGCACAATCTCGGGGAAGAAGGGCCTAGACTGCAGCTGCAGCTGCCTACTATCCACGTCCATGGGCTTCGAGATTCTAGGCTCGAGATGCACCGGCATCTGCTCCGGGAATCGTGTCAGCCGGGGACCACTAGGCTCGTGGAGTGGGATGGCGATCATCGTGTGCCTATCAAGAGCCACGATGTGTCTGCCGTGGTGACCCAGGTGATTCAGGTTGCAACCAGCCTCAACCTGATGTCCTAATAATCGTGGTGCTTTCCGAGTGACTGAACGATAGAATGGATTAGAGTCCTAGAAAAGGTGGACGAGCGATAGAATGGTGCAGGAAAACGCCATCTGTGTGCTTGCTCAGTGATCCTACTGCAACCAATGTTATAAGAGACGTTTCAGTTTAATCTAGCGACTAAGACACAATCCAAGCCTTCTTCTGATAAGCCTGTTAACAGAGTTACCGGTCCAGACATAAGGGTCTCGACGCCGCAAGCCCGGCTACAACCTATTATGATTTTTATTCCGACACTCGCTATATTGGTTTTACGCACTACTGGTACTGAGTGCAAGATTCCTCGATGCTCGGTCACTGGATTGTTTCACTGGCGCTGGCGTCTGATGACTCTTGTAAGAAGTTCAGTCCAGTGGAAGGGAATTGGGTGTCTTTGCCTTGCATATCTAAGGTTCCATTCGAGCTACGCCTCCACAACAATCGCAAAACAGCGTCAGTGGTTTAGTGGTAAAATCCATCGTTGCCATCGATGGGCCCCGCGTTCGATTCGCGGCTGACGCATTACTTTTGCATCCTTTCCCGAATCAGAATCTGTTTTGATATCGCAAGATGGCCCCGGACTGGTCGTACAGTGCAACCCCTTTTCCATCCGGTTTCAATTACTTCCGGCTCTTCTCCGCCGCCACCTCCGCCGCAGACGCCGGATTGGTCTCCTCTGCTCCGGGCCCTTTGCCCCTGATACCGCGCTCCACGCCCTCGGGCAGGTCCGCGCCCAGGGCGCGCGCCCGGCCCTCAACCGTCTCGTCCGACGTGGTAGCCGTGGCGCCCACGCCCTCCAAGCCGCTGCGCTCCTTTTTGCGTTTGCCGGCGTGCATCTTGCTGTCGTTCAGCTCTTTGCCCGTCTGGCCCTCCATCGGCCGCGCGAATGTCGACTGGCTGTGCACTTCGCCACTGGTGGCGCCTGGCATGTCCAACGCGCCCGTCCGTCCGGACTCGTCTACATCCGGGTTCATGGCCTGTCCCGGGGTCTCGTGGATCGGGTTGGGTTTGTATGTGCTTTCCTTGGGCGCGGTCCCGGGAGGGAATGTCTTGGCGCGGAACTCGGGGACGGCTTCGTTGCCGACTTGCTGGCCCAGTTGATGCTGCGTCGGTGTGAGTGAGCCGAGCAATCATCGCTGGAGAGGGTATCGGGGCCGGACGTGACTTACTCCAGAGGTGGTTAGCGGCTGTGCTGGCGGCACGCTCGAGTGAAACTGCCCTTGGTTGACAACTGAATCGGGGTTGGCAGACATGGTGAGAGGTGTTTTGACTTGTACTGCGAGTGGCTCAGATTGGTCTGTCGTGCACTTGATGTTGTTTGATGCCGAATGCTGTTCGTGGATGGGTTTGTGCTCCAAGCAACTCGGAGCCGTCAGATATAAGTTCAGATTGTGGTCAAGGTCGGTCTATGATGTCAATTTCCTTAAACTCTCCACACAAAATACTGTTGCGTCATAACCACATAAGGGCATGTTACTGGAGGGACCGGTATAGTAGGAACGCGCCATTCTCAAATGTGCCGGTTACATCATCCTGCTACCTTCTCCCACTTGGGTTGTGATTGTCGGTGGTGGAAGCCCCAAGCCCCGGCACATGTGTATGGACGTCGGAGATTCTGCAACTCAGTTTATGCAGTGCCAGTCACTGAAGTCTGGGCTTGACATCGACTAAAGGTAATATCTCCAAAATCTGCACTTGACATCCTTCTCAACCGTATGTCGCGGACCGGGCCATCACAACTTGGGTCGGTGTACTGTATGTAAAGTGCTAGTGTAAGCATGCCGAATGGATGCTACTGTGTCGGCCATCGGGGATGTCAAGCTCAAGATGATGTAATGAAGCGGGGCATCTTCCGCACCCTGCTGTGGGTGGATCAGATGTCGGGACTTTCCGTCTGATTAGGATGAACTGAAGTTTGATACCTGGGTGAATACACGTGTCTGTATGTACCAATAGTGTAGGTGACACGGGGCGCTTAATAGAATGAGGAATGCATCAAGCGTGTTCCAGGTTGTATTCTGGTTTTGTTTGTGCAGAGGAAGGATATCAAGCCAGGTGCAGCGGGATTAATTCCAGACGCAGCGGTTACACTATTCCATAGGTCCGCGGGGCATAGTGCAGTCCAACCCCTGGTGTGAGGTACGTTAGCGCCTGACTTGAAGACCAGGGTCTAACCCAAAATCTCAATCACAACGGCAAAACGGCCAACCTTTCTACGGAAAAAAGGTATAGATAAACTCAGACTTTAGGTTGTTGTGAGATGCTCTATCTTTCTGCGTTGAACCAGCTCTTTTCGTAATTTAGGAGTGTTGTTTCGGGGTTGAGAGCGGAACCCTGTCGTAAGTTCCGCGCTAACAATCATTCAGGGGTTGAACTGTAGGTAAACACTTGCGGCTGACGGCTGCCCAGCCAACCGGTTCCAGCCACCCCGCCTTTTTGGCCATTCCGGTTAAGTTCACAGTATGTATCCGGGCCAGCTGTAACGTTAGCGTCGGCGCCGCGAGCAACCAACATCTTGCGCCGACCGCCGAGCCTTGCTGGGCCGGTTCTGGTACCGATAGTTACCTCGAGTCCGGATCGGGTATGCAGCCCACCAGTTCTTGGCACGCCAAAGCACGTTCCCGTCTCATGTTTCGAGGATCCAGTGTTTTTGCTTCTTAGGCGTTGCTGTTTCTTTTCTGTGGGAGGTTCCAGCTTGCGGGTAGCTGCTGCATCGACCCGCCCTACCTACGGATAGTGAGCTGCTGTGTCTCTCGACACAGCGTCGTTTGCGCGCCGCTGTCCAGTGGGGGCCCTCAGCGACGGATTCAGGAAGGCTCCAAACGCAACAACAGGAGGGGCGCAGCCCAAATACGAGCACAGTGTTCGACACGAAACCATCCAAGCCACGGCGGTTTGCTTGTTGTGCCACTCGATTCTTTCCAATTCAGCGACCCAGTTTCGATCCTCTCTTTCCCCGCGCCCCAAAGCGAGCATCCGCCGAGCCAAGAAAACTCTATCGAAGTTGGCCGGCCAGTCGAACCAGGCTGCGAACATTCCAGTGGGGACTGGAATTGGGAATTGGGAAGGTCAGCACACCGTCGCTACGCCTCTGTTTCAGCACCTGCGGCCATGGCGCAGCCACGATATTATTCAGAAGACGACGAAATGGCTGAACGCCAACCGCTCGGTGTTTCCGCGCCATCCCCCCCTCCCCATCGACAGTTCAAGCAGCCGCCTCAACGATCGTACCAGTCTCCGCGAGATCCATACGACGCCCCGTCGTCTCAATTCCGGTCCGGAGCCCATCCCGACTCCTCGTTTGAGAGACGCTCCCAAAGACGACGTAGCCAAGAGGCTGCCCACCGATACGCCGCTTCCGGCACGGCGCCGAACGCTTACGGACAGCCAGAAGTATCGCCAGTGTCCCCACTCCACTCATCTCCGCAACGCTATACGGACAGGAATATATGGGGCCAGGGGACCTCGTATCCACCACGCGCACAACAGCGGCCGTCTCCCCAGAGCACCGTCACTCCCGGCGCCGACAACTTCAGCAATACCGCTGCGGGAGGCATGGCCGGAATCGCCTTGAGTATCGCTGAGCAAAACGCCAGAGAGAGTGGTCTAAACGCGATCCACAGCCAACACCCAGATCACCCATACCAGAATCAGGGCCAGCAGGGACAAGCGTACCCGGAGAGGGGGATGCTGACACCGCACGAGTACTATTCAGGAGACAGAGCCTCACATTCCAGCTTGCAAGGGCTGAACGCCGGTGCCGTGGGCGCTGGATACGCCACGCCAGGGCAGATAACGCCGTCGCGGACAGGGGACATCTACACCGACGACCCGTACCAGAACCTCTCCAGCCACCATCACAGGGACTCGACCCTCCTTAGCATCGTCAATCCCAACGACATCATAGACGACGACGACGACGGCCTGGTATACGGACGGAGAGGGCCGAGGACGAGCATGCTGAGCATCGGGTCTAGTCACAAGAGCCGTGACGGTACCGCCGCCACCGCCGGCGGGGTTGCTGTAGCGGGCGGCGTGCTTGGGGGCTGGCAGGGCGGAATGGGAGCGGGGGTGTGACCAATCAATATGCCCCCGTCAACCACGACACCAGCAGCGATAGAGCTTCCGGGGGTTCAGGAGGGGGGAACATATACAGTGCCGGACCACCTATGGGCGCGGACGGAGAGAAGGGCGCATGGCAGGCGGGAGCGGTTCCGAAGGGCAGCGGCAGCGGCAAGAAGTGGAGGCTAGCAATAATCGTTGTCGTCATACTCGCAATCATCGCCGGCATCGTTTGCGGCGTGCTGTTTGGGGCGGTCTTGAAGGGCCACGACACCAGCGGCGGCAGCGGCGGCAGCTCATCCGGCAGCACGTCGACAGGCGCTGGCGACACGCAAGCAAACGGAGACCTCAATTCGGATTCCTCTGAGATTCAGGCGCTCATGAACAACCCGGACCTCCGCAAGGTGTTCCCCGGCATGGACTACACCCCGCTCAACACGCAGTTCCCGGACTGCCTCAAGAACCCACCGTCGCAGAACAACATCACGCGCGACCTGGCCGTCCTCTCGCAGCTGACCAACGTGATCCGGCTGTACGGCACTGACTGCAACCAGACCCAGATGCTGATCCACTCCATCAACCAACTCAAGCTCCAAGACACGGTGAAGGTCTGGCTGGGCGTGTGGCAAGACGGCAACGCCACGACTAACGCTCGCCAGCTGAGCCAGATGTGGGACATCCTAGACGAGTACGGCGAGAGCTACTTCAAGGGCATCATCGTGGCCAACGAGATTCTCTTCCGCCAGGAGATGAACATTGCCACCCTGGGAAGTCTCCTTCAAGAGGTCCGCGCCAACTTGACCGCCAAGGGCATGAAGCTGCCCGTGGCGACTAGCGACCTCGGCGACAACTGGACGTCGAACCTTGCCGCGCAGAGCGACGCAATCATGGCCAACATCCACCCCTTCTTTGCCGGCACCAAGGCGACCCAGGCCGCCGACTGGACCATGTACTTCTGGGGCAACAAGACTCAGGACTTTCTCAAGAAAGACAATGCCATGAACATCATCGCCGAGACGGGCTGGCCGTCGCAGGGCGGCACGGCGTGCGGCAACGAGTGGGAGACCGACTGCCCGGACAAGGCGGTTGCGGGGATCGACGAGCTGAATACCTTCATGGAGGATTGGGTGTGCCGCTCGCTGGACGACGGCACCGAGTATTTCTGGTTCGAGGCGTTCGACGAGCCGTGGAAGATACGGTTCAACACCGCGGGGAAGGAGTGGGAGGACCACTGGGGGTTGTTGACGGTGGATCGCAAGTTGAAGAAAGGGGTGAAGATTCCGGACTGTGGCGGAAAGAGGGTTTCTTAGTATCCGTGTTGCACCAGTTTCTTATTCTGCGGTTCATATTCCATGTCTGGGTTTTGTTTTGCTCTTGTGGAGCCATATCCCTCCTGTGTTCGTCATCACGTCGGCCCGTTGTATTTACGATGCCAGGGGTGGGCATGTCCAAGGTCTTGTTGTGGGGTTCTGTGTTGTACACTTGAGTGGACACCTTAGGTAGGTATTAACGCTTCAGTGGGGTTTAAGTCTACACAAGGTAACTATCTCTTATTTAGGGAATACGGTTAGCGGTTAGATACTCTTTGGGCGGACTTTGGGTGGATGATTAGGTACTTGGACCGGTGGGTTGACGACCAGGTCTAGATACTTGTAATGGCATAGCGTTTCTGCAAAACATTGACCACTTCAGTGCGATTCGGTAAGGCGGTTCAAGGCGTACTCCCTGACCTTGGCAGCTTGGGTGGTTTTACCATAATCTATCCCCAGCCTGCCTTGTCTAGGTTCGCTTCGCCTCACTTGTCTTGATTCCCTCGTAAGCCCACATACGAACGGCTCTAGGACGCTCCATACGTTATGCGACCCGGCCCTCCCAGCTGCCCGAGTGTTCCTGGAATATGTAACCAATTCTCTTCCACAGCCGTTTTCATTCGCCGTTTGTTTAGGCTTCATTATCAACACGCAAGCCACTCTAGACTTGGACGCGAAACGATGCCGACCCCTAACTATTAGAGCGCCTCGTTGCACAAGATGCTAGAGACACCGTCATCCGGATGACAGATATGGCCTTGGAGTGCTCCATCCTTCACCTGGATGGAGCACATCATTCATACCTGATAGTTAGTTAGGTAGTATCTGACGGTCGATTTGCTAACGAGGCACGAGAATGTCGGCTGGGAGGGAGGTGACGGGTCTGACCTCTGAGTCAGAAGCTATTTAGTACGACATCAAGAGACTGACTGAAGGAGTCGGGCGCAACCCGATCGCCGGAACGGTGGCTTACATCTTGGGAAACACAAAAGTGAGCCATTCCTGATCACGAGTTGCGCTCATGACCAAGGCAGAGAGAGAGCATCCAGATTCCAGAACTTCAAGTCCGGTCCTATCGGGTTGAGGCTATTTCATGGCGGCGACCTTGATAGGACATGAAGCGAATCTGACCACAGGGCCCCCGTTACACAGCGTCTGTTTACTCTATTGTAATAGGGCTGTAGTTCCGTCGGCGGATGTTGGTCGGGGTCTGTCGTACACGCACGAGCTTGTTACGTGTGACTGATTTCCATGCCAAGTTTCTCTTGTTTCGACGGCTCCGAGCTGGCTCATAGCGGCAGAACGTGAATGTGAAACAATGGACTGACTGTGTCTGCGACTGGATTGCTCAAGGGTCAGGTGATATAGTGTCACAAAGTGAGTAGGGTAGGTAGTAACTTGTGGTAGGTGGATGAGCTTCCGTCCTACACCACCACATATCCATCGCACCATCGCAACATGTCAGACCCGGTCATGGGGCATCTTACGGCACACAAGATGATGCGCACCCGGCTTTCATTCTGACGGACTCGATGCGAGCATGCGAATCACCTCGTCGTTGAGGTCCGAGATTGTCCGATGATGTCGGGACGCACAAGCATACTACTAGTTGTAGTGCTCATTGCGCTCACCGATGATGGTCCCCCCCAAAACCAACTTCAAAGTCCAGGGTTCCTGATTGATCTGGCTACACTAGTCTCCTGTCTCCATCCCAAGACTGTGTCACAAGTGAGGCTGTCTAGTGTAGGTACCATCCGTTTCATAACTCGACATCTTGCTCACTGCTTGATGAGTGCTCACATCTCACCATCAGATTACCCACACACATATCTATGTAGCAAGGTGACGCTACATTGGAACTTTTGTCTAGCACCCAGCAGGTGATGAACGCAGGCTTTGTGTTGGCCAGTCAAGTTCGTTTCCCGGAGCTATTTTACCGACCGTTCGGCAAAAAGCGAGAACCGAACAAGTAACAGGTTTGACAGGAGTGGGGGCGGCCTGCCAAGAGCACTCGCGTGGGAGCAGTGCTGGGGTTGGCCAAGAAGGGGCACTGACCGCTCCTGACTCCTCCAACCCATGGATTCGGTGCTGACGGGTGTGGGCCGTTTTGGTCATGCGTCGCACGCTTCCCGCCCCCGGAGATAAGCCAAGAGGACTCGCGCCGGCGCTGGTAGCAGCGGTCTGCAGGCCCCGCGAGGAGCAAGTGAGAAGACCCCAGAAACACCAGTACGTTGCATTGTTTTTCTTCCGGCCTGGAGAGGGCGGAAAGACTGGCAGTCGAGTGCGTGCGGGGCGGATAATAGGTACGGAGTAGGTACCTATGTAAGACCTGTCGGCTCCGCATTCATCTCTGTTGGCGGCATCTTGCAGCCGGGCTGACGAGATGTCAGTCTGTGGCGTGACGGCCCAGCGCTGCACGGGACCTTGCACGGTACCCCATGCGCATGGCGGTGCACATGCAGAAATTTTGCTGCCCGAAGCAAGTCCAGATTCGGGGCCCGGCTATGGAACCCGCATGAACCAACCGCATCCCCCGTTGTCGACATCTGCGTTGCAGGAGTCGCCTAGTGCCCTCGAAACTTTTGAGGCTGCACGCCTAGTGTATTGACTGTATCCCCCATCTTTCGAAACCCGGCTGGCTGGAAATTGGGAAATATGGGGCTCCCGGCCACTCCTCGCGTACCCGAACAACCCGGCTTATCTGTCTGCGAGGTCGCTCCTGCCATGTCCAGGTGACAAGGAAACGGGCTCGACAACTGCGGATGCTGGAAGGGGGAGCCCACTCCTTAAGCCGCCCGGCTTCGTATTTCCCCTCTGTGCTTGCCTCGTGCGTGGACGCGGAATGGGCCGTTCGACCTCTCGTCCGCGCAGGCGCAAAGGGAAATTCGGGAATGCACTCTTGGAGGATGGCGCCCTTTCTCCATGACGATGACCGCCGGTACAATGGACGCACTCAGTCGCTGCGCCAAATCTCGATTAAACCCGGCCGTGGTGCAGCAGCGAGCCACATTGACCCCGGACTGTTACTCAAGCCGCACAGCGCAACCGCTGAGACCGACTGTGCCGAGAACATATCGGTGGCGCTAGAATGGAAGTTGCTGCTTCCGCTGCTTGCCCCGAGGCAGAAGGACCCGCGGCCTGACGATGGGCGGCCCATTGTCGAGCTGCGTGACGACGACGGCGACGCGAGGGGCTACCTGGAGCAAGCCTCTGAATCCATTGCTCAAACGGTCAGACGGGCGGGCGAGAGGGCCGTGACAATGCACTCTCTCGTCAACGACGGTCTCGCAGAGAAGGACTTCTGGGACTCGTCTTGGGTCGTCAAGAAGGCGAACTCGGTTGAGCCACTGGACGAGGAGAAGGCCTTCCGCGAATACATCTGGGTGGGCGTTGAGATATGCTCGCCGAAGATGCGGTTCAAGGACCCGGACACTCAAGCGCGCATTCTCAAGGTCCTGGCGGCGCTGAACTCGGGCCATCGCTTAGCCGCAAACTGCACTTGCGAGGTGCATGTACACCTTGGGCGAATGGATGGCCGCCCATGGTCGTTGTCGACCCTCAAGAGGCTCGCCGCCCTGCTGTGGGTGGCCGAGCCGACTCTGCGAAGCATCAGGAACCCGCAGTCGCCCAATTATCACAACATCTACACGTGGGGATTTCCCATGCGACAGCAGAGCCGACTTGCCGGACGAGTGGGGAGCCGCGCCACGACAGCGACCCAGCTTGCCAGCATCTCAGACCTCCAGGCGATCGACGCCGTCCAGAGGCAGACGACGGTCCCCGCCCAGGAGCTGAACGCTCTTGTCGAGATCTGGAAGACGAGTTCCCACCTGGAGCTTGGCCAGCTCCTCTCGGGCCCCGAAAAGATGTACCGCCGGCTCGGTTTCAACTTCAGCGCGTTTGGCGAAGAAGACGAGCGGGCGCGACGCAACCCTCGGACGATGGAGTTCCGCATCATGGAAGGGTCAATCAGCGCCGATCTCGTTGCGGGGTGGCTAAGCATCTGTGGAAGCATCGCCGAGACGGCTGTGACGGTGTCGGACGATCGCTTTACCAGTGCGCTGGCCGTATCGCTGCGGCATTCGGACAAAAGGCGACGCGCGGACGAAGCTAGCGATTCGGAGAAGGAGACGCCGAGCAGTAGACGAGGACGAGATTTCCGTGAGCTGATGCAGGCTCTGGGTGTGACAGAACAGCACTACCGCCATTTCGAAGAGAAAATCAAGCGGGAGCATCGTCGATTCTAAGCCGAGTGTGCGTTTTGTGCGAGGAGGGATGGGATGCAGAATGTTAGAGCGAAGCATCGCCCTGGACACTGCACACAGACCCTGACGACCCTTTGTTCTTTGCTTGTTTTTTTTTTTTTTTCCCTTATCCGCATTATTCAATTCTATCGGAGACAGCGTATATAGATGAGCTCGAGGTTCGACCCAGTTAGAGGGGTGCTCATAGGCATTGCATTGTCTGGGAATCTCGCATACCTGCTGCGGAGGACCAAGCGGGATATTCTTTTTCTGAATGGTTAGGTCGGCTAGGTGCATGGACGTCATGTAGAACGGTAGAAGTAGTACAGCACCTGTCGGACAACATCGGCTTGCTACACTACCTTCAAGTTGTTAGTAGAGCTCTACCAGTTCGCTCCCGCCACGGCTAGATGGAACCTCGCGTGATTAGCCCTTTACCCATCCGGTACCTAATATATATCCGATCACCTGATTGATTCATTGCGTTCAGATCAGGAACAGATGATCATATCCACACCCGAGGTAGGATGGAAGTGTATCATGGGCGGGGTACTCTCTTGGTCTCTACCCAACTGTGCCTCTTGTTTGTGCTTCTCTCTCTCTCTCTCTCTCTCTCTCTCTTCTTCTCCTTTTTTTTTTTTTTTTTCGGTATTCATAGGGCATTATTTTCGAGTACTTATATGTACTGTGGTGCAGGCAAATGCTTATATGTACTGTGGTGCAGGCAAATGCGTTTACCGGTTTGTGTTCATTCTCGGATTCCAGAACGGCATCTATGACATCACAGGAGTGACAACTGACAAGTTACAACCCTCAAGACCCATGAAATTGATGAAAGATATCAGCTCCAAGAATCGAATCGGCATTCGGGTCGCTATCCAGAACAGTTTACATCCGACTTCCAATACGGCGGTTTATTGTCTGAGCTTTTTTCAAAGTGCAGCCAAAAGCAAAGCCATACACAGCATCCACCAATTCACCTTCGAGGCGGCAGCCAAGATGACGACTACAACAAGGTCTGCAGCAAAGAAGCAAGGACAAGCAGACGTGCGTCCTACAGAAACAGCGCGGCCAGGCGCGAAACATAAGGCAGGCGCGAGTGCGGACTCACGGAGCTCTAATAAGCGAAGGAAGGGGGGCAAGAAGCAAACGAAAATCGAAAACACGATTGCGGGGCAAGTTTCCCTAAGCTTGTGATACGTTCCACATTCTCTAACCCATCGTGCAGCGATGAGACCAAGCACAGACAGGAGAATGGAGCCTCCAAGGAGGGTCACGGGAATGAGCAGCGGACCGAAAAGAAGCGGCCAGAACCCAAAGAGGAGGGCAAAGACGAGACATCGGCTGTCGAGCCGCAGGGCCGCGGCGAGAGCGAGGCACCGCCATCCAGCATCCTCGAGAAGGGCATCATCTACTTCTTCTTCCGCGGCCGCGTCAACGTGGACGAGCCGTCGGGCGTGAGCGAGATCGCGCGGAGCTACATCCTCCTCCGTCCCATCGAGAAAGACGCCAAGCTGGGCAGCGGACCGATCGGCGACGCAGGTAACAGCCGGGTCTGCGTCGTCCCCAAGAAGACGCTGCCACAAAGCGGCCGGGACCGGTGGATCGGGTTCGTCGAGAAGGCCGGCGCGTCCTTCCAGCAGCTCAAGGACGAGTTTCTCGCCTCTTCCGAGTACCAGACCAAGACGGCCGGCGAACGGCACACGCCCGCCGCCACGCCCGCCGGCGAGGGCGTGTATGCCATCACCAGCACCGGAAGGGAGAGCCATCTGGCCTACGTCCTGACGCTGCCGGAGAGGGTGGGCGAGCTGCAGCGCGAGATCGGCCTGAAGGAGAAGGGCAGCTTCATCATCACCACCAAGAACCCGGAGCACCCCGGTCCAGCCAACGCGAGGCTTCCCAAGGCGCCCGAGTATCCTAAGGAGTGAGTACACTTTTCTCCACCTTTCAGTATTATATTACAACACAATCTCTGATTTTGACTGGTAACTAAAATCAACAATCATGTGCAGGCTCCTTGAGGAATTCCGATCCCTCCGCTGGGTGCCCACTCAGCCGAAGCACTTAGACTACGTCAACACGCAGTTCCTCCTGGTGGGCGAGTCCTCCGGATTGGAGAAAGCCCTGGCGCCGCAGACGGAGGACCAGAAGGACGGCAGGGCGGAACCGGCAGCGGAGATGGAGAAGCTGGAGGAGGAAGACATGCAGCGGATGAAGGCCCTGCGGGAGGATGACTCGGGCCGCATCTTTGCAGACCTACAGGCGGACGCGGGAAACTACCCGAAGTTGCGGACGACGTTTTGATCTACTAGTAGTACTCATGCGTGGCGACCCGGAGCCGGACCGGTGGGAAGATCAGTAGTATATTGAATGGAAGCGGACATGTGTTGGACATAGACCCATGTTTTTCAATACATGCATGTATTACTATACAATGCAAGGCAGATCAAGCCACTGGGATGCAATTTGGACCGATTGCACCGAGCCGAAAGTTATAAATATGCAGTACTGCATACCTGCCTTACTGTACAGCGTGGCATGCAGCTCCCCGTCTGCACCGGCGGGATCTGTGCCGCAATAGAAGGCCTTTCCCCAGTGCTACATGATACATCCATACATGCATCTGCAGAGACGCTGGGTTCCGCACTGCATAAGCGAGCCGGACAAGCTTCATCTATTTATATTGTATGTAACTTGCCCCGTGAGGCTGCAACTTACCGTGTGTGCCGTCAATGAAGGTCGATCGCATGCACACTGCATGATTCACGACATGTTCTCGATGCACGATCTTATCACACAATGTTACTGTCCTCGGTTGTATCTCCCGGCCGCCGCCCGTTCAGTCCGGGTTTAGTAACCCGGGGTTTGGTGCGTGGGGTTGGCAATCCCCCGCATGGATCCGAGCTACTACCTAAGTATGTATGTGCCGACGGCGGCAATAAAAGGCGGGGGATATAGGTGGTGTTTATTAGCCATGGTAGTAGTGTCCTAGACTAGCGAGTTGCCGATGCCGGTTATGACGGGACCCTTCCCGGCCGTCTTGCTCTCCCTAATAAACTCATTCAACCCACCGAGAGGTTGCCCGGGGGTTCTTCATAGGGAATCCTTGGCCATCCTATCTCTCTCGTTGCGTTGCGAAGCCCTCCTATGCTGAGCCACTGAGCAAGCGTTCCTCAGCATTCCTCTCACGCCATTTCTTTCGGTTTTCTACCTTATTAGTCTCCTCTTCGCCATCAAAAAATGCCGCGAGACACAGAAGACGGAAAGCAGGTGGACGCTGACCACATCGAAGCCCGCGTCATTGGCCAGGCCCAGCATTCACCCCATGGAAGAACCGACAGGATAGTGCCGATGGAGGAAGAAGCGCACCAGGGCGATATGCACATCAACCTAGGCTGGCGGTCATGGGTGAGCTCACTTAATCCACGTCAAAACACGAACCTACTACTCCTGAGAACAACAAGAGAGAACTGTGCTGACCGGTGCGGCACTAACTAACTAATAAACCCAGCTGGTCGTGTTCATCACATGCTTCGCGTGAGTTCAGCCCGACCAATAAACAACCAACCAAGCCCATCGAAAAACCGAGATCTGACCGGCGGGATACTAATAAATAATCAGGATCATGGCGCAGGTCTACGTCGTCGTAGCGGCCGGGTCCGTCATAGCCTTCATCATCCGCGACGTCGGCGACGGCTCGCTGGCCGGGTGGATCATCCAGGGCCCGTTGCTGATGCAGTCGGTGCTCTCGCCCATCGTCGGGCGGCTCTCGGACGTGCTCGACCGCAAGGCACTCGCCACGGTGCCGCCGCTGATCGCCTTTGCGGGCGCCGTGGTGTCGGCCAGGGCCACCAGCATGAACATGCTCATCGGCGGCGGCATCCTGATCGGCGCCACGCTGTCGACCATCTCCATCGTGCAGGCCATCCCGTCCGAGATCCTGCCGCTCAAGTACCGCGCGCTGGCGAACGGGTTCGCCTTTGTTGGTGGTGCGGTGGGGGGGATGTGAGTACTACAGTTTCCCCACACTCCTTGGACTCTGTTGTTCCCTCTTGGTTCCTCTGTTTTCCTTAGAGGCCTGAGTGATTGGTAGTAGGGAAGTGCTGACGGCTTGTTGTGGCGGCGGATAGTGTGGGCGGAATAGGAGCCGGGGCGGTGACGAACGTTGATGCCGACGGCTGGCGCTACATCTTCTGGATGCAGGCTGCGTTCCACGGTGCCACCGCACTGGGGTTGTTTGCCTTCTACTGGCCAGCCAAGGTTGAGCGACCGAGGAGCACCCTGAAGGAGCTCGTGTGGTCGTGTGATCCCGTGGGCTCGCTTCTCTTCATCACCAGCGCGACGCTGATGCTGCTTGCTCTTGACTGGGCTGCCGGCACGTACGAATGGTCGGACGCCCACGTTGCCGCACCGCTGGCGGTCGGGGTCGTGCTGCTCGTGGCTTTCGGGTTGTACGGTAGGTACTAGTAGTAGCCGCCGAAACCACACAGTCTGGCTTCTCCAGCACGGCATGGGCTGACCTGGGGGTGTGATGACAGAATGGAAGGGCCGCACCGATGGCCTCGTGGCCCACATCTTCTTCCACCGCGATGCCAATTTTGCCCTCTCGGTCTTCGCCTTCGCCGTCGAGGGCTGGATCTTCTACAGCGCCGTCAACGCCATCACGCCCCAGCTCGTGCTCAACCTCGGCTACGAGACCAACGCCTGGGACATCAGCATCCGCCAGCTGTCCTACTCCCTCACTACCCTGGCCTTTTCCCTCGTAGTGACCTGGTGGTCGACACGCTTCAAGGATCTCAAAACACCCTTACTGGTCACCTGGATCTTCTTCCTGGTCGTGTAAGTCTTACCTATCCCTCTTGGCTCTTGCCACCTCCTAATGCAACTTTTGCTTACCCTCTCCTTATGAGAAAAACAGTACAATTTGCTACGCAGCCTTCCAACCCCACTGGAACCATGCACAGATCGGGTTCAACATCGTCGCCGGCATCGGGCAGTCCGGTCCGCTGACGCTGCTCGTGGCGTGCGTGCAGTTCAGCGCGCCCCACGCCTTCCTGTCCACCGCCACGGGGCTGGCCTTCTCGGCGCGGGCCATCGGCGGCGCCTTCGGGTCGGCCGTGCTCGACGCCATCATCAACGGCAGGCTCGCGTCCCACTACGCCCCGGCCGTGGGTGCCGCAGCCACGGCGGCTGGCCTGCCTGGCGACAGCGTCCCGGCCTTGCTGGCTGCCCTGGCTGCGGGGACGGTCGGTGGTGACAGTGGCGTGGTCGTGGATGGGGCGACGGATGCCGTGTGGGCGGCGGCCGTCGCGGAGAGCAGGCTGCAGTATGCCGCGGCGTACCGGCTCGCGTGGGCGTCCATTATTCCCTTTGTGGTGCTGGCCACGGTGGCGATTGTCTGCATGCGGGGTGTGGGTGAGCTCATGACGGAGAAGGTGGAGGCGACGGTTGAGCGGGTGACTGACACCGCGGAGGAGAAGGCGGTGTAGACATCACTAGAGTCACTGGAGCAGTGGCTTCCAGGTTCCATCATGGATTGCAGGCCGGAAAGTGGATGCGATGAGCATTGTTCTGCGTTGGACGTGTTTGGAGACTGCGGAAACAGGGGCGTGAGGTGCGTGGTAAGCAACTTCGGCTTTCGTGCGCTTTTGGATTTCCTGGACGCATCCATTCCGTGTCAGTGCAAGGCCATGCTATCTATGCTCGATGTTATGGTCCCGGTGGCAGTGTGGACAACAATCATGTGCAATGTGCCGAGCTGCCTCTCATGTTTCGTGAATCCCGCAAGTCCAGCTGGACTGGGTGGTCAACCCCGCTGCAAGAAGGGTCCAGCTGTGGTGCTGTGCGAGCCAGTGCCGGGTTTGCCGGGGAAATGTCCCAGTTAACCGAAGGGCACAGTGGGGAACAAAGTATGCCTTAGGTGTGCATCACCGGAGCCAGCCAGGGCAACGAAGGTTACCATTTCCGAAGCAGCTTGGTGAACTGCTCGCGGTTGGCATCAGACCTACTCAACGATCCTTGACTTAAGTATATTAAAAGCCCGGCGACGTGAGACCTTCTCATGCAGGTCTGATTTTCTCGGCATTCAGAAACAAGCTCATTCAAGCTTTCTTGGCTCTCTTGGCAGCATCCGTTGCCAAGACCAAGGCCCGTACCGACGTTACGTACCACTCCGCACCTACCTCGGGTAATCTGAGGTACAAAGGCGAAGAAGAGTGCGCTACTTGTCCCCGAAAACGACCAAACGCCCACATGATGCAGACACGAGGGGATCGGGTTAGTCGGCCGTGTCTCGGAGGGGCCAGTGGCTCACTCTTCCTGCCGCACGCGTCGCCCTTCGAGTCAGGGCCCAGGGGTTGCAATGTACACCTACTGTAAGCACAGCTCACCCGACTGGTCCTTAAATGGTACCACATTCCTGAAGCTGTGACGCTTGCAGGAGGGGTTCAGGTCGACTAGTAACTGTGAACTGAGGCTCCATCCAATCAGCTACAGTAATAAGCCCACAACGTCTCTCACTCTCAGGCACGGCAAGGCAAGGGACCCTGATGGACACCGGTGGAGAGGGAACGTCACCTCATCGGGGAGAATGAGGGGGACTCATGTACTGGAATCCATAAAGACACCTTGCCCCTAGGTCCCATTCCTTTACCCCCTCTATTCTTTCTTTGCAATCGTGCTCCTGCCTCCCCTCTCGCAGTCGTCTACTTACCTTACTACTACTGTACTCATTGGTCGTTATCCACATCTCAACACCATCACAATGTTCGGCTTTGGTATGTCCTCTAACCCCCTTTTCTGCACGATCAACCCTCCCTCCATTACACGGTTCCATCTCTCCGTTACTCCTCATTGCCACCTGAACCTCAGCCAGCACCACTTTGGGGGCGCAACTATGTAGCTAACGGCTCCCTTTTCCCCCCTCTTCTAGGCGACGCAAAGGATGCTCGTGACGAGGTCTACGACGGGCAGCCGCACGAGTCCAAGCTGTCGCACGAGCTGATCGGCTCGGCCGCCGCCTTCGAGGGTATGCGCCTGTGGGAGCAGGAGCAGCGCAGGGAGGGCAAGACAGTAAACCACGGCACGGCCAAGGAGATGCTCGCGGCCGCCGTCGGCTTCGAGGTCGACAAGCTGGTCGAGACCAAGGGCCTCGACTTCGTCGACCGCGAGCGCGCCAAGCACCACGCCCGCCAGCAGGTTGAGCAGCTGTACGACCAGCACTACGGCGGCCAAGATCAGTATGACCCGTACGTGTAACCCCTGCTTTACTTGGGTCTTCGTCCGTAGCTATGTTGGTGTTGGGGTGCTGATACGCTCGGGTTTTAGGTACCAGCAGGGGCCTCCCAGCCATTTTGAGAGGTATTAGGCGTGCGACATGGCGGAGGTGGTTTTATTGTTGACGAGTGGGAATTTGGATTGTTGGAAGCAAAGCATGGCAGTGCCTTTTTGGCTTAGACCATTGAATACAATGAGAAGCACCATCGCTTCGGATGTCTCGTCCCTTAAGATCCTCGTTATGCCATGGCTTCCAAGGACGAATTGACGTAGTATCAGAGACCGTCAATCAAGAACCACCGTTAAGTCACAAACTTTTGGCAGCACTGTCGCCGAGCATTGGGCTGGGTTGAGATTCGAGTCGCAAGCTCGTCCGACTGTATTTCGCCAGCTTGTGGTAGGTAACGCTGCGAATTGTGACAACGCTCCAAGTCTTCATGAAGCAATGCATGTGTTTCAATCGTCACAGTCTTTACAGACGTGGTTTGCTTCTCCCGTAGATTGACAACTGCGTTGGCACCATTTGCTAGACCTCCGTCAGGCAACTTAAACTCGCAAGTCGCCAGGCATCCTTTCTATCTCCCCTCCCTCGGCGCCTCGCCGTCACTCGGCCAGACAATCCAGACAACCACAACCATGGCCTTCAGCACCGCGGCCGTCCACAGCGCCCCAGCAACGCCCAGCACAGAGTGGGCAAACTTCCCGCCCAGGAACGCGCCCAGCAGCAGCAGCAGCGGCGCCGCCGTCCTCTGGTTGCGCTCCACGTTCCGCAGCGCAAACAGGTCGGCGTCCGAGAACAAGTCACAGTAGATACTCGTCAGCACGACGCTGGTCAGCGCGTTGTACCTCAGCGCCCGGCTGACCACCGCTTGGCCGCAGGCCTGGAACGCGACGAGGGCTATCGGCAACAGCACGTGCCAGCCGATCGTCGTCGTCTTCTGGTCACCTGCAGTCGCCCCCGCGGGAGATCCGGTCGCGGTGGTGAAGGTGACAATGGCTGCGGCGACTGACGTCAAGATTGTTTGGAAGATAAAGGACGTGCATAGCACCCAGCGCCGTTTCGGGGAGAAGAAGCGGTGGAAGCGGCTGAAGACTACGGAGCCGACGCAGAAGGCGAGCAGGGAGACGCCCGATTTGATCCAGCGGGTTGATTCCGAGGGGGAGGCGAGGCCCAGGCCGAAATAGACTGAGTTTCCTGGGCGTGGTGTCAGTAGAGTAGCGGAGAAATATAACACTTGGTGATGAGGCGGGCATTGCTTACCGGTCTGCATCGAGACGAAGGATCCCCAGACCGAGATGGAGGCGCTGTCGAGCAGGCCTGTGATGAGATAACATAATAGCAGAATGACATCGACATGCTTGCGCGAGACATCCGCTGTCAGATGCCTACGCCATCGTGACACAGACGGCTTGGTGCTGCGGTTCCGAAGAAGCGGTGTCTCCTCGTCGGAGACGACACCGTTCCCGGGCATGATGTTGTCTCGAGGGATTGCAACTCTGGATGGCCAAGCTCAGGTTCACGTGGGCTTTATCTAGCAGTTATGTTTGGTACGGATCCTAAAATGTGGTCCAGCCCCAATCTGAAGTCTGAACCGCAGTCCAATGTCAAAATTACCATGAAACTTCCGGTTTTGGATATTAAAACTCTGTTACACGACGTCTCGGCTGTCGGGGCCGACAGCCGGCCCGCGCGGGCTGTGCCGGTAACTCCGAACTTTGCGGGGCTGCAGGGGTAGCTCCAATCCCAGGCAAAGTTGGTGATGTCATTTCAATGGCAGATCGCAACTTTTCGCAAGCCTCTCCCATTCCCGATTCGAAAGCCGCATTGTTTTACTCATCGCCCATACACTATGAAGGATGGAACTTCCCCTCTTTCGGGACCTGTGTCTTCCGTGGCCGATCCGCGGGAGGGTCGACTGCTGCGGATGTCGGTCGTCATCATCACGCATCGCACCTGGACATTTCCAGCGCCGCGTGCCTAAGTGTTTCGAGATGACAAGAACTGTGTGAGACTTAGGGGCGCCCGACAGCCGTTCAGATCCTTCAAAACAAAACAAAGCATTCATACATAAGCTCCCAGAAAGACCCTCATCAGTAGACTTGATTAGACTGTCTTTCAGGCTCCCTCATCTTTCCGTTCCCGTTGCGGAGCAAGGTCCATGTACCAGTCCACTCGAGCTATTGGATCAGATAGTGTGGCACAATGCGCTTCAACACCGTCGTCCTGCTGGCAGCGGCGGCATGTGCTGTGCCCGTTCAGGACAGCCCGAGGCAGCGGCTCCTCGACGGCAAACCTCTCCCTGCCAAATACCGCAAGAATGCGGCGCCCCCTTATACCCCCGGACACCGAGACCCCTATGACCGGGCGGTAGATGCCATTGGCAAGAAGCTGGACCCACTGCCATACCGCAACGGAGATGGTGCCTCCGTCTTGGGCCCCTGGAACCGCGAGCGTGCCCGACAAAGCCCTGATCTCGTCCGGCCCCCATCAACCGACCACGGCAACATGCCCAACCTGAGATGGAGCTTCGTTGACTCACACATACGCATCGAGGTTTGTATTGCCGTCACATCCTATTCGTCACGAAGGTTAACCCCGACCAGGAAGGAGGCTGGACCCGGCAGACGACCGTCCGCGAGCTGCCAACCAGCATAGAGCTCGCCGGCGTCAACATGCGGCTCGACGAAGGCGTCATCCGCGAGCTCCACTGGCACAAGGAAGCCGAGTGGGCCTACGTGCTCGACGGCAGCGTGCGCGTCACGGCATTAGACTACGAGGGCGGTTACTTCGTGGACGACCTGTCGCGGGGCGATCTGTGGTACTTCCCCTCCGGCGTCCCGCACTCGCTGCAAGGCCTGTCGCCCAACGGGACCGAGTTCCTGCTCATCTTCGACGACGGCCGCTTCTCGGAGGAGTCTACCTTCCTGCTCACCGACTGGCTCGCGCACACGCCGCGCTCCGTGCTCGCCAAGAACTTCCGCGGCCTCCCCGCCGAGGTGTTCGCCCACATCCCCGAGGCCGAGAAGTACATCTTCCAGGGCACCAAGCCGGGCTCCATCTCGCGCGAGAAGCCGTCCGGCAAGCACGCCAAGCCGTCCAAGTACAACTTCACCCACCGCATGCTCGCCCAGCCGGCGAAGAACACGACGGGCGGGGCCGTGCGCATCGCCGACAGCGCCAACTTCCCCATCTCCAAGACCGTCGCCGCCGCGCACCTGACCATGGCCCCCGGCGCGCTGCGGGAGATGCACTGGCACCCCAACGCCGACGAGTGGTCCTTCTTCATCCGGGGCCGCGCAAGGGTGACCGTGTTCGGGGCCGAGGGCGCCGCGCGCACCTTCGACTACCAGGCCGGCGACGTGGGGATCGTGCCCAAGAACATGGGCCATTTCGTCGAGGTCGTCGGCGACGAGGAGGTGGAGATGCTCGAGATCTTCCGCGCCGACGAGTTCCGGGATTTCTCGCTGTTCCAGTGGCTCGGGGAGACGCCCAGGAGGATGGTGGTGGATACGCTGTTTGCTGGAGACAAAAAGGCCGGGGAGCGTTTCCTGAAGAGTATTGAAGATGCCGGCAAGGATGAGATTACGCTGCCTCCGGCTGGTGATGATGATGAGGAAGAGGAGACTGAGTTGTGAAAGGCGTGCAAAGCCGGAAAGGTGCGGGTTGGTATCCTGAAGCAAGGAAAAGGAGCTGAGTGTCATCATGCATTCAAGTTACGAATAGAATGAACTATGGTTATGTAGAAACATTCCCAACCAATCCCAACGCCTGCCCCTTTAAAAATATTCGCTTTCCTGTATCCATGTAGGCAATTCCATCTGGATAGCATACGCTGCTAACTTAGAAGTACCGTTATTGTTCCTATCGTCATATATCCCCCAGCTTACGACCATGTCCCCAACGCCATGCCGGCCTGATCCAGCGAATTGATCACAGATAATGCATCATCTGCTGCGGCGCCCCGGGCCGCTTCTTCTCGATGATGAGTACCGTCTCGATGTACTCGCGGTCTAGTGTGCTGCTCTTTCTTCTAGACGCCAGCAGCTGCGCCGTCTTGAGCACGTTCTTGATCTGCCGCCCGTTCAGCTTGAGCTCGGCCAGCTCGGCAATATCCTTGTCCGTGAGCGAGCTCTTGATGGTCGAGCCCTTGAGGAAGTTGGCCCAGATGGTGCGGCGCGAGGCCGCCGTCAGGTCCGGGTACTCGATGCTGACGTGGATGCGGCTCTGGAAGGCGGCGTCGATGTCCTCGACCCGGTTGGTCGTCATAAACATGATGCCCTCGTAGTACTCGAGCGTGCGCAGGAAGATGGACACGATCTTGTTGCGCTCCAGCTCGTGCGTGCTGCGCGCCTCCAGGAACACATCGCATTCATCGAGCAGTAAGATCGCGTTCCACCGCGCCACCAGCTCGAGGATCGAGCTCAGCTCGCGCTCCAGCTCCCACGGGTCCGAGCCCAGGTCGCCCGAAGAGAGGCTGTGTAGGGGAACCTTTAGGCTCTCGGCCACCGCCTCGGCCGTCAGCGTCTTGCCCACGCCGGGTGGGCCCGACAGCAGGCAGATGATGCCCTTGCCCTTGCCCTGGATGACGTCGTCGAAGTTGCTGCCGGCCAGCTGCGACTCGGAGAAGGCCAGGATGAGCTCCTTCTGATCCGGCGGCAGCACAAGCCGCTCGAAGGCGTTGCTGTTCCACTGCACCTCGGTGATCTGCTCGACGAAGAAGTCGAGCCACTTCTTGAACTTGAGCGAGTAGCCCCTCGTTCTCGACCGGGCGAGCATCTGATAGTAAGGCGGCAGGACAAACTTCTCGTCCGTCAGCCCCATCTTCTCCTTGTGCTTGCTGAAGCGGTCCAGGTCGTTGGCGTTCCAGTCGTTGAGGTAGCGCACGCGCCATGGGCTGAAGCGGTTGAAGCTGTCGATGTCGACCACGATACGGCCCGAGATCTGGCACTCCACCTCCTGGCCCTCGCGGTTCCACGTGATGGCCTTGCCCGAGTACTGCTTATAGTGGTGGCCTGCCAACGCCTGGAACATCTCGCCCCGCTTGATCAGCTTGGCGGCGACGGCTTCCCGCTCCTCGTGGAAGTGCAGCGGATACACCTTCAGACCCGTAATCTTCTTGGTGCCGAGGAACTCGGGTATGTTGATGGCTTCCTGGTACCGGCCGAAGTCCTTGCCGCCGTAGTCCACGCAGTCGCAGCGGACCTGGAGGAACTTGCCGCATTGGTTGGCCATGTACTCGGTCTCGACCATCTCGAAGGCACTAAGGGGGCCGCCATGCGCCGAAATGACAACATTGCCCGGCTGGAAGATCATCCACAGGTCCTTGAAGCTGACGACGCCGTTCTTGACGTAGTCCTGGAACGTCCTGATGTTGTCGCCGATCTCATAGTTGAGGATGTCGTACAACAGCTTCATGTGCTCCTTGGTCTTCTCGTCGAGGTCCGGCTTCTCGAGATACTTGGTGAACTCGGCCCTGTCCCGCTGTGATTAGCCACCGTGTGTCTCGGGAGGCACCGTCAGGATACCATCAGGGTAAATACACACCATCGGTGCACAAACGGCTGGAAGGGCGCCTCAAACTCAAGCCTGGTCAGCTCGCAAGCGACTCCCGGGTAGTCTGCCATGATCTCGGCCAGCGCTGCCCTGATCTGAGGGCTTTGCACCACGATGGAGTGAGCCTCGAGCTTCTTGCGGCTGTCATTGCTCTTCTGGTTGCGCACCACGACCGCGTACGTCGCCGTCTCCTCGTTCTCCGCCGCCTCCTCAACATCATCGGGATACTTGTCGACCCATGTCCAATTCCCGTCGTCGTCCGAGGCTCCCTTGTAGATGTTCTTGATCTCGCTCACCGACCCGACCGGCACCTTGGGCTTTTCCTTTTCTTTCTCGTCGTCGTTCTCATCCTTAGACTCGTCTTTGGACTCGTCGCCTTCCTTCTCGACTTTCTTGTCGTCAGACTTGTCTTCAGCCTTCTTCTCTTCCTTATTCTCTCCGTCCTTCTTCTCGTCCTTTTTCTCTTCCTTCTTCGTGTTGCTGTCAGCCTCGGCGCTGATTGTGGAGCCGGAGGTCGAGCTAAGCTTCCCCGACTTTGTGGAACCCCCCGCTCCCTGCTTGGAGCGGGTCACAGTCCGAAAAGGCCAGCAACGCGGCATCGTTAATTATACACAGTAAAGCTTGAAGTGAAAAGGGAAAGTTCCGTCGTGCTGGAACCGGGTGTGTAGAGACTAGAGAGAAGGTCAGAGTTGTGAGGGTTGTTAAACGCCGGGAAGAGACGCCTTCTTATGGACACGCGGACGGAATGAGCCTCATGAGGACACCGGATCGCATATCCTGGGCTGAGCTTCTAGGCCGGGAAGCCTGGCCTGTAGGGCAATGCTGCGGCCTGGAGGGCAAACCGTCAAGATGCAGCTGGGTACGCGAGTGAGTCACTGGCCTCATTGGCTGGTACAATGACCGCTTTTTGGCCTGATAGCATTCCTGCATGCAGCAGGAGCAGCTGCCTCGCGCTAATCACTGCCACTCACGGATCCCGGAAACTGGCTCCTCGTAAGCTGTCCTCTTGTCCTCACTCCCATTGTGGCTTCCTGGTGCGCGAGGAGATTGGTGGCAGGAATCCATCATGCTGGTTTTCCTGCGAACAGAGTCATCCGGCGTTCGCTCTGCGGGGCCAGGCCGTTGCGGCCACCAGACGCCTCTGCAATCGCTTAAGCCCCACGGCCGCCCAGAGGTCTGCCCTGTGGGCCCGGCTCCAGGCAGCTGCGCCGCATTTCTCCAAGCGACCCGTCCCGCCCCCGCCCAGTCTCACATCAGCATTGCTGTTCTTGCATGCTGACATACCAGAGGCCACCAATCTCTGATGGCAAGACGAGTGCTTGAGTGTCAATCATCCATTGAGCTCTACCTATGTCCTAGGGCATGCTCCATGTTGTCAGCACTGTTGTGCTGTGTGCACCGTGCAGATCACACTACCGTAGGTAGGTGCCACTGGTTGGTGAAGGATGGCTTTTTGCGCCATGCGTAGGTAGCGATGGCCCAATGAGCTGTGACTTTTGTCGAGCCTTGCCAGGGACTTCAACCGAGTGTGGTGGAGTCGAGGATATGTTGACTGTCGACACTGATCACTCGCTCGCTTGCGCTGGAAGGCATAATTATTTCACACCGGCGAGTCAATCCAGCGCCGATCGGGGTTGGTTCAGAAGGTGCGCTCATGGTCAACGCGTTTATCACTCTCTGAGTTGAATCTTGGAGACACTTTCACAGCGAGTATGAAGTCGGTCCTCCTTAGGGCGGAGCCGACGACGCCAGAGACTGCTGATGCCGCATTCCCTCTTGAGTTCGCCGTTCCCGGCTCGACAAGTACATACGACCACAGGCAGCAGAGAACTCGGATCCCGTCCGCTATCCCTTAGACAAACCACTGACCGCGAGGTCCGCACTCAGGTCGGTGGCGACAGGGAAATGCCCCGTTGTGGTATGTTTTGCTCGATATTGTTGCCCTCTTATCCGACCCGGCCGACTCGCGTCGACGCCATGGTTAGTCACCGGTGAAGAAACAGCATCACCGATCAAAACACACTCCAGAACGCCCCGGCGAACCCCGGTTGAGATCAAGGTCGTTCTGAGCCCGATCATCCTCAATAGTATTGCCGCCGATAGCTAGATGGGTGGCCCGACCACCATCTCGAATATGTGGAATAGTCTTGAGCGATGTCAGCAGTCTGCTCATTGACCGAAGAAAACGGCCACTTACCTCGTTGTGTGCTGATGCCCAGCTGAGACGCCACATTGACATAGCCCTCAGCATTCCGTTTGCCCTTCTTCTCGATCGTCCGGATCATATCCTCGTCACCCTGCCAAACACTACGGCAATACGGACAAGTCACGTCCCCGTTCCCGCCACGACCCGCGCCCTGCTGCCGCTTAGTAGTCGCCCACGTCTCGAAGCACGCCTTATGTATATTCTGCCCGCACGCCGCGCGGCACCAGACCACCGGCTCCCCTCCCGACGCCTCCATCTCGCAGAAGCATATCGGACAGTCGCCCTCAACCGGCTTGCGCCGCCCATCGCCGGCACCCCCCTCATCGCCGTCCGACGCTGGAGGCGGCGCATCCCGGAAGATCTCCCTCAACTCCTCGCTCAACAGCGCAAGCTGGTAGACATACTCCCATTTGGCGTGCAAGACGCGCGACAGGACGTACAGCACGTGCTTGCACTGGTTGCCCTTGCGCGCATACGGGCAGTCGCATCTCGGCTGCCGCGTGATCACCACTGTGTAGATGTTGCCGGTCGACCCGGTCAGCTCGACTCTTTCCTCGGGTAAGTCGGCTGTGCCGCAGCGGGTGCGAGATAGCACGTAGAAGCGCTGGGTTGTGGCGCGATCATAGAGTTCGTGGAAGGAGTTGGGAGGGTTCGGACGGAATCTGGTCGGTAGAAGCAAGGGTTAGTATGTCGTGACTGTCGACATTTCGAGGAGTAATACCTTCGTAGTCGCTTCTCAGTAGGCGCGTCGCCCGCCGCGGGCTTCCGTGCTTTCTTCGCCGGCTTAGCGTCATCGTACGTTGCGCAGGTATGGGCGCTGTATTCTGATGCGACGGCGAAACTGGTACTTGAGTGGGAGACTGCGTATTCTGTATGTTTGCGCTTCCTAGAGGATACCCCCCGGCTAAGGCTTGTATCAGCACCCATTGTCGTCCGTCTTTCTAGTTTTAGATGAGATTATCGCCCGTAGCGCCGAACAGCCGAACAGCGAGAGTAACATAAGTATGGCTCGATTCGAGCGAAGTCAAAATGTCGTTGCCATCCCAGCACTCCCAGCACGAAGAGCTGAGAGCGTCCGTCGGGTGGCGATAACAATTGCGATAAGAATTGCGATAAGATCTGTACCGAATACAGACGTCACAATGTCTCAGTACGTAAGGTACGCACGTGTTACGGTTACTTACACGAAGAGTCCGCGAGGTCAGGCCCCTAACCCTGTAACTAACCACAGGACGCTTCCGATCTCCCGTCGCCTGGAAAGAACTTGGAACCTCAACTTCTCAAGACTTGCTGCCGTTGGTGAAGCTTCCGCTGGTCAGACTGGATCATGGAATAAGGTCTTCTCTCAGATATCGACATGTTGCATCCGCCCAATCAAGTCTATCACCTTGAATACCTACTTACGTAGGGACTCGCGTAACATTTGGACGCGCGACACTCTTAATGCACATTAAACCTGGCCATCGGAGAGCTCCAGTACTGTATATTCGCGCATAAGCCACAGCTTCAGTTGACATATCCTAGCTGCAGCTTCAGTTCCTCGCTAATCGGCTCATATCTGTAGTTGGAGATACTGTCTGCTTTCGACACCCTATCTCCGACATGCTGGAGAAGCTACGAGATCAATTTGAGTCTTTGACAGGGTCCGTCACATATCTTAGTGCCATCAACTGACGCAGCTGTGGCACGCCCACCTACTCTGGTTGCGTTGTGTTCTCCTAACGTTTCACTCTCGAGCATATATAACTATACTAGTAAGTGCCTATCGTAACGATCTCTACCACCAGACTTGTCGGTAGTCTGATTGCTGTCACCCAACCAACTCCCTGACACTATGCCGGCTTATCAGCTTCAAGAAACCTGGCGCCGAAGCAAAACATGTAGAGCCAAAGCCGGGAAATGAGGCGGGATCCGGATAAGGGCACCACGATCCTTATAGACCAGAAGGCGGCTCGGGGATATTGAAAATATACAAGTGAACATGTCACAGTTAGGCGATCAATCTATCGTGCAGCGCGGCAAACCTTCCAGTTTCTTGCTCTAGCCGGGAACTGCTTTCTTGGCGCCCCTTCTCCTCAACGGTCGAATGTATACCTCCAGGGACCTGTCTCATATCCACAACCCAGCTGGAGGCATCTCCTTTCGCATCTGAAATTTGTCTTACCTGTCCTGGCCGAAGTTGACACCATTGCATCATGATGTTCAGCCAGTTCTGGTCATACGGCATGGCGCTTTGGGGGCTTGTGGCGCGGGCGGCGGCGCAATACTATGAGGGCTACGAACTCGATGAGCCGATGCTGAGAGGGCCTCCAAGAACCGGTCCTGGAGCGATGCTGCGCTTCGGTTGCTCACAGGTCGTGATCGAGCGTCTTGACCCGTAAATACGTCCTAATGGTGGCCGACTTGGCTGCTTATGGTATACGGCTGAGCAAGCAGTTAACTGATCAAACCATGACTTAGACTTGTCGATCCCGGGATGGCGCCATCCTCACACATGCACCAAGTCGCCGGAGGGGTAGGAGCATTCCCGCACGTTTACTGACGGTTCACTGACAAAGAAGGTCACTCGGTAGAATGCATTCGCCGCCTCTATGCCCATGACCGACATCTCGAAGCTTGGGAGTTGCACGACATGCCATTTTAAAGAAGACGTCTCCAACTACTGGACGGCAAACCTGTACTTCAGAGCCCGCAATGGCAGCTACAAGCGTGTGCCCCAGATGGCAAACCAGTTCAACGACGGCGACAACGCCGGGATCACCGTCTACTACACCTCGCCTGGCCCAGGCTTGACGACGGCCTTCAAGCCGGTAACACATACAAAACATGATGCATCCTGCATCGTCTCGATCTTCGCTTGTCGTTGTTTGCTGACACATCCGGCTGTCCAGGGCTTCCGGATGCTCACCGGTGATTCCACGCAACGCAAGTCGGACAATCTTGGCAAGAACACGCAACAATGCTACCGCTGCTTCACAGCCGAGAATTTCGGCGGGAGTATGTATTCGCCCTGCATGGACCCCGAACTGGACTCGGATCACTTCCCAAGGCGACCATGCCCTGGTGGGATACGGTCCAACATCATCTTTCCCCTGTGAGACCTCACCCACACCCTGTCCGCTGGCGAAGGCCAATGGGTCTGAACTGTGAACATATCCGACAGATGCTGGGACGGAAAGAATCTTGATACGCCGAACCACAAGGATCATGTTTCGCATCCCGACGCAGGGCCTACTTCATTCGCCGTGGTCGGTGCCAGTTGTCCCAGCAGTCATCCTGTAAAGATCCCCCAGGTCATGTTAGAAGTGAGTAGCTGCAGCGATTACGCTAATGCGACTTTGTTCTGAAAAAGATCTAATCTAATACGTATCTGACCTAGGTCATGTGGGATACACGGAAATTCAACAATCCTGAAGACTGGCCTGAGGATGACGGCCAGCCGTTTTATCTGTCGAATGGGGACCAGTAAGCCATCATCACCTCTTACTAAGATGTGATCTTCCGGAGTTCGACACGCTTACAGAACATAAAGCACCGGATTTGGCCAGCATGGTGACTATGTCTTTGGCTGGGACAGCGATTCGCTGCAGAAAGCCATGGACAACGCTTGCTATTTACGCAACTGCTCGTTGCTAACGCCGATAGCGCCAAAGGTCAAGAATCTATGTCAGGTCCCGGTAACGGTACCTGAGGACTTCGACGCATGTAAGTCTTTGCTGCCTACCTACCTTACTTACAGCTCATTCATTCTGGGTTACCTGTGGGAACCTCCACTGAGATTGTGAGTACAGGGCTAGATGAACTCCCAGGTGGAGGCAGCGGCATGTAGCACAGTGGCATAAATACGCCCTCGATGTAGGAGAATGACAGACGGTAGAACATGGCTGTGGCCTAATCAACATTGGTGGCTATTAAACCCATGAATACTGCCTATGCACAGAATCAAGTCAGAACAATAGCCCCGCTTTCCTGGGTTTTCGATTCCACCTGATATGCGAGGCGAGCAAGTCACTGGGGATAAAACGAAATCTTGCGCTGGATTCTTCCTTTACACTTTCCCCGAACATCATCCTCTGCACTCAGGTTAGTATGCAACCATACTAACTGTCAAAGTAGCGGTACTCCATTCTTTCGTGAGTTGTGGATAATAGGTAAGTAAATCCTCTTCTCCGCATAGTCTGCCAGTCAGAGACTCAGAGCCTCCAGCTTCGCTCTCATCAGTGTACAAACACTGAGCAGTCAAGAATTCGCCTTTTCCTTAGTGCCCTTCGTACATTCTCAGTCCAACAGCACTTAACCCTTTACTCATAACAACGGTTGCGTTGCAAAGCCATGTACGTTCCCCCGCCCCAGGCCGTTGTTATGTTTATTAGTAGCATCCAAGCCGTTCACTACTTACTACCAACACACCATCGGCCTCCCTCCCGACGACCAAAAAAAAAAGAAAAAAAAAAAAGAGGGGGGGGGGGGGGGGGGGGGCTGAGCGTCTCCCGCGCCGGCGTTGATCTCGAAGGATCTTGGGCGTGGCTGGCCCGGGTCGTCCTGCACGTAGAGGTCCATCGGAAACCGGGGGGAGGGGGTTTGCCGCCGTCGGTGAAGATGGCGTTGTGCGTCGCAACCATTAGCTGCTTGGCCGTGCCGTTTCTCGTAGAAGAGGCTGCCTTGGTTGTTGGAGGAAAGTATGGCCGCGTTGAGGTCGGCGCCCCGTGTGGATTGCTGTGAGCGCCCAGCCTTCGATGGACGGGGGTGAGGTTGCGGGACGGGTCGGTGACGTGGACGATGAGGTGGAAGCCCATGGAGGAGGAGAAGGAGGAGGAAGTGGTGGTGGTGGTGGCGGCGGCGGGCTAGGCCGTCACGGCCGCTGCGATGCTGAGCGTTGGGAGATGCATGGACTTGACTCCCCGGGGTGTCTTGTAGAGTCGAGATTGAAGGAGTGTAGAAGATGGGCACTGCACAGGGTTTTGATCTGTACCCGCCCTTCGCCGATGGTGGGATCAATCATCGTGGTTCTGCTCGGGTGGGTTATTATACCCGGCCGCCGTGTTTGCCGTCCCAAGATCTACACCGGACGCAGCGTCCCGCCAGTGAGCGTTCGTTCGGTTGCGTCCGGCCAAGTCCGCGTTGCAATGATTCGTATTCCGAGTCGCCTTTTGGGTAGCAGGAGAGGCAAAGCAACCCTCGTGTCGTCGTGGCGGTGAGGTTGCTTGTGGTATGGCTACGTTGAATATAGACTTCCCGTGACACGCTGATCGTTGTAAAGTGCATAGAATATAATTTATATTCCTATCTAACCAATGGTCTCGCTGTCTAGTCTTTCAGTATTTCAATCCAGGCACGTTAGTTAGCGGGATACAGTCTAGGGTTCTTCCGTCTCTTCCGCCTCTTTTGTCTTTTCCCGTGTTGAGAGCCGAAGGGAATTCAGAGGGGCATATTGCTTTTCTGCTTCGCCTTGTCCGAACCGCCTTCTCAACCATTCCTGGCGGACTGCAGCGCTATCGAACGCCGGCGGCAACCAGAGGTTGAACTCAGAGAAGCTCGAGTCCCAGAAGATCTGCAGGGGATTGTCCGGCAGCTTTTCAGACTGGAGGCCACGCCTGCCCAAGCAAGAGAGCTCGTATACAACGGCTCTATTGTAGTCGATGATTACAGGCTGGGGCAAGCATCGAGCCCCGTTCGCCGCCGACATCGGAGGACTGGGGCGGAGCACAACGTTTCGCGCTGCCAAATCCCCCTGATGGACGCCGGCGAAGCGCTGGCGTGCGGCCGCATCCAGCACCATGGCGAAAGTTTCCAGGCGATCGTCTGTGCTGTAGCGTGAGAAGGCGTCGGTGAGCGTAAGGCTGCGCAGGCTTGGGCCCCTGATGAGCTCCATGAGCACAAGCCGAATGCAGCGCTGTACCCTTAGCCCCCTGTAGGTGATGGGCAGGTTGTAACTCCAAGCCCCGTAGTACTCCGGGCAAGACAAGCCGACATGCCCGGATTGGCCCTTCGTCTGGAGATGAGCGAGGGCATTGGCCTCGTGGGTGAAGTCTACTTCGGCCAGCTTAGCAACATTAACGCGCGTGTAGGGCAATCCCTGGTCGCCGAAGGGATAGTATAACGGGTCATAGATCTTCGCGACAGCCTCGAAGGGAACCTCGCGGGGGTCTATCGGAATGACAAAACAAACCACGATCCAAGGACCGCTCCTGCAGGTCACAGACGATCCGTCGTCCGCGGCGTCGATTAGCCGCTCACCCAAGGTCCTGATGATGGTAAGCCAGGCCGTGGGCTCGCCAGACCAGGCAGGGTCGGCGGGGCGGTTGTCGTGATCCAGGGGCGGATACTCCATCACGACTCTGGTCTGGGTAGAGGAGTAGATGTCCACACACCACCATCGAAGGTCCCTCCAGCCGTGCACATCAATGCCAATCTTGCCGTAAGGCAGTGGAGGAGTGACCCGACTGATACCCACCTTGAAGCCCGGCTTGTAGGGGCAGGGCGGCTTCTCCGGATCGTAATCCATTTGATAGGTCAGTGAAAGGAGAGTCGGATATCGTAGTGCAGTGGTTAAGATAGTGTTCAGTTGTTGCGTTGTGAGCAGAGGTCCGAAGATGTTCTGTGGCGGTGTCATGGTCAACTTCTGTTGTGAAGGAAAGAGAGCAGAAAGGTAACCAACATGGTGGGCAGACGAATTTATGGGATGAGCACAAGGCATCGCAGTCAGCGTGATCCAAGGAACCTAATCCACGGGTGGCAAAGGCTCCCTACGGGATGATAGGTCGAGGTTTGTTGTCTAAACAAAACAGACGGGGCCGCTTGACCAAACAAACGGGGGCCACTCGACCAACGCGCTCAAGACGCACGCAACACGCCTGAAAGACGTCATTTTCTCTCAATGTTCGTAGTAGGCTCAGGAACTGCGCATCCCAACACAAGGATAAGGACAGCAGAACCAAGTCCAACACGTGAATCTGGTACATGTGAGGAACTTACATTGATGCTACCCGGGCAGTCAATGCCTTATCCGGTTGAGTAGGTACCCACGTCTCCTACCGTAAGAACTAGTAGTTGCATGCATGTTCCACACATAGAGTACAGAATCAATGAGACTACAGTTGTCTGTGTACATCCTAAATCAAATGCTTACCGCTTTTGAGCTCGCTAACAAACATGGGGACCAAAAGGCTTGTATTGTACAGAGGTTCGGGAAAGCAAGCCTCTCTCCGTACATGGCTATAAGTAGCTGATGAAACTAACTGATCACCCCACGGACGTCCGGTACGGTAATGACCCGCGTGGTTTACCTGCGACCCACCTGTACGCTACCGCAGTACATAACACATTACTACATGCAGTCATAATGTTATATATGCTGGCCGGTAATCGTTCATCTCATGGAGTATGTAGAGTGGAGACTAGTATCTCCCTCATAAACAGTAAGCTTGGCCCAGCTAGACGTCTTAATCGTTTTACCCAGATCATCCATATGCCCTGGACTACTACTAGGTAGTAGTATGTATAGTGTGTAGGGCTGACTATACTACCTACTGTGGGATGCCATCATTGCCATGTGGCTGCGCACGGACAGGAGGTTTGACGTCTTGCTGTTGCTAATGCCGGCAAATCACAGTTATCCGCTCTTGTAGCGGAAGCTCAACTAATCGGAAAGCTTACCTCCTGTCCGTGCGCGCCCCACCGTACGGTGCGTACACAGCAGTAATTGACATATGCACATACAGTACTTCGCATTATGGTGCACGGTGCATCTCGCCAGGGCAGGTCGACTGGGTGACCTTTACCGGCTCCACTGCGTGCCTGCCGGCTTGGCACCATTCGTCAGCGCCAGGGGGCTTTCAACACGCTGATTGTTTTGCCTAGAATAGGAAGTTGTGAAAGTCCGGGACCACTCTGGCACTCTCAAGCTCTGTTACCTTCCCCTTTCGCGGGCCTCCTGGTGATCGGCTCTTATTATGGGCGGTAGGGCCTGAGCGGGACGATAATGCTAACTGTTAAAAGGTAGGTAAGTGCCCCGTTCTGTTGCATCTCCCTATTTGTCTGCGTGCCTTTCCCTCCCGGTCGATCGATAAGACAAGATGTCAGCACGCCGAAGACTCGGCTTGGCCTTCGCGGGTGTCATCCACCTCGTTACCGGCCTTGGATTTGATGGCGCGTTCCGGACCTCTTTGACGCTGCGAAATTTCAAGGAGCAGGTGGGTTTTGCAAGCAAGCAAGTAGGGTTGTTCACTCTGCTTACTGTTGCGCAGCTGGATTCTACATCTCACGCTGCGCTGGTGGCCGGGGATCTCGAGTCGCTATACCCAGCTCGCACCATCCAGGTTCCCATAGACCACTTCCACAATGAATCGCTCTACGAGCCGCACTCCAATGACACCTTCGCCCTGCGCTACTGGTTTGATGCTAGCCACTACAGGAAGGGCGGGCCCGTCATTGTCTTGCAGAGCGGCGAAACCAGCGGCGTTGGGCGTCTTCCCTTCCTGCAAAAGGGGATCGTGGCCCAGTTAGCCCAGGCTACCCACGGCCTGGGTGTGATCCTAGAGCACCGTTACTATGGAGAGAGTTATCCCACCCCGGACTTCAGCACCGAGAACCTCCGCTTCTTGACGACGGAGCAGGCCGTTGCCGACATGGCCTACTTTGCCCAGCATGTCGTATTTGAGGGACTGGAACACTTGGACCTGACGGCACGCAGTGCAGCCTACATCGCTTACGGCGGTTCCTATGCCGGGGCGTTCGTCGCCTTCCTGCGGAAGCTGTATCCGGACGTCTACTGGGGTGCCATCTCTTCGTCTGGCGTTCCCGAGGCCATTTATGATTACTGGCAGTATTACGAGGCGGCCCGCCTGTTTGCCCCGTCCGACTGTGTGGTCAACACGCAGAAGCTGACACACATGGTCGACAACATTCTCATCGGCAAGGCAGAGACCGAGTATGTGCCGCGTCTAAAAGCAGCCTTTGGACTCGGCAATCTCACGTTCAACAACGACTTTGCCAACACCATCTCGTTTGGCATCGCGGGCTTGCAAGGTCTAAACTGGTACGTGGTACTTTACCCCTGTCTGGCTGTCTTTGGGAATCATTGTCCTCTTAGGATAGATGATTCCTGAACTGCTCCCGAGACCTCCTGCTAAGGGACGAAATGGCTGACATCATTGGAAGGGATCCCGCCTTGAACAACACGGAATTTGGCCGCTACTGCAACAACATCAGCTCCCCGGTTCTGCTCTACCCAGGCGCCGCAAGCCTCAGGTCCGAGGCCAGAGAACTGCTCACGGCGGGCGGCTACGGTGCCGAAGCTGACAGTCTCATCAACCAACTGCTCAACTACATAGGCTATGTCAACGTGACAATGGTGCAGTCCTGTCTCGACAGGAGCCAAGACGCCTGCTTCTCCAACCACAACTCGACCTTTTATCAGCAGGACGACCTCAAGCAGGATTGGAGACTCTGGGCGTACCAGTATTGCTTTGAGTAGGTCTGCGTGCTTCTGTTTCTTCTTCGCTCAGTCGGTGCTAATCTTGAAAAGATGGGGCTATCTCCAGACCGGCTCCGGTGTCCCCGCGGATCAGCTGCCCCTAATTTCCCGCCTCATCGACATCGACTACCTCTCCCTCGTGTGTCGCGAAGCGTTCAACATCACGACCCCTGCCCAGGTCGAGCGCATCAACAAGCACGGCGGCGTCAACATCAGCTACCCGCGCCTGGCCTTCGTCGACGGGGAGAGGGATCCCTGGCGGTACGCTTCGCCGCACCGAATCGGGCTGCCGGAGCGTAGGAGCACGGTCAGTGAGCCGTTTATCCTTATCGATGACGGTGTACACCACTGGGACGAGAACGGGCTATTTCCCAACGAGACGACGGCCGACCTGCCGCCCAAGCCTGTCGCACAGGCTCAGAGAGCGGAAGCACAGTTCGTGAGGGCGTGGCTGAAGGAGTGGAGCAAGACGAGATGTAGGGGTAGCAAGCCGGGAACATGTGTGGTTGAGTGAGGTAACTAACTCGAAGCAGCAGACTCGTACAGGGAGGAGGATTGGGAAGATCTATGACGGAGCATTGTGCCATTGCGGGCATATTTCATGTCAAGGTCTGGGAGGTTTGTATAGAAGTGGTGTCCATTTTGGACAGAAAGCGAAGTCAATTGTATAAAGGGGTATAAAAGGGGTATCTATCATTCCAACCGATCATCGCATACAAGACACACGTCGTTCCGCTCCTCCCCCTTCCAGACCCTGGTACCAGAGTTGCACCGGGCCACGGCCGCTCTCAAGTCTTGGATCATGCCCGGTGGACCGCTGCCAAAGACACGTGTCGACCCTCGTGCTATGCTACTGATAAACTCGTTCACTGCCACGATCACATCCGGTCTGTGGTCATGGCCACTTCGGGTCGACGGTGTCCCTCGCAGCGACTCGGCATCACCTTCGGACTCGGTCCGCCCCTTCTCGTCGGTGACCTTGACCTCTTTTGAAGTCACAGGAAGCGACTCGGGGGCTGTGACATAAGTTCGGATCTGAATATCGTGGCGAGCACCAAGCCGCCGCAGCTCGTCCATCTCGGGCTCGACCCATTCCAGATCTTGCCTCCGCTTGACCGCCCAGACCAGCTCAATCTTGCGACCGGGCACCGCTTGGCCCCTGACCAACCGCAGCAAGACCGGGAGGACGAATGTGATGCCGGTGCCGCCCGCGACACAAAGCACGTTGACGTCGTGCGTCAGGCCCTCGAGGATATTCTCGCCATAGGGACCCTGCAAGATGACAGGCGTTGTGAGCCTCGTGGACGGTGCGGCGTCCCTCTTCTTCGCCAGCACATCGACGATCTTCCTCGTCTCGCCGCCCTTCGCTCGGAACACATACGAATGCCTCACCCGCCCCGTGGCATCCGCCACTGGCAGCGACAGCGGCGTGAACGGGTGGCTCTGCCAGATGCTGCCCTCGGCAAAACACAGGAACATGTGCTGCCCAACCTTCCACGGCGCCTGCACATGGTCAAAGTCCAGCCGCACACAGTCCCCCAGCTCCTTATCCTCCCACACCTTCACCTCCGCCTCTGCCGCCTTGAACCCAAACCCGCCTTTCCCCTGCCAGTACCCATAATGCAACAATCCCATCCTCACCAGCCTCGCCCCGCGATCCAGCCCCCACAGCACGAGCCCCGGCACCAGGAAGCACTGCAGCTGCTTCCAGTGCCCGATCAGCGCGCCAATGTACACCATGGCCAGCACGTAATGCGCCTTGCGGAAGGCCTCATAGCCAGCCACTCGCACAGTGATCTGCCACGTGCCTACCCACAGCACAACCAGCAGCACCAGCGCCACCACCCCCCAGACGGCATACTCCTGCGCGATCCAGTCGTTCCACACCTTCGGCTGCGGCTGGTACAGCCACGCCTCGACCAGCACCCAGCCGAGCGTGTGCAGCAGCGACTGCGCGAGGATGAGGTAGCCCGTCCAGCGGTGCAGGAACATGAAGGACGTGTAGGGCACGCCGGTCAGCAGGCTCAGCACGTTCTCGCGCGACGCGAGCAGGATGCTGAGCGGCGTGAGCGCGTACGCCAGCACGCCGACGCGGTCGGCCCAGGGGCCCAGGGAGGTGCGGGTGTTGTAGACTGGTGGGTTGCTGTTCTTGACGGGCGTGACCCAGCGGCCGTAGCCGATGCCGATGAAGGACCAGAGGGTCAGGTAGGCGGTGAGGAAGGCCAGGAGGACGAGTTGCAGCCGGGTGGTGTGGCCGAAGACGGGCCGGAGCGGGACCGCGGGGAGGAGGTAGTGCCGTGTTGTGGCGGCTATGGCGCGTCGGAGGCGGGTGAGGGATGATGAAGAGAAGGAATTTGGGGCTGATGAAAGGGGTTGTTGGGATTCTGGTTCGGAGGAGGAGGAGGAGGAGGAGGAGGAGTGAAGTTGGAGCAAATGATGGCCATCGTCGCCGTCGGGAGATGGGAAGATGCGGCGCCACAGGGTCCACGCCAACAGGATGCCGCCGAGCGTGAGCCAGAAGATGCCCGTGTAGATCATGCCGCGGTCGTGGGCCGAGTAGACCACGTCGAGATAGGCGCACGAGCCCGGGTCGTTGGTGCAGGGTACCGCCCTGTCTGCGTAGCCCCAGTGCGGCTCGAGCGAGGCCGCCTCGGAGAGGTTCTGGATGTGTCGCGGTGCGAGTGCCATGGTTGGTCGGGGGACTCAGGATTCGGGATCGCGGCGCTTGGAGTTGATCGAGCGGTCCATCCGGGCGGGACAGGAAGTCGTCTGATTACAAAGTTTACGATACTGCTAGTTGCTGTCTCGAAATCCATGTGGCGAAACATCACTTCTTATGTATCTTAGTCATGAGGCTAGACATTGGCAATTTGTTCTCCATCCTGGCGCTCGGGGAGCCACCCTCCGGTACGGCTTCCGGCTGATTCAGATGACGGATCCTGTCGGTTGCGCTGCCAAGCGTTGCGTTTGGGAATGGTGGAGTTGAGCAGATTTCAAGAAGGAGGGCCGTGAAGGTGCTTTTGCCACCACGGAAGATTCTCCGATCGAGCAGACCGCCAGCCAATACGAGTCTGTTCCGTGTACGGATAGAGATGCCGATTTAGAAAGCTTCCCCCAAGTCCCCTCTAGGCTCTTGCACACAGAAAATCAGCACATGCTTCATCATCTTTTTCGTGTTGTTCTGCCACGGCGTTTTAAAGCTCGAGCAAGATTGAGCACGTTTTCTAGTGGGCCCGGTTACCGGGCCGGATGTTCTAGGTGCCTTCTCGGCGGTCTTGGCGAGAACCTGGGACGGGGGGATTCGGGCGCATTTGTGCTCGCGTTTCCACGCTGATGACTGGGCCTGAATTCGCGGCACTGGAGCCAACAGAGTCGTGAAACAAAACCCCCGGCATGCCTTGGTGAGAAAAATGAGGGAGTTTACTACGATAATAGCAGGAAAAGTGGGCAAGTATCACCGACAAGCGAACGGAGATCGCAGCTTTAATAGTGATAAGTACGGCAGCACCCACAGGCGATCGCGACTGCAGTTGCGCTCCCGTCAAGTAGCACTCCGTCTCTCCACAATCAACTGCTGAAAAGCGATTCGCAGTCCGCTCGCCCCCGGTCACAATCTATTCCGCAGCCCAGCTACCGGCACGCTTTATTATATTGAATTACCATTCCACTGCCGTGCTGTCCGGGGTTTCGGCGCGGGACCACACATCCCACACGCAGTACCAAGATTCCAAAAATACGGATACCACAGTACCAGTCCTTCCTATCCATCCGCATACCGGCAAAAATGGACCACGGCGCGTCAAGTTCCAGCATGGCAACATGTAAAATATCCGTATGTTTACAATACAATACGCCCACCACCCCTTCCCCCCACTCTCTCCCGGCTCTCAGTGCTAGCTAGGTAGCGAATGTTTGTCTGACGCAACTCGTGCTCGTGGAAATAGATGCTGTGGAACTGGTACACCATCGACGCTTGCTTCCTGTCGCCATCGTGGCAGATCACGTCGCACGGCGCCTTCGCGGCGACGTGCATCGGCGTGATGCTGATGGTGGTGCTGCTCGAGTTCCTGCGGCGGCTCGGCAAGGAATACGACCAGCACATCTCGCGGCAGTTCGCGGCGCGGGTCGGGGTGATCGTTAATGCCGGCTCCTCCCCTTCTTCTGCGTCTGCGTCAGCCCCGGCCGCTGCTCGTTGCTCTTCTTCTGCCCGGGACGGTGGTGGAGAGCCGACGGTGGTGACGTTCCGCGCGTCCCCACTAGAGCAGTTTATCCGGGCCGTGATCCACGCCGCGACGTTCGGGCTGGCCTACATCATCATGCTGCTCGCCATGTACTACAACGGGTACATCATCATCTGCATCCTGATTGGGGCGCTGCTGGGCAAGTTCTTGTGCGACTGGATGACCTGCAAGGTGGTGATTGGGCAGCCCGGGGCGGACGCCAAGGGCTCGGCCGCGGCCGCGGGGATCGACGAGCCGACCGTTTGCTGCGGGTGAGCAGCGGATGGGGGAAAGGGTTGGGGTGAAGAGGGGTTTACGCAGGACCTGGGAAGGGGGGCGGCACGCCGGACGCCAAGTTACTTTAATATATGCAATGTGTTAGTGACGGACACTGTCACTCTGACATCGACTTGGCTGCCGCTGCCGCCTTTGCTATGTCATCGGCGAGCGCGACACTGGTCGGGTAGGACTTCCTTGCTCCGGCGGCGTCCTTGTGCTCGAGATTCCAGTCGAGCACCTCCTGCGTCATCCCCTCCAGCGTTGTCAAGACGCCGCTGTAGCCAAGCCCTCCGCGGCTGACGGGCTGACTTGCTGTTGCATTTGACGCAACGAGGTGGGTGCAGATGCTGAAAATGCCCGGCTTCAGATGCTTCACCTCGCCGGTGAGTTCCGGAAGCAACTTCCGCAGAAAAAGATACTTGGCGCGGAGGAGACTGTACCACTCGATGGGGTATGACAGCAAGACCATGACGATGGGGTGGATGTGCAACGCGCGGAAGGGAGTGACGGCGAGGGTCTGGACGAGAAGGTACAAATCGCGGTATGCGATCGGGGCGTTGGGGTCCGTGACGACAAACGGCCGCCCAGCCTGGGGACACGATGCCGACGCCGGAGAGGCGAGGACGGCCTCGAAGTCGAGATGGGCAATGGCCACGTTGGTGCCGTGGACAAAACTCTGGACGATGTGGGAAGTCCAGCTGGCTGAGGATCAGCAAACCTAGGTATACAACGACAGAGAAAAGGGGCTTACGTCGGAAGGACAGCCTTTTGAAGTGCCCCAGCGACAGTGTTATCGGTTGGGGCCGTAGCGCTCCCATCTGTCCCACGCAGTTAGCGACTTATTTCCTAATTGGATGTCTCGGGAGTAATTTAGGAGCGGAAGTGCCGTCTCGGGAACATAACAACCTCCCCGGCATAGCCACGGAGAGGGGGGGGAAATAAACAGCACAAACTTGACATACAAACGCCGTTAGCCGGACGTATGCACCCGGTCCGCATCTCCCTGGAATTCGCGGCACAGACGATGCGCTCCGCGGCGGCCTTGGACGCCGGGTAGTTGGCGTAGAAGGCGTCGTGCCGGCGGAGCGGCTCAAAAAAGTCCTCCTCGTCCAGGACCTGCCAGTAATGGCGTGGCTGCGCGCCGCCGCACATCTTCCAGGGCGGCACCCACAGCTCGACGGGGCGGATGCTGATGGAGGCCGACGTAGTGGAGACCAGCACGTCGGCACCGGCCCGCCGGGCGGCCTCCACCACGTTCCTCGTTCCCTGGACATTGACGGCGTCGCAGAAGCCCGCGACGAGCTTGGACCGGTCTGACGGCACGATGACGGCCGCGGTGTGGAAGACGGTCAGGGGCAGGCCCGCGGTGGACGGGTGCCAGGGCTTGCCGAACGCCCTGTCCGTCGCCTCGGCCGACGAAATGTCAGTTCGCACAAAGTCGACCCCGGTGGCCGGTCCGCGCAGCATGTCGGCCCGGCTGGGCGGCCTGAAGTCGACGATGCGGATGCTTTCCGGGGCCTGGCCTCGCTCGAGCAGTTGCAGAACGATATAGCCTCCGACGAGACCTGCCGCGTCTGGTCAGGAGCGGGAAACAGGTGGGAGCGGAGTCGGTTTTAACTTTTGTTGAAGTTCTACACGGGCAGCAATTAACTACTACCAGTAGTAACTGCCAGACGGACTTACCGGATCCTCCCGTAACAATGTAGCGTCGCTCAAGCCTCGGCGGAATGCGTGTGGCATAGCTGCTAGTGGTGATGGGACGACCCTCGAGTCTGCGGTACGTTTCCCGCAACAGACTTGTCGTCCATCTTGTTGTCGGCGCCAGCTTTGCGATCTCGTCGGGTGTGCGTAGCAGTAGTTGGTTGAGGCGCACTAAATACGCAGCCGTGAGGGCTCCGAGGAGCCCAGCCAGCAAGAGGGGCCAGCCACTGAGAGTGAAACAGTCGAGCATTTCCCATCCAGTCGTTACACAAAAAGATAGCCGCGTCAGTGAGGGTGTGAATTGTCAAGAGAGAGAGTACGGGAAATGCGCTCCCCGTCATGCAAGGCAGGTAGCTTCCGAGAGACCGAGACTCCGAGGTGGAGCGGAATGTCTGTGCGCTGCCAAAGTTCCGATGAATCCGAGATTCCCGGGCCGTCATATCATATCACACTACGTGACCACCATGTGGCCCCCAGCTGGATAGTTAATGATTCAATCGCCCGAGGCAGCAAGGCTATAGTAGCTAGAAAGGACACGCCACTGATGTCCGCTAGAAGTATCAAGGATGTAGACTGTAGCGACTAGAGTCTACTAGTCTAGACCCTAGAGAGGCCTTCGGTGAGTTCGGTCCTCGGACGGCTAGCACGTCCGGCATGGGATGATGAGAATGACGAGATGATAAGATGGCTCTACTTTCTCCTCCTTTTCTACATTATTTATCTTTTCATTTCCTTCTTCTTTTTCCCCTTCTTCCCTTTTCTCTTCTCTTCTGGATGGTTTATCCTCTCCGTTGCAGTGACTCACGTCAAGGCCCAAGGGTCCCAGGACTCTCCGGTTTGCTCAACGCTGCCGCATCAGTCCGGAAACATGGGCCTTGATAAGGATCAAATGACCTGTCATGTGGAAGACGAGCGCGGGAATTTGAAGCAACTAGCAGCTCCACGCACTTCTTGTGAAGCTGTTGGCAAGGGTTTCGAGCGATACGACGAAATAGCATTGAAAACAGTTCACAAAAAATACGTACCGTTCCGCTATCGCCCTACTTCTCACAGCTGCAAGGTAATGGGGTCACTGACCGCACGAGGGGCCTTGTAGTGCTGTTCCATCACATCCCCCTAAGCCATCACCGTCAGCTCCAACCCCGCCGAGAGCTAGTTCCACATCCTCGTGGTTCTGTTATATAGGTGTATGATAGGCCTGGGCCCCTGCATCGGCGGTCGGCCACCTTCCCCGTTCATACCCGTCCGCAAGTGCATGTGGAACATCATGTTAGCTCACTAGACGTTATACCCGGGGGCTTAGAAGGCAGGGGCTGACTTACACGTGGGTTGGACCCCCTCGGATAAGGTTGGGTCTGTGAATTGGCTTCACCTTGTAGTGTTGAAGTCGTACAAGGCTACTAGTCACCTATCGCGACGCAGACGCGCAGACTCGTATGTGTCCCTCGGAGAGGGGAGCCGTTCCTCATATCGACAGAACAAGCTTCTTAGGACCGGCAGGAGATCCGTGCATCCTATACCCCTCGGGATACACTCTGGCATCCGTCCTCGGGGTCCAGAGCAGCAACGGCCTGTGCCACGCATGGTGCGACACCCCAGGTGGTAGGTAGGCCTTTTAAGGACATGCCGGGGTCCGAGGAAGTCATGTCTTGCTGGTATTTTGCAGCTGACGTTTCAGCTTCCGCTATTCCTTTCCGGACAGCGGCCGGCTGGGGTCGGGCGGTGGGGGGCGGAGCTTCGGCCAGCAACCAGCACAGCGCCGGGCCCTCTTTTCCATGAGACGGGAAAACCCAAACAGAAACGATCTGTCTACGTCCAAACTTTTGTTGGTACGTAGATAACATGCGACCAAGGCCCAACCCGTGCACTGTTCCGACGAGAGCAAAGAATCGGGGGTCGGGGGGAGTGAGCTTCAACAGCGCTTCTTGGTCGCGGCACGCCCAGGCAATGAGACCCGATGTCTCCGGGTTCACAATGTTAACACGCCAGATGGCGCGAACCTCCTTCATACTTGTCTTGTATCGTTCCGTCACTAATGACCGGTTATTGTTAGCAATATTTCGTTCCTCCTAGGAGCGCTAAGGGACAAGGGACCAAGGGTTTATAGGAATATAGTAGCCTGTTAGTAGCACACTCTCGTCGCAGGAGCCGGCCATTATATCCGACCACCATATTCTCTCCGGCCGACCCCGGAGCTCGTCCCCCGCCAAGAAATTCCAGTAACAGATGATGACCTTTCCGTGGGCGTGGACATAGTTCTCGTACGGCGCCTCGTCGGAGTCGGTGAAGGGGTGGTTGCCAACCCGGACAAAGGCATAGACCGAGATGGGGTGGTCAAGGGATTTCTATTGTGATCAGACATTAGTTTACCACCTATACTATCACCCCATGCTGAGTGAACAGGGGATAACAGTATCCCTCAGGCACCAGTATGCTCATGAGCTAACTGGGTAGCAGAAGCGACTAGACTTACGAGGGCTTTCATCCTCACTTCATGGATTTTAGGCTTTCCGAGGTCGCCTTGGTCTGGTTCGTAGTGAGGCCGGAAGGTCGGTTGGGGGGTGGGGGGGAGGGGGGGTCTGGACTCCGTCTCTCGTAGGCCTGTGTCCATTGGGCGTAATATCGACGCCCTTTGGCAACGAACTGCGCGGCTTTATCGTCTGGGGAAAACAGGCTGGGCGCCATTTTGAAGCCGAAATGTCAGATGACAGAGACAGAGACAAACACGCAGGGCGAGAAACATCAGCAGCACAGAAAACCGGGCTCTCACTCTTTGACCTTGGTGGTCATGCGTTGCGCATTGCACCTTCGATCCGGCGGCCATCCTAGGGGTGGGCAAGCAGAAGGAAGTACCTAAACTATCCATTAGGAGGAAAGAGCGATTGCTGCTGGCCCAAGAGAACAAGCATCCCCCGAGCCGTGAAAATGGCGCAGTGCAGTTCCGCTAAGCAGCGGGGAGTTCCATCGCTCAATCTGGAGTTGTGCTATCTACCTACGGTAGGTATATTCGTACTGTCGAAAACGATATGTGATGATGACGTCCCTCTCAGAATCCTACGTGTCCCTCCATCGAAGTCAGTTGTCAGGTTCTCACTCTTCCTTCCTATTTAATCATTTACAGACGATGGGTTGGGCCAGTTCCAGATGAACCGTCCGACCTAGTAGCAGCCTCCTTCCTTTCAGCTTCCATCAGCAATCTATACGTCCCGGATCCAATCCCATAGTTGCCGAGATATATCGTATTGGGCAATTCATCCTCCTTCTCGTTCTCATAGGCCTCTCTAACAATCTTCTGAGCGATAAAGTGCAGCTTGTACCAAGCAAAACCCCTACCTTCCTGTTTACTCTCCCATTGCTCGAACTCTCGTCGACCCGCTCCACACCAGCCCCATTCCTCGGCCCTCTCATCGCTCACCCATTAGGAGCTTGGTAGCGTCGTCAACTTGTCGGCGCCTTCATCTCTGTAGTGCCGCGCCGCTATGCCTAGCAGATCTGGTTGGGGACCAAAAGAAGCCTCCTCGCGGGCGTCCAAGGCCATGACGAAGTCGATGGCGGTCTCGAGGTTGGTTTTCACAACGCCCTCAGCCTCTTGGGGCTCCACCTTGTCTGAGATGGAGTCGAACGAGATCGGCGCAGACAGTCCTTCTTCGACACCAGTCCGCACGAGATACACAGGCAAGGAACCGATGGTGTCCGGGTCTTGGTCATTTGTAATCGTCAGTACAGACGATCATGATAATCACCTTGACGAGCGGATTCAGCATCCGGGTGCTGCGCGATGGGGTCGACTCCGCAATCTGTTCTCCTGATCCCAACTCGCTTCGCAGGGCCTCCTGTGCATACTTCTCGGCGTTCGCACAGACGGCCTTGTTCATGGCCAGCAGATACTCAACGACCGACCTGGACGGCGGCGAGTCGGGGCTGCTTACGCCCTTGGGTGAGATGAACTTGCTACGTAGGGTAAGTGAGTATAGGCCAGGTCTGAAGTGTAGTGTATACGGTAGGGTAACTTACCATAAGGTACTGGCCCAATTCGATTGCGCTCCGGTAGGGTCGAAACCACCGCTTATAGATGTACTTCTCGATGAGTATCCGAACCTGCCCAAAAATGTCAGCCGCCTTTTTCGTTTTCTTTTTCTGTTTTTCTTTTTCTTTTCCCGAGTCGCGGGTGTCATAGGGCTGTCACAGGAGCACATTGACACCCGAGCCAGCCACCCAGAGGCATAAACAGAGGGATTGCAACTTACCACATACCAGCGGTGTCTAAGAGTTCCCAAGAAGTACATGGGCACCGACTGGTACCATCTGTCATCGAGTCCATATTGACCCATTTGCCCCAGGTGAGGCTCGACCTTGTCCATCGAGGGTCCGTAGCTGCGCTCAATCTGCAACCAGCAGCATTGGTAGCGGTGGTTTTGTTCAAGCTTGGTGCGGTATAACCACAGTAGTTCCTCGTGGGTGAACTCTGATTCAAATCTCTCGGGGCCTCCGCCGGGCGGTTGAAGCTTCTCCGGGGGCAGGGCCGGGAACGGGGGCGGCTTGCGGCTCCGCTTCCTACGAGGCATTGCGAGTGTTTGTGTGAATCGTGGTGCGATATGAAGCGGGTCGTGCTGTAGCGTAAAGTTGGTTTCGACTTATGATGCGGTCGTCAAAGATGGATAATACCTGATTCAAGAAGGTGGAAAGATGGTGGACTTTTCTAATAACAGTGGGTGCGCTGGCCGAAGTGTAGATAAACCCACCGCAGGCTACCCAGTTTGCAAACTGAAACTCACACAGTGTGGGTGTGTGGTTCCTGCGGCCACGCCACCTGATTGGTTAATCCGTATCCGTATATGTGTACGACATACTAAGCAACAAAATCATGACCCGTGACCATGTCTATCGTCCAAACTTGGATCCCTACCGAACAAGAACGTTCGCAGAATGCAGGCCGAGCTAGTCTCAGATGCTCAGACCAGCTGTAGCGCAGGTGACGTACCGCAGGGACCTACCACCACGCTGAGGCAATTCCAACCAACCAGAACCCACATACAACAGCAGATTCCTTATGGTTGTGCAGCCACCCCACCAGCCGCTTGCGGCTGTAACGCTCACGAGAGTAAAGTCTGTGCCTCAGAGACTAGGCCGAGCACTGAAATACTAACTGACATTTTTACAGAATCACCAACCACACTCGAAAGTTGGCGACCCCTACCACTCTCGTAAGAAAGAAAATGGAGGAACACCACATCAAGATGGTAAATTGGTAATGGCATCCGTCATGGTACAATAGATCGTCAAGCCGCCCACGTAAATCACATTCCCTGAGTGGAAGAGTCGGGACTCGGGCTTTCCTAGCGCAAACAAGCTCTTGGGTACTGCAGGTAATCGGATCTTCCGCGCGTTCTGGGACTGATGGGACAGGTTTCTGCCAGCCACTGTCCCAAACCTGATTGTAGAGCGCCACCTACCTTAGATACCGTATCTGAAATTCTGAAGGATCAGCCCGGCATACCATTAACCATATCAGCGCGTGCAGACATCATTATACATCACTTACACTACAATGCTTGGCATGGAGCGCAGGGAATAGAGGACGGAGGATTGATTTGAAAGATTCAGAATCTCTCATTAGAAGGAAGGAAGCGTCACATAACCAGCGCAAAGGGCTCCGCAAAACACTCGTCCCAGCGTGACCCTCCGCCCAGGCAGAAACGCTCCAGCACCCGCCGCGCCAGCCCGGGAGCCGCCGACCCCTGGTCCCGCCCCATCTCGCTCAGACACGCGCCGATATACCGCTGCACCTCCCAGCTCGCCCCGCGCGACGCTGCCTCGACGCCGGCGACCAGCAGCGGCCAGGTCATGCGCTTGCGCACGCGGGGCGCCGACATACCCGACTCGAGCAGGGCGAAGAGCTGGCGGGCGTGGCGGGCGCGGGACAGTTCGAGCTGTATTTCTAATTCTGATTCTAACCTTTTTGTTTCGGGAGACTGTTGAGATGTAGATGGAGATGGAGATGGAGAGTAGGAGGAGGCGGAGGAAGAGGCGGAGGAGCAGGGGAGTGCGCCGGAGCTTTGGAGCGAGAGAATGGCGTAGAGCGCGACGGCGGCATGGAAGAGGGTGGCGATGAGCAGCCAGTCGGCTTGCAGGGTTGGGTCCTCTCGCTCAGCTGCGGGCCGGGTGGCGGACCAGGTCTGCGGGTCGAACGACTCGATGCGGGAAAGGATTAGCTCGGCTTCTGCCGTGGCGGTGTCCGAAGGCGCTTCTGCCCGGAGGGCGTTGATGAGGACCAGCTCGGCGAAGAGCGCGGGAGGCATGGGAATGGATGGGAAGAACGTCTCAGTGTAGTAGGTTTGGGAGAGGGAGAGGATCTCCTCGGTGCTGGCGACCTGGAGCTGGTTGTCCCTCGGACTGGTGGTATTGGCGAGGACGCTGACGCTGTGGTAATCATGGTGCCGTTAGTTACGGGTGGATGTGGGAAGCAACCTAGGTTGGCGGTAGGACCGTAAAAGAAATGGTACTGACATGCATAATGCCATCATGCTCAGTTCCATGCCCGGAACGGCCTGAATGATGGCGGACAAGGAGCCCCAGAGACGGACCAGGCTCATCAAGCCATCGACGTGGGTTCGCCAACAAGGCTTGAAAGACTGCTGAAGCTGAGGGGGCTTAGGATTAGTGACAGGGCACCAGGACTGATGCAAGTGTACGTAGGCTTCGTTTCTCACCATGGCAAACAGAAGGGTATAGACGCTAACGACCGTTGCAATATCCTTGCGCGTCTTCTCGTCGGCGACCAGCTTGTTGATGACACGCACGGCAATGTCGCGGTGTCGGTAGAGGCGCGTCCACAAGGGTTTGACCGCCTGGTCTGATGCGGGATCCTCTGCCACCTGGAGGATCCGGTGGCTGATGGTAATCGACACGAGTGTGTGGGTGATGGCGGGCGGGCAGTTCTCTACGATGGTCAAGGGTATCACAAAGCTGTTGGGCCCAAGCTGGTGCCGGATCAGGTCTGGGTAGATGTGGGAATTATCTAGACGCTGGTGCTCAGCATATGCTTGGACATAGCGACCATCAGTAATTAGGTACGTACAGTAAAGCATCGCATCGATGATATCGCACACCTCGGGCCGGAGCTCGACGGGAGCGGGGAGATCCAGCTCCTCCGTGTGGCTGTCGCTTTCGGTCCCAGTCCCAGGGCTCTGAGATGTGGAGGGGGCGGCACGAATAGGGAGCCTCCCGCGGTCCCGGATGTCGTTGCAGGACTTTTGTGCGGTGTTCCGTTTTGAGCTTGGCTTCGCCTTCCGGGGCCGAGACATGGCCTGGCCAGGTGTTACCCACGTCAAAGGTCTCTTGTCTGCATAGCCGGGACACACGATTCGGGCGGTTTGGCATTTAGCGCATACGGGTTGCATGCCATCGCAGACATGACGTCTCCTTCGGCACTCCCAACATTGGGGTCGTGATGGTGAGGGCTGCTGAGACATTTGCGGGCCATTTACTGATTTTCTCGACATTGGCTGGCGGTAGGAATAGGATGCTGCGGAGAGATCATGCACCGTGAGGCATGTGAATCTACGGAGCCAAAAGCTGTTAATGTGTAAGGTATCCTGGATGAGATGAGTTCCGGACGACACTTCACTCAGGAGAGTTCGGAAGTGGTGTCGGTGTCAGACAGGGTGTCGTGGCGCGAGTCTTGGCCAGAGTATTCTCCTAATCGGGAATAAAGGGTGCAGTGCATGCACTAAGTTATTCGTACAGTGGGTGCCTAATAAATAAAACAACACCCGCGGTCACTTTCACTCGCTGACTTTCCGAGTCGCTGTGGCAAAGAACCAAACTCCTTTTCATATACAATTCAGATGACAGGCTCGAGCCTAAACCGATACACATGAATTTTTCATTATGGGTACCTAGGTAACTTTCCATCTCCAACGAGATATCATAAAATCTCAAGCATACTGATTACTGTGTAAGGTAGACATTGTGACATACATGATACATCTCTCGCTTCCATCAACGTCCAAGCGTACGAGCAAACGACAGAAAGGGAACCCGAAGATCACTCAGGAATTGCCGTCCCTGAAATTCGAACCGATACAGCCCCGCCCGCGTCTTCTCCTCGTCAAACAACACTGAATTTCTAGATACGCAACGAACCACACGCCGCCTTCCTGAGGCATTCACCGCTTTGGTTCATAGGTATGTTGAACAGGCACGGCCGGCTGCTCATACTGAACCCAGTCATTCGCCAATGCTGCTGTTGCCGGCAGTAGTTGTTGCTGCTGCTGCCACTGCCACTGCTGACCTCCGGCGACTTCTCCCACGCCCTGCGCCCCATTATAGTATCCGTAGCCTGCACCATTGCCGGCAGCATCGACACCACCAACCTTTCCCGTTCCCGCTTCCGTACTACTGCCTACCAACCTGACATCCCCCTCCAAGAACGGCCTCCTCAACCCGAGCCGGACCCTGGGCAGGCTCTCCATGCAGTCGACGCTCTGCGAGGGGATGCGCAGCACCGTCTCGCGGTACAGCGTGCCCGTAGCGACATCGAACGAGCAGGCGAGCGCCCGCTTCATGCCGCCCTCGCTGCCGCCGACCACCAGCACCGTCGGCGGCCGCACGGCGTAGAAGAGCGTCACCGTCATGTTGAAGGTGTCGACCAGCGTGAACGGCTTCAGCTCGCCCATGCGCGACCGCATGCTCATGTCCTGCAGCGAGGCCACGGTCGGGTGGTGCGGGCAGTACAGGGCGGCGGGTCCTCCTTGCGGGCTGCCGGTTGCGCAGTACCCACAGGGGGAGGTCGGGTCGACCGTCTCGATCGGGTAGGTTGGGAGGGTGGTGACGGAGTCGAGCTGTGCGTCGTTGTTGTCACGGTACGCATACCGCACTGCGCGCTCGTGCATGGGCTCGCCCTCCCTGTGCCGCGACAAGGGCGACCCCCAGGCGCTCCAGCTCAGGCGCGGCCGCTTGCTCGAGCGTTTCCCAAACAGCCGCTCTTCGATCACCTCAATGGGGACATAGCCTTCGATGCCGAAGAAGCACGGCTCGACCGCCCACAGCTTGCCCGCGTACAGGCTCGACAGGAAGTAGGGGGCCGGGATGATGCATAGGATGAGGGTGAGCACTGTGATGGCGACGCCCGCGTCGTACGCTTGGCTGCGAGGCGAGGCATAACGCTTGCTTCGGAAGCCATAGCCGTATGAGCTACTGGTGGCAGAGCCCGAGCGCGGGGCGTAAAGTGCGGCAATGAGAACGCCCGTGAAGAAGAGGAATGGCGAGCAGATGAGCAGGTAGAGGAAGGCCTGCCGCTTCGGGGTGAGCCGGCGGAGGGTACGGACCTCGGTGAACTTGGCCCACGCGATCTGCGCGCCCTTGGCCCCGTCGACAATGACCGTGTCATTCTCGCCGATGCCGCACACCTGCGTGTCCGGGTAGATGTCCCACAGGCTGGCCTTGTACTGGTCCGTCATGAGCTCCCAGTTCTGCTCGGGCGTGTCCGGGAGCAGACAAACCAGGCGCTCCATCAGCCGGTCGCTATCCTGGGGCAACGACAGCCGCGCAAAGGCCTGGAAGGCCGAGTCGGTCTTGTCGATGGGAGGCCGGATCCGCAGGAGGCCCATTAGGACGTAGACCCGGTCACCGGGGTGCAGCGCCCGGAACTCGCGGCTCATCAGGCATTCCAGGGCAATCTTGACCAGCTCGAGCCGGCTCAGGTGCAGGTTGCTGTAGTGATCGATCAGCTGGCGCGAGTTGAGGGAGTCCCGCCAAGCCACGAGAGGGAACAGCGCCTTGGGGATCTCCTCCTTTTCGACGGGCGGCAGTGGCTTCTCGCGGGAGCCGCAGCGCCACACCGTCACCGAGTCCCCTTTGCTCAGCACGATCTCGGGCAGGGTCCAGACGCGCTGACCCCAGACATTCAGAGCCTGGTCGTCCCAGGGTCGCCGCATGTTGCCCGCCACCACAATGACGTGTTTAGCGGCGCGGATAATGTCAGAAATACTGTAGGTCTGTGAGACGGAACCTGTCAGATGCGTCGCTTCACGCAAGCGGGGGTCGACCAAGGGACGAAGAAACAAAACCTACGTCTTGGTTGGCCAGGACTTCCTTGTCGAGTCCGTCGACCCTGTGTATCCTTCCGTATTCGTCCGCCACCTCGCCGGCCGGCATGCAATTTGCCGACAACCAGAAGGCCCTTGGGTTCTTCTGCAAGTCGGCTGGCAGTGGACTAAAATAAGACTCGCAGGCCTTTGTGGCGACGGCAAGAAGGGCCTCCAAGTCTTCTTTCGTGTTCGAGGCCCCCCCATCCCTCGACTGCTTGTCATCGTTTTCGTCGGGGATGTGGTAGTGCTCGGAGGAGTAGGCGACCAGGACAAAAGGCGTCAGGTCATTCGGACCTACGGGTCGGCGCTCGAACTCGTACCTCTTGCGTCCGTTCCGCTCGACCTCAACCAAGTAATTCAAAAAGCGCGGCCGGAAGGTGCGGTATGTGGACAGGGCCGCCCTTGTGTTCCACGTCGCATGGCTCTGTAGTTGCTGGGCGACGTGCTCCCGGTTCTCGAGCATATTGCGGGCCAGCCGCGGATACCGGAGCCCCCTGTACAGCATCGGGAGGTACTTATTCTGGTCCTTGCCCTCGGGCTGCTGACCCGGGCTGACAAACCACATGCCGATCCAATAGAATAGGAATAGGACAAGCGTGGGAATCCACATGGCGACCACGAGCGCCCAGTCGCCGGCGTTGTACTGCGATATGTCACCCCTCCGCTCGATCGGGACGAACCGGAAGGGGAAGTTGGCTAGGCGGAGCAACAAGGGGGTGGCATTGCGGATCGGCGTCCGCTTCCACGTGGCGTTGGGGCGGGAGGCAGACAGACGACAGAGCGATTCGGGAGCCTGGACGTACAGGGTCTCGACCCTGCCGGTGAACGGATCGAGGTAGCAGTCGAATGGCTTGTCGTATGTCTTCTCCCGTCCCAGGCCATCGATTACGGTGAAGTGATTGGGGCCTGGGACGTATTCCAGGTTCGGGCGGAAGTACAGGTGGGGATCCGACCACCATCGCCAGGACCAGCCGCCGCCAAAGAAGATCGACCACCACGAGGGCACATCTTGGTGAGGATTGGGGTATTCCGCGGACCCAACTCTGGGGGGCGGCACCTGCGCCATGTTGCCGGTTGGGACCTAGCACACTAGCGCCGGTGTGTTGGGTTAGAATTTGGGGGCGGCGGAGGCGGGGAAGGGTTGCCCGATGTCTGAGCGGGTGCTTGCTGGCCTCCGCTGGTATCAACGGTGTCTAGTTGGAGAACGGGTCAGCACAAGTATCAAAGATTATGCCTGTCATCAAAGATGCTTGACGTACTGTTGCTGGGTGCTGGAGGTGCCGGCGTCGCGTCTTCACACGGGAAGTCCCTGTCCAGTTCGTCCAGGAAGCTCTGGTATGCTTGCTGATCGTGGTTTCTGGTCGAGCCGTGATACGTAGGTTGAGTTCCACCTGATGCCATGCCCGGCGAGCTGCGCTGGGGTGGAGCAAGGTGTAGAACGTCCGGTTGATCAATAATGAGAGACTGGGGAAAGAGTGTGTGTGTGGCTGTTGACTGCTGGTGGAGAAGGACAGGATTTCTCGATGCCTGCCGTCAGAAGCCTCGAGCAGGATATATAAGGGCACTGCCTAACAACCCTGTATGCGGAGGGCAAAGAGCAACCTAGCACAAGGCTGCCGATGCGTTTCATTGCAATCATGTGGCTGACGTCGCATTCCGTCGAAGGTTCGAAGAAGCCAATGCTTTGCCACTGCTTTGTGAATTGTCTCAAATGGCCGGGAGAAGTCTGCAGGACGCAAGGGTCCGACGCGTCACTATACTAAGCGCCCGTGGACTCGGACAGCCCGCTCTCGCAAAGGTCTATTGGTGGCCTTGTCGACGGTGGATTGCACTTTCTGCAGCCAAGGCTCTGGTGGGTGGTACCGCATGAAATGAGCAACTCAGCCGCTTCTTCCGAAAATATAATCGTTGACGGCTTGGCATCGGATTCTGGTCGTAGAGCCCGGAGCCTCATCCCTCAAGGAGTCAAGCCCGAAGGATGCCTGCCTGCAACTTAATCTCCCGTGCCTCTGGTATACATCGTGCAGCACGAAGTCTGTGACTCTGTTATATGTTTGGTAACTGATGGTAACCCCCTTCCTCTTTCTTAACTTCCTTTTTGGCTACCCCGCTCTCTTCGACTCTTGGCCTGTCCTGTCCACCTCCGTTCCATTCGTTGTTTCCCTGCACTGCCTGCAAAGTCCAGACAGGACCTCGGGAATCCAGGATGTCGAGCACCGCGGCACAGCAACTTGGAGAGCGCCAGCCCGGTCCATCCCAGCAAGCCCAACCACCGTATCACAGGATTTGGAGGCAGCACGGTGAGTGCCGCGACGTTTCTTGCCGCCCATTTCAGGCACTAACTCTTGGGCACCGAACCGATGGGAAAGGCGAGACTCTGAAGCGGACCACGTTCACCAGTGCAGGGCAGCTGAGGCCATGGGATGCCAAGGATTTTGACATGATGTATGTTCCCATCCGTACGTTCCTGTTTTTCGGGGTTCCATTTCAGCCCCAGCCCAGGTCACACAGTGACACACTGCAGCTTATGATTACTGGCTGAAAATTCCCGCAGAGTCGCGCCGCTGGATGGCACACGCAATGACAGCGGCACAGATAACGGATACCAGACCCTTGTCAATCTCTACGAGATACCAGACGAGTTCGTGTGGGAGCGTGAGCAAAGCGTGACGCACTCCTTCGGACGTCGGATAGGAGATGGGGGGCGTATGAGTGAGTACTACCTACCTACCTGTTCACCTGATGATCTGATCATCACGCAGCCCTCCCAATATTGGCTATCTGTCGCCCGACTAAATGCCCCAACATTATCGTGGCTGCAGTGCTTTGGATGCACTTTCTGGTCGAGATCCCCCGGACAGAAACCCCCGAGCGTCAACCAGACGTATGTCAAACTATCGCCGTAACCTCCTTTTTCTATGGGCGGCTCTTCGAGCTCGAGCCATCGGTTGGAAGCATACGACTGACCGTCCCTGTGCTTTTGTCAGTGGCTGAAATGGGGCTTTTTGCTGAGCTGGCGGCCCAAAGTGCAAGCACGAATACCAGACTGTCATGCTGGACCTAGCCCGGAGCCCGTTACGGAATATACGATCGAGCTCATCGTATTCCAACCACCGATAGACACTTTCAAGCGACTCTTTGACTTCGTGCGGTCTGCGCACTGGACGGACGCCACCTTTGACCCCTATGTGCTGGTCGATATTGCGCTCGTGTCCTGGTATCACCGCATCGACAGGGTCGCTTGGACGGTGACCGAGCTAATCCGCAAAGATGAGGTGGACATATTCGAGCGAGCACGAATGCTGCCGTCAATTGCCGACTCAACCGTTACCGACCTCGACCTACACAGGATTCACACCAACGCAAAGAACGCAATCTTCATGATTGAAGCATTGGACGCCGCCATCAGAATAGTCGACCTGGCCTTGTCGGACCATGAACTATCCGGCCAAGGGGGAGGAGGCAAGGTGTGGCAGAATACTCATCTGCTCTTACAACACCGCCGTGAACTATTCCACTCAACACGTCTAAGGACCGTCAGCTCCCAGGCCAGAATCAAGAACACAGTGGATCTCGTATGTTGTGCCACCAAACCTTAATCAACCTAGTATTTGCACCGTCTCTCCCCCCTTTTTCTTGGCTAACTACCTACTATTGCGGTATCTACCGAGCTAGGCTTTCCACATCAACACAGCACACGACAGCCGAGTCAATCTGGCAAACAGCAAAAGCGTGCGCCTCATCTCCATCGTCGGCCTCGTCTTCCTCCCCTTCAGCACCATCACGTCCATCTTCGGCACCCAGTTCTTCACTTCGGGCGATCAGCACAGTATGTCAGGGCCAGAACAAGATCTCCCGCATAGGGGAACTGCGCAGCTGACAATTTTCCCCCTTCCTCCCAGTGAGCGTGAACCCCGACTTCTGGTTGTTGTGGCTCATCGCCGTCCCTGTGACGCTCCTGATCCTGGGCGTCTGGCGGGCCGGCGAGCGGGATACCCTCAAGTGGCCGTTTGGGTCGGCAGAGTTGTTGCCTCTGCCGAGTTGGCGGCCTGCTGCTCGGAAAGGTGCCGGTGCGACAAGTCGGGGCACGGCTATTCTCGCGGACGGGATCGAGCTGAGGAACATGGAAGCCCAGATAGTTTGACGATTCGTGGTAATAACCATTTCTTTGTCACAATATGATTTTCTGACTTGAGTAGGTTTCCTGCTACTTCACATTCACGAAGCTCCCATAAATACCAAAAGGACACCAAAAGCTGACTTTTTATGGCATGAAACAATTTGGCCCCCATGGATATCACATGTGCAGGCACCAGGTGAGACTCTGAGGCACAGTTGAGCCACGGAGGGTATAAGCACACCGACTCAGTAGGACAAAGCTCTTCTCGGGTCATTTACATCATCAGCATCCAACCTGCCTCTCTCACAACACCACATGTCAGCCACCATAGTTCCTTCTCTTACATCCAATGCTGGTATCAGCAACACCGCGTAGGCCTCATTCCATCCCAACATGCTGGCGAACGCTCCCCATGTTGACCCGATCAAGGTATCCGACATGCAGGTTACGCAATCCATGAGCCACTTCCGGTCCTCCTTATCCGTCATCTCGACCGTATCTCTCTTCGGAGCATCCACATTCTTCGTCGTGGCAAGTGACATGGCAGACCCCGCGAAACTCAGCAGAACCACCAACAAACGACGCGCCGCCGCGGTTTGACCTGCATACCGTACGGTCCTTCACCGCCGCGGCATGGCTGTTGCTCATCCTATGCCTCTCGGTGGCGGGGTATGTCTCGGGCGTTTTCACCCTCTTGGCTGAGACCGACAGAGCGACTACTACTGGTACTGGTGGGGTGTGCGATCAGGATCGGGAACGGGAACGGGAATGGGCCCGGCGCTGGGACGGAATCGGGATATGTGTCTTGCTGGCGCTGCATCTTTTGCTCGTCACGGCTTTTTTTTTCTTGTCGCTGGCCATGGTGGCCTACGTCGGCGCTATCGGCTGGGGCAGCTGTGGCCTGCTGCTGCCTCGCCGGCATCTTTGTCATCTGCTTAGCGATACATCAATCTAGGTAGGTGGTTCTTGAACTTGATTTAGAAAGCGGCGATTCGTTGTTAATATCACGACCATGGGGTTAACGGGCAGTGCAGGTTGCTCATCTTAGAAGGACTCGGATGCCAGAGTAGGCTGCTGCCGTGAGGCATACACCAGTTCGGCGATACCGATAGATCATAGCTAGTACTCGAACCCATCCGCTAAATATGCGAATGGGCTCTGCGGCCGCGGCTGTGTTCCAATAAGATTGCTGCACTTTTGCAACGGAATCCCGATTGTGGAGGTCACTGTTGAGCATTTCCGGGCAAGCCTGAACAAGATGCTGGAGTCCTGTGTTGGAACAGGGCTTGAACATGGAGGCGGGAATTCCTACTATCTAGATTCTGACTAGAAAGTAGCAGCATCGGGCCGACGGCGGGAGATGGTCGTCCGGTCTTTTTATAGGATAACCTCCCGACGTCCAGCCGCGTGCGCGGCGGATTTCCAGGTGTCGATCGGATGATCAAAGCCGATCGTCTCTTCCTACCAGGCTACGGTGCCCGAGGATTCGCGCTGTTATTTAACCTGAAACACTTCCCCCTTATGCAAGAAGTCATTCACTTGCGGCTGTGCTAACAATCTTTGCGGGACTTACCACGGTGGGTTTGTTAGTGCGCTCCGAAAGCGCTAGTCGTTTCAAATCCCCGTCACCCTTCAGACTAGATTCCCCCAATCGCATTCTGCCGCCACCGTTTGACCGCGAACGCTCCTCTTGGCCGGTTTCAGTGGCGCAAACGGGGCATTCGTCGGTGCGATGCTATTAAAATCGCATTGCAGAATCAACTGCGACGCTTTTTTCGCAGTAGCTTCCTGCCTCCTGGTGTGGCTTGTCCAACAACTCTTTTCGTTAGGCCCAGTTGCCCCCAGCTTTTTTTACGCGCTTTCGATCGACTTCCTCCCAGGACGGAGGGGGGGGCATTTCACTCTGATATATCCACTCGTTATTTTTCCGTTCGTGTTTTCCTCGAAACTTCGGCAACAACAATGAAGTCGTCGATTCAGGTCTTTCTCTTCTTCCTGCTCGGCCTGGTTGCCGGCCTGGCCATCCCTGGGACCCCGCGGCGGCAGTCCCAGACCCAGTTTGCGGTTGTGGATTTTTTGGGCAAGGAGGTGCGTTGAGGTTGACAACCTCCCATGAGACACCACATATACATATACATACTTGCTATGCTAGTGCTAGACAGCTGACTGGAGCCCAGGCATGCCACTCGATATTGACGTCTTGCCGCGTGGACAGCGACTGCTGCTCCGGCCTCAAGTGCGGAACCTTTGACGACGAGTCGCTCTGCGTGCCAGGGGGCTAGAAGAACCCTAGTCGCCAAAGGTGTTCGGTGCCTGCATGCTCAGGGGGGAATGGGGGCATCTGGGGTGTTCTCACTTTGTGTACATACCTCCTACCTACCTTACTGAACACCCCAGACCAAGGTGTGCGTCTCTTCCAGGTCGGAAACCTCCATCGAAGATCACGCACAGCCACCTTCGCAATACACTGGCCACTTGAACTCCAATGAAGAGCTGAAACAGCGTGCACCCCCAAGCTCTTTGTTCCTTGTGAGACAAAGGAACAATCCTGTTGTATGCACTCAATGCTATTGGCAAGCCCCACCCTTTCCCTTTGAAAAAGTCCATTGTTCACCGGCTCGAAACAATGCGATTCAAAGTTCAAAGCATCGTACAATGCCATGGGCTGACTATAAAAGAGCTGTGATTTTGGTCATAGGTCAGGGATGGCCTTCTTCGACCACTAGGATCAACTTCCGATTCAAGTGCTCACTTCTGCAAGCTAAAGGTTGGCTACAACTGATTTTTGTCATAGGTGAGTAACCATGGACTTTGATCACAAGGATGAGACAGGGCGGCGGGAGGGGCGCGAGGGGCGCTATGCGTACATGTTCCGGATGGGTAGCCGACGCTTCCTCTTCATCCGAAACTTCGGGCAAGGGATAGAGTCGGTTGCGCAACTAGTCGAGGATGTAGACACGGGAGAAGCCCTGATCCGCAAGGTGAGTGCCGAGCGCTTGCGGCCCAACCGCGTCTCTGCGAAAGCACTGGCGGGGTTCCGGCCCAAGAAGCCGCGCGAAATCCGCATCTTGGAACTGATCAAAGGGACGTTCAGGGCGGCCGACCCGGGGTTCCCATGCTACATCGTGGAATGCTTGGGTCACGAGTTCATCAAATCAACCGACACTGACCGTCTGGGGCGCCCGAAGTACCACTCGGTCTCGTACTGGAAGCTGTGCAACGGCAGCTCGGTCCGCTCGCGGTGGCTGGAAGGCGACTTCGTGCCTCCTATCATAGCCGTGGCGCGCATGATCCGCCAGGTCTTCAGCACGCTGCACTACCTATACACGGGGGGAGCGCGGCCCATCTACCACGACGACCTGCACTTCGGCAACATCTGGATCCACTGGCGCGCAGACCAGCTGCTTCCGGACTTCTACTTGGGCGATTTCGGCAACGCCGGGGTCGCCGATCCCCAGTGCCAAGATCTGTATCTCGACACGGAAGCCTACGTCGCGCGCCCGGTCGACGACCTGGACAAGTTCTCGCGCAGCCTGGCCCTCCTCCTCGACATCATGGGCAGCCGGCGGGGCTACGGCGATCCCGGGGTAAAGGCGCTGAGGCGTCTGGCCTATGACATCGACAGCGTCATCGTACATCTGAAGGACGCCCCGCCGAGGCAGCCGCCGCCCGACCTCAGGCCGTTTATCGACTGGGCACGGGATATCGAAGCGTCGTTCTGTGAGGGCGGTGACGTCGACGAGACGCTCTCCGATGCCTACATCAAATGGATCACGGAGGAGCGCGACACGGCACTCAGCGTGGAGCGTGAGCGCGCCTTGGTTGTGCACGCGACCAAGGAAGAAGCCTTGCGTTCCCGCTGCGGCAAGGCCCTGGCCGACGGGTTCGAGTCGGTACCGGTCGCCATCCACGGCCCCTGGCACCTTGTCCGGATCGAGTGCGTGCTGGCAGAGGAGGACGATGGGAGAACGCACCACAGACCCAACGGTCACCGTCTCGTCGAGGACATGTCCACCACCGAACGGGCTCCGGGCCAGGTCGAGCCCAGGTTCCTCGAGACGGATAGCTCGGCCGGCAGCATCGACGACGCCTCGGCCAACTTGGCGTCCACAACCACCACCCACAGTGCTTCTCGACCCGACAGCCCCGACGACGCGCAGGAGGAGGCGGCATCCCCGGCCTTCTCCTGGACCGAGGGGGATGATGCCGGAGGCCTCTATGCTGAGCCATGCCGCAGGTATTCCTGGGTTTCGGGGGACGAAGATGCTTCTTACTTAACATCATCGGCGCACAACCCTGGCGGCATTGCTGGTGTCGAAGACTATGACTATGACCATAACCTCTTCCACGACAGGTGCAAGGCATACTTAGAACTCGACAAGCTCGCCAAAGCGGCCGAAGAGAAAAGGCAGCTGTCCAAGACAAAGAAGCCGCCTTCCAAGAAGAAGAAGAAGAAGAACGCGCCGCCCACTGCACCAACAACGGAAGATTTTGTGGAGCGGTTTGAGGAAAGGCTCAGACTCTGGCACGCCCTCCTCCACGGCTCCAAGTGTGCTTGCCCCGAGGAGGTCTGGACTGCCGGCATCGAAGCCGCGCTGAGGAATGAGAAGGTAAGGAGCGCCGCGAGAGGCTTGAAGCATGTCCGGGTGACGCCCGTGAGTCCGTATAACCGCATGCGCCACCGACGCGGCGTGCTGACGTATCGCCGGGCCTAAGGGGGCAGCATATACGTACGTTCTTTCACACCCGTTGCTCGGCTCCCCCTTCTCTCTCTGTTTTTGTTTATTAGATCCGCTACTAAGGTGGGTTATTTCAAATTGCGGTTGCCGCTTGTCTTGAACTCTAATATCATCTAATAAATCTTGAAAACGTGAAAACCGTAGTGGTGCTACAGTACTTTATCAATCTCGTCATCTCCCCAATTCGCCTATGGGGCCCCATTAAAACTCCTCCCGCCTACCACGCAGTATGCCCACCATCAATCACCAAATTACTCCCCGTCATGAAACTGCTCGCCTTGCTCAGCAGGAACAGCACAGCGCCCTTAAACTCATGCGTCTCGGCCAGCCGGCCCATCATGTTCTCGCCCTCCCACGTCTCCCGCAAGCCGGGCACCTCCTCAAAGTTCTTCAGCACCATCGGCGTCAGAATGTGCCCTGGGCTGATACAGTTCACCCTGATCCCGCCGGCCCCGTCCTCCCGCACGGGACTCCACTCCATCGCCAGGTTCCTCGCCAGCTGGATCACCCCGGCCTTGGACGAGTTGTACGCCGCGCACAGCAGGCCCTTGTTGGCCACCAGGCCGGACATGCTGGCGATCAGGCAGATGCTGCCCCGCGTCTTGTAGCGGAACATCTGGCGCGCGGCCGCCTGCGCCGTGGCGAACACGCCCGTGTAGTTGATCTCGAGCATCTGGGCGACGTCCTGCGGCGTGTACTCCAGCGCGGGTTTCACGTTCTGCACGCCCGCCGCCGCCACGCAGCCGTCCAGCCGCCCGCCGTTCTCCTCCGCGATGGCCGCCATCAGGTCGTTCAGGTGCCGCGTGTCGGTCACGTCCTGCTGCCGGTAGTGCAGCGACCCGCCCCAGTCCGGGGACACGCGCGATTGGGCCTCGGACCACTCCTCCTCGGCTGGCTCGGGTGAGCGGTCGAGGGCGTAGACTGTTGGAAGATGAGGGGGGTTAGTTTTTTGATTATAATTATAATTACAATTGTGAGGGGAAAGAATGGGGAAAAATAAAATAAAAATAAAAAGACTCACCTTTCCCTCCGGCCTCGACCAGCGCCTCCGCCATCGCCAGCCCTAACCCCTGCGCGCCGCCCGTCACGACAAACACCTTCCCGGCCACATCGAAATCCGCGAAGCGTTTCCGCCCGATGAGCTCGTCTGCGCCGGGCTTGATGTCATGCGCTGGGTTATGTCGTGGGTCGGGATTCCTGGGCTTGGACTGGGTAATTGGGGATGCGTGGAGGGCTCTTGTGGCTGTGAGGCTGACGGACAGGGGACGGATTGGTGTTGTTGTTGTTGTCCTTGCCTGTGAGACGCGGGCGGGCAGGGTCTGGCGCGCCGCGAGGCGCAGGACTCTAGTAGTTGCGGAGGAGTTCATCTTGGTCTGATGAATGAGTTTTAAGCGTGGAAAGCGAAGGTTAGCTGTGCGGTGTTGTTGGTTGTGGGAAACGAACAGTAGGTGGTATCGAAGCCCATTTATTTATCAGTCCCCCTGTGTCCCCGTGAAGCTGCTTGTTTGTCTTGGATCTTGCGTCACTTGTCATGATGTAGGAGCACTTGCTCCGGGAGACTTGCATATGATAGCCAAGCCTCCTGCCGACGATCCCAACGTCATTTTAACCCGGTCCGGAGCCAGTTACGGTTCCGGGTCGCCAGCCATTGCGGGCCAAAACCCGGCATTGTGGGTCCCCGGAACGGTATCTTGGCGTTACATCCCGCAGCCCGGGTGCGTTGTTCTCGGTAAGGGGCAATATTAAAGTGTCCGGGTTGCTGATATGTACGGACTGTGTTGCTCTGTGCTCCTTTTCCATCCAAGCCATGACAGTATCGACAGTGATTCCCCCAAGCTCACAGAGAGCCCAAAGTGTAGTACAGTAAGTGCACAGAAACATTGCTTGTTTCCGGCGGAAAAGCCCGATCGGCAGACCCACGCCGATCCAGACCCACTTCCGGATCCGCGAGCCGGCACGATGACGTATGAAGCGGCGCCGAGTTAGCCGGACTCGTGCATGAACTGCAACGATATCTACGAAACTACAACACCGCGAGCCGTTGCCGGCTCCTCCCAACCAACTTTCAGCACGAATAAGCTCGGCCGATCCAGTGGCAGGAGATCCACTCACATTGCGTATACTGTAGTTAGGCGTTGATCCAGCAGTGTCCAGTTGCTCGCAACTCAGCCTTCATTCGACCTTGAAGCTGAAACACCTTAACTGGCTATCCTTGTACTCGGCCTGAACTTCTGTTGTTAGATACAACAGAGTGCTGTATCGATTGGCACAGCTTGTGAGGTAGTTTGTGCTTCAGGTAAACCACCTACTATCAGAAGGCTGGATTCACGCAGCGGCCTCATCAATTTCGTGTCGAAGACCGGGTGTCAATTGAATAGATAGCACAGGGTAGACAAATTAATTCACTTACCTCGCTAGTAAATCAAAAGAAGTTTGGGTCATTTTGGATATCTACGTCATAAAGACTCCTCCCATGAAAGGAAACCTTATAGTTGGTTACTTGATAAACCTTCTTACGAGACTCCCCTTTCATCGGCTTGCTCCGCTGAGAACACTCCCAAGACTTGCTGCGGCACTCCCGCTGAACCTGAAAGCCGGAGAGTTCACACCAGAGAAAACACCATACCCAAGAGTCCTTCTCAACCCTTGCGAGGGGCTGCTCTTGATGCTTTTCCAACTTGCCGGGCCCAGCACCGCGGAAGGAAGATCGATTGATAGTTTGCTCATAGCCGATTGTAGATCAACTGTTGCGGTGATGTGGTCCCGTAGAGCAGCCATCGACTTGTAGTCGGGTGAGTGTAACTGGTCCGTGAGAGGCGGGAGTTGAGGCCCTGTAGTGCGCCCCGGAACACCAATGGGGACTGCTATTGGAGATGCGGTTAACATAGTGTTGTCACCGGTCTCGGCTTCAAGGTCCGCTGGGTTGGAACTCGCGCTCTCGGGAGCCGGGGAGGTGTCCCGAGTGACCGGTAAGGTCCAGTCGAGAGGATCGGGTGGTTGCGCCTCGGAGTCCTGATGGGCCGGTGCCCCCTGGGAAATCAGGTCGAGAAACGATACCGGTTCCAAGTTCAGATGCTTGAGGACAGTCGCTCGGGAAAGCCTCATGGCGACATCGTCCCATATGTTGTTATATGTGCATCTCAGAGTCCCAGGGCGGAGACGCGCAGGGTCGACAAATGCGCGAAAGAAGCGTTCCGCAAGCTGCTCATTCCGCATTCCTAGCATGCCTTCAATGACCAGATCAATTGACTCTTCGCAGTACAGGATGATGTTGAGAACGCCAGAGGTGCTAGATGGCGCCGGCGCATGTTGAAGCACGAGGTTGGTCACCACCGCGAGTAGCTCCGTTGCTGAGATGCCCGTCGTGAGGTTCATCATCTCGGCCCAGCTGGGCGTGTCGCTCAACTTCACTTCGTCTCTAAACTCACCCCAGAAAGAGGTGAACATTGAGGTGAAAAGCACACGCCTCCAATGGTCGTCTGAGCCGGCGGGAACGGCCTCTGCATGCATGCGACTCGCGAGCGAGGGTCTTGTTGCCCTACGCAGAAGCCAGCGCAAGCAGACTATCAACACGTCCACGCTGCTCGAGTTAGCGAAGCAGTCGACCATTCCCAGCCTAGAACAGCCGAGGGGCCCGTCGACGTCTCGAATCTGGTTCCGTTGGCTACCGTTAATGCCATCATCGAGAAATTTCGAGAGGCCCACACATACCGCAGTCTTCGGTTTCAGAAATGCCTGTCGGAAGTAGTCCGCCTGTGTATCTCGGATCGCTGCCTCGTACGCTCGTAACACGCCGCTTGCCCGCTGCGACTCCCACAAGCGGACACGCCTGTAAAACAAAACCGAGGCATCCTCCTCGGCCACATCGTCCCACCCGGAGAGACGCCCGGCGGTGGGATTTTCAGGGTCGTATTCACCAGACCGCGCGCGACCGATCACGACTCGCTTGAGCAGCTCGAAGGCAAAAGGACACAGCGGAGCACCGTGACTTTTGGTCCAGTTCAACAGCAACGTGTACAGACGATAGCTGTCTTCGTAGCACCGAGAATGGAGAAAGAACTCCGCAGCCAGCTCAACCTGTTCAATTTCCACTTCGATCTCGGTGTGGGAAAGTCCGTCAGCGAGAGTCGAGCCTAAGAGAGAAGCTGGAAATATCCGTTTGTTGCTGTTGCAGCAGGGGCCTTCAGACTGTGATGTTGACACGCCATGTGAGGTGTTCCGGTTGGTTCCCCGAGTTTCTCGCGGCACAGTATCTCCTAGCTTTCGTCGCTTTGCGGGCGGTGGCTCTGGGAGCGGGTAATCAGGGGGTCCGTCGGATATTCCTTATTACCGTCGCTCTTAGTGTGGTGCTCATGCTTAGGCCAAGGGACACGACACAGTGCAATCGTACCTGAAGCCTTTCCGGGCATTGACACATCCTCCAGTGCAACTCGGACGGGCTCCTTGCCATACTTCCGCAAACCCCATTTCCCAAGCTGAAGAATGTACTGCTTGCGTCTGCGGCGTTTGTGCCAACTTAGTGACGAATACAATTAAATTGCTCTCGAGGACGTCACTTACGATGGGGCGAAGCCATGGTTTGCTTCCATGTACCTCATGACCTCCTCTAGCGTCGCAGACTTATACATCTCGCAAATGATTTTCCTATGCCCCTCCCAATGTTCAGGAGACACCGGCTGGGCGCGTGGCGCGACAGGAGTTGTCTTCCACACAAACTGTTGCCGTATCAGCGAGGAAACCATTCTGCCGGAGTCGGTCGCCGCAAATGAATCTTAAGAAGTGTGTCGCAGTACAATGCAATGACCTTGGTCTTGGTCAGAAATGAGATGTCAAGGTCTAAGCTAGACTGGGCTGTAGACAGGGCACCTAAATACTAAGGTACCTAGGTAGGTCTAAACTCTAGACGGGAAAGAGTGGGAAGGCTGCAGGCAGATCTGAAGCCGTATCTTTCCTAGGCATTCCCATGTGGCTGAGATAGAGAATTCCCTTCTCCGTTTCGGGAAGGCACACTGGCAGCCAGCCCCATTTCCGTGGGGGGTGTCGCACCTCACAGAGCCTACTAGGAGGCTCCCGGTGAAGGCAACCCTCACGTGGCCAGCAACGCTGTCCGTGGCTAGCGTCGCCGCACGACTATGCATTGTAAGCCACAGCGAACCAAAGGGCCCATTCAGAGAGCCGGAGCGGCGAAGTCGAAGCCTGCACATAAACGGATCTGCACATCTGCATATGCACACCGATCCGCCAGTCATCGTCGATTTTCCTTTTCCCAAACGAGTCAAGCGCGACTATCTCCAGAAGACCGCAAAGGCAAAAACAGTACTTCGTGTTGGTTATGCCGCGGCTTGGATGAAGGATTTTGGAACAAGTGACTCTTCCCCAGATGGCGAAGGGAAATTTCCAGGTTGTCTCGGCTTGGACCGCAGAAGACGCTACCTCGGGGTTGGCAATATCCGCGCGGGCAAGTTCTGGTAGTATAAGACAAGTATAAGAATATCCAATCCGACGGTCATCGTGAGCGTAGACCAGCGCCTCCTTAGCCAAGCGAGATCTCTACATTATTCTGTCTTCCCATCGCTCCATCATGCCCAACATCGGCGAGCAATCCTGCCACCAGCTGGACCAGCCCCTTCTACTGCACCTTGGGGCATGGGAGGATCCCACTTCTCACCCCATACACCCAGCCGAAGTTGAACTCTCTGAGCTTCACGTCGGTCCAACAAACCTCCTGCAACAGCCGCCCAAGAGACCCGTCTTGTTGCAGACAACAGTGTCAAGCCAAGACGAGTCCCACGAACGACGCAATGAAAGTCAATCTGTTCTGCCGCCTTCGCCAATGAACAGATGGCTCCAAGCGACCGTCGAGAGCCCCTGGACCGTGTATGTTGCAACCAACGCCCCCGAGTCGACCCCGCAAAGCCGTCTACTCTGCGGTGCTGTGGCCACCCGGGCCGAAGAAATATGGGAGAGACCTGCAAGCGTGGCATCAGCGAGATGTATCACGGAGCAATTGTCCACTAAGGTAGAGGTCGGAAGTCATTCGGAAGTTGGTCCCAAGAAAGAAGATAGTCAGGCTGGTGTGGCTTAGCTGAGATTCTCAGATCGGACGAGAATAGCTAGACACTCTAGGTTGGTAATCGGTTGGTTGCGTGTAAGTTGTCGTTGTATGTACTGCATTCCTTCTTAATGATTTTTTTTCTTCTTGTGATTCTTCTTCTGGGTGAATTGTCCTTCCGCTTCCTTCTCCGGATGCTGTTTGATTCTATTACACCACGGCCCCTCTTCACTGAAGCATTGATTCCAATCCTAAAGCCCATTGCAGCCGACTAGCACCAGGCCCCAAGGGAATTGTCACTCAGTCATCGTCGCCTCTTCTCTGGTGGTGTACACCCCGGTGGGCACGGCATGATACCCCAATTTGCCCACCTTGAACGTCAACGGACTCCTCCACTCCTCCCCCTTCCCGACCTTCTCCACCGCCTTCTCAAACGTGTACTCCGGCTTCCACCCCAGCTCCTCGACCGCCCGCGTGGAATCATACACCCGATCCAGCCTGTCCAAAAACCTCCACCCCTTCCGCTCAAACACCCCCACACACCCAAGCACAGCCTTCTTAAACACCTCGGCAGCATCCTCATCCAACCCCCGCAGCGTCTCTGCATCCCTCCCAAACGGCGTCGGCGCACTAATGATATACTTCCCCCACCTCACCTGCCCCTTAGTATTAGTATGACGCGCCGCCCTCTCCATCGCACAGACACACGCAGAAACCACATCGGCGATATCGACCCTGCGATACGCGAGCTCCAACACCTTCAGGTTCTCCCCCTCCATGGCCGACCTGCGCTCCTCGTCGTCGTCCTCCTCCGGGAAGAACCGGCTCGTGCGCAGCACAATCACAGGCAGGCCGGTCTCCCTGTGCACCAGGCGGCACACGTCCTCCGCGGCCGTCTTGGTGACGCCATAGATGTTCTTCGGCACCGGCACGACAGACTCGTCGATCCACGCCGCGGGCTGGCCTCGCGAGGGGGAGAGGGCGGAGCCGAAGGTGGAGGTGGTTGAGATGTAGATGAAGGATTCTACTGTTTTTGGTTTGGTTTTACCCACGTTCTCATCAGAGAAGGAGGAGGAGGAGGAGGAGGAGGAGGAGGAGGAAGCGGCCTCGAGCAGGGCGAGGGTGCCGGCGATGTTGGTCTGGATGAAATCGTTCTTGGAGTGCGAGCCGACATGCGGCTTGTGCAGCGTCGCGGCGTGGATGACGTGGGAAATGGAGTGGGTGGAAAAGATCTGGGAGAGGAAGGCCGTGTCGGTGATGGAGCCGACGAAGGTGGTGGTCGGGCTAGCGTTGATGTCGATGCCGATGGGGGTGTAGCCTAGGTCGGGCAGCGCGAGCATCAGCGCTTTGCCGAGGTGCCCGGCTGAGCCCGTAACGAGGACGGTGGGCTTCGACATGGTCAGGGGAGAATGGTGAAATCAATTGGAGGGACGCGTATCGAACGTGTTAGGGGAAGTGTCGAGCGGTCGCCTATATATGGTCCGTCCTCTGTGATTGGCATTGGGTGAGTCACCGCCGCTAGGAAAATTTGGGTATGCAGGTGTCAGTGGAGATGGCGTCAGGCCAACTTGATGAAACGTTCCAACGGCCAGGACCACGCTAGCTCGGGGGTTTCGCAACCAACCGCCAAGTCCTTTACTACGCCAGATTAGAAAAGTAACACTGGGAATGGCACACTTATTCAGACGAAGACAGACGAATGCCTCTTTCGTTTCGGGAGGATCTGTCAACCTCTATCCTGAGGTACAGAAACCGACATGGATCAAGGAAGAAAATCAAGCAGTTCATTGCTTCGGATATCAGGGTTGTCGCCGAACATTCCATAACAAACACCTCCAACTCCTCCCAGATAATCGCCAGACGCAGTCCTGTCCAGTCCCGCCCAAGTGTTCACTCAGTAGCTTAGACAGCGCCGAAGATCCTAGGAATCGTTAGCTCAACATCTTTACAGAAAACATACGACCCGGTCGGAACTCACGTCTCCATGATAATACCCGTGATCTGGTACGGGTCCGCGTTCGAGGCCGGCCGGCGGTCCTCAAAGTAGCCGTAGCCCTTGGCGGCGCACTCTCTTGGGATACGGATGGACGCCCCACGGTTGGCGACACCGTAGCTGAACTGGTCGATGGCGCCCGTCTCGTGCCTGCCCGTCAGCCGCTTCTCGTTGTCCTCGCCGTAGACAGCAATGTGCTCCTGGTGGCGGGTGCCGAGCTTGGCAATGGCGGACTCGATGTGTTTCATGCCGCCCTCTTCACGCATCTCCTTGGTGGAGAAGTTGGTGTGCAGGCCAGCGCCGTTCCAGTCGCCAGGGATGGGCTTGGGATGCACAGACACCTTGACGCCGAAGTCTTCGGCGATGCGGTGCAGGAGGAAGCGGGCCACCCAGAGTTGGTCACCCACTGCTTGAGGTCAGCAGAGATCTCCCAGATTGGTCATGCCGATTTGTGACTTACTCTCGATACCCACGCAAGGGCCAACCTGGAACTCCCACTGGGCAGCTGTTTCACGTCAGCCTGTGAACGCAGCGAAAATGTCAGGGCCTGAACATACGCATCACCTAAATCACTCGATTAGCAACAGCTTCACTACTGAAACACTCCTTGGGCATGTAATACGTACCTCGGCATTGGTGCCCGAGATCTTGATGCCGGCATACAGGCAGGCGCGGTAGTGGGCCTCGACGATGTCACGCTGGACAACCTTGCCAGCACCAACTCCACAGTAGTATGGCCCCTGAGGAGCAGGGAAGCCGTTCGCGGGCCAGCCGTACGGCCGGTCATTGAGGTCCAGCAGCGTATACTCCTGCTCGAGCCCGAACCAAGGCACGTGCTCGGCATGCGCCTCCATCAGCTTGGCCGTCTCGTGGCGGTGGTTGTACTTGTTTGGCGTTCCATCGGCGTCCCAGCACTCGGCAAGCACAAGGATGTTCTTGCCTCTGCGTAGTGGGTCGGGGAAGACGGCGACGGGCTTCAGGTAGACGTCCGAGTTGTCGCCGGGGGCTTGGCCGGTGGACGAGCCGTCAAAGTTCCACATGGGCAGGTCCTCGGGCTTGTAGTCCTGCTCCGGTAGGGTCTAGAGGAGAGGTTAGGGATTGGTGTTCTTAAGAAGAGTGTTGAGAAGTTCTCACCCTCGACTTGGACCGTGTGCCACCCTCTGAGTCAATCCTTGCCAGTGGTGTTAGCGAGACGACTCCCGAGTGTGCTTCCCTGCTGCTCCTCCGAGGTGGAGGGAGAAACTCACCATATGTACTCAGCAATGATGGTGCCCTTCTGGTCGAGGGAGAAGTACTTGTCGAGCTGCACTATGTATGAGCCAACCGCTATCCATCACAATCGTCGGGGTCCATTGGTGCTCACAATCCCAGCGTGAGAGATCATGGAGACAGCCTGTCCAAACCACATCCGTCAGTCTCATGCCACATGCCAATCGTTGCCTCAGCAAGCTAGATGTAAGTTGGGGTTTCGTACCATGGTTGCAGACTGAACTTGAAGAACAAACAAAACAACTGCGCTGAATTCAAAATCGCAAACTGGCAAGATACGGCTGGGTGTTTCCTTTTCCGGGATCAGGCAAAGTCGACGGGGTCAGCGAGGGCGCGGGAATGCTGTGTCCTTAAATCAGACCCCCGATAGCGGCGCCCCTGTTCTGCAGCATGATAACAATGGCCCAACCTGAACATCCCACTGACCGAAAAACCGCGCCTCCACGCATGGGCACGCGCCAAATGCGATTATTGACCTTGTCCCCGGCTGATAGTCCCGAGATAGGAGGCGCGTTCGATGCCCCTCGGACCCGCATGAGTCTGCAGCCCCTCCGCGGGGGAAGCATCTTATCGTCGGCGTCTCATTGGCTGACTCCATACTTTGACAACCCCCGCATTGTCATTGGTTGCCAAATGAGCCAGAGATGCAGGGTCTGGACCCCACGGCCCGTTCTGCGGTTTCTCAGCCCGCACGCAACCTCAACCCCTTGTTCTTCCCACCCGTGCCACCCATCCGCGCCATCTCACCTCCTCTTCCGAATGTCTGGGCGGGAGGGTGTCACCAAGCCTGGAGTTGCCATGTGCATTCCGCCCGCCGACTTGCAGTGTCGATCCAGAAGTTGGGCGCCCGAAATCACGCGGCATACGCCGCGTCCTGTGCAGTGCTTTTCTTAACCTCCACTTGGCACCCTAGAGATTGCGATCAGCGAACGACGGGCTCAGAATACCACGCAGTCAGTTGGCTCAAATACTAGGGAAACTCTTGCCTCGCTGCCAACAGGAGGCAATGCGCCATTTTCTCCGCCAGCAGAGGTAATCGACATATAGCTGAAAGCATACTGGGCGCAGATGAGATCCCTACGTGCGGCATTAAGGACATGACATTCTCAATAGAAGTCCATCAACCACCGCCATCGCAGGCCGTTCAGCCGGGAACTTGGATTCAGAATGAGTCCCGGATTACGGTAAATCATGTAGTGGTGCAGCTAGATCGGCGATTTACATCTCAACTGGAAACCTCGGGAACTACCATCCGGGCGTGAGTATGCATACGGAGAGGATACCATCAGTTGAGTAAGCTAGGTAACCAGTCCAGCACTTTGGGTGTTTCGGGAGATGGAAACTCTGAGCCCAGTTTATATCAGGGTCAACGGCGAGGGTGCTGTTGCTAAGCTTCGGCTTGTTTTGCGCGCAGCTGTGTATGCCCTTTCGCCGGGCGTGTGTCTTGAGTTAAAGAATACCTCCTGTATGACCGAGTAGCTAGTAATGAGAGTGAGTCCGGATGCTGCTGAACCTTTGGTCGCGGGGTAGATGTCGGATAAGTAATCTGAATTCATAGCAAAGGTTGTAGGGACGTTGTATCTTCAAGTGGTTGCCACGTCTACCGCTCTATCTGCGATGCTTCTGTCTTGTTGAACGCCTCAGCCAAGCCCACAGGCAGTGACGTAGAGGGTGACCTGGGGGTGCTCTTCGAGGTTCAAGCTATATTTATGTTATATACTGAAAGCCTACCGAGTGCGGTATTCTATCCGAGAGCAAGGTAAGCCCCAAGTCAAAGCTCTCTTTTCAATGTATGATTACCAGGTCAGGCTGCTGGGACGGAGTGAACCAGCCCGGCAGACAAGCTTCAACTCTCTTTCTTGTTGGGGATATATATACTGTATGAGAGCCTGGGTCATCCTTTTAAGAAAGCTTCTACAGCTATGTAAGCATACCTAGTGTCTGGATAGTATTCCATTGAGAGTTGATGCCAGTCCAGGATTTTTAACACGAAATGCTGCTCGATAACTCGAACCCCAATTCCATCTTGCAACTAGGCTAGTGGATTACACTTGTATTTCCCTTAATCATAGATGTGTTGTGCCACGGTGACTACTTCACTACCTCAGTTGTTGGCCTATCATGAACTCAATGCCTGTGTTTGGCATCTGACTCGCTCGATTAGAGGTGTTGTTCCTTAGACTCCATGCTATACGAAACCCGAGTTCCTTGCCACAACTCGCTCTTCCAAGTTGTTGATAAAAACAGCGGTGCTCAGCGTGCTCAGCTGCAGCCAAAGAAGGAGTTGGGCCTCCAGGCAATTGATTACTATCTACGTAGTCGAGCATGGAGCTTAGCCAGAGATGTTAGGGGGCGGCAAGCGTTCGTCGTGCCAGGTCAGATGTTGTGATGGGGGTTAGCCGAGACGGAAATAGAGACTCGGATGCTGGGTCCCAACGTGTGGGTAGCATCCGCAGCTTGGAAATGGATGGGACTCGGCCCGACGGTTGCATGGATGGACGCTAGGTATAGCCAGATTGCATGAGCGCCGGGGAGACAACCTGGGCAGGAGACTCGGAATGGGCTGCAATGCCTGTACGACCGATCCAGTAGTGAGCGACGTAGTACGCGGGGCGGGATACCCCAATGACGTCGGCGACGCGGCTTGTACGGCCCCCGAGCAGCAGCGGGATCAGGTTGATGGAAGCGGCTAGGGCGGCGCTGCTAGCAATTCTGGTTCCTTTGATGGAGTCTAGTGCCACGGCGACGCCGTTGCCGGCCATGTAAGCCAAGAGGAGGAGAAGTTCCACCTAGGTCGCGCCACGGAAGAGATACAGGCGGGTAAGCCCGCCAATGCGCTGGTGTCGGACCCTGGCGAGCTAGCAACGAAAGAGAGGTACGACATGCCGACAGAATAGTGCGTAGAGGCCTGGCAGCAGGGGCACAGCCCACATAGCGCTGAAGCCGATCGAGTAATATGTTAAGACGTCCATCGTCGACGCCGAAAAGAGGGTAGTAGGAGGCTTCGTCTCTCTACAACGCATATAGACCTAAGGGCGCCGCTTTCTGCTTTTCTGCCGCTACTAAGCATATAGCGACGCATTCTCGTTTGCGTCCGCGTATTCTCCGCCCTGGCTCTCGTTCTGGTATGCCAGGCACTTCATCTCGTTCCTGCAGATTTAGCCGTGCTGCCGCACCCTGGGAACCCATTATAGAACGGCGGGCGCCAAACCAACGAATTATAGCGACCGCTGCACCATACCTATAGCGACAGAGTTCGTCAAGCGCTTGTCTCAGCTTTCGGTATAACTCACATGCGTATAAAGCAGGAATATGTCGCTGGGTTTTCAAACGAGACTTCGAGTTCAACGCCAACCAGTCTCGCACTTCTCACTCTAGACTAGCCTTAAACCTGCTAGCACTCTACCTCTTTATCCTTCGTCTCCGTCTTCCGTCTCCTTCACCCCCGCCGTCTTTACCATAGTCAGCCAAAGCTCCCAGAGGACTCTTGCCCAACCTACCTGTCCTACCGATCCTGCCCGTAACTTCAACGAGCGCAGCCATAGGATCATAAGAAAAATACACACCCTTACAACGGCCTTATATAACTTCGGGGTCAAGGTCGCCCTCCTTATTAAGACCCCTTATGTCGAGTTTACATATAAGTCTAAGGACGGCATACTCCGTAGTTTTGACACTAACCTGCCAGAAGAAAACCGATTCAGACCACGGGACGTCGAAAGCCTTTTTCGGGGCTACGTTCTCGCATACCCCTTTATCAATTCTATATCGCCCTTGCAGGGCCGTTCGGGGTACTCGTCGCCGACCCCGTCTACTAGCTCTGCGGCCTCTACCTCGTCCTCCGCCTCGTCTGTTCTATTACTAGCGGTAATAGAACTATCGTTCTTGACTTCGCCGCCTATATATCTTACAGGCCCGGGTATTATGCTTCCTATACTAACTAGCTTTATCTCGGTATCTCTGCTACTAGCCGCGGAGATAGGAGTAACGCTTCCTGCGTTGCTATCCCCACCGGATGGCGAGAGTCTCTCTTTTCCTAATACCGGTATAAACCCTACCTTAATACCCGAATTTCCCTTTCCTACGTCTCCTGCTATAGACACCTTAAACATTTTGAACCTCGACTCCTATCTAGCGGCTAGTAACGTACTATTTCCGGATAAGACCGTATATCGGCCTCTTCCTTCTTCGTGTCCTATTTGCACGATGACGCCTGCGCCCTCTATAAGCGGCCGGTCCCGCTCCTAGTCTCTGTACCGCGTCTTGAAAATACGTACCCCGTCCAGGTCCCAAAGGAAGTAGTTCGACTGAAGGACGATGCAAGGATTTCTTGGTATTGCTGTTATATAACTTATAGCTTATATTTCTATCGGTATTTACCGACCTAGTTTATATATGATAATTGAAATGGTTGCCCTGCTTTCCTCTCCCGATAGAACGCGGAGCCGAGACACTAAGCAAGCGCATGGAGAGCCCTTTCGTAGCAGTACCTGAGGTAATCTATTAGCGCCAGATGCATGTTACGGAGGTACCTAGTTAGGTCAGTTGGCCCTTACCATCCGGCCTCGTACAGAATCATCGGGAAGTCCCAGTTCACGGTCTCGGGTGGAATCAGCGGGTTCCCTTCTTTGCAGGAGACGACATAATGTGCGCAAAGCGATTGCACATGTGGCAGAAGGGCTTGCTGTGCATCCCATAACGCAGGATCATAAATGGCCGTTCTGGGCGGAACCGGCCAGCAGTGTTTAACGATAGTGAGTGCGTTTTTGAAACTCTGGCGGCGCTCCTCAAGGTCCATACGTAGATGGCATGACGCTTGTACTAGCCTGTGCACCCGCAGCTCCTTGTGTTTCTTGCTCTGTGTGACGAGCGAGCTCCGCAAGAGCTGAACTTTGAGCTTGTTTCTCTTGTAGGCGATGTCCATGAATCCCAGTGCCGGGTCCTTGGCCTTTCCCACTCCGTCGGCGAGATGGCGCAGCTGAACTCGATCCGGGTCCATGTAGGATAACATTCTTATCAAGCTCTGTGCCCCTGAGTCTAGGCGGTCAAAGCTCATGTTCCAGACTGTTCGAAGCGAGTACCGGTACGCTGCACCGCTAGACTGATTGACCAGGCGGACCTCCTCGCAGTCCTGGATCAGTTCGCGATTGCTGTACGCCTCAAGGAACTCGGAGAAGGTGCACGAATCCGAGAGAACGAGGTTTGCCGAGTGCATGATGGCTAATGGTAAGCAATCGATTCTCCTTACGATGCTAAGCGCGGCGTCAAGTTCTTCCTTCCGTTCATCATCGTCCAGTTTGTCACCATTGAACCGTGACATACTTGTCAGGAGGGTAACGGCACTCTCTTCGTCCAAGACTGAAAGCTCGATGCCGCCCTTCTGCGCGATGAGTCGAAAATCGCGCGGGGTGGTGAGCACAGATCCACGGGGTCCTTCAGCCATGCGATCGCGGTAGGCTTGGTCAACCTTTTGTGGCGCCTTCCACGCAAGAGCAAAGAACCTGCGTCAAGTCAAATTAGCGTAGCTCACAGCATAGACAAGAAACCGACGGCGGACCTTGCGACATCCTGAACCAGGTTCTTGCGCCGGGCCTTATTCTCGGGTGAGTTGTCTGGGAAGCCATGTGCGAGTATGAAGTCCAGGCGGCTCATCCCCCGTATACGAGTCATGACATAGACGAGCAGAGGTTCTTAACCAGCCGTTGTCAAATCTTCGCCGAGCTTCTGCCTGAACGATACGTCTGGTGCGAAGGTGCCAAAGATCTGTCGGGCAAGAACGGCGGTTTCTACCTTAAGCTCGTGAGACATGAGGCGGAACTGAACGACATAGCCAAGGCCCTGTCCGGCGTAAACAGTATACGAGCAGACTCCCTGCACCGCGACTGGAATGACATGGTCGCCGCCGACGAGCTCCTTGGCCAATACGTCGCAAGCTTCGCAACGCACCGAGGTCTTTGAGAAAAACGCGGCGATCTCGTCGTCGACAGCATATTCCTGGCTCTCCGAAGCCATAGTTATTTTGTGGGTCTGTTGCTGAAGTAGGCATTACAGGAAAAGTGGGTAGAGACGTTTCTGTCCCGTGATCCCCCGCCTTTCACTGTCCAGCAAACGCCTTGACGTCTTGGCGCCCCGTGCGGGAGCCACCTGTTGGGCTCACTTGCATATTACTACAGAAATCCCTGCCAAAAAAGAATTGGCTTAACTACCGCTTTCACGGGTTCCTCCAAGTATCCGCATCTACATCTACCCCACTAAATGAGGTGTCTGGAAGTAACCGCTTGCTGCTTAGCGATACTCGACTAGCTGTCCCGCTCGCTAGGAGATGTAGCACGAAAGTAGGCGGCGAACCGTCCATTGTAACGCGTTTGAGGACCGCGTTTGCAAGGGGCCATTCTTCAAACTTCGCGACCGGGGCGCTGTCCGTCTCCCTCTCCCTCTCCAAGGTGAACCGTCGTGACGATGACGCTTGATTAGGAATGCTACGCTCCCGCAGGCGCTTCGGGCGGTGGGACGATCCCGCCGACTCTCGCGATAGGGAGTCGCTGCAGGACGCCCGCGTCTGCCGCTGCGAGACCGTTGCGCCGATCGTCAAGAGCCGTAGCGCTCACTCTACGGCGCTTCCGCCGCTGCGGCCGGACACCACCATCATCCTTGCTGTGCTCGGCGTCGCTGCCGTCACTAGGACGATAGTCGGCCCATTGTTGGCCGGGGTTACTAGTCCGAGAAAGTTAGCCTATACCCATAGGGAGGTAGGCGCTATAGTAATGGCCTGAACTCCAAGGCAGAATGAGTTAGGCTCGGCTCCCTGGTAGTTTTCTTCGAAAACCAAGACTTTGCGAAGCGAGCGAGCGGAGTCCCCTCAATTTCCCGATATGGTAAAACATCTCGAATTCAGCCAATCAGCTTCTCGGGGAATGTTAGGATCGAATGTGGTTCGATCATCAGACCACCACAGCTTCATTGTCTCACGCTCACACCACCATCGCGATTTGTAGGCTGAGTGGCCTGGAGGCCGTTTTCGTCTCAATGGCCTTCAAAAACCAACAGCTTCTTCGTCTTGGAACATCTAGTCTCACTCATGTCAAGTAAGAGGTTGCTCATATCTAAGTACCCGGTTTCACTTTCAACTTGTTCAACTTGATTTTTGGTGGCTCACTCAACAACTGTCTAACTCGGCTCACCTCGAGCCATCAAGTGCTTCACTGCAAGAGGACCCACCAACGCGCTCACAATGTCGACAGCAAGATCTCGGCCGATGCAACATATCGACCGCAAGTCGTTGTACACCAACCTTGAGGCCCGGATTCAATACCTGCATTCATTTCTCGACTTCGGTTCTGGTACACTATTATTCAACTGACCATCCGCAGCGACGGAAGCATAACTGCAACTTAGCTAACACTGCACCACAGGTGACATTGATGCCCTAAGATCAGGCTCTAAATACATTCAGGCGTTGATCCCGGCAGTAGTCAACATTGTCTACCGGAAACTTCTCCAGTATGATATCACTGCCCGGGCGTTCACAACCAGGAGTACTTCCTTCGAAGGCCCCATGGACGAGGAGCCGGACGAGATGAGCCCGCAGATCCTCCACCGCAAGCAATTCCTCAGAGCATACCTTAAGAAGCTATGCTCCGACCCATCTCAGATGGAGTTCTGGGAGTACCTCGACAAAGTCGGGTATGCCACCCCATTCCCTGTACCCTACGATCAACCTGAATCTCGGTGAAAACTAACCCTACCGCTACATCTAGCATGATGCACACTGGGATAGGCCGCACACATCCCCTGCACATCGAGTATGTCCACATCGGCGCGGCGCTGGCCGTCATCCAGGACATCCTGAGCGAGGCCATCCTCTCGCACCCTCGCCTGCACATCGCGCGCAAGATCGCTATTGTGAAGGCGCTCGGCAAGGTCATCTGGATCCAGAACGATCTGTTCGCGAAATGGTATGTGCACGACGGCGAGGAGTACACAGAAGGTATGGACTACGAAGCCCTTGTCGAGAGGGAGGGGTTTATGCACGGCAAGAAAGTTCTCGCACATGACGAGGAATCAATCTCTGGGGCGAGTGATGATAGCCCCGCTCCGCAGAGGGGGGAGAAGAAGGATGGGGGCGATGCTGCTGCTGCACCATCAGCGCCCGTTGGCGTGTGCCCCTTCACGGGAATGACGACTGGAATGGGAGGTTTGAAGATGCAGGAAGGGACGGTGCAGGACGCAAAGCCGAAGGTGAAGTTCGACGAGGAGCCGAAGGCTGCTGAGGTTGTTGTGAATGGCCAATGACCGGGTCTATCCTGGATGATATCTGCTGGGCTCGAATTATGTTTTGATTTCCCGCGCTAGATGGGTCATGAGGTTAGATTTGGGACTGTTTTGCAGGTTCGCTAGGGCTGGCACTGGTAAAAAAGCAATGGAGAGGCTTCCAAACTACTATTTTTTTTTTTATTTTTTTTTATTTTTTTTTTTTTTACAAATCTTATACGCATGGGAGACGGACACGATCTGATTCTGCCCACATCTCGCCATACTAGCTGCTGATCGAGTTCGCTCACAAGGGACTGTCTCGTCTCCTCGAATGTTCACCATAAGGTAGTCGTCTGACGACGTAGGTCTCTTCGCACTTCCCACCATACAATATCTAGGCCAGCTGTAGGCCTTCTCGGCTCGTGCCAGACTGATCGCATTTCAAAGGTGATATCAATCCAGAGTGTTTGACTGATTCAATTTGAAAATGCCAGTGCTGCATGAACAACCCGGGCAGCTGACTCACCTATTCTATTATCAGATGACTTTACAGCATACAATCAAGGCCTTATTTCCTGAGACGCATTACGGGCCAAAGTCTGGGCTGGAGGATTCAATCCAATGGCGGCTCGGGTTGTTTGATTACTTTGAATGATCGTTGAGGTTGCAAATACCTCGCTCTACACAGAAGCTAACCATTCCGCCGAACGGGTTTCAATCCCTTATACTGACCTTGTCAACATCTCCCTATGATGGAGCAAGGAAATTTGGAACCAAACCTGGTATCTGAGCAATACTTCATTGCGTAGCACGCTAGGATCTCTTCGTTCCACGGCCCAATATGATATGGTAGGGTGAATTCCCACCCATCAAATGAATTAAGACAGGGGCTAAGTGCGAGAATTCAATTTCGATAGCCAGCATAGCTCCGGCCATTGACTAAATTGACGTAAGGACACGAGTAGAGGAGAGCATCGAGCAAAGAATTAGCATTGTTAGCCAGCTTAACGAGGCACAAGGACAGATCTTAACTTCTCCCTATATGACACAAAAATTTTGAGCAGGTTCCAGGGCGTCGGCAACTTGAACGACCGAGCCAACCTACGGTCTAGCATGGATGGCATGTTTGCGGAGGAGTACTTGGGCTTGGGGCCATTTGAGAGTTATCAGCTCGTTGGATCGTCCTTCTCGGTCCGTGGGACATGGAAAAGGACAAAATTGGAGTTTGCCCATAAAAGTCGTCTGTCTGCTCAGAAGGGTCCGAAACTAGTAGCTTTGAAGATAGGAAACCGCACCCTTTGAACAACAACGAAGACCAAATGCTATCGTTATTATAGGGAGGGCGAAAACGTAAATCTGTACCTGGTGATTATCTTCTTTTTTGGGGTTCAAGTTGTTAACTCAGCAGCGCCTAGGTCACGTAGTAAAAACGCTATCTGAGGATCAAACGGGAGAGAACGTGTACCCGCTTAGTTTTACTATTCTGTTTCTCAGTTCCGTTCCTCATCCACGTCATGGTGTGATTCTAACATTCGCCTGGTGACCTACGTTCCGCCAACACGTTACAGATCTTATTCTTAGCCAACCAAACGCGTTTTGCGGCCCTACTCTATGCGTCTTTCGCAAATTGCAAGGCGCAGCAGCTGAGTTGCCAATTGGGCATGCGGGGTAAAACCACTACCACTTTTCCCATGGCGCGATGGCATTAGCCGTAAGGCCGACTTGTCCACGGAAGGACGAGAACACCAAACTGCAAGGCGACTTCGTCCCCAAGAAGCGCTTTCGTACCGATTTAGATGTGATTCCCAGCCTCCCTCTCTAACCTAAGGAAGCAGGCAGCAGTGTGGATATCTACCGTAAGAGTAGACAGCCAGGTCAAGGGGATGAGAGATATGGGGAACGCATATCGATATCATCCTGAATACCGTAGGCTGTGTTGAACAGCGTTTCCTGCAAGGAAGACAGATACAAAAGGAGAAATTTGTGAAGTTTCCACACCACCAACCCATCCCGTCCCCTATCCCCCAACTCCCGCCATCCAGCTTCCGCGAAACAGCGGGAGATTTGAACCCCGCAACGTTTCTCCCATCAACGCCAAGAACCGCCCTCGAAGAGTCCCGCCACCGCCGTGCTGTAACATAACCTAACACAACCTAACACTCTCGCCCGAACTTGGCCCGCATTGCGGATTGCTCACATAGTTGAAGGTGAGCTGACCATTCTCAACGTTGTTGGTGCGGGGATAGTCCGTTGGGACGCTACCGCAAACTTGGCAGCTGGGCACGTAATAAGCAACGCAAGTCAGTTTTGCCATGATGCATCCACACACAGGGAATCATTCCATATGGTAGGATGGGACGGGGATGGGGTGTTCGTTACCCATGTCGAGGAATATAAGGAGCGAGCTCCCGGATCCTGGCACCCTGCCAGCCGCCCGTGTTCTGCAGGAAGGCACAGATGCCCTCGGCAGAGCAGGCCACGTGCTCGCCGTTGTTGTACCAGCGATTGACGTCGATGCGGTCGACGATGACGTTCGCGAGGTCTAGCGCAGTTCTCTGATTCGATACGAATGCGCAGTTCGAAGACCCGCGGCAGTTGATGCCCAGTTGAGCAAAGGAGGGGGAGGTAAGAAGGGAGAGGGCGGCGACGAGCAAGGTGGAAGAATGCATAATGGCGTGGCGGTTCGTTAGATGGATGAATTTAAGTGCCAGGCGAGGGTGCTTAAGAAGAAGAAGAAGAAGAAGACAGCGGTGATGCTCTCGTTTCTTATCTATTCCTTCACGATGGCGAAGCCGGCCTCAATATATATCCCAGTTCTTGCTGCGGCATGCGGTGTGAAGGTTCCTAAACTCCGGACCATACTCCCACCCATCGCCAAGTAGCCAAGTCTCTCAATCTCAAGCTGGTTACCGCCAGTTGTGGTTGTTCACGAGGCAGGACTGCTTACCTGTTACGCGTCCCGTTTCGAAGGTCGGTCAATCGTTGCGTGACGATGGGGTGGGAGACTACTACAGTTGAACCTATAACCCACAGTTAATAAGCCCCGCTTGGCGGTCAGCTTGTTCTACCTCTCAACACCAGCCACCAGTTCTTGCTATAAAAACGCCAAGGTAGGCTGCCGCATTTCCAGTACTCTGAACTAGTCGGTTGGATGGCCGTGATGAGTCAGGTGTGGAACGAGCTCTGCCGAAAATATGATCTTGGATTCTTGGAAGTCCGGAGATTGCAATAAGTCCGGTCTTACAGATCTCCTGGGCTGAGCTCACAGGAGGCGCCACGTTCAGAAATACTCTTTCCCTGGGCCATGCGACCAGTGCAGGAGGCGTGAGCGGCGATTTTGTAAGTGTCGGGCTCACGAGACCTTGCCCAGAACAGTTATTAAGCTGGCTCAAGCTCTTAACAATCTGTACAAAACTGTTAAGGTCAGGTACTAGTAGGTATATGCCTCTCGGTCGAACTAAGATGCCTCCAATCTCCGGTTAAGCACCTAAGTACTGATGCTCATCGTCACGCAGCAGGAGCATGACGCAGATCTAAAAAGCATTTTGTCTAGGTTCAGGAGTAAATCGGAACTGTATCTACTTAGGTGCCATCGATGCTTTTTCTCAGGTGTGCTTTAACCTCTCTCTCGAAAAATAATCCCCCTTCAATCCAGCTTAGGTTGCTGCTGCTGCTGCTGCTGCTGCTCCTGCTGCTGGCGGCCAAGCGCCTCTCCCCGCTCTCCGGCAGCCTTTCTACTAGTACTACTAGTAGTAGTCCTAAAAGCCTGCATCAGGGTAACACCAGCACGGGCACTGGCGCCCTCGTCGTCCTGCTTCGCGAAGAAGGCGTCGCTGCCCGTGGCGCGGATCGAGCTCGAGCGCACCCTCTCGGCCGGCGCCAGCACGTCCAGACTCAGCTTGGCGCGTCGGTTGGCCTCCATCTCCTCCAGGTGCAGACTTAGCCACGACGACCTTGCCCTCGCCCAGCCTAACGACGCCCTTACTACCAGGGCGATGCGGCCAGCTTCGGAAAAACCCACTTCCAATCTCCAACACCTTGAGACAGGGCACATCAACCGCCCGGCTCCTAATGGCTATTTAATCCATCTCAGGCCCCCTTCCTCTAATTTCTTGGCTTCTCCTTCCTTCCCTAACCTAAATACCTTCTCCTTCACCTTCTAACTATACTACTATATCGGCTACTATTTTTATACTAGATATAACTATCCGTCTCTAGATGCTAAACCCCTATTAAGATATTAACAAGCTTATTATTACTATTAAAAACTCTTATCTAGCTATATAAAGCATAGAGGAAATTCTAGATGTACTTAGGAAAGCTACTATTATTACTAACCTACGACGGTATGAGCGAGCCAGGCTAGCACCGAGCCTCGAAGGTCGGACGTAGTTAGTTCGCGTCTTTGAACCAAGGACGCAATTCTGACGCCAAAATTTGCACCGCCATCGCGAATGCACGGGGCGCGTGCTGAGGGTACTCAACTCCGTCGCCGATGTCGTTTGCATTCGTAACGGAGGCGGCCCCACTCCGGGAACGCGAATGGGTTTCGGGCCGGCAAAACTCCGGGTGAGCGTTGGGCCGGCGCTTGCTGAGTTATCAATTGCAGGCGTGCGAAAGGCAAGATTTTGCGACTCGTCCTCTTCGCTCGTCCACATCCCGAACCGCCCGAGGAAAACGTAACAGCGCAGCCTAACTGTCTGACCATTATTGGCACTCAGAATTAGAGCATTAATCAGAAGTCTAGAAGACCCTCATGTGCATCACCTCAGGCTGTTTAAACTATAAACAGACTCCGGAGTTGAAGTAGAAGCTGCGGCCGTAATTTCAGGCGCGAAAAGGGTTAGGGTTTGCAGTTAACGCTTCGCAGCGCAAGCCGGAGGACCCACAGCGGCAAGGCAACAGAAGCTTGGGTAAGCTCGATCGTCTTGCATTGCTAGCAACAACCTAAACTCAGCACGGCGACACACTCGGCGACAACACTCGGCGACGGCTCCCATCTAATACGACACAGCAGCGACGACACCCCTAGTCATCACATTAGTGGACGAATACTGCGCAAAACGAGTCTCGACTGCATCGGTCACGAAATAGACGGTAGAATCGCAATCGGTCGCCACCATGTCATCAGATTCAGAGCGCGAGCAGGCCCTTGCCGCGTTCAAGCAGAAGCTGATCGAGTCGCGGGAATGGGAAACGAAGCTCAAGAACCTTCGGCTAGAAATCAAGGAGATGCAGAAGGAGTTTGACCAGACAGAGGAGAACATCAAGGCGTTACAAAGCGTCGGTCAGATTATCGGCGAAGTGCTGAAGCAGTTGGACGATGAGAGATGTGCGTCGCTCCTACTCCGATTCCGTCCTTGAGATCGTCCCGACATTTGCTGACATACTTTCTCAACGTTTCAGTTATCGTCAAGGCCTCCTCAGGGCCGCGGTACGTCGTGGGCTGCCGGTCCAAGGTGGACAAGACCAAGCTGAAGCAGGGGACGCGCGTGGCGCTCGACATGACAACACTCACCATTATGCGCATGCTGCCCCGCGAGGTCGATCCGCTCGTCTACAACATGTCGCTCGAGGACCCGGGCCAGGTCAGCTTCGCCGGTATCGGCGGGCTCAACGACCAGATTCGCGAGCTAAGAGAGGTGATCGAACTGCCCCTCAAGAACCCTGAGCTGTTCTTGCGAGTCGGCATCAAGCCGCCTAAGGGCGTGCTCCTCTACGGCCCGCCCGGCACGGGCAAGACGCTGCTCGCTCGCGCCGTAGCCAGCAGCTTGGAGACAAATTTCCTCAAGGGTGTGTGGCCCCGCGTGCTTTGGGACGAGTACCATAGCTCGCTAACATCCGATCCCCTTCCTTAGTCGTCTCCTCAGCCATCGTGGACAAGTACATCGGCGAATCCGCACGCCTCATCCGCGAGATGTTCGGCTACGCCAAGGAACACGAGCCGTGCATCATCTTCATGGACGAGATCGACGCCATCGGCGGGCGGCGGTTCAGCGAAGGAACAAGTGCCGACCGCGAAATCCAGCGTACGCTCATGGAGTTGCTCAACCAGCTCGATGGCTTCGATTACCTCGGCAAGACCAAGATCATTATGGCCACCAACCGGCCCGACACGCTGGACCCGGCGCTGCTCCGTGCCGGCCGGCTAGACCGTAAGATCGAGATCCCCCTCCCGAACGAGGTTGGGCGGCTGGAGATTCTCAAGATCCACGCGGCTAGCGTGGCCAAGGAGGGCGAGATCGACTTTGAGAGTGTGGTCAAGATGAGCGATGGGCTAAATGGTGCCGACTTGCGGAACGTGGTAACAGAGGCGTGAGTCTATCCAAGATCCACGCTGTAACTGTCTTCCTCTACTGACACGCGATGTTTTAGGGGCTTGTTTGCCATCAAGGCAGACAGAGACGCGATCAATCAAGATGACTTCAACAAGGCTGTGCGGAAGCTGGTCGAGGCGAAGAAGCTGGAGGGTAAGCTGGAGTACCAGAAATTGTAAAAGGTGTCATTGTGGACATGCGGATAGAGGTTCTTCATGGAGGCAAACTCAGATCCAATGCCATCATGGGTACACTTTGCCAGCGCCAGCGATACCCGTAATTGTGTAACAGTAAGGTACTTGGCAGTATCGGCCACCAAGCGAATAGATGTCGATGGCTGGCGAGCCGTGTATTCCTCCTCTGGAAATGTGGCTTGTGCCTGGTCGCGGCGATGTTCACAGCTGATTTCTGGGTAGGAGAGAGTGATAGAATCCTTTTCGGAATTTGACCTATCAATGGATCTCTTTGGAACTGCCATACTGCTGTCCAATGGTCGCGGTGCTGAGGCTGTGCGGGCTCGGGAAGGGCGCTCAGATAGGGCTGATAGTGCGGTTTTACCTGCATGGACGATCCTGAAGACCTCGCACTTGGAGATGACGGAATCGGCATCTGCTCGGATTGTACGCAGCTGCAATGGAGTTCCGGCCTGGCGCAATTGCTCCCAGGTTTTCGCGACTAAGTTACGATGTGCCGATGGTCAATCTATTGGCGAAGCTATTGGATGGCGATGCCAGATTGTTGATGATCCATGGCAACGACAAACTTGGCTTTATCAAATTCCTTGAGCCTCGTGTTGAACATTGTTTTCGGCATTGACCTCGTGGGGCGCCCGGAAATATTTCTAAGAATAGGTGCCAAGGCAAAGCAACCCCTTTCTCCGGGAGCTTCACAGCCTCAAAAAGTGGGCTCTCACTTATCAGTCCCCTGAGATCTGGCGAGGCGCGAGTTGCTGGCACACAGGCGCGGCTGACTGCGATCTCCGCTGTGAATGGGGTCGCATTGCGTCCTTTGTGCTCGGGTGTTCCCAGTCAACAACACGAGCGGCAGCCGCGTTGTGACAGGTGAGGCTAAGGCGATGATACTCTACCATACGGAAATGCGCCTTGGTAGACAGGAGAAGGTTTCCTTCGTGCTACCTTCGGATCGGAAGAATGCAGGTCGACAAAGGGAGAAGATGTAGATTACGTCCACTTAGAATGATACGAATGGAAGCTCTCCACTGCGGTGGTTGCCAAGGGCGCTGTGCGAACTCACCAACAATGACCGGTGATGAGAAATGGCTAGGTGGCGGTGAAGCCATTTTGAGGTACTACGTGATAGTCGAGGGGCCAAGTTTGGACCAGAATACAGATCGGCCTGTGCTGGCGTGCCGAGACGCCGCCAATGGGAATCGTCGCTCTCGCTGCATGCTGCCAGCAATGCCAAACGTGCACATGCTGTGTCGACAACTTGAAGGCAGAATACTCGTCAAAGGTTGGAGAGTACGCAGAGTACTCCCTGCAGTGATAACAACCTACTTTGGAGGAGCGGGGCTCGGTTCAAGATACGCCAAAAACGGCGCAATGGAATGAGGCCTGTCGGATTAGGTGCGAGATATACCATTAGCTGGGAGACACACCACGGCAAGCACTTCATTTGTACAGTTCTCTAGGGATCTGCCAACTTATGAATACAAAATCACTCAGTCGAGAGATCAATTGAGGAGTAGAGGGGTCCAACTTGCGGGCTCATGCGGTGAACAAGCCAAGACTCACCTCCTAGAGACCTAAGATGAGAACTGACGTGCGGGAGTGTGTATACAAGGCTCCAACCAGGCCGTAAATGGAGGCAAAATGACAATGTCTAACAGATCAAAAACCATCACCATCTCTCTCCTTGAGAAAGACTATAGTTGTTCTTTCATACCTGGAAACCCTCCTTGGTGGGCAATGACGACTTTGAGGTCGCTGGTCCCGAGCTGACCCTTGTCATGTCTGGTCGCTAAAGGACCCACATAGCTAACGCCCTACCTGCAGCATTCCACTCCCCCTCCAGAATCGGCCATAAAGTCGAGCGCCCCAGCAACCACAGCAGCCCATTCCTGCCCATCCATCCCATTCTCTGCCGTTCTCAATCTTCGTCGCCCTCTGACACTTCGGGCCTTACAACAGCAGCCTCTGTGATACCCTCAGACTCCCGTGTCCTCGATTCGCGAAGCCTTTCGTTCCCCCTTGTTCGCTCGTTCGCTGGTTGGTTCTTCAAGATGTGGTACGGACGGCCTTCCCAAATTCCCCAACCCCACCTTAACTCCTTACTTTGCGAGACAGAACAACAAGCGGGACGGGCGCCTGGGAGACGACAGTCTGCTGACAAGAGGATTATCATGTAGTGGCATTTTCGGTTACATCAACTACCTGGTGGAAAAGGACCGGAAGTTCATCATCGACACACTCATCAACGGTACGTCGACACCAGCAGCCGAACGCAGAGCTGTTGGGCGCTGCAAGGACGAATTCCGGCCCCGCCCTGTTTCATATGTGAAAAAACCGGCAGATTGGCGCAACCCACTTTAGAAGCTCCAAGTTGCTGACGTACGCCGTCCCGTTAAAATTAGGTCTCTCCCGTCTCGAGTACCGCGGCTACGACTCTGCTGGTCTTGCCGTCGATGGCGACAAGAAGAGGGAGGTGTTTGCCTTCAAGGAGGTTGGCAAGGTCGCGAAGCTGAAGGCGCTCGTCGACGAGTCCGAGCTCGACCTGACCAAGGTCTTCGATTCACATTGCGGCATTGCCCACACCCGCTGGGCTACTCACGGTCCCCCGTCCCGTATCAACTGCCACCCCCACAGGTAAGTCAGAAAATGCTGAGCATGGCAGATGACGGAAGGCCCCTTGTTTGTGGCAACGCTAACAAGGCTATCTGTCCAGGTCTGATCCCAGCTGGGAGTTTACCGTCGTCCACAATGGTATCATCACCAACTACAAGGAGCTGAAGACGCTGCTTGAGAGCAAGGGCTTCCGATTCGAGACGGAGACCGATACCGAGTGCATCGCCAAGCTGGCCAAGTACCTCTACGACCAGCATCCGAATGTGGGCTTCACCGACCTGGCCAAGGCCGTGATCAGCGAGCTTGAGGGCGCCTACGGTCTGCTGATCAAGAGCGTGCACTACCCCCACGAGGTGATTGCTGCCCGCAAAGGTTCTCCGCTGGTCATCGGCGTCAAGACACAGAAGCGCATGAAGGTCGACTTCGTCGATGTTGAATATGCCGACGAGAACAGCCCGCTGCCGGCCGAGACAGCGTCACAGAATGTGGCCCTGAAGAAGACGACCGGGTCTAGCGGTCTTCTCTCCCCCAACGGCTTGTTGGGTGCTCCCGACAAGTCCCTCCTCCACCGCTCGCAGTCGCGCGCTTTCATGACAGACGATGGCCTGCCCATGCCCACCGAGTTCTTCTTATCTTCGGACCCCTCCGCCATCGTGGAGCACACCAAGAAGGTCATGTACCTCGAGGACGACGATATCGCCCACATTCATGAGGGCTCGCTCAACATCCACCGCCTGAAGAAGGCCGACGGCAGCAGCAATGTGCGGACGATTCAGACGCTCGAGCTCGAGCTGCAGGAGATCATGAAGGGCAAGTTCGATCACTTTATGCAGAAGGAAATTTTCGAGCAACCCGAATCCGTCGTCAACACGATGCGCGGCCGTCTCGACATCGCCAACAGGACGGTGACGCTGGGTGGTCTCCGGAACTACATCAGCACCATCCGTCGGTGCCGCCGCATCATCTTCATCGCCTGCGGTACCTCGTACCACAGCTGCATGGCTGTCCGCGGCGTCTTTGAAGAGCTGACCGAGATTCCCATCGCCGTGGAGCTGGCCTCCGACTTCCTAGATCGTCAGGCGCCGGTGTTCCGGGACGACACTTGCGTCTTCGTGTCGCAGTCCGGCGAGACGGCCGACTCGCTGATGGCCCTGAGGTACTGCCTGGAGCGGGGAGCCCTGACCGTTGGCATCGTGAACGTGGTTGGCTCGAGCATCTCACTGCTGACGCACTGTGGTGTGCACGTAAACGCTGGCCCCGAGATCGGCGTTGCTTCGACCAAGGCATACACCTCGCAGTTCATCGCCATGGTCATGTTCGCCCTGTCGCTCAGCGAGGACCGGGCATCCAAGCAGAAGCGGCGCGAGGAGATCATGGAAGGTCTTAGCAAGATCAGCGACCAGATCAAGTCGGTCCTGGAGCAGGATCAGAAGATCAAGCAGCTGTGCGAGAAGACGTTCAAGAACCAGAAAAGCCTGCTCCTGCTCGGCCGCGGCAGCCAGTACAGCACAGCGCTGGAGGGTGCCCTGAAGATCAAGGAAATCAGCTACCTGCACTGCGAGGCTGTCATGAGCGGTGAGCTCAAGCACGGCGTGCTCGCGTTGGTGGACGAGAACCTTCCCATCATCATGATCCTGACGCGTGATGACCTCTTCAAGAAGAGCCTGAACGCCTACCAACAAGGTTTGTTCCGCAGAATGTCCGACTCCATTGATTACTCGCTGACCAAAGATTCGCAGTTGTTGCCCGTGGCGGGAAGCCTATTGTGATTTGCAACCCGGGCGATGAGGAGTTCAGTGCCAACCAGGCTGAGAAGATCGAGATCCCCAAGACGGTGGATGTCCTGCAGGGCATCCTGAACGTCATCCCTCTGCAGCTGATTGCCTACTGGCTCGCTGTGATGGAGGGTCTCAACGTCGACTTCCCCCGCAACCTTGCCAAGTCGGTGACCGTGGAGTGAAGCATCAACACAACGGTCTGTGTGGGGTGATTAAGGTCGTCCGAGCACCCGGGTCGCAGTCTTTCCTGTCTTGGACAATGAACCTGGCCATTTTTATCCATTGTACTAGAGGTTTATTGGCTATCTTACAATCTATCCGCTGGTTAGGAATTACTCGACACAAGAGGGTCAGTGGAACGCCGGCGTCGGCGGAAGGGCCGATAACGCCGCGGAGGATCGGGTTCAGGAGGACACGGTTGCCAGGCTGGTTGGTCAGCGATGGAGCCTACTATCAGGAACATAATGACCAGCAAAGCCACTCGCCGTAGGCAATATACTTGTTGCATGGACAATCAGAAGCAGCTCATCAAGGTGATGACTCATACAGAGGGCTATTCTCTCCGCCGTAGCCATCAGTCCCAATGTCCCTCTATCCGCGCGGCGGGAATATTTTAGACATGTCCTAGAAGCCAGAGCGAAGTCTAGGTGTATTTCAGAACTCTGGAGAGAAAGGCCCACCTCCCGCGGCCTAGCATCAAACCTCTCTACCTGACCCCTCCCCCTTTCTATACAGTCTGCGTGCCATACCCGCGGATCCGCTCGGCAAACGCCCAGCTCTGCTTCTCCAGTTGCTCGTCCTCGCTCAGCTCCACGCCGTCCTTGGTCACCACCGCAATGCTGTACCGGTCCAGCGAGCGCGCATCTCGGTAGAACAGCACCTTCATGCACTCCTTGACGACGTTGACCGCCTCCTCCCGGCTCAGCCGCGCCGCGTCCTCCTCGGTGGCCGCATACTTCCGCATGATGGGCTGCGCCAGCATCGCGCCGAACCCGGTCGCCAGCGAGGGCGACGTGAAGGCCGTGCCGCGCAGGTCGACCGACGCGAGGAACGGCTTCGCGTCCGAGTCGAAGCCGGCCACCAGGATCTGGTTCCACAGGGGATCGAAGTCACTGCGCCGCCGGTACATCAGCTTGGACAGGTATTTGTGCAGGTTGGCGGCGTTGAGCTGGCCGGCAGGCGCCGGGCCGGACATGCTGGCCGTCGTCTCGTGCTCGTAGGCCTCGTCGATGGCCAGCTCGCTCAGGTGCCGGTCGAGGAACTGCATGTCGGACACGTCGCCGCCGAAGCCGACGACCGACGTCCCCAGGAAGGGACGCAGTCGCTTGACGTCGGTGAAGCGTGCTAGCGAGCCGTAGGAGGCTGGTTGCATGCAATGGAGGGGAAGGGTCGGTTAGTCTTTTTGGACGACGGAAAGTTGAAGAAAATGTTGAGGTTGTGAGGAGCAAACGAACCCAGATTGTCGGCGGCCATGACGACGCCGTCTTTGAACTTGACAGCGATGACTGAGGTGCCGGTTACGACGGGCGCTTGTGTGGCCGTCTTGGGACCGGTGGTCTGGAGATAGCTGGCATCGTAGGCGCCATAGACGTCGTCTCTCGGCTGTGCTGGGTTAGTATCGCCTTTGCGGCTTGCGAGCCACTTGGGAGAGATGGTTTGACGTACACGGCCCCAAGCTTGCGGGCGATGGTCCATGATGGTGGGCGGGGTGCGCAAAGAGAAGCGCTAACAAGGGATTCCAACTCAAATTGCCGTATCTTGTGTTCGTGGGTTCCGCTAGTGTAGCGCAGGTTTCGCCGTCGAGATGTCGCCAGGGTGGTCGTTGGCCGTTAATAAGGTGGGAGGGAAGCTTGCAGTTGGATTGCGGGCGGCAGCTCAATGGAGCTTCGCGTCCAAGTGCTGCCTTCGCAGTGCGACAGGCGGCCTGACTGGCACCGAAGACCCACATGGGCCCGCCTGCCTAAGGCATAAATGTTTCCTGCAACAAGCTCCTGAGTCCTGTGTACTTGTATTGTACAGCCTCGATTTCCATGCGCACGTGATACCCTCTTCGATCAACAAACTAATCTCTCCGATTTTGGTCGTATTTTGCAGGTGAAGAAGAACGTCGTTTCTCGCAGGTATTTTTGACACGACAAGGAATCATGGGTCTGGTGCAGTACGACAGCGACGACGAGGATGAGGAGGTTCAAGCTCCATCTGCAGCAACTCCGGCAAGTGAACGTTTTGCCACTCATTGGAGAGCATGTAATAACATGTGGTCGCAGGTCATAGAAACTACAATCCAACCTTCTGAATCCCAAATTCAGAATTCGGACGGTAAATTCTCACAACCATGCCAAGCCGAAACCACTATTACTAACTGGCGTCACAGAACCAGCACTCAGCTCAGCCCCCGCAGGAGAACACCCGGCACAAGCCACATCTACAGGACCAAATCAGTCCGGATCTTCAACAGTCATCGACCCGCGGCCCATCCTCGGCCCAGCCCTAGGCCCCTCCCGACCATCAGAGGCAGAGGCACAAGTTGAAGTCGACCTCGCCTTCCTCTCGGAGGACGCCACCTTATCCCAGCCCCTGAACAACCCTTCTTCCTCCTCCTCCTCCGCACCAGAACCACCACGATCCCCGTACACCGCAACCCGCACCCTCCTGCGGGACCTCACCCTCCCCTCGGTTCCGAACATGGACATCCCCCCTTCGCCACCCGGCACGCCGCCGCCGGCGCTGGAGGCCCTCACGGCCAAGTTCGACACCTTCCTCCGGCTGAAGCGCACCAAGGGGGTGCATTTCAACGAAAGGCTTGCCGCGTCGGCGGGGATGCGGAATCCGGCGCTGATGGATAAGCTTTTGGGGTTTGTCGGGATTGGGACTGAGTTTGAAGAAGCTGATGGTTCGGTTGATGGTAGTAGTGGTGGTGATGCTGAGGGAGCTGATGACGCAACGCGGGGAGGGAGGAAAAGAGCGTTGGAGCAATATGCCACGGTGCTGAGCGCCGAGGTGTGGGATCCGATGGGCTTTCCTGCGTGGGCGTACAAGGGCCCGCTTAGGAAGGCGCAGGAGAGAGGGGCGAGGGAGAGGGAGAGAGGGAAGGGAGAGCCGGTTGAGTTTGTCTCTGCGGGCGGTGTAGCGGGGGGGACTGGGTCGGCGGCTAGGAGTAGACCCGGAACGCCTGGTGTGGCGGGTGGGAAAAGGAAGGGGAGGTTCGATACGTGAGAGGATGTTGTTTACCTGGTGAGGCATGGAGAGAATGCCGTGGCGTGTTGTAAAAAATATAGCTGATAGCAAAAAAGGAGCAGAGTTTGTGATACCCAAACTTGAAGCCTGAAATGATAATGACGTACACATTACGCTCCAAGAGAGCCCAGCCCTCTGGTCAAATCTCAAACTCCACGGGTTGTGATTCTTGTCTTACTGTTTCACTCTGGGAAGGTATTCTGATGTCACTATGCTGAGACTTCGGAGCGGGACCTTGCTAGCTTGGTGTTTCACAAACACCTCAAGCTGGCATTGGGTAGTTGCGCATAAACTACCACCGTGTGTTATTCATTAACTGACATTACATCACCAGTTTAGGTGCTGATGGAAGCGCTGCCACCGCCCACTGTCACATAACAGACTTCCGTGCCCGAGTGCCCGCTCCTGGCAGTCAGCGGTTTCCTCCGACCCCTATTTACAGGCCAAGTCGGGCTTTTGGCTGCCCGTCAACTGAATCCCCAAGTAATAGACAACAGCTCATGGTATCCCCCATCGTCATCATAATGGAATGGTATCTCCCGACCGTGCACTTAGAGCCCGGCGAAATGTAATAAAGAAAGTAAAACAAGAAGATGATTAAAACAGGAAATGTTTGCCCAGGGGCTTTTACCTGCGGCGTTCGACGATGCTGCAAGGGACGTCGATTCCAAGAGAGCTCTTGATGCCAGCACCAATGTTGATGGGGATGCTCTGGTTCACAGCAGCCAGGGCATCCGCGAAATAGGGCAGTGCCTGGCCGTGGTTGATGACCGACTTGCCGCTGATCACGAACGGAAGGATGCCCTTGTTGGGACCTTTGCAGTACTCCGGGCGGCCGAGGGCCTCGATCACGGGGGTTTGCTGAATAGATGCGCGCATTCGGTACACGTTCATTCCGCGCCTGACGCGAAGGTTGTCAATGTACACGGTGCCGATTTCCTCGCCAAACAGGTAGTTGCGGAAGGTGACGTTGCCCTGGATACTGTCAGATAAACCGCCAAAACATCTTCTCTTCTGGTTTCGTCAAGTGGACTTACAAGCTCGAAGTCGAAATGAGAGAGGTTGGGGATGTACGCGGTGCCGTTGAAGTTGTTTTCCTTGTCGAGTGAGACAGACGTCTGGTTGACCACTGTCCCAGCAAAGGCATTGAGGCCTGACGTCAGGTCAGTTCACCGGTCCAACTGCAACAAAGGGCCGTCATCGGCGTGCTACATACCGGGCATGTCGACGATCTTCTTGAAGGTGACACCGTAGTCCCGGGAAATGCCCTTGACACGGACTTGGGTGTCGCCGAGCACGGTCACACGGAGCGACTCATTGGCGAGCAGCCAAGTGTTGAAGACGGTCAAGGCCTTAACGTCATCGACCGGGAGAAACTGACTGATGTTGACGGTCTGGAATGCATCACTGTTGGTCTGAGGGAAATCGAACTTGGCGAAGGGGGTGTGGGGCTGCAGGTCCTCGAGATACATGACGCCCTGGAAACCCTTGACTGTAGCGTGGACGGAGCCGTCCGTCGTGATGGTGCTGTTTATGGCCATGGTCAAGTTCTGGCTCTGTGTGTTGCTGATGTTGATTCCATCGAGGTCGAGTTGCGCATCATCGAGCTTCTGTTGAGCAATCTTGGGGACGCCAACCAGGAGGCTCGAGAGGTGGTCAGTAGCTGCTATATGCATACGTACCTTGGGTATATGCAAGACTGCGGCACACGGTAGCTAAGCACGAGATCTCACTTACACAACGGGCACGACAATGACGACGATGATAACAAGAACGATCAAATACGCCCACCAGAACCTGGCGCAGTGGCCCAGGCAACCGCGCCTCCTGGGCTTGTCCGAGATATTCTCCGTCTGGGTGACGGCGGACTTATCGACGTCGCTCATGATGGGCGTGTCTCGATGGACTTTCGGGTTCGGATGGTATACCGCTTCTCTTCTCGCTTGAGCAGGTGTCTCGACAAAGCCAGTGTCGATCCGGCGGCCTACGGCAGTCGCAAGGGGTGGAAAGAAATCGGCAGGGGAGAGAAGGAGAGCATGGGTGAGTGTGAAAGAAGGAGATCGGGCCGCCCGCTTGTATTTGAAAGACGAGATGAGAGACGTTCACTTCTCGGCTAGGGTCAATTCGGCCAAGCGGGTCCAGGGTCGGGGTGCTTGCGGCGGTCCGCACTCACGAACCTGCGGCCGATTGGAAGCCATGGTAGACATAGGGATCGCCAATTCCGCGTGAATGCAAGAAAGACGGGCAACCTTGTTGCCACCCGTCCATCCCGTTGCAAAGGAATTTCTACAGTATGTAACCCCAGCGGATTGACAAGGCTTATTCGGCCCTGTCCTCTCGCGCGGCCCGCTAGCCTTTTTGAGCAGGTTGCGCCGGGTCACTGCCCCTCCAGAAAAGGAGGCAACCCAGGGTTCACACCCCTAACCCTCATGTGAGGCGCTGAGCCAAGAGATCCGAGCTCCCTTCAAGTTTGTTTCAAGGCCGGTACACATAGTACCTTAGCTCACTTGTCCCATCCTATCCTCACCGCAAGACAAAGCATGGTGTGGTTCCGCACTGTGTCACGCTTCGGGCCCTTCGTTTTGGCTTCGCAGCTGCACGAGTATACATAGGTCAGATCCCGTAAAGAATCCAAGTGCTTCCTAGACCGCTTGGCATCTCGATGCCGCCAAATCTTGGCTTCACGGGGAATGATGGGCCTGGGGAGAGAATGCGGGGAATGCGGAGGACAAGCATCACGCTCACCCATGGACCGAGGTGATTTTCGCCTTTGATCGTCTTGGGAAGTGCAAGGTGTGGGGATGTCTCTGCTGACCATTCCCTTCCCGCCGGATGTAGAATAGCTTTCCAGTCTTCGGGTTCCGAGGAATAGGATCGCGTATCGAAGGCCGCCAAACCGGTTTCAGAAGCTGGTCTTTGTCGGTGTGTGCACATGAGCACTCTGTTCGCAAGTCGTGTCTGCAGTTGCATCTCTGCGAGACCTGGCCAACTCGTACTGGCGTACTGCTGTCTCAGACTCTCAGTGTCACGTTCGTAAGAAGCAACTCTTCGGAGAATATATCGCAACCTTCCTCAGTTCCAGAATACTCGGATGAACGTCACTTGTGATACGTAGGCCAAACAGGGCCACACGGCTCTTGCCGGGCCTGACTGCCTTAAAGGGACGATGCCAAGAGTATCATTTGATACTCTACCCCGCTCTATGCAGGGCAGGCGCCCCGGATGAACATCGACTCCTCGGCTTCCCTGAAGGTCGAGATGAAGCACATGAAAATTTTGAGATTTGCAAGGAATTCCTCGTCAGTATGTTTCCCAAACAGCAGGTGAACCAAACGTCAGAGAACAGCAGCGAATGGAGTTCTTGGTTCATGTTACTGTACTCCGGAGGGGCTGCAAGTCAAGAGCGCATCTTGTGTACTGTGTACTTACACCACATAAGGTAAAAAGGGTCCCACAACACAACCTGGAAAAGCCAACTTGTGAGTCTTGAACTGCATCGCCAGAAGACCGTCAGCCAATATCAATCTAGAACGACCAATGCAAGACAGAGGATATGTCGATATTTGCCCGAAGATTACCTAGATAATTTATTCCCCACGGACAGCTCAACAACGAGGCTCATCAAAGCAGGGCCTGCTGATTTGGAGCGGACTGCATTGCATGGTTGATGAGTTCAGACTGGAGCCGCTCGGAGATTTGATCCAGACTCAGACAACCAACGACATCCGTGGTTTCAATGCCTGCCAGTGCCCCGCCATTCAGGGTCTACATACGAGTATAAGGCAAGGGGTAACCCTCAAGCGATGGTATCCGTATTCCGCAACGGCATAGAAGAGACGATGCTGCAAAAGGGAGGAAAGTCGCATCTCAGAAAGGTTGTCAGGAGATTAAGGACGGACGTTGACCGACATCAATGGAGCACCAACCACATATTGAGATTACACTATTTGCTCCCAAAGACTGTTGGTGAACGCTTTTCCACTCGGTCGCTCCGACTGGCTAGCGGCCTGCATGTCGATAGTTTGCAAATCAAAACCAACAAGCCAATCAACGGCAAAAGACCTTACGAGGTGTTGCACCCAGGAAACAACTTGAACCTCTAGGTACACTACCACCTCCGTACCCCGTTCGCTGTAGTAATCTAGTAGATTCTGAAAGGACCAAATCATCAGTTCGTTGCGATACTCCGGGAGGCGCTCCCAGATAGTTGCCGTCCGTTTTAGGGTCTAAATCTCCGTGAACAGTTCCGGTGCTGCAACGGTTGCATCGGTTGAGGAGGGTGGAAGTGTCCGGATGCACAGATCGTGCCATAACGTTAACTATCGCAAACCCGGCTCGAATTGCTAGGTAATCACAGGGGACGCACCTTGGGTCTGACTTGGTACGTATGGACCCGGAGAGATAACTCGAAACTTTCCTTTCGTATTATGTAAACCAGGGCTTCAAATGCCCCATGAAACTCACACGCTACAACACCACGAGGACGGGTTTCCGAAATTCGGTATAGCTCATGCGCATTACAACTAACCCACGCCAAATCACATGGCGGAGAACTTTCCCGTCGTGAACTCCATAACGGGGTCGTCCAAACCACCAGCAGACTTACTCGAGTATCGACAGTCCGATCGCCTCACAGCTTGGCCCGGGGCGAAGTCCACAGGCCCGCCTTGTCCAACCCAGCGCCGCCATCGAAAATATCCCGCTCCACAACACGGGTGTTAATCTGTAGTCGGCGGTGTTAGGCCTGCCGGACAAGTATAACGTTATACATGAGCGGGACGGAGGGATGGGTACTCACGAAGCGTGGCCCCAATTCCGAGATGTCTGTTACGCCCATCATCTTCAAACACGTCTCAATCTCTCCTTGCAGAACTGGACAAAAAAAGGACATGGGTCAGCAACCGTGGGACATGAACTAGAAAGCTGAGGGAAGAACACTCACTCTCAAAGGTTCTGTCGACCCCCTTCCAGCCACCAGCGCCCAACCCCCAGAGAGCTGCTCGCCCTACACCGACCGCCTTCGCGCCCAGACACAGCGCCTTGACGATGTCTGTTCCCCGCCTGATCCCTCCATCCACCCACACTTCGATGATATCAAAAACCTCCGGGCAATATTTCCTAATTTCCAGCAGGGTGTGCACCGCCGGGGGAGCTGTATCCAACGACCGGCCGCCGTGATTCGACAAGATCACGGCCTTGATGGAGCCCGGGTTCTTGCGCGCGTACTGCGCCGCCAAGTAGGCATCCTCGTGCGTCTGGATCCCCTTCAGGACAATCGGCAGATCAGTGTGCTTGGCCAGCCAGGGGAGCGTGGTATCCCAGGTCAGATCGGCGGCCGTGCCCCAGAACAGCTGCTGGCCGACGCCGGAACTCGAATCCGGCCTTCCACCACCACCACCACCTCCTCCTCCGGCTTGTTTCGCCGCCTCCTTCTTCTTCTTCCCCTCCTCTTCCTCACCGCTCTTGCTCGACTCGACGACCAGCTGCGCCTCGATGCCGGCCTTCTCGTCGTGCTCGCGCTTGCTCGGCACGGGCGCGTCCAGCGTCAGCACGACAAACTTGTAGTGGTCGCGCAGCCGGCCGATGCGCGCCAGCATCGCCTCGCTCTTGGCCCGGCTGGTCTGCACGTACAGCTGCCAGCCAAACACCTGGCCCGGCGCGGCGTCGGCCACGATCTGCTCGGGCGTCATGGACGCGTTGTGCGAGACGATCTGCATCGCGCCGAAGCGCGAGATGCCGCGCGCGATGCCGGCCTCGCCGTCCGGGTGGGCCAGGCGCGCCATGGCCGCGGGCGACACGTACAGCGGCGTGGCGACCTTGTGGCCCAGCAGCGTGGTGGCCGTGTTGGCGCGTGTCACGTCGACGAAGACGCGCGGGCGAAGGAGGATGTTGCGGTAGGCCGTGTTGTTGAGGTACTTGCTCTGCAGGTCGTCGGCCGCGGAGAAGTAGTACGCCCAGCACTTTTTGGAGATTTGCGTCTTGGCGGCCGCTTCGATCTCGTCGAGGTTGAGGAGCGTGTGCAGCGGCGGAGGCGGGGCTTTGTGTTCCTCTGCCTCTCTGCCCTGCGCCGCCTGCCGTTGGAGCTTCTTCAGACTCTCCGGGTCCACCACGCCCAGCTTCGCCTCCGGTTTGAGGTTCTCCTCGAGGGTGCCCGGGGGGTGGATCGGGTCGTACTCGGCGGTGGCATCCCGTCCGGCCAGCTGCAGGATGATCTTGGACCCGCCCGGGTGCTCGGGGAGAAACTCGGTCACGTCGTAGACATTGCCGTGCAGCACTACCCAGCAGCTCTCTGCGGAAGTGTGTTTCGCGACTGGGTAAGTAGAAATGGTGTCAACTAACCGTGTCATACCTAATCCGGTGTCGACACACCGCAATTGGGGTGGAGGGCCCTCACCTTCCTCTGCGGTGAACACCTTGGCCATCTTGCAGCACACGCACTCAACGTTTTGGCCGAACACGTAGGACCACGCATAAGCTCATCAACACAACAAGTGACGACGGTGTGGGAAGCTGGCGCCATTTTAAACTCCCGGCCGGAACGTGCTGCGGAGTCGGAACCGGTGCCAAATCTGGTGCCCCTGATGATTGGGTTCCATTCCGTGTCAATGTGTGGGGGAGCGGAACCCGTTCAGGGGAGAGCAGTGGGGACCAACGGGGTTCCCGCTTGGGGGGATTGGAGGGAAATTCGGCATCCGGGGAGCGGCAGTTCGCTGGGCCTGACCCGAAACGGCGGGCAGGAGAACTTATTGTTATTAGCAGGTCTTGGGTTCGGAAAACACATCGGGATATATTACCACGTTTGCCCAGAGGGTAGTCTCATCACTACCTTCAATTGTTAAAACAGTCCACGAGATATCCGCAATCGCTTTGTCTTCACGTTAGGTAATACAGGCGGGATATTATAGCTGACCATGGGTGTGTAATGCTACACCTGCCGAAGCTCAGCGATAGGAAGTAGATGGCATATGGACGTCCTCATGATGGACCTCCATCCTTTCTAGCGGCCCGAATCTCGACCTAACAACAAACACCCTGAAATGACTCGGACGGGAGCCAAAGTTCAGCAACTGCGAGGAGTCTCATCAGTTCCGTCAGCCCTACGTAGAACCGCCCGGCCCCAGGCTCTGCACGGACCAATGATGGACCCTGACAGGCGTGCCAGGCTGCTGCTCCATCCCCCGCCATTCCAACAGCTCAGCTGCCTTCGCCGCGTGAACGTCCCGTCAACAAGGTGCCAGCTTCCCTGTGGTGACTTTCGCAAGCTCTGTTACAAAAACAGATTTCAGTCCCTTTTTTTCAGTTCCTCTACACTCATTCTCTCTGAACAATCCTGAACAGTTTATCCGCGGACAAAAGACGGCAACCCCGCGTTGAAACACGCCAGCCCTCCCATCGATATCCGCCCGGTGGATGGGCGCATTGCTCGCCAAGATGGCAGCTCGTCCAAAGCTGCGGATCCTCTGCTTCGGCGACTCACTCACCGCCGGCTATGCATGCTATGGAGCGATCCATCACCCATACCACGAGACGCTGGAGGAGCTGCTGAAAATGGCGTTTCCGGACCTTAGCATCGAGACGGTCGAGGACGGCGTGTCCGGGGCGACAGTGAAGTATGGGTTCCAGTCGAGGATGAATGAACAATGTGTGTGATGAGACCCCACCCCAGGCCTGCATGTTTCATTCAGCATGACGACCCCTTCCAGCTCGGTTCAGCGTATTTTATAAATTATAGGAAGCACATCGATTGCTTAACATTTGCCTGGTGCTACTAGTTGCCCCGAAGAAGAGTAAGAACAAGGATGAGGAAGACACCGGGAAACGGTACGACTGGGCCATCGTATTGGGAGGCACAAAGTAGGATTCTCTCGTCTCAGCCCTAGTCGTGTAGCACCCCCTCCTCTAACACAACGACAAATCGAACAGTGACCTTGGGGTGGGCGTGCCCCCGCAGGAGATCTTCGAGGCGCTCAAGGCAGTCTGGAACGTTCCACTCGTTCACAAGTGCAAGGTCCTCGCGCTCACGGTCCCCGAGGCTGGCGTAAAGGGCAAGGTCAGAGAGAGGCTCGACGCGAAGAGGAACACGCTGAATGACCTCATAAAGGGGTACAAGCGGGAGGGCTTGTGAGTATCCGGTTGTCTACCCCTCTCCCTCAACCACCTACCTACCTCCCTTACCCTCTTTGAGTTCTATCATACCATTGCTAACCACCAAGTCTACTCACGCCACAGCCATGTCTTCGACCTTCACAAAGTGGTCCCGTATTGGGGCATGTCAGAGAAAGATCGGGAGCGGTATTGGGACGATCACCTCCATTTCACGCCGGACGGGTACGACCTGATTGGAAACAAAGTCGGCACTGCGCTCGTCAGCATCCTGGCCGCAGAGCGGGCGGCGGCTGACCCGCGTCCTCCTAAACGACGGCGGCGCATGTTTAAGGATGACGACGAGAGGTTCGAGGAGGAGGCAGGTGACCCGTCGGCTATCAATCAAGGATACGTGGTAGTCCGGCGTACAGACCTCGATTAGGGTACGGGTATGACAAGTGACGAGTGAAGAGTGAAGTACAGGGTTGGACCGGAGTTTGGGTGCACAGGGAGACTGGATTGGTAGACGAAATGCGGGCTGTTTCCCTGGGCTTGGTTTCTTATTTACCCGTCAGTCATGATTATCATCTATGTCTCCTGTTTCGGTATTGGGCTTGCACTATGTTCGGGCAGGCTCTGGTGTATGACTGGATCACGGATAGACGATACAATACCCAACCACCAGGTAGTACCCTCTTTCATACCGCAATCTGCGCGGCTACAAAGTCCGGGAACTCCGCTTGTAATGCGTCAGTCAGCCGCTCCACGTCCTCGGCCAATGCCTGCACATTGCTATCCCACCGCCGCATCTCTTTGCCCACCGGCATCTCGGCCCGGCCGCTGCCCTTCTCCCCAGAGGCCTCATGCCCTTCAAACCAGATAATCCTGTCAATCTGATCGATCGAACCCGCCAACCGCCCCTGCTCAATCATCCTTGCCGTGGTGTCCTCCGCCTTGTCCCCGTCCAAGCCCAGCAGCAACCCCAGCTCGCCGAACCCGATATTGCTGTACAGCCTGCTCGCGCTCAGCAGATTGTGCTCCACCACCGCCTTCACCAGCACCGTCGAGCCGTCCGACGTCTTGGCAAGCTGGTGCGGCGCGAGCCCCTGCGCGAACTTGTCCACCTCGGCCGTGCTCAGCAGGCGGTCGAAGAACATCTTCTCAAGGATGCCGTACTCCTCCAGCCCGGCGGACCGCTCGTCCTTGTACAGCTGGCCGAGGGCGCGGCTCCGCAGCGGGCCCGCCGGCGCGAGGATGGCGCACTTGATGGCCATGCTGAGCGTGTGCAGCCGCTCCTCCTCGGCGATGGCGGGTGAAAAGCTGATGTCGTGGTAGCTCTTGGCCGCCTGCAGGAACTGGCGGTTGGAGTCCTGGATGCGGGCCGCGCTGAGGCGAAAGTGCAGGTTCAGCTCCGGGTCGTCGACCGTGTGCATCACGTTCTTGAGCTTGTTGAGGTACGTCTCGGCGGCCGTGCTGTCGTCGACCTCGAGGTAGTTGCGCACGATGCGGATCCACATCGCCGCCTTCTCGGCGTCGGGCACCCGCCGCTGCGAGCTGTCGAGCGGGATCTTGGCCAGCACCTTGGCCGCCGCGAGGAAGTCCTCGTTGGCCTCGTGCGCGGCTGCCACCATCTCCCGCAGGGCGGCCGCTTGCTCGATGAGAGACGACGAATTTGGGCTGGAGGGGATTTTGCGCACGGCATCTCGACCGACTTCGATCCGCACATCGTGATCCTCCACAGTGCGGAGCGTGCTGATCAGGTCGCCTAACAGTTGGCGCGTGTTGATGAGTCCCAGGTTCTCCGCGAATATGGCATCCAGGACGGCTATCAGATCTGCTGTAAGATGGGACGAGTCGGAAAGAGACTGGATATTTGTTATGATGCTCTGGTATTCTGTGATCTGCGGGGCACCTTCGAGGTTCTGCGCTCGCTCCAGAGCTTCCGCAACCTTGGGCGAAGCCATTGCGAGCCCAGACTGTAAGACCGCGCCGTGAAACGAGGCAGTTACCAGAGTACGGAGGCGTTATAGAGATTACAGCAGTCCGGAATATTGAAAGTGCCACGAGGGAGATCCTCTTTGCGGGCTGTAGAGTTGGGGTTGTCGTTAAGGCTGAGGTCCTGAAATGCAGCTCGCCAAACGGAAGCTTGAGTCTTGGTGAGCTGCAAGCCAGAGGGGTGGGGTATGGTGGGGTTAAACGTTACCGTAGTTAGTGGAGACGCCAAGGCAGCTGTTCCTGAAGCTGCCGCTGTGGGGACGTTTACAACTGTTTACACACAACTTCCCAAACCCAACTCCCGATCTAAGTCGTCTTCGGCCCTGCCCCGCGCTATGTTCTCAGTGAATCATCACAGTCGGGCGTCATACCTCAGCTAATATGGACTGTGTCACACGAAGGCTCCTCCAGCTGGAACCAGACAGGAAGTGACCAGCTCTATAAGTAAGGTCATACTTCGAGACTCAGAACCCAACCTGCAACCAGCAACCAGCAATCTACGAGCGTGCTATCTTGAACTCGCAAGCAAACTCGGTTACCCAAGTGTAAGCATTTCGATTCCGTTTGTTATTTCAACAGCTCTTGTCTAAAGATATTGCTATGTATATGGAAGCTTTCCTATCGGGGATGGCGGTGAATTCGAATCTACGCGACTTAAGCGCGCGCATAGCTGCCTTGCATTGGCTTTCCCCCAGATTAAGGTGACTACCTAAAACTTCATCTAGGTGACATTGTGTCGAAGGCCAGACTGCCTCAGCTTGAGACTTTGGCGCCCAATAGGTTCTTCTTTACGCGGTGGTTTCAGGCGTTGGTTGGATGGTGTATTCTGCCCCTTTCCCTCACACGATGCCACCAACCCTGGAGTATGAAACTGAGTTGGCAATGATTGCTTCGTAACGTTCAAGGCGCCATGTCCCGTTATCCCCGTGTTCACCTTCCTCAATCCACGAGGCCAATTGCTGTTATCTCTTCGCGGAGCCGATAGTGCCCTACGCTACCCATATTCGGGCTTCTGAAGGGTCATGGATCGAAGCATGCATACTCCCTTCCCCATTCCCGTAGTCGTCCAACGGTAGGGAATTTGTCTGCCAGGGGCAACAGGCCGCGGAGCTGGCCAGCACTCCACAGGTCGTGGCCTCCTCCTGAGCCTTACCTGCGGCACACTGGTCTATTAGACTATCTAGCTCTTCACCGTCTAGTTTCATCTTCCGCATATTGACACTTTGAAGACAGACTGGTTGGACCTGAATTGCCGTAGTCACGCCCGAAACCATGCAACAACCCCCAGCGTCAAATTGTAAAAGCTGGACAGTCTGTTTCAAGACCATCCCATGGCATTCGCGCCTCGCTCAGCTCTTGCGAGGAGGCGCGACGCTCTGTACGGAATATACTCGACCTCGGCGGCAGCATGCCACTTGGGGTCAAGAGACGAGCCGCGCTGGGAACACAGTTTGGACGAAAGGCGGAACGTCGCGGCTGCTGTGTGTTGGGCGGGTATATCAAGAGCTCAGTTTCCGCCCTCACTTCCGTATCCTTCACCATCGCCAGCCTATCTCTTTTTCGTCAAGTCTTTCTCTTTGCTAAGGGACGGTTGATCCGTCTCCCTGGTCCTCTCATTCGCTTCTTAGTTCATGTTGTGGGGTCTACCGTCTACTTTCACTGTATATACTCTCCCTGCTGCCAAGATCCTCGAGCCACCCGTCAGCATGCTGTCCAAGCTTTTCTTCCTCGCTCTGGCCCTCACACCCTTTGTCTCGGCGCATGGCAAGGTCACGGTCGTGACAGGGGACGCCGGTGGCAACGGCACGGCCCTAGCAATCAAGGGTGGCGTCGTCCCGGGAACGGGTCCAAACACCAAGGTCAGTCTCTGCAGCTCAAAACTTCCATCCCCCCCATGGTACTGTTTCTCACCAGCCGCCACAGACTGAAGTAGACACTACCGTCTTCAGCAAGACCAACATCCTCTCCGACGGGCTGGGCAAGACCACCGGCTCCGGCAAGAACACCATCTCCATGGTGGTAGAAGCCATGAGCCTGTCGGGCACCACCCTGCCTCAAATCACAGCAGGCGGTAATATCTCGGGCACCTTCCACATCGTGACCACTGACGGTGCCGGCCCGATCCAAGCCGTTCTCGACCCGACCGCCACGGGGAAGTTCTCCACCGGCATCCCGCTCACCGTGCTCGAGCAGATCCCGGGTAAGAACGGCAATATCGCGGCATCCAAGAAGCAGCAGCAGCAGCAGCAGCAGCAGCAGCAGAGGAGAACACTCTGGCGGCGCGCGCTAGAATCTACGGGCCGTCTCGTCCTTCTGAAGAGAGCGGCCAACGTCAACCAGAGCTTCGACTTCAAGTTCTCCGTGCCTGCGGGCACGACGTGCACTGGGACGGTGGCGAGCATGACCGGGGTGTGTCTGGTCAAGATTGCCAACTCGAACAAGGCAGGGCCGTTCGGGGGCGTTGTTCCTGTCCAGATGGTCGGCGCTGGGGGTGCGGCTGCGGCTGCGGCGCAGGCAGCGGCATGCGGGAGGTCGTTTAGGGCTTAAATAAATGTGCCTCGGGGAGGGCGGGGCAAGGTAGAGGCAGCGTACAAGAGCTGATGATGGTGGTAAGCATTCCAGGGGCGGGGTTCATGGTGGTCATGTTCAGCCTGACGGCCTCCACCGCTATTCCCTCTTCAAACTCGCGGACTTGGGGCCAGCAGGAATTATTAAGTCGGTATTAGCAGTGAGCAACAAATATCAACGGCCCAGAGGGAGTGTTCGCCCTCCTTTTTGACCTCTACCTCTTCTTACAACTTAGCAGTATTGTCTCGCCATCGAGTGATGGGCGTGATTGGGTACCAAAGAGATAATTGCCGTGACAAAAGGGAAATAAGGACTCAAGGGGTGGAAAGGAAGGAGAAACATGCCATACCGTTAGCGCAACCCTCTAACAGAGTTGCAAATGATCTTGAGATGCTTCAATAATAAGGACCTGTGTGTAAGTTCCCAGATGTGAAGGTTGATTTGTTGCATCCGGAACTGGAGTAATAACTGTGGTGAACCCCTACCAGGCACTGATGTTAACATCGTATGATGTTTACCTAGGCCAGGCCCAGTTCCCCAACCCGGGCGCAAATACCCCGAAGATTTTCGATTTTCGATTACACATGCCCATCCAAAGCGAAGTTTGAATGTCGAACTGATGAGCAGAAGCCGAAATGCAAACCTGCTCAAAAGCACACAGCTACCCGACTTGAGTGAGATTTGTCCCACGATTACTCCTGACGGGGCCGTGAGCCACACACCAGACAACACCTTCTCTGAGTTGAGTACTCTCTAGGTACGCGAGAACGCTAACACACGCTCCATCCCCGTTGTATGAACACCGAGGAACGATCGCCAATGCCGTCCCACTCACCCGCCCGTTGTGTTGGGGAACCGCAGGTACTCTTGAGATGAGGATGGAAATACGAACCATCCGCGAAATAACAACCGCACCAGCCTACTTTCTAATTCCCACGACCTAGGTATCCTATCTCTCCCGCGGCCACCTAATGCTGCAAAACAACAGGCTTGCCCCTCTCCCAATTCCTCACACCCTCACGAATATTAACCCAATACCTCAACCGAACCGCCTCCTCCTTCGCGCTCTGCACATCCCCGGCCTCGAGCGCCTCGCCCAGCCGCGCCTCGCTCTCCCTTATGCGCTCCTCGTTGGCCGCCCGCACCTCCTCCAGATCCTCCTCCCGCTCGGCCTCCTCGATCGCCTCACGCGCCTCGAGCACCGTCATCAGCAGCTCCGGGTCCGGCGCCGCCTGGGCCCCGGCCTCGTCCCCCTCGAGATCGACCCCGTGCTGCTCGCGCAGGAGGTACTGCGCGCGCAGCAGCGGGGACGATAGCGTCTTGTACGCCGCGTTGATCAGCGCCGAGGTGGCTTCGGCGCGGATGCGCGCGGCCGATTTGCTATTGTTGCTGCTGCTGCTGCTGCCGACTTGTTGTCGTGATGACGGAGAAGAAGAGGAGGCGGCGGCGTGGTGGAAGTCGGGGTGGGAGGCGGCCTGCAGGCGGAGGAACTCGCGGCGGAGGGCGCGGACGTCGATGTGGAATTTCCCGCGCGGCGGTGGGCCGTTGGGTAGCGTTTCGGGAAAGAGGGCGTAGTAGGTTGGGATGGGGGACGTTGCCGAGGGTGGTTCGGAGGTTGCGGTTCCGGTCTGCGCGGAGGCCGAGTTGGTGGAGGCGCTGCGGCACTGCGATGCCGAGGCCCAGTGCTGGCCGGTTGCTCTGCCAGTGTGCGACGACGAGACGGTTCGGATGGTCCTTCGCAATGGTCCTGTCGGGGTGATTCTCAACACTGCTGCCCTCTGAGCCACTTGAGCCGCTATCGCCTCTCTCCGGCACGCGGCGCAAAGGTAGGTGGCTGCTCGACCGGGACTGAAGATCAGAGATGCTCTCATTCTGCCACAGGTCGTTTGTTCCCTCAGCAGTTTTGTAGTGATGGTTGGTCTAGCTGGAGGGTGTTGATCGTGCTGTAATCGCAAAGCTGGTGGAGGTTGAGCGGGGAGAAGGTTGAGATTGCTGTGTTACCGGATGCTTCGGACAGTCAAATGGCACCTCCTGAATTCTCGCGAGAAATTCACAAGTCGCAGAACGAACTGAGCAAGGAAATGACGTCGGCACCCAGGCGTCTCCACTCCGAATTCCCCGAAAGAGCCGTTCTATCGCCGAGATAGGCAGCCCTAACCCTTGCGGGCGACTTACACAGCACCTTAGACAACTTCCTGGAGAGAAGCTCTCAACCGGTACCACCCCCGGGCTCCGAGTTCCACCGTGAGACATCAGAGCTCAACAAGAGTGAATTTGCCTTGGTCTTGGTCTCGAGGACAAGTCAGCCTCATGCTACCGGGCCGAACTTGGAAGGCAAGAGGCCGTGGTCAGCCCTGATTACTATTATATACCTTTCATATGGTACAAGTACATACATCCAAACAGATCTGCCCATGTCATAACTTCATGCAATATACTATATCCAGAAAGTCCCTTTCTTCTCCATCACGACATCACGAGAGCACCACGCCTCTCCACCGACCGCGTTCCTGATGCCACCACCGTTCCCGGTCCTTTTTGTCCACCACATTGCCGCTGAAGGTATTCCACCTTCCCGTACACCCCTCCCTCCTCTCCACCATCATTCCGTTATTATTATTGCCCTTCCCACCTTCATGATCGCTCTCCTCCCTTTCCGACGCCCTCCCTTTCTTCTGCTTCTTGCCCGCTTCCTTCTCGGCGAACCCTTCCGCGCCCAGACCCAGCATCTCCCCGCCGTCGTCCCGCAGCATATCCTCCACGCTCACCAGCCCGCCCCCTTCGTCCGTCCCGCCCGTCGCGGCTTCCGGGGAGAGGACATAGCGTATCTGGCTCTCCACGGTGCCCATGAAGGCGCCGACGCCGTGCTTCTCCACCACGGTGCCCGTCTCGTCCACGACGTGCACAAAGTACCGCGGGATCCGCTGCGCCGCTTCCAGGCGCGCTTGCGCCGCGAGCCGCGCCTGGTGGAGGTTGCTGTTGTCGCGGGGGATCAGGGCGTCCGGGGGCGGAAACAGCGGGCTGGCGGGCGGCGTGCCGCTGCTGCTGCTCTGCTTGTTGAGGCTGAAGCTGCTGCCGGGCCGGGACGAGGAGAAGCTCGAATTGTTTCGCGTGTGGCCGAGGCCTTGCCACCCGCCCACAACCGCAACCGGGTTGGAAGAGTACGAGAGGTGGGCCTTGCCGCCGCGGTAGCGATCCGTTGGGTGGTCGACGCGTTCTCGCGGGGCGCAGAGGGACTGGAAGAGGCCTTCGGGGTCGTTGGGCGTGCAGAGGGTGCGGAGGGACGGGAAACCTCCTGCGCTGATGCTTCTGGCGAGGATGCCGTCTGCCGTTGTGGCGGTGGTCGGAAGGTAGGGAATGTCCCAGTGGAGTCTGCGCAAGGTTTGGGAAGCCAGGTAGGGGAAGAGCATCATGAACTCGTCGGGCGGCATTTCGGGAGCGTAGGTTTGGACGATGTTGAAGGTTTCGAGGGCGGTGAGGTAGGATAATATCCTGGCAATAGCGGGGAGGGATTCGACATTCATGTGTATGAGGGTGAGCGTTTGGATCGAGGCGCTGGCTGGCCGCGTCGCCAACGAAGAAAGGCCGGCTGTCGTGATACCGGCGCAATGGCTTAGAGATAACTTCTTGAGCGCCGGCAAGGCGAGGAGGTTGGTATCGTTAAATGCGGCGGGAGGCACTTTCGAAAGATAAAGGTTCCGCAGCGAAGGCAGAGACCGGATTGTGCACTCTAGCAGGTTGGCAGGACTCAGCGATGCCCCCGGTTGACAGTGAACAACAAGTGTTGTGAGCTGTTTCCAATTCGCGTGAAACCCCAGAAACAGCTGTGACTCTTGTGGTTGTAGATCCCCTGGGCCCCAGCGATCGTTGTGGGCAGGAGAGCGTGTCCTCTGCTGCCGTTGAAGCGACGAGGGTTCCAGTATCCAATTCATGTCCTTCAATTTGGCCCGTGTCGATAGCGCGTGAAATAACCGTTGGAATGAGTGGTCATAGGTCGGATAATATCCGACCAGTTGTTCGAGGTTGGGACATGCCATCACAACCGAGGCGAGCAGATCGTTGTATGCCACTACCCGGACCGAAAGGGGCCGCGCCGGTGGCTTCAGTGACCGCACCAGAGCCGCAATCTGTGGATTCGCCCTCAGTGTTCGTCGCAACAGGACCAATCTCGAACCATATGTCGTCTTCGTCCGCTTCTTCATATTCGGCGCCTCGTGTCCAACCAGGTGGATGTGCTGATACAGAGCCTCGCGTGCATACTTGAGGAATTTGCGGGCACTGACGGCCACGGAGCAGCAATCTCGCATCCAACATGTCGCACAGCTACTACTCCCTGGCTGCAAGTGCAGCTTGCGCAGCTCCTCCAGTATCAACCCCAGCACCTCGCCCGGCAACGCGGCAAAGAGCTCCCCTGGTTGGGTCTTCCTGCGGTATGTCTTGATGGGTGCTGGTTTATGCCATGGATAGTTCTGGCCCGGCGAGCCGTTCTGCGTCGCCCACGTAACAGGCGAGGCGGCCGGGCTGGTCGGCCATGAGTCGATGCTGGTCTGACTGCTGCTGACGGAAGCGGTGCGTATCCGTCGGTCAAAGCCGTCGCTGCCGGACACCATACTGCTGGTGGCTGAGCTGGTACTGCCATTGGACAGCCGCCGAGGTTTGTTGTATCCGCCAGGGCGCTCCGGGCCGGGCAACGGCCCATCCGGTAAGGCCGTCGGCCTATGAATCACTGGGGCATGCTCCATGTCGGACCCTTTCGGACTGGAGTGGGAGCCTGTGATCTGTTGCACCTTTGCGCTCGCCCTTTGCGTTCTTAGCACGAATTCCTCGCCGTCGCCGGGTGGGTACATGGCCCGCGGGATGCTGTCCAAAGGGCGCCGAGGCGGCGGCCGGAGAGTGGGAGGCGCAGGAGTCGGCTTCAGAGCCGGGGGCGGGCCACCGGAAGTCCGAGATCGAGTGGAGGGCGGCTTCAACAGTGCGTCATCGTCATCGTCACGGATCGTATACCACCTCAGGACTGCAGAGGCCGAGAAGGTGTGCCGGTTGCGGACTTTGTTGTAGAAGGCTGGCGGAGGGCTGTTATGTAAGACGGAGGTCAAACCCGCCGGTCAGCAAACAAATCTTGGCCCGCTCCGTAGACACACTCGGGAAACTGCAGGAGAGACCGACAGACGAGTTCAAAGAAAAGGAAAAAGAAAAAAGGAGAAAGAGCCAAGATCTCGTGGACGATGGGACGATGTGGTGGACCCAACCCGGCTTTTTAAAATGACTTGCAGATCTCAGCCCCGCGACACCAGGCGAGGCTGCTTTTGCTCTTCACTGCCCTGGGCCGACGTTGACTCGGCGGTTGACGATGTAGCACCCTACGTGTAACGCTCACGGAAAGCTCGGTGTGCCAAGCCTAGGCGTTTTTCTGCATGTGCTGCGTCGCGAGAGGTGAACTATTCCACACGCGGTGCAGGAACGCGAGCGCGGTATCGCCTCAGCGCTTCGGTTGCTGGACCGGATTCGCCAAGAGCTAACCGCTTTGGATGTGCATGGACGAAGCTGATGGTCGGAGTGGACGGAACAGCTCCGTACATAGCGCCACGAGCAAAAGGTGGAAATTAAATAAGCAGCGCATCGTACATATGCCATGCCTGCGGGTCCGGAAACAAGCGGCAGTTGTCCGCGTAAAAGAAAATCTTCCACCATGCCAACTTCCGGCAACAAATCGATTGGCAGCATGGCAGCTCCGATGCTACGGCTGTCGTGGGGTAGTGGAAGAAAAGGGGGCCTTCTGCATGAAGAATTGGAAGAACCGAAAGCAGCAATTGGCACTTAAGAAACGGGGGGCAGGGGTTGTGGGTTACACTGCTAATAAAGCTCCGATGACATTTGTTCCACAGCACATCCATGGATGCCAGCGGCACCCGCTAGGGCTCGGCTGGACAAATGGCCGGGGGTTCGCGCCGTTGTGGTGGGGGATATTGAATCGATATCCCGGGAAGGTAATTTATATATCAAGACGATAAAAGAAGGAAGTTGCTCACCGAGACTGTGATTTCTGTGGCTTTTGGGGGGGCCTGTTATCCCCAGCATCGTCCGGATCCGCTGCAGCTGCCTTCACATCATCGGCGTCTGCTGGGCCGCCTGAAGTCTGCGGTCTGGAGGCTGAGAAGCCAGGAGGTGGTTTCTTCCGAAGAACGTTCGGTGCCGGTGCGTCCGCGGCTGAGAGCGAATTCCTCCTCCTCCCTGTCACGAGCTCTCGCAACGTTGGCAAGGAGCTCTCGCTGTTGCGTCGTTTCTGACTGCTCCACGGCCATGGAGACTTCTGTTGTGCCTCTGGAGAGACCGTCGTCGTGGAGGCCATGACTTCATTCCTGGTGCAAATGCTGGCACCATCGATGGTGGCTGCCGGATCACCGAAGCCTTCCTGTCGCCCGTTCTTCCTGGGTCGGCTTGTCTAGAACCCTAAAACCCGTGATGGCGTGTGTTCGCGGTCAGCCGCAAGATCTTGCCGAGCCGGGATCTCGAAGCCTCAGCCGCACATCTTGTCGACTTCGGGCTGATTCGTGCAATGCCCCGCTCCGGTATCAAATTTCGAGGACGTTGATGAGATGTTGTGTGGCCATGGAGACATGGACAGACCACCTGGGCGGGTCAAACTCGGCTTTTGAGAATTCAAGCTCTCAGCAATTGAACCCCACAGCCTCTGTCCACCTTTTGTTGATCCGAGTGGACCAACTCCGCCCTGCATCCCAAGCCAAGGGTGCCAGTCACCATTCGGGGTCAGCAGGGCAACGGCGGGAGAATGGTTGGGTTACACATTCAATGCTTCGCTCGTACGGCAATTCGCTACAGCCTCGAGGCTGGGTAACGCATTGCAGGTATGGTATGTGCATCGATCCGCCCTCACTACGGAATCCAGTTAGGCGCCGTAAGCTACAAAAGTCGAGGACAACGAAGGAGTGGGTACCGGTAGGTATTTACCTCCCAGCACGCGATCGCGATCTTCGATGAAAACTCCCCGCTGCGCCCTGCCATCCCGTTCATCCAACCATATCGCAACGCCGAGCGGGCCGAAAAGTGTAAACACGGCGTCTGACGAGGATCTGCCCCGCAACCCCAGCGGTCTAACTAGTCGATCTTCGTCTCTTGTTGCGCTGACCTGTTCACAGGAGCGATGAGTGGCTGGCAGCCTGCGTTTACCTCAGCTATTCTTGACGGCCTGTTCGGCTGGAAGACCTTCATCATCAATTTCATTCGAACAGCTCATCGCTCGGCGCGTTCGTATTCATCCCGTTAATGGCGTGGTAGGAAGCGCTAATGCACGCAGGCTGGGCGACGTCTCCGCATTAAGACGTAACCTTACATCCTCTCGTAATGTACCGTATGTACTGTATGTACAGTACGTAGCACATGTGGTACTGCCGTCCATCATGCCATGCAACATGGCACAAGACGGGAGCAACAACGTGCCTGAGGTGACGCCGCCGTTACCAAGGGGTGTACCCGCTCCTCAACGACCTTCCTTTGCAATGCGGGCGGTCACGGTCTCCCAAGTCTTGAATATGTAGCTCGGGGAGATGCCGCCCCGCAAAAGCAGCTGCTCCAAGTTAGGTGAGATGAAAAGAATTTGTATGATTTCTTCAAGGCCGCTTGCCAGAATCCTCACTTTGCGCGACGGGATACTTTACGTACTGTACGGAGATATAGACAGTACAACCGATTCTCCCGCAGAACAACAACTTCGATGCAGGCTTCTCTGCCAGATTCGGAACATTGTAAACCTTGCTCCTATTCCCACGAACGACCCAATTCACTCAAATCTTCCAGTCAAATAACCATATTCCAGTCTCGAGGTAAACCACTTGTCTGCCTCTGACGATTTCGAAATATTCAGCAAGCTTCGTGCTGTCTCCGACCTGCAAAAAGGTATGCGGTACCTATAAGACCGCTCAACCTTGCTTATTCAAGGTCGGGGATAGACTCGACCATGTTGGTCAAAAGCCGAACTCCCATGCTCCTCACTCTCCTCGTCGAAAAACCGCACCTGCGGTCTCCTCTTCCTAGCAGGACCATCATTTGACAAGGGTGTGCCAACCGACGACGTGGCAAACCCTACCTCTGGAGATGCCCTCTTCAGGCTCTTCTCCGCGATAACCGCATAAGACTTCTTTTTGCCCACCGGAGACCCATTTACCGTGAGGAGATCCTGGTCGGAATGGCTGAGCTCCCGCCCGAAGCCTCGACCGAAGAGGAACTGCGGTGACTGCAGCTTCGCCATCTGGTCCGGCGGCGCGATATCCTTCCCGCCCGGAAGGGGGAGTATCTTGGCGTTGAGGATCCATTCGTAGATCGGCTTGTCGTCAAGTATGGAGCGGCACCTCCACTGCTCCGCCTGCGTCATCTCGCCGCGCCTCTTCACAATGACCTCCTCCACGGTGCCGCGGAGAACCAGCGTCTCGACCGAGACAGGCTTCTTCTGGCTGATGCGCCGTGCACGACCGATCGCCTGGGCCACGACTTGGGGGTTCAGTACAGGGTTGATAAAATAGATCCGCGAGGCGGACTGCATGTCGAGACCGAACGCCGCCTGCCCGACGTCCATAAGCAGGACACTGTAGTCGTTGGTCAGCTCGGGCCCCTTCATACCAGAGTAGAGTGAATAACGTACCGAAACTTCGGGTTGTGGTTGAATGTAGCGACGTATTGTGCCCGCCGCTCAGGGGTCAGGGTCTTTGCATAGATGAGATGTTGGATCTGAAGCTGTAGTCGTAGTGTCAGCGAGGTTGGGGCACGGAGAGAAGAGAACGCGTACTATCTCAAGAACGCCAGCAAGATAATATGCCACATTGTCGTTCTCGTAGAAAATAATGATCTGCTCTGAGTCCTGGTACTTCACTATCTGGTCGATCAGGTAAGAGAGCTTTGCAGACGCCGTTGAGACCAGTTGTGCTCCGCTTAGGGCTGCCGCAATGGTGGTTTGTTCTGCCTCGGCAGCCACTAAAGTGCCTCCGGGTGCTGCTAAGTCCCTGGCTAAAATAGCAGAGCGTCGTTTGTTCGGGCTGGTGCTATCCTGGCCTAGCTGAGTATTTCCAGCAAGCGTCTTCTGCTGGGGCTTCTGTGTGCCCTCTCCGTCCGGGTCCTGTTCCTCAAGCCCTTTTAGTCGTTCCTGTGACCCGCGCTCCGCAAACCGTCCGCTGTCGAACATCATCTGCAGCGATGTCGGAGCATCAACCAAGGGGTGAACGAATTTCTGAAGCGCAGAGATCAGACGTGAATCGGTACACACCGGATCTCCGTCCTTTAGATCCAGGGACCATTCCCGACCCGCTCCCCACGGAAAGTTGTGAATATATAGGGGAACTTCGCGAAACCGATTCGCGCAGTTTTTGAGGCTGTTTTCCACTGCTACGTGGCCGAATTCAATCGCATCCCTGAGCAGAGCCTCGTCTTCGGAGCTGATTGGAACCTTGCCTTCTCGCAGAAAGTCTTCCGCCGTGTCAATAGCCCTGCGAATCTCAGCGGCAGAGAAGAAGGATCCTCCAAAAAAGCTCGCTTGTCTCAAATTTAACACTAACTCAACCAAGGCCTTCCTCTGCCGCGGGTGGAAGAAGTAATCCTGGTCCGTCCGTTGGGATTGAACCGCGTTGAAGATGATCATCATGGAGAAGAGGTTGAGAACAAGTCGATCCTGGAACGATCCGTCGAGATAGACGACCTTCTCGTCCACCGTTGGAAGGAGATCGCTGAGTTCGGACAGACGATGCCGGATGATCAACGACCCGAGGGTTGCTCTAAGACACTCTTCGCTCCCCGCGCTTCGAGCTGAGTGCCGGGGTTGCATAACATACACACTCCAATCCGCCGGGGTATCGCCAGGCTCTGTTGACTTGTTAGCCCATGGCCGCATCTGCAGAAAGAACCTTGCAATCGAGCCGATACGCTGCAAGTCTTCCATTTCTAGGTCCGCCGAGGTCTCTGTTTGCCGCATGCCAGCGAGTTGCTGCTGACTATCTGGTTGAGAAAGATTGGTGTCATCGACACCGAACAGCCCCTTGGAGGGTGTGCCAGTGACTACCCACTTCGCAGATATTTGGAGATAGTCGATTATCAGGTGTATGTTGCTTCTTCTTCGAGACCTGGAGTTCCCGAGTTTGTGGCCCTCATCAACGATACAACGCTTGAAGTGGATCATGGCGAGCCTCGCCAAAGGGGAGTCCGGAAGTACGTGGACGCCATTCGGGTTTGGGGCAAAATACTCGATCAACCTCTCAAAGCGCGTTGACGTGAATAAGAGGATATCGTACTCGGTGAGTTCTTGGGCAGGGAGCAGCTCCTGTTTCTTGTCGACGATGATGAAAACCCTCAGACCAGTCGTGTGTTTGCTGATTTCTTGCTTCCATTGCTGCACGAGATTGGGGGGGACGATCAGAAGTGAAGTGTGGCTCAACAGTACCCGTCTCGGTTGCGCAAGGCTGTCCGGCTGCCGCGTTCGTCGGTGACGGGTTGGAGGCGGCAGAAGGTAGAATCCGGGGTTCCGTCGGATGGCGTCGAGAGACCCACGATACTCGTTTTCCTCCGGCGCGAGGCCACCCAACACCGACCTCCAGGGTACTGAATTGCGAGTAACGCATGCCGCTGCCATATCAGCGAGGCTCCCAATTCGGGGACGCACTACGGGCTCGTCCATCCGTAGATGGTCAGGAGTCGCAGACGGAATGTGTCTACTCGCTAGGATGAGTGCCAGACATATCAGCGTCTTTCCGGCACCCATCTCCTCAGCAAGAATTCCGCCACGTGGCTCATCGTAATGAACCGGCTCCCGAAGGATGGTACCGCTAACTGCATCGTAGTACCACTGCGACCCTAGCTGATCGGCGACCATCGTTAGGCGCGGATCGACCATCTGCATGGTCTGGGACTCCCTTTGAAGCATCAGGGCTGCTGAGCGGCGCTGATATGAGTATAGTGTAGTGATGAGCCCGGGAACGTCGCTGTCCATCAATCTGAAGGCGGCATCACGGACTTCGAAGTCCAGGATGTCCCCTGGCCTGGGATCCGGGGATGGGATGCTGTTGAACATCTGCAGCAAGGAACGGCTCTCTCCATGCTGTTCCTCCTCTGCTTCACTGACCTGACCTTGCCAAGTTTTCTTGGATAAATCCAGGTGTTGAAGAAGAGTCGTCCTCGCCCTTCGCAGATCGTCAGCGAAACGCGGAATGCTGCGGTTGTCAACATCATCAGGTAGGAGATAGACTCGGACGATGGCTAGGTCGGGGGTGTTGGAACTGATTCCGAGGTTCATGTGAATCCAGCGGTTGAGCAGAAGGCCGAAAATCCATCCGAGGGGCCCTGAAGAAGAGAACAGGCGACTCTGGATTTCCGGCGTAAGAGACTGAGACGTGGATTCGCCAACCTCATCTTGGCTTACGTAGCCAATTTGGCCATCAAATCCTTCATTTTTATCTAGCGCAGTGAGCGGAAGAAAGTGATGCCACTCTCCCGGCTTCACGTGCGACCAGATATTGCCAGCGAGTTGGTCTTCCAGCTCGGTCTTTTCGAGGATGAGGCATCCGGCTGCGACGTAGCGCGAGAGCTCCGTCGGTAGCATTGTTGCGAGTAGTGACAGCTGATACTACCGTCACTGAATCTTCGCACGACCTCTTCAAGCTGGACATTACAGTAGGATGTTGCCTGAGGTCGGTAAAGGTACGTCGTCTCGAGGTCGTGTAAGAATTGACCCACTGCCAAGCGATAAGGCTGAGCGAAACCCGGGGCAGGTGGGGTAAGCGATGCGATTGGCGGGGCCGCTAGCGGGGCCAAACAATCAGACCCCTGCTGCTGGCTAGCGCATGCCTTGAGCCCCGGCCAACCTTCCATTCTCACGAACACTCAAACGGCATTGAGGAAAATCGACGTTTGAACATTGCTGTGTAATGTACTTGCTTGTGCTAAGACAGTCCTGACGAATGTTGAACTATATCATTATGGATTCACGAACAAACCCCCGGTTGTAAGTCTGAGCCAAACAAAGTTTCAGGGGTTGTCCTGTAGTCAGGGGCAACTGCGGAGATGGGTGCAACAGCAGGGCAGCTTCCATTGACAGCAACCTGGAATCCTCGGGTCGTCCCGGCCCTGGGTCGCTTCAAGTGCTCCCCGTCGGCTTCCTCCCGCCTGTTCAAACCGCACCATTTAGATGGAAGGTAAATGTTCACAGGTCCATAATGAGCGAGCAATCGCCCTTCTCAGACAACAATCCGATTCGCATAGTACGAAGAATGCGAATCTCACTCTTGGATCCACACCTGGCATTGTAAGATATTCTAATGTCCGGAAAGGAATGCAAACCAACTTTGAGTGGATGAAAAAGACCAAGGATCCTTCGGGGAGATATAGGTGCAGCCGAGACCTCGGGTTGTACATACTACCAAGTCCAACTCCGCGTCACGCGTTAGGCCGCAGACCGGGTTTTGTCCCCTTCCCCCGGCTTCACGCGGCAAGCTGCAGAGAGGCTCTGCATCACCTATCATACGACTCCAGGCTCAGCAAGTCGGGCTTGCCCTACGCTTTTGGCGGATGGCAGACTTCGCACGAGACGCACAGACCAAATGGTGTCGCGAGTCCCGCTTACTTCTAGGGACGATCTCGGGGATCTTCAAGCCGCACCGGGATTCGAAACCGGAACAAAACACTGGCGAGTTTACCACCGGGCCCCGCGCGAAGTAGAAAGAATTTCACGTCGGCGACCTTCGGATCCCCACGACGATCTGCAGGGACATGCTGGGATGGTTCGCGGTGAGGGTTCCCAACGCCGAGCTGCCGCCCACGGTCTCCCGGCAAGAACAAATAGCATAGCTGTGGTCGGCGCCTAGCACACTGCCCGACCGTATGTACTTCACACATGCCAAGACCACCCGAGGGCCCGGGACCGACGAATCGAGGTCCGTGATGTCAAGGGCGCCTCTCTCGATCCGGATACGACTGCTTGTTTCAGTGATCGACATGCACGCCCCAAGCGCCGAGGGTCAGTGCCCCGACCGATTATGCGTACTCTCTTCTGTTGCCAGTGTCGTGGCAGCATTATCAAACGGGAAGGTAACGGCCAAAGCCGCTCGCTACAGCCTCTGATGGATCTTCCCGCATTGAAAGCATTGACGATGAGCATGACGGCTACAGCCGAGCGCCTAGGCCGCCGAGTCTTGCTTTGCTTCATCTGCATGGTCAAGGAAACCAAGCAATCGGTAGCGCTGGACCTTCAAACCAGTTTCTACGCGGTGGTGCGGTGCTCTGTTGTCAGTTTCGACGCTTCGGACCACTGGGAGACGGCTCTCGACAAGATCGGGCATCGTCGCTGAAGCAGAAGCGCTTTGCCCACGGGGAATATGATTGTTATTATTCCCTCCGATTCATTCGAGAGCATCGGATGCTCAACACCAAAGGAGGAGGAGCAAAGCGCTACTTCCGCCGATCTCTCTCCGCCGAGGTTGATCACTCTCTGTGCCATACCGCTGCTTCAGCCGGGTTCTCAGGGACAAACCCATGTCCTTGTCATGCCATCGAATTGCGGATCAGCCCTAACACCCGATCACCGTCCACGCCTTTCTACCCCGTTCCGATACAACCCCTTGCTTGCGACGTGGCTGGCCACATCTGCTGGAGGTGATTCTCGTCACCAGATCATGTGATCAGCTGAGCTAGGAAGCAATGCCCGCGGACAATTCCCCCCTGGCGGGGAGGAGACAAGAACATGACAGCCTCTTGCCTGCCGCTACCCGCTCCGCTGATGGTGTGTTGGAAATGCGTTGTCTATCATCGAGCGGCACATACGGCGCTATTCTTGGTCGTCATGCTAGTTTCACAAGAGGTAGAGGCAGATATCCAACCCCCCCCCCCTTCCTCTTTTCTTCTTCCCTGGACCCCCTTGCCCACGCACAGCATAGGTCATCCGTTACAGGACCATTGCTGGTTCCCTCCTGGTGGATGATCATGGCTGGCATACCTTCTTGGCCGGATGCAGAGAGTAGAGCCTGCACAAGCAGTCTGCAGGAGTCTCCCTCCTCTCCTCCCGTGTCGCTTATGATGTGCAGATGTTTTTCATGCATCCCATGACAAACAGATCTCCGACGAATCAACCACCCCGGCTTCAACTTCACCCGAGAACAATGTTCCGTGCTATCTGTCAGACTGATTTAGATCTACGCTCGGACCCGGGGCTGATTCAAACGGTGGTCAGCTGGCATGGTCCCGAGCTCAACAACCCGGCATTCACACCATGTTCAGCCCTCCGATTATAGTAACGAGGGAGGGGAAGCAAAGGTGCCGGGGCATTTTGACGAGGAAACGAACGTGGATGCTTTGCTGTCAGGCTATAGTTCGGCTCTGCTATACTCCCACCTGGCCGCTTCCCTTGAAAGGGCTCGAGCAGGAGGACCAGCCGCCGCCATGGCCCCCGTTGGTGCCGTTGAGGGTCAGCGCATTATGATATCATCGGTAATGAGGCGTCTGCGTTCCGGCGCCCTGAGGTTTCTCTCGCTTTCACCTCGCACGAGCCTCGTCCGCCGAGAGGTAGACTCGAAACTCTTCCCACCCTGGGCGCTTCTCCTTTCCGTACACCTCCACGCACATTAGCGTTACACGGCGGACCACGAACCGCTCACCCCGCAACTGCGGTTCATCGCGCACGTACAGATGACAGATGATCCCACCTTCCTCCGTCATGAGCACAGATAGTCTCGACAATGTCCCCGCGTTGGTGCCCCCCACTGTCGCTATCGGTTGAGCTGCTGATCTGATGACCACGCAAGAGACCAGACCCAATCTGCCCCGATATTGGCGTGAATCCGCCAACGAGCTCATGGTAAAAGAGTCACGGTCAGACAATATCTCAGCGGGAGTCGAGTCTCCGCAAGTGGCAGCAAGGACCCAATATCACCTTCCCCCCCAACCAATCAACCCCTGATTAATCTATGAAGGAAACCTGTTCACGAGGCACCAGAGTGTGCTCTGGCCAGTCCTTCCCCTCTCTCAGCCTAGCTAGCATATATAGATTCTGTGATATTGAGTCCGAAGCTGCAGGACCCGAGCTTACACACGGGTGGCGTGCATGGCTGGTGTGTCGACCCTGGGCAGAACATGCACACCATACCTCTCGGATTGCGTTACCTCCAGGCCAACCTAGAGACCTAATTTATTGGTCAGACCACACTGGGCCCCGTCGTTGTGAGAAGCAGAAGTCTGTGCTCACTCATCGCTGAAGGCCCGCGCTGTCGAAGGGCATCTTTCTTCCGGCAGGCAGCATCCCTAAGTTGGGTTAGTAATGACTTCCATCTACTTAAGGTACGTACCAGTCATATGTATGTTGACCGTGCCCGTGTTTCACTGAATCATCTTCTGGTTGCCATTGGGATTCCCCCGGAGATGTCTTCCCCTCCACCCCTCCTGGCCTACTAAGGTATGCAGCCTTGCTCCGGTCCGGGTATGCATGTCGACCGGGACGGAAGGGGTGTGTGATCAGGATTCTTCCACACAGTTCAGGCCAGCCTTGAGCCAGGATGCAAAACAAAGCCAAAACAGTCAGTAGAGGACAGCATTGGGACGCTCTGATTGCTCGATACCCTGCACGGATGGGGACTTCGGCATATCCACATCAACGTGAGTGATGACGGTTGCAAGGGAAATGACATAGGTATGTATGTATGTATGTACATAAGCATTATACGTGGAATTACTTATGAGGAGGAGTAATTAGCAGGCAGTTATACACTGGCCTTTGCAGTAGGTAAGTTGGCCGGCCCGCACCCGATTCAGGGGTTCCATGTATCTATCCTTGTGCAGTTCCCAACCCCCTTTCTCGCCAACCCCCTCTCCCTGAAGTCCAAGTCCAAGGGGTCTGGTATCAGCCCCCCGTCCTCCCAAAACGCATGCGAGAAAGTAAATGAAGAAAGAAAAAAAAGCAGGCTTTCCATTACCACGACCTGAAGACGCTGGGGACCCGTTATGAGGGTGACCTTATGACTGTGTACCTAGTAATGCTCGCGCTGGAAAAAGCGAAAAACTAGTCTGTCAAAAAGAACTCTGCCACAAAGTGTATATCTTTAGAAAAGGAGTGAAGATCAGCCCAAGCCGAATGTTTCCCGTCCCCGTCCCGCTGGAATCCGTCGTTTCCGGCTGGCTATGTTAAATCCGATAGGGGGGAACCAACTTTCCCACCGAACAACAGAACAGGAAGAGCGGGATCTGTCCAGTCGGTCATAGGCAACAAGAAACTGGTTCTTCGGTCGCATTCGACTTCTGCGGAGGGCGAGCCCGGAGCAGTCGGCCGGCCATTGTCATCTGCCATATAAGCAAAGCGGGCAGTTTCCTTGCTGCACGATGTAGCGCCCATGGGGAGCGCTGGGGCAGGAATTCTTGGGGCTGCCGTCAACCGAGGTGCGGAAGAAGTGATACATCGGGTCATAGCACGTCGTGTAGATGTAGTAGTTTATGGCCCAGTCGCACATGGTGAAGCGACAACCGAGATTCGCCCTAGCGTAGACGGAATGTAATGATGAATGGTTCGGAATATGATGGTGGCCTCGGACACAGGTTAGCTGCGTGAGAACAAAGAGGGGTATGGCTCGAGAGGAGCGGCTCTTACCTGTCTCTAGGTACGTTGGGCAGTCAGACTGTTTGTTTTTATAGGCCATAGGTTATACAACTGGACAAGATCACAACGACCTAAATACGGTAGTTTCGGTAGTGACTTTTAAGCGGCTGGCTAAATCTCTGCTGTTTCGTCGTCAGGAAAGCGCGAACCTCACCGACGGTTAGGCTGAGTTCAGCGGTAGGAGGACAGCCTCGCAACTGCCTCACTCCGACTTGAACCTCGTAGGCAGCTGCTCTTACCAAACGAGTCCTAACTATCCCAACTTTGAGCTTTTTCAGACCTCTGGTCGACGAGAAGGCATTTATTCCGTCAACCGGAAGTCAATTTTGTTGTGGTAAAGGGGCCCATTTTGTTAAGTAAAAAATATAGGTGAAAGTGTGGGAGGTGAAGAGGGGGCGGTAGAGCGGCCAAGGCAGATGGTCGAGAAGGTGGAAGTACTGGCTGAGAATGATGACGAGATAGCGGGTCTTTGCGCCGAGATGAAGGTTCTGGTGCTGTGCTCTGACTTATACTATCCAATGGAGAACCGGAGGTAGCCAGCAGGGGCATGCCAACATTGGAGCCATGGTTAACCGTGAATATGTAGATCCATCCAAGATTAGAGACGAAGTCGAGGCCTGTAAGGAAGCAAGATGGCCTGGGCGTGGGTGGTGAGCACATCGCCGCTTTCAACTGGGACGAGAAGGTGAAACGTGAGGAGGACGCCGTGCGGCAGGGTCAAGCCCCACCAGAGCTTGGGCGCCGGATCGACGAATTGATCAACGTTGAACCGACAGGCCAACCCACGCATGTTCACGCACGGACAGTGGACTAGGTATCTTGAATCTATGCTCGCAAGAGTTCATCCGTCATCCAATACGAAGACGTCCGCTATTTGGCGGCAGTTCTTTGCTGACTATGTGGGGGCTTCGGTTCCCGTTGTGCTGTGGTTATATATGTCCTGGCTGTTATAGCGGTCTGATGCCTGACAGATGTCGTCCCTGCATGGGCAACTCCGGCACCATCAAATGACAGGATCAGGAAGGTTGCCATCGAACTTCCTGGCTGGTAGGCTCACACCCGGCCCGATCCAGTTTCCCTTCCAGCGGACATGGGCCTGTCCTAGACTTGAGCCCATACCGCCAACCTCACGTAGACTGTCAGCCAGCGTACCTACCAACACTCTGAAGACTATGTGATACTGGAACTAGATGCTCCCCCCCTCCAGCCTTACTCTGCGGCTCTGTAGCTCTATGGAGGCGAGCTTACACTACTACCAGATGAACGAGGGTGTCCAGGTCAAGTATGCTACGGTAGTAATCAAGCCATAACAGGGCTTGTGACTGCGGGATCTCCGCGTCGTCGGAGCTTTCGGCAGCTAACCCATGCCCACCTAAGGTAAGGTAAGGTAGGTACCTAGGTAGCTCTCCTCTTTGCCAATCCGCGCGCCAAGAGCAGAGCAGAGCCGCGCCCAGTATTCTGCCCCACACATCCTACCCATCCTACGTGCAATACCTGGTTCCTTACCTACCATGTAACAGGGGATATTAGACAACAGGTCAGGGAGACGGATGGTGCCGCGTTGTGGACGAAATCGGTTGCACCGCGCAGTCCCGTTGTTGTGGCAACGGCCCTTTTGTTGATATCGTCACCCATGAAGTCAATGTGGCTCGTTAGCTTGAGGATACACGAGCAGCGGGATGATCACGGGTTTTGGTCCCAATGATGGATTTGGCCCGTCCTTGGCGAGTCTGGGGTTGTATTGGTTCAACGACCCTTGGGGGGCCCTTCTTGGGGGTCTACTTTTCATGAGTCTGGACGATATCTCTGGCGACGCTCCTTGTGCGTCTAAGTAAAGAAATGCGTGGAAGAGGAATTGGACCGGACAGGAAGAAGAAAAGAAGATTTATGACAAGGACGATGGAAAGGTAAAGGGAAGAAGAGAAAACAAGACAAAAGCCTGCCCATATCAATGATGAAGAGGAAACATGAGTATAAACCACAGGTGCTTAGCTATATCAACCGCATGCAAGCGGGTTTGTAATACAATGTCCACGTCGGAATGGTGATCACGGAGGCAGAGTAACAGGTACTCCGTAGACAACATCTTACAGTCGGCCCTGGTCTGAAAGGAATGGCCCCCCCTACCCATAACCAACACAACGTCACGTTCAGCCTACTTAGGCCATTGTTCTTCATTAGAGGTGCTAAGGAAATATATGATGATTTTGATCAGAGAGTTTTGATTAGGTATCCAAGGCTATACAAAGTAATGTCCGATTCAAGTAACTACCTTACCAACATTGTAACATGGGCCGTGACATTACACGGTATGTTAAACATGGCTCCACGGACACAATTCGGTGACAATTGGATGCTGTTGATCACCTGTTTCAGTAGGTATTGTGACCTTGTGTGGAGTCATAACTGGAGAATGTTGTTTATCCCCCTCCCCTTTTATGGAAACCTCCGTTCCTATGCGGCGTTGGGGCCGGCCCAGCTCTCGTGACATGGCCCGGATTTTCCTGTGTTGCCTAGCGAACTGCCTTCTACATACAGGAACAAAGAATGGAGTCTCGGGGTTCCATGCCACATTGCATGTTGAAAAACTCGTCTTTGGTCGAGTTCCAGTCCGCAGGATGAGGTTGTGCGCGTCATCGCTGTCGGCCTCGGACTGCACCTGCCGCAGCATAGCATGTTGAAACTCGTCCGTTAGTTAAGGAATCAGTCCGCAGGTTGCGCAGGCGGCAGGATGAGGATGTGGATGTGTCATCTCGCAGGCCGCATGTGACTCTCGCAGTGATGTCCGTTGCCCGTTTCTTTCATAAGATTCTCTTCAGCTCGACGGGTATAAAGTCGAGCATCTTCCCAAGCATAAACTCGAGAAATCGTTTCCTTCGACAGACACTCACAACACCCACACAATCACTCAGTTCCATTCAAGGAAAACGATCACAGTACAAAATCTTCAAGTCCATTTCTCACACCTCGCAAATTCCTTCGATAACCCCAAAAACGCAAACAAAATGCCGGACAACAAGGAGCAAGCCAAGAAGAACAAGGAGACTGCTCCCGCGCTCTATGACTTGGCAAAGAAGGCTCCGGCTCCCAAGTGCACCGGGCGAGGAGTGCGGTCGCCGGAGGCACGGGGAGGACGTCGGGGGAGGCGTTGGCTAGGTTGGCCTATCTCTGAGGTTAAAAATGCCCTGACCTTGAAGGTAGGTAAGAATTATAATAGGTACGTACCCTATGCCTCTGGGCGCGCTCTTGGCGCGCCCGTCGACTCGAGCGACTACGGCGGCGAATGCCGCCGCCTCCATCACCACCATCACCTCGGCCACCACGACCGCCACAACTGCCACTGCCACCGGAACCAGCTTCGTAGTAGTTGCGAATGTGCACATTGACGACACGACCTTCTAAATATATAGTCGTTAGCTTAATAGCTATAATCTAATAGTAGTAAATAGAAAGCTACTTACGAAGCGCATCTTGGTCGTGCTGCTGCTATTACTACTGTTGGTATTGTTATTGTTGGTGTCGGTGTTGTTGTTGCTGTTGTTATTGCTGCTGCTGATGCTGCTGTCGTTGTTGTCGTTCCTTGTCGTACTGATATATAAACAATCACTGAGAGAAGAAGGAAAATGGTACGATGCGAAGAAATATCGTACGGGAGAAAAGGACGATGACTTGGATGACTTGATTGATGGTATGATTGATGAATTGATTGATCGAGCAAAGACTAGGGCCCAGGCCCAACAAGTGATGATGCTCTTGTTCTACCTTAGGTCGGTTGGTTGATGGATGTTCCGCTCCAAAGCCAGAAGAAGTTCCAGGACCACAAGAAAACCCAGTAACCCACCCCAGTAGGTGGCACCTTCCAACCAACGGGGCCCAACCGCAGAGTGGTCATGCTCGCTCCTTCCTATCCCGTCTGCTCCTGCCTAGAGTGCTTCTTCCTAGAGCACCTTAAAGTAACGGGTCCAGGCTTGAGTTGTCTGTCTGCTATCGAATCCTCCCAGGCCTCGGGAGACTTCGTCGTTTACATTATACTGTAGTAGACTCTACTGCACGGGATATCCAGTGGCTTATTATCGTCATACCCAGTTGTTTATTGATACTAGTGAGAATATTACGATGTCTGCCTCTCGCTCCCTTGCCCCTGAGGGATCTACCTCGAGCCTTGATGGCTCTTCTGTCAGTGGGTGTAGCAGCAGCGTTGTTTATGCATCAACACGGCAGGACTCCGTCTCCCGATACTAGTATACTCCCCGGCCAGCAGCAGCAGAAACCACAACAACAACAATAACAACAACAGCATCAACAACAGCGGCAGCAACAGCGGCAGCAACAGCTGTACAAGCAGGCCGACGTTCGTATGTACCTGTCGATTTACTCCATTAGGTTAATGGTTGTTCAGCATTGAGCTAACGATTAGATGTTGAGGTTTTGTGTGTCTTGGGCTCGACCCCGACAGCCAAACTGACTGACTGACGTCGGGTTACCTGGTGGGGCTCGGGGCGATAAGATCGATCAGATATTAGAGGCTGAACTGCGCGCTTGCAGAGCCTATCATCGTCTCAGCCTCTTGGCGGAGATTCACGGAGGAACCCGAGTTCCCATCACTTCCCGTTGCCCAGACTTCGCGCAGTCCTCGTGACCTCGCGGTCCGTCCAAGGACGAGATTGTGCCAGGCAAAACGCGCCGATGAGCCCGAAAGATGCGGCGACGTTTAGACGAGACGACAGGGCAACAAAGGGGTTGGCAGCTCAGCGGGGCTGTTTACATGGTGCCTGTTTAAGAAATGATGTGTGTCACCACGACGAAAAGTCAGGTCGGAACGGAATAGGTATGAAAGACCGGCGGCGATGAGGATGGGATTTTCGAGTTTCGGGTGCCCACCGAGAATTTCCCAGGGCAGTTCAGACGGAAGGGGGTCTGGGCGGTCGATGGCTAGCTTGGCAACTCGGTTACCATGCTCGATGACGTAGCCGGCCGTCTTGTTCCAAGGCGCTGCGACGCGCTTGGCTTGGGCGTCCAGTAGCCTGGGGCTCGCGGATCGTCAGTTCCGTGCCGCACCCCGTCACGATTCAGTCGAGGCAATTTGCCCCAATCCAAGGGGGAGGGGGAATTTCGTCTCGCTGCCACGCTCTTTCCGGTTCTGTGGTTTTCCGAGAGGAAAATGCGATCCTGGCGTTTCTCTCGAAGCACACCCGACCTCCGATCCCTGCGGTCCGGAAATCTAGACACGCGCTGCTCCCTCGTCCCTCTTGGTGATACCACCCGGACTGCCAAATTGGAACCGGCCGATTCCCGGCTTCTGCATCGTTCTTGCATCGCCCCCACTGGGCCTGCCCTGGCCTGCCCTGGCCTTCCTAGTGTCCCACACCCTGCAGCGACCATCAACGACGGCCTGGAGAGGCTCAGCTGGCTGCGTTCCCCATCCGCTTTCCGCTTTCCGAGGTGAGGAAGGTTTAACGGAGAATACGCTGATCATCCCCTGACCTCTTGCACCTTGGCCAACTACTAGGGGGTCATGATCGTGAGCAGACGAAGCATCTCAGCACGCCCCTTCCTCCCTCCCGTCCCCGTGTCAGCACGTGTCCGTGTGAACAGCTGGCTGCCAACAACAGTCTGAAAGCCGCGCGGCCGGCTGCATCACGCCGCCTCCGCAAGAAGATGAGCGGCCTTCCCACGGCGCCGACGAAGCAGCCCTCGCAACCGCCCCAGGGAACCTCGAGCCATGGCAGCCCGCCCTCGCTTCCGCCGGGAACGAGCCCTAGAAAGGAGAGGGGAGCAATAGCAGCTCAGGTTCGTCCAGAAGCCAACAAACATCTTCGGCGCTCACCATCTGACCAAACATGCCAGGCCTGCGACACTTGCCGAAGCCGCAAGCAGAGATGCGACGAACAACGGCCCAAGTGTGGCACATGCCAGAAGTTCCGGCTCGAATGCAACTACCGGGAGCCCCAACCGACAAAGTACGTGACCACATACTCACATACTCACGTGTAGGCCGTGCCGTGTCTTGTCTGGTTCGGTCCTTCTGACGCAGTCACAGGAAAGACAAGACGCTGGTGGAGATACTCGATCGGATCAAGACTCTGGAGGGCAAGATCGACAGCTTCAGCCAGCGGTCGCACATCATGCCGTCGACAGCGGCGTATTCGTTGCAGCCCAGCTCGCTGCCTTCCCCGGTGCCCACCGCTGAGGGGACTGCTGGCCCGTCGGTGCGTGCCGCCTCGCCCTTCAATTTCTCCGAAACCTCCACCGCCACGGCCAGAGGAGGCAATCACTACCAATACGTGTCTTCGGTGCACGAGATGCTGGGCTGGCCGGCGATACAGCAGCTGTTCGCCTCGGTACAGCCCAAGGTCTCCAGAATTGACCTGTCTTCCTTTGAAAGGGAGGGAGCGCCGAGCGTACTCGCTCGACATTCGACCCCTCCAGAGCTGCCCAACGACACGGGTGCTGCCCTCGGGGGAGGCCCTCCCATCGGCATCCACAACGCAGTGTCAGGCCGGCCCCCTATTACCGGTTCGGATTTGGGCTGGGAGACCATGCTGTCGCTGAGCAAGGCTTACTTTGACAGCTTCAACCTCCTTTGTCCCATTCTCAACCGCCAGGCCTTCATGTCCGACACGCTGCCCGCCGTGTTCAGCAACGGTTTCAGCGATGACATGGCGTCAACCATCGCACTTCTCGTCCTCGCGTTGGGAGAGGTCGCCATCGCAGATTCTACCGGTATTCCGGTCCATGTCTACAACGGCCGGGCGAGCGGTATAAAAGGCGGGACCAAGGACCGGCCGCCGGGCTTGGAACTCTTCAACGAGGCGAGGCGGCGCATGGGCCTCCATCTGACGGAGTGCAGCCTCGAGTGCTCCCAGATGTTTGAGCTCGCAAGGTAGGATCCATCTCCCGGCGAGGCAGGGCGCAGCCGTTCCTTTGCTAACCGGATCACACAGTATCTATTGCGGAACCTGCTTCCGCCCCCTGGACTTCTGGCGGATGACCACATTCGCGTCTATCGCCTGCCAAATGTTCATCAGGAGGTACGACAAAGCCGCGACGCTGCCCTCTCTTCGAAACTAACGGTTGACAGCCACCCTGGCCTGCTGTCTTCGGCACAGGCAGATTTGACGCGGAGAGTGTTTTGGCACATCTCCATTATGGAAACGTAAGGATTCTCCCCCATCTAGGACATCGCTCCATCGGAGACACGGACGGTATCTGACGCATTCCCCCACCAGCGGGTTGAATCTCGAGCTCGGACTTCCGCTCACAGGGCTGGAGAAGATGGAGTCCATCGTTGGGCTCCCCGATTTCAGCAGCCCATTCTCGGAAGAAGACTACATCAGCAACCAGGAGTCGCATTTCCAAGAGCATTCCGCCTCGCAAATCGTCCTGAGACGGCTGCTGGTGAACTTTCACAGCGTCTTGAGCCAGGGTGCGTCCCCCCCCCCCTGATTTTTGCTTCCCTGAATATAACTGACCGCTGTTTCAGGTGCGACAGCATCCTCATCGCTCGGGGCAATGTCGACGCCGTTTAGCCCAACGACGACGACAATCGCAGGGGTCAACCAACTCACCATACACCAGCTCGCGGTGCAGCTAGAACAATGGCGCGGCATGCTCCCTGTCCACCTGCGGTGGGACGAGAGCTCGCCGGGGGCCTTTCCCAACACCAACGCAGACCCCTTCAACGCGGCGCTCTTCACCCCGGCGACCACACCAATTTCGCCCGCCATCTCAGCCACGGCACAACAATCAGCAGCCGTTCCGCCGACCGGCGTGACCGCGCCGCTCATGTTCACCACCGACCTCGACGCCCCGCCATCGCGATACCCGTACGTGCTCGACATCCAGGTCGCCCTCCTGCGCTCGCGGTACTACTACACCAAGTTCCTGATCCACCGCCCCTTTGTGTACAAGGCCCTGCACCACCCGGACGCCATGACGCACGACGACGCCGTCGGCGTGGCCGAGTGTCTCAAGGCGTGCCTGAAGTGGCCCGTCGCCATGTCGCCGACCTGCAAGAACAAGCGGCTCATCCCCTGCAGCTTCTTCTTCACGCGCAACTTTTTCGGCATCCTGGTGCTGCTGCACATGAGCACGACCGTGCCCATCCTCCGGCGCATCCGCAGCACGCTGTGTGGCGAGCGCTTCGAGCTGGACGCCAGCGAGACGGTCGGCCTCTACGTCGACTGGCTTAGGGACCTGAAGGAGGTGGATGCCGGCACCGTGTGGCAGTGGGAGATTATCCGGGCCGTGTATGGTCTGGAGGAATGAGACAACGAATAGTAGTACCTACTATGTTGCATTTTGGAACAGTAGACGAGGAGTCATTATAGTAATGCTATTAGGGGAGAGCAAGCATCGAATCGGAGCCATGGTTGCACTATGTTAGGTTAGAAGTCGGGAAAGGGGGAATGCGGGTTTGGTTGCATGGTACTACTAGCACAAGCAGTTCTGGTTGTTGGTTGGTTGGTTGGTTGACAAGGAATAACTACCTACGGATTCCCACTGTTGATACATGATATCTGGCGTCTGCCTCTTTTCACCAAACATCTTCGTCGTGATGACGTTTCTAGAAGCAGGGTCCCCCCAAATTCTATCTAAGGTAGGAGGCTTCGAGAACAGCAAGCCACTTTGCCCCCCATATCGGATGACCTATACGTCCGGAAGTACAATACATACAGTGAGAGCGCATAGCAATATATGATCAGCACGGTTGTGTGAACTGCAGTGGCAGGCAGTTACCTAGGTAGTTACTAGTATTGTCCGTTCAATAGTAGGTTAGTAGTAGGTACTACTAGTAGTCTGTCTATTTTATGCGACTCTTGTCTTCGTTCATACATCCATAAATCCGGACTAATGCTGATGCATGCCTATCCCTATCGTAACGCCATAACAAACCGGTCATGCCTCTCTAAATGGCCATGCATGATCATCCAGAATCAGAAAACAGGAAACAAAACAAGCAAAGCTTCCAAAAACATCCTTAGCCCATTTAGTTTAACTTCGCGAGATATCCAACGACCCCCCAGACTTTTCATCCAGTCGCGACGCACCAGGCGCGCTCGTCGTCGTCTTCTTTTTCTCCTCGTGATCCCCCTTTCCTGCGGTGGTGGTGCTGGGACTTGTGCTCCCGCTCCCGCTGCCGCTGCCGTTACTATTCGGCACCAGCAGGCCGACGTCGGTCGTGTTGCGGAAGTACTCGGTAACCCGGTCGTTCCACTCCTCATCGTCGATGCCCTCGGGGCCCAGGGCCTCGCCGCAGACCTCGTTCTGGCGGCGGAGGCGCTCCTTGCCGGCCCACTCCTCGCGCATGTCCTCGATCTTGAGCTTGATGTCGAGCTCCGGGTCGTAGTTCTTGCCGACGCCCGTGATGCGCTCCCACAGCGAGAGGTGCTTCGGGTGGATGGCGATGCCGTGGTACTCGCTGCCGCGCCCCGCACGGATGTAGGTCCAGCGGCGCTCCTGTTCCTTGAGGTCCAGGCCCGTCGTGTCCGGCAGGAAGAGCCACGTCAGCAGCATGCCAGCGAGGCCGAACCAGGGCACGACGTAGAACTTGGTCTGCGTGTCGATGAAGTTGTACAGCACCGACGCCAGCAGGGCGCCCGACTTGCCGATGCAGGCCGAGAAGCCGTGCGCCGAGGCCCGGATCGGGGTCGGGAACACCTCGCCGGCGACCAGGAAGGTCACGCTGTTGGGGCCGAACTGGTTGAAGAAGCTCGAGAGGAAGTACATGGCCTGGAAGGCCTTGATGCCGGCGGGCGACGTGTAGTATTCGTAGTTGAAGGCCGGCACGACGAACATGATGAAGCACATCAGGAAGCCGACCTGCTGCATCATCTTGCGGCCGTAGAACTTGTTGTCGATCAGCAGCGAGGCGAGATAGTAGCCGGCAAGCGAGATGATGACGTTGTACAGGTTCCAGATCCAGCCGGTCATGACCGAGGACGGGTTGTTACTGATGACGGCGATGAACTGCGCCTGGAAGAGCTTGTTGCCGTAGAAGAAGACGTCGTTGCAGAACCAGGTGCCGGCCGTGGCCAGAAGGCGGCCTCCGAAGAAGGTGCAGGCCAGGCGGAGGGAGTCCACGTCATAGCCCGTGACGTTGTTCTTCTTCTTGGCCGCGGCGAGCTGGCGGCTGGCGTGCGGCATCTTGTAGGCGCGGTAATAGACGAGCCAGAGGGTCCCGATGGCGGGGATGGCGAACGACAAGCGCCAGATCCACTGCACGGTTGTCTGGCCGTACGGAGGGTCCCCGTCGCCGTGGTGGAGGATCAACAGCAGGAGGATGAGAATGGCCTGGTTGATGAGCTGGCCCCAGCCCTGCATCAGGAAGGCCATGGTGACCTTCCGGCCACGGTGCAAGCGGTCCTCGCGGGTCGAGAGCTTCCCGGCCGAGACAGCGTTCTCCATGGATGATGTCGCCGTGATCGGGTATTCTCCACCGACGCCGAAGCCTGTAGAAAAACAGATCAGTAACATGTCCAGGCCAACACGCGGATTGGCTTGTGCTGACTCCCGAGAGTCGTCGACGTACCGTAGAAGAACAGAGACCAGGCGTAGCAGATGACCCAGCCGTTCAGATTCAGGCCCCAGCTAGCCGTGATCATGAGCAACCCGACAAACATGATGGCAGCATCCTGGATCAAGCCCCAGCGGCGGCCAATCCAGTCTCCGATGACGCCCACAGCCATCTGGCCGACCATGATACCGATGACCTCCAGGTACGTGACCGACGCGACCCAGTTGGCGCTGCATTCCGTCGGGTGCTTCCCCCAGCAGGACGGCCAGGCCGACTTGAACAGAGGCTCGAGGTTGCCGATGCTGAAGAGCACGTAGCCTTCCAGACCGAGGCCGGCGCCCGGAAGCACGGCGTTGCGGAAGTACCAGGAGACGGGACTGAGGGGGTCGGCCTTGATCATGCTGCCAATGGTGCGCAGCTCCTTCTTCGCCTCCTCGTTCTGAACCTTGTTGACGAAGGCGATGCGTTTCCTCAACGGAAGGTCGGCCCAGTACACGCCATCCTCGGTGTAGCAGTCGTCCGGGTGGGTCAAGTAGCCGAAGATGTCACGCTCCTGGTCCGAGGCGCCGGGCCTGGCTGGGTAGTGCTCATGTTCTGCGCCTGTGACGGGGCCGTGCGGGACCGGTATCTCGCCCAAGGGGGGATCGTGGCGGTGGTGATGCCGAAGGAGGCCGGCCATTGCCTGGTTCGCCGAGTAATCCCGGCACAGAGAGGCGAGATCTCACGCTGTTTATTTACTGTGTTGACGTTTGGAAGGGTTTTGATGTTGTGGGGCGGCCAATTGCTGTGTGGAATTGCAAACCGAGGTAGGAAGAGGAATGTTTAACGACAGCACAAACAGCAGTTGATGAGCTGAGGATGGAGGTCGAAGGCACGACGAGGGGAGCGGTACGTGCAGCGTGGTGTGAAGTGTGTAGAAAAACGAAGAAGGGAGTTTGAGAGACGAGAATGGGCCCGAGTGTGGCCCGTTTATACCGTCAACTGTGGGAGTCTGGTGTGGACTGCTGTGGTGGAGATGCATGGGCCCTGGGGGGCACCAGATGGGACGAGACTTTGGAAGTCGGAAAGGGACTTCGTACCTGCCCAGCCCGGAGCCCATTGCCACCCACATACAGTACCTTTAGGTATATCGCATAGGTACTAGCGTCCATGATGATTTTTGGATATTTCCAACCCCCATGCCCTTGCAGGACTCGGACTGTGACACGGTTCTCTGTGTCCCAAGAGAAGGCGTGTTTCTCAGCATCTCCAGTCGTGCAGTTCTGTCGTTGCCACAAGGGCATCGATTCTGCCCTGCTGTGGCCCAAAAGGGTAACCCGGCAACACATTCACTCGCCCATGATGACGTCCACAGTACCGTACGTAGACTCATCAGCACCTCACAGGCACCGAGACCGTTCTGTCTCTGTTGGGTGTGCGAAGTATCCAGTTCCTTGGCGTCGCTGTTCGCGGGGCAGTGTGATGGGTCTTTTGATGGAACCTTCAAATGCGGACCGACCTTGGATCCATCGGCAAACCGCACTTCACCGCCTTCCTATCCGCCCGCTCCGTTGGACCCTGCAACACTTCACTTGACGCCGCAACTTCCTTCTAAACTTTCTGGAAAGGATAAACTACGCAATTGAAATGCTTGATCTGCGGATGACGGGCACCACACACATCAAGCATTTCCAAGCTTCCTTGGCTGTCTTGGGCTGTGACGACTGCCAAGATCAAGTACCATGATGTTACTCCGTACCGAGTTAAAAATCTGGCAGAATTGGTGTGCGCTCTTTGGGTGGATAACGTCAAGCGATGTGTGACCCCCGCCCATGCCATCGCCATCTGCGGCCCCTGGATGGTGGTACGTAGCAAGCGCAGATCCCCGTTCATTGCCGTGCACCGAGCTGAATTGGCCAATCAGCAGCGCCAACGCCCACACGTGTCCGGACGATTGGATCTGGGGAATCTCCAAAATGGCGAGGGGGCAGAATCTTGAAGAGAAAGTGGCCAAACCACCGCCCCACGCGTCTGCTCTGGAGATGTGGTTGATTGGTCCTAAAATTCAGCACCGCGAAAACGAGGCTACACTACACGGCCAAGCAGCGCTCCGCAAAGTGCCCGCAGCTACCGGTCTGCTTGGCCGCTTGGCGAGCCGACGTCGTCTGCAAGTGTCGCGTGCCTCCCTTCCTCTTTGGCCATGATTTTGAATCCAGCGACGGCAGAAATCGAGTGATTTATATTGAGAGCGGTATCCTCGCATGTACCACCCACGCGACAAGCAAACTGCCATCTCTTATTGTGTGAACTGCGGCACACATGGTCTCGAATACCTACAGTAGTTGAAGAGGGCCAGGCTAGGTCTGGACGTCCGCCAGCTCCGAGGGTGTGCATAGCTACTTATTAATACTCCGTAATAGTTAAGGGAAATGGAGAGGCGATTGTCGATTTTTCGTTGCCCCATCTCCACCTATTCCACTCCTCTCGCCTCCAGGGTAACATGATGCGTCCTTTTTGTTGGTTCTCTTTCTCGTGTAAATTGAAACCCCGCATCTCGCGGGCTACTGAAACTAGCAGATCCCGGAAATGGAAGTGGTCTCGTCTCGGTGACGGTACTAATGGGCAGCCCGGACCGCGGGGGATGAACACGCCAGCTTGGTGTTGCGATACTCCGTACAACATTCAATTTTGGTTTACCTCGGGTACAGTTTCTTCAGGGAGGCCAGGCCGCCAGGACCCTGAAGTTTCTATGGGCCCGTGGGGGTCACTCAGGGTGTACAGATTACACACTTCGCACCTAATCTCATTCGTCCAAGTGAATACCCTTTCTACTGTATCATGTATCACATAACGACCAAGCAGGTTCGGACGCCGCTAATCAGATCCACTCGCTGAGCTCTCCTTCAATTAGGGACTAGCAACTACTAGGTGTCATTGGTCTCCGGATGGATATTTCCTTTTCCACCGTTGCCTACCCGCATGGATAATATTCTTCGACACCTAAGCTCCAAGGCAAGCAAGATGAACCAGAGAGAGCAACATCACATTGCGAGGTAAAAGATTGCACCCCCTAGCCGCTCAGTATTTGTAACTACTGTTGCCGCATGGGGTCGCTCATGAACTATCCGAATGTGTCGTAGAAGGTCGAATTCCTGACGCGCCCGCGAACTTCCATTTCTCCAAAGCGCGCCTACATAACACCGAACCGACAAAAAAGGTACAGCAGAGAAGGAGAACTAGCGCAGAGGACCCAAGTAACCAAGCAGAAGCGAGCCAATGAAGTCAACAGACAACCAACCCTTCCTCCTCGCCCCCCGAAAGCCAACCGTGCTTGGTTCGGATTGGATGCAGCCATGCGTAACGCCTCTAACCTTGATTTGATGCCTCTGCTTTACGCCTTCTCATGTTTGTCCAGCCAGCTCCTCCATTGCTCAACCGGACTCCCTGAACAGATGACAAAAGGAAAGGACCGTGTCGGCGACCGAGGTGGTGCAATCTAGGCACATTAGCCCCCTCTTTGCCTGGCCCAGGAACGCCGCGCTTCTGGACCGGTGAAAGGAGAAAACGCAAAGAAAATCAAATGTGAAACAGACGCAAGGAAATACTAGGCGTGATCGCATGATATAGCATGCCGTGGCTCAGAATAGCCTTTTTTGCCCGACAGGATTTGAGTCAAGTGCTGTACGCAAGGCGTCGTAGATGGCTGATGATGGGTTAGATCCCTCCGGGGAGTGGCGACATCGTATCGTCTCTATCGGCAGTCCTCGCAGGCGGCCGTCTTGGGGTTGGGTCTTCATCCTCGATTGGGTTCCGCCCGAGAGACGAACTCGGCCGTGGTGTTTCGTCGACATCGACATCGACATCGGGCGGTGCTCCTGGCTCGAGTTCGGGCGGAGTGCGCACGACAGGAGCAGCTTGACCTTGCTTTTCGGCCACAGTATGCGGCGCCGGCGTCACCGGCTGCGTCACCAGGTGAACCATGGGGTCCGGCTCGGGGAAGGCCAGCTGCACCTCCTGATTCGGAGTGACTACCTGAGTTGCCGGCTCCACGGTACTGGCACATTCGGACCCAGTGAGCAAACTGTCATGGCTATTCGCACGCATCATTTCAATCCCAAGCTTGGACGACGGCAGGACCGACTTGCTGCGATATTGTTGGCCCGACGGAGAACCAGGGTTGCTGCCACTAGCACTGCCACTGCCACTGCCACTGCTGCCGCTGCCGCTGCCGCTGCCGCTGCCGCTGCCTGTCTGGGCGGGTGCCGCGCCGAGACCGAGCTCATCATCCTCGTCGTCGGCCGAATCGACGCTGCCTTCGTACCTGCGTTTCTCGATCGATTCGCGCTTCGCCTTCAGCTTCTCGAGTGATCGCTGTGGCACGGGTCCTTTCGCTCGAAGAGGTGAGGAATCAATCTGCGGCGGGGCGGATCGCTGCGTGATAAGACGAGGCTGGAGGGGAGAGCCCAGCGGGTTGTTAGACCCTAGGAGAACCTGATCCTCGGGCCCCGAGATGCAGAGCCCACCCTCGTCCCAGTCGCCTGTGGCTTTGCGACTGATGAGGACGGGAATGTCGTCGGTGGCAACGGATTCGGAGTCCCCGAAAAGACTTGAACTGATGGAGTCCTCGCGGAAGCTACTCCCAGATCGCATTGCGTATCCGGACGAAGCTGAGGTCGGGCTATCCTCGAGACGCAGACTCTCCGTTCGCAGGCCAGACGGGACAGGGTGTGGCAGCAGCGCCAGGGAGAGCGAGTTGGCCTGCCCTGGGGATGGGGCCTTCCAATGGCAGAGCGTGCTTAACACCTCCGTGAGCTTCGACGAGCTGATGGGCTTCTCGACGAGAGAATCGAAGTATTGAGGCGCAGGCAGCTCCTTCAGGTAAGACGTGATGGCGACCAACGGGGTGTGCATGTTGATATGTTTAGTATCGCGGATCATACGCGCGACATCGGACCCGGAGAGCTTTGGGAGCCTAAACTCCAGGAACATGATGTCGAACTTGATGTCGCTCATGGCATACCGGATCGCTTCGCTGCCCGTCGCCGCCGAGATGGTGCGACATCGCAATTTTTCGAGCAACTTCTCCATTACCATCCGCGAGACCGGATGGTCATCGCAGATGAGCACATATAGAGGGCGGAAGACGGGGCCGTCTGCTGCGATATACGACATGCGTCTTGCGCTTTGCCGGCGTCGTTGAACTCTGAGCAGCGCGTTGGCCTTGTCAGCCTCATTGTCGGAAGATGACGGTGACATATCGAAGACCTGGCTACGGCGATTCCTATGGTGAGCTGCCAGCATCTCCGTTGTTACCGGGCTCCCATCTTGCGAGCCAACCGTGAGCGAACGAGAGCGCCCGCCGGATGAGGTGCTGCCGTGTCGCGGCGTAGACACCACATGGTTTGTCACGGGCTTTTGCGGCGACGACAGCGGCAATGAGGCAGGAACACCTCCCCTGCATTTGGCAGATGATGGGTTGGCGGCAATCGTGGTAGCCGCTTTCTGCAGACTGGGCGGGACGCGCGGCATCTCGAAGAAGCTCCCCGGCTGTAACGAGTTCCCAGAAGGCTGGGAAATGCTCGAGGAGGTGCTTGACGTCTTCCGTCTGCTATCGGGACCCGGGCCAGCGACGAAGGAAACCAGCAAAGGAGACGACGGCTGCGAGGCGCGATTGGGAGACGAGTTGGCGTGACTTACGCCAGATGGGGACTGCGGTCTGTGGGATGCCTTGGCGTTTGACAGCGTTCTCTGAACAGGGTTTGCGATAGCGGGGCTGCCCTCGAGAGATCCCGCCGGGGATGTCAAACTGGCCAAGCCGCTGGGGCTGATGGGCTTGCTCTGGGCTGCCATCGCTTCGGCCCGAAGCTTCTGAATCACATCCTTATTCGCCTTTTCGAGGACGGGCAGGTTCTTGAACGAGAAGTTGCCAAAGTCATCACCAGCCACCGGCTCGCTCAAGCGTCTGCTCTTCAGGTCTCGAACATGCGGGGGGATGTGCAACGGCATAAGGCCGCGCTTCATCGAGTTGACCTGGGCCCTGACACGGGACAGGGCGTCGTGCGGGCGGTCGGGGTAGTCGGCAGTTGGTGCAGACGCGGGTGGCGAGTGCTGATCTTCCATCTCCTCGGCGAAGGATTGCAGTGTGGCTCCACGAGCGTCGAAATACTCGGTATCCTCAGGATTCTCGGGTTGCGGGACAAACTGGGCCTCGTCCTGGAGCAGCGTGTCCCAGTTCAGATCTTTAAACCAGGGGTGGCTGCGAATCTCCTCGCCCCCGGACTGGAACTTCTCTTCGCGGTTCGCGCCCAAGCGTTGGTGAGGATCTGAGCAGAGTAGCTTATTGATAAGGTCCTTGGCTTCCGGCGAAACCTCGTCCTCGCCCTCTTCCGGCCAATGAATTCTGCGTGCCAAGATGTTCTCGAAGACCTGGTCTGGCTCGCTGGCGTGGAATGGAGGGATGCCGTAGAGGAACTCGAACATGATACACCCAACAGACCACCAATCGCTCGTCTCGTCTTGCGGTTCGCCCTTGATCGTCTCCGGCGCGAGGTAGTCGGGCGTGCCCACAAACCGACGGTCCTTGTCTTCCGGATCGAAGAGCGCCCAGTTCGGCGGGGGCATGGCTGGCTGTGGAGGTGTTCCTTTGGACTCGGTACTATTCTGGGTAGTCGTGTGGGAAAGTGAAACCAGATCCGGGGACCCAGTACCCTCAGCCTCGCTGCCCTCAGCGGGAGACAGAATAGCCTGCGAATTGTTTGTCAGGGGATCATTCAGGGACAATCCCCCAAGCATCCGCACTAAGGTCTCGCTGCCGCCACTATCGCTGCGTTGGTTCGAAATACGACGCGGCTCTTGTGAGAAGGCCCCCAGGCTGAAGTACGACGGCTGCCCTAAGCTGGTCGCATAATCGCTCGGCGTCATCTGCGGGGTGGAGCCTGGGGAGTGAGTGCGCCCGTGGAGATCAAGCGAGGTGGATCGGGACGAAGCCATCGAGGTAGATCGAGCGAATGGCCCTTGCTTAAGGAGGTCAGGCGCCGCATCGGCACCGCTAGTAAGAGCTCTCTTCTGCCGTCCGATCAATCCCATGCGTGATAGGCCGAAGTCCGTCAACTTCAAATGCCCTTTCTGGTCAATCAGCAGGTTGTCTGGCTTCAGGTCCCGGTGCACAATCCCGCGGCTATGCAGATGTTCGACACCAAGCACGACCTCTCCGAGGTACTTTTTGACCCAGTCCTCCGGCAGACCTCCCAGCACCTTGATGAGGGAGGCACAGTCTCCTCCGTTGAGATATTCCATCACCAAGTACAAGTAATCTTTGCTCGAGAAGGTCCAGTATAGCTTCGCCACGAAGTCGCTCTCGCCTTGCCACATCATGATAGCCCGCTCAGCCTTGACGTTGGTTACCTGGTTCTTGGCGACCATGTCTGCTTTCTTGAGAACCTTGATGGCGAAATACTCGCCTGTGGACTTCTTCTTGGACAGGTAGACGCTGCCAAAGGCGCCCTTGCTGATAGGCTTGATGATCTCGAAATCTTTGATCGACGGAGGGACCGCTTTGGCCTGGGGGCCACCAACAACAGCGCTTAGGCGGGGAGATGGCGGGGGTTTCGCCGGTCCCGGTCCCTCGCCGGGATTGGAAGACACTGCAGCCGACGACTGTCTCCGGTGGTGGTGATACGTGTGGGAAATGCTGGGGGACGTGAATTCGCTGCCCGGAAGCATCGGCGACGCTTCCGGCGACACCAGAGCATCAGAAGGCAGGAACGGCAGATTCCGTGGTTTGTTGATCCGGAGGGGCGAGGATGGCGGGTGTCCGCCTCTGGAGGGTGATTCTTGTCTGCGCGGCGACACGGCGCCCGGGAGAATCAGACTCCTGCGGTGGTGTTGCCGCGAGCTCGCCTGACGTCGGAGATCCCCGAACTCGGACATTGGAGAGTCGGTCCGCTGTGGTGCCCTGGACGCCACCGAGGAAGACCTGAGACTGCCGTCACTCTCCCCAGCGTCGCTTTCGAAGATCATAGACTCCCGTCGGGATTGGCTGGCGCCCGTTAGAGAGCCGAGAGGGCCACGGTTAGATCGGGGCGTCGGGCACTCCTTGGGGCTGCTTGACCTCGGAGAATGCAGCGGCATTGACAGCCGACGTTTGTCGGGATCTTCGTTGATATCTGCCTTTTGTAAAGCCAATGCTAAGGTGGAGGGAGCATCGAAAGATCCGGCGAAGATGCCTTCTTCGCCCACAGGTGGCGGGACTTTGAGCTCTTCCTCTTCATCATCGGTAGAATCACTGAGACGGCCAGCAGCAATCTTGGCAGCCTTGTGCATAGCAGCATCGATGCAGTCCTGAACCATGTAGGCAAACTCCACACGGATTCGCTCAGAATACTCGAGAATCCTGCGGTGGCGGAAGACAGCCTCGACCTTTTCCTTGGCCACTCTTTCGGTGTCGGCACATAGCAGCGCGAGACCTTGTTCCTGCTCCAGAGTATTTGTCCCCGGCGTCTCCCACTGCAGCACTTGGGCGATCCGGCCTTCGGACTGCGGTGACTGCGTGCGGAATTCACCAGGGGCCTGAGACGATTCTTTGATGGCAGGCGTACTGATCTCAATGGCCGTGTCACACAAGTCAAGCAGCAGTTCAACGATTCTAGCCTGCGGTCTGCGGACAGCAAACGACCTAGCCCGCGCGTGTCCGAACCCAGAGGAGCGTTCACGTGACCGACCAGGGGCTGTACCGGGTGCAGGAGACGAGTTCCCGGACGACGAGCTCGACGAGGTTGTTGGAGGACCAATTGGTAAGCCCTTGTACTCGGCGACAGGAAGGTTCATTGGAACCCCTCCCGCCAGTGACCGGCTGTGCCTTGCCTCGAGCGCATCCAGGACCTTGACAATGGCATGGCGATGCTCCGTTAGGGCCTCTTGAGACATCTGGACGTCCATTTCAGCGCGGTGTTCCTGTAGGCACAGCTCTGTATGCTTCTCGAACCACCACGGCGAGATCTGCCGCTCGCATATCCGGCAGAGAACGGGCAGCGGCGGAGGGTGTTGTGCTGGGTCATCCAGACCTGACTCTGCGAGCTGTGTGAGGTAGCTTGCAAGCACTTGCGCGCCCGACCCCAGCGAGTCAACAATGACCGCAGGCAGATCAATCTTGATTTCCCGCGGTGCAACCCATTGCCGTATCATCCACATGGTCTGGGGCTCCGGCATCAGCACCTGACGATTCGGGGAATGAGCTTTGGAAGACACTTACATGGCTTTCCCCTGCGGACGGACCGCTATAGACCATGATGCCTTGGGCCTCTAGGTCGATAACAACGGGTTGGGCAGTCCCTTCGAGATCCTTGACCATCTCCGGGGGGAGGAGCTTGGAGAGGGGACCTAGCTTGACGGCAAAGCGGATGAACTGACTTCGTCTATCATCCTGCGTCATGCCCTCAACGACTTCGGAGAAGATGTTGGGGTTGTCGCTGACGATGAGGTCGGCGATCCGGGTGCCCACAACCGAATCCGGCTGCGTTCCGATAACGTCGACCCAGGAAGGGCTGACCCATCTGATTGTCCCGTCATTGTTGAGATCTAGGATGACATTGAGCGTCTGCTCAGCGGCCTCACGTAGCTCCTCCCTCTCCTCTCGGATATCCTCGCTGAGGGAGCGCTCCATCGGACCAGCCCTGAGCGAGGCCACGGCCGGGGGAGCGAGTATCTGAGGCGTAGCAGCAGTTTCTTCCTCCATTGTGGCGTGTTAAATATCGCAGCAAGCGAAATTCCTCTTAACACCATTCGCAGAATACAAGGACGGCGGTGCCTTTATCGCGGCTCTCTCGGAACACGGAAGCTTTTTGACGAGACTCGTCCTCGCTGAGCGGGGTCGGGAAGCAATCTGGAGGTCCAGTTGGAACCGGCCAGCAGGGTTTCTGGCCAGAACGCCAGAAAGCTAGAGCACGGCACAGCCCTGAGACATAATGCAGTGCAATTGACGTGACTGCCTCGCTGTCGGTCTTCGAAGCGACGTTGCGTCTCGGTGGCTACGCGTGCATCGATGGCAGTGACGGGCCCTGTATGCCCTGGGTTGGGCGTTGCTCGCTTAGAGGAGCAAGAGTTCGCAATCAATCGCCCTCGAAAGTTGTCGGTCGCAAGTCGGTGGCTTCTTATGAGGCGACGAAGCCCGGTGTTTCTGTCGACGGTCAGAGCAACAAAAGGCGACGTTAGGGCTGCGGCTAGCCTGGAGACGGCAAATTCCGGGATAGTATGATGGGCAAGACGGGCACGGGAGGATGTGTCGGCGGGGCGCCTGGGGCCCGAGGCGGACGGATTGCCTTGCGGTACGGGTGTTGTCGTCGTCGAACTCGCTCGGGCGGGTTCTGTGGTTCTAGACGCCAACCTCGAAAGTTTAAGTGGGGATCTCTTTGTTTGGCTCCGCGCTGCTCAGTGCCAGCGAAGCGGGAGTTGCCCGTATTGTGGCAGCCGAGATCAGGCAGCCACCGGCATCGGCGACGTCGAAGAGTGAGTAAACGCTGAGATCCGGCTAGTCCCTATCTTTTTTTGGGGGGGTTTGGGAATTGATGTCAACAGAGACGATGGAAGGCCAACCGCTCTGGACTTGGCGTGAGAGCCGGGAGAGGAGGCGAACCCGACCGGTCCAATATTTGGTGACTGATGAGTGCACAGAAGCGAATCACACTGTGGTGGTGTCCCTCGAAATCGTGCGCGGCGCTCGCATTGTGGGGTACCGTTGAGAGCGGGGAGAGCTAACAGCTGGCCAATGACACTGAGGAGCGCTGCGGGTGCAAGGTTACCTTGGCTTTGGTGACGCTAATCCAGCTTGTGGCAAGCCGCTGTTCTGGAAGGAAAGTCGCGCGACTCTGCTGCGCTCACTTGCAACTTGGGCTTTCAGTAAGGTACCTGTAGGTTTCAAACTGTTATTCGAGTTGACCAAAGTCGACATAGATGGAAGAGTACCTACCTCACTCTCTTCACCGTAAGCTTAGGTCTAAAGAAGGAGAGGAAAACGTCGGGTTACCGATACCGTGCAAAATACCTACCTTACCTACGGTAGGTGGTGGGACGCTGAGACCCACTCATGAAATGCGTAACTTAATGCGTACGGTACCTATGACCGTGTCTGCTACAGTGCTACCTAATGCTTCCCTTAGCTCACCGTATCGTCCTTCCTCAATCTTTCAATTTTGCAACACGTACCTTGAGTAGGATCCTCCAAGATTTCAATCCCAACTACCCGTTATCCTCCTTTTATTCAGTAGAGCTGAACTACTACCAGCTAAAGTTTATGCTGCTTATTCAGTAGTTTTCGCTATGCCGATACACCGATCGTCAGTCGGCGTGACCTTTCCTAAATCCTCCCGCAGCGCCGCGGGGACGATTCATTCGTTGGCTGGCTTCTCCTGCATGACACCAGTCGCACGAGATGCCATATGACATCCGTACGGTCTAGGCCGAGTGCGGCCAGTCGCCACTGATCTGGCGACCTTCCAACTCGACAATTGTGCCAGGGATTGCCGCTGAGCGGGGGGGGGGGGGGGGGGGGGGGGGGGGGGGGGGAAAGAGGTCCTGGAGCAAATCGCGTGTCCTAAAGTCCAGCAGTTTACATCGAATATGTTCAAGTCGATTGTCTCCTTTCACAACAATGCTCATGCTGACTCGCATCTTAGATCGAGTCAATAGTGACTTCATACCTCTGACTCGTTGACAGATCTCGCCTCGATCTTTTTACCTAGGTATGGGGTTAGGGAGGATGGGGTTCAATGACCGACCGGTTAGGCCATCTCTGTGCTTTTCTTTCGAAGGTTTCACTGGATTCGTCGGAGATCACCAACAGTGGAAGGCCCTTCGGGGATGAAGCTCTGCCGGGTATCTGCTGCCTACACTGCTGTGGAAGCCGTGGTGGAAACCCGGATGATCAGAGACTCCAAATTATCTGCTGACAGAACAACAAGCTCAATGCAAGATGTAGAGAAGACCAGGGGTATCATTGGCCGAGCACAGCATCGCTACGCAGTAGGTAGTACGGACAGCACCAGAGAATTCCCGGGCTCAACCTGCATGTCGTAGGTAGGATTATCTACATGCCCCATAGCGTTCACCTCGGGATACCGTACTGTTTATTCTGCACGCCAAGTTCGTGCTGCAAGTGGTCCCAGCTAATGGCAACCAATTCAACCCAATAGGCCTCCGTTGCCACGGAGGGACGCACTGGACGTCGTTATCCTCGAAGTACAAGACGCATACAAATTACGAACATGCTCATCACGGTCTTCTAAAGGTTTCGTCACGCTTCTCGGCTCCTCCGTCCAAGCAGAGTGCGTGTCCTCGCCATCCCAAGCTAGTTCCACCACAATGTGCTATTTCCGTTGAGGTGAGCTCAATGTAACACCTGCTCCGACCTAACCATATACTGTGGTAGAGACGCACCCGCTCGCGGCGATAACCACAGCTGTGCTGATCGTGCTGGCACGCCAAGGTCACTGCCCCCTTTCCCCCCGGAAACTAACCGTCACCTGTTACTACTACAAATGAGTAGTGTGGTATATAGGCACCGGTAAGTATATTGCTGCTTAACCAAAGGCAGCTTAGTCCCTTTGTCTCATCTTGCAACTTCCCAGCGGCCCAGGACCCCAAAGTCATTGCATGTAACCCACCGTACCAGGAAGGAGGGTACGCACAGTATGTACACTCTAAACCGCTGAAGGTCTGGACTCGGCCATGTCAGTCGCTGCATCGCGATGTGGAGCGTGCGTCCAGTCAAACCCAGCCCTCTCGCAGGACGACTTCGCTGCGTAGACCATCCCCTGCTTGCACGACATGATCGGTATATTACCCCAAGGTAGAAGACGAAAAGTCCCTCCCCAATCTGACAGCGACGGTGTGTTTCCCGAACGAACCACCACCGCAACAATTCAGAGGGCTGCCGGCTTTAAACTGGGACGGTAGCGTTGTCCCACATAGCCCTCGGATCTCCATGGAGAGTCTATGACGAGGTCAAATATGCCTACATACACCCGACATTGTACTACATACTGCCGGGGCACTTTTCCTGCCAACGGTTCGAGGTTTCACCGCAACAAAGTGTGGGACCACTTACCACGTGAGGGGATGAAGCTCTCTCAGAAGAGTGGTTCGATCTCGATCGCAGGCTATGGTGCTCTGCGTCGACAATTGTACTACTAACTCTCGAGCGATCGTCTCCCCCGCCCTCCTCTCCGGTTACGAAGCGATCTGTCGACAGGCAACTCAGCAGTGTCTCCTTACAGACAGGTGGGACATATTGATCCCGTGATTAGAAACTACCACTCTGCTCGTCCCAGTCGTCATCTTACTGTCATATCTCTGCGTTTCCCATTTATCCCAAACACTATTTACCCAGGCACCTGTCGGAATCTTCAACACGCGACACGCACCCCGGAGACGTCGTTCCTGCTGTGCTAGTCTGTAGTTGACGAGAGGGCACCGGATGAGGGAAATCGTATGCTATTCGTGCACGCTACCTTACTGTCTAAGCCTTGATGAGTCCCCATTGACGAATAGACTGGACGCTCAGGAAACTCTCCTCCTTCAAGTGGGTCGGCATGGCTAGTAGGCGTTGAGCTAGTTCCCCGATAGGCTGACAGTTTCCGATCGATCAACTTCGTTGAACGGCCGATCCTCCTTCTCGACTGCTTCGATGCGGATGTCCTGGTTCGCCCGGCCGCCTTCCCCGCGCACGCTTGTACCCGTGAGCGGTGCGGGGAACACATACTGTGTAAGGAAGGTAAGGTATCTACAACGCCATGAGTCTATGATGCCATCCGATCAGCAGTAGCCCCCACGCTTCTAGTAACCGAGGAACGTACTTGCGATGATGGGACAGGAGCGGATTGAGGTGAGTGACGAGTAGAAGACGAACTAACGGCGGTGCCCAGTGACCTGACTATATGACTATGGTCAAGAGCAACACTTATTGACAATGTAGGTAACTCCTACACACGCTAGCCATTGTCAAGCTTCACTGTTGCTAGTGCGGCAGCTTCTGCGCAATGCATTACTTCACAACCATTCTAAACCGTCTTGACCTGGAAGTTAGAGCATAATCCAGATTGAACGCATTGGAGCAAGCAATCCGCACACACCGAAGCTCATAGATGAGGGAATGACAGAGGGACATGACTCGATGGCATCTGGCAGTACTTCAACAGGATTAAGGTCGAATCCTAATGGAGCTGGCGCAGATGGTGGAACTCTTTAAGTTATCTCTCGGCGTGCGGCATTCGAGGGTGAGGACGGTCAGGTCAGTATAGGTAAGGTATGTACTCGTCGTTGGCGGCTTGTCGCTTCCATGTCCCTTCGGACCTCGTGTCGGTCGATCCGCCTGTGCCGGGTGTGCCCTGCCCGGAGCCCGCGGCCATGTGGAGCCCTGGTGGAGGCGCGGAGCGGAGCTTGGCATCGGACTTAGCGCGCAACCGGGTAGTAAGGGATAGCCCGGTCCGGGAGAACGCTTGAAAAAGTGTGGAATATTAGACGCCTCGGAATAGTAACAAAGTAGGGTATTCGGCATGAGTCCAGACCAGGTAGTGAGAGACGTGTGCCTACTTCCGATCATAGCAATCGATAAGACGCTTTGACATTGAGGACGTTGAGGTCCCGAAGAGAAGAGAAAGGCGAGGCGAGGGTAGAGACATTGCCAATAGCTGACAAGACTCGGCGGCGAACAAAGACAGTAAGTACCCTATCTTGCTTTAGATTCCTGTTGATCAAACCGAGGTCCTTGGCCGCATGGATGCCGGTCGCGCTCACTTCCCGATTCGATGCTGTCTTAGTAAGAACCGGTCCGAAGAGAGGGAGTCACGCCGGAACGGTGAGAGCAAATCGGACAGGCCAGCATAGTGTGGTAAAAAGTGTCGAAGGCGGTTGGTTTTCTGATGACAGGAGTTGTTTAGTTAAAGTTAAGCTCACCGGCTTTCCAGCGATCTCCGACCTCTGAGCCTCTTGACATGCAAGGGCGTATTCGGCTCGTGCGTAGCGTATTTGGATCAGTGTGCACGGTGCACCTCTGCCTCTGTGGGGCACCAAACACCGTCACTTCAAGTCTCCAGTCAGGAAGTTGACGGCGGGCGTCTACGGATAGTTTCTGACCGAGTCCATAGTATATGATTCACAACTTACATTCTCCCCCGCCCGTCTTGCATACAAGCCAACACTAGCACAGGACGAAAGCTTTAACTCCGACCCTGCACGGTTCTTCGTTTCGACCGTGTCGGGGTTTCGAAAGTTCGAATACACCCAACAATGTTCCTGTCCTGTGGCGAAGCCCCTGCATGTCAGATTCAGCGCGGAGGGTTATATAAGGCCTTGTAGGAGGCAAGGCTCTTCACTCAACTCACCTTCACATCAACTAGGTCATTTCGGAGCTCTACTATTCGTGTCAAAGCTACGTGTTCTTGCCACGACGAGGGGTATCAGGGATTCTCGAAGGCAGCTCATCGCCAAGCTTGGCGCGTTACACCGGGACTGAAGCGATCATTCTCGTCCATCGTCAACCACTTTGCAAACGATTTTATCAATACATCTGATACCCGCATCACACGCTGCTCTGCGCAAACGGGTCCATGGTTTCTGGACCGTCACTTGAGCCACGCCCTATCCCGCGCCAAGCCATCGGTGCCGCTTGACTGCCTGAGCGGACCAGCCCTGTACTTATTACTATACACCACACACATCGCATTTGAAGGCTCCCCTCCTGTCGAGACCAACGCCGATTCCACCAGGTACGCGGCATACTCTCACTCTGTTTTCACATCTCAGAGCTCCTTTGGAAAGGGGTCATCCCCTTACCTGTCTCCTTACTCCGATCGTCACCAGGTTCACAGCACGCCAACCACAACCCGCAGCTTTCTGACATGAATATACGGCGCGCTCGTCATGATGACTGCTGACATAGGAATTGTAGCCGCTGCAGCCCATCACTCGTCGCCGGGCTACTCGCCTCCGCAGAGGACGACTTTCCCTTGTCGCTTTCCGTCCGAGCAGCCATGACGTCTCTCTCTCCTAGCCAACCCCCTCAACCAGGCTTTGGCGAAGGACCCTCCGGCCACGATGGGACGCCCTTGTCGACGTTAAACATCGATTTCATCAGAACCCTGGCGGGAAAGAGAGTAACAAGAGGTTGGTCCCAGCGCTTCTACCACACTTAGACAGCTGAGCCAACCTGGCCTTCCAACTGCAGACGGGCAACCACCGAAGCGGCGCGGTCCGAAGCCAGACAGCAGACCAGCCCTAACAAGGCGACAAGAGCTAAACCGGCAAGCTCAAAGGTGAGAAGCGCATGGGCTGTGGTGCCGTTTTCTTCCCAGCTAATCCGGTGCCGCAGAACCCACCGGGAGCGAAAAGAGCTCTACATCAAGGCTCTCGAAGACGAGGTGCTCCGCCTGAAGGAGATTTTCAGCAACATATCCAAAGACAAGGAGAAGCTAGCAGAGGAGAATAGGCAGCTCAAGGCCCTTCTGGTCCAAGATGGCTCGCGCATGGCAGCGTTGACAGGCGGCAGCAACGTGCTGGAGGACTCGATGAGCAATCTGAGCGTCGGGCACTCACCGAACACCAGTATGACGGGGAGCTACATGGCGGCATCCAGCAACACGAATGCGTTCAGCGCTCCGATTTCCGTAAGCAGCGGAGGCCGCAGCGATGAACTATCGCCGCGCAGCGCGATATACCCGTCCGGCTACCGCCATCTTTATCACCAACATTCCCAGCAAGAGCCACTAAGCACCAGCCTGGATGCCGGAGACCAGCCGAACGAGAATCCAGTTCTGGATTATGAACAAGCTGGCATTGACTTTGTTTTAACGTACGAAAGCCCTAAAATACCTGACCCATCCACGCACTTAAGTTGATACCCCGTCATGTTCACCTGGCCGCCCCACTGCACTCCCCATAGCACAAGGCGAGAGGGCGGATCTTTAATAAGATAGTTGTTGTAAAGAGCAACCAACGGGGGAAAAGCACGAGATGAGTGGTGTTCTATGGGGACCCGAGCCGATCATGTGCTCTCCCTGAAGGCGGATCAGTAAGATAAGGCGTGGCAACAACCCGATCAGCGAGCAAGCACAACGAGGAAATAGGAAAGCAAGGCTGATCAAATAACAAAAAACCTAGTCTCGAAAGACCGTGCATGAACCACCTGCCCTGGCTGCTGGAGCGCAGCGCCGAGAGCGGCAGCCACCATCCCTGCGGCCACGCCCTCATGGCGTCGTGCCCGCCCGAGCCCTTCTCCAAACTTCCGCCCGACATGCCCTTTGGCCACCACCGCCGCCAGACACACCACCACCACCATCATCACCACCATGATGCCCATATGCTCCACCATCACAGCCCCGGCAACGGCAACGGCAACGGCAGCGTTGGCAGGGGCCCCAATGGCACACCTGCAGAAATGGCCACCTGGACACTGACCAAGGCTGACCTGGCGACCCTGCTCGACTTGAGCAAGCGGCTGAACCTGGACGGCGAGATCACGCCTGTCATGGCCTGGGGGATGGTGCTGGCTCATCCGCGGGCGGGAGAGCTAAGCCTAGAGGATCTAGGGAGGCTGACGGAGGAGCTGAGTGGGAAAGTCCGATGTTACGGGTGAGTTTCTCCGTCCGTTTCTTCTTCCCGCTTTCTTCCTTTCTCTTCCTAGGCTTTTTTCTCTTCCTTTCCCCCCCCCCCCACCCCCTTCTTTTTTCTTTTTTTAGTGACTGACGAGATTTGTTCAGGTTCGGTGCGGTCTTGGAGGAGTTCGAGGTGCGGGATGCGCTGGAGAATGTGCTTTCCACTAAGCCGGAGTTTGGGACGCGGTACTAAGGCAAGAAGGTAGGTAGGAAATCTATCATTGCTTCTTTTTAGCTATAGCGGTTGTCGTGAGACCATACACGTTGGGCCGGCGGTATAGAGGGATCTAGAATAAACCATCCCGCTGTCTTTACGGGATCTACATACCCTCTATGTCACCGGTTACCTAACACGTTGGTCGATGGCTGATATAGGGTTGCTTCCACAAGTCATCAAGACACCTTCAGACTCGCAGAGAGACTGCGGACAGCTGGTTGGCCGTTCTACATACCGAAAAGAAGGCACAGTTCACCAACTCCTCCCCAGAAGCTTTACGCATCCAACGTCCCCGGTTCCGCGGGTTCGCAACCTAACACTAAGAGACCGACTACCCCAGATCCTCCCAACAGTGAACCTCGGCTCCTGTTTCCAGACGGCGCATACCTCTCGTATCTGCGTATCCCTTCCGTTGACCGAAAGCTATGGAACCTGAACTGTCGTCCAGCGTCATTCGTCTCACGCGAATTCGCACAATGGATTAAGAACAGGGGATAATGCCGATTGGCACGAGGACAAAGAAGATCCATTGCAATAGGCAATGAGCTGCCGAGGGCTGCGTGTCCGTACATCTACATTAGGATGACGCAAAGTAAGAGTACAAAACCCAGCGGAGTGCGTCGTGGCTCTCAAGAAGCCCTTCAACAGTTTGTGGTACCGAGTAGGGAGAAGTGAGATTGGGTTCGCACTTGATGTTGGGTAACCGAAGCCCCCTTGATAGGTACCTTACCGTAGTGTCTCTTCTTCTCTCTGACCCCCTCAGCCCCGCAAGCAAGAAATGGAGCTTAGCTAGCTCAGGCCTGCCACTTTGAAGGTGATCTACTGCGCGTGAATGCCATAGCTTATGGGCTTTGGACCTGCGAGTACCACGGCGTCCATCATACTCTCCATGCGTTTTCTTTATTGCAGGGCGCCAGCGGCTGTGGTGCGTTGTGGAGTGACGTATGGCTTTTTGGGTCGGGACTTGGGATTGGCTCGGGTTGGGCGATTGGCCCCACGCAAGGTGTGAACCAGCCCCGCCGGGTTTCGGCCCGACGCACATAGATCTGAAACAGCACCAAAGCCACCTTGATCAATTTCTTCTTGCCACCTTGCCTTCAATAATCAGGAAAAGGGAGCTTAGCACAGTCGGAAGATTGCGCCGGTCTCATAGTTAAAATAGTGAGCTATCCGGAGGTCGTGAGTTCGATCCTCACAGTTCCCAAAGATTTTGCGCTTCTCGGGCCGAAGGCCGGAGCTTTTGTTCCGATCAGCCACAACTTTTTGCCTTAGGCTCTTCGTCACTGGAACTCACCAGAGCGTATGTGCAAGTCTTGCCCCCTACCCTGTGTCTGATCTCTGAAGTCTGCATCGCCCCCAGAGCCGCGGACGGCGACGTCTACGACGACGAAGATTTGTCTCACCATGGTACCGAGGAGCAGGGAGAAGAGGTTCCTGTAGAAGGAGGGCAACCTCTAGGGCTTGATGCTATCGGTCTTGCTCCCTTGACAGGTCCTGTTATTGAACAGAACGTCGAGCGGTTCCGTGTACTCCTCTGTGCGATGATCCGGTTTATTCATGGCTGGGTCAAGGAGCACCACAAGGACGTGGCTGCGCTCCCGTACCGGGAACGTACCATATCGATTTCCTTTATCAATCACTTCAGGAACAAGTCGGCAATACCAGTGCCCCTCATGACTCGGAAAGCTTCGCTGATTAACCGTTACAAGTTCACCATGACAGTACTAAGCAACCGCCAGCAAGAGATGGACAGTAGGCATTGTTGTGGTCTGCTATAAGTCCATTGCTGGTACCAAGTGCGGCAACGTAGCCGGCCTCGTTGTCAATGGTGGGAGGGTTAGCTTATTAGTCCTTAGGTAGCTCACCCTTTCATATCCGTAATGGCAGCCATTGTTAAAGTGTGCCTGCCCCACATCACAAAACACCCCACCACAAGAGAATTTCGACCAAAATCAAAGAGCTCTGAGAGGTCAGCGAGCAACCACCAGGCATCGGAAAGCGTTCGAGATTTTCTCAACAGTACCCTGGTCTCTTCCCTTCGAGGTATCAATCGCGAAGTAGTCGCGTATCCAAGCAGCTATGGCGGAACCTGCGCCAGGCACTTCGGCCCTTGTCGACCTCATCAACTCGCTGCCCGATCCCGACGGCACCTGGGGGCCCCCCGTTACCGACGAGACGACTCTCAATGGCGTCCCCTACGCCCCGTTCTCCAAGAGCGACAAGCTAGGCCGCATGGCTGACTGGTCCGATTCTAAGGACGGCAGGGACGGACGTGGCAGGCAACAATACAACAGGAATTACCGCGGTGCGTTGTGATTCTGGGCTCTCTCACAGGGTCTTTATCTCCAGCAAATGTACTATTACTGACCACCATCCGCTTTCAGACCAACAGGTATACGGCGCCGGCTCCGCCTCGCTCTTTTCCGCGCCTGTGGCAGAAGACGAGGCCTCCTTTTCCGTTGTTTCCAACGTGCGCGACACGGGCAAGACTCGCTTCGGGCGTGGCGCCATCTTCACCCGCGGCCGTGGCCAACGTGGTGCCCGCGGAGACACCCGGGGCGGTGGTCGCCAGCAGTTCCAGCGTGGGGGGCGTGGTGGTCAACAATACGGCGGCGGCTACGATGGCCGTGGCGCTGCGCGGGGCGGTGGTGCTCGTGGTCGCCGCTTCGGCTGGAGGGATTATGACAAGCCGCAGCGCAACCGCGATGCCTCCATCAACGTTAGGCCCGACTGGAAGCTTCTCGAGGAAATCGACTTCAACCGCCTCAGCAAGCTGAACCTCGAAACCGACGAGGGCGAAGACATCGACAGCTACGGATTTCTGTACTACTACGACCGGTCATTCGACAAGCAGCCCGTCAAGAGCGCCGAGCGCAAGCTTGCGGTTGTGGACCGCGCCGTGTACAATGTGACGACTTCGTCCGACCCCATCATCCAGGAGCTGGCCGAGAGGGACGAGGCCACTATCTTCGCCACGGATAGTATCCTGTCGATGCTAATGTGCGCCCCACGGTCCGTCTACCCCTGGGACATTGTTATCGTCCGGCAGGGCAACAAGGTGTTCCTGGACAAGCGCGATAACGCAGCGCTCGACATGGTGACAGTCAACGAGAACGCCCACGACGCCCCGCTCGAGGCTTCCGAGGGTTCCAAGGAACCCATCAACCAGCCGGCTGCGCTCGCCGAGGAGGCGACCTACATTAACCACAACTTCGCCAACCAGGTGGTGCTGGAGAGCCAGAACCAGAAGGTCGAGATGGCGCACGAGAACCCCTTCTACAGCGCGTCGGACGAGACAGAGCCTCCGGCGTCCAAGGCATACAAGTACAGGCGGTTTGACTTGTCGACTAGCGAGGAGAACCCGACATACCTGGTCGTCCGCACGGAGCTCGACGCGGTACAGAAAAACGCCATCAACGGCGAGGACCAGTTCGTGACCGTCCATGCGCTGAACGAGTTCGACAACAAGGCTCAGGGCAGCGGCGGCGGGCTGGATTGGCGGACGAAGCTCGTATCCCAGAGAGGTGCCGTGGTCGCCACGGAGATGAAGAACAACAGCTGCAAGCTCGCGCGGTGGACTGTGCAGAGTATTCTGGCCAAGGCTGATGTCATGAAGCTTGGGTGAGTGCTTGACCTCCCGGCAATTTTCGAACCACGCCCAGCTAACCTGACCGCAGCTTCGTCTCCCGCATATCGCCCAAAGTGAACGACAAGCACGTCATTCTCGGCGTCATCGGCTGGAAGCCCAGGGACTTCGCCAACCAGATGAATCTTCAGCTGTCCAACGGCTGGGGCATCGTGCGCACCATCGCCGACATGTGTCTGCAGCGCGACGAGGGCAAGTACGTGCTCGTCAAGGACCCCAACAAGAGCATCCTGCGTCTGTACGAGGTCCCCGCTGGCGGGTTGGACGACGACGACGAGGCGCCTGAGCCGGAGGGGGCTGCTGGTGGGACTGCAGAGTAGTGAACAAGGGAATCGGGATCGGGAAGACGGGGGAAGGGACAGGTGGATCGACGATAAGAGGCCAACGGCGAGCAGGGTCCCAAAAGTTCAATAGAATGAGACAGCTTCCGCCTGGGTTAATCTGTAAACTGTGTCGAACATTCTGCAGCAGATCGTGGAACTGACCCAAGCTTACGTGACGGCTTTCTTATCGCTATTGCGCATGTGTGTGTGTGTGTTTGCACCGTCCTTTATGGGCCCATCTGAACAGAAATTGAACCACGTGATAGCGCGCGACTCCGAGGTGTTCCACCCCACCTACTTCTGTCCAATCTGACAACGCGTCCGCACTTTGCACTTCTCCAAACCCGCACGAGCAAAACGGCAGATCATGGCGCCGCCTGCGAAATCGAGGCTATCCCAGACTCGACTGAAAACCCCACAGAAGCCCGCGTCCAGGCAGTCAACCTTGTCCGCTTCTGCCACCAAGCAAAAGCCGAAAACCAAATCAAAGCCGAATCAGAGTATTCTGAGCTTCTTCAAGAAGGCGCCGGAACAGGATGAGGCGCTTTTCATCGAGGAGAGGAGAGAGGACAGCTGTGGGATCGACGTCGTCCCCGAGGCGGGAGAAGAGGAGGACCTCTATCGCTCGACCCCGCCCCGTGAGCAAACGGGCGAGGATGGCGGAGAAAGGAGGTTCAACGAGGTTGGCGGATCCGTGAAGAGGAGGAAGTTGAGTCCTTGCGGCCTCCCCCGCAGTTCAGGTATTAGTCCGCAAGGAGGCCAGCACGCGGCCGAGAAGGTAGGACACCGGCAGGGGTCGGGGCCATCAGAGTCCGATGCGCAAACCACATCGCAGCCGAACGCAAAGTCGGGCACCTCGGCGGCGTCAGACAACAAGAAAAAGAAGGCGGGAAATCCGTTCCTCGACGACTCTTCCGACGATGACGAAGGTGACAAGGAAAACGAGCCAGCTTCGGCGAAAACTACAGCAAGGGTGAGGCCACTACACTCCGGGTTGGATACCGATTCAGGCGAGGAAATCAAGGGTTCTGGGCCGGCCGAGCTTACCAACGGAGAGAGAGGTTCCAGGGCGCCGCTTTTGAGACAGCAGACGTCGGGAGCCGAGGCCGGGGGTGACCGCGACGAGGAAACACGAGATGACGTCTTCGATAGCGACGATATGGGCCTATTCGAGGGCGACGATTTTACCGGTGAGGAACGGAGGATGATGCAGTTTATGGAGGAGCAGGCACGGTTGGAGGCGGAGGCGGGAGGAGAAGAGTACGATACAAGCGATGACAACGGGAACGCTATGGCGGAGAGCTGTCCGGTCTGCAACGGTAGTCTGGCTGGTGCGACGTCAGACGAGGCCACAGCGCACGTCAATTCCTGTCTCGACGGCAACCCGATGCCCTTGCCGAATCCGCCAGCCATTGCCACTGTTATCGGGGTTGCGAATGAAACCGAGGCTGCAGTTATGAGCAAGCGGTTTGCAAAAGCTGCTGTGGCACGCCCGGGTCAGGCGAATCCCATCAGTCTCGGTGGCGACGCCGGGGAGGGCCCGTCAACCTCGGCGTTTACCAAGCTCATGTCTGGCCACGCCGAGGATGCGGCGTGGGCGACGGCTGCCGCGGCGGAGAGCGCGTCCCGGGGCATGCCCGCGTATAAGCGAACGTGTCCATTCTACAAGATCATGCCTGGGCTCTCAATCTGTGTTGATGCCTTCCGGTACGGGGCCGTCGAAGGCTGCCAAGCGTATTTCCTCAGCCACTTCCACAGTGATCACTACATGGGCCTGACAGCGAGCTGGACGCATGGGCCGATCTACTGCAGCAAAGTAACCGGGTCGTTGGTCAAGTCGCAGCTGAGGACGGCAGCAAAGTATGTCGTCGAGCTGGAGTTCGAGGAGACAGTGCCCGTCCCAGAAACCAAGGACGTTACGGTGACCATGATCCCAGCGAACCATTGCCCAGGAAGCTCCCTTTTCCTCTTTGAGAAGACGACTGGCGGGAAAACCCAGCGGATCCTTCACTGCGGCGACTTCCGTGCCTGCGCCTCCCACGTCGAGCACCCGAAACTACGGCCCGAGATGGTCGATGCCCTCTCTCGCCGAACGAAGCAGCAGAAGATCGATGTCTGCTACCTCGATACCACCTACCTCAACCCCCGCTACTCGTTTCCGCCGCAACACGACGTGATCGGTGCCTGCGCTGAACTCTGCTCCCGGCTCAACAAAAGCCTCCTAGCCAACGACAATCGCGAGTGGGACGCCCTCCTGCGACGACGGGAACGTGGTGGCAACGGCTCTTCCAACAATGAGAGCGTTGCCAAGTTCTTTCCCACCACCTCCTCCACCACCACCCCGCCAACCCGATCCTCACTTCCTCCCAGCAACGCCTTCACGGCCCTCAACGGCAGACCCCGCCACCCCAACCGCCTCCTCGTCGTCTGCGGCACCTACAGCATCGGCAAGGAGCGCATCTGCGTCGCCATCGCCAAGGCGCTCAACACCAAGATCTACGCCACGCCCGCCAAGATCCGCATGTGCAAGCAGCTCGACGACCCGGAGCTCGTCTCGCTCCTCACCTCGGACCCGTGCGAGGCACAAGTCCACATGCAGATGATCATGGAGATCCGCGCCGAGACGCTGGCCGAGTATCTCGAGGCGTACAGAGCCCGCGGCGAGTTCGGCCGGATCGTGGGGTTCCGGCCGTCGGGCTGGAATTACCGGCCCTCGGGACCGGGCGGGGTGAACGGCAAGGGGAACGGCGGCGGCACGGCTGGCGCCCCCGCGGTAGCTGCGAACCTCGCGCCCGGCTCCCTCCCCACGACCCAGCTGCTGCACGGCCCCGGGTGGCGCACGCGGTTTGGCGTGCGGGATCTGGTGCCGCAGCGGGGCAGCGGGAAGGAAGTGCTGTGCTTTGGCGTGCCGTACAGCGAGCACAGCAGCTTCCGGGAGCTGGCGCTGTTCCTGATGGCCTTGCGCATCGAGCGGGTCGTGCCGACTGTCAACGTGGGCAGCGAGGCGAGCAGGCGGAGGATGAAGGGCTGGATCGATCGGTGGCTGGGGGAGAGGAGACGGGGAGGGCTGGTGAGGATATTGGAAGGGGAGGAAGGCGAAGGGGGTGAGGGGGGTAGAGGCGGGCTCGGGCTCTGGGACGGGAAGGATGGGAAAGGGGGTGCGGTGTATTGGTAGGAGGGGAATGTGTATAAACATGGACGCAAGCACACCAGGCTTGATTGGAAAACGGTCAGATGCGGCTCTCTCGTATCAAAAAGATGATGTATATGCTAGCTACCGTACTTCCTCCAGCTAAGACATGTCCATCCTATCGCCCGCCAAATGGTTGGCGGCGAGGCGCGCACTGTAAAGCACTAGTACAATACAAAACCCACTTATTGATCTGAAAGCGAGAGCCACTCGAGGCACTCTAGTCCGTACGCTGACAACCTCAACAAAGGCTCAGACAGAATACAGCGGAGGTCGTATCTTCAGCGCTGCCGAGCTGATGGGGTAGCATCCTGGACCTGACGCTCTGAGCATGGGCTGGCAGAACGACTCAATCCTTGGACCCTGGTCACGCTCAGTAAGATCTTGAAGGCGCGGAGAATGGTGATTACGGTCCTACGCTATTTGCTGGCTCCCTAGGTACCTATGTTTGTTAGGGATCTAATATGGAGGGATGAGGTATCACAGGATGAAAGAATCGTGACAATACACCATCATCTGTGGCGTCGCACATGCCATCTGGGTCCTTTGAGGGTAGATGCGTCGATGCACGCAACCGCCGGGTGAGAACACCCCAGCTGAAGCTCAAAGGACGGTTTCTACACTACTGTATAATAAGACGCATCACCGCCGTCAAGGTCACTAGAAGGTGTCCGCAATGATTCCAGTCCTACCTACCTTACTGTAACAGACCATCACCAACCTCGTGCTAGGGAGAAGATAGGATGCCAGAAGGTCTAGTACGCGCTTTCATTCGTCCATACCGTACCTACGTATCTTCATCTTAGAGTGGGCGAGTATGTGGTTGCCATGATAGAGCTCGAGATTGAAACATAGCCATGGCTCGTTGTATCCACGCATTCCGGGGTAAGTGTATACTCGCGTGAGAAATGCTATCGAAACCAACCATTGGCGCCAGGTGAGATCGTTTCAAAGTGAGGAGCCTATCGCTGCATCGCAACCTTGACGACGGTCGCGACAGTACGTGATACTGATGCTCATTGGCGCCAATGCCCTTGTCGTCCGGCGCGGTTCCGGGCTACCTTAGGCGACGGCGCTGCCCCGGCTGATCCCGCGCTTGCACCGGCCAGAGCAAGCGAGTCTCCAGTTTTGCGACTACCGAGATCATAACTCCGTACATATGCCTTACCTATGGTAGCTCTCGGCGGTTGCTGGATTCTTGTTCTCTGGTAATCACAGTACACAGCACGCGCTGGAGTGAGATTGCGCCCATGATCGGGTCAGCGTAGAGAGGGGCATTAACATCCGAATTATAGGCCCTTCAAGGATTATTGTCTTGTTACATCTGGCGCCGAGGGCACGCCTGGACAGATGAGGTCGAGATGACGTGGTTGGGGGGGGGGGGGGGGGGACGTTGCAAATGATTGGGGTTCCAATGCACGGCACTGGAAGAATTCGCGAACTACTTGGGTACCCGTACCAACCCTACGTACCACTTTGAATATTACCTGACCTACCTAGGCGCCTGGATGGTGCGGAGGCAAGGCTGAACAGATGCTGGGACGAGACTAGTGAAGCCCCGAGCGTCCGCTACTGTGAAATTAGGAAGGGCCGTCACCTCAATAATAAGCTGACGGCACGTTACTCAATTTAGTATACATTAGTCGAGACACGAAAAAATGTTCGAAGTTGGCACATCAGTTCGCCGACGGTGAGTCGCGCTCACGATCTCCGTCCCGGCCAAGCAGTGGAGTGTCTGCGGGGAAATGGGTCGCTCCCGTCGGCGGCGGGTCGGCAGAGATCTGACAACTCATCCTGCATTGGGATGACACATTGTGTCGTCACCTGGAAATCACCATGAGAGCCTTTTGCGTCCTTTCAAGTTAACAGTAGCACTTATAACAGTACCACAGTAGCACAGGTTCTTTCTGATCCCGCCCAGTGCCGCCTTATTACATGGGTAGACAGTACCAGGAGCGCAGGACTATCATCCGAGTCGAGCACGGCGTGTCTGGCCGGGATCATCAACCAACGCTTCGCCGGCTACTGTGGTATGTAAAAGTGTAAGCGGGTGACATGTATCGTATTTCTATTCCGTTGTGGCGATGGCCGAGACCCTGCTCGTGCTGGCAGGTATTCCCGAAGATTCGGACGGTGCCACTGTATCCGTAATCCGTACCCTTGTTACCTCGACTCAGAACCTGGGGGACCTAGACAAGAGGGAAGGGAAACCGCTTCGACGTGGTCTGTATGATAGTATAAACAGCACAGGATAATGTTTATCTCTTGAGACGCGGAGAATCACCGCGACGAATATCGACCACCCCGGCTGACCGCCATGGGCGACATGCAATGGCGATGAGGTTGAGGTGGGTCCACACCGACTTTTCGGGTTCGAGGCTTGGAGGCTGGACGTTGCTCTCAATTGGGCTTGATGCTGGCGGTTGTCAACCCGGCGCTTGCCATGCATCCGGGTTTTGGTCTCAGGTCCGACACCCGGCCAGCGGGCGGCCGCACCAGTTTGCTGAACGGTGAACCCGTACCACTTGGCTGGCGATATGTCACCTCAAAGACTGGGCTACTTCCGCTTTTGGGCGCCGTTGAGACTGAAGGCAACTAGACTTTTCCCTTGTTGGAACCAAACTCATGGGTCGATTCGCGACATCATCTCGGCGTGGATCGCTTCCATGATGCCGTCGTGCAGACAGACGAGTTCTGATCGACCTTGTATCTTCAGAGTCCGCACCGCCTAACGCTGGCCGGTGGTCACCAACTTCATAACGCACCACGACGGCTTGCTTGTTTCTGATTTCTAGCCGGGAAGCTTGAGAGTTGGGTGACGTCGTCGGGGCTAAGTTTAAGCCGAGATTGAACACCACACAACAGCCGCAGCGGCAGGTACCGGGGTCGATGCCGATCCTCGGTCAAGCCTATACACCCCATCCCTTGAGTATCGATGTTCGCCTGGGGTGACGGCGAACGTCAGTGAGTGATGCTATACTGTCGCAGACGCTCGTGTCTATATGCTGAGGGATCCTTCTCGTACACTGGGTCGGCAAGGAGACGCATCTTTGTTGCATCGCACCTGAGTTTGTCGCTGGGAAAGGGTCGCAGTTGGGGAGTTCCGAGGCGGGGAAACTTACCTAGGTACGTACTACTAGTAGTTTTCTTATTACCACCGTGCCACCTTTGGTATTCCGTTCCTTACGTCTGACCGCAGCCCCGCTGGTAGCTTCACGACGTGTCGCAAAACAGGCATGCTTGCCAACTTGAATGCCTACACTATTTGCAATGCTCATCAAGGGAGTCTTTGGGACCCAGAGATCCCATGTTAGAGCGGACATAATGTGGTAGTATGTAATATGTACGATGTACTGTCATGAAACGATTGTAAGTACTTCGTAGACCGCTTCTGATTCCGAGACTTGAGCGCATCCACGCAGGCACTTTCCTGCATTCACGCCCCCGCCCCCTCATCTTATTGGAACTGGGCCCACTTTCCAAGTTCAACCCCGCCAGCCACCTTTGAAAGCCTGTAAAAATCCTGTGCGACCCGTCCCACTCGTCGAGCTGAATCATCCAACCAAATCAACCAGTTAAAGAAGTCTGGCTGCACCCTCAAATCATCGTTCGGCTTTCCCTCGTCTTCTCTCCTTCCCTCGCACAAACCAATCAATCACCCAATCCCCCTCTCCACTGTCAAAGCTGCCAACGAGGGCTGTCGAACACCCCCAAATTCCTATCAAATCAACGGCCGCCTCCAATCGTATCGCAACAGCGACGGTTGCCCAGTCCAATTAGGGTTGCCGAAGCGCCCGCGACTGCATTCTCGCAGCCTCATTTGGCCTCGCTACCCTCTTAAGAGCGCTCCAATAGATAGGCGCTCGAGACGCGGCCCCGTAACAAGGGACACAGGTACGTTTCTGCTGTGTGTTTTGGACATGCTCCCTTTCAGCATCCCTGCGGTTCTTCGAACGCGGCCCGGACTGTCATGCAGAGCTGCCTTACGCTCGCCATCCTCGTGATGCGATGCGCGCCGCCAGCCCCCATCAGCCTCCGTCTGAGCCCGGCGCGCAGAATGGTCACGGGACACAGACCATTACCAGTCTTCTAAGCGACACCCACTCACAACTCGCGACAGGTATCGTTCGGATCGATCTTTGTTCAGCAGAACCAGCCTGGGTATCCACCTCGGCCCCTTGAACATCACCTTCTAGTGGCTTCATCTTCCAGCCAGTCAACTCTCGAGCGCATAAGGAGCCACAACCCCCAGAAAACAGGCAACAAATCAGCACCGTCCTCCGCTACGACGGGAAGACGGAGGCATCACCAGCCTGGAGACCTATCACAGTCCTCAGCCTCAGGATTCGACGCATCATTGGATCTGCCCTGATCCCGTGATAACTCCTACCTGCGGACAGCAATCAAGACCTTGATACTGTGCCATCTAACAAACAAAAGGTAATCCAAGCTTACCGCTTCCTGATATCTGTTGCAGCCGCCAGTGCTTGACGCGTGGTGCCCTTTATCACGTCGGCAACCCGGGAACACCCTGTGATCGAATCCAGCGAGGTACCGTTCTTGTCGCGTCTACCCGTCGACAAACACTGCTATCTTGTTGTCCAAAGGAATCCGTCTGGTGCTTATTACCTAGGTAGTCCTCACTATACTCGGCAATACTTGGAGTTAACTGGAATTGTTTCGACAAACAATCAGCTTTCTGGAAGGACTCTGTTTTATCCGACGCTGCTCAGTCTTTCTAGAGGTACGTGGACCTTCTACTTGTTTACCTTGTCTTTTGCCTTCCCCCGCCTTTCCCCCAGGCCTTATGTTATATGGCTCAGACCCCTCCTCCTTGGGTACCGCCAAATCCAAGTTCACCAGACCCAGCTGGTGCTGTCCACCGCGTCCGGACCTCTCTTGAGTCCAAACGCTACGAGTTGGACTTACCACCTCTCTCGGACTGCCATGCAGTCCAGCCGCAGTTTGAGAAAGGAGGTGCCTACAATGGTCGGATACGCTGCACCAGAGACTACTCCGTACTTTCTACTCACTGGTGGCTTGGGTTCATGTCCTCCGCCGCCTCTCAGTTTCATGGACTTTGAGATGGACAACCCAGCAACCCCATACACTTGAGCGTGGTTGCCTCTACCCCTCCTGTTCCCCCCATCTCTCTTTTTGGTGCTGGCTCCCGACCCGGCTTGGGGGTGATGAGCTGGTTGGCAAGGTGGGCCCGCCTCGTGCATATTCCGTCATGCATGCCAGCGCATCAAACTGGCCCTGACCCGAGGCGCCCAAACAAGGGACCCGTCATCCGGGGTTTCTTCGTTCAAGGGCTAGATGAGCCTTGTACTGACGCCTCTTATTGATAGGGTTCAGAACTTGGCCAAAAGCGCCTCGCTTGCCCACTGGCAACCGTTTCTCGGCAAATCCTCCTACGCACACGGTTGTCTGCTTCAGCTCCCGCAACTAGCTTTCGGTGCGACTTGAGATTTTGCAAGCTCATCGTCCACGACGAAGCCAAGTGCCATCGCACAGTCCCATCCGTCCTCACGTGGCTGTACTTGTCCACGCCATCTCCAAAGAGACCTGGGACTGAGCCACCCAAGTCTCGCCTGGCAACGACATCAGCCTGCAGAAGCTGCGGTGCGACCAATTACGCAGCTCCGCTATCTTGCTGGATCCTCACGAGTGCCAACGCATCACTCCAATAGATTGGGTGCACATCCAGCCCAACCCACAAGGTACAAGGTGACTTGGGACTGTCAGTGCGCCTTGAGCCCAAATAGACTCAGGACCTTGAATCTTTATCAGCAGTCTTGAAGGCTCCCTGGACCAACCTGAGTGGTCATCTCTCTGTCGCGTCTCCATAACCAGATCGTTATCAGATCCACCGGCAGCTCATTACATACAATTGTAGTTGGTTCCATATTGCTCATACATCGCCATACAGCAGCGCGACTGTCCGCGATCTTATCAGCTTCTCGGGAGCTCGACGAGGATGATGGAATACGCCCAATACCAGCAACAACCGCAAAACGCACACTCACAACCACACATTCAGACGGGTTACCCGAACTCTGCAGGCGGCAACAGCATCAACTCGGCCTCTTCTCAGCACCTATCGCAAACATCGCCCATCCTCCCTTCACAACAGCACCAGCCATCTCCGACGCAGACACACAACATGTACCAGACTCAGTACGCTGTTCCTCAGCAAAGCATGCATTATGGCATGCCGGGTATCCAGGCTGCAGCTATGGCTGCGACGGCGGCCGCTTCGGGTTCTTCCTATCCCTACATGGCGTCGGACCCTAGCCTGCAGCAGTCGCCTAGGATGTCGGGCGTCAACGCGAAGAAGGACGCTAGGGCAGGGCCGCGGTCGCCACAGCAGATGAATACGATGCCTCAGCAGCGGCGACTCAGCCAGGTCGCGAGCCCGGGGGTTGGAAATGCGCCCACGATGTTGAACCACGCGGGTGCGCGCTCGGCAGTCCCCCCTCCGATGACCGCGGCCCAGCAAATGCCACCGCCGCAGTCACCCGAGATAGCGTCTGGAGTCGTGGAGGAATCGCCCCTCTACGTCAACGCTAAGCAGTTTCACCGCATTCTCAAGCGGAGGGTTGCCCGGCAAAAACTCGAGGAGGCACTTCGGCTGACTAGTAAAGGCCGGAAGCCTTACCTCCATGAGTCGAGACATAACCACGCTATGCGACGGCCGCGCGGACCTGGAGGGCGCTTCTTGACGGCCGAAGAAGTTGCGCAGATGGAGAAGGACAAGTCGGGTGGTGCAAACCCAGGGGGCAAAACGGAAGGCTCCGAGCAGACAAGCACGAAGACGGCGACCGGAGCGACGAAACGGAAGTCAGATGGCAACAGTGCCGCCACAACTACATCAAAGAAGGCAAAGAGAACGGCGGCGTCGAGCCCCGAGGAGGAGGAGGACGATGAAGACGAATGATGAAGTGGCGAGTGCGCAAAACTCCTCCTTCCCGAGGATGACGACGAATGATGAGTGGCAGTTGAGCAGCCTCCTCCTCCTCCGCAGGATGATGGAAGAACGCCAACTTGAGCTCTATTCCCCCCGTTCTCGTATGTCTCGAGAACGCGTCATGAAGTTATGAAACGTCCCACCCACTATACTCTTATTTAAAACAGGGATGGTGTGCGGCCATGGATACTTTGGCGAGGAGTCTTGGGGTTGGCGAGACGTGCTGTTATTTTCATGTTTCTTCTCTCAAAGATTGGGCAACGCTTTTCTTCCGCTTCATGTGCATCAACACGGCGGGCCCTCACGCTTTTCTTCGTTGTGAGCGTGCTCTAGGTTTTGTTTCTGGTCGGCGACGCGGCTCATTTCGTATTGTCATCTCCCGATACCAAATACAACTTGGCCTCACAGCATATCAGCGAAACAGCGCATAGCATTTAGCGGTTCCGAATACGACACCGGTGGTTTCTGGGTTGGGCCTGGGGTGTGGTGGTAGGAGGGAAGGTTACGGCCGGCAATCTTTGGCGGTCTAGGAAGGGGAGATTGAGTACATCGAGGGCATCAAGGAGGAATGGTTTACGATGGATACCCCCAACAATGCCCCCGTTTGGTGGTTGCTTGTCTACTTTTCCCATTATTACGTTATTGTTCTCTTAGTTCTTCGTTCAGGCGGGGAGTTCCTTCAATGCCATCTTTTTAGACAGATGAGCATGGTCTGCTATATTTACTACCGACTGCAGAATGGAGCCCGCGGTGGGATGGAACGGCTGAAAATCGGAGATGGAGGGAAAGAAGGGAAAAGAGGTCAGCCTTGCAAGATATAAAAAAGTAAACGACCAGTTTTAGAGAGGTTGCACAGAGTAGCAGCTGCCCAATTTCGTCTGGTGTCGATTACTTCACGAGTTCTTCCCCTCATGACTGTCTCTACTTTCACGCCCCTGGTCTGTATGGACCTGGGGTCGCCACGGATTTGGGATTATTAAGAAGCGGCGAATCCGTCGCACAGATATAGTAGTACTATCTAGCACGAATTGAAAATACGGCAGGTAGGTCCTTGACCTAGACTACTTGTGCGGGCCGCAAGATGACTTGCCGGCGGTTGCTTAGCCGATTCGACGACACCAGTGCGATCTAGGGACGGAACGGTGCGCGCTCGGAAGATTTTGCTGCCATTTCAATTCGGAGTCGTCCAATCTTTTTAGTTCCTTGACGTCCTCGGCTTCCACGGATACGGACTCGATCACATCACTGGAGGTTCACCCAAGGTCCGGCCTAACCCGATTCAGACAGGAAATCCTGCCTGATATCTTAGGCATCATCATTACGCTACACATTGGCCACCAAGCTGACTCGGAGTGGGTCCTTTCTCACAACAGGAAGAGCTTCACACTTTCATTCCGTCCTCTGCCTTGATGCCCGTTTATTATTAGTGACGGCTGCGCGAAGTCAAGATGCTGTTTTTCAGGTAGGTGGATCACTCTTTTCCGTTCCTCTACACCTTGTACCTGCCTTTTACGCTGCTTTGGCTCACTTACGATTTACTGCCTTTTGTCTTCGCTCCCTTCAGAACCAGGGGGTGTGTGCGCTGGTCCGGTGAACCGTGAGGGGCCGTTGCGTGGTGTGGCATTGAAGGTATATGGATGATGTATGGGAATGGGTTGAGAATATCACACAAGTCGTGTCTTCCTAGTGCCAGCGGAGATGGCCATACTCCCTCAGTCGGGCAGCGAGATCCCCTTCCCTCACCCTGTCTGGTCCTCGGATCCCAAAAAAAGCTAACTCGTAAGCATAGCTTCTTCAAGACCCTCATCGACCATGAGGTCACGGTCGAGCTCAAGAACGACATCCAGATTCGCGGCGTGCTCAAGAGCGTCGACCAGTACCTCAACATCAAGCTGGACAACATCCAGGTCCTAGAGGAGCTCAAGTACCCGCACTTGGTGAGTCCTTGTGTGCGCTTAGAGGGCCATCGTTCTTCTCCTATCAACTGGATGATTGCTGATCTGTTGTGTGATCCATCACTCCAGAGCGCCGTCAAGAACGTCTTCATCCGCGGCTCCGTGGTGAGATACGTGCATTTGCCTGCGAGCGCCGTGGACGTTCCGCTTCTGGAGGATGCTACGAGGAGAGGTGAGTTGCTACTACGAATCTGAATAGGTTGCTGAGGTGGCCGTTCCGTCAACTCTCTGGGAAGCCGGAATATCACTGGGAGATAGCAGAAGCTGACAAGCGAGCAGAAGCTGCCAATCAGGCTGGCAAGGGCAAATGAGAACAGTGAGTGGGAGATAGGCCGTGTTTTGACCGGACGGTACGGAGCTGGGTAGGCGGTAGGAGGTGGCATGAGGAAAGAAACCCGCTCCGACGGACAATGCTTCCCGGTCCGGTTAGGACTAGGAGTCAGCACGTCTTGCTCGGGCTCCATGGCGCCCGACATCGCGAGAGAGAGAGAGACTGGCTCGTCCGCGTTAGGGCCAAGTGGGAAAGGAACTTGATATTCAGAACATCAATCCAACTCCAACCTCGGCTGGTGGGAGGGGAAAGGGACAATGAGGTAGTGGAATCCTCCCCATGTCATGGTTACGAGGCCATTCAGACGCTTGCCCGACTTACGGCTGCGACAAAACAGACCTGGCACTACCTCAAGCGTATCACTGCGTTAGCCCGGTTGATTGGAGATGCCGTGTGATCGTTATCTGACCTCCGCCAAGTCCTTCGCGCCCCCCTCACAGCCCCAAGTCCGCCCGGCCCCGAGTTTCCGCCGTCCATCAGGGGAATATTCACGGCTTGGTTCTTATTGTATCGCGATCTACTGCACTTCACTTACAGCAATCATATCCCATGCGAGCTTTCCCGGCCGAATAGCTTTTGCCTTAGCTTCGTTAGGATACTACCGAGGATGGGGGGAGGGATAGTCTTGCTGGGAATCCGGGGGCGAATGCGGCTCAGACATGCCGGAACCGAGTGGCGATGGGATGAGGGGATCGGTGAGGACAAACGGTAGCACGCCGACACTTGTCCGCGGAGAGCAACAACAAGCCAAGCCAACTGCATACAGCGAGGGTGACGCAGCAGCAGTATGTGTCCAACTCTGGCTGAGAGCGACACCGCTTTAGGCGCAAACCTTTGGCTGATCATGGCGTCCCTTGCGACAGTTGCAGGGTCCTGTTTGCCCAACAGGTTATGTGTGCGTTGCCTGACGACTTGACCAACCATCCAACCACCACGAAGGGCAAATCACTGGTTACCGAGCGGTATGTGCATTTCCTGCATCATAAGGCTGCATGGCGCATCCTGCTGGATTGAGAGGATCCGGAACTTGCAGGCTCGTTAGTAGGTAACACTGTGCTCCCGAGCACATCGCCACACCCGCAATGACGGTAGGATGGCATCGAGTCATAGCATAGCAGAGAGACGGCTGATTCAAGTATGCCCTGGCAGAAGGAAAGCATAGTACTGATGACCAGCCCGTCCCGGAGGCATGAGGGCAGACGCCTCCGGTCTGGCTCTGTCTTCTCCGCAGATACTCTAAGGGCACTCAAATGCGTTTATTGGCAAAAGACAGTTGGCTGGAACCGCTCTCTGGGCGGACCTGCTGCAGCTAGAGTAGCTCGTTCGCTCGGTTTCGAGGCTCAGACGCCTCGGCGGTAAACGAAGCAAAGACGAGCGCTCTCTGCTTTCTTGCCAGACGCGTCTCACAGGGGCAGATTGTGTGTCATCCCCAAGGACTGCGTGGAAAGCCTGAATTGTCAAGCAGGCCGGGAGCGAGAGGTTCGTCTGTGGAGCACTCGGGTTTCCGCGATGTGATGCACCGTATCGGCTGGGATATTGTCACTTACGAGGCTGCTGTTGGGCGCCAACACACTCTGCTGCCGCCGCAGGGCTGACCGGTGGCGGAAAGGGCATGGAAAAGCGGGTGGGAACATGGTCCCACGTCGGTTGTGCAACAATCTCCGGAGGATGTGAAGCAGTCCAATGGCTGGTCATAAACAGAACAACTACACTACTAGTATGCACTCGGACATGCAGCGCATGTCTTGACGGGATGTGGAGGCTGCGCTGGTAGCAAGGATCGCCCACGCGGCTATCCACGTTGCTTGGTGCACAGAGATCGATCCGTATATCATGCTTTCAGGTTTTTGACAGCGGCTAGTTACCTCACAACCCGCCAGCGGCCAATTATTGCAAGATCTTCGATGCCGTCTTTGATCATAAGCACCCTCTAGGAACCTTCAAGTTCCTCGAGGGAACGGGCTAGCCACGCCACGGCCGGTCCATTGGGATTGGGTCAGGGGGACGCTGAAGATACATACAAAGGATCGGTCTATTGAGATGCACGATCCATCGCCGGCAATGGCAGACGGTCCTCGTGCAAGTTGACGCGGAAGCGCCCCGCTGACTCGCCAATGCGTCAAACCCGCGACATGGCTGCCGAGCTGGCCAGCGCTCTCGACCTGGACGTACAGAAGAGCGTTACCGGAGGAACAGGCGCGCGCTCTGTCTGTCTTATATTCCCAGGACCACGGTGGTACGGAGGCAGGTAGATGGGGAGCCAATGGCTGACCGATGGGGTCGCGGGATGGAGCGTCCCGAACGTGGAAGACGACCGTCTGGGGCCGCACAGCCAACAGAAGCACCGACGACTAGACCGTTCCTTGCAAGCGCGTCAACAGCCGCGCGCGGTGTTGGTTGGACGCCGTACCATTCGAGGTCGGAGGATTAAGCGCGGCCGCAAGTGTTAGGATTCGCCGACGGACAGCCAGTAGCTTCTGGACCCGGGAGGATGGAAATGACGAAGCCGCTAAGCTCGTGCTAACCAGAGATGCAGCTGCGTGGCGCGCGCTCCGCTGAAGCATCCGAGATGGCGGCTCCGGGAAACAGGTGCAAGAGCTTACCCGCCCATCGTCCGTCATTAAGTTCGCAGAGGCGGTTAGACTCTGCCCACCGAAAGGTTGTGCTTATATGTGTTGGGCTCCCGCCGCGGCGGTAGTGTCTTCTCAGCTTCTTGTCCCTCGACCGTCAGCTCCGGAAGCCGTCCACTCCTCTTTCACCTGAAATGCTCGCGCATACAATTCGGTCTTCGTCCAGCTAGAAAACCTCCTTGGATATTCACAGGCCGGTCCCGTGAAAACTATTCCTGGAAACTTTTTGTTCTCGCCTGAGCCGCCTTAACCCCCCGGCGCTTCTCATCTCATCCCACCGTAGCCTGGCATCGCTTCTTCAGGACATATCCACAGCCCACTCACGCAGATTGCTGCTGCGAGTTTCTGTCCTTGACGACTAAAAGACTCGACGTCGAGGAATCGTCGGTCGTTGTGATCAGGTGTCGTCGAGGTAAGCGGCAAGTTCTGACCAATCAAGCGGCGACGTGCTAATAATACGATCTTTAGCGCCCATCCTTGCCCGAGTTTCCAGGGCGCGTCACCAATCAGGCGCGAGATCCCGCTCTAGGCGGTTGCGGCAGTCAAAGTTACCGACGCCATCATCACGATCCGCCCGTCGCGGCGGCCGTGGCTTCTCGTGGCATGAAGCAGGCGCCGTCCGTACCTTAGTGCTGGGCCCGTCGTCTATTGCTGCCTTCTGATCTGCGAATCGGGCTGGACGCTCTGCTCCCGGCAGGGACGGAGTCAAGAGTACACTTGACAAACCCCGGACTCGGCCCGTTGCCAGTGTCTGCCCCGGCGGCTCTCCATATTACCGACCGTGGTAACGTCGACGCCTGGACGCTGGGCCCTGTTAAGCGCTCAGATTCACTAGCGGTGAGTGCATGCTCTCTATTGCTTCATTTTCCTTCTCCGTCCCCTGTCGACAACTTGTTGCACTTCGTTCCTCCCGAAAAAGCCCCTTCCCCGAACGAGCGGCGGGGATCAACTGGCTGAAGACCACACACAAATCGCTTGAGCAAGAACGCGGCTGGCCAGCTGCAATTTGCATCCGGTCACATCTTTTACACTCTTCACTGCCGCCCGCACTACCCCTGTCAAGTTGTCGCTTCGCTTCTCGGGTGCCCGCCCCACACCCTACACCCCCGGCGCCTCCCCTGATTTGCTGCTACTTTGGCCCCTCTCACTCAACTGGAAGTGACATGGAAGTGTGTGCTGTCGCCCATCCGTGCCTGCAACAAGGATTACTTCGTCCGAGGAAGTCGTCTTTGCGACCTCTGTTCGGACCTTTGTCATATTTAAGACAACACAAATACCTTGTGCACAGTTTCTTCGCTCCAAGTGCTGCTGGCTAACGCTCTCTCGTGTTCAGTTCAGTTGCTTCTCAGTCCAACTGTCATTGGTCTTGGTCTTTACCCCCACATTCGTCTCATCGCGGGCCGATTTTGGACAAGTCAAAACAGCCCTGGCTAGCTGTCGTTGAGTTCTCAAGCCACACGACAAATCCCGGTCCGCCCACTTCTAGTGTAGGTACCTGGGATTCAGGGAGACAGGGATCCCGAGCTAGGGGAGTGCGTCCTAGTCCTCCGAGCCAGCCCACGCGGGGAATCACTGCTTGATCCTTCGGATTGGAGCCTGGACCCTCGTCCGTGAGTCGACCTGTCCCCGTTCATATAGTCATTGGCTATCCGCCCTGCTGCTTCTTCCACCTCCCTTCCCACTTAACTGCCGGGCTCGCTCCCCAACCACCTCTCAACGGTGAGCCGACTGTCAGTTCGACATACAAGACCTGGACGTAATACGTCAACCGCATATCGCCTACTCGCCAACACACACGGCCAAACATGTCGACCAAACCTACGTTGAGGGTGTCGACGCCCCTCACCGCAAACTTCCCTCACATACCACCATCTGGTACGGAGCTACGTTCGGCCGTCTCGCTCCCCTCTGCTGTCTCTTCTAATACTCCTTTGTCTGCTATCTCACGGACATCGGCCTTCCGGGATCCCATTCCTTCCTCTGGCCTACCTTCGGCCGGACTGCCTTCAGCAGGGCCGTTCAGCGCCACCATCAAGCTTGAGCATGACTTGCAGAAGACCCCCATAACCCCGCCCGTGGCCTACCTGGACTTCCTCAAGGGCATGTCACTCGTCTCGCCGAGCATCGCTTCCCCCCCGCAAACAGGGAAGTCGGCCCTCAACCGAACAAGTACGGCCAGCAGCACACGCAGCAGCGGCAGCACTACGAGCAACACCTCAACGGAGTCGGGAGATTCCGAGAAGGACAAGGGCGAGCAGGTCGAGAGCGCTCCGTCAACAGCACGGTCCGAGCTAAGTTCCGAGTCCCAAGAGGAGGACAGGGAAAGGACAAAGAGCCCGAAACCGACGCCGATCGACACGAAGCGGCAGCATACGCCTACCGGCACGAAGTGCCCAATGTCCGCTCCGGCTGTCGGGCCCACAGTGTTTCCTAGCATGAAGCTGCCCGCGTCACCCGCCCTGTCCACTGCAGGTCTCTACTCGCCAAGGTCGCCGCTCAGCGCCGCGTCGGTAAAGTCGCCCTTCGACTGGGAGGCGGCCCTCAAGTCGAGGAGGTTCGCCGAGGCGTCCGGCACGAAACGCCCGGCAGCGCCCTCCGAGGCGCCCGGGGCTCCAGGGCACCCCAAGAGGGAGTCAAGGTCGAGCATACGACATATCCGCGAGGTCGTCACGAGGACGGTCACTTATACCCCGCGGATGGCGCCCGCGCCCAAGGGCAAGAGGCGAAAGATTGACCCGGAGACGGCAGTCAAGTCATGAACTTGCGTTTGATGGAAGGATGGGCGGGGTTCTTGGTTTGGCTTGGGATATGGGAGCCGCGTACATAATAGCTAACTACCACGGTGCTGGATGCCGCCTAAGCCGCTACCGACCACAACAATAACACCAACAAGAACCACGCACACACACTCGCACTGGCCGAGCAGATCGGCTCTGAAACATTTCTTTTGTTTAAACATCACCATGACCACACGGGAACCGCAAAAGGAGACAGGCCGGAAAGAGAGGAGTTGATGGCTCAAAGTTTCATGATTTTGCCAGGCGAAGGCACTTCGGAGCCCACACGGCGTTGCAGGACGGCGTCACTTGTCACATACCTACTATCGTGATGACATTGTAAGGAAAGAAAGGAAGGTCTGGGTCTAGGTCTGGGCGGGAAGTTTTACTGGTTCTCGATACCACAGCAAGCAGGGAGAGTGGGGAGGCGTACACAGCGAAGCCTGAGAGTTAGATGGTTGGATACGGGGTTTTGGGGTTCTGAGTCCTGAGAGGATAACTGGGGAAACTACCTACATAATGCCTCCTTAGCTGCTATCCGCGTACAGTATATCAGGATAGGTGGTGTAGCCTGAATGGATGGGATATGGAACCGCAGAACATTCCGCCAAGGACGACTATGCTGTGGCCGAATCTTTTGTTTCGCCTGATTTTGTGATCTTTTGTTTGTTTACTTGCTCCGCTGGCCATCCATGTTTTGACAGCTTTGCCGCGGTCGCTTCACATGCGACCAGCTCCGTCTTCCTGCTGTGTTTGTTTGTGTATTGGCCGCAGCATATGCGGGCCATGTTTACATGCATCCATGTATGTTCCACCAGTAAGTATGCATTATTAGTCCACTCATACTCGTAAAAGCGCGTAAAAATTTCCTGGATGTGGCTCACGAGGAGCAGAGGATATACAAACTAGGAAAGAGAAAACTCTGTATGTGAGGCTGATCCGATCATCTTGCTGCTGCATGAAGGAGGATGGCATATTGTGCAGTGCCAATTCGCCACGACCCCCATACGACGGTACCCTTGACCAGGCGCGCCAAAGCCAGCTTCCAAGCACCTTCTTAGCTACCTGGTACCTGAGATGGGAAGGCCTTCTCATCTTCTGAACTTAGGTAGCTTTCCACTGCCCTTCAAGCTGACACTTGCACATTTTTCTCCCCCACTGTTTTCAGCCAGCTGAGAATAACAGCAGCACTCTGCTTCGGGGAACAAAGTGCCTCGAAGGTAGCGAAGAAGCAGGCAACCCGGCGGAACACCAGCTCAACCCGCCCATTCCAAATCTATCCTAGTGCCATCCCGCCCGCATGGTCAAGCTCAAGCTCGGTCCCACACACCCCACCGAAACTGTTCTGAATGGTGGGGTGCCGAGCTGCTAAGCGCCCGCACTTTGGAAAGTGGGACATTCCCTCCACTGGCGCGTCTCGAAATGTCGTGTCGTCACTTGCAGTGCAGCGACGCCAGAAACACTCCCGACGGGATGATTGGTCGAGGGCTTGCCGGCAGAGAGGGAAAGTGAAGGGGCAGAGGGGTTAAGCGCCCGGCGAAGCCGCCCGACTGCGGTACCTAACGTCCTGTACGGCAGCACGGGACCTAATTTGCCCAGTCAATGAGGCAGACCACGAAGCACTCAATGAACGCTTCCTTCTTCGAAGCTTCCGAAACTTTGCTGGATGTGGCAAGATCCCCGTGGACGTGACGACACCGCAGGACCGGCTGACGCTTTCGACAAGACCTCACAATGCCAGTTCGTCCCGCCTGCTCCTTCTGTCAAGATCCCGGCGAGGACACTGCCTCATGCACTTGGCCTGCGACCGAGCTGTGGATCCATCTGTCTGGCAGCCAAGGTCTCAAATCAGGATGTTCAGAACATGATTCCGGAGGTACGCGATACATAGCGTTTTCGGTGTAGAACCATTTGCGTAGTAGCAATGGGAATCTTCCATTCGGTCTCCCGGGTTTGCAGTACCTATTATGTCCTCGCAACGTCGACGGTCAACCGGCACTTCCGATTGGTGTGCGGGCTCGATGCCCGACTTGCAGAAGCTAATCGCAGACATATGTAACGGGCTCGTAGTACGAGGTCGAGCCGAGCTCATCCCAAGTATGGCCCTCTGTGATCGCCACGGTCCAGCGTACCAGGCGTGATGTGCGATCCTAGAACGGCTGAAACGACCGCCAGGGGCTCTTTTTGGCCCCCTTCGGATGTGACACTGCGAAACGGGGTTGCGGATGTCCACGTTTCGAAGGCCGCTGGAAGGTTTCGAAACATAGGGGGTTCTTGTGGGATCTCTATATTTGGATCTTTGGGTCGCCTCCCGAGTTTGCACGTGCGAGATGTTGAACGTCGACCCCTGATGTGGTTTGTTTCCTGCACCGGGGTTTAGTCGGGAGTCCAGTACACGCTGCGAACGAAGAGGCGTCTGTGAGACTATCGCGGAGCGAATAGTTTTGCGCAATATGTAGCACACGGCCTTGACTTGGGAGGTGACGTATGCTATTTTCAGAGCGTCGGCGCGCAGGCAATGATGAGCCGACCAGCTGATACTGAGAGAGGGCATGTTTTTCCAAGTCACGTCAGCCGCCGTACCTCGCGGGCCACCGCATTACACAGGGAGACACGCACACCCGCCCGGGTGAGTACGTTGATCCACAGGCGCTGGGTATCACTCAGTCGGTCGTTGGCGCTCTTGACTTCGGCAAACATGACCTCTCCGGGATGCTGGCCGGCGGTCTTGCTCTTGTCTGGCAACTCGTTGCTGCTTGCCCGCCAGAGTATGAGGTCCGGAACGCCGCTTCCACGAGCGTTGTATTCTTGCGCCATGACTTTGCAGACGGCAGCAAGCGCACTCCCATCGAAGCAGGTTACCAGTTCGAGGAGGTCTTCGATATCGAAGTCCCAGTTCAGCCCGACAACGCAGGTGCGGCGCTCGTGCTCTCGCTCGTACACCTCTCGCAATATCCGCTGGGCTTCGCCGTTTCCTATTTCCACCAGCCGGTGGTTTATCTGGCTCGCCCGTGCCGGGTAGAACGCGTCCGTGTGCAGGTCGAGTGGGCATGTTTGGTAAGCGGTCTGGAACACGTTGGGCACATATATGAAGAGCACGTCGAAGAAAAGGTAGGCGAACAGTGTCCGTAGAATGCCGCCCTCGCTGTGGTACCCTTTCCACCCATGGGAGCGGTAGTACGACAGGCACATCTCCTCAACGCTGACCTGAAGCGGTTGACCGTCTTCACCCGGATCAGCCAACTCGTCAAGCCACACGGTCTTGGTGCTCAGCCCGCGGCCATCTTTGCCCTTAACGCCCGAGTCATCTCGAACTAACTGGACGCCCAGCACAGTATCTTCCTCGGGTCCGCGCAGCTTTACGTGGCCGAAATCATGCTGGAGACGCCGGGGCACACGCAGCCTCTTCTCGAGCCTGAGGAGTCGTCTCTGTAGGTCGTAGTGGTAGATGAGATGGCAGTCCCTGTCCTCGAGAGCAGTTTCACAGGTCATCAACGCAATCCGCTGCCAGTGCTTCTTGCGCACCTCCGGGTCGCTGGAGACGAGGTCTCGGTCCACTTCCCACATATAGCGTTCTTCCAGCAGTGCCTTCCGTTGGTACCACGAACCGCGACGGGCTGGATGGAACAGGCGCTGGTGGAGAAGCTCGGTGAGAAGTGCGTGCTCTTCTCTGTATCTGTGAAGACGGCCGAGTACATGGGCCGCCTTGTGCGCGATTCGTGTGAAAGCATGGCCGGCACTGAACCGACGCAGGTAGCTCCCTTCGCCGGATTCGTAAACATGGTCCTCTCGGTCGTTCTCTTCCGCGATGAGCTCTCTCCACCGCGGGGCGATGCTCGTGAATACATCAAGGACTTTGCGGAAGCCTTCCTCCCCTGGCGGGCCATTGAACTCGAGAACTTTGTCGACTTCGTGTTCCTTTCTCATCGAGAGCTCGAACTCGAGGAGCTGACGCCGAGACTCGAAGATGTTGGACGACCGACCCACAACGTACTCTGGATAGTTTCGTCTCGCCATCTTGGCGAGAATGATGGTGGTTAGAGACTTCTCGGTCCACTCGGTCGAGCGGTAAAAGACTAAGTGCACACGCTCAAACAGCTTGAAAACGGCTTCTGACAACCTGATCAGAGGCCCGGTTATGGCAAGGATCTTGGCGAGAAAGTGACCGTTCCGATTCGTCTCCTGATGTCCTGGACTCCCGCTGGACTCTGTTGACCCGTTCGTGCTTGAGCGGCGGAGCCCGACAGCCATGAGGCCCGCTTGCTGGGCGCTTACACGGCACAGGGACTTGACAAGGTCGGCCTTGTTCTTGCCCTGGATCTTTGCGTCCTTGGCGAGCGCTTTCAGCTCTTCAAGACTCAGCAGCGAAGAGGCTTCCTCCATGGTTTTGATGCATGAGTCGGAGTCATCAGCGAAGCAAAACGAGTCGCCTAGCATCCACTCCTGCAAGTCCCCCATGGGCTCCACGTCCCACCGAGAGCCGCCGTCGTCGGGCAAGGGTCGGGAGCGCAGAAGACTGTCAATGGCAGCTGCCATGTCCGAGATGTCACTGTCGTAGCTCAGACGCTGAATCCGATGCCACATGGCGGTTTTGCGCAAGAACAGGCGGACATACCTGCAATATATGTTAGATGGATTCCGGCGGAAACAGGCAGGCGGCTTACAGATATTGGGCCTCGTAGCCGAGGGCTCGCCACTGCTCAAAGACGTACTTCTCCTTGTCGTCAAACAGATGTGCCTCATCTTCCAGAACAGTGTCTAACGCAAGGTTGAAGGCATCGACGTAGATTGAGCTTTTGCCTCGGACCCGCTGAGGATTGTCGATCCTGGTGGAAGCAGCATTTTCCTCCCCGAGTGAGGCCTGCGAGGCTCGTAAGGCCTCATACTCCTCGATGGCTTCCTCCTCTGTTACGATGGAGGGGAGTGAGAGGTCCAAGGCCGTCTGATGCTCTGCTTGGGCCAGTCCATGGTCGCCGCTTTCAGAGTCAGGGGTATGGATCGGAAGATCCTCCTCATCGTCGCTATCCTTGACCTCTCCAAGTCGCGGTCTCTTTTTTGGCGGCTCAGTAGCTCTCTGCGCTGAGCTGGACTCAACACGCCTGGTTCCTGGTTGAGCTTGGTTTTTGGCGGGTTTGGATCGTTGGAGAAAGCGATCCATTTTGCAGACAGCAGGAGTATGTAAAGGAGACCATCATGTGTTTAACGGATGAAAGAGGCCAGGCAATCTGGCTCGCCTACTTATCTTCTTATTTAGGCACAAAGTCGAGAAGGGGACAGAGAGCCTGAGGGCCCGCGTGGCGCTATTCCGCCGGACAGTCATGAAACGCGATGCCTCGTGACTTCGTGTCTCCGGTGGGGCTACGATAATCAATAGGACCACGGTCGACGTCCAGACTCCACACCCTTCAATATGATTCCAGAAATATTGGGCTCTTCAGCACTGGCACTTTGAGTGCGATTGCGACGAGATATCCAACCATATCAGAACAAGGAGCTCCATCATCAGCCTTAGTAGGAGCGCGAATCCGAGACAGCAATACCGAGAATATGGACAGCATTCCTCCACCCGCAACACACGATACCGCCATGACCGATGCGCCCGCTTTCCATACAGCTGTACGTCGCCTTCTTTCAGAAGCTTTGTTTGCACTCGCATGTTACGTTTCAGTTAGCTACTAAGAAAAGTTCTCTTTCGCTTTGGTTTAAAATTGCCTTGATTGCTTCCGTTATATCAGCCAAAAGCTAAACAAACATTCTGCAAACCCCAGCGACAACAACCGCCAATACAACAAGTGCAAACACCACCAGCTGCGCCATCACCAACTCCCACCCCCCAAATTCCAGCAGCAGCAGCAACAGCGCCGCCCTCAACTTCCCGCGCAGCCTCTACCCATCCAGAACCCGCAGTCGGTGGTAGCGGCATGCCGAGCGCTAGCGCCATCACGCCAGGCTTCGCGATGCCCTCGGAAGCGGCAGCCCACGGGGCGCCCGTACGACAGTACATCAACAGCAAGATCACGGGGGTCCTGCTGGAGGGGATGAAGCTCGTTGCCCGGGAGCAGTAAGTCACCCTCGCACCAACGGAGCCAAAAACAATGTGTCCCTGTGAGACGAGAGATACATAGGAAACCATCTTTCTTTGGGGTCCCGCGCTAGGAGAGATGCATTGGCAACGGGAACCGGGTAATGGACAGGCTAGATGCTGATACGATGAGCAGGCCAAAGGATCCGTTACGGGTGCTGGGGGAGTTTTTGCTGCAGAGATCGAGGGAATTGGAAGGGACGGGAAGGGCTGATATTTCTTGAGGGCCGACGTGCTGGTTGAGCCACGATGGCGTGGGTCGGTATGGAAGAACGGGCTGTCATGATGATGGGAACATCGACTAGGCGCGAAATGGTGAGAGATGCACACCATAGACACCCTGGATGCGGAGGTCAGGAAGAGATAGTCCAGTTGCTACCTTCACTGCTGCCTCCTGACATATTCATCGCGGCACGGCAAAAAAAAGGACAGGGAAATAGAGGAGCATGCTTTGCATTTATCTCCTCCAAGTCATCATCATCGCTTCAGCTCCCGTGCTTTTGCATGCCTGAGCGACAGCGATACATCGCGCCCCATTGCGATGCTCTAGAATGCAGGTATCCTTTCCATTCCCCCAACTCCAACGGCGCAAACCTGGCCAGCCGACGACTCCACACAGATGAGCCAGTTGGCTGCAAAGGGCCCGAGCCCTTCACAGTAAGCCCTGCCAGGCGACCCTTTCTCGACTCGGCGTGCGCATCATAGCCCTCTTGTTTAGGCGACGATGGTGCTGGCGGTCGAGGACTCGTACTTCCAGGTGGGCGGGAGGACACCGACGGTCTTGTAGTAGCGGGCCAGACGGTGGATACGGGACTCAATGAGAATCAGGCGGAACTTGGAGTCCTTGTCCTTACGGTTGCGCTCGAGGTGCTTACGGACGGCAACGGCCTAGGTCGGTTAGCACACAGACGCGGACCTCGTATGGATGTGGAGGTGAAGCATCCAGACGCCAAGCAGTAAAGACAGTCTGATTGATGCGAGGGGTCCATACCTTCTTGATGAGCATGTACAGGTCCTCCGGAATATCGGGGGCAAGGCCTGTCACACATCACTCTGTCAGCATGGTGACCAAACAGAGGCATAACTCCATCTCTTTCACATGCTCCGGTCTGGGAGTGCCAGTGCAAGCTCATGCTCTTGGCCGCAGGGGGCTCTCGAAGTTGAGGTGCGCCTTGTCTCATGTGTGTTCTCGATCCGACTCTTCCCATGGTTCTGGTGAAATGGCTCAATCCATACCATTGCTCTTCAGGATCCGGAGGATCTTGTTACCTGCGGTCGCATAATTGTCAGCACCCTACCCTCCAACGCCAGCGAGAGAATCCAGACATACCGGTGACGACCTTGACCTGGGCGATGCCGTGCGAGTCACGGAGGATGACACCAATCTGCGAGGGCGTCGCACCCTTCTTGGCGAGCTTGCAGATCTGGTCAACGACTTGCTCGGGGGTGGTCTTGAGCCACGCGGGAGGGTTGCGCGAGTAGGGGATGGCGGAGGCTGAAATGCCCTTGCCCTTGCTGTGAAGACGGCCCATTGTGACGGTGTTGTGTCGGGGTGGGAGACGGCGATCGGTGCTGTCGGTCCGTTTGTCGAGTTGGTCGCTGGCCGAAGAGGGAAGTCGACGAAAATCCCAAGTTTGAGAAGTTCGATATTCGTGTGGGCTAAGAAATTGATAGGGCCGAGGATGTGATTGGCGCAAAGGGCAGCTACACGTGACTTTAACCTTCTAGCTGTGTGGATCTGCTTGCTGCATTGAAAACGGGAAATTTTCTGCTTTTCTTCCAAACACAAGTACACACCCGCATCCTGGCCTTCGCGTCGCGCTTTGCATCACAACCATCGGGAAGCTGTTATCCTGATGCTTGAAGTTGCCATGTCGAAGGCAACCGACTTATCGTAAACTCATGTCCTTGTATGGTAGTATATCACCCTCTGCTCGGCGAAAACATTCCTCAACATTCTGGTATCCCAGCATCAGGTCAGTCACCAACTCGTCCTTTTCCTCCTTCACACACCGTTTTCATGATGATCAACACCGTCACTTTTTTATATTCTGGTACCTCTTATGCTAGGGCCCTCTGGGCTCGATGAATGAACTGGACTTCTGATTTCTTCGGCACCACATAAACTCTTACACGTCTCTGTCCTGTTGGCCACAGCTAACGTGTTGTAGACCTCATTCAGTGCTCCTAGTCGAACGGTAAACAAATTGTGTTCCGCTTCCCATTCATATGTAGAGCTCTGCCACTGTTGTGATGTCCAATGCCAGTGTTATCAAATAAAGCCGTCCTGATCTCAGTATCTTCCCTGGCAGTCAATGTTACAATTGTTGACCGAGGATCCCCAAACCTTATAGTCGCTCGCACTGCAGCATTCTGCTGTTACTGTAATAGTACATGTTGATAGACGCCGCTCTCCGCAAGAATGAGCAGAATCCCCGAATTCAAGGCCCAGAAGTGCTCCAAAGTCTCGTAAACAGCCCTATTCCGAGGCAATCGTCGCCTCGACGGAAGTTCCGCTTTAGTATACTGCCCCGGTCGTCTTCACTCCTTCTCCCTTTACCACGCATTCACATCGAAGTTCTCCTGTCCTGGGGTCAGCTCATGTCACACCCGATGGGGTGATCACCCTTACCTCGGGGAAATATGTCGCAACGACAGTACGATTGGAAAACTGCCTGCCTGCCAGTGCCTTCAGGGCCTTTGCCGCGACTTCTGGCGTCTCATATTTGATAAAGATCTTCCCCACGCCGGCCGACTGCCTGCTGCCGCCGGACGGCCTAGGAATCTTGAGCGATAAGATCTTGCCGAGCTTCTCACATTCTCCCTGAACATCCTCCAGAATTTCTATTGGCAAGTTAGCAAAGAGAGTGGGTGAAGCTTGGTGTGAGGGCGCGGCATACCTTCGTAATCGTCGTTATCGATCAGTTCCTCTGGCGTCACCATGTTCAAGAGCTGCAGAACCCTAGTGACTGTTGTATCGGTGGATGTCGTGCCTGCAAGCATGGACATGGCGTTGACGCCCATCTCTCCAGCCACCTGGGTGATGCCAATGCTGGCCTTCTGAACCTTCAAGGCGCGCTCGCCAAGCATCATGTTGTTGAGGCCCTGGATGGCGACGTTGGTGACGGACGGGTCGGCATACTCAAGGAATGCGATACCCTATTCAAGAAATAAGCGTTAGCTATTTCGCCGCGAATGTCTCTCCAGGGATCTGCATCTCTTACCCTTGACTCCTGCGTGCCATTATCCTTGACTAGCACAAATGATTTGAGTTTGCCGAAACTAACAAGCAGCTCCATGACTTGGTCATCCGTTAGGTACAGCGGAAGGTTTGTCACGCTGATCTTGTTCGGACTGTCGAGCACCACGCTTGATGGCACATCGGAATCGGGGTCGTAGTTCGGATCCTCTACCACAGCGGGCACGATGTAGTCCTTCGGCCGGCGAATATGCAGACCACCAGGCGCCGCATCGCTGCCATTAGCAGCATGCGCGTCGTCTGCCTCCATCGATATGCCATCTAGCGCAAGAGCCACTGTCGTATCTGTGCTGTTCCTGAACTCGAGCATAGCAAAGGAACGGTCGGGCGCAATGTGGCATAGCACGCAAGGGTCCGGGCTCTCGATGACGTTTAGGCCATTGAGTTGAAGGTTGAAGAAGTTGACCATGCTTTCTTCAGTAGCCGATTGTGGCAGGTTCTTGATAATCAGGCGCTTAGCCTGACGCGAATTTGTGGGTTTGAGGGCGGTGTTGTTGGCGGTACCGCCAGGCTGATTCATGAATGCCTGGAGCTTGGTCGGGTCCATCGCTTGCTGACGCGGCGCACCGGGAAGCGGGAACATGCCAGAAAGCTTGGCCTGCTCAGCTGTGACATTGTCGTACCCGGGCGGCTTGATATCCCATTGTGTCAAACGCCGCTTCCGTTCCAGAATGGGGACCACATCCGTGAGGTCAGGTGTCGGTTCGCGCTTCTTAGGGGGCGGTGATGCACTACGCCGCCGCTCCCGCTCCCGTTCCCGTTCATAGTCCCGGTCACGCCTGCCTCCACGACGGTCATCGATGATCAAGTCCCGGTCTGGGCGGCGGTCGCGCCTGTCTTCGTCGTCTCGCCGACTCCTGGCGCCCCGATCCCGGTCCCACTCCCTTTCGCCCCGGTCGCCTCCCCGGCGCTCCCGCCCCGAGTAGCGATCCTCGCGTTCACGGTCGCGGTGGCTTCGGCTGGATGAATAGGCATCGACATCGCCATCCTCGCGACGGGATCGGCCACTCCGGTAGTCGGGAGAACGCGATCTTCTCCGTGCACCCCCTCGGTCGCGTCTATCATCGCGGTCTCTTCTGGACTGTGGTGTAACCATGTCAGTTCCAATTAGTCCTGTCGTATGTTGTGATGTTGGCCAACGAACCGGGTAGTCGCGAGACGAGCCGTGTCGGCCGCTGTCTGTGTCGCGTCGTTAGTATCAAGTTGCGCCCAGTAAAAAGTGGAAGTATATACCTCTAGAGGAGTAGTTGTCTCCGTTCATTGTAGCTGCTGCTCCCGGCTGATGGAATTCAATGCGACGACTTTGAATCGCGAATACCAAGAGGGCCAGCGATGTGACAGCGTCTGCAGTTCACCGCGAGGCTGGAACTTTTTTGGGCCGGCAAGAATGCGGGTGCTTGCCACGCCAAAGTCTGCTTTTGGCTTAGCGGGGACCTTTTGTCACCCCTGTTCCCGTTCCTTCCCAGGATTTCATTCACCATTGGTCCATTGGATGAATCCCTCCCTCGCCTCAACTTACAGAGCACCCAGGAGCACTTACAGAATTTGGAGTTCAAATTCAATCCTCATCTTCCGGGCACCTGGAAGCCTTAGGATATCAATCTTTCACGACAGTCTTCTCATCATATCTCAACGTGGTTCCTTGTTCCTCCCCTTTCACTGTCGTAATGGGAGCGCACAATGTATCAGACTGGCAAAAGCTGCCACTGAGTCTCAGCGAGCTCTGTATCGAGACAACCCTTCGGTGTGGACGTATGTACATACATACCTGGTCTCTCTGTGTCTCTGACTATCGTTTAACTTTGATTGTCTCCACGACAAGAGGAGCACGTTGTGCTGATATGGCGTCACAGAATCGTTCCGATGGCGGAAAATCAACGATGAGTGGTGCGAATACCCTGGTTGCACGCTTGACGCCCGGGTTTGAGTCGCTGACATCCTTTTAGGCATTGTGTGCTCCGAGGCCGTATCATATCGCTCAAACAAGATGCCTCACATCTCCATTACAAAGTAACATGGCCCAACTACGCCCCTGGGCTGCTCACATCTCCGGTCTCCATGTCTTCCGCTTGCGCTCCCACCCTAAAGGACAACGACAGTGATGCTGAGAAGGATGACACCTACTCCCTTCTGCACAGCTACTTTGCCCTTTCTCACCCGTTATCTTCCCTCTACACGCAATGGGCTGCTTCCGACACCAACTTTGCCCGCCGTGCCCCGGCATTCACCGGCATCCGAATCCTTAACCAAGATGCCTGGGAGGCCTTGGTTGCCTTCATCTGCAGCAGTAACAACAACATTTCACGCATCAGCCAGATGGTCCAGAAGCTATGCATCCATTACGGTCCGTACATTGGGACCATTGAAGGGGAACCCTTCCATGACTTTCCAGGACCGGAAGCCTTATTAGGGAGCCATGTTGAAAGTCACCTTCGACACCTCGGCTTTGGCTATCGCGCAAAATACATCGCTGAGACCGCCTGCATTCTTTCAAAGTTCAAGCCCGCAGGATGGCTCCTACAACTCAGAAACCCGGCTTGCCCGGCATTCGACGTTTTAGGAGAGAAGTACGGAACGCCGGATATCAAAGCTGCCGCAGGACCAGCAACCTACCGCGCGGCCCACGACGCCCTTCTTGAGCTTCCCGGCGTTGGCCCCAAAGTTGCGGATTGCGTGTGCCTAATGGGCCTTGGCTGGGGTGAGGCTGTTCCCATTGACACGCATGTTTGGCAAATTGCGCAGCGCGACTACAGCTTTGGGAAGGGGAGCAAGACCAAGACGTTGAACAAGGCAATGTATGATGCAGTCGGTGACCACTTCCGCAGTTTATGGGGGACCCAGGCTGGCTGGGCTCAAAGCGTACTTTTCACGGCGAACCTCAAGTCGTTCGCCGAGCAAGCCTCCGCAGTCAAGCCAGAGTCTGGTGTGAAAGTGACTAAGGCGGAGAGCGCTGCGATGGTCTACGAACCAGCCTCTGCCGACCCAGAGGCAGCCTTGGTGAGATTTGAAGAGAACCGCGAACCTGCCATCGCGAAAACAAACAGCCGAACGAGAAAGAGGGCAGTAACCACGGCAAAGGTGTCAGTTGAAAGCAATACCAAGGTGGCCGAAACGTCACAGGTCGAGGTATGCACACGGAGGAGGAGCAAGAGGATCAAGGCGGCTGCAAGCTAGAGGCAGGCGCTCATCGCGTCGAGTTCAGCCGTGTTTCGGCAATGTACAGTACATGCATCTTCTCACGTGCTTGGGCTTGCGAGCAGACCGTCCATTGCAAAATTCCGTGGGCAGAGGATGGCGATCCCTGACTCGCACCAGCAGACTGTGAATCACGAACCCCTCCCCCCCCCCCGGCCAGGACACCAGCAGCTGAAATTGTCCACTACATTAGGGGCCCTCCGTCGAGGGGGGTGCGTCAACTCACTGGCGATATCATAGCAATAACCTTATCCATCTTCCAGCTCTGGTTCTGGCACAAGTACGGCGCCCGCCACCGAACATACGACAGTGCTACTAAACAACTGACGAGCACCAAGGTGTCGCTCGTGGATATGTACGGTGTCAAAGCCAAACCGCTCATTCTACGGACACAAGCAGCTGTCCCTGTTCAGCGGTTGGCCTAATCTCGGACCTGGCCGTGTGGCACAACCCTCACAAGCACAACCGGATCGCTGCTTGAAGCTCACGCGAGGACGCGAGCTGGCCCTGAGCGAGCTGGAGTTATAGGTGAGCCATCTAACGGTTTGCTCCGCGAAGGTACGGTGTCCACATGGGCAAGCACCGGAAGACATTGGCCCAATGCCGCTCGGTGTCGCCCACCTGCGCCTGCTCGTATCGGTATCCCGGGCAGCACTCTCTTGCGGGCGAAGTCTGAGGAAAGTAGTGCCCCATAGTGGGTGCTAGAGCGGTTTGAAGAGATGGGCCGCACCTGGACGAGGGGCAGCCTTTCAAGACGGATAGAGCATTGGATCTGCCGAGGCAGTGTCAGGCGGTCAAGTACCTTAGTCGGAACGGTACAATCCGGATGCCCCAGGACCTGGCTTGGTTGATGGTGGACCGGGTTGGTTGGCTTTGGCGAGCTCTGGAAGGGGTGTTTCTTCTTTGTCTGCGTCTTCTTGCAAACCGTACACCCGTCCAACGATTCTTTCCCAGTCACTTGAAGTATCACCCTTTAGCTTCCCACCTCGTCAACAACCCCACTTTCCACTGCTTAAACATCCGCTCTGACGGCGGCAGCAAGACATTACTCCTGTCAAGGTGTCGGATAACCTCCCCCAGCGCCTGAGCAGGCAAGTTGATTTCTTGCGCATCACACGTAACGGCTTCCAACATCTTGTCAGCTTCCTTGACGCCTATCGGCCGGTAGAGAAGCTTGATTGCCGGCGTCGGTTGCGGGGCGTCACTGGATGAATACACGATGCTGCTATTGAGAACCCAGACATGGATTGCCTTGTCGTCCGTTTCCTGGGCTGTTTCCGGTATTGGCGATATGAGTGACTTAGAGGACCCTGACCGAGAGATGGTTGAGATAAGCGTGGCTCCAAGGCATTGTGTGATGCCTGGGGCAGCGCCTGAGGTGGCCTTGCACGATATTTGCCACTTGAGCAACGTGACTGCGGCGGTTCGGACGTTGAAAAAGCCAAGCTGAGCACGGCAAGAGGAGCAGAAGATGTTCAGACTGCGGATTTGAGCGGTTGTAGAATCAGGGAACTCTAAGTTCTGTCGGTCTGTCGAGCCTTGCTCATAGCTGCCCAGGGAGAACTATAATGCAGCGGTCAGCGACTTACTGACCGGGAGTAGCAGGTAGTTCAAGTCGTGTATGTCCCTCCAGTAATCCCCGAGCATTCTCCACTTGCGAATGGTCTGGCGAAGCACAGAGGGCTGGTCGTCCACCGGGGGGAAGTGATCCATCCCGCAAGGGGAGGTTCGCAACCGACCCGTGGCCTGCATACGCAGGGAAGTGTGCCAGCGAGTTTAATCTGGGGCATTTGTATCGGTACTCACGCCATCAATGCGGTTCACGCCGGCTTGACTACCTTCTTGATGCCCATGGAAATGGAGTCCCTCGAGCAGCGCAGAATAGGATATTTTTCAGCAGGTAGCCTTCTCACTTGGTACTACCAAGCACTTACCACGATGTTTCGGCAGTCCTTCTCGGCAAAAAGTAGCGTTGTGAGGTCCACAAAGCCAACACCTTCTTGAGCTGAAATAACCGAGGAGGCACCATAACCTCTCGAGGCGAGGCTCTCTTCATCCGCTCTCCCACTATCTCCCCCATGGTTGTGGTGGTGATGGTGGTCTGGCTTGTGGCAATGCCAGAACTCCATCATCTCGGCCCAGTTCTCGCTGGGGAGGTCTTTCCATACCTTCGCCGAAAGGGATGGCACAACCTCAGTGCCGCACTGTCTGCAGGCAACCCCGGAGCCTGGATGTAGATCAGACGCTGACCAAGGTATAAGATCACCCGAAGAGGAAGGTGAGGCGGATGAGGCGTCGAGCGGCAGCCGCCATGTGAGTGTCGTGGCGCCTTTTTGTTTATCTTGGATGGGGAGCAATGTGCCGCCGAGGGATGCCTTGGCTGGAAGCGTCAGTTGACTGCAGTCATTGCGATGTCTGAGCTGGACAGTTCTGCAGTCGGACGACAGTGCGACCTGAGTCGACGCGTCGCTGGCTGAAGGGAGCGACGCAGCGAGGGAAATCTGGCGGATATTGGCGAGCAGCTCGGCGTAAAGAACCAAGCTGTCGGACAACCCCATTCCTGCACGTATGTTCTAACAAAGGCCTTCAGAAGAAGTGCTTCATTACTCCTGGCATCCGACTCTGTTGCTTGTGATATGCATCGAGTTACAGATGAGTGTCCGTAGATTGCGGGCTGACATAAGGTCGGTGGGGCCGTAAGGTTGCCAAGACCTTTAGCGCGGCAGCCTGTGAACCTCTGGCCGAAAATTCACACGTCAAAAGAGGCTCCATCGCGCATTGCTCCTTCGACTCGAACATCACCTCCTCTTTCCATCTCCATCGGCGATACGAGAAAAACGGCACGACGGCGTTCCAGCACGAATTAGCCGACCGACTTCCATCTAGCCAGCCAGAACGCATCTGCCCCGCGACATTGCCATACATCATCAATAAGTCCTACCGAATGGGATGAGCGCGCCGCCGAGCGGGCTGCAGCACCATGTCAGACGCCGAGTTTGAACAGATCCGAAAGCTCCAGGCCGAGCGCAATGCCGCCGCCGCTGCAAAGAAAGGTTCCCGGACCTTCGATGCATCAGGCCAGCGTGCCGACACCTCGACCAAGGCCAGCCTGAATGAAGCTTGGGATACGGATCTCTACGACCGCCGGAATGGCGACAAGTTTGCCGGCTACCACCGGAGCCTCCCTGCTGCTGACGGCGATGAGGATGAGGAGATGGCCGACGCGGACAACTCACGTCGCCTCGTCGGCCAGTACACCGCTAGCCGCGCCATTATCGATGAGTTTGCGCACGGTAATGGCGTCGAGGAGGATGACCCCCTGGCGGGCCGCGGCGAGCGAAGTAACCGCATTACAGACCGCGAGACAGACTACCAGAAACGGCGGTTCGACCGTGTCTTGACACCGACGCGCGCAGATCCTTTTGCCGCAGACCGCCAGGACGGCGCAGAGGCGGGAGATACCTATCGCGACATTATGGAGCGGCGAGAGATAGAGCGGGAGGAGGAGCGCGTCCGCCGTGCCATCGAACAGAAGATGAAGGACGGTCCGGTTGAGGAGCACAAACCTATGCTGAAGGACGCCGGGAGCGAGGAGAATAAAGAGAATGAGGATTCGGCAGGCACCGCCGGCCGGAAGCGCAAGAAGAGGTGGGATGTTGGCTCGACCAACGAGACGACGGGCGAGCAGGCTACTCCAGCGTCGGCCGAGCCCAAAAAGCGATCGCGCTGGGACCAAGCGCCTTCAGTCCCAGTCATCGGGGCTGCGACAGGAGCAGAGCAGCCAAAGAAGAAGTCAAGGTGGGATCAGGCTCCATCCGCCACCCCCGTCGGCAACATAGGTCTCGCTACGCCGGCGCACCCGTCCCAAGTGCCCGCGCTGCCTGTCGCTTTTGGCACGGACGCGTCGGGCCGCTACATGCCGCTTAGCGACGAAGAGCTGGACGCGATGCTACCCGGTGAGAAAGAAGGTTATAAGATTCTTGAGCCTCCACCGGGCTATGCTCCGGTACGAGCTCCTGCCCACAAGCTGGCAACGGCGCCCACCCCGGCAACGGGCTTCATGATGCAGGACCCCAGCAGCGCGCGGTTCGGCGCCGGCCAGCAAATCCCCAAAGAGATACCGGGAGTCGGCGACCTGCAGTTCTTCAAGCCCGAGGACATGGCGTACTTTGGCAAGCTGACGGATGGTGCCAACGAGGATGACCTCAGTGTGGAGGAGCTGAAGGAGAGGAAGATCATGCGTCTACTGTTGAAGGTCAAGAACGGCACTCCTCCGATGAGGAAGACTGCGCTCAGACAGCTTACAGATAACGCACGTAATTTTGGCGCTGGTCCCCTGTTCAACCAGATCCTCCCGTTGCTCATGGAGAAGACGCTCGAGGACCAGGAGCGTCACTTGCTCGTCAAGGTCATCGACCGGATCCTCTACAAGCTGGACGACATGGTGCGGCCGTATGTTCACAAGATCCTGGTCGTCATCGAGCCGCTGCTCATCGACCAGGACTATTACGCACGGGTCGAGGGTCGTGAGATCATCTCCAACCTCGCCAAGGCTGCCGGGCTGGCCACCATGATCAGCGTCATGCGGCCCGACATCGACCATGTCGATGAGTATGTGAGAAACACCACGGCAAGAGCATTCGCGGTCGTCGCGTCTGCGCTTGGTATCCCAGCCCTCCTCCCCTTCCTCAGAGCTGTCTGCCGCAGCAAGAAATCGTGGCAGGCACGCCACACAGGTGTCAAGATCGTGCAGCAAATTCCAATCCTTATGGGCTGCGCCGTCTTGCCCCATCTGAAACAGCTCGTTGACTGCATCGGACCCAATTTGAACGACGAGCAGACCAAGGTGCGCACAGTAACCAGTTTGGCCATTGCAGCTCTGGCCGAGGCTTCGAACCCCTACGGTATCGAGAGTTTCGACGACATCCTCAACCCCCTATGGACCGGCGCCCGTAAGCAGCGAGGCAAAGGCCTGGCCGGCTTCCTCAAGGCGGTTGGCTACATCATTCCCCTGATGGACGAGGACTACGCGAACTACTACACCAGCCAGATCATGGAGATCCTGCTGCGCGAGTTTTCCTCGCCCGACGAAGAGATGAAGAAGGTCGTCTTGAAGGTCATCTCGCAATGCGCCGCCACTGACGGAGTCACGGCCGGCTATCTCAAAGAGCATGTCTTGGACGAGTTTTTCAAGAGCTTCTGGGTGCGCCGGATGGCGCTCGATAAACGCAACTATAGGCAAGTTGTCGAGACCACGGTCGACATCGGCCAGAAGGTGGGTGTCAGCGAGATCTTGGAGCGGATCGTGGGCAACCTGAAGGACGAGAGCGAAGCCTACCGCAAGATGACGGTCGAGACGGTCGAGAAGATCGTGGCGTCTCTCGGCGCGGCCGACATCGGCGAGCGGCTGGAGGAACGGCTCATCGACGGCATCCTGCACGCGTTCCAGGAGCAGAGTGTCGAGGACATCGTGATGCTCAATGGCTTTGGGTCGGTAGTGAATGCGCTCGGCACCCGGTGCAAGCCATATCTCCCCCAAATTGTCAGCACCATCCTATGGCGTCTCAACAACAAGTCCCCCACTGTCCGCCAACAAGCCGCCGACCTTGTCTCGCGGATTGCCATGGTCATGAAGCAGTGCGGCGAGGACGCGCTCATGGGCAAGCTCGGCGTGGTCCTCTACGAGTACCTCGGTGAAGAATACCCCGAAGTGCTCGGCTCCATCCTGGGCGCCCTGCGCTCCATCGTCACCGTGGTCGGCATCAGCCAGATGCAGCCACCCATCAAAGACCTCCTGCCGCGGCTCACCCCGATCCTCCGCAACCGTCACGAAAAGGTGCAGGAGAACACAATCGACCTGGTTGGGCGCATCGCCGACCGCGGCCCGGAAAGCGTCAACGCGCGCGAGTGGATGCGCATCTGCTTCGAGCTGCTCGACATGCTCAAGGCGCACAAGAAGGGCATCCGCCGGGCGGCCAACAACACGTTTGGTTTCATCGCGAAAGCTATCGGTCCGCAGGACGTGCTGGCGACGCTGCTCAACAACCTGCGGGTGCAGGAGCGCCAGTCCCGCGTCAACACGGCCGTGGCAATCGGCATCGTGGCGGAGACGTGCGCGCCGTTTACGGTGCTGCCCGCGCTGATGAACGAGTACCGCGTGCCGGAGCTCAATGTGCAGAACGGCGTGCTGAAGTCGCTCTCCTTCCTGTTCGAGTATATCGGCGAGATGGCAAAGGACTACGTCTACGCCGTCGCGCCGCTCCTCGAGGACGCACTCATCGACCGCGACCAGGTCCATCGCCAGACGGCCGCCAGCGTGGTAAAACATATCGCCCTCGGCGTCGTCGGGCTGGGTTGCGAAGACGCCATGGTCCACCTGCTCAACCTGCTCTACCCCAACCTCTTCGAGACCAGCCCGCACGTGATCGACCGCATCGTCGAGGCCATCGAGGCGATCCGCATGGCGGTCGGGCCGGGGCTGGTGCTGAACTATGTCTGGGCTGGGCTCTTCCACCCGGCGCGGAAGGTCAGGACGCCGTACTGGCGTTTGTATAATGATTGCTATGTGTGGGGCGCGGACGCGATGGTGCCGTACTATCCGAATCTGGTCGAGGAGGGCATTGATCGCGGGGAGTTGGCCATTGTTCTTTAAGCAGCGTCTAGGATATGTTTTATCTTTCTTGTAACTGTTAAACTGGGAGAGGCGGGCAGTCAGAACCGCAGCAGCGAAGGTTCCCTTCTGCCTAGCGTTTGGCTGAAGTGAGTGCTGCTGTTAGCGCTGGGTAAATGAATACATTTTTGGTACACTTGGAACCCCAGGCTGACTCCCATCCTCTCTTCATGATATTGAGTTCTGCCAGAGTAATCCTGCTGCACCCCAGGGCAGTTTCCTCTCCACGAAGGGGCACTTTGAACAGCCATGCTCCCTGAATAGGGGTAGTCGAGAGCACGGAGTCTTTGTCTGGGAGACTCCCAGCCTGCACCGACAAAGACTACCGTAAAGACATGTATGCGTTCTCCACAGATACGCAACGAAGTCGACCCCGATTGTCTATACCAGAGGGGACGACTGGGGCCCCATTACCACAGGCAGAGCAGGACGTGTCTGGCGTATCCGGCGCGCATGTCAGATCACAGGAGGATTCGATGATAACTACCTGTCACGGATAATCCAAAGAAGCCGCTCCCTGTTTCTTAGCATCCTCGATTGGGGGCATTTCTGCCTTCTTAGTCCCTGGTTGATGAAGCGGGCCGGGAGAACTGACGATTGCATGCTGGATGTTTTTGATGCAACAGGGAACCCAGAACTACTATGGACAGCTTCTGCGGTTGGCCTTTGGTCTCTCTACTTGTCTCTCTACTTGTCTCTCTGCCTTCCCCCTCATAACAAAGCCTTTATAATACTTAGTCACCAATTCGTAGTACGTACCGTATGTAGCATGTGACGGACAAACGATGATACGTAGTGTAATGCGGAATTGGTCTCGGTGATGTTCAACCTCACCTGCCCATTGACCCCTTTTTCCTCTCGCCCGGAGCCCGTAGAATGAAAGGACGCAGGCGAAGCCGACGGTGGGTTATCATGAATCCCGAAGCCAACTAACGTTAACTGTGTGGTGGGGGACGATAGCACCCCACATTTGTAGTCATCCACCGTTCAGAGACCGGGAGGCGTATCTGTATCGTGTTAGCTCGCTGCCCTTCCCCCCCCCTTTCCTCCCCCTTGCAAAGACAAACAGGCTAGATGCCTGAAGAATGATGATTCAATCTAATCAGCAGGCCCAAACTAAGCATGAAACTCCCGTCGATGATCATCTCTTTTTTGCTCGATTCTCCATCCGACCTCGTGGGACGACTCGTGGCAGGATGATCGGCCGATGAATAAGTTCCATACTCCAAAGAAACGTGCTTCTCCCGCGCGGGCCTCGACAAGACATGTACATTACCCTAGACTCGAAAACCACGCCATTATTGCCATACGGTTGCTGAGCTCGACGCACGAATGCCAACCAGGGGAACCAAGCACACAGCAGACTTGTTGGACCTGCATGCTTGTGTGTCCCTGCCCCCCTATCCACTCACTCACTTCACTCACTCGCTCGCTCGCTCACCTCCATACCACACTAGACGCGAATAAAGACCGTACTTAGATGCCGAGCAGTCAACCTGGACAGGAGGTGGGATTTCATCAACATCACGCTTTACACGTGTAGATTATTTCTCTTCCCCGCCACCCCCCCTCCACACTGAGCAAGAATGGCTCTTCCAGCCACACAACTTAGTTATACTTCGTACAGTATCTCCAATTATCCACCATGCTCCTTGCCTGGGGATCCTTCTGATAACTCCACCACACCCATAACCCAAACCACTGTGGTAAAAAAACAAGCAAAGGGGCCAAGCGTTTGAACCTGGATGTGCCAGGAGTGGAAAGGGAGGTGGGTAGTGGACTAGTACCACACTCCCTTGCTTACTTGCCGTTCACGAAGACATGACAGTCACGGTAACCTCCTGTTGCGTCAGGTATTAGTTGGCTCTTGCGTAAGCTACTGTAGTTGCTTAGCCACTGAGGACGAGGGAGTACGGTGCAGTATATCTACGTAAATATGCTTCAGCACAGCCCCGAGCAGAGTTCACAGTGGAGTAGTGCAAGTTGCTTGTGTTTGTCCCGCAAGTGCCGAATGGGTACGTTTGTACTGTATCCGTACTGAGCAGTAGTAGCGCGGCAATGGAAGTGGCGAGAAAAGGGGGCGTGCAGTAACTAGCTGCAATAAGGATGTACAATACGTGCTGTGCAATACATGTGCTGTGCTGGATGTGACTGCAGCAGCCTGCGAGTCCATCGGCGGCCGTCACACCGGGCGAGAAGGCCTGACTGACGCTTTGCTAGCTCTTGCAGGGGAACGGACGATGCCTTGCTGTGTGATATGTATGTACTGTAAGCCTTAACCTATGGACTAGGTAGGAGTTGAGTGTACATGCAACAGGGCTGGCTTGCCGTGAGTCCAGGGTTGATGAGGATCCATCCGGGAGACGCGGGGCCGGGAATCCAGTTCACTGCCTTGCCAGCTTGCTCCCTGTGCTGCTGCGGCGGCGGATCATGAGGCAGAGCCAGCAGTGATGGTGGAGATAGAGGCATCACCACGCAAACCACCGTGCGTGGCTCTTGGTGGCAGCGCGCACAGAAGCATGCCCAAAGTACATTGGCGCAAGACATACACGTATGTACATTGTACATACAATACATACCCAGATGTTTGCTGAGTCTTAGCTTCGCCACAGCTTCTGCCCCCAGCCCTCCACGTATGCTCGCTCGTCAGCTCCCGCATCCGTCGGGCCTTGGCCCCATCCCATGCTGATGAAGAGGCGGAAGCAACGATGTGATGTTGATGTAGTCGCGTTTCTGTCCTACCTGGGCATGCATGTTCAGGGAATCCTTGCGCTAACGCAAGTCGTCAACTACCGTCAGCGTGACAAAGGCAGGCCAGTCGAGGCCAGAGGCAGTCCGTATCAGCAGGCCACAGAGTGGGCCGGCGCTGCCGGGACCTGAACTACATACCTAGTTGTCGGTATGTGTGTCTCAGAGCTGTACGGATACAGATATGTTTAAACTATACAGACAACGGGGGGTGTGTATGTATGTAATCCGTACACTACGTATGTACGGGCTGCGTTCACCAGCAACCTCGACACTGGAGGTGAAAACGGATCGACAAGGCCCCTTCTGTCCACTCACCGCTACTGTAGCTGCCCCCCCGGCTCGGGTCGCTGTTCAGTTAGCAGCGTGATGAGAATTGTGAAGGGGCGCATGGTTGGTCCGGGGTTGAGGGAGGACTTAAGGACCTTCCTTTCTGGTCGCGCCGAGCCTGAAAGCACGAAGCCTCGCATGTGCGGTTGGAGAATAATAAGGCATGCGTAGTCTGCTTGTCCCAGAAGACTAAGGCGATGTGGATGGGCCCGGCACTGAGACAACGTGACCCCAGTGGGTCACTGGCAGTGGCACAAGAGGTCCGTCCCACGGCATGTCTCGGGGAAGGGGGATCTCGTAGGGCAGAGAAAAACTCGGCGTTGCTTCGTCTCGCGCGTCTTGACGAACAAGCACGGGGCGAAGGAACCGGGTGGGCTCGGATCCCGTCCGCGAAGCGGACTCTTCCAGTTCCCAGCCCCATGGCATCTCTTGGGGGGGGGGGGGGGGGGGGGTTCCGGCATACAGGCCACAACCCTGCGTAGCGCGCACGATCCTCTCGGGCGGGGCGGCGATTTCACTGGCCGAAAAGGCCAAAGCCAGCGAAAATTGGCTAGGACAGGCCGTCGTGCAATCGATACTCAATCAACAGCTCGCTCGGCCGACTGCATAACGTTAATTCCCAGCGCACAGACACGTGCTGGCGTCAACCCACTCTGATGAGCACGTTCCTGAGCGAGCCCATGGCCCAAGTGCCAGGATGTAGGTGCTGAGGAATGGACGTGCACCACGGCATATTCCGTTGCTGACGGTGAGGCTCTGGAGTTCGGTAATTTGGCCTACCCGCCAAGCGGCCGGCAATTGTGAATCGTTTTGATGAGGTTGGGGACGAGAGTGGAGCCGCCTTGGGTACTAGTACACTAGTATTGTTGTACATACACAGAGCATGTAGTGGGAAACAGCAGCCACACGACAATATAGGGGAAAGCCTCCAGAAGCGCCTTGATGAGGTTTTTGGTGATGGTGCGTCATGTGGATATGCCGCGCAGGGGCCCCACCCCCGGGAAATATGAAACACAAAGAGATCGAGATTAGCTATGGCACAGTCTCAACGACAAGACTCGGTCCGTTCTTGTGCCGCCGTCTCGAGTCCAGGATCTCATTGGCGCGTGCCGTGACTGATGAGAGTCGAATTGCGCCAGATATAAGGGGTTATCGACCGGGCTCTGCAGCCTTGCTGCGCCAGGCTAAGCACTCCCGGTACTGCCCTGCAACAAGCAATGCACTCGGTTTGCTTTGTGAACACTCATGCAAATGACCCTCGAGAGATTCCTAGAATGCGCGTGTCTCGGCCGGGCCCATATCTCAATGGTCGCCAGAAAGCGCACTGATCGCTTTTCATTTCTCTTGCCTTGGCGAGCAGCCACTTGCTTTCGTCGGCGGCGGCCATCATTAAGCCGGGTGATAAGGCCCCCATGAAAAGGGGAAGAAAGTTGCGGTTACGCCTGATAATTGCGGTTGCACCTGATGAAACGGGGTGAATAAAAGCAGTGATAAGCTACCTACCTACACGTGTATGCGAGAGAGATCGGAGTGGAGGCACAGGGCGAAACCACCTCGCTGCACGACAGAGATCTTGACAGATGCGCGGCGTGTCGATCATGATGTGGAGGGTCGCCCGTCCAGGGTTGCGCTCATTGCCGGGTCTTGGCGGCGCAGAAATGGAAAGGTGAGCAACCCAAATCGAGCAAGCAAGGGCCCCAGCCAGGGTCGCCGTTGCCTGCCATCCGTTTACGGTATCCCGTGATTTTCAGATGGAGGACGGCAAGATAGATGAGGTGGCTGCTGTGCATAGGTACCATAGCAGTGTAGCGCAAAAAAAAAAAAGGGGGGGGGGGTTGGTTTAAAGTTGTTTTTATTAATCTGGTCCGCATTTCTGTTAGTTGGGCTCTCCAGGCGGCGAGCTCAGATTGGCTGCAACTCGCCTCTGTCCCCATCACCCCCTTTTTCAACCGATGAAGCTGCAAGATCCCTAAAGAGTCTTTTTCAGGCCATTTTTCGATCGGAATGGGGAGTCAATGTTGGGTTGAAGGGCCGATTTCAACCCGGCTGGATGCAGCGTGGCGTTCTTGATGGCGTTGGCACGGATTGGTCCCGTTGAACAGAGCCAAGTCGGTGATCTCCCTGAAGCCGGGCGCCATCCCGTGATCCTCCTCTGCCCCTGTCCTGAGCCCTGACCTACCTTGCCTTGCACTAGCGGCTCAATAATGGAAATACTGTACTTCCGTACTGTGGCACATATATGTTACAGTAGGTAGGTACGTACCTTATGTACCGGGAGGTTGTGGTTCCCAGAGCCGCAGTTGTGTCTTCGGGCTATCTCCACAACTCACCATTGCGACATCCGAGACTACCACCCAAGCTGCCGGGTTGTTCCTGTGGCACGGATAAATAAGATGATTTCGCACTGACCCGGTAGATTGCTACCAATGCCACCGTGTGACCGCTAAGTATGATGAGATTCTCGTATCAAGGGAAACGTGATATGAAAAGCTGCAACTTCAACGCTTGGCGATCTGAGAAGGTGAGAAGGGCTGATACCATACACTAGTTGCCTGCAGAGCAAGTTACTACCTACCTACCCACCTAACCTGGAAGTTATGTCGCCCTCTCTTAGTGTACGCCATGGCCAGAATAGCCATATTATCCAGCATAGCTGAGTCAAACCCAGCCGCCAGACGGACGGGGTCGGTTACTGGCAGCGATACATACATGTGGCACATATCCGTACCTACTTAGAGTGACTTATACGTAAGGGGGATATCATCGCGCCTATCGAGGTCACCTAAAGGATCCAATGTATCCATATCATCGTGAAAATATGAATAATACTAAGCGGCTCAGAAACAACCCCGGCCTTTCACCTCCACCGTGCTGTTGCGCTTCAACATGGACACTAGTTAGTAGTCATCATCGTCGGGCCTCACGACAAGGTCGAGGCGGACTGTGCGTACACAAAGACCTACGGTACCTGGCAGTGCTCATTTCAACATTTCGACAACGTGAGAAAGAGTTCATGATCCTGTGACTGCATTCCGCGGGAGTGCGCCTCCCGGCTCTTCCTCGCTCAAATTTAACGGGCCCAGCCGCAGTGGCGCACCGAGTGTGCACAACTTTCCTGTGGTAGGTCGACCGTTGCTAAACCGGCGTTCAATCTTGATCCCCTCGGGGAACCCTGTCGTTCTGTAACATACCCCTGCACGTAGATCGTGGTCCGTGCGTCTTTCCAGCAGTGAAGATGGATGGCTTCAGTTCCACACTTGCTCCTGCCAATCTCTTTTCCCCGGCATATCGAGATGAGGTGACTTTGAATTCTCACATCATCAATCTCTCAAAATGACCCCGAGATTCGGACGAGCCGAGAAACGACACGTGAAGTCCCAGCATCTGGGGTCCGGCTGGTTCGTTACTGTCGATCAGGAACCGTTGCACATTGCTGGCTGGTTCCTGATCCGCGCCCGGTGCCTGACAATCACTCGTCATGTGAAGCCGAAAGCGCATGAAGCCTTCCGTTGGAGTCATTGGGCCATGTGCAAGAACCGGTGATATCAGTGGACGCCATCTCCCCTCATAACAGGGCAAATTCCGAGACATCCCCTTCCACCTGCGAAATTCGGCCTGGCGAACACTGCACGGAGGTATGTAGGGTCGAAATGGCTGAAATTTTGTGCTGCCTCTCCAATCTCTCCGCAGTCGATACCGGACGTGGTGAATGCTTCGTGTCTCAAAATCAGGATGAAGAGCCAATGTCGGGCTGAGGGTTGACTTGAAATCGGCGACCTACCAGGGTGCCCTGGTCACCGCTGCTTCCCGTTCTGGTTTAGCTTGTGTAACTAGTGCTACTGTAGGTAAGTTTGCTGTGCACGCACGAACAGAAAACAGAACCCTTCCAAGACCTCAACCGACGACCATCATCCCACCGCGAGCTTCAGCTCTTTCTCAACCTTAATGGACCACATATCGAACGCCAACCGCCACCAGTTGGGTATTTGGTAGCACGCAGCAGATTGCCTACGCTTCCCGAGATGGCCGTAGAGCTCATCTTGACTTCCAGTTTATCTAGATCCCCTGGGCTGCTATCCCTTTTCTCGACCTGTCATCATCTCTGTTGGGATGCCGGGATTCTCCAAGGGACGTACCCCACCGGCTGTGCCGTCATTGGCAGTTGAATGCCGGTGGCTTGCAGGGAATGCTGCGGGACCGGGCTGCCGTACCCTTGCTTTCTGGTGGGATCGATGTGGGCTCGCCCACCATTGCGTTTTTCTTCCTGCATATTCCCGATGCTGGTCAACTTCTGCTGAGGTCGCCGGTAACGCAACGCAGCGACGGACGAAGGAATACCGTGACCACGACAAAACCGTCCGCCCGGGGGTGATTCAACTGGCATAGCGACTGCAAAATGGAAAGAGAGTTAGTGGCCCAAGGCTTACCGTGTAAGAAGGTTGCAGAATCATGATATCCACACATGACTGCGCACCTGGTGGACTTTGATGCTCGGACAGCGGTGAGCGCCATTGAACGGCCTTTGTCCACCAAGCGGTAGAGATGTGAGAGAGGCTGGCAGGCATCCGTACATGTCCGTTTTGCGTGGGCTCCGTTCCGAGCCGACTAGGGTGCCGTTTTGCAGGCAGTTGCTCGTAGCCTGAGTACCACAGTGGTATGCGATCCGCAAAGACACAACAACCGGCGCTAGAATGACCTCTCGTTTGCTCAACCGACTTCTGCGTCATATCCGCTGTGACGATACTGGTACTACAGGCGCACCGCAAAAATCTTGTTGGGTGATGTTTTGTTTGGCAACCACGGCGTCGAATCAGAGATCGTTGGGCCTCCTGCAGAGGTTGGAAAGACGTCACAACTTTCCCAAGGAAATTGCTCGAGAGCCCCCTTCCGTGTTCGTTCCGTGTTGAGCGTTGGAGCTGGTCCACTCTGCCACAACACAGCAGTGGGGAAGGCTCGCGGTCGAACTGGGAGGAAGATAAGTCTACAGTGCTGCGGGAGATAATTCCTCGAAGCTGTGTAAAGCAGGCTGAGCTCAGTGAAAGTTGTAGGCAGGAGAAGCATTGGTCAGAGTCATGGGATATACGGAGTAATAAGCCACGCGATGTCGACTCTCACCTATGGTAAGCTCGACGCACGATACTATAGGTATAGGTTGTGGTAGCTGATAGATATCTCGGGGAAGGGGACTCTTCCTCTTACGGCGAGGGTATTAGTACGCTGCCCAATTAGGTCTAAGCACAGTTCACAAGACCCCTCAAAAACACCCCACTAGCAGACCCACACATCTGTTTGCTCCTGCCCAATGAGGTCTGGCTTCCTTCCCTCCCGGCATTGTCGAATGGCAATTCCCCCAATTCGATTCCTGCCAGTTCCCCTGCTTGAGAACCACAAAGCGGAGCCTGCACTGCTTGCTTACCCGACGCGGCCGCCTCGCCAGGGCAATGCACACAAAGCATCCAGGTGCCAAAACCTGCTCTCAGCACACCCTCAGCTGCCTCTATGAACACAATGAGCAGGCCGGCAGCGTCACGACAGGGGGAAAACAAGCCCTTGCGCCCAATTGGGCTCCCGCAGCTGCTGATATCGACCGTGAAATTGCAACCTTGAGCAAGCCATATCAAGAGGTAGTCCCTGCATGAGTTTCTTGGCTAGCCCGAGCGGATCTCACTTACCGGTTTGTTTTTGTGTACTGTGTATTGTAATTTTCCGGTTGGAAGTCCAGCATTGTAACAGAAAGCCGACTGTGTCGAAACTGCCTGATCTGAATACCACCTAATGGGTAGCTCAACCAGCAGACATACCAAGGTCCTTGGAGTGGCAGGCTCCTGCCGATGGCCCATCTTCGGTTTTCCACGAAGAATCTCTCTCAACCACGAACAGAACAGCTTGCACACTGGATCAACCTGAGTATAGGCAGCCACGCCTCTGTCTACAGCACTATACAACAGTGTAGAAGCGGACATATCAGCACCCAGACGACAGGACGCGGTAATATCCCGCGAGACCCGCAGGTTGCGTCGTGGCCAGTCTGGCAGGGTGACCCTGACTCCAGTGCCACTGCATCACCCCCGTCTTTTGCCTCTGGAGCCCTGCTCTGGGTGGTGGTTTTCTGGGTGGCCATTGACCGCTGACTTCATTGTTTCCTCCCCGGGGTGAGTGGAACCGCCCCTCGTTAAAGCTTGGCCGTCCTCCCTCTGTTGTTCTGACTCCCTCGCTGTCGCCGAAGAAGGCCATCGCCCAGCGAGCAAAAACTCGACCGGAAGGCCGCTTCTCACTGCTGGGCCGGCATTTGTGCAGCTGCCCCAACTCTCACACTTTCGGTTGGTGTATTCGAACTGGCAGCCCGCACTTACACAAGTACACTACACGCCTCAGATTGACGTCAAATCCCCGGATCGTCCTCAGCAAGCCCTTGTTTCGACGTGAACCCACGCCCTGTTCTCCCTAGTTTGGCTAGTTCCGGTGCGGTTTTGATCTCGGCGCCGTCTCGCCAGGTACCGGACCCACGGCCCTAGGTTGGTTTGAGCGTCCTTGCGTCAAGCATCACCGGATCTCGAAAAGAAACCACAGGTCCACATTTCACATCGCCTGGTGGCTGATCTCCCAGAAGGCAGAGAGAGGGCGTGCCACCCCACTGCGTTCACCCCTTCCCTCACGGCTTGAAAGCCCTGCTCCGCGCCATTCGGACGACATCCCCGCCCAAGTCCCCCCTCGTCCCAATTGACAAGCGTACCCTGGCAGGGGCCCTTGGGAAGGATATTTCACGCGCCGATCACTCTACCGGGTAGTCGTCAGAAGTTGCTTGAAACCCCATCCACACCCAGTCCCGCCTGGCCGAAGAGGGCAATAAGGTTCAGACCACTCCTGCTTGACCCCTCGACCCTCGTGTGAGCCCATGCTTGCGCATGCCACCCGCGTCAATCCTGTTGCACCCCTCGAAGACACTTAAGGGCGCTGATCCGTCCTTCTCGACTCACAGCCGCCACGCTTGATCAGCATCGCTACTTCTGGTTGATCTCACTTCCAAGTCGGACCGGAAGAGAGACCACCACGCCGACCGCACTATCGGGTATTCACCATGACGATGACCGTGGATGACCACAGCCGGCGCCGCTTCGGACCACCCCTAGGCTTCCACCATATGCCTTCGTTCACTAGCCAGCCGCAGTTCTCAGACCCTTGGCACTCGTCGCCGTCCCCGACGGGACCGGCCCCTCCAGGCGCGGGCCAACACGGGCTGTACACCGGGAACCAGGACAGCGCCGGTCTACCTCACTTAAACCTCGCGGCCCTCCCTAGGCAACCGCCGAGCTCACAGCACCCGCACCCTCCACAACAGCCGCAGCACACGGGGACGACAGGCAGCGGCAGCTCCATGGCGCACTACGGCTCTCTCCCCGTCTCGGCGGCATCAGCAGGGAGCGCCCCGATGGCAGGCGTCTACAGACAGCACGATCTGCTCTCGTTGCCGCCAGATCCTTTCAGTCTCAACCGAGTCCCGCAGCCGCCAACGTCGGCGGGCTACGACAACTCATCATACACCAGCGCCTCGTCCCCGGTGAACGCTACGTATGCAACAACTTCGGCGTCCCCGTACGACCAGCTGGGTTACGCGCCGGGGCCGATGAGAGGGACCTTCTCCCTCGGGCATGAAGACGGCTCGAGGAGGTATTCGCAACAGTTAGTAGCCTCCAGCTTGTCGGAGCTCCGCCCCCCTTCCGCCGAGGGCGGCACAGGCGGAGGTGCGCCGGGGTTCACGTTTTCTGACTATGACCACAGAGGTTTGCCGCCAGACGACAGAAGGAGCTTCCAAGACGCACTGGAGGCCAGCCACGGGATGCTCTCGATGAGCCAGGAGACGCCGAGAAACATCTACGACGTACGCAACAGGGGCCGAGGCTCGGCAGACTCGTACGGGTTCCCCTCGACGCACTCGTCAACTTCGAGTGTATCATCGGCCGGATTCAGCGGGTACTATGGGGGCTCCATCGACGGTTCGGTCAGCGACTATTCGGCAGCCGGCTCGGACATCGAGTCGCTGTCGGGACGCACTCTCCCAAGACCGCAGGGCCTCATGTCGGCCCAGCCGCCGGCACCGCAATCGATGATGGGCTCGTTCAGCTCCAGGGTGTCGTCCAGCGCGCAGAAGAAGCACAAATGCAAGGTCTGCGACAAGCGCTTCACCCGGCCTAGCTCGCTACAAACACACATGTACAGCCACACGGGAGAAAAACGTAAGTAAACCCGGCGTATTGCCTGCCCAACCGAGCCCAAGCTAACCGAAAACCACACAGCGTTCGGCTGCGAGGTGGAAGGCTGCGGCCGCCGGTTCTCGGTGGTCTCCAACCTTCGTCGGCACAAAAAGGTGCACAAGAGAGGGGGCGAGACACCGTCAGACACGGGTTCCGATGACCACCGGTCACCTTAGGAATGGTGTACTAGTTTGCCTTGGATTGGCCGAACCAGTCCCTACCGCACCTCGCCCTCCAACTTGATGCGCGACGACTCCATACATAGACTTGAGACATACGACCTTCTCTACTTCCGACCACTCGCTGCATGCGCCTAATTTTTCGACACCTGAACTTGAAGACCAAAGAGGAAAGCACGTGACGTTTCCTCGCACCCGAGTCGTCACCCTCGCCGGCTGGCGGCGTCCCACGCCCGACTCTACCTCTCTCTCTCCCTCTCGCTTAGAGTTACTTCACATACACTCTTTTAATAATCTGGAGCCCGGGCATCCTCTGACGGTTGGGGCTCAGGGGCTCCCCTTCTAGCAGGCGACCGGGGATGCGATGCCTTGGCGATACCCTCATGGATCGGCGTTTTGGGTCATTTATACTGGGTCGTTGTCCGTATGGTCGGGTTGATATGGTCAGGCCAGTTTCCTTCGGTTCCCTCGCTGCATGTGTTACATTCTCCTGTTCCATATCGGCCGTCAAAACGGGTTCTTTCTGGGAGTTTTATGGGCTGGGATGGGCTAGGATTTCCGGAGGGCGGGGTTTGTTCATCCCATGACACAGGCCGCAACGTACACGATTTGTTGCCCTGAGACGATGTGGAAGATGCGTTCCGGGCTGTCTATTCTGGCGGATGACGACAAGGAGTTGGGGATTGTACAAGCCATAGATGCAGGTATATTGGCCTACCTTATTACCTACCTACCTACCTTACCTACCAAACCACTACCTACCTAGGTACCTAATCATGTACTATTACCAATACCTCTCGGTGCGCCCACCCTTCTTTAATGGAGACGGCGGCCGAAATGAGGCAAATAATACCAAAGATAATCCCAATCCCGTCGGGCAGTGCCTGGCTCGAGCCTGGTTCCAACTTCCAGTCCTCTTTGTGGCAAAACCCCTATTCGGGTGTCTTTCAAGGAAGCAAGCAAGCTAGCTAGGAGCACCTTCCCAGTTGCACCTCGGATTCCTTCCGTGCCTCGTACCCACCGAGTATTAGCACCGCAGGTCCCGGTCATGCCAGTGCGTCCTCCGGCCTGCATCAAAATGGGAATGACACCTGGCCTCTGCTCTCGAGTCCTCCAAGGAACCATTGGGAACCAGGCTATCCATTGCATCATGCGCGAACTACTACGGCCACACCTCATCTAGGCGCCGTTTCAGGACAACTGCGCTTTCCCCAACCGCAATATCGAGGATACCGCAAAGAACACAACACGACCGCAGCATCCCCGCATGCCTTGCGCTTAGGCATCGTCCTACCGGGTGAAGCTCAACCCAATGGGGCCGAACACAGCGTCAGAATGGTACACTCTAGGGGACCGATTCCCCGCCGACGCCGTCCTGGTTGGCTACTCGGGGCCTAGGTGAGGATCGGCAGCAACTGCCCTAATAAGTTGTGTATCCTCATCACATCTTTTCCTACCTATTACCTTTGCCTGCCATCGGCCACCCTCACCACCCGCCGCAGGACGCCCTGCACATACAGTAACTACTAGTAACTACATAGTATGTACTGTACCTGCCAATGGATGGATGGGTGTGGGGGGAGCCTTTCTTGTAGCCGCGGCAGTTCATTTAAACGGCTCGGCTCTACCTGACGGGAGCCGCTGCACATACACAACAACGTAGGTAGTTGAGGCTCACCAACTGCAAGTCAAGTCCCCAGCATTTTATGCTCGCATCGCGGCGAAGACCAAAGTTGACAAGGGCCCGAGCTAGCCAGACAAAAGCACGGAACTTCATCCTTATCCTGTGTGTATTCCTACATGCGTTGGTTGATACACGTGGGAAGCAGAGGCTCGAGGGCGTTTCATCCCCTCCCCCATCCCCCCGCGTCTTCACATGTGCACCGACAGGTCAGCAAGGCGGGCATCAACAAGGGTGGAAAGGAAGGATGGCAAGCCCATGCTTCGTGTGTGGATAAACTGTGGAATTCCTGCTGACTGGTGTGTTCGGTTGAGTGACGCCCCGAGCTGCCCGCCTCGGCTTGCCTTGGAAAGGGGCCCTGTCTGTGGGGTGGGACCCTCGGAAGGTGAAAGGGCAAAGGGCAAAGTGGCCGGAAGAGGAAGCGGATCTTCGCCGCCCTTGCTGTTTTCTTTGCATGGCCACCGCTTCTCTCCTCGCCCGCCTGTTATTGTTCGCTGACTTCACGCGCGACAGTACCGAAAACTACACCAGACGGCCGTTGTTTTCGAAGCGGAGAAGACCAATAGATACACAACAGCGGAGATGCTAGAGCACACACAGTAACTGACAGCTTTTTGACACCGTTACCAAGGAAGAGGAACATGCTGTATCTACATACATGTAGGTGGGTTCAGTGTGTACGTACAATACATACAAGTACATACATCGCGGCGAAACAAACCAAGTGACGACCGCGTACAGGGATGTCCAGAGTCCGCGGTTTCAAAGTTCGTGCATCAGTGCGTGCGTTGCAACAACAGGCTCGGATCATTGCCTCTACGGGGCAACCCTCCTCGAACAAGCACTGGCCCGGTGCGAACACCTTTCTGGAACACGCCGATCGGCCGCAGCCACTTTTCGGCTCCGGTACTTCTTAACGGCCGTTGTTGCTGGGGAAGATCGCGGAGGCGGGGGCGTCCTTGATGTGTAAGTGGAACCGGTATGCCGCATCGTTGACACCGGCACGGAGCACGCCCGCCTCGGCAGCTCGAGTCAGCCACGCGGACACCGCTCGTCTCAACGTCAACGTCAACCTGAACCGCACGACCGCTCAAGTGGCGAGGTCGACGGGCATGTGCAGATATTACCTCGATATTGATCCGTCGGGCCCCTCTCTCAGAAGATACCTTGATCTCCTTGAAGGGAGGCGGAGTGGGCCGAGGTGACATTCCGAGAACAACTTGGTGCAGAGCCGAATTGGGAAAAATCAAGGACCGGAGAGCAAGAGCATCGTCAGAAAGCGGCCCGCGACATGATGACTTCGACCACAAGCATGTGCAGCCATTCCTCATCGGTACTTGTGTATTGTACAATGATGACGCACTCGACAAGCCCAGTTCCATCACGAACTGACGGGCAGCTCCTCGATAAAGACCCATCAACGGGCCAATCCTCCAGCTTGGACGTGGCCAGCCGGGACAAGGGCAGGCATGGAAGTCTCGGTGTCAAGACGACGCTGGCAAAACGCGTTAGAAACCGGTCTTTGACCGCTTGTAGCGGAGCGGGCCTGTATCGTCTTGGCGACCGGAAGGGGATGCAGACACGTGTATGATAGTAGTTGTTGTAGTAAGAATACACATAGTGGCAGTTCGAAGCGGATTGATGCCAGGTTTTTGTTGCTTGTCTCTTGGACGTCACGAGTGCAACAAGTTGTTGCTTCAAGTTGCTGCCGAAGGGGTGCGAGACGGCAGCTGGTCCCACCCATGACGTCGATCTGCGAATGACAACATTCGCCTGTTTACCACTCCCTACAAGACAAGTATGGAAAAATACAACGGGACAAAAGTACCATGCTGCCATTATATTCAGAGCTACCAGTCCGGATAGATTTCCGCACTTACGCCTGGCAGGCTGCTCGAGATCGGGGCTGCCTCAACGGCCGGCCAAGGTAACTTGGAAGACGAGCTGAGGTCCTAAGTCGCCGCGGCGGCATTCCGAAAATGACACGGACCCACAGCTAGTTTCAGCCCAATCACGACGTCATAACGCGACAGATAGTTACACCTTTCGTATGGATCGTCAGGGTCCTGCTGGGCGTTGCGGGGAGAGCTGTAGTGACGGACGGGATAAACGTACCTGGGCAGGCACCCAGATTGATGGCCGCAGAAACTGATTGTTTGGACAGCAACCGGCGATGAGCTACGGGCATTTGACTGAGGATACGAATAACTAGTGCAAGAAACGGGAAATATTATTATGCCTGACAAGCTGAAGTGCACGTAACTTACAGCTACCTTGTTCTGTAATTACACACAACACTGAAACTCATACTCGCAAGGCGGGTTATGACCCCTACTTTCAGATTTCTCAGTTGGCCGCCTCGATTTGCCGATATTGTCAAGGATGCACCTTCGGATGCACTCTGATGAAATTGCCATCTGCCAGCAAAGAGATACCCATCCCACGTCCAAGGAATTTTCAATGCCCATGCTTGCCCTTGGTACATTCAATAGCCACACTGCAGTAAGCTGCTGCAGCAGAGCGCATTCGCCGACTTCAACGACTTAAACCCCACATTGGCTTCCTACATACAGCCAACCAAGATGTGGGAAACTGAGGGAGACTGTGAGAACCTGAAAGAAGACACAGGCACACCAACAACTAGGCAGAAGTAAAACCAAGTGCACAAGGAAACGCACCTTACGTCACAAGCCCACACACACACACACACGCAAAAGTCAAGGTGACAGCCAGCTTGCATTAGGTAGAAGGGGAGGCTCTTCTTCGAGATACGGATACAACATAGTATCCGTAACCGATAACACTTCACCGCGCCAAGAGTGCTATGATGTCATGGGATGTTGCTAGCTTCGCCGGCTTCAAAGTTCTCCTTTGGGCCCTTGGCACCACATACCTTACCTAAGGTAATTCAAAACTGAAGCCAAGACGGTGTCGAGCATAGACCGTGGCTTACATTACCGTTGTTATGTAAGTTACCGTACTAAATAGTCATGAACGCGGAATGCCCATAGAATCCATTGCTTCGTGTGTTGCAGGTGTTGGAGGAGGGTAATGTACACACACAATTTCACGTAATTTACAAGTCCCGAGCCATACTGTGTAAGTGCGAACATGGGAACCTCTATACGAATTTACAGATGTTGTCGTTACTTTGGAAGACAGTACAAAAGAACTAGTAAGCACATGTACACGGCATACTTCCAGGACAATAGACTCTGTTCTGAAGCTTTACCTATGTATAATATCTGAGTAGACTTCCAATGGTTGTTCTGTAAGGCCAGGGACTAACATACTAGCACACGCCAGCATACAATAGCAGGACAGACAAAATACGTGCCACATGGAGCCCGGTGGCACCTTCCATTCACACCCCTCGCTGTGTCACAGAGTAACTTACCGCCCACCGCATAGCTCCGCTTCGCCGACGACCCTCAAACTTTCTCAAGACTAATAAAACTCGACATTTGCTGTATTGATGGCTAAGGTATGCTCTGAAAAGGACCGAGAAAAGCCCGCTAGCCGCCAGGCTGTATTCCATGGCAAACTGTACGAAAGGTAGGAAGGAAGCGACATTACGCGGCATAGCGGGTTGGCACCGGCCAGAAAAATGAATGTGTGGAATCCTGAGGATTGGGAAGGGAGATCTGCCAAAATACCTATACACAGTAGGTAGTACGTGTAGTAACGTGAAAGCCCGCAGCTAGAAGGAAAGGGATAGGTATGAGAACCGAAGATCCCCGTTAGGGCCATGAGAGTCCCATGTTACCGTTACTTTGGCCCACCGACACGGAAACCCCGAACGCAGTTGATGAGGCGCAGACGAAAGATTCATTAATGCCCCATGCAGAATCTGAAACAAGCCATGATCTCATCGGGCAGGGCACAGGTGGATGCACTTGCAAGCAGAACTGTAGGCTAATAGGTAAGGTAGTAATCAACGCCAGACGGAAGACAGCGACGGGCTAGAGTAGTATACGGATTAATCTGTATAATACGATGTACGTATGTTCGTGTACTGTACACTTGAGAACCAGTATTTCTTACCTGAAGTTCGTGAGTGAGTTGGCAAAAGGACAGGTATTTCGTTTCCGTACTGTATTATTCAGTTCGTTTCATGTGTCCAGTTCGACTACAGATCCCCGTCTGCGTGGAACTTGGGCTTGCAGCCTCTACGTGGTCGACTTCGGGTCAGTTCGGTCCGCACTCGGACATCCTTCCATCAAGCACAGGGGGGCGCCCGGCTGAGAAAGGACCCCTAATTCTTGAGCAGGTGACGTGATGAGCGGTCCCAACTTCCAACATCAGCTAGCCAAGGTAAAGGTATCCAATACGAACGGCCCTGAAACTCTCTCGTTCATGACTGGCTGTATCACTGTGCATACTACTACTACTAGTCCATGATGGTACCCAACCGTAATCAAAGCAAGTCGAACTGGGGGATCTAATGCACTCCGCTACCATACACCGCTTCCTGTTGGAACCAGGAGTGATTCAATGGATAGGGGGGACTCAACTAACGTGAGGATGGACGTGGGCCCTGTGCGCAGTCCGCCGAGGAGATGAGCCTGACCGGGTCCGGGATGCGCGTCTTTCGGAACACAGCCACGAACGCTGCGACAACTATGGAGGGCGTTGTAGTGAACGTTATGCGAGAATCGGCCTCAAGCTGACCGTCCGGAGGAAGATTACGGGGGATAGGTAATCAGCGCCGGTCCGAATCAGGGTTTAGCCGGCTCCGGCGCGGCTTGGATATGCCGGTTCATCCGTTCATCATTGTCTGCATACCAGCAGTCCAGCAGTCCAGCACAGCACGGCGGTGTTTCGCGTTAGGGATCCCATATGAGACTGAGGACCAACACGGCCTGGGGGTTGAGTTGATCCTCGACCCCGGTTTCCGCAGCGCCTCAAGGGCGTTTTCTCAGCTTGGATATTGTACTCGGGGCAAAAAGCTGCGATACGACAGGACGGCCAGTTGGAAAGCGGACGTGCGTGGGAGCCGGTCTGAGAGCCATTCAATGAACTCAAGACTATTACCTGATCTTGGTGGCAGTAGCTCCGGAAGGCGGATGACTACGTCTCAGCCGCCGGTGCTCCTGCCCTGTCATCCAAGACAACCCTCCGGCGTGATACAGAGACTGGACGGGGAGTACAGTACTACTAGTATTCCACATTGTGCAGCACGACCGGCTTCTGGCTGAGAACAGTCACGGTCCCTGAAATGTTGTTGTGTCACCTGTTTACGTGCAGGCTTGTAGTAAGAATGTTCTTGTAAAGGTTTGCTGCGATGCTTCACCATACCAGCTGTCCGATGGCCCTTGCTTCTTAAACGTCAATGTTGGCATGCTTGGAGGAAACCTTGCCGCTGATAATCCAGGCGTTGAAAGCGGAGAGTGACGGTCATGAAACAGATCACTGGCAGTTGCTGCCGGTGTACCCAATTCAAGGGACTCCGGAGTCTTAGGACAACGTGGTCGACGATGTCAGGCCAGTTCCGCCATCGATCCTATCAGAACAGCGATCATGATTGGAACCTCTAGCAAACGACCTTACTGCGCAGGCCAGCTTCACTGGTGGTGCGTATCGTACATATACATACGTCTTGAGCACTGGCGATTTGAATGCTACTAGTGTGAAGTGCACCACTCAGGCTCACGGCATTGGACACGAACCAGTTGCAAGAAGATGAGCAGGTTACTTACCAGAGGCTGCCTACCAGGTAAGACACTAGTCTCAGCAAGTAGAACATGTTAGTGATCGGGGGCTTAAGAGCTTGGGAGCGGATGGGATAGTGTTAGTAAGGTAAGTCATCCTCTTCCACCACCTCACTGCCCCCGAAACGATTATGGCAAGATTGAGGGAGCAGATGACTCAAACATCATTTCTCCATGTGCAGAGTAGCAGGTACCGTCTCCTACACGTTGAGATTCAAGCATCTTCAGGAGTGAACACTACTAGTACAATGCAACCCATCCTTCATGCTCGTCTTCCTCTACCCCTTGCCCTTCCGCCCTAGCCTGCGCTGTCTACTCCCTGAGACATTTACCCAGCCTGTCCAAACTCCCAGCTGCTGTCATAATGGACTAGGAGTTGATACCGAACAGCAACAGCACAGGAGGCGGGGGAAAAGGTAAGCAGGTACGAGGCACTAGCAAACATAGCATGTAGAATAAGGTATCTTAAACATTAATAGATCAATGCCGAACAAGAAAATAGCAAAGGCCGGTCTAGCCCTGTCAGCAACATGGGTTTCGACAAGAGAGGATGAGAAAAAGAAGAAAACAGAGGCCCGGGAGGGTAGACAACTGAAATGTCGACCCAGCCCATGTGGCCTTGTTTTACACCCCCCTTTCCGGCCCTGGCAATATATACACACACATCAGCCAAGCCAATACATGGTCGTGGTCTCAAAGCGCCGTCTCAAGTGGATGTCACCCCTCTTGCTCTGTCTCTCACCGGACCGACCAGAAGTGTATGCCAAACGCCAAACAAAGAGAGTCAGTCAAGCCATGCAACAGAAGAAGCAATGGGAAAAATAACCGCGGTATAACAAGCCCCGTTTTGATGACGACCTGGACCCCGACCCAAACCCGGTAAAACGCCGACCCGCCAGCCCAGATGATGCATGTGTCTCCTACCCTTTCACAACCGCCCCTCCTCTAACCCGGCCGGTACCGGCCTCCTAGGCAGCAAGGGCAACTAAACCTGCGGCACCCCCTTTCTGCCCAGCCCCTCTAACAACTCTCGAGGTGGGATCCGCTGGATCCCATTGCCCCGATCGAACATGGACGTCGGGGCCGGCACATATCCCTCCCTCTTCTTCCTCAGCCTGTCCAGGAACAAGCCCCCGAGTACGATGAGCAGCATCAGACCCAGCGAGATGGCCAGTCCGATGAGTACGACGAAGACGAGCGGCATGTGCCCGCCGTTCTTGGCAAAGTAGTTGCTCTTCTCTGAGAAGACGCGCGCGATGCTGCCTGCGTTGCCGTCGTTGCTCGCCGTGAGAATGAAAGGGGTGAACGAGTTGCCGTCGAAGAGGACAGCCGAGGCGGAGCCGAAATCGGGTAGGACAATGGAGCCTGTGAGGAGGAGAATTTCGTCATCCTTGACTAGAGACGAGCTGTTGTGCGAGGATGTAAGGGAGAACATTTGGAGGCCGTGGATATCGGTGCCGGACTGGAGGGCAGACTGGCCGGCTCGTTGCCACGTCGAGCCGTCATAATTCATGAGGTAGACGGAGCCGTCCATGGACGAGGTCCCGGCAGCCCAGACTTGACTGCCGTCGCTTGCACCGGCAGTCAAAACAGTCACCGGGCCAGGGAGCTGGTCGGCGCCAGGGTAAGAGTCCCACGTCTGGGTGCCTGTATCGTACTTGGCGAGGAAGGAGGGAGCGGTCATGTTGATGGTGAGGTTGCCGCCAGCCAACAGTATACTGTCGGTAGCCCACATCAGGGAACTGACGTTACCGTTCAGGTTCCGGCCAGCCTGGTTCCATTGGGAGGCCGTGGTGCTGAAGAAGCACACACCTGGGCAGCCGAGAGATCCTGCTGAAGTGAAGGATCCTCCCACATAAACGTCCTTGGTGCTTGAATGCACAGCTATGGTAGAGACAGTGCCGTTCCCGCCAGACAGCGCAGGCGGTTGCGTGTTGAACGACCTGCTCGCCAGATTGTAAGTAACGAGGCCATTGACGTTACCGCCATTTACTGTCCCGGCCACTTTGCCTCCGGCGAAGAGGACGTCCCCTTCCACAGCCAAGGCCATGAACGTCGAGTTGGCTGAGAGACCATCGCCAAGCCCAAACACCTGGTCGTTCTTCGAACCGTCGAGGATGACAATGTTGTGGAGGGTGGAGCCGTCCGTGGCACTTGCAGTGAAATGACCGCCTAGGATAGTGAGGTTCCTGCCGTTGTTGCTGTCGAAGACACCAGTCAAGACGCCGTCGATATCGCCGGTAGCCAAGCCACTGTCCCGCTTGCTCAGGCCGGTCGAACTAGAGGAACCCGCAGGAGGTTGGATGTCCACGGGAAGCCGGCCCAGGGTTTCGCTGCCCATGACCGCGGCACCCCTAGCCCCAAGACCAGAGGACGAGAGCGAGCCAGCATAGAATGACGGACCACCAGTCATGTTTAGGATCGAAGCTGAGAGCACACCCTCAACGAACTCAACCGGGAAATCCAGATTTTGTAGCCAGTTTCCCTGTGAAGGAACCCAGACACCGAATCCGGCCACCCTAACCGCTGCGTTGTTGTCGAAAGCTAGGAGCTGGTCAAAGTCTCCATTCACGCTTACCACAACCTCTGGAGTTGAACTGCTGATGTTCATGGTCATGCCGACGACCCGGAGAACCTGGCCGTTGACGCCAGCACCAAGCGGACTCCAGCTGTTCTTAGATGTGTCAAAGAGGGCGACGTTGTTGAGCCCTTCCGTTGCCTTCTCCGAGGTGTTGTTGAAAGCGCCGCCGACATACAAACTGGTGCCGTTCAAAAACATCGAATTCACTTTGCCGTTGAGACCGCCGTCGAGCGACGAGGCGTTCGCATCGTTTCCCTTGAGAACAGCAACGTTTCGCATGGTGCCCGAGGTGAAGTTCCCCGCGATGAAAGTAGACTCGCCGGACGTAGCCAGGGCATTGACGGCAGATCCTCTTGGGAAGCTCGCACCCAGGCGGTTGAACGCAGACTCCGTGAAGTCACTGGTGTTAAGAGCTTCCCCAGGGGTGTATTCGTAGAGCCCGTTCAAGCCACCGGTGCTGTTGATCAAGGTGAAGCTAATCCGCTGTGCGACAAATGTCATTTGTGCCAGGGACTGGCCTGCCAAGGGGGTCATGGTGACCTGGGGACGGAAGCTGCTTGAGCTCGCGTCGACGAGGCCAAAGTAGATCTGGTCATATTTGTCAAAGTTGTTGGACTGGTAGAGACTGACGTCGATTGGCTCGCTCTTTGTGGCGTCGGCTGTCATCTGCCCAGTGAGTTTGACCTGGCCTCGGGTGGCGCACGTGTTATCTTGCAGGCACCCAGGGGTGTACAGGTTGATGGAGTAGTGACCAGATTCTCTGATATCGGGCGTGAAGACAACCGAGGCTGATGTGTTGGTGATCGGGGCAGTAAGTTGAGCGGTCAGATACTCGGCGGTGCTCTCGTGGGAGGGCGTGACAGACCAGGGCCCAGTCGCGGTCGCTGTGGATGGGAATTTGAGACCGGCACATGTAGGCTCGTTGAATTCCTGGATGGCATACGAATATATATCATTGCCAAACAGCTCAATTCCATTCAGGCCTCCGCCGCTGCCATAGAAGTCCGAGATGTCGAGGCGGAATGCATTCATGCCGATGACATTGACGAAGTGGAAGTCCTGGAACGTGATAGAACTGTTGTTGCTCAGCGGGCACTCGCTTGTGCAGCTCGCGTTTTGGCGTGTCACGGGATCGATGTAGGTGAAGTTCATGATGCCGTTGATTGGCATGGCCGTGAAGCGCCATGTTTTCGTCCCCCTCCCATCCTGGTGCGTGTTGTACAAACGCAACTTAGTAGGTCTGAATCCATGACCGAAATTCGCCTGCCAGAAGCCCGGAACGTTGTCCTGCAGTAGCCAGGTATTTCCTGCCCCGTCTGCACCGCTCGTCTTGCAGATGATATTCTTGGGGTCGCTGAACCCTGAGGTTGTGCTTGAGGAGCCGGCACTGATGTTCGCTGTCGAAAGATTGATGATCTGTCCGTCGGGCGTGCTTGGGGTGCTCGCATTTCCTAACCCAGTAAAGCTACCGCCGAAAATGATATTCCCGTTGGATGCCTTGGTGATAGACGTGACCGGGCCGTTGAACCCGGCAAACGGCAGATTGTTCCAGCTCCGTCCTCCCTCCCAGGCCAGCGCATTAGTCGAATTCGCGCCCACAAAGCTTCCCCCCACGTACACCGTGTTCCTGTCCTGGTCGCAGAGTAGTGCGTTGACCTGGCCCGACAAACCCGGAAGCGGTGTCACAACGGCAGTAGTTGGATCGAATATCGCAAAGGCAGTCGACTGCAGTGCTGTGGCACCAGAGTCAAGCTCCTTTATGCTTGTGAAATTTCCACCCAAAACAATTACCGTCCCATTGTCAGTGTTGAGTGCGCACATTGTGCGAATGCTCGCGTCCGTATTGACAATGGGCGCGAACACGCTGTTGGGAAGCCGGGTGAGGAGCTGTTCGGTGCCATTGCTGAGAAAAGAGTGCTCGTTCTGTTCCTCGAACTGGTACAATGATATGCCCGAGAAATCCCCACCTAGGACTACACGGCCAAGTTGTGAGAGGTCGAGGTTCGGTGCAGGAACAGGTGTGAACGAGATGGCGCATGCTGGTGATGCGACAAGCGACGAGAGCAGGACGGCCGAAGGGATCATGGAGAAGGGATCGCCGCGAGCGGCGTGGCGCCGCCCGAATGGTAATCGCATGGCGCTTTGTTCGCGGACCGGTAATAATTATCGGGCTTGGTGGCCGACGAGCAATCAAGGTGCTCAATGGAGTGCCGTCGGACCCAAGCTACCAACACAGTGGTGCCATAGCAGGTTGAAGAATCGTGTCGAAAGTCACGTTTTGGCGTGGCGGGTGTTGCGCGTTCAAACTAAATGACCTCGTCACACGAAATGTTCGGCCGCAACGCGAGGGAACCTTGCACCGATGAAGCAAGGTTGGAAGGAATTAAAGAGGGTAATGAGGGCCGTCGAGAATTCGGGTTGCGTCGTTTGGTCAGGTGCGACGAACAAAAAAAAAAAGGAGCGGACTTCGACGGCTGAGAAAGTTTGTTTGCGATTGAGCTCGAAATCAAGGATCGTGAAGTTGGGCCTCAGTCAGCTTGTTTTCTGACCAATATGGCGTTCTTGCTAAGATGACGGAGATTGGGCGGGGCGGACACGATTCTGCGAACCTCGGGCGCTGGCGCTCACTGGTCAGCTCGGCATCGCTAAGCCTAATCAGGCTAGACGAAGTTCCAAAAGATGGGAAGGGGATCTTAAATGCAAATGATGGGCTCGTACCAAACAAACGCTCGATGTTAAATGTCCTGCCACACGATGTTAGTCAGAGAATATTTTACAGCGGCAATGCCATGATGCGTGACCCTGCGCAAGCTAGTAAAGCATACACAAGGCTAGGTCAAACCGGCTTGAAGTTGCTGTACAATCTCAGAGGTATCTGGACCCTTCCGATTCGTGTTCACCGGGGTTGCGAAAAAGTGGAGTTGGAAATGATAAGAATGACACGACGGATGCACGAACCTCGTGTTCACTGTTCACAGCAGTGTCCCTGGGTGACCCAAACCGATGATGTTTCGAGCGACTCCAGCCACTCTTGAACTTCGATACGCAGACGGCCGTGCGTACAAACGTCCTTGTGGTTCAGGCGTCCTTTTTGTGGTGGCCGTGCGTCGAAGCAGTTGGATAGGTACTTTGAAATGAGTGTAATGATATCTTAGAAAAACGAGTGGCGCGGGAAATCGGGTGCCGACAGGTGACGCGGGCGGTTGAGCTGTTCAAGTTGTCGAATGCGATTCCTGGTTTGGCGTTTCTTGTCAGAGATTCTGGCTCGATGGTCAGAGCAGAGGCGGATCAGGGGTTGCGCACTGTTTCGCGGTCGATTGGAACACAACGAGCGGCTCTGCAAACGCTGAGCGGAAAAGAAAGAATGTGTCTGTGGGCGTCACCGTGCTTTTTTTATTAACTCGGAGTCCGTACTGGGCTTCGTGCCACAGCAGTTTGCGAGTAAGAGAAAAAAGAGTGGAATAAAGTTGGTAACAATGGCAGAAAGAGTGTCGTTTGTTTCCCGTCCCTAGCTATCTCCAAGAGCTTCGTCTCTTGCGGCAGCCTAAGAGAAAGAGAAGATCAATGGAAACAAAAGAGCACGAAGGAACAGCTGCTAACGTAGGTACACAGTAGTACTAGTTCTAGGCCCACCGCTTGTCGGATTCAGGGGCCGCTCATGTTGCATGGCAATGGAACTTCAAATCGAATTCCATTGGGCAAACATGCGCCTCGACAGGGGCAGTTCCAGCTCCTTGCATCCGTTGGCAACGTGGTGTGCGTAGGTAGAGCTCACACCTCCAACATCAACACCTCGGCTCTGCAATGAAGCATGCTTGTGTGCTTTGCATTTCCAGTTACCTCCTGTCACGGCAAGTTCATTACCTTACACCAAGATTCTGCCAACTCAAACATCGTCCGCCAGAAATTGACCTCAGCAGCTCCAGACCATAGCATGCACTACTTACCGTAGTACTTAAGCCACTGTGGTAGTAGAGAAGTGCATAGCATGCACAGTATATCCAATCCTTCGCTGGGAAATGCGGCTGGTCCTCGAGATATGGGCACATGTGCTTCATATTGGGAACTTCAAGTTCGTGAGTTGCAGCACTGAATACCTACTTGAGAATGTGCGTCTCCTTGTTGCGGCGGGAAACATGAACACCGGCACTTTAGGTACAGCAACAGGTCGACTCTAAGAACCACACATTAGCGCAATGTCCCGTGGTAGTATGCAAGGGCGGCCTTATAGATGCATGTCTGTGAGTAAGGCTGTGTTGACGGATGAGCCCCCTATACGACCTGGGTTCCCGGGTGCCTCTTATGAGGCCTGCAAGCAACGGCTGTCGGCGGCTTCATGCTCCCATGATGCTTCTATGGCGAGACTGGGGCAGCGCAGTCCGTCCTGGCAACGCTATCCCGAGGTTGGTCCATAACTTCATTCCCATGGGTATCAATACTCCATCCGTGCCAGACGCTTCACACCTTGCCCTTCTGTTCAACCGGCATCTCCAGCATTTTCATGCGCTTCTTGTACGCCATCGGGCTCTCCAATTCCTGCTGCTTCCCAGACCTAGCAGGGCCCGCCCTCGCCCACAGCCCCTTCCCCTTGCTCTTCGCAGTCGCCTCGGCTACCCTATACACTGCCTCCAGTTTGGGGCCACCGAACTCGGCGCCTGTCTTGCCCTCATACGTGGTCGCTAGGCCGTGCTTGAGCAATTCCAACCCGACATCCTTCCGGGGGAAGAAGAAGGGCGGCCTGCGGACGTACACTGTTGCCACGACCCTCTCGTACTGGTCACGCCTGTAGATATAGGCACGTACCCGCCGGTGTAGCACATAGCTCTCTAGGAAGGCCAGCGCTTCGGCTGCGTAAGGCTGCGCGGGCCGCCCGAAGTGGGCGCCTTCTGGGGCGTCAACCCCGGCGATGCGGACGGAGATCTATGCCCGGAGAGGTACATCAGCAGCGGCATTGGCGGCCACGTAGACAAAAAGCGACTCACGGTCCGGCCCTTCAGCTCCTTTCTGTCCTTTGGCACGTGGCGCAGCCAGCCCCAGCCGGCCAAGCGACCGCCCGGAGTGTGGAACATATGGAAGCCATCCCCGTCCCCGACACTTGTCACCTTGCCGAGTAGACTGCGGCGGCGGAAGAAGCCGGGTGTAATGTGGTCGGTGCCGGGGATGCGCCGTAGGTAGGATTGGTAGAACGTCCAGAGGCCTAGAGTGAGGCCAGCAGCGATAACCGGTGCGATCCAGTTGTGCGGCACGCTAAGGTGCTCTCGGATGCTGTTTGCTATTGTATCGAGCCGGGATTTCTCATTCTTTGTCGGAGCCGGCGTTGAAGGCCTGCGCGCATCGTTCCCCGTCATCTGCGTATGTGGTCGGAACCATGAAGACCCTTCGTCATCTTTGCGGCTGCTCGGCGAGGAGTCGGACGGAAGGCCCCATGGCATGGTGGCTTGACCACCGTCTCAGAGTGGGCGTGTTATGGTTTTCCTCGTTGGCGGTTGGTTGCAACCGGCAGATGAGGAGGGGACGGAACGGGGAGCATGGGGTTGTGGATCGGTCAGTTCCGTTCGTTGGCGGGGCAAAGCAGCTCAGGGTCATGCGTCTCCACTTCCCGCAGCCGTGCACGCCGTGCTTCAATGACTCAACTTCCGAGGTTTACACTACCTTTCGACAGTTTATTATTAACGTCTCCAACTCTCAAGTCGCGGATCGGGCTCAGATGCAGTATGGCAGCCAACAATCACAAGGACGAGGCACAAATAGCATACACTTTCATCCGCTTAAAAAGACTACTATGTACCTTAGTATGTTTGCAAGCTTGGTCATTTCACTATCGGCTCCCCATATGTCTCCCTCATCGCCACCAATGAGGTGGCTTCTCCTAGCGCATCTTCAATCTTCACCCGCAAGCAATCGCACACCGTATAACGAAGCTCTCATCGGCTGTCCCCCCAGCAAAGCTAGCAGAAGCAACCACCTTTTCTGCCTCTCTGTCTTCCTATCCGGACCGGTTGGCCACGTCGACGCGACCCTTCTCCATCCATTGACGCTTCCACGACTGTCTCATTGACTCGGGCACGGTTGAGGCCATGCATTTACCGCTGACATACATCTCGTTCTTCTGGAGGGATGTGCTGGCACTATCGTCAGTTTTGACAGGTGAAGACGGCACACCACCCTCGTCAGTACCCGGCAGAGTCGGATCTTGCTCCACATCCAGGTAGTCCTCCTTGGTCTCCGACACGCCATTGACCAGCATAAGGTGCTCCTTAAGCACCTTGATCTGTTCTTTCAGCACGCCCAGTCGGTAGTTGTCGCTCGCATCTCTCTCTGCACACTTGGGGCATTTCTCGTCGACCCGGACCGTGTCGAACCCATGTGACCACCTCACACTGCAGCCGACTTGTACTTCCCCGCGGTTGTAGGACTCCTCGAGCTCGCAGGCCCGGGTGAGACTCAGCCACTCGTAGTGGCTGCAGCCGAAGAGGAGGCGCTTGTGAAAGCACATGGTACGCAATGGTTGGGTTGCGGGACGGTTGGACAACTGATGCTGGCTCCGGTGAGCGTGATTTGATGGAGACTATCCATGCTTTAAATAGTACAGCCATGGCATCATGATGGTTGCTCATAGTAAGTGATACAGCGTAGGCAACAGCACTGCTGAGTAGGTGAGGTAGGTAGCCGTTGAGCTTTGAAAGGCATTGTCCTGCCCATTGTAGGGATGCCATTAGGATGCAGGGTGCAGATACCCTAGGAGATATCTCTTTGTTGATTGTTGTCTAGACATCTTGTTTACCGGACCACCCCAGACCTGACGTCTTTGTCTCTCTCAGGCTGTTCGAACAAAGTCAAGCATATAGCCAAGTCCAACAACACGGGCTGCAACACGGGCTGGTAAACAGGCACTGATACTCCTCATAACCAGGCAAAGGCCAAAATGGAACAGTACGGCCATTGAGTAGCAATTTGCGAAAGAGTATGTCGGCTGAACAGGGCCGTGGCGATGGGCGAGCACAGAACCGGTCCAGGACGAAGCCAGTCTTGCGCCGGCGGCTGTAAATTGCAGAGGGACATGCCCGGCTTATCGCTACAACCATCGCGCTGCCTATCAGCCATTTCTCCGCGAAACCGGCCTCACCCTAGTATCCTTTCCATCACGCCGCTCCGCAGGACCTCATGGAAGTCCCTCGCCCAAACTAAGCTGCTCCCTGGCCCGGCTTCCCCCACATGTGGTGCTTCGAACCCGACCCTCCTCAGCGTCTTGAGCAGCTTGCTCTCCACGTCGTCGGCCATGATCACCCCGAGATTGGCCTCAATCAAACACGGCAGGTCTGTCGTCGAGTCCCCAAAATACACTACCTTCTGCTCCTTCAACCCTTCCCGCAGCGACCGCATAGCCCTTAGCTTATCCCCAGCGGTAGCAAGCGGCTTCCCGCCGAGGTCATCCGGCCCTTGAATATCCCCGTGGGGCCAGCTTATCCCGTTGGCCACTATCCGCCTTATTCTGTCCCCGGCTCGACAGCTACCCTCCACTACACCCTTGATGAACCTCCCCGACCAGTTGACGCTCACAACCGCCAGATCCCACATGCCCTCCTCCCCGCCCATCCGCTCGACAAACTCCGCCAGCCCCTCCCTCACCTTCACTGCCCCCTTTTCTCCGTTTCCCTTCCCATCCTCACCCCCACCATTACCGCCACCATTGCTACCACCATGAGTAGCCGTGCCCAACGTGACAGCCCGCCGCCCCAGCTCCTCCAACCCATCCCCACTGAGGCCCCTGAAAAACCCTGCCCGACTGACCCTAGCCGCAGACGCCGCCTCCACAGACTTCAGGCTCTCGAGAAAGGCCACCTCGAGCTCCAGAGTCGTGCGCTCCTCGGCCGGCGGGGAGTACCCCGCGAGGTGGCGCGCGTGGGCGGCGACATAGTCGCGGACGATTTCTTCCCACAGGGCGGTCAGGGCAGAGGATCTGTCGTCGTTGTCGTGCTTGCTGGCCCTGGGCCGGGAGGCGGCAATGGCGAGGGAGACGAGGGAATGCAGGGTGTCGTGCTGGGTTATTGTCCCGTCGAAGTCTAGGAGGAGGAGGTGCTGGCCCATTTCTTTGTTGCTGTTTCCTTATGATTCGATTGAGATAATTTAGATTTGTGGTGGTTTGAGCTGGCACGGGCGGCGTTTTGGTGGTTTGATTTGTAGCGTAGTGAGTGGCGGCGGGCGCTGTTGGGCACGAGAGTGGGTGAGGTGGTCACGCAACCTGGGAGTTAGGGGTGCTTTAAGGGAATCAACCTGGAATGGATTCTCTCATTGAGAACGAAGATCGCCTGTTCCTGTTGTTCAGGTGAAAACCGGCTTAAAGTTGAACCCCACTATTCTTGCGGAAATGAGAATTCAGGTACCTACTTAAGGTACCTACCGAGGTATGTAAAACGTGACAGACCGCAGGCCGAGGACTTTCCTCTGTACGAAAACTACAACCCGATTGATGGCACACCACGGCAGCCCAAGATATAGCACAAAAAGGCACCTGTTTAAACAATGCTGATACTGTGTTGTTTCCTGATGTAGGTAAGGGTATCGTTGTCAGGTTCCCGTCTAGAGAACCCAGTGTCATGCAAACCCAGCCGAAGTGCCCTATTGAACGCCATCCTGGAAAGACTAGGTCGAAAACTTGAAATAATAAAAGACGGTGGCAATCACAAGACATCCTCCATCTTGATGTCCTCCTCATCCTCGTCATCAGACAGCTCCTCAGCCTTGGGTACCGCTGCGTCATCCGCTGGCTTGGGCAAGGAGCCCAGCATATTCTGGTACTCGGGCTTGAGAGACCAATGGTTGGCGAACGTGCCAGACCGGTGCAGGACAGCAATCTTTTCGAGGCCTTCACGGAGATACGCCTCGGGCTGCGGAATCCTTCCGCGGAAAGCCTTGATAGACCAGTACTTGTGCTCTGAGAAACACTGAGCAATGGCATCCAGAAGCTGATTTTCCGGCCAGCGGGTCGCCTTGTTCTCCATCTTTTTCGCTTTGGTTGGCTTCTCGCGTGTTTTCTGCACTACACGTCAGCAAGAGGGTTAGAGCGGAGCGGGGAAAGAGAACATGGCCGCGTACGAGAAATTCTTCCCACTCCTTGGGGTTCGTAAGCTTCTGGGTTGGGTGTCCGTAGATCATCTTCGTCCTCTTTTGGGTCTGTTCCGCGGCTTGGGCGCGCAGGGACAAGAATCTGCTGGCTTCGGCATTTTGCACCGGCGTGCAGACTACTTCATGCTTGACCTTGCCCGCAATCTTGGTTTTCTCTGCGTCTCGGGTCAGCACACCTGTTTGACCTGAGGTTGGGCAAGGGACCAACTTGGAATGGGCCTGCGGGCGTAAGGCGCGCCCCTTTTGCCTCGCTCCGCAGGTTGCTCTGTGGGCTTTTGTTGTTTCCGTAGAAGATGCGCCGGGATTCCCTGAGCCAAGGCATTGGCCCTCTCTTTGTTTTTGGCAGCAAAGCTCGGTAAATCCTGCTCACTGAAGATGAACGTATTGTTGACATCGTGGTTAACAACATCCATGTTGTACTCTTTCGGCACCTTCTTGTGGGCTTCCAGATCCGATCGGAGCCGCATCTGTAATCTCTGCAGGGCCACATTTAGCCATAGGGACTGGTGGTCTCCGCAACGAACCGACTGACCAGATTACCGTCCTTGTCCGTCCACTGGCGAACCGTCCCGATCTCGATCTCCGCATCATCATCTAGCTTCGACCAGGCTTCCCAAACGTAGTTGGGAAGGCGCGCCAAATACATGCGACTGTATGCGTCCGCGTCGGGTAGCTTATCGTAGAATTCCAAGTCCGGGTTCTCTTCATCAAGGCCCTCGTCCATGAAAGGTGAGCCAGCATCCGGGTCTGGCTTGATTTGCGGTTGCTCTGCCATGTTGGATTTCCGGAGCAACTTGCTGGTAGAGCTAGTCGGTCGCGATGTGAGCCAGTTTCTAACGTGATTGTCAAGGAAGAAGGAATGTGAAGTTGAAAGGAAAGAAAACAAAGCAACATGGAACGGCGGCAAGTGCTGCTTCGCCTTGCGATGAGATCAAGCCCGTTGCAGGTGGGTCCATGACGAAGCCGTCATCCGATTGGCTGCCGCCGAGTGCCTTCAAGTGGCCCACTCAGGTGTGATTCTTTCCGAGTCTTTTCAATTTAGGTTTCTAAGCTTGCACATGGCACCATCCCACTTTGTTCCTCCTCGCCTCATCTTTCACACTATCGCAATAGCAGGGCTACCGAAGCTTCTACTGGCACCGAAAAAAAAGCAAGAATACCACGAACCCATAAGCCCACTATTGAACTGCAGAGATGTCGGCGGAGGATCGCGAAATGATGGAAAGGATCAGCCGCTTGGCTGGCCAGATCAATCGCCACAAGCATCAACAAGCAGGCGTTCTTCCCTCCCATTCTGTCGCACCGCATCACCGTACGCCAGCCGAGCGACCGCATGCTCACGGTATCTGAACTGACGCGCCTCGAGACGCAGGTTATGGCGGGAAATGGCGCCGTGGAGGAGTTACTCACCGCGGAGGCTACCACAGGGGGCGATTGCCCGTTTACCGCAACAGATCGCTTGTCTTGAATGGCACCTCGCACCAAACCCAGTCCGGAGACGTCGACCCTGGAACAACTTCTGATGGATCCAGCATGTCCTGGGTGACCAAAAACGTGCGACATCTGCAGTTGATCAACAAAAATGCTTACAAAATGGACACCGAGTCACGAACTACCGCCACAGAGCAGACGCGGCGCCATAAGCTTGCTCTCAAAGACAGGCAAGAGCGCGCTAAACTTATCAGTCATCTTACTCGTATGGTAAACAGCGGAGGGTTGGGAACAGCTAATCAGCAGGCCACGGCGGACAAGTACGAGATTGCCGTGCAAGGAGTGCGGTTCACCATTACCAAGAACGGCAGTAAACTTATCAAGGTTCCCGGTGCGTCGCAACCATGCACACGATCATCTCACGGTACTTACAGGGGCGAGCGCAGGTGATGGAAATTCAGCGAAGGCGACGCCCAAAGTGGCCGTCATCGGAGGCGTCAAATTCTATCGCAGCAAGAACGGCAATCTATATCGGCATGGCATCGTGAAAGCCCAGCGGTATGTTCCCCGTGTTCGAAAGGTTGGGCAACTGACTCCAGCGTTCTCCGGCAGGCAATCCAGCGCCGTTAAGAAGGTCAACGTGCCTTGCAAACAGTTTTCGATGACGGGTAACTCCATTTCCCTGGACCGACGCGCTTGAGCGACGCTTCTTCAACTGGGCTCTAGGAAAGCCGGTGTGGAGCATCACTAACCGAGATACAGGTTCCTGCACCCAAGGGCCGCGGTGCCGCTACGTCCACGATCCGCACAGGGTTGCCATCTGCAAGGACTTTTTACAACAGGGTGACTGCCTCAACGGCGACAATTGCGATCTCTCGCATGAACCTACCCCCGAACGCACCCCGACATGTTTGCATTTTGCCCGGGATAGTTGCACCAAGCCTGACTGCAAGTATGCTCACGTGAAAGTGCCACCAGCAGCTCCAGTATGCCGCGATTTCGGCTTCTACGGGTACTGCGACAAAGGGGCCAGCTGCCCGGACCGTCACGCCTTCGAGTGCCCTGACTTCAGCAATACGGGGGTCTGTAAAAACAAGGGGTGTAAGCTGCCGCATCGGGAGAGGGCAAGCGTCCTCCGGAAAGTGGCTGGTGGACGTGATCTCTCGAACCCGGAAGATGAGGAGATGGCAGATCTCTCCAGCGACGAAGATGGGGAGTCGATTGACGATGACGATATTGACTCGGATGAGGTGGATGAGTTCATCGGCCAAGACGAAGATGGGGGTCTTGATTTGGCGCAGCAGAGGGACTTCATCGAGCTATGATGCTGCTCCTCTGTGTCCGCCATATCGCCCCGTGATGTCTTGCCGATCATGAATCTCTTCGTTGCATTGCCTGCTAGCATCGGTTACGATACCCCTCTACTTTTTTTCTTCTTTCCATTGGGCAAGAACGGATTGGCCAGAGTTGGTGGCATGGGAATACTGGTGACGCACCGGCCGCCAACGTGATCTCGCGATGCGTTTCTGTTCTGTTGGATCACTGCACATATGAGTCTAGATAGCCTCTAGAAGAACGAGGGGGAAAACAAGAACATGTACTGTCATGAGCTATGAGTTCGTTTCCTGCTGCCAGTGTGTTGATGAGTCCGGATCCACACTTCGCCTCCGCCCCCGCGGGCGGATGTGCATTGCCGTCCATGGCGGGCCCGGACTCGGATTGCCTGGCTCGGCAGTTGCGGGGAACTACAATTATGTAGGTACTCCGTAGCTAAGGAGCCAAGATCTGGGGTAAGTTGGACTCACGTAACTCGCCCTGCCCGCTCTATGTCCCGAGTTAAATATAAGCGCTTGGAGTTGAACCCAAGGAAGCTTCAGCAGGGGGAATAGATACTCGGTACTAACTCGGCAACGGTTTTCCACTGTCATGATCCAACTTTCTCCAGCATCGCTTTTCCCCTCCTGAGATCCCCACTGAGCATGGGGATGCAGGTCCAGTGTGAGTCGCCGTGGACTTGCTACATTTTCCAGGATAGGTACTTGTCAGCTGTTGCACTTCATAAACGGCTCCAGTCTTCCGCTCTTACCTTATGTACTGTGCTGTACCGGGACATCCCCATTGCCTACAGTCAGTCAGATAGGGGCGAGGAAATGCATGCTGAAGGTCGATAATTACCGTACCTCCTGAGCCGTGATAATCAGGGCATCCTAGCTACCTGTAGACAAGAAGCTGCACTTCCAACGTCTTGTAATAATCAACCCGATATGTGTAACTTGAAGATCACACTCAACAGCGATCCATGAGCATCCAATCCGGGCATGTGTATCTGATCCTGTGGGTACATGTACTTGTACAATACATGTTTACCATGCAGGAGAGGGGTCGTATCAGGGCACTAGGTAGAGGGTGCGTTCCCCGGCGTGTGGGACAGCCATCCAGCGGGTAAAACGCCGGAGACAGGACATGAGAGCGGCATGTGGGGAGGTATATATATATAGCTACAATACCTGAAAGCACGGGAGCCATGGCTTCCGTTGTATGCCAGTGCGTGTAGACCACCTTTTGGGGTTTACATCTTGAGCGCGTCTCATCTATTAAGCACGCAGACACCTTGTCAACTCGGCTCACTGGTTAACCTCCTAACAGAAATATAATAGTCAAGACACGGGAAACTGCAGTGTGTGATTCTCACACAATGGGGAGTTCACAGACTGTGAACGGCATGAACGGCGTGAACGGCGTGAACGGCTCCCACAACAGAGAGGACGCCGCCGATAGGTTCACAATCAAGGACAACTTCGTCGAGAACCTACGACCATTCAGGGTCATTGTTGTTGGAGCTGGCTTCTCTGGTATCTTGGCTGCCATCAGGATACCTGAGAGACTCAGAAATGTTGAGTTGGTGGTGTATGAGAAGAATGAGGGCATTGGCGGAGTCTGGTACGGATTATGACGCTTCGAATCATTCAAGTTCTGCAAGTGAACGAGGGCTGACATCCTCAGGTGGCTGAATAAATACCCAGGGGTTGCGTGTGATATTCCATGTAAGTGATTTCGTTCCGAACAGGGGTCACCACTCAGTCTAACTCTAAGACAATAAGCACACTCGTATCAATACTCATTCGCGCCGAATCCAAACTGGAGCAATCTCTATGCCCCTGGCAGCGAAATCCAGCAGTATCTCCAAGACGTAGCCGAGAGGTACGGCGCAACGAGGTTCATCAAAACGCGCCACAGGGTCGACCACGGCGAGTGGGATGACAGTCGAAAGCAATGGTACCTAATGCTTTCCTACTAGTAGTCCGTTTCGCGTTTGCGCTGACCGCGGACCGCTGACCGAGAACCAGGAAGATCAAAGTGACCAACCTCTCCACTGGAGAGACGTTCGAGGATGCAGCAAATGTCCTGATCACGGCGCGCGGGCAGCTCAATGACATTTCCTGGCCGAGAATCCCCGGCCTCGACAAGTTCGAAGGAAAGTTGATGCATTCCGGGGATTGGGACACCAGGTGAGAGCCAAGGGTTCCGGGTAGAGCTCGAAGAGAAGGAACTAACGCTCGTTAGTTACGATTTCCGCAACAAGAGAATTGGCATCATCGGCAACGGCTCCAGCGCCATCCAAATCATTCCCAGCCTGCAGAAGGTCGAGGGGGCCTCCCTCACGTGCTTCATGCGGTCTCCGACCTGGATATCCTCCGCCTTCGGGGATGCAGGCATGGTCGAGTTGGGCCTTGATCCTGCCAATACAGCCTGTATGTCCCCATCCATCTCGTTCCCGCCCGCCCCTCGCCTCAAAAAGAAAAACAAATAAATAGTAGATAAATAAATAAATAAAAAAGAAAAGATGACTAACCACCACCCTTCCCCCCACTAGTCTCTGCTGAACAACGGCACAAGTTATCCACCAACCCCGACGAACTCTTCAAGCTTCGCAAGGTCTTCGAATCCGGCGGGAACCTCGTCCACGACAGCACCATCCGCGGCAGCGCCATGCAAGTAGAACACCAATCCGCCTTCCACAAGGCGATGCAGGCCAAGCTCGCCGCCCGCCCCGACCTCGTCGCTCTGCTCATTCCCTCCTTCGCCCCGGGCTGCCGTCGCCTGACGCCTGGCAAGGGCTTCCTCGAATCGCTTCTCGAGCCCAACGTCGCCGTCGTCAGCTCTTCCATCAGCCAAATCACGCCCACGGGCGTCGAGACGACGACGGCGGCGGCGGCCAACAACAGCACGGCCCTGCAGCACCACGAAGTAGACGTGCTGGTCTGCGCGACCGGCTACCACGTCTCCTCGCCGCCGCCCTTCCCCCTTCTCGGCCGCCACGGCCTGCCGCTCTCGGCCCGGTGGCGCGGCCGCGCGGAATCGTACCTCTCGCTCGCCGTGGACGCCTTCCCCAACCTGCTCATGATGTTCGGCCCCAACAGCGCCATCGGCTCCGGCTCGCTGACCAAGATCCTCGAGGCCGAGGCCGACTACATCATCGCCGCCATCCGCAAGCTGCAGAAGGAGGACTACGCGAGCATGGAGCCCAAGCGGGCGCGCGTGCGCGACTTCATGGAGTATGTCGACGGCTACTTCCAGGGCACCGTGTACACGGACGAGTGCCGCAGCTGGTATCGCGGCAAGGACGGCAGGATTGTGGGCCTGTGGCCCGGGTCGACGTTGCACGCGCTCGAGGCGCTGCGGAGCCCGCGGTGGGAGGACTGGGAGTACGAGCGGGTGGAGGAGGACAGGGCGGCGGGAGGGTGGAATGCGTTGAGGTGGTTGGGCAACGGGTCGAGCGTGACGCAGATCAGCGGTGACCCGTCGTGGTATATCAATCCCGACCAGGTCGAGGTGCCGTTGGAGGGGCGCCCGGAGGAGAACACCCGATACAAGGCCCGGCCGTGGTCTCATTGAGCGGCCGGTTTCGAATCGTGGGCTGTCCTTGGCAGGCGCTGTTTCCCTTCATATCTGGGTGCCTAGGTAGCGGTTTTCAGAATAAGTACCTTAGGTACTAGCCAACTTCAGGGGTACTAGTAGCGTACATACCGAGCTGAAGCTGAATACCAAGCAGTGTATTGCTCTCCGGGTCATAACAACCGATAGTGCGCTTTAGCGCCACGCAATCCATTGGACTAACCAAGTCAGGAGGCACAGGCATGTTCGCTGCATTCCGCATCCGGATGCTACCTTGAATTCGTCGTCTACTAGCTCTATACACGCAACACACCTCAGCTCCCAACCTTGAAGGTCCTCCCGCTTGCTGTCTTGCGCTCCTTCTCCTCGCTGTCTGGCCTGGCTCTGCGGAGGACTGTGACATGTCAGCGATTTGGCCGTCCCAGTAAGCAAGGCAGAGTGCTCACCTTGGAGGAAGTCTGCTGTCCGCCGTCTCATCCGGGAGTGGATATATGCCTTGAACGGTTAGCTGCATATCAAGCCATCCGGGCCATGGTTTGATAAATACCTTGGAAGCCTTAATGTGGTAATGGAAGTAGTCCCGGAAGGTCTGGATGTGCGAGATGACATCGGGCATCCGCTGGGGGGTGAGATGTCGCGGGAAGAGGACTACCAACTGTCAGCAAACTACGCCGCTGCATCTTGACGCATGGTGCATACCAAACGTAACGTAGCCAATCTCGCCAGTGCCGGTATTCTTCACGCCCGGCACACCCTGCAACTCCAGGGGCGGATCGTTGCGGAACAGCACCTGGGGCGCGTTCTGGATGGCCCGCCGCCGGGCGTCGACGAACTCCTGGATAAAGACCTTGCCAAACACACGATCCGTCTCTTCCCTGAAAATCGTGCTGAATATGACGGTTACACGATCGTGGCTGGCCTTGACGTAGATGGCCTCCTCCTCACGGTAGTGGATCGCCTTGACCTCACCGCCCTCGCGCACGCCCTGGGGAGCCTCCTCGGACGTGAACTTGGATGCTTCGGCCTTCAAGTGGTAGTGCTCCTGGTAGGCCTGCTCGAACGGGGCGGCCATGGCGTTGCGTTTGAGGAGGGAGATCTTCTTCACCAGCTCGTCTCGTGCCTCTAGAGTTACTGTCTCAGCGAGTGCGCGAAGGTGCATAAGCTGGGGTATACCAACCCTTTTCGGCGGGAAGACTTTCCAGGTCGACTACTATGGAAAAGTCGAAGCCTGGCTCCGGGGGGACGACGTAGGGCCCATACTCGCGGTTGAGCACCTCCTCTGCGCCGTACTTTAGCAGATCCTGGAAGCAGCGGATTTGGATTGAGACCATGATCTTGGTCTTCGTCTCGGGAGTCGATATGTGAAAGGTGACACCGTCGAAATCGGACACGGTCTGGTCGATGGACACGGGCGGCGCTCTGCGGTCGGAACAACCAGGAGACGAGGGTCAGCGAGCTCCGTCCGTCCACTCCATCGCCGCAGATGACAGCGCGCGAACTCACCCGGAGAAGCGCTCCGTGAGCACAGACTGTATCAGAACATTTTGGTAGTCGAGCAGCAGCATGTTGGAAGTTGTTCTGCGCCTATTCAATCCCTTACCCGAGGAGCGCCCGTGTTGTCGAGTGTCGAGCGGTGGTGGTCGGGGCACCGGTTCCTTGGTGGGGCCGCGCTCCCGTCGAAACTGGAAAGCTGACGTTGCGTCGGGGCAAGCGCAGCTCCACTTTCAGCGACCTCCCATGAACCCTGAAAGCTGCCCCGCACTCAAGCAGCAGCCACACTACCTCACAAACGCCACAATATGGCACTCCAACTGTGGCTAGCTGGACCGCTGGTGCAGTCCTCAACGTTATCTTATCGCAGCCAAAAAAAAGTCCCAAGGGTCAGGTACTAGAAGCATCCCACCGTTCAGAGACGGCTGTGCGGTTGGAGTGCGGATTGACGGTCCCTAGTCGCAAAGATGGTTAAATCCTATCTGTAAGTGCACAATCGCCGGCTGTAGACCTTGCCCTGCTGACTCGTCCAGAAAATTCGAACCCTCCAAGTCCTTCGGCGTTGTCGCATCCAGCAACTCGAACCTCGTCTGGTCCTCCCCAAGGGGGAAGGCGGGCAGCGGCGCGGGGCAGGCCATTGTCTCCGCCAACGAGGAGGTTCTCGTGTGGGATATCAAGAAGGGCGAGCTGCTGGGCCGTTGGAGGGACGAGAACTGCAGAGCCAAGGTCACGGCCATTGCGCAGAGCAGGACCGATCCGGACGTATTCGCCGTCGGCTACGAGGATGGCAGTATTCGCATCTGGGACAGCAAGATCGCCACCTCGGTGGTGAGCTTCAACGGACACAAGTCGGCTATCACAACTCTAGCGTTCGACAAGACAGGCGTGCGCCTCGCCAGTGGTGCTAAGGACACCGATGTCATTATCTGGGACCTCGTCGCCGAGGTCGGACAATATAAGCTGCGCGGGCACAAGGACCAGATCACTGGTCTGCACTTCATCGAGCCGGATCCGATCGTGCAGGGGGATGGCGAGGAGGAACAGGCCTTGATGGCCGTGGATACCGAAGCGTCGGAGGGATTCCTCCTGACCACCGGGAAGGACGCCTTGATCAAGCTCTGGGACCTGACTTCCCGCCACTGTATCGAGACACATGTTGCGCAAACGAACGGCGAGTGCTGGGCCCTGGGTGTGACGCCTGACTTTAGCGGGTGCGTTACAGCCGGCAACGACGGCGAGATGAAGGTCTGGGCATTGGACGTTGTCGCCCTGGCTTCATCGGTGCAGAAGGTCGATCTCTCACAAACAATCAACTTCCTCCGGGACAGGGGCACATTGCATCGGCAGAGCAAGGAGAGGGCCGTAGAGGTCACTTTCCATCCACGGCGCGACTACTTTGCGGTGCACGGTGTGGAGAAGGCGGTCGAAATCTGGAGGATACGAAACGAGGCAGAGATCAAAAAAAGCATGGCCAGGAGAAAGAAGAGGAGGAGGGAAAAGCTGAAGGACAAAAAGGCCGAGGGTGACCTTGAGATGGACGACGCCGACGACAAGGCCGACGACATCACCAAGGCAGACATTTCCGACGTTATCGTGCAGCATGTGATTGTCAGGACCACCGGCAAAGTCCGGTCGGTCGACTGGGCGACGAGCCAAGGGATCAAGGATTTGCAGTTACTCGTCGGATCCACCAACAACCTTCTCGAGCTATATACGATTGTCGGGAAGGACAAGCTGAAGTCCAAGGGTGATGTCCCTGACTACAACAAGGCCCTCGCCGTTGAACTTCCGGGGCACCGCACAGATATCCGCTCTCTGGCGATCAGCTCCGACGACAAGATGTTGGCATCTGCCGCCAACGGTTCCCTGAAGATCTGGAACATCCGGACACAAACATGCATCCGGACGTTTGACTGCGGCTACGCGCTCTGTTGCGCCTTCCTTCCAGGCGACAAAGTCGTGGTGGTCGGCACCAAGGAAGGCAACCTCCAACTCTACGATGTTGCGTCGGCAGCCTTGCTTGAGACGGTCAATGCGCACGAGGGCCATGCCATCTGGGCTCTGCAGGTGCACCCGGACGGGAAGTCGGTGGTGTCCGGCGGCGCCGACAAGACGGCCAGGTTCTGGGACTTCAAAATTGTCCAGGAGCAAGTTCTCGGCACGACCAGGACGACGCCGAAACTCAAGCTCGTGGCCTCCAGGATATTGAAAGTGTCTGACGATATCTTGAGCCTGCGGTTCTCGCCTGACGCAAAACTGCTGGCGGTCGCCCTCCTCGACAGCACCGTCAAAGTCTTCTTCACCGACACGCTAAAGCTCTACCTCAACCTCTACGGCCACAAGCTACCGGTGCTGAGCATGGACATTTCCTACGACAGCAAGCTCATTGTAACCAGCTCTGCCGACAAGAACATCAGGATATGGGGCCTGGACTTCGGCGACTGCCACAAGGCGCTGTTCGGCCACCAGGACAGCATCCTGCAGGTCGCCTTCATCCCCCACAACTCGGAGGGCAACGGGCACCATTTCTTCAGTGCGAGCAAGGACCGCACCATCAAGTACTGGGACGCCGACAAGTTTGAACAGATCCAGCGCATCGACGGCCACCACGGCGAGATCTGGGCCGTCGCCGTAAGCCACAGCGGCACCTTCCTCGTCAGCGCGAGCCACGACAAGAGCATCCGCGTGTGGGAGGAAACCGACGAGCAGATCTTCCTCGAGGAGGAGCGCGAGAAGGAGCTCGAGGAGCTGTATGAATCGACGCTCACCACTTCGCTGGAGCAAGACCCAGACGAGCAGGACGAGAACCGCGAAGTCGCCGCGGCCACCAAACAGACCGTCGAGACGCTCAAGGCGGGCGAGCGCATCGCCGAGGCCCTCGAGCTGGGCATGGCTGACCTCAACGTCCTCCGCGAGTGGGAAGAGGCGAAGCGCGCGAACCCGTCCATGGCGCCGCCACAGCGCAACCCGATCTTCGTGGCGCTCGGCAACATCTCGGCCGAGGCATACGTCCTCAACACCCTCCAGAAGATCAAGGCCGCCTCGCTCCACGACGCCCTCCTCGTCCTCCCCTTCTCCTCCGTCCCCATGCTCTTCACATTCCTCAACCTGTTCGCCCTGCGGGAGATGAACGTCCCCCTGACGTGCCGCATCCTGTTCTTCATGCTCAAGACGCACCACCGGCAGATCGTGGCGAGCCGCACGATGCGGACCATGCTGGAGGGCATCAGGGCGAATCTGAGGGCGGTGCTGCGGCGGCAGAAGGACGAGATGGGGTATAACATTGCCGCGCTGAAGGTTGTGGGCATGCAGCTGAAGGAGAAGAGTGTGAAGGAGTATGTGGATGATACCTGGGATGAGGATATGGAGGGGGCAAATAGAGCGAGAAAGAGGGCGTTCGCAAATGTATCCTAAGTTTTAGGTACCAGGTATTGTAGTCGATAGCCGGTGTATACGGGCATTGGTCTAATGTCGGGGTGGTTTCAGGTGTTGGGGATCGAAAAGGATACATTCTGAATTGGAGTTGGTTGTTCTTCACTTGAATTAGAGCAACCCCCTTGTCTTTGACATCGCCTAGGTAGACATGGGGACTGGACGCCCGAGGCGCCTGATGGATGGATACGGGTCGAACCAACAGTCCTCTCCCTATTCTAATCGATGGTGGTATCTCGTACTGACGCTAGCCGCTTAGATTAAAACAAAGATTAAGCACCTACGTAGTTCCCTTGGTAGATATTATTATGCTTTCACACCATCAGCTTCAAGTGAAACAAAGCCATCACCACAACAAGCAAAAAAGTCAAGTATCCGGGAAACTGGGAGACAAGACGAGTCAGGGAGCGGGTGTTGACGCTGCTGAGCCGAAGAGGGAATCGGGAGATCCCTTGGTAGCAGCGGCCATTGCAGCATGGGCCTCGCTCACCATCTCGGTGTCGACCTCCATCGGCGTCTCACTCCCCGCCTCTGGGGCGGTGTCGGTGTCAATCTCCATGGGCGCTGTCTTTTCTGCCGGTGTACCTTCTTCCGTGGACACCTGTTCCGCTGGCTCTTCTACGTCATTGTCCACCTCCATGGGGAGGTGTGCTTCCTCTGGGGCTGCTGTTACCGCTGGCGACGTTACTGCCGTATCCTCGTTGGGGGTAGCAGTTGTTGCCAAGGGAGTTGCCGCACTTGCGTTCTGGGGCGCGCTTGCTGCCGCCATCGGCGAAGACACCGGTGATACTGCTATACTTGCATTGGCATCTACATCCCGACTTTGGCTTTGATCAAATGCGGTGAACGATGGCGACCCCTGGCTTTTAGTGGCATTCGTATCTGTACCCTCACCCCCCTTCTGCTGTGACTCGGCTGCATTGGTCGGTGGGACCTGATGGTCAGCTCGTACCGTGGCGGACGCTTGCTGATCCGAGCTAGGAGGTACAGGCAACGACTTTGTCTGCGCTGGGTGCTGCTGGCCAAGTGGCGCGCCAAGATGCTGGCCTTGAGGTGGCGCCGCGTTTGCTGGCGCTATTGGCAGCGGGCCCGGGGTTGAAGATGTCTGCGGTGCTTGAGCGCCCGATGTCGGTGGAGGACCGGTGTGCACGGTAGCGGAGGGAGGGTGTGGACGCGCATGGGGGTGTGACATCTGGGCAGCAGCGAAGCTTTGGGGTGGTGGGTTGTTGTAAGGGCTGATGTAGCCGGGCGGCCCCGTGTAGGGTGCGTGCGGGGGTGATGGTACGGGACGGCCATGAGTACCGGGAGCCGGGATCTGTATTGGCCTCCACTGAGGCTGTGATGCCGGGTCTGGACGCGGAGCGAGAGGGCGGACCCCACGTGTTGTAGGGGCCCCTTGGGGCTTCGAGGGTGGCTGCTGGCTAGGTGGCACTCCTGGTTGGCCTCGGTGTGAAGGGCCGGGAGCGATCGCGGGCGGGCCGGATGGCACGCGTGGTCCAGGCGGTCCTTGTGGTGGTCCTTGTGGTCCCTGAAGTCCATGTGAGAGCTTGTGCGGACCGGGATGTACAGCAGGACCACTGTGTCCGAGGGGTGGAGCCGGAACCGGAGCCGGAGGGTGCATGACGGGAGCTGGAGGATGGCTGGGCCACACGGCAGCGTAGCTAAGCGGGGGGACCTCCAAAGGCTGGCCCGAGTACACCACCGGCAATACAGCTCCGGGATGAAGGCAGTGCTGCCCCGGCTGCGGGCCGGTGCCCGGTGGCCCGATATACACGACAACATAATTCGCCGGATTATAAGCGGGCGGTACCGGGGGTATCTGCGGCGGGGGTTGAGCGGTTTGGGCGGGCTTGGTTGGTTGGACGGGCGGGGCTGGCTGGATGGGCCGGCCTGGTGGGACGGGCCGGGTTGGCTGGACGGGCTGAGTAGGTGGAACGGGCGGGGCGGGTAGAAGGCGGGGCTCAAGACGAACCGGACGCGGCTTCCGGGGGGGTGGCGGCGAAGCGGACCCAATAACTCGCACTCGGGTGGTCAGAGGTAGCGGGTCGTGCATAGCAGGCAGCGTAGACGTCTGAACCGAGGTCGGAGTATCGAGAGTCTGGTTCTGGTTTGGAGATGGCTCGGACCCGGATGGTGAAGCCTCTCCTTGACCATTCTCTCGAACCCCTTCGCCTTGGCCGTCCCCATCATTGGCCTGCGGCTGACTGTGAACATTCGTCGGCCCTTCCACTTCCTCAGGAATCTCGATTCCCGTTCCCTCAAGAATCTTTTTGCGTCTGTCCCACCATCCCTGGATCGTCGGAACGGGCACTTTCCAGAACGCACTGGCTTCCTCGTAGGTCGGCGTGCGGTACCAGATATACGGATCGGTCTCGCTTCGTTCCAGCACGAGCGGTTGCCCCTTGCGGCGCCGCGGTAGGTGAGTTGTGCGCTCATCGGGTACTCGATGGTTGATCAACCACAGGAGCACTTGAATCCTCCGCTCGCGGGTATAGCTGCGCTCGACGCGCTTGATCTCCTTCAACGCCCTAGCCCTCAGCCGTTCCGCCAGCGGCTTGGGCTTCGGTCCCGGCTTTTTGCGCGGGAGGCCTTTCTGCGTCAAATGCCCGACGCGTCTGGGCTTCCTTCTTTCGAACTTCTCCGGTAGCGTGTCCGGTGATAGTGTGTCCACCACTAGCGTGCCCGGTGTCGTAGGAGCCATGCTTTCCAGCCTTCCGGGAGTAGCTGACTACGAGATCGCCTCGCGTTCCATTTGTCCCGCGCATGCATGCGTCGAGTGAGTGTGGTTGGCGCGTCGTGGTCTTCTCAGTAAATCTAGTACGGTAGGATCTCTGGCGATGAGTAGATTAGCGTGGGGGGCTGCTAGAGCGTGCAACCAATGGTCTCACAATTCACCCCCGGGTGGCGGTGGCTTGTGGGCCGAGCCCGCAATGCCGTCGCCCTCATTGGTCAACAAGGGCTTGTTCCACAGAGCGCGAGGCTTCGATTCGCTTTACCCACAGATCCACTCCAAGGCCAAAATGATACGGATAGGTAGCGAGCATCAACGTCGAGCTTCTAACTCAATGTGTTTTGGTTCGAAGTCGAAACAAGCACTTGGACAATAATCTGAACTACCAACTCGATGGATTCTCATCGTTCAAATTGCAAGGTCGAAGACGAGTGGGTAACACAATCACTAAGGTACTGGCAGCACCTCTGGCAAAACTGAGAAACCAAAGGACAACAGCTCCAGCGGCAAAAGTATTCCATTGCCCAATAACAGGATTGAACTGTTGACCTTCGCATACCATATACAGGTTGAACCAGTATTAGTACGACGCTCTAACCAGCTGAGCTAATCGGGCTTTGCTATTATATTTATCGTGGCGCTTTCATATAGAGAATGGCGTTTGTCCAAGCCGTTCCACCTCCTCGCCTAGCTCAGGTTTCAGACGACCTCTGCTCCTGCCATCGATGGATGTTATCAGGTTTTTGTGATGCAGGATGCCATACACGATCAGGGTCCTACCATATTGAACCTCTCTTTTATATGTGCTAACGTCTTGAGTCCTGTGGACATGTCGAGAAATGGAGTAATGTGTAGTAGGCACTTGACCTCTGTACATAAGGTACAATACATGCTTATTAGCGCCTTCCAGCACTGCCCCGCTCCAAGCTGAACTCGGACGACACATGCACTCCTACTGGCGCGTCGCCGACGAGCTGACGGCTCCTTGAAATGGGCGCCTCTCGCGACCGAGTTCTGAAACAGCGTTATAGAAGAGAGTCATTCATTGCGTTTTTAAGTCACCCCCGGAAACGCCACGGTCCCTCATCCTTTCTGTTCTTGGGCGTCTTTCGTCTCCCTTCGCATCCCTTTCCCTTGGGAGCTTCGTCTGAATTCTGCCTCGCATTGTCTCAACGACAGCCCCGCCAACCCCGCCAAGGGCCCCAGCAACAGCAGAAACAACAGCATTATCATCATTATCATCGTCAGCTATGGGCCTTCGCGACAAGCTCAGAAAGAAGCACGATTCGGACGACGAGGGGGGTGTGCGCCCCTCGCCGCCGGAGTTCACCTTCATTCGCACGGACACTCACAGCGCCGAGGTGATCCATCCGCCGAGCGCCGGGCCGGATGGAGGCCACGGCCAGTTCCTGTCCGCCGACGCCAACCCCAAATCCTCCACCGACTCCAAGCCACGGCGCAGCCTCGACGTCTTCCGCAGCAACCGCAGCCGGAGCACGTCCGAGTCGAGCCACCGCAGCTCAGGCGCCAGGCGCTTGTCGCAGCGCCTGCACCTGAGCCGCAGCCCGGCCAGCTCCGAGCACGTGCCCCAGGACCTGCCAGAGATCGTCGCGGGCGAGGAGGACAAAGACGCCGCCGAGTCGCAATGGGAGAAGCGTGCCACGATGCTGGCTCGTGAGAATGAGAAGCACCGAAGTCGTCCAGCTACCCCGGTGCACGTCTCGGCACCGCCGGTCCTCCCCCAGCTGCGCTTGGACGGGCCCAGCGACGGCGCGGCCGAGCCGCAGCGCAAGGCCGCCTCTTCCAAGGCGATCGACGACGATATCCAAGAGGCCATTAAGCTGCATGAGGCCGGGGAGCTCGAGCAGTCGACAGCACTCTTTGCGCGGTTGGCCGACCCTAAGGGGGCCAACAACCCGCTGAGTCAGGTCTTGTACGGTCTTGCCTTGCGGTAGGTGGTACCCCCGTATCCATCTTGCCCGGAGCTCTACTCCGGCGGCGAGCGGGTTGCCCCGACAAAAGGGGAAGTCATCGGGGTTGCTGACGCTCAGTTCCAGGCACGGATGGGGGTGCAAGCCAGACGCAGCCGCGGCCGTGAGCTATCTCTCGGCGGCAGCATCCAATGCTGCCGACATTGAACATCTTGCTCTGCAAGCAGGGCTCAAGAAGGGAGGCGCGGCCAAGGGCGAGCTCGTGCTGGCCATCTTCGAACTGGCCAATTGCTTCCGCCACGGATGGGGGATCCCCAAGGACCCAATTGCCGCCAAGCAGGTGGGTTGTCCTGTCTTTCCACTACCGACGGACGGTAGAACACGGCAACGGCAAGGGCTTTGCGTAGCCCATCGCTGACCTGGAAAACTGCAGTACTACGAGACAGCCGCAAATCTAGGGGACACTGGTATGTCTCCCAGCGATCGCCATTGTCCGGCACATTTCATAGCTGACCATCCACCCACTACTGCAGACGCCATGAACGAGGTAGCGTGGTGCTATCTTGAAGGATTTGGCACTAAGAAGGACAAGGTCAGTCTCCTTCCACCCTACGCCCTCCCCAAACGAGGAGACGTCCAGAGAGCGGCCGACGGTGGACACAGCCAGCCTTCCACCCCTGGCTGCTTATCTATTCCATCCTGTACACGAAACCGGCGCCGGTCCAAGCAAGGGATGCCGTCCGTGTCGGCGCTCCTAAATGCGGATGTTGGGCATCAACGGGGCTTCAGATGGAGGACGAATCATAACCCTCTCGGCCCGGGCTCTGCAAAACTGCACTTTACCGCTTTTGCGATGGATCACATCAGGCTGACACACTGAGACACACACACACACAACAGTTCGCGGCAGCCAAATACTATCGTCTGGCTGAGAAGAACGGGAACAAGATCATTGGAAACTCCTGGTAAGCCACTGTGTTCTCATTTTTTTTTTTTATTTTTTTTCTTTTTTTGTCCCCGGTGATTTCTTGTACTCGTTCTTTCTCCCCGTCTCTTTTGTTTGCTGTTGTGTTTCCATGATGTAGTCCCCTTCCACCAGTGTGGAAACACCCCCTTCCCCTCGCCGGCCATTCAGGCGAATCGCGCCGTCGCGGAACTCGGTACTGGCTTAGCCTCTCGGGCCTAGTCCATCTTCACTGATCTGGGCCGCTCCTGTCGATTGGGCCGGAGGGTGTGGTCTCTGTTTTGGCCGTGCTTCTACCGCCTTCGCCGCGCTTCGTGTCTTTGTTCCGTCGTGTATTGTTTGCCGTCCCACGAGGTTAATTGAGCGCGAGCAACTGATGATATTTGGTTGCCTGGCCATAGGATCTGGAAGGAAAAGTACAATCCTGAGAATGGCAAGAAGTAGCGCCCAGCCTTCCTGCCTCGACTTGGATTCGGCGATGTCTTTTTTCAGGGTAAGGGAAACAATGAACAATGCGGACAGTGCTGCTGTTGGACTACGCCTTGAGGAGCGTTAGGAGCTTGGAGTACTATTGCCACTTTGGTTATGGCGGAGGTACCTCTCAACTGGAGAATGGGAATTCATTGGATAATGGGATGGGCGTTTATGTGTATCATTATTCATCATCCCTTACGGGCAAGGTTTTAGCTCAGAACAAACTACTGGTTTATTTATGTCGTCAGGGGCCCATTGTTGCAGTCTAGAAGAGCCAGTGTCATGCCTGAGATGTCCTTCCCGGCCGGGGAAAACATAAACCCATACATACCCTTCGTTTGACTTGATATCTTAGAAATGATCAATTGGGTTCCCGTTGTCACGCCATGTCTACCTTGACCTCCCGGGTTGGCCCGAGCCGGGCGTATGGTATTTGTACCTAGCCTAGCTACGCGCGGCGTGCATGTTTAGCCCCTAGCTAGCCCATCTTACCCCGTCCACTTCGGAAGGTTGCGTTGGGTGCTCGAGCATGGTTGAGTGCTCCATCCCGTCATTCCATTGTGCTTTTTGCATGCTTCGTTTTATTGTTTACATGCCGGCGAAAGTAGGTTGGTCCATTTTTTTTTCTGCTCTCTTGACGGGATAGGAGAGTTCGGCACTCGAGGGATTTATGCCAGCAAGCATCGGCCATCAACAGCTCAACACGGTGGTGTTTATGTTTACCAATACCTATTTTTGGTGGCTCCGGTGGACTTTTAACCGGTGGTAGGGACCAGCTGGCCTTTTGGGCTACGGTAGCTAAGTAGACTTGGCTCTGATCAACAATCACGCATGGTAGTACCTGGTCTGGACTCGAGTATATGGTCGTGATCATTGAGCCACGAGTGGTGCCATCCGAGGGGGAACGGTCCGCTTCGGTAGTTGCTGCTGCTGTGCACTCGTGGCATTGCAGGTGCATTTTATTTGCATTGCAGCACACTGCAGAGATGTGACGGTCTCGGTGGAAGTACAGCGGAGTTGATGGGAGGTATCCGGGCAAGACGGCGGAAGAAGGTCCGTTTTGGATGACTGGAGCTGAGCAGGAAACGGAGCGGGTGAAGGGGCCGCGAATCGACCGCCCCCTTGCCTGTGCCGCTTCTCCTTCTCTGTTTTCTTTCTGCTTCTTTTCACTTCACCAGGTCGTGATTCTTAGGTTTGAATCACGCCCTAGTGAAACATCACCTCCGGCGGTCATTGCGCTGCTCTCTCCTGATCTGTAGGAGTCCTGGGGGAAGGGGACATGACATGGTCACCGTGTCCTCCAGTAAGCGCCAATGCACCCCAGTACGAACTGGGCTGTGTATGTCTTGCTTACGAGCCCCGGGGGGAAAGAAGCTAGGCGAGAGCTCTGGTAGCCCCTGAGATATTGGAGACGCACTCGACATCACAAAATATCTGTGCAAGTTACCGGGACATTGGTGTTAAAACAGTACTAGTGTAATCGCAGCTGGAAGGCGAGTGGGTGTGCGGGTTCCCTTGGGTTTTGTGTGTGGTCCTGTCAGAGCTGGCTCATCCCAGGGCAATGAGCCTTTTCCAGAGCTGATGCACAAGAGGGCTTGCCATGGTAGTTGTAAGACTCCGCAGATTGCCTGGGATAACTGTATTTCGTGTTGGTAGTCTTGGGATATCTTGATATTATACGCTACTATCTTAAACCAGAGCGGGTTTCTGAAGATGGGTGCATCACCCTGACAGTTGCCTTAACTGGTCCATTCCCAAATCTTCGGGCTGGCTGTGTCGGGACGTATCACGCCAATCTGCAATGTTCACAATGGGCTCTATTTGTTTATGCAGTAATGGGTAGGACCAGTACAGAAGTGAGGCGGAAGGGCCAGTTTGTCTCAGTAGAAGGTGTGGAGATAATAGCTCGTTGACAAGAGGATAGGACGTGAAGGTCGTGACGAAGGGGACGGGATGGCTTTGACTATTGCGGTGGTATCTCTCCGTTGACGGGAGAAAAGGGGCGGCAACCGAGAACACAAGCCTCTGAGTCAACTTGAGGATCCACAGAAAAACAGAGGGAACTCGAATCACGGCAGGTACCAAAGCTTCACTTTCACTTCTTTCGGAATCCGGGCTTACTCTTTCGCCCAGTCGCTTCCAAGGAAAGTGGGAATGCAATGCTAGGCGCAAGTGGTGCAACCCTCCCCTTTCCCAAGAATCCCAACTCACCAGCCAACCAACGCCGTCACAGACCCAACCCCAAGACCTCGTCGATGCCCAATCGCCCTACACGTGCATTACGCCGGCCCGGCAGTTCGGGGCGGGCCATGGCCCCGACACAAGCACCTTCTTTGCTTAACCCAGGCTGTCTGTCGCTTTTTTTCTACCCGGCTAATAATAAATTGGGAGTTTGCTCATGCTGTGTCACCAGTTCCCCAGGTTTTTGGACGTTTTGCTTTTTTGCCTGCCTCCTTCCTTATCAGTCTCCTGGAATGAGAGATCCTCGGTCCCGAGGTATGGAACAAACAATGATGGTGTAAAGATGCGTCATTACCACCGGCGACCCCAAGGTCATGGTTGAATGGATGGAGAAAGGGCGGGTGGGTAAATCAGCCCTCGTGAGCGGTGAGTTGGCATTGCATGTGCCCTGTGATACCATACTAGTACCGTACTTAGTCGATGTGCCTTGTTTCTGCTATACGGAAGAATACTACCGCGAAATCGTGCAGTGTCTTCCCCGGGACCGATCCCACTATACCGGTGTCCAAGTGACGTTACACACCTTGGTAAGAAACCGGGTTGGAAGGGGGGGAATGAGGAAGGGGGTGTAAGCCTACCTGCATCCCGCGACTCTTTTCCCCCCTTTCCTCTCGGGACGTCACAAGCCCACGGCGAAGACAGGCAGGGTGCATACGACAGTTCGCCGGGCTCTCCCCAATTACACTGCTGCCGGCGCAGTTTGGGAATATCCTGCAGCGCAGCCATTACATTTTACGCATCTCGCCCACCAATGTAGGTCACTCATGCATCATCGAACCGATCCTGAGTGGCAAAAGCCGCTTTGTTCCAATTTTCCAGCTATCACCGAGGTTCTGTGCTGCCTAGCCTAGCTACAAGATCGTAAGGGAAGAAAAATGAATGTCGAAAGCAGGTTGTTGGCTGTCCCAAGCCTTCCCCCTGCCGGGGGTTCGGTTACCCCCTTCCTGTTGTGCCAGGTATCAAAAGCTCAGCTGTTGTTTCAGCCTGTCAGGCGACATCGGCGATGGTGTCCGAAGTGTTGGAATATCCCTCCCCGAGAGGTGTGGCGGTGATTATCGAGATCGCGCTTTCATAGTAGGCGACGCCGCAACCCGTCCATCCCTTTCCGTGGGAAGTCTCGTCGGAGAATGGGCGCCGTGATCCGTATGGTAACGGCGGCAAGACCCGGGATCGAAAAGATTGGTGTATATGTTGGTTGTTGTGTCGACAAAAGGAAATTCGGGTGTCGTCAAGACATGTGTGTGTCCGCAACTGGTCTCCAGGTAGCAGGGCTCTTCCTCCCTGCCCGATCGCAGAATGCAGGACGTGGCTCAAAAGATCCCCTTTCCAAGTCCCGATACCATCTGATGGATAAGCGACGGGCGGGCGTCTGCGCGTCGGCGAGAGATTTCTCCGCTCGCGAGCGAGATACATGCCGGCCAGGCCGCGTCCTCAGCATGGATAAACGAGAGGGGAGAAAACAAAAGACGGCAAAGCTCAAGCAGCGATCGCCTGTCCCAAGAGGTTCCGAGAAAAGAAGAAAACAGTGCTCAAAAGCCAAACCCGCCGTTTTTTCGCCATGGCCCCCCAGTGTACCCGCCGACCTCGCAGCAAGGCTTTGCTCAGAACCGTAACCATCCGATCCCATACCAGCGCCAAAGAGACAGCCAGAAAAGTAGCCAGATGAATACAGCATTAGGAGTTGGGATGCGCCAAGGAACCAAAATCAGACTGAAAAACACAAAAACCAAATGCTCGCTTGCTAAGTTCTCAAAAAAGAAAAACCAGAAATGCCAAATAGATCAAAGCCAAGTAGGTACGAATAAGGGGCGGACTCCTGTGCCTCGGTACAGGATGCCGCGAGAAGAAGCAACAAACTTCCGGTGCGTGAGCTGCAGATGTCTGTGTGTCGTGTCGCGGGAGCGGATCAACTCTGTATGCGGTCCAAAATATCGAGAGAGAAAGTAGAAATCCGGAAAAAAAAGTCGATCAAAGAAATAAAAAAGATGCCCAAAACCGCTCGAGTGCTGTTGCATGCCTCATTCCATCTCCATATCGCTGTTCGTTTCGTGTGGATCATGCTGGTCGTGCTCGCGTTGTGGAAGTGTGCGTGTCATAACAGTCGTAACTCATGAGACATTTTCACGCCCGGTTGTCGTCGCTTCCGACGGCCGCGGCGTTGTTACTCTCCGCGACCATCTTGGCAAAGGCCCGGACGACGTCGCTCGGGATCTGGTCCCAGAGCAGCGACCGAGTGTAGACCTCGGCAGCAGACTGCTGCTTGCTCGAGCTGCGCATGCTGGCCAGGGCCTCGGCAAGATTGCGTCTCCCTTGGCTCGTAGACCTTTCGGCCGGTGGAGCGCTCGAGAGGAAATCCGGCGAGGTCAGGTCGTTATACTGCGCGGCCGAGAGCGAGAAGATCTGCTCGTTGGTCTGTTGCTCGGTGGGCTGCGTCAGGGCATCCGCCATCTCGCCCAGCACCGACGACGCGACATTCTCGACCATGGGTGTGGCGAGGGACATGGACGGGGCGGACGCCTGGGGGTTCCAGTTGGCGGCACCCGAGGGCTGCGGCGCCACGGCGGCCTCGACGCCCGACGAGACCTGCGACACACCCGCATCCTTCAGCACGTTCTCCAGAAGGGTCGCGGACGCGGCGCGGACATCCTCCGAGACGCGCGGGATGCTGGGTGTCGACGACCGGCTCGAGAGCACAAAAGCGCCAACAAGGAAGAGCATGAAGAGGAGCCCACCTTGTTGGGCAGGCTTCTCGGAGTCGGCCGTCGGCAGGGCCACGCCCTCGGACTTCTTGGCGGCCGGCACAATCTGCATTTCCTGCTTGACCTCAGTGGCAGCGGGCTGCTCCATGGGGAAGTCGCCGAACATCGGCATGTCGCCCCAGGAGCAGTCCATGGCCATGCTCTCCATCTCGCTAAAAGCGCCCGAGAATCCGGACGCGGTGGTGGTGGCATGGCCCATGGACTGCACTTCGTTCGTCAGGACGCTGATCTTCTTCCGCAGCTCGCCCGTCTCGATGGTGTGTCTGCTGATCATCTCTTCCTTGTCGCGCTCGAGCTCGTGGATGTACGACTCGTAGTTCTGCTTCTCCAGGACAAGCTTCTGCATCTCCCGCTCCATCTTCGCGATGGTATCCTCCATGTTGGCAATGATCTCGGTGAACTGCTTCTTCTCATCCTCGAGCCGCTCCGTGTGCTGCTTCTTGCGTTGCCTCGAGTCGAGCCTGGCAAGGTCTTGTTAGTGCGGACTGAACGGCTTCGGGTGCTGGGTGATGGAACCTACGCAGCTTGCCTGTTGCGCAGCAGGCGCTTTTGTTGTTTGAGCTCCTTGATCTCCTGCTCGTCGGTCGACTGAGCAATCAGCTGGTCGATGTTGTTGAGGTTGCGCTCGGCAGGGATGTCGAAGCGGGCGTTCTTTTTGCGGATGCCATCGCCCCTCCGCAGGTCGTTGTGCGACCGGATCAGGGGGCTGGCGGGACGTGGCCTCTTGAGCATGGGTTGACCCTTGAGATCTTGGGCCATCCAGGCATCTTTCTGGGGAGACGTCGGGATAGACTGCGGGGCCGGTTGCCCGAGTTGCTGGAACATGCCGACCGGGTTGGCGGGGCCACCGAACGGGGTTGGAGTCTGGATGGTGGGAGGTCGCTGGAACATAGCGAGGTTGCCCGCGTCGTACTCCACCGGCAGGCCGTCGAAGGCCGGGAGCTGGGGAGTGGCAGATCCAGAGCTGGTCATGGGCCAGACGTGGCTCTGGTACGTGGCTTGCTGGTTCTGATCCATTCTCAAGAAGGGGTTGTTACTCTGCTGGTCGAAGAACGGGTTGTTCGATGGAACAGACTGCATCTCGACCGACTGCCAATCCTCTGTCTTCGGTGAGAAGATCGATGGGGCGACCGTGAACGAGTCTCTGCGGCTCTCAACCAGCGGCGGTGACATTTCCAAACCCGAGTCAAGTGCGCTCTGGTCAAGGATGCTGTCGTCTAGTATGCTCCCGTCCTCCTCCTCGAAGAATTTCTGAGCGTGTGTGGTATCGACAGTCAACGGCGTCCTATAGTATGACGGCATCTGGAACGCTGAGACCATGGTGGGCCACTGTGGGTGAGATGTGTGATGTGTGTTAAGGTTGCTTCCCGAGGGGAGGGCGGGAAGATGAGGGCGATCCTGATATACGAATTAGTGATGGTGCACGCGGGCGGTGAGGACTTTTATTTTGGGGAGGCGGGGGATATGGATGCAGGGGATGGATGGGAAACCGTAAGCTTTGGGTGGGTTATGAAAGAGAAGAAAAGCCACCAAAAGCCACGCTGGTATGCCTACCCTTAAAACCGCTGCTCTGGTATTGTGGTCGACGATGAAGACGATGGAAGTTCTCAAGCTCTCATGAGTGATCCTGCTGAGGGAACTTCCAGGTTGGGCAGTGAAGAGTGGGTTGAAGAGAAGCTAGTGGGGGAAGTGCTGGGGGCGGAGAGTGCGGGAGCGCGGGAGGCAGGGGCAGGGTTTTTAACAGAGAAAAGAGCGTAACACTTACACAACGCTGCCGTCTTCTGTGAGTGAGAAGAGGGGTATTCTGACCACAACCCGGATTCGTGGGGCAGTGGTTTGTGTAACTAAGACCGGAGGGGCAGCTTCAACGTCTTGAGTTGAAGCACCTCGTGGGGTAGAGATGAAGAAACTCTTCTTCAGTCGAGCAGCCTCAATGCTGCTCCTGTCGAAGGTGTCAGTGTGCAACGACGCTGGTTCTGATGGTGGGATGAATAAGGGGAGCAGACGGGATGCGGCCGCCTCTTTCTATGTTTTGTACTTGATCTTGACCACAGTCAGGGCGAATCTGCAAGACCCTCACGAAACAAGGTGCGTATCCGAGGCCTGCCCAATTGCAGGCAGGCGGGCACCTGGAACCTCCGGTTGGATGGTACCTCGAGTGGATGTTGCGGAGGACTTGCTCTGTGCGGGAACTTGTGGATCAAGAAGACTTTTCCGGACCGGGGGGTAGCGTACAGCCTTGGCAAGGGGGGTGTGAAAAGAGAGATCGGATCTACAGAGCAAGGGCTAGGGGGGGAGTCTCCGAGGACCTTTCTGGGTATCCGAAGAGAAGAGAAGATCGTACGAGCAGAGCCCGGACCGTCACTGTAGGTGAAACGGATACGGCAACGGGGGCCATCGAAAGACGAGGCTCATGTCGGGATTGGATATTCGTTAAAACCGCCAGTAAAGACACGCCACTGACGGAAACGCAGCGTCTTGCGCGTCTTGCTCGCGGTCTCCGTTTCGAACAGAAACCTGCTGTGACTAAGCCGGTACATATGAACGACAGACCGTTCCGGGTCGCCGCAGCAAGAAGGAGACTGAGGACGGCGATCGGGCGACAGCGGCTTCCCAATAGGAATCATTGTGAGGTTGCCGCGGACAGTCACGCTGGTCAACGGCGACGAGCGATTTGCCTGGGACGACGCGCAATGGGAAATCCCTATTTGAGATCGAATCAGCGATCACCCGCTGGGGGCGGGTGTGAATCTTGACTTCACGTCGTTGAAGACGGGTTGAAAATCAGTGATGCATGGACGGTGGGAGTCCCTGTAGTATAACGTGACTTGCGACATGTCTCTACCTGTGCTGGAAGGGAGGAACAAGAGACCTGGGTACCAGGCAAGGGTGAAGGCGATAGACCGGGAGCAAAGGTGAAGGAGTGGTAGTGGATGACCGCCCAGTGCAGGTTGGGCAGAAATGGGCCATCGGTACCCAAAGGCATGCTTCGAGCCAGTAGCTAGCCGCGGGCTCACAGTTGCTCCCACGCCCATGCTAGGGTCCAGCTCAAACCCCGTGAGCAGTGGGCAGTGGGTAAACACCTCCGTGAGAAATCCCGTTTGTAAGTACTGTATCTAGCAAGCCAAACAGCCACGGACGCCAGCCTAAATTCAGCCCACTCGCCGGCGAGGCGAGCATCCTTTGCGCAGCAGTTATCCTGGTGGAGTGATGTTGCGCCCCGGCAGGCTTGACAGACTTCGAGGCGCCGAAGGAAGTGGTCTCCTCGTTGTGTCTTAGCAAAGCGACTATTTGATGCGGCGCGCAGGGTGACCTCGGCGAGTCGGTCATGATGGCTGCGATGGTGGTGTTGCTCCGACGTACGTGATCATGGAGCATGCCAAACAGCAGCGTATGGCGTAAGTAATCATATGGCCACTGTTGATGAGAGAAATGCCAGTCATTCTCCCGTATGGATGTATGTACGTACATACATGCAAACTTCCCGGGCGAACAGCTTCTCGTTGCCGCCATGAAGCAAGGAACGTAGGTAGTGTACGGAGTAGTACGCATTCACGAAAAGTAGCAGGGCCGTTTCGCAACGCCTTCGACAACGGTGGGCGGTTGCAGCGGCCACGAGGGAGCTCTGACAATGGATGCATCGGGACGGAAGGCCGGGTCGTTGCGGCGCATGCCGTGCTTCCTTAAGTTTCTTTCCAATCATACTCGACTGTCGCTCAATTGGTGGGAGCTCGTGGAATGGAACGTGTGAGCGAATCGCCGGGCTTTCCCCACAACCTAGGCGGTCACGCCGCTTTCTACCGACCCATCACGTGACATAATGCTACCGACCCGTTGCCGCCTGTGCTCAAGTCATGCTTGCCGGAAGTGCTTGAGACAGCCCACTGCATCATCTGACTGCGAGGCTCATCCCTCCGTCCTTCTCCAGCTCCAATTGCTGCACCACGCCGCGACACAGCATCAAGCTCTTATCCAGGAGCTTTGCCTCAAACCCACAACGTCTGTTTTGTTTCGCCGCTCGTGCATTGTTTTGAAATCCATCGCGGCTTTCCTATTTCGACTTAGGCTTGAAGTTTGTCTGGAGCACCTCATCCGCCAACGAAAACTGGTGCCAAAAAATTCGGTGGCTGGTTGCAGCGCGTCGACGGTTTCCTAGCTCCACTCATGCTGCTGCCCGTCGCCTGTCGGCATGTCCAGTGAAGGGGAGAATGGAGCGCTTGCAGCTGCTCAGACGGCTGCTGGCCAGTCGCGATGCTTGCCCAGGCTCCGCGATGCGCACCTGGCCGCATATCCCAAGGCCCGCGCAATGACGGCCCAAACAGCGGCGAGCGTTCCTTCGTCCCGACCCAACTCAAAGTGTCGGTGTGTTTCTGTTCTCTGACAGGCGAGAACGCGTCTTGTCGGATCTCAAGCCGGTCCCAAACAGAGCAGCTATGGATAGTCGTTAGGGGCAAGGCGAGAACCCACGCTCTCTGCCTGTCTTTGGTCAGCTGCCAATGACCGTCCTGGGCGGCGGGATTGGTGTCCAATGGCACCGGCGACAATTCACCTCACTTCACTGGAGATGGGGACTCGGACGCTGAAGGACGAGCTAGCTCCTGATCAACCGAACTGCGGCATTCTGGACTTGACCGGTCAAGACCTCTTTCCCGCCCTATCCGCGGTGAATATCACACGACCTTAGCTGTGATAGCGGACGCAAACTGGAATGGTGTTCATTCCATGAATATTGTACCACTCAATTCGGTAACGCAGGCAAAATCTCGGGCGTCTTTCATGCTCTGATACGTACCACACCAGGACAAGCTGCGCTTCATTGGCACCCGGCAAAGATGCCGGATGAGGCTTCATTCCGGGACTGCTCCCGAGACCCGGTCACTGGGGGAAGCGCCGACTGCCGGCAATCGTCATACTGAGGCCATTGCACGCGGTACTACCTACATAGGAACGGCCGCGATATGTTGTGACTCCTAAAAAGAAGGCTAACTTCAGCCACGCAGGCGCCACGGTCCCGGTGTCCTGGGAAAACCACCCTCTCCTTCTCCCCAACCCTTTCCAATATTCGCAGTTTCCATCAGTGCACGCCATTATCCGTTGACGCCCGGGAGCACATCCAGATCAACTCGTGGTTCCCGAGGGCTGCATCCTATAACTGCCAAAACTGGCACGTCACCTAAACTAAGTACGGGAATGCCGCACTCGGCTTCCACTCCCGGGCCCTGAGACGCCTTCTGCATGGAATCCCGGACGCTTGATGCATTTCGGCGATCAACGCCCAATCCATGGCCAAGATCGGATCCTTGGGGGCCGCAACTGGGTTCAATCAACCGTCCGCTTTCCTGCCCAACGGCGCAATTCTACCAATACGGACTTGTTCAGATGGCCCCTTCACCTTTCCCACATGTTTGTTGCAGACGGTAACGTTTGGCTAGTGGCTTCGCCAAGGGATCTGAAGAAAATTTCCTATTTGTTCCCTTTTCCTGGGACCGCGCTTGTCGTGTCAGGCGCTCCGGGCGAACGATCCAAGGCCTGTGTCCGCCTATGCAAACTGACTCATACTTGCGGTCTTGCTCTCGGGAGCGACTGCTCTCCAGAGTGGAGGAGATTTCAAGAAGAATGCAAATACAACACACGCTCCCAAACGAGCAAGCGCTTCACACGGAGAGAGCATACAACATCGTCCTCTTCTTCTGGTGAGTTTGGCCCTTCAGACTGACTAACGAGACTCCACAAGCCCCATAAAAGGGTTGTCGTCTCTCCCCATCTCAGAGTACCTTGAGTTTATGACCGGGTACCAAGGGGTCACGACGGCTGCTTCGGGAGGACGGGCATCTCGCTCGTGCGGTTCCCCCTAATGCTCGGTCGAGGCATGGCCGGGGGCCGGACCCTTGAAGGGAGATGGTGCACCTCGGAAGGCTAAACCCGGTTGGAAGCATCTTCGGCGGTGTGCCCTGATAACGGCACGATCATCGTGGAATCGACATGAGCAACATCGTATCATTCGTGCTTGCTTCCACCGGAAGTCAAAAACAGGACTCTCGTCAGTCGGATCCCAAGCCTCGATCTGGAAGCCTGGAGGTGTTGCAGGGAAGGAAATCCAGATCCAGCATTGTCAGACAATGGGCCCGCTGCGGCGTCCTGCTTACACTATGGATACCTACCATACAGTACCGCTGTCCCACTTGCCGGCAAGCTGCACTTCAACGTGCAACATGCAGTGCAGCGCCAGGGCGTCTGAGACAGTGGCTCACAAACGCGGTGGAAGCGGCGGTGTTGCCTTCCACGAATGCGTAGGCCGGGTTCCGCCAAATGTTGCGCGGTCCGTTTGCAGTGTTCTGTTTGAGCGAGCGGACGGAGGGCCTTCCCGACGAGGCTGCCATTGGTGGTGTTGGTAGCAAGAAGGGTGAAGTCGCTGACGCATTTCAAGACCCTTTGGTGTTCTGGTTACTGTGTAAAGCATGTGAGCTTCTCATGACTTCTGTCCTACATCGCGCGGTGCGAACCATCCGAATGGCTAACCAAAACGGAGTGAAATCAGGTAGCCATTTTTCTGAGCCACGGGGTTCAGACTCCAATGTTTTTGCGCATTCCATGACGATTCTGCGAGTAGCGGTGAAGAAGATTCGGAGCCCAAAGCTGACCCGGCAGCGTTTACACCCTTGGAGCCAAGAAAATCCGAGGATCGATTCGGACGCCTTGTGGATCATCTGTATCCTCTTTTGTCTTCTACAGTACTAGTCCTTCTTCCTGACGCGTCCTGGATGTGCACACCCTCACACCCTACCCAAAACAAAGAATGCGTCAAACCCTGTCCGATGAGTCCGATACGCGATCGGCCTGGTGGGGGATCGACGACCATCAACAACCCCCCTTGTTTTCTGCTTACTATCGCGGATGGGTCAGAGCTCGGTCTCCACGGAGATCACATGGTTATCCGCTTCACCGCCCTATTCGGCTGAAGCTCCATTCCTTGGCCCGAGTCCGGCCGGGCCAAGAGATACGAAAATCGGGACCGGAACGGAGCTGACTGGACGGCGAAGGTGGGGCGGAGAAACGATAGAGCAACGAGTGGAACCGGGCGGCCGGAGATTGGGGTCGGTGAAAGAATGATATTTCGCTCTTCGGAGGCTAGATCGGGGGTTGACGACGGCGAGATACGGAAAGTGAGAACACGATACAACCCATGCCGGCCCCGGTATGTACAATACATACCAAGTGTGTACTGGTGACGTGCTGAGGAAGTCACAGGAGTCGGGGAGTGACGAAGGAAGCATGGCTGTCGCCGCACTGCGCCGTCCTCTGACTAGCGGCCTAGCCTCCACTTCAGTCGCTATTGGATTTTCGGCGAACTTCGCCGGCTGCCGAATAAAAAAAAAAAAACAGCTGCAAAGAAGTTGGGTATCCGTATTATTACTTTCGTCTCATCCAGCGGTCAAGGAAAACGACGTCTCCACCCTTCGAATCCATCATATTTCACTCTTTGTCGAGGGTAGTAGTACGTTCAGAACGCTACTCTGTATCCTCTCGGCCCTTGGCACCGGAAGAGGTGCAGCTACGCAAGCTGAGGCTTGGTTACGGGGTAGAGGTGACGAATGAGTGAGACGCCACCGTTGCCATAGGAAGGATCCGATGTGCGGTCGACGGGTTGTTCAACATAAGGGATAGGCCAGAGACGGGTGGCACAGCAGCAACGTCGCTGAGCAGACCGGGGAAGATTAAATTTGGCAACGGAACGCAGTGCACTCCGTACGGCTGTTGAAGGGCAAAGCTGCTGGGGGTGCGCAGCTGCAACGCTGATCGTGGCGGAGCTCATTATTAGTATAGTACACCGTTGGTAGATGGGAGAACTCATCTCGGCGTCCTTATGCTGCCAGTGTCCAAAGGTTGGCGGACTGTAAACATGCACTTGCAGGCGCTGTCCCGGCGCTTCCATTTGCATTCCTCTCGGGCCCGGCGCTTCCCGGGAAGAGAAATAATGGAAGCCTTTTCCCAGAAGGAACATCCACCGATAATGATGAAGGCGCAGCGTTCAGCGCAAACGTTTTCGTGATTGCGCGGCCCCCTTTGTCATGGAACCATCATGGGACATTAAGGGTAACGTAGTAGACTACTCGAGATCATACAAAGGTAACTTCCCCAGATTTGTGTAACTGTGTGTGGGGCTTCCATTACACAGAGCTAAGCTATGTAACCCCGAATCAACAGTTCTAGCCCAACCCCGAGAATGACAGTTGACGGGTGCCCAAGGGATGATGCCGTCGTTTCACCGAAGCTACTGCTGAGAGTGGCATGTGAGCGAGCAGTCATCCGCAAGTTGTGTGGGAGCCCGTTGGTGTCACCGGATGCTTACCGGAGGGGTACCATATCCCTCTTCTGGCAGCCGATGAGTAACGTCCAGAGGTCGCCATACCCCAGGGGCCGCGCCATTCGTGCGCAGCATGCGAAGGTGCAGAAGGTGCAGCGTCGGAAGCGGCCTTGGGCTTCCGTCCGGAGATTGGAGAACATTCTCTGTCCCTCAACGTCTCGAGAGGGCCTGTCATGCATGCGCTGCGTAACTTCATCCGAGACATCACCGTGTCAGGAGAGCACGTGCTCGGTGGGGTACATTTGGCATGCTCAATGACGAATGTCTGCGACTGCATGAAGCCCAAACGGTGTGCAGTAGACCGATAGACGTGGTGATGATCGAGGCTTCCATCTCGGTGCAGAAATCGGGAGCTCTTATGAGAACAGAGAGGTTATGACGACGCAAAGTCCCAAAGACTTGCAAGTAAACTATCCTTCTCCGCTTCTGGGCCGGCCTTGGTGAATATCCTCTTAGGAATCATATACTCCACGACTGGCGGCTTCTTAACTTCCTTGGAGATTTCGGCTTCAAGCAGCTGTGACACTGTTAGCTGGGTCCGCAGTCTGGTGTTTATTGTAACCTACGCTGCCGTAGGAGTGATCCAGGAAGTCCTCCAGATTGTAAGCCTGCTTGGTGAACTGCTCCGAGATGATCTTGGCAATCGTAGCCACGTTGGGGTGATAGTGTGATTGCAGCTGGACAATTTCCCACAGACAGCTGTCGATGGCTTGTGTCTCCAATGGGTCCTTCTCATCCGGTAGGAACGGATCCTCCAAACCCTCCCTCTCTAGCAAATCCTTCTCCTCTGGTGTCCGCGGCACACGGTGCATCATGAAGGTTGTGAGCGGATGTTTCTTGAAGAGATTGTAGAACCACGGCACGATCACCACAATAGCGCTCGGCGGCGCATTGAGTGCTAAGCGGGCCAGGCGTTTGATGAAGCTCGCTACCAACACAGCAGGCAAATGAGATGACGTGAGGAAGGTATCGAGGAGGCGGAAGAAACGAGACCGGTACTTGGAGTGCAGGATATCCGCATCCAGTAATGAATAGAGCTTGGTGTAGAACTCAGGGTAGTCGAGGTTGCGTTCTTGAATCAAATAAAAAACGCCCGAAAGAGCCAGAAGCGATATGGAACCGCCAGAGTTATAGCAATCCGTCAAGAAATCCATGAGCAGCTCAGGCTTAGTGAACCAGGGGGCGATCGAGGTTGCCATGGCCTCCAAGACCTTTTTCCTCTGTTCCTTGCTTAAGCCCAGTTGCATCAGCGCCAGCCAGGCCTCCTGGGCTTGCTTCTTGTGCTGCGACAAGGAGCGAAGCGGGTGTTTCTTCTTCTGAGGCGGCTCGATGTAGAAGTTTTCCAAGGCTTCGCTGGACTCTGGAACGTCTTCCATACTGATCAGCATCTCGAAAATCGTATCCCGGACATCTTCGTCAACAGTTTCGTGATCCATCAGGTAGTCCCTGTCCACTGTCAGCATGTGAGATTCCACGTAGTGCTGGGTTAACCGTACTTGATGGCGTCGAACGTGTAGAAACGGATGTCGTCGTATTCGTCAACGAACTTCTCAGAGAAATGTTCGCGCAACTGCTCAGCTGGAGATTCGAGGAGACCGGCAATGATGTCCGAGAAGAAATACCGCGGAAAGACTGCCTCGTCCGAGCCGCTGAGATGCTGGGCTTCCGCTTTGAGCAAGGCCAGGGACAGCATCAGGGCGTTGAGTGCCAACTTCTCGCTTCGGAACATGGATAACAGAGCTCCCTTGTAGTCTGCCAGGCGGTCCCTGAGCCAGCTCCTCACCGTGGCCTCCTTTTCCGACGCATCCTTTTTCTTGGTCAGGTTACCGGCAGCCAGAAGCCGAATAAAAACGCGACACAGTGCTTCCGAGGCGGTCAGACGAGCTTTTGCATCCTCATCGTGTTCTTGTGCGAGTTCGATTAGGGTCACAATGTTGTTGTAATACTTCTTGGACTCATGAATTTCGGCTTCGAGCTTCTCGATCTTCGTTGGGAACTCATCGCTGTCGCTGGCTGCCGATTTCCTCCGCTTCGTGATGTGGTTCCCTTTTTCCTGGTGCTTCCTCTTGACCGCAGTCTTGACGGCAAGTTCTTCACTAGCGGCTGGCATCTTGCCTAAAGAAGTCCCGAAGGACTATGTTGATATTTGCTCTGGTTGTGCGTCCCGGATCGTCTTAGATTTGTGCTGTCGGATTGAGGCTTTGGTCGTCCGCCAAAAATAAAGTGGGTCACGACCATCGAGAAACATTTCAGTTGGACAGGAAATTTCAATGCTCATTATGATGGGCGCCAAGCAAAAGATCTCTCTTAACGGTATCGTCAGCTGCAGCTGCACGTGACCTTACCCCCGGTTTCACGGCAAAGCCCGGGCCCGTTAAAACCTCAAATCGAACTTGGCAAGGAAGCTCCGACAACGTCAAGCCGTCACCCATTCGACATCCCAGACTTCACAATGGCGTCCCGCTTGGCGAGAAGTGCTGTCGGTGAGTTGACTCCAGACTGGGCGTGCGCCAATTGAGCAAACGCAGCGCTGACTCGAACTTGCGCACTTCCTGCAGGGGCTGCACGCCTGCGACCGAGCATCGCTCCCCGCGCCCTTCCGGCCGTCTCAACGCTCGTCACGGCGCGCCACAACTCGAACCTTCCCTCGCAGCAGGACCCCAAGAGCAAGGCGCAGTCACTGCTCGATGCGCTTCCCGGCAGCAACCTGCTCTCCAAGACGGCCATCCTCTCGTCGGCCGCTGGCCTGTCCATCTTTGCGATCAGCAACGAGTACTACGTGATGAACGAGGAAACGGTCGTGGCCTTCTGCCTGCTCAGCGTCTGGGCTGGTCTCATCAAGTACGGCGGTCCAATGTACAAGGAGTGGGCCGAGAAGCAGAACGAGAAGATCAAGAACATCCTCAACGCTGCGCGGGCCAACCACGAGCAGTCCGTCAAGAACCGCATCGAGGATGTCAAGCAGATGTCGAGCGTCATTGACGTGACCAAGTCGCTGTTCGAGGTGTCCAAGGTGGGACATAACACGTGCTGCGAGAGGCGACCGAGCTGGATGCTGATGATGTCCAACAGGAGACTGCACGGCTCGAGGCCCAGGCGTACGAGCTCGAGCAGCGGACGGCGCTGGCTGCCGAGGCCAAGAACGTGCTGGAGTCGTGGGTGCGGTACGAGAGCCAGGTCAAGCAGAGGCAGCAGAAGGAGCTCGCCGAGAACATCATTGCCAAGGTGCGCAAGGAATTGGAGAACCCCAAGGTGCTGCAGCAGATTCTGCAGCAGAGTGTTGCGGATGTTGAGAGTGAGTCTCGCCCTTCTAGGTCATGCCAGACGAGTACTTGCTAACACGCTGTCAGGGATCGTCTCTTCCAAGGCTCAATAGACAGCTACGTCGACAAACTAGCGAAGCGAGATTCCCTTTGTTGTACCAGTGTCCCTACACACCCTGTGCATTAGCCTCAATATAACCTCCTTAGTTGCCTTGACCATGTGGAAGATATGTTGGGTCTCTGGAGTTTTGTTGGGCCAGGCTGTATGCGGTCTGGTTAGCACAACAGATACCCAAGCAGTTACTAGTAGTTACTCCGCCAGCCATTGATAAAAGACACGGACTCGGTCAGTGATTCTGAAACCAAACCTGGGCAATGGGTCCGTTTTCCGCCAGAAACCATCCAGCTTCAACATAGGACTCTTCTTCGACAGGCTTCTATCAGAGCTAGGTTACTTTCAGAGTAGACCCGCGGGTCTGAGCCCAGGTGGAAAACGGAGATCTGAGATATCAATATTGCCTACGTACGATTTCAAGGATTGCAAGGCAAACGACAACACATCAAGATGATACTAGTTGGTATATATGTAGATTACTACCTACCTTCTAGTGAGCGAGGAAGATGGGCAAAACAGCATTGTGTCACTAGGTCCATACCTAGTAGCTGCTGAAGGTGTTGTTCAAGTTGCTCTTTGTGAGCGAGTGGGTGGGGCAAGAGCTCCCAAGCTCCCGACTCCCGTCATTTCTATTGTAGCACGCCATTCCGCTCATTTCACATTCCAAACACCAATGATATCATCAAAGTCCGACTAGCAACCACAGAAACTATAAACATCGCTTCAGGAAAGGTCAAAATTCTCAGTAGGTATTTTAAGACGAGGGGATTACTTTACAACCCTCAGCAGTAGGAAAATCAAAAATCTGTTCCATCCTCGGCCACTCTCAAAGTTGCGAGAATCCGCCCCTGACTTAGGTAGTCAAGGAGGCCACTGCCGCAGGGAAGGACATGGGTGACGGACCGGCACGGCGACCTAGCCACGGCCCTGTTTCCGTCCCCAGTATCTGCATCAGCAGCGGCAGCAGCAGTAACAGCGAGGACAACGATAGCGGTCATAATATCAACAATAGCAACACTACGCAGGGGGACGCGGGCGGAGGCGGCGCCGGGCGCGGCAGCAGTATAGCACCAGCCACCGGCTTCCGGCCACAGGCGATACGGATCCAGGAACCAGCGGAGCGGCGGCCTCTCCTCCCGCAACGTGCGGCCTTCCCGCACAACCTGGACCGCGAGGTCTTCAGCTGCTACAGCTACGGCACGGGGCCCGGCGCGTCCGCGTCCGCGTCCGCGTCCCCAAATGGCGCCCACCGGCATCTGCCCGTCTACACCAATATCCATCGAATCCGCCGCGACATTATCTCGGTCGTCGAAGACTACCTCTCGCTTGACCAGCTGCGCGACGTCCGCCTCAACGTGTCGGTCATCCGGCCCTTGGTCGACAAGCTGTACGAGCAGGACGACATCTCGATCGTCTACTGCCTGCTCGTGAACCGTGCTCAGTTCCTCGCCGAGCAGGCGCACCTGAGCAACCGGCAGAATGTGAACTACACACGGGCGATGCTGTGCGAGCTGATTGCGACCAGGATACTGAGGCGCTTCAATGAGGACAACGAGGGGCCCGAGAACCTGCTGGTGCTAGCCCATGTGCTGATCGCCGGCTTTGAGCCGTTCCAGAACGCGCCCGACGAGATCAGGCGGGAGGTCGGGGCGTCGACGGCGCATCACCGGACGCTGCCAGCGTTGGAGGTGGCGATTCTGAGCGAAAGCCGCATCTTCCTGGCGTCGACGAGTTGCCAGAAGATGTAAGTGAATACCGTGAACCCCCCTTCCCTCCCGAGACGGGAGTGTGAGAAGATGGCTTAGTGTTGACGCAAGAATATGGGAAAGCGTGGATGCCATCTACGAGGGCCGGGTCATCTACACGCCCTCAAGCTTCATGGACATCCTCCCCGACCGCTACAAGCAGCGACCTATTTCACTGTACAACCCCCGAGAGGCGTCCCTCCTCAACCAGTACCGCCTGGTGGTGCCGAGGACGCGGAATTACCTCGAGCTTATGCATTTTGTCGTTCTCCTAGGCTTGTATCTTGCCTTCATGAGCGAGAGGGACGCGGAGCAGTTCAGCAAGCTCGAAGTCTGCTTCACCGTATACGCCCTCGGATGGGTCTTGGACCAGTTCGCCACGCTCCTGGAGCATGGATGGTATGCCGCGCTTCCACCACCGGCTGGAAAACGTATATTTGTGTGTTGTTGACGAACAGATACCAGGGACGTCTACGCGCAAAACCTGTGGTCCTTTCTCGACGTCACGTTTGCCGTCATCTACTGGGTCTACCTCATCATCCGCATCTACGGCTGGAAGACAGCGAGTCTTGAGGCCGGGCAGCAAGCCTTGGACGTGTTGGCCATGGGAGCGCCCGTGCTTGTCCCGCGGCTGGCGTTCAATCTACTCTCAGACAACCTTGTGTTCCTGTCGCTCAGATCTATGATGTCCGACTTCGCTCTGCTGTCAGCTCTGGCTGCTTGGTGCTTCCTTGGCTTCTTGCTGTCGTTGTTCTGGCTTGGAAACGGTGGTTTTGGTCCCGCGTACGTCTTTCATTTCAACACGACCTGCTGCAAGCCTCGCTGACACGCACCAGAACCATCAGCAAGTGGATGATCTACATCTGGTTCGGGCTCGATGGGTCCGGCATCCAGCATTCTGTTTGTTTCTATCCGCGTGCGCTTCCCATCGGAAAAATATCATGCTGACGGCAGGCAGACCGAGTTCCACAAGATCCTCGGACCTTCTCTCATGGTCACATTCGCCTTCCTCGGCAACACGCTTTTCCTGACCATCCTCGTCTCCATGCTGTCCACGACCTTCAGCCACATCGTCAACAACGCGCCCGCCGAGATACAGTTCCGCCGGGCGGTCATGACACTCGAAGGCGTCAAGGGTGACGCCATCTTCGCCTACCCGCCGCCCTTCAATATTCTAGCCATCCTCCTCCTCGTGCCGCTCAAATTCTGCGTCTCGGCCCGCTGGTTCCATAAGATCCACGTCATGTCGGTCCGTCTCATCAACCTGCCTATCTTGCTGGTCATCGCGCTCGCCGAGCGCCGCTCCCTCTCGCCTCACAAGCTGCCCGCCCTGTCGCCCGCACCCAGCGTTTCCAAGGGCCACACCATCACAATCCGCCGGCGGTTCTGGGAGCGATGGAGGATCACCAGCCATAGCGATATCTCCACCGTGTTCGAGGTGCCCGTGCCGGACTCGGTGCTGGGAGACGTTGCCGCAGACGATGACATGACGCGGCACCTTATTCGCAGGCAGTTTACTCCAACAGCGCGCGGATTGCCGATCGTAGAGATCTCCAGTCAGCAACGACCTCAGCAACGACCTCAGAAACCATCACAGCAAGCACAGAAACTACCACCGCAACCGCTATCCACATCGCCTGAGCAGATCATACAGCCGCCAGCCACGCCGCAGCAGGGCCATAGGGTGCCCAGCAGGCGCGACAGCATTGCGCCATTCCCCGGGCTGAGGGCCGAGCTGCAGGATGTGTTGCGCGAGAGCGACGAAGTGAGTGACATCGCCTCGCGGCTAGAAACGTTGGAAGAGCGCATGCAGCGGATTGAGGGGTTGTTGGAGAAGTTGGTGGGTGCACACAACGGGAACGTGGGGTCAAGCTCAGGAGAGGAGGGTGTGGAAATGATGCCTTCGAGGAGGCGTCGGAAGTCGGTAGCGGAGTTGAATAGAGAGGCTGAAGAGGAGTGATGATGAACAACACAGGGAGGGGGGCACAAAGCCTTTGGCATGTGCTTGTCCCAGCCTGGTATATCCCATGGCCAATGAAAGAAGGTATGACTACCTGGTACCTTAGTCTGTCACCTGGACAACTACTTGGGTTAACTTTGTGTGATGGTTAACAGCAACCCGGGTGCACTTATTAGTCACCCTTCTCTCATGCGTCACATAGCATACGTACGGTACCTTACACGCTGCGACCTCCGATCAAGAAACCAACATCTTCCCATGGCCCACGCTTTCTACAACTCTCCGAACCGCAAGAACTCGTGAGCCCAGAGAAAAATACCCAGTCGCACCCAAAGGCACGATTTCCCCATACTACTTCCCTGCCATTGTCTAAGCGAGGAAATATAAATGTGCCTCGTCAACCATTACCGCGACTTCCATTGCAAGCACCGCTGGGCTACCATTGCCGTCCCCTGCTATCCCGGCATGGGCTTCGACACATGCCTGGGGTTCATCGATGGCCAGATACGGCCACTGCCACCACGGCTGGTTGCGAAGGGCGAGCTGTGTCCGAAGTGGTATGTACGCTCATGTTTTTCTCCCTTTTCTGGTTGGCAAATTCCACCCACATCTTTTTTCACTCGCACACACACCCACCTCCTCGTGCGCAAGAAAACATTAACCCTCTAATAGCGACCTCCGAGGAGCGTATGATCGGAACCAGACACGCATGGTCAGCGAGATACGACATGGCTTCCGCTGGGGCCTGGGCCCGAACAAGTCGGATCCGGGTTGTGACATTACGTGCTGCGTGATGTGATGTGAGGAGGAAAGCGAGACTGGGAAGATATAATGAGAGCCAAAGTCCCGGAGTCCCTGAACCTCGTTCAATTGAGCGGCAGCTTGCAACTCGGGAAGCGAAGCGAGACAGGCGGTGATGGACAGGAAGGGCTGAGACTCTGAGTAAACATATGGCACAGGACCATTGATAGAGACGTAGTCTACAGTCGCTTGAAATTCATATGCCGAGGTATGAAGCCTGTGAGGGATTTGGAATTTTGGATAGATTCGTAGACGTGCCCATGTCGACGTAATTACATCCGCTATCCATAACAACCAACACGCCATCGTCAGGCACAAACTCCTTTTTCACTCGATATAACAATCTATCAAAACTACTTCAAGCTCCAAAATCGAGATTGTAAAGCATGTTCGGCTTGTCTCATGACTGGCCCTCTCATCACGTGCCCCACCCTCGGCGCTTTTTACAATGTCCCTTTTACAATCATAACACGCACCAAATTCACCTTTTACTATATTCGTCCTTGAAACGAAGCCATCACCACCACCACGACCACCGCCGCCGCCCTGCCCCAACCAATTCACCTTTTCGTGGAAATAAGAAGAAAAAAAAATGCTCCCCACACCTTCAACCTCCCACGTCCCATATGCCCGGGTCTACGAGCCGGCCGAAGACTCCTTCCTCCTTCTCGACACGCTCTCCTCGCCATCCGAAACCGCCTTTCTTGCCCGCCATTTCCCCCTTTCACCACCGACGCCCTCCCCTCTGGTACTCGAGGTCGGGCCCGGCTCAGGGGTGGTGCTCGCCTTCCTCACCGCGCACGCGCACGCGCTCTTCTCGCGCCGCGACATCCTCACGCTCGGCATCGACGTCAATCGGTTCGCGTGCCAGGCGACGGGAGAGACCGTGCGCAAGGCCATGGCCGAGGATGCTGCTGTCACTGCTGCTGCTGCTGACGGGGCCGGACCTGGAGGAGAAGGGTATGGGTATTACCTAGCCGCGGCGCAGGGCGATCTCACGAGCCCCGTCCGCCCGGGGACCGTGGACGTGCTCGTCTTCAACCCGCCCTACGTCCCCACGCCGGAGGTCCCTTCCGTACCTATCGGAGGGATGAAGGCAGCAGCAAAAACGACGACCTACGAAGAGGACTCGGCGCTGCTTGCGCTGTCGTATGCGGGCGGCAAGGACGGGATGGAGATCACGGAGAGGCTGATTGAAGAGCTGCCGGTGGTGCTGTCGGACAGGGGTGTTGCGTATCTCTTGCTCTGCGCGCAGAATAAGCCCCAGGAGGTCAAGCAGCGCGTTCGGCAGGTGATGGAGAGCAGAGGAGGGGCAGGGTCATGGAGGGTTGAGACGGTTGGGACGAGTGGGAAGCAGGCCGGCTGGGAGAAATTGCAGATTGTGAGGATATGGCAGGAGGAGAACGTCTAGCACGACGCTTTATGATGCCCCAATACTGATTCCATGGAGAATAGTTGTCGTTGGCCCTGCTGCGCCTGCCCCCGTCTGCTGGAAGGGGCGGCTGGCGGCGGTGCTTTTGTGTATCCGAAAGGTTAAACCATAACAAGGTAACCCCAGAATATCGGTTTCGGGTCATCCCCATGAAACGCCGTACGACTGCCTGCAACTCCCGACATGCATGGGCAGCTACCAACAAGAAACGAGGTATTCGGCAATAGAACCAGGGCGGAGCACACTGGTCCATCACCCATCCATCCGCCTCGTCCTCGAACAAACTGATGCCATTCCCGTGACTGGACAACCCTTCTCTCTCCAACCGCTTCACATCATGCGTATGCCTAGCCATATAATCACCAGATCAGCCGGTAGCTTAGGATCCAGAGGCGCATGCATGCACCCAGCACTCTGGCTCCCGTAATACGCCAGAACAAAAAGCGTTTCCCGCCTCAAATTCCAGAGACACACGGGACTTAACCCCTCCCCCTCCCGCGTCCACCGCGCCCGCCTCTTCCCCTGCCGCGTCCTCCCCTTCCACCTCGCCCGCCCCGATCCGCCTCCTTGCGCGCCTTGTTCTTGGGCTTGGGCGCGTCGTCAATCAGCAGGGTATCCAGCGGCAGCGAGTCGGGGAGGATAAAGTAGCGGATCGTGCTGCCGCGCACGTTGAGCGTCTCGAGCGGGATGGCGTCCTGGCCCTTGGGCGTCATCTTGACGTTGCGGAGCGCCGTGTTCATCTGCGGCGACACCGACGCGATCGTGCCGTGCACGATGGTGCCGTTCTTGAGCTCGATCGTGACCGTTTCATTGGCGCATTTCATTAAGAATCTGTTTGCCAGGGCAGCAGAGCGGAGATGGCCTTGTCGTCAGTCTTTCTGGTCTGTAATTGGGACTCAGGCTCATCCTGATAGTTGGGGGGGAAGCCTGGAATTGGGATGGAGGATGATGCGCGCAGTTCGGCTGGCTGGCTGGCTGGCCCTTTGGAAGGGCGCGGGCGGCAGGCCTCAGCACGCGTAGTCGTGGCGGAGCAAATAGAGGCAGATGGACAACGGGCTGCAAGCATATAAAAGCTTACCTGACCAGCTTCATCTTGACGGATTCGATGGAGTCAGGTCGCCTGCTCCGGTATTAATCTGCGATTTATGTAGAGAGGAGAGCGCAGTGGGAAACGCGGTTTCGATCTTCTGGGTCGTTCGTGAATCGCTAGGTCCATACGTATATGTTAGTATTAAACAGAGGTTGATGGAGCTCAAGCGATGGCTGGTGCCAAGCCTGAAGTTTCGGGGCACGTGACTGAGCTGGTTATAGGTTCTCCACTCCTCTCCTAGCTCAAGGTGGGTCCAAGCCCCTCGATGTCCGATTTTGGCGTGCGCCTGCTGCGCAGGACAAGGACAACATCACGGATGGATGATGAACAGTGCATTTTGCCTCGGGCCTCTCTGCCATGATCACAAACGGGCCGACTTCCAGGGAGGGCGTGTTTTGTGAATGCAGTTTGAGCCACTTGTAGCCTCGTCGTAGTTATGTTAGATATTTAGACTTCCCAGGTTCCATATTAGGGAGTAACGTTAGATCGCATCTATGCTGAACAAGCCGGCCAAGGCCTTGGTATGTACAATCCAAACATCAAACCGCGAGGTTACACTTCCGCACCGCCCATTTCCCGCGGATCTGAGTCGATCAAATCGGTTTTCTACCATCCACAGCCACCGCTCTATTTATCCTTCTCGTTTTCATTTTCCGACACTCTCTCCCACTCATCCTCAGTGCTGACCCCACTCTTGTGACCCTGGCTAGGACTCTGTACCTCCTCGACAACCCTCAGCTTGAGTTCCCCATGCGCCTCCGCCGGTTCGACCTCAGTGCTAGCGGCAACATCTCTTGCAACGGATGCCAACCCCGGCGGCCCCTTGCGAAGGCTGGCGGTCGACCTCGTCGCTTCTACCTCGGTCTCGCTATCGTCGGCTGAAGTCGCTGGCGGTGGACGGGCCGCGAGGGCGCGTCGCGCCTTCTCCTCCTCTTGCTGTTGATGTTCCTTCAGCTCGCGCGCGAACCAGTTGATGGCCGCCCAGAGGCTGCCGCTCAGCACTGAGAGCACCACGAAATGTATGCTGTACGTCGCGAAGACAAGAGCAGCTAGGATGACTTGTAGGGCGGCAAACGTGGCATTCGTAGCCACAAGCAGTGTCGGCGTTGGACCCGGTGTGAAGATGGACTCCCAGAGCCCTTCAAAGAAGGATGCCATAGCTGCCGGGATGCTCGGTCGGCGGAACAGAGATTTGGGGCCTTCTGGACTGACGACCGCAGCTGACACTGTACGACGACCGAGCTCGCTGGTGGTTTCGTAAACTCGCCGAGACGGAGAATAGTAAGTGGCCGAGCTCAGTGTGACTGTTATCGCGACTGCGCAGGAGCTCTGTCAAACCGTCGTGAATGTCGCGCTCCCGACTACGTATGGTACTTAAGAGCGGCGGTCTTAGCGTGGGATCACGAGGCGCAACGCAGCCATTTTAAACAGCCGATGGAACCAAGGGTACTGTGTACTAGTCAGCAGCCTGAAAACTTGGCATTGGCGTCTGCGTAACACGCTTGCAGCATTGCGAAAGGACACTGCACACACATAACTTACCCCTGCCTTGGGCAACGTGGTCTCTCCGCTTGGGTCGAAAAAGGATTGTCAAAGCAACGGCACATGCAGCGAACGATCAGTCGGGCACGGATGATGACGCGACAGTTGCCGTCCCGATTCTCGACGGTCAAGGGCCCCTCAACGGCCTCGCGATCAGCCGCGCCAAGGCCCGGGTTGCCGGGGCCCAGAGCTTGTAAAACCACAACTCCCGCACGAACAGAAGGAGGTACATGTACATACTACGGTACAGAGGATGTTAGGCTCGGGCCAAACAAGTGCCTCCGCCGACGCCCGGGAACAAAAGGTTCATACATCAGAGGCGCGATTTGGCACCTACTACACAAGCATGACAGTACACTCAGGTCTCAAGTCGCCGGCCTTCTGTTATGGGGTTGAGAAGTCGATGCAACGGTGGGGAACACGAGGGGTAGCTTGTCGTTTGACCCGCCCGAAGTGTACGGTACCGTAAGTGGGTAAAAGACGTACGGATTACACTGATAGGTAAGATACGCACGTCGTATTCACCAGCTACCTGGTGAAATAACGTTACGTAGCTCGGGCTGAGCTCGTAGGGCCCTCTCCTCCAAGTCATTCAAGCGCTGGAAGAATGGGCATTATACACTACAATATCGATAGATGAATACTCAAGGTAACCTACCATTCGTAAGGTGGAAAGTGGCCAGGGGCTCCAGCGTAAGATACTTGTATTCACAGTACGTACATACCAGTGTATGTAAATCTGTCGTGCTAACCCGCATTGAGAGATGGCAACTGGCGGCTCTATCCGCAGCTGACTCCGCTCGACTCCACCCATAATGGATCTTCACAACTTCCAGCTCTCAACTCGCCGATTGCATGTGGAAACACTGGTATCGACCAGAACAACCACCTCCTCACGGCATTGATATGTTACAATCTCTTCAAATTAATCAGTCATAGCCATATTCTGGGCCACGAGGTCCCATCAGGCGAGACGCTCAACTTTTCCTGGCGCCCTTTCAAAGCAGCAATCTAAGGCCCTCGGCCAGCATTCCAAAAAGCAATCCCCCACATCCACTCCCATACCTCAGCGACAGCGCGTTAAGCATAGCGGCCGGAAACAGTCTACAGCTCCACGTCCAAAGCCCGACGCGATCGCGGCTAATTCTTTGTTAACATTCCATTTGGAACCTGCAGTTTCCCCCAGTCGCAATCTTCCCGCAGGGTATGCTGCTTGGTTGGGCATGCGCCTTGCTCGCATGACCTGAGCGACACTTGGGCTCCGCCATGGACTCCCAAAATGGCGTCGCCGGCTCAGCTGGAGAGGAGGCAAGCGCAGTCGTTTTGAAGATTGTGAAGGAGAGATCTCGAAAATGTCGGGCAATCAATGAGCGCAAACGCCCTCTGACTCTGCTCGAACTCCCTGTCGACATCCTGCAGCTGATCGCAAAAGAGGCATGTGAAAGCTGCACCACCATGGCATCCTGGAGTGCCTGCTGACCGTGATGCATTTCAGATAACGCATACAAATGACCTGACAGCCCTGGCTCTGACCAACACGGCTCTGTATAACATCGCCATTCCGCTCATCTACTCTCGCTTTGACATCGTATGGCCAGACGGGCAGCTTGAGGCTACCGATTCCAAGAGCGTCGATGCTCTTACTTACGGTTTGTCCACCCTCTGCCTGGGGAGCGCATTTGCGCGCACTGTGCGCAAGCGCTTCGGTCCAAACTCGCAGCAGCCGTGCAAGCTCGGCGACAACGACTATGCCAAGTACACCAAAAAGTTCTCCCTGGGGAATGGGCCGAAGGACTGGGTGGCCGAGTACATGATTTCAAAAGAGAGCGGCAAGATGCTTGGTACACTCGTGGCCAGCGCCGTTGCGAGGATGAGGAACCTCGAGACTTTCGTCTGGGATATGCCCACAGGCGTGCTCTCTCGAGTATTCGAGTCCCTGGCGTCGTTAGGCGACCAGCCAGATAACGAGTGCAAGCTGAGCCGCGTATGGGTGCGATGGCACGACAATTCCGAGAACTCCGAAAAGTCGGTGCCGTCGAATCCCAACAATATCCCGAACGGCACTGCACTTGTTCCTCCCGGCAGCCAGCTTACCCCCGTGGGGATTATGCTCCCGCCAAATGCGAGCCATCCGCCTCCGCGGCCTCCAGTGCGGTACTCAGAGTATCATTGTGAATACCCCACCTTTAGTGTTTTGCCTCCGCTCAAAAGCCTGAGCGTCTTGGACATCGACGAGATCGGCTACCTGGACGAAATGGCGGTGCTCATCGAGCGCTCGAAGGATACCCTCCGGGAACTCAGGGTAAGCATTTCGCCCAAGGCGGCGGGCAAGGCCTTTGCACAAACTTGGGATGGCCCTGGTCTGAAGCAGGTAGATCACCGGGCACGCTGGCCGGGGGAGAGCACGATCGGTGATAGGCGTCTAGGCGGCGTGCTCGGCGTGCTGGTTGGCAGGATATACGACATCCGGAAACGTAAATCCAAGGAGAAGCCGGCCACGGCTGCTTCCGTCGCCGAGGGCAGCCCTTCGTCAGCTATACCGGCTCATAATCAGGTGAACGGAGCCTCGTCGTCATCCTCCAAGGATGAAGCAGACATCCAAAAGGATGATGACGCTGGAACGCCCTCGCAAAACGGTGTGTCGACAAGGGGTCCAAGCAAGGCGTCGAAGACTAACCAGCCCAACGGCTGTGGCAGGAAGAGGCTCGAGGGGAAGCTGAAGCTCCAAACTTTGGAGCTCGAACGGGTCGCTCTGTCGCTGCAAGTCTGCAGATATGCCATCGACTGGTCTGTATTGACGGACCTTACGCTGCTTGACTGCGCCCAACATGATAACCTCTGGAAGATGCTGCGCAAACAGTTTCAACCTACGCCCTTTGGCACAACCCCTGGCAGCTCGTCCCGCGACAAACCGTTCCCTCCAGATACCCCTCTACAGTACCACCTCGCACTCAAGGCTATTCACGCAGACATGGCTCCGCCCTCTCTGGTCACGCTTATCAAGGAAACCCTTGCCCCGAACTCGCTCGAGGTCCTGTTCTTACAGGATCGTAAGCGGGCGAGTCCCCCGATACCTCTCGATACCATCTTCAAGGGGGCCATCAAAAGACACTCTGCAAGCTTGCGTAAGCTGCTCCTGGATAGCTCTTCCAAGCTGGCCGTCGAGAGCACCCGCTGGCGCCAGTGGGCTCTCACGACAGATGTCATGCAGTATATCACGAGCGGCCGGATGGCCAACCTGCGCGAACTGGCCGTCTCGGTGGAGTACAAAGATTGGGTCAGTACTTATTGCACCCCGTTTCCCAGGCCCTGCGTGTACCATGTATTTCTCGTTGTGCTGTGTACTGACAATCACCAGCACCCTTTCCTGCAACGCCTACGCAACGCGCCCCAGCTCCGCTCCATCAATATTCCCCACTTGGCCGACTACCCCTCCCCGCCCGAGTGTCCGCAAGGCTGGTTCGATCCAAAGGAGCTTGCTAGTCAGATTGTGGACATCATTACCCTCTGTCCTGAAATCCGCCTATGCTATATCGGTATCGGCTCGAAGTGCTTCGAGCTACTTGAGTCACGCGAGGCTGGCACCGGTGGCAGTTCCACCGGCAACGGGGCCGGTAGCAGCGGTGCGACGACGCCGATTACGCCGACCTTGCCGAATGCAATTGGCAGTGTGGCGAATGGGGTTGTTGCGAATGGTGGTGGTGCTGACATAGAAGATGCTGCGGATCTTTCCGAGGAGCTAGAGTGGGACAGTGACTCCAACGACGAACCGCATGCCGAGAACGGCGGGGGTGCCGACGGCGAGGCGGAGGACGCGTTTAGCGACAGTGAGGACCATGAGGGTACACCGTCGACGGATGCCGACGAGCATAGTGAGACACAAAGTAATGGCGAGCCCGATGCTGCTATGGAAGCCGAGGCCGGAGCAGAAGCGGGCGAGGAGCAGGATGAGGAAGATGACGAAGAGGAGGAGCAGGAGGAGGAGGAGAGTGATGGTGGAACTGAGGATGAGGAAGATGACGGGTTTGTCGAGCCGGGGAAGGGGGGGATCAAGCTGAAGTTGAGGGAGATCCTCTTTTATGATGACAAGGTCGCTATTTTCAGGGCTAGGCATGGGAGACTGTAATGGGGGAGGCTTCGGGAAGAGGCTTTTCGGTTTGGCTCAGGCAGGGACTTTGCTTTTGGCGCTCAGTGAGACGGAATGAATGCGGGGACAGCGGGGACAGCGGATAGCGATCATACCATATCATACAACTAGCTGGCTTTTCATACCGTTCCGAAGCTGCATCCTTTGATGCAACATTCATGTTGGGGTTCTCCGTAAGGGGATGGGTGTTGAGGTTGCTCATGCCGTGCTGAAGTCCGAGTCGGGCGAGAGTGAGAGTGCCTGCGCGACCGACTACCAAGGTGTGTACAATACCTAATTCGGATGGGGCTCGTTAATTCGAGGAGCTACAAGACCTTCCAGGTTGTTGCTGTTGATACGAAATCCTGTCCTTCACTCACGTGAATGGTGGGATACGGCAATCGTGGTTGCGGGTCCACGGCTACGACGAGAAAACCAAGTCACTGCTGTGTAACTTGTTGTGTCCTTGAGGAGAGATGCTGGAAAGTAGAGTGGTAGGAGTAGTAGAGCAACTCCGCATGAACGCGCCACCACGCTGGATGTCCTCTTGGATCAGACTTTCATGTGTGAGCCCCAGATACTGGTCGTACTACTACTCTACAGTGCAACTCTCTCCTGATCATGGCCTCCATTTCCAGGAGGAGGGATTCAAGCTTCTCCTGGCCTTAGAACGAAGCATTCGTGTCAAGTTTGCCACTGGGGCTTTGTTTGCCATGCCGGCCTGGCAAACTCTATCCAGGGGCCGCCGAAAGTGGTCTCGGCCACAGGTCATAACCTCCCCAAACAAACGGAAGGGCAGTTTCATTTCTGCCAACGAGTGCCGCTTGAACCTGCAGGGCGTTCCAGTATCATGGGTGACTAAGTCGAGCAATGAAGTTCTGTATGAGAAGGATTGGTCGTACTGACCAGTACTAGACCCGTGACTCGTTGCAGTAGATGGCCCCTGGGCCCGGGTCGTGCTTGCCGTTTTAAGGGCAGCACAAAGTTCACTGTCATGTTCAACCTGAAAGCATGATTTATAAATTACATCTGCATCAACCACCCTCTACCCCCCTGAGGGTGGCCAGACCTGGAGGTACGGTAGGCATAACAGTAACCCTGGTCTCTATTAGCAAACATCATCACCATTCACCACAGTCACCATGACACCCGACGGGCGCAGAAGTGTTTTACACAGCCGCAGGCAAGGTTTGTTTTTGCCGATCGCGGACATCGACGACACTGACGATGGACACTTTGGTTTGTCTATTCTATGGTCTACAGCCGCATATTCCGTACTATGTTTGTACACAAGCTGATCTCCATCGTAGTGTCGGCAGGCACCAGTATTGATGGCCCAACTCGAATTGGCTTAGTGACATGCTTCGTGAAGTGCAGTTCCAATGTAGTGGAATACTACCTACCTAGTCGTCTGCCTGGTCACAGTTAACGAATTGTAGCAGTGTCCGTCTTGGTGTTCTACTCATCGCCTCAACGCGCAGTGTCCAAGTATCACCAAAGTCTTCACGCAAGCACTTCTCTGGCCGCAGCCTTTTCGACTTGGACGCCCCCCCCCCTTCCCCTCTCCCCCAGCATACCTAGTTATTGTCTCTCGGGAAACATGCGCTGGTACTAGTGATTGTCAGTAGACGGCTCACAGATTGGCATGTCGACGTCGACACTACCCTCGCCCAGGCAGGGGCACGGCACGTCAGAGAAAGTTTGACCACCGTCCTGTTCCGGCGGCCGATGTTACCATGGACAAAAGGGGGGACGCAAGGTTGAAGGTACGTACAGTAGTCGTGACGGGAGGACGATGCGAAACGTGACTGGGGTCTCACCCTAACGTGCTCAGACAACCCCAGTACGTACATACTCTATTCTACTACCCGGAAGTTCAAGACAATGGGAGCGGCACAGAACACCATAGTCGTCGTCAGGCAGGAGCTGAGCGGACTTACCTCGACCGGGCCTCAGAATAGCCCAGAGACCGCAGCCGCCTTTCCGCTGCCGGGATACCCGGCCCCGGTCTGTAGCTTTCTGAAAATAGGAGGCCATCGCCTCGCCTAGGCTGCGTGGAGCAAAACAGAGGCCATGAGGATCATTAAACATCTGGCTAGGGCCGAGAACTGCCAGATTCTGCGGAATATGATTGACAACCAGTATTGCCCCCCCGAACTATACATGGTCAAGTACAGACTAACTAGAAACTCGTAGTTACGTGCCCCCCCGACCATGACCGGGTTCATTAACCCTCCGATTTGCCTTGGCTCGCCCAGGTGTTTAATGTGAGTGGCACATTCATTATCCACGCGTACCGAATGCACCCCGAACGAATGGACCCCGAAGGGCGAGTGGGGGGCATGGGTCCCGAATCCTTCCCTTCAAAGGATTCGAACCCACGCAACGGTTCTCGCGACCCCAGAGACTCGCTCGACTCGACAGCCATGAGCGCCACCTGGAAGCGACCCGGAGGGACTGGACCCGTTGCGATCTACACCAGTCCACAGTAGACGACTGGACTTCGCCGTGTCGGCAAACCAAATGCCGCGGCCCGCGACGGCGAAGCTATCATCGCGCCTCTCCTTGCCACACGGACGCCGGAGAACGGAGCCCTCGGCTCCCGTCGCCGACCACTTCGAATAGACCGGGGTCCCGTCGCCGACCACTTCGAATAGACTGGGGCCCCGGAGGTTGTTGTCTCAGGCTCTTCGATCATGCTTTGGATATTGCGGCACCTTTCCTTCTTGACAACACGAGGTAGTCTGAGGCGAGCTGTGCCCCCCCGATGTGAATCCGCACCTCCCAACCTCCGCCAATCTCAACCCGTGAACTACAGGACATCTCCAGAGCCCAGGGAATGGACCGCTCAAACTGACCTGCCATTTCTGGGTCGAATCGGCGAGCGGGCCACCAATGTTACATGGTCTTGTATCGACATCCAGCTGGGTGGGCTACTACACAGTGGCCACGAACGAGTTTCATCATTAGGGGGCTGGACTACGGCATGCGTTTTGGATGTTCTGTTGATCTGGCGTACCAAGGTACCGTCACCCAGTCACGGAAGATCTCGCGGAATTCCCTGAGAACCCCGACGGAGTGGCCGGTAGACGATGGCTGCACTCCCATCCGCGTTGGGATAGGTACTGTGAGAAGGCAGTAAGAGCCGTGTCCAGTGCTGGTGTCCTTGGCCGGTTGCGGTGATGCACCGTCATCCCAGCCCTACCGAAAGCAACATAGCACTACGTCTACATAGCAGGTAGCAAAGGGGTTATGGCGTTGATAAAGACGGTGAGTTAGAGCCGGAGCCAGAGTTGTTGAACATGGTCTTCCTGTTCGTTGATCTCGTAGGGCTGAGTGCCGACAGCGCCCTGATCTTCGGGCTTTGCATAGAGACATATCGTGGTATGTATGTACAATACAAGTACACGTGCATAGCTGTGACAGCACTGAGTTCCGTATATCTATACATGTATTGTACATATATACATGTACGGAGGTAAGCTTTATTGATCTTCTGCTGGCGCTTCTCCCCCCAGTTCACGCAGGTACAGTAGTACAAGCTTGGGTGACGTGCTTGGACAAGATCAACGCTTCTGGTGATACTCACCGCTCTGTGACCCTGTCATCTTTTCCCAGCCAGTTAGTTGCTCCTCTCCGAGCTGAGCTGTGAAGGCATATATACTCTATAGACTATACCGATGCAAAATCCGAGTAGCTAGTGTAAACCCCGACTGAACCATGGGCGGGAGCACCTAATCTCCGCTTCGGAGTCGGGGACTTGGCATCTCGGACTCAGGGTCGCCGGTGACGTAGCAAGGCATCGCCAAAACGTCGATTTACCTGCTGCGTTAATATGCACAGTAACACAGCACACCGGATGATCTCAGCGGGAGCGTCAGGCGGGTAGCGTGGGACCCCGTAGGGCTGGTGCTGACAGCTCACAGAGTAGTACACACCTACATGTAGGAGATGCGTCTCCCCGCGTGCACCCACACAAGTTACCTTAGTTAGGTAAGCCCTTGAAGGTTCGGAACCGGCCAAAATCCGAGCTATCGAGGGCTATGAGTGGACGCTGTACGACGGGTGCCATGCCCGTTAGTTGAATTCTGATGGGCTTGTCTAGAAGGACGGAGAATCACTCCGAGATACTCTAGCAATAGATGGGCAACGTTCAGATCAGGTACCTACTTAGGTAAACAAGAGAAGGGAGTCGATGAAGCCAACAGGCGTCTCGACAATGAGCACGTAATTGCCCAGCCTACCTAAGGTCGGTAGTGCAAAATTGGCCATGGGGCATACCTAGTCCACCTGAGACGAGACGGCTTTAGTCTAGTGCGATTACCGCGGCAAATACTGCCTCTGTCCGGACATTCGTCTCGGGGAGAGAAGAGACGCTTGTGGTTTCTAGAAGTATGCGCACGTATCATCCTGAATGCAGCTTTGCGGCACTGCAAGCATGGGAGGAATGACACTGGGCAATTTGCCACGACTTTCCTATGTGGTCTAGGTAATCGGTCGGTCGGAGTTTCACAGTTTAGTAAATTTAGTTGAACGTCTTGGTTATCGATAGATGAATATTGTGTGGGATACTGGATGACAAAAGCCGCTCGAGAACTCTTGTTATAAGCATAACGTTACTCGGTTAGGTCATGCGTCCAAAATGACGAAGCGTCAGTTGCGTAGAATAGTCCAGCCGAAGAGGTCTAGTGTAAGGTAGTGTATGCAAGGGGAAGTAATGGAATGCGAATGTCTCCATGCTCTTTTTATTTGTCAGTGAAGCAATCTCATCACTCGCCAACCGATGCGGCCATTCTCTCCGTGACCAGGGTGCCGGGCTTGTGGCGTCCGGGCCCGAGATCGATTCGGGCCCGGGGGAAGCTCTTCGATCGCTGCGAACCTCGACGGCTCTCCGACCGGCGGGGTCGGGCCCAATCGGAACAATTACATGGTTTTCCACGCCATACCTGTCCCGGCAGGCAAGGGTCTTCGAGAAAATGGCCCCCACAGCATGCTTACCTTGGCAGGCTTGGCAACGGGATTTTCGGAAGCCACAACTAGAACCCCGTCGCCATCATGACGGAGTACCTTCGCTGCAGGGTACTTCCTTTTCCCCGCTGTTGAGCTGTTTGCTGGGTAATCATGTGGGGACATTCGCGAGCGCTCACCGCCAATGGCTGACCACACATGTGTGCTGGATATTCATCATTGAATGATTCACAGCATGATGCCCAAGCCGGTAGTTGGACTCCTCCTCCTCCAGCTGCCGTGATTCGCGCGTTTGATTCGAGTGGGCGATAACATCTGAGACTAGCGCCACGCGGCTGCAATATCCGCGTTTGGCGTTTGCGTGGTGTCATTCAGCTCCCTACTATGGTACTCCCACCGAACTAGAGCCTAACTTGAATCCCGAATCTGCTTGGAGAAGCCGCCATTGGACTGGTTAGCCGCCAGACCGCAGCCACTGCACGGAGCATGCGACGCCAACGCACACCTGCGCAGGCGCCATGCAGCTAGATGCCGCAGAGGGAAATCCAAGCCGAGCGGACAGACGGACTATACACCAGAGGCCAGACGCGATCATAGCAGACAGCCCATGAAGGGCCGGCATTATCCTTTGGAGGTCGTCAACCGTCGGCAATAGCGATGTTCCCCGTCCTCTTAGTCGCTCCGCCGCCGTCGACTTTGACGGCGTAGGTCTCGTTTCGAGACAAATCGGCACACCAGCTGTGCCGTCGCGGCTATAATTCCAAATCTTGGGCTCTCACCGTCCGCGATGTTGCAGTCTGCCGGGCCCGTGCTAAGCCCGATTTCTGAGATCTGCTACGGGATGTGGGTGGGGCGATACGCGGTGCACTGGACCGGAGATTGCTACCAGGCAGCAAAATAAAAAGAAGGCTAAACAGAAGAGCTGTGGTCCCTGCCCAGCCTGTCTACTCCACTAATCGGCTGAGGTTCGTCTAAGCCCTGGCCGAAGGCTCATTAAGCCACACCAGTCGTTAACTACCGACACCCCTGAGCGGGGAGAGTTGGACGGAATGGACAGCTCAGCTCGGTTCTGGTATCCTGTCTATCCAAAGGAGAAGTTTCATGTACCCGGCAGCACGGTCTGGGGGGCCGGAGTCGGGAATGACGTTGAAGTGCACGGCACATGGCACAGTGGCTTGCAACCTCGCCATCTGATACCTACTACTATGTACTAGACTGCGTTAGGTGCAGAAGGGGAAAGAGTAGGTGTTGCAATGCCGGCCACACTTCGCGCTTGGGACGCCTAAGGTTCGCTATGCTGTTTTGCGAATGCTAATTACATACGAATAATTCTCCAAGGAACGGCCATTTCGTAAGGTAGTTTCATATTGTAGTGTACATCTACAATAGCACTACACGTCGAATACTAGTAGCTTAGTGTTGCCAGTATAGACCGTTCGTTCAATGTTAACATTAGCCAGTGCACTCTAATAATTCTTCTCCTAGAATAAGCTTGTTAGGTTCTGGAATGTTGAATCCTGAGGACATTGGTCCTTAGGGTAGTGCTCTGATGCTGTGATGCGGTTGATAACGATACTGAGGGTGGTGGACGTGAGATTGGGGAGTGTAGCGCAGGCAAGTGTGCAATTAGCGGGATTCGGAGCGGATATCGGCAACGCGGCTAACTGGTTTCTTCAGCGCAAGCGGGAACAAGTTCCTCGCCGCCGTGAATATCATATCCATTGTGAGGTAAATCTTCCATACACTACAGATACCTCTGTGGGAAAGTCCGGGTGCCCCGTCCACAAGACCAATCTCCATCTGGCAAGGCCGCCGCGTGGTCGTCGTGGACTCGTGGCCCCCAACACGGCGGAAGGAACAATAAACAATGACCGCAAGCGCCGGCGCTACCGGAGGCACCTCAAATGAAGCTAGCGCTCCTGCAGTCATTGGGCCGTTTCAGAAAGGACAGCTCTACTATCGCTACTATCCACGAGAGATCTGGTGAATCTGTCCAGGACGCTGCGCAGCAAGCAACCTAAGGACGCAAGAGTCCCTTCGGAGCCTACGCAGAAGATGCTTGACCGTAGCTTCGACTATGTACACGACACTAGTGTACCTAGTGTACTTCGTAGTGCGCAGAGCGGAGCAAAGTTTAGAAGTCTGCAGGGGTTCCGTATTAGGCAGGTCGAGCGTATCTCGGTCTTCTTGGAGAGCTGTGGGTCTGCGATCGCAGAGGACGTGGAGGCGCTGCTTGAGAAGCAGCCCTGTACGGACGACGTTCCGCAACCAATCGTCGACGTCGGATATTCGCGAGGGACTCCGTCATTCTCCAGTGACGATTCTTCAGCTCTCAACTCTTCTGCCAGTTTACTGTATAATATCGAATGTCTCCCATGTTTGACGCGAGGTTGGAGATCAGTCCACATCGTTACCCAGAGACTGAATAGTGGATAACGTACACGTAGTATGTGGTGGTAGAGCGCCGCGAATGAGCAGACTTCGGTGCACTGTGCCGGGTCCTGACAGCGGCGCGAGAGCTTCCAGAACAGTTAAAGAAGGCCCAACGCCGCAATACATAGGTACACCAACGCCCGCCCCCTTCATGTTGCGCGGGGCGGCACCGGTTTCGCAGCAGATGCGCCCTCAGGGTAGGAACTGCAACTTCACATTGTCGCTTCGCAGCGTCGTACGGATCCGTATAGGATTGTCCTCATCGCTTGAGCCGCGAAGGTATCAACGTACACTACATAAAATAGACCCTCAAACAAATATGCGGTCCAGCTGTGTCTGTCGGGCAACTGCCTAGACATGCGCGGGCCTCGTTTGCGAGATCACCGCATCCACACCTCCTCGCTTGTTGACAATACCTAAGTGGTCTGTGCTGATAACTGCCACCATCAGCTATGACCAGAGCACTTGCAGTGGATCAGCGCGATGGCCACGCTCCACGATAAGATAAGGAGTTATGGAGTTAAGCGGGGAAAGACCGACCCGAGTGCAGGGTTTTGGATCCTTCATCTACTCGAATCGCCTGCCTCCAATTATCTGTTCGCGTCTGTGAGCGGGCCTGCCTCCGGCTGGCCTTCGAGCCCCACTCGCCGAGTGAAAGTTCGACTTCTGCTCTCTTAAAGCCGCAAAGAATGCACAGAGCTCAACAATATAAAATGCAGTGTTCAAAACATATCAATAGGTTGATTCTTTCGAAGTTGACTCAGTACGCCGATGTCTCATCTGGAAAACCCCTAGGTCCCTCGGCCGAAGCCATCGTTCGCCGAACTTTCACAGCTCTGTCGGAACCTGCTCTAACCCATCATTTGCTAACCCCTGCAGCTCTCGATCCTGCCCCGTTATTCGACTAATAAGTTGGGTCAAGGACCTGCCTGTCCATCCCTGTCTCAGAAAGTCCTGCAGGTTACTGCGAGAGGAGGGAGGGTGCTTGCGTTGAGCGGCATCGAAAAAGCCATGCACGTCGACAAACGCCAGCCGCGCAAAGCGAGCAAGCAGCGAAACTTGCGAAAGCTGCCGGTGACAGGTCATCTTTGCGCGTCTAGTAGGAATTCTCCTTCCGGCAGATCTCGGAGGACTGGCCGTGAGCCGCGCCATGGGTGGCCATCGTGTGACACTAGGACATGGGTTCAAACGCTGTCCATGTTCATCAGCACTGTCTTCCACAGGCTCCTTACCGCTTCCGGGGTCTGCCACAAGCTTTGCCGGGCAGCCCTGTTTGGCTACGGCACAGGGGCTTCTTTGACTTCATAACACAGCGAGCGGCGCAGCTATCCACAGGCCAGCCTGAGAAATGCTGGAGCCTAGGAAGCCGAGGCCACGGTCGTTTCGCCCCCGACGCTGCGCCGGCCCTGCTCTTGTTCCGTTTGCTCGGAGCAGGTCGCAATCAATCATAATTATTGTATGTACAAGTACAATGAATGCTATGGGAGCTCACCAGAAGGGACAGCGGTAGACACGAGTCTTGGGCGTCCAATTCCTACGTGCCCGCCATTGGCACTCACGCCAGTGCGTGTCTCCCGACTTCCCGGTCTGCGTCTGCCAAACCCAACGTGTTGCCGTTTAGGGGAAAGCGTTGCTCCCTGGTACGCCGTTGACAGCAGCCCAAACACATGTCTTGGTAAGGAGAGAGCCATGGAGCCGGGTGGGGTGGCTTTCCGGACCCCTGTGAGTGGACCTGACACCCCCCCCGTGCAGCCAGGGGCCTGCTCTTGTTGTTACTGTGGTATTGCTAGTATTCACTTACACAGTATTGTACAGAGTACACATCCCATGTTCCCTGGCGACTGGCAGGTCCATCCACACTCCTGGCCAACGGTGCTATTACCTGAACAGGCCCCTCCCCATGCAGGGCGGCACCACTACGGCGCTGTGGGGATGTTGTACTGCCCTCGACTTAAACGTTATAAGCTAGCTAGGCCCTAGGCCTTTCCCCACGACCTGTTGAGGCTGAGGTGCATCTTGGACATTCAAGTACCCCAAAGATAGCTCTACGGCGTCGTCGAAAATCTTGTTACCTGATCGCTTGTACGCCGCCAGAGGTCCATCGCCAGCGGCTCTCTTCACTTCATATAAGTCCTCAGACACCTCGACAACAACACAGCATCGACATAGCCCTGACGGTCAACGTATGTGCATGCCTGTCCAGTCTCTTTGTCCTCAAGAATCCACCCACTTCAGCCCATGTACTCGACATCTTCTCCGAAGATGGACCCGACCTACTCAGACCAAGCCTTCAGCAGCAGCACTTACTCACGCAACCCCAGGTCACGAGCCGGCAGCGGAGTGTCCACCACAGAAGGTCTCCTCCAGAACCTGCAGCTTGTCGAATCGCCATCCTTCGAGACCGGGTCATACACCTCCAGCAGGCCACCATCCGCATACTTGAGTCCGAGTCTGTCCCACTCACCGGGCTTCCTCTCGACCCCGCTCTCTCAACACCACCAACAACAGTCTTTTCCGCCCCTGTCGTCCGAAACGGCAGTCTCGGAGACAGATTGGTTCGAAGTAAACCAAGCACGAGCCCAAGGCGCGCCGCTGCTCCGAGTAGAACCCGCCCACGACCAGCCCGGAGCGCCATCATCTTCAACAACTCCACTGGCGTCTGTCGAGACAGAAGCTATGAGGTAGAGTGCTCACTCGAACCGGCCATGCACATGTGGCTATATGGTCGCACGATCACTAACATCCGGGAGTAGCGCCGTCGCCGTGTCGTACGACCCGGCATTCAACATGGGCACCAGACAATCTTTCACTTGGCCAGGTATGCCGTCACCCTCGTCTCCCTTCCACCTCTTGGCATGTGCAAGGTCGGTGCTTACTGGAACAGCCATGGAATGCGGGAACGGCCTCATGCCCCCAGACCTCGGTTCCTACGGGTCGGATGCCAGCCTCACACCGTCCAGCGGCACACGATCCGTTACGTCGAGTCCTCCGAGGACGCTCACCGCAGAACAGCGGGAGTTGAAACGACAGAGGGACCAAGCCCGGCACAATTCCAAGCTGCAAGCCCGGGGCCGGAGGACAGACAGCGCATCGTCTTCGGTCTACTCGCCGCCTGTTACGCTGGCCGATATGACGTCGGCCGCTTCGAGCATGCCGGTCTATACGACTGCGCCCTCACAAATCTCATTGCTCGCTGAGCCCGCGGCACCGCAGTACTTGCCTCCATTCTCACCACCACTCCCGGACCCGAACCAGGCACACATGTTCACGAATCCGTACCCACAGCAGCATTACATGCCCGATTACGGCTACCCACCAACAACGGCGCCGAGCCTGCCGTCGCACTACGGGTATGTCGCATTGTTAAAATCCCGCAGCGGGCCTCGAAGGCTAACTCTAGATCGCGCAGCAGACCCCTTGTACCGGACCCGAACCTTGGGATGTACTCGGTCCCGCCAGTTCTGCCTCCCGGACCGCCAGACGCAAGCGGGCAGGTCAGAGTTGTGCATAGCCGGCCGAAACCGCAATGCTGGGATCACGGGTGCAACGGCCGACAGTTCTCAACCTTCAGCAACCTCCTCAGACACCAGAGGGAGAAGTCGGGGCAGGCGGCAAAAGCGACGTGTCCGAACTGCGGCGCAGAATTCACACGGACAACCGCCAGAAACGGCCATCTGTTACACGACAAGTGCAAGAAGAAGAACGTCAACTAATCAAACCACCGTCGTGGCGCGGAAATCACTGCGAGCCGTCTCGGACTCATCGTGGCTGCTTCACGTCCATCGCACCACGTGTTCCACTGGGATTCGAGGCGCTCTCGGTTGCACCTATAGCACGATTTCACCGTTATTTTCATTGCTTCTCTGCCTCGGCTGTTGTGCTGTACAACCAACACTTTTTTTTCCTTTTTTGCAAAGGGGCAATTTTTTTTTCAAGCCGTAAGGTCAGAGGAGTCCCGGTTACCCTGTTTGGGCTTGAACTGTTAGATTTCGACTCGGTTCAGCATTGGGCTTTATATCCACGGAAGGGGAGGAGGAAATACCAGGCATTTGGGTGGGAAAATGCTCCGATCATTATCATCGCACCATGAGCGTCATGAGTGGACATTTGGGAATGGGACAGGATCAGTCCCGTTCGTTCTAGTATCATATTTTGCGCCATGTATAGGCGAAAGTTTATAGACGTCTTCGAACAATGTTCTCGGAGTCTTTCTCTCCACAGCCTTCAACTTGTTGAAAGCGCCGAAACTTAGGTCCGCTTGAAATTGTGCAGTAGACTCTCGTCACCTTCGTTATGTTTTACGGTGTGTCTTCCTAGAGTGTCTTGGACGCATTATGCTTAATTCCTTCGTGGGGTTCTAAGCTCCATTATCCGGCAGTCTGATGAGTCCATCCACATTCCCCCAATCCCACATCGGGTTGTGGTACGTAAGCTTTTACTTTCTATTGATCCTGCGGCAGATCCCTCAACGATGGAGGCGGACCTCAGATCATAACAAGGATCGGCTCTCCGCTCACAAATATCAGGCCAGGTCATGAACAGAGAGCCATGCCGAAGCGGCCACCACTGTGTGGATTATCACTTCGAACAAGTGAAGCGGCGTCTAGTAGACTGCTATTGGCGGCCGAGTCCGATGCAAAGCTTGCATACAGGAAGAAGCCCAGGCGCTTATGGCGCCAGTTACAGCCAACGCGACTGTTGCCCACCACTTACGGCATCGACGAAGACTTGAGGCGGGAAAGAGTATCCGGTGAGTGGCCATTTTGCGAGTTGTCTTCCCCTTTGCCCGACTCTTTCCGCGGCATTTATGTACCGCACCTTACGTATGTATGCTCACTACCTTACAAAATCACCATCAGCACAATTGACTATCTTCTTCAGCCCAGCGGAGCCGAAACCCCTTCATGGCTCCGCCTGGATAGCACGGAACCGCTATTAACGGGGAGAAGAATTGTTGCGAGGCTATCGAATATCAAGACCGTTCAACGTCCCGCAACAGAGCCTCAATGCCAGACTATTCTTAGCGAGGCCATGCAGAAGTACAACGACCCATGGGACAGCAAAGCAACAGATGATGTTATGAAGAGACAACGAGTCCACACCATGAAGACGTGAGCGAGGCTCATGGCGAACCGCATGGGTTGGGGGTGCAATCATAATTGGGCATTCACCAATAACGACTGAGGAAAAGCTGTTGACTGATTTTCCCCCCATCTCAAACAATCTCGGCGACTTTTAACCTTTTTTTGTGTCGCAGTAGCTAGTCTTGGTTGACACTCCCTTCCAAGCGGACGGCACAGCCCCCCTGGAAATAGCAAGTGGCCTGACAGGGCTACAGAAAACCGAACCGCGAACTGGCCAAAATCTCAAGGCTAGATCAACATGGTCGAACAGAAATTATACGGCAAGAAATCACATACCGCGTGTTGAGGCACAAGCATTACTACCTACCTACCAGTAGTAGCGATTGGTTGGCGGGGGATCATGTGTTGTGCATGTACGTGAGATTTACCAATACGTGTTTTCTGTAACATTACCACGTCCATAGTCCGTATGGAGACCCGGGTATAGGCGGCCCCGGCCTTACTGGGCGATCCCTGCGGAGCGTTATCCCGACGGGCCGGGGCGGCTTCTCCAAGGATCCCCATTCGCTTATGTATTGAGTAGTATACGGAGTCAAGTCCCTATCACACGTGGACACTAGATGAGGTGTGTGTTATGCCACGACTCTTCATACTTCCCGTGTTATGCGTGTGGTTGGCGTCGGGTCTACCATGTACGGGCCTCACGTTATGCAAGAGTCTTTGACGACATTTGCTACGTGACAGGTAAGGTAACTACTACCAGGTGACTTATTAGGCTCCACGCAGACAAGCTAAGGTGTGTAATGTAGTACGGTGCCTGGACGCCTGGATTAATATTGGTGTTGATGAATGTCATTATTGGATATATGCATCGAGCGCTATTATACATGCAACTGGATGGTAGGGAAATATCTGGTTACAACCATGCACCAGGTCAGGGCACCCCCGTCTATGTCATGTTCTTCGGCTACAGAACTGTTGTCGATCGACGACGATTCCCCCCTATCTCAATGCAAGGGGGTATAGTCGGTGACCTACCTAGTTGTCCATCACCGTGCCGGACTTCTGCTCGGAGCCGAAGCCCACTGCACCGGACCGGCCGCAACGCGGGGAGAAAGACGTTCAAGCGACCCAAACGTCATGGCTCGACGGAAGCGAGAGCCCTGGTCGCCCAGGCAGCAACAGATTGCCCAGCCACAGATCGTCTGTATGTATCTGAGATTTGAGCCTCAGACGCACAGCCTTTCCAAGGCTCGATCGACAACTCATTTCTACGATGCCACGGTGCTACACCAAAAAAGACGGGAGGTAGCGGCAGAACTTGAAACGTCAAGAGCGTCGAAATAGGTAAAACAAGCAGTGCCCTCGGGAAGGCCGTTTTCTAGAAGTTCGGCGCCGCACCAAAACAATGGAAGCGATTGGTAATCGTTTAGATTACCAACTGGTCGGCGCCGCAAACATGGCAGCACGTGGTCTTGTCTCAGTTCCATGGTTACTGTTGCAATGAGAGAACTCCTCCACAACCCGACAGGACTCGTGGGGCTCTCATGCCCCCAGAGCAAGGGACTAGTAGAGCTGGGCCGAGGCGTTCAGTGGCGTTGTACAAGGGTGTCCTTCGTCGACGAGTCGAGGCCCGAGGCTAGAGTTTCTGCACCTGCCTTGTTGGTGGAATAGTACTGCTTGGCTGGCCGATGCAATAACTGGAATAGCCCATGCTCTTTGGAAATTCTGGTAGCATCGTCATGAGCGTGAATGACACAGACGTTAGTTATCACGTCAGCGAATCTGCAGAAAAGAAGGCCATGGACAGAGTCTCGGACTTGGACCCCTCGCTTGGTGGTTTTCTGTGGCTTGGGATCAGGGCTCTCGTTAACACTGAGGGTCAGCCGTTTTAATTAGGTAGCGGCACATAAAAGGCATTCCTAGTGATCGGTTTACGTATCCGCGAAATACGCTATTTGCCGGATATGGCAAAGCTGCCGCGAAATGCCTCCAGTTACGGATAGTGCACGGAGATGCCGGAACAAAAGATGCGAGGTTTTGGTGATTTTTCCGACGACCAGGTAAGGTGCAGTAACGGGGATTAGCAAGGAAATATTATGTCCAAGGGTTGCTACTGTATGTTAACGCCGGGGATGGCCAGCGCTGAAGCATTGGGGAGACGAAGCAGCTTCGGAGATGGAGAATGTGCGGATGTCGGATGTGGTGGCTGCTGGGGGCCAAAAGTGGATGGCAATATCCGTATATGTGTGTATGTACTTAGGCAACTTGTTTAATACCCCGATTGACGGATCCTCGTCACAGCGCGCTAAAACGGCTCGCTGGCGCGCGTCAACGCAGCTATCTGGACTGCAATCCAATATCATCTGTGCACAAACGCGAGGGAAGGCTGCCTGCTCACGGCAGTTATTAGGTAGGGCAATCATCTCCGGTCCTGCAACTCGGAGGAAAGCACGGTCATCCTTATTGGCCGTTCCCACGTGCATTTTGGGGATCCTGCGGCGCGTAACCGCTGCGGGCATACTTTACCATTGCAACGGTAACGGTACCTAACGGCAGCCGCAGCCCAGATGCCACAACGGCCGCAGCTTCCATCGCCGATTACCACCTCACCTCGCCGACTGGCACGCGTGGCCGCATGAATGAGGCCCGCAGGCAACATCAGGTTGCACTCGCGTCTACGCTTTCAACCGGGACCAACGGGAGGGGACTTCTGGAAGACGCTTGGAAGAACGCGCCCGCGATTTGTCGCCCGGGCATGACCGAGGCGTCGTATGCTGGAATCCTTCCCGTCGGCGCGTCTATTGCCGCGGCTCGCAAACGAAACCTCCAATTTCGATATCGGACTCGGATCCATGCTCAGGACCTTGGGTATTCTACACGACTGAACCACGCCACAAGCGGCCGCAGGCCAATCCGTGGCTAATCTCCCAACGGCCTGTCCGCCGTCGACGCTGGGCCCGATTCGATTTGGCTTGCCTTATCGACACGCAGGTCCACCCGGATTGCTCGGTGTCTGCTCTGGCAGGTAGGCACTGGTAGGCAGGCACCTACTGGACAGACTGGCCAGACTTGTCCCGGCCAGATCTGTCGACGGCCAAGGAGAGAAGTGGAGGAAGTATTGGTTCCTCCTATAGCATAGCAGCGGTCAGGATCAGATGATTGCCGATGCTTGGGGAAACTAGCTGGAAGTCTTGACATAGCCGACATAGCCCGACATGCCGGCTGCCGTTGCCTCTCAGTGGAGAGACCGGCAACGGCGAGTGTTCCAGTCAGTCTTTCAAACGGACGTCGCGCCGTCCACTTCCCAGACAACGCACGTCAGCCAGTCCACGGACCCTGGGCAGCCCTTCGGCTACCCCCTCGCGCCCTTGCCAGGCCATTCTCTCCACCCGCAGCAACCCCAGCAGACACACCACGGCCGTGGACGTAGCCTCCAGAGGCCCGGCCAGCACCCCTCCTCTCGAAGGGCGACCCCGGAATCATCTTCTTTCGGATCAACCGCACCGCCACTCCTCACGACGGCCGTTGATGACCAGGCGACCTATGACCGTGCCTGGCACGTCGTAACTGCCCACATCGCACTGCCCTCATCCGCCACCGCTGACGACTCGTTCGGCACCCTTGCCGCAGAGTCGCAGCAGCAGTCCTCCCGCCGACGAGGGGACGCTGGTGCTAACGAGTTCTACGACGCGTTCGCCCTTGTCATCAACGCCAGCACATTGCTGCCTCGTGCCACCCGCACAGATGACATCCTTGCTTGGCATGTCCGCCAGGTGAGGGCGCACTTTGCCCAGCACGTGATCCCCCTTTTGACTGGGTGCGTTGCTGATGATGGTGACGACGACGGTGATGATGAGGCCGGCGAGGCAAGGGATGATGGCGCAGGCAATGGCCACTGGCACGCCGCGAGGAAAGGAAACCACTACGAGAGGCACATGGTGACTGTTATGAGCAGCATACGGACTCTGGAGGCGGCCCTGCGGCTTTACTTCTACGGCCTTAACCAGTTGTTATCGGGGTTCAGCCGCCTGGCTGATTCATCTCCGGGCCTGGCTAAGGACGCAGAATTGCTTAATACACGCTTCCGGCGCGATACCCATGCTCTCGTCAGTAATTCTGCCTCAGAGGGGCTCATGAGGTCGATCAAAGCTGTCCTGACCCGCCTTGCCGGCACCATTCTCGGATTTCCTTCCCAAGATGAGCGTAAAGGAGACGGAGGGCAAGCACCTCGACCGGCGGCGCCCGGGCCTGATGACCTAAGGGTGCAGGCGGCCAGGGAACGATTGCTCGAGTTGGTCCAGCAGTTGCACAACGTGGGCTTGGCCGGCGAGCGCTTCCAAGTCCTGTTCGCTGAAGTCATGGACCTCATGATGTCGGCTTTTGTCACGGGGGCCTACGGTGGTGTCTGGTCGGCGCCAGACCCTGGCTCGTTCTCGGTCGCCATGGACACAATATCACGGAGCGGGCCGTCGTCTGCGACATCCCCTTGTATCATGTCCCTCAGCGACTGGGTTGAGAATCACTTTGCTCGTCTGAGTTTCGAAGTCCTGGCTTGCATCTCGTCGAACCCTCAGGGGCCGTTGCCGGTGTCTCTGGCGGATGTCAAAACATACCAGTCCCTTGCCCTGGGGCGTCTCGCAGCATTACGCATTGGGGAGCTGTTCGACATTGTCCTGGCATGGCCCGCATCCCGCCCAGCACTCGACGACTTGCGGGCTACCATTACCACCGCAACTCGCCGCAGACAACTGACTGATAGCTTCTCGCGCTCTCTCCAGATACGGCTCCTGCACCCAGGCCGCAGCACCCTCGAGATTCTGCAAACATATATCTCCATCATCCGCACATTGCATGCTCTCGACCCTAGCAAGGTCTTGTTGAGCCATGTCGAGCCGAGGCTGCAACTGTACCTGTGCCATCGCGAGGATGCCGTCCGTGTCGTGGTATCCGGTCTACTTGCGAGTCCCGACGAGATACGGGCTGCGAGGAAGGCGAACGAGGTCGCGAAGTCCCCGAGAGAGAAACCTCAGAGCAATGGGCCGTTCGCAACCGCCGCCATGCCCGCCATGTCGAGCAGCACGTCGAGAGATAAACCTCGACTGCATAGCAGCGTGCAGGTGGACGAGAACGGAGCGTCGCCCGACGACAACTATTCCAGGCGGCCGACAAAGCTGGTGGAGCTCGCGCTCCTGCTGAACGATCCGGCCCAGAACCGGCGCATGGCCGCCGACCTGGATGAAGATCTCGACTGGGACGACATGAACTGGGTGCCCGACCCGATTGACGCCGGCGCCAACTACAAACGGCCCAAGAGCGAGGACGTCGTGGGTACGATCATCTCCGGTCTAGGAAGCGAAGAAGTCTTTATCAAAGAGTTCTCTGCCGTGGTCGCGGAGCGATTACTTAGCGAGCCGACCCGCTTCGACCAGGAACTGCGCGTGCTGGACCTGCTTAAGCGCCGGTTCGGCGAAGCGGCGCTGCAGAGCTGTGATGTCATGATCAGGGACGTGCAGGACTCGCGGAGGGTAGATACCGCCATTCACAAGGCGCGTGCCGGACAGAGAGCGCGCGCTCTCGCCACGCCTGCCAAGTCTGCCGCGGACTGCCGTGGGCAAGAGATGGAGTACCATGCGAGGATCCTGTCACGGTTGTTCTGGCCAAACCTGGACCGCGAGCACTTTCTCCTCCCACAGCCCGTGGTCGAGCAGCAAGCGCAGTATGAACAGGGCTACGAGAGCGTCAAGTCGCGGCGCAAGCTCACGTGGTTGAATCAACTGGGCCAGGCGAGGGTGGAGCTCGAGTTGAGGGATCGAACGGTGACGGCGGACTGCAACCCCGTCGAGGCTACTGTCATCTACGCCTTCCAGCGCACCGAGGACGACGGCGACGGGAATGCCCCGCCCGTACAGAAGTCAGTTGACGAGCTTTATGAACAGTTGCAGATGGATGAAGACCTGATCGCCGCGGCACTGCGCTTCTGGGTTGGCAAAGGCGTCCTCTGCCGCGTCGCGGGCAGCAAAAACAACTACATCGTCGTCGAAACCCTGCACGACCCCGCCGCTTCTACCACCACCGCTGTGCCTACCGCCTCCACTCAGGACGAGGAGGGGCAGCAACATGCCACAGGCGAACTGGAAGCCCCCGACCTGAGAGCCGCTGCCGGCGCTAAACCCGCCGTGTCCGCCAAAGAGCGGGAGCGCCGCGAGATCTACTGGCGCTACATCCAAGGCATGCTCACCAACGTCAGCGCCACTATGCCGCTGGGCCAGATGGCCATGATGATGAAGATCAGCATCGCGGACGGGTTTCCCTGGAGCAATGAGGAGCTTCAGGATTTTCTGGCGGAGAAGGTCACCAGCGGGGAGTTGGAGGTTGTTGGGGGGAAGTATAGGCTTGTCAAGAAATAGATAACATGGAGGAGATGATGGGTATACGGACTCCTGTGCTGGGTTGGGGCTGTTACACTACAACCTGTCGCCTGCTAAGGAAGATATGGCGTGTGAAGGCAGTATTGTAGGTTAGGTTGATATGGTTGTTATGACCTGATACCAATAGGACCATGGCTTCTCTATGCCGGTCGTGCCACTGGTCGAGGCTGAACACGAAGCAACTCTATATCCCAAGAAGCATACATACCACCATTCCCCAGCGCCGCGCTACAAATGATGGAGCTGGTTGCTTCACAAGCGACAAGCTACAGACACATTACCCCGAATGATGAGGTTACCCCTCCAACACCGAAGCGCTCCGTTACGGGAGTCTCAAGGACAGGTGGTGGGTGCGTGAAGGAGACTCAGAAGCACAGGAGATCTGAGAACGAGACGACATACAAACACCCCAGGGATTCGCTGGTTGTTACTATCCAACCATCTACTGGCCCTCACTAGCCTGTCTGGTGCAGAGCACAACGCAGATCCCGGGGGGGAGGGGTTTCCGCGGCTACGGCCGGATGTGCGTGATGGAACGAACCGAGGTTGTACCCCTTACTCTGGGCGTTGACGTGGAAGAAGAGAGCTGAATGATGGCGGACACTACACTGGCATCTCGTCCGGGAAGACGGGTCGTTCCATCATGGGTCCATTTCTCTGCGGGAGACCCCTTTTCGTAAGCATCTGAGTCTTCTGGTGACAAACACTGGCACATTCTTGGCAAGGCAATGTGGCTTCGGTGGCGCGTTTCTGTAGTGAGATCATTGCCGCCAACGAAGCATCGAAGGGAGCACTCGGGGAGGGGAGATGAGGCTGCGAACGTGCGACATTGTCTGATTCTGTTCCGTCAACCAAGGCAGGCCGGCAAAGCGGCGCGAAGCCAGACCAACCCTACACACGACAACCCCGCTCCATTGCGGCCCGTAATGCGGCCCCCGTTTCTGCCTCCCACCTAGCGAAATATTCAGGCCCGCCGTCGGCGTCAATCGTGGTCCTTCTTTTTTTTTCTTTGCTGAGAGACAGCTAGAAGAGGTGTCGCGTTTAGCGCTCATTTTATGAGCTGGCTCTTAACACGTGGGTGACGGTCGCAGGTTTGGCTAGCTGGCCCACCGCACTTGTTAGCTGCCGACTGAGCGTCCGCGGCAGTCACCACCAGTGAGGCGAACAGACAAAGGGATCTCTGATTCATCCGTGTTGGCCTTTCTGCCCTTCTTATCAAGTATGTACGGTACTTGGAGAACATTGCTCTGCCAGGTATTTAAAAATGGAATGGGTAGCAGGGCTAGACGCCTACCCCGCAACCAGCGGACGTTTTTCGTTGGCCCGAGGACCGCACTTTCGTTTGTTGGAGGTGCTGCCCTGCCGAGTGGCTGCAGTTTGACAAGAGGGACTGCAAGCCCCGAGACGGCCAAGGGGGAAAGTTGGGCCAGGGAGGTGTGATATCGACTTTGCCGTGATCGCTGGCTTCCTGGCAAAGGAGAGCAGCGGGCTGGTGAGGGGCGAGCGACGACTTGGCTCCAGCAGGAGGCGTTCTGTCGGGGCACTTTGGATGCCACTCAGTCCCGGTCGGAGCTGCTTGACCGACGTAACGCTGCCTAGTAGTTATTAGTAGGCACGATAGGCAGCAGACCACCCACGCTCAACACTGGAAGCCAGGTGAATGAAACAGCTTTGATCGGGCAAAGCGACCTACCCTTCGCCAATGATGTTATTAGTGTGCTGTGGAAGTCCATCTTGGGTCCGTTGAGAGCTGGCCACTAGGGTGTTCTAGGCCCATATTGAAAACTGCCCAAATGAGAAAAGAGGGGCGGGGAATGCCTTGAGCGAATCAGTGTAGCACAACGCATCATTCAAGCTTGGGCATCCGCGGCGGTTCAGGAGTAGGATGGCCTCGAAACATTCATGAGTGCACCCGCACAATGGCATTACTAGATCTGACTAACTTTGGCCTTTGGTTGCCACACGTCTGGACGGGTATGTGAATTCTGGATAGAAGGACCTTATACGGATAGTGTATGTCATCACCGGGCAAGGGGGAAAATGATCAACCCGAGGATTATAAAAGTGCTCTTGAATGAATCAGAGCCCTTGTAGCGGTCCCAGGTAATACATACGGTACGTTTGTATGTACTGTACTGCTCCAACCAATAGATAAGCATCATACGCAGAGATTAGTGATCTGCGCATCGATGTTCGAACAAGAGGCAGCTTCAATTCCAACGACTCTCATCAAACGCCCCAAGGCATACGAGTATTGGGTTTGCTCTGTCACAAGTGACAGGCGTAGCGAACCGAGGTTTCAAAGGTATCTTAATGAGATCAGAGATCGGGCATTCTCAAGACACAGCTGGATCGTGGAACCCCTCTACCCTGTTACTTTATCTGTTTCGCATTGTACAGGCGGTCATCATGCGGAAGGTAACAGTAACTATTTGAAGGAACTTGAACTCGGAAGCCACCGCTGGCTAGCCGAGAACTGAACTTGAAGGCTGTCGTATTCTGCAATTCACTTCAGTTCTGTTCGAAATCAATCAAGCTGGATTGAGCGGTCTCGTCCTCTGCCCAATGTATTCCGCAAGCGGGCCAGCTCACGGCAAGGTCGGGAAAAGCAGATGTGATTCGGTCATCGTTTCGCGGATTTCCAGTTGGGGTGGAAACTGCTCGCTCGCATCGGCTGCTGACACATGCGCCTGGCATAAGTGTAGTAATATCCGTAATAAGAGACACGTTCGGGCGATGGAAACCTGCTGCTGCTGTCCAGGGTTTTGTTACAGTTGTGATACCCACATTGCTGAAGTCCGAGCAAAGCAGCCAGAACCGGATCGCGCGTGCGGAGTGCTTGTGAGGGACGAAGGCAACGAGGTCCAGTTGCATCTCTCGTATGGTCGTAGTTGGCCCTTTCCCTTACAACCAACAACTCGAGGGAACATGGAAACACCTCGGAGCCGAACAGCACTCGAAAGCGCGACGCCCTCTTGGGACGTGGCGCTGACAGAGATCGTTACGTTTCGGTGCAAACCCTGAGAGGCAAAAGAATAGAAAGGCTGGAAAACGGGGGTGAAGGGCGTCTTTGCTTTATTATTAGGTAGGGGCCCGTTCCGGTGACCCTGTCAGCAGATGCCTTGTGTTCCCGATTGCACTTATTGCAGGCTCTGCGCACAGCATACAGCTGAGAAGTAATAATGGCGGATAGGTACCGTACGCAGCAGAGACACGGAACCGGTGATTCCTTGCCGTCTCATTCCTCAGCCTATATACGACGTTCGGTTTCTCATTCCCATTTGAGATGTTGCATGTATGCATGTACTCTGTATAGCGGCGTTACTGGTAGTATTTCAGGGATGCTCAAGTTGTCCGTGGACGGGAGTGTTGTCAGACAAACGCCCGATTTCGCACCATCGCCTCTGGACCTTTTCGCCCCATTCAACCTGAACGCACTAAAGTCACCAGTTACGCATTCCACAGTAGTCGTCCACCCGACAAGCGAGGCAATTTTTTGACCGAGGTTCTTTGTTGGTGGACTCGTACAGTGCATGGTGAACTTGCGTTCTATGTACATAAAGAACTTGAAGCGAAAGAAGACAACAAGCCCAAGCATGCTGGGCGACGGCACCATGGCCAGTTGGCCGCTCGCTCTGCAAAGTAAATTACGCTGATCGATCGTCATGTCATTTAGGTAAGGATGGAAGGACCGTATTGTACATACAGTACTGTACGTACAAACTGTTACTTACAAGTGTTGTACAGTACATACGTCCAGCACTTAAAGCAAGGGGGTGAAACTGGAGCTGCTACTAGTAGCCTGCTGCATCTCCATAGTAGACGTCGCTCGGGCAGCCAGCTGGCTGCTTTTGTCACCACTTGAACGAGACTCCCGTGCTTCTCAGTGCAAACGCCCTGGCGTATTCCACGTTACCCGCCCATACCTGTACTGTTTTCTGTCGTTGCAAGGTTACCGTCTTTGCGAAACCCCTGCTCAGTGAGGCGCACTGGCGTAACCACTTGATGACGCTCTCCATTTTACTCCCACACATTCACCTGCCGCAAGCCGCTTGCGCTCGATCCGTCGTATTCTCCACTAACGCCGCCGGTCTAGCGGCCCAACGCTTGCCCTGGCAAGCGATGCGTAAATGCGAAACGTGCGAGGATCGCTCGACACACCTACACAGTACCTACTGGACAGTATGTTTGTACGTACATACTTACATATGTACATCCATAGTGGCTGGACGGGGCTTTCCACTTCGTGTCTACTGTATTCCGTACCGTCCCAGGACCCAAGACCCAGCCGAGCCAGCCTACCTGTAACCCATGACGCTTCGAGCCGGAACCTTGGTGACTTGTTGCGCCCCTCACCCATGCTTTTCCGGCCCTTGGCCGCTTGATCATACATACAAAACCGACGCCATCCCCGACTCGCCGCTCATCCTTTTCCTCCCTTCTCCGCCTCCTCGCCCTGCTCTCTTCCCAACACATCGCCATCAACGCCAAGGGTCTAACGTTGGCCCCTGTTGCAACCCCACCAACGAACACACCGTATGTGCCGATATCTTATCGACGTCTATCATTCCCATCCCCGCCTGGAACGACCGGGCAAGCGAGAGTCGAGTGTACTGCGTGACGGACCACGCAGGCGGCAAGGAGGACCCGAAACCTGCGCTGATTTGAAGCCTAACGGACCGCTCGTGCTCCATCTCATTGTCGGCGTTCCCTAATTGCCCTGGTTCGGGAAACTGGAAAACATTGCTTCGGCTGAACAAGCGGATGCAGCGGCTGCCTGTGTACCTAGGAGAGGTCAAGGCTCACCTATATCGTTTCCCCGGCAATAAGCGCGCTTGTGCCCCGAGTCATCGAACGAAGAAAGCCTGACGCTTTTCCAAAGTTGCCCGTGGATGTGCCCGCGCCACTGGGGTTTGGCTGTGAAACCAGCTACTCAGACTACCGCCATCGGAACGCTTCTGGTATCTCATCAGCGTGGACCGCTACGTCCTGGGCAGAGGCAGGCCGGACGAGACCTTGAAACAGAGGTTAAAGCTCGCGCCGTGGACGGAATAGCCTGCTCTAGGCTTTGAAAGTGGAGGCCGGGGCGCTACACTGACGAAGTGAGTTGGCAATATTGGGTTACTTGCGGGCGGGACAGGCAGGCGGCGGCAACGGTGATCTTGGCAGCGTGCGGCAGCAACAGAAAAGGGTCATAGTTCCGGCTCCCCTTTGTTGTTCTCGCCGTGCACCGCAACAGGCCGGTAGCTGGGGAGCACATCCCCGTCCAGCACGCTGCAGGCACCCGCAGGTAATCTTGCGGTTCAGCGGCTGAACAACAGTTGTTTGACTGAGCACTGCCCGGTCTGCGGGCCGGTGACTGCTAGGTGATTGTGGTTGTTGTGGCCCGGAACAAGTTGGAGGTTATTAACACGTCTGTCAGTTCTAGGGAACAACTTAAACCAAGTCCTGATCAGCATGGCTGCCCTCGAACCGATGGATTTCTTGATGCACCAGCCCGAAGCTGCTGCGACAGGGCAGGCACAACCAACCACTGCAAACACAGGCTTCCCTGGACTGCACCAGCCACAAGGGTGCCCGTATTTCCGCGGCCAGCAATCTCATGGGTCGAGCCTGCCTCCTCCGCACTTTGACCCAAACCCCCCTTTTCGGCCGATGCCGCACCAGCTGCCACCTCTGGGTAACCAGCAGCACTCCCCCGCCCTTGCCCCTCAAAGCCAGCCCGGGCCCCCTCTGCACGCCTCGGGCTCTGCAAACGGGAGCCACTCGCAGCAGCAACCCGCGGCAGACTCCCAAGTTCAAACACAGCGGCAACACCAGCCGCATCTTCCTCAACCTCCAACCCTTCCGCCTCCACAATCCTTCCTGTATTCTCAGCATTTTCCTTACGATCCTGTCCACTCGTCCAGTGCTGGTTGGACATCGGGCCCGCGTCAAGGCACTTCGTGGCACCACCCATCGACCACAGGCACCACACCGACTCTACATCCAAGGCCCCCAGGCGCCGATCCACATTTCCGCGGCAGCGGTCACGGTGCGGGTGAACTCAGAGGAGATTTCGCCAGCTCATCAAGCCCTGCGCAACCTTTCCTCCCGCCAACCCAGCAGACTACTCTCCCTAACCTTGATCCGTCCAGCCCGTTCGTCTTCCAAGGATACCAGCGCTCCGCAAATTACCCACTCTACCAGATGTCGTCCTCACAGAACCCGACCCAGACAAACCAGCATGGCCGGTTTGGTGACGACCAGGCCGGCCGGTCAGGTCAGCAGCAACCAAACCCAGTGAACCAGGCGGGCCAGCCGAGTCAGGTCGCAAACGTGCAGTCTCCGCCAGTCACCACGAGTGCTGGACGACCAGTGCCTCCCCTATCTACTCGAGCTGTCACTCTTCCGTCTCTGAATCCGAACGCGAGTCAGGCTTCAGGTGGTCCGCAGTCGGTCTCTCAGCGACAGGCGGGCCCGGCCGCTCCGGCTACCTCCGCCAGCCGCCCGTCGGCCTTCTTGTATCCCGTTGAGAATCCCGGGAGATCGAGCCACGCAACCGGGGACGGACCGTCGTCGGCACATCTCCTGCCTCGACTGCCCTTGCCATCAAATGAACTAGCCATCGCGTATCGGCGGCGGGCAGAGGCCCTCTCGCAAGCTTATCGCGATCTCGCCGCCGACTCCGACCATCCGGCAGCCCCGCTGACTATCCCTACCGTGCCGGCGGGCGTTGGCCGACGCCGCCACGACGACTTTCGCCGTGTGCAGCGGCAGTCGGAGCATGAGAGCGACGATGACCTCGGTTCGTCGGCGGACGAAGAAGAGCGGGTCCTACGGTACATGGATGCTGCTAGAGAACATCCCAACTTTCGGGCTATCATGGCCGGGGACCACATTCGTGCAGCGCAAATCATGCGCGGCCAGGTTCCATCTAAACGAGTGGCCTCGAAGCAGGCTCTCGCGCAGCTCCAGAGCGTGGATCTTGCCAGCCTCTCTGACGGCGAGCGAAGTAAGTCACGCTTGCTCCGCTACCTTTCCCGGTCCTGCTTCCTGTACTAACGCATCCTTGCAGCCTGCGTCATCTGCTACAACGACTTTGGTCAGCCGAGTCCAGAGGGTATTATCGAGGCCCCTCTGCGTCTCCCTAAGTGCCAGCATGTGTTTGGCGATCACTGCATCAAAAAGTGGTTTGAGGAGTCTGACAGCTGTCCCTATTGCCGTGACAAGCTGCCTTCAGAGCCTGCATATCCTGCCAGTTTCCGGGCATTCCAGAACTTCTACCGCGCTACCCATATGCGAGCTCGGCAGCCCCCGAGCAGCTCTGCCAACTCGACAATGTTGGTCCACCCGCCCACTTCCCACACGGTTGTGGCAAGCTCACTAATACCTCTCAGTGATGAGACACTGGTTCGCGTGTACGCGCAGCAGCAGCAGCAGCAGCAGCGTGAAGTCGCTCGTGCCAGAGCACGACAAGAGCTGGAGTCGGAAAACATCACCCTGAGACCGTTCGCAGGCAGGGAACGGAGGTCCCCACCCTCCGATGTCACAGAGAACCGGAGAAGGACGCGTGCCCGACATGACAACCTGCACTCGCAATCGGCCGGCCCGTCGACCGCCCGTGCTTCAAGCTCTGCTCAAACAGCAGAAGCACCGGCGCCTGGGCAGCAGAGCCCGCCTCGTGAGCGTGTAACATCCCCTAGCATCTTGCCTTGGCCTGGTCAGTATGCACATGATCTGAATCGGATACTGACAACGCACGCTGCGAGACAGTCCGTGTCGGGCAGTCAACGCCCGTATCTCAATCCCTTGAGCTCTGGTGGTCCATTCAACGGCATTCCTCCGGTAGAGCACCTGCTACCGAATCCGAATATGGTCCCCATTGGTTTCGCCATGAGCCACGGGATGCCGACGTCATCGATGGCCCCCGTCCCTAATCCGGCCTACTATCCCAACCTGCCGTACACATCCTCCCCTTCAGTTAACTTCCCGCAGCTGCCCCCCATTGGGCCGTTTGATACGGCAAACCTCCAGGATACCTCACACGGCGGCAACGGGGTATCTCGGCCAGGTGTCGCGGAGGGCCAGATGCAGTAGCATGGCGCATGGTTCGGGCCACGATTGCCGGGCTGGGATCCGATTCGGTCAGGTGGTGGGCGCTTCCCACCGCAGATGCCGAGAGGGGGCCTGATACGATCATGGAGCGAAGGATTGGGACGGGAACAACGCATTGCTATGGGAGTGAACGGGTATGGGAACCGATGGTATGGTGCTGAGCAGGTGCTGAGGCACAGACGCTCCCCGAGTTCGCGTATCGGCCAGGGTCCGATGCAGTCCGACTGGCAGGGGAGGTCCAGGCGACGAACGTCGAATGGAACCCGGATGGTCGATGATGGCCAAGAGCTTTTTCGCAATCCGCCACGGCCGCCGCAGTAATGAGAAACGATGAATCTCCTCAGCCCTTCGAACACACTCGTCCTTGGCGACGTGGCCGAATGCATGCACGGTCTTAATTCAGCACCACCTCACGCAACACTTTCTTGATTTCGGCTCTCTATGTTATCTCATCCTTCATCACGACAACGCATGCATCACTATAGAGAATCTGCCTTGATTTTTTTTTTCGCCTTTTTCTCTTCGTATTGAGATTCCGCGAGAGTCAGGCAGCTATGGATGGTTGCGGGATGGGCGGCATTTTACTCGTCTTTTATGCAGGTCCCCTACCGCGGATTAGTAGGGCTGACTTCATACGGCGCCGGATGCCTGGATTCGTCTCTCTTCTCATCGGCGTCCCCCCCTCAAGAGAAGAAATCTTGCTCGACTTCACCTCCTATTCAGGACACGTCGGAGAAGGCGACCGAGCGAATCGCTACTAAGTTGGTCGGCCGCCGAGGCCTTCCCATACTCCTTTCCAAATGGGACCGATGAGATGGAAGAAGGAGGAGGATTGGGTGGCTTTCTGGCCCCCCGCCTGATAGAGAGACGAAACAGCATCGATTGTTACCTGATGAGGCGGGGGCAAATGCTTTTTATGCTGGCCTGATTCCATTAATTCTTTCACACGTTACGATACATCTAGGGCTTCCGGTCGGGTTGGTTGGGTTACTTGGCATCAGGTTGGCAGACATACAGATGGGCAATACGGGAAATACGGGAGATACGGAACAGCGCTCAACACCATCGATTTCTTTGCTCTTAATTACCAGCGAAGAGGTAGCTTAGGAGCGAGAATTACATATCAAATAACTGAGGTGCTCTTCGTCTCCGATATTTGTGGATGTGTTGTTGCAAGGTGATATAATCATTCTTACTTAGGCTTGCCGCTCGGCGGGGCCGGTGGCCATAGTGTGCAAGCATACCGTGTTCGCTCAAGCAGAGTGATATAGCCAGAGATTGTCTATGTACAAGTACAAATACCTTACATACGCACTACAACTGAACTACTACTATGCACAGTCGACTGTGAAGCCGGTCGAACCCTCACTTCGAAGCGCCGTGTCTAGAACACACATATAACGCGTCAAGTTCCCACATGTCCATGACCCTCCCGATGCTGAAGGTTGCCACATCGGCCATCTAATGCAATGCAACGACTGCACAATTCCACTCCCCAGAAAATACATACATGGCAACCGTCAACAACTCAAAGTCAAGCCTCTCACAATCTTGACCCTGCCCCCCTGTTAGCCCTTCCCTGCCCGCTACCACCTCCGCTACCACCTCCGCTACCCGACGGCCCGCCGCCCGACGACCTCGCGCTCTGCACGAGCTCCCAGGCGAACTCGGCCAGCGGGCCCCGCGCATCGCCGTATCGCCTCGCCTGCTCGCTGCTCGCCTGCCGCCCGGCCTGTCGCGCCGCAATCCCCTGGCAGATGGCGGCCAGCCGGAAGATGTTGAAGGCCTGCGCCCACTGCAGCTCCCGGTTCCTGTCGCGCCGCGATGGGGCCGTCTCCCTTTTGATCTTGGTGCTGTTGCTCAGCGTGAGTTCGAGGGAGGATTCGGCAGAGGAGGAGGAGGACGAGGAGGCACTTGCGCCGGAACTGAAACTGGACGACCGCCGCGGCGGCGGCGGCGGTGGCGCCTCGACGACGGAGAAGTAGAGTGTGATGATCTCGTCCACGGCCGGCAGGCCGCGCGTGGCGCGCGGGAGGAAGCCCGGGTGCACGTTGACGGAGCGGCGCGGGTCGAGGCGGGCTGTGAAATAAGGGGTGATAAGATTGGAGATGTCGGCGAGTGGGTGGCCTATTGTGGACATCTCCCAGCTTTATTTTTCGGGAATTAATTAACACTGTTAGTGAAGTGAAGCTGTGGGTGAGTTGGGAATCGAAGACATGGAGCTTGGGGGGGCGGATAACTCAAGAGGACCAAACGAAGCGGGGGTTCGCTTACTCCAAGACACCGATCACGCGAGGCTCGGTCCTATGGAAGACCAGGTTGTCGATCTTGAAGTCGCCGTGGATCAGCGTGCCGCGGTCGGCAGGCTGTTGGCTCTCGTCGGCGAAGAACTCCATCAGCTCGCTAAAGTAAGGCAGGGGCCCGACGGCCTCGCGGGTGTCGACATCGCGGACAGCGGCCTGGGCGTCGCACACGGCGCGCCACGTGGCGACCTGGCGGGTGTAGAAGCCCGTGGGCTTGCCAAAGTTCTCGAGGCCGATGGACCGCGGGTCGATGCGATGCAGCTTGGCGAGGGTGCGCACGGCGTCGGCCCAGATGGCGCGGCGGTGGTCCGGCAGCACGCTCGGGATGACGGGGTCCTCGAAGATGCGCCCGTCAAGGAACTCCATGATGTAGAAGGGCGTCCCGATCACGGACTCGTCCTCACACAGGCAGTAGGCCCTGGGCACGGGCACGTCGGTCTTGGCGAGCGCGTGGATGATGCGGTACTCGCGCTCGACCTTGTGGGCCGTCTTGGACACCAGCTGTCCTGGCGGCTTCTTGCGCAGCACGTAGCGCTTGCCATCGGCCGCAGTCAATTGGTAGGTTGGATTGGACTGGCCGAAGCCAAACTAGACAACGCCGAGTAGTGTGAGTGATCCCGGAGCAGCAATGAGACGTAGGCGTGATAGTTACTAGGTACAATACCTGCTTGATGTCCAGCGGCACCTCAATCTGGGGCACGTGCTTCTGGATCCATTTCTCGAGCCTCCCAGCATCAATGGGCTGGCGTACACGTCCCGCCATGATGTCCACGGTTTCAGGCGGACTCGTCAGTCCGGTGGTGTTGAAGCGAGGTGCGGCGTAACGATTATCTCAAAGGACTGATGATGTCTCGAGGAAGGTTAGGAGGTGGTTGTTTGTTGTCCCGTCCCTTGCCGGGAATGGGATTCTTAGAACCCCCGCCCACCGCTACTTGCCTTAGCCTGTTCCACACCCAACAACCAATAAAACAGGTCGTCTTGACGCCAAATGACGATCCCCAAGACACATCTCTCGGTGCAGCCAGTGCGCGGCTCATGCATTCACAAATCCGGGGCCGAGGTAGGGCGGCCAAGCTGAAAACGGGGCTTCCCGAGCCGAGGTTCCCTGCATCTGGGCCGAAGCTGCGTCCGGGTTCGGGTCCCGACCCCGCATGAATGAGCCAACCTGAGCCAACCTGCTAGACGTTGCGATGTGGTTCATCTGCGGAGAATCAAACAGCAATTGCAGCACTTGGGTTGGACAATCATCTTGTCTTAATAAAGAGTTGTGGCTGGAGAAACGCTGAGAGCAGCAGCGTTGTTCAGATACCCTGGCTTGCTGACGTCTATTAAGATCGCGGAAGAAATAGAACTTAGTTAAGGTAATCATCATTGAGCATGCTGTAGAAGGATATGCTGTCTCTCCTTGCATCAAGAAACGGAAAAATAAATACAAGTGCAAAAAATGAATCGAGTCTGGGTCGAACCAGAGGGTTTGTTCCAAAGATTGGGTAATGGAGTATTTTAGGCCAACTCACGGTCACATCCGGTAAAAGGCAGGAAATGAGTTCGGTCTGAGCGGGCCTACTCCGACTGGTAGAACAGTGTGCCCGTCTTTATAAAGGGCAAACCAGGTGGGACCTTGCGCACGACCTAATTGGCCAGCGCTTATCAATGTCTTATCAGCGGCCATCAGGGTTCACAATCACGTCAAGTCCAGTCTGAGTCGTCAGACAGAAGGAGCTGGCGAGGACCCGTTCCGCACATTCAGCGGTTCCGTTTCAACCTCAAGACCCTTCGGTTTCATGAAGTGACAGAGGTGTCAACGGACCTTATTATCAAGAAGCATTTTCTACTTTGCGGGAACCTACCCATCATGATATGTTCTGCAAATCTATACCGCCCATCCATTGATACAAAGCCAAGACTCAAGCATGCGCTCCCAAACCCGAGATGCTCATCCTATATAATACATAATACAACAACGCCACACCATTGCCGCGCGTTTCCTGAGCTTTCTCTCTGCCATCTATGAAACACCTCTAGTCGTCCTCGATATCATCGTCACTAATCACAAGGCTCTGCATTGGCAGGCTCGATAGCTCCTCCCCTTCGCTTTTTCCCTTTCCCGTCCGGCCGTTCAGGATTGCGCCCAGGCCTCTCCTTTTCCGCGGTGTACCCTCCTCGATAGGTTTATCTGTGGCCCATGATTCAGCCGCGGCCAGGGCGTTGCCGCTTTCTTCGTCTGCTCCCTCCTCTCCCTCCTCCTCGTCTGCTCCCACCGAGTTGATGCCTTGGAAAGACACAATCCGCTCGAGATCCTTGACCCGCATCGGTCCAAACGAACATCGTCGCTGACGAGCGATGTGAGCCATGTACGGCAGCCGCTCGAGAAGCAGCTCCTGGCGTGCAGCATCGCCAAGCGAGAGGAGCGGCGGGGCAGCAGCCGTAGGTGTATGTGCCCTGGAATTGACCGCCTGACGCGCTGGCGGTGAAATCTGGCTATCAGCAAACACATTATTACCCACCGCCACCGGCTTGCGAAACGCAGATGGTCCGTTCTTGGCAAACCCCTGTGATTGTGCCGGCGGTCCAAGACCGCAATCCTCTCCCTTCAGCAATGCAGTGGCCCACATGTCAACCAACCCCTCCAACTCCTCTTTGCTCCGCCACAATTTCAGGTAGGTCGGGTAGAACATTTTGTAAGTGTCGCCGCCACGCCCTGTCGGATGCGTCTGCCGTTTCACTGGCGACGGTAGCGAAAACAGGAGCCCCCGCACGGCCACCTGGAACGCCATCTCATCCTGCCGCAGGATGTGGCTGCCTGAGTCTTTACCCACGTAGCCCCCGCCAAACCCCTTGCCGCCGAAGAAGATGTCCCAGGAGGGATAAAGAAGGTCGCTCTCCGAGAGGTAGTCGAGGCATCCGTTGATGTAGTCTAGCGAGGAGTTGGGGTCGAGCGGACTGCTCTGCTCGCAGGATAGGGCATAATTCTCGTGGAGGGCGGAGATGAAAGTGTGGGTATCAGTGCCTATCTCGTCGATGAGCGTGTCGACGGAGACTTCCGAACGCTTCGGGCGAGAGAGATGCGCCATGTAATCAGGTAAAATCTCCGCTGCCGCTTCAGCAGACCCGGAGGGGTAATCGCCCCTTTTGTTGTAAACAACTTTGCCGACGGCGTGGAATATCCCCAGCGTTGCTTCCCGCCTTGACACCAGCTCCAGGCTCTCCTGCTCGCCCTTGGTCAACGCAGGGGCGTCCTTCGACCCTCGTTTCGCTTTTGTGAACTGGATCTTGGAACCCCAATCAGCCTCGTCATCGCTCTTGACACACAGAAATTCGAGGGACGAGACGGCGCTCCGGATATCGCCAATCTCCGCTAATCGTTGGAGAACAAGAGGGCCAGGGGTTCGCCGCCTCCCTGATTTGCGAGCCTCTTTCCGCACCACCAATTCCAGCGCTTTTGTCAGGAAGGTTGGTGCGATAGGGTTGAATTCAATCACCCCGGTTCCAGGGTGCCGCAAGATTTCCGGTCCGAGCAAGCGATGGGCGGTGAAGCTGTCCGCCGACGCAGATGTGGTAGTGAGCAAGGTCTCCGAGATGACCATGATTATCGGCGTGATGGGATCTGTGATATAGCTAGTTCCGAAGCCTGCGAGGGCTGGCGTGTTCGCCGCAAGGAACTGTATGATCGCATTCCTGAAGCCCATCAACCCGGTAGATGACCTCATAAACGTGTTCGGGAACTCTTCCACCAATATTAGCCTCCGCTCCGCACGTGCAGCTACACTAGTAGCGGTTGCAAGAGGAGGTGGCGGTGGCATCGCCTCCTCAGAGTCAACGTCCAGCTGCCCGAACTTCCCTCCCCTGCCGAGGAATTCCTCAAACTGCGCTGCTGCCGACTGGTAACCGCTCCCTGCGACCCCAAATGAGTTTGCCGGGTTCCTCCACTCAAGCACCTCGCACCGCATATCCCTCGCTAGTAACCGCAAGGTGGTCGTCTTCCCCGAACCGGCCGGGCCCTTCAATACTAGCAATCGCTGCCGCATGCGCCCGGCAAACACCTCGTCCAGCCATCGTCTCACGTCCTGGACTTTGCGCTTGTGTACCGCCAGCTCCTCAAGAGATACGGGCGTGAACCGCTCCGACCAGGGGCGAGCGTCGTCGTCGTCATCTTGGGTCGATCTTGCCTTGCTAATAGCGGCTGGACGCGGCTGTCGCAAGAATCTCTGCCCGCCACCAGAGCCAACTGCTTGCGTGCCGCTTCGCTGTGTCCCTTCAACCGCATTCCCGCTCCCGGACCGTGATGTAGAGCCAGATCCCGCAAACCGCTTATGCGCCGCCTGCGCTCTCCCAACCAAGCTCGATGCAGCAGCCGATGACGATAGGAAAAGCGGCACATCGTCATCGTCCTCTTCGCCATTGTTCTCCGAGATTGGGTCGCTGATGATGTCGTCGAGCTTGCCGCTGCTCAGATGCGCAGGGTCCTTCCCGTGGCCATTCGCGTTGAACGACCCTCCATTGGTGGACGAGAAGGAGGACTGGCTGCGTTGTGCCTGTTTCGAAAACAAGGTCAGCAGGTCGCCGGACCTGCTCTTCTCCTTTTCCTTCTCCTCTTCTGCTCTCCGCCTCCTTTGTGTCCCTGCTCTTGTTCGGGCTTTGATAGGGCTGGTACTCGGGCTTCGAGCCGCCGGGGGTCTGGACGCTGCTGCTAAGGCACGAGCAGTCCGCTTGCGAAGCGGGCTCGGCGAGTCGACGACAGCCGGCTCCGTAGTTCCACTGTCGTTTGGCTGGCGGATTGGGGGTTTCTCGGGGGACCTGGTCTTGTCCGGGGATGAGAACAGGAAGCGCTTCAAGGTGTTCTTCTGTAGCTGCTCGTCGTCGTCGGAATCATCGTCGGCGATAGCGCGCTTGCGTCGCTTTGCGGGCGGCGCCATTGCGGGCGATTTCCGTCTGGACGGTTATGTGTCATTTGTCATGAGACAAGATTACGGCTGTAGCTCTGTCTCTTTTGCTTCAATGGCCCCCCTTTTCTAGAGTCTGCAGTGTTGTTCCGAGAGTCGGATCATGGATGTGTTGTGAAGGCCAGGCCAATGAGTGGCTGCAGGCAGACAGGTGGGGAGCTGAAAGCTGCCAGGCCGAAGCCTCGCGTCAGGGGAAACAGGTGCTGAGGGCTAGCTTAACCCCAACCCTGCAGTTCGGCGACAACTTGAAGTTGGACCGAGTTAACAAGTTAACTCGGAATTCTGGGTTAGTTTGGACAAATAAGGCACAGAGCACGCAATACGAACTCCCAAGATGATTTCAGTCTTCTGCCTTTGGAATCACATTCTGTGTTACGTAGATATCCACTCAGGTGAGCTCCTCAAAACACCCTCAGAACACCCAGCCCTCAAAGTCATCCACGAACCTGACCGCAGCCGCTAAATACCTGTCATGAACATCCCCCCAAGTCCTCGCCGCCTCCTTCATCGCCCGAATGGCTGCATATCGTCAGTTAAATGCAACGTAAGGGATCTGGAACTACCCACCCTTGACATAGTGCGCATCTGTCGCCCATTCTGAATTCAGCGCCTGATACTCAACATGCTTCCACCCTTTCCCCTTCAAATCCGCCGGCACATAATCCGGATCGGTCTTGGGTCTCAGCTCGGCGATGTACACCGCCAGGGCGAGCAGCCACCACTGTCTGACCAGACTGACATGGAACTTGGCGGGCAAGAGAGGCAGCAGGATCCTCACAGCGTGGCTAGTCGTCAAGACATGCACGATGAAAAAGTTGTAGGCATGCGTCCCTGGACGGACGGTGGCCACGAGCAGTGCCACAGCGGCCTCTTGGGATTCCCTGAACAGCCTGACGGGGTCATCGGACGACTGCAAGTCCCAAGCGTTCCAGTACTCGAGTATAAGGGACTCGTGTTTCTGGAAGAGAGGCTCGATATTGGCGAACCCGGGCTCCTTGAAGAGGCCATCGAAGCGGTCGTCCGAGGCGAGCTTGTTGATGAGCTCTAGCGGTGAGGTGGAGGAAAAGGAGGGTTTGCGGGTATAGGAGGGGTCGTCGATGTATTGGTGGAGGAAGTTGTACTGTGTTGCCGCGAGAGCGAGGGCTTCTATAGCTACCTCGCGGCTGTCAAATTCGTAGGCATAGCCTAAGTGGATCAGGGGGTGGCCGACTGTGAGGACGTTAGTAAGTTGGTCTCTTGAGATCTAAGATGGCGGTGAGTGTGTAGCGTACGGCCACCAATGAGACCGTTGACAAGCGGCTCTTCTCCCTTGAGCAGGTATTCTTCGATCACTCTCTTCCAGTTGTACGCATACTTCATGGCCAATGCATCCTCGAAGAAATCTACATAGGCCCGCTGGTACCTCTTGTCACCGAGAAATTCCCGCCAGTCGTCTTGAGCGACCTCTGATGGTGATTCCTTCCATGGCTCAAGCTCCTTAGCCTCCTCATCGTAGATGTGATATAGCTGGTGGGACTCGGCGCCAAGATGGTAGGCCGAGCAGAGGATATGGGGCATATGGTTGTCGAACTGCAGATTGTGATAGATGATGGAGTGGTTGACATGGTTTGCTCTCAGGAGGTGTTTGAGTGTACGCGGTCTTTTGTCCGGATTCGCCTCGACATTGTGTACCTCGACGGGTTCAAGGTCGATCGACTTCGGCTCGTCCCTGGGAGTGACCAACCGGTTGACCAGTGGCACGTATGAAAGGAGAGACGCCATTCTTCACTAGTGAAAGGGTGTTGTTTCTTATCGCCCTTCACATTTCACCCACCGTACAGAAACGCATCAGACGCAGGTTAAGGGACCGCGGAAGCTGTTCAGAATGCACAGCGTATCTCGAGCTTATGACAGTTTGTTGGGGAGTTGGCGCCAATCAGTTGAGTGATGTCAAGGTGGGCCAATTCGCCATATCCATGTGGTTATCTCTACACTCACCCCGGCGTATCAATAGCAGGATGCATCCGCTGTGTCATTCGTCATGGTGCCCCGCCCCCGCCAAACAGCTTGAAGTCCGAACTCGCGGGGGAATTCAACCTTGTCGCTGAGGCTTATTATAGAATCCACGACCTTCCTACAGTAAGAAGCTTGGTACCACATCCCACCGAGCAGAATGGCGCCCAAGTCGATTATTGCACCCTCGATCCTCTCGGCGGACTTTGCCGATCTGGGGCAGAATGCCGCAGGACCATGGAGCAGGGCGCGGACTGGCTCCATGTCGACATCATGTAGGTCAACAGCAGCAAGCAAGCAGCGTCACCCGCTCTCCAGTGCGCCAAGTCGCTCACACAGCTTCCTCGCCGCCGCCAGGGACGGCCACTTCGTCCCAAACCTCACCTTCGGGCCGCCTGTCGTCGCCAAGATCCGGAAGCACGTTGAGCGACCGACAGAGAGTCACGGCAGGGGCACCTTTGACTGCCACATGATGATTGCCGAGGTAGCTTTGGCCCCTTTTCACCGTCATCCCAACACTTCACCCACCACCATCTATACGCTAACCTTTTACCGCCTCGGACGCCAGCCCAAGAAATGGGTCAAAGAATTCAAGTCGGCCGGCTGCGACCTGTATTGCTTCCACTACGAGGCCGCCATCAACTCGACCGCTGCCGAGAGCCCCGAAGCAAAATCCGATCTTAAGACTTCCCCGCGCGAGCTGATCCGCTACATCCATGAGCAAGGCATGCTGGCGGGCATCGCGATCAAGCCGGCCACGAAGGTGGATGTGCTGTTTGACGTGCTGGACAGCCACGACAAGGCCGAAAGGCCGGATGTAAGGGATTCCCGTTCCCTTCCCTACCCTACGCCCCCCCTTGCCACTTCCTGAGTGGACACTGATGATGGCCCCTTTTGGTGGTTAGATGGTCCTTGTGATGACTGTCGAGCCCGGGTTCGGCGGGCAAAAGTTCATGGCGTCAGAGCTGCCAAAGGTGCAGGAGCTGCGGACGCGGTACCCGGACTTGAATATTGAGGTGGACGGCGGACTGGGCCCGGGCACGATCGATCAAGCGGCCGATGCCGGGGCGAATGTGATTGTTGCGGGGAGTGCTGTGTTTGGGGCCAAGGACCCATCAGAGGTGATTGCGCGTCTGAGGGAGGCGGTAGACAAGCGGAATGGGAGGTTATAGATCAGAAGACCCGAGGTAGAGTTGCCTAGTTGGTTAAGTCCCTATGAAGGTGTCTAATAGACTACCTAGTTATATAATGAAGAGACCTACAATTGGCGACACGTGACAAAGAAGAGACAAGTGGAAGGAGAAAAGGAGGTTACCTTACGCAATGTCATTCCCTTCTCAGTTCCAAGAACATCACACTAACAAGAATTCGGCCCTGGACTCTGATGGTCATTGAACTGGTGACCTATCAGTCAGCAGGATCCGAAGCGTGGACACCAGTCTCAAGCCCGCTAGGCCACATCTACCCTGGGGTCCGATCGTACGTTGATGCGGAAACTGGTACACCTAGAGCTCCCAATGGACACCGGCTCTGCATACAATAGCTACTGAGTGTGTTCAATCTTAATTAGACTGGGTTTCCCCCACAGAGACTTGGCCAAATGGCGGGGGCTGAAGGATTGGCGCTGTTACTCAAGTTTATACACCCTCAGCAAGCACAGGCAGGGGACAGCACGATGCATCACGCACGCAAACGCACTCTATGGGGTTCCTCGTCCAGGAACTATCCTCAGTCCAACCACTCGACGCACCCAGCCTTCACGATTTCCTCCTACTTGGGTGCTAGCACCTTTTCCATCGCTGCGATAAGCCTCTTTACTTCTTCCACTGCCCAGCACCATGTCAGCTCCCCGCGCGCGTCCATCCTCGGGGCAGGACAGGAAGCTCAAACTCACCGGTGTTGTAATGTACCATGCTGACCCTGATGACACCCTCGGCCGGCAACCCCAACACGTCCTTGACCAACCTAACGGAATAGAACGAGCCCCAACGGAACCCAAAATCGCTCTCGGCCTCCACTGCCTCCACGAACCGCTTCGAGTCCCAGCCATTGAGAGTGAAACTCACAGTGGGCACTCGAACAGCGACGTCCGCGCTCCGTTCGCCCCAGACCGTGACATCGGCGCGCGCATTCAGCCAGGCGAGCAGCGTCCGCTGCAGCTGGCCCTCGTGCGCGACGATACCCTCCCACTTGCCGTCCAGATACTCGGCCACGGCGGGAATGGCGTGCACGAGCTCGTAGCTGGCGCCTGCGAGACCGAGCTTGTCTTGGAGGGTGGCGTGCGGATTGAAGAAGTGGCCGAGCGACGCGAGGTTGGAGAGCGCGAGCGGGCTGGCGTAGAGGATGGAGATGTGCGGCCCGTAAACCTGAGAGTCAGGGGTCAGATAAAGGGGGGGAGGGATTGGGGAAGCTGAGATATAAGGTGGGTCGTTACCTTGTACCAAGAGTAGGAGTAGAAGTCTACGCCCAGGTCTTTGACGTCGATCTTGCGGTGCGGGGCGTAGGCGACGCCATCAACGCATACCATGGTTTTTGGGTTCCGGCTGTGGACGATAGAGGTAATGGCCTTGACGTCGTGGATGGTGCCAAGGATATTGCTTGCGTGGGTGAAAGACACCAGCCGTGTCTTCTCCGTCAGAAGTCCCACGAGATCTGATGCGAGCAACTTGGGGTTGGTACCGGCGTCAGGGGCGTCCGCGTTGGGCTTCCACCACTTGAGCACGAGCTTCTGACGCTCCGCAAGGTCGACCCATGGTGCGATGTTGGCCTCGTGATCGACTGCCGAGACAATCAGCTCGTCGCCTGCTTGGAAGCGCAAGGCGTATGAAACGTTCCGAAACAGTTGGGTGGTGGATGAGCCGAGTACTGTGAGGCCTTGGTAAGATTACCCACTTAGAGTCTCAAGAACAACACAAACCAATCTCGTCACTTGAGGCGCCAATGTATGTCGCTGCCGCAGCATAGCCCTCGTCATAGCGGCTCGTGGACTGTTTAGCTGCGGCGTATGTGGCTCCGAGCTGGACGTTGGTGTTCAAAAGGTAGTCCTGGATGCTGGGATGGTCGTTAGCTTAGTTGTTGCAACATAATAGCATATGACGGGAGTACTCAATACCGCTCAGCCACTGTCCCCAAGGTCTGGCTTCCACCAGCATTGTCGAGATAGACCTGCTTCCCGGCCAAGGCGGGGAAACTTCCCCTCACTTCATCCAAATCCAAGGCGGTGGCCATCTCTGAGGAGTAATGTCACTGAATCAAACGAGAGTATGCGAGCATTAAGACAGTCAATGACCACCTAGGTACCGCATTGGGTCTTGTAATAGCGGGTAAAGAGGGACGGTATCACAAATCGCCGAACCGAAGAGACCGGAGCTACCGGAGAAGTGGGTCCTATGCCGGGCATAGGATCTCATTCGGACCGGCGTTAGTTCGGTGGGTTGAGTTGAGAACGAATCCCTCTGAGATCTAACTGCTAACTCAGGTCCTGGCGGCTTGAAGCGATTCACGACGGGTAGCCGCCCCTGATTGTTCTAAAGGACCCAGCACTCGTCAATCGAGTGCATCTCCCAGAGTGTGAGTGCGTAGCCAACAACCGAGCAACCTCAGCCAGAACGATCTGCCGGACACGCTGCTGCCGCGGCGCCTCTTTGCTGGTTCACAGCCTTATTATTATTGGAGTACGCCAAAGGGTTGGAATCATCCAACAAGAATGCTTTCACCCGGCATAAACGGGACGGATAGCGCCAGGCGCGAGCCAACGGGAGCCTATGTCATGGTCGTTGAGTCGAGGAACGCAAAGCAGCGACTAGACCAGCGCAGGATTGGCGCCGTCAGCACTGGACACAACGACAACGACTGACGGGTGCAGATGGGCAGGCGCTTCGGGCGTCATGTAACACTGCAGTAATATGCATGGCGAAGAGACAGCCATCCGGTCAGGAAAAAGGGTCCGATAAGGTGATGGGATCAAATGCGGTGGGGCGAAAAGTTACTTCGCGGCCCACAAACGGGTTTCTGCCGTACGACACCGCAGTAGTTTGGCCTTCATATCAGCCCATTTCTCGAGGGCTTCTTTCCCTGCTCTATGCCCTCCCACAGCACCAGATCTTGTATGTGACCAAGGCCAATTGAATTTGTACGATGAAGAGAAAGGCGGACGGCCCTGCTGGCCGCGCGAAGCCGGTTAAAAAGCGATCCAAGTCCAGTACATACGCCTTCTCAACCCGAACAGTCGCACTGTAGCTGACCCGGATTATCTAGCGATCAGTGAAGAGGAGGCCAAAGCTCGGTTCCGGAAAGGGCTGTTTGACAAGGCTGTCCTCGACAAGTACACCTCGCAATATGCTTCGTCGACACCGTACAAGCACAGCGTCATTTCCAGCCTGGTGGACGATGCACTGCTTCGCAAGGTCCGCTCCGAGATCAAGGCCAACGTCCACTTCACACCCAAGGAGACCGACATCTACAAGATTCACCAGAGCGGCGACCTCGCGAACCTCGACGGTCTAGACGATGAGGCGTTGGCAAAGTTGCCGTCGCTTCTTGCGTTGCGCGATGCCCTCTACTCCCAGACGTTCCGCGATTACGTCTCCCACATAACCGGCTGTGGGCCCCTGAGTGGGCGCAAGACCGATATGGCCATCAACGTCTATACCCCTGGCTGCTATCTCCTGTGCCACGACGATGTGATCGGGTCTCGCAAGGTTAGCTACATCCTGTACTTGACCGACCCGGATACACCATGGCAACCAGAATGGGGTGGAGCCCTGCGCCTTTTCCCCGTCGTGGACCGCGAAGGCAAAGACGGTGAAGTGGCTAAGACTCCGCTGCCAGACGTTGTCAAGGTCATTCCGCCCGCATGGAACCAGCTCTCGTTCTTTGCCGTTCAGCCGGGAGAATCCTTCCACGACGTTGAGGAGGTCTACCATGCTGCTTCCAAGGAAGAACTGGAGAAAAATGGCGGGCGTATCCGCATGGCTATCAGCGGTTGGTTCCATATTCCCCAGGTTGGGGAGGATGGATATGTCGAGGGAGCCGAGGAGAAGGCCGCCCAGAAGAGCGGTCTCATGCAGCTGCAGGGCAACCCCGACCAACATGATCGGCCACAGGCCAAACCCGTCCGGGTGGAGAGCGAGAAAACGGAGGACGGTGATGATGTTCCACTGGACGAGGCCGATCTTGAGTTCTTGTTGAAATACATCTCTCCGACATACCTGACACCGGACACGATCGATGGCATCGCTGATCACTTTGAAGAGGAGTTCAGCATCACTTTGCCATCCATACTACATCCCAAGTTCGCCGAGAAGCTCCGCCGGTATGTGGAATCCGAAGAAGCCAAGGCACTGCCGGAAGATAGCGATGAGATTGAAAAAGGTGCGTGGAAGGTCGCCCGTCCACCGCATAAGCACCGGTATCTCTACCTCCAGCCCGGCCAGGAAAGACTGGAACCTTCGCCGCTCAAAGAGCTGCTGGAAGTTCTATTGCCGTCCAGGCAATTCCGTCTCTGGCTCCAGATGGCGACGCGCTCCACCGTAGAGAGCCACGACCTGTTGGCCCGGCGGTTCCGTCGTGGCAAGGATTACACGCTTGCGACTGGGCACGATGGCAAGCCGAGGCTAGAGGTCAACATTGGCCTTACCCCCACGGAAGGTTGGAGCGACGTCGATGAGGAGGATGACGACGACGACGCCAGCTCCGAAGCGTCATCTGACGCCGAAGAGGGTCGCAGCGGTAAGAAGGACAAGAAGGGCGCTACCAACGGCAGGGGCAAAGGTAAAGCGGATGAGAGCAAATCCAAGGGGAAAGGCAAGGCCATCGACAAAGATGTTGCCTCCAAGGCAGATGAGGAAGAGGTGGGCGGCCACGAGGTGTACATGGCGGGCGACGACGATGAGAATGAGGACGCGGCCATCTACAAGAGCAGCGCTGATGACGACAACATCCTCTTCTTCCAGGCGGCAGCTTGGAACAAGATGACCATTGTGCTCCGCGACAGCGGGACACTGCGTTTCGTCAAGTACGTGAGCGCCAGTGCCAAAGGCGATCGGTGGGATATTAGCGGCACCTTTGAGATTGAGGAGCAGGACGAGGAACCAGACGATGACCAAGACAACGGCGAGGCATCTGGAGTTGGAGCGTTGGATGAGTCCGAGGAGGAGTTCAATGGGTTTTCGAGCAGTGCAGAGAGCGATTCTGACTAGCTGCTGGCTGCGCGATGATGCGATACTTTGGGTTGCATTCCGGCGATGGAGATGTCAGCCTATCCAGCTGCTGTCCCTTGTCAACCATCATTGATAACTTGCTGTTTTGGATAGGTTTTCAGACACAGTGAGCACGTAGGGCAAGCATAAGGTATGCTTGAACCGGCAGAGTAGGCCACTCTCGACAGAGTATGTCCCAATTCTGCCCAGCGTGGCACCTCTCTAGATTTGCCTTGCAGCAACCGAGGAATGCGACAGGAACCTGTCTGAGCCCCATGGCCCCCATCATTAGTGGCACAACCTTCGGGTCAGTGGCCCGTTGAGTAACATCAATCAAGGTTGGCTGCGTTGGTGGTCCAAACTCCTTGATCTCGCCTTGATCAGCTCACATCATACATGTGGCAGTTCATGGGGCCAGGGGAGGCGGGCAAAGACAGGTACCTTACTTTGCTGCACCACAACGTGGCATTCTCCACATTTTAGTACAAATACATCTGTTCCTGGGCTGGTCGTACCTAAGGTAATCCGTACCTTGCTCAACCATAGCTAGCCTCTCGCGCCCTGGGACTGCGGGATTTGCAATTCCGAGGGGCGAGCTTGTTGGAGAGTCATCGTTTCTGTTCATCCCCGTAGCACCTAATGGCACAGGCTAACCACCTCAGTGGGGTTGGAATTAGGGTGCCGGGGTTCGTGCCGTCCTGACGGCGAACCCCACCACCTGTTCGGCGGTCGGCGCCGCCTGGGCTGCGATTTCCAGGTTGATGAGCGCACTTGGCAACAGCTGCACCAACCAGCGTACAGATACACTACCGCCTTTCACCGGAATTTCCGTGCCTTAGGTGCTGGAGAGAGCACAGCAGCCCGCTCAATCAGAAGATCCGCGGCGCATTTGAAGGAATTGTGTTTCTGGTCTGTCCTGCCGCCGATTTGCGTCCCAACACTTAGCGCTTCGGTTCTCGGGCCCAGCCTTTCCCGTTATACATACATAAACCATACTGATCCCACCATTGCCGTCCCTGGGATGCCGGCCCTTTTACCTCGCCTCGCATCATCTCATTTGCTCGGCTTAAAACCATCCATTCCGGTTTATTAGAGTTTTTGTCGAGTCCTTACCTTCATACAATGCCTACTATCCGCAACCCCTTTGCGCGCCGAACGGGCCCCGCCATTCACGACGAGAATCAGCGGCCTGGCTCCGCCGCCGGTAACCCCGGGGCAGGGCACCCCGGATTCCAGAGGGTGGACACGGTCGGGTCCAAGGCATCGTCGTTGGCGTTCAGCATTCGCAGCAGGAAGAGCCAGGATAATGGGGAATACAAGCTAAGTGGTATGCTCCCGGCCTCCTTCGATGAAATGAGTTCGGCCCCTCGGGACCTCGCCGCTTCCCGCGGAAAGTAGGCAAAAAGCCACGACGCCACCACCCTTCGGCCAATGGCCTGCGAAACTGCCGTATCGCGATCACACATTGGAGTCAGGGGCTAACCTTCGGGGCATTGGGGGTTCTTTGTAGTTGTGAATGACAGCGGGGTTTACCTACCGGTATGAGGCAATGGCGCCGTGCAAATCCAGAAAAGGATGGATCAATCTAACAGCAAATGCGCAACGCTTTCTAGCCGTCCCCGATCGAAAGGGAAGTGCCATGGCCCCGGCGGTACATGTCGCGCACCTCCAGCGATAAGAGCAGCGTCGGCAGCGGCGAGATCGAGCACTTCCCCATCTCGCGCGAGTCGTTCGACTCGTACAGGCGGTCATTTGTACGCTTTTCAAATCCCTCCTCTCTCTCCTATCTGTAGTGAGGGAAGAATGAAGGGGGAAAGGAGAGAGACAAGAGCTGATGGGAACTTCGCTAGGACATCTGCGCCAGGAGCCCCGTCGTCATGACAGACCCCCTTCCTGCGCGGCAGAGCCTCGACTCCAACCGCTTCCCTTTCCCGACGCCGCAGTCGGCGCGCTTCCCGAGATCGTCGCTCAGCAGGCGGCCGGAGGAGGATGAGAGGATGGACGAGAAGTTTGAGGAAGTCGGGTTGGACGACGACACGAAGCAATCCTTGTCGGAGAAGTCCGACCAGCAACCGAAGAAGAGAGGATTTTTCTTTACCAAGTTCAATTCGGACAGCCCCAGTACTGCGGAGGAAACTGGGGGTACCGCCATGTCGAGGTTCTTGCCCTTGCCCGGGCGAAAGAGGGAGCAGAGTGCTGGGCAAGGGGCCGAGCTAGGTATCATGCCTGTTGCTGGGTCGGACAGGACAAAGAGGATAGAGACCTCGGTGGCGGGGTTGCAGGCGCAAGAGGTCTAGGGCCATGCAGCGCGTCGTTGCGTGGGTTGCATCGCTCTAGGCGGTATATCACAGTTCTGGGATAGTATTTTTGTCAGTTGGGGGGGTTACAATTTTCGAAAGGGCGTCTGGGTGTGGCTGCGGCACCTTCAATCGCGCAGGGTTTGCCGTGCGGTCCATGGATGGCCGCTGAAAGAACACACAGGGAATGGATGACATGACGATAGCTGGATCAGGCTTGGGTCGAGCCTTCGCGAGAGGGAGAAGTATTACACCTAATAGGTACGACTAATGAATGATACAGGAGCAATGGTTGGGATACAGACATTGGCAGCATCAACTCGTTCCATGATGAGGCAGACGGTGTTGGTGGGCCCTTGTTGGCGGTCATCTCTGCTTCACTTATTGGGGATGCCTGCGCCCACTGCTAACTGCCAGGATCACACTCCCCATCCATCAAATCAAGACAGCCATGCCCATCGCATTCCTCCCGACCCCCATACTTCCCAACCCGAAACGCTGCACCATCTTCGCCGACCCACCGCCCACGGAGACGACGCTCACAGCAGCCTCGGTCGTCCCGTTCCCCGGCGACAGCGCGTAGATGAACCCCCCCGCCGCGCGCAAATCAATCAGCCCCGGATCAGGACTGCCCGCGGCGGACAGGTCGAGCTGCGACAGCACGCGCGCATCGCGCACGTCCATCTCGACGAGCCGGTTGACCGCCACATCGGTCACGAACGCGGTGCCGGTCGCGGGGGAGATCGTTGCCCAGCACGTCGCTTTCTGGCCCGCGATCTCGCCCGTCGCGATCGTCGAGGCGCGGCCCGTGGCTGGGTCGACCGACAGGATGGCGGCGCCGAAGGAGGCGTCGGTGGCGAAGACGTGGTGGTTCGTTGGGCTTCCGGGGATGGGCTGCGAGCCGAAGAGCACTGCCGTGTTGTTGGGGAAGCTGCGCTGCTCGATGCGCGAGACCGCCGACATGGGACCGCGCGAAGAAGAAGAAGAATGATGATGACGTGGGGCATTGGCGCGCTGGACGGAGAAGGCCGAGAAGAAGCCTGTGTTGTTGCTTGCTGGGTCGCCCTTGACGGTGGCGAAGAGCATGGACTCGTCTGCGGAGAAGAAGACTTGGGATACCGTGTTGGTCGGCCCGACAGGGGGGGTGGTCTGGCCCAGATCGAAGGGGCGCAGCGCGTCCATGGGGCTCAGGCCGCCGCAGGTTGTGAATCGGCTGCATGCGATGCCGGCTTTGGCGCCGGTTGTGCCGACGCAGACGATGTGGTGTTTGGCCGATGCCGCGACGGTGGTGGGGAATTCGCCGGGGACGGGAACTGGTTTACCCGCCAGGGACAGCTTGGTAGGGTCCGCGGCGGAGATGCTCAGCATGCTCAGCGTGTTGGACCCGGTGTTGACGGCGAAGATGGTCTGATGGAAGAAGAAAAAGAAGAATGTAAGCAATCAGGAAAGGGCCACAGGGGATGCCAAAGATGGTTCACTTACGTTGCCGGCAATGGTCAGCGCGGACTGGCTGACCAGGGCGTCGGGTGTGGCAGGCTGCTCGTCGCTGTCCAGGGCCACGGAGCCGGTTCCGCCGGTCAGGGTTGCGGTGCCCGGACAGAGCTTGCCGTCGGCGCCAATGGGCAGGGCAATGACCGCGTTGGCCTTCTCATCGTTGGTGATGAGGTAGACCGCCCTTCCCACGCCCTGCTGGGATGAGTGTTGCGGGGACGGAAAGAAAGGACTGCCTACCCCACCTGGTATCCATGGTAACAAGATAGCCAGAAAGCAAGACACCGAAAGGAGAGACATGTCGATGGGGGTAGAAAGGTTGAACCGTGAAGCGCTGGGCAGGAGGACGAAGGACAAGGTACCTTATGTATGTACCTTAGCTGCTGATTCAGATGGATGACAGCGACTGAGTATAGAAGATCTCAAGCTTGATGAGAGGAACTTCCTGGGTGGAATATATACACTATATACTAGTCGTCTACTCCTCCTCCTTACCATCGGAACGAACTTGCCGACCCATCCAGCATGGCCAGTTTCGCAGTCTGCTAGAGATGAGATGAAAACAGGAGGGTGCCTAATCTCAGCGATCTCCAGGTAGGACTTAATCTCATACCGAAGTTGTTTAATGTTCGTTACCCAGTCAAATCAATCCTGGTAAGAGCCTTAACTCGATGTCACAAATCCCCATATACGGGCCGCCCCGATCTTGTCATCACAATTTCCCAATTTGGAAATCGCTGCAAGGCCCGGCCAGCGTTCTTGGCAACCAGGGTGGTATGAAACGGACCTTCGCGTCATAGCTGTGCTTCTGCGCCGAAAAGAGTAATCCAGATGACATGAACAGTAATGCCCTCCCGCGTTTCAAAACCCCCGACCCGAACGATCCCTCCAGATCTCCTTGCTCCGGGCGTCCCAAGCTAGACTCCCTGCTACATTCCTTTGGTTCTGCCCCTTGCCTCTGCTATTAAGAAGGGCATCTTTGATTCCTAATGGTGTATCCGTACGGAATAACGGAACTAGGGAGGAGAGAGTCATATAAAGCATGATAATCTAGGTAGGTACTACAGTAGTAGCTTATTAAAGTGGCACTTTCCTTCGTACGCTACCCGAAGAATCTAGAATACAATGCAGAATCAAGGCACGCAGACGCAAACTCCTCTGGCGGAACGACGTAAGTTAGCATAGCTGCGGCGACACTGATCGCGAGCGGCGAGTCGGGTTCTCGGACGGTGCTTGTATCATCGCAAACTTGAAGTGGACCTGAGGATGATGATTGCATCCAACTCGAACGCTCAGTACGGGTTGGCCATGCCGGAATCGTCTGCCGTTAAGGTACCTGACCTAGGTACCTGATTTTCTCGCACAGTACCCGAAATGTGTTGCTCGCACCCTCTTCAAGCGGAAGGCACCACGGGAGCACCTCCTTCCCGATCCAGTTCTTCAGTGCTTCAGTCCTTCAGTTCTTCGCTCAGCGCCTGCAGGCCCCGAAGCAAATCGTCTCTCAGGTCCTCCCAGCCCTCAACACCGATGCTGACCCGCACCAGCCTCCTGTCGACAGCCGTGTCGCTCATGGCCCGCCACTCGACCAGACTCTCGACGCCACCGAGGCTGGTCGCGTGGTGAAACAGGCACAGCTTGCTGGGCAGCCGCTTCGCGTGCTCCTCCGTCTTCAGCCACAGCGAGAACACGGGCCCGTAGCCGTTGGGCATCTGCTTGCGCAGCCACGAGTCCGGGTCGGCCGCCTCGGGCTGCTGCGACGCGTGCTGGATCTTGTACACCAGATCCGCGACCACGTTTCCGCCCGCCCGCTTCTGCGCCGCCAGCCAGTCCACCAGATGCTGAGCGTTGGCCGCCTGCCGCGTCACCCGCAGCTCCAGCGTCCGCAGGCTGCGCACGCCGAGCCACGCTTCGAAGCTGCCCGTGACGCCGCCGAGGTGCAGCCGCTCCTCCCGCAGCCCCTGCAGCCACCCCCCGCCGCTCGCCCGGTCCGGCCGGACGGCCAGCACGCCGCTGAGCATGTCGCTGTGGCCGCCAAAGTACTTGGTGCCGCTGTGCATGACGATGTCGGCGCCGAACTGGAACGGGTCCTGCAGCGGCGGCGGCGCAAACGTGGCGTCGACGGTCAGGTAGCAGCCCCGCTCGTCCGCCTTCTTGCGGTAGTAGGCCAGGTCGCGCGCCTCGCCCGTCGGGTTCAGGGGCGTCTCGACGTGCAGCACGTCTCCCGGCTGCAGCTTGGCCAGGTCGGCGTCGCTCTCGAGGTCCAGCTGCTCCAGCCCGTTGAGCTTCTTCATCAGCTTCAGGATCCCGTGGCAGCCGTGGTAGCCCTCGCCGATGGCCACCCGCTTCGGGTTGAGGAACACGATCATGGCGTGGAAAGCCGCCAGCCCGGAGGCGTACGACACGGCTGGTGCTCCCAGAAGCGAGCTCAAGATGGTTTCGTACCGGACGGCGGTCGGCGCCTTCTCGCGGGAGTAAATCCAGAAGTCCGGCGCCTCACTGGGCTGCCAAGTCCGTTAGCTACCATACTGATATTGCTTTGCTAGGTTGTTCCGGCTGGTTAACTAGGTAGTTGGAAGCATCCTCACGTCAATGTCGGACCAGGCCACGAGCTTGTCGGGATTGTCGTCGTAGCGGAACGTCGTGGAGACGTGCATTGGCGGTGCAACGGCTGCGTGGTCGTTCCTGTGGTCGTCGGCATGGACTGAGCGAGACGCCATCGACAGCTGCCTGCCGAAGACGGCAGCAAGCTCATCCGCGCTCCCGGCGCCGGCCTTTTCCTTCGTTGGTGCCATGGTTTCTGCGTCTTTCAGTGTTCCCAGGGAAGAATCTGGCAGGGCCTCCTCGAGGTAGCAGACAGATGAAAAAGGGGAATTCGCTGCCATTTTCCTTTCGCCGGCAACTCGACCCAGGTGTGTTACATAACGTAGCGGGGTCCTGAATATCGGCGCGGGGCGGGCTCCATCAGTGATCGACTCGTCATTCCTAAGGGCGCACTAAATGTGGACTCTTCAAGTCCGCTGCCGGAGTGCGTATGTCCCGGGTGCCGTAGCCCTGAAGATGTCGCCAATCTCCAATGGTCTTGCGCTTTGTTGCTCGCTTCTCGCCTCTCTGCACTCGGCCCTGTCCGGGAAGTACTAGTTTTGAACCGGGCCGGGCGTTTTTGGGAAGAATGCCCGAGGTCCGAATCTTCAGCGGTCTCTATTGCGCCTCTGCGGAAAGGAATGGACAAATCATGCATGTTCTACAATCTACATACGGATCATATGTAGTTTGACAAGAGGAGGACAATGCCGATCCGAAACGATGTGGCGCCCGATCGAGTTTGTCTGCGCACCGTGTAGGTAAGCGGCAGGACCCCGGGCCGAAAGGGGCCGTAGCTGAAGAGCAAACCGATCCGTTCATGTTACAAGAACAATTCGGCCTCCCCGGGTTTGGGGGCAGCTTGCGGCCAACATCGCTGCCATTACGTAGGTGGTCGCTGTTCTAAACTCAGAAGGAAGGTCTGGTCAAGTGGACGGTATCCATAACAGTGCAGTGAGTGACAAGGGGAAAGGCGGAAAGCGGAGAGGCTGGGCAAAACCACAGGTCCTTATAGATGAGACTTCTTTGACTTGCACGCTTCTTGCTGCGTGCTATTCGTGCTCGACGCCTGCAGGAACCTTCTTCTGAAAGAATCAAGCAGCGCTGTCCCAGCCGGTCGTCGTCCTTCTGGCAGATGTGGCCGGCCAGTCTGCTCAGTGGCCCATCCATTCGATCTAAACCTTTCTCGCTCCGCGAGCGGCTTCATCCCCTCGAAGCACACGGTTGATTTCGTCAAGGGCTGAGGCGTCGTGTTCTTGCATTGCACGGCGGGCGGGACACCGAACGGTCTTCCATGGCTGTGCCGACCACGGATAGCCGTGCATGGTCCGGAAATGTAGAAATATCTCCTGTCCCCGGGTGGGTATGATGCCTGCGCCGGCCGCCCAACCGGCTTTGCGGGATGCCGAGGGGAACATGGCGCTGCATTGGGCGGCGAGGCTCGGGTTGCTGAGTCCGGTGGTGATGTTTTGTGATTAGGGATCCCGGGTTGAGGGGCGTATGGCGGTTGGGGGGATGGAGAAGGGAGCGGATGGCGGGTGATGAACAGTGGCGCTAGTGGTGTGGCGAAATATGAGGAGGTAGTGATGTTCCTGGAGACGGGGGTTGTTGCTGGGGAAGTAATGAGGTTGTTGGGTGAGTAAAGTAACTGGGCAAGCTCGTAAGCTTCAAGGGGACGTAAGCGGATGGTGGTGTATTAGATATTATGTATCGATGGGATAGACTGGAGAAGCGGGTTGGCGGAAGGCACCGGAGGCGTTCTATTATATCGAACTGTACTTCTGGCGCCTCCGTTGCCCTCAGATCGGACTTGGTTTTGATCGGCTGGGCGCCATGCCCTCCCGGCTTGAGAGCTGCCTCCGTTACCCGTTTCCTGTCTGTTGGCCGACTGCAACCCCCTGGATAGACTGCTTAGGCTTCATATTTGCCCGGTGCTGAACTAGACACGATGTGCCATGCGGTAAGCGAGCCTTAAGCGGCTGAGCCAGATGGCGATTCCAGTTGACCCTGGATTCTCCTGCAGCGCGGCGAGACCGTTGTCTGCAGCCACCTACCACAGCAGATCGGGAATCTGCTCCCTAAGGCGCTCGTGGGCGGGGTGTGAGTGGTCTCAGCGCCCGGCGGAGGTCAAACGAGGCCGACGTGTTCTGACATCCATTTCGTAACGAATTCTCCGTATTCATAGAACCCCCCGGCCTCAACCAGTAACCTCCGCCAACAACTCCGACAGCGTCACCGCTCGATACCCTCTCTTCTTCATCTCCGGCAGCACCCGCCTCAACATGGGCTCCGTCCAGCTCCTCCGATCATGACAGATGATAATCCCGCCGGGACTCAGCATACTCAGGATATGCCTCGCATTCACCCACGCCCACCCAATCTGCGCATCGTGCGGGTAGATGCTCCCGAGCACCACCCTGTACCCAAGCCGCCTCGCCACCCCGCGGATGCGACTGCTGAAGAACCCGGACCCGGGCCGATAATACCGCCTCCCGCGCCCTGCCGTCCCCGGCGGCGGCGGCTCCCGCCCCTCGGCTCGATACGCCTGCTCAATCAAGCCCTGCACCTCCCTCAGCTGGCGCTCCAGCTCGGCCGTGCCCAGCCCGCGCGCCGGCTCGTCGCGCATGCCGTGGTTCGCCAGCTCGTGCCCGCCGCGGACGATCTCGCGCAGCACGTCCTCCCTCCCGCGCACCTGGGAGCCGATGACGAAGAAGGTGGCGTGGGCGCCGCCCGCGGCGAGCGCGGCCAGGATGGCGCGCGTGTGGTCCGACGGCGCGTCGTCGATGGTCAGCGCCACGAGCGGCTTGGCGCGCGGCAACCAGACGCGGAAGAGCACGTCGGTCCAGCGGTGTGAGAGGAGGCGGATGAGGAAGGAGGGCGGTTTGTAGACTATATATGGGAGCAGGAAGAATACTAGGGAGAGTAGGAGCAGGGCCAGGAGCAGGAGCAGGGTCGCCATGCGGCGGCGGCGAAGGCGGCGGCGGAGGTAGGGGTTGGGGAGGCGGAGGGAGGGAAACATGAGTGGAAATGCTTAGGATGGCATTCGCGCGGTTTGAGCATTGGGATTCTGAATTTGAAATTGGGAGATGGACACTACTGGGTGTTTGTCTAGGAGAAGAAGGAGCAAGTCTCCCGTCGCGGTTGGGAAATGAAGCCCGATAAGATAAGGGATAACCTGGAAGCTTCAGGGGTTGCTTATCGACGCATTATTTTTCATATAATAGACCCGGCCTCTATGGTAACCACTAGGTAGGTAGTTACCGCCATCGCGTGCCCAGCCGACAATCATTTCAGTATCATCATTCATTGTGCATGGATGGTATCCTACTATACAAGTTGTTGGAGAACGACTGTTCCCTCCATGCCCAAACGGAATGTCAACGCCATGACCGTCCTTCCCGACCTTATGCAGAACTACCTGAGATATGCGAAGAAAACATGCCTTGACTCCTCCATCCAGCCCGAAGTGCCCGATGCCGAACTGTCAAAGGCCCTATTCAATCGAACTTCCTCAGTTCCTCCTCCTCTAGTGTCCCAACAAATGCATGCTTCAGGAAATGTAGCCAGGTCTCGTTTTGTTTCCTTCTCTTCTTGCCTTTCCTGCCCTTCCTGCCTTTCTTTCCCTTCTTCTTCTTCTTTTCTGCCTCTACCTCCTCATCGCTCCCCTCATCTTCATCCTCCTCTTGCTCTTCCCTCTCTGTTTCCTCCCATTCACCATCAATCTCCTCCGCGCACCCCTCAACCTCGTCACCTCCCCAGCCCACAACATCAGACATCCTAGTCTTAGCGTTGTCGACGCGCTCTCCAATCCTCACAGCCAGCCCGACCAGGCTGTTCACGGTCAAGTCGCCCAGCCGGTAGATCTTGTCCTCGAAGGTGCTATACTCAACCTCGAAAGCAAACTCTCTCGGCTGCGGCGGCCGAGGCGAAGCCGGCTTTTTGCCGCCGTGCTTGCCCTCCCTCCAACGGAGCAACCAGTCCCACCACCCCTTCCCTGCATCGTCGCTTCGTACGAGGACATCGGTGAGGTTGAGGTTGTTGATGTGCGTCAGGTTAGCGAAGTACTGGGTATACCCTAGGAGGGTGAGCGGTTGAGGTGCGTAGGCTGGGCCAGGCGGGGAGCCCTCCACGGGCGGTGAAGGGACATTGAGATTTGGGTCATGGACCGGGTTTTTAGGTTTCTTTTTCGGTTTCTTCTCCTTCTTCTTCTTCTTCCTCCCCCTCTTCTTGGCGGAGGTGATATCATCGAGATCGACTTGAAGTTCGGATTCCACGGAAAGCTGGCGGAGTTCAAGATGTTTCTGCGAGGATCCAATCTCTGCGGCAGTTTGGGATCCGCCTTGCTGGGCGTCCTTCCAAACCGGGGCGTGTTCAAGGCCGGTGATGTTGTATTCAAAAACGCGCAGCGTTGGGAAGTAGTTTGGCACGATGCTGGGACTAACCAGAGTGAGGTGGTAGCGCTCACCCCAAGGGTCCTTGTGCTTCTTCCCTGTCCTCCTTTTCCCATCTCCGTTGACGCCGTCCGCCTTGCTTTTGAACGTGGGCGGCGGAGGCAGCTTGGCCCAATGCTGACGCAGCTCCATAAGGTAGTCGGACGCCCCCTGCACCGAAAGATCGTCCTCCATCGCCTGACGAATACCCCGCTGCGATGACCCAGAGAGCGCTGCTATGTCGACCCCGTCCGAATCGTGGATGAGGAAGTGGTCGATATTCATGTGGCCATAGAGGCCGACCACCACAACGTCCCGGAACTGGTGCATCCACAGCGTGTACTTCTGCCAGCACGTCTCGTCCCACAACTTCTTGCTCTCCGTCCTGGCAGGGGGCACGTGTCCTATCAGGATGGCCTTCATGCCGCGCTCACGCAGGAACTGTAGTTGCACGCGTAGCCATTCCATCTGCTTGTAACCCGGCTCCCCGGGGTTCGCACAGCCGTCGACACCGGCGTTGCGGTCGAAGAAGTACAGCGTATTAAGGCTAAAGACGGCGAGCTTGTTCGGGATGACCTCGACGTGGAACCAGCCGCCAAACTCGAAGCTGTGGCGCTGCTCCTCGGGGACGAAGCGGCGCCAGACGTGCAAGTAGGTCTGGAACCACTTGTTGGGTCCCGGGAGCAGGATGTTGTGCGGGAGGATATCGTTGTTCCCGAAGTTAGGCACGACGGGGATGGTCATTCCCGTTCCGTCCTCGTCGGCGAGCAGCTGCGCGAACTTGTCGGCGATCCAAGTGTTGGTGCCCAGCACCTGATCCGCACTGCGCGGCAGGTTCTCGTCGCGATCATGGCGGGCACTGTCGCCGGTCCAGATGACGAAATCGATCGTGTCCTTGAGATTCGCGGCAATCCAGTCAAAGGTCGCATTCACGAGGGAGAAAGGACTGTCGCAATCTGTCGTTTCGGCGCCGTAGGGGCCCGCGGGGCCCTTGCCCCGGTGGCAGGCACCATCTTCGTCGGTCGAGGAGTGCACCTTGTAGAATTCATCCGGGTGGATGTCTGTCGGCGTATTCACGTCAGTTCTCCCATTTTGCCTACACAGATGTTGAAGCTGCCAAGCCTTGAAAGATTGGGCGACGGGGGGGCACAACAGACCGGTGATATGCAGGAACCTGCCGTGCAGCTTTCGCGGGGCAGAGCGTACAGTGGGCGCGTGCTCTGACGGGACACCCGGCGGCCCGGCAATGACGCCATGGCACAGCAGTGCCACGGCCAAACCGCGTGCGAGAACCTTCATGCAGACTGCCAGAGCGAAATGAACTTGAGGCGACAGGAGAAGTAAAAGAAGCGAACTATACCCTGCCCTCGGAGGCAGTGGTTCAGCGCTGACTACGTCCTTAGATTGCCATGGCTGTCTTTTCGAACGGAATGGAATCGAAAGTGGGTTCGGGTGCTTTGATGCTGGGCACTCCCCGGGCTTTTTGTTTGTCGAGGGGTTCCAGGTTTGGTCGTGGGAGCGGGTGGCCAAGGGAGCGGCACCTTTCAAGATGACGCCGTTCCTGTACGCCTGTTTTTGCTGCCCAGCTCTGTTGGCCAAGGACGCCCGCTGCGTGTGATGTCGATCATAAGATCGCCGCAGTTATGGTGTGTAGGGTGAGCGTGCAAAGCCGGTCTTATGTACTTAAGTATCACTGAGTATTTAAACAAAAGTGAAGGTCCTCAAGGCTGCCCGCCATGTGGACGGCCGAGAACCTTGCTGTCCTACAGGGTAGCTTCATCCGGCACTTCTGGCTGGGGTTTTGTACCAAAGACCCTCAAGACATCCAATGGCTGTGTCGTATGGCCTATTTCCATAAGAATCGGTGCATCCCACGCTGTGAGGCTGATGGGGACACAAGGGCCAATGTCTTTTGGACATCCTCCCCACGTGTTGACCACATCGCAGAGGGAGACTGCAATTCGGCCAGTGTGTTTCAAGAGTAATGGCAGCGCCTGGGTGGGGAGGTGAGTATCCCGAGGCACACATGATCACTTCTCAGTCGACTGCGTATCCCGTGCGGTTAGCCGCTCCGCGCCGCAGTTGAACGTCCCGTCGTACAGTCGACGTCAGAGGGTGTCTCATTGTCGGGCTGAGAGGTGCGGCATGTGCCGGCTTGTCATGGAACTGACAGGGCAGCCTACAGTAGTCAGTGGTAGTAGTACAGGAATGTGTCCGACGTGCATCAGTCATTAGGATCGTTTGGCTTGTTGGCCAGATGAAGGGTCTCCGGGACTTCGAACTGGAACGCAACTCTGCTCGTGCCCGGTCAGAAGAAGTGAATGAAACTGATGAAGCCGACGGAACCGTAACCCCACGGTGACCCACTTCACCTGTCAGCCGGCTGCGCTTCTCGCTCCTGCGTGAAGAATACGTACAGTGTAAAGGGTGTGAAGTAGGCCCCTGCATACTGTGTATGGCGGGACCAAGTCCTTCCGAGAATTTCTTCGCGACCAGCATTTCTTGTCTCTTCCTTTCCTTCATCACGAATACATTCATTCGCAACCAGCGCCGCATCTCCGGACTTCTTTTCTCCGTGTCCCATGATTGCTCATAGCTAGTTGCTAGATCGTCCCGCCGTCCGTTTGAGGGAATACTGAGCGTATCGCTGTGACGCTTTCCTATGGTTAATCCGGCAACATACTTTGCGGCACCCTCGTGCCAGGTGCTTTCTTGTACCACGGCATGTGTCATCCATTTTAGTACAACATCTGTCGATTTTCCTAGATCTCTATTGCAAACCATAGCCGGTCAGGCTTTGGAAACACCATCCAGCACCTTAATAATAACCTTGATTTTGGAGATGGTCGCCCACTCTCTGGAAGCTTCCCCTGTAGATGCTTCCACGAGGAGAGTCGAACTGCTTCCAAGAGTAGAGTCGATTAGGACCAAGAAGCTTTCTCTTCTTTTCGCGAAGGGATGGCCCTATGTTGAGTGTCGATGGTTGTTGATGATGGTTGGAGCTGAAGGTAGTCTGGAAGAGATGGTTCCCTACAAGTAGTTACTCGCTGGGCCTCCTAAAACTGCGTTCAGCCCCTCACCACAACTTACAAGTAGCATTTCCTTCACCCTCCTTTTCTGACTGAGCCCAGAAGGTTGACTTGCTGCATACCTGCGGTCATGCGGGCGCTACAGGCGTTTTACCCTACTACGTCGAGTTCGGTTCTCCTTCTTCCCGTCCGAAGTCTCATCCTCGACAAACTTGACATGGTGACCCATCTTTCTCAGCAACTCCAGCGACACCGTGGGCTCCCCAGTGCCCAGCCAGCCGTTGAAGGCCTCGGCGACGTAGCGGAGCAGGCGCAGATCGGCGGCGGGCGTGTCGCAGGCGGCCATGAAGGCGTAGCCAACCACAAACGACAATTCCGCCTCCCGCTCGATGTACGCGGGCGTGTACAGCGCACGCAGCACTGCGTCGCAGGCGCCCCTGACATCCCGCAGCAACCGCCAGCACTGCCTGTGCAGCGTTAGGAATGGGAAGGTCATCTCGGTCTTCTCGGCGTGCAGCGCCATCACCAGCGACTTGATCAGTCGTTCCTACGACAGCACGGTCGACGACGATGTCGGTGCCTTGGCCTGGCCCTTCCCCCTGCCCTTGGCCGCGCCATCGACCTGCTTCATCAAGTACTCGGTGGCGGACTGGTCATCGACACCCTCCTCGACCTCCCACTCGCTGCGCGCGAGTATGTCGTCAAGCTGCTGGCGCGTCCAGCTCATCTGGGCCGACTCGCCCAGGTATCTCTCTGCAAACATGGACGACACGGGCAGGCGACGGTCGACCCTGAATCCGCGCGGGCCGGCGCGCGACACCATCGTCCTGACGCCGCCACCATGCAGCCATCCGCCCGGCTGCCTGGCGTCGGCGACCGCGGCAGCTGTCACGCCCACTTGCAGGCAAAACTTCTTAAGAGAATCGTCGAATGAGCGCGGCGGGTCGCCGACGAAGAAGGCCGAGTCGCCGAGCAGCGAGTGCGCCACCTCCATGTCCGTCCAGGTCCCGCGCAGCAGCCCGCACGTCTGCAGGGCGTGGTACAGGTGGTAGGCGGACTGGATGGAGCGCCAGGTGTTGGCCACGGACATGCCCACCTTGTACGTGCAGATTCGCAGCTGGAAGAGCGTCAGGCCGGCGAGCACCGGCGAGTGCTGCAGGATGCGGTGCCGCCGCATGGTGACCGCCACGGGCATGACGCGCACCTTGGCCTCGTAGACAGGGTCCCGGAGGACCGAGACCAATACATTGTGCAACTCGCCCACCATGTGGTCGCTCTCTACTGGCAATGTGGCCATCTTGAGATCCTGGTGGAACTCAAGGTGCTTGTCGAGCTCCGAGTGCATCATGGTGGCCTCGACCACCATCCGCATGCCGCCCGAGGCGGCTTTGGCCCTGAGCGTGTGGTGTATGTCAAGGTAGATCTGGGCGGCAAAGACAAGGTGGAAGGGCACCTGGCGCGCCTGGTCCATCTCCCTCATCCCCCGTACCAGCTCGTCCTCGACAGGGTAGTTCGGGATAAGCCGAATCACCACCATCAGCTCGGTGAAGAACTCCATGAGCAGGGTCGTGTCCTCGTCGGTCAACTGCTGGTCCGTCTCGGTGGCGGCATCCCTCGCGGCACTGTACTTGCCAAAGAAGCCTTCCTGGGCCAGCGGGAGCTCACGTGGGCCGAGCTTGTCGAGAAAACCCTTCACTAAGCGGTATGTGACGAGGTAGACACGGTCGGCGATCCTGTACACGTCTCTGTCGAAACCCGAATCGTCGAATCTATCCATGTCGAATTGGTCCACGGTGAGGCCGCTTGCCAGGCAGCAGGCCTGAAAGTATTTGTTCAACACCATCTTTGTTCCGCCGTGGCGCCTGAAGACGGGGACCACATCTTCAATGATGCCATGGGCTAGCTCCGTGGCCGTGTTGGTTGCTACGGCACACGCGGCGAGGTCAAACTCGTCTGACCCGTAGTTTGACCAGATCCAGCTGATGACGGAGCGGATGCGGCAGAGATCGTCCATCATCATGGACATTGCGAACAGCGACTCCTGGAGAGACGCCTGCTGCTCGGCCTCGTAGACGGTCTTGTCGTCGGGCACGGGCTGCGGCCTCTCTATGGCCGGGGCCTTGAGGAAAGCCTCGGAGGGCTCGTACACGGGCAGTATGGAGAACCGGTTGGCTCGGCCGTCATCCGCCCCGTCGAAGCGTGGAGGAGGAGTGGACATGCGGGGCCGGAGAGCATCGCGGACGGCCTCGAGCACGCCGACGAAGTGGCTGTGCCTGGCATCCGCGTCGGCGGCGGGCTCCGCTCCATGCTTGGCCAGGTGCGTGCGGAAACTAGCCCGCAAGGCGATGAGACGGTCGATGGTGGTGACGAACGAGTCCGGGACCGAGACGGGTCTCAGCTTGGAGGAGCGGGCGATGAAGTTGGCTAGGGGGCGAAAGTCGGCGAGCGCGACAATGTATTTGCCGCCACCGGCGGCTTGCTGCTTCCTGCCCTTCCTCCCCTTCCCGGCCTTGTTGCCCTTCGCCTGCACATCCCAGGATCCCGACGACAAGAGGCTAGCCGGGTATCCACATGCCTTGGCCGTGGATGCGAGCCGAGAGGCCACCGAGTTGGTGTCCTTCTTGTACTGCTGGTAAATGCTGACTAGCGGTTCCGGCAACGTGTCGTCTACAATACTATCAATACTATGTCCTTGGTGGGGGGGGGGGTAGTAAATTGAGAGTACCTAGTGAGGCACCAGTATACGTGTAGACATAGGTAAGGTAGGTCTCGGTGGTGTGGGCGGTGGTAGCTATTTATATCAACTGCTCAACCTCTGACAGTCTGTTTAGCGTGATCCCGGTCGAGGCGAGGCCGATCGGTTATGACTCCATGATCGATTTCTCGAAAGCGAGTCGCCCTGGATAGACGACCTCTTCTCGCTGTTGGCATCTCCTCGGAAAGCAGTCGAGATAGGAAAGGGAGGCACGCAACTAGCTACCCTGGACGCGGTCTAAAGGCAGTGAAAGCGTGTTATTCGAGAGATGTGTTAACCAGTCTTCTAGCCGACTACCTGGTAAGGTAGTCTGTGCCAAATCTCATAGGTACCGCGTCTATGACGAACTCGACGCGTCATTTTTAAAGAGTCGTGCCCATCCAGACCGATCCAATATCCTCAACAAAGTTGCCACCCCCGCGCCCTTCCTCCCACCAACCAACCCTCTTCCTCTTCCTCCATCTTCCTCTCCTTCCCTCCCTTCCCTCCTCTCTCTCTTCCCTCCTCTCTCTCTTCCTCTCAGTACACCATGTTCAGCTCCACTGGAACTGCCCTCCAACGCCAGCAAGCATCGCCTCCATGGAGCACGACGACGCGCTGGAGCAGATAGAGCCTCTCTCGGAGCCCGCGTCATCCGACCACCTTCCACATGTCGACGACCCTTTCCGCCCCAGCACCGGGTCAGCCACAGAAGACACCGGGGCGCTGGCGCGCCGAGCGAGACCTGGTAGAGACGCGTGACAGGGGAAGACAGCTGGAGAAGGCGAGGCCGGGCCGTGCTGATCAGGGGCTGGGAGCGGAATGGGCTTGTTGGTTATGCGTGTTCTTGTCGACGACGACGGCGACGACGGCGACGTAACGGTTGTGGATGGGACGAGGGTCTCTGCGAGGGTGATGGGGTGTGTTAGTAGGGCCCGGGTTAACCCTACGGTGTCGGGTTTGTCTTCCTGCGATGCTTACCCCTGATGGACGTGATAATCGCGCAGAGGAGGAGGAGGAGGATGGGGCTGAGCACTAACAGCTCGGTCCGGAAGTCGGAAAGATGAATCGGGGATGACATCGTTGGGGTGCTCTGCTGCTTAGGCGATGGTTTAATATAATCAAAGAGGTCAGATTGTGGGGGCTTCGGGCGCTGGTTAGATGAAAGTCGACTGACAACAGTTTGCCCCAGGTTGCGCGCCCCCTACCTATATAGCTATGTTTTATCCCCCCGTAGCGCGGGAGTGAGATCATCACCGACGTATGCTCGGAATTGCCCGTAGTCTAACCGCCAGGGCTGAGGCGCTGTGATATGGTACCTTGCCGAGTGTTGGGCTAGTGACATCACAGCACCTCCCACGGACGTCTCCAGCTCCATGGCACAAAGCTGAGGGGAGAACTAGGCTCCCGCGGGTTAAGGTGTTTGGCAAGCGAAAAGCAAGACGGAATCTAGGCCTCGTTCACTCTTGATCCTCGATAATACAGTCACTATTAGTGGTCCTTATGGGGGCCAGAGACGAGGCCTCCTCACCTGCTAAGCGTCATGTACCCTCATCTTCTACTACTAGGTAGAGCCGGACAAACTAGCAAATATCGTTTACGATAACGAAAAGGACAAGGCGAACCAGCTGACCAGAGCTGAGGCCCAAGGCGAACTGCTCTAGTCCCAAAGCGGATGATGGGCTGTCGTGTGTGCCTTGGTAAGGGCGCCCGGTGGCGGCGCTTATTAGAGCCGTTGGGCTGGACTGGATTCGGCAGCCCAGGCCATATTACTCCCTATCCTACAGGACCACAGTAACCATAAATGGTCTGGCTGGTGTGGCTGGAAACTGATGAAGCTATCAAGTCTGTAGCTCATCCGACCAGTGAGGATCGCGCTCGTGAGAACCTGCTGATAAGCTCACCAAAGCTGACTGTTTTGTCATGGAGGGTGGCTGCTGGCTACTATTCGACAACAGGCCTCCAGGTTTCATCGAAACGCGGGGTGTGTGCGTGGCTCTCGTCTGCAACTGCATGCAACATGCAGTATACTGTCCATGTAGAGGTGGTGATGTTGCTCACGTCTGGATCTTTTCAGTACTGTACCAAGCTGGACCGTCGGAGCACATCGGCGCCCTCCTTGCCGCTAGCTCTTGTCTTCGATAGTGGTCCCGGTTTTCACTCGCCAGCTAGTTACTGATTCGCAAAGATGGTGTCACGGGTTACACCAGCTGCAAGTCTCCCGTCACATTAATTGCGACGAAGCCGACTATCCCGGCAGCCCTCTGTGGAGCGGAGGGGTAGCTACCTTAGTCACGGCCAGCCCCAAGAATCGTTAATAATGGCCGTCCGTCGATCGACTCGATCCCGTCGTAGATATCCCAGAAACCGACCGCCGCTGTCGTTTCTTCTGCGGCTTCATAGCGATGTTGTTAATAAGCCACCTTGATTGCGTCAAAGATGAGAGCCATGATGGCACCCCGGGGCGGGCCGGAGGTATCTGCCTTCCGATGTTGTCGGCGGATTAAGTTGCGGAGACCTCAGTCGATAGCTAGCGAGCGGGGGGGAGGGGCATGCCGAGCTGCAGCGAGCTGCAAACGCCAGGCTGATGGCACAGGGCCGGGGTGCGGTTGCACTGGCTTTCCCCCAATCACAGCTTTCGCTCGCGATGTTACGCCGTTGCGAAGACGCAGAGTCCGAGGGATCTGAGAGGACGGTCGATGAAAGCAAAACCCGTCCCGATCATAGCGTCATTATGGACTCCCAAGTTGCCTTAGGCTTAGTCAACCCGTAGGGAGACATCGGATAAAAAGGCTTCCAGACGGGCAACCTGGGAATATAATACTCCACCAGCCGGTAAATGCTATCAAAGAGCAAACGGGGGAAGAAGAGATCGCGGGGGTGTGGCGCTAGGGTAGGATCGCATGTCGGTAGAGATACCGCATGGCTGTCTCTGCCAGTGACTGCATCACAGCCTACAGCTCGATTAGAGCTGACGCGTGCGATCAATAGCTAGCAGCGCTGAGATGGCAGCTTAAGAAGGTTAGGCGGTAATAAGGCCTGCTTGGTTAAATTCCCACACACTTTCGACGGGTTTTGGCGTGGCGGAGAATGACGATGTCGATCGTGTCAAAGCGCACCCGTTGACCCAGGCCGACCCACGTTCCACCTTCTCAACGGTCTTCCAGACCTGCCTGCTTCAAGTAGCGTGCGCGCTATGCCAATTCAGGTAAAGCGCCGAGCCATTGTAGCGATGTGGAGCACTTGAGCATCCAGTCGAATTCGCCAGCCAAAAGAGCGTCGCCCATGCCGCCATGCGCGACTGCGGAGGAGAGGAGACTCGCGCGGGTTATCTTCGGGATGAATGTGTGAGATCTGAGGGATCCAGCTATGAGAACAAACTTGGAAGGCTCAGATCTCTATACTACTACGCTTGGCGGGAGGCTTGAGTCAGGTACGGCAGTCACAAGCCCCGCTGCGATAGAGGGTTAGGCGGTGGGTGGAAGGAAAGGCTTGACTTGACATGGAAGGTCCATGCCGCTCGGGCACCTAATGATTAATCTGCCGCCTCGCCTTGTGCTCGCTGCGCCGATTGCTCCACTTCTCCGATTGAATCGACGCTTTGGCTTGTCAATGCCTGTCTAGTAATAAATTGCCCCAAAACGAGCAAAAGAAACGCAATCCGCAGCCCCAAAAAAATTCCTAGGACGACATACTTTTTATGGCTCTCGGAGAGCTCCAAAGCCAATTCCAGAAGCGCCTAATCTAGCTCTCAGCGCAAGCCCCAATGCGCCCCGCGCAGCCGCGCACTATGGCCTTGTGATGCATTTCAGCAGCAACATTGGACCCACGCCAGAGAGATTCCTACCATGTTGCGCCTGCTGGCCCGAGAAATTCCTTGTCGTTGATGCGCGAAGAATCCGCTCGGGGTTTGGTTGGTGGGACGAGCAAGCCGCCGCGTCCGCGTCCGCGTCCGCCACCGCCGCGAGCCCCGAGAGCGAGCACAGCACAGCCAGGCCGCCGAGAAACAAACCCTTCCGTCGCTATACCGATTAGGTCAAGCCGGCCGTTGAATTCCTTGCCGTCGCTCTGCCGTGCCGTGCCTGTCCGCAACCTCGGGCTGCGTTCTTTCCCTAGCGCTCCGCCTCCCTGTCACCGCAGACACCGCACGCCATGGCGGCCGAAAATGTTGCGCCGCCGGCCCTCCCGCTGCCGCCTCCCATACCGGCATCCTCCCGGGCGGATCGCGGCTCGGTGGCGGCACCCCCAGGCCCCATGCTAAATCCCGGCGGCCCCGGCGCCCCTCCGGTCCCGGCACTTCCTCCGCATCAGCAGGTCGACGCGGCCCGGGACTCCACCATCAGGCAATTGCTAGACCAGCAAGCCGAGATCCAAGCAAGGCTTGCCGCCCTCCTCCCCCAGCAATATGGCCCCAACATCAAGGTGGAGCTCGAAATGTTGCGCCACAAACTCCGTGTGCTGCGCGCATACGCCGATGACCACAGTGAGTCTCCCTCGATTTCTGCTAGTGTTGCGCCGCTGCTCTTCCGCTCTGCTCGGCGGGGTCGAAGATTCTCGCTGCTCCTTGCGACACTGTCTGACCCCTGACGAGTAGAATTATCCGGCAACATCCCACTTTTGTCGGAGATAGAAGAGGCAAGAGTGTTACAGTATCAGTGCGAGTGCATCGAAACGGCCTGTCTTGACCAAGGTACGTCCGAGCTAGCCGTTGACGGCCCGGCACGAGTGTGTTACTGAGTACTGACCCATACGCCCGTGCGAATCAGGCATCAATCTCCAGGATCCCAGGTTCCTTGAGACCTTGAAGTCCCACTATCATCGTGATCAAGCCCCTGAAGGGTATGCTGCCTGGCTCGATAGGAACCTCGCGCAGTATGACCCTGTCACCCGGGCATTCAGATTGAGGGATAGCTTGCCCTTGAGCTTCCGAAGCCATCACTCCTACAAGTGCGGGGATGACCGGTGCATGCACTACATCTATGGCTACCCCCATCGGGACGACCGGGATCAGCACGCCAGCGAGCATGTTATTCCCCGCAAGAGGGATTCGGGCCTGTCCGTCGGCGGCACCTCGCCGGTATTGTTCGCTGACCACGCGAACCGGAGCCATGGGGCCGATTACCTTAAGACAACGACGACTTCGCCGCTCTACCTCCCCCGGCCAGCCGGGGCTCTGCAACTCGCTTCCGTGGCGACAGGCAGTCAGGGGAAGGATTCCCGGGATTCGCTGAAGAGTTACTCCTTTGCAGCTGAATATCCGGCCGGCCCTCGGGGCTCGGTGGACTCCGAGGTGGATCCCCTGCTACCGCCCCTGAAGCGCAGCCGTACGGGACAGTCTCGGCTGGAATCCATCGGTGAACTTCTTCGGGATAACCAAGATCACTCGCGTTGCTTGCGTTGCAGAGTATTGCAGAAAGCAGTGAGTGGGCGTCTCGGATGTGGCTGGGTCTTCCCCGCTGACGCTGACACCCCCCTTAGTGCGACTCAAACGATCCCTGTGGGCTCTGCTCCGATCCGGCAAGCTCTGCCGACGATGAGTTTTGGAAGGCCATCGGCTGCCATCGAGGCTCGCTTCCTAGCTTTGCCGATATCATGCTTCCAGGTAGGACTGCCCTCCTCTTGCTTGGGAATGGATGGGTCAGTGTGCTGAAGCAACCTCCAGTCCTCGTCCGCCCCAAACAGGGCCAGACACCCCTGACGTCCCCTCTCGCCGTCCGTCGCAACATGAACGAATTCTTGGAGAGGTCTTTTGTGATCGCGCCGGAGATCGCAGGAATGGTCATGGCTAGTCTGGATTTCGACGATGGCTTCTGGTGGACCGAAGACCTTGCTAAGTTGCCGCTGCACAACCCAACCCAAGCGTCCTTTCGCAAGGAGGCCATGGAGAGGCCGCCCCCGATTCTCAACGTCCTCGCGGCAAGTTGGAACATGAGCGATGCCATGCACAGCTTCTGGCATCTTCTCAGGCTGAGTAGGGAGCTCTCTGCAGATCGAGAGTTTGAGCGATCCCAGTATCCAGTATTGTACTGCGCCAAGCTTTTGCTCCGAGAAACGCTCTTTTACGACCTTCAACAGCCCGATCCGGTGATCCGTTGCGAGCCAAGCAGTTCGATCTCACACGTCGTTTTTGACGATGCTGACTCGCATGGAAGGTTCCGTCTGCTCTATAACTGCATGGTCCAGTTTCTTCAGTCGTTTGACGGCCACATGGCGAGGCCCGGTCCACCCGACCCCAAAAATTGGCTGGCTGTCTTTCTCTCCTTGTGCATCTTCAGCGCCGTGAAGACGATCCTGGTGGACAGGGTGACGTACGCCCGTTCCGCCTCGCCACCCCAGACAGGCGTAGCTGCGATGCACGCCGTCTACAAAGCACTCGTTAGTGTTTTTGCATCGTACGCGCCGATGTCCTTCGACCCCCACGTGATGGGTGTCGGCCATGATGACTACAAACTCCTCGTGGAAGTTGGAGTATTCTTGGGCAGGAGCACGTGGGGGCAGCATGATATCAAGGACTTTCTTATGTCGCTTGGGACGGGTGAGATGGACACTGGCTTCTATCACGGGTTTATCAAGCAGCGGTCGCCGACGGGACAGGGATCCTTTGTCCTGCCGCCTATCAGCAAGCCCGAAGAAGGGAGGAAGCCTCTGCCGGCTATGCGGCCGCTCATCACGACCTGGAATCCTAGCGTCCCCAGCCAGACGGACAGAGACATATATCTTTTTAGAGGAGAACCTGAGCGGATGCTCGCGTCTCCGCAGACGATGGATCCTGGCCGACGACACACGGTTGCTGAGAGCCCGACGTTCGTGCGCCAGGCTGGAAAGGTACTCACATCACCGGTTCCTACGGCCAGAATGCGAGCCCCGTATCAGCGCCCGCCCCTCCGGAGGGTCTATTGCGCGAAATGCAACGAGTATCCGGAAGGCTTTCGAGGCGAGCATGAGTTGAGGAGGCATAACGACGCGAAGCATGCCACATTAGTTAAGAGATGGGTTTGCAGACAGCCGTCAGACTCGCCCGGCTCGCTGCAACCCGAGATACCGCTTTCCAAATGCAAGGCCTGCGTCAACGAGAAGCGCTATGGGGCGTATTATAACGCGGCTGCTCACCTCAGGAGAGCCCATTTCAACCCTCACCGCGGGGGCAAGGCGAGCGGGGACTGGCCTCCTATGACAGTCCTCAAGGAGTGGATGCGCGAGGTGCGGCAATCGCACGACACGCAAGACCACGACGACGGATCCAGCGGCGAAGATGAAGCGCACGACTACAAGGCAGCCCACGAGTATGTTTCGCCACCCCACCGGCGCTCGCCTACCATGGATGTCCCGCGTCTTGCACCGGCCCCTCTTGCGCCTCCGCAAGCACACGGCCCGCCATTGATAGCACCTTCGCTCGACCGCGTCCATCCGGCCGACCCGCGGCCGGTCGTCAAGCATCCCATCCAAAACCCCTTCGTGGCACCGGCAATGATTTTGAAAAGCGATGAGCAGCCGTATGCACTGGCCTCGTCATCCTCCAGCGCTCGCACCCGGTGCCCCCACCCTGACTGTGGCCGCGTCTTCAAGGACCTCCAAGCGCACATGCTGACGCACATGGAGGAACGCCCTGAAAAATGTCCTATTGAGACATGTGAGTATCACATCAAGGGATTCGCTCGCAAATACGACAAGAACAGACACGCCTTGACACACTACAAGGGTACCATGGTGTGCCCCTTCTGCCCAGGCGTCGGAACCCCTTACGAGAAGGCTTTCAACCGTGCGGATGTGTTCAAGCGCCACCTGACGGCGGTACATCACGTCGAACAGACACCGCCCAACAGCAAGAAGCTGGTCCTGACCGCGGGCGCCGGGCGGACTGGAGACGGGGGAGCCAAGTGCAGCATCTGCGAGAGCCAATTTGCCACGGCGCAAGAGTTCTATGAGCACCTTGACGACTGCGTACTGAATGTCATTGTTCCGTCGACGCCGAAGACCACCGGCAGCGGCACTGGCAGCGGCCGCACGGGCAAGAGTTCGGCCAGCAGGACACCGACGACTGCGAGTACGGAAAAAGGCAAGGAACTTGGTATGGATCTGGATGCTCTAAGCTCCCGAGAAGCCGCGCAGCCGCGCACTGAGCAGCGGGATGTCAGCGTTGAAAGGTGCGAGGCTGCGGACGCCGAACGCATTGCGACCCAAGCGCAGAACTTCTTCGAGCAGCAGGGGCAGCAGGAGCCGATGCCGAGCCCTCAACAGGATCAGCAACCAGCAGCCCGACAATCTGAGTCACCGCACCAGCCTGAGCCATCTCTAACCTCGCCCTCAGAGACGTTCATCACTCACGAGCACGAACAAGAGCCCCTGTCCGGCCGTAAGTCTGAGCCAGAGCCCGAACCGCAGGCCGAGATCCAAGTCGCGGTCCCCAATCCTCCTAGTGCGGAGTCGATGGAAATGGAAAGGTGCAAGAGCGCTAGTGTACCTCTGTCGCAATACTCCGATCAGCCGCTATCAAGCATCGAGGCCAACGACACAACACGCCAAATGTTGCGCCCCGAGGTTACGCTTGGCTCGCCCGCGCCCGATGTCATGGACACAGACTAGGTTTCGTGTCATTGATCGCTTGATTATTATTCGTACTCCACATCCTCCCAACAAAACCAACAATAAAAGAGCATCGGGCCAACGCGCATGGCAAGTCTACTGCAGCCTTACCAAGATCTGCTACTCTTCCCCGAGGGCAACTTCGGCATCTCAAAGGAGGAGCGCGCCCAGGACGTCAACCGCTGGACGAGCTGGTGGAACGCGCTCAACACCGCCCGCGCCATGCATGCCAACGGCGAGTGTGACCCCATACGCGACGCGAACCCTGCCGAGCAAGTTCCGCCCCGGCGGGTCCGTCAAGAGCACCAAGCAGCTACCTGTGCGACATGTATCGCCTGGTTCATTCTTTTACTTTCTACTTCAAACTGTTAACTGATTGTTTCCATTCATGATGATTACCTTATTATTACGGCCTGCGAGAGGCTCTGTCAAATCGGAGTCTAAGGCGGGCAATTTCGGACGAGTTTTGGTGTAGGGAGGCTTTCTGCTTTCGTGACCTTTACTAGTAGTAGACTGATCATGATGACTGATGTGCGCAATCGCTTGCGCTGTTCGTGGGGAGTTGATTCTGGTCGGGCTGAGACCGGTGGGGAGGCGTAGGTGTTTCCGACAGTACTAGTAATAAAAAGTTGTTATCGCTATATAAGTCGTGGCCGGCACTTGTTGCTCATCTCGACACTCTTCGAATACAAACCAGGTTTTATACATAAAGGTACCTATGTACTCCGTATCCGTACCTCACCTTGTGTACAATATCTTGTTCACTGCTTTGCTCGCAAGGCACAGGACACAAGGTTTAGTAGTAGGTTGTGGGTATCAGTACCTATGTATTACACTCCACGATGATCTAATGGCTCGGATGCTTTTGCACAATGCGAGCAGCGACATGTTGCGATACGGATAGCAGCCCCGGAAACGTCATTCTCAGTAGAAAATCGTGATCAGAAGAGAAGAGACGACACCAAAATATCCTTCATTTCGTTCGAGTTCTTGCCAGTAACCGGTCTAACCCCCCGGCCCAAGTACGGTGGCTTCAATGAAGCGATTCAGTATCCAAGCAAATCCGAATCGACCCGCTCCGATCCAAGTCCACTCCATCCGCTTCCGCCAGTGCGGTAGGTAATCCTGCCGGCGTCGGCATGGGAGGAGAAGGCAGAGGTCGAGGCTTCCGCGCATAGCCCTTCAACATGCGGAAGCAAGACCCCATCCCGCGGCCCTCCTCCACGACCGCGTGCACGTCGGCAATCATCTTACCCGCCTCGTGCATGGCCTCGCCGGGGTTGACGGTATCAGCCAGCCTCAGCTCGCCAGCGGCCTTCTCCATCTCTGCGCGAAGCAGCCATTTCTCCCAGCTCCAGCCGGCCGCCACCCCTGTGATGGCGGCAACATTCTCTGACGAACCAGACACGATGGCCTCGAGGCGATGCTCCTTGACCGATGCGGCTGAGGTGGAATCTCTCGATGAGGCAGGAGTGACGGAAGCGGCAGGACGCGGAGGACGCTTGGGCCCCACAGGCAGAGACAACCACGCCCGCCGGATTTCCTCGAACCCCGCTCTGTTCAGACGTGAGAGGAAGGACCGGGTCGGGTTCGGGTCGTAGCCAAGGGTTTGCAGAGCAAAGTGAAACTCCACCGCTTTTGCATTGCCAAGCGGGCCAGCGTTCATGATGTCTGCGTCGAGCAAGCCGAACTCGAGGTAGCCGCCCGGTTTGAGTATGCGCAGGCATTCTTTGAGACAAGCATCCCATTCGTCCATGCCGTGCTCGCCAAAGAGTTTGAGAACGGCGTGCAGTTCACGGGCCGAGATAAGATCGAACTGGTCGTCACCGAAGGGCAGCTTGGTGAGACTCTTGACGGCGACTTGGCGGTGGTTGGGCGGTCCGCGGATGTTGCTGTTGCTGAGCTGGCGCATGGCCTTGGTGGTGACGGTGTAGATCTTGGTGTTGGGGTACTGGATCGCGGCATGCCATGCCCAGTCGCAGGAACCCTGGCCAGCCAGGTCGAGAATGCGTGCGCGGTCACGGCTGACACCGTCTGGGCCGGGCGCCATACAGCTCTGGCGTGCGAGACGCTTCGCAACGGGCGCGGAGATGAGCTTACCGCCGTTTAGCAGCTTGGTGGCGGCGACCTGCCAGGTGGCCATGCGCATCTGGAAAAGGGCCTCGGCCTCCTTGTCGGCGCGGAGCTTCTCCGGGTCGTCGACAATCTCGTCGTCGCCTCGGACGACGTTGGTGCTCAAGCGTTTCTTGGCCGACTGGGGCACCACCGAAAGCTGGAACTTGCCAAGGAGCTGGTTACGGTGGGCGTCCCTGAGCGAGACACGCTGGGCTTGAAGCGCTTCGAAGCGTGGGTGACGGCAGATGAAGACATCACTGGCACAGGCCCTCACAATGTAGTCGGTGAAGGCGCGGTAGTAGGACGACTCCTGGCGGAGCAGCTTCGAGGGGAGGCAGCGAGGTATGTTCTGCTTGAGCACAACCTCGGAGAACCGGACAGCCTTCTTCTTGGGCAGCTCGCTTTCGGGTTCAGGAGAAGTATCCTTGGATTGCACCTCGGCCTTGTCTTCTGCTTCAAGCTCGGGCTCCGACTCTTCCGTGGTCGCGCTATCCTCCGAGAAGCCCGCAACTCCCTGGAGGTACGCCCGCTGAGCCGCCAACCACATCTGAGTGCGGTCCATGTGTGATACCGCGTTCTCCTCCCGCTTTGAGGCCTGTTGAGTAGCATACTCATTGATTATCTCGTTGACATCGACCGGAGACGTTGGTTCCTCGACTGCAGTCTCAGAAGCCGGGGCCTCAGAATGCTTCGGGGTTGGCGGAACTTTGCGAGCGGTGATGGGCACAGGAGTTTCCTCCACCCGGATTGCCGTCGGGAGATCTTCATCCTTCTCGTTCACGGGAAGCTCAATGACACGCTCGACAATGGCCGACGGTATGTCGTCGAGATGTAGCGGCCGTGGCGGAGGCGGCGGGATCCCGTTGGTCGACCGGTTCCAGGGGATTTTGTAAAAGTTCTCAGCGGTGGTCGAAGTAGGGGGGTTGGCCTCCTCTGGCTGGGTGCTCACGTTCCACGTGCGCCGGGTCGCGGACGAGAGTTCGGAGAAGAAGCCTCCCGGGGAAGGGATCTCGAGCTTAGTCAATCCCGCGAGAGATTGCCGGTGGGAAACGGCTCTGGCTAGGGGGGCTCCGGTGATCAGCCTGGGTGGCCGTCGGTTCGCCTCGGTCATCTCTTGCGGGATCTCGATGACCTGTGCGGGCTCCTCCTCGTACCCAGATTCACTGCCTGAGAGCGCCTGGAGGGTTTCGAGGGCACCCGGTTGGAGCCTGACTCCTGACCACTCCTCGTCCTCGCTGTCCTCGGCTCCAATCATGGGGGTGGGAGGCGCAGACATCTGAGCCATCTCTTCTGAGTTGATACTACCGTCCAGAGACGGGGGCGCAGACACACGGGGAACCTCCTGTGCCTGCCGCAGCTCCATAAATGACTTGACAGCAGGCGACATAGCAACTGCGGATGGCGGCGTTGGTGGAATTGGTGACATCAGCTTCTTCGCAGCCGCGAGCACTGGCTCCTCCGGGATCACCAGGCGAGCCAAGGATCTCCGCTGCTCAATGGACGCCCTCGACGTCCTCCGAAGACTCCTTGCACTCCCTTGCCGATTGATCCCGTTCGTCTGAAGGCGTTGCCGTCGTGTAAGTTCGTCGTCGGAAACATCATAAAGGTCGTCAAACTCAGTTACATCCGTCATGATGCTGTCTCGGTTGTGGCTGGTATTCCACTGTAATGATGGGTTTGATGAAGAAGCCTGGGAACTGGCGTCGTCGTTGTCGAGGTCGGCTTCGCAGTCGCTCGGCACGCAGGACGGGGTGGCGGGGAGGATCGGGGCAGCCAGGAAGTGTTGACCTCTCGGCGTGGGGAAATGATCGCTCATGGGTGAGAGCCACTGCTCGATCTTCTCGATCGACCGCCTGTTCTTCCTCCGCTCAACGAACGAGTCTCCCGTCTGTTCGGGTTCCTCCATTATGGGATTAAGTGTCCGACCATGCCTCCTCCGGGCTGGCGGGGAGGCTGGCCGGAACGTGGTTCTTGGTAACAGTAGTTGATCTGACATGGCTGTTTATAGTTGTAGGATCAATATCGCAGGAAATGGCGTAGCCAATACATAGAAATAGACACTGCAAGTAAGCTGAAAGACGTCCTGCGCCGGAAAATGTAACGGTGATTAGGAGAGATGGGAACGACAGGACCGGCTTCGGTCAACGAAGCACTATTCTGCTAAGCCGCGCAGCAGGGGGCAAGAAAGGAAGATAGAGGGAACCAACAGGCACGCGAACAGGTGACTCGGAAAGCAATATAACACCAGGCAAACGAAAGCACAACCAGGGAGAGGAATTCAGGTGATATCCACTAGAGCGCCTACACAGCGGCAGAACCTGGATTCGCGCCAAGGTGCGCTCGCTCTCATGGGCAGACATGGTGTGACTGGTCTTCGGCGAAGCGCAGAGGTGACGCCAGACGGGCAGTAGCGTCCGAACAACGGATGACAACTGCCTGGGGGCGGGTGGTATGCAGGGACGGCCGCTCAGTGAGGAAGTATCGGCGGGAGTTGGGCAGCATCACCGCATCCATCACCACGGCGATACTGCGGCCACGAGCGAATCAGCTTCGGCTCAGCTTCGCCAACTCACTGCACTGAACCAAGATGAGCGCCATGCGAAGGTAAGGCGCGCGCGAATGAGGTCCGGATCAAGCAGAGTAGCTAGAGTGGGTTGCAGCCAATGAGAATGGCTGGTGTAGTGCAAGATGTCGAGCGGGCGCTTACACGGGCGGCTGTCGCCATTGATTGGACCCGGTTCGCTGTCGACACTAATAATAATAAGATAGCCCACACATCCCTCCGACATGGCGAGCTGCGAACCGGCGAAGATGAAGTAGCTTTGCTTGCGGGTCGAAGGGAGCATGTCGATGCTGCCGTATCACAAATCCCGGTCCCTGACAGCAACCGAGCCCCAATGGCGTTGTACCGTACCGTGTATCTGTAGCTTCGGTCCGTCGATGCAGCCGCGCATCTGGCCGTTCTGGGAAATGCACGGGCTTGCGCTCACCCCATCCGGATCATCATTCGATCTGCGGGTTTCCTTTCTGGTCAAACTAGGATTCTTGGTATTCTCCTGCCAGATTAAATTCTGGAAACGCTCTCCTGCCTGCTCCTGATCCGATGGCATCAGTGGCTTTTCTGAGTGAAACAACGGGTGAAACGGCCGTTGGCGGTCTCGGTTATCACCTGCAGGAGAGAGCACTGAAATAGTCGAACCATGGTGAGGGTATCAGCGGGTAGTCTGGCAGATTTGCACCGAACAAAGTAAGTAGAAGGAGACTTCTCATGTGACGCGTCGACCGCGGCGCACCTGTGGAAGGCATCAGCCAACTGTGACCCGTTTCGCGCAGGAGCTCGGTCGTTAGCTTGAACACGGTCGAGACAGCCTCTTTGACACAAGCAGTGTGCGAACGGTGCTGGGTTGTAGCAAACTGGCAAAGGACAAGATCCGCTGTTCCCTTGCTGAGCAAAAGATAGTGTTAGGTGAGAGATCTGTGCCAGGAATTCGCGATGCTAGCAAACGAGGCGGGGCCGCTTCTCTGGTTTGCCGCAATTCCCCGTGCCACCAGCGGGCGCATTGCAGCGGTGCTGTTGGACGTCCACCAGGGTAGTCCCGCCCGCCCCAATCCGTCTTGGTACAGATGAGATGATTTCTGGGTGCTAGCTTCCACTTTGCCGCTTTACCTGCCAGCTCACAAATGAAGGTACAGATCGCCATCCGCTGTATCGAAGGGGACACTGCTCACATACCCTTGAGGACATTGTCATCGCCGACCGGTACCGCCTTGACCGCAAGATCGGGGCGGGGGGCTTTGGCCTTGTCTATTCTGGTACGTGCTGTCCCTCGCTGCCCTGGTCGTCGCTAACTGGGTAGGGACCGATCCAATTGGGCGAGGAGGTTGCCATAAAGCTTATATATGTTCGAGATAACCCCGAGGTGCTCCGAGGCGAGAAGGATATATATAACGCGCTATCGGGTGGAGTTGGGATCCCGCGGGTGCACTGGTATGGGTAGGAGTGCGATTTCTACGTGCTCGTTCTCGATGCCCTCGTCCCGTCGCTCGAGGATTTATTCAACTACTGCGGCCGAAGATTTTCGCTCAAGACTATCCTCCTTATCGCCGACCAGGCGATCTCTCGGATCGAATATATCCATTCAAAGGGTTTCCTTCACCGCGATATCAAGCCGGACAACTTCCTAATAGGAATCGACAAGCAGGGAAACACTCTATACACGATTGATTTTGGCCTGGCCAAGGAATCTGCCGATGCCGAGCGTTACAAGGACGTAGAAGGCCTCCTATTAGGCGGTACCATACGGTACGCAAGCATTAATAATCATAACGGCCGCGGTAGGTACCTAATCGCGATCCGTTTGTTCGTCTACTAAAGCGCGGGCAGAGCAGTCGTAGGGGGACGACCTAGAGTCTCTGGGATACGTCTTTGTATATTTTGCCTACGGCTCGCTACCATGGCAAGGCCTAAAGGCGGCCACGGGCGAAGAAAAGGACGCGCGGATCAAAGAGATAAAGGAGCGCCTATCTGGCGAAGAGCTCTGCGACGGCATCCTCCCCAAAGAATTCGCCACGTATATTAACTATACCCGACGCCTGCGTTTCGAGGATAGGCCGGACTACTCGTATCTTCGTCGACTCTTCCGTCGTCTATTTGCAGCAAAGGAGTTCAAATATGATAACGTCTTCGACTGGACGAAGAAGATGTTTAACGAGATGCAAAGTAAAGTTAGTCCCATAGTGCCTTCGATACAAGAGCCATAAAGACCGGCCCCAAAACTCTAGAGGCATAGGAAACACCTACGCGGAGAGGTCGGGAACCCCAAATCCATACGAGGCCGATGAAAGGTCTACGCAGGGAGGGCCGGGATAGCACAAGAGCGTGAGTAGTAGGAGATGTATTGTCCAAATGATAGTTTGGAACATGTTGCCTCGATCATTCACGATGTTAGTAACCCGATGTCCAATTAGCGATAGGTATTGATGCATCTTGCTCAGTGAGTGTCCCTTTTTAGCGGCAAACTCCCCGCAAGCCGTCATGCCCTCTACCAATCATGCCTTCCATGACAGAGTGCCTTTTCAACCGGTTTGCGTTTTGCGTTTCATTTGGACAGACATTATTCCAGTTTAGGCGCCAGTGGGGAAGCCAGGACAGAACGATAAAATTGCTTTCATTCTCTTGCTAGGGGATGCCTACAAAATTCGTGAACATCACTATTAGCTCAAGATTGAGTGTACAGTCAGGCGCTACCTCTGATGATAAGCCTGCCACGCTTCCTGCTTCACACTCTCTCGCTCTCCTGCTGCAGACATTGCCGTTGAGCAAATGGCATCGTGAGGACATTCCATCTCTATTCCGATGGGCTGAACGCCTACAACTCACTTTCAAGTCTTCACACCGCAAGCTGTCAGTTGAAGGAGTTGGATGTGAATCCGTCATTTTCGGTCCAATCCGGTAACTCATCCTGAACCATAGTGTCCATAAGCGATTCAGCGTCGTCTTTCTGCACAAGTACTTGGACATTGGCTCAACCGAGCGTCTGGACGCTCACAAGAGTCTCAGTCTCGATTTTGCTCTTTTGGTGGAGTTATGACGTCAGGCTACCGGCCCGCTCGCAGAAGAGTTCGTCGCAAAGATTCCGGAGAGGGAATTTAGCCCGGCTAAGGTGGTGTTATATTTAGCATCGAATTTCCGGTCTCCGGAAGCCGCTATTAGTGGCTTAGAAAAGTGGATGGCGACAGTCAGGTAAGAGAGGGAGAAGATGGGGTACTAGTCGGCCAAGTAATACAACTACCTCAGCCTTCTCGAGACAAATGTCAGTGTGATTCGCGGATATAGCTGACTATGGGAGGCGTTGTAGGCCGAGGGTTTTCATGGAGGAGCAGTTCTCTGTAGGTTGCCTACCATAGCACATCGTATATACTAGTGCCAATGAATGCGAAAAAGCCAATGCAAACGTCCGCCAGGGCGGTAAACATTACAGAGATGCCATACGGGAAAGCAACAACACTAAACATACACCGGGAACGCCCATCCGAGTCCGTGGACACAACAAGCCCTTGACGGTAATACTACTCCCCATCGTCCCAGATGCAACTCCCGTCCTCGTTCATATAGTACCACATTTGATATTCGTCACTCCAGGACCAGTACTCTTCAGCCGGGGCCCCTAGAGGTACAGCAGATCCTGAAGATGTCGAGCCCTGCGTGGAAGACCTAGCCACTCGTAGAGGCGTACTATAGCGTGTCCGCTTCTTGGCCGAGTCGTGCTTCTTGGCTGGATCCTGCTTCTTGCGTGGCCGGGAATTCGACGGGGGACTGTTAGAAGCTCTGTTCCGCTTCGAACTGGTTTGGCTCTATACGGTAAAGCTCGATGTAAAGCTCGTAGTGAAGCTTAAAACCGGCTTACTAAGGGATGTAGGCTCCTGGCTAGGCTCTTCGTCCTCTATATAAAGGTACTGGGGAGGAGCCAGCATCTCCTCGACGTCCTTGGCTATAGCGTAGTTCTTAGTGCCGATAGCTTATAATCCGGCATATTCCTTATAATCTATAAAGTTATTACTAGCCAACTCTTTAGATTGCTTAGCAATCGTGATTTCTGCTTCAGGCGGTGCCTCCTTATTGGTTTGGCGTGCTCTTGTATTCGCCGCCTGGTGTGATGAAACCACAGGCAGTCCTGCCTCTGAAAGGGTTCGCCGGTCGAAGGTATCTGCTGGTCGGACTATAGGTCTCGGTGAAGCCAAAAGGTTCACAACAATGCAAGTCGCAATGTCTGCACAGTAGGTGAAGGCTACTGTTTGAATTGCTCACTGAGGAAGCTATCCATCTGAATGAGTGACAGAACGGTAAACTATATACAGCTTCCTCCCCTAGGTACCTTCGTACCCAGATCACCATTGATCGCTTCGGCCCGGTGATCGTGGGTGAGCCGCTCACCGGGATCACCAGTCCCCGATTGATCTTGGTGATCCTGCCGTCCCTGTCGGCCATTGGCTCGGGGTTCAGGGGTCGCGCCCCACCCGGCCGTCATATATGGTTGGTTCATGACACCTGGATGAAGTTGTCGCGGTACTATTGCGCCCGATGGCGTACATTCCGGAATGCCGTTGCTCCTTGAACGAATATATTACGATCGCTCGTCATGGCGAATACCTTAATCTCAGTCATATAGTACTCGGGCCGCCCGCCCGGCGCTGTCGGCTGCGTGACATAGTATACGTATAGCTAGATGTCACGAATTAAGCCAACAGGACAGCTGCAGGTGGGACAACCCGACGGGTGGCGCAGGACGCACCCGAACCAATCATTTAGGACCAATGAGAAAGGAGCTCTAGGGAGCTCTAGAGAGCGGACGAGAGCTCAAGGAACTAAGCCAATCAGCACAAAGGGATGGAAGCTCTCGATAGGGTCAATAGAGCATCAAGCTCTAAGGAGCTCTATAGAGCATATAAGAGCACTCAAGGATAGACAGTATATAGTCACTCGTTCTGGAGGACTCTGGGAGTTCTCCAGTGAGCAATTCAAGCAGTAGCCTTCACTTACTGTGCAAACATTGCGGCAAGCATTGTTGTGAACCCTTTGGCTTCACCGAGACCTACAGTCCGACCAACAGATACCTTCGACCGGCGAACCCTTTCAGAGGCAGGACTGCCTGTGGTTTCGTCACACGTACGCTGAGTTCGTCTTAGTATTAGAACAGATATCTATCGCCTTTGTCGATTTCGTTAGTTTATTGGCTTGAAGTGGAGCGGCTAGATGTCATAGTATATAAGGCGGTCTTCGGTTCGCTAAGCTAGAACGTTTCGCATATGTCAAATTCCAGCACCATATCAATTCGATCATAGAATAACATATATATACCCCTCGAAGATGGCGAAAATCTGGGCCGCCGTGTCTTGCAAAGCGGGCAAGGTTCTTGGTATACACTGCAGGTATTACGGGCCTCGGGGCAGGCCAAGCGCTGTTTCGCCGGTCGAGTTCGCGCAGTGCGCGACGCGTAAGGGGAACCTTGGACAGGTCGTCCCAGAATTCGGGTGGGAAATTCGACGGCCCGTGAAGTCTCCCTCTCGACTTGATCTTCTTGTTAGAACGGTGCTCTTGCGAGAGGTCGTCTGCGTGGGCTCTCTTTCGATTTCGCGCGCTCGCCATCAGCAGCACCTTCGAAAGTTTGCGATCGAGGGAAGCCCATGGGTATCCGGGTCGTGCTAGGGGCTCGGGACTGATGCAGACCTCGGGTGGTGCGCGGCAAAGAATGATTGGGCTGGAACGCGTTGTTGTCTGCGGGTAGGCATGGGTCACATTGAGCGCGCCGCATTTGCGAAGGCGTCAGCCAACCATTAGCCGCTCTGCAGCATGAATACGGTGCGGGGTAATCGGAAGACGATCCAGGCCGAAACAGCTCCATGACACAACCAGCGCGAACTGATATGTTGGGACGGCGTATCGGCAAGAAGTCGTCTGCACGTGCGGAAGAAAGAAGGGAATTGAATGGCTACTTGCAGGATGTCGGTCAGCGGGGGCGCGGGAAGAGTCATGTACCGACCGGGCTGCGAAGTGCCTCAAAGAGCCGATGGTCCCACCTGCCACCTCAAGGTCGTTGGTGATTGGTGCTCCGTAGCTCTGCCCTGATAGCCCCGCCATCCAGCAGCCCCGCGGTCTAATTCGAAGGAGGGGCAGCATCTCGGCGCGACATAAGAGACTCGAAACGCGACGAGGACAGCACCAGCACGCGCCGAATACCACCGCCTTTATATTCACTGTCTCCAGACAGCACGCAGCTTTGGCTGTCTAGCTAGGTATGGCTGAGCCTGCGTCAGTCGGCCGCGAGGTAGTTTACTGCGGAGGTAAGGAAACAAATCCCCCCTTCCGATACAGCTTGCTCGTGTGACATCATCCCACCCGAACCACCAGATACATGAGCTCCCCTATCCTCGCACCCAGCTCCTATCATGACGTTTACACAACTAACATTCATTCGGGCTACCATAGTGTGCACTCTCCCACCGGAGGCATGTGTCCCTTGCTGCCGGTTTTCCCCGGACCAGATCTACCCTGAATCTTACCGAACTGACACTTCATCCCTTTCAGTACTGCGAATATGGCGGTACCGTCAAGAAATGCCAAGAATGGTTAGAGAAAAGCCATCTGGAGCTCTACCAGAGGATATGGTCACCTGGTTCGTTTCGCCATCTCGCTCCTCCTCTCCGCCCCTTTCCTTTGGGTTGCTCCTACTGACCCGCCCTTGTTTCCACCCCGCGCAGAAGCCCTCGAAGCCGCAACAGCCTCGCTCTCCGTAGCCGCCCAAGAGCGTGCAGCAAAAGATGCAGCCAAGAAAGCCGCGAAAGCCGAGGCAGCCGAGCAGAGGCAGGCCGACAAACTGGCCCACAGCGTGGTGACTATCAAGCGGATCGAGCGCAACAAGCGCAAGTATGTCACGGCTGTGATCGGGCTGGAGGCATTTGGGCTGGATTTGAAAAAGGTCCGTCCCTCTACATGACGAACCCGGACCGGTGAAGCTGGGGTAGTAGGGGTTTGTGTTTGTGCTGACCGGGTACAAATAGGTGGCCAAGGATTTCGGCAAGAAGTTCGCGACTGGGTCGTCCGTGACCAAGGCGCCCGGTGGTGGGGAGGAGATTGTGGTGCAAGGCGATGTTAGCGGCGAGATCGAAGAGTTTTTGCTGGAGAAGTACAAGGAGATTCCCGAGGATAATATCGAGCTGGTCGAGGATAAGAAGAAGAAGACTGCTGGTTAGACACCGGTGAGAGACCCATGGGGCGGTGCGAGAGGAGCGCAACGTGGCCATTGGAAAGTGTTATCCCATTGGAATACAAAAAACACACAATCCGCGACTCCTCTTGCTTAGCCGGCTCCATTCCGCTCCCAATCCATAATGCCGACAACGATGTTATATCCCGAAATTCCCTATGCATTGCCGTTGTGACGCACGCCAAACCATGAAACCTGCCCGCCACCCGGATAAGTCTCAACACGGGGTCAAGAATGACGCTGGCCCAAACGCCAATAAAGATACAAATGCCACCCCCGAGTCCGAATCAAGCTCGCTTCCTCAACACCCTCCCCGTGCCAGCCGTTGAAGCGGATGGTGCTGCTGCCTTGGTTGCAGGCGGTTTCCTCGTCGTGCCGGACGTGACCGCCTTCTTGACTGTGCTCAGCATCGTCCGTTTGGCTGCCGTAGGTTGCGGGGCCGGAGGTTTCGGCTGTGCCCCCGGCGGTGCTGTCATGGGCCGTTTCCTCACCACCGTCGAGGTGCTGCCTTCGCTGGACTCGCTGATGCCGCTAGCTCTCCGCGCCATCCGCGTTGCAGGCCTCGATAGCGGCTTCGCTGCCGCCGTGACTGTCGCGCCTCTTTTCCTCCTGTCTGCCGTTGTCCCGGTAGCGGTAGTGGCGATGTTGGCTGAGCTGCTTGGCGCGGCGGAGGTCATCGTCTTGCGTGCTGTGGTCGTGGTGGGCCGTGTTGTTGACCGCGCCCCCTCAACCATTCTATTCAGGATGTTTGTTGCTACCACTGCTCTGCCAGGGGTCACGACGGGTCGTGCTATGCCTGATCTCCCTGGCGTGGCGACACTCCGAGGCGCGATCCGAGAGTTGGAAGTGGTTGGTGACAACACCTGTGCTGGGTTGCGCGCAACATCTGTCACCGGGTCGGCGCGAACTTTCTTCTGGGGAGTCTGCGTCTCATTTTCCTTGTCTCCGCCCGAGATTTCATGACTGTAGAAGATTGTTAGCGCACCCAATTGCGTGAGGGCCGATGCTACGAACCTTGTTCTTTTTGTTTGGCGGGATGAGGATGACGCGATAGTCGCTGGTGCTCGGATGGGCGGCCGTGACGGTGCTGGGTCCTTCGCAGGCACCGGTGGACCCCTGGTGCTGCTTGTGTGTGCGTTGGGGTTCTGTTGCTGCTCCGTCGAGTATCTCTCTAACAACTCTCCCATGGTGAGCTTGCGCAAAGAGAGGGGAATGCGGTTGACGCGGATCTCGATCCGCGTTCGAAGGCTTTGGGCATGGATGTTGTAGTTTGCTCGCAGCTTACGAGCGCGCTCGGTAACTGCAAACACTGTCAGCATTGCGGCGACTTCCTCGTCTTCGACGCGAACATACTCTCGAGCTGAAGGTTGTCAATTAGTGCTTGCTTTTGTGCCAGCGTAATCCCAACTTTCTGCCTCTTCAGCGGACTTTCGTTCCGTTCAGCATCTCCAGCCTTGGTTGGTATTTTTTGACTGCCTATGTCGACCGTGTACTGGTCTTCGGAGACCGAAATCTGATCCGATTTGCGCTTTCTGCTGCCGAGATGTTCCATGATGTGACTGGAGTCGTGTGATATTGCTGTTGATGCAATTTCGTGCTGAGATAATTGTGGTCTTTTTGCGCAACTGATGGATCTGACAGGGTTGACAGCCTGAGTCGATTTGCGCTGGCATGCGAAGTTGTGATGTGAGTTGTGGGAAGGGGATGCGCGCTGAGTGACGTGAGTGGTCCGCGTCTCAGAAAGTAAACAAACCAGCGGGTACCAGCGTTCAAGTGAATTACCTGACCTACAGGGGCGGGTTATCTGTATTACGTAAGCATTCAACGCTGCTGCGGGTCCCCCTGCCAGCAGTGGTTGCAGTGAAGTCCGGGGTCTGTCAGCCAAGCTCGGAGGCTAGGCTGAACCGCCTTACGCAGCAGAGCTCCATTCGACTTCCAACTTCACAGCTGCAACCGCCAACGATAATTCGACTGAAAACATACATCATCCACTTCTCAGAGGAAAGGAGGGTGCGAACATCCAGATCTGGCAAACTAGACCTTTATCTGCGAACGATTGTTCCTCTTACCCGACAGCAGCCTCGTCAAGATGCCTCTAGAGGCAGTGATGATCGTGGTGGACAACAGCGAGAGCAGCAGAAACGGCGATTATACACCGACCCGCTACGAGGCGCAGAGCGATGCTGTTAATATCATCTTTCAAAATGTCGTGCAGGGCAACGCCGAGTCGTCTGTCGGTTTGATGAGCATGGGCGGCAAGGGCCCTGAAGTGCTGGCGACCCTAACAACCGACCAGGGCAAGATCCTTGATGGCTTGCATCAGACCAAGAAGAAGATCCGGGGCTCCGCTCATCTCGCAACCGGCATCCAAATAGCTAGCGTGAGTTGCTGTGAGGCCGCACTGGGCTTCTGATTACTTGCTAACTCTTGGCTGGACATGAAACAGCTCGCGCTCAAACACCGCCAGAACAAGGCCCAGAAGCAGCGCATCATCGTGTTCGTCTGCTCACCTATCAATGAATCCGAGCGCGAACTCGTCGTGCTCGCGAAGAAGCTGAAGAAGTTGTCAATTGGTGTCGACTTTGTGCTATTCGGAGATATGGACGAGGAGAACCAAGCAAAGTTGGAGGCGTTCAGCCGTGAGATCAAGGGCACAACCGACTCGTCGCATCTGGTTGTTATCCCGCCCAGCTCGAAGCTGCTCAGCGATCAGCTCATTGCGACACCGATCCTGCTCGGCGAGGGCGTTGCCGGCGGTGCGGGAAGCATGGGTGGCGAAACCGCCAGCTCGAGTGAGGACTTCCCGTTCGGTGTCGACCCGACCCAGGACCCCGAGCTAGCTCTGGCTCTGCGCATGAGTATGGAGGAGGAGAAGGCGCGGCAAGAGAAGCGGGCGCGCGAGGAAGCCGAGGCGGCCAAAAAGACCAACTTAGAGAGTGTGAAGGAGGAGGGAGAGTCTGCGCCGCTGCTGGATAAGGACGGGCAGCCGAGCGGCAGCAAGAAGGATGACGACAAGGGAGGCAAACCGGACGACGCCGACAAGATGGATACTTCCTGAACACGCACGGGTGGGAGCAGGTACCTATGGGGCAATGATCGCTCGGGGGTCTGTTGCCTCGGGTCTGTAGAAATAGACGTTGCTTGGCGTTATTGAAGTGCGCTTCCCACGACTCAACTCCAAATGACTTCCCGGAACAAGAGAATGCCGATGACTCCAATTCAACCTTCCCCTTTCCCCAGCCTCGTAATCTCTCTCCTTCGCACCCCCCAATCCCCACCCCGAGTAGCTTGATGATGCGGGCGCTATCGGTTGTTGATCTCCCTGATGTATGATCCCAGCTTCCGGTCGAACATGTCGCACCGCACAGGCATTTCCAACTGATAGAAGGGGTTCTTCATGACATAGTCAGTGTACATATCGTACACACGCCGCATTGTCAAATCCACATTGGCCTGCGTCGTGTCAGTAAAGAGCAGGAACTTGATGCCCGTCAACGTCGTGAAGCACTGCATCCGGAAGTTCTCCGACTCGAGCACCTCGAGGCCTGATGGGAGCTCCGGTCGAGTGAGCGAGCCGGTTGATGAAGTGGAGCTTCGTTTGGCGGCGGGAGTCTTGAGAGGGTTGAGGCGAGCTGTGATGGCATGCACGCTTTTCGTTGGTGTTATGTGAGTATCAAGTGTCAAGCTGAGGTCCGGGGCTATGAATAGGGCACCGTACCCATGGAATGTGCCCGCTAGGACCAGGTAGTCATTGGTGCTGATTTTATTCAAGCCGCCCTCGTGGAAGCTCCGATTGTAGATCAGGCCACCGGCCTTGTTTATGATGATGAGGGCGAAGACGGTCCTGGTCATTATCCAGTTCAGCTTAGGTCCAAGTCCCTTTCTTGTATGGGAGGACGCACATAGTGACAATCTCATCTCATGGCTGGCGGGAAAGTTGAAAATATCCACATATGCAACCATGTGAGTCCACGGCTGTAATGTTTGAGAGACAATATACCCTGGGCTGTATCGGATCTGGGCGACTTTCAAGCCGCGATGGACCAGTGATGGTATTGGCGGACTGCTCATCTGCAGCGAATGGGTTGTGGTGGGTCTTGGGACAGACGGGAAATGAGTGGGTTAGGGTTGAATACTACAACTGGAGCAGTACTACCAGTACTAGTACGGGTGCCATGTTGCGTTGAAGAGCATCTCGTTTTCTGCGACTTGTAATAAGCCACAGCTACTAGTCTTTCCTTTCTCATAATCGTTCATTCCCGCTTACGGTATCTCCAGCTAGAACATCAGATGTTGCCAAGAACTTACCTACCACCACGTCGGCCCGATCGTGCCGGGAACTTCAACTTGCTCTTACCCAACCCTTCAGTGTACTAGTAGGTATAGGGAAGTTACGAGCATTTCTGCTGATCCGGGTCAGGCCAAGTTAAGATGCAAGATAAGGAAACCGGCATGAAGGGGACGAACATGTGATAGGCGAATTCTAGGTAACGCTGCGTACAACGGCTCCTTATCGGAATTTAATGTTCCATCCCAAACAGACAGCGCGATGCCGTCCAGCAAACCCATCCAGATCCGCGTATGCAGGTCCAGGGCGGCAGTCGACGGCAGTTGCACCCCACTCGAGCGAGAATCATCAAGGATCAATCGGCCATCCACAAACGCGATCCCGGTCGGCAAATTTCCATCCCGCTGAAAGCTGCCGCCTTTCCACCCGATGCGCTGCCTTTCCCGCGATTCTAGTGGCTCGGAAGCCGGCCTGCTCAACAATCTTAGCACTAATAAACTACCGCGGCGCGCAGGTGGATCTCGGACCATATCCACCTGCTGTCTCTTTTGGCCACATGGAAGCTCAAGGGAAAGTTCGAATAAGGTAACGTAGCCCTGGAGTTCTGACGGGCGCGAAAAAGGCTGCACGGGCGGCCGGTGAATATGACCGCCATATAAGGGAGGGATTGGCGCTGCTACATATCCTCCGCCATTCGTTCATTCATCCTAACACTTGGTTCGTGCGACCGCTGCCGACCGTTGCTTGTTTTCGACGCGAACTTTCCTATCCACGGTTCAGCTTGGGGTTACCACGCGAGCCCCCCTTCAGACTTTCTCTGCTGTGACTCCCGGTCTCACCGTCCCGCTTTGCGAAGCAGGCATTAAGGACAAACGCTTCAGAGCTGCTATCTGCCCCGCCATAGCCTGACGACCTTTTTGCCTCGTCCCCGATCGATCCGAGTCTCGGCCCCTTCGTGTGGCAACGGAGTCCGGTGTGCCGTTCCGATACCGTGTGCACTAGCGCCAATACCAGGCATTTTTATGTCCCCGTAACGAGCCAACCGCCCCCGCGCCGCGCCGCACCCCCTGGCCATGACAACTCGTCGGCGTCCGGCACTGCACAAGCATCAGCAGACGCCGCCAACCAGCAAAGACCGCGGCGACAAGACATACGCCATGTCGGCACCGTCGCCGCGCGTCATCAATGCCGGGCCCTCGCTCGAAAAGGCCGAGATGTACGGAATTGACGACAACCGGCCCGTTTTCAGCCGCGCTATGGCCCTCGCCGGGCGCATGTTCATCGAGACCATCCCGCAATGGCTGGCCGTCGGGGCCATGCTGTCGCTCATTTTTGGCGGCTGTTGTTCCAACGTGTTTGCCCTTGAATCTATCATCAAGGTTGAGCCCGCCAGTGGTATGTTCTGTCGACCCTGCATGAGCCTTCTCGGGAGCGGCGGAAGCGGAACGGCTGTGGACTGACAGCGCATGGTGTCAACAGGGACACTCTTGACGTTCGTTCAGTTCCTTTTCGTGGCGGCCATCGGATTACCGTCCCAGTTCGACTCGAAGCGCCCGCCATTCTTCCTCAAGCCGAACAAAGTCCCCATCCGGCGCTGGCTGGTCAACATTGTGCTGTTCTTCAGCATCAATGTGCTCAATAACCACGCCTTCAGCTACGATATTTCGGTTCCGGTACATATCATCCTGCGTTCGGGAGGCAGCATCACAACCATGATTGCAGGGAGCTTGTACGGCAAGAAGTACTCTCGGATCCAGGTTGTCGCAGTGCTCCTACTTACGGTGGGCGTAATCACTGCCGCCTGGTCCGATGCGCAGACTAAGGTAACCATTTCTTGAACCTTTCACGCCGACAGCTTGCAACGGCACTAACAGGCAGCTCAGGGGTCGCCGGCCGACAAGTCAGTCGGGAACGCAAGCTTCGGGACAGGCCTCGCCATCCTCTTCGTCGCCCAGGTTCTCTCAGCGATCATGGGTCTCTACACGGAAGAAACATACCGCATCTACGGCCCGCAGTGGAAGGAGAACCTGTTCTACTCGCATCTGCTGTCGTTGCCCCTCTTCTTGCCCTTCCTGCCGTCCTTGACGAGGCAATTCATGAAGCTCGCCAACAGCGCTCCACTCTCGCTCGCTGTCCCGTCCCCCGAGGACTTACCGGCCATATCGCCAAACATCCAGCGAGGTCTGCAGAAGATCCAGATTCCGAGCCAGCTCTTCTATCTCGTCCTCAACGTGTTGACGCAATACGCCTGTATCCGCGGGGTGAATCTCCTCGCCGCGGCGTCCTCAGCTCTGACCGTTACCATCGTACTCAACATTCGCAAACTGGTGAGCCTACTGTTGAGCATTTGGCTATTTGGGAATCGTTTGGCATCTGGGACGCTCATAGGGGCTGTCATAGTCTTCTTTGCCGGAGGCTTGTACTCCCTGGACGGGAAACGAAAGCTGCCGGTCAGAAGAGGAGCAGCAGCCAAGTCCTGAGGATACTGGTTCTGTCGTACATAATAGACATCCGTTGTATTAGATGTGTAGGAACCAAGAGATGTATGCGAGAGCCAATGACGGCTTCTGATCCCAAGTTGATTGAATTGTGTTTGCCACTTGTCCGTGGTCCCGGCCTAGTGTAGGTAAGTACTTACCGACAGGCCCGGCTCGTTCCAAACTTCCACCAAATCTACATAGCGCCGCAATGGTGCTTTTATTAACGTCCTCGACTCCTCTCAAACCCAATCCCAGGGGTTCCGGCTCGCTGGGCTCGGTTATTAGGGTCAGTCATTCCGCTTCTGTACACGAGTAACATGAAAGGGAGGCTGATTATGTACGGTATTATACTGGACATGTATGCTTGGCATATCGGTACATCGTTACGTAAGGTATTGTACGCTCAGCGTTTACTCCTTAGTATAGTTACCTATATACTGCGTATGCACAGTACCATACACGTAAGGTAGTATCCAGGGTCAGGAGTCAGAAGTGTAAAAATCGCTTGGAACGGAAGACTTGGCAGGCATGCAGGCTTGGCGGCAACCTTAACGGCCGACTCCGAACGTCAATCCCCGCCGCAACGGCACGCACAGTTACGGAAGGTGCCGATTCTTGTTGGTTTCTTTCGGGTCAGAGCCTAACAGCCTGAACCTCGACTTAAGAGAAACCCTGAAGGTGGGTGGTGATTCCCAGAAGTATTCTTAGTGCCATTTGCGACTGTGGCCGAAAGAGAACACAGCATATCTCATTCCATATTAACTCTCCTTTCCCTAAGAGAGTTACAGGGACGATAAGCGATTCCGGGATCCTGGAGAGTTTACTGTCCGTGTTTTAGAAGTCGGCATATAGTTAGTCATGGCCGGTAAGTATTGCATTGTTGAACCCGAGAGAAACTCTCAGTGTTCCTCTGTGCTTAAACAACCACCAACCAGCCTTCCGCACGAAAGCCGGGACACAAAGGCTTCGGCTACACCGTGTCCACCTCCGCTTGTGGGACAAGCAGTTAACTGTTGTATTCAGAACATCCGTACTCGCATGATCCGTCGTCACACTCATCATCGCCCAAGGTCTCAGCTACTCAAATGCCAACACTTGATTCGGATGGCGAGGAGTACAGGACGCACGCTCGGGGTGACACGGATTCTGAGGGGGGCCCAGATGGGAATGACTCCGACGGTCACCACCTTAAGGAGCGTTCAAGTCCAGATGACGACCACGAGCGAAATGAAATCGAAATGGAGGACGGCATGCTTCCCCGAGACATGCCCCATAAGACGGCCTTCTACGACATGGTTGCAGAACGGCAAATGACGCAGACCGACGCCAAACTGTTCTATCAGCGAAGCCAGGCGGAGAGTCGCACTCAATTGCAGCAGCTCGCTCAAATGTCGCCCCAGAGTAGTCCACTCATCCCGGCTAGTGCTGGAATCGCCGCGTCCCATGCTGATAGTGGATCGAATCTCGGCCACAGTTTTAGCAACCTGAAACTCTCCGAACTTGACTCGGCTTCCGTGCAGCAACCCAGAGAGGAGCCTAGTTACTATGGGACCGACAACCTTCCGAGCCGTGGCAGCTACCCCCAACTGGGCAACACAGGGTCAGTATCAGGGGTCCAGCCCGATTCCGCGACCCAACAGCAGATGCTCCTAAACGGCGCGGTCGCGGGCATCGGCAGCAGTACTTTCGTGGATGCCGATCCTCAGATAAACGCCGAGCTCACCGCTATCTTCAAGAACGTCCAGAAGGTCCTGGACATCAGGCACAAGTACATCCGACTCTCTCTCCAAGGACCAAACGACAATCCGAAAGATGATCCGAGCTGGAACATCTATCCGCCACCGCCAGAACCGGCATGGACGGAGGATAGGGAAAGGGCCACTCGGGGAGCTGGTAGTGCCAACAACAGCATGCAGAACAGCCTTGTGCTGAACGTTGAAAAGCAGCGCTCTAGCGAGCGGTCGCCGGAGCAAGGTGCCGGGATGCCGCGGAAATCGAACGCAAAGAAGCGCAAGCCGGGGCAGGACATTGGCGAGGACTTTGACATGGATGATCTGCTGCCTTTGCCGGGGCGCAGCGGGATGACCTTTCGGCTGGACGACAACGGGGTGTATCAGGTCTACGAGAACGAAGAAGCGGAAAACGCTGGCAGGCCGGTTGTCAATGTACCGACCATCAAGGAGTACTACCTGGACCTCGACGTGATCCTGAACGTCTCGTCCGATGGGCCGAGCAAGAGCTTTGCGTTCCGGCGTCTGCAATACCTGGAGGGCAAGTTCAACCTCTACACCCTTCTCAACGAGTATCAGGAGACGGCCGACAGCAAGAAGGTGCCGCACCGTGACTTTTACAACGTCAGGAAGGTCGACACCCACGTCCACCACTCGGCCTGCATGAACCAGAAGCACCTTCTGCGCTTCATCAAGAGCAAGATGAAGAAGTTTCCGGACGAGATTGTCTTGTTCCGCGACGGGAAGCATCTGACGCTGGCTGAGGTGTTCGAGAGTATCAACCTCACGGCGTACGATCTCAGCATCGACACACTGGACATGCACGCGCACAAGGATTCGTTCCATCGCTTCGACAAGTTCAACCTGAAGTATAACCCGATCGGCGAGTCGCGGCTGAGGACCATCTTCCTCAAGACGGACAACTTCATCAAGGGCAGATATCTGGCCGAGATCACGAAGGAGGTCATCGCCGATCTCGAATCGAGCAAGTACCAGATGGTCGAGTGGCGCATCTCCATCTACGGCAGATCGCTCGACGAGTGGGACAAGCTCGCGGCCTGGGTCATAGACAACAAGCTCTTCTCCCACAACGTCCGGTGGCTGATCCAGGTCCCGCGGTTGTACGACGTCTACAAGTCGAGCGGCTTGATGAGTTCATTCGAGCAGATCATCAAGAACCTGTTTCAGCCGCTGTTCGAGGTCACCAAAGACCCAACCAGCCACCCCAAGCTCCACATATTCCTACAGCGGGTCGTGGGTCTCGACAGCGTCGACGACGAGAGCAAGGTCGAGCGGAGGCTGTTCAAGAAATTCCCGGTGCCGAGGGTGTGGGACACGAAGCAGAACCCGCCGTACACGTACTGGATCTATCACCTGTTCGCGAATCTAGCGTCGCTGAATCACTTCCGGAAACAGCGCGGCTTCAATACGTTCGTTCTCCGGCCTCACTGCGGCGAGGCGGGCGACAGCGAGCATCTTGCGGTTGCCGCGCTCTGCTGCCACAGCATCAGCCACGGCCTGCTACTTCGCAAAGTGCCCCTGCTACAATACATCTTCTATCTCGAGCAGATCGGCATCGCCATGTCGCCGCTCAGCAACAACGCGCTGTTTCTGGCGTACGAGCGGAACCCCTTCTACCAGTACTTCAAGCGCGGACTGAACGTGTCGCTCTCGACTGATGACCCGCTTCAGTTTGCATTCACCAAGGAGCCCTTGATCGAGGAGTATGCGGTCGCCGCACAGATCTACAAGCTGAGCTCCGTGGACATGTGCGAGCTGGCCAAGAATTCTGTCAAGCAGAGTGGCTACGAGTTCTCCATCAAGCAGCAGTGGCTGGGGCCAAACTTCCACTTGCCCGGGAAGCGCGGGAATACTATGGTCAAGACGAACGTGCCGGATCGGAGAGAGGAGTTCCGGTACCAGACCCTCATGGAGGAGCGGATGATGTGAGCTTTCGCTGCTTTTTTTTTTTTTTACCACTTGGTACTAGGCAAAGATTGAGGCTAAGCTAACCTACCTTACCTATGATTGCAGGGTGGAGAGATACACCTCCGACCCCTTACCCCCTCAATCCCCAGCGCTCTCGACCCGCACCAACACGGCCAGCGCCGCTGCCGCTGCCGCTGCCACGATGGCGCTGCCCGACCCGAGACAGCAGCCCCAGCAGAGCCAAGCCCCAACCGCGGGATCATCGGCACGGCCCCTGGAAGTGCAGACGGGGAGTCCGACCGTCGCCTCGATCCCCGCATCATCAAGTCAGTCTCAACTCTACACGGGCAGCATCTCGGCGCTGGCATCGCCGATGTTGGGGTCCATGTCAGGGTCAGGGGTGGGCACACCCACCGCGGTTGACGCTGGTGCGAGAGATATTCATCTGTCGGGGCATGAACCTAGGTATTTCCCGGGGTTGGTCTCGAGGAACACTCAGCGGAAGGATAGCATGAGGAAGGAGTCGGGGCATGAGAGCGACCATCCTCGATGAACATTGGCCTTGTTAGGTGAATCGCAATAAGGGGAGAGCGCAATAACGAGCGGTGACTGGGAGGGACTGGAAAGATGCGGGCAGGTTGTGGGCTCTATTGTTAGACGCGGAGGCGTTTTTGAGGGAAGGGCAGGGTTTGGACTGCGTATTAGAAGCAGAAAGTTGCAGCTGGAGTATAAGCGGGAAGGGGACGAACCAGCTAGTCCTGCTTTGCTTTGCTTCAGTGTGCGACGACGAGGGCTTCGGGATAAAGAGCGATCACTCTGTCGGTATCGATGGCTAGCGGACCGTTAGAGACGGAATAGATATTCAGATAGGACTATTTTGGATCCATCCAGAGTGTGCCGGCAACGGAAGGAGCGAGATCCAGATGTCGCCCGTGATGTGGACAATTGGATGCTGTCATCCAATGTCCAGGGTCCAATGCATGGATGCAGAGCCTCGGAGCTGCCTGCATACCGTTGAGCTTGTGAACCACACGGCTACCGGCAGAACGCACCGACACAGCACAGTGCGGAGCCGATAACGATCCCAGATGCCACTGCAGGGCCCTTCTCTACTACAACCTAGGAACTAGGAATTTATGATCACCCCTGCAGCGCCTGACTTGGGTTTTGGATATTTGGGGTAGATCCCACTCTCGTTAACAACCTTGTTAACCTAAGGTACTGAGGTGGATAAGTACCTTACAATACGGATACGGATCCGTACAGCTGCTGGAGACAGGGTAATGTAAGTTACCAGTTAAGTTACCACTTGCTTGAACAGACCCACCGCCCAAAAAGACCTATGCCCGCCGACCTCCTTGCGCAGGGTCATCTACCTACTGTAGCTGGGAGTTGGAAACGGATCTGTGATTGGAAGAGGCCACTCAACTCCGAGTCTGCCGAACAGTACGACCGGAAGAATACAGGATCACGACTGCGCCATCTCTTTTCAGAATCTTAAACGCCTGCTGATTGAGGGTGCGCCTCGCCAAGAGCCTTAAGGAGTCTTCGGGGAAGACGCCGTCTTTAGCGCAATATCCCGCCTGGGTCCGGCCCAACCTCAGCGGTCTGGGACTTCGTTGCTACGCCGCTACATACATCCACCCTGGCACCCCGCAATCAACCTCCTTTGGGCGGCCATAACTGAGCTAATTGCAGCCTTCATTCGCCCGCGCGTCCTACGCCGGCACCCGCTGCCATTCCCTCCGATGCCGTCTGCCATCCTTACGCGACGATAGCCCCGATCCCGACTCCCGACGATCTGAAGAGCACTTTCCCCCGCGACTGCCAGCAGTTGCAGCAGGAACAGCAGCAGCGAGGATGGGCTTCGTCGGCGTGTACAAGGCCGTGTACGACTACACGCCCCAGGCCGAGGGCGAGCTGCAGATCGCCGAGGGGGACTTGCTGTACGTGCTGGAGAAGAGCACCGAGGATGACTGGTGGAAGGCCAAGAAGAAGGCGACTGGCGAGGACGAGGACGAGCCAGTCGGCCTGATTCCCAACAACTACATCGAGGAGGTGTGTATGATGCGGAGAACAGGGCAGATCAGGAGACCGTTTAAGAGCTAACACGAGTGCGCACAAATGCAGGCCCAACCCCAAGGGAAAGCCCGCGCCCTCTACGAGTACACCAGACAAACCGACGAGGAGCTCTCGTTCCCCGAGGATGCGCAGCTCACAGTCTTTGACACGTCCGATCCGGACTGGATCTTGGTGGGACACGATGGAGACTATGGCTTTGTCCCTGCAAACTACATTGAACTCTCTGGCGAGGCAGAGAGCAAGCAGGACGTGGCTGCCGAGCCGCCCGCGCCAGCGGCGCCTCCGCTCCCGGCTCGGAGTCCTAGCGTTGATGTGCAAAGCCCGCCGCTCCCAGCTCGGAATCCGGTTCCCTCGGAGCCCAGCAGCCCTGCCACTCCGGCCGCGCCGAACCCGGCCACCATGATCGCTGGTATGATGGCTGCCCGGGCGGGCTCGTCCCATCAGCCCCCAGCCCCGCTCAATGATCTCCCGCCCCGGCAGGAGTACGCCTCAGAGGAATCCGATAGTGAGGTGAAATCCCCACCTCTCCCGGCACGGCCGCGCGGCGACTCCCACCTCTCAGTAGACCCTCCCCGGCCATCCCCGCCCGCGGGGGGGCATCGTAGTCGCGACGATTATGAGCCCCCTCGGACCCCAGGAACGGCGCCCCTCACTCCCGGCGATTTCCATATGTACAATATCAACGAGATGGTTTCCATCATGGGCAAGAAAAAGAAGATGCCGACAACCCTGGGCATCAACCTGCGGACCGGTATCATCCTAATCGCCCCGGAATACGCCCAGGACGGCCCCTCGTTGGAGTGGACGGCCGATAAGATGACGCACTACTCGCGCGAGGGCAAGCACGTGTTCATGGAGCTGGTCAAGCCGAGCAAGAGCGTCGACTTCCACGCGGGCGCTAAGGACACCGCGGAGGAGATTGTCGCCATGCTGGGCGAGCTGGCAGGCGCGGTGCGCGCCGAGGGCCTGAGGGAGGTGATCATGGCGGGCACGGCGAAGAAGGGAATCGTGCAGAAGAAGGGCGTCGTCATGTACGATTTCATGGCGCAGGGCGACGACGAGGTCACGGTCGGCATAGGGGACGAAGTCATCATCCTGGACGACACCAAGAGCGACGAGTGGTGGATGGTGCGCCGCGTCAAGAACCAGAAGGAGGGCGTCGTGCCGAGCAGCTACATCGAAGTCACGGGGATCCTGGACACGCCCGTGGCCTCGTCAGCGCCGGGCATCACTGCGGGCATGTCCACCGTCGAGCAGAACCGTCTGGAGGAGGCGCGCCTGACCAAGGAGGCTATCAAGGCCGGGCAGCGGGAGGATCAGAGGGAAAGAGAACGGGAAAAGAGAGCGCAAGAGGTAGGCCCTGGGTTCCCTTTGCCCGAGCGGAGTAGTAGTCTGTCGGTCAGAAAGGGTAACACCGAGGGGCAACAGCGAAGCAGACACGAGAACGGCCGTGCTGAGGCCCCGGGCTCGTCCAGGTCTAGCGGCAAGTCAAGTAAGTAGCGTTTCTTATACACGCTAACTGGCCGGGGAAGATTTGTGCTAAAAGTATCTCCAGAGCCTGATCCTTCCAAAGTCCGCACGTGGACAGACCGTTCGAAGTCCTTCACCGTCGAGGCCCAATTCCTCGGTATCAAGGACGGCAAGCTCAACCTTCACAAGCTGAACGGGGTCCGGATTGCCGTGCCGATTGCTAAGATGTCCCTCGAGGATCTGGAGTATGTCGAGCGTATCACTGGCATTTCTCTTGACGAGGACAAGCCTTTGTCCGATCTCAAGAAGAGGGCCGCTACCAGCGAGCCTTCCCGGAGCAACCCGGCCCCGAAGGTTGGCGCTACGGTCGAGCCCAAGAAGCCCGAGTACGACTGGTTCCCGTTCTTCCTCTCCTGCGACGTCCAGCCGGCATTGTGCGAGCGGTATGCCCAAGCGTTCGCGAGGGAGTCCATGGACGAGACCGTCCTGCCGGACGTCGACGCGACCGTGCTCCGAAATCTGGGTTTCCGCGAGGGTGATATTATCAAAGTCATACGGTACTTGGATACGAAGTATTGTCGTGACAGGAAAGGCGGCGATGAAGCGTCTGGTGGCCTATTTTCCGGACCGGGGGGCACCCTGCGGAACAACACTAGGAAAGGGCGGCCGGCTCCTCCGGTTGAGACCAACAACACCGTCGATCCAAAGGCATTTTCCCAGCAGAAGGACGCCGGTGCGACCGAGACCAAGGGTGCGTCTCCTACAACGTCAGCAACTTCAACTTCTGCTGCCGCTTCAAAGCCCGCCAGCGGTTTCGATGACGATGCGTGGGATGTGAAGCCCTCCAAAACCCCGGAACCGGCGCCGCAGCAAGCGCCTGCGCCGCCCGCCGCCTCTGCTGCCCCGGCAGCCACCAGCACTCCTGCCGCGGCCCCTGTCGCCACTGCCGCTGCCACTCCCGCGCAGAGCACCGCGACGCTCACGGGATCCATGCAAGAGCTGTCTCTGCTTAGTCAACCACTGGAGCCGGAGAAGGTGCAGCCTCCGGCCCCAGCTCCGCCCCCTCTAAACCTAGCGCCGGCTCCGGCGCCCGCCCCGGCTCCGGCACAGGTTCCGCAGCCCACTGGTGCAACCCCCGGTTTCTTCAGCGGCATGCAACCGCCGGCCGTCAACGGTCAAGCACAGCAGTTGGCCCAGCAGCTTCCCCAGACCATCGCCCGGCAAAGACCTATGGTTCCGCAGTACACCCAAGGCCAAGGCGGCCTGATGCCACCTCCGCCCCCATCCCGACCGCTCTCGGCTCCCCAGTCCGCACAGCCTAGCGCCTTTGGACCCCCGCCCCTGCAGCCGCAGATGACGGGCTATCCGCAAACCCAGGTCGCTCCGCCGGGGCAGAGCCTGAATGACCTTAGCCAACAGCGTCTCCAGCAGCAGTATACCCAAGCCATGCAACAGAAAATGGCCCAGCAGCCGCAGCCAATGATGCCCATGGTGACCGGCATGCCGCAGCAACAGAGCTTCCCGATGCAAGGGCCGTTCATACCCCAGCCGACAGGCATGACCGCGCCCATGCAAGCCCAGCCGACTGGCTTCATGGCCGGCTTTCCGCAGCAGCAGCAGCAGCAACCTATGCAGCCTCAGATGACGGGCCTTCCGCCACCGCTCGAGCCTCAGCGGACGGGCATGCCTCTGATGGGGATGGGAGTGGGCGGTATGGGCGTCGGCATGGGCATGGGAATGGGCATGGGCATGGGATTGCAGCCCCAGCCGACGGGGATGGCCAATCCTTCTGCTGTCGGCGGATTCGGTGCTGTCGGAGGGGGGCTGCAGCCGCCGACCGCGCAGCCGCTCGTGCCCCAGAAGACGGGCCCGCCGCCGCCCGTTCGGTTCGGCGTGACGCCCGAGGCCAAGAAACTCGCGCCGCAGCCGACGGGGAGGCGGGCGAACCTCGCTGCTGCTAGTAAGTCTTTATCTCAGCCAGGTTACTCTGCAATCTGCCGGGTTGTCTTCGTCTACGTGCGAATGCTGACGTTCTTTTGCGTTACAGCGCCGGATAACCCGTTCGGGTTCTGATTCCAGCGAGATGCCAATGACAGAAAAGATGCTAGTTTGTCGTGTGAATACCTGCAGCGTCGCTTGCCGGACATTTCTGGCAATGCTTGGTCATTGCCGCGAGCGGTGTTCTCTCAGACCAAAGTCCAGCTTACCAGGAAACAAGGAGAGAGCAGCGGCATTCCGGAGACATGCTTTCTCCGAACGCCGTGGTAACCGTATCTAGACAAGACAAGGCTGATTCAAGTGCCTGGAGACGATAGAAGGCCAAGGGGAAGGTGGATGGGAAGTGGATGGGCGACGGCGAGGGGAGCTAAGACCGCGATAAGAGTTCTCCAGGGGGGCGGAAGAAGAAGAGACGGATCCAGATCGTCGGAACGGGGGTAGGAGCAGCATGCTGCTCATTGGAGCCGCTGCGGGTTTTGGTCAGGTTTTTGTCGTTTTTCTCTCGTCTGTGTCCCCCTTCACCCTTCGTTTCGTTTCATCCGAGCTACTCTGTACCTAAGTACCTACCTACCTAAAGTTATTTAGCTAGTACCTATTTATCCTACGAATTTGTCAAAGTTGAATTGCATCGTGTGGCTTCTTTTGTGTTTCGGGTTCTTGGCTTTGAGCTTGCTCTCCTGATGATTGTTGAAATTGTGTTATTTATGGAAACTTGGTAATCACGATATATGCAGTATCTCAAGAGTTGGATGTTTTGCTTTTGACGTTGCGGACAAAGGGGGATACAAGTTGCAATGGTTGAATTAGTTTCGATGACCGGGAATGGTACGTATGTCCAGTGCACAGGAAGAACCTCAAGGCTCTGTCCAAAAAACACGGCCCATAAGGTACCACTCATGTTGAGAGAGGTGGTGAGGCTTCGTGTAATGGCCGTCTATAGAACCCTGACTGGCTCCCCTGGCACGTCCCATATACTTCTCGTGAAATCATGACAACAGAACGTCCGTGGACAAGCAGAATGATCAATCCGTGCCCGTCCCATGCGGTCAGCTAATCGACATTATATCGTAAGATATCCATCCATGAGGTCCCCATTCCACCCTAGTCGGTACCGTATTCAGCCAGGTACCTGGCTGGCAGCAGGAATCAGTAATCCTACTGCATCTCAACACACTTTGACGTTATATCTCACCCCAACGGCAGCTAATCCCCATTATTGAATAGTCCCCTCCCTTAGCTCCTCGCTGTCCGGCACAACATCCTCAATGGAATGCGCGCGGCGATGCCGCACCGTCATCCGGTCCTTGTCCTCCACCGCCGACACCTTGGTCCGCGGCACAGCCTCGGCAGGCAACAACGCCTCCCTCTTCCCAGGCTTGGGCGGCTCGAAGCGCTTCCTGACCGCCTTGATCATCTTGACGAACCAGTACCAGTTCAGCGTGTTCAGCACGACGTTGGCCAGGAGATACACCCCGGCCATCCAGACGGGCACCGTGCCGGCCTGGGAGGCGAAGAACATGGGGTTGGTGTGCGGATCGGCGGCGGCGGTGGTGACCGTCGGGTCCGAGAAGGCTTTCGCGAGGGCGTCGGCCGACGGCCCGCGGCCGACCGCATGCCAGATGTCGCGGTAGACGAGGGCGGACTGCCAGGTGCCCCAGACGAGGCGGCAGAGGAAAAAGGTCACGAGCAGCGAGATGCCGTTGTACAGCTGCAGCTTTGACCCGGTCATGTTGAGCTTGTCGCAGAACCAGTGGATGTTGAGGAAGGGCGTGGAGAGCTCGTAAAGGATGAAGGTCGGGGAGTAGAAGTTGATAAAGGGACGCTGCAGCAAAGCATACAGAGTTAGTTTGCTGGTTTCTTTCGAGAGTGTAAGATGGGAAAAGCGGAAAGTGTGACTTACGAAGCCCAAGGTGTACACGCTCAGGGCGGCGACGCCGTGCGCAAGCAGGCCCAGCCCAAAGGTATCCAGATTCAGCAGGGTGATGCCCACGTCCCAGAGGAAGTAGCCAGCAGCAAGGGCCTGGACGATCCCACAGCCGCCCGTATACCCCCAGATGCGCTGCTCATGGTCCATGCTGCTGCGCTCCTCGTCCGCAAACATGACCCAGAGGGCGACGCCATTGATGATCAAGCTCTGGACGAGTGAGACGACGTGGGTGTCCCAGTTGGCTTTCTTAGCGCGGTGGTGACGCGGATAGTGCTGAGGAAACAGCTTGTTGGAGAGCACGGGTGAGACAACGGTCTGGATCAGGGTGTAAAACAGGGCGGCGCCGATGACTTCGTGTATGTGCAAGGGCAGAGTCGACATCGAGAACCGCTCGGCATACGGCTCGACAGCCTTGCTCAGTGCCGGGATCGGCGGGAACGGGAATGGATCGCGCATTCTTGAAAGTGAATGGGCACGGCACCCTTGTTGGAAAGTTCGGAGGAGCAGAGGCACTCAGGAGGCTCGTTTGCTTTTCAACGGCGAGTGGCAAGCGGGAGACTGCTTCCAGGTAGTAATGGCGGTCACCAGGCACAATGTCACAAGCACCCGGGGCTGTGGTGTGGTGGGCGGCTCAGCTGGGGCGGCCGATGACGTTTCAAAGAAAGTACACCAGTGATGATGGACTGGGCGCTTCGGGGAGGATCACTGCGCCATGTGCATCCTCATCATTCGTTTGCTGCTCGTTTCGGAGCTTGCAGGTTGCAGCGGGAATGGAATCGGATGCCTCAGCTTCAGCCCAGGCCCGTCCCGCTCGATGACGGCACAAGCCCTCCTCCAGGGCGTCGTTTTTGTTGGGGATTCGTTGGAGAGGTCTAGGCGCTGCCTGCCCCGGCCTGGGTAGGTAAGATACTGTACAGTATGGTACAGTGCGAGCCAAGTAACATACATCCCGGGACGAGCGGTAATTGTAAGTAAGGTAACACAGTAACACACTGGCAGTGACCTGAGTGACAGACATTAGAATACCTGAATTCTACACATTTTCGTACTTTCACACCGACCAGTGATGAGCCTTGAACTAGTCAACTGTCAATCCTATACCTAGGTGCTAAGGCTAGCCGCTAGAGAGCGAACGTTCCCATTTCGTGAAATTCCGTTCATAACATTGGCTGTATATTACGTGCGACGTATCGTACTGACATCTACATCTGCTCATTGTTGTTAGTATGCTCACGTTTCATTGTAAATGCGCCCACTTCTTTTGTAATTACGTGCACGCCCACTGTAACTGCACCCACTATAGAAAACGTCAGTTATGTCAACTACTACTAGTAGTAGGCTGCGTCGATTACCTTCAAGTTCCAACGACTAGCAGCACCGCTTCAGCTCGCGGTGTGTTAATGCCTTAGTTCTATCATGGACATCTTAACATCAATTAGATATATAAAGAGGATTATTTACCCAGTTCAAAAGATGTACGGATATGGCTAACTACCTGAATATCTGAAGCAAATGCCAAGAGTCTCCAACAATGCAGCCGTAGCCTGTGCAGTTTCTCCGTGGCCCAGAAGGAGGATGAGTTGTCAAAGCTTGACATAACCCCCGGAAATCCAGCCCTACCGACCGCAGACCCTACGTTCCACCTCAGAAGCATCCACTACTCGGTGGCTGAGTGGACTTCAAGCTCGTCAGACCCGCGTCTTCTCGTCGGTGGTGGTGGGCGGGACGGTTCGCGATCGCGCTGACCAGTCTGGGCGTGCTTGCTTGAGGATGGTCCCGCGTTCCCGGCATCAGCTGTGAAAGTACGACGGGGGGCCTCAATACGGCGTCTACCCCATTGTGTTCTTATCCGTTCACGTTCGGACGCAACCAAGCTCGCCCAGCCCTCCCGAACCCCGCGTTGTTCTGTAGGACCGGGCTGCTGTGTGGGGGGGGGGATCGGGGGCAAAGGGGGTACTACATTGTCAGTCTCTTTATAGCAGGGTCTGTGCTCCATTCTCCTTACCCTCAGATCCCGTACGTAAGGTCTCCTTCATCTGACCGGATCCATCTTCCTCTTTCTCGGGAGAATCACCCGAGTCCTTCCGGCTCGCTTGTTTGCCGCCGTCTGCGGCGATACCGATAGAACCGGATGGGGCTTTTGAGTCCTGTAGAGCAGACTGTTGTGGTTCGCTCCTCCCTGGCTGTTGAGGCTGGCCGCTAGTGTTCCATTGTGCCTTCGTTTCCGCCTCCGTTCCGGGGCGAGGTATTGACTGCTCTTTGCCCTTACCCTTCAGACTGGCTGAGGTTTTTCCGTAGTCGTAACCCAACCTGGTGTCATTACCCGCTGGCCCATCGGCTCCGAAGTCCCATTGCGGCATGAAAACTTCACCTTGTCGCTGATTAGGTTTGTATTGACTATCGTTGGGATTTCTTTGTTCCCTTGGTTCCTTTGCGTCCTTCCCGTGGCGTTCATAATTCCCTGGCTTGTTATGGCGCCCACTCTGGCGACCGTGTGCCTCGCTTGGTCTACGTTCTTGAGCTTGATTCTTGGCCTGGCCTTCTTCTGGATTGTGGGGATGCTGCGGTATGGCCTGCGGCGCTGGGTAGCGCCTTGCATCGACGTACCGGATACGTGGCCAGCCGCTCACCTCGACAGAAGGAGATATCCCGTGTAGTAAGGGATCTGGTTGTTCAGCAGAGTAGAAGGCCCCGGAGTTTGGTGGTGGCATCTGAGCAGCAGGGGTAGAATAAGACGGATGTTCAGCAGAGTAGAAGGCCGCGGGGTTTAGCGGTGGTGGCGGCATCTGCGCGGTAGCGGTAAAATAAGACGGCTGTCCACCAGAGTAGAAGGCCCCGGAGTTTTGCGATGGCATCTGAGCGGTAGGGGTAGGATAGAACGGCTGTTCACCAGAGTAGTAGAAGGGCCGGGGAGCTTGTGGCGGCATCTGAACGGGGGCGGCAGGATAAAACGCTGGCGGAGGCCAGTCTGAACCGTACATCCAGGTTGGCTCGCGGAAAGGGTTGAACTGCCAAGGGTTTGGCTGCCTCTGGTCACTGGCCGGCTTGATAACTCTGCGAAGAAAGCCATCGGGTACTTTTTGGTCTTGCTGTTGGCCATTTTGCACATGTGGCGCGTCGACTTCAGATGGGACAGAGTCGTCTTCGAGGTTGTCTTCGGGTGGGAAAGGGTGTTCTGGGTAAAGGGGGGCCATAGATGGGGAGACAGGAATGCCGAGCTCAGCTCGAGTGAATTCCGCGATATACGGAGGCAGTTTCGATCCGTCGAGTTGGATTCCGGCGCCGAAGAATCTCGACGACACTCGGTCCGCCGGATCGCTGGCACCAGGACCGCCGGTTGCCGCACTCAAGAGATCGCGCATCAATACCCAAGCCCACTTCAGAGACGCGTTCGGGCACTGCTCCAAGCGCAACGTGTGGCCGGCGACGCCGGGCCCCTCGAGCTCTTTGAGGAGGTCCGCTAACTCGTCCGGACCGGTAGCAACCAGGTATCTGGATAGACAGGTCGCAAGGTAGCCATCCCTGTCGCCTTGAGTCTCCGATTGCAGATGTGCTAAAGCGCCCATCGACGTCCTGGGGTCTTGGGAATGGAGAACGAGCAGCTTGAGAGCGGTTGCTTGCGATCTGTAATCGCCAATCTCGTCGGCGACCCTGATGGCGACCTCAATGACACTTCGTTGCGTCGGGGTGGGTCGAGCAGAAACCATATTCCAATCTGGCTTCCTGCCATGTCGGCTCGGGAAGTATATCGGCAAATTGACACCGCGTCCTTGGTCAACTTTCAACCCGCCGGGCTCCCCGGAATGCACCGCATGTGAATGTTCAGGCGTTGCTTCCAGCTCTAGGAGAGACCTGACCAGCAGCCACTGGATAAACGGCCGGCTCCGCATCAGCTCCGGATCGTTAGTTTGTACGGATTCGGCGAGAGCCCTGGCATGCTGGAGGAAAAGCGAGTTGTGAGTCCTCATGTGATCGCTGGGGTCCTGAAGAACCAACGAGGTGAAGAGGTCAAGGAGACCCAGGGTGGATGCTTCGTCGTAGAAGGGATGGTCCCAGTCCTTGACAATCATGCCCAGGGCCCGCGGGAGATGACCTGTACCAAAGAATAGCCTTGAGCTTTCTTCCCATCCGAAAACCGATACCGCAGCGACCAGCAGATCCCGGAAGTCCCAGATGCAGCTCTCCCCAACAAGCTCTTGGTACAGTTGCTTCCAATCAAAGAGATACCTCGCATATACTTTGACCGCCCCTACGATGCTCTCGTGTGTACACCGTTCGATATAGTGCAAAACGCGCAGGCATAAAGTAAGTAGCTGGATCTGGTTGGCATGAGGTCAGATGTGCTGCCGGGCAACAGGCAAGATGCTCATGACCTACCTCCGTAGATCCCATGGTGGTCTCAGTGGCAAGAGCTTTCAGTGTATGGTACACGACTTTCCATGCAGCTTCGACGTATGTTGGATTGGGTCGTTGTGAGAGGAACTCCAGGAGAGCATCGTTGGCTGCGAGCTTGCCCCTGTTGCGATCATCGGGAGCTTCTTCTGATGGGTCGGGAGAAAATTCGCGACCAGAGACAAGGCTCTGAAGGGTCTTGTAATCTCCGCACGCTTCAAGCATTTCAGCATACTGTACCCGGATGTACGGGATAGCGCTGACGTGCTCAAGCTTGGACCGGAAGTGTTCCTTCGCCTCCTTGAAGCGCCCGAGCCGTCGCAGACGACAGAAGGCCTCAAGATCCGCCTCCCAATCCTCCTCGATATCAAACTCGAGCCGAATCGACATATCCTTGCGTGCTTGTGATGGATCATAGACAAGATCAACTCGTCGGTCAGGGGCCTCGCAATCCGGAGCTTGACTGGAGGCAGACGAATCCACTAGAACCTTAGGCGCCTTCCTCTTGTTCTCCGCTAGAAAGGCTGTCTTAGAAGAGCGCTGTCTTCCGATGCCTTCATGGACCCCGTGGTGGTCGGAAACAGTAGAGGGTACGACATCTTCTTGGACATGGGGCTCACCATCTTTGCGGTCGAATTGTGTTGAAGTTTCTCCGTGCGGGTTCCAGTGCCTTCGGGCGGAGACAAGAGCCCTCCCATGCTGCTGATCGAGTCCAGACCGCAGTTGCGCCCACGGGTCCAAGAACCAGGGCCGCCGGGGGTGCACTGGGGGCTCTCTGGAGTCGGTATGAAAGTCAGCGAGACCGCTTTGCCGACTCCCATGCTTTTGATCGAATCCAGATTGCAATTGCTCCAACGGGCGCAAGATATTGGGCCGCCGCTGGTGCGCTGGGGGCTCCCTTGAGTAGGAATGAAAGTCAGCGAGACCACTTTGCGGATGAATATGGGCCAGAGGTTGCCGCGCCAGCCATCCCATGATGCGACTCGGCTCTCTGAAATAGCTTGTTTTTAAATCCTTTAGGTTCAAGCCGTGGCGTCACACGGTGTCTCTTGGGGAGCAAACCCACCTGTAATGGGTCTTCCTGTGGCGCTCATCTCTGTCCTCCTGATAGATACGGCGTTCACGTCTCCCCTCCTGATAGTCTTGGCCATCGTTGTCGGAGTACTGTGAGGATTCTTCGTATCCATCTTCCCGGCTAGAGTAAGACTCGTAGGAACCCATGGACATGCTGTAACCAGCGTCGACCCGGGAAGCTTTGTGTAACGCGAGACCAGCCGCGGGGCCAATGGTGCGAGGTAGGTAGCTGCGGAACTGTACCACCGATGGAGTATCGTAGGGTCTCAGACTGAAGCCATCTAGAGTGCGACGGACGTGGCTCATGTCCCTCGTTTCTCGCGTGCTTCACGGACCAGGTTCATGATAGCTGAGGCACCAGCGGTCGTGAAGAACCGCCGACCGGTGAGTGGTGCGGGACGAGGCAGCCTTGCCGTGTCGTGGGGGCACAGCGGCAGCAAGAATATCACGAATTGGACAGTGCGGCTGCAGCTTATGCAGCTTGCAAGGACGGGAATACAACCCTGTACTGGACTGTACCACCTCGGTTGCAGCGTCTTCAGCTAGCTGCGGCGGGTTGATAAGTAGGAGCAGCCTCGCTCAGAGGTAGACTAGAGTCAGTTCCCGGGATCAAGTGAATCGCGTGGAACTGGAGGGAACTCAAGCCTACTTACCCCAATCATGGATGGACAGGGCGCTCGACCAGTTTTGATGACGAGAGTGGGCAAATATGGACGATGTGATTATAAGAGATTCGACAATATCGGCTCGACCCTTATGCGAGCAGGCGGTGGGCGCATCGGGAAGGTTGAGATCGACTGCCGCTTCCTGCTCACGAAATCCCAATGGGGCGTCATAGGGGAATCGAGGAAACCGGCCGGCATTATCTACCTGGACCTGGATTTCTATCAGCCCGCGGACTGCAGGCTCGAGTCTGCAACCATTACAGTGATCCTGGCCGAGGACGATGGCGAAGAGAGCCGCATGCAGCGCCGTTTTCATTGCCCGGTCCAGTTCACGGACGACTACGGCCCCAAGTGTATGGTGGGGGAGGAATCCCTTGTGCAGACCAAAGAGGTCAAGCAGCGCACCCCCGAGATGCAGTTCATGGGTTATGGTGGCGGTGGGCTCGGTATAAATAAGGAGAAGATCGTGCAGACCAGGGGGCGGTGGAACTTCTCCGGTCACATCTCCTCGACTAAGGGAAGCCTGTGGTACAACAAGCTGAGATGGGAGCTTCAGGAGAACTCGCTGGAATGGCAGCCGACACACAGCAACCTCTTCCACACAGCATTCGCACTCGAACATAATGCGACAAAGTTCTATATGACGGTACACGTCAGCGGCAAGCTTGCAAAGCTCTCAGACCAGATGAAAAAGCAGATGAAAGGCTGGATGAAGTTCGGAGATAACCCCAGCAAGCACCAAGAAATAACCACCAAAATCGAATGGGCCGAAAGCTATTCAAGCCCCTTGCGGCTAGACGGAATCGCCCGAGGTCTGCACGAGAAGATGCGTGATGCAAATAGGGCCGAAGTCCCAGAAGAACTTCCTAGCGCACGGGCTGCGAGCTGCTATCCCGCCGTTCCTAGCCAAGCCCAGACGCCTATCATGGCCCAAGAACCACGACCCTATTTGCAGAACGCGCAACAGCAGCAGAGCTTGAGACGGCGTTTAGAATTGAGGGCACAGGCGGGAGTCGGCAGAGAGTCCTCGACGGCGGAGAACCCAGTTCAACAACACCCTCCTACGGTGGCGCTGGAGGACCTGATGACGGCCGCCGGCTTCATACTGCAACGTGCGACTCTTTCCACAACCAGGCCCACCAGAGCTGAGGCCGGTCATGTCTCGGAACCACCGAGTTCAGTGACCCTCGTAGACTCGACGGTCGCTACAGAAGTGGGAAGACAAGAGCCCAATCCGCCTGTCCGTAGCACTTCGGAACCACCGAGTCCAGTGACCCCAGTGCGCTCGGCTGTCGTCGGTGAAGCGGAAGAAGAACAGGGCAACGGTCCTGTCAATGACGCCACGGTAAAGGCCACTGAAGAAGAAGGAACAGGAGAAGAAGGCAACGAGCTCGTCCATCACACTTCGGTGAGCGACTCAGGTAAAGAAACTTTTCCGGAGAAAAGACAGGGAGACAGAGACTGGTTGGGTGCAGGTGTGACCGCCGTGCTACTGCATTGGTTTGGAAGGTGTCTGTTGTTTTTGAGCCTCGTCGGTAAGGTAGGTGTGCCACTAAGACCGAAGTCCAGGACAGCGGGAACGGGAACGGGAGTGGAAAGTGTGAGAGCGAACAGGTCTAAGGCAGCTGTTCTTGACGATGCCTGGGAGACCAGGCGCGTCACACTACCACCGACAAGGCCTGCCAATCTTCGCCGGACTCGGCTTCGAGGGCTTCGAGGGCGCCGTGGGCAGCGGGCATATGCATATGTAAATGTGAACGTGGAAAAGGGAAAGACACTGTTCTAGAGGCAGACTAGCAAATACGATGCAGTTGTTGAAAAGGGGCACGGAGCAGGGAGATCCCTGTACTTCCGTCCTTTACTCAATGCCAAGCTGCAAGCTCGACATATGCATACTTCACTATCTGACTAATCAGTACAACCCCCAAAGTGATACGCGCATCTGCTCCTGGGTACTCACCTCGTTGTCTCGTAAGGGATCTAGAAAGCAACTCGGCAGATTTAGTTAACAAGCGCCTGACCAAGAAAAGAAAACTGGAACTCGAATGGGCGAAATCAGTTTTTGATTGTTGATGGTCCGACAGCACGACTTGGGCAGGGAGGCACTCAAACACGGCAGGAGCAACCACCTGGATGAGAAGGAGCAGATGCACACAACTGGAACTGATCTGAAGACCCGGCGCGATATCGACGACAGTTGTTACCAGTAAAAAGCGGAGGTGTTTGGTCAACATGGCAGATCTCCTCTATGAATTGCTCTCACCGCCGGGGCCATCGTCGTCTCGGGCGGCACCAGAGCCGAGCGCACTCGAGTATCTCGCAAAACTAGCCTCGCAGCCGCTGTCGTCGCTCGAGTCAGCTGAACCGCAGGCACTGGCGCAGTCCTCTCATGGACTCCTACTTTCCCTCCAAGCTCTATCAAAAAAGTCACACAAGCAGATCATTGAGTCTGCAACTCATCATGCAACGCTGCGAGCGACACTACCTGCGCTGGCAGCTAGCACTGCCGAACTGCGCAACTCGATTCCTAAGCTCGACAGCGAGGCAGTGCGCTTCTCAAGCACATTTAGCAAGAGCAGCGACAGCGAAGTGCTGGAACAACGCAAGAAGGCGCTACTCCTATCACGCAACGTTGAGCGGCTGGTCGACGTGCTCGAGCTGCCAACATTGCTGTCCTCGGTCATCTCCACTGCGCCTGTCAACTACTCGTCCGCCCTGGACCTCAACGGGCATATCCGCCGGCTGCACTCTATCTACCCTAAGTCGCCGCTCGTCGCCTCAATATCGGCCCAAGCAGACGAATCCATGCGCACGATGGCTGCAAACCTCATCCTGTCCCTCAAAGCACCCGGCCTCAAGCTGGCCGCATCACTCCGGACAATTAGCTGGTTGCGGCGAGTGCTTCCAGACCTCGAGGCAGCGTCAACGGCGGCGGCAGCGGCAGCAGCAGCAGCTCCCACCACTACTTCCAGCAGTGCTGGCAAGGCGCACGGCTCCCAGGAACGACTCCTCGGCGCGCTCTTCCTCGTCTGCCGCCTTGCAACGCTCATGACGATGATCGAGGCCCTCGAACCGCTCCAGGAACTCGCCGACCAAGAAAAGGCGCGGCAAAAGGCCATCGGCAGCGGCAACGCCTGGTCGGGCGGGCAGCAGACGGAGCGATACCTCAAGCGCTATATCGAGATCTTCCGCGAGCAGAGTTTCTCCATCGTGTCCATGTTCCGGAGCATCTTCCCCGACGTAACGGCAGCGGCCAGCGATGGGCCTGCCTCTCCACGGCCGCAGGACGGTGATCCGTTGGAACCGATACCCTCTGCGCTGGCGACCTTCCCGCTCTACCTGGTGGACATGCTGCTTGAAACGCTCCGGACATACCTTCCCACGGTGAAAGACCAAGCGGCAAGGGACAGTCTGCTCACCCAGGTGCTGTACTGTGCTGGGAGTCTTGGCCGGCTAGGGGGCGATTTTGGACTGTTTCTTGCTACGCTGGATGTTGGCCCAGAGGTGGAAGAGGAGTGGGTTGAGGTGGTCAAGAGACACCGGGCTTTGGCTGGGCGGCTGGAGTCAATTGTAGGAGAGCAAAAGAAGGGGAGTTGATATACGGCACTGTGCGATTAGTGGGTTGACCTGCACCGAGCCATCAATCCCCTTTTTACAACCTCCGCTATGGCAGTCAGCGGACTACATGTGAGTCGAACTATTGTGACTCTGCACCAGATGAACGATCTCGTCTGTGCCGTCTCGTATGTCTTCCGTGGAGCGGGGTTAGGCTCTATGGGGAACTTCGGCGCTGTAGTGCTTGTAAGCTCGGGTCAAGCCAGCCCGGCAGGACCGGGTTCCGGCGGGTCCAGACGCAGCATTGCCATGCCGTCATAGGCCGGCATCCCTGTCGGCGGTTCGTAGCTTCGACTTTTGACGTTTGACTCAACCGCACCACAGAAAGAACAACACGGGGGCCTAACCCCGTTCAGTCACAATGTGTTATTCGATATAGTACGGGTAGTCGAGAATGGCCGGTCCTTGTCTCCGACATACCACTCTTTAAGCAGGTATCTTTTCTTCCGCGGGTTCCAGCATTTAGCTTCACCGAAGGAAAACAAGCGGGGACACACACAGAGCGAAAGACATCCGACGTCGCAATGTCTGATGGCTCCCGCACGGCGCTTTCGAAGTCGAGTACGTCCTACCTAGTTCAAGTTACCAGAACACAACCGTACTGACCGCAAGAAATTCCAGCCTTCCACTTCGCCGCGGGGCTCGGTTCCGGAGTGCTCTCGGCCGTCCTTCTCCAACCCATCGACCTCCTCAAGACCCGCGTCCAACAATCTGGCGCCCACTCCCTAGCGGCCGCCATCGCCGACATCCGCGCAGCCCCGCGCCTCCTGCCCGCCCTCTGGCGCGGCGCCGTCCCCTCGGCCCTCCGCACCGGCTTCGGCTCAGCCATCTACTTCACCTCGCTCAACGCAATCCGCCAAAGCGCAGCCCGCATCACCCCCTCTTCAGGCGGAAAGAACAATGCCTCCTCCTCCTCCTCCTCCTCCCTCCCTAAGCTCTCCAACACTAGCAACCTGCTAGCCGGCGCCACGGCTCGGTCCTTCGCAGGGCTCATCCTCATGCCGCTGACCGTGCTGAAGGTGCGGTACGAGAGCACACTCTACCGCTACACTTCCCTGGCGTCCGCAGCGCGGGACATTGCCGCCAAGGAAGGGCTGCGCGGCTTTTTCGCCGGGTATGGCGCGACGGCAATCCGCGATGCGCCCTACGCGGGGCTGTACGTGCTGTTCTACGAGCAGAGCAAGAAGAGGCTGGGCGCTCTGTTCCCTGCCTCTCCACCACCACCATCACCATCACCACCATCATCATCACCATCATCGCTCGGGCATTCCGGACGACGAGGAGGAGGAGGAGGGGGAGCAGAAGAGGGTGGAGGGAGGATGGCGCTCTCCCACGCCGCATGCATCAACTTTGCGTCGGGCGTGTTCTCGGGCGTGGTCTGCAGCGTGATCTCGAACCCGTTCGACGCGGTCAAGACGCGCATCCAGCTGCAGCCCGAACAGTACCGGAACATGGTGCAGGGCGCGAGGCGGATGGTTGGCGAGGAAGGGTTCAGGGCGCTGTGGGATGGGCTAGCGCTGCGTATGAGCCGCAAAGCGGTCAGCTCCGCGCTGGCATGGACCGTCTACGAGGAATTAATAAGGCGGGCCGAGGGGAGTTGGAGCGGAGGCCAGGTCAAGGCGAGGAATACTCTATGATTCCATTATGGCTATGGGGTACCTGCTGGGAAGGATTGAATTATGAGGAGTTGCAAGGCTTGTTCTGCTTCATTCCTTTTTGGGATACGGCGGCACAGAGTCCTGTACGATACCAGTTTTACTATCGTGTTCTAAACTCATCTCACTTAACCTAAACCTAAGGCCGCCCAGCTAGCCTACCCTAGACACCTGTATCATAACCCAAAATGAAGGATACAGTAGTTGTGGGATGAAGGGGGGAAAGAAACAGCCCAGAACCACTAGTTAGAGTCACTCAATGTTGCATCACTCTAACTGCTTGGGACAAGGAAACTGAGTTGGGAATGACAGAATAGTAGAGTAACGCAAAGTGATAAGTACGGAAAGAAAGATCTCTGACCCGCGTGTTAGAACAGACATAAACCATGGCCGTGCTTCTCGTTCCATCATACTCAAACGTTTCCGTCATCCTATTTCCCCTTCAAAGCCGCCTGATCCTTCTTCCCTCGGATTTCCACTCGGGATGAGAAAGCAAAGCAGGATTGTCCGTCAACGTGACAAGAAAGGGTATCCACTGCAGTGACAAGTGAAATGAAGTAGCGTGTAACGTCGTGGCAACAAGCCGAATTTACCGCGGGCGGCCACCGGCGAGATACATCAAGAGACCAGGCGACTTGCTACGGTGGCGCTTAGGGCGGACGAACTCGAAGTTATCGGCCGACTTGTGCCTGTGGTGGCGGGAATGGCTCGAGACCTCGAGCATGATCTTTTCTTCTCCCCGCCTCTCGGTGCGGATCTTGCGAGTGTGCTCCCACAGCATAGCCTGCTCCCACTCGGGCACCCAGCGCCGGATCAGAACATAGCCCGGATCGGCCTAGGATGGAGGGTTAGCAGGTCCCGGAGATAAGTATAGTAGGCACGGAGCAGTAAGGGAGAACCTACCGGATCCAGCTCGAAGTCAAGCTTGTAGAACCGGAGCGTATCGATGTCGAGGTGCCGGAGCGACATGCGGGTGTACATGGGGCGGGCGACCTGCGCGGCATCCTCCTCTTCCTTTTTCTTCTTCTCCTGCTTGATCTTCTCGTCCTTCATGATGGCCTCGATGGCCTTTTCATCGAGGCCGGACTTGATCAGCTTCTCTTGCATACGGCGCTGGAACTCCTTCTCGGCAGCCTCAGCGGCCTCCTTTTCCTTCTTGATGCGCTCCGCCTCCTTGGCCTTGTACGCCGCAATTACCTCTTCGGCTTCCTTCTCCTTGCGCTTACGCTCCTCCTCGGCCTTCTTCTCCTCCTCCAGCCTTTTCAGCTCTATCTCGCGCCGAAGACGTTCCTCCTCCTCCTTTTTCTTCTTCTCCGCGTGGAGGCGCTCGAGCTCGTCGAGTGCCGCCTGCGCCTTGCTTCGTTGCTTAAACTCCTGCTCCTGCCTCGCCTCTTGCTCGGCTTTGATCTTCCTCTCTAGCTCTGCCTTTTGCTCCCGATATATCCTCTCTTCCTCGGCCTTCTTTTCACGCTCTCGCTCTTCCCTCTCACGCTTTATGCGAGCTAGCTCTTCACTGTCCTTCTGCAGCTTCGACTTCTCCTCGTGCGAGCGGCGCAGATCGAATTCCTCCTGCTGGCGCGTGATGAGGTCAAGCTGATACTCGAGGTCCCTCAGCTTGAACTTGTCCCTGAATTCATTGTTGCGGTGCTCCTCTCTCTCCCTCTCGAGCCGCAGATCCAGCTCAGCCCTGATGCGCGCTAGCTCGGCCTCTTTCTCAGAGTACTTCTGTATCTGAGAGTACTTCTGCGCCTCGCGCTGCTGCTCCTCCTTCCTTTGGGCTTCGGAACGGATTGCGGCGAGCTGCATCTCGAGCTGCTGCACCCTCCACTTATCCCGCGCACCATCGAGGTCGCTGTGCGTGCTCGAAGACCGGCTGCGAGCGCGGCTGTAGGACCGCCTATGGCGAGAGCGATGACGGCGAGAAGAGACATAGGACGATTCGTCGGATGACGAATCCGAGTCATGCGCTCTGATTGGCCGGCGGTCAACCAGCGGTTGGTTGATGACTACCTGGGGAGCAGCAGCAGGCGGCGGCGGCGGCGGGCCGCCGTGGACCGGCGGGGACCGGCGCTCCCTCGACCGGGCGCGGGTCACAACAATGTCCGTCCGACCTTCGGGCCGGCGATAGATAGGGCCGGGCTGATGATAGTAGCCCGTAGGGGGTGGACGGGGGTCCCGCACATCTCTTGTGACGGTTTGAATGAAATGCGGAGGCCCAGCATGGAAAGGCGGAGGGCCCCGGCGAAGCGGGGACCGGTCGCGTATGCGTTCGTGTATTCTTATCCGATCACGCTCGATCTCGGTCGAGTCATCGCTGTAGCTAGACATTTCGAGAGGACAAAAAGAGGGGCCCAGGGTGAAGCTGTCCTTGTTGTGCCGCTGAGCTGGGGCAACTGAACCGGCAACCTCCTCGGAAACGGAACGGGAATGGATTTGGAACCCCAAGTCGTGAACCTTATCCTATTTTCCCTGAGGTCAAGGCTTCTGCGAGTGAATACTGAGAATCGAAGTGAGAAGTTCTGCGCCACGCAGATGGTCGGGTCACAGAGGGGGGGTCAGGAGGATTGTAAGCCGCCAACGGAGCGGGGTGTGACCCACCATTTATTCAGCACAGCGGCGGTCAGCACCAACATCGAGTACCTACGATGGCAGCTTTTCGGCTAAGGAATGAGAGGCTGCATTAGCTGCGGGCACAACAGCAAATCAGGAGGGACGAAAAGAATTACCTGACACCGGGACTGTACAGTGCGTGACCGGCGGCCACAGCCAAGATCGGCTGGGCTGACAAGTACCCGGAACCAACGCGTGATGGCAGCCTGGAGGGGTGTGCCACACAGAACATGCCCGAGATGAGGTACCGTTCCCTCGCGGCTGGCAGGAGGACGCTCATTTTCCCACAGCGCACAGTGGCCGCTGCATGGTTGGTCCAGGAGCGAGACCATGGGCAGGTGGGCGGGGAGGGACAGATTACACCTTGGCCCCCAGGAAGAACTGCGCATCCGCGGCGTAGCAGCATGGCCGGCGGCTGGTGGCTGTGGAGGATGACAGCCGCTCGCCAGTTCTCCCGTATGTGGAGATGTTGAAAGTTGCGCAACAGGGGACAGTGGACACGTCAAGACGGAAAAGCCCCAGCCTTGTGTTGAAGATCATTGTTGTGTTGCGTACGGGTAGATACCCTATACCATAGGAAGACCTGCTGAGAATGACGCCTATTGTGTGTGACTGCCTCTCGTTGACTTTCCGACTATGGGCCGTCATATCACCATAAGGCCGCGGGACCCGTCTCCTCGAGAGCCCCGCCTGCCTGTTCGTCTAACTTCCGACGGAATTTGCTGCGCGCCGCGAGGGGCCGGTGTGTAGGGCTAGATGAGGGGCTGGGCCGGATGTCTTGGCTTCTGTCGGCAGGATTCCTCTGGCGCATTGGGCTCGGCTTCTTGCTGTTCTCCACTCCGGATTCGGGCAGCAAACGTCGGGTGCTGCGAGTCTGCGACTGCTCCTATTGTCGAGTTCATGGCGTTGGTCAATTCCGTAGCGCAAGGGCGATGCCGCGCATGCTCTTACCCTATCTTTGTGTCAGGTGACGGGATTTAAGGCGGCCACTCGTGCACAAACCTGAAAGCCACTGGCTGCGGGCAGCTGATGAACCGAGGACGTGCGCAGCTTGCAGGAAACGGCGCCTGTATGAAACACACGGCAAGTCACCAGTCAAGCGAGCCGCCCAAATCCGCCCTGTGTAGAGACCGGCCGCTATGACTCCCGACGAGGCATTAGCACAGTGTTTAGTACAGTACATCTTGACTTTGGATTAGTACTTGGTAGAACACCGAGTCTCAAGTTCAATTCAGGAACACGGCCAAATTGTGGATATACATACATACATACATACACAGCCAAGTGTGCCTCAGTTTCATATCTGTATTCATAGTATCATAATGGTTCAATATTCCCTGTCCAGGACATGGCTGAAGACTCCAAAATGTGACCTCATTCGGTCATTCTTCTCGAACCAGGGCATCTGTGTGCCATCTAAACGCAATCATGATTGCCGTTGCTTCACTTGACTGAGTGCAGCAGGTGAGCGAAGCCGGGTCGTCTCTGTCCACATTCGCATCAAATGATCAAACCATACACCACGGTGCGACCCCTAGCATCATGGTTGACCACCACCTTTCAGTATTTTCTCGATGTGCTCCTGGCTGTTCTTTGCCGTCGTCTCCAAGTAATGCAGTCGCTTGCCCAACGCATCCACCTCGGTCTCGATATCCTTCATCTGCCCGCCAAGTTTCTCCTGTAACGCTGGAACGGGCACGGCAACGAACCTGACAAGGCGTTAGGAACTCGTCCCGTTCAGGGAAGGGGCACGTTGACGGGGCCTGGAGTAGCAAAGCATACATTTTCCCAACCCCTTCATACACGGCCGTGTCAGGCGGCAGCGACGCGATCTCGCTGCGAGTCAGTTGGGCCAGCCGCATCTCGCGCTGCTTGCTTGCGACCTGAGTGCGGACCAGACTGATCTGCTGCTGCGCGGCAATGGCCTGCGTCTCGACCTCCCTCAAGAGCTGTGCGATCGCACGTGGATGTTAGCAGTGTTGATGCCCGACTGGACCCGGGTGAGGGACTGTGACACTACTTGCCTTTTGCAGCGCCTCGTTGGATATTGACATTTTGATAATTCTGTTTCTGGTGATGGGTCCGATTCAAGACCAAATGCACGCCTGATATGTCGTGGGAGAGAGGAGCAGGTAAGTTTGACCGACGCTGAGGTGTCATGGATGTATAATCCGGACTCATGATGCGATGCTGTTGTTTTCTTGGCTACGTAAATTTGGTTCGGTCCTAGCACAGTGTCAGAATCTCCAAAAGTCGCACATGGCGGATAGAAGCAGACTCAATCTGGAATTCTGGACAGAAACGTCCACACACTCAGGAGACAAGGCAATACTGAGTACTTAGTAGTAAGTAAAATGTTCAAAATCCTTCCTACTAGCTCTGATGTTGACAGCCCATGCCAAGTTAGAAGCCCCCAAGTTGCGGATGCGTCATGTTCCTTCAGCGGGCTCAGGTATGGGTTCAGTATTCTCAACAATCTTACATCGTCCAGCTGTCTGTCTAATTTTCCATTCAAGAGCCCAGGGGTGATGCCCAAGGTCAACCGTATAGTGGCCAGGAGCAGGCTTCATCTGCATTTACTTCGTATTCGTGGCTTGACATCCAGGGCACGGCGTGTTGGCACAACGGATGGTATCACCGTGCGTGGAGCCCAACTGTGTGCAAGCCACCCGAGACTGCCCGTGCTCGCCCAGAAGGTGAGCAAAACCGGGTCACTGGGTCTTTTTCTGCCTTGGACCGTTCACAGAGGCGCCACGCCTAGGTACAACCTGTGGGACAGACCGCAGAGGTACCCAATCTAACATGAACTCACCCTCGCTCCCGTCCAGACAGCGTTCCAGCCAGACCCTCCAGAGGATCATATGATATGCTACAGTCAGTTGCTTCAATTAGTGGTCATGTCAACGCTTTCGCTCCCGGGAGAATCCCACATACCGCCTATGTTCGGTGTCAGTGTCACTGGGCCAGGGAAGATGATCCGGAGAGGGGAAGGCAACTGACCTAGACCAGTCAAGATGTGCCACCAGCCATGGCCTTCTAACAGAACCGACCATGGTAGGAGGATTGCGTTCTTTGTGGCGGTGAGATGATGGCAAAAGATATTGTCCACGTTCCAGATGAAGAAGCCGGCCAAGAACATGAGGATGCCTTGCCGTACGCACCAGTGTTAGTCATACCTATCACAGAAGGCTGCGACCGTCGGTAGTGGGACAGACCAGTCAATGCCAACTTATACATCTCTCGCATGTACCGGTCGCTTTCGACAGGACGTCTCTGGCTCAACTTCGGCCTCAACTGTCGCTCCATGACATAGAAACCGCGGAAAATGAGACCAGCTGTAAGCACACCGTATGCAACCTGGTGGAAGACCGGATCCTTGGCATAGAGGTAGTAAACCTAGACGCAATGACCATCAGCCCTGACTCGTCACCAATGTAAAGTAAGGTAAAGTAGCTAGCACCAACCGTGATGAAGACAGCCAACCCAACCAAGGCTGCCGCAACAAAAAGCTGCACTTTCACCGGCCGCCTGTACGAGAACGTGGCAAAAGCCATGATACAAACTGTGTATATCATGGGCAGCTCGTCGGCAAGCTGCATTTCATCTGCGATCGGCATGTAAGACAGGGCGATGCAGGAACACAACGTACGTTGGGCAGAAAGAACGTTCGAGACTCACACTTCAGGGTGGTGTGAAACGCCATGGACCCGAGGCCAACGACGAGGTACCCCAAATAGACGAGAATGAACACCCTCGAGTGGGAGTATGTCACGACATTCCAGAGACCCTTACTCCCTAGCCACAGGAATACCAGGTTCGTGAGCGTGTTGACTACTTCGGCAATGTAGAAGCTGATGCTGTAATCCTGGACATCCGGTGATAAGCCATTGGCCGCGTTTTGAACGGACCGATGCGCTTGAACGCACCTCTTCGCACCAGTTCAGCGTAGACGTCTGTTCGCCCCAGAATCCATCGCGCGATTCCCGGTAGGGAAACCGGAGTGCAGACACCAAGTCCATGTTCCTCTTGAGCGCGAGCCTATGGAATGCCACTCCGCATAGAGCCAAGCTCGGGAACTCAGAGACAAGCGCAGAGCGAAGGACCACACTGCTACTCCGGCTCAGTCGCGCCGACCAAGTTGATCGCCGTTAGTAGGGGATGTAAGTTAGCGTGAGTGCGCCCGGGATGTCCGTCGCGGGCCTTGGGGTTTCCAATCCAGGAGCAAGGTGCCCAAACGAGCGAAATTTTCTCTTCAAAGACACAGTAACAGGTGAAGTAAGGCTTGAATGGTGAGATAGCCGGACATGCACTGATACAAGAATGTCAGGTTCAGCGGCGCAGATTGGACTTGAGCGAATCCGGAACAACCGGAAGCGACTGGGGAAAGCCAGACAGGAAGCCGGAAGCTGATTCACGAAACGCGAAGGACCGAAATCCCGGGAATGGGACCCGTCGACGAGAGGCTCGGTGATGTATGCATCTTACTATAGCCGTTCCGAATCGCTGATTCGACTGCTCGAACAAAAAAGAACCGGACTGGAGCACACCGGGTGTGGTAACTCCGGAAGCCGAAGACCAGCAACCTGAAATGTCCCTACACTCGTCCAGCTGAGTAAGGACATCTTATCAGCGGCAGTCTCAGCCAAGGGAGATGCATTGTATGAAAGCGACACTGATGAACAAGCGTCCTGTAAGAAGGCAATCACTTCACGTGGAATGCGACATGAACCGCATCCTTCCATCTTCTTCCCTTTCCGGTTATTCGGTGTTCTGCTGTATCCGTACAGGTAACAGATCTCGTGTGTGGTAAGGTACCGTGTCCAGATCAGAGGTGGAATGTTCTCACACGGTGCCGTTACCGTACAGGGGCGCAGGCTCGCCAACCAACCAGCGGGCGACGTGGCTAGGCGTTGACAGGCGTCAAGGTTCAAGTGCCAAGCAGTTGTTGCCTGAAGCCCCAGAGAATTACGAAAGCTGTACGGATTCGTACAGAGTACGTAGACATTAACGAGGCTTGGCCTGGAAACGCCTACCTATCTTGCCTGAGAACTAGAACCTCCACCATCGATCGCGCCCATGCGCATCACCATAGTACACTACAACTTGGACCAATTTGATATCGACGAGATGTATCACAGGGAGACAGCCGCTCTCATGCCCCTGCCGGAATGAACTCAAGGTTGAACAGCAACATCGAGCCAGCGATCTCTGCCGCGCAAACACCACATCGTCCATCGTGCACACATGATCAGATGCGACAACCCGGGACAGCCGTGTACTAGAACGCGCAACTTAATGGCCAGATCACATCCACTGTCCGTCACATATACTGCTTTGTTCCTAAGCAATGGCGGCCCCAAGTCGATGGGGCTCGTTACTCTCCCAGGCTGTGGCCGGAGTTGAGGCCCGTCTGGACAAAGTCCTCGCCGATAATGAGGACGGTGCAGTGCAACAGAAGGAGACCAAGCCAGCAACACCTGCGCCTTCGGCCAAACAAAGTCCTGGTATGTTCTCTGTCGGACGCTAGACTCGCGTGAGGACACGGCTGTTCCTGACTGCCAGGGTCGCTAGCAGGTCCATCGAGAACCGCCTCGACCACCCGCACCAATGATCGGCTCCAGGAACGACTGGCGAAAGCCATGGCTGCCAAAGCCGCAGCCCGGTCGTCAATGTCCGCTCAGGGGAGTCCGCGCCAGAGCCTTGACGTGCTGAGCCGCACCTCAACCGACAGCGTGGACCGCCCCAGTCCGACTGTGAAGGACTTTCCCAGGGACACACCATCGCCACGTGGTTCGCAGGACATTGCGAGACAATCTCAAGATGACGATGTGGCCGACATGCCGGAGAAAGGCGTCTCGTCCGCCAGCGAGAGGAAGGATCAGGAGTTGGCGGGGAGGGTTGATGGTGATGCAAGGAGTGTGACAGGGGCGCCACCTGTTACATCCGTAAACCCGGAGAGCACACCTGTCATAGGAGTGCCCGAGCCCATCACCAACATAGAAACGAAGACGGCCTCCGATGACGCCGACGTCGAGGAGCCCGTGAAGAATGAGGACAAGACGCTCGCAGACGCTCAACTGCAGCACCAGGAGGAGGTCCACGGGTACGTGGAGCGCATAGACGCATTAGAGGCCAAACTTCAGTTTCTTGCCAGGGAGGCTACGGACTCGGCCCGGAAGGCGGCTTTGGCCGCGCCGGCGGAAAGCATCGAAAAGAAGCTGGCCGAAAAGGATCAGCAGATTGCGCAGCTGATAGAAGAAGGGAAGAATCTGGCAAGCGTAGATCACAAGAACCGCTCGCTTGTGAAGAAGCTGCGCGCTAATATCGCGGAGAATGAGAAAGAGCTGGGCAGCCTCAGAACAGCGAAGGACAAGTCCGACAGAGAGATGGAAAAGCTGCGCAGCCGCGCTCGCCGAGCCGACGAGCTGGAGAAGATGAACGACGACCTTCAGAAGCGGTTTGACCAGGCACAAAAGGAGCTCAGCACATTGCGACCAGGGATCCGCGCTAAAGACAGCACCATTGCGGAGCTGCAAAGCCAGTTGCAAAAGGCCAGCGAACAAATGGAAGCTATGACGGCCAGGGTGAACGAACAGGCACGGGAACAGGATAAGCGGCGAATCTCGGACTTGGAAGAAGAAGTGGCCGCCCTTAAAGTGGAAAAGAACCTGGTCGCCGACCGGGCCAAGGCACAAGCCGCTGAGCTGCGAGAGAAGGCAGAACGGGCCAACGAGAGAACACGGGCGCTCGAGTTGGAACTCAAGGCAGAGGTGCAAGTGATGGAGAGCAAGCTTGAGGCGATGCGGATGCGCGCTGAGGAGGCGTCGTCAGGCGCTGCAGGTGATTCGCAAGCGAAGCTGCTGCGGCAGGTTGAGACGCTGCAGACGCAGTACTCAATCGCCAGCGAGAACTGGCAAGGTATCGAGACAACGCTCCTGGCCCGGATCACCGGCTTGGAAAGGGAGCGGGACGAGGCGCTGCAGAGGGAGTCGGAAATGCGGAAGAAGGCTAGAGAGGCGGTGAGTACCTACCGCGTTTGTTCCCCGGATGATCTGCTGACTTCCGTAGGCTGTCCGGGCAAAGCGCCAGGCGGAAGAGTTGGAAGAGGCGAAGACCAAGATCCCTACGATCCAGGAGGACGTCAAGTCCTATCAGACCCAGCTCGATGCGCTCAAGAAAAGAGCGGAAGCAGCCGAAGCAACACTAGCTAAAGCCAAGGCTGAATTCGAGAAGCAAAAACAAGCCTGGGAGGCCGAACGAGAAGAGCGCCAGCTCCGCGAGCCGCCAGAACGGCCGCGATCCTGGCTGGAAGGACTCCCTGGCGGCTCATTCCTCAAGCCCGAGAGTCGACCAGCCTCGCCACAACTCACCAACCAGCAACGGACCTTCAGCACTGACTTCCTCGGCATCTCGTCCCTCACGAGCAAGGCCCGCAAGGTCTCTGCCCCCTCGAGCAACAGCGACGCTGGTGTAAGCGGTCTCGAGTCCCGTATGCCCTTCTCCCGCCGCCCGTCGGCCCAACCGCCGTTCCGACCACCCCTAGTATCCGCCCCGCCGGCAAACAGCATCTTCAGTCCAGGCTCTGTCTTCAGCCCCACCTCCGAGACCCCGTCTCACCACGGCGGCGCAAATCCGCTCGACAGGGAGGTCCAGCGAGGCGAGGATGCCTTCGAGGGCGGCGTCGAGAGGTCGGCTTCACCGCAGCAGGTCCTGCAGGACATGGTGTCTGTCTCGACCGTGGCCGCGGGCCCCTCAGTGCAGCTCGTCGAACGCATGAGCGCTGCCATACGCAGGCTCGAGAGCGAGAAGGTGGCGGCGAGGGAGGAGCTGGCGAGGATATCGCGCCAGCGGGACGAGGCGAGGGCCGAGATCGTGGCGCTTATGCGAGAGGTCGAAGGTGGCAAGGCAGCGGTGAAGAAGGTGGAAGTGCTGGAAGCGGAGGTGGCCGAGATGAAGGAGAGGTACGAGACCACGTTGGAGCTGCTTGGGGAGAAGAGCGAGCTGGTCGAGGAGCTCAGGGCGGATGTGGAAGACGTCAAGGCTATGTATAGGGACTTGGTGGAGAGGACTATCAAGTGAATGGATGTCAAGTGACTCACTGGCATAGTTAAGAGCATTATGGAAGCACCGCGTTTCCCGTGTGGGCTGAGATCTTTGCATGGCCGACTAGTGTCTCTCGGGTGACACCACCATCGAGTACGCCCTTACTTTTTTGTCTTTCTTACTACGGCCCCCTCTATCCCAGCTCAGCCATGTCCCGTCTATGACCCAGAGTCACCAGCGACATGTGATCCGAAGCTTCCGGCCTACAGCTCAATACCCTCCTCCTCTGCCTTCCGCTCGATGTATTTCCGAACCTGTTTCGGGTCAGCCACGTCTCCCCCGGATGAGTTTTCCACCTTGAAGGAACTTACGTCTTTCCCCGGCGCCAAATCCAACGGCAGAAATCCATCCACGTCCTTCTTATCTGCCTCCGCCCCGGCTTTCAACAACGCAATCGCCGCGTCACCTGTAATTCATTTGCCATCATGAGCGCCTGCTTGCCCCTAACAGCAACGCCATAGGGACTCAAATAAGACTCACCGTGCCCCTCGGCAATCGCATGGTGCAAGGGCGTTTGCCCGGCACTGTCGGTCGCGTTGAGCGGGCTGTTGTGCTTGATAAGGAGGTTGAGCATAGGGACCGAACCGACGGCGGCGGCACGGTGGATCGGGTACTGGCCGCGCTTGTCGCGCACGCGGGTTGATGCCGCCGGGGTGTGCTGTTCAAGGAGCTTGCGCGCAAGATCCAGGTTGGACTTGGACGCGAGGAAGTGAAGAGCTGTCTGTAACAAACAAAATCAAGTTAGGAGAGGAGGGAGAGTGGTGTGATGGGGGGGGGGGGGGGGGGGGGAAGGGGGAGCTACTTGGCCGTTGTTATCTGAAAACTAGGGGTTAGTTAAGTCACTACCATGACATGCTGAGGAGGGTAGAGGATAGAGTACTTGTCTGGTTGACGTCGGCACCGCGGGCGAGCAGGATGTCCACAACCTTGTCGGCATCCTTCACGCTGGCCGCGATCATGAGTGGTGTCCAGCCGCTGTCGTCCTGGACAGGCCGTCAGATATGGTGCTTGTATTTGCTTGACACACAAACAGAAGCTACCTCGGCATCCGGGTCAAAGCCCTTTTGGCTGATCAACAGGCTGACCACCTCGGGCTGGTTGTATGATGCCGCCCAGTGGATGGCCAACCGGCCGTCATCGTCTTTGAGTTGGGCAAGCTTTGGGTTGGCCTGGTGCCGCCGTCAGTAAGTCCACAAGCGAACTGTCTGAGCAAGGAATGAGACAAACGTGAAGGAGAGATTCAACAACATCAACTGGACAGTTTCGAATGGATCCGTCAGCAATCTTTCCTTTGTGCGTTCTCAGCACATACACGACCGACTCACCCTTCCCCTCCCGCGCTGCCGCGTGTATGGCGTACTTGTCAGGCCTGTCCTCCATGGTCCTGAGGTGCACTGACAGAAAATAGGCGTTCAGAGTGTGACAAGATTCACTAAATCGGAAGTGAATATTATCGCAATATCTTCAGACTCCTTTTGCGATATCTGGTTAAGGTTGAGTGTCTTGTAAGTGATGCTTTCTAGAACCAACGTACTATATGCTGGGATCAGCGCCATCCAATGCAGGGTTTATCAAGCACTGTGCGGGTCTTAAGCTTGCATGTGCTGACTGCCTTACCTGGTAGTGTGGCTTGAGCTTCAGCCACACGCTGTAAGATTGAAGAGTTAAAAGAGTAGGATGTAAGAAGCAGGCTGCAAAATATGTTGAGAGAGTCAAGAGCTGATGTGCCCAGTATTTGGCTCTAATCGATAGATATACACGCCTAAGGCCGCTAGATTACAAATGGTGAATCCTCTGGCGGCACACTGGCAACAGCATCGTACCGTATCTTCCGTTACCAGATCAAATGTGGCGTGTGTGCCCGGGGACCCACTGAAATTGCCATCGACCTGAACGAACGCGACGGGGACAAGCACGACCATACCCATTGCCATCAGTTGACGACAGACAACAACTTCTATCGACTCCAAACTGGAAGTGGCCCACATTTACCTCGTGATACCGCACTCCTCGGAATGATGGCGGCGGAGGTGGCCAGCAATGGCGCAGATGTCTCGCGGCTCGAGGCCCTGGTCCGCGACAACGCTCGCAGGACGAAATCCATCTACACTAGCACAGCTCCCGACTCGTCGGCCCGAAAGCGGATAAAGCTCGACCCCGGCCTGGCGTCCGAAGACCCAGATATCACGAAAACAGCCCTCTCCCTCCGCCTTCATGCCGAATACAACGACGTTCAGACCCTGCCAGAAGTCATCGCAAAGAAGCTCCCGGCAGCCGGTCCGCGGAAGAAGAAGCCCAAGGCGGCCGAAGAAGCGCCGTCCAAGTCAGAAGAGCACGCGCGCAAGTTGATAGAGGGCATCCCGGCCAGAAATGCAGCGGGCGCAGCGGGCGGCGCCAACTCCAGCGCCCTGGTGCTCTCTCGGAACCGGCCCGCTGGCGCTCAGCCCGCAGGCGGCAAGCCCCAGCAGCGCAACGAACCACAGAACATGAGTCTCACCCGGCGGCCAGACAGCATTCTTGCGCAGCCGCGTCCCGATTGGCATCCGCCGTGGAAGCTGCAGCGCGTCATCAGTGGGCACCTTGGCTGGGTGCGGGCGTTGGCGATAGAACCGAACAACCAGTGGTTCGCGTCCGGCGCGGGTGACCGGACTATCAAGATCTGGGATATGGCGTCGGGTCAGCTACGTCTGACGCTGACCGGGCACATCTCGACAGTGCGCGGGCTGGCGGTCTCGCCTAGGCATCCGTATATGTTCTCGTGTGGTGAGGATAAGATGGTCAAGTGCTGGGATTTGGAGACGAACAAGGTGGTGAGTAGCGCCTTGTTGCGAAGGATCGATCCCATTGTCTGGATACTGACGGTGAATTGTTACAGATTAGGCATTATCACGGGCATCTCTCCGGCGTCTACACCCTCAAACTGCACCCCACGCTCGATGTCCTGGTCACCGGCGGCCGCGACGGCGTTGCCCGGGTATGGGACATGCGCACGCGGAGTAACGTGCACGTGCTGTCTGGCCACACAGGCACCGTCGCGGACCTCGTCTGCCAGGAGGCCGACCCGCAGGTCATCACAGGCAGCCTGGACTCGACTGTGCGCATGTGGGACCTGGCGGCGGGCAAGACGATGGGGGTGCTGACGCACCACAAAAAGGGCGTTCGCGCACTGACAACGCATCCGACCGAGTTCACGTTTGCTACCGGCAGCACGGGCAGCATCAAGCAGTGGAAGTGCCCCGAAGGCGCCTTCATGCAGAATTTTGAGGGTCACAACGCGATCATCAACACGCTTGCGGTCAACGACCGGAATGTGTTCTTCTCGGGAGGTGATAATGGTTCGATGAGTTTCTGGGATTGGAAATCGGGCTACCGGTTTCAGGCGCTGGACACGACGGCGCAACCTGGTTCGCTTGATGCCGAGTCCGGTATTATGAGCTCTATTTTTGATTTGTCGGGTTCGAGGTTAATATGCGGCGAAGCCGACAAAACCAGTGAGTCTATGCCCCTTCATCGGTTCGACTCACCCCTCGTTGTGCATGAGAGGCTAACAGTAGGCAGTCAAAATATGGAAGGAGGATCCAAAAGCTACGCCAGAATCACACCCGATTGACTGGAAGCCGACATTTGCGAAGAGGAAGTTTTAGAAGGCGCATAGGATTTGATATCCGGGCCATGGTTGGCGTTCTCGAGCTGTATTGGGCGGACGTGGTATGCATACGAAGAGCCAAAATGATTGTTGTCAGATCAAGATCTCTGTTCTAGGTCGGTATATTATGGGTATCTCTATAAGACTCCGAGTGCTTTAATCTCCGGGTCATCCCGGAATGCCAACCTAACCTCCTCGTCTCCAACCGCCAAACGCACCTTGCTTGGGCGCTCGGCTTTGTGCGCCTCCAAGTTGATGATGCCCGCGCCCGCGAGGTCCACAGCGGCGGCACTTAACCCAGCCGGCCGGACCAGCTGCGAGCTGTTCTTCGCTCGCATGGACGTCATCGCCCCTGTATCCGCCCCTGTTGTTGTATTCGTAACCCCCGCCGCCTTCTTGTCGAGCAGGAGTAGCGGCCTGCTCTCCCCGGCCAACTTCAGCGTCCGCTGCATCTCCTCGAGCACATCGCCGAATGTGCTCTCCGCCAACCCGGTCCGCTGCGTGCGCATCAGGAGCGCCGCCAGCAGCAGGCGCGACGCAAAGGGCAGCGAACGGAGGTACTGCTGCAACGGGTTGCTTGTGGCCTCGTTGATGGCGCGGCGGACCGTCTCGATGGTGACCCTGCCGGAGGCGGCGCCTTTCTTCTTCTTTGGCGTGTCGTCCAGCTGGCCCTTTCTGCCTGCTCCGGCAGCAGTCTTTTTCCTGCTTGGCGTATCCGGCACCGTATTCTCCGCCTCTGCTTCTCTACTCTGCGCGTCCGCCTCGGCCAGCTCCACCGCCCTTCGGCAGATATCCAGCGCCCGTCTCGCGTCGCCACTCACGGCAGCTACCTTCCTCGCAGCGAACTGCACCGCATCCGCATCGACGATGTCTCCCGGCACGCCCTCCAGGCGACTCTGCACGATCCGCATCAGCTGCTCGTGGTTGTACCCGGGGAAGGTGATGCGCGTCAGGCCGAGCCTCGAGCTGATCTTGTTGCTCAGCGTGCGCTCGGGCAGGTCCATCGTGTTGGCCACAGCCAGCACGATCAGCCGGCTGTGCCGGAGGCCCGGCCAGTTGAAGAAGTTGTACATGACCCCCTGGTTCTTGGTCACCAGCTGGTCCAGCTCGTCCATCAGCACCACGCACGGCACCCGCCGCGGCGAGGGGTGGCTGAACTCCCGCTCGAGCAGGTCCAGCGCCTGCGCGGGGCTCACGCGCTGGCCCTTGAGGGCTTCCCACAGCAGCGAGTAGGACTGGTGCGGATCCGTGATCTTCATGCCGTTGATCTCGACAAAGATGAAGTCGTCGAGCTCGTCGGCGCGGACGGCCGCGTCGAGGTGAGAGACGACTTCGCGGACGGTCGCCGTCTTTCCGGTGCCGGGAGTGCCGGAGATGTAGATGCAGGTGCCGCTGCCGTCGGTGATGGCGGCCTCGAGGTGGGAGTAGACGAGGCTGAACTCTGCTTCGCGGCAGGGGAGGCTTGTCGGGACGGAAGCCACGTGCAGTTGGTTGCGGGCGAGCTGATAGGGGGATGATTGAACGTGGTGCGGGGAGAGGACGCGGGTGGCCAGCGGGGTGAATTCGAGGTGCTTTTTGACCATGATGCGGCGGTGCGAGGAGGGGGTGGCTGGCTTGCTGCTGTCCTTGCGTCTGCTGCTTGGCGTAACAGCGTCTCGGGTGCGTGCTTTCTTGGGAGTCCGCGGTGTCCCCGGCGCGTAGTCTCCTTTGCGATCATCTTCTGCTTCCGCCTTGTAGTCTTGATCCGATGGCTTATCCTTCGCTGTCCTGCGCTTGCGCGTTGCCTTGGTCCCTTGGCGCACCATATCCTGCAAGTTATCGAAGTCCTCCCAGCCGCGATAGATATCCTCCCAGACAAACTCCTCGGTGTACGTGCATGTCCTCGTGTTGCAGCCCCTGCGGCAGACGAACACTTTGCCGAACTCCTTCGACTTCCGCGGCACTTTGCCGCCGGGATACTTTGCCATGAATGCAGCCTCGGACATGATGTGCGCCTTGCCGTTGATGGTTGCCAAGGGATTCACATCAAAATTGACGGTTATGTATAGCTCATTCTACATGCAGAGCACGCTGTTAGTCAGTCTCCCTCAGTTCCACGGGTAAGTCGGTCGGTCGCACTCACCTCGAGGAAGTCAGTCCGCTTCTTGGGGTTGCGGATCTCGTCGGGGGAGGAGAACCACATGAAGCATGCCGCCTTGTCGCCGTCGTCGTCGACCTGAAAGTCGCATATTATGCCGACCCAGGCTTCGTTGGAGCCCTCGGCCTTGAGCAGCATTGTGTCGCCCAGATGGCACTCGAAGCTGCCCATGCGCGCGCCGATGATCTGGGCTTCGGGCGTTGCCGCTCGCTTGCGCTTCCTCCCGTTCTCGACTGCTGCTGGCTCCTCCCCGGCAGCGTCCTTATCGTAGATCCATTCCCAAGGGATGTCATCGGTGCCGAGCTCGTCGTCCGAGTCCTCTCTGGCAATCCCGGGGACGTAGCGCGCGGATCGGCTCGAGCGCCCGACAACGCCAGGCATCGCGGCTCTCAACTATGGAAATGACTTGTCGCAAATACCACGTTTGAATGATGCTGTCGCTCCGGCTTGCATTGGCTTTTCAGGTGCTGTCTTTTAGTTGACTTATGACGCGCGTTGTCGCGTCCAACTAGCGCGTCAAATCAATTAAGACCCCTGCCTGTAGCAACGACAGGCAGACCACCTCAGAATCCTTGTGGGTCAACCACGAACTAATTTTACCATTACCTGTGCATGAAAGAACAGAACTGGATCGCATCTTAGATTAAGGGGACAACATAAAGTCCTGGCGTTTTGTATACTTCTAGGACGACCTTCCGCAGTGCTCTAAGCCCAATTCGAGCCCTTGCCGGCGAGTTCATCGTACAAACTCCGCAACGACCCCACCATAGAGGCAAGAACGGGAAAATGTAAATATAAACAAACAACAGGGGCAAGGTGACAGAACTTGGCTTCCACAAAGCATCGTATAATACAATATCTGTATGTAGCGTGCCTGCCCTTGACCATGGCACAGCCTGGGATTGCTTGCCCTGGTTGGGCAGCAAGTGTATTTCTCCTTGATCCTGACCAGCTCCGGAGGCAATGCTGGAGAGCAGAGTCACTAGACTCGCTTTGTCCAGGACACCACTGATGTTCACTTCTCTTTCACAGTCCAATCTAAGTGCTTATCACAATGGTTCCAAGTCGGAAGGCTCCAAGTAAGTACCGGTCTGGTGCTGTAGATTCACATCCAGCCCCAGCCACGTGACCTTCACGGCCCGGTCACCATAGGCCCGCCCCTGAATCTGGTGGCGAATCACGCGCTCCGAGCATGAGTATCTATCCTGGCTATGATGTCGCCGCAGAGATGGCAATGTTTAGAGTCCCTCATGGGAAATCAAGCGTGCAGCAGGGTGACCGACATGATACTGTAACAGATCTAGCATCTCTTGGAACATGTAGCCGGCTGGCCTACTCTGCACTCACACCACAATCGTACCACTCGGCTCGAGTAATCCTCTACTTCGGGGACGCGAAGAAATGCCATAACTACAAGCTTTCTCTCTTTCTTATTTCTCCTTTGCCTCTTTCCTCCTTTCATAAGGTATCTTCTCTACAGTACCTGCTGACCTGAAGATCCCACCGACTTCGAAACCCAACCACCACCACCATCCTCAACACCATTCGACCATCTAGCGGTCTAGGTTTCGCGAAACCCTCCAGGACGATAGCGACGCCGCCAGGTCAAGTCCTTGCAGGTTGTCAACAACATATATAAAGCTATAAAGATCGCAAATATGGCTAGGAATTCGCAATTCCCCAAGGCAAAACAAGTCGGGGCGGAGATGAGTCAGGAGCGACCGGCGTCAGCGCCGTCCTCTGCCCAGAATCTCGCGCCATCGAGGTACGCTTTTCTCCGTTTCTTACATCGTCATCACACATTTCCATTCATCCCATCTCTGCATGCACTTCCAAGCTCATTGCTATAGTATCTTGCCACGGGCCGGGGTTGGCATAGCTTGCTCCTCCTTGGCAGCAGACTCCCTGAAGACTGTTAGGTTGTCCATTCTTTCATACGTTCTTGCTCTGTTTCCTGCAACCGACCGACTCTTTCGGTCCCGGGTCTCAAGGATCTGGGCTTTCTTTAGACAACGAAATGTCCTACGTTAGGTTGTTGTATTACCCTATATTCACTTCTTTGCTCTCTTGACATGCTGTACTTGAAGTTCTCGGCTAACACGGTTCAGCAGGACCGAGGAGGGCGAACTCCCCCGTTCAGTCAAGAAGTACGTGCCCATACACTTGGTTGTGAGAGAGTTCAATTCAAGTCATGCCTGTGTCCACCACCCTGCCCTTCGTTCGCTTTGGGCTGCGTTGTGGTCCACTTCAGTCCAGCCCCAGGTGTTAGCCGAGTTGCCAGGCACAAAGGGAGCCGTCACCTCCAGGACTCGCACCATGGGTGTGGAAGGTCGCTCTTTCCCATCTCAGGGGCCGTGGCCGTGACTACCTCCCGATGGAAGGCACGCTATCTGGCATTGATCCAGTGGCAATGGCTAAACCCCGGGGTCAAATCTTCATTCACCAGAGACCGACTTCCATTTTCAAATTCCAGCCTTCCAGTTGACCACGCCCATACTTTCACTGCGCCAGGTTTCTACCCGTCCTCCTCAACACCACCAAATCATCATCCCTTAGCTGTTGATTGAAAGGACCCCGAGCATTGTTGGCTTGCCTTTTTTCAGTTAAACCTTCTCTACTAACAGCGGTTCTAGTCCTCTTAATAGCGAGTACCCGCTTCATTCGACAACGTCCGCCTTCCTGTCACCATCGGCGAGAAGACATTCTGGCACTCAAGCTGCAAGGCTGAGCGAGAACGGCTTGACAAGATGGCCGAGTTAAGGAAAAAGTACACCGTCGGGGCCGACCAGGTGGTGATAAAAAGCGCGCCAAAGCTGGACATCATAGTAAGTCGCTCTCCCAAGCATTTTCCCTAGACGCAAGGTATGAAGTCTAATCCGGTAGGTCCACGTTGTTCTGCCGGCACCAATGCGCGGATTTAAAGATCTTGACCCCTCAGATGTCGACGTGAAGGCCCTGCTCTCCCGAATTGCCGGAGAGCATGATGCCGTGGCTGAGGTAGAGACCAGTGGCCCTGCCGTCACCGTCACGGTGAGAGCCGCGAACAGGGCAAAAGCTCAAGATGTCGTCACGAGCATTCGATCCAAGCTCAGGTACCAGCCTGGAGAGGACGGCGTGTGGCGCGCCCGACTGCTGGTCCACCCTCCGACGGGTGGAAAGAACTGCTTCACGGCAGTTATCCAGCCCCAGAAGGGCACCGTCGGTCGGCGTATCGTCGCAATGTCCGAGGAACCGAAGCCGAGCGACTCAAATGAGAAAGTCGCACTGCAGCTTGAATATGCGAAGCAGCTGACCCAGGCCATCAACCGCGCGGGGTCTATCTTGCTTTCCAACCCCAATGCCATGCATATGAGAGTGCGATTTGGGACCCTTGTTCTGGACGAGTGGAAAAAGGATCAGGCAGATTACAGCTTCGTCGATCTATGCAACCTCGTTCACCGGGTTGGCACCAGGGGCACAGCTCGCATGGTCGATCGGTAGGTTGCCTTCCGCCAAGTTTTCATTCAAGCCTTACTGATGTGACTTCAGGGTCGGCAAGAAGGCCATAAAGGCACTTCGTGACAATCTTTCTCAATCGAATAGGGACCTACCGGCTTCGGTGCGGAGCTACCTCGAGATTGAGCCAGTGCAGACCGATTCCCTGATTTTCAAGACCAAGAACCTACGTGTTGAGTCAACCTTCGAGAAGGTGCGGGGCCAGGGCAAGTATGAAGAGAAGATAGGACAGATAGTCCAGTATACACTGGGTCCCCTTACGCCAAACCAGCAGGAGAAGCAGCAACGGGCGCTAGAGATTACGACCGCGTGCCCGGAGGGGTAAGGCATCCCACGCAGTCCTTCTTGTTCACAACAACTAACAGCGGGATAGTGCCCATGACTGGGTCCTTGAAGTCCGTAAGGAGAATTCCGAACAGGACACAGAAGCTGCGCCTCCGTTCACTGTGGATGAATTGCACAAGGTTCTCAAATTCCAGCGCGCTGCCCTCGGCGAAGACTTTCCGGTGATCACTATTCCGAAGTATTTCCTCCGCACGCACGAAATTGAAGATATCTACGGCAAGAGGACCTGGCTCTATACCCTGAGCACGAAATACTTGCTGGAGATCAGCTTGATCCACGAGTTTGGACAGAAGGCGCCGAACCAAGCTGATACCATATCGACAACCGCCACTACAGGTAGCGTGACGCTGTACAGCGAGGACTGGGATGACGACATGCGTGCTGGTGCTGGCGTGCCACGGCAATGGGACGCCTCCTTCGCAGAGCAGTTTTTCATGCCATATGACGGGGACATAGCCCCAGGCGAGGATCACAACCAGACGACCCAGCCTCTTGACCATTTTCTCCTCTGGGTCAAGTGGATTCGGACTGTCCTCGACGATGCCTCCGACCAGCACGCCGAGGCTAGTAGCGCCATGTGATGGCTGGAGCGATGAGTCCAACGGCGGCCAATCCCGACAAAACGTTCAGTCGGCAATCAATCATCCAAATCCGTCGAGAAGTCGATCTCCATTGCAGCCTTTTGGCGAGGAGGGAACGAAAAGCGCGTACGGCTAAGTGTCTGGATCACTCTTCACGGTTAGAGCAACCTCAACTGGTGATGAAAAGGGACGATGCGATGCATGTACCAGGAAGAAGGGAAACGGGGAATGACAGGGGCCTCATGACATTCTGTTTGGACGTTTTAGTTTCAGCAGTTTCAGTTTCCGAACGATGGATTTTGCTATGTGGATGAAGGAAAGGATTCGGTTGCTTTGAAGTTGAAGTTCATAGGTGGTATCTGGGATCGATCAATGGCTTGACGCAGTTGACTGAACTCAGTTTTGGCATCATCTTCGTTCAAGGGTCGCTGTTGATGTAGGTATAACGCAATGAGTTCCGTCATCCCCTAAAACGAGCCTTCACTTCACAGCGGTTGTAACATCATGATGTTCATACCACAATGGCGGGGACGCTTGATTGTGAATGGCATCAATTGCTACACGAAAGCTTCTTGAGCCTCACTGCTCCGAAGTATCATCGTGATGCTGGTGCTGATGCCTCCCCACCCGTGCCCGAACCTTGGACCAGCACCTTTTGCCGCAACACTGGCCAGGGTTGTCTGTCAGTGCCACCGAGCCAGAAATACGAGCGTGAGTGAAGGAATCAACGTAGAGGAAGACTAACCTTCTTCCACCACCCGCAGGTTGTTCGTTTTAGCTTGCACGATACCTTCGAGCCCTTGGATGTTGCCCGCCAACTCCTTGACCTTGGCTTCGTAGAACTCGGCGGCGGATGCGGTGTCCTGGTGATTGCTGTTAGATGAGGGTGGCACTTTCTCTTGATGTGTATGTCTATTTTTCATCTTCTCTCTATGTGATATTCGAGTGGCAGGTGTAGATGGCTCGGTTGTTGTGAGGTGAGATATCGAGGATCCGGTTGAGTTTGGCAGGTAGGAGAGTTAAGATGAGGGTGACGGTGAGGGTTCTGTTACCTTTTCTACATAGAAGCCTGTCCCAACGTCAACCAGTACGCGGTCGGGGTCGGCGAGCTGGCCTTTGACGTAGAGGGAGTTTGTGAGCGGGACGAGTATGGATTTCTCTTCTTTGGTTGTGTGTTAGCGGATCGATGATGAGGCAGTCAGGGGTTGTTGATGGTTCGATATCAAGGAGTCCGAGTCCGAGTAGGAGTTTGGTCCTAACGGAGGGGAAGGAAGAGACGCCGAACTCCGGGCAGAACGTTCGCTAAGTAAATCGTGAGAAAGAGGAACGCACTATCGAATGATGATGAGCCCGACTTGACGACACGCAGGCACTCCTTGAACTTGGCTTGCGCTGCGGCAAGCTGTGCGTATGATGTCGAGAGGTGTTCTACTTCGCCGTCCAGCTGCTTTTTGACGGCAGTGAGCTGTTGGGCACTGAGGCTGGCGAGGTCAACTGTTGAGGCGGAATCAGTGTTTGTTTTCTTTCAGTCGGTCTCTTCCGGGCAGACCCAGGGGTGGCCCTCTGAGCTGAGCGATGGTGGGGTAGCGTAGATTGTAATGACTTTCAACCAGAGTTTGGCTGGGATCGCGCAATGAGTTTAGGACTGTGAAAACTGACCTGCCTCTCCTTGTTGCTGTTGCTGACCGCCACGGCTGGCCATGTTTGGGAATTCTTGGCTTCAGTTGCCTAGGTAGTACTGAGGGAGGCTAATTAATGTCGGAGCCACGATAGGACTCAAATCCTTTGGGTGTTGCTGGCTGCCCCGCTACGACCCTGGAACTGCGCGCGTGGAGCTGTGAACTTCAGTAATGTGGGCCGTGATTAGACGTCATGTCTGGCGGGGTTATGCAGCTAATGGATAGGTAGATAGGTCAAGCCCAGGTCGGCAAGTGAGAAACTGAGGTTTGGTAGAGTTCAAGACTTTTCTGGAAGACTCTTCCGATGTATCAGAATCAGACTTGCTGATCCGTTTCGAGCGTCTGCATTGTTATTGAGGGACTGGCGCCATGATCAGTTTCACACCGATTACGGCTCAAACCGGCTTATAGAGATGGCGCTTATCTGGCATAGCAGGGGGGTGGCATTATCACACTCATCCGAATCTTCACCGTTCACAAGTTCACACCAGCTCGGACTCACAAGTCAGCTCGCACCCACAGTCTCCTATTACCTACGCTATTGTGGCTGTGGTGTTCTTGTCCTACGAGGCCTCATCGTTCATTGTCTCTCCGACATTAAATAACTTGACAGCTTGACCAACTCCCACTTCTCGATTTCCAGCTCAACCACACCGTTCACCAATCGCATCACCACTGTCCTCGTAGCAACAGCTCACTCACAAACACTCTATTTCACAATGCCTTCCCAGCTGCCTCCCGGAATTCGCATTAGCCATGGCCTTCACCCAGCCAACACCGGAAAACGGCGGTCTCTGGTCGCAACCCAGTCCTTCTCTCCGGGTAGCCAGATAGCCACCTTCTCCAACCCCCTCATCGCCCTCCCCGACGGCCCATCGATGCGCACAACCTGCAACTACTGCCTCCACGTGGGCTCTCCAGAATCTGATGCCACCGACTCAGGAAGAGGAGGGCGGGGAGGAGGAGGAGGAGGAGGAGGAGAGGGACAGCAACAGCCGCAACAACTGCGGGCGTGCACGGCCTGCAAGGCAGCAGTCTACTGCAACGCCACGTGCCAGCGTGCCCACTGGCGGGTGGTGCACAAGCTCGAGTGCAAGATGTTTGCCCGCGTGCGGGAGAACGCCGGCAAGGACTGGCTGCCGACGCCTGTACGGGCTGTCGCGCAGGTCTTGATGCTCTTGAAGAGTGGAGATCCGGCTATCAAAGAGGCTTTTGAAACGGGGGATGGGTTGGAGGGGAACGTAGAGGGTTTCAGGGCATATGAGGAGGTGTGGAAGGACTTTGAACTTCAAGCTACTGCGGCAGTGGTGTACGCTGGGTTGCTGGAGGGAGAGGAGATGCTGGCAAAGGCAAGGGAGGTGTTGTGTAAGGTGAGTGCTCCGTGTATCTGGTGGGTGAAGAGGAGCCGCGTGCTGAAGGGGTTGCAGATACAAACGAATGCCTTCAATCGGTTGGATGCCGATACGGGTATGACGGGCATCTTTCTCGACGCCGGGTTGGCGATGGTCAATCACTCCTGCGTCCCGAACGCGTTTGTCGGGTTCCATAAGAGGACAGCTGTGCTGAGGGCAGAAAGGCCGATTCAGGAAGGGGAGGAAATCACGATCTCTTATATCGGTGGGTAGCATCGTGATCCTATGGAGGTGGTGATGGCTTGCTGACCTTCTTTGCCAGATAACATGCTGCCCACGTCGGCGCGACACGAGGCACTGAGACTGTACCATTTCGAGTGCGTCTGCCCTCGATGCTGGGACGACTTGGATGTCTATGAGGTTTGCCAAGCTTCGCCTCACATCTATCTCAACGCATTCAGCCTCCAGCCGGACCTGTCAAAGCTACAAGACCCGCCAATTGACAGGTCGAAGGTGACCAGGGCAGAGATCGAAGCAATTTACAAGAAATGGCAGACTCTCGCCCCGCCACAAGGCGATGACGAGGAGGAACACCTAAAATTCGCCTGCAAGCGATGGGAGCTATGCAGGCCCCTCGTCGAAGCTAAGATGTGGGCTGTTGAGCCATTACCGACAACCATAAATCAGCTGGCCATCCGCTGGCAAACCAGCTACAAGATGGTTGTTTACGCCCTGCCCTTGCTATGTTTCCTTAGCACGGAGTGCGACCCCTTCAAACTGGTGGCGCCATTCCAGCCGTGGAGAATCAAGGGCGTAGTGGCTATCATCAAAATGTTGGCCCTCACTGGAGAGTTCACGGCGAGCGGGGCGCTCGCAACGAGATGCGCACACGAAGGTCTAGTAGGAACCCTAGCTATGGCGGACCAGGTCAGCATATGCGAAGCGCTACTTCGCCTCGCTGTCCGTCATGGATCTATCGGCGCGGCAGAGGATTGGGACGTACTGAAACAAGCTAAGTCGATGCTGGAAGACCTCGAAAGCCTGGAGGGACGAGAGCACGAGTCGAATCTGATCCGAGCATGGGCAAGAGATCCGGAGGACCCCGAAGGTGCTGCCTTCTTCGAGGACCAAGTGCTCAGACCCATCAAGACGCTTGCGTCTTTTGCACCTCAGATTTTAGAGGCGATGCTGGGCCGCAATAGCCCGGTCAAGCAAAAGCAGAAATGATGCGGCGTATTGCAACACCCTTACAAGGGGAATGCTGAGAGACGGTCAGACGCACTTGTCGTGCGAGTGCCCGGTGACTTCTTCCTTTGGTATCCTGGAGTTAAATGGGAAGCATCATCGCCGTCCGATGCTTGACCCTGGTCCGTGGTCACCAGGCGGTTAACAGGCATAGAAGGCCCCCGGTCCTTTCTGCCTGGGAAGTGTGGGTGGCCAACTGAGTGAGCGGGCCTCTTGGAGAGGTGGTCGAGCCTTGGTGAGGCCGGCCGTTTTCGCGAGCCAGGCAACAGTTCAACAAGATCTCCTGCACCCATATTGCGACTCTGTCGATGATCATCCCCTGCTTGTCCACTAACTTCTCGCTTCACGATCTGTTTCTCTAAAGAGTCCAGGCCCCTCTGCGATGCTTCGATTTCGCGAGTTCGGTGCACGCCCTCCTTGGTCCCAGTTACATTCACGTGTTTGGAGAGGACGTGCTCCCACATCTTCTCGGCTGTGAGACTCCAAAATCCGCACTTGACGGGCTGTCCAGGGCCACGCTGCCAGTGGCATTTCAGGTACGCCTGCCCTTCCGGGGTTATCGGATGCGATCTAGCGCGGATTCCACGTACGATGTACTTCTGCTCCTCTCTGTTGGGCCCACTCTGAATCACTTGTGGGCGGGCGTTTGGCCAGACAGCACTGATTCTCTGGATAAACTCGGGGGCGCTGATGATGGGACGACCTGCACGCGTTAGGGCTCCGAGGAACGATGCGCTGTACGCTCTCCAGAGAGCCAATTGGTCGATTTGAACCTCAGGGTCCTCCTCAAAGACGCAGCGGAGCCATGTACCATAGCGTTCGGGCTCTTCCATATCAAGAAGACGTGCCTGCAGATCTTTGGGAATCCGGATGACTTGGTCAATGGTGGGTTGGTCGGCTTTGCCCCCAGTCTTATTGCTGGTGAGCACTTCGAGCTCCCCAGACGGGAGCACTTCCGTGCGACCCATGCTTCTCGAGCAAATCTCGTCTATTTGACGTCTCATCTTCGCCATCTCGGCGCGGAAGCTCGCCATGTCCTCGGCATCTTCTGTCGCAGGCAAACTGCCATTGATGTCAGACTTTAATCCTTGCATCTCTTGGTACTGCGAACGGAGCTTCGATTCGAATTCGCACAGCTCCCCGTGGATCAGAGTGCGCAACGCGGCAAACTGTTGGCCGAGTTCTCCAAGAGTAGCGGTCGCCGACGCAAGCCGGTCCGCCAGTGCTCCCTGAGATGGCTCAGCGACTTTTGCGTTGCTGCCCATCGTCGGCTCATCGATGAGGATCCGTTTGATAGCAAACTCGCTTCCGTGGCCATCACTATCTAGCAATCCCACCGAGGCGAGCCTGAGCAGGATCTGACCCCTGGACCGGTGTCAGAGGCAAACAGATACCCGATGAGGTGGTCGGGCAAGGACTTACCCGCCCAACAAGTGGTTTACCGGCGTATGAATGCACTTGAGCCCTAATACCGCAGTGCAATTCCTGCAGGTGATGTCTCGTACATGGCTATACAAGGCAGTTAGATCAACACTAGAAGTAAGACTGACACCGGCATATTCACCAATCTTCTACTATAGTCCCTCGTTGCCCGAACCTGTCGTGTCCTTGGCAATGGATCGCCAGGTCACCCTCTGGCTCCAGGACCGGACTAAAAAGGTCTTTGCCAATCTGCGTCCAGAGGTTGGTGAAACGGCCGATGAGGGCACCGCACTCTTTGCACTCGCAAAAGACGCTTTCCATTGTGTGATACGTGCGGGTGTTGGCCGATGATCCCAGTTAAAACTTCAGACAATTGGAGTCGGGGTGGGAAGTCTAGAACTGCTGGTGCTCTCTGGAGTGTTGACATCTGCATGTTCCAGGAGCCTACAATACTCGCCTTGATTCTCATTCGATCCGAATCACTAGGTGGCAGCTCACTGTTCAAGCTCAGTTCACATTGTGCACTACTAAATAAGCTTCGTCGAGGAAGGAGCGTTCGGAACTTCAGATCAAACTACAGTAATAAGTGCTGGAGCCATCGAGGTTCTCTTAGCCCAAAACGGGTTAGTACCCTCTGCACCCACCGCCCCACTCGGTCCCCACTTCCGCTTTTCGGCAACCTCCTGCAGGTTTGTTTCCAAATGCCATCAATCTTGAAAGCTCCAAAGTTCAACCACCATTCCTTCATCTGCATGGATCACGTGCTGCCCAGCACTTCTTTCATCTCTATTAGCCTTTGACTGCCCACGACGGCTCTCAGACTGTCATGGGGAAGAACCGAAAGTCCAAGCACAACCGTGGCGTGGCTGGCACCATGGCAACCCTCGCTATCGACGGGGTCGACGGGTCTGCCGACGCGGAGGACGCCACTCAGACTCTTACGACAGAAAACTTGACTTCGGACTCGGGCAGCCTCAAACGGCCAAGTCCTCACGATGCTGAAAGTGACGACGGATGGCAGACGATCGAGCGCGGTCGGCCCGTCAAAAGGCACAAGAAGATCCCAGGTCCCAACTCTAACCGGTACCCGGGCATTACCTTCTCCCAGCAACAAGCAAGGTTGCAGGCCAAGATTCATGTCTCATCCCTGCGTGACTTGATTCTATATATCTTCGCTGACGGGCCTGCTCCTCAATGGGTATCGGTTAAGCACCGCCCGGAGTTCAGGAAGATCGTCGCCATCATGGTCCCCGGCCTCGAAGAGGCCATGTTCCAAGAGAAGGTTGACTTTTCCAGCTATAGTCTCTCCCCAGGTCAAGCGATCGAGCGGGTCTCCGCGGGTACTTCTCCGGATGATTATTATCCTCGCGTCCTCAAAAAGGAGGCATTGCACCGGGCTCTGCAGCCATTTGCCGATATGTTCCCGCATATCTGGCCAGTGAAGGCACCGGGCGATGACAAGTACGCCAAGCTGCATTCTCCGATGCAGACTATGCTCACTGCTCCTCTTCCAAAGGAGAAGAAGGGGGCTGCCACGCTGTTGTCTGACCCTCACGGTTGGAGAGATGTGCGAACGCGAATTACGGAGTTTCTGGCTACGACTGATGAGATGATGGAAAACGGTTTCCCAGTACACCCAGCCATGCTCCCGGAAGGAGAGAAGCGAGCCGCTTTCAAAGCCCCTGATGGTTTCGTCCATACAAGGGTCAACAGCCTGGAAGATGGCGATGTTCCCGAGGCCGAAATCCAACAGGGCAGCATCACAGCAGGCCGCGAAGTTTTGGCTTTGGACTGTGAGATGTGCATGACAGGGGAAAACGAGTATTCTCTGACGAGGATAAGTCTGGTATCCTGGGACGGCGAAGTTGTGCTTGATGAGCTTGTCAAGCCGGAGAAGCCTATCACCGACTACGTGACTCGATTTTCGGGCATTACCAAAGAAATGCTCGACCCGGTCACGACTACTCTGAAAGACATACAGACTCGGCTACTTGATATTTTACATCCTCGCACGATACTCGTCGGCCACTCCCTCGAGTCGGACCTCAAAGCGATTCGGCTTGCACATCCATTTATCGTCGATACCTCCATCGTCTTCCCGCACCCGCGCGGTGCACCGCTCAAATCGTCTCTCAAGTATCTAGCGTTGAAGTACCTGAATCGTGAGGTCCAAAAGGGCGACGGCACCATGAACGGCCATGATAGCATTGAGGATGCTAAGACCTGTCTCGACCTCATCAAGAAGAAGTGTGAGAAGGGAAAGGCCTGGGCTGCCGGTGACGTGCAAGGCGAGAACTTGTTTAAGCGACTGGCCCGCGCTGGCACCGCCTACCGCGCCACGGCTGGTCCTCAGGCAACAGGTGGCCTCCCGGTAGGCAAGACCAGCGCAGCAGTCGACTGGGGCGACGCAACTAGGAGCGCCTGCAACGCCGCTACTGTCACCATCTCGTGCAAGTCCGACGCCGAGGTCGAAGCTGGCATCATACGCGCCGTGAAGGGTGACCCGGACGGCCTTGAAGTCCCAGGTGGCGGCGTCGACTTCGTCTGGGCCCGCATGCGCGAGCTGGAAGCCCGGCAGGGCTGGTGGAACCGCAACAAACTCCTCGCAGAGGACGCCGGCGGCCCACCTTCAGTTCCATGCGATAGTGACAGCGACCCATCTGTTCCTTCCCTGGAGCAATGCCTCACTACTCTTACCGATCGGCTGAAGCGCATTCACGACGCTCTGCCGCCCTGTACAGCTTTCATCGTGTTCAGCGGCACGGGCGACCCGCGCGAGGTGGGCCGGCTGCAGGCGATGCAAGCGCAGTTCCGCAAGGAGTACAATACCCCGGGCTCGAAATGGGACCAGCTCAGCGTGCAGTGGACTGACAAGGAAGAGCAAGCCCTGCGGCGGGCGGTGAAGGCCGCACGCAGCGGGGTCGGTTTCATCGGTGTGAAATAGGGGTAGCGTCCGCCAGCATGGTTCGTGGAGCGCCGGTGGAGGTTGGTGGTGTCTTATCCGTGGTGTGGAATCGCGCTGCGTCGGTCGATTTTGAGGTTGCTTTTCGGAGTGTTTTGACGCCTTGCCTTGGTGGATCACCTGTCGGAGGCGTACGGTAGCAGCGATGGCGTGCTTACTCTACGCGACATGATCGTCTGAGTATAACGTATAAGAGTGATGTAATCTTGGGGCGATGATTTGAATGGAGGCTAGCCTGCGACCCGAAACCCAGGCATGATGGTCGAAGGTGGATGAGAGATAGATGGAAAGAAGATGCTTGAGAGGCAACAGCTCAAAAGGGGAAGCGGGTCATGGTCTATCTACAAGCCTTGCCTTATATTATAGTCGCTTGAAATTCGATATAGTCGATGATTTACCGCTTTCATTTCATTCCGCTGTCTTTATCGCTGGTTAGGCCGCGATGTCCGTCCCATCTAAGCCGCGATTCCTGGTATTTACAGATTGGCAGCATGAACATCGAGCTGCCGCTGAAGCCAGTTTGGTGAAATTGGCTGACACTGCCGACCACTCTTCCAAATATTGACCATCGCAGATCCGATGCATCCCCTTTTATACACACGTATCCTATTCCGCATGAGATTGACAGTACGTCCAGTCACCAGATACCAGTGATAGTGACTCGTGAGAAAGCCGCCGAAAGAGAAGGGCAGAATCAGAAAACCACGCGCCTCTCCCATAGCCTCCCAGAACCGCTCAAATGCCAGACCCGCTTCCCTTTATGATCATGTTTCTGCCCCGGGTCACCATCACCGGCCCCGTCAAAAGTCAAACTCGCCCCTGAAAATCTCCGGGTCGACGCCCACCACGACCTTCTCCGCGAGGTCTCTCCTGCCCATTTGCGTAAACACGCGTCTCAGCGTATCGTAAAGCGTGGTGCTCCGGTTCTGGGTGGTCATGGCCTCGATTCTAGCGTCCAGGCCAGGGCCGGCGGCGTCGCCGCCCAGCAGCTCCCTCGCCTTCTCGCGCCCGCTTTTCTCCACGCTCTTATGCATGTCCAGCGAAGCGAGCAGATGGCCGGCGGCCTCGGCGTGGCAGCCTATGTTAATGCACGAGACGCCGAGGTTGTAGCGGGCGCGGACAAAGTTGGGCTTGATCGCGAGCGCCTTCTCGTAGGCGGCGATGGCCTCCTCGGAGCGGCCCGAGTTGGCCAGCGTTGCGCCCAGGCGGTTCCACAGCAGGTGGATCTGCTCGCGCTGGTTCGACGTGCCCAGCTCGGAGCTGTGCAGCGCCGCCTGGAAGCAGTCGACCGCCTTGTCGTATTCCTCGGCGCCGTAGAAGAGCACGCCCAAGCCGACCTGCACGTCCGGGTCCATGTGGTCGCCATCCGGGGCGAGGCGGGCCGCGGCAAGGAAGAGGTCGGTCACGCGCCTGTGGAGCTGGGCACGGTCTGTGAAGCCCATATCGGCGGCCGAGGAGAGCTCGGTGGGGGCGATGATTTGGGGGTACTTGACCGAGAGCCAGCGCTCTAGGGTGCGGTAGGCGGTGCTGTCGTAGCCTTCATTGGTGTAGGATACCGCGAGGGCCATGAGGGCGGCGAGGTTGTTGGGGTCGAGCTTGAGGGCATGCTCGAGCGCGCGGATGGCGGCTTCTTCTTTCTCATTCTGGGCTTGGGCGCTCCCGAGGTAAACCCAGGCCTCAGCATGGTCGGGGTTCTTCTGCACAGCCGCTTCGAAGGCGAGAGCGGCCAGCGAAAGGTTGCCGCCCTCGTTCATTATGCGGACACCCTCCTCAAAGGGGTTGGGTTGGTCTTGGAAGAGGTTCTCCTCTTCGAAGAGGTATTCTTGCGCGATGGGGTCTGTGCCGTAACGGCTGTTCAGCGACCAGTCGTTGAGGCCGTCCCCGCCAAAATTCGAGCTGTCGAACTTGGCGAAACTGTCCTCAACGTCGTCTAACTCCTCCATGGCCTCCCGCTCGGCCTGGATGCCGCGCCAGATCGACTCGAGGTCGCCGTAGCCGGTCTCGGAGTGCAGCAGCTTCTCGTCCATTTTGTTGAGCTCAGGCTCCATGGACCGTGCCTCCTCGTCCAGCTGCTCGCGCAGCTGGCGGTCGTGCAGCTCCATCTGCTTGAACTGCTCTTCCCATTTGTTCTCGTCCAGCTCGACCACCTCTTTGCCCTTTCCCTTGCCAACGCTCTGCTGTTGCGTCAGCGGCTGGGCCATGTGCAACTGCGGCCCATACATGGGCTGGAACATAGGGCGCGACACCATGCCGTAGCTCATGCCGCCGCCCATCATCATAGGGCTCTGGGGTTGGCCCAGGACGGTGGCGCTAGCTCCAGGCATGGGGCTACCGCGGGCTACAGACGGTGCGGAGCCGTTCATCTGCTGGAATTTGGCGAATTCTTCCGGGCTGAACTGGGTTCCTGGCGGTACGTTGAAGGCAGCTTCCATGGCAGCCTGGGTGTCGGGCGGCGCCCAGGCGGGGGACATGGGCGAGCCAGTTTGGGCATGGAGGTGCACGCTGTGACTGGGGTCGAGCCCGATCTCTGGGAGACCTGGCGCGTGTTGGAGAAATCCGTTGACCATCTACATCAAGGAACAACATGTTAGTTTTTCCTTCTGTGCATGTTTTCACGGTTTTCACACTCCAACCGACCTCATCCTGCGGGGCATTGTGACCCATGCTCCTGAAGCCTCCGGCGGCAGCATTCGGCCCTCGGCCAGCGAGCCTGTCATGCTGCAGGCTCTTGTCGTCTTGGACGTGCTTCGTGAACTGACTGAGCGGATTGCCCGCCGTCGAGCACTCGGCACCACCGAGAAATGACATGATCACTAGGAAAAGAAGACGTGTAATGTGATAGAGGTTGCCCGGGGGTATTTGCGAGAGAGGCGACTCGTGAGAGGAGCTTTGAAGTGGTTGGCAGTGAGGGTTACTAGATGCGGGGCTGACAAATACCGGGCCAGGTGCAGAAGATATTCATTAATAAGAAAGCAGATGTTAGCCACGAAGTTTAGAAAAAGCAAATAATAAAGAAGGCCAGGCCAGGATCCCGCCACAGTTACGTTTCGCGGGGCTGAGGTTGGGCATGCAATGTCTCCGAGATCTCAGGCCCTGTCGGTCGTGTGTGCGGCTGTCATAGGCCGCCACCTGATATGCCGAGGCAGTGTGCCCCACACCGAGCGTGAGGGACAGATCGGCTTTCGGCCAGCGGTGTGCACAGGCACGGGCCGGCAGCAATCGAGCGTTTGGGCGATGTACTTGGGGGTCCGAGCGTTTTTCAACCGATGGGCCCCCTCTAAAGAACAAGCCTCGAGCGTGAGCGGTACCTTCCAGCTTCAGGTTCCGAACTACTGGTACCTATAGCCCAGTGTACATTACATTTAGATCGACGCCTCCTCTTTCAATGATGATGGGGTAGTTATACATTCATGTTACAGAAGGAAGATGCCATCATAGATGATTCATACATAGCGGGGACTTAGACTTCCCACAGGAAGCCAAGCGAGGAGCCCATCCACCTGTCGTTGGGCCAACAACCCCAAGGAAATCATGGCCACGCCGAGCGCCCCCACGAATTACCCGTGACGGCCAGCGACACCCCTAACGCATGTGGTGTTGGAACCTTTCCCTTCAATGCTCACTCGCTCTCATCAGTAAAGATGGACCGAGAAGTCTTGTCTTGGTTCTCCCCCTTCCTATACCCGTGCGCATAGTCGAGCTTCAGCTCCCGATCGCCAAGCTTGGCGCCCTCTAGCCTCTTCATTGCCTCCATGGCTGCCTCAACGGACTTGAAATCGACGTGCGCAAAGCCGCGGGGCCAACCAGTGGTGCGGTCGACAGCCACCCGTACATCCGTGATGTTGTCAATGCTCCGGAAGAGCCGGTTCAGCTCGGCATCGGTCGTCTCGTAGGGAAGGTTGCCGATGAAGAGCTGCGCGGTTGGGGTCGACGGTGAGTTGCGGTGTCTCAAGGATCTGGGCGATTCCTTTTTTTGTGTCCGGGGAATGCAGGTAACACGGCGCCCGTGCCAGAATGAGCCGTTGACATTTGCGCAGGCATCATCCACCGCCTCTTGTGTCTTGAAGTGCACGAAGCCATACCTGCAAGTGGGTAGCGAAGTTAGTCGCACTGCTTCGTCCGGTAGCAAGTTGGAGGCTCCAAAGACGGAAAAGCAGAATCCAACTCACCCTTTGCTCATACCGCGAGGGTCGCGCGCAATGAATACGCCCTCGACCTCGCCATACTTGGCAAATGCCTTCTGCAGATGCTCCTCGGTGATCTCAAATACAAGGTTGCGCACGAAGACGCTCTTCTGGCCTGGATATTATTGTTAGCTGGCTGTACGCAGCAGATACGCGCAGAAGTCCCGGCACGCAGGTGCTTACTTGATTCGTTGGATCGTCTCCGTGGAGCAGGTTCTTCCGGCGTCACTTCTTGCATCGCCTCCTGAATATCGGCCTCGGTTTGCGCCACGGACTCCTTCGACTGGTCAGTTACTCACTCTACACCTGGGTGTCTGTGTCTTGAGCGCTGTGCAACATACTTCTACATCTTGACGAGCGTCGGCAACAACTTGGCGATCAAGTTCCTCCTCCGACTTGCGCTGTGCTTCCTCTAACTGCCTGTCTTCGGATGCTTTACGCAGCGTCTGCGAGAAGAAGCGGATAGCCTGCGGTGAAGCTGACCTCGCAACACTGCAGTCTGCGGGAGCCACGGCGGCAAAGGGCGCAATGGCCCTTGGGGTCAAAACGGCCCTCGTGGCCGAGAGCGCGGACCTCAGAGCAGCGCGGCGTAGACAATGCCTGCATCATGGTTTGGTGAATGGTCTGCGTACCCATATGTATTGAGAAGGGAGAAGTTCAATGGTATACTTACATTTTGGGGATGTTGGCTGGGAATCGGATGTTGTGGTCTGGAATTCTCAAGCCAACGCCGACTTGCTGTGTCTAAGGTACACGGCTGCAGAACGTGTTCCCGTGGGCTGCTCTTTGCAAGAAAATTTCCTATCGCATCAGTCGATTGAGCGAGGACCCCTGCTGGCAAGCTGGCTCCACCCTCCCCTCCTCCCCCCGCGCTTGGCATGCACGTGACATACATACCGAAGCCGAACATCACGGCCCACTCGCCTGCCACTTCATTATTCTCTGGCACCAACCAATCATCAACAAATTCGTCATGAAGGGGCGTGTGGCTCAGTTGGTAGAGCGTTCGCTTAGCATGCCTGGTGCATGCGAAAGGTCCTGGGTTCGATTCCCAGCTCGTCCACGATGCGCCAATGGTCTAGTGGTTAGGATTCAACCCTTCCAAGGTTGAGGGGGGGGTTCGATTCCCTCTTGGCGCAGAAAAAGATCATTGGAAAGTGACTTCTCTTTTTTCCTGATCGCGGTTTGGTTTTGTTGACCGCAAGCAACTGTTGCGAGCTTCTCAGAGAGGCTACGAAAGAACTGAGCGAACAGAAGGCCAGGATCGCACCATGCTCGATCTACTATATAGCCTGTGTTGGGTGCATGGCTGGACAAATCAAACTGGGTCCTGATAAAATGTGGTTGATTTTCAAGTACGTGGGTTACTTATTTATGCCCATTCCACGGCAGCATTGCTTCCCTGCTTTCATCTCTCCTCCTCTAACCAACAAGGAGACTTGATTTGATGGGCATTGAAACGGTTCTTGAGTTCTTGAGAGCGATCTGTTGATACGCTGTGATTCTAGGGCAGAGAGAGATCCTCAACCGAGGCTGTGAACTGGTGGCACAACCTACTGTTGTTGGGTGTAGGTCAAGAGGTGACATACACACGCTGTATCACGACCATAGCTCTGAAGCTCATCATTAATTTATATGTAACATCTCTATAAGCGACGGTCTGCTTAACCGGTGTCATACCAAAGCGGCCAAGCAGGTCCCCCCTCTCAACCGTGTTCCCGGTTACGACTTCAGCCTCTGCAGTCTCCTGAGTCTCGAGAACTAAGCAACATTCTCGCCTCCGATCTTACGTCCGAGAACCAGATAGTCACCGTCCGTGTCTTCGGGGAGCAGATAGTCCCGTTCCACTGAACTGGTGCTGCGCTAGTTCCTCCTTGTGAAGCACTATGTGTGCAAGGGCAATAAGAAAATCCACTCTGGCAAGTTCGAGGTCTGAGTTCTGAGCTCGATCCCCTGGTGTTGTACTGTGTAGCCACATGTCTCGGACGGCGTCGGTATTCACAGAGCCTGAAGAGAATCTGGAACAGAGATCGAAAGCACCAAGGAGCACTCTGTATCTGTGTTCAGCGTTGTGCGTTTCCGCATGCCGAATGTCGTTGTACTCGAGGTGCCACATTGAATGGACGCCACTGGACCCGGAGTCTTGGGAGCACCATCTATTGGTCATATCAGGGTTTGGCTATATGCTACAAGTAGTTGTCCGAATCAGCGCCCCGCGAGAGGAGTGGTGCATGCGGGCTGGAGGCTCGCCACACGCCAGCCTAGGACAGTCATTATCCGTACGTTGCTTGCTCTGCCTACTAGGTTGTCTGGAAAGATGTGACTGGCGAGCGGGTGAAGATGCATATGGAGCCGACGAGGTTCGGAGAGGGTGCCAGCTGGAAGCATGGAGTAATACGCGCAGTGAACCACGTGTGGCAGACTCGTGGCAGTTCCCGAGCAAATGTTCTCAGATGAATGGAAGGGATGTGACACCTCACCTAGCCCTACACACACCCATACACCGGGAGTACTTGATCTCTCAGACGACAGGATTCTGCGGGTTGTCTGCTGTCTCACAAAAGCAGCACGGCAAAGTTGGCGTTGTAGGTGCAACGAGGCTACCAGCGGCGGGCAGCCGAGTAACGCACCGGCCGATTGACACGGAGCACCAGACGCCATGGACCGAGGATGTTCGGCCGCAACTGCTTCGCGGCCCAGAGCTGGGCTCGGAGCTACTGTCGAAACCGTGAGAGACGCACCGATACACGGGAGACAACGTATCACCGTCGGTCCCGGGCAAGGGCCAGATATCGAATTCGGCGTCCTGGCCGATAGGAAGTGGTATGGCCGACACGATCAGAAAGCAGACTTGCCGCGGGTTTCTCTATGCATGTACGGTGCCCAGCACGGAGAGCCTCCGCAAGGCACCCTTGGAACGCTGTGCTAGTCACGGCCGACGGTAGTCTTCAGCTTAGCACAAGCGCACGGCGGTAGTTGCGGAGCTTTGGTACGTACGCAGTACCGGCATGTTGCGATATATGGAGAGAAGCGGGGAAAACGGGGCAAGAGACGGATGAAGGTAGGTCGCTCCCCGGGCCTCCTGTTTGCGACAAAGGCGTCTCCTTGGATTCTGCGGTTGGACCATTCCGCGATCCATAATTGTGCGTTCACATAGACATTGATACGGAAGCAAGTGGCAGGCCAGTGGCGGGGGTGTGCATATGTCCTGTCGTGAGCGGCGTCAATGGCTCGAGCGGCGTCGGCGCTACTACGCTAGCGAGTCTGCTGGACAACAGAGGACGGTCATCGAGTTTGTTTTGCGACTGGCTGGGCTTGACGTTAGATCAAGATAGCGAGCCGGCTTTGGGTCCTTCTGGTAGATGATTGGTACGTCTCTTGCTAGATGTCTGACCTTCGACGCAGGCAGGAAAGCCACCAGGCGCGAGGCCTCTGAAATGCCACAAAGAGAAACAGATTTTAGCAAGACATCCCAAAGTCAAATGGCGGACAGGTCGCTGAGACAGATTGTTCTCGGCTGGTAGAATGCGATCAAATCCAGGAAGTGCAAAAAAATGTCTCACCTTGCCGCCTGGAACAAACATCTTTTTGATCATTTGCATCCTGGCGTCCAAGGTGGGGTAAGTCGACTGCAGAGGCTGACCGTCCTACCGCGGCCTCGCGTCTCGTCGATAGCGACTCGGTAACGTTAACGTTATACGGAGAACTTTGCCAGTCCCTCAGCATCGTAGTTTGATCGGTGATAGTGCTCCGTAGCTGCGATCGATTCGCCTTCCAGATATCGAATCGATGCCTCCTAGAAGGAATCTCTGTCTGTACAGGCCAAGGTTCGTTTGATCCATACCCATCACGAAAAGAAATGTGTGATCTAGGAGAGTGGAGCGATCTGCCACGCCCCAGTGCCCCCTTGCAGCCCGAACCAGGATGCGTATTTGGCCGAGATTCGCTGGCATGGCAAATCAAGAACACGTGCCGAGCGCCAATCGTTGGTCGCAGAAAATGCGTCCCCTGATTATTAGGTACTGTACAACTCCTTAACCCCGCGAAGACTTATACGGTAATACTGCAATGGAAGTACTTGTTAGAAGCAGTACCCCGGAGTACAGTTACAGTTGGGTTCCTGAAGGGGAACTCATGGTGAGGCTCCTTTCTGCGCGAAACATCGACCTTCTATGGAGACCCGTCCTGTTGCCGGCAGGCTCGAGCTTTGGCGGATAGAGTGCTTTAGATAACTGGACATTACTACCTGGTAGGTACGGGTACACTATGTATAGGTACCCGAGTGTGCTCGTTGGGCTTCGGCGATCCGGCGCTCCCTGGCGCTGCGTCCGCGCTTGTGTGAGGTGTAGGTACGTATATGTGCATGGATGTACTTGTATAAACATGTACATACCTATATAGACGGAGGCTCAGGCGCCCAAGCAGCACCATAATGAGCGGCGTGAGAACGATTTGTGTGGACTATATGTGCTATAGTTGCGTCACTCACCTGAGTCAATAGTTCGAAGATGCACCCCAAGGCTGGCTCAGGGCTGGGCAACCTCCGGGGCTATGTAACTACGGTATGTACGGTAACGGTGGTTGGATAAAACCTCGGCCCGTTCAAGGGGTGTCGATGGATGGGTCCCAGACTCCCAGTCTCTTTGGTTAGTTGCAGTTCAAGCCGGGCCTAATTGCACCTGCCTGATGTGCGATGACCGAGGTGACAATATCTGAACGGCATTTCCCTTGGCTTTGCGGCACGGCGGGAAACCGACATCGTTCAGGGCACTGCACCGGAGGCTTGTCGGGAGGATTCCCAACCGTCTCTTACCAACAATGGCACCGGGGAACAAAGAGTCGTTGGCGTTCACGATGACCTCGATCTCGGGATGCTGAATGGTGTGACAGCACAGCAAGCGTCCGATGTGAACCTGGGAACCAAGTTCATTCATTAGCCGTTCCCCTGTCCAGGAGTGCTGAGCTGGCTGATTGCGTCAAAAGTCAAGTACTATAAGGTAGCAAGCCTGGTTATAGTGTAGGCAAGCCCAGGTATGTGCATACCGTAGGTATAAGTATCTCGCAGTCGATGATCTCAAGACCGGTAACGTATTGTAGCAGTACATTACCTACCCGAAGTCGTGATGTACGGTAAGATACGCGCCGCCGCCAACATGGTAGACTATTTTGACAAACCAAGGAATAGTACTGTACCTACATAAAATCATTCCAACCTGCAGCGGCCGCAAGGTAGGCTGTTAGGTATTGTTGCTATCTTGCATACCAGAGGGTGAGCGCAGGCTGTCGGGCCCGGGGATCTCGGGGGCATGAGTGCATCTTGGTACGCAGTAAGTTGGTCCCCAGTTTCCCACCGACCGAACTCCATACGGGTGCAACGGGAAGGCCCACTGTGTGGCCGCCCTACACCAAGTACCCCGGTAATGCCTCGTTGCACTTTCCACTTGGCTCTGTTAGTGTACTGAGCTCCTGCCGTTTTCGACGCTTCAAAGCGGCCGTGGTACGGAACCTCTCCCAGAACTTGGGTCGGCACTCGGTGGACTTGGTTGCACCCCTTTAGGCGAGCACAAGTCCCGCTGCTCAATTTGGTTAACATTAGTCGAAATGTGTATTCAATACCTATATTGTACGTACTAGTACCGTGATCACGAATCATGGGGAGCGGAGCGGGAGATACCATGTGGCTGCAAAGAACGGGGTCCATCCATGGGTGGATGCCCGCATGGCACATCAATTCCACCCCGGCTTCATCTGACCATTCCGAGCGGTACGCACGAGTCGCACCCCACTCCGGCCTGCGCACCCGCCCTAGCTGTTCTCTCGTGGCCAGATGCTTGGCTGGCTCAGAAAAACGTGCTGGCCCGCCTTGACACTTTTCGAGGTCTGCCGGTGCGCCCCCCCAGGCCCACACACGCCGTCGAGGTTATTGTTGGATCTCCCACAACCACGCAGTCGCACGCTACTTTATTAGCCCATCAATGCGCACCTAGACAGCTGTACATTTTCCCAGTCGCCAGCCCAGTCGCTCGTTGACCATCGCTCTCCCCTTGTGCCCCTTTAGCGCCGACCCCCTAGCTCGGCCACCGTCCCCCCTACGTTCCCACCACCATTGCTGTTTCCGCGGAGCTTACCGTTCTGAACCTGACCTCGAGTCACCCGAGCTGCCATCGTTCTCCCTTGCTTCCTCCCGAACCAAAAAGGCTAGCTCGACCGAACCTGAGAAAGCTTCAAAAACTGGCAAAACCGAATCTCTAGGACCTCGTCGGGCGGGTTTGCACTCTGTACCGGCCCGCTCGCCGCAATGATGGACCAGCAACGGGCAACCTCACAGAAGTTCCCAGCCGGATTGGCAGGAGTCCTCAACTCGCCGGAGGACAACCGGGACTCGGCGTATTACTCGAGCACAGACGCATCAAGCAAACGTTCGGATCCCCCCGTGCCCCTGACTGGCTTCTCATGTATCAATTGGCTTACTGAGTTCTGGCAGACACCTCTGCTGCTTCGGGTATGGGCGTGCTGAGCCCCCCGCACTCCGGCTTCCAGCCTTCTCCTGTCGACAAGACCCCCTCGCCGACAACGACGTCTCACCTCCTCCCACACCCACTCGTATCCCCAACCACCACGAATAGTGGTAACATGAGCGTGGCGTCGATGGTCTCGCCGACACCCCCCGCTACTACCGATCCGAGGCGCATTGACCGCCCCCAGTCGTTGGACTCGGCTCCAAACAACGCTGGGTTTGTAAATGGAGATATTGCCGAAGCGATGTCAAGGAGAGAGAGCGTGGACAGCAGAATCAACCAGGGCTTTCACGACATGAGATTGGGCAATTCACCTTACGCCAGCCATAACCAGTCGACGACCTCGATCCACACCACACTGCAGCAGCAAAGGAACCCGCGCCCCGGCCTTGATAGTCTCGCGCCTCACCGAATTTCGAATGGATATCAGCCGAGCGCAGAGCGCAACCCCGAGGGACACAGCAAAACCATGAGGATTGCTCCGGCCATTACTGGCCCGGCCACTAGCCAAATCGCTCGGGCCGCAGAGCCGACCAAGGGCCAGGCATGGGCCTTTCCGGAAGAAGAGATCCAGAGATTGCCGTCTGCCACGGCCCAGTCGCTGATCGACTCCAGACGCAGTAGCATTGCTGAATCGTTTGCCAGCAGCCAGTTCACAACTGAGTCCAGGCTCCCAGCGGGGCAGCGACGACTGGAAGAGAACATGGGTGGAGGCGGTTACCAAAGGTTGTCTAACGCATCCGGTGAATACTCGACGGTTCACCACCATACCTTGCAGCACAAACAGCTCGGGGAGCTGCGAAACGAAGAGGCTGGTGCCCAGACGGGCACGCAGCCTTACAGCCGAACTCCCGAGCTCCGTATTAGCCACAAGCTGGCCGAACGAAAACGACGCACCGAAATGAAAGAGTTGTTTGACCAGCTGAGGGATCTGATGCCGCAAGAGAGGGGTTCCAAGGCTTCGAAATGGGAAATTCTGACGAAAGGTTGGAGCTCACTCCCCCCTGAGGCTTCTGAACCGGGTATGCTGACGTTCTAAAAGCAATCTCGGAACACCAACGGCAAAGCGATCTCATCAGGCAGCTCCAGGCCCTTAATCAACAGCAGCAGAACGAGATCGATATGCTGCGACGAGAGCTCCAGGAACGGATACACGGAGCCCCAACGCCACGGCCAGCGGACCCGTACGGCCCTGATCAATATGCGAGGCCCCGGCCGCCTGAACTGCCCCCTCTTCGGTCGTTGCAGTCGGCTACAGGGCCCACGGGGCCCGACTCCATGACAGGCGTGCAGTACGAGCCGCCTAGGGTCAACGGCTACCGACCCGGAGAGCCCGCGAGGTTCTAGAACGACCTCCGGGTGCCGAAGGAAGAGCACGGGCCAACGGCAGTATCTTCTACTTGGCAGTGCTCATGTTGGGCGAAAGCCGATGCGACTTGCAGAAAAGCGTTGCCGCCCCTGCGATGTTGAGGACGCAGTCAGGCTTGGCTAAAGACAGCGGGATACGAAGTTCTGCTAGTGCAAGATTCCAGCTCCCGCCGCGGTCCTCGTAGACCTTGGTGGATCCAGTTCTTATCCAGCCAGCTGCGTCGCCGAACTAGGCGATTAGCCTTCGTCTCAACTGGGACATTGTTCGGATGAGGCGATATGGGCGGTGCTATTTTGCAACTCCCAACGCTAACCCTGAATCGGCACGAAACCGGCCTCATCATCAATTCAACACTTGTGCCGGGCCAGCGATTTATTCGCAAAATCTGATCGGCTAAGACCAGTCATAGCCAGGGCAAATGTTGAACCCCTTATTATTGAATCGTTCACGTGTCCCAGGCCACCATCTCCTTTGTCCATTTATGTGCCTTCTACTGGTGTGGTATCATTCTATTCTGAGGGCGTGGGTTCAAACCAGGGAACCAAAAGTTCTTCTCTACTTGACTTCTTCTGTGGTCGACATTGTGTCATCGCATTCTCTCCCCTTTTACCTTGTTGGCGGTGCGGTTGGTTGTTGACGTGGGCCGGAGGTCTTTTTGGTTGGCGATATGGGAAGTCGGAGGCAAGGTACCTTAGTACCTACCTAGGTATAAACATGGAGTGCAAGCGCCATTGATGGGCGGGTTGGGGTCTTCCAGGCGGAGCACATGGAGTTGGGTAGCCGGAAAAGCGGGCATTTGTGCATCTGTGATGGCTGGTTTGCCGCGATATGCTCTCTTATTATAGCTTATCGGCTCGACCGACATATTCCCCTTTATATACTATACCCATCGAGTCCACTAGGGTCATTTTGTCCACTACGGGATGGTGACGGCAAGACCATCGATGAGAAAGGTTGGCCAGAAAAAGGCGCAAGAGAGTGCGGTATGGACATTGGGATGGCCAGGGGAGTGGATTCGGCATATTGTACCACTTAAGCTGTGAGTGTGGCGGGCGCGTTGACTTTTGGTTTTGAGCTGGTCTGTGGAGATATATTGAGCCGTGTCCCTTGTCTCGCTGCTGACGGGCATATCGGCCCAGTGTACGAGAAACGATTTGGCTTAGATAAGCCTTCTCCAGTCCCCTGAGGCATCTTGGACGTGAACGACTTTGTGACGAATGGCGGTTGAGCCCCAGGCGATCGACGACTTGCTCGGTTCTCCTTACCCCTGCAGGCTGTGGTACAATAGAAGAGTGACGAAATGGCCATGGCAAGGCCCATGGAATCAGTGACTCAACGGGAGAGTCGTGCGTGATACCAGAAAAGCTGCTCCTGGTGGATTCGCTGTGCGTTTGTGGCGTACTAGTTGAGAGACGCTGACGGCCCGTACGTTTCTCGCCATTGCCAATTTGGGATCACATTGTTTTACATCGGGTCAATGACCATCGCCATGGTCTCGAGTACCTACTAGTAGGAACCGCTTAGGAACGATCCGTACCCCAATAGCATTGGGCAGCACCTTTATAGAGCAACGGCTGATTTTTTTTTTTTTTTTTACCCCGACAATTGTTACCCAGAGAAGTAGCGGTTTTCAAAAAAAAAAAAAAAAAAAAAAAAAAAAAAAAAAAAAAAAAAAAAAAAAAAAAATCAAATAGAAACATTATGGCAACCGACTGAGTGGTGGGGAGGGCTTGATTCAACCTCGAGGTAGGATGGAAAGTGTGGAGCGAAGGCCCAGGTCGGCATTTTAGAGTGCAGAATGACGATGAGAGATATCTATTTCTCCCTCCCTTGCCCCTTGCGTTGTTGCTATGGATGGTTGCCGGTTCCTAACATGTAACCGAAATACCTTGAACTAAAAAGTGTCGGTCACACGGACTTACACCCCCCTGATGGCTGCCTTATTAGGTAGGATAATGGTAACTGGGGGGCCTACATTACGTCCATGCTGCGTTATGCGGTCAGTGGCGGATCATGGTTTTCTTTCTAACAGGTACTAGTATTCGCAAATTGCTTATTCAAACGGACAGACATGCTTCTCGAGCAGCGCCCCTATCTGAGCGAAAGATTGAACAGACTGATTCCGTGAAACCTGAACACAGCAGCTGTTTTAAGCCTGGCCACACCTGATACTCGAGCTGGGAGGTACAGTGTAATACTAGTAGACTAATAGTAGTTACTGTCTCCCAATTGCATATTCGATACCTACTGGCTGTTGGCCTATCTTGTCCCCGTGACCTTTAGCGATTCCCGCCTATGACGCGAAGGAGGTGTGATCGCAGACACCCCAAAGTAAACAAACAAACATACACTTACGTTGAAGTCGGCGCAGTGCTATTTCACACCTCAATCTGCACCCTCCCTCGAGCTTTCCGTCTTCCAATTTTTCCGTCGTCCAACAATTAAGTCTCCGGCCGTTCCGCAAACACCAGTGTTCGCAAAGCGCCACAATATTCACCGAAATCGTAACCACGTCCTCCACCTGTGCCTGCCGTCAAATATGCAGAAATCAACAATCGAGCTTGCTTCTCATATTCCGGGGAAGGGGGGAGCCCGCATTCCGTCCTGCGAGCAAAGCGGCGACTGGACTGTCTGGACAGACACCGATTCAGCCATCGACATCCGCTCTCGGTCGACGTCTGTATCCTGCGGGTCGGAAAGCACCGAACAATCGTCCGCAGAAGCCCAGTTTGACACGTCGAAGCAACAACAGAAGGGCCAATTCCCCTATGACGAGGAAGACACCTGGACCGATTACGAGTCAATCCCGGCGTCCCACTCCCTGCGCGGCTTAACCCAAGCTGCTGTACAGCCAGCAACGCAATCCCGGCAAACGTCTACCCCCAATCGCGGGGACGAGGAGAGCGACAGACAGCAGAAACGATTGGAAGCCGCAGAAAGGCTCCGCGCGTGGAAGCAGAGAATGAGCCTGGCCCGCGCAGCCTCCCAAAAGCACCACTACACCCACACCGAGCAGCGGCAGCGCGACTTCCGCTGGGGAGAGGCGTTCTACATCGACGACTCTGGCCACCTGGGCATCGCAAAGGAACTGGGGGACCAAGAATGCCGGGATATGGTCACGGCCAGCCCAGCCGTGTACGGGCTGCAGGCCTGTCGCTGGCACAAGAGCAAGACGAACACCCGCCGGGAGCCGAAGCAGGCTAATAATAATGCTAATAAGCCTCAGCCGCCGGAGGAGGATGGTGGGAGAGCCCCGCCACCGCTGCTGAAGTTGACGGATCCCGAGGGGCAGGAGTGGTTTCTGAGTGATTTGTTCTATTATGCCGACAACTACGATAGTGATGGGGAAGAAGAGGAGGATGACGACCTTTATGAGTGAGAGTTTTTCTTTTTCTTTTTCTTTTCGCTTACTTGGCATTCTACTTGCAAACACGTCGCGTAGACTTTGCCTGCTTCATGCATCGTTCGGCGGGAGGGACATCATTGCTCTTGTTGATTTCACGGTGGGAACATAGCGTCGGCCTGTAACTTTCATGGAAAACAAAGCTGGAGAGACACGGGAGGGATGAGAGAACACTTGGCTTGCGGTGATATGTCTACGGTCTTTATGTAAGGTATCCTTGTTTAGGTTGTGAGAATGACGGAAAATGAGTGGGCTATTTTACAAGCAGCAGAACTTTTATATACCTGGCACTATCCTAGACGGCTAGACCCAGTATAGGGCTATGGGACATGTGTGTGCATCTCGGCGAAACCCCCAATCGCTTCAAGAACGAGATTCAGTGCTTGGGGTTAATCCACACCAAGATCTCGTGATATCCCTTCGCCACCGAGGTCCAGATTGCCGAGATGATTGCTACCAGCTGCTGCGGCACGTATTTGGCCACGTACCACAGGACCTTAACGAGAAACACGACGAGCTTCCCGGTCAGGCCAAACAGACCGATGACGACGCCAGCCGCAACGGCGCCCGCAGACACTATGCCTCTCCATACGGCACGCGGAAGCCCAACGAAGACGGCTTCGCACACGTCGCAGACCCCGTTCCAGACGTCCCGGACCCTGATATTCCTGAAGAAATCAAGCACGGCCGCGATCGCCGTGTGCAGCGCGCCTACAATGCGTAGAAACGCATGGCCGACCGCCTTTCCAACCCTCTTCAGACTCTCCCAGATCCACACACAGACTTGCTTCATGGCCGCGGGGATGCGAGTGATGACGACGGTCCACAACCACCTCAACAGCCTTTCTACTACCCGCGGGATCCCCTTCGCCACGCCCCACACAACTCGGGGCACCATTCTGGCCCCCCTCCAAACCGCCTTCCCAGCCCGCTTCGCCCGCCCGGGAAACTTCCTCGCCTGCTCCTTACACCATGGCCCGAACCGGTGCTTGTTGACCCAGCACCACTTGCCCGCCTTCCCCAACGGTTTCATTACCGCATGCTTGGGCACGTCCCACAGGAAGCACCTCGGCACGTAGTACAGTAGGGCCCTGAAGAACACGTAGATGCCGCGCGCCGCCTTCCTCGCCCTCGCCATGGCCACCGCGTGATGAGATTCCCACCTGCGCCACGCACCCCCGCGCCGCGCGGGCAGGTACTCGACCACGTCGCGGTGCCCGGCCTCGGCCGCCAGCCGCAGCGCCAGCTGCCCGTCGTCGGGTGCAATCGCCGCGTCGTCGGCCCCAAAGTCCTCGCGCAGCAGCCGCACCAAGGCAAGGTTGCCCCGCGCGGCTGCCACCATCAGCGCCGTCCGCTGCCTTTTTTTCTCTCCCTCTTCCTCCTCCCCCTCCATGCTTGTAGTTGTGGCCCCCCTGGTAGTGGTGGTGCTGGTAGAGGTGGTGGTGGCCATGCTGCTCCACCCCCAACCGTCCACGTGCGCCCCGAGCCCGACGAGGGTGCACACCATGGCGCCGTCGCCCGCCTCGACGGCCGTAATCAGCGGCGTGCGCCCGGGCGTCAGGGAGTCGGGCACGTCGGGCGAGACGAGGCCGCGCTGCACCAGGAGCGTGACGGCTTCGATGTTGCGGGAGGAGATGGCGCTGAAGAACGAGGCGATGATCTGTTGCTGGGATTTGTAGACCGCGATTTTCTCGGAATACGTCAGGGTCGGGTCCCGTGGGAGCGGGTGGGTGGTTGCGGCGGCCGTGGCATCCCATGTCTGCGGAGGCGCTGGGTAGCTTGTCAAAGGCAGTTGGAGGTGTCTGGAAATGGACAAGGGGAGGGTGTCCAGGAGCGTGGTGACAGGAGTGGTGTCGGTGCGGGTGTAGGTTGGCACAGGCTCCTCGCCTAACTCGTTGGGGGTGTTGTCGAGCGTGGCGATGGGGAAATCGTCCGATTCATAAGAAGTTGCTGTCGACTGTGATGCTGCCTCCATTTTCTGTGGAAGGAATATTGATAGAGTACCTATACGATAGTGTGTCGGGACTTGAAATCTGACTTTAGGGGTTGGTCTTGGAAGTTGGGAGTTTGGTACGTATTTGATTTTGGACTTGCGATCGACTTGATATTTATTCAATACGGCACTAGTACTAACCAGAAAGCAGCTCTCACATCTTTGATTATGGTGAACACATTCATGTTCCTCCTCACTACTGCAATCTCTCTCCACTGCGCGTGAACAAGACGTCACAAGCTTCCTTGGCGCCAACAACCCAGCGGGCTGGTAAAAGGGGGCTTTCGATCTAGCTCTTTCAAGCCAAAGTTTGCCTTATAGGAACAAACCAACTGCTTGCTTTGGTGTGGTCATACACACTAATAAGGTACCCGGGTAGTCTCGTAGTGAGCCTTGTCATGTGCGCTAACAGTGGCTGAGCAACGCCCAAAGCTGGCTCAGCCACCACAATATTTGACAGCAATCACAGCCGAATTCTGTTGGCTTAGAAGGGATAACGACGAGGTTGACCTAGACTTGAAAGCACAATTCGTAATGTGATACTAGGAGGCTGGGAGCTCCAAGGTGCGTTCGTCGTTACCTGGTAGTTTATGCTTTTTTAGCTTTCGCAGAACGAATGATCTCTGTTAGATGGTATATGAGCAATTTTGCATATTTTACTCAAAGACCATCCTTCCACCTTCAGTAACGTGGATAATGTTTGGTGCAATTCTGTTTAAAGCACAGAAAGAACACCTACGTGATAGCCTGGATAATTACATGTGCTTTAGTACTTTATTGTTCTCATGGAGGGACTGGTTTCAGCATCCGGGTTTCCATAACTCGATCTCGGCCTAACAGTGCTAACACAATCGGAAGGCATCATGCCTGAAACATGGCGCGGACCATTTGTTTGTGAACAGATCAATTGATGATACGGATGTGACCGCAACAAAGGTAGAAACGTCATCCGACTTCTCCTTTTCGTATCTCCCCCCTTTGACTGAGACTCGATCAGTTCACCGTCCCCGGTTTACTTATGCATACCGGGAATCTTGTCCTTCATCTGTTCCATTTTTTCTCCAATCGTGCTCTTCATGTCCTTACCCTTCTCCTCCATTTTCTGCGTTGCGCTGGCTCCGCTGCCGGTTTTTGTGCCGCTGCCCTCGAGGCCCGCCTTCATTCTGTGCACATGCTCGGGCTTGTCCGTGGTTGTGTACATCGAGCCGGGCTCGTGTAGCTAACAGATTGTCAACATTACACCCATGCGCAGGAAGAATTCCTTTCAATGAACATTAATACACGTACATGTGCGTCTTCTTCAGCATGGTCGATCAGGTCGTGGCACTCCTCGGCCACCTCATCCGTGTAGCCCGACTCGTGCTTGGGGGCCGCCATGTGCGGGTGGCTCATCTTCTTGGGGCCTCTCTGAGTATTCGGTCCTTCCATGGTGCTTAGATATGGTGCACGTGTCTTTTAGTATTGGTCTCAAGTTTCAATGATTTCTGAATTCATAGAACGATTAAATCCAGCAACAATTCCATCCAGAACTCCTTACTTTTGTATCCGGAACCAAGTGGTGGGATCCTTTGATGCATTGCGTCAGTGTCGTCATTCTGATCGTCGGGTTGGAGAAGCACATGCTGCTGGAACGTTCACTGGCATGATTTCCAACGCTGTGAGGTGCACAACATCACCCAACCTGGTCAACCCCGCACCATCAGCAGACAAAGAGCGTCATGATATTACAGTCATGCTCTGTCTAATCTGTGTATTATGATGGAAGTCTGGGCCTTCATAGGCCTACTGGGACTATCACTTGACACTGGCAGGTACAAGTACGCAGTATTCGGGCGTCCAGGTCACCAATGATGTTGATTCTTGTGACTACTAGTAGCAACACTAATGGTAAACGGCGGCAAAATCAAGGCCCTTCTCGTTTCGAGCAACGTGAGGGACGTGGCCACCTTGCCATTCCGAGTCCGTCCTCTTGGCCTGTAGTTCTAAGGTTCCGTTGATGATCTTCTCAGTTTCTGAACCTCTGACCCATGCCCACATCTTCATCGATGGCCTTGCCAGTGCGGCTTCCCATTGGCGCTTCTCCAACTCTACTACACACAGGCAGGATTAACATTGACACCAAGAAAAGGGTTTAGACAGAGACAGCTCGCCTCTGCCCTTAATATGCTTGAGCAACGTACGTCTCTCAGCGAGTGCGTTACTTGAAGGGCTCCAGGATGGGTCCATCCAGCTCGTTCGGTTGTGTTGGATCCAGACTCAGGTAGGTAGGCCATGACACCGAGCACCGACCTTCTTGCAAACATCGAGCAGCTGGGCCGCCGGGATACGTTAAGACGCTAAAGTTGAAGTATGTTCAAGGACAGCCGTCCCAGTACCGAAGAACTTCTATACTTCTACTTACCGATGTCTTCTTACCAGTAATCGGCTAATTCCAAAGCGGCATCAGCCTGTAATTTTTCAGCAGTACAAAGCAATGGAGCATCAGTTCATCAAATGCCAGATCAATGCTAAACTCTCTCCCGCAAGAGGGTCACAACGCTATCCTGTGATGGTTTATGTGAGATTTGAATCCTGGATATCGATAGATAGAAGACAATGCGATGTGTCAGTCCGAACGCTGTGTAACTATATCAATGAACATGCTCAACTCGAGATAGGAAAGCAGCGCTGGGAAGCGCGTGATGTCTTCATCATACACCACAATGATGACGATGACGAACACAATAAACCACCGGTACGTAGGCGCCTAAAAGTGTAGCGCCGGCCAGAGCATCGAGTAATCCTCCATTGGACCCCTGAGTTCGGATTCGACCGTACTCGGGCGTCTCGGTTCCATCTCCTCCTCGGCGTGCTGGGTAGCAACAGCGTCGCACGCCGTCCGCTTTGCAGGCACCGAGCTATTTGTGTCGTCAATGCCGTGCTTGTCCTTCTTGTGTTTCTTCAGGTTGTCCAGTCGGCTGAAGGTTTTGACACATCCCGGCACATCGCAAGCCAGCCGAACGCCTCTGTGCGTGTTCTTGTGCTTGCGGAGGTAGCCTTTTAGGTTCTCCCGGACGCCTCGTGGCTTCCACTGACATTCGTCGCAGACAAGCTCTTCATCGAACGACGGTTCGGGAGGGGCAGTTCCTGGGACTGGGACCGAGTGCTGGCCATGGCCCCCATGCGCAGATAAGGTCGCAATTCCACCTCTTTCTGGGGTTGGTGTTCCGAACACCGTTGTGGCGCCGGTCTGCATGGATTCCTGGCTTAGAGCTCGAGACATGGAATGAGCTGCTGATGCTTGCGTCTGGAAGTACGGGGATGCATCCCCGCAGGGAGATGTCGGACTAGACACTCCACTGCCGATGCCCCCGCCCATGATATCCGCGATGGGTGTTTGGATAGGGAAGCAGGGACCTGATCCAGATGATGGCGGAGCATCCTGAAGCGTTCCAACCTCTACCTTCGGACCCCACCACCCTTGACTACCGTCTGCAGCCGTGGGACTTAGCTCCGTCGATGATATGGGCGTCTGAGTCATGGGGAGCGGCTCGTCTAGAGACATGGCCGAGATTGACGGCGCGTGGCCGGGGAGAGAAGTCAGTCCTGGACCGAAGGGCGCCTGTGTGGAAAATAGGAATTGCCCCGTCTCCGGGGTCTTCCTGGTGGCTTGGACTGAAGCCGCCGAAGGCTGGTACGAAGCTAAACCCGTGGTGAACAGGGTTGTCTGCGAAGTATTCTGCGAAAGCTGCTCGGATGGGCTCTCGTCCGCCGTCGACGAGATGGCCACTGATGAGACCGTGGAGGGCAAGTCACTCGCATCGAACCCGGGCCAAAACATTCCGCTATTAACCTCTGGGAGGCCGTGCGGCAATGCGGTCTTCCCAAGATCCATGAAACCGCCCCCCTGCTCAGGTGGTCCGGGGAAGATGCCATGATGTTCGAAGCCCCTGCTTGTGAAAGTGGTGCTAGGTGTCCCAGAAGCAGCAGTGCCAGGCCTCGCGTCGGTCGCGTATGTGCCTTTGAAGTGCGGGTCAGCTACAGGGTTCTGTTTGCGAGCTGGGTCTTTCTTCCTCAGAGCAAACGTCTCCTTCATCTTCGAACCGAAGCTCTGTTTCCGCTGGATAGGACCTCCATTCAGAGACTGCGGAGACCTCCAACCCATCCACTGCGTCCAGTCTTTCTCGTTCGTCGGGAAGCTATGCCATGTGTTGCACTTGTCGCAATCGAACTCGCCGCTAGCAAGCTCAGGACAAGACAAGAGATGCTGGATGACGTGCACCGGCGCCGTGAAGGTGTTACGGCATTTCGTCATAGGGCAAGCATAGCTCTGCTGGACTTGTTCACCAACGGGGAGCTCCTCGAGCAGTTGGCGGATGAACAAGAGGACCATGCGCGCCCTGGTACCGTCCCGAATGACCTTGTTTTCGTATCTGGGAGAAATCGATCAGCCACTTGACATTACTGAAGACGCTGCAACCCAGCCTCGCTGACTCACGGACATGGGACATATTGCCCTGTCAAGGCGGGTTGTGCCTGGACGGCATGCGAGCCATGGTTGTGACCGCTGTGGATGGCCGCCGTGTATGACCCAGCATGGTGCATCGCTCGATGTTGAGGAGAGTCCGACATAAGGCAAGGCGCAACGTGCTAGTAGCTCGCGTGGTGCATCCACCGCATCGTGGAACCGAAACCAAGCCAGGGGGGGAGGCCCAGACAGGAAATACAGAGTGACGACTTGGGCCTATTTAGGGATCGGGAGAACCACAGGGCGTCGAGTGGCACAGAGCCAGCCGCGACACTCTGGCCGCTCAACACCCTTTTACAGATGAAGGGGCCGCTCGCTTTCTCCAATGATCCCGCCGCCACGGCACGCACGTATGATCCTCGATGAGATGGGAGCGGCAGTTGTGTTGCACCAGGGCGTTCTGACGGCGGAACAAACCAGGTGTAAGAATGGACTCGGAGAGTGAAACTAGCCCCCTTGATGGTGGGTGGGCTCGTCTGCAGAGAGTCGGGGCCAATCTGGTCGGGGGCTGCCGCTCAGGGAAAGCAACGGAATTGACGTCAATTCCTCTAGATTGCCATCTAATCAATTGATTGGATTTCCATCGGCCTTGGCATGTCGAAAGTGAGAGGTACGTAGTTGTTCGGAATCGGGATATGGCAGATGTGAGCACCTCGAAGCGAGGAGTGTAGAGCCGTAGAGGTGTGGTGAAGAGAACACCGGACGAAGGACGAAACGGAACGGGGGCCAAATGAGGGGAGAGCTGCAAATAAGAAACCCCAGCCTGCTCCTCCGCTGACGTAGGACGTCCGAGGAGTGCACCGTTTGGCCTTGTTCGCAAAGTTTGGCGACGGATTCTGTGTATTCCTTAGGGTTGGGATTCTAGGAGAACTTCCACCCCTTCTCATCGTGCCATCCACGGCCCACGGCGTGTCCTCTCTCTGCTTATTCAAACAGAAGGGCGTGAGATCGTGGTCGCCATCAGCTAGGTGAACGCGATAGCTGCTTCACCTATCAGACGACCAAAGGTCAAGTGGGCGGCTCCGCAATATAGGGCCGCTCTCGTGCCGGCGCTCTGTGCGTGTCGAGAAAAAAAACTTGCGCGCCTGCGGGAAGATAACGCCCGCCTTTGATTGACGGATTTGACTGCCGTACTGGATGGCGTGAGGGGTGGGTGTCCGGCACAGAAATTGGAAATAGCCGGGAAAGCGCCTGCCGCTGCTAGGCAGAGGCGCGAACTCAGGCAGACACCTCGGGCGGTTAGATGTTCAGGTGGGCGAGCACTTTAAGGAAATAAAGCAAGTGACCGCGTCTCCAATTTCAATCTCATGCCAAACCTGTGCCACTGTGCTATACTCCTAGGTCATCTTCCTTGCCTGCAGGGTCTTCTACGTAATGATGGGTCCAGCAGAGGCTGTAACAGCCTACTAATGGCGATCAACCTATGTCATCGCGCAGTCCCCGCCATCAAGGTACTTGTTGCATCCATTCGATTACATGCGGGACTGCTTCCGGCAGAAAGGCTAAGTGTTCTCTTCGGTTGGGACGAGTTTCACGCACCTCAGGCGGAGCCTGCTACTATGGCGCCCGGATTGGCACGGTTCAAGGCCGCGGGAGGCACGCGGTCTTCCGTCCGACCCAAAATCATATCTTATTCTCATAAACATATGAAGAAGCCTAGAAGGATCCTTTGGGCAATGACGTTGAAAAGCACCGGCCGGTTGGGACTTGTATCCCTGACAGGATGGCTGACAACGATGGTACCTTCAGTTCAGAGGCACTCTGCGATGCACCCCAGCGGGACGCAGAGAGGTTGAGAAAGGTGGGAGTTCCTCTTATCTCATGTGTTGTTGCGTCTTCGTGTTACCAATTTTGGAAGCTGCAGACAGGCTAAAAGCCCGTGAAGTTGAAAAGAGCAAAAGTCACAGGGGCTAATTTAGCCTGGTGTGATGTTGCACAAACGGTTTCTTGGCAGCCGGTTTCCCCAGATAAACATCAACAAATTCCCGGCACATCAAAACGCCACTTCGGTTCGGCCGGCAAATCGCCGATTTCGGGCCCGCGATCCGGGGCAGTCTTCGACTCTGCAATGGTCACCCAATGCGGAAATCACGCGTGTTCAGGGAATGCACTCGGCCTTGACAGTGTGATCCTCGGTTTTTGCCATGTGTCTAGGATGGATATTTAAAGATTCCTCTATGTAAGGTAAATAACCCGATCACTAACCCTTTAATTTAGTCGTGTCGCAATGGAATTTGAATACGTCGTGACAGCCAACGGTAATATGATTCTCTCTAATAATGTAACAGGGGACTTGTGGGGGTGATCAGTTTCGATTCTTCCACAGGTGTCCGCATTTGTAAATAAAGATGTTGATGTTTAGAACTTGACGCTACAGCCTCTCTACATATGATGTACATACAAGCTCAAACGAGCTCAAACGTTTATCTCAATATAGGTTTACTATCCTACATATCACTCCATGATCCTTTCCGGCCATGGATTATTTCCCTCGTCCCCTTTGCCTCCCAAGCTACCCTTCTTTCATCTTTGACGAACTCTCCCTTCGTCGTAGCCACTACCCACTGCGGCACCATCCTCTTGAGGAAATTCATGAACTTCCACATGCTCACCGCCGGCTGTCTCCACCCCTCCGTGGTGAATTCAAGCTCGGGAAACGCGCTTCCGGCCCCGAAGAGCCCAACCACAGCGTTCCTATCCCACATATTCGGGAAGAATGATCCGGTCAAGCCGTTGAATACTAACCGCTTCGGTTTCCCCACAGGTCCCCGAAACGGCGCCAGCCCGGCCCGCACCTCCGGCAGTCTACTTCGCGTGAAACCAATCGCCTGAATCACGTAGTCACAGCCTTCCAAGTGCTCTCTAAGCATCTCCATCTCCAACTGATCCCTCTCCGCCTCATCCCTGGAAGACGGAAAGACGAATCGAGTGACGTAGTGGCGCGCGTCCGATGTGTCCAACGCGTCCCCCTCGAGCATGGTGCGCGCAAAGCGGGCGGCCTCGCCCGTCAGCCCGGTATTCTCGTTGATAATCACGCCATCGGCTGTCTCCTCGGCGTAGCGAAGGTTCGCCGTGCGCGTGAACCACCGGATGCGGAGCCCGGGGTGGGAGACGGCCGCCATGCGGAAGAGGTTGCGCAGGACGAGGACAGCGCTGTGCCCGTCGCCTATCACGGCTACGGTGCGTGGTGTGTCCGGGGAGATGACCTTCGCCAAGCGGGAAGGGGCGAGAGCAGTGGGGAGGGTCAGACGGGAGACATTGACGGGAAGTTCCATTGTTTGAGGGCGACTGCCGGTACAGTACACTACCATGGGCGCTTGGAACTTGAGAAGGACTGGCTCCGGGCCACTTTGGGGGTTTAGTTCTAGCGTCACGGTCCACTTTCTGGGCTGGGTAGAAGAGTGTTAGGACTGAGTTGGGATCTTGAATAGCACGTCGGGGTCCGAGTCAACACTTACCCAGGTGTCTCGGACCACGTGGGTGACGTTTCCAACTATGGGCTGAACTCTCTTGATCAAGCCATTTGTTAGGAGCTTGAGCATATCGGCGGCGTGGTTCAGCGAACACGTCATTTCGGGGTCAAGCTCCTTCAACGCTGTGATCGCGTTGGGCTCCGGGGACGCATCGCAGATATTACGGAATGTTGCCAAGGCGGAAGCGTATTGCAGGTAGTCACTTGCCGGGGAGTAACTGAAACAAGTGGTGGTTAGCGCCCATGCCTCGTGAGGAAACAGACCGAAATTCAAATTCAATCCTCGACGGTATAGTCCTCGCACCTGGGAAGCTCGCGATAGAGCTGGCCAATGCTCCCGCCATCAAACGATCTATCTACCCACAAGATTTTGGCATGTGGGACGGTCTCGAGGAGATTGCCGACGACGGCTATGCCGGCGGGCCCAGCGCCGATGACAATTACACTGGCTCTTTGAGGTTGAGATGTCGCATTGTGATTCCGCCGAGTGAACCGCAAGGAATAGGGGATGCGGAGGCCTTGGAGTGAATGCGGGCTTGAGCATTTCCTCCAGGTTTGTATGGAGCCACTCCTGATATGGCTGCAGCACCGTCTGGTCAACGGCTGCATTTCGCCTCGGACTCATTTTAGAATGATGGGAGAACTTGAACGCAGGATGAGTTCTGGCACAGTCGAGTTTGATGACCCACCTTTCGTTGTGTTCCATTGGGTTGCGATGAGTGACGATAAGCTGATAAGGCTCCACGGAGCGCCGTACCTTATGTACCACCAAAAGTTTTACCACTCTCGACGCATCACACGATCGAGAAAGGTCTGTCCGATCGGGCTTACAGTGACTGGGAGCTTGAGAGGTTGGAGTAGCAAAAACCTACGATGTTCTAGGTGGTATAGGGATTTAAAGCGCAATAGTCCGAACCTCTAGGCTCTACTATCTACCCGTATTCCGTTACCGGTATTGATAAAGACCCGACTCCTGAGAGCTTTTAGGAACGAGTGTCCAAATAAAAGTCACGATCGGGTGTCACGCGGTCGGTTGACCATCACTGAACCCCAGCTCCCTACTGTATACTCTTACTGCTTAGCAAATGATGCTTTTCGGAACATTCAGGTACCTAGGTGAACCGCTGAGAAGTTGCAACGTTGGCCAATGGCGACCCCTGCTTGTTCACATCATGAACCACTTACACGCTGCCACACAATGTCGGGCGTCAACGAGAGTAGCAAAGTTTTAAGAGTGGCCAGACATGTCGCTAGACCTCCTGTGTTGTCCCAATACGATGCCTCCAAGCCGAGCTACAGTCACCCATGGCCCAGTTTGTCCGCTGTTGGCAGTCGTCCGTGTCTCAGATACATAGTACTAGTATCAAGTAAATTCAAGACTTCCTCACATGTCAAGTAGTAAATCGTTTATCTGTGCTATAGCATCTTTCCAGCTCGGAAAGTCTTCCCCCCTAAGCCATTACTACAACGCTTATACTTGTCGCCGGCTGCGGTATGGGCAATAATAGCTCTCGGTCTACGCTCCCGGGCCATCGTGGCCCAGCTGAAGCGAAAACATCCATGTCGCCTATACGAAGTTCACATCCAGTTGAAAAGCCCCCGTCAGATCCTCTGACTCCCGAGAAGCCCTCACGCACAGCGTACGAGCCACTTACGCCGCCACCATCGGGAAGTTCAAACTCAAAGCGACCGTCATTTCCCGACCATGATTTCTCCTTCCCGTTCAATCCCACAACGCCGCCTGCTTCTTCAGACCACTCAGCAACACCTGCCTTAACCTTTGCCTCCACAATCCAGACGCCGTCAGCAAGCTCTCCCATCAGCCCCGACATCAACAGATATCAGCACGCAAGCACTCCCTGTTCCAACTGCTACCGCCCCATCATTCGTCATCATCACCACCACCACCACCACTCTCCGCCATTATCCCGAACACCAGCATCAAAACCGCTAAAGTGCGGCCACCGGCTCTGCAAACGCTGCATCCGCACCTCGCTCCTAGCCTCCCTGTCCACCGACCCCTTCACTCCAGCATCCTGTCCCGGATGCAGATCATGCAGTACTAAGTCTACTACTACTGCTACCCTTCGCGGCAGCGACGACGACGACGACAACAACAACAGCAACAACAAGCAGAAAGAGGACATGGCAAATGAAGCAACAGCAACAACAACGACAACAACCATCCCGCTCGCGGTGCTCGGGTCAGCGGCCACGGCAGCCGAGTTCCTCGCATACCGGGACAAGCTGCGCGAGAGGCGCACGCCGGTCGAGCGGCGGTTGTACTGTCACGATCGAGAAGGATGCGGCATGTTCCTGGCGTCGTCGGAGGCGAGGATCGTGACGGCTGGGCCGCGGAAAGGCCGGGAGAGCAGCAAGGCCGGGGCGGTGCTGTGTCCGCTGTGCCAGGGGAAGACATGTCGGGGGTGCGGGATGCGGTCGCACTGGTTTGGTGGTAAATCTGATACTATGCTGCAGGAGGATGGGATGGGGAGGAAGAGGAGGGGGGAGCGGTCGTTGAGTAAGGGGGGAAGAAAACGGAGAAAATGTGGGAGTGAAAGAAAAGGAAAAGGAGAAGGGGAGCGTTGCTGAGGGTTGGCGTGAACTGTGAGCCGGGTGTCAGGAGGGGTGATGAAGTGATGGCTGAATTGATTGTGGGATCAGCAGTTTGGAGAATATTGGAATCAGTTAGATTTGGGCATCTGATAGTACATAGTAGTAAGGAAAGAAGTGGAGGAAGAGCTGAGAGGAGAAGATATCCGACGCCTGATTACTCGTACAGGCACCTTTTCTGAGATGTAGTAGTATGTTGTCAAGCCTCGTCCGGTACGACGCCCCTGTAGTCTGGCAACTGCCACCCCTTCACAGTCTCTCGGATGCCGAAAAAGTCGGCGATGTTCACCTTGAAGAACGAGACCAAACTCATAAAGCAGTTCAAGACGGCAATGCCGAATGCCGAGCCGGTCATGGCCCATTGGCTCTCTGCCTTTTCGAGTATGCCTTCCTGCATCTTGTCCATGAACGGCCGGAATTTTCGTTCGTAGTTTTCGAGGGCAGCCACCAAGCCGTCCGATTTGTGGCTGCTGCTGTCGTTACCGTTTCCCTGGGCGCAATATCTTCCGATCTCACCGGCCAAGATGTAGGCTCCGACCATGGCGCAGGTGGTACCCATGCCCGTCAGCACCGTCGGACAGTAAGCAGCATCGCCAACCAGGGCGACGCGGCCGGAGGACCACGACGGTAACTTGACCATGCCGTACCGCTCGAGGTAGAAGTCATCGGCCACGCTCATCGCCTTTAGGATATCCTCTGTGAGCCACCCGGCCCCTTTGAAGATGTCTGCCACGGCCTGTTTCTCCCGCTTGACGTCTCCCCGGGGAACGCTTTCGAGACGATCTGGATCTGTCTTGCATGAGAGCATGACCTGCATCTCGTGCGGGCTGTGTCTCCGGATCGCCATGCCCCGTCTCCCTGGAGCCATGTACAAGGTGGCGAGATACTCGTCGCCGTCCTCCATCGGCCGCCGCATGGTGAAGTATGCGAAGTAGAGCCCGGGAACTCGCTGCATCCCGTCCTGCACTCCCGGGCCGAGCATCATCCTGCGCGTACGGGACCACTGGCCGTCGGCACCGACGACGAGATCAAAGCGGTCCGTCTTGCCGTCCTCGAACCGAACCTCAACATTGTGATTGTCTTTGCCGTTGTTGTGCTGCTCCAAACTTTCAATCGCCGTCCCGAACACATACCGCGGTGGCTTCTTGCATGTCCTGGCAGCGTCGTAAAGCAGGCGGCACAGATCGCCCCTCATGATTTCAAACTCGGAGCTGAAACTTTGCCGCCCGTGTCCCGATTTGTTTGCAGGGAAATAGGCCCGCCGTCTTCCCGAGCTGTCGACCCACTGCATGCCTTGCTCGGGGGCTGCCCTGGCGCGGAATGCGTCCTCGAGGCCCATTCGTCTCAGCACTTCAATGCCGGGCCCGCGCAGATCGAGTTGGAGTCCCGTGGCACGCAGGTTGGGGAACCGCTCGACGACAGTGACGTCGTGGCCTTGCCTTGCAAGGAAAAAGGCGAGCGCATTCCCGGCAATGCCTCCGCCGCTGACGAGGACCCTGAGGCTCAAGTGAGGCATGGTTGGGTCGTGGGAGCCGAGGAGGTTGGCAGGAGCGGAAGAGCCGAAAGCAAGTCGGAAGTGCCTCAGATTGGATGAATCGAAAGAACCAGGAGACCCAAAAGATAATAGAGTGAAATTCAAACGGTTTTATGGTATGTACATGCTCAGATCTTCTAGTCTTATAAGCAATTCATCAGATCCGACTTATACATCCCTATTGCCGAACATGGCCTGCCTACTCGGCCGAGAGACAGGGATTCGGGCGGCCGTAAGCATTGGGATTTGCGCTTCGCTTCGGCAATTTGCACGACATCAGCCCGATAAATGCGCAGACCCCTGAACTTCCATCCGAACTTCTGAACAACACCGACTTCTCCTAAAAGACGCAGCTTCGAGCATTGGATTTTGAGCGAAGCTTTTTCGGAGGACGGAGCATATGGCTCGGCCGAGGATGGTCTTCCGTGCCCTTGTCCATGGAGAAACAGCCACAACAGCAGCCGCCACCGCGCCGGCGCCGACGGCCGGCTCTCTCATGCCGAGAATGCCGCCGCCGCAAAGTCAAGTGCGATCATAACACGCCTTGCGCGCACTGCGTCCGCCACAAGACGCAATGCATCTACAAGCCCTTTCGTCGCTATGGGGAGCAGGCAGAGGACGACCGTCCGCCCCAACACCTGAATCCGGAATCCGAGCCCGGAAGCTCACGGCCAAGTAGCGCAAGTCCGCCATCGGGGATACCAGGTGTGCAGGTACTTGTCCCGGAGCTTCAGCCGGCAGAGCACGCAAACAATGCACATGAGTCTGCCATGGGCCAAATACATGGCCATCAGCATGCCGCCGCACCGAGTGTTAGAGGCCTCGTCGACCGCAACCACTTGCAGTCACAGCCTCTTTCTGCCCGTCACCCGGATCGCGGAGAACACAGCCTTCAGGGTCTTCTCAGTCTGCTTCTGCAGAAACTGAAAGAAAACCCCACCTCAGGTGCCGCTGAAGGTAGCGTCAGCCCTTCCGTCAATAGGCTGTCCGAAGCCGTCCTGCCGCGGGGGAGCGACCCTCTCGCACCTCGACCTCAGGAGGCCTCGCAGCAAGAGTGGCAAGCCGTCCTGAACAAACCGCGTGACTGGGGCAGAAGCCGTTGGGTCAGCAAGGCGCCCGAGTTTACCGTCATGATCCGCTGCTACGGCGAGATCCTGGGCATGGAGAGCAAGGACGGCTCCTTCCAGACCCGCGAGGCCGCTGCGCTGATTGCCCAGGCTAGGGACTTCTTCCGGGAGTGCAAGAGCAGGGCTAAATTCAGCAAGGTCGGCCGGCCCACGAGGGGAATCGCATGTCCGTGGCTTGATCTGACGCCGCCTTCCCGCGAAATGGCTGATGTGCTGGCCAGGCTCTACTTTGCGTCCTTCGAGTCGACGTACGTGCGTTTCGGAAATCTAGTGATTTTTACCCTATCGCGGACAAGCCAAAGCGTCCCGCTGACTCTGAAGCATCCAGTCACCGCATCCTCCACGCCCCTACCTTCTGGGCCGAGTATCAGAGATACTGGGACGACCCCGAAAGTGCCGCGCCTGACCTCCGTGTCAAGGTCCTGCTTGTTGTCGGGATAGGATCGAGCCTATACGATCATGGTAGTGCTGCTGCGGCGCAAAGCAACACGGAACTGCTTCATCAATGGATATACGCCGCGCAGACCTGGCTTTCGGGGCCCTTGGAAAAGGACCGGCTCGACATCACCGGGCTACAGATTTACTGCCTCACCATCCTCGCCCGGCAGATCTTCTCCATCGGCGGGGACACGGTGTGGGTGTCGATGGGCTCGCTCATCCACCGGGCCATGCAGATGGGCTTGCACCGCGACCCCAAAAGCCTGCCGCCAATGTCCGTGCTGCAGGCCGAACTCCGCCGGCGGTTGTGGGCTACCATCCTGGAGCTGGCCGTCCAGTCGTCTCTGGACGCGTGGATGCCGCCCAGAATCGCCCAAGACGAATTCGACACGAACCCTCCGTCCAACGTCAACGACGACGAGATGGACGAGTCCACGACAGTCCTCCAGCCACACCCCAAGAGCACCTTTACCTCCACCTCCTTCCAGCTGGCCCTGCTTGAATCTCTCCCCACCCGCCTCCGCATCGTCCAGCTCCTCAACGGCATGCACTCCGAACTCTCCTACCACCGCGTCCTCGCCCTCACCTCGGAACTCTCGTCGGCTCTGCAAAGCTACAGCACCCGCTTCAGCGCCGACACCAAGGATAGCAGCAACAACAACAACAACAATAACAATAACAACAACCACTTCGGCCCCTTCCACCGCAACCACCTCGACTACCTAACCCGCCGCTTCCTGATCCCGCTGCACTACCCCTTCGCCCACCAGGCCCGCTCGAACCCGCTCTTCCGACAATCCGTGAAGATCTCCCTCGACGCCGCACTAGCCCTCATCTCGCCGGAGCCGGACCCGCCCGCCAACCACTTCGCCCGGCTCATGTCGCTCGGCGGCGGGCTGTTCCGCGAGGGGATCCGCTGCGCCACGACGGCCATTAGCCTGGAGCTGCTGTCGCACGTCGAGACGCAGCGCGGCGACGGGTCGCTGCGCCGCGCGCCGCAGTACCGCGGCTTCCTGAAGCAGGTCGTGCGCGGCCGCCTGGTCGAGCTGTCGGCCGAGCGGATCCGGCAGGGCGAGACCAACGTCAAGAGCCACATGTTCCTCAGCATGATCCTGGCGCAGGTCGAGGCCGTCGAGGAGGGGAAGGAGGTTGAGGTGGAGGTGGCGCGCGCCGCGAGGGATAGCCTGGCGTTTTGCGAGGGTCTGTTGGGAGCGAGGTCCGAAGAGGCTGGTGTCGCCCCGGGAGGTTCGGGGAGTAGTAGGTTGCCGTCGGAGTCCCCTATTACCGGTGCTGCGGGCGGGCCGATGTTTGCCGGAGGAGGAGGAGGAGGAGGGATGGACGGCGTTCAAGGGTGGGAGTTTGAGGGGTTCGGCGTCGATCCGGATTGGGAGATCTTCGCCACGAACGGGTATTGGTGCTAGCCTGGAGGAAATGGCTAGCTCTCGTTGCTCGGAATACCCCCATATGTTAACTGGACCTGCGAAGGGGAGGGATTCGGTTCGGCGCGGACCCTTCTTCCCAATAGTGTTGTTCTACCTACCGCTTCGGCCGGCTCCGGATCGATGCCCTTGCCTTGCGATCAGAGATTCGAAGTTAGTCATCAGCTGAAACCTCCCGGGGGCTGTTGGGCTGTATGTAAGCCGGATACGGTACCCGCCATGCTTTGGTAATTGTAATATACTCTGTACGACTTGACTACGAGTTCTGGACAAGCAGGTCCGAGATGTAGCGTTAGAGCCCGGAGTTGTGCTGCGAGATCGGAGAACAATGGCTTGAATGGGGCCTGCCGGTCTACAACATCGGAAAGACTTCAACAATGTCGCTCGGTAGGTTGGTAGAACAGGAGGCGACTTGAATGTAGAAAATCGAGCAAGCGGTTAAGGTCAAGTTGTAAAAGTGACGAACAGGGGATATGGAAATCGCGTCGTACACTAAGCGAGAGGGTTAGGGGTCTTTCGAGTTCACCGGACGCAACTCCTTAGTACGCTAGGTTGTGTGAGCTGGGGCGGAACAGGACGAAGTGCGATGGAAGCAAAGGCATTAGAGATAACAGCTGTACTAGCAATACATTGTCAGTATTGTCGAACGCATCACATATACTGTGTAAGTAAGTACCTGGGCAGCTAGGAACTTATGGGCAGTTGTACAATACCATGACTGCTTTCACATGCAAAATAGTGAACTTCAAGAAAGATGCAGAGCTAATAAAGCAGCGAATCTCAATACTATGCCGAGGCCGCGCGCCCTCCGGAACATCCAATTCCCGAAAGCTAGTATGCGGCACACAGCGCGCATTGTCCCTCGGCGGGTGGCTATCATAGAGCTTGAAAGCAAGCACCTCGTCCGGCATCTGGCCGGGGTAGTAATACCACTAGTGCGCGCCCTCCTTCCCGCCCAGAGTCAGGACGTGGGGGAGGTAGATGATGGATGGAGAGATTGTATGGAATGAACTGGCGTACTAGCCTCCATGTGGAATACTATGTCCCTTTTAAGCCGATGCGATGTGGTGAAATGGGTTGATGATGAAATGAGAGATTTGTCTATCCAGCGTGTCCGGCCAGGAAAGCTGCTGTAGATATCGGTACTTTCTTTATCATGCCCTCGAATTTAATACAATTATGTCTCTCAATCCTGGAGGTACTGATTCCAGAATACAACCCAGTCACCTCATCGTCGAAAAAAGGCCGTACACCAAGCCCCTCACCCTGGTAAATGGAGTTAAGCAAATACGATTATTACTATATAAAAAAAATAAAGAAAAGAAATTGAAGGAAAGAGGAAAGAAGAAGACGAAGATAGTAAAGTGGAACTACCTAGTTAGCTAATTAAATCTCGTTTTACATCTTTAAGATGTGAGTATCGATGTGTGTGTACGCGTTTTTCTGGCAAGAGGGAGCCAGTTTACCGCAGCAACGAGGCAACCTCTTCTGGTTACAGCCCACCTAAGCCTAAACCCTCAACACTAGCGGCGAACCAGGGGAGGAAATGCGCTGTGATCCATCGGCCGATACACTGGAGAGCCCGTAGAAGTTTGTAAACACCCAGAACGGTGCTGGTGTCCCCGATGGCGTCGGAGCCGTAGATTATCTGCAAGTAACGTGTGAGCGAGAATGTTTGAGACAAGAGATTCTGGCATGACGAGTATGATAACGAGGGAAGGGACCAAGGGCTGGAAAGGGAAGAGCAGGGATTAGGTATACTGACGATTCGATTGTCCTTTTCACAGGCATAAAACAACATCCATCGCTCGCCGACGACCAGGAGTAAGGGGACTGAGATCACGGCGGTACTGAGGGCGCTGTCGAGATTGCCGGCAGTCTGGTCTGTCTCGCTGCCTCCTGTAGCAGACGATTTGCGAAGCTTGGAGGAGCCTACAAGCATCTTCATCCTTCGGAACCATGCCGCCGTCCACACGCCTAGCTGCACCTTTTCCTCTTCCTCTGACCCGGTAGCAGTCTTAGCTTCTACCGCGATAGGCGCGGGCAGTTCGTATAACGGGCCGTAATCCGAGTGGTTAATCGACTTTTGGCCGAACGGGGAGCTGTCGTTCGAGGAGTTGCGTGATCGCGGACTGGAGCGGCGACCCCTGTCCACAGTCGAGCACGAATGCAAAGTCAACCATCTTCTCCTGGGACGTGACTATGGTGGTAGCCGAGGTTGTTGCTGGGCCGTATTCGCTCGGTCGGGTCCCAGGAGCGACAGTAAGAGGTAGGAAGTCGGATAGGATCTGTGCTGTTGTTCTACAGGGTGGCAGACATCAGCACCACGACTATCCATTGGCGAAGAGATTCTGCTGGGGCATGCCGGGGTAAGAGGGCTTACCAAATCGAGTATGACGAACGGTACTCACATAAGCTCGGATCTGACATTGTCCACAGTCGCCAGTGCCAATTCCAACATCAGAGAATGCACATAGAGGTTCCAGGCCGCTTCACTTCTTGTCCATCTTACGCTTTGTCTCGTTGCAGCGATGACCTTCATGAGCTGGGCGTGCATATCGAGGTCTTTACGTATGGCATCGTCGCGGGTTGCGGAGTCGGTCCCGTTCCCGTTGTAGTCACCGAAGAAGAAATCAGGGATTCTCTCGCGCGGGCTCGACGCGTGAACCGTGTCCTGCACCAAGAGACGCGCTCTAGTCAGCACAGCGCATGACCCAGCAAAACCGGCCGTGCATGCAGGACATGACTCACTTAATGCTGGTGGGAAGACTGCCCTCGCCAAATGCCACCACTGCGATCTGATTCGAGAGGTCCTGGATCTCGGCGGGCAGCTGAATGCCTGGGTCATCCAAGCCACAGTACGTGACCGGCTCTGTAAAATAGCGCAAGTCGGCGACCTTCTTGACAGGGCTCTTAGACCGTCGGGAGGGCGACAACACGCGGGACCCAGTCGTGGTGCTTTGGGTCGACGATGATGCGGGTGGCGGGCGCGGCAGGGAGAGAACGCCGGCTGAATTGGACATGAGCCGTGTTTGGTATGCCGAAGAGACTGAGAAGACGTCGTCGTCCTCGAGGGACGACAGCGGCGTCGTTTAGGGGAGCCCCGAGGCGGGCATTGACGGGTCGGCAGCTGTATGGTGATGCTGCTGCCACCCCTGCGAGTGGGAGTGCGGAAGCGTGGGAGCCATGGTAGCTGGCGCCAGCCATGGCGGCGCCCTGCGCAAGGGGATCGGCGTCGCCTCGCCCTCGTCTGCCTCGACCCGGGACCGTTTGGTAGGAGAGCCGGTGCGCTTGCGGTCCGTCGACATGGCCCAGTGCGTACAGCCGCAGTCGTCTTCGCAGTCGGTTCCGGGGTCGATTTCGCCAGCTGCGCCGGGCGTAACAGACTCAACCAGTCGTGGACGCGCCTGTACGGATCTTGGTAAGTCAGCGGCTCGGTCGCACGAAGAGGCATTTTAATGCAGCCCAGGTGCTAGGTCATGTTTTCTCAGGTCATATCAAAATGCGCGAATTGCTGGCTCGAGGTGCTCGAAGGTGATCTGGAGGGGTTTCCAGTTGGTTTGTTTTCTGGACGGCAATCGGCTTGTCGTCCCCGGCGGAGCCCCAGAGTGGGCTGCCCCGGCACCCCAGCGTCAAAAAAAGCCGTACTTAGTTGTCATGAATTAACCCGCAGAGGCCGGTGGGGCCGACCTGCATGGTCTGCGGGCGGCACCCGCTTCCAATCATTATGGTCCCAGATGGACCAATCAGAAAAGGATCGAGGGGATCGAGGTTCGATCCCGTCGAGCCAGGACGGATCTATGGGATCGATGTTCGATATCATCGATCCAGCAGAATCAGGTACACCGGTACCTAAGGGAGGAAGCTGTATATAGTTCTACCATTCTGCCACTCATTCAGATAGCTAGCTTCCTCAGTGAGCAATTCAAACAGTAGCCTTTACCTACTGTGCAGACATTGCGACTTGCAGTGTTGTGAACCCTTTGGCTTCACCGAGACCTACAGTCCGACCAGCGGATACCTTCGACCGGCGAACCCTTTCAGAGACAGGACTGCCTGTGGTTTCGTCACATTAGTACATGTACGCTAGGCTCCTCGGCCTGTAATCTAAACAGAATTAAGCAAATAACCGTAGAAGTAGAAATTGAAGGAAAGGAGAAGGAAGAGGAGGAACAAATACAAGAAGAAAAAGAGAAGAAGAAGAAGAGGAGAAAACATAAGGAGAGACGATAGAGGGGGAAAATATAATAAAGAAGATAATATAAAGAAAATATTAAGGACGAAGATAGAGACGAAGATGAAGACGAAGAAAACACTCGAGGATCGGGTAATCAGTCGGCTCCATGGAGAGAAACACGATGCAACGCCGAATAGCCCTCTGTTTCCTCGCCCTGACAGGTATCGGCCTGCTGGTAGTCACTACTGTTATGTGGATACGCGCCTCGCCGTCACCGATGCCGATGGCCGACGCGACCCCCGCACCTGAGGCTCCCGCATTAACGACGACTGGGCCGTCTGAGACGGCTACCGCAACCGGCATCGCAACCGACCTCCCAAAGTCGTGTGATGCACACCGGATCAGATGCAAGATATCAAACACTGTCATACATGCAGCCACACACGTGGCTACCCGAGATGAGATGCGGCTCCTTCTCTTGGCGGGATCCTGGGAATGTTTCAGTAAGGTAAGTGAGGGCCCACACATGTAAGAGAGAGTGGAAGCGGAATGGAACGCACTTCGGATGGTGGTTGGTTGATAGTATCCATTCCTGGCTACCTACTTATCCATAACGGCAGTCCCTAGAAATGTCCGCCTAATTGAGTCCATGGCATCTAACTGTAAAGCAAGATCCTCAGCCACCTCACTGCGAATTGGCAGTTAATCCTGCTGAAAACAGATTTGAGATAAGACTTTGAGTAGGGTACGCACATCCAAGGTCGTTGCTGGTTTGGTTGCGGTGCCCGATGTCGGGCTGAGCCATTGTGTTAAAGTCGACAACAGGCCTGGTTGACAACGGTCACCCCTGCGGATTCTTGGAACTGCTAGTGTAAGATTGCCAGACCCTTCCGGGGAACATGAACAAGGGTTCCCCACCGTGGTCCTCTGCAGGGACAAGGGTTCGACAGAGCCGACAAGTTGCCGTCTGATTCCCCGCGGTTTGCACATGCCGCGGCCGAAGCTTCGGTTCGAGTTCCGAGTCGGACAAACTTGAACTGCATACCTCGACTCGTACACCTACCCCTATCTTCGTATTCCTTGCCGGCCAGAACCACCGATAGCACGCAGCTGTACGCCGATGAGGTAGAACTCGGTGTGTCTTTTCGAAGTGCTCAGTGCACCGACCCGACCCCGTCAATCAGCCTGTCCCGCCGAGTTGCCGAGGCACGATGTCCGGCGCAGTCGAGAGCCTCGAGAGCCTCAAGGTGCGATTCGCGAGACCAGTCGCTTACACCACGCGATGGGAGCCGGTCAACGGATTGATTAAAGGAGACTTCTAACGGTCGCAACACAGGCCGCCGTCGAGCGCGTCGTCTTGGACCCGAGATACCATGATCTATTGGCCGTGGTAAAGGGCGCTCGCAATGGCGCCGTCTACGGGACCAAAGTGCGCTTTCCGCATGCGCTTGTGTACGGGACCTCGCATAGATGTAACCCAGGAGTGTAGACGCCGTCGGCGCTGACTTTCTACGAACAGAATGATCATGCTCTTCCGGTCCGGAACGTATGTTTTGCTCCGCCGTGTCTGCGCCGCCGTCTCTCCCTTATTTATCATCTAACCGTTGTCGCCGCGATTCAGGCTCCGACAAAAAGCAGGGCTCATTTTCCGCGCGACGAGGACACATGCCAGAAACCTTGCCAAGTTCGCCGCCATCTATAAGGCGACGTGCATGCTATTAAAGAACTACGGCGCAACACCAGGGAAGGAAGGCAAGAACTTACCCCTTGTTTCTTCCCCTTTCTTCACGCCCCAGGCCAGAGAGAGGAAGCGGAGGGCTATACAGGATCCGCTAAGCCAGATCATCAGGGCCCTACGATAGCTTCATCGCCGGCCTGCTAGGCGGCTACATCGTCTTTGGGCAGCGCTCCAAGCGGTCGAGCCGGATCTCGAGCGTCAACCAGCAGATCGTCATCTACGTGTTTGCGCGCGTCGTGCTGGCGCTGGCCCGCCTCGCCGTCAAGCCGGGCTACGGCCTGCCGCTGGTGTCGGACCCGCAGCGAAGCGCCGCCATCAGCCACTATGCCTGGCCGCTGTTCGCCAGCTTGTCGTGGGCCTCGGTCATGCACCTCTTCAAGTGGCACGCCGCGGAGCTGCAGCCGAGCTTGAGGAGTAGTATGACGTATATCTATACCAATGCGGACACGTGGGATGGGTTGGGCAATTTTCTGTGGCATAACAAGTAATGAGTGACGGACTCTAGACTGTCTATGTACCGCGCAGCCGCGGTTGACGATTATGGAGCTTTTGTCAAGGAGGTCGCTGTGGGAGGGAAAGAGGTTGAGCATTTCGCAAGCGGTTGGCATGTGTACATGTAAACGGCGTTCACTGGGGTTTGCTTGGGGTTCTAGATCTGTTTCAGGGGCCTTCAACTCTTCGACTTCTCTACTCGGAGACGCGGAGGGATATCTTACACTTGCACCTGTCCCTATGTAGGTATGGCCAAGCTCTTCCGGCAATAGAAGGGGGGAGGTTGACCACCGAAGGGAATGTGGAGAGGTCGATGTAACAACGCCGTCCAATGGTGGAGCGCTTGGTTTGTTTAAGAGGATCGTTCAATAGAACTGTCGGGTTTGAGACTCTGACAACTTGGGGAACATCCCAACACCCTGACCACCGTACCAAGCGCCCCCTGAACGCAGTCCGAGGAAGATCAGGCCGCTCGCTCGGTGTTGGCCCTGTTGGGCACTGTGAGCGGGTGGCCGACGCCCTTGAGTTGGCCTGGCAGCAGCAAAGGCACGAACACGCAGCCACGCAGCTGTGTGCCACGTTTTCCCGCCATGCTCACGAAACGGCTGGCTCTTCGGGCACTGTCCAGGTGTTCCTCCTCCGTCTACGAACCACGCCTTGCCCTGTGTCACAGGACGCTCCTTGACCAATGAGCTAGTCTCTCATGGGTCAACCGAACACCACTGCTTGGTGGAAGCGTTGAGCCACAAAGTGGGAAGCTATTTTACCTGATCACATTATCTTTCCTTCGATCTTGTGATACTGGTAGCCGTATTGTAGTACACAACTCAGCTGAAGAGGAACGGCATATCCCCGTGGTTCGACTCTGTACACCCCTTGTCCGTTGTCTTCGTCGAACCTCTACTGTCCTCCCAGCTTCTCGAACTGCGATCTCCTTGTCCCCAAGTGTGACAGCAATCGAGCGAGCATAGCCTCCATCTCAACCTACCAACCAACTAAACCGCGACGGACACGGCCCTTAGCTTGTCTCCAACGCCAATACCAGGATCTGTCAGCATGGCACTACCACCACCGCCGCCAACAACACAACCAACGCTCTGCACCATCTGCCTCTCCCCACTAGGCAACTCCCACTCTTCCCGCCAGCCCCTCCCAGTCTTCCCCTGCAGCCACATGCACTGCCTAGCCTGCCTCCGCCGCAACTTCGTCCTCAGCATCACATGCGCGACGCCGTTTCGCCCCGTCCAGTGCTGTCCCGGCCAGCGCCTCGCCACATCCCTGCTGCGGCAGTGCCTCTCGCTCGGATCGTCCGAGCTCTCCGCATACCGGACGAGACTGGCCGAGTACGACGCCAAGGCGAAGCTATATTGCCACGACCCGAAGTGTGGGCGGTTTATCCCCATTGCGCTTAGGAGTCGGCGAGTTGGAAAATGGTATGTGGTGTTTTTAGTTGTTGGTCTTATTTGTCTGTCTCCCCGGGTGTGGTTCCAGCTTGGTGTTGGGTTTTGGCCTTCTTTTGCGCTGTTTCCAGGGATAAGACTAATATTCTGTTCGGTTCAGCAGACGCTGCTATGGCAAAACGTGTGTCGAGTGCCGTGGGCGAGCACACTTCGGGCGATGTCAAGACCATCTAGATGAGGTTGAGGATGAGACCGGAGTGGCGAAGACTAGGAGACCGGTGAGCTGGGGGGATGAAGTGCGTTTCAAAAAGACGGCGAGGGAGATGGGTTGGTGAGTGCCTCTCGAGGTCCCCTGAAAAAATCCCCCGCGACGACTGCGGGAAGTACTAGTAGTGGTGCTAGGTTCGTAGCTAACATTTGCCCCAGGAAGCAGTGCCCGGAGTGCGGGCGATGGGTGGAAAAGACATTGGGTTGCAACCATATCTCGTGAGTCATACTGCGTGTTGCAGTCACCTCCCCGAGGGGTGCGTGAGATGGCTGACTGGCGTTGAAACAGCTGCATCTGCGGGTGCGACTTCTGCTATCACTGCGGAAGAGCACACAAAGATCACAATCACTACTACTGCGCCTGATAAACACACACCGGTTAGACAGTGCGTTCCTGCAGAATTCGGGGTCGTTTGGGTCTTCTTACACTTATTACACCTTGTATTGTGGTTGACTCCTGCATCAGTGGATGAGGCGACTTCTCAACGTTCTCAGCGGCTCAGTAGGCATTCAGGATCCACCGAGCAAAAGTCCTCTTGGGATATAATTGAACAGCTAGGCGGAGAGGCGGGCTCATCCACCTGGACGGGTACTCAAGGGGATGTAGATGGGCATTTACATGGCACATGTTCATCTGAGATCGACGGGACGTAAGGGATCGCAGTCCCAGAAAGGGGGACATACTTTTGTTTTTGTATATGGCCAGTCCAACCTCAATCCCAACTCCGAACGCCAGTCCATCCCCGTCTTTGAAGGCCCTGCCACCCGCCCAGGGAGAAACCAAAGCCTAGCCAGTATCATACTAGAAGAACAGCATTCAAGCAGCCGTCGTTCTGGTGTTGGGAACAGGTTAGCGTCCGCGAGCCCGAGACACCCCTTGGAAGAACATACCTCCGGGTTATTCGTGATTTGCGCGTAACGGCCCCAAGCAATCTTTCCAGACGCTGTAACAATACCCAAGTCGGAGACATTGACCTCGATGCTGGGCGTTGGTTAGCAACTTCCTCTCAATGAGACGTAAGACAGAGGCAATACATACATGGTACCCTTGGTGAGAACACCTAGTTGGGTATCTTGATCTTCTAGTTAGCATTACTCGTACAGCGCGACACAGAAGGACAACATGGCATACAACTGTGAGAAAGTTAGCCTTGCAGCCCAAGTATGGTTGTGTAGAGAACTCACAGAGGGTTGCTTGGGTTTTTCTTCACCCCGAGAATGGGAAGCTGTACTGTGACATTGAGAGTCGGGTGGGTGACGTTGGCCTTCTTGTAACGCAGACCCATTGGCCGGATGAAGCCTGCATAGCTGTCAGCTTCCCTTCGAGACATCCGCCCATGGCTCCTAGCCACGACAACCCCATTGTGAAAATGGGACAGAGAGAGGGACTCACGTTCGTATTTGACGGGTCGTCTTGTAAAGTCGGGTCCGACAAAAGTTGGCTGAAACGGTTATTAGCATCGTGCCCCCATCTTCGGGTTGCGCAGCTAAGCCAACCTTTGTGACAACACGCTTCCACCCTAATTTATCGTAGTTAGCATCCACTTCCGAAACAATAGCGTCCTGGCGTCAGGAAACATACCCTTCTTCTGTGTCTTTTTACCTGTCTTGACACTGTCTCTCTGTCAGCCCCGCACTCCAACCATCCCACACCACCAAAGACAGCACATACACCTTGAACAGCTCCTCCTCGCTAATACCCCTAACCTTGGGGATGGGCACCGAGAACCTCGCCGCCTTCTCGGCCCGCTTATTCTTGATCTGCGAACTCAGGGCCTTTGCCGTGGTCGGGTTGGCTCGGTCGAGCAGATAGGCGGGGACGGGGTCGGACGGCTCTTTCTCGGCCGGGGCACCCTTGATGTTGCGCTCCTCGTGCTGCTTGATCGCCTTGCGCATCTGGATCTTCTGGGCATGTCGCTGCTTAGCGTACAGCTTGGCCCGCAGGCCGCGCAGATTCTGCGCGTTCTCGCTCTGCTTGTGCCCCTCGCGGGCGGCCTTCTTGCGCGCGCGCTCGTCATGGTCGAGGCGCTTGCCGTGAAGCTTGCGATGCCGCTCTGTTCATCCCGCTGATATTAGATTGTGATTTGCTGTGAGGCGCGACTATGAGGGAAAGTGAAGAGCATCTGGAAAGTGCCGCCCCCTTCGCTTTGAGATGGGTGCATACCGATGTACTCGTTCTGAGGCTGTAGTTTGTCAAGACATGTGGTTAGCTCGGCTGGCCACGATGCAAACAGATGCTGTGGCCTGCGCCCTGTGAGAACTGACCATATTGGCTGATGACGCCCTCGCAAAGGGCCGAAACTCGAGGTGTCAAACACAGCACCAGAAGTGTCACTGCGAGAGTTGATGCCTTTGACACGGGGCAGTAGGTACTTGCAGAGAGAGAGGCATTCGACTTGATAAAAAATGGATGGGCTTATCAGATTCTGGGACCCAGGCGGGCGAGTGGGGCAACGGCGAGCAATGGCTTACTGACTAATAAGCCCCGTTGGATAGCTCATCTATCAGTACGGATGTACTTTTGCATAACGGATGTACTTTTGCATACCTAGATAGATCTCCATGAGATGGATAGATGGGCTACTAGCATAGCGTAGTTTCGACGAGGTCGAAGATGAAGGGCTGGCTACCGCAACCCTTAAGGTCGGTCCGGCTGCTACCTCGAGGCTCGAGCATCCCCTTGAAAAGACGATAGGGGTCGCGCAGTGTCGACTACGAGCGTACCAGACACTGTGTCCAGAGGGCAAAGGCGATGGGCATGCCGCGGGTTCAGACCTGTATATGTACGGCGATTTTGCGAGAACACCGCTTGAGACAAGTTGAGAGTTCGGCGTGCGGCAATCACCCGAACAACATTCCATCTGCGGTAAGGTAGGCCTGAACCATGGTTTGCAGGCACGGATGGACATAAAGTTGTTGATGTTTACACAAAAAAGATGGCTAAAACTATGCAATCCTGGACGCTACAGAACCATAAAACTCCCTAAGGCCATGATGATGATGCGGTACGGTATCTCGATGGTGCCCCGTCTAGAAATCAACGCCCTACCACCTCCCCGATAATTCCCCGCCCTTCCAGGAAAACAACCTTCCGAGGATGCGAAACGCATTGTGTCGCTCTGATGCACAGATATCCTGAACAAGCCTGTCCAAAGCCCCAAGCTCCGGCGATCGCGCATCAGCGACTGCCAGCATTGGCTTTGGCAGCCGTAAGGAGTCTGCGCTTGCGCTCTTCCTTTTCACGCTTCAGTCGCATTTCGAGCGCCTCTTGTTCCATGTCCTCACGCCGGGCTTGGCGCTCCGCCCGTTGCTCCTCGTCTTCGATGTCTGACAGACCGGCCTCCATGTCCGACTCTTCTTCGTACGAGTCGTACCGATACTGGTTTCCAATGCCATAACCGGCTTCTTCTTCTTCGTCATCGTATTCGATGAAATCATCCAGATCGTCATCCTCGTCATACTTCTTCCGGGAGCTCGAAACCGGACCACCAAACCGGGGCCTATCGCGAGACCGAGCAGCCGAGCCCGGACGGCCTGCAGCGCCAGACTTGCCCGTTGAGGAAGTGCCAGGCCGCGGCCGCGCCGTTCCAGTGTAACCTGTTGTCGCCAAAGCCGCCTTCTTGACCTTCTTTTCCTCCATCGGTGCCGTCTTCTGAGCGCTTTTAGAATCTGATGGGACATTCTGACGTGCGCTAGACGCTCTCCCGACATCCCGCAAGGGCATGCTCGTAGACCCAGCTCTGCCCGACATGACCTTCCCCGTGGCCATCCTAGGCTTCTTCAAGCCGTCCGTCTTCGTCTCCTTGCGCTCTTTCGTCATCGTGCTCCGCTCGACCGTCTTGTGGTGAATCTTGCCGAGAGACTCCCTCATCTCTGAATTAGCCTTTGCTCGAGCCATGATCTCTGCGTATGAACGCTTTTTCGGCGGCGCAGAATCTGGGACGGTCGGGCGACTAGGAACAAGCCGAGAAGGTAGGCTCTTGCTATTGTTCAAGGACGCCTTCCCCGTTTTGCTACCATTGGAGCCGGCGAGACCGGGCCTCGCAGTCGAGACGGGCTTGTCCGAGCCGTGCGGCGCCTTCGAGGTCGGCTTGCCACTAGAGATGGTCGGTCGATCTGCGGGCCGCGGTGATGGCCTTGGCGAGCTATGATCCGGCCGCGACGGCTTCTCGGGCATCGACTCAGCCTTGGCTGCCCTCGCCGCCGCGGGACGCAGCTCATCTTCGGCCTTCCGTTTCCGCGGAATTATCCCTGGCTGAGGCACCGGATTCGGCGAAGGCGTGGGCTTCTCGCCCGTGATCGACGCTAGCAAGTCGAGAATCTGGATCGCAACAGTCAATATTGACGAGACAGAGACGAGGGTGCGCTGGAACTCACCGGCATGGTGGCTGGTGTGCCAAGCCTAGGGCATCAATCCCGCGGGTTTGTGAACCACCCCCAACCTCACACTGAGTCTCGATGCCGGGGCATCGAACGACCACGGCTTTTAGGAGGTACAAGGTCCTTCGCTCTTCTCTTAATTGTGAACGTCAGTTTGCGAGGTTGCCGCAAAATCTCTTTACAATCTCCGTCCAAGCGAGTGCAACCGCGCAGAATGGTTGCTCTGCGGAGGTGAGAGTCGTAAGGTGAGGCGGTTGAGGTATCGGAGGAGCGCGCAGCGAGTAAAGAGATAAATCGGCGGAAGGGAACAAAGGCGTTGGCGCGATCGATGGTTGGCTGCCAGCCGCTTTTATACAGCAAGGGCGGGAGGCCACAGAGACCTGCGGAATCTGCCAGAGTTCCACAGTTCCACTAGCCGCCCACCCCCCAGGCCTGTCCCAAGCAGATCGGGGCTATGTATAACCGATTCCGAGGCAGCTTCCCCTCCCCCGCCCTCCACGGTCCACCGACCTAGCTGCCCTAACATCCAAATCAGGTGATATGTGGGGCAGAAAATGCGAAATCACAACTGCCATAATTGTAAAATATCAGCCAGGAAAGTTTCCCCTTGCCAGCCTTCAACTGACCAGAACTCGAAGAGTCTTTCTCCGCCCAATTTGCGGTTAAACTTGATTGACCTCTCTTGTTCTCTAAATCCTTCACAGTGAGTCTCTCCCTCACAGCATTGCCTATTCGACAAAGGCCACAGAGCGCCTGACGCTGACACCGATTCCGCCGCAGACCATACAAAATGAAGCACCTCGCTGCCTATCTCCTTCTTGGCCTCGGTGGCAACACCTCGCCGTCGGCTGCCGACATCAAGGCCGTTCTCGAGTCGGTCGGTATCGAGGCTGATGATGAACGCCTCGAGAAGCTCCTTTCTGAGCTGGAGGGCAAGGACATCAACGAGGTGCGCAGGATTGAATGTTCCTTCAACACGGTGAATATGGTACGCTAACACGATGCGACACAGCTGATCGCTGAGGGTTCGTCCAAGCTCGCCTCTGTTCCGTCTGGCGGTGCTGGCGGTGCTGCCGCCGCTGGTGGTGCTGCGGCAGGCGGCGCCGCTGCTGAGGCTCCCAAGGAGGAGGAGAAGAAGGAAGAGGGTATGCGTTCCTGCTGTAGACTACCGTCTCCCTGTCGCTTACTGACGTCCTTGCAGAGAAGGAGGAGTCCGACGAGGACATGGGCTTCGGTCTCTTCGACTAAGCGCCGAGTTAGTGGTCCTTGCAAGCTTGCTCAGCACTCTGGGTCGCTTCCGAAGAACCTTGGTGGCCTACTTGCGCAGCTACGACATACATGGCCACATGATATGCCGTGGCGGGTGTTCCTGACGTGAGGGAGCGAGATACCCTTCGTAACCAGGATCCCTGAACTAGGGACCTGAGTATGGTGGCGCGCCGGGCATATAGAATGGAATATAACAGTCCAAGGCTCTCTTCGGACGCGATGTGTTGCCGGCATGCTCCATGGGCCTAATCCCTCGCCGCTCATCTCCGTTGTGAGGCTGCTCCAGGCTGCGCGCTCGGCGACTGGGTATTCCGTCGCGTCGCGCAATGGATAACGGAACATTTGTTCTCTCTGTCTAGATTATCCATTTGATGTAGAGACCATCCCATCCACCACAGGGCCTGGTTGTGCTCCCCTCACCTCAGTCAGCTCAGCTTGGCTTCAGTTTGCTTGCCGAATGCTGTCGGGCCCGCCTTTCCTCCTGCGCCGCTATACGGCCTCTCATTGGCTGCGTCCCATACCTTGACGCGCTGTGGATCTCGGGACGCGCATGGACCAAGACCACCTGGGCAGCCCTCTATTTATCGACTTGCTAGTGTTTCCCCCCCAACGCGTCCTCTTCCCTTCCTCAACCTGCCTCAAGTTGGAGACTTAGGACTTTGATCGTTCGTACTTGCTATCTCAATCAACCAATCAATCAATTGACCTCTGCTCAGCAGTTGACAGATTTTTTATTTTCTCTAATCGCCCCTCATCCCAGATATCAAAGATGACGCTCCGCTAGAAACTTGGTGCATCTCTTGATTTCGATCGCCAACATCGCGACCTTGCCGCTCTGCACTCGTTACTCGAGGAACAGAGTCATTTAGCAGCCCAGGCAGTAGAGGATGTTTCCTTCGTGTCAGACTTATGTCGCACCTTCCAATGCGAAGTGGCCGAAACTATTGAAGACATCCTTGACGATCCCTGGTACGGCACATTGCAGCGTGCCTGCTCGATACGGACAGAGTTTGTGACGCGTCACTGTCGGCTTGCCTCCACCCCCAAGGAAGCCTCAGAGCAAGACCCCTCAAGCCTTCGCACTCGCCCAGAAGCGAAGGTTCTTTCAACAAGATCAAGTCAGCCATTCGCGCCCGGAAAGAGGCGGAAGAGGAAAGGAAGACCATTGAGGCAGAGTGCCGCGCCCTAATCTGCCCGACCGCTTCCTTGTTACATGGTAAGTCCTCGGGTGCAACCCACAACCCGTCAAAACAATCAACTTAACCAACCAACAGCGGCCATGAATCCAAATTGCAACACATCCGGTGATGCCAGCGAACGTCGCGGTTGCCCGCGCGAGCCCTTCCGAAAGCCAACCGTGTTTCAGGTATGGACATTTGACTGCCCTCAATAATGCGCTTGCCTTCATCTTGGGACCAGCCAGGCTAACACTCCAGTACAGCAGTTGCAATCTACCTGCGACGATGGCGACATCACGTCTGAGGCCGAGGAGTGTCTGCGTCCCATGAAACTGAGTGCCTTGACAAAGGCGATATTGGGAGTTAATTATCACTCCGACGTGTCATCGCCCGGCGAATCGAGTCTTGCTGAACGCGCACCGCGTACCCCTAACAAGTCATGCATTCCAGGTCCGGTACGGCCAACCTCTGGGGACCAGGAGTCCCTGTGGAGGTGTTCCCAGGAACGGGAGAATCGGCCATCGTCCACTCCTCCCAGTTCGATCCGGTCGCGGGTTGCCTCTAGGAGAAGCTCAATCCCGACAGCCCGCAGGTCAGCATCTGCTGCCAGCAACAAATCGTCACCCGCAATGAATCCAGCCGACAGCGCTCGCCCACGGAAGCGCGTCGTGCGGCTTCATTCAAATTCTTCGGCGAATGCGGCCAACAACTCGAGCTTCACGCCGGGGTATTTGCGGAGAACAGTCTCGTCCTCTACTAAAGTGAAGAGACCCGAGAGCTCCGACGGCCCAAAGTTAGCCAAGCCCATATCCCCTGTTAGTCAACAAGAAACGTCGGTCGAAACGCCCGAAATCCCCGTGAGGACCGTGAGAATCGCCCTGGGCTCCTCCGGTCATAAACGGACGTCAGCGGCTTCGTCCAGTGCCCTCTCCATTCACAATACCCGTTCTGCGAGCCGTGAAGTCGGACCCGGCTCCGCCTCTATCACTCGACCATCCGTCCCCGCTGTTAAAAGGGCCGTCAAGACCCCGGGCGGCTACCTTTCTGGTCCGGCTCGCCGCGGACTCAGGAGGCAGAGCGAGGAAGTACCAAAGCTTCAGGAGAGCAACGTTTGTGAACAGTTGCTCCAGGTCCGGAATCAGCAGGCTCCGCTATCATCGGCGTCGAACCCTACTGGTACTGTAGAATCGGGCAGCCCATTGAGCAAACAGAGGTTCTCGCAGATCCGAGACCGACAGGCTCCGCCGTATTCGGCGTCGAACCCTGTTGATTTCGTCGCATCAGGAAGCCCCACCAATAACCAGAGGCCCTCCCAGGTCCGGAAGCGACAGGCTCCGCCATTACTGGCGTCGAACCCTGTCGATTCTGATGTATCGGGTAGTCCGGTTGTTGCTCCCGTCCCGCTCGACAAACCCCAAAATGACGACAAGGAGAATGAAGCTCCGTCCATGGCTCGCCTCATGATCCACGGCAAGGACAGCGCACTGGTCTCGAGCAATCGTCCCAATCAGAGGCAGGCACCGCCTCCACCTCCCAAGATGTCGGTTGTCGACACAGTCACTACCTCTGCCGGCGCCTCCACCGCTGGCCAGGGCAGCAGGAAGAAGCAGTTCCTGTTCCGCATCAATGGCAGGTCGTACACAAGAATTGACACACTCGGTCGCGGCGGGTCGGGTAAGGTCTACCGCGTCTCAGCCGAAAGCGGCAAGCTCCTGGCTCTGAAACGATTATCTCTCGGGACTCTCAACGAAAAGACAAAAAGCTTCCAGTGGCAGGAGGTCGATCTGCTAAAGCGGTTGACTGGAGTTGACCGGGTGGTCCAAATGATAGACTACGAGTACAGCCCCTCGAAGGAGACGCTCAGCCTTGTAAGTCATCTTCGAAAACACTTTGCCACAACTTTGACGTATCGCTAACCGTTCATGATCCAGGTGCTGGAAGCAGGCGAGCTGGACTTCCAGACGTTCCTGCGTGGCCGCAACCAAGAAGACAGCGGATTCGACCCAGCTTTTGTCAGATACTGGTGGAAAGAAATGGTCGAGTGCGTCCGGGCAGTGCATGCCAGGGACATTGTCCACTCAGATCTGAAGCCTGCCAACTTTGTCCTTTGTCAAGGGCGACTGAAGGTCATCGACTTCGGCATTGCCAACCGGATCGAGATTGAAGAGACGGTCCATGTGCATCGCGAGTCACAGGTCGGCACCCCGAACTACTTGTCACCGGAGTCGCTGTTGGATATCAACGAATATGCCCTGAGCTCGGCCGCTCAGCGCCTGATTACGGCGCCTCAAAACCAGAAGGTCAGGCACTATAAGATCGGGAAGGCCTCTGACATCTGGAGCTTGGGGTGCATCCTGTACCAGATGGTGTATGGTGCGCCTCCGTTCGCCAACTCGCCTCATATGATCGCTCGGGTGCAGGCAATCTGCGATTGGGATCACATCATCCCTTTCCCTGAGATCGCCGTGGATAACACCCGTCTTCCCCCGAGCTTGCTCCGCACGATGCGGCGGTGCTTGAACCGGGATGCGTCGCTTCGCCCCACATGCGAGGAACTCCTCGCCAAGACGGATCCGTTCTTATACCCCCTGGAGCCGCAAGGCACTTGCACATGCTGGCGGACGGCGATCGATGCTGGTGCCAAACAAGGAGGAGAGTAAAACTGCTTGGGGATTGGTGGAGGATGGTAGAGGATTGGTCTACATTGGAGTTTTTGGAAAAGTGGCTGTTTGGAAGACAAGCATTCTTATACCCGGCGCGGGGGAAATGGTTTTGGGTCTGTTACAAGTTGGAGTTGGGAGTTTGGGAGCATTTTGCCCTTTCCTCATAAAATGAGGCACCCTCGAAAAAGAGGGCGATAGAGACGGGATGGACTATTGTTAGATAATCAGGGTATGCTATTTCAGGGATGTCCTCTCAAGAAATGAGAAGCCTCGAAAATTTGAGGGTTATAGAGTTGCTACTGTCACCTTGTTGTTCGACTCCAAGACCGTCTTTCCTTTTCTGTGATCACTCGGAGCTAAGGTATCTTGGGATTCATGACACTCCCTCTAATATTCAAAGGCTTTTTGTGCAAAACTTGAATTCGACCTCCAGGATAATAAGGGAGCTCGGGGAGCTACCTCCTTAGGTGGCGTACCGCTTCAGGTACTTCTACCGGGTCGACATCCCTGACTTACACACATTCATTATCATCATGCTGTAGTACCTACCGAGTGCTCGTCGGTGTATTGATTTCAACCGCCTACTACCTTTTCCGTCTTTGGATTTGGCACTCAATATCTCCCAACTCGAGTTGGTGAGCTTGTAGGGCGGCCGAAGACGGACGCTCCATTTCTGTTCCTCCATCACTGAAGCTTCTTGCCGTCGATATTCCTAACTTATCCCGCGCCAGTGTGCTGTACCACTTCTACACCACGACATCGTATAGATCCCTATTTATACACCTATGTCTACGGCAGCTCACCGCTTCATCGTACAAACTGTTGCACTCCTTTGCACACACGGCCCGGGCATCTCTCTCCTCCAGCAGCAGATGGCAAAGAAAACACCTCGGTGTTCAGAATAGGGCCCCGTGCCCTTCCAAGCCCATCTTCCGGGAACCCTTCCTCAACCTTTGAACCCCCGCTCTCTCCAGCTCAGGCCTCATTCACCGCTTCGGTCCGAATCCTCAGCTCGCTGATCCGCAGCATCGTGTACCGGTGCTTGCTCTTGACGTGCTTCGTCCGCCGGCACCTCCGCTTCTTCTTGATCTTGATGCGCAGCGGCTCCGACTCGGTCCCCGTCACGACCGCCCGGCACTCGAAGAGCCGCTCGTCGATGTACGGCGCGCCCTTGAGCGTGAAGTCGCGGCTGCCGAGGATGCTGGCGCGCGTCAGCCGGAGAATGTCGCCCGGCACGACGCCCGGCATCTTGAAGGGCAGCCGCACGCTGTCGCCCTCGGTCACCAGGTAAGGGTGGCCGTGGATGTGGACGGTGATGTAACGGCCCGGTTGGGCAGCGAGAACGGGCAGCAAGGCGCGGACGGATTCGCTGATCGGTTTTGGTGGTGTGTTGGCTAATGGCTGGGACTGCTGCTGCTGCTGCTGCTGTGTCTCGGAGGGTTGTGGCTGCGTTTGTTGTAGAGAGGATGGTGATGGTGAGGACGCAAGGGGCGACTTGGAGTTGGCGACGATGCTGGGATCTGGCTGACTCGGCTCAATGTGCTGGGCCGTTTGGTTGAAGAAGCGCGCTGCGGCTGCGGCTGGTACTGTCACGGCGGGCGCCGCGGTTGTCGCCGTCGGCCGGATCGATGGCAGAAGGAGGCGCATGACCGGAGAGCGCAGCTCCAGGACGGAGCGCAGCAGCGTCCTGCTCATGTTGTGATAATCGGTGTCTACCCCAATTGAGCGGTAGGCACGAAGCTGTCTCAACCGTCGAGGTGCGGTGTCGGCTCCGCGATGCGACTGGGCGTCGGGGCGGGTGTTGGAAAATTCGGCGGATGCGGACAGCTGAGGTCAAGCGGACGGTCCGGCGGAAATAAATGTGGGTCATTTCCCCACCGACGTCGAGCGAGGTGAGCAGGGGGGTTTACGCTCGTCAAAGTTCGAACAAACAATGAAAACACCCGACGCAAGCGCTTTGGATTCCCTGTGGCCAGTGCCGAGTAAATCGGTCATACCTTGACAATCGGCTGCGTTTTCCCAAAGAGTGGAAGATCCCACGACTAGTGTCATCCCACATGAAACGCCGCGGTACTGGTGACCTCGAGGGGCACCGGAGGAGTGGAAGGGGACGGACGGCTTGAGATCCCCGCGTGTGAATGAGGTTGTCCAAAGGCCGTATATGTTACTCTAGGTCACCATTCTACGAACGCACATCTCTCACCACAATACCTCTCTCCTTTGCATTCCATCCAACATGCCTGGCCTAGCTGCGTGGAACTATCAGTCACGGTCATCTTGCGCGAAGATGCCATGGTTTTAAAAGCACTCGTTTAGACCTGGTAGGTATATTTTTTCATCTAGCTAACGAACGACTCGTAGTACACAATAGCGGAGATTATTCAGTCGTACAAAGGAAACTTTCTACCACTTATTCGCCACGCTTCTTTCGACACGCGCAGCATCAAGGGAGACCCACTCGACAGAATCATTGCTGCTGTCGCTGTACATGAGTCTCTTGAACCAGCCAGGCTTGGTTTTCTGCTTTTGCGGCACCCTGGATCCAGGCTTGGTAGACTTCAGCGATGAAGCAGCAGGCGGCGCTCGAACAGCGGTATTGCCATGTTGTCGCTTCGTTGATGGCACGCCCCCCTCGTGTGGATTCTTACCCGGCTTTCGAGCAAACATTGGATTGGGCCTGTAGCCGGGCACAACAAGGCTTGGGTGTTGCGCGGGCTGTGCGGGTTGCGGTCTTACGACTCGCTCCCGTGCCATCGACGGAGTACTCACCTCGACTGGTTTCCTCCGGGCCATATTCATCGTCGGGTCTGTCCGGTATCCGTGGAGCCTTCCGCTCGGCTGTGGCTCAGGAGCCCTTGCAGCCCTGACCGGTTGCTTGGACCGGATGGCAAGGGGAGCTGGTACCATGTTCCGATGCTGTGGTCGCCACGCATCCTTCGGTGGGATTGGAGGACGGTCTTTTGGTGGCACGGGAGGAGCAGCTTGTCGGTATGCGCTCCTTGGTTCGTGAGATGCCTGCGTTCGTGTTTGCCGGTTAGCGACATTAGCAGGGCTGGGCCGACACACGGATGAACCGCTTGATGTGGCAGCGGAGACAAGTCTTGGACGAGACGGCTCGGGTAAGCCAGCTGGAGGATTCACCACCACGGGCTTCCTGCAAGCGACAGTCTGTGCTGGAGGAACCTGCACCCTAGGTCTCGCCAGACCTGGTCGTTGCCCAGCCTGGCCGCGCGATGGTAGAGGCATTCTCTGCTGGTTCTGTGTAGCCTGTACGCGACCGCCTTGCGGGTTCATGTTAGCCTGGGTGCGTGGGAGAGTGGCGGTTGTGGTTGTAGTTGTGGTTGGAATGCGGGGATGCTGTGTCTGATGGAGGAGTTGCCGCTCAGAGAGTCGAGGCGGAGCCCGTTGTCTCTCTATCCGGGTTGACCCCGTGTGGACATCCGTCCCGCCGCGGCCCGTCTGCCAGAGCGGCTTGATACCCCCTCTGTCAGAGATAGCCTTCTTCAACTCACCGTGTCTTTGGATCCGTCTTTCCCTCCTCTCTCTTTCCCCCCTCTCCTGTTCCCTTCGACGTCGTAGCTCCTCCTTTCCCGCCTTCTGCCTCATTTCTTTGAGCCTCGACGCACATTCCATTGAGCAAACTGACCCGTCGTCTGTGTTGATGTGTCTGACGTGCCCGCAGTGACGAGGGTGGCGGCGCCCAAGGATAGCAGAACAGAGAGAAAACCCTGCCTCTGCCTTTTTCTCATAGTATAGCTGGCACTTGCGTACCTTACTCTCCTTCTTATGCCCACACCTATAGTGGGCGATTTCGATGTGACACATGCCTTGAGTGTTTTCGAAGCTTTGAGAGCCTTACCGCTTCCACTAGATTTCGGCTGGTATTTGAATATGACTCGTCGTTTTGGATCCGTTGTGGTCAGCTGAGGCAGTCGTGTTGATCGGAAGACGTGGAGTCTGCCTAGGGGCTAGGAATGGACAAAAGAGGCAGTAGATTTATATACTCCCTCACATTGCCTTTGTTCGGATGGAGTTCCATCCGGGAGCGCAAAACAATGCCATCGGGAAGAGCAAGACAATGTCATGGTTCAGGAATATCTTCCTAGTTCTTAGGATCTTTGTTCGCTGCGCCACCTTGAAACTGAACAAATGTCTTCTTAGTTAGCATACTGCACATCAAGTGCTGAGGCCGTCACATGAACTTTTCGTACTGCACATGTATGTACCCTGAACAATGACTGCGGCGTTTCCTCTCCCGCATGCTCAACTCGGTGACAATTGGAAAGATGAGCGCCTGCATAGACAGTCAATTGTGAGAGTTACTCATTGGAGATAGACAAAAGCGGTCTTACCTCGTGTTTTGCGGTAAGCCTCCTCGTTCACCGAGTTTTCTGGATGGGTATTGATTGTTCAACGTGAATCTTGAGACCTAGGTGTTGATACAATCATTCAGCCGTCAGCGAAAATCTATCTCTGCGTGGGGGACATACTGCAGCTACGGGCATTTCCCGGATAAGTACTAGGTAGGGTGCGCCGCCTATATGTTGAGCAATACGTCAAGCGTATCATGGAAGCAGCTTTACTATATTTCTCGGCATAGCCTTCCAGGTTAGACTTAACGTGCTTCTGTCATTGCGGCTACTACATAATGAACCTGGGCCGGAAATATACCCTCCATGGTTGTCCGGTAATGGAGGTCCAAACACCTAAGAACCTAATCACAATTCGCTTGACAGTATATGGCCCTGTAGGTTCTTGACTGCTGCCTCTATATACACCTCCACGAGGACCTTCTGCTGAGGGCACCAGCTAGAGGTCGTATAGACTATGAGCAGGCTATCAAGATGTCACCTAGAGATACGATCCTCTTCCTGCCACGTCAAATCACAAGCGAAGCCCTGGCACCCAGAATCTTGGCTGGTTGTGGCATCTGTACGGTGAGACCATCTACAGACAGGGCAAAATCGATCAAGAGCGCCACTGTTATTAAATTTATTTGGAGTGCGAGTTGCCCTCCTTCACCCTCTGTCCCGCAGATTTGAATATGCAGTAGCTCATTCGCTAATTCATGGCTAACTCATCCACTCATTCTCACAAACCACCTGTAGAGACATTACATGGTGGCCAGGTTTGAGGCGAGGGACTCGTGTATTACAACTTTGGTTTTGTCGTGAACCTTGCCCTTCCAACAACCGAGTCGAGCAGGGCACTGACCCACGCGGCCTCATCGTGCACCGGCTTGCACGAGGCAGTCTTTCTTGCGGGCGGGGATGGCGGCGACCACAGAGAATCCTCGAACAACTTCTTCTGCGGAACGGCTTCAATGGTTGAAGGCCGTTTGTCAGGATCCTAAGCCTGCAGACAGCTACAATGATAGTCAGTACCATCATTCATCTTGCCGGGATGAGTCTCGGGTTACATACCCGAGGAAATCTCCGTTGATGCTGCCGATCGCCCACATCTCTCCGACTTCGGTACGGAGGCCGATTATTTTCACACGCACATGCGTACCCTGCTCAATGACGATATCGGCATTGTTGGTGAACTGCGCAGGTGTTGCGCTTGCATCGTACTGAATCTCGTCCGGCATCAACTGCGAGATGCGTCAGCGGTATGGTCGACCTCCAACCGGTGGTGGGGAACATACATGAGACGAGACAAACAGTCTTAATGGGCCGGCCTGGGCGAAGAAGCCGTGGGGATTTACCGTATGTGTCACGGCGTCAATGACCTCGCCTTTGAACGGCCGCCAGACGACGGCTCGGTACCCGACCGTGAACTCAGCCAGGCCGCTGCCAGGCAGAATCCGGCCTTCGGACACGTCGAAGGTGTCCATGACGGCGATTATGTAGTAGTCGCCCGCACATGTTCCCTCCACATCTTTAACGAGCTTTGTCGTCACCAGCTCATGCATGTTCCTTCCAAAATAGGAAGGGTGCAGCGTGACGCGCCGCTCGAGATTGTGCAGAAAAAACATTTCGACACGCGCCGGCGACTTCTCTGCTTCAAGGATCGATGTTGTCGCAGAGTGAAAGGGCGTCGCGGCGAGGGCCTCGAGGAAACGAGCGTCTAGTCGGGCATTCCTTTACTTGACTCGCCGCCGCGTAAGTTGTGAAGTGGAAGACTGGCGGACCGTGGTGCGGCGACTGGTTGACGTAGTAGATCTATTGCGCGAATCAAAGTGGGCCCACTCGGGTCCTTCCGCATCCAGCCGAGGACCGGCGCAAACGCTCATCAGTTTGATGAAAGAATTCACATTATCTGCTGCTGTCACATGAGATGGTGGTGGTCTTCGCCCATTCTGATTAACTATGTGCTCCCTAATCTACCAGGTACAAACAAGTCTTCACAACAAAAAAACCGGTCATTGAGCTGCAGCGCCTTCAGATACGCGCCCAAGCCATCGTTGGAAAAAGGGGCCAATTTGATATGGAATAACCGTGCCACAGTGTATATAGCACACAGCAGATACGGCTTTACATCATTATGTGTCCCACTATGTCATATTTGTTCCACGGGCATTTATCAATTAGTTCATCTAATGTGGCCGAGTCGACAACACTCAGCTGCTCCTCGTTCCCTGGTGGGGGAAAATGGGAGCTTGACCCCAGCCGCCCGAGGGCCAAAAGTTTTATCACCGGTCCGTTGTCGTTGCAACCGGCCTAGCCTGCAACAAACTGCGAGAACATCACCTGACATCCTTCTGTTGCCCTCCGTGGTGAGCATCGTCCAATATTTACTTTTGCAACTGGCAGGCTATTCTCTCTTGACGCACCAAATCTCAGTCTGCTTATCTGTCTTTTTGTTGCTCTGGATTGTGCGGAAGACCGCTGTCCGACGGGAGGCTTATTATTACAATCTGTCCAAGCCCAGCCCAGCCTATCCCCTTCTTCAACAAACATTCCCTCAAGGGTTCGCAACAACGCCATGGCGGTGTCGCTCGACCTTGAACAGCATCTCACCTCCGTAAGCTCGCCTACCAAAACCCGGAGCCGACGTGGCCGAGACCATATGGCTGCACTCTAGTATTCCACGTACTTACCCAGCTAACTTGTCGCGCAGTATGGTGCGTACCACCATAACCGGGTGAACGTAGTTATTCACATGGTTTGCGTGCCCCTGATTATGTTTTCGGCATTTGAGATCGTATGCCTCCCCGTTCTAGGCCGCATCTGAACAACAGCATGACCTGACGACCCCGATGCAGGCTTCCAACTATGGCCCCTTCTTCGCCGTCCCGCCATGGCTGCAAGTGGTACCGTACCTTGAGCCAAACCTGGGGGCCTTCGCAGCAACGGCATGGGGCGGCTTATACCTCCTCCTCGAGCCCGTTGCGGGAGGTGTGCTGGCCCTGATCTGCCTCGCGGGAGCAGCCGGCACCAATTACCTTCGCCAACAGGATCCGGCCGGCACTACCAAAGCCGCTATTGCCGTGCAAATCGTGTGCTGGCTCTTGCAGTTCGTTGGCCATGGCAAGTTCGAGGGCAGAGCCCCTGCCTTGCTGGACAACTTGTTCCAGGCCATCTTTCTGGCGCCCCTGTTCGTCTGGCTCGAGGTGCTGTTCATGCTTGGCTACCGACCCGAGCTCAAGAAGCGCGTCGACAAGGCCGTCGAGATCGAGGTCGCTAAAGTCCGCGAGCGGAAAGCGAAGAAGCTTGCCAAGGCCGAGTAGCCTACCCTAGAACACCAGCCGAGGGAACTCCATGGGACAACGGTTTGATGGCCTTGGACAGGAAAGCCCTCTGAACAACAAGATGTAAAGTGTGAAGGCCGAGTGAGTGAGACCCACCGTACGTTGCACGGGACCGTAAAGAGTATGGGTACGATTGAATTATACCGAACCGACGTGGTCTATTGGACTGCATTTACGACAAGCGGGACAACGTTGTGCGACCAGTGATGGGACGGCTATCCCGTATAAGGATTCCTGCTTATGGCCTCAGGCCTTGGAGGGACTTCAGTTTTCGTACTGAGTCGAGGCTGCAGCCGCAAAGCAACCGGACGGAACGGGAAATCAGGGAAGGGAACGGGAGGAATAAAGATTACCTCGTCTTAGGCACTAATGTATTTCTTGTGATTCCTATGGTGTTTCAAATCGGGGCCTTCACTCAGGTTCCGATGGTCAAAGATGCCAGGCAGGTGGGCACCTCACGACTTATCTGCTTGGCGGTGTTGACACCGCATCTTGAGTTGCCCCACATAATGTCATCGTTGTTTATAATTGAACCTTCAAGCTCCCGTTCACAGAAACCACACAAGTCGCCAAAAGAAGTTCAGAACCCTCCCGAGAAGCCGAGAGAACAATGGATACCCCACCGCACTGGTCATTGAATTACTTCAAAGGTATGCTTCAATTCTGCAGCCAACGCAATCGCGAAACCGTCCTCCCCTCGGCCCCGACCTTCCCGTCCTCGCACAACGACCCAGCACTAACCACCTGTGCCATTGGACCAACAATACAGACCTTCTCCCCGACGAGACCGCCACCCAGATCCAGTCCTTCCTCCTCAGCCCGTCCAGCCCCCTTCGCAACCTCTCCCACCTTCTCTCGACCGCCACCGCGCAGATGTACCCTCTGTTCGCGACTGCCCTCGACCGCCTTGCCGCGTTCGTGTCAGCGTCCCCCAACATCGTGTCGGCCGCGCTTGTCCTGATGCTGGCAGTGTTGATGCTCCAGATTCTGAGCATGGTGCACAGGATGGTGCTATATTTTACGCGGCTCGTCTTCCGGATGCTCTTCTGGGCGGCGGTCGTGGCACTCATGGCGGCGGCCTGGCAGAGAGGGCTAGAGCATAGCCTACGAGATGTTGTGACGGTGGGTGGGCAGGTCGTTGGATGGGTGATGGGCGTTGTTGGTGTTTGGGTCCGCGAGTATGAAAAGGCGCAGGCGCAGTCGCAGACGCAGGGTCAGACGGCGTATGGTGGTTATCAACAGCGGCAAAGGTAGCGCAGGCGGTATTAGCATGTTGCGTAACGGTGGAGGTGTACTTTCAACGGGCTGAATCGCGGTGCTATGGTTGGATACGATATGGGTGCCCCGGGGTAATGGCGCACGGTTTTTAGGGACAAACTCTTGGGACGATGGAAAAGGCAATTGTTCATGGATATCAATCCGAGAAACAAAACGAAACATAAACTATCCCAAACGAACTCCGTCCCCATGCAAATGCTGTTCTTTTGAGACGCCGAAACCAAGTTAAGCAACCCGAAACACCGAGGCCACAGAACCATGCCGTCTCTTATGAACGCCTCTCGTCCCTTTCCTTTTCTTCCCCCCTCTCTTTTCCGGTCCTCCTTGTTCTCTCTTTCCCTTCTGCCTTACTGAGGCGCCCGTTTTCTATCCTACTCCTCCTCATCCGGCGGCTCCTTCGGCTCTTGGGCCTCGTGATACTGAATAACGTAATCCAGGTGGCTGAGAATCGCTCCAACACTCTCCTCGTCGGTACAATCGAGTTCGAAGTACTCGACCAGGCTGAAGGTCTCGATCAGATTTGCCACCGCGTTGTTCAACCGCTTAAACGTAGTCCCCGACAGAACCGCATCCTGATCTTTGGAATCCCAATTATGCGGGTCAATGTGAATGCCCGCCTTCCTCCGTGCAACATCCGCTGGGTCGTCCTCCAATAGGGTCGTATCCGGTGTCTTGAAACGCTTGAGTTGCTTCTTCGGGAGTTGATCCTTAACCAGGTCCCACTTGCTTAGGATGTTGATGTGCGGCAACTCCAGCATAATCATGGCGCTCATTGCGCTGAGCGAGCCGGAGAAGTATTTGGACTGATCGAGTACCGAAGTTCCTTCGAGCAGGTACGCCGCGCATAACCGGATGTCGAGCGCGCCGGGCCGTGACAGGAATTTGACCAGGTCCGGGACGATGGGGATATGTGTATACAGTTCGATCTGGCCAGGCATGTCGAAGATGATGAGATATTCCTCTGTGAGCGACTCCAGGCCCTCAGTCAAAAAGTCAAGATTTTGCATAAGATATTCGAAGCAGTAGACCAGTCCCCCATTTGGACCGAGCTGCATTTCGTCCATCACATCCTCGACTGATATTAAGTCTTTGATATCAAGATCGGGCTGGTGTTCAAAGTGCTCAGCAGCCGGGTCGAGGTTCACGTAGAAGGCAGAACGTCGATTCAACTGAAGGTGTGTTATCAGACTGGCGCAGAACGTAGACTGTTCAACCGCACGGTTAGCACCCTACTAGACATTGTTATCTGCGAAAAGCCATCGTACCTTGCCTACCCCTGCGGGACCCATTACCATAACTCCGAATTTGCTCATGGTGGGCAGTATTGTGACGTGATAGGATCATAAGAATAGAGGGGTGGAAAGGTTTAGGAAGAGTTGAAGGAGTGCAGGGAGCCAAAGACAGATCGCGTCCATAAAATATCCCCGCGTAGTCTCGAAGGAGCATGGACGAGATTCAAGTGAGCATGTGTGGCAAATGCGGGTGGATGTGGGCCTGGGTGGCTGGTGCAAATGTATCTGTGGGAACCCACCAAAACGCACAGCTGGTGCTGGTGCTGTGTGTGGTATCCGATTGGCTAAAGGCGGTGCGGGGCTGGATGGCACCCCACAGATACATGCACACAACTCCCAAGCGCCAAAGCTGTGGCTGAACACTTGAGACTACCCCTCGGCAGAGATCGCAAAGGCGGTGGCGACGGGCGAGCGTGACGGGAATCTAGTATCAATACTGTACGCTATTTGAGTTTCGCTCTGTGCTTGCACCTTGTGCATAAGATGCCAGTATTGTGTAGACAACGGCTTAGAGGTGCCTATCTAGTGTCTATCCACCTAGCCTATGTAGTGTACTCTGGTCTGAATCGACGATACGCGAATAAGGTTTGCCGAACGTGTTCCTGTCGATGGAATTCACTTTCTGCCCCTCAGTGGGGCACTCGGTTCCGATGGGACGCCATGCGCCCGGCAAGGGGAGAAACTCACAGGAGGGGTAGATGGCGCAATTTTACAGATAAGGACAAGCCCGACCTGGGGTACTCTATAACAGCCCGGCAGCTGTTAGATCCATTGCTACAGAAATTTAAGCCGCTCAGGACACTAGCTATCTTAAGGTACCTTATGTCCTAGGTCCCTTAGGTAGACCCGAAGTCTCCCGGTGCAATTGCTCAGTGCTATAATACGTCCGTAATACCCTTACTTGTCACGTTCAAGGTCGAGAGAATTCTGGGCCTGCGGCTAGAATGAGTAATTTCCCGGCTGGAATGAATGCTTTCACTGTGAACCAGGTCATGACGTTATAGGATCGGGGGCATTTGCCGGGACTGCCTATGGTGAGCGGCATCATTAACTTGTAGCCCGGTGGGGACCATGATGATCCGGTACCCCAGCCGTGCCGCTTTGAGAACCTTGCGGTGAAAAATGGCCGACGCTCGGCACCTTCCCAATTTCTTCAAATACTGCCGCGACCCCCGTGTCTTTCGCTTCTCCATCTTCCTTCGAGCGTTCACATCTCTCCTCCTGTCCCTGTCCTAGTTTCCAGCAGCCGGTTCTTCTTTGCCGTGAATTTTTGTTTCTTCTTCTGCAAAGGTCAGTCGAGAACCTGGGTTGCTTCCGTCTCGGGGTTCAGATGGACCCCGAATCTCACTCTCTTCCCCGCTCTCCTTGCTCGAGAGATCGTCAATTCCCGCAATGTGTTGAATGGCTTCCCATCCCATGGACGATAAGCCGGTCGACTGTTGCTTGGGAACTTGGTTGCTCCTCCGATCTTCAGGGCTTGATCCTGTCGTCCTCCTGGAGACTCTCGAAGACTTGATCCCCTCCCGGAGCGCAGATTCCCGAGACTTGTCCTGGCCGGAGCGGTGACTAACTCCGAGCCCTCTTCTAGAACCCCCCTTTCCCATAAGCTCAATCAGAATGGCTGCGAACGGCAACGGTGTGGCCAATGGCGTGAGCGGGTGGAAGCACTACAATGAGGGCACTTTCCTCTTCACTGTAAGTCTTAGCATTGTTAGGGAATTGCATAGTCGCCGCTGACCGCCTTTTCAGTCCGAGTCTGTCGGTGAGGGCCACCCCGACAAGATCGCTGATCAGGTTTCGGATGCTATCCTCGATGCCTGCCTGGCAGAGGACCCCCTCTCCAAGGTGGCTTGCGAGACGGCCACCAAGACCGGCATGATCATGGTTTTTGGTGAAATCACCACCAAGGCCAAGCTCGATTACCAGAAAGTTGTGCGCAACGCCGTCAAGGACATTGGCTACGATGATTCGTCCAAGGGTTTCGACTACAAGACTCTCAACCTGCTTGTCGCCATCGAGGAACAGTCCCCCGACATCGCGCAGGGTCTGCACCTCGACGACCGCCTCGAGAACCTCGGTGCGGGTGACCAGGGCATCATGTTCGGTTACGCCACCGATGAGACGCCCGAGTTGTTCCCCCTGACACTGCTCTTCGCTCACAAGCTCAACGCTGCCATGGCGGCCGCTCGCCGCGATGGCACCCTGCCATGGCTCCGCCCAGACACCAAGACCCAGGTCACCATCGAGTACAAGCATGACAATGGCGCTGTCGTGCCTCTCCGTGTCGACACCATCGTCGTATCTGCTCAGCACGCCCCGGAAATCACCACCGAGAAGTTGCGCAAGGAGATCCTGGAGAAGATCATCAAGACCACCATTCCTGCCAAGTACCTAGATGACCGGACCATTTACCATGTAAGCTCAAATATCGCGCAAGTCTGGGACTCTCCTTACTGACAGAGTCTAGATTCAACCCTCCGGTCTCTTCATCATTGGGGGTCCTCAGGGCGATGCTGGTCTCACAGGCCGCAAGATCATCGTCGACACCTACGGCGGCTGGGGTGCCCATGGTGGCGGTGCTTTCTCCGGCAAGGACTTCTCCAAGGTTGACCGCTCGGCTGCCTATGTTGGACGCTGGATTGCGAAGTCACTTGTCGCCGCTGGCCTTGCTCGCCGCGCCTTGGTTCAGCTCTCGTACGCCATCGGTGTCGCCGAACCCCTCTCGATCTACGTGGACACCTACGGCACCTCGGAGAAGACCTCGGATGAGCTCGTCAAGATCATTCGGGACAACTTCGACCTCCGCCCTGGTGTCATTGTCAAGGAGCTGGATCTGGCCAAGCCTATCTACCTCCAGACGGCCAAGAACGGCCATTTCGGCACCAACCAGAACTTCAGCTGGGAAAAGCCCAAGCCGCTCAAGTTCTAAGTGAGATTCAATGTCGCAGACGATTCAACTTCCTCTGCGGATGTTACCTCACTCCTCATCGGAAGATCTTTTTCTATCTTCCTTTAATCTTTCTTTATGATCATATGAATGGGATAAGCATTGCTGGCGTACGGTTCTCAACAAACCTGGGTGGGCGGATAGACTTATGTTTCTCATCGTTTCTCTGATTTGCTCGGGTCTCTGGGTCACAACAAGGATAACTGGGGACTCCACTTTGGCTTTCCCTTATTTTCTCTCGACGCTTCTGATGGCGGAATCACGCCTGGGGGTTTCGTTAATTCGCGGATACCAAAAACTTAGCCAGGTCAAAGACGGGTGGCTAATGGGTGGGTGAAAGGCGTCTTTCAACAAAGACATTATATGAGCCAAGAAGGCGGCGACTGTATGGCATTGCGATACCCCATGGGGCACGGCATATGAGGGCACAAGACATCGGCGTTTTGGGGAAAACAAAAGAACTTCAACATCTTTTCTTTTCCTGATTATTAGACGTCGATAATAGCCTTTTTGGCTTGATGGAGGGCGGGAAAGAGGAGAGACATACAGAGGTGATGCCTGTGGTTCGGGCCATGGGTTCCTGAGCTAGGAATGTACTACCTAGTTCCTAGAGAGCAGCCGTGGCCTCGATGACAAGGTCGAAAGACCAAATGAAGCGTTTGGTGAACTCGAGTCGCCCTATACGATCGCTGTTATCGTTAACCTTTGCCATCTTGTCCTTGCGAGTACAGTCAGGAGACGCTGAGACACCTCACTGGCGCTGTGGAGATTGAACCGAAGAGTCTGAGCCATGAGCATAAGCGCAAGAAGGTCAAGTGCTAGGATCCTTGAACAGCATAACACCCGTCTGACGTTAGACGAGAGTTTGGATTTTCTGGTGGGAATAACTCAGAATCCATGAGTTTGGAAGTCGAATGCTGGAGATCCTCCAGCATTGCCCCGGAGAGCGTTCCAATCTGAAAACGTTCAACCTCCTCCACTAGTCGAGGGAACTGTTAAAAGGACCAAGGGTTTAGGTAGTCCGGACGATGATTTCGCATGCCAGTACTGATTCTCCGCTTTCCTATACTACGGTGCCTGTGTAAACGGCTTCGAGAATGACCAACCACGATGCGATCCCCGAATCCAGATTCCCTCTTTCTCGCCGGGACATCGGGTTCACTTTCGCTACGGAATAAGGATTGAGGATCGTCAGGACTCATCTGGCTTGGCCGACACCGTTAACTTCCAGGTTGCTACCCGGACCTCCCAGTAGATCGAATTCCCCGCCGCTTGAGGAATCCGAGTCATAGTAAGAGGCATATCCTGTATGACGGGTACCTATCGAAGGGATGATTTCGCACGGCCGCATCTTAGTAACCTAGTACTGGTAGTGGTCGGGTGACTCTTTCGAAGCTTCGGGGTTTGCTGAGCGTGTGTCCCTTGTATTGTACGGAGTACTCTGTAGGTAGTGTATTGTATTGTACAAGTACATACAATACCACAGTACACAGCAGTTACATAGTAAGAAGAATGACAGGGATCCGATTCTCCCTTGAAGAATGGTCCAGATTATTGTCCCAGAGACATGGTCATGGGCCATGATGAAGCTCCACGCTGCGCCAGGCACGACGGGGTGGCTTGACCTTGGCAGACTTATTTAGGTCCCGTCCTCTTGAAGAGGATTGCTGTCTTGTTGTCTGATGAGAATTCAACAAGTTTTTCCATCAATATCTCAACTTCTTTACGCGACAAAACTGGTAACCCTGAGAACTAAAGGGTGTATGAAACTATAATTGGATGTACTACGTACTTCTACGGTTATGGCAATACGACGGCGTAGATTGATTTATGTAACATAAGAGAACCTCGATCCTGGCCCTTCGCGAGGTTGTAATTTCAGGCCGCGCCAGAATCCAGAATCCACTGCAGATTCGTATACGTTACCAAAGCCTGCCATTAGCGCTGCCTGTATCTTTATGCAGCGTTTGAAACAAGAACAGCACATATGTCGGAGTTAGGTAATAATAATACTAGCAATAAGTACAAGTAACTACATATACGGATCCGTACAGGGTGCAAAGCAATACGGTTCGAGACCCCTTAAACTCTAAGCGCCAAGACGGACCCAAGAACCCAGGGTCCGTGCCGAAGCGAATTGGCTATTCTGAACAATATCTCCACCGCAAGATCAACTTCTATATCTGCTTGTGCCTGGGGAGCGCTCGTGAATGTGATCAAGGAATACAGTAGGTCTGTGCGTCCTCGGTCAGCATAACAATTTCATTGTCAGCAATGGCCCCATGCTCGGGCTATTTTGCGCCATCTGAGAATGAGTACCGAAGTCGCGGGCACAGGTTCCAAATCTCAGGAGGCGCCCCGATCGATCTGCAAAAGAAATCAACCGCGCAGAGCATGGATCCCATGTCACCCCCCACAATTCACCGTTGGCCAGTCCGGAAGGCGGCCGTGCTAATAACCCCTGCGCCTTTTCAAATGACGGCGCCGGCAATTTCTCGCGCGGTGGACGTGGATGTGCCAGGGCCAGGTTCTGCTGGCGGTCATTTTACGCTGGCTTACCGTCTCCTCGGATCATTACACTGAAGGGCCAACAAGCCACGACGCGCAGAAGCACGTCCATGGACGAAGCCGGCTGCGACAAGTTCCTAGGCAAGACGTCTCCTCCTAAGTCATTCGCCCCATTGCCTAGCATATAGGCCAGGTTCACCCCGCGTTAGTCGCAGCCCGCAGTGGCTTTTGCGCGTCGCGCGCTCGCTTCCCCTTGCCCGGCGCATCACACCTCGTGGACGGGAAGAAGCGTCCCCGTTCTGCCGGCCAAAGCACGTACCCGCGTACTTCCAGGGGAAGAAAAGGTGCGGCCTCGAGGCCAGTGGGCTCGGGACCTCGCATCTCTCCCGTCCGTTTCCTTGCTTCGCCGACAGCCCAAACAGCTCGAGGCCCGAGAGCCAACGCATGCGTGCGCCATGGCAGCCATGGAAGCGGCAAACGCCCAATATCACAATGGGCACAGCCAACAGCCCGCATCACCCACCCTCACAAACCCCGACATGATCCTGCCGGACTATGATCGCAGCGAGTCCCCTGGCCCTGACCTTGGCCGCCGCGCACACCCGTCGCTCACCATGTGGAACAACGCACACGTCTCTCCGTCGGGCCCCGATATGCACCACATGTTTGTCGCAACGGGTCTGGCAGGACCGCACCCATACGGCACCCCTGGCCCGGTCACGCCCACCACACCCATCATCTATGGCAACGGCACTATGCTGTCGGATATTGGAGAGGTCACGGAGGTTGAGAGCACCGTGGGGAAGTCGTCGCCGGCGCGGACGAAGTCGGCCATTCGGAGACCTGGATCCCCGAAGCACGGGAGCGGGAGCGACACAGCAGGACTCCGGTCGTCTCCGACGATGGGCGCAACAGCCATGATAAAGAAGTCCAAACAGAGCTTGAAAGCCAAACGCGAACGCCGATCAAGCATTGAGAGTGACAGCACCATCACGACAGAAGACCATGCGGGGGCTTTCGCTGACTTTGACGACTCCGTCAGTGTGGGCGACAGCGTCTTTCAAGGGGATGACGAAGAGAGCATGGCGTCTTCCTACGTGGAGGGGACGGCGGCCATTGAGCCTGCCCGGCTGGGGGTCGCCAAAGCGGAGAATCTCGATCGCCTGTCTACATACTCGACCACATCACTGAGCCGGCGAGCAGAGGAGATCCTTGCAAACGCCAAGAAAAGGCTGACGGTGCGTCTCGAGCCCTTCATCCGGTGTATGGCCTGCTAACGGTACCTAGACGATGGAGGGCAATCTGACCCGGGCGCGCAGCTCGTTGCACTACGCATCCCCCTATGGCTCGGACGGGTCGACGCCCTCCCCACCTCTGCAGCGAGCCGCCACAGCCATGTATCCGCCAGAGCATAGCATGGACACCGGCGCTGCGCAACCTGACCATGACCACACCCCCGGACACACGCGTATGTTGAGCGATGTTTCCATGCGGAACGGGTTGCCATATCGAGTGTCGTTGCCGAGGTCGCAAAGCGCCCTTGGGGCCGCTGGCGGTTACCGACAGCCATTGACGGCATCAAAGAGCGCCGACTATATCCGCGGTGGCATGGACGGTAACCCGCTCTCGCCCGGCTACAGAGCCAGTTCGTATATGGAAGCCGGTCCGAGCCCTCTGACAGAAGATGTTGTTGCGCGCCTTGGAGAAGCGGACAGCTCTAGCCAAAACGCGAGGCTTGAAGCGTTTCTTAGCCCCACTTTTGGGTCGTCCCATAGCGACAATGGCGTGAGGAATGTCCAAAGATCATCTTCGGCAGCTCAAATGCGAGACATCAAGGACCAGATGAGAGATCTAAAGGGCAAGATCTCTAGCCTGCGAGAGCAGGCTCGGGTAGACAGCCTAAAGCGGCGGAGTCTGCAGAGTCTCCGGACACCCAGCCCCTTCACGCATGCGCAGATAGACCAGTGGTATGCGGAGCCTCGATCGAACAGGACGTCCGAAATTATCACCAGCAATCCTCCAGGCAGGGACCTGTGGAACGGTGAGGAACCGAGCGTGGATGGCGACACCAAGGAGCGTGCGGCGACCAACCATGTCGAAGGGGAAGACACGGATTATTTTGATGCAGAGCACGAGATTCAGCATGAACAACCGGCGGGCCGCTCCCCAAGTACTACCGACCTTTTGTCGCCTTCAGCTCCCGATCCGGAGGCCAATGGAGGAGTTGAGGACGATGGCTCGGACATGCTCACAGAAAACGGTGACGTGGACGAGGGACAGGAAGATAACTTCCACGACGCTGACGACGCTGATTACATGAGCGAGAGTGGAGAATCGCTCTACCATGATACAGTCCAGCACCAAATCTCTCATGAGGACCGTGAAGACGCTTTCGACTACGAACACTTCTTCCTCCACAGCGCCATGGGCACCATGAGCTTGGCAAGACGAGCAAGCACAGACACAGAGAGCTTCGCGTCAGATGACTCGGTAGAAACGACCCGAGGGCCTGCAGCAGATGGGTCAAACGGCGATGACTACAGCCCTAAAGCCTCCCCCGTCTTGGCCCGGCGGAATAGCAGCAACTCGATCTCAACCATTGACACCTTTGCCACAGCCCAAGAGAGCCGGTCTCTGAAATCCCCAGTGATTTCCGAGGACGTTCCGCTTACATCCACTGGGATGTATGGCACTTCGTCGAGAGCGAGTTCTGCGCAAAGCCACCGATACAGGTCCGGAAGTACGGCAACGGCCAGGAGGTTATCGCTCAACCCAGCATCTAACATTGCAACGCGCGACAGCGACGGCTCTATCTCTCCCATAGCTGAGGAGGATTCCACCTCACCGGCACGCGGAGCGAATTCCACTGCCCAACGAGGAAGCCGCCGTGCTTCAGTGATCCATCGCCCCTTATCCACCGCCGCGTCCCTGCACCGCCCTTCCGTCTCCTCTTTCGAGTCGGTTGGCACCAACCGGAGCTTTCCTCTTGTCACCAACAAACCACCTTCTCTTTCCGGGGCGGGAACAAAGAAGGCGAACAGCACCGGCGTGCTAACGCCGCGGGACTCGCCCGATCAGGAACTGAACAGCATCGCCAGCAGGCTGATGAGCGACATGGGCAACGCAGTCAACGGCAGTGGCGATGGGGGCGGCGGCGATGGCAAGCATCCGCTGGAGGCGCTGCTGAGAGAGGACAAGTACCTCGTCGAGCGGCTGGTGGCGAGCTTGGGGCGGTGTGTGCTGGGCCTGACCGAGAATGGGCGGGCCAGCGCCGAGAGCCGGATGTACAGGCGCAGGATCGATGCGGCGAGAAGGATTCTGGAGGGCTTGGAGGCTGCGGAGGGGGAATGAAATTCAAGCTTGTTGAGCTTACTCCTTCCTCCCTGAATCAGCTTTTCGTTTATGGCGTCTTTGGCATGGCGTCGACAGGAAATGGCTTGGCTACGAAGATACGTGGTGGTAGGGGAAAAAAAGGCAAGTAATTGGTAATGATCAAAACCAGCTGGCGTCGTCAGGTGTCGCGGAAAGGGGAGAAAAGGGCGTTATTTTCGCGGCGGTGTTGACAAATGGGCATGAGCCTCCGATGAGCTGCCCGCTTTATCCTTGCCCTTGGCAAGAGGATTTCCGGCACGTCTGCTATGGTACGAGCCAGTCCAGCCATATCGGAACCAGACGTGCTTTTATTCTTCGCTTCTTTTCTGTTTATGAAAGACTAGTTCGATACCCTTACTCTTTCTGGTATATAGATTTTGTTTATTCACAGCCACCCGTTGGGCGAAATTTATGAGTAATTGGGAAAGGGCTTTGCTGCTGAGATGCTTTGCCTTCTACTCCCTGTCCATCCCGAAGATGCTGGAATAGATGATAGTAAGGCCTTTTTTCATTTTGCCCATTGTCCTCCTAGTGGCACATTATGCCATCTTCTCACAGGTGCGCCGAATAAAATTGGAGTGACAGGATCTAAGGTACGCACGTAAGTATTCAGCCCATGGTGTTGTTTGCTTTGTAACCCCCTTTTAGGCCTCCTTTTATTTACGAGTTTATTAATAGCCAAACACATGACAGGCTAGCTGAGAAGGGTAACCAATCAGTCATCCTTGAAGGCCTCATCCCTCGCTTTCTGTTCCGCGTCGGACGTCCCCTCGGGACGCGGCCGGTTCGCAATGAGGCGCTGTTGCGCACCAACGTCAGTCCCACCGATACCTGTGAATAGGGGGTACCTAGCTTTACTTACCACAAGATTGCGCAACAGCACCGCAATCGTCACCTTGCCAATGCTGGGCACATAGATACTCGCCTTCTCTTTGACAGACGGCCCATCGAAATTGCGATAGCTCGAGAAATTGATGCACACGGCGCCCTCCCGGAGCAGGTCGGTCGGCACCTTGAAGTTCTCAGTCGGCACGCCGGAGATAACGACGTCGCTGAGGGGAAGCACATCCTTGAGTTCCCACCCTTCCTTGTCGTGGACTTGGTGGCGCGGAGCCCGGATGCCGCTGCCGCGAGTGAATACCTGCACGCCGGTGATGTCGACGCTGTACACAGTGGCACCGTCGTTGGCGAGCAGTGCGGCTAGCGGGCGCCCGTTGACCTCGCTGCGGTTGATGACGGTGATGGTCTTGCCGAAGAGGCGGTTCCCGTAGGCCAGAATCGGGTTGTAGATTTGCAGGTGCTCGAGTGCCTTGACAATGGCGAGCGGCGTGCAGGGGAGGATCGACTTTTTCTGATTGGTGGGCGGGTCTAAGAAACGGACATTGTGGTACATGTTGAAGAGATGGGTGTGGCAGAGGCCCTCGACATCCTTAGACAGCGCAACGGTCTCCTGGATGTACCGGTCTTGCTGCTTATTGTTCCTCCAGATGGGGTAGTACACCAGGATGCCGTCGACGGTGTTGTCTTGGTTGGCGGCTACGATAGCGTCTTCGAGATTCTCCTTCTCGACCTTGCGCAGATCGAAGTTGAAGCCGCTGCGATATGAATGAGCCTCCAGCTCGGGACGCAGGAGTGAAACCGTACTCACTTCTCCTCACATGTCTTCTTGGAATATTCGGCATACTGGTCGGCCGCAGGGTCATCGTTGGCCAGGAACGCCACCAACGTTGGCTTGCCGCTGCCGGGTGCCTGGATGCTGGCTAAGGTTTCCTTGACCTCAGCCAGCAGTTTCTTGGCGATTGTGTCCGCAAGAATGACCTTGCAGGTCTTGGGGACTTCTTGTGATGCCATCGTGAGATGTTGTCAACTTCTCAATACCTGGCAGCTAGGACACCGGAATGCCTGGCAGCGGGATTAGCAAGAGCCCTAACCGAGCCTGCAATGCGTCTTCTGTATCCATCATCTTGACGAGAGGAGACTTGGCCTGGGGCTCTGGTTTCCTCGAGGCCCATGACAAGCGACTGAGTGACTCAACACCGATCCAGATAATGCTCAATGTTGTAGGGGAAAGGGGGCGCGGTGGGTGGTGATAAGAGGCTTACCCCGCGAAACCCCACTAATACCAGAATCACTGGAATTGGCCTCGTGAAATTCAACGAAATATGAACACCGGGAGTGATGCCGGGCCTTGTCTGTCCGATAATGGCAAATAATGGCAATGGTTTGGAATAGCGAGCTACGTCTTTATGAGAGATTTTGCCCTGGCTCTGATCGATATATACGGCATATACCCGGCAGTTCAAACCGCACCTCAGTCAGCGGCAGGCCGAGCAGCGCTCTCGCGGAACGGTCCTATTCTGGATCGAAAAATTTCGGCCGTGATGGCAATCACTCATCTCTGCCCCTCTTACCAATCCTAGCTTAGTGCCGGCTAGGCCCTTGCTTACCTTACACTGCGGCGTCATACAGCAACCTTATGTAAGCTTCACCGCCCGAGTAGCGGCTTTTACTGCCGCGGGGCACCGTGGGGTCAGATGCGATAACGGCGAACCAAGTTCCTGTCTTGGTGTGCCAGGACGCTGGTGCATGGAATGAGCCGTAAAGACCTCGAGACGAGGCAAAGCTGTGTATCTGAGTTGCTCTGTCTGCGAAAGCGTGCCTTAGCTTGCAAGAAGGTTCCTAAGAGACTGTGCCGGTTCTGTTGTTGTAAAGCCACGAAGCCCTGTATTCTGAGTTCTTAACTTCAGGTTCTCAGGCATCCTGCCAAGGCATTCGAACATCTCCGTCTGCAGTGCTCAACACATCAGAACGCAACAGCCGCGCAGCCTGGGAGTTTCGCAGGTCCCTTGCTACATCATCCTCTTTGGATGCTAGTAGACACACGATGGCCCAATTCAAACAGTGGGCATTGGAATATGTGCTCTCTGACGACGAAGCCGCACAGTCAGCGATCACGCAAAAAGCTGCGAGAGGTGTGAAAAGCTCTGACCTCAGACTCGGATTCCTAAGTGGTACAGCGGTTGCTGATTAACGTGTTGCAGAAATTGAGAGCTCCCGTGCCAGCAGCACAGTGGTGGGGAGTTGGGCCGCCTCGGTGCAGCAATGGATGACTCCAGCAAATGCCGACGATGAGCGAATGGACAATGGGGATGAAGCGGGAAGCGGAGATATCATCGCTCGGGCTAAAGGTAAGGGCGCATTTGTCTCTCGTTCAGGGGGCTGAGTGGGCACTGATGCATCTTCACGAAACCAGCTCTGGGTTTTCTAGCAGGGACTTTGGAGGCGCTTGACAAGAGTGTGCTCAGGTCGGATCAAGGTGCGTACGCTTTCCCTTACCCAATTTCTACAAAGCGGGCAGGCTTCTTACGGGTTAGGACAGTCCTCCGTCTCGTCGGTTTCTTTGGGGCCATGTTTTCGTACGACCACAAGGCAGGCATCACAGCATCTGCAAAGGCCCTACGACGGCTCTATGCTATGAAGGGCTTCAAGCCCGATATGGGCATCAAGATCATGGAAGATGTCTGCAAGATCCAGGAGGACTTCCGTCTACAGACTGCGTCTACCCGGCTAGAGGTCTACGAGCTCTTTGTCAGCCTAATTCAAGACTCCGCTGTAAGCAGTGAGTTGAAGCACAAGTACGGGCCGTCGTGCGGCTTCGTTGTCGACTTGCTCCAGGTGTGCCAGAGCGAGAGGGATCCGAGGAATCTTATGGTCTGGTTCAAGATTCTTGCCGTCCTGCTCGCCGACTATGAGCCCTCGCCTGAGGTGACCGAGGAGATCTTCAAGGTTTTCTCAGCCTATTTCCCTATATCGCTGCGGAGTTCTGCTGCCCCCATCGGCATCACGGCCGAGGATCTGAAGGAGGCGGTGCGGAGCTGTTTCGCAGCACACCAGCGTGTTGCGAACCATGCCTTTCCCTTCCTCATCCAGAAGCTCGACCAAGGAGACGCCGTAACGGTGGCTGTCAAGGTTGACATCCTGAAAACCATCAAGGCATGCATCGAGCAGTACAGCAACCCTCACGCAAGCATCGTCCCCCATATCGAAAACATCTGGAGCTCTCTCAAGTACGAGGTTCGAAACGGCGAGGTGAAGGAAACCATCGACGCAACGCTGGAGGTGCTGCGGGCGATGGCCAGGAAGCTCGACGGCACGAAAACACACAAGTTCGACGGGTCATTGCTCTCGGGCTACGTTGACCTGGTCTCCAGGGACTGCCGGGATGACCTTGCAAATCCGACTTACACGAAGCAGGCCGGATTACTATTGATGACAGTCATAAGCGCCAATATCAGGGCTTATGTACTCTACAATGCCGGTTTCATTGATACCATCCGGCAGAATCTCCGGCAGCCGAAGTCTCCCTCCCACTCATGCGATCTTCTGCTCCTTCTCAACTCCCTCCTCAAGTCGCGGATGGAACTCTTCAAGAATCGAAACGGCGGACACCCGGACGACGAAGGTAGTTTAAGAACAGAACCCCATGCACACCTAGACACGCTGTTCCACGACGTTTACCTACCAATATGGACCGCCAAGGGCAATGAGCCTGCTTCGGAGGAGAAGGACATCCTCAAGCAGGTCATCCAGGGCCTTGCCCTGCTTGTCAGCCAACAGGTGTTACAGCCAGACGGAACAGCGGTCCTGTTGTGCCCTACTTCTGTCTGCTCCGAAATTTGCTCTCTTCTGACCGTCATGCTCACGAAAGGGTTGACCCTGAGCTCCAATGATAACCATGGCGACGACGAAGCATTGGAGGGAGAAGCAGTGCTAGCCTTGCGAACGATTGTAATGATCTACCATGAGGGCTATGCACAGTTTATGAGGAGGGCGATAGCGGAGGTCCAAAAGCGTGACTGGGCCAGCCCTTCCGAGTATTCGTTAAGCGCCTTTAGGGACCTGCTGTCTCGGTCAGCATTCATCGGCTGCTCCGAGATACCGTCGAGCATCACAAGCAACGCATCCTCCCCGAGACAGTTCTCACCCCTCCAGCATTTCATCACACTCACGGCACGGCTTCTAGAGATCTTTCCGCTCTCAACACAGAGTACGTCACTGCCGCCGACGGGCTCAACGCAGTCCTGGTCGGCGAATGCGCACATCATCTCCTCACTGCACGCCTCCGTCCTGTGGTTCCGCGAGGCGTGCGAGGTCAAATATGGGCGCGAGGTCCTTGCTTCACAAGCTGGCGCTGATACGGACTGGTCGGAGGAGTTTCAGCAGCTCCCCAATGACTGGCTCCTGCGAATACAAAGCGGTGACGCACCCTCTGATGCGGCACAGGCCACGTTGACGGATAGTGGCCCCGAGGTCTACCGCCAGTTCTTGAGAGTGAGCATCTTCATTGTGAGGCACTTCTACCGACTCGCATCATCCGGGGCCCGGGGACCATGGGATGAGCGAGCCCTTGTCCAACTCTCGCGGATGACGGCGTTGGTCGTGCGAAGTCTTGACGAAAAGCTGCAGGTATCTTGTAATTTGGCCGCCGAGGCCTTTAATTTCTTCAACTCGGACAGCCCCCCGGCACAGCAGAGTGTACGCGGTCTACAGGAAGGCCTGCTCACGCTAGGGATACTTCAGGGGATGCGGCCAGGGGCATTGGCCGGTCTAGTATGTCCCGTACTCACTGAATGAGAGTAGTTCGCCATGACTGACCAGCGAATCCCAGTACGAGCTGAGCGGCGAAGCGGAAAGATACATGTGTGACACGACCAGCTTCGGACACTCTGCATCGCAAGAGAGTGATGTCCGCGCGGCTATAGGGGCGATACTTGTCAACAAGTACAAGGACGGCCCAGCATCGTCGGACCGTGAGTCACTGCTGATGAAGCGGGTTCTCGACTTTTGGGCAAACTGGATCAAGGAGGCAACGGCCTCGTCGTCGGTGGATACGGAAAGCTTCGCTTACTACAACAAACTCGCCATGAACGTCATCGCCGGAGCAGCAGCTCGCCAGGACAAACATGTCCTCGGTCTCATACCGGTCCTGCACCAGGCCGCAGCGAGCCAACACGGCAACGGCGAGAGAGTTGCCGAATCGCTTGGACTTGTCGTCAAACAAAACGACATCCTCACCCCTGACAATCACGCAGTCGTCAAGCGCTTCTACAAGCAGTGGGTTTATGGTCACCTAGTCAGGCCGCTGCTCCAGGACGCTCAGCCAGGCGCCAAAGACGCCCACACCGCAACCCGGTATCGTGTCGCAGTTCTCTCCGTCATCAGCAACTGCCCGTTTACGGTGTACCAAGACGATCTGGAACCCCTGATGCGCCTGCTCGTCTCCGCTCTCAAGAATCGCGCCGGCCTTTCCGAGGGCATCGCATGGTCCCACGTCGTCTCGGCGCTCGAGATCTTGGCGGAAATACTCGCCAACGAGCCGGATGCTCTCAAGGGCTATCTGAGGGAGGTAATTGGCGGCACCACCGAGGTGTATCAGGAATGCGTCCAGAAGAAGAGCGCCGCGATGATTGCCCAGCCGGCGACCCGTACGTTGTGCCGGAAACTAGCGCTGCATATACTCGGTGCCATTCCCACTCGGTTCGAGGAGCGGCACGTGCTGGCGTTCGCGCCGCCGACGCAGCGCTTGTTAGCCGTTGCGTGCGGAGACCCGGTTAGGAAGGTGCGCGAGGTTGCTCGGAGGGCGAGGAGTGCTTGGGCGAAGGTTGTTTAACTGGTTGCTCGAGCCTGTTGGCGTGCATATTGTGTAGAACTCTAGAAAGAAATACGGATACCGGCGGTGAGAATGGCATGAGCTTCAAGATTATGGGCACCATCCGTCGGACTGGAGGTCAATCCTAACGCCACGCCTTGCAGAGCCGTGGAGTTGATTGAATCTCATATTGGGAGTCCAGGTGACCATTTGGGTACCGGTCATTTCACATGTGTGATCAACACCATATTCAATAGGCGCGGTCATCTACTCTCTGTCGCCGTCTCACGCCTTCCTCCTCTTCCCACCCTTCGTCCCAGCCGCTTCCGACCCGGTCGCCTCCTCGGCCGCCGACCCGACCACGCTCACATTCGCCTGGGCCAGCACATCCAGCATCTCCGGCGTATACGTAGCCTCTGCGCCACCGTCCTCCTTCGGTGCCGCCGCCCTCTTCGGATCAAGCTTCCCGACCACCGGCAGAGAGCTCGCTAGCAAAGTCTGAAACGGCGCCGCCACAAAGTGTCCCGCCGCGTCGAACCACTCCGTAAACGCCCGGCTGATCTTCAGCACCTCCTTCTTGCCGTCCTTCTCCTGCACCTCGACTGTCACAAAATAGGTCGGCACGTTCTTCTTGGTGCTCGTCGAAATCCGCAGCGTCTCCCCTGACGGCGCCGTACCCACGTACACCGTCCCGCGCTCGACGTAGAGCATCCAAAGCGTCAGAGCCCCATTGAGCAGCGTGTAGGCGGCCACGGCCGCGGCGGTATAGTACTTGGTCGACTCGAAGCCGAACTTGAAGTCCCAGCCGAAACAGGCGGCCGCGAGCGCGAAGGCGGAGTAGCCTAGCGCGAGGCGCACGTCGGTGAGACGGTGAGACTGGCGGAACTTGAGGCTGTTGAGGTAGTTGGGGATTGCGTCATCGGACGTGTTTTTCAAGTCTGCAAGTCCAGGTGTAAGTTCGGGGAGGATGTATTAGACGAGAGATGGAGTGGGTCAGAGAAAGAGGAAACGGTTACCTGCTAGGTTGTAGACCGTTATTTTCTCTTGGGAGACGGCCATGTTTGCTAGCGGTTTACTAATGGTTCAAGTTCAACCCAGTGCCTAACTCAGCGACGCCGACAATGTTGAGGAGCGTGGTAGTTGGTGTTTTTGGCGTAAGTCGGCCTGGGCTATGTAAGGTCGGGTGAAGCTTAAGGCCACCTGCACCTTTTGACGATCTGTGGCGCGCCAACGGAATTCCATGCTGAGTGCCGGCCTAGCGCGCCATGACAGGGGTCTGAAGTCTCCACAACCCCTTGTGCTTGGCAGAGCTTCTAACGAGCCAGGAACGACGACATCTCTCACTGAAAGTCTTCCTAGTGCTTCTGACAACAACAGCCTTCGACGGCGCAAAGCAGGCTCCGCGCTACAAAGATGGCGCAAGTACCGGTGCAGACGATCCATAGGGATCCCCAGTTATTGTAAGTCTCGCATTCAAAGGGGCCTTCCTTGGCACAAACGCTGACAGCGCAACAGCTACTGGATCCTGTTCCCCATCACAATCGTCATGGTACACCACCTCTGCCCTCTTCCAAGCGACCATTAGCTCGGTGCCTACCTTCCAGACGCTTACATATCCGGGTAGATTCTCACCGGCGTCCTCCGGCACTATGCAACCGTCTTGATGGCCTCTACGCCGAAGAAGCTCGATCGAAAGACACTGCGCGAGCAGCGGGCGCTGCTCCACGGCATCAACGTGCGTGGGAACTACCACGTGCTGTCTAAGCCCTCCTTCACGGCGCGGCGCGATGCTCTGATCATCGCCTACGAATCGGGCGCCTACCTGAAAGACCCGAATGCGCGGGGCCAGCCGCCGGCGAATCCAATGAGCGACCCAAACGCCATGGAGGGCATGATGGGCATGATGAAGAATCAGATGGCCATGATCATTCCGAATACCCTCATCATGAGCTGGGTGAATGCGTTCTTCAGTGGCTACGTAATCAGTGCGCTCCCTGGGTGTATCATTGGTCGTGTCGGTGGCTGACAGTCTGGCAGTGAAACTCCCGTTCCCACTTACCGTCAAGTTCAAGAGCATGCTCCAGGCAGGCGTAGCCACCAGGGACATGGACCCTCGGTGGATGTCCAGCATCAGCTGGTACTTTCTCTGCATCTTCGGTCTGCAGTCTGTCTTCAATTTCCTGCTCGGGAGCGACAACGGTAGGTTGCCCTGCTCTGTTTATCTGCCTGTGCACCCACTGATACTGCCTCTAGCCGCAAACCAAATGACCCAACAGATGACCCAGATGGGCCCACAAGGTGGGCAGATGTTCGGTCCCGGCGTCGATCCCAACAAACAGTTCCTCGCCGAGGCGGAGAACCTGGCCGTCATCGAGCACCACTCCGTCTTGGACGGTGTGGAGCAGCGTCTTTTGGAGGCTGTCAAGGTGTAACTATTCCATAGCCACTTGAATCGCCCATCCGGCGGTCGGATATAGCCCCTACGTCGCTACCCTCGAGATGAGGCAATCATTCCTCCCACCACAAACAGCAGCCGAGACCCGCCCCGTTCATCGACCCCGTGATACTGTAGGGCGGCTTGGAGTTGATGACGGGAAGAGGCTCCTCCTCGGAGGCCTCGACCGCGTCGACCGGCTTGGACGGTGTCTGGTCATGCCACTCCTCGGCAATCACCCTGAAGCGGACCATCTCGTTGTTGTCGAAATACATGACTTGGTCCTCCTCCTTCCAGACCCAGATGTTCTCGTTCGGTTCGCTAGCGGGACTGTCAGCTTGAAGTTGCCGGCGAACGAATGGGTTGGGGTTGCCTACAATTCCGAGCCCTCTGGGAGCTCAGTCCAAGGGACGAAAATGTCGTCGAAGAAGTTTGTGGCGACTGCAGGAGCAGAATAGGCAGTTAATACCAAGATGACAAGAATTGGCGGAGGACGTGGAGGTGGTTCTACGGACGATTTATCCCTTCTGGCGATTGATCCGCGATTCGTGCTACGATGACCTCTCCCTTAAATGGCCGGAACACCACCATGCGGAACTCGACTAGATCAGCTGTTAGTAGAGCAGGTGACCAGTGGTCAGTATGCTTTGGAAATCTGTACCGTTGACATTTGCCATGCCGTCCCCCTGCCCGACCAGGCCTTCTGATGTCCATAAAATATCCCAGAGACAGATGCAGAGCCCAATTTTCTGAACTACCTAGAGAGGAGCTGTCAGAGGGGCCAAGCAAGACACACTGGATTGACGTGGAGAGGAGGTGGTCCACTTGCCTTGTTGGCATATTTGGCGTTGAGGTTGTCTTCAATTGCTATGTGGCTCTGTTTCCTAAAGTCGTCCGGTGCAATCTGCACAAGATCTGCTATCTTGGTCTGATCCAGGTTCCGGCCGCTGCGTGTTAGTGAGGGATCATGCGGGTGTATAAACTACGCCATAACAAAAGCAAAGCCAGCAGCAAAACGTATGTCAGTACTGACCAGGATAAACATGTCGGCGTGAACCAAGTCTTCGTTTCCTTATTTTGGTTCGTATGTTTCGCTGTGCTGGCCGATAACAAGTCAGTTGATGGAGTGATTGTATCAACGATTTTGTGCACCAGGCAGTGCGAAACCTTTGGCAAAGATTGGATGAAGGCTAGAGGGACGTAGACCTCAGGTAGGTAGGTATCTTCGGGACCGGAAATATCTACAAGACTACCCCGGTCTTATTATTCTTGTTGTGCCTCACGTTCTTTTGTATACGACTGACTATTGAGCATTCGATAGCTTGGTTCCGATTTCATATTTCGGCATCAGTATTATACGGCGTATGTACTGTACAATACCCTACATACGGAATTTCAATGTGGCCCATGCTTCTGTTTTAAAAACTCAGGCTTCTTGGAAGTTGGGACCCTGCAGGAATTCTGCCGCGTTTGACCACTTGCGGCTTACCGCCTTGGGCGAACCGTTACCGTCTGATTGTCTCCTCGCACGGGCCACTACCGTGAAGTCATCCGAACTACCAACAGACCCTTGAAACCTTCACCGAATTTACACCAAACCGTCCCACGCTCCGATCTCCCGACGTCGGCGACACCAGGCACTGTATATTCTCATCGGTTTCCTTTTCCTCGTGTACCTTACCTTAGCTGTTGCGGGCTTTGTATTCAAGTGAAGACGCCTTTCATCAGCTGTTGGGCCGCACTAGTCCGAGCGAGCCAGTCCTGGGAAGTTGACCAGGGCCTGTTCTGTTGACCTTCGACGCCGTTTTCGAGGTTAACGGTCTCGGATCTTCACAAACCATGCCATACAACTACGGGCCTCCCCCACCGCCGCCACCGAGCGCCGGCCCCGGGAGTTATCCGTCGTATGGCCCTCGCGGAGGTCATAGTGGTAGAGGTCGGACCGGATCGGACCGGGGTGGCTACCACCAACCGCAACCGGGATACAGTTACGGCCAGCAGCCTACCTACGGCCCTCAAACTCCCGCCCCATACCCCAGCCCTCCGCAGCCCGGCTACCCCCAGCTGCCGCATCAAGCTTGGCACTCGGAACATAGCCAGCAACACCCGCCACAAGGCGGACCGCACGCGCCGCTACCTGTCCAGAACTATCACCCGAATTATGCTCCTCAGGTGTACCACCAACAGCCGCCATATGGTGGTCAGCCCCAATACCCACCAGCTCCTCAGCCGCCCTACGGCCAGCCCTATCCGGGTCCCGCGCCTCAACCTGGTCCTCCGGTCCAGCAATGGGGCGCGCCGTCTCAACCCCACCCGGTTCCCGGAGCATACGGTGGTGGCGGACGTGGTGGGCGCAGCGGCTACAACGATCGATCCGGGCCCAAGGGGCAGCTGATGGGACCCCCGATCCGGATAGGATTTGATGGCAACAGTTCTCCGCCGACGGCCGCTCCAGTGAGCACTCCATATCCATACGGCGGGCCTCCTGCTCCTCCGGCTCCGTACCCTGCTCCCTACCAAGGCTATCCGCCTCCCGCACCATACATGCCTCCCGCGCCGCCATTTGATGCCCATTCTGGTCGCGGCCCTCGTCAACACGGCCGCGGTGGCTTTCACCATTCCAAGCCCCGGCACCTTGGCGGCGATAAAAGTCGCAGCCGCAACCAGAATCAAAACAAAGGACCGAGCGCCCAGACGCCGCCTATCCAGCATCAGAAGCCTGATGCAGCATCTGCGGGCAAGAAAAAGAAGCGCAAGACCAACACCCTGGGCCTGACACCCGGGGATGACTCTGATGAGGATGACGAGAACGAGGAGGAGCGCCTTAATGAGATGATTGGCGCTGAAGCTCCTAAGTATGTTTCCCCACGGACGCTGCAGTACCTCTCTTGCCCATACTGACCATATACAAGCCCCAAGACCTCGTCCGAGATTGCCGCGTGGATCGCCGAGCGTCGTGCCAGGTTTCCAACGAAAGCCAAGATCGAAGCCGCCAAGGCTGCGGCGAAGGCTCAGAATGGCGATGCACACGATGCCAGGGACAGCGCCCTAGAGAAGAGGGCCGAGAAACTGAGAAAGCAACTAGAGAAGGTCGAGTCGAGCATCAAGCGAAAGCGTGAACAGCAAGATGAAGGGGACGACATGAGGGACGTTGACTTGAGCTCGTCCCCCTCCAGCGATGTCAACTCGGATGACGAGAAGCCTGAAGTCTTGTCGGCTCGTCACGAGCCGAGCAACGTCCCTCCCCCGCCCAGAAAAGCGGACCCCACCAAGCATTGCAAGTACTACTCCACCGGAGGCACATGTGGCAAGCGGGGCAAGTGCCGCTTTGTCCACGACCCAGCGGTTCGGGAAGCTGCGCTGAGAGAGCGCGAGTTGAACGGTGGCCGCATGACGTTGCAGCAACGTCTCATTCTGAATGATAATGACCAAGAAGACCTGGCTATCGTGGAGACGCTCAAGTATCTCCAGGATAAGGGCGTGCTCCCGAAGAAGGCCTCGGGCGCTCCGATGGGAGATCAGCCGTCTGATGCGTACACCGCTGCCCACGCCGATGAACACTCTTCCCCGGCGTCTGAGGGGCCAAGGAATGACCTCCCGCCTATTCCGCCTACCAACGTCTCGACAGACGATCATTCAGCCAAGTACCCCGGTTGGAACCTGAGCGGCTTTGGCAACACAGGCGTCGGGCCGAGCGAATAGCGATCCGGGCCCCGGGCCTCAACCCTGCCTCACCGGCGTGCTTGGCGACTCCCTCCACTGAAACCTAGATGGGTTGAACTAAGGCGTCGACCCGCATTCTACAGGGCACACCACCACTGACGGAGTGTTTGTGTTTTCTGGGTGTCCCCTCAGCGGGAAGTTGGTCAATTACTCGCTCTAACATGTCCTACTACATTATACGTCTGCTGCCTGGCTGCCTCGCCATAGTTCAAGGCTGCCCCTGACAGTGTCGGGGCCAGCTCATATGAGTTGCCGGAACGTCAAATCACCGCGACCACAAGTGTCGTAAGTGTTAGCGCTAGGCCTTTGTTTTCTATTTTCCGCTTTATTTTGTTATTTCGGCGTCACACAGTGGTTGGCGGCCGATCTAAAGGTCTACGGAGTTCATGGACTGTGGAATCTCTTTTGTGGTTCTCAATGGCGACTACCTAGTTCTTAGATCCAGCGAAGCATTGGGTGGCGTCTAATCATTCTGCGATCTTTTCGGAACCCTGTTATGCTACATTTAGACAAAAAATCGCGGCGTTTAGGGCCGGTGAAGTTGTCGCACAAGTGTGAGGATCGGTGGACAACAGGTTCTGCTCTCCCCAGTGATTGTTGTTTGCAACCCCTCATATACCAAGTACTCCTAGTTGTGTTCCCATACTCGCCACCTCCGGGTGTCACTCAGACTGCAACTGCGCCGTCACACGAGCTGTATGCGGAGTGAGTCGCAGTATCCTGTCATAATACCTCCCGAAATTCTGATACAGACAGCAGTTTCCGTACGTCTGCGACAAGTCTCGATGAAACTGCCACATCCTCGCCGCAGAATGAAAGTCCTCTTAGCCACCTCGTACAGAACGTGCGCATGCGGTGGAAGGTATGTGTTACGATGCGGTGACCCAGCAGCTACAGTCTCATCATAAGCCTCTGCTCAGACGGTATACATCGTTTCTAGCTAGGTAGTACAAGGGTATAGATGACCTTCTAAATAGAAAACAAAACATGGGCATCTCAATCACAAATCCGTCTTCTCTCGAACAGTATCAGTCCGCGCTTGCCCAGCTGCTTCAGCCTTCCTGTACTTGGCCAACTTCGACCACAGCTCGTGGCTCCAATGGTCGATAGCTGCATGTCTCGACCGTAATTGCTCGACATGCCAATCCAAGCATTCTCCTTCCTCACCATCTTTCCCCTGCTGCTTGTCTTCCCGTGCAGCACACTCTTCTTTTGGCAACTGAGCCTGAGTGGGCCACTCACCCATCGTGGCGCCCATGTCGGGGTCGAGGAAGTTGTCCAGCAAGAGGAAGGCAGCCGATCGCTGCGCCAACAACCACTCAGGCTGCCGGTTCCGAGCGATGAGGATGCGCAGTAGATGGGACGGGCCGCCCGAGGCGAGGAAGTCCCGTCGCAAAATCGGGGAGCGGAGAAGACCGCTCAGGAGGGAGATGCGGGCTTTGGTCAGCGCGGGGTCCGTGTCTGCCGTCGCAGAGGCTGACGACGACGACGACGACGACGGTGATGATAATGACGGGGCAAGCAGGACAAAAGTGGTGGTTCCTAGGGGCTCGGTTGAGTCGGACCGGCAAAGCGAGGATGAGAGCTTTGTTGTCCAATGCCGCTCGATTTCGGCGAGCGCTTTCGGATTGTTTTGAACGGCTGAGGACAACGTGAGGGCTGCGAGACGGGCGCGAGTGAGGGAAGTGTGTGCGTCGCCTGCTGCCGAAGAAGACTCCGACGCGGCCAGGCAGAACAGCTCGCGGACGGTTTCGTAGTCCTCCGCTATCTTGAGGCCGTAGTAGATGTCGTGGGAGATGTCTTCGAGCATTTCCAACGCCCCGTCGACGTCCAGGCCCTTCTTCAGGATGGCTAGGGACTTGTAGAATGCGCTGCCCTCGTCCGACTTGGCCGACTCGGGTGTTTTGATTTTGCCTGCCGGGTCGTAGGGGGGAGCGTTGGGCGAGAGCCTGACTTGATCACTTGCTTCCCCCCCTTGTCCAGATTGGTCTCGCTCGACGATGACCACGGATGAGTCCACCGGCAAGCCTTCCAATGCTACGTCGTTCTCGTCCGGCACGTTGATCTTGGCTTCCTTCTTCCCGGTGTAGACATTCAACCTGACGTGGAGACCGAGAGGAAGGTCCTGATCGTCGTGGACCACTTGGAATTCGTCGGTTGCTTGGAAGATCTTTGGGTAGCATTCAGCAGGATTGTCGGTGTGGCAGATTAGCTCGACGTCGGCTGATGGTGACGCCGACGGCGTCGAGGTTTCACTGGATGATGAGTGAGATGGTGTTGAGGCAGCTGCACTCCAGGCCATCAGGCTAATGAGAGCCACGAGATTGAGTGGAAGCATCTTCAGCTGTGACCTCGTCATTTTGTCGGATCGAGCTGCAGTGAGAATGGATTCCGGGCTCGACTGTTGTAGCTGAGAATTGAGAGTATGAGAGTGACTGCATCTAAGGGTGCTTCTAGAGTTCTACTGTTGGGGGAAGCACTGAGCAGCACGTCAATGGAAATCAAGAGTGAGCGGTGGTCAATTTAAAGTATCTCTAATAAATACCATGGCTTCTTGGCCACTTTAGTAAACTCAAGAATGGAAATAAGAAAGGACAGATTGCTAATAGACAACTGGAACCCGGCTTTGTCTCACAAGACGGGTTTGAATCTGGTGGAAGGTAAAAGACAACTTACGACTTTTGGATCTTAAAGGACAGTTGCCGATTGGCTCATAGCCGCAAATGGCGGCAAGCGCGCTTCTCATCCCTAAGCGCAGGCTCCAGTCACGTGACTTGTAGCTTTGTCGTTGCCAAGCTCTGGGCATCGAGCGTGATGATTGAATTGAACGCAAGCTCATTGGCAAATAGTCACTCAGCACCAACCGACTTCCCGAAGTTGCTGCTTTCTCACGCGGGCACGCAGCCCTATTACCTTCTCTCGAGTCCAGCAGATCCAATTAGGCTTTGCTCTTTGACCGCGCCCGGAAGGGAGCTATCGGGTCTCGGGAAGTGAGCAGGGAGTTGGGTCAACTTCCCCCCAGCGCTCGAAACCGACATCCCTCTTCTGCCCCTGCCCGAATTGCCCGCCCTTGCGGCAGAACGACAGCAACCATGTCAGCAATCAGGCAGAGAGTAGCGCAGCTTTCCCGGCAAGCCCGGGCAGCGCGGCCGACGGGTGTGCTGAAGAACACGAGATCCTACGCCTCGAGCCATGGCCACGATCACCACGAGCATGCCCACAATGTCGCGGAACCGCTTGGGGTACGTCCGAAGAACCCGTTGGAAACTCATATGGTCATTGCTGGGGAATGATAGAAGAGCTAGGAACTAACCAAAGGGGTAGTCTGCGTTCTACATCACTGTCGGCACGGTTGCCGCCTCCATCTTCGTCTACTCGATCTCGCGCCCCAGTGAGGACGGCCAGCCCTCGGCCATCCACAAGTGGTTTGAGAAGATATCAGACTACGGCAACGAGTGGGAGACAAAGAATCACCTTATGACGGCAGCGCTCCAGCAAGCGGCTCATGACAAGCATCTCCTCTACCACGCTGAGCGGAGCAAGCATTACGAGCTCACCTACCCTGAGTATGTGACGATTTCTTGACATATGACATATGAAATCCCCAAGGAAAGGAGGAGAGCGAGAGCCAGTGCTCACCGCGACAGAGGGCTGCGGTTTGGTGCCCGAGGCTGCTCTATGCGCTTCCTTGTCATGCCAGGAGCCATTGCAATCGGTGCGATACATTGCTGACCATGTGACAGGGTCTTTACACAAGGTTCACCACACAACGTCCCCGCCGGTCATTACATCAACATTGACAAGGTCATCGCCCACTACAAGCAACAACATCTCGACGAAGAAGCGCGCAAAGCAAAGAGGTTGGCTGCAGCGTCCCAGTAGCAAGAACGCTGCCTCTGGGGTTAGCTTTGTGTTGCATAAAAACCCGCACGTTGTGTCACCTTGCCTGTACATACTACGGTGCCTTTGAGTCGAGACGCCGAGGAAGCCACTCCGCAACCGTCCTATAACCCAACGTCCTTTCCCTGGAAATTGTCGTAAACAACTCTGTGGTCCATCCCTCCTTACCAATTAAAGAGGACCCCCCATTTCCGAGGCCTCCCCAGCCTCCGATCTTGAATATACGGTCAACGCTGTGCCGATGCATGCTTCACCCGTCCGCCTTCCGTCCAACTCCCGAGCGCTCAGCTGACACCAGCATGGCGAGCGCTCCGAGGACAACGCCGAATGAAGTATTTGACGCATCAAAGCAAGCAAAGGCGTGTAACTCTCCATTATTTTTTATGTTCCTCGGTTTTCTTGGCCTTTTGCCCGTACCCCCGTTGTCCGCTCGGCAAGATTTCCGTCGGGGATCCGTCCCTCATCCTTGAGCTGCCCCACGCTTGTGCTTTGCTTGGCTAACGCAATCAATTTCAACGTACTCTAGGCGCCATCAGAATTCCTCTGCCGCGCACCCAGATATGCTCCCGCCGTCCGTGTCGGCTTCGTGAGCCCGGACGTGGGTTACGGCCTCTTCGCGGCGCGCGACTTCGCAAGAGACGAGTTCATCTTCGATGAAGCGCCCGCGATGACCGCGCTCTTCAACGAGAAGTTCTCGGGCGACAAGGCGCTCATGCAGAGTCAGTTGGCCGCCTGTCGCGGCGCCCTCGCTTCCGACCCCGACGTCATTGCCCTCGCCTTTCCCTCGCTCGCCGCCCGGCTGGGTGTCGTCCCCGCCGACTTTGACCAGGCGGCGCGCGTTTTGACGTCCGGAGAGCTGGGCAAGAATCTCGAGCATGGCCGGTTTGCCGGGTCGACCGTGACGCGCCAGGAGTACGAGTCCTACATAGCGGGCATCAAAGCCAAAGTGGTGAGCAGCTCCTCCGAGACGGACGCCCGGAATGCATGTCTCGAGTTCTTCAAGCACTACGCCTTCCAAGTCCACCAGGGCGCCGGTCCTCCCCGTGCCGGGGGTGGAGTGGCGACGCGGGAAGCATGCGTGTACCTGCTGGGCTCACTGGTCAACCACTGCTGCCCTGCCCCTTCAACTTCGCTGGCTAGCAGCAAGCAGAATTCTTGTTACTCAAGTAGCAGTGTCCCGCCTGGGCCGAACTGCTCATGGCGCATTGGCCCTTCTGGGTTGGCACACTTCATCAAGCCCCGCCATATCTGTGTGCAAGCGCGGCGAGATATATGCGAGGGGGAGCAGTTGACGTGGGACTATGGGAAGCAGGAGAAGGGGTTTGAGTGTGAGTGCGAAACCTGCCGAAGCAGCTTCATGAGCGGACTGGGACAGACCTGCGGCGTGCTCTGAGAGGCAACGTGAGGTATCTGATGGGTATTCGTCGCCAACACCGCACAACATCGGCGAAGGATGAGAGGAATGGGGTATAATATCTCATCCCAGGCGTTGGAACCTTTCGGTCCAGTTCGAATCGCCGCCATAACACCGGATCTTCCCCATGCGAACTCTCACCTAATGAATGTGTCATGGATTGTTTTGGACCGAATGCAGCACTCGAATTGCTCTGTAACACTATCTCGTGATCCGTCCAAGATAGCGCTTGGCATCGCGACATCAATCAATTGCCCATGAGCAGAACCGTTTCCCGTTTCGCCTGATCCATGATTGACTGAATGCAAGAACCACCCATATCCCACAGCCCTTACTTCAGAGGAATGAAACGAGAAGAGTGCGTGGCACCGATACCTGGCCGACCGTGCTTGACGGGCTTGCTAGTGGGGTGTTAGCCGTCCGTTTGTCCCTGAGATCCCAATCTTGCAGAATGTTCTTCAAAAGGGAGCAGCCGAGAGGGTAGGGCATGACGTACTATGTGATCGAGAACTCGCCGAGGTAGTGACCAACCATCTCAGGCTTGATCTCCACCTGGTTGAATTCCTTGCCGGAGTAGATGCCGATGACGCTGCCGATCATCTCGGGGACAACGATCATATCACGAAGGTGCGTCTTGACAAGGTCAGGCTTCTCGTTAGGCTTAGCTTCCTGCTTAGCCTTGCGCAGCTTCTTGATCAGGCCCATGGGGCGCCGCTTCAGGCCCCGGTTGATCTTTCTCCGGGCACGGGCGTGGACGACATCGCGGAGCTCATCAGAGCTGAGGTCGAGGAGACTGTACGGACAATCGTGTCAGCGCTCTGTCCCTTTCCCAGCACCAACACTCATGCAATTTCACATCGTTGTCGCCTCCTCTTCCCGCAGCCCTTCCTCTTCCTCCTCTCTGTCACCACGTTAAGTGCTCTCGAGGCTTCGTTGTCCAGGTACATCTTTGTTGCTGGTTGGGGAAATCAAGGAGAACGGCCACGTACGCGTCGAGGTCAATACCCCGGTAGGAGAACTTGCGGAAGGCTCTCTTCTTCTTCAGCTCAGCGGCCTCCTCGGCATTCTGTCATCGCCATCATCAGCTTAAGTGTCCGCCCAAGGCTTCGGAGATTGCAGGCTCTAAAAAGCGTCGATGGTCGTCGGGGTATTTGCGGTCACCGGAAACCGAGAACGGCGAGGGGGACAAGGCACGTACGTATTCGGTGTCAGCCATCTTTGCGGTTGTCGGTGATCACGGGTTTCGCTCTGTTCGATAGTGCTGGTATCGAAGAGCGAAATTCAGATTGTCGCGATGATGGAGTGGATTTGACTACGGCTGGTTTCGCTGCGTAGTGGATGGCAGTGTCGCTGCTGCTTGGGGCCCCACTCACAAAATTTCGTAGGGTTTCTGTGCCCTCGCCAGATTCCGCTGCCCGTGGTTATTGGAGTGCTTGTGGCGGGAGCTGTGGCTGCATTGTGGCGCTAAATTTCCGTTACGTGTGGAGCACGCAACTGGAGCGCCCGGGCTCGTTTATTACCCATCCATGCTCATGGAAAGCAGAGCCCCAAATCTCAGATTCATCATGAACACGACATTCAGCTTCGGAGCTTTGGATGGTCGATGCGCACAACCTGGAATGTTGTACGTGTATGCCACAATAGTGGGGCAGTCAACTGAAATATCACGATATCTCATTTGAGCTACTTCACTCTCTACCATCCTCTACTTCTCCTGTTCCTACTTCCGCCTTCTCTTTCCAGCTAATGTTCACAAGCCCACCGAACTCTGCCAGGCCCTAGATCCGCTGGAAAACGGATAAGCTTGACAGTGCCTGCCCAGACTGCGAGAACATGGTGTTGTCGGCACAGCTAGAACCCAAGCCCGCATTGTGAATCCAAGCAGGTTCCCAGTAAAACAGCCCTGCTCCGCGGCTCACCGACGACACAACATTGGCCACGTTGGTGATGAAGGTCGTTTGACCCGCCGCTGAGAAGGGAATACTCTTGACGTCCGAGGGGAAGCTGTACCGTGGGTTGGGACACGATGTCGGCCAGTTGGTCTCGACGACGGCGATTTCTTTGCCCCAGGTGTTGGCCATGTTGCTGAGACTCGTCTTGAGCGCGCTCAGAGTGGCCGACGCCGAATAGAAGGGGTAGAATGAGACACCCATCATGTCGAAATCCGAGGATGCGAGAGTACCCTGCTTCAAGACGTTGCTGTACCACCAGTTCTGGGTTCCCCAGTCCCTACCATCCTCTCATTCAGCATCCCACACTTCACTCGGACCAAGGGTAGGAGCCAGCCACTCACCATCCATTATCGAGATGAATCATGATCTTCGGCTTGGGGTTGAGCCTGGAGTCTTTGATGCCCCACGCAGCCGAGTGCAGCAATCGCGCAATATTGCCCCAGTTCTCGGTTTTGCCAGTGGGCCACAGCAACCCGACCCTGATCTCGTTTCCAATGGACATGATGGTTGGTTGTATGCCTGCATCTTGGAATCGGTTTGCCGCATCCAACGTGTAGTTGTACAGCTTCCAGGAGAGGTTATCGATGTCAGTTGGCCATCCTGACGGGATGGTTTGATGGGCCGGATCAGCCCAAGTGTCGCTGTAATGGAAGTCGACGTACACCCCCAGTCCGGCCGCCTTTGCTCTCTTCGCCAACGCGATGTTATAGTCGAGGTTGTAGTTGCCGTCCCGGGGGTTAACCCATACCCGTTGCCGGACGGTGTTGACGCCGTTCGCGCTCAGGATCTTTTCCAGTGGCTGCGCATTGCCGTTCGCGTTCTTGTACGAGACACCCGCACGTTCTTCCACCATCACCGAGGACCAGTCCACCCCTTTGTATGTCAGGGCGGCGCTGGCGGCCGAAGCGCCCAACAGGATCGTCAATACTGCTGGGAGCATCATATTGGGTGACTGCAATGAGCAAGAAACGCTTCTGAATGCTCTGTGCCTATAGGATTGGGAACCGGGTTGGTGGGCATTATCAAGTCCTCCAGTACTGTTTTAAACGCATCTCCCGGTTGGTGGGGACATGCTTGGGATATTGATATGGTCCATCGAGCACTCTTCAGTACTCCGTACCGAGGTAGGTAAGGTGGTACTTGTACATCACTTTCGGGCCGTAACCTCAGTCCCACCCATACCTGATCCATGACAGAACGGAAGAAACGGATGAACGTTCTGCTTTGGGCCGAACCTAGCAAAGGCGGCTGCGATCCGGAAGGTTACGTTGTTCCGGCACAATGCGGCAACGACTGCCCGCTCGAACCACATCCATACATAGATCGTAAGGGGGTTTATTTAGGTAGGTAACCAGCAAGCGGCAATCTATCAACGTTTCCCGCCATCCCAGGTTGATGGAGAATGGTACATTTACATCAATGCCGAGTCTTACCACCAATCACGCTGCTGTTCGGCTCATCTGCTTCCGGAGGTAACCTTGGGGCAGTGCCCGAGCTGGGGCTTTGGTGTCCACCGTTTCAGGGGAATGGGCAGAACTGACATTCAGGGGTGAACGAGAAGACCTATGAGTTGCGGTCTCCTAGTGTCAACAGCTTAACCTACTTATTGACCGTATGTTGGGATAAGGGTAAGTTGATATGTACTACTAGTAGTACTCTAAATCACCTCCTAGGTTTAAACATGCATCGTAGGAGGCAGATCAATGATCAATCAGTCCTCCTCGTCGGCGATTCTCCATACGAGCCTCTCGCCCGATACAGCTTGATTCCTGAGCAGTTTGAGTGCGTTTTCCGCTCGTTCCAGTAGCGTGTTGCCTTCAACGATTCTGTGCTTGTTCGGCTGCACCACCCCCTGTTCCAACAGAGCAGGCACAATCTCTGGCTGAAGATGGTGCTTGAAAAACTCGTTCTGCCAACAAAGAAGCATCGCTTGTCAGCCATGTATGTGCAATTGGTAGAAAAGGCCGAGGCCTGGTCGAACTCACCTTTGCGTAAAAGAATGTCCTGGTCCCCCTCAGCTCGACCCCTTCCGCCCAGTCACCAGGCAGAACCTTGCTCACGTCCCCCTCGTACTCGGGCACCTGCTCATCGCCCGCGTGGACGTTGATCACCGGCAACATGATGGCAACCTTGCTTCCGGGCTCCGCGATCTTGCTCAGCGGCCGCAGCGTTCCTTCCCTGGACCCGATACAGTCCACGAAAAAGGGCACCCTCGGCCGCCCGGCCGATGATGCGCTGCCCTCGGCATCGGCAAGGTACCGCGCTATCTCCTCCACCACGTTCCCGTTCCGATAGTCGAAGCACTCCTTCGCTCCCAGCCCCTTCAGGAGTTCGTGATGCTTCCCGCTTGCCACGGCCAGCACGTTCCGGTACCCCCAATGCCGCAAAACCTGCAGCACATACATGCCGACGCTGCTCGCCGCGCCCCACACCAAGATCCGCTCCTGGGCCTGCGGCGGCGTCCACCCCTGGGGCAACGGCCACGGCAGATCCAGGCCCAGGTCTTCCGTGATGGTGTGGAATGCCGTGACGAGATTCGCAGGCACCGTCACCGCCTCAGGCAGCGTCATGCTGGCAGGCACCTTGCTCACCTTCCAGATTGGCAGCGTGATGTAGGTCTGGAAGCCGGCCTCGTCGGGCGCGCCGTCCTGCACGAAGCCCACCACCTTGTCCCCCACGCTCAGGTGCGTGGGCTTGCTGCCTCCGAGAGCAACGACGGTTCCGCCGAAGCTGATGCCCATGACGAAGGGCGGCGTGCCAAGCGCCAAGCCGCCGTCGGCGCGGTGCAGGTCCAGAGGGCTGGAGGACGTCCAGGTTACGTGGACGAGGGCTTCGCCATCCTTGGGAGGGACGGTAGGACGTGAAAGAAGTTGAAGCGGTTGGCGGGGAGCGGTGATGACTATGGCCGGGTGGGTGTCAGGAACCGATGAGGGGAGGGTGGTGGTGGCCATTTTGGCGGTCGGTAGCGGATAGATGGATTCTAAATAGGGGGCTCAAGGTAGGAGGTTTATCCGTTGCTGTAAACAGCTGTAGGAAGAGATTGGGGATGCAAGTCGCTAGCTACACTAGTAGAGAGGGTGAGACGTGGCAGTCATTGCAACTGGTCCGCTGTGCGTCAAGTCTTTATCTCGAAAATCTTCAGACTATGAGCAGAGAATAAGTAACAGCCCCCGAATCCTTCGACGGTCACGAAGGACAAATTTAGAAGCTGCAGCCATTATTAATTCAGGTTGGGGCAGAATCGGTGATGTCTAGATGCGGTAATAACAGACTAGGGTATTGTAGTGATCGGGCGGCAAGCTCATGCAATATTGATGCAGAATCCCTTCGAACCGTTTCGATGGATGTACGTTGTAAACTTGGATCACACGAGGACGAGAAAGCATGAGGCCGTCACGGTTGCTGTAAGGCTCAAGCCGGTGATAGCAATGACTAACCGTACAGTGCCTCACTGATTGCAGTGTGCTCCACAGGGTTGAAGAGCCTCAACAGTGTGGCAAAGAAATGGGCAAATTCGGCCACAACAAATACATTTCGCGAGTGAGGTTGAAGCCGGTATGTCGTAACGTGCAAGACAGAGACACATCACCATGTTTATGGCGACGCGGTCCTGCAGGTTGAAATCATCAGGTGCAGAGAAGCTGTCTTCTAGTTACACAGTATACACTGTCCTGTCGGCATTGCGGAACTTTGAAGATTGATTAGTCATTTGAGATTACGTAAGGTAGTTACGGAAATTTCAATCCGTACTGGTCAGTGGTCAGTAGTGTACAGTCCGTACACTCCCGTAATGCTGCAGTGTAACGTCAAGTCCTCGACCCAGTTTCAATCCCGCGTCTTGTCTGGAGAACGTCGAACTTCATTTTTGTCGACGGCGTTCGATCCCACGTGCAATTGCAATGCTGTCATCGAGGCCGTTTGTTCCAATTGACCTTTGAGGGTAGTATAGATGCTGAATCGGGCGTCTATCATCATCGGCAGCAGCTGGTCAAGATCGACATCTGCTGCGTTTCATACGCGCGAAACGACACGCTCCTGAATTACACACCACAGGGCGACGACGCTGCCCGTCATGCCGTCCCAAAGGCGCTTGCGCGTTCTTGTATACCTCGTCTTCGCAGGGTTTGTCACCCTGCTCTTCTTCACCTCGAAGGCCCGCCACTCTCGGGATGTCGACAGGCATTCGTTGAACGATTTCTTCTCCAAGACCAAGAACGCCATGGATAAGCAGCACCCGGGGGAGAAGGTCATGGCCGGACACGATGTCGACCCGGACGGAGATATCGATAAAGATGACGACATCCTCGCCAAGCAGATGGCGGACCGACTGCGACAGGCCGAGCAGAAGGCCAAGGACAGCGCAGAAGCCAAAGGCCCCAACAAGCCGGACGTGCCGGAAAAGGTGATTGGAGTAGGGAGCTCGGCGAGTGGGCAGCAGAAACGCCCGCCCAAAGCAGTGGAGGCGGGAACGGAGGAGGAGACGACGGAGGACCATGAGGTAGAAGCGGAACTGAATTCCATACTGAAGAAATCTCCAGGTACTGACTTTCCCCACGACGATTCGTGCACGCTGAAATTATATATCTTGCTGACCTCGCTGCTCTGCTCCTAGTCATTATCTTCTCCAAGTCCTATTGCCCCTACTCCAAGCGGGCCAAGGGCATCCTGCTCGAGAAGTATGTCATCGAACCGGCACCCTACGTGGTCGAGCTGGACTTGCATCCGCTGGGGCCTAAGATCCAGGCCAAGCTGGGCGAAATGACGGGCAGAAAGACGGTGCCCAACATCATGGTCTACGGGAAGAGCATCGGCGGTGGGGACGACATCGCGGATCTGGATAGGAAAAAGGCCCTCGCCGACAAAATCACGTCCCTCGGGGGCAGCCGCATCGACGTGGCCGAGCGCTTCGTGGAGAGTGCGCAAAAGGCAGGGTAGGGGACCCACCTAGTCTCCGCGACGCCAACTTTGGTCATTCTCATTCCTGCATGTGCGCTTAGCAGTACACTGCCTCTCGTTCCCTTGCGTCCGGGGCCGAGTCGACGGCAGGATCCCATGGCCAGAAGGTCATGGAGGGCTACGCTGTCGGAGCATTTTGACGTCCGGTATTGGGCGCGCATGGCCAATGTGGTCGAGCCATCTTAGTTGGCAGAGACGGTGGCCAATCCTATGCATCTGAGGCTTTTTGGCCGGCAATGAGATTGGCGGTTTGCCGCGTCTGATATACTCAGTTTGAAGCGCTCTTGCGTGGTAGGCTGCGTTCGCTAACCAGGCGTTCTGCTGTCTGCTCTTCCCTGAGGCGGCGGAAAGGGGAGCTCTGCAGGGAAGGGATTGCTTGGTCAACGGGGCCCGTTGTGGTCCTCGCATGCTTGTATTGTACCTCCATGTCTGACTGAGCTCATCCCCCTTGGGCGGAGCTAGTATGTTAGCCTCGGAGATCAACCAAGATATGACACACTCGATGTTTGTAATGTGAGCGCAAACTGAGCTGCGTCGCGGGAAGTCAAGGACGGGGTCGTGTGTGAGTACATACACACCTAGATCTGGAATCCCCCCACGCTCTTGACCTAGACTCACCAGCCCGGTTTCGTCTTCAGATGTGCACACCTATATGGCCGCCTTGAGGATGGCAGTGCCAAGCGTGCTCTATTCTCTCCCTTCATTTCCGGAAAGGGAACGGTACGAGCCGCGGTCGGATTTGACCGTAGCAAATGTGAAGACGACGGGTTGGCCCGCTCCGCTGCGCTTGCTTGTCCGCCCCCAGTGTCATCTCACACATGGAGTGCCGTGCACGGCGCGCAAGGCACTAATGCCGTTCCCATCTTAGAGCATCAGACGGCCGGCGAACGCATGGCTCGTCCATCTCCATGTCCCATGGAGATTCCCATCAGCCGTCTTGGATTAGACCAAGGTCAATCTCACAGCCCCTGGGGTTTTCTTCCCGGTGCGTGTCGAGCCGCAGTATGACACTGTCCTCTCTGCAGCCCATATGGCTACTTGGCAGTCTAAGTGGTGATGCAGAGAAGGAAAACAAAGTGGGGGGGGGATGGAGTGAAGAACAGAGTGCTACATCGAGGTTGTTGTGGAAGAAGTTGTGTATGTCGCACATTGCGAGGCAATCTCGATGACGGGGGCTGCCAGTGATACCGGGTTGCAACATCTAGATGACGCGGTCAACTGTCGCTCAAGCACAGAACAGCACTACGCCTTCGGTCAAGTGCCTTCTGTTACAGTTTGGAACCACCAATCCCATTCACGGAGAAGGTTCCGTCTTGCAATACAAAGGACGATGCTGTTTCACAGCAGACCAAGTAAGGTACCTAACTACTCGTACGGATCCATACAGTACCCGTATGCCGTTACGCTGCCGTGTCACCCCTCATCCCAAGGCGGCTGCGAGCCTGAGACAAGCCAAAGCCAAAGCCAGAAGCCAGAAGCCAACCTCACTCTCAAGCCCTGGCCTTCACGATCCATCGGCGGCCGAGGACAAGCCATCGTAGCGCGGCGGCGCTGATCATGGCCGAGAAGAGCACGGCGGCGGAGGAAAGCGACGAGCGCGTTGGATCGGTAGCGAGCGAGGATCGCTGCTGAGGCGGGGTTCCCAATCAGGGTCCTGCGGTTGCCGTTGCGGTGTGAGCCGTGAGCCGCCCTCGTGTGTCGACGAATGATGATGCAACCACAGTTACCACACACTTACGCAGATGGGACGATGCTGTAGGCGGCGCCCAACCAGGTTCCCGTGTTCTGCGGGTTGCAGACCGCGTGAATGCACGAGACTTTGAGGATGTGCAAAGAGTCAGTATTTGCCCCTCCATGTCACCACTCTCTAATCTTAGAACTGTCTATATGTGTGTGTTTTGTGTGTGTTTTGTGTGTGTGTGTGTGCGTGCGTGCGTGCGTGCATGTGTGTGTGTGTGTATGTATGTGTATGTGTGTCCCTTACTTACCGCCAAGGGGAACGAACCTTCCCGTTACAATGCCCATCAGCACTTCCACCACGAAGAGCCCGGCTGTGGACGACGTCCCGAGGGGCATCCAGATGGCCAACACGACGAGCAAGGTGAAGACGTTCATCGAGATGGTGGCGTTCAATGAGTCGAGCAGGCGATCGGAGAGCCAGGGGGGCACAGTCCGGCCCAACACAGCGCCACTGCGGGTTGGCGAGATGAAATGTCTTGCGTCAGTTGGCGAGCCCTGCCCGAAATCGGCGACCAGATAATAATCATAATAATAAACAGAGCACTCACAAATTGTACGACACCATCAAGTAGAACCGTTTGTTCCCAGCACCCGCCGAGGCGGCATACGAGGGGATAGAGGCCCATTGAATGAAGAGCACAATCTCGTACGCTGTGTGCGGGAGATTCAGGGACATGCGGTTAGACAATGACAACAACAACAACAGTTGTACGTAGACAATCTCAAGGCTACTCACCGAAGAGAGTGTAGCTGACGACCAAAACTCGGAACATGTCAGCACGTGGGACACGCCCGTGGGCCCCGAACCGTCGCTCGCTGTCTGCCGGGGGGCCACATTGGTCTCGACAACCACGTTGCCCAACAGCAACAGCGCAGCCGATCGCAAGGCCTTTTCTGGCTTCGAACCAGTGGCTCACGACACTAAAGGAAATGGTCGTGGGGACTGCTATAAACATCAGGTACAACATGGGAATGTACCCCTGGTTAGCCGGTGGGGAGCACTGGTTCAGCTAAAGGAATGCGGGTTTCTCTCCCTTACTTACCAGCAGCGACGCCGGCCAGCGCCATGCAGGCCATAAACTGGGCGTACGTCGAGGCACACGATAGGCCAATGAGGGAGGCGACGTAGACCACGCACCCGAGCGGGAGCAACCAGCGCGAGCCGTAGTGGTCAAACAGGATGCCTGCAGGCGCCGCGAAGAGACAGCTCAGGAAGCCAAGGACGGAGATGATCCACGAGATGGTGCTCTCTGCGTGGTCCCGCAGGACGGTGCGGTGCCAGTATGTCTGGAATAGGCCGATGCTGCTGAGCAGGCCGTACGTGGGGACTGTGAGACAGAAGCAGCCTAGCACGACCTTCCAGGGCTTCCATCCACTGTCGATCGGCGCCCATGGCGGCGGGGCGGCGGCGCCACTAGATGCTTCTGCAGCCCTAGCCCCGTCGTTGGTGTTGTCTGACCCGGCGCCTGGACCGCGGCTGGATGTGGATGTGGATGTGGATGTGCCTGTCTCTTCTGGGAAACTGGGGGCCGCGGAACAAAGGCTTTGTTAAGTGTTCAGCTTCCTTGTCAGTTATCATATTATCTCCCCCCTCGACTCGACTCTCCTCAACCCGCGCCCTTGTGGGTGGAGAATCCCACACTTACTCCCTCTCGCATTGGCCTTTGACCGGAGGTTCGATGCTGGAGCGGCTGGAGCGGCTGCCGCATCGACGAGCCATCATGGCCGTGTTGGGTTTATGGCAATAATAATAAAGTTCTTTGGGGGAGCCCAGAACGACGTCAGGGGCAAGTATATCCGGCCTGTGGGCTAACGAGGTCCTAGCCTCTTAATGTAATGCAGTGTAGTCAGGACTTGAAGTGCTCGGGGAGCGGAAGCATAAGCTGTCCGTCATTAAAGTAGTCGAGTGACGGCCCGGTAGAAAGACATCCTCCCGGTCCCAACGATGCAGTGACCGTTGCAGGTTCATTGACGTGAAGTAGAACAGGCGTGCAGTGTCAAATGAGGACATATTGGCGACCGGGCACGCCTAGCGTTGCTCCGATCAGATATCACTCATGGACGAAGCCCAATCGACCGACGCACGTCAGACACGAGCGGGCATGTAGCGGAAAAGGAAAGGTGGGCGCATGAGCCTGCAACCACAATGGAATTGTTTCTTGCTCGGGAGACGTTCGTGTGATCGGGCCGGCTGAGGAGACCAACAAGCCGGGTGCCAAGATTATATACCGAGTGCTGTATGTAGGATCCAAGTCGGAACCAACAGCCCCCGTAACAAACCCCTGGGCATGTCAACTAGTATCTCCGACAAGGGCCTCAAGTAACATCCTCACCACCCTCGTCCGGGAGCAATGATCGACACACGGATCAAACTGCACTGTGAACCGCAGAAACTGTTGCGCAACAATAGTGTTTGGACAGACTGCAAGGAAATGCAAACAGGGGGGCAGGACAAGCACCTTGTGCCACCGCTGATTCACTGACCCTCACAGACGCAGCTGCCACGCCTGGCCGTCGGCGCTTGCGAGTTGAGTCTGGGATGATGCGCAAGTAAGTATAAGAAGATGTCGCTCCTCGACGCTTGGTATGACCGTGTCCGAGTGTGCTCGATTCAGCCGGCGAGGCTCTGGTTCCCCAAGTCAAGGCCAAGAGCAACGCCATGATAAACCCGAGACGAGCACCGGACGCTCATCTGCATCTTGCCATCATGCTCTCCATTGTCTCTCGGCGCGTCTCCTCCCGCCGCGGGCCAAGGACGGCATCGTCCATGCTGGGCTCGGCTCGAGCAGTTGGTTCCGTCGCGCACTCCCAGGCCCGGGTTGCCGACATCAGCAACCCACTCAGCTCCGCCGCCGGCTCTATTGCGCCACTTTTTGATACGATGCCCCCTCGTGAGGCTGCCTCGACGGCCCGCCCGGTTGTGAGCGCTCTGCCGTACGACCGCGACGAGTTCTGGCGCAGAGTGCCGGTGTGGGAGAACATCTCGGCCAAAGACTTTCTCTCATATCGCTGGAATGTAAGCCTCTCGTGCTAGAAAGCTGATGCGGCCTGTTTCTCACAAGCCGCAGGTCAGAAACCTGGTCCAAACCAAAAGAGAGCTTTACAGCTTCCTAGAAGCCGTCCTTCCGGAAGAGGTGTCATATGACAAGGCCGGCACCCGCTTGCAGACCCGCGCCGAGTTCATCCAGGATGTTGACGCTGGCATAACCGCTGCCACCATGGCCACTAGGACGACGTGAGAAGCCTCTCCTCCGGGGATAGACTCGACCAGGTGCCCTGGGTGGGATCCTTGCTGACGACCGATAGCCCGTACATTCTGAGCCGCATCAACTGGCGAGACCCACGACACGACCCTATCCGCCGCCAATTCCTGCCTCTCAAGTCGGCCATGATGCCGGACCACCCAAAACTGACACTCGATTCACTCCACGAAGAAGCCGACTCGCCGGTCAAGGGTCTTGTCCATCGCTACCCGGACAAGGCGCTGTTTCTTCGTAAGTTGATAGACATAGCTGTTTGGACGTTCGTCCAGAAGGGGAGGCTGGCCGGAGCCGTGAGTTAACGGGAAGCCAGCAACCTCGGCATGTCCAACGTATTGCATGTTCTGCACGCGCTCGTACGCCGTAGGGGCAGACACCGAGACTGTGACCAAGTCGTCGCTGAAACCAGGCCGGAGACGCTGGGAGGCGTGCTTCGCCTACATGGAGAGCCAGCCGAGCCTGCAGGACATCGTCGTGTCGGGGGGCGATGCCTACTACCTGGACCCGGACCATATCCGGGAGATTGGTGAGCGACTGATCGGCATGCCCAACATCAAGCGCTTCCGGTTCGCTTCCAAGGGGCTCGCGGTTGCGCCGGCCCGCGTGCTCGACGAGTCGGACGGCTGGGTCAATGCTCTGATCGATATCTCGAACAAGGCCAAGCGCGCGGGCAAGGCCATGGCCTGGCACACCCACTTCAACCACCCGAACGAGATCTCGTGGATCACGTCGGCCGCCAGCCAGAAGCTGTTCGAGGAGGGCGTCATGGTGCGCAACCAGACGGTCCTGCTCCGAGGGGTGAACGACGACCTGCAGACCATGGCGACCCTCATCCGCAAGCTTGCTGACAACAAGATATTCCCGGTACGTTGCCTGCGTACTCGGCCCCTTATCGATGAAAACTTTTGGAGTAGTCTGACAGAAAAGCGCAGTACTACGTCTATCAGTGCGACATGGTCAAGAGCGTCGAGCATCTGCGGACGCCGCTGCAGACCATCCTGGACCTCGAGGCACAGATCCGTGGTTCTGTGGCCGGCTTCATGATGCCGCAGTTCGTCGTCGACCTCCCGGGCGGAGGCGGAAAGCGCCTGGCGTGCTCCTTCGAGTCCTACGACCGGAGCACGGGGATCTCCAAGTACACTGCCCCCGCCGTCACTGGACGCGACAAGGAGAACAAGGTGTACGAGTACTATGACCCAATCGACTCGCTGCCTGTGCGCACGACCTCATCAGACCGGGGGAGGTGAGATCTCGGGCCCAAAGAAGTTCGGGCCGAGTCCAGGACCAGTCTGGTCGGAGACAGGGGGGTTTGTCCCTGTTGGCCGTTCTGCAGCGCACTGCAGTCGGTGCTTCTTCCAGATCACGACGGGAAATGTTGCGAGCCAACGAGCAAGGGGAATGAATGAGGGGTCACAGGAAGTTGGTGCATGCAAGAGATACAATAGTACGGTAGGGCCGGAGGGCCGGTATCTAACGCAAGAAGAGGTGGGGAAGCGCATCACGTAGCCAAAGATGGCAGCCGCCAGATTTAGAGGCCTGAGTCAGTCAATCAGTCAAATGAATTGACGAACCCCAGATTGGGATGTGTCTGACCTTTGCATTCCCCCGCGACGCGAGCCGCGTCCGGTTTGAGAGAGGTGCGGACCCGACCTTGGGGCGGGCGGGCAGGAACGTGCGAAGACAGCTGAGCCTGCCAGTGTTTGGAAGGCGCACGGTGTGGTAAGGTACGGTAAAATGCTGGTAAGATCGTATGTACAATACCAGCACCCATAAGTTGACCTATTGAAATTTCACCGCAAGTTCAATCATGATGCGACGAGCTAAACGGAAAATGTGAGACACACGACTTAGTGGTAGTCATGGTACCTTAAGGTTCGGAGGAATGATGGTAAGGTTACAATCCTAATTGATAACTAACAGTATTGCAGCACTTACCAGTTCGCGGTGAGCCCAGCCTGCCATGTGCACTTAAATACTAGTATGACACGTAACTTACATCATGGTCCGATATTTACAGAATCTTACCATTTCTTAGGTGGTATCTTACACAAAAGTTATGGGCAACGCTACAGACAATCCAACTTGGAACTTGAACGAGAACAGGCGGGCGCCAGTCTCAGCAACTGTTATTATCAGTGCGGCCAGAATTTTGCATGCAAAACTCATCCTCTCGACTACCATTTCTACCGGTTGACGGTTCAAGGGCCGCAGCGGATCCGTCTGTCGGCTGCTCCGACATCCTGCCTTGTCTGGCCGCATCCCATTCCCCCCCATTGCAGTCAAACCACGGCGTCGCCCCCGCCGATTCCGTCGGCATCTTGCGCGGCAATCCCTTTTGACTTGACCTCGGAAGCCTGAGTTGAACCGAACTTTATTACTACTACTAGCAGTGTAAGGCAGGTACTTTAGGGCTGCTGGCAACTTGAAGTTCAAGGGAGTCACGGCATCTCGAACCGAACCAGCGGCACATGCAGGTCATACAGTGGGAGACGAAGACCTCAACGGATCTAATTGCATCGCACTTTCATTCCGACCACCCCACCCGTGAGAAACTGTCAATACCGCAGATCCCCGGAATCATGGACCACGACTCCTCCAACAACTGTTAGCACGCTTCTCAATTTCTTCACCTCGTCGTCAGAGACGGCGAAGTAGTCGTCGCTCAACACAGCAACATCCCCAAGCCTTCCCACCTCCAGGACGCCCAACACGTCCTCGTCCGGCCCGCCAAGGAACCAGGTATTGTCCCTCGTAAACATCTCCAATACCTTCTGCCTACCAATGGTCTGTCCGCGGTTGATGACCTCCCCCTTCGCATTCCGTCCCGTCGTGGCATAGTACGCATGCGGCCACGGGCTCAGCGGGGCGATGTTGGCCCCGTCCGGTCCAAACCCGGCCGGGATCCCGCTCGCCACAATGGTCCGGAACGGCGGGCCGGCCGGAGCGGTTCCATTCGCCCCGGGACCGGCGGCGGCGAGATACATAAACCCAGACAGATTCACCCCGCCGCCCAGCGCCTTCAGCCTCCGTAGATACTCCACCGTGATCCGGGGCACGTGGGCTACCACCCAGCGCAGGCTCTTGATCCCCCCTGCCGCAGCATCGACGCGCTCGAACCCTTCAATCTGGCCGCGGTAGTCGGCATCGGTGAGCGAGTGGACCTCCAACCGCCAGCCAGCGCGGGCGATGCGCGCGGCGGCTGACTCGAATAGCTCGCCGCCTGCGTACTGGTCGATGGAGACGGCGAATTCGCCGATGCCGCCCGTGCGCACCATGGCGTTGCCGAAGAAGGGGTACGAGTACCGGAGGCGGTTGGTGAGGGTTGGCAGGGAGCCGTCGGCGTCGGCGTGGAGGTGATTGATGCGGAGGCGGATCAACGGAGGTACAGATCGTTGGTCGTGGTCGTTGTCGTATTGTTGGCGGGAGGCGGAGTCGTAGACGGAGAGGAAGGGCAAGTGCATGGCGAGGAGATCCTCGTTGCCTGAACCGTCGGCAGCCGTGTTGGACGCGGGGAACGCGCCTTGGTCGAGCTAAGGAGAGTAAGGGATGCGTGTCAGTTCTGCTACGGCATGACTAGGTTACCTGCCTACTGGAAGGCGCTGAAAGGGGAAAGAACGGGGGAAAGAAGGTAAGGAGGCATTTACATGTGTGGTCACGCCAACAGACGCAGCATATGCCATGGCATCCTGGGCGCTGCGCACGCGGTCCGCAAAGGTGAGCTGCTGTCTGAGTGCCAGCAAAGCCTTCCCATTCTCGAGCCCGGCCGCGATGGAGCCGTTCGCAGCGACCGAGACGGACGCGTCCCCAGGTAGTCTTTCAAAGAAGGCCTTTCCCCGGGAATTGGTTGTGGCGGGGCCACTGAAGCCGGTCGAGATGAATACCGGGTGATTGGGCACCGCGCTGTCGAGTTCGGATAGTGTTGGTAACTGGCTCTCCCGGAACTGGATCGGGGCAAAGCCGCCGATGGTCGTTATGAAGGCGCCGGGCGGAACCGCCGACGCCCGCCGACGGTACGTGTACAGCACGTCGGCAACCGTAAACGCGCGTTCTAGGGGCGTGTGGTAGCCTGGCCGGTTTCCCAGCAGAACGATGTGGTTGTGGCAGTCGATGAGCCCGGGAATAGCGACTCGCCGCCTGAGGTCGATTTTGCGAGTCGGGCTTAGTCCCGGGGCGGTCCTGCGTTCAGCCTCTTCCACATCATGTCCCGCGTAGACGATCCAGCCGTCCCTGATGCCGAGCACGCCAACCACTCGGTTGCCCGCGTCCATGGTATGTATGCGGCCGTTGTGGAGGATGAGGGACCCCTTGAGCGTGCCATCACGGTATGGGTCGGGCATGCCATCATTGCTGAAGATGTTGTTTGCGTATATGGTGCCGTGGGTATCGCCGCTGCTTTTCTCTTCCGCAAGGCCGAGTACAGTCATTGACGCACCGTAAACCCGACAAACAATGGCAAGGGCGACGAGATAGCAGACATAGAGGCTGTTGTATCCCAGTCTCTGAAGGAGAACCATTGTTAGTAAGGCAACGGTTCAAGCTGACCTATCCGGGACAGGAACGAGTATCTCTATCTTGGGCTCTTTATCTTATGGTTAGTTGAGCGCAGGTGAGATGCTGCAAAGGAAGTTGTACTCTATTAGTAGCTTTCCGACCATGTACATTCAAGTTCTCGGAAGCGGAAGCTGAGTATTACTATTATATTTCATCGAAAACTGTCCAGTGGCTGGTCAAAGCAAGGTAGGAAAGGTGCCTACTAGTAGTAAGCCAGCGTAAGCAAGCAATATTATGCATGACCGCGATGTATGATTCGTAGACTCGGACATTGACCGCAACTTGGACATATTTTGGGATCCCTATCTGCTATGACTATAGCACACCCCGGCCAGCCATGGGGGTAACGTCCAGGAGGACTCGGAGTGAAAGAGGGGTAATAACGGATCGCTTGGAGAATATGGGACGGCACGGCACGGGAATGGCTACCTGACCTAGTACCGTATTTTATACATCATAATACCTCTAGTAGCAAAGTGCACCAAAAACAGTCTACCTGCTCCAAATTCTAAGGTTTAATCATGTCAGCTATTCAAGCACTCTCAAGGCATCACGGAATGATAGGCGTGGAATCGGAACAACTTAGAGAGTAAGCGCTTTCTCTATTAACGTTAACGTATATTATCAGCGAGTGACCCAAATCAGCGAGTGACCCAGCTTAACAATTTTCTTATCGTACATTTGGATGCAGCCCTGCTAAATTTGTTAAGCTGGGTCACTCGCTGATATGGGTCACTCGCTGATAATATACGTTATGAAAAACATCTTTCTAACGCCTCGACTCTAGGTTTCTCGTAACTAGGCCGCTCAAATTCATTGTGGGACCCGATAAATTGGAGTTCTATATCTGCCCGGGTCTCTTGGCTCGTTCGTCGACCCCGCTAAATGCCCTGGTCAACGGCGGGACGTAGGAGCCTCTAGAGAGCTATATAACCTTGAGGGACGTCGACTATATTATCTTCTTACGTTTCGTCTAGTTCGTATATATAGGCGCCTATAGAGGCTTTACTCTAACCGAAAAAGTCAAGCCTGGACTATCTGAAAAGGCTACGAATATTATAACAAATCCACTTGACGATGTTACGAATTGGCTGTCCTTGTTCGGGCCGAACAGCGCGTTCAGACTACCCTGCTTGAGTTGCGATACGTATAATTTAGCTTCGAACCCAAAGGCGTTACCCAAGCGCAAGCGTGACGCATTAGAGTGCGGTTGCGGAGACGCAATGTTGCAGCAAGGCTCACTGACCGTAGAGGGGCTGAGACAGGTAATCAACAATGTCGACCTGCTGCTAGTTAGGCTATACCGCCAACAATCTAAGAGAGCACGGCGAGCCAAAATAATTGAATTAGGCACGAATCCTGCTGCTACTTAGATGATATGGAACGGCGATTTAGCCGTAGAGATGGGGGGGACTTGCAGACGCGTCGGGTCGTTTTCGTCGCCCGCTGCTTGCAAAACAAGGTTGCGGGAGAGCGCATAGCACATTTGGCCTCCTACTCCGTTATCAGCAAGTGAGGACCTTGGTGTGTTACGCTGCAGAGAAGAAGCCACCATCTTCCACTGGTAACGACGAGCCTGATTGGTTGAGCATCGGACCAGACACCATTGGCGTGATGTACATCACACGTGCCCAGTGAGACAAGAGGAAAGCCACAAAGGGAGAGGTGAAAGGAACCGAGGGCACAAACTGGATGGCCCACGAAATGTGCATAAGACAGTGCACTTCCTTTCCCAGCAGATGCTCCCTCCTGTCCTGGATTCCTTAAGTTTCAACTAATAACTGTTCAACCTCAAGAGCCCGTCCCTCTCAAGCCTTCCTTCATTGTGTTAGCATACCTCCAAGGTTCAATCTGCAGGCGTCACCATGGTCGAGACTAGTGCAGACCAGTCAGCTCAGACTGTAAGATCATCTCCACCTAGTCTCTACAACTGTGATCGCGTGGCTATACACAAGATTAAACCGTAGACGGGTGGATCACGCATGAATGGCACTGTGTGAGTGCCTTGGAAAAGGCCCCGCCTGCTTCCCTCTAATCCTATAGGTACACATGCGCATTGGACTGGAGTACACTAACTCATCACCGGTGAATGTAGTGTAAATGCGAGAAGGGTGCATATTCAGTGTCTGTGCAGAATCTTGCCCCTCCTGCAAGCACAGCCGCTGCGACAATTCCCCCCTCACCCAAGACTGAATTAAATCTGTCTTGCACAATCAACAATCGTGTGGTGCTAGGATAGAAGGTTAGGAAGCGACGACAGGAGGGACTCAACTTGCGAGATAGGAGAACCGCACATTGCTAGCAGATAAATTGGAGAGCACCTGGTGCTCCTGCTGCCCATTGGCTACCTGCACCACTGGAGCGTCGTCGCCTGCAGCATTCGTGATGCCCTTCTCTCTAGACTTCTGAAGCTTCTTGTCAGCAGCAAATTGCATCTTCCTCTGCAGATAAGACCCCTAGGCCATTATAACTATTACCTATAACTACCTATAAAACTATAGTATTATATTAAGATAGACTTTAAAAAATAACTAAAGGACTATTATAGCTATAATAATATACTTAGTATAATAGACTGCCTAAGCAAGATGTTATGTGACGAAACCACAGGCAGTCCTGCTTCTGAAAGGGTTCGCCGGTCGAAGGTATCTGCTGGTCGGACTAGAGGTCTCGGTGAAGCCAAAGGGTTCACGACAATGCAAGTCGCAATGTCTGCATAGTAGGTGAAAGCTACTGCTTGAATTGCTCACTGAGGAAGCTAGCTATCTGAATGAGTGGCAGAATGGTAGAACTATATACAGCTTCCTCCCTTAGGTATCTCCGTACCTGGATCACTAGCGATCACCTCGGCCCGGTGATCGTAGGTGAGCCGCTCACCGGGATCACCAGTTCCCGATTGATCTTGGTGATCCTGCCGTCCCTGCCGGCCATTGGCTCGGGGTTCCGGGGTCGCGCCCCACCCGGCCGCTATATATGGTTGGTTCATGACAAGTAGGCTTAACGAGAGGGTGGTTAATAAGGCGCTAGATATATATTACGATAGTACTATTATTATAAACGTTAATATTCAACCCTATAAGGCCTCTTAGGATGTAGGTTTATATTATATTCTACTGGTCTAGGTTAAAGGTACTTATTTACATAACATTGCTATTCACTGTTTTTCTATACTTTCGGTCCTTTAGCTTGCCGCAATTCCATGGCTCTACCTAATCGTCGTGTTACCAGGATCCTGCTTAGTGAAGTTCCGGCATGAGAATCGCCGAGCTTAGTATTTCGCTTCAGGGTCCGCCTTGGTCCAGGCCTGGCGCATCCGATCATATGCGGCAAGTTCCTGGTACGGTAGTTGGTCAATACAATACCGAATCTCGTGCTACCAACAACTTGAAGTGTATTGTACATACCTTTGTAACCTCGGAAGGCATCCACCGCCACCTGTCCCTCTTCTCAAGCTGCGCCAACAGCGATTCGAAGCTGCTGAAGGACGTGTCGTCTATCATGTCTAGACAGGCAGCTGTGAGAATGTCAGTCAGAGCTCTGCTCAATACAACAAGACGACAGTACACACCGAAGGCTATTGACCAGTCAACGAGAACGTTGAGACGGTTCAGGTTGAGCCGCAGATCGGAACGGGCATAGTATAGCTGTTTTATATGATGCTTGAGTTCCTATGGGTCGTGACACGATGTTCGCCTCAACACCAAGCATTGGGGTTGTCTTTAGCACCACGGTGTAAACGCACATCTTCCTGCTCCATTGCCTTGATTAGAGCGCCAACAAAAACAACACCTCCGATAGTGGCGCTGGCGGTCCCGATGGCGCCGAGAACCGACCAGCCGGCCGGCCCACTGATCATGCCGACAGTAACGAGGCTGCCCGTCACGGTAACCCCTCCAAGAGCGGCGATCCCGCAGATCGTTTCGATCATATTCTCAATGGCGAGGTCCCTTCCGATCCTGGACGGTGAAGTTAACTATGTCAACAAACCGACCGTAAGAGACTGGTAGAATTGGAAAGAGATGGATCCTCACTTTGTTTTTAGCCTTCCCCACTCCTCGAACACTTTCCCCGTCGCCACGCGTCTGACCTCACGGTCTAGGGACTCTAGCGAGTCGAACCCGCGTGTTTTGAGATACTTGGCAATGGCGACACGGGATCTATATTCTAGTCTTTCGCTGTTGTTTCACCTACTAGTTAGCGGGCCTCCAAGGAGCAGTGTGAGGGCGGGCGATGGAAGGCATACAAGTCTTTCTTAGTCCTGTTAAACTGGGCTTCGGAAAGGCGGCAGTCGGCATCCAACTGTTCGACTCGCTGTCGAAGCTTGGGGTTATCGGGGAACACAACATCTCCGACGCTCGCGGCGAGCGTGTTGATGCTCTTGCTGTTGAGCTTCTCGTCCAGCCCGGCATCTGGAAGCTTTTTGATGCCGTCCGAGATTGCGTTGCCAACATGGCCACCGGTGGCGGATACGCTATCGCCTACCTTAGAGGCTGTGTGGACGATCTCATTGCCCAGGGAAGGTGCCTTTTCTATTACCTTGGTGCACGTGTTGGCGATTTGCGCGCCGGTCTCGGTGATTTCCCTCGTCAAGTCTCCAAATTTGAAACCCATGCTGATCAGGTGGGTGTAGACTAGAACGGTGGATGGCAGGAGCGATGGTGATTGAAATGGTGCGAGTTGGCGGGTGCTTGGTGGTATGGAAACTTGGGCAGTGGGAAGAGTGGAGAAAGGGGGTGAAACAATGCGTGAATAATTGAAATCCACTCATAGTTGTGACCACTGCGGAAGGATGAGATCCCGTTCAGTCTCGGGTCAGTGAGACGACCGGCAATGGAGAGAAGCAGGTTTGCCGGCTCGGTTGAGCCTGACCGCTGCTGAAGGGACTGTCGCTGAGGACAGGCTCACCCTACACCTCCTTGGCTCTGCCTAACGGCACAGCCAGTCGCAACCATAGTGACGCACTACTGTTCGTGCAGAAGGGCCTTCCAATGAATGGTCGCGCTCGAAAGATGGTCAGACCAAAAATCAGCAGCCGCCAAGTGTCAGAGATCTGAGTATCGGCAAAGCATGGGAGCCAATACCAGGCGTCAGTAGAGACGGGATCAGGGCCTTATCACAGCTGCTGTCAAGCAAGTCACAGTTGCTCCAATAACGATCTCACCTTGGCATTGCATCGGTGGTCCTCTGAGTATTTCTCAGTGTGGCACTCCTTCTTAAACACATTGGCCCTTCCAATGTCTTCTTCGGCGCACCGCCCGCAATGGCTACCCAAAGCGGACGCACTGATGGCATTTGCTTTTGGACCATGAAAATCCCGTCCCAATGACCCAGTCTTCCAGCTCTTGGACGGGCTCAGCTTGCACTGTGACTGCCACCCTCCAGTTGGGCGCCGAGCATAAGCTTGGGGTAGCATCCTCATCATCCATCACTAGGACAAGAAGTATGGCAGAAGAATTGCATTAAGGGAGGTTTAATGGTCAAGAGTCGAGAAGGGAGGGTTGGAGTATGTCTCATGGTAAGGATGCTGAGATGCTCTGAGCATATAAAGCGAGCAGACATCTCCGCGTCCTCGTCGAAATCGCGACAGGATCAACTGAGCTCAATCAGCCGCCTGATCAATACCCAGAAAGGCATATCATTCCTCTTACTTTTGCCGCTTACAACACCTGCCACCACGCCAAGATGGACTTTCAAGGTAAGAGGTATCCTAGATATTCAGGGACAAGCAAGCACTGACAAAGGCTACCGGCACAGACAATGCCTTGCGCAAGCGTCGCTGTGATACCCTTGTCAATTCCATGGATAGTGCCATGCTTGCCATGAATAGGAGCCAGAGCATCTTCGAGTCCAAGAGCGACTGGTACCAGGAGATCGTGCTCAGGGGTGCCCAGGCCAAGGGCTATCCTACCATTGAAGCCCTGAAGGCAGACATGGTGAGCCTGATGGAAGACGTCGACAAAACGGCCATGGACCTGTTCGACGCGTCCCAGGAGGGCATGTCCAAGATGTACTGGGCCGTTGGCGGTCTCGGGATTCTGTGCCTGGCGGTTGGCGCATATGGGACTCTCCACCCCAAGGTGTTTTATGGAGAAAAGTTGGGTAAGTGACTCCGCCGAGCTCCCCTTCTAAGACCGCTAGTTATGGCTGACTGGTGATTCGCATATAAATCAGGGGCGAAGAAGGCGAACAAGGTAACGGTCCTCAAGAACGCCCTCACGTACCGTCTCACCGTCTCCGGCCCTAGAGAGCTGAAGGTCAAACGTGCACTCGGTACGCCATTAAAACCCTACATCCCACGATTTCGGAAGAAGGCCAGCTGACCTAGGTTTGGCGGTGTGCCAGGCATCATCAGCGACAGTAAATTCAACAAGATAATGGGCGACGCTTCCCGGGTCGCACGCATGGTCAGCGTGCAGAATGCTAGTGAATTTGCCAAAGGGGGCAAGTTTGCCGATGCACCTATCGTCATGGAGGCCGCCAAAACGCTGAAGCGCTTGAAATGGGTCACGAGAGGTGCCGCGGCGCTTGGGATCCTGGCTGAGGGTCTCGCTCTTGGCGCCGACGCTGCTGTCGGTGAGGTTGTGAAGGGCAAGCTGAGAGAGTAAGTATGCCGCGTGCCTTTCCAATTTCATCTCGCCCTGGACACAGAACACTACCTTGCTGACTGAGCCGTTCTCTTCAGAGCCATCCACGCGCTTGCCGCCCAGCGCTTCGCTATGAAGAAACAGGAGCTGCTGGGGCGCGTCTATGACACCTTCAACGAACAAGTCGCAAGCGCCGTGTCGGCGTGGGTTAACTACCAGGATGCGGCAGACGAAGGCAGTAAAGACTATCACGACGCCGACAAGGCCCTGGAGAATGCCCTGGACGCGGCCAACCAATGGATGTACAATGCCATGGCCGATGTCTGCGACTGCAAGGTTCTCGAGGAATGCGCAGCCGAGGACAAGATCCTGAACGCGTGGACAAACGAGGACCCCTCCTACCGTCAGATCCTTGAGTTGATAAACGACGACAACACGGAGCCTACCGACGTTCCTGAGTGTGAGATTCACCACCCCACCGGCAAAAAGAAGACGCAGCCCCTGCCGCAGGAAAGCGCCCAGAGCGAGATCTATCCGACCCTTCTCCAGGGTAGTAGTGCCGTCACGGCAAGTAACTGCCGATATGTCGAGCTTAACGAGGGGAAGGGCTGCCTCTGGCGCATCCGCGGCACCTTCTGGACCTTCCAGCAGGCTGGCAACGTCAACACCGATGGCGAGCCGCAAGGGCTCAACACTTCTCGCATCCGGCTGCAGGAACGACGGCGCACCAGCGACAAGATCTACCTCCAGAACATCAAAAACTGGTCGTGGAACGAGGTCAAGGGCAACTGGGACCCGCCCGCCCGAGACCAGTTGTTCCCTTTCGTCGTGCTCAACTTCGCCAACGGCAAGCTGGAGACTCTGCCCGGCTCGATCAGCCTGGACAGTCCGGGAAGCGCTGCTCCCTGGGGCGGCCGGACCATGGATCCCAATTCCTACAGCAACCTCGCTCACCTCAACGGCTGGACACTCTATTACGTCCCCGCGGTGCGTTACGAAGGACAGGAGTTCCCACTCGATAACGCTCACGAGCAAAACAAGAAAATGGGATGGAAGTACACGTTTCCGTTACCAGCCGAGGATCCAGAGAAACCCACCGAAGACCACATGGTGAGCGGCTTGCTCGAGGTGTCCAGGTCCAAGGACAGGATTGACCTGGCGAGCAAGGACTTGTTCACCAAAAAGAATACTTGGCCCAAGGCCTCTGTCGACGTTGCCACGAAGCGGATCGTGTTTCAGCAGGCCCAAGATAACGAGGAGATGAGCTATGACATTGAGACCGTCAAGGATATGTGGAAGGCGCGGATGAACTTCACGTAATAGATCTTTAACAGGGGGAAAAGAGAAGTAAGAAGGAGGGGAGATTGCGTGGATCTATTGTATGTCCTTTTGTCGTTCCTAACGAACATCTGTCAAGTAATGGGAGTACTTTCAAGTGGTCGTTGTTGCAATAAGTCAGAGCACCAAACTTGTTGGGCTGTACCGCTAAGCTTTGATGATCGGCCGAGCTGATGGTACCAGCCTCGATGGAGGTCATATGGCGCGAGGAGCGTTGAGGTTCTTTGTCGGGAATGGGCTCCTCGACGTAGTAGCCCCTACCGCCCTTCTCGTCGCTGACCTGAAGAATGACATTGCCTTCAGAGGGGTTTTCGAGAAAGATGGCCCAGTGGATTGGATCCCGCTCATCGTAGACGTCGTAGATGGCGATGTAGACGGTGGTAGGCATTGGCGAAGGATGGAAGATGCTAGATTAATAGGGCTTTCTCTGACAAACGCGTGGGCGACGAAGAAGGGCAACGCAACGGTAGGAGCACGGCCACCGGACAAGAAAAGCTGTTGGGAATGAAGCTATGATGAATCCGCAGTGTGATGGTGTTGACGACGAGAGAATGACTGGAGAAGTAAACGAGCTTCTTCGTGAATACTATAGTCTGTTACTCGGTCCTTAAGTACATCTGAGAGAGCTTGATGGACAACTCCCCGTCTCCTTGCCTTGGGCATTGGAGCCTATAGTGCCCCTTGCAACAGGTTCAGGACTCACACACTGGCTGGCGATTCGCCGAGTCTCATCAGGGGGCGATGTGCTGTGTAGCAGCGACATCAGGCACCCTATAGAATTAGCATCAATCATCCTTACCATGTGCTGAGTTGCATTACTGGACCAAAAAAGAAGAAAAGTAAAGTGAAAGAAAAGAGGGTGGGGGGCTCTTGGCAGCGGCTTCCACATCATACTTCAGCCTGATGCTCAGTACTACTAAACGCTCCCGTTGGTTGATTCTGCTATGTCACTATGAGATACGCGCCGTGGTGGAGACACCAATCCTTGTCCGCCAACGTCCATGTTTACCAGGTACTAGTGTATGTTGTAAGGCTTTGGCTGCTAGACGGCCAGCATCATCCGAGCCAGCGTTCGAGGAGTGAGTCGATGGATAGCTCGACTGGCCATGTTCTTATTGCGTCGGTGGGGAGATATTCAAACCAATCGGACAGCGTCCCCCGTGTATTGATTGTGGACAAGGATTTGACGAACTCCCAGTACTCCGGGTACCAACCGCTCATTTCCCAGTCAATGAGCGCGGTTACTCGGATCTTCTTCTCACCTCCCTTCCCAGTGACCCCGTCCTCCGCACCCCGCTCCCACTGGACCATAATATTCCGAGGATGAAGGTCACCGTGCGTCATAACCAAGCGATGGTCATCTCGCATCCCGGACCGAATCGTGGTGATCCAGGCCGTGGGAGCTCTCCCGGGTTTGCCACACAGAAAGTCGTTGAACTGTGCCTCGGTGTGGATCGTGGGCTCGCTCACCCGTTGGTTCCTCCTTGTGTCTTTGCAGATGGCCGATACAAAACCACCAAACTTTGGTCTGCCGCCGTGCTCCTTGCGCAACGCGCGAAATATGCTGTTCAGCTGTGTCTTGATCGAAATCTTGTGCTCGGTGGAGAGTTCAGGCCACAGGGATTCCAACGTAACACCGGCTGCCCGTGACATGAAGTGATACGTCCTCCCTATCCTGTCGGGTCCAGTCCTCTTGAAATTCGACCTGCGGCGGCGTGATCGAGTACTATGCCAGGCGCCTTGACATCTCTTTTTGATAGATCTCTATCCTCCCTTTCCACTCATCTCGGTTTGCTCTTGGAAGTCGCGAAAACGCTGCCATCTTAGAAGCTGAGTCGCAAAGATCCTCCAGAATGGCTTCGACGGCTCACTCCAATAGCGCACGATTTCGGGGTATTGCTCGGGATGGCGAGAGAGGTCTGGGAACAGCTCGATCGGGTAGAAGGGCCGGCCTCTGTCTTTGGCGAGCTCGTAGTACGCCTCTTTTTCTTGTTGCAAGTGTTCTTGGAATATGTCTTCTGATGTCACCGAGCATGATGTCGCCGAGCTTGAGATAGAAAGGGAGCGACGGCGTGGCGGCGCTGGCTGGAGGAGGCGGGCCGAGACTTGGTCGAGGTCAACGAGCTTGGAGCGCGGACGGACGCGGTCCCTAGTGTATGTTCATCGATTAGTCACTCCCGCCATGGCAACGGAGGCAGATTTCGGCTCGCACCGCAGGCGGTGGATGAAAGACTCGAGTAGATTGTCCGGGTCCTCAACTTCGACCATGCGGTCGCCATTCGGCAAGCAACTCGCTTCGAGATAGTGGTCAAGCTCGGCATCCGTAAAAGCGGCGACCTCGCTCGCACGTAGCAGCTTTGGGGTCATATTGCTGGCGTTGGGTTCGTCTTCATTCTTCTCGCGCTTGGTTACGGTCTCTGAAGATGCTTGCGCTGATCGTTGTTACAAAAGATGATGGCGTGACCAGTTGCCCAACGATGAATGGGATGTGAATGGGTGAATGGGGTTGGCGGGATTGCACATCACATGCCATTACACAACCCCGCGGCTGGTGCCTGAGCGCGGCTGGAACCAGCCGACTCGACAACAAACTGGTTCGTGAATGATTCAAAGCTACTAGCAAAACCTTCTGTTCAACCCTTCTTTCCCTATTCCTTTGCTCATGGTATGAGTTACGAGGACATGCTTTGACATAATGGACAACCCCAATATCATTGTCACGCTATACCCCATTGTTGACACGCCCACGGATGCTACGATGATAACGGTCCGAATCCCCCCACAATGCTCCATTATTCGTTCCCCGTCAGCTTCGACTACACGACGATACGAGTCAGTATGACTGGTCCCAGACGCCCGAGCCTGACGAAGATGACGCTAGGAATCGGTCTCCAGAGGCGGCGTACCCCGGGCTCCAGCTGAGATATGATCATCGTCGGAAACTGCGGTCTGGCTTCGCCTTGGGAACCTCCGAGGGCTGTAACATCCGCCTGCCCAAAGCCCGCGATGTGAAGGGCATCAGTGGGTTTCAGTGTATCATCTGCTTCGATGCGCACGACCGTCTCGTACTGAAGGATGTGCGCGATGTCGACCCGGGCACAGGCAAGCGGGTGGACGGCACTGCCGTCACCTACGACGGTAAAGGACGGGAGAAGCGTCGGTATTTCACCTAGATTCTTAGCGGCGCCGACTTCGCCGATCGCTCCGATGGCCGCCAGCAAATTCTAATCTACCTGCACGACAACCTCTGCTTCCGGGCCGTCGTCCCGCCTCGTAATCATCACCCCGAGGATTATCGCACCAGAGTAGCACAGTTCCGACAGGGCGCCACGGTCGACCCGCACGAACTTCCACTGACGGGGCTCGGCCTGGATGGCGGTGAATCAACAGCCGGCGTCGACACAGGCATGCAAACACCGAGCGAAGGCGCCATCTGGCTGAAGCGTAAGACGCTTGGTCAGGGCGCCTTTGCCGTTGTGACGCGCGTTTCCAACGTGAGCACCGGTGTTGACTATGCCCGCAAGCAGCCAGTGGACGGTGCGTACTGCGACCTCGAGAGGTGGAGGCAAGAGGCCCGGCTGTTGCGCAGAATCTCGCACGTAAGCGGCACGCTTGGTCTATGACGGCCAGTCAGATATGAATGCCTGACCATCTGATAGGAGCACATCGTGCGCTTGGTCGCTGACGACTTCTCGTCATCTTTGCCCACCCTGGACCTCGAATATATGCAGGGCAGGACCTTGCACTGGCAGAGCAGAGTGTTACAGTTCTCACCCGCCGAGGTCCTCATGATCCTGGACCAAGGTCTTGCGGCACTGGCGTATCTTCACGAACTTGACCCGCCCATCATTCACCGCGATATTAAACCGGCTAATATCCTGGTTCAACATCGCACTGCCGACCATATCCACATCAAGCTTACTGACTTCGGTCACTCCAAAGACGGCCACGAGCTGCGGACGCGGTGCGGAACTGAACTCTACCTCGCATCAGAGATTCAGGCCAACGCGGCTACCCGACATCGTGCTAAGAGAGACCCTTACACGAGTGCTGTCGATATATGGTCCCTCGGGGTCATGGTGTACAAATTTGGCTTTGGTCTTCCGGATCTCGACTTAGCTGAAGGTCCTGGGTGGTGTCAGGCCATCGTCGAAAAGCTGCACATGGAGGACGAATCGGCCTTGGCCGACTTCTAGCCAACGAAATGTTGATAATCGAGGCACCATCCCGCAGCGCTGCGAAAGAGTGTCGCGAAGCAGCGCCGAAGCCTGACCTCGCCTCAACGCAGCGTTCATCGCAGACACCGCGGGCGTCAAGTGACGATGAAGGGGACAGAGACAGAGGCGGTGGCCATGGGATAGCCCGTCTCTATGAAAGTTCGTCCTCGCTTGCCTCACTAGCTGCCGAGACTGTGAGGCGTCTCTCCGGTCCGGCGCCCCAGAGCCCCATACCGCCCAGACTGGTAAGCGCCGTCGGCCGCAACTGACAGCCTCCGACTCTTCGTCGTCGGCGTCCGACCTCCGCCGGTCCAAGCGTCATTTGACGAACGGAAATGCACGCTATTACCATACCAACTGGTTGCGGGACAAACTTCAAGTCGGTAGCACCATTGCAGAGATGATGAACGAGCCTAGTCCCAGTAGGGGGAGCAGCAGCAACCAGGCTATGCCGAGATCTCTGGCCAAGGTCAGTTCTGGAACTGGCTGAAGAGAATAAGGATATCCTGCCAAGCTGACTGGGAGAGGGAGCTACAGCAATAGCTTCCCTGACACCTAGAAAGGCCGCCGCACGTGCCGACGACGAAAGAGATTAGTTATTGGTCCGGTGTCGTTAGGCACTGCGTCATTGGGGCCTGACAAACCCCCAAAGGATGTACGAAGTGCAGGGGCGGGGGCGTCTTGCTTGGACAAGGTATCGCTCGTCTCGTCTTGCGAGATCCATACCATGGAACTTGTACTTGGGATTCGGAGGGGATCTTGGCCATGGCTTCAGACTAGGCAGTCTATGGGTGTGTTGCAGGCGGACCACCCTCGCATTGTGCGCCGCGCGTCCGTTGCGCCCTCCCTGCGGCATCGCAGATAGGGGTAGTCGACGGCGCTGAACAACGTATCCGTTGCCAGATATTGTTCTTAGCCAGGGGTAGTGCCGACAGCTTACTATATATGCCTAGATTACCTAGTTCCAGGCGCCTAGTCGCCCCGTATTTCCAACACATTAGGCTACCCAGAACACCACGGGCCCGCATAGGTACAGCCCAAACGGGTAACCGTAGGCGATCGCTTGACGTAGTTCAGCATTCAACCTGCAAGCACGAACCTCTTGTACAATTCATTATAGCGGTTAGGGAGTACTCCGTCGAACATTTCCAGAGCCTTCCAACCCTTGAGGCTACCCGCACCAAGTTCATCGCCCTGGATGGTGATGAGCTGATGAAGACTGCCTTTAGAGGTTTCTTAAGCACGGTATAGAATGCAAGTTTGGATTATCCATGCTCCACTACCAGTTTGATCTCTCCCGTAGACATACTTGTTGACTACGACGGCACATCCGTCCCTTGGCCAGAGGATTCTATATGGGGGATGAAACGCCCGCAGCTAGCTATCTGGGCTTATTCGCCTACCGGCCAGTTCCGACCAACTAAATTCCGCTATTCGGAAAGGGACGATCTCTTAATGGGAGGATCCGAACTTCGTTTTATGGATAGCTTCAAGAACTTGATTAATCAGTATAACGCTACTGACCTCTTTGGGCTATGTTAGTACCCCGGGGATGACTTTAGTGGTTTGTGCGAGATCACGCAAGGCAGGGCCAACATCAACCTTAACCTAGCTAATATACGCAACCTCTCTTATACTTCCTGCTTCCTTTTAATAAGCGGTTGGTGCCGAGCATCAAATGCAGTGGCCGAAGCACTTGACCGCGATCGACACTTCTTGGGTTGTCTCTCAACCACTCTGGACTCGGGGATGTAGATGCACTTGCAACGCGAGCGCTAAAGACCATCCCCACGGAGCGCACGTCATTATACGGAGCGACTAGGTCGCTCTGTAAAATACAAGGATAGAGCGAGCAGGATTTCGGAATTGGTGTCGGAAGTACCTTTGTCAAATTGAGTAAGGTAGTTTAGGTGTCTGGGTGCGCTGAGAAGGACTCGACTGAGCGGATTCTGCGGGTTCAAGTTTACATATTGCTTGGGGTAAGAATACATCGCGCATAAACTCCAATCTCGACGCGAGGTTGCGCGAGCTGGATGTGCCGCGCCGCTGCCTCGCACGGGGCCCGATGCACTGGGAAACGACATTCTCCGCGCGCTGTGTCTTTTGACATACTAACATTATTCCAGTAGGGTAGGTGAGATAGTTACTGTTTTGTTCCCAGGTGCTGCAGCAAGTGCTCCAGCTCCAAAGAGAGGTGAGCTAATAATGGAATATCCCGCGAACGAGTACTCCTCGATCTGATATGTCCGGGACTCACATCCGAATTCAGCGCTAGCCTCTGAGATTCGGATCGTGGAACGGGGCACAACCCACCTTAGTGTTGGCAACACGAAATGGCGGTAAAAGTCTCACGATATCCCCTTGCGCGAATGTGTATCCAGGGAGGGATCGCGATTCTGCGCTACTGTATGTACTGTTGTTTCAGATCGTGACTTCGCTGCGGTCGAGATGCGGTCATGCTGTGGAGCCAAGCATAGGATTTGGACTGACCGCTCGCCACGTGTGAGGCGTCTGACCGTCACGAGGGTGAGGGGAGGATTATGGACCTCACAGGCTCCGAACACGCTTTCGTTTGTTGACGGTGCAGCTTCAAGAACAATACGACAGTAGCATTGAGGCCCGCGGGGGAAGCTGCTGCACAGATCCTTCAAGATCCCAAGCACCGCACCCCGCCAGCCAACACAGCAACCGCAGCAACCGCTCGCTGACACATTTTCCACTTGTGCAAGCCGAGTGCAAACTGCAAAAAAAGTGACCAGAGGTTGTTGGTGATGCTGTGATGTATCTGTTCACGTACACTACCCCGGCCCACCAGCACATATTACTGTGTAGGCCTCGTAATAAACATCCATTCCTCACTTCTGATCCCGCGTCCCACGCTGACTACCTGGTACTTAAGCGGAGCTGCTGGTCCCGCACATTCCCTGAGCGGGATGCCGCATCAACGTTCCGGACCGAGACATCTTGCGCACTGGTGGGGTCCATGAACTCACAACTTGGCATATAATTATGTCTTGTGCCGAGATACGGATACAACGGAGTAGTACTTCACTTATGTATGTATGATAGTTACGCAGTACTAGAATAGTATCAGAAGCGCAGGAACTAACGGGTTGTGCAAGGCCTAAGCATCCCGTCTTGGCTTGCCTGGATAGGCCAGATCCTATACGTTATTGTGCCTTAACGTACTGGGATTGCGTCGGCAACAGGCTTCAAGGACTGAGGACTCGGGATCGTCCCGAGATTCTGCATCAAAACCATGCGACAGGAGGAGCTTGTAAGCAGGACTCCCAACTTCAGAGGATTAGTTTACTATGGCACCAAATTAATTGCCTTGGGTAATGTGCGGTCGATACGGGAACAGAAGCACAAGAAGGCCCCAGAGATGCATGATCTTTCCTTGACGCACAACGTGTCCGTCGGCAACCACTTCACAACTTCTTCAAGCCACTGGCAGTGAGCCCATCGAACGATCTCGGGCAATCAGCAGCTCGGCTCTCTTTTTTGGAACCCCACCTTCGAGAACGGCTCGTCTTCCATTTGGAGGCTGAGCGCGAACCCCTGGATCGTCACCGGCGGTCTTGGCTTGGCTACCCACCAGGCCCGCTCCCAAGTGGTTGGACCCTTGAACAAACAACAGGGGAGCTTCGCCGCCAACAGCCAGTAGCGAGATGGGTCGCCAGGGCGTTTCTCGTGCTGTCCCAGAGAGGAATGGCACTCTTTCCAGATCGGCGAGTCCGGGGACTCGCAATGGAGTCAATGGAGTGATGAGCGCCATTGACGCCCACGGTACCCGTGACGTGCCGGGATTGATTCGAGAAGAACTTGATGAACCAGGAACAGCTTCCCCGTCCCCACCAGCTCATCCGACTCTGGAAGCACCCTTGACCCCCCAGACGACCTCGAGCTTGGACCCCAGCAGCCCCAGCTTGCAACTCCCTTTCTTCACCAACAACAGCTCCTCCTTCATCTTCCACCTGGATCTTTTCTCCTCTTGTCTTCTCTTGGATCGAGACTTCAGCCGGAGCATCAACTCGAATCTCACGCCCCACGCCAACTGCCTCCCATATACGTTTTACCTCAGCCCTTCGGCATCCAAATCAAGCAACGCCTTCAGCTCGGGCTCGTCCGACCTCGTTACGAGTAGCGGGGAGACGCAAGGCACCATGCCGGGCCCGACCCTCGATGCTCCGGTCGAGTACGAATTCCTAGCTCCCAGCATGGCCGACTACTTCTCATTGTCGACATCGACCCAAATCCAATCCCCATCAGGTTCGAGGATCGACTTTGCGCAGCTGCCCCCGAGCTCAGCAGGCAGTGGCAGGAGTGAACCGGCCACAGGTCCTCTGAGTTTTGCGCGGTGGGGCAGACGGAATCACCGCCATCACACCGACGCGCACAATCACCACGATGAAGAAGGACGCAGGTTGTTGGGGCGGGGCTGCCGTTCGGCGGAGCGCAAGGCGAGCAGCAGGAGCAGCCCGAAACGATCCGGTCGTTCGAGGTCCAACAGCAACCAAAAACGGCAACCCCAAACTACCGGCGTCCCCCAGATGACACGAGAAGAGTTCGAGGCTCTGCCGCTAGCAATCCAGAGAAAGGTATGTTCTGGCCGTTGGGCTCGCTTTCGTCACTTCTCGAGCAATGCACAGTCACGATGAGAGAGCCGCGCCGCGGTGCTCGGGCCAGAGTCTACCGTCGATGCGGGATCCCGCGTTATCCATGGATGCTCCGAGTCGGCTTGGCACGCGACCCATTTCGAACCGTTCCCCTCCACGGTCCGGCTCGTCATCATTGGCTTATCCTGCAAGTGCTGGGCCTGCAGCCGAAGTTTTGGTTTCACACCAACGACAACCAATGGAATTGGTCCTGCGTTGGGAGCTTTCCCCGTCGGCACCGTGAGGGTTGCACCTGCCCTCCGATCCTCCATCTCCATGGTGAACAGGGACCTACCATGTCCTACCTGGTAACTGTGGGAGTTTGCACATCAGGGTATCCCGACTCCCAGCTCTGGATTGGACCTGACAGCAGGAGCCAAGCTGTCGTACTCTCTCCAGCAAGTTGGTGGCCACAGGTGAGGGTGTGTACCAGGGGAACAAAAGCCCTGACTATCTGTCTTGCGTGGCAACCAAATGTGGTGAGAGTGCTCACCAATTGCGCATTGCATGCATGGTTGCTTCGTGTCTGGTTCGCGCTGTTCCGCACGGGGGGGGGGGGGGGGGAAGGTGCAGCTCCATCACACGCGTTATGGCCCTCGGCACCTGCAGGTCCCGCATCGCTAGCCCCTTTCCCCTCCCTGCTGGCTGCCGGGTGCCGGGCGTTCCTTGCATACAAGCAGCTTGCTATTCGCGAATGGCGTTGCTCGATAACCCAAGCGCGGGAGGCGGCCCAGCTTGGCTACTTCGCTTGGGCTTCTGCTCTTATCAGAACCAGTCCTACTTGATCAGTCACTAATACGGTGTTGCCCCCCCCTTATAGTACTTCTCAACACTCGAGCGGCTGCGTTTTGCTCGAGAATCCGGCCTTGTGGACGGTATCTCACGCCACTACGACGACGTATCAAATTTCAAGCGCCGGAAGCCTCAGCGAGACCGACATCGCCAGGGATCGCCGACCGGGTCTCAATGCTCAATTTCTGATTCGTCGCTCTTGGATGCAGAAGCAACGCAGGAAGCAGACACCCGTCGTACTGAGGAGCATATGGTCCTTGCGGGACGCCAGCGTGCGAGCGTCATCCTCGACGCGGCGGACGAGGCCATATATAAGCTCAAGCAGCAAGCTAGCAGAGGGACCTTGTCAACAGCTGCTGACGGCCTCACCCCTCCTCTTTCTCCCACTCGAAACAGCATGGACTCGCATGATGGACTCGGGAGGCCCGACATTGACCAGTCCCGCGACGGCGAGGTACCTCAGTCGTTTTACGAGAGCTTTCGATGGCTGGATGAGGAAGAGGACCTAGATTTACGCTTCTTCTTGGACGACTACCATGCGAACCTGCGGGAAGGTACACGGCGGGAAGGTACGCCGAACGCAAACCAACGACCCTCGTTCCGCCGACGCATGTCGGTCTCCAAGCTTCCGTTTGGCCGTCGGAGCTCGATTTCATCGTCCAGACCTGGAACCAAGGATGCGATGACAGCACCTCCCGTCCACAGCCCGACGGGGAATGTTTCAAACGGATTGACTCACATGAGGCGCAAGTCACGCACTCTGTCTCTGATCGCGCCGAAGCATGCACCCGGGCCGTCCATCACAGCATTCGACCCTGCTGCAGCGCATTACCAAGATCCTGAGGCCCGGTTAAAGTTGCGGGTCTACCTAGCCTCGCCGCAGAAGTTTGATGAGGCTGTCGAGTTCGGGTTTCCGTCGACAGACGGGTTGTCAGCTGCACCCGCGATGCTGAAACCGGCAGATTGCTCTTCGGACATGCGCACGTTCCTGGCCGATGACGATGACCACCTCTCGCTCAACAGCGATCAACCCTCATTGTCCGATCCGGACTCGCCGAAGACACCGGAGCCTCTCGAGCCCAGAGCTCACGGTCCTCGCCACGCACGGCTAGCCTCGGCCGGCGTTCTCAACGGCAGAGATTTCGGAAGGAAATCTCCAGAGGGGACCTGCTACGCCCAGATACCTGCCTCGTCGCGCGAGATGACACTGCGTATGACGCTCACACGACCGGACCTTCGTACCCCCGACGACGAAATGTACGGCTGGCAGCAGAGGCAGGCCTACCAACAGCATAGCCGCCAGCAAACGGCCCCAGCGTCGCTCGCCGCCGAAACCAGAGGCGCTTACCCCGGAAACGGATCCCAGAAGGAGAGCTTGGATAACTTCCGTGATGTCGATCATTGGAATGAAACCGCGGCTGAGAAGGGCGTCATGAGGCGGATTTGGAACCGCGTACGAAGAGTATGAGGCTCCGCAAACGCATCACCTACCTCTCAGGTTCCCGACTGTCGACGCCGCCTGGGTATTGTACACCCTACCGTTTCACGCTCTTTCCCTCATTATCATATCGACCACCATGACATCTCATTAAAGCCTACGAATCAATCCCTCATGGCAGCCTTTGGACGTGCTGCACTCGGCGAAGGAGGTCTCTTTTGCTCTCTTAGGACCTTGCAAGGCGTTTGGCGGGTTTTCTCTCTTAGATGCATCTAGTCGGTTGGCTGATTTGTTTCCATAAAAGCATACACGGGTTGAGCATCTCACGATGGAGCTTTTTAATAGTATATAGGTAGAGAACAAAAATTCGCAATGTACACTGACTGCTTGATCGTATTTTCTCAAGCAATTTTTTTTTCTATATATCTCAGCCAAAATCACGCGCTCCTATACCATATGCAACCCCACAGTGCCAATTTGAACCGCCGGCGTCATACACTATATTCCATCACACATCCATCTTTCTATCATGTCCAAGAAGCATGGTTACGACATGCCAAGAGAACCCTAGTACATATTGCCCAAGGCGAGTCAAGATATACCCGGACGAGGCAGACTATACCTCCTCATCGCTATCCTCCCCAAGCAACTCACCCTCGTCGTCATCCACAATCGCGTAATCGCCACTGCCCCTCGCAAAGCTATCCCTCGTCGTAAATCTCCTCGTCCCACCCCCAAGCCTGCTCCATCTCCCCCTCCCGCCGCCGCCGCTTCCAGAGCCGAGCCCCAGCCTCTCTCCGAGACCCTTCACACTCCTCCACAAGGCGCCCGCAACGACAGGCATCGCTACGATGACCGCCACCACGGCGCTGAGCGCGATGACAGGGTACTTAACCCAGGGCCGATCGGCCTCGAAAATGGCGTTCCCCTGGTCGCCAAGGCGGATCTGGCCGAACTTGCCGTTCCAGTTCCGCCAGACCCACCAGCCCGCGGCGCCGGCCAGGGCGAACGGGACGGTGATGGCGAAGAAGATGGCAATGCCAGAGGCGCGATGCGCACGATCGAACTCGTCTTCTTTGCCCGCGCAGGGGTGCACGGGGGATTCCTTGTCGAGGGCGCGGCCGCCGACACACGTAGTGAGCGGAATGCGGCGGAAGCCCGTCGGCTCGTGGTACTCGATAGCGTCGGGGTGCTCTTTGCACCAGATCTGCGGGTCTTTGGGTTGGAGACCGGCGACGAGCTTGCACTGGCCGAATCCGTCCATTTCGTAGTTGTAATCGCTTGAGAAGGGAGAGCGCGTCAGTATGTGGTGGGCACGTCAGGGAACGGATGCGGTCGCTTACCATTCAAAGTCCTCCCGCGTGCAGGTACAATTCTTCTTGCTGTAGAGGGGTTGCAGTTTGAAGTCGTTATAGCATTTCCTGTCATCCTTCTTACGCAGATACTGAGAGACGTGACCGAAAAGGCAGCCATCGGGCTGCAGGGGATGGCTTGGCGACCATATGTAGTAGTCCGACTTTCCGGGATCGTCGTCATGCTTGCACATGCGCTCGGTGAAGCCGGAAAAGTCCAGGTTCAGGGTGAAAGCGCCCTTGCTGTTCTTGCCCCAAAGGAGGAAGTTGCGCGAGCTGCCGGAGCGGAGGGTGGTCACATCCCAGACCTCGACCTCCTCGTCAGAGAACTGATGCTCTTGCCAGGTCTGGCCTTGGTCGAGCGAGTAGAAAACGGTCTTTGTCTTCTTTGCGCCGGCCGCCGGGGTTGTCTGGATGAGGACGATGACTGCGCCCTGATCGCCGATCGCCCAGGTCCACCGGCCTTGCTTGACGCGCTTCCACGTGATGCCGGCATTGGTGGTCATGAACGTGTCAGCGTCCTTGAGCGCGCCCAGCGACTCGCCAACATTGCCCCATCCGAACATCAGACCGACGGCCCCCTGTGACGAGTAGGTCTTGCGGTGGTCCCCACGCTCCGTATAGCCGTGGATGTGCAGCGCGCATTTCTCGTCGCCGCCAGACTGGCAGGGGAACTTGCCGAAATCGTCATTGTCAGGTGTCGGCAAATACGCCCAGCGCGCACCGTCATTGTGTGTGATCTTGGTCTGCAGCTTCTTGGGAGCACTGCCCTTCTCGCCGGGGTTGGCGACCACATTCACCAAGGCAACGCCCTCCAGGCCGAGCATTTTCTCAAAGTCAACGTAGAAGTCTTCGTCACAGTTGACGTCCCTCACGCTGACTACATACGAGGTTCCGTTCGAGTTGCTCTTGAGGATGGTGCCAACCGTGCGACCCTCGGCCACGTCGGTGGCCACGAACAGGTTGACAGCATGCGTCGAGCTGTCAAGCACGGTATAGGCATGCTGGTGCGGGACTTCGAAGCCATAAGGGAAACGGGCGTCGGCGAAGATAGCGCCGTCGAGACTTGCGCTGACTTGCAGGGTCTGCTTGGTCGTGTTCTCGGTGGCGACCACGATGAACTCGGCCATGGTAGCAAATTCCTTCACGTTCCTCCCGCGGATCTCCTCATTCTCAAACCAGTCATTCGTCGAGACCAGCATCAGCGGGTTGTCCTTGCCCACGTCTTCCCGCTCGTGCTTGAGGCAGAGGATCTGCTCCTCCTTGCGCTCGGGATACTTGTAGGCGCTCGATCCGGTGAACTCGCAGCGCCGGGCGTACCGAGCCCCAGTCTCCCAGTGGTCTCCGCGATCCTTGGTGAAGGAAGCGACCGTGTAGCAGTCGTCGTTCTTCTCGCACTTCTGGCCGATCCAGATCAGCCAGTCCTTCTTGTCCGGATGGAAGGCTAGAGGGAGAACGTGCGGGTTTGGCTCGTGAGGTGCCTTGAAGCTGTGGAAGGTCCTACCACGGTCTGTGGTGTAGATAACCTTCTTGCCGGTGGTGATGAAGAAGACCATATCCTTGAAGTAGTGGTGCGGGATGATTCCCACAATCTTCTCGCCTTCGAGATCCTTTGGAGTGTGCCAGGTCTTGCCATGGTCATCAGTGACATGGATGGCCCCGCGGTGCGATCCCTGGATTCCGCGCATGATAATGGTCTCGTCCTCGGCTGAGCTCGAGTCACCCCGCTCTAGGTAGTGCTTCTCCCACGCATCATAATCCTCAAATACCTTTTGCGTTTGCTCAATCTTGTCCGTTGCGGGGGCCGAAGGCTTGCCCCCAGTCTCGGAGCACTTCCTGTCGACGTCCTTGTACTTCTCGTCCATCTGCTTCGTCGGTTTGCACGTGTTTCCGGGTATCTTGCGGTATCCCGACGTGCCCTTGAATGTGTCGTCCGGCTTGGCGTCGCGGCACGCTCCCTCCGGCGGGATGATGGGGCCCCTGGCGACGCACTTGCCATCCACTCTCTCAAAGTTGAAATCGCACTCGTAATCCTTGTCAGTGCAATCGCAATCCTCTGTTTCTGCCACCGCATGCTTGAACTCCTGCTTCAGGAAGCACTCGGCCTTCTTCTTGCGGCGGCTGAACGTCTGAGTGTGGCCCATCAGGCACGTCGGCTTCCCGTCGTCGTCCACTCGGGCAGACCACTTTTCCATATCATCCTCCTTGCAAGTCGCCTCGTGAAGGCCGTCGAAGTCGATCGAGATAATTCGCCACTGGGGGGCTTTGTCCGTCAGGCCGATCAGGAGGAACTTGAGGCTGGCCGATTCTTGTGTGGTCGTGAGGATGTACGGCCGGATCTTCAGCCCATCGGGCAGAGATTCTTTCGCCCAGGTAAGTCCGTGGTCAAGCGAGTAGCTGATCTCGCTGACATCAGCATCCTTGGAGTCGCGCACGGCGACGAGGATAGAACCCTGGTCCCCAAACTCGTACTTGTGGGGGCCGTTCAGCGCCTTGCTCCACGTCTTACCCGCGTCGTCGGATACGTAGAGATTGCCATCCTCCCAGTAATCCTTCAGGTATTCGCCTGTATTGCCGACGGCCATAACCAGGCCGGGTGCGGGGCTCGAGAAGACACGACCGATATTGCTCAGCTCCGTGACCGAGTGGAGGTGTATCCTCTTGCCACCGGCTGTCACAGACTCGAAAGTCCGGCCGTCGTCAAACGTGATCTCGGACACAACCTTCTTCTTGGCGCTGGCCTTTTTTGACACCTCTTCCCAGTTATCGACCTTATTCACCAAGAAGATCCCCTGAATGCCGGTGATCTTCTCGAAATCGACATGCCCCCTCTGATTGCGGTTGGTGTGCTCAATATTCTCGGTGAAGTAGGTGCCGTTCGAATTGCTCGTGAACATCACACCCATCGGGTTGGATGGTCGGGTCGTCATAACATCAATCTGAATACTGTAGTTGGTGCTCTCGAGCACCGTGTAAGCCTCCTGCATCAGCCGGTGGTCGTGGGTGTCGTGCGGCGCCGGGAAGACGGCACGGTGCCACTTCTTGGTGTCGTCGGTGACGAAGAGAGCCATCTCGTCCGTGTTCATGGAACTGGTCGCCACCAGCAGATATTTCTTTACCACCGCAACATTTACGATGCCCTGCACCGGTTTGTTCGTGTCGAGATTGGGCTCGAACTCCTGTATGTCTTTACTCTCGTCGGTGGCCTGGAAGAAGTTGTCGGAGACCAGGAGGCGGTTGTCCTGCTTGAAGGGCGAATAGGCGTCCCTGACAATGCACAAAATGCGATTCTTGTCCAGATCTTCAGAACCCGTGGAGAACAGGTCCGAGGACTTGGCCCACCAGCAGCCATCTGTATCCCTGCGCAGTTCCTTGGCGGGTGACTTGAAACCGTCGGTGGTGTACATGGCAACCTCTTGACAGAGTCCCACGCAGGACATGCCGTTGAAGATGATTCGGTCGGGGTCGGCGGCGTGGAACTGGAGGATGTCGCCGCGGAACATGGTCATCTCGGCGCCTGACTCGAACTTGACCCATGACTTTCCGCGGTCGCTGGTGCGGAAGTGGGTGGTGCCCTCGGTCAGAATATATGCCCGCTTCGGGTCAAACTGGTGCATGTAAAGCAGCCAGGCCTTGCCTTCCGGGATGGCGTCCACGCGCTCCCAAGTCACGCCGTGGTCGCCGGAGCGGTAAACATTGTTGGCATCGGCGTCTTGAAACAGGACGACATCCGAGTCGGGGAAGTAGTTCAGGTTTCTTGGTATGTTCTCGAACGTCTTCGTGTGGAAATTTGGCCGGTCGTTCTTTGCGGCGACGGGTGCCGCCCAGAGGGCCGACGACGCCAGCAGCGTCGCCACCTGCAGAACACCCCTGACCCTCATGGTGCGTGCGCAGAGAGTTGGCCGCTCATCAAGGAGAGCGTCGGAAAGCCAACGACTCGATGGAACAACTTTTCGATACGGGCCGTAGAAACAACGTCACTCGATACCGGCGCCAGAAGCCTAGAGCCAACGGAGGACAGGACGCACGAACAACCTCACGCTGCTTCGTTTCTTCGCTTGCAACCTTGGGATTGAGGCGTTGCTGCGCTGCTGATGTGTGCCTCCAGTGTGTTTGAAAAGTCGCAATCCCGCTATCAGGCTGTTGAGACTTCGACGGTGGGAGGTGTTGCAAATGTGAGGCTGACCGAGGATCTCTAAAGGCTGCCAGTGTCTTATTCAGTCAGTCAGCGACGTTGCGTCGCAAGCTGAGACGCAACTGGCCAATAGCAGCAGGCACCCCAAGCTCGATGGAGCAACATGCGCCACATCAGATGCCCCGCTGGGGCATCTGAACCGCTACCAGGTAGTGCATGAGATACGGATATTTGTCCCACCACCCCATGGAGTCTCTTGAGCAACAAGATACTAGTAAGGTAGCTCGAGGGTAGGTACCAAAAACATGATCACCTTACTCTGCCGGGCGTGACATCGGATCGTCGCTTCTACCCAGTTGCTCTCTGTGCTGAACATATCCTGCATGTTGTGGGTGGGAGTAACATCACGCCTGCCTGGGCGACCTGGACTGGATATAAAGCTTAATAAGTTTGGCATCCATTGCCTACTTAGGTACCGCCTTAGATAAAGGCAACTTCGCACCCCTGTCTACTGTGCATAATCGCAAAGTATAAACATTTCAAACATTAAAGGAACCAGAATATGCGACTCTAAATACACCACTCCCGCCCTGCCCATTAAATTGTCAGAGTTGTGAATGGTTTCTGGAGCACGAGGAACTTTGCACAAGTTGTCGCCATGGGCCTGCAGCGAGGATGATAAAACGAAGAAAGAACCCAACACGCAGTGCAGCTACCCCCCTTCCCCCCTCAAGAGCTCTTCTTGAGTACGATGGTCGCCGTGCTGCCACTCGGCACACCGACCTATTCGTGCCGTTAGCATGTTCACCCCCACGACAAAAGCGGCAACGTCTCATCGAGTTTATACGTACCGTGCAGCCGTCAGGCAACGCATATTCACCGCTCTTCAGCCAGCAGTCGCTCCGGACTTTGCCGTCCACCTCAATGGCAATATCGAAATCAAGCTTGGCAGTGGTGGTGGGCTTGTTGGGGAAGATGGAGAGGTAAGTCACGCCGCCGGCCTTGCCGACTCCGATGTTGGTGGGCGCCCAGTTGCCAGCGGAATCGGGGAACAGGGAGCTCTTCCACACGCAGGCCTCCTCGACGGAAACACCCGCATTGTTAACGTAGTACTGAGCAGTCGTGAGCTTGCCCTGCCACACGTAGTACGAACTCTGATCCGGGTTCGTCACAGGGTACGTGTTACCCGGCTGCGTGTCAATTGGAATGACCATAGCCTCGCTGCCTGGGTAGTCGGTACGGCAGATGGCCGAGTTCGAGTCGAGCTCGTTCCGGACATACACGCCGCCCTCGCCGGGCTCGCAAAGCTTGGTGTACTTGGGCCGCGTGAGCTCCAGTTTCCCCTTCTCGTTGCAGTACAAGCCGCCAACAGACTGGCCACGCGCACCCTGCTCCACGGGCCACTGTGTCTTCTGGTAGCCCGGAGGGCACGCGTAAGAGCACACCATGCCAGGCTGGCAGGTTCCCGAGGTGGGGGATTCGATGTCGTCGACTGAGACACCCTTGATGAAAGAGCCGAACTTGGCAAGTGTTGTCCACCCTGCGGTACCAAGCCAGGGAATATTGACAGCACCATACTCGGTCGGGACATGGCCACACGGGACATCGCCGCTCGGGAAGTCGGCGTCCAGACCGGTGGCCGAGGGCTGAGCCGGGGTCGGGGCCTTTGTCGAGGAAGGCTTTGCCGAAGTCGTGGTGGTGCTGGTAGATGTCGACGTCGAGGTAGAGGTCGAGGTCGAAGTCGAAGTCGTCTTCTCATAGAACTGAGCTCCGAACTCGGCACTGGCCTTGGAGGTCGAGACGGCAGGGGGAGGGGCGCTGAAGCTAGGCAACGACGAGCCCACGACATAATAGAGGCCCTTCGAGATGTCCGCCTCGGCCTGTGCAGCATCCAACGTCTCCCCGTCCGGCGTCACGTACTTGACAACAGTGGGACCTTCGACAACCTCGGTAACGACCACAACATCACGCTTCTTGGCATGAAGATGACGATGGCCGTGGTTATGAGGTTGCGCGGCAACACCGACAATCACGGCTGCCGTGACGGCCGTCCTGATCACGCCCTTCATTCTGGTAGATTCTCTCAGGGGTCCCGAGTCTTTTTGTTGTTGTTGGTGGTGATGATGAGATAGGACTGCTGTTTGTTGACAATTCCAAAAGAACGTGAGAGAGAGCTAGAGCTCTCCGTTGGGTGGAACTCGCGAAGCAAGACAGAACACCGTCAATGGCAGGAAACGAGCGGCCAGCAGTTCAAGAGAGTGATGAACTGATGATGGAGGGAGAACTGGGGAACTCTCAAGGGGGTGGGAGAGGTGGAAAAGGAGCGAAATGAGCGTCGCCCGGGTTGCTTGGACACAGACCAGGCCAAGGAAAGGGCAGTGGTCTGGTTTTTGGCGAAATTGCGGGCCCTGAAAAAGAGGGAAAACCTGCAGACCAATTGGGTCGAAGGGCGGCTAATGCAGGTACCGACGACCAGGGGTCGCTTGCCAGGGGTGTGCGTCTCGGAAAAGGACGTCTCCCCAGCGACTCCCCAGTGTTCACTGATCCACTGTCCACGCAATCATCGCAATTTGCGCTGCATGTCCGGCAGAAACACAGCGACTTCTTTTATGTGTTCAACTCGTGCATGCTGCAGTCCCAACAAGTTATCATTCCTATCCGCAGTCAAGAACAGCATTGGAACTTCCTGCCGGACAACCCTAGCAGCTGAAGAGCCAAGAATGCCCATTGTTGCCAAGCCCACCGGGGCTTGCGAAGAAAGTGGCCAGAATCTTTGATGAGAGCACTGCCAGGAATCTCGCAGCGACTCCACGGTGGACTCGTACACTATGGAGGAGGCTCACAGGGACGAGTTCGCTCATCATGCTGCGCTCCGGATTGCGCAATATTCGTCCCACGTCCTGACTAGCCCAATCAGGCAAACTTGCAGGACGATCTGGGAGCCTGCCCCTTAATAAACGTTACCTACATAACGTTATCTTAGCCTCTCAGTCTAAAGTGTAAACCGACATATCTACGCAGTACGCACAGCTTCATCTACTCTCCGGTTTCCTCTGAACGCCGCTCAGGCGCGGTCGCAAAGATGTTAACCGCCTCTCGTATGTACGTACTAGTAGTATTGTACAATACATACGGTACATACTGTACATAGTATTGCGGTAGCCACGCGCAGTTCAATGCCAATCGACCGTTTCCGCTGGCCGCTAAGATGAGGACATATCGCGGAAGCATTCCAGAGCTGTTATTGTCCATTACCTAGTTATGAGGATCCCGTCATGCCCTCGTTTGAGGCCTTGTATACTATATCAGGGACAAGGGATACAGAGAATCGCTGCTTGCGCACCCTGTATAGTAACAAGGGGTATCTCTAATCCGCTGGGGAAGAGACTCGGGGAGACGTCACGTACCTATTTCACGCTTCACTTGCCCAGCGTATCAACATCTGACACTGGCTCTGGAATCTCTGCGCCAATGTCGTCAAAGGCTACCTGCATCCAGTTGACGGAGAATAGTTGATTATATCTCTAATCATCACAGGATTATCGCCATGAACTCCGGTCATTCTTCCGCTCTGTACCTACTAGTACATTGGTCCCCAATCGTGCTATGACAAACCTGAGTGGTACGATCTAGCTGGCGATAGACTCCGTTACGTATGTACGCAGTTCAAGTGAAATGTTGCTCCCACATATGTTTCTGAGACCAGCCGCACTCCTTGGGCTAGTTATACGTGTCCGGCAGATAAGCAACTATGTGAAGTCTTCAATCTTGTGCATACACAAGATGGAACAGCCAACGGGTGTCAAAACGACCGCGTTTTTTCAGATTGCGCTCACATAAGAATATTAGTACTTCCGTATACTGCCACTTGCACGGTATGATGAATAGACTAGTCATCCGGCCAAGGGAGCTCACACGGTGAGTTGCTATATTCCATGACCCCTAAAGTAACGTACCTCTTCCTCCACGCTATAGTTCAGGCCTCGATATTTGCCTTTTAGTATGCATCAGCCAGGGATTAACTGAATACCTATTGAGGCCGCGGCCACCACTTCGGTAGTAGCGTTCCTATGACAATCTCCCTCGCAAGGGTGCAGCGAAGCATCTCACGGATGCGCATCTCAAAAGCAACATTGGCCGTGGCTTTTACGCGCCCCTAAAAGAACCAGGAAACCTGGCGCCGGAGGAACCCGGGGCAGTGGCTACTTAGTGAGGCACTGTCGACTAATACAAACAACTGCGACACGATCCTGTGCACTAGTAGCTGTCTATTTTCCACACCCTCGTACCTCAAAGATTGTCGACAACGACCTGAAAGTTTGTTGTTGTGGGCTGCGCCACTTGTCTTAGGCATGCGAGGCATGTTGAGGTCTTGCCCCACTTCTCGCCTGAACTCTGATAGGTAACTTGAACTTAAGTACTGTAACTGAAGCCATAACTAACACTAGCACAGCCACTCCCTTCGCGCTTACCTAGACAAGTCTCGCCCGTTCACGGTATGTTGCGGGAGCCGGTTATGCAGCGCACCACTGAGCTGGTTCTTTGCAATGTTGGCCCTTTTCCACCTGCGTTCCGGGCCTGAATCAGCCCCGACGCGAGGCGGCTGCAGATGCCTTTGACAGATGAGCCGTAAGTGGGGAGGCCGAAATAAGCTAGCGCAGCAAGGCTGACCAAAAGCGTGCCGGTGACGCTTGGACCCGCAAAAGTACCCGTCTTCCCGGCGGCTGCGCCCGCAATTTTCCTTCGACCTGTCCCTGCCCATCAGCTCGCAGCCTTCTTTCCACACCTTGAGGCTACTCTCTCATACCACATCCGCTCACTCACAGGGAGCGTCGCCTCCGCATGCTGAACCCCTATATCATCGACAGCAAATCAGATTCCAACGGCTGTTCAATAGAAACGGGCCATAGACTCATTTGGTTTTCCGTTTTTCTGACGGGCCCGACGACGCCGCGGCTCGTTGCGTAGAAGTCCTGTTGGCCTCGCACCTCAAAGCTCTCGCCACGATCTCCAGCCACACATCAAGCCTCGAGCACCCCATCACCCCAGCGATGGTCCATTACCGCCGGTGACACTGTAGACGCGACGAAACACGTATTCAGCAACCGGAGGCCGGGCTTTCCGCCTGAGACCTTGTTTCGAACTCGGCTTGACTCATCCCAGAGCGCCATGGCTTCGGAACGGGGCCCCACCGCAACGGAAGCTCCGCGCGGCCCGTCAACTTCGACCCTCGCTCAGACTACACCGGCTGCATTCGGGCCAGTGACTGACTTGACCCGGCAAAAGTCTCTTAAGCGTACGCGCGAGACGACACCGACCTCGCAGGACTCGCTAGTCTCTGCCGGCGACATATCGCCGTCCAAGATCGCCCGTCTCGTCGGCTTCGCGAGGCAGTCGCACTCCTCGTCCACTGGCGAGGCTGACGAGGACGAGACAAGCGTCCGGGATGAGGAGGAAGAGCAGCAGCCACAGCTGGCCCAGCTAGAACACAGCGAGGGACAAGTGTCAACGCCGAAGGCGCTTGACGATTTGATGTCTGGCGTTGCCGGAGACTTGAGTGGACCGCAGGACGCGCCGTCAGACACGGGACAGACCGAGGTTGAGGCTGCCGCCGCTGCCGCCGCCAGAGCACTCAATTCGGTCAACATTCCGACGACCAATCCTGCTGCCGACGACCTTCACGATGTCAGTCCGCAGAGCGGCACGAGTGGGGCGAGCTTGGAAGATGGGGACGACCATGTGGTTGACAGTCCCACGGCTATGGATGTCGACACTCACAGTGATGAACCCCCGTATGGGCAACAACCCGAGGCGCAGATGGAAGACAAGACAGGGGCTTCGCTTTCGTACCCAGGTGCCATGCCGGCACCCGGGCCTTCGCAGAGAATGATGAGCATGCCCCTATCGACTCCACAAACTCCCAGCCTCGAGGTTCCGCCCCGTTCGCCCGGCTCTACTAACAACAAAAAACACAAATGTCCCTACTGCGAGACAGAATTCACACGGCACCATAACCTGAAAAGTCACCTGCTCACCCATAGCCAGGAGAAACCCTTCGTGTGCCAATCATGTCAGATGCGGTTTCGCAGGCTTCATGATCTAAAACGCCACAGTAAACTCCATACGGGCGAGAAGCCGCACGTCTGCCCGAACTGCGACAGAAAGTTCGCGCGGGGCGACGCTTTGGCGAGACACAGCAAAGGAGCCGGGGGTTGCGCAGGCAGGAGACAGACCATGGGTTCTTTTTCTCTCAAGGATGGTTATGACGGGTCCAACGGCGGAGAAGCGGACAATTCGGCCATGTCGGGAGAGCTGTACGAGGGCGGAGCGGACATAGCGGACGAAGAGCGGCGGCGCTTGAGCATGCCCAGCATAAGAACACAGCATGTTTCCGGACAAGCAGGGCCAGAAGGCTATGCCGCCGGCCATTCAGCCACCTACCCGCCAGCGAGCCAACGACCGGGCGCCGCTGGTGGCCTCTATCCACCCAACGTTGACCGGGGGCCGTCAGGCTCGAATACATCTCACAACGTCCCTAACAACCACCCGCCACACGCCAGTGTATCGTCGATGCCGCTGAGCACAGGCACCTCGTCCATGTACTCTCAGTCTAACATGACGGAGAGCCCGAAACTGCTGGCCCCGGCCGGCCAGCAACGCACGGCAAACGAGCAACAGCATGGTATGTCACCAGCGGCCAAACAAGCCTGGCTCTCTCAGTATCCTCCCGCTGACCGAGACGCAACTCAAGGCAACGCAGCAACCCGTGGCCGCGGCCGTCGGTCAAGCGGAGCGGCTCCCCAGCAGGCGGCTGAGACCCTTGGCTGGGATCCGAGCACCTGGGCCTACTTCCAGCATCTGGAGGGAGCCGTCAAGAGGCTCACGGGCCAGCTGGAATCGGAAGCCAGAAGCAAGGCGCAGCTACTCGAAAGACTCGATGCGCACGACCAGCACATCGCTGCGCTGACGGCTGAGGTTGCGTCATTGCGGCAGCAGCTCGTCGGGTCGCAAGAGCAAGGTTCTCCAGTCGATGCAGACGCCGCTCAACAGTAGGGCTGGTGGGCGCGTCTTCGCGAACTTGAGGCACGACAAATCGCCTAGGCGGCGCGCGTACAAGACATTTCTCGGCCCGGCAAACATAGAGTGATGCTGGCTATCCGGTTTTGCAACTGTAAGCGGTTTGACATCTTTGCGGCGTCCATAGTTGTTCTGGTCCTTGCTGTATTACTGTTACTACGCGTTCAAAGGCGTTGCTTCTGTCTAGACATTTATCGTCTCCGATTGAAGCACTTGGGGGCGTTTGGGAATCACAAGGGGGTCAAAAAGAAGCTACAGGCAGCTTTGCCTCCGGGCGGATTAGTCGAGTTACCCTTTACGAAGGTTAACCCATTCGGACTCGTTCCTGGGCAGCTCGTCGATTTCGCAGTCACTTGGGCTGGCTGTTCGTTTTGCTGGGGACGAAATACGGTTATGTTATTACAGGCAGTCTTGTAAGGTCGGGGCGGCATGGCGATACCTCTTATACTATTTAGCACATCAACTCGCAGGGACTTGATTGGAATGCATTCACAAGACAAGAGCTGCAGCAAACGAAGGATGTATCGTATAGTACAGTGCATACATAAATGCCTACCCGTTTCTAGGTAACACGCTCCATAAGTTAAGGTACTCGGTTCAGCCAAGATGATTACCGTGCAAACTCGTGAAAATGGCAAATGCTACCTGGAGGTGCAGGGTTTTGCTCCGCGAGGCTTGAGTCGTCGCTTTGACGCTGAGGCACGTGACATGAAGCCGACTCGACAACCGTGCTCAAGGTGCCCGCACATCATATTCCGCCTACCCCACGCGTATTTGCCATGTTCGCGAGTTTGTACGGTACCTCACGCACTGTAAGTGTCATCCCTTGAAGGCTTCACCATGATCGAACGCGAAACGAGATGTAGTCAAGAGTAACCCCTATTTCCTATAACGAGCCCACTGAAGACCTCATACCGGAGACCCCCGTCTGAGAAGGCAGCTCACTTCCAGGTAGGTAGTGCTTTGACTCGAATGACATGTGAAGATACCAAGTAGTATGTAAGATACAGCATCGCGGTAACTGCGAGCTTCAAGCTTGGCGTTCCACAGTTCGCTGCACTACCTGTACATGCCGATGACAGGTGCCCCCACCTCGTAACGTCATGACTACGCGCTCATGACAGAGCCTCCGTCCCTACGGCGAGGCACAGTCCCCGACACAGAGTTCTCGCACCAAGGGCGCGTGGCAAACGATAATATGGAATGGCGGCTCATCCGAAATCCACTCAACCAGGTTTCTGAAGACCTAATTATCCCGGGCGTTGCCTAATAATCAAGTGATTCGTCGCTCCTTCCGTAACCTGATTGCCCTAGTTCCTTCCATCGGATCCTCAACACGCCGCACCTGCAACGCCTACACACACTGGGCAAATTGCTTCGTTCTTTCCGGGCCTTGACCAAAACCTGAGCCATCATGTCCACCACAGATTTTGTCCCAGGTGAGTGACAGACGGGCACCACAAGCATCTCCTCTCTCGGGTCCCTGGTGTTCAACACCGCGCACAATACGCAGAGTGACCTGCCTTTTCGGCCGCGCGACTGGAATCCCACAACCACCGTCCATGGCGCCGAAGAGGGGCCCTCGAAGGAGGGCTCGATCTCGCAAGGCCGCTCATGAGGCGCAAGAGACTGAAGTCGTCCAGGCTGCTGACACGGTCACAGCCCCGCAAGATGTTGGTCCGCCTTCGCCCCCTGACTCCATCGAATTTAAAAGAGCCATCGTAGGCCAGAGGGCCGACCTGGCGGAATCCACCGGGGACATTGCCGAGACTGAGGCCGACGATCTCTCCTCGTTGGGAGCTGATGGCGCGCCTTCCCCCGATGGAGACTCGAAGGCCAAAGAGGCTAGAGATACTGATTATCCTCCTCTCACCAATACGGCCGGAAAGGAGGCGGCAGCCCGGGAGAGCGAGCGGGTCAGGTCCTATAGGGCGGGCGGCATCCGGTTCGCACCCTGGAACATTCCGTACCGGCGCCGACTGCAGACGCTGGCCGTCTTGCTCCACTCGCTCAGCATCGCCACACTCGTGTCGTTTTCCTTTTTTCTTTGCGCGATCCCGCTCACATGGCCGATCTTGATACCGTATTTCCTCCATATGCTCCTCTCCAAGTCGGCAACCGACGGCCGGCTCCGTGCGCGCTCGGAGCGCTTCCGGCGGAGTCCCATATGGAATTTCTTTGGCGATTACTTTCCGGCCGAGCTGCACAAGACGCACGAGCTGCCAGCTACGCGCAAGTACATCTTTGGCTACCATCCGCACGGCATCATCTCGCACGGGGCTTTCGCGGCCTTCGCGACCGAGGCGCTCGGCTTCTCGGAGAAGTTTCCTGGCATTACGAACAGCCTGCTCACGCTCGACTCCAACTTTCGTATTCCCATGTACCGGGACTACATCCTGGCGATGGGCATTCAGTCCGTCTCCAAGGAGTCGATTGCGAACATCCTGTCGCGGGGCGGGCTCAACGGCGAAGGGATGGGTCGGGCCGTTACCATCGTGATCGGCGGGGCCCGCGAGTCGCTCGAGGCGCAGCCGGGCACCATGCGCCTCGTGCTGGCGGAGCGGAAAGGATTCGTCAAGATGGCCATCCGCACGGGGGCCGACCTCGTTCCCGTGTTGGCGTTCGGGGAGAATGACCTGTACGACCAGGTCAGCCCCAGGGAGCATCCGTTGCTGCACCGGTTGCAGATGTGGGTCCTGCGCACGCTCAAATTCACCTTGCCCTTCTTGCACGGGCGGGGGATCTTCAACTACGATGTCGGACTGATGCCGTACCGGAGGCCACTGAATATTGTGGTGGGCAAGCCGATTCCCGTCGCCCAGGCCAGGGAGGGCGAGATCAAGAGCAGTGAGATTGACCGGCTGCATCGCGAGTATGTCAGGGAGTTGTCCAAGATGTGGGAAACGTATAAAGATACGTTTTCTGAGGGCCGGACTGAGGAGTTGAATATTTTCAAGTGAAGGGATCATGGGTTTTTTAGCGTTTAGACATCTCTAGGCTAAAGGGGGGTTTGGGAGTATACTCGGGTGTTTGTTCTGGTTTGTTTTTCTTTTTCTTTTTTTTTTCTCTCTCTTCTCTTCTTTTCTTTTCTTTCGCTGCGATGGTGCGCCTAGGATATGATCAAACGTTGAATTGGTGCTTTTCCCGTTGCGTTCTGCGCCCCAAGAAGGTGGTTGTGATGTTCAGACAGTGGCACCATTTTCGTAAAGGTGAATACTAGTACACTCGGGAGAACATGAGCACATTGAGATCCTGTCCGAGTCGTCTCACTCCCGGATCTGCGGCGCGGCTCCCGGATCGGCTGCCGGTGGAAAACTGGAGAATCCGCTCTTTCCGTCCCACACGCTCCGTTTGTAGCCCGGCCCCGCCATACTCCGGACTCAGATACGTATTCCGGACGCGGCTTAATGTTACTTCCCTAGCTGCTGTCTCCCTTTTGCGTGGTTATCCTGTCTGCGCACTGCATTAAGAAACTGTATGTTGCTGATTTCCTCTTTTTTTCCTCTCTCTTCTCTACAAACAGAACATGCTAATTCATGCCGGCAGTTCTTGCGTGGCATGGTTGGCATAGCACTGACGTCCTACCGGGAATGGGTCGGCGTTCGGGTCCGGATCCGGGTCCGGGTCCGGGGCCAGATTCCTGGCGACCGCCACCGCTGAAGGGCATCGGTTACGGCTCGGTCGGTGTGACTTGCAAAGATGTCCGCCGCAGGGCAGACGACTCCGACTCGGAATCGGCAGGGCGGATGGGGATCGCCCTGGTTGCATCCCTGTCGGCCGTGCTAGTGGTGTCGATGCTCCAGTTGGGCATTTGGGTGGTGCTTGCATTTGGTGCTCGGGGGTGTGCGGCGCCGGTATGTTACAGGCCTGTTCACAGTCATCCATCCCACCGTGGCCTCATTAGGTAGCCTCTCAACACTAATCCTGTGATGTCTCCTCGCAGCCCAGAGTTGTCGGCACTGCCACAGTCGACCTCACGTATACCACCTACGAGGGCCTGCGTCTTTCCAACGGCGTGAATGCCTTCTTGGGTATGCGATACGCTGCGGCGCCTCTCGGAGACCTCAGATGGCGCGCTCCGGTTGAGCCTGTTCGAACCGGAGCCGGGACAGTGGAGAGGGCCACGACGGTGGGTGATTTCCCCCTTCAGTTCTTCTTACCTTTTTCTTTTCTCATCATTGACCATCGTGTCCTGCAGTATCCCCCAATATGCCTCAGCATCGGTGTTGCGCATCCCGCCAGCGGCCAGGGCGAGGACTGTCTCTTCGTCAACGTCTGGGCACCGACCAACGCAACGGGGCAGTCCAAGCTGCCAGTCTGGGTGTTTATTCAGGGGGGCGGTGCGTGAACTTCCCTGGTTTCTTCTTCTCCTTTTTTCTTTTTCTATTTTTATTTTCTTATGTAACCTCGCTCATCACTTTCTTGGGCCGGTCAGGGTACACGGCCAACACCAACGCCAACTGGGATGGCAACGAAGTCGTGCAGTGGTCTGGCTACAGCATTGTCATGGTCAACTTCAACTACCGCGTCGGCCTCTGGGGGTTTCTGGCGAGCGAGCGGGTGCGGGCAGACGGGGCGCTGAACGCAGGCTTGCTGGACCAGCGGATGCTGCTGAAGTGGGTGAAGACACAAATTGCGCACTTCGGCGGAGACGCGAGCCACGTCGTAATCCACGGCGCCTCGGCAGGGGCCGGTTCCGTGGCCATGCACCTGGCAGCGTACGGCGGCCGCAACGACGACCTCTTTGTCGGGGCCATGGCCGAGTCCATCTTCTTCCCCGCCCAGCCGCCCGCCGCCGAGCTCGAGTACCAGTTCGACAGGGTGGCGCGCCAGACAGGCTGCGACGAGGCAGCACCGGCCCAACGGATGGTGTGTCTGCGCGGCAAGGACGTGGCCGTGCTGCAAGCCGCCAACTATGCCCAGCCCTTCCCCGGCCGCTCGGAACCGCCCTTGCCCCTTTTCTACTGGACTCCGTGTGTGGACGGCGATTTCCTGCGGGATCTACCTTACCGCTTGTTCGAGAAGGGCCAGTTCATCCACGTGCCGATGGTACTGGGCACTTCCACCAACGTTGAGTTAGCAATTCTCAGATTATCCCCCCTGATATGGCATTAACCTAATGCTGAATCCACTGACAAATACATATAAACAGAAGGTTCCGTCTTCGCCCCCGACGCCGCCGCCCCGTCGGACATCGCCACCTTCTTCCTCAACAACCACCCCCTCCTGACCCCCAACGACACCACCGCCATCCTCGCCCACTACCCGCACCGACTCCCCCCCCTGCCCCGGCACCAACCGTGGTTCCCCACCGCCAGCCAAGCCTACGGCGACGCAACCTTCGTCTGCCCGCAGCACAACGTGCTCACCTACGTCGACCAGTATTCCGCCGCAAATAACAATAATAAGCTGTATGCCTACCGCTACAACGTTCGCGACGACGAGAACCTCGCCGCCGGCCTGGGCGTGCCCCACCTCTTCGACGCGGCCGCCATCTTCCGGCCCGACAACATCCGAGGAGGCGGGGCCAGGGCAAGCTACGGGACGTACAACGCCCCCGTTGTGCCGTTGATGATGGGGTACTGGATCAGTTTTGTGCGCGGGCTGGATCCGAATCTGTCTAGTCTTGCGTCGGGAGGAAGAGGAGAAGGAGCAGCAGGAGGAGATAGAGGAGCGCAACGGCCGGTGTGGGAGAGATGGGATGGACTAACAAGAGGGGAAGGCATGAAAGGATTGGTGGTGGAAACGGGTGGTGCGGCGAGGATAGAGGGCACGCCGAGGGACGAGACTGAGAGGTGTGCTTTCTGGCTGGGCTTGGGACGGGGGAGGATGCAGCAAAAGTGATTTCCGGGTGCGGGATAACTGGAGACGTGCGTGACGTTATTCTAGGGTGAGGTCAGCCGTGGCATACCATTCCCTATGCAAACTGTCAAAGGACATGCGCCAATGATTCACAAGAATCTTGCAGGCCAAGCAGGCAAGGATTGGATATCTCTTCATCTTGATCTTTTTGAGTCGTTCTCAGCAAAAGACACTATGGTACACCGTCACAGCCGCAAGCCTCTGCCCCTGACTATCCCACAGCGACCTGCACGGAACCACTGGACCCATACCAGTCCTAGTACCAGTACCAGTGCCAGTACCTGTTGCCTCCCGGCCCGCGTCCAACAGCTCGACATCCGCATACCTCACCAGCGCAGCAGGCTCGCCAGTCTCGAGATCAACCGTCCCCAGTTGTGTCAAAGCATCCCTTGCTGCTATCCCATGCCGCACCAGCTGGCAATGCCCGACACCGCGGAGGATAGGTTCCGCCACAATCGTCTGCACAAAGCTCGCCCTCCCTGCTTCTTTCGCATCCCGCACAATGACCTGTGACACGCTGAGCGCCGTCTTCCCTTCCTCACCACCAGGCAGCGGGGACGGGTGCAGCTCCCGCAGCGTAACGCTCTCTTCCTCCGCGTGCCCGACGCCTAGATGAGCATGCCACTCAACCCCGGCTGCCCGTGGAAGCTCGTCCACCTCGGCGACGAACAGCGGGGGCACAACCGGAACTGCGTCACTACGGTCCGTCGACACAGAGCGAAAGGGGGCAAGGACAGACCGGTCGGGCAACAGCGCCTTGACTTTGCCGCTCTCCGCCCCGCCGAACGAAGAGTAGGTCATGTACTGCGGGTTGTACCTCCTATCCCAGAGGTCTGGCCCGCCTTCATCCTCCTCCTCCTCCTCCTCCTCCTCGCCGTCAGGAGAGAAGTCGGAAGAAGAGGAAGACAGGTGAGCTGTCCTCCACGCCGCAGAGGCTAGTCGGGCCCTGTGGACCATCGTCCCGCCCTCGTCAGAAGCAGATGGGGAGACGGCACATCTCGGGAAGTAGGCCACCGCGCTCGTCCACCACTGCACGCCCATCTCGACGCCGATCCGCCACAGATGCTGCAGCGAGAGCGTTAGCTGCAGCTTGAGCGCGTCCTCTTCGCTGTCGTCACCGCGCTCCGGGAGGGACATGGTCGCGGGGACGAGCGGGATCTGGCCCGCAATGCTGACGAGTCTCGGGCCGGAGGGGAGGGAACGCACGTCCGGCTCTTCTTTGGGCCCGAGGCTCGCTACGGGGATGGATATGGCTTGGCTGTAGGGCCCGATGTTGGCGGGTGCCCAGTACGAGCGGGACTGCACGTGCAAGCCCTGGCGCTCGGCAGGCGGGAGAGCAGTGTGGACGGTTAGGTAGACAGCGATATTCGCACCCGCTGTGGCCGTCGAGAGAGCGTCACCGCATGAGATGGTGACCCTGGAAGGAGGGTTGGGCGCGTTGAAGAGTGTGCCGTAGATGCCATTGATGATGGGGAAGTCGGCCATGCGACGGAGGGTCACCGTGGCGCTTAGAATGGCGGATGGCGGAAGCGAGTGCTGTCGAAGCCGTTGGCGGATTTGCTTGACGATGGATTGCGTTTCTTCTTCAATGGTAGCTGACCTGTTGCTGCTGGCGAAGCACCATGGCTGCAACTTCTGGCAGGTAGACGCTTGCAAAGTCGCCAGCCGGGGAACAATACCCGCCTCTTCCTCCGTCTCTGGCCAAAGCCTCCGAGGAGGTGCGGCGCCAGCATCGGCGGAGGCCAGCATGCCCAAGACGCCGACAAACTTCTGGTCAAGCAAGTCGGGAATCCTGACGCTGCTTTCCATCCCCGCTACGGTAGACTCCTCTCCCTTATCTTGCAAGCTCGCATTGCAGAGCCGCAGCCAGGCACTCCCGCCATCCTCCTTGACCACCCGCCGGTCCTCTTCCGCCACTACGATGCGCTTCTTGAATAAGGTCGGCGGCCCGTCCACTACGAGCGTCTCAAACTCGCCCCCTTCGCCGATTACGGCGCCCGTCTCGGCCGTGCCGAAGCGCCGCATAGCCCTGGCGAGCCTACTCTTCCCGGCGGCACTGGCGACGTTCGTCCACAGGAACGATTCGTCCAGGCCGCCGCTGGCAACTTTGATGATGCGGGCTTCCATTCCCCCAGCGGCCATGTCATCCAGGAGCTGGGCGTCGGACCTTGCCGCGGGGTCGGGGTCGGACAAGCCCGGCGCGGGGAGCACGGGGAACTTCCATAGATACGCGAGGGGAGTCAGTCCAAGGCGGGTTGCTACTGATTCCACGCGTGTGCGCTGGTACGTGCTCAAAATCGCACCAGCGCAGATTGCGTTCGCTTCCGGATGTGCCTTTTTGACCGCTTCGAGGAGCGGGATCATGGACTCGGTCTCGTCAGGGTCCTCCGGTGCGATGCCGCCACCGGCTGCTGCACGACATTCCGCCCCTTCGGCACTTGCATTGGGGGAGGTGGCGGCAGCGGGGTCTTCCGGTCCGAGTCCGAGAGGACCCTCCCCGTCGTCAGAAGAGGTGGAACGCAAGGAACGCTGGTAGTGAGAGTACTCCTTCCCGTGCTGGGTAGCACTGCCAGTGATGGCTTGGCGGTACAGCGGAAGACCCGTGGCCTCGGCATAAAGAGCTATGACCTCGTGGCCCACCGTCTGGTACATGAAGCTGTTGAGATCGCGCTCATCTTCATCTGCCTCGCGCAGCACCTCATTTCCAGGCACCCCACCAGCATGTCCCTCGCCCGAGGTCGAGACGGGGGCACTAGCCGCTGGGGCAGCTGAGGCATCGCCCGGAGACCCACGTGTGTGTGCGCGTGGACGGTGTGGTACCGGTAGTGGTGCCGGATGCAGATTGGCGAGCGCGACGACGCGGTGTCCGTTCGCCCGGCAGTGCAGCAGCGAGAAAAAGCTGTCCTTGCCACCGGAGACAAGCGCGATCACGTTCAGCCCGTCAGGCCGGGTCGATGCCATTTTTGTTGGCCAGACTCCAGAGCCGTGCAGATCTGAGGACCTTGATAGCCTGTTATCTGAGCCCTGAACCGGGGACAACCCAACCCGGAGCGTCCCGCCGTGGATACGAGGAGTCCCGTTCTTGACGACAAGGTCCTTATTGTTTGTTAGTGTAGAGGATGCCCGGAGCATTCACGGCGAGCTCGTTGTGTAACCGCACGAGGGGGTTGCGGAACCTTTCCTCAAGATGGGAAGTGTTCGCGAACTGCCGGCAGCAACAAATCGAGCGCCTGGCCAGGTCGGCGACTCGCTAGTGTCGTTCCATTATTTAGCGTGGTACAAGTGCAGTCTCGCCGTCTGCGATTTTCGAGAGTTGCATATCTCGATCGGCCGGCGCCAAACCCAATGTCTGGTGGGAACAGACCATTGATTGATTTTGGTGGAGTGCGGCTAGCTTAGCGGCTCCGCGGCGGAGGGGCCAGCTGCGGGGGACGACCCCGACTGGTTGGTTCTCGGGGTCTGGGCGATGAGGTTCTGCTTGATCACTGGCAGTGCGTACATTACTAGTTTTACATAGTGTACAAAGTATTGTTTGTTGATGAAGCTGCCAGGGCAATGGTGCTGCTCAGCTCATGTGCGTGGAAGATAGGAAAAAGTGGATTGATTGATCGCTTTGCTGTACCTGGTAAATTGGCAAATGGGAACACGAGATAATGGAGGTTCACGTTCCATTGCCACACAACAGAGCCAGGAAAGGGTACGAGGTACGCCGCAGTTTGTACGTACAAGAACAATACATACAATACAGTACTCCGTAGCAACGGCCGTTCTGCCGGATCGTAACTAAGGTAAGGTACTCAATTCTACTGTGACTCTGGTAACAACGATGACAAACAACAGGAAAAGGTAAAGATCTACACTGACGGTGTATCGACTGTGTCAAGTTGTCAACATGCCGTCGAATCATGATCCAGAATACTTGCATTGTATAAGCAAATATAAGGTGCTGTAAAGATTCTCATCCCGAAGACATATGTTCTTGTACATGGCAAGCAATCATAGCACATCTCAAAGGCGCAATGCAAATTCACTGATCTGTGACCCGCACGTTTCCCAAGTTACCTGACCTCCATACCATATACAGCTCGTTGTCTAGTGGCCTTTCCGGCTATTGGGAAAAGAGACAGGACAACCGGTAACGGAAGAGGAAGTATAAAACACGTGGACAGCCGCACGTATGACAGAGTACAACCTTCAGACACAAACAAGAAAAGAGTCAGAGAACCCCTTTCTGCTGTGGGATAAAAAGAGGAGATGTGAAATGTGAAGAGTTTGTCCAGAGCCACGACGGTTGAGCCTGCTGCCCGTCTGCGCCGTACGATTACAAGGAGGGTAAAGGAACCGCGAAGCCTCGCCGAAGGGAGTCATGCGCAGGCAGAAAAAATCAAAATGTAAAGAACCGTTGTCCTCTCCTCCCATCCTGGCAGATCCGCCCTCTAGCCATCAGTGCCGCCAACACCCCCCATATACCGCCTGTCTGACTCCCAAGTCTTGCGAAACTTTTTGTGCCAAATCATAACGCCATCCCCCGGGAAGGAAAGGATGAGAAAACGCCAAGTATGATGGATGGTGAGAAATGGTACGGTACAGCCGGAAAGAGGCGGATGGATATATGCAAATGCCGAAATATAGATTGACACCTCCGTTTTGTTCTGAAAATTCGATCCGCCAGCCTATGGCAGCAGCGCCGTTATCTGCGAGAAAGCAATTCCCAGGTCATGCCGGCCGTCCCAATGGAGTGATCTCCTCTGTACTGTGTATGTTGTGAACCACCCCCGTGAAATGTGTGTTCCCATGCCAAGGCCGCGGTCATTCATGGTCGTATCGGACATCAATGGTGACGGCACGTTCCAGTGCGCAGACCATCGCCATTGTGAAGAGTGTGCTTTTTGAGAAACAGAGGATTCCAAGGCTGAGTGTAGGCGAGGATTGCCTACTCTGACCTCTTGCGCTTCTTCTTGCCATTGTTGCTCCCTTCATCAGAAGACGAGTGTTCACTCGCGCTGCCGGGGATCTCGGCAGCAACCTGGAAGAGCACCTTGCCGAGGGTGTGGTACTCTTCCGCGCCAACCAGGCCAGTACCCATCATGGCAGGGTGCGTGTAGCCCGATTGCATCGAGGCAGCCGCGGCCATGGCCTCGGCGTTGTCGATGATGTTCATGACGATGGCCCCAGAGCCATGGGTCCGAGCATGCTGCGCGAGGTTGTCGGATCGAGAGAACTTCTTCCCGCACTCGCTGCACTGAAAGGGCTTCTCTTGGGTGTGGAGCGAACGGTAGTGGCGCTTGAGGTGCTCCTGGCGCCGGAAGCGACGGTTGCAGATGTCGCACACAAAGGTCTTCGAGGGATCCTCGGTCAGCGACTGCTTGCGCCCACGGCGGCTGGTGGGAACCGGGAGAGGAGTCGACCGCGCATTGTCAGAGCCGGAGTTGGACTCTGAACTGTGCTTGGACTCGGTAGCATTGCTGCTGCCGCTCTCAGGGTTGCCCGCCGGCGACTGGCCCTGAGTACTCCCCGATTGAGAGTCCGCGGCAATGTTCATGATTGGTTTGCTGGAATCATTCGACTTCTTGAATCGCTTATGCCTCTGTGCGTCGCTGCCGTCGCACAATTCAGGTGGGCTGAGGAGGTTGTGCGTGCCAAACGAGTCGCCGGCCTCAAAATCTTCCGAGTCGTCAACGCAGAGGTAACTCGAGGGGGTGAGCGAGAGCGCGTCAGAGCTAGCGCGTGAACGGCTGGTCTGCGTGGCAGTGCAGTCGTTCAGGCGTACAAGTCCGTTGACAAAGTCGTCCTCCGAGTCGAGGTCGGAGAAGGAGTCAAAGGAAGGCAAGCCGTGGCTCGATGCAAGTTGCGAATTGAAATGCAAGGATGAGCTTGGTGAGGTTGCGCCAGATGCGCCCCTGAGCAAAAACTTCTGATCCTCGTCCTCGCCCGCGCCAAGGATCGGCAGTGCAGAGAATTCGGGAGCAAGCGTCGGATTGACCGTGCCGACCGTCAGGTTTCTGGGGTCGCAGAAATCATCCGACGAATTAGAGCGTGCATATGGAGAGGGAGAAGGCGAGAGCGATGGGCACGATGATGCAGGAGACAGGTGGTCGAAAGCCTGTGTGTTGAGTGGAGCAAGCTTGGGCGGCTGCGCTTGCGATGGGAGATACACTGTTTTGCTTTCGGGTCAGCACTGAACGATTCCCCCCAAAGTCCAAGCGCTAGCTAGGACAAGCTGAAGCGAGCTTGGCCGGGAGATGTTGGCTTGAAATCCCAGCTGAGAAATCAGGAGCCAAGTGGACGCAGGGGCCACCAAGATCCCATCTAAGAATCATCCTCACAAACTTGAACTTCAATGAAAACCCAGATCCGACTCTAGCAGAAAACCAACACTTTCCTAGCTGCTTCAATTGTCCTTCAGAAACATCAAGACTTGAATGAGGCACCAACATGTGCCAATTATGGCATAACAAAATACTCGGAAGACCGCGAAAAAAGGGAAAGGGTGAACCTACCAGGCGTCAACGGCGGCGATGCGCACGCGGACCAATCCAAACTGGGGAAGCTCTCGAGCTCCCCCTCAAAGTCGCGACCTTCCTTGCCGTCCAGGCCCGAAAACATGGGGTTCAGCGGCGTCTGGAGCATGTCACAGCTGCCAGGGCTGCTGATTGCGCTGCCCGACGACGAGAGAGGCGGGGTTGATGGGGAGTACATCCCGTCAGCCTCGCACAGCTCCGTGTCCAGCACGATCGTCGGCTTGTGGGATATGGGCATCGGGGAGACCACGGGGGTCAGTGTCGACGGCAGGATTGGCACGTTGCCGAAGCCCTTGGGCAGCAGCGGCGGCTGGGAGCTCGAGGAGCCGGGCCGCGAGTAGACGGGAGTCGAAGGCAGGGGAGGCACGATCGGCAGCATGGCCATGTGCGGCATGGCCGGATGCTGCTGCGGGATGAAACGGCCGTGTTGCCGGCCCTCCGGGTTCGGATCCGGACTGTAGAAGTAGAAGGCCGGGCCGGCTGTCTGGGCGGTCATCATGGTCTCCATTTCGATGCTGCTGCGCGTTGCCATCAGCCATCCAGTTCTTCTTGCCATTGCTCCGGGTTGCGACTGCTACCAACCAAATTCTAGGGATCCACTCTTTGGTAGGCGATGTTCGAGTCTCTTTTCTCTCGCTGGTCGTTTAAGTATTAAGTAGGGTATGTATATATCGGGCGTAGTATACAGGTTGTCGCTAACGTTGTGTGTCGGCAGAGGCCTAAAGATGGTGCAGTTCGGTTCCGCTGTTGTAAGGAATGGATGGCAGTTGTGATCTTGGGATCAAACAACTAGCCGGTTACGAGTCTCGAGGAGGGTTGTCGTACATGGACACTTCGCCCGTGGTGGTGTTTCTCTCGCCCTCTTAACACACGCACTCCGAGTTCGGTTGTACTGAGTGTCTCTTCACTATCGTTGCATGGAAGCCGAGAGGCAGAAGGCGGGTTGTGTTGAGGACGAGCCTGGCTGAGAGCGAGTTGCCCGTGAAGGAAGGGAAGGAAACGTAGTTTCCAAAGTCTCGAGACTGCAAAGAAACCAAGAACCGAGAGGTAAATGAAGAAGAAAGAGTGATCACGCGTCTAGTCGACAGATCTGCCCATGTGGAGAGGAAGGAGGGTCAGAGAAGAGAAGGCCTTGCGGATATGTACAAGACGGTTCTTGAGCCCACCCAAGATCAACGGTGGAGGTTCGCAGTGACATTGGTGGCTCGAACAGGCCGCCCACTCTGGGAGGAGTCTTCTATGCGACTCGCTTGATTCGACATGATCCAGGGACCAGCATCACACCGGCCTTCCGGACTGATCCTTGTTGCTATGTCTGGGGCAAGGTGGAGAGAGGCGACATGAGGTGGTGGGCTCCTCGGTGGAGGATGGCGCAGCGCTCAAGCCGAATTCTAAATCAGGAATGGTTCGGCCATGCACTCGGAAGTACCATTGAACTGACGGTACATCCGGCCCACCAAGGGACTGCCTAGCGGCAGACAGTGCTTGGTGCTTCACAATCTGGCCGAGATCATTTTTTTTTCGATCTGTCCCGGCGTTGAAGAACGGAACCTTGTGCTTTCCCCACTCTCGATCAAGCAGAGCATCGGCCGTTGACCATCGGGCATCTGCTCAGTGCTCACTGTCCACTTCTGTCCTGCTGTATGTATTTCGTATAGTTACTGCGTATGTATTGTACATGTTGATCAGATTCGTACCTCGAAGGCGATTTGCATGCCTGGCGCAGCGAGTTTGGTTTTCCTGAGCTCAGCCGTGAAGCTCCGCGTGCACGATCTGGAACCTGAATGGGAGAACCCGAGAAGTCCAGACGGCCAACACCGGGCCCAACTCACCGTCTAAGCTTCGTAATGGCCAGTGATAGCATTGCGGCCGCCCAATCCGCTTTGAGGCAAGATCGTGGGGTTGCACGCAGGACTGACCTTTTTGCGCCGTTTAGTGGGTGCCGCATGCTTGCCAACCAACGGGAGACAGCGACTCAGCGAGCGGATGCATAAAGCCAATCGTGATGGCCTCCTCGGACCTGATAGGTCGGCAGAAACCACCACGGCACCCTAAGGCCTCCCCCCCCGTAAAACTTGCACAGCGCTCTCTTGGAGGCGCAGTTGCAGAGTCTACACTACTAGTAATGGTAGGTCGGCCGCACCCATCTGCTGCACCAACCAACCTACCAGGTAGTCAGTCACGCATCCCTCTCGGGCCAGTCACAGATGCAGCTGCAGTGCGCTGCAAGAGAGGCAACCTGCATTGTGGGTGACGAAAAAAGAGCGCCGCGCTCGCTTTTTTCCTGTACATGAATCAACCGGTGATGGCGGCACGCCAGCTTCAGCAACCAGTAGGTTAATAAGAAGCGTTGGATTCAAGGCTGGCTACCTCGAGGGAGAAGAGAGTTCCGTCGCTGTCGATAACTCGGGGATTGCGGGATAACGCGCGGCCGCGGCTCGTTTTATACGGCGGATGCTATTTTATATTTGGCGCCCGCGTAATCCGCCTCGTCCGCCAACTGGCATCGTGTTATTGCCGCGAATCATTAGGTACATATGCTCTGTTATGGCTGCGATAACGCTCCGTAGATGGGCCGGACGTTTCCAAAGTCGTCAGCGACTCAAACAGTATGTACGCCAGCAGGAGAAGATGATGCTCCTTGTTGGCGTGGACAGCAGTCTCTTCGCCGTGATGGTCAACATTAGTGTATTCAAAGTTGGGTTTCCTCACGACGCGCATTCTCTGTCGCTGATGAGCAACGCTTCGGGTGCGGTGATGCCCGAGGCATAAGAACGTTGCAGGCCGCTCAGTGATTGTGCAGAGAAAGATCATGAAACAACCGTGAGGTTGTAGCCAGGAAGTAGCGCGTCGATCACAAAAGCGACCATTCAGAGCAGCAGGACCATCATAAAACTCTATCGCTGCCTGCAGCATGGCGTCAAAAACCCTTCTCTGCAACCACTCAAGAGTTGTGCCGGAACCCCGCCTGTAGGATGCAAGGTGTGACGAAGCACGCATGCTGGCTCGATCCGAGACGAATTACGTACGACGACATCTGTTTCATAGTATCTTCCATGCCTTGAGTGTCCTTCCAAGATGGATACAGAGGCAGTCTGGACTACTACAGTACAGATGTACCTTGCTCCATCCCATTACTTGACAGGATACAAAACAGTCCTACCCAGTGCTCTCGCAAGCAGTTTTGTAGTCGGTGCTTTATTACTGGACGGCTCTTTCACTCAGACAGGAACATCTTGCAGCGAGTCAGCGACAGAGCAAACATAAACATGTCTAAAATAACCCGAAAGTATATCTCACTTATGATCGTCATTCGTCACCAACGTCCCATCATTGCCGAAGCAAAGCTTGCTTTGATGCCCGCTCCATGCTTATCGCAAAAGCCATGAGACCGGTTGCGCGGCTTTGACTGTCCCGAACGAGGAACAAACTTCTCCCAACTGATGATGACCGCCTTTCCGGGTGTCCTCTTTCATCGACGGACGGCCCAAATAAGATGGGGAAAGTAGACCTTGAGCCTGATATCATCACGAATTATCTCTTGGAACAGGTGTTGGTTCTCGACTGGCTGGGGAGTCGGCTCTCAATGTGAGGGCCGGTTGCAATGCCCGGACGTATCCAGGATGTAACTATGTACGACGTGTACGTATGTACGGACTCGTACCGGTACCTCGCCCATACTCAAACCCCGCTCTCGGACTCGGGTCACCTTCCACGACGCGCACGGTCCAGAAAGTGCTTTGCCCAGAGCTATCCACACATACCGGACAGGGTGGGTGGCCGGGCTTCGTTCCTGATCAGGAGATTGGTAGCCTTGAGGCCAAATGAAGATTGTTCTACTTGCAAGAGTCTGTCATGCTGCTGCAGGGAATCCGCAGTTGATACCGTGAGCGTATGGAAATACAACTGTACCTGCTCTGGCTGTTGAGTGAGTACCGATAATCGACCGGCAAGCAACGGTCTGGCTGAACGGTGGACAACTGGGGCTTTCCACGTCGCCATCAATGCAGGTCCGTTCCACTCAACTTGAGACCATGAGCTTCGACAGTGTGCACGGTGCACATGTGGATAAGGCGACATTGACATGCAGTGGCGTGACATGGTTTCTGAGGCTCTTTTCCTGTCGCGGATTAGCCATGCCCGGCTCCAGAGCTTGGGGCCGTCAAATGTCGGTTGTCTCCCGGTCTCGAACACGACGGCGTCCCGGACTCCCAATCCATTCCGGCCCTGAAACCCTGACAGGCCCGAATCAGAGACTAGACAGTCTTGTGTGGGTCTTAGCAATATTTCGCCACCATGGCCTTGGGTCGTCTCTGTTTGTGATACGTAGGTGCCTTGGGCCAAAACGACACGGTGTGATAACGTGCTCTTCCAGGTGCGGTACACGGTGAATCTGCTGCAGTACGTCGTTGAACCCCAAGGTGGATGTGTTTCAGAACGAACTATAAAACGAAGGAGGAAGACAGCGTGGGAGACAAAAACTTTAACCGGATAGAAATGCCAATAGCGCAAATCGCTAATAATGCACGTGGAGCAGCGCACAAAGTGTGATGCCTCTGTTCTGGCAAATCTCCAGCACGTGGATTCCTACCACCAGGGCATTACCTGTCTTCGGTGTATCGATCAGGTGAATGTGGCGGTCTGTCGGTCGAGGAACACATTCCGCTCCAGCACGGGCCCATGCCCTGTCAAGTGCCTGTCTCTCTTTCAACTGCTCAGGGAACCTGGTACGGACCGTTGATTAACGGGCCGCGGATAGGACCCGTGGCAGTCCCAGGGATTCTGATAGCATCAGCGGAGGAATTCCCAAAACTGGATGATTATGCCGTCTCGGTGCGAGTCCCCGGATTTGCGGATAAGAGCGGGCAAAAAGGTCGTGTCGCGCTTTGTCCGATTATGCTACAGTTTTGACCCAATGTGGCACTTGGCGCATCGTTTGGTTTTCTGCAGACCCTTCCACCGCTTTTTCCGTTCCACATGCATGCCATATGTGATGGGGCTTTGGTTTCATTTTGCTCGGGTCGCCGCGACGTGGGCTCACCGGGTGTGTGGTAAACGGGCAGTGGCCAACATCCTCCACCCGTGAACGTTCGGGGAATTTCAGTCAAGATGGGCTTGGGTCTCCGATACCACGGCAGCGGCAGCGTGAGAGGCACGACACTGAAAAGGATGCCATCAATGATCCAGTAAGGTATCCTGTAATCGTACCTGCCTGTACAGTATGTGCATCGGGATGCATCTAACCAACGCTTGTACAAGCTGCTCTCTACGTACATAGGTAGTAAATAAGGTACACTACATAGCATATCCCAAGCTGCCGGGTTGCCAATTTCCAGAGTTGCACAGTCCATACACGATACAGTAGTACATTACCACTAGTTGCTACCACAGTACACTAGCCTCATGATGAATGCGGTTTCGCAGTAGGAGATCGACAGCCAGACATTGCCAGAACACGGTTTGCTGAAGAACAGCAATGGCGCAATGTATCTGCAACGCGTTATTTCCCGTCTCGGCGATGCGCAGAGATGGTCATGTATTGACCAATCGAAGCGCCTGGTACTGCCCCGCAGGGTTCCCCACCCGTCCCACCGGGTCCCACTAACGCAGGAACGAGCGACTACTCGCCAATAGGGCGCTCCCCGTGCCATGGCTATGGGGGTCTTCTCGAAGGTTTGATGATCCTTGCTGCTGCATGAGAAACGCCACCTCACATTTCACGCTTGCAAGGTTAACTTACCGTTTTCGCTCTGGACGCTGCAGGTGCCCCACCAGCTCGGCCCATTTTCCCATGGCACCACACCGACCGCGACAGAGGAATCTGTGACGATAAGAGCTCGACAACTTCGGGTCAAACCTTGAGGTAGTATCATGGCCATACACTATGCTGTCGGCGACACCGCGTCCTGTCCACTCGCCACACCTTAATAACGTTACTATGGGTATCTTACCCACTGCATTGAACGGGCTTCTACTGTGCAGACAAAATCGGATTCGACCGGCTTCCCGCATTGACTCGCCGCCTTGCAACCGCCAACCCCCGCCATAACCACCAGACGGGCATTCAAGCGGCAGATGGTCAGTGTTGTCATCGCAGGCACTTCTTGCATTTGAGGATCGACGGCGTGTTTACGTAAAGGATCGATGAATGCTAACGCTAGTGCCATAGCTCTAAGTTATCCCATACAGTACTCCGTAGTGTAGCTGGAACTCTATCTGGCTATGGTATGAGGGTAAGGTACAATACCTTAGGTACTTGCACATAACGCTATACAGTCTCGGACAGTAATGTACACGTAATGTACACCGCCAACGCTAGTGCAGACTGCCAGGCAGGCCTCATCGAGAGGGGTATTGTAACTTGCTGTCCTGGCATGCCAGGACATCCCCAACTTGCTGTGTATGGTACGTAAGTGATCTTGAAGTGGAAGCTAGTAGGTATCACTGCGGCGGGCGTCGGAGCACAGGGCTTTGATCACCTTTCCTCAACAGCAAAACTACCGGAGTCTGAGGATAACCAGCAGTTGGTGATAAGGTCTTCTGTGGGGTTGAGCCTTTGCGATAAGATTATGCAGCCAAGGATCCCAGACAGTCCAACTCCGCGGTGCCCTTTCGAGTTCTGATATCAAGTGATACGGATGACCTGTCTCACACGAAAATGCCACTGCGTTGGGGAAAGATTGGCAGTTTGCATGCAGTATGTTTGCCAGTCACTGTGTGTTCAACTACCGTGCGTGAAGCACGACTGCCGACAGTGCAAGCTGCATTGGTTATTATCCAGGGCCAATGGTACAATACTGTACCTTACTGACAGCTGTTCTGACTGACTTCCCAGATCAGGATGGATGGTACTGACTATCGCTACGGCGACTCTCCGAATTGTTACGACATGTCATAAGCTCTCAAGGAACTCTTTTTCCGTCCGACCTGAACCGTCCGCTTTCACCTTGCATGTACGCACAGACCCGGAGTCCACTCACCAACCGGAGCGCGCTTGGCTAAGTCTCCGCGTCCGGAGCTCGAGCAAGGGATCTGCAGTCCTGCACCTGGGGCCACGACGTGTAGGCAAGACATGCTGGAGCTCGGCAGACAGAGTCGGACCCGGCCCCGTTCATTGGTCCGTGCCTGTTCCCGCCGGCAACCCGGACCTCCTCCGCTACCCGTGCCTCAGGGCAGGGCCAGCCCTCAAGGTTGGGGAGCCTGGGCCGCCTGTATGTTGTACGCTATGTACATACCACTCCATATGGTGATCATGGTCCGTGGTGTAGGTAGCCCCGTGAGCCCTTAGTCGCCACATCCATGCAGATGTGTCGTCTATACGCAGAAGTGGTAGGCGGCGGCTGACCTGGAAGTCAGAGCAGTCACCGTCGCTTCTTCGAAGCCGGTGTCGCAAAAAGAATACATCATCCGTCACAAACGGCCCCAGGGAAGTACATGTAAGTCTCACTCGCAAAGAACTTAGCCAGTCGCCACTCGGTATCTCAGCCAACCAAGAACCCGTCCGATACCAACAAACAAATGCCGACGCCAGGGGGCTGTAGCGAGTCGTTGTTCTCAGCGCGCCTGCAGAACCGACGCACGGCTTGACGCCGCAGTCAAGGTGAACCAAACAACTAACTGTCAATTTGTGCGCCTCGGAAGCTCACCGACTTGTGTGTCTTCCCGCCCCTACGGCCCAGCCCGGAGGGATTCCAGGGGATGGATAAGGTGGCCGGTGAAGCCCCGCATGTTTGCTGCTTCTGGTTCGCTCGGCGACCAGTGCAAGAATGCCATAACTCCCGTCTCTTGAGGCGCTGCTTGCCATGACTTGCAATGCTGCTCAAGTCACGTGGGCTGCGCTGCAAGCTGCAGGTCGCTGCGGGAATCCGAGGGCCAACATGGGATGGGAGAGGGGATGTGACTGGTCAGCATTGCTGCGGCCCAGCCTGGGTTGGCCGCTTTGACCCGCTCGTCTGGCCGGCGCATCTGGCCGGCTGCACAGCACGGCCTCCACGCCCGCGGCCGACGCCCAGCAACCGGGCTCGTTCGCGGGGCCTCCCGAGGGGCCTCGGCCGGGGAAAGCGAAGGCCTTTTTAGCACGGAGGGCGAGCCAGGTTGCAGCAGCGGGCCAGAGGTAAGGCCGGAGGGCCTGATCGTCCGGCAGTTAGTTGGGTTGGGTTGACTCACTCTTCAATTTGATGGCGGAGTGCCTTGCTGTTGGTTCGGCATGCATGGGAAAGGGAAAAAAAAGGTCTGCTGTGCCGGCGGCGCCGTGAGTCTGTTGCGAGGCCGCTGTCACGGCATCACAGCCAACCGCTGCCATACGGCCACTAAGCGTCTTGCTGCTTGTATTCATTATCTCGAGGTACATCCATCGGGACCGGTGGGTTCAGACGACAAAGAAGCTCCATCGTGTTCCACCAAACTCGCAGCTGATAGAGTTTGCGTAGGACAGGACGCAAGCGCCGCTTCCCTTAGGTCTTATCCCTCCGGGCCTCTCTGCCCCGGGATTTGTCAACGAAGTCTGGCAACACGGAACACGCGGGTCCTTTCTTGAAGCTGACGACAAACGGATCCGACCCACTGTGATGGTGATGGGACCGACCCGGGTTGCGGTCTGTGTCGCCGCCGCGCCGCGCCGCGCCGTGGCCGTGCCGCTCTCGAATTGATGGGTGGCATGCGAGGAGAGGGACAGCTCTGTTGCTGATTCGGCAGTCCGTTTCCCCGGACTCCAGATCGGCGAACACAAACACGACATGCCTCCATGAGTCCACGGCCACCCATACCCTTCTCGCTGTCATGTCTGCGATCGGTCCGTCACGACATGCCAGGTCGTAAGCTCGCTATGGATGAGTGGGCTCTGCTTACTACTCGTGTCGCAGTTCTGAAACCACCGAACCGAGTGGCGTTCGGGATGGTTGCGAAAAACAGAAGGTGTGCGTGTCCCGAGACTAAGAGCAACTCGCTGCTTACTCACTCATCTTTCTACCATTACGCACTCGCGGCATGACTTCTATCCTACATGTAGCAAACAGGTAAGAGAGATAGGAGGCGCCGCTCGAGTGAGAAGCAAACTATAGCTGAGAACTTGTTCCGAAAGAAGAGGGTAGTCATGAGGTTGACAACCTCGGCTCATTGACCATGTCTTCCGAAGTCCTGTTTACGTCCTTATGTCCCTATTTCTCGCCTCCGGAGACGGCTTATACGTCACGGCCTGTCTGAGCTAGAATATGACAAGAGAACACACCTCACCACCTCACTTCAATTGGTCCGCACTTTACATGCCTCACTGGCCTCACGGCCACTCAACTCATGGCTAAAGAACGCCGTATTGTACACTTGCAACTTGTGAGGTAGACTGAAACTATCGGACGCCTAATTGAAATGCACTCCTCCCATTATTTTGGGCTTCTTTATCGTCTTGTTTGCCTTCCCCTTCCTTCTTCACCTTTCCTCTCTTCTTCATATTGTTCTATTTTCCTGACTCCACTTAGACATTCAGCGGAGGTGAGGAGCTGGGTGTACAGCTTCTTCTTAACCAGGGCGTGCCACTTTACCATTCCTAACGTCGCCTTATTCATGGACTAGCGGCTTGGATTGACATGTTGCAACAGGAGAGTCAAGAAGACAACGTGCAGACTGACATCGGCCCCCGTACAGTAGTAATACTGTTCCGCTGAACCAGGTAGATGACAACGGGAGCTAGACGGAAGAAGAGTAAGAGGATGAAAGAGTTCGAGATCCGACATTCTTTTTCTCTTGAAGCTCGGCGGTGTCGTATCAACTCCGAGCAGACAAAATTCTATACACCACTGTTGTCTCGGTCCTTGACATGCAGGCCGCGATTCTCGGAATCCGTTCTCTTGAACCAAGTGGGTCGTATGGTAGTCTCCCCTTGACTCATCGGTATATACACCAACCCTGAGTCGGTCTTCCAAATGACAAATGGTCTCATCAGTACTAGGAGTCTCCTAAATTGTTAGAAAACAGTGAAGTTGACCGCATTGAGTTGAACCACCTCGAGGATAGAGCAGGAGAACCCTAACCCTGACCAACCACACCTATCTAAGGTAGATGTCTCCAGTTTCATGCTTCTTCGCTCTACATCTTGTCTGCATCCTCATCGAGCACTTGTCATACCACACTCGATACTTATTTGACATTGCGGAACTGTAAAGGCGAACCGATTTTTATTATTTCCATGTGAATAGCAGGTACACTCTGGAGGAACCCGAAGGCTATTGAATCCTGCCAAATCATCGACGCAATCCAACTCAACTCTTCGACGGAACCTCATCACCCACCATGAGCACCCTCAAACACAACCAACCGCCACCATCAAAACAAGATGAAGACTCAGAAGAGGAAGACTACATGAGCATGACCTTCGCCGATTCCTCACTGGATCCCACCGTCAACAGCGCCCAAAACGGCGAGACCTCCCTCCAGCGGCGGCTCCGCCTCAAGCGCGAGGCCGAGGCCCGCGCCCGCCCCAAATCCAAAGCCGAGCTGGCCGCCGAGGAGGAAGCCCGGCGCGAGGCCGCCCTCTCACAGTCGCTCCTCACGTCCCAGCCCAAGAGCAAAGGGCTGGCTATGATGGCCAAGATGGGCTTCAAAGGCGGCGCGCTGGGCAAGCAGCCACAGCCGCAGCAGCAGCCGCCCAAAGAACATGAACAACAACAACAACAGGACGGCGATGGTGAGGAGGAGGGCGGGGTTAAGGAGCAGTGGCCGAGGACGGAGCCAATCCGGATCCAGATCAAGGACGGGCGGGAGGGGATCGGGCTGGAGAGTGAGCGGAAGAGGAAGATCAGAGAGGCGGCCGAAGCAGCGGGGGAGAGGGCGAAGCGGGCCAAGGCGGAGGAAGGGGAGTATAGGGAGCGGATGAGGCGGGAGAGGGAGGCGGCGCGGCTGGAGCGGCAGGTTATGGCGGGACAGAAAGTTGCGGAGCGGATCGCTTTGGAGAAGGAGGACGAGGAGCAAGGGAGGGACACAACGTCATCACGCCCGCTGAAGGCCGTACCCGTTGTGTGGCGGGGCCTGGTCAGGGCGCGTGAGGAGGCCGAGAGGGATCGGAGGATGAGATATGACCTCGAGCAGGGCCTGTCGCGGCTGCCGACGTACGAGGATCCGGAGGAGGACGAGGATGACAGGAAGGCGTTGGGCAAAGCCCGCACAACGTATGTTGCCGCGGAGGACTTGGACGAGGAAGACGCGGAATTGGACGAGTTCAATGCGCTGCCGCCGGAGGAGAGGCTGCGCCAGGTGGTCACGTATCTGCGCGAGGGGTACCACTACTGCTTCTGGTGCAAGTTTGAGTATCCCGACGAGAAGATGGAAGGATGCCCGGGATTAACAGAGGAAGACCACGACTAATTTGCGGCTGCCCGAGCTAGACGCTCTACTGCGACCATGCACACCAGAGAGCCAAGAGCAGCGAGTGAGGAGTCGCCCGTACGGGCAGGTTGAATAGAGCCATAGTCCACACACGTCTATCCTTATTGTATGTACATGCAATATATGCACCGGCTATTCGAGGCCAGCCATTTACTTGCCCAGCTTGCTGCGCTTCGCAATCTGGTCCGCGTCTTTCCGCACGACAATATCATACACGCCCATCTCCTGGGCAGCCTCTTCCACCATTGGCTGTACCTCGTCGGGGCCCGCGTTCTGCGCCCCTGCTTTAAGCAGGACCAGCTTTTCCAGCACATCATGGAGCTCATTTATCTTATCCTCCTCCGTCATCTCAACCCCGGGATGGCCCCGCCTGATTAGCTCGACCCTGTGCTTCTTCATCAGTGTCTCAATCGTCCTCCTCCCGCTCACGAGGCGCTCCATATTCCGCCTGGTCCTGGCCTGCAAAGACCCAGCGCCCGTGGCCAGCTCGATGAGCAGTGCCTCGGGCGGATGGAAGGCAAAGATCTCTCTCATCGCCCGGGCCGCGACGATCATGCCCGAGTAGTCTTTGGCCTTCAGCATGCTGAACAGGATTGTCCTAGGCAGCTGAGCAAAGATCGTGGGCGAGTCAAACGTCCAGGTCGTCTCAACCATGTCCCTGAAGAACTGCCTGCCCGAAGCGATGTCTCGCCTCGCGAGATCGGGGTCGCGCTGGATGAGGCGGTTGACAGAGAGGCTGTTGAACAGAGTAAGGAATGTGTGCCCGTCCGGGGGAACGTTCTGCTCCTTGGTCATGGTCTGGTAGAGGCTAACCGCCTTTTCGGCATCACCATTTTGCGAGTACGACCGGATCAGCTGGTTCATGAGGAAGCTCGTTGTGCCAATTTCGGCGTCATCGAGGACCTCAAAAAGCTCCTGCAGGCGGCCGTGAAGTCTGCGGGAACAGTAATTCTCCGCTAGGAGGGAGAATGTCTCGGCAGTTGCTCTCGTCCGGCAGATGAACTTGGGTTCTTCCTCACCCTCCTCGACGACGGAAGAATGGTGGTAAGGATCGTGGAATGAGACGAGTTCGTGCCGTTGTCGCATCTTCACATAATCCAGCCGAGCGCGGATCATGTCCCATGCCAGAGCCTCCGCCTTCTCGAGATTCTGGGCAGACCCTGACCTCATCCAGGCTCCAATGAGGCCGTTCAGCTGGATAGGCGACGCCGCTACTCCCTTGCTCTGGACGTATGCCACAACTTTGTAGGCGCCTTCCAGGTCACCCACTCCGATGAGACGTTTCAGCCACTTGCCGATGAAGAAGTAGTTGCCTACCCTCATGGGCAGCCTCGTCTTCCCACGGACGTCGACAGTGTCCGAGAGCATCATGTCGACAAAGGCCTGGAGGGCATACTCAACGTTGTCAGACGTCAGGAACACGGCGATTACCTCGTCGTAGTCCTCGATCGTCATGCTCTCTCCAAGCAGAGTCCGCATATCCCTGTATGCTTCCCAAGCCTGCTCGATAGTGGCTTCTTTGCCGGCCAATGCCCGGATGATGGGAATGAGAATGCGCGCGTTGGGCGGGTGTGAGGACTTCAGAAGCGTCTCCGCGGCTCTTTGCGCCCGTTCCGTGTCTCCATGCAGACAACACATGCGGACGCCGAGCTCCCAGTAGTCCGTGAACGTCTCGCGCTTCGACCCAAGCGTCACCACAGCCCTCTTCCAAGCCGCAATAGCCTCTTCCTCCCAGCCCTCGATGAACATGGCCTCTATGGCGAGTAGCTGTTGCGAGTCCCGTAGCGCCACACCGGCGGCCTGCATGTCCTTCGCCAGGATGTAGATGTGCTGCATCCGGTTGGGATTTTCGATGCCGTCCCCTTGCCATGAGAGAACCATCCACAGGAAATTCCAAACCTCCTGAGGCACGTTCTGCCACGCCGTGGAGAGCGCTTTCCTCGCGGCAGAGTAGTACTTCCAGCACTCCGCCAGGTCCTTGGCCGTCGGGGTGCCGCCCTTGACGACGCTGTCGCGCGCCAGGAAAGTGTTCAGATTGGCAACGGTCCGCTGCTGGTTCCCGCTGAAGCCCGAGATGCGCAGCAGCCCGTACTCCTCGGCTTCTGGGCCCGTCTTGCCCTTGTACTGCAGCCGGAGCGTCTTCTTGAATTGTTTTCTGAGCTCGTCGGCCTTGTCCTGCTCGCCCTGCTTCTCCATGCGCTGCAGCATCTTCACCGTGCTGACCATTTGTCTCTCAAGGCTGTTGATGGCTGCCTCGACCTCGGCGTCCAGTCCGCCGCTCACTTCCCCGAACTCATCATTGTCACGGAGGCGCCGGAGTCGTCCGGAGGGCTCCTGGTCGAAATAGTTGACATTGAGCTGCTCTGACGAGCGAGACGATGGATCGGCGTGTTGTAGTTCTTCGAGGAGTACTTTCTGGAGCGCTGCAGGGTCCGGCACGGCCTGGACTTTTCGGGTGCTGGTAGATGGTGGTTGCGCTCTCCGAGCGGCGCTTGAAGATTGTCTTGCGAGCCATGGCCGCGCATTCACGGATCGCAGACTGTCGAGGCACGACTTGCAGACATAGGTGCTGCATCGGCCAAAATCGAGAGCGAGCGTCCTGGGCGGCATTTTGGGAAGGCCTAGATTACTGTAGACACATCGGGTATTATGAGGAGCGGAGCTATATGTCCTGTATGGTAATTCCAAATGCTCTGTTCCCAGCCTGTGAGACTTTGAACATTCCTCTGGCCGGTCACTTGGGCCCTCTCTCCATCAATGTCTTTTATGTGGGGCGTTCCACCAATGTCTCTTATCAGAGTGACAGAGCCTGTCGATAAGCACCTTACAGCTTCTGACCGCCCGGCAGAACTGGCAGGAGCCTCCAAAATTTCTGGAGAGCACGGTACGCGCAGGCTCAGGCTCGTTCCTTTTCATCATCGGCGATTGAGGCGGTCCAATCGCACCACAACACAACAGCCATCATGTCGGGGTTAAAACCAGAAGTCCTGCGTTTCACTGGCCACAGGGCCTTCACCCACCGCCTCGTGTTGGCCACATTAACCGGCCGACCAGTGCATATCTCCAAGATCCGCTCCTCGTCTCCAACCAACCCGGGCCTGGCTCCACACGAGGTCTCCTTCCTCCGCCTACTCGAGGCAGTCACCAACGGCAGCGTCATCGACGTGTCCTACACCGGCACGACCGTCATGTACCAGCCCGGTCTCATCACCGGCACCGTGCCCGGCGTGGGCGCCGCACTCCCGAGCGACACCATCGAGCACGTCCTGCCCGCCAATTGCACCCGCGCCGTCACCTACTTCCTCATCCCGCTCGCCCTCCTCGCGCCCTTCTCAAAGGGCCACATGAACGTGCGCTTCTCCGGTCCGGGCGTCATCACCTCCGCCACACACGGCACGGGCGACATGTCGATCGACACCTTCCGCACGGCGGTTCTGCCCCTCTACTCGCTGTTCGGCATTCCGGTCGAGCGGATCAACCTGACCGTGCTGACGCGGTCCTGTCCCGGCCCGGCCGGCAAGGGCGGCGGTGGCGTGGTGGAACTGCGCTTTGCCAGCCAGGTGCGCCTGCCCAAGACATTGCACCTGAACAGGCGCCCTGGCAGGATAAAGAAGATATACGGCGTCGCATACTGTACCGGCGTGTCCGCAAGCCATAATAATCGAATGATCACCTCGGCGAGAGGGGTGCTGAATCAGTTGTGCTCAGACGTGCGCATTGCGGCGCAGTATGATACGGCGCCGCTCGTGGCGGAGAAGGGGAGCGCGCAAAAGAAGAAGATCGGAATCGGTTTCGGGCTGAGCCTGGTCGCTGAGTCCAGTGCGGCGGGAGTGATATATGCGGCGGACGAGGTGGCGCCGCCGCAGGGAGGAGTGGTGCCCGAGGATATTGGCACCCGATGTGCGTACCAGCTGCTCGAGGTCATTGCGCAGGGTGGCTGCGTGATGGCGGCCGCTGCGCCTACAGTATTGACACTGATGGCTATGGGGTCTGAGGACGTGGGGAGAGTGAGGCTGGGAAGGCACGTCGTAGGGAGCGAGGAAATAATAGGGCTGGCGAGGGACTTGAAGGTGTTTGGCGGGAGTAGCTGGGGTATATCGGATGCAGGCGATGACGACGGGAACGGCGATCTGAAAGTATCGGTGAAAGGCACAGGGGTTGGTAATGTCGGCCGGAAAGTAGCGTGACAAAATCCAACTCTCTCTTTCAGAAGGTGCGCTCTTGCAGATCAAATGAGGCCCAGTGGAAGAGAACGAGGTGTTGTGCAACTAACTGAAGAGGGCAAGGTTAGGTACTGCTACCGCTGCTGCCCCCGGATGAGCCGACTCCGTCGTTCTGCCGCGAGCGCGGCAAGTGTAGCACTATAACCCAGGGACCGGAGCGAGTACGCTGCGGCACTCTGAGCACCGCCCCCCACGCTTCGGACAGCGTGGATGACATGGAAGTTGGATAGGACGGCGTTGCCGGACCTTAGTATATCCACCATATCGGCATTCGCGACGGCCGAGGAATATGTGTCTCCCGTCCGCTCGCCGTCCGTCGGGTTCCTCTCAGCATCCTGGGCGCTGTGAACCTCCACGTTCTCATCTCGCAGTACCCCACGCTCTTCGGCATCATGGTCCTGCGTCGACTCCTGCGTCACGGCCTGGCCGGTTTGGCCGCCGCTGAAATGGAGCGTCCGCAGTGACGGGACGACAATCTTCTTGAGTCTCTCCCTTTCCTGGTGTACTGCCAACATCAAGCACTGCGCGCCCAAGATCACCAGGTCGAGGAACAAAAAGGCGAGCTTCGTCGTCGGCGGTTTCTGGCCGACGAAGTCGATGATGACACCTCCGTGCAGGTAACCGCGCGTCGCTTCCCCGGCTTCCGGCAGGGCGAAGAGAATGTGCGCCAACATGCAGAGAACGCTTGGCACGAAGATGGTGTATATGTGCGGATGCTCGGCGGGCAGGAGCAGGCCGTCTTTGGGGGTTAGGAAGGAGTAGTGCGGCAGGAGGCGGAGCACAAATCGGAAAAACGAGCATCTGGAACGAGAAAGGTTGGTAAACCTCTTTCGGATAGAAGGGCCAAACATTGAAGAAACTCACTCCATGTAATACAAGGTGCAGATGTAGGCGAAAACGATCATGTCCAGGCTCTTCTGCAAGTGGCTGATGAACTCGAGCTTCTTGGCGAGCCCCTCCCGCTGCTTCTCCTGTTTTTGCGATGCGGATCTGTTCTGAGTTTGGTCGTCGCTTCCCCTGCCGGCGCGCATACCGTGCTCACCGACGCCGTGCTCGCCATCGGACCGCGGCGGTAGCTGCCGGGCCGCAGAGCTCGGGCCCGGATCATCGTTCATAGCTCGCCGCAGTTTGGGAGAGACCGGTGTTCAAGTGGCCAAAAGATCACATAGTTGGTGTGCCAGTTTTCAGATTGCCACCTGGACGGATGGAGATGCCCTTCTCACGCAAACACTGAGGGTTTGCATTAGAACCGGCAGGGTGATCTAGCGGAAGAGCTCACTGGCGTAGGTAGGCTGCCGTCACGTCGATCGTAGCGATGCCCAGAACCTGCGTGGCGCGGCTTCGACTCCTGCCGGATCAATTCTACGTCTTGGCTTGCTGGAGACTGGGGGGTTAGGGTCTGAATCGCTTTACGTAAGCGTGAAGTTCGAAGATATCAAAGTGCATCAAGCATTGTGACGCAGATGCGTGTTGCATAACGCTATGGATTGGTGAATGAGCAACCAGACAGAGGAACCGACGGCTATGGTACCTGTTTCCCAACCTAGCGTCACTTGGACTCTAACTGAAGAGCCCAGTTCGCTACATAGGAGATTTCCTGCGAGCTTCTCTACAGAGTGCGTGCTCTGGCACGTGAGGGGATTTCTTGGACCCTGACTTGAGCTTGACTCGACTGCTGGATGACAGAATACTCTGTACGCGCGAATTACCTAGGTTAACTTGAATCACCACTGCGACGGTCATTTCGGTACCTCTGTAGTTGGTTATACCTAAGATGTCTCAGGGAATGCACTTTAGTTAGTACTAGTAATTCTCAGAAGACGACTACAAGATGCTCAACTGCTGTCGATGACTCAGCGTTTTACACCTCTCGCAATCAACATAGGTCTTCTCAGTTCTGGCGTCGCTGCGAAAAGCGTCCCCAACAGTCTGGGTCTTCACCCGAAGCTTTCAGGGGATTGGCCAATGAAATGCAGGCGAGATCCGCACAGCTCACCGACCAGGCTCTTAGCTTCGCGGGGCTAGTGCGGGACGATCGCTGGGGCCCACTCTAACTGGACCGCAAGCTTTGACTTTAAAGTGCGCATGCGACTTCTGCTCAAGTGAATTCTTACTGGTACCCAGCCAGCAAGTTTGGTGGGAGTATCGTCGTGCTTAGATTTTCATAAGCAGGAGTAAGGGGTCTTCATGTCGGTATAGCAGCTAGTTACTTAAGTACATCAAAAGGTCACGGTGCTTCTCAAGGAGCCGACGTAGTAGGTAGTATGTGGAAGACTTGAGAGTGAGTCAACATCACAATCCCCTGTCAAACCGACACCACATACCCATGTCTCTCATTCTGAAGTTATCCAGATCGGCGGGCGCTTCTCCGGCTTCGGATGGCCTCTCCGCCCAGTAGCATGGAAAATTTTTGTGTTTGGCGTCTGGGAATCAATTTATCGGAATGGATGAAGAGTCACATCTCTTATCAACTTATCGATCTCCACACAGACCGATCTCTCTTATTTTTTGGACCAGGGCAATCGCGATATCGACATTGTCATGCAAATCCCATCTTTCTCCTTCTTCTCAGCCGCACAGCACCCAACAAGGTCCGGGACGACCTGCGACATTGTCAATTGACGAGCACGAGGGACTGGAGTGCTGCCTGTGACGTCGAAGCGGTCTGTTTTTCGTATCCGCTTCCGCAAAGCCTCTCTTCCGCATAATGCTGTCTGCCGTGTACAAGGCGGGCCGCGCTCCGGCCGTGCTCCGTCATGGTCGCCGGGTCCCAGTAACGTCGTCCCAAGTGAGGACACTGACATCGGGCGCGCAGAATGGCGTCTTTCGTAATGCACAGACTGAGCTCGCGAGCGCCAGGTTGAGTCAGAAACGGCTCTTCTCTGCCTCTGCCGCCAGTCTCAGCTCCGGCGCTGCGCAGCCTGCTCCCGATCCCAAGGCCTACCTCTCGAGCGGAGTGGTAAAGCCTAAGGAGCACGTTGGCGTCAAGAAGGTCCTCGTCATTGGTAGCGGTGGTCTTGCCATTGGCCAGGCTGGAGAGTTCGACTACTCCGGTATGTCTCATCATGAGCACCTCCCAAGACGATCCCAGGCGAATGAAGCATGAGTCAGATGAGGACACGCCACGGCGGGTAGAGGCTAACGGCAGCCTACCCACACAGGATCGCAAGCCCTCAAGGCCCTTAAGGAGGCCGGCGTGGCCTCTGTGCTCATCAATCCCAATATCGCTACCATCCAGACGAACCACGTCCTCGCCGACGAGGTCTACTACCTGCCTGTCACCCCTGAGTATGTCGAGTACGTCATCCAGAAGGAGAAGCCCGATGGCATCTTCCTGTCCTTTGGTGGCCAGACGGCCCTCAATCTCGGTGTGCAGATGCAGAAGTTGGGCCTTTTCGAGAAATACGGCGTCAAAGTCCTTGGCACCAGCGTGAGGACATTGGAGCTCAGCGAGGACAGAGATCTGTTTGCGAAGGCGCTCGAGGAGATCAACATCCCCATCGCTAAGTCCATCGCCGTCAACACGGTTGACGAAGCCCTCGACGCCGCGTCCAAGATCGGCTACCCGATTATCGTCCGCGCTGCCTATGCGCTTGGCGGTCTGGGATCGGGCTTCGCCAACAACGAGGAGGAGCTGCGCAACATGGCCGCCCGGTCACTCACCCTCTCGCCTCAGATCCTTGTCGAGAAGTCGCTCAAGGGCTGGAAGGAGGTCGAGTACGAGGTCGTCCGTGACGCGAACAACAACTGCATCACGGTGTGCAACATGGAGAACTTCGACCCCTTGGGCATCCACACTGGCGACTCCATCGTCGTTGCGCCCAGCCAGACCCTGAGCGACGAGGAGTACCACATGCTGCGGTCCGCTGCCATCAAGATTGTCAGGCACTTGGGCGTCGTTGGCGAGTGCAACGTCCAGTATGCGCTGCAGCCCGATGGCTTGGACTACAGGGTTATCGAGGTCAACGCCCGTCTTTCTCGTTCGTCTGCCCTGGCTTCCAAGGCCACCGGATACCCGCTGGCGTATACCGCCGCGAAGATTGGCCTGGGCCACAGCCTGCCCGAGCTCCCCAATGCAGTGACCAAGACGACGACAGCGAACTTTGAGCCCTCGCTCGATTACATCGTCACCAAGATTCCCAGGTGGGACCTGTCCAAGTTCCAGCATGTCAAGCGGGACATCGGCAGCGCCATGAAGTCGGTGGGCGAGGTCATGGCCATCGGTCGTACCTTTGAGGAGTCTTTCCAGAAGGCCATCCGGCAGGTCGACCCTAGGTTCGTCGGCTTCCAAGGCGACAAGTTCGCGGACCTCGACTACGAGCTGCAGAACCCCACCGATCGTCGCTGGCTGGCCGTCGGCCAGGCCATGCTGCACGAGAACTACTCTGTCGACCGCGTCCACGAGCTGACCAAGATCGACAAGTGGTTCCTGTACAAGCTGCAGAACATTGTCGACTGCACCAAGGAGCTCCAGCAGATCGGCAGCCTTGGTGGTCTTAAAAAGGAGCATATCCTGAAGGCGAAGAAGATGGGCTTCTCGGATAAGCAGATTGCTATGGCCGTCGGCAGCACCGAGGACCAGGTCCGCGCTCGTCGTTTGGAGTTTGGCATCCGCCCTTGGGTGAAGAAGATCGATACGCTGGCCGCCGAGTTCCCCGCGGATACCAACTACCTCTACACCACCTACAACGCGTCGTCTCACGACGTCACCTTCCAGGACAAGGGCACGGTCATTCTGGGAAGCGGCGTCTACCGGATTGGTAGCTCTGTCGAGTTCGATTGGTGTGCCGTCAGCGCGACTCAGGCTCTGCGGAAGATGGGAGAAAAGACCATCATGATCAACGTGAGTAAACAGTCCCTCTGTAGCAACTCCATATCACCAGGCCAAGCGATGCTAACTGTTTATCCAGTGTAAGGTCCCTTTCGGCACCTAGTACTTTTCCTTCGCCTCCTCTTCATCCGTCGCCACCTCTTCCTCGACCTCCTTATCTTCTTTCCTATCCCTCTTTCCTTTTCTCTTCCTTTCCTTCTCCCTCCTCTTGTCCCTCCTCCCCTTTCTCTTTGTTTTATCTCTCTTCCTTTTGTCCCTCAACTATATCAACACCAGAGCCTTATTGCTAACGAAAAATCTTCACCAGACAACCCAGAAACCTATTCCACAGATTTCGATACTGCTGATAGACTCTACTTTGAGGAGCTGAGCTATGAGCGTGTCATGGATATCTACGAGCTGGAGAGCGCTGGCGGTGTTGTGGTGTCTGTGGGCGGCCAGTTGCCGCAGAACATCGCGCTCCGTCTGCAAGAGACGGGCGGGGCCAATGTCCTGGGAACGGACCCCCGCGACATTGACAAGGCCGAGGACAGACAAAAGTTCTCCGAAATTCTCGACAGCATCGGTGTCGACCAACCGGCGTGGAAGGAGCTCACCTCGGTTGAGGCTGCGGAGCAGTTCGCCGAGCAGGTCGGCTATCCTGTCCTTGTGCGTCCCAGTTACGTCCTGTCCGGCGCTGCCATGACCGTCATTCGCAGCAAGGAGGACCTGAAGGAAAAGCTGGAGGCCGCTGCCAATGTCTCGCCCGACCACCCGGTGGTTATCAGCAAGTTCATTGAGGGTGCTCAGGAGATCGACGTGGATGGTGTCGCCTCCGGCGGCAAACTCATCATCCACGCTGTCAGTGAACACGTGGAGCAGGCTGGTGTCCACTCTGGCGACGCTACCTTGGTTCTCCCTCCTGTGAGCCTGGACGAGACCACCATGTCGCGGGTGAAGGAGATCGCGCAGAAGATCGCTCAGGCGCTGAAGATCACTGGCCCATTCAACATGCAGATTATCAAGGCTGACGACCCCGAGGGCGGCCTCCCGGCGTTGAAGGTCATTGAGTGCAACCTGCGTGCCTCCCGGTCATTCCCCTTCGTCAGCAAGGTGCTTGGCACCAACTTCATCGACGTAGCCACCAAGGCCCTCGTAGGCAAGGAAGTGCCCGAGCCCACCGACCCGATGGCAGTCAAGCGCGACTACCTCGCCACCAAGGTGCCGCAGTTCTCGTGGACCCGTCTTGCCGGTGCCGATCCTTTCCTCGGCGTCGAGATGGCGTCGACGGGTGAGATGGCCTGCTTCGGCAAGGACCTGGTCGAGGCCTACTGGACATCGGTCCAGTCGGCTATGAACTTCCGCGTGCCCGAGCCTGGCGAGGGTCTCCTCTTCGGCGGCGAGCTGAGCAAGAAGTGGCTCACCACCGTCGTCGACTACCTCGCTCCTCTCGGCTACAAGCTCTATGCTGCCGATCAGGAGGTCAAGCAGCACTTGGAGTCGACGTGCAAGCACAAGATCAACGTCGAGCTGATCGAATTCCCCAAGGAGGACAAGCGCACGCTGCGTGAAGTCTTCAAGAAGTACGACATCCGCGGCGTCTTCAACCTGGCTCAGGCCCGCGGCAAGACGGTCATGGACGTCGACTACGTCATGCGCCGTAATGCGGTCGACTTTGGTGTCCCGCTGTTCATGGAACCTCAGGTTAGTCCCGTCTCGCGAACAAGGAAAACACCAAACAAAAATATCGAAGCTAATGTTCTCCCTCTGCTATAGACTGCTATGCTCTTTGCTCAATGCATGAGCGAGAAGCTGCCTCGTCCGGGGGGCATTCCCTCCGAGGTCCGCAGGTGGTCTGACTTCATTGGTGGCAAGCCCCTGTAAATATAATGATGATACCTTCTATCGAACTATTTTGATCATGGAGTTTCGAACATCAAAAGACATGTCTTGGGGGGGCGTTTGAGGGTTTTTTGGGGGTTTGAGCGAAGGGCGGGGTTTGTTCTGTGGCATTTCGAATCTTTCTTCTATACGCCCTTCTAGTTTCGACGAGCAAGCAACGCTTAACTTGAAGGTGATTTGTTGTTGTTGGTTTGAACCATGATATCTACCTTAGGTATGTTTGGCTGGTATGGGGGGAGCGGATGGTGACGTGGAGGTGAGGCAGGTTCACGTCATCGTCTCGGTTGGAACTACCTCATTCCGATCGATGTAAGATATCATGGATATGTAGAGATATCCCCGGTCGTCAACTGTCTGTTTTGAGTGAGAGGGCGGTGGGACCATTGAAGTTCTACAACTATGAGCAGTTTCTTTGCATTGACAGATGGCGAGGTAGCCGAAGTGGCTACATTCATAGACCTGTTATTAACGCAGCATTATAAGTCCAGTCCTGTCAAGTCGGGGGTGAAGAGATTGTCGTGGGTGAAGAGATTGTCGTGGGTGAAGAGATTGTCGTAGGGGTGAAGTGAGACTTTCCACTAGAAGACCGGGTGAGTAATTCAGGAGGTTCCATTGATCGTTCCTGGATCGAGTCTTTTACTAGGTGCTCTAGCCATATGATACACCCAATGCTTTGACATTGTTCTGTAGCTCAGAGAGGAATGTATGCACGGCGATAATAGATGGATAGTGTATAATCGATGAGCCATCCACAGGGTTCCACCGTCACCTCCATCATGCACCGCCTCAACAAGTGAGGCAATCTATGATGGCGAAACGGGTTTTGCCTCTGTGTTATAAGACCCGACCTTGGCTGATTCGTGTTCTTAACTACTAGTATCACCATCCACGTCTTGTTAAATGCACCCAAAACATCAGCCAAAGCGAAGCAGGAAGCCACCGGTCTCCTTCTCTTCTATGAACCCCGATGCAGCCAGAACTCCTGCCGCGGTACCCCCATCATCAATTTGATCCACCGCAGCCCGTCATCGCACTGATTGAGGCGGCCACCTACCCGGCGCCACCGCGCCACGTATCATCTTCACCGATAGTGAACGTCCTACGTCGGCGAGAAGGAGCGGTCTTCGTTCAGCCTGACAGCAGCAAAACGCTTAGCAAGGGGTTCTCGGACGTCGTTGTAATCAGCTCTGCGAGATGACGACGACCTGGCGTACTGCTCCTCATCCCCATCGCCCTGGTCGTCGTCAGAGGGTCGGGGACGCTTGGAAAGTCTCTCACCAGTGGATTGCAGGATCATGTGCAGCGTCTGCCACCCGGTTGTCGATCGCAGCTGGAAAGACTCGGCCAGGTCGTGGTGTGCGGCGACCCTGCATAGGAGGGCCTCTTCCTCCTGGAGAGGGATCCAAGGTTAGCGCCTGCATGTACTTGCCAAGTCAGATATTGATGCGAAAGGCATACCTTGGCTAGTACACCCATCTGGTGGATGTAGCAGAGGAGGTGAAAATCGGAAACGGGAAAGCTGTCATCCTTTTGGTTCACCCTCAACGCCTTTGCAACGGCGGAAACCTCCTGCGCCTCTCCGATGTATTCCCGATTCTCGATGGGGAAACCGCTGTCCTTGAAGACTGGCTTTGGTGTCTCGGGGAAGCCGTGTGTGAGGGTGACGAAAAGATATTCGACCGGGAATGCCGGCTTAGCATTTTCTTGCACATTCGCTCCATATTCATTGATTCGGCGATAGAACACCTCAGGGATATACCGCGTCCGGCTTATCGAGCCGTCATCCTCTTCCTCCGCGCGAACGAGCATTTGCGTAGGGTCAACCGAAGGCTCGATGATGTCTGCCCTAACCATTTCGACCGCGTCATTCGACATTTGATACGCCGAGATGGAGATCTCGCCTTTTTCGTTTCCAGAGATGACACAGGTGACATAATTGGAACCGAACCTCCCGGTATCACTCCACTTGCTCGGCTTGGGGTGTTGAGCTTGCATTCGAGCAGCGAAGACGATCTCTTGCGATGCGAGGAAATAGGAATCCGCGTGCCGCTTGCAGACAGCGCTACCGTCCCCGTTGCCCGCGTCCAGGAGATCGGTCCATATCACGCCGACCTGTTCCAAGCCACAGAACTTCGCCATCTGATTGACTTCCTGCTCGTTCTCCCATGGGTTGAGCGAGATGCCATCAACCTCGTCGATTTGCGGTGGCTCATAGATAGCCTCCACCACAGCCTTGATCCCCAGCGGCACCACGTCGTACTCCATGTATTTGCCGTAAAGGATGCCCAGGCGCTGTGCGCCGGTTCTGCGCCAGGCGTCGAGAAACTTGTCGACGATCTGCGGCGAGGCGAACTCGACATGGTCCACCATGCGGAACGGCTGGGGTTGGAGGGTGATGGCACTGGGTTGGCACTTTGTGCAGATACCTTCCGGCCACTCAGGGTGTCCCGATGGGCAGTTGCGCTTCACCCGGTAATAGGGCTCGACAAGCGGGGGTATGAAGGAGGCGCCAAGCTCGGGCTTGTTGGTGGCCGAGTTGACCTTGCGCATGTAGGCGTGCACCGACATGTACTTGATCTTCTTCTCCTCTAGATACTGGGGGTTGAAGGGATCCAGAGGCATGCAGTAGTCGCACATGCCCTTTGGCCCGTGGCGGCACATCTTATTATCTCTTTTTCTCGGAATCTTGCCATCCCGCCTGTCCAACCGGTCATCCAAGGGAGACTGCCGAACAACTTCCCACGGGTTCTTGATTCGTTCCGCTGATGCGCCCGGAGGTGGATCTATCGGGTGGTCTTCAGTCGGCAGCACAGGTTTCCCGTTCAGTCGATTTGTGGAGGACAATAGAGGAGCTGACGACGACGGTATTTCGTCATCTGCATTCCCGTTTGTAACGGCATCTTGGTGTTGGTAGTTGATGAAGATGAGGTCCCCATGACTGCCACGAAGTGTTAGCCTCAACAGTTTGCGACGCTCACCCAGAGCACGCCAGACGTGGCAGAATGAGCTTGCCTTAACCCAACCTGGCCAATCTTAAACCTAGAAATCTCGCTAACATTCTTCGAGTCGCGGCCACTCGGGTGGTTTGACAGGGTGATGGTCCTGGAATCGACGGTGGCAGGGAGCTTCGGGGTAAGCTGTGCTATTGTTAGTCTTGATCGCCGATGGGCTTGAGCAACGTCTTCCGAATACCTGGCTCATAAGGTGGCCAAACGTGTCGTCTTTCTCCGCCGTTAAGCGGAACATGCCATCCGGCGACCGCACGCGTAGAAGCATCGTGAGCTCAGCGACCGAATGGTTGGCTTCGAAACGGTGGTCTGTACCGTTTTGCTTGGCTAGGCAGGGTCAAGGAAATCCAGAATAAGGTGCTTTATGAGGAGTGCCGTTCGTGTGAAATGCTTGACGATGGGAGAGTTCGGATAGCTTTGGTGCTGAATGAGGGACGAGAAGTCGAGTTGGGAGCTTTCTTAGCTGGTGGCGGCTGTGAGCTGCTCCAGTCGTTCTCAAGTTTCGTCATACAGACCTGCCTAAGCACTGAGCTGCCCCTCAGTGTAGGGAGATGCGGTAGATGCATATTGTGGGGAGCACTACCTACACGCTTACAGGCATATCAGACGAAGTGGTCCCTGCGCTAGCCTGACCCCTGTCCTTGCCTGCAGCATGCTGGTGGTTGATCGCCAAGACCCAAAAGTTGTTGTCCAGCTGTTCTTTCGGGCCATGCTCGGAAGGGCAAGATCCATTGAGGGCCACCTTTACAGTTCACAGGCTGTCCGACCTCGACCTCCGACAAGGTGCCCAACTCCCACGCTTCTTACTCTAGTCTTCTTAGTGTGCACTTTGTCGCACCTTCGCAGCGCGTTCTAGAACTCGCCATGTTCGACGTCAATTGGAGGGGGCTGCTGCTCCCCCTGGCTTACCTGGCGGTGCTGGTCGGCACCTTCATGACATTCTCTACTGTTTACCGGAAGAGGAAAGCCAGTACGTTCTCCGATTGTTCTAGCATCCGACATGCAGTGCATGAAGAAACTGACCTTTTCGCCCGTCTAGTGCAAAGCGCAAACCTCGCGCCATGGTTCGGCCCACATCTTCAGCGCAACATCTACCTGTCGCTATTACACATGGAGCCCGAAGAGGGATCCGAGAAGGCGCCCAAAGTTCCAGACAGCGTCATCAGGGCCGCCCTCTTGAGACGCGCCGTCGAGGATATCCACCGCATCATCCAGATCCGTACTGCCAAGGCGGCCTGCAGCTCCCTGCTGCAGCGGGGGAGCGTGGGGGATGATCTGTGGCAGCGATTCCAGCGCGCTGAGAAGGAGATGGAGGAAGAGCTTCGGGATGTCGTTATGGAGGTGGGTTGTTGTCGGGCATGGTTTTCAGCTGTTCGCGTCTAACAAAAGCTTTCAGGCAAATGCCCTCGTGCCGGGCTGGGGCCAGATCATCTTCCAATCCGCCAACGAGATCGCGGCCAACAAGGCGCTACGGGACCGGCTGGAAGAGATCGAGGCACAGACGGAGCGCGACAAGGAATGGTGGGAGAAGCGGCGGGCCAGCATCAAGAGGGAGTTCATGAAAGAGCTAGACGAGGAATCATCGGAGAAGGCACAGGTCAAGGCCGGCAGCGAAGACGAGCCCGTCTTAGTGGATACAGATACCCCGTCAGCCACTCCGTCAGGAGCTTCCAAGAAGAAGAAGGGCAAGAAATAGGGTTCCGCGGGGCGCCGCAAGAAAGGGCGAGTCGACTGTGCTCGGATTTAGTGCTGTATAAGTATAAAAGGGGGTATGTACATGGTTGCCCAGGGCTGTCTACGCATAGTTGCATGGCGTTTGGGATGATACATTGCTTGGTTCGACTTGGATCTGCTTTTTATTGGGCGACGGCGGCGATGCGGTAGTATATACCCTCACGCGCTGGATGGGTGGGGAGTGGCGAGGAGCTCAGATGATTCATTTACAAGTACATCACTTCTCATTGTTAGAACAGGGCATCCGAACAGGGCATCCGAACATGTCTCCTTCGTCTTCACAGCCAGTGGCTCTAACCAAACTATGCCTGATAATACCAACAGCTTGTTACGTGCAATAGTAGTACCTTCCATTACTTCAAGTCAACAGAACTTGCTCGCTTGCTTTCGTGTTTTGATCTCATTTCCCATAACAGGCACAACGGCATAGCATATTCCCACCATTGGATGACCCATCCCCGCCCATCATCACAAATCCAAAGTCTTGACTGACTAAGGTACCTTACCTGCCCTTTACCTTAGTGCTTACTAATACCAGCCCATCTTCCTCCTAACCTCCTCCACATCATCATCCCGGGCCCCGCTCCCATTACCAAACCTAGCCCTCCGCTCCGCCTCCTCCCTAATCTCCTCCTCACTCCTCTGCAAGCGCTGCACCACCTCCCCGGCGACAAGTGCCTCGATGGGCGTGTCACAACCCCGCAGGCCGATGAACTTGCCCAGCTTCCGCCTCTTCTCCTCCAGGCTCAACCCGGGTGGCCACGTCACGGGGCACGGGTACTGCGCCGTCCAGTGACAGGGGGTGCGCTGGTGGTAGAAGTGGGCGAGCTCGTTGAGCTGCTCGTCGGTCAGCAGCCAGAAGGCCAGCAGCGTGCGCGGGAAGTCCCGGTGGACGGCGCCTGTGGTCAGCTGCACCAGCGGCGCGAGCTGCAGCGCCATTTGGGACAGCTTGGCGTCGAAGGCCGGGTTGCGGGCGGCGCGGCGGGCGCTGAATGCCGTCGTGTTTGCTATGGCATTTGGGTTGGTGTTGTTCGGGGGGATGTTGAAGTTGTTGTTGTTCGGGTTGTTTGGTTGTGTAGGAGACGGTTCCATCTTTGCTGCGGACTGGAACAAGTTCTCCCGATGCGATTGCGATATCGTAAATGAGCAGGTTTGAGTACGAGGGCTGCTGGGGGTTTTAACAAACCAGATCGCAACCGGGAAGAGACCGAGAATGGGTATTATTATATATAGTATGTCCCTATAAAGAGGAGTAGTGCTGTCTGGATGCGTGGGCGGCAGACAATAGATAAAAGGAAAACGCAGAAACTCAGAGAAAGCTGTGCGTATGATGCGATAACCGGTGCAATCGGTCTCCCGTCACCCATTAATAATAGGTATAGTAGGAAGATTTCGCACTATAGACTCTTAGCTTTTGTTGGTGGAATGCTGAGCAACAGAACCGGCCCAACTTCCACAGGATGCGTCGTGCTCTTGTAAGTGTTCACGAGAAGAAACCGAACCGTTCGGAAGCAAGCGCTTTACCCAAGGTCGGGCATCTTTGTAATCGTCCCTGCCTTTATCCCACACAGCTGCTATCTTTGGGCAGTGAGACACCTTTAACTCCCACCCTCTTTGACCGCTCTCAGAAACAACTGAGACATTGTCTAGTCCATCAACAAGAGCATTCCAAAGAGACTCCCGGCCACCCGGAATGCCACAACAATGCATTCTCCCCGCCGGATAGAGCTCTTCCGAAGGCGGCTGGCCAGTCAGAGCCACTTCAGCTTGGCAATGTGATCCGCCTTCTTTCTGCTCTGCTTCACAAAGCCCATCATCCTGAGCTCCGCCAGGCCGCGGTAGAAGCAGACCAGCGCAGACCGCTCATCGAGCCCGATGTCGGTCTCTTCTCCGACGAGCGCGTAGTAGGCGGACCACAGGTCGGCCACATTCACAAGCGCGCCCGCCTCGAGATAGAGATGGTACAGTATGGCTGTCGTGGGCAGCGTCGAGGCAAGTCCTCCGTTGGTCTTGGCACAACAGGCACAGGCGAGATAGTCGTGCGGACGGGAGAGGGCGCGCGCGAAGGTGGCCCCCGGGCGGGGAATAAAGACGTCGCGGTACGGCGACTTCGAGTCGAAGACCCAGACTTCGTGAAGAAAGAGATTGTCCATCGGGTCACAATGCAGGTTCTGTGACAAAAGACCCAACAAAGTGTCAATAGCGTTGGTGAAGGCTTTGTCCTCTTCGGTTAGCGTCGCTGTGTCCTGGCTGAGCTGGACCTTCTGCGACACGATGGTCGTGCGTAGCACCTTGCTCTGAGCGCTGTATTTGCTCTTGAGAGCCGTGCCGTTGCTCTTGGACCGTTCGACGAGGCCTTCGACTTCGTCTCGGAGGTCTGCCAGGGAGCTCACAAATTCCTCCGCGTCCGACTCCCATCCTTCTAGGCCGAGTTCCGGGCTGCCGGTTTGGATAGCGCCCGACAGGCGGTCTACCAATGTCAGAAACTCGCCCGGACTCAGCCGTTTTACCGCGTCTTCCAAAGGAACAGTCCCTGACGACTGGTCGATGTCGATGCCGCTGCTCAAGGCTAATATGTAGAGTTCTGTAAAGGAACCGGTGTCCAGGCCGGTGCATGTCACCAAGTACAATGCACGGAGGAGGCCGAGGAGATACTCATGCCGCTTCTGCCCCTGCTGCATGATCTGCGCAACGAGATATTCGTCGTCTTCGATCAGAGACTGCGCATGGTTCAACTGCCTCGCCTGAAAGGCGGCTTCAACTTGGGCTTTGAAGGAGTCGAGAGTCCGGACAGCCTCGATGTGCTCTGGCTGCAACAGCGTGCGGTCCAATCCGCCGCTGTCGGCAGCGAGCAGTACGCTGAGCGGGTTCGCATAAAACTGGCACATGTACGCGTACTTCAGCGAACTGATGAACACATGGATGCCTGCCACTTGGTCCTGCTGGCGCTCCGCCAGACTCTGAAGAAGCGAGGGCCCAATTCTCAAGGTGGCGTGGGTCCCAGCGACGGCGCTCTTAATGACGCTTTCGAGGACCGAGTTGGCTTGCACGACGTCAAACTGGGCGCCGTACAGCTGGCGGGCGGTTGATTTGAGCAGTCTTGCCTCGAACAGTTCGACCGAAGTGGCGATGCCGAACAGAACGTCAAACTGGATACGGTCACGCCATGAACTACTGCGGGTCAGCTCGGGCTGTCACAGCGGGAATTGAAACTGATACGGAGCGCGTACTGGAAAAGCGTGATCAAATCCGTCAACAAGGCGCTTTCGAACGCCTCGCTGTCCTGGAAGGCAACAACAACCCGCCGCGAATGCTGCCGATGCCGATGCTGCTGTTGCTGCTGCTGTTGTTGGAGAAAAGCGTGCAAGGCTTCAAGGTCGTAGTTAAGATATTTCCTCCCCTAAGCACACATCAGCCCCAACCGATCCGTCTTCTTGTTTCTCGCCCGGGAGGCACACGGAACAGAGACTTACGCATTGACTGACTTCCGCGTTCACATCATCCACGCCATCGGATGCCCTTGCCGTTGCATCCTGGATGATCTTCTTCAACGCCGCCTTGAGGTTGGGCGCTTCCGAGGCACGCAGCCGGACAAACCTTGGCTGCGAAGCCGCGGAGAGCCGCTCAGCGAGCTGCTCGAACAGTAGATCTTGGGAGGCGATACTTGGACCCGTGATGATGAACCCTGCGGTGATTTTGCCGCTGGACGGCGGGACGTTAGTTGACAGGGCTTTTGTCACGGGGCCTCCCCCGTCCGGGGAATCGACACTCACGTTTCCGCCTCGGCAGCCTCGTGCAAGAAGGAAGTGACTTCGTCGAGCGTGTTCCGGTTGGCTTCTCTCAGGACTTGCTGCACACTGTCAGCTAGGCACCCAGATATTATTGCACAACACACGGCTGGGCCTCCTTCTCTGTTTGACTAACCTGGATGCGGTTCTCGAGAACAGGCCATGCTGTCTCGAAGAGCTCTTTCCGCAACTTCGAAGCAGCGGCGCTCTCGGCGCCGTTGAAGAGTTGCGGAAATACAGGCTCTACTGCGGAGGTATGCTGCGGTTTGCGAGCATCTGGTTTGGCCACCTTGCGTCTCTTTGCAGGGCGCGTACTCTGCGCTGCACTGTCGCCATCTGCTTTGGGGTTGAAGATGAATGCTGCCTATTGACTTGATTTAGTGACCGGTCTTGGCATTTGCACGGTTTCACAGGATGACTGAGCAGGACGCATTACATACCCTATGATCATCCTCTTCAAATTGCGTTGCATCGCCCTCATCTTGAGCCATGGGATCTGCGTGTGATGAGTCGGGAGCCTCAAGTGACCAAGTCTAGAAGTTCGGTTGTTGTCAAGGGCCGTGGAAGGCCAAGGGGATTCACGTGCACTGACCACCCGCCGCGACTCTTTCCCCTTGGCAGTGACAGCGGCTCTGTAATCATATGCACAAATAAGCCACAGCATGCTTTCACACTCACAGTAAGTAAGGGGCAAGAGCAAAGAGGTAGATCAAGGAATCGCTCAAGGAGTAGGGATGGCCCTTTGTGATTACTGTGATTTGACGTAGACGTACCTTACGTATGCTATCAAAGACAACCGGCTACGCGTCATCCCAACAAGAAAATCAAACATCCCCCGTCATCGCCCTCTGTTTTGTTCCCTTTCTGGTTGTTCCCTGCTACGTAGCACCCTCGCCTGCCGGCGTTATTAATCATGGCTTGAACCTGGAATGACGGGAAGATGCTGTAAAATAAAAAGACGCTGAATCCCAACTGGGTCCATTCACTCGATGGCAATCTACTTAAATACTACTATCCACCCAGCGCCTGGTTTCAAATGCCTTAAGGTACCTGACTCTCTCTCTCCCCCCCGGTCCCGAATGATCGCAGAAAATCAAAACATCTGCCACGCTTGCCTGTCCCCCTCGCCCAAGAAGGCGAAGTACAGTACATCGCTGGATAACTAGCCCCCTCTACCACACTCCCCCCAAACTCCTCCAGCGGACATAGCAAGGCTCTGTTCCCTTGCCGCTTTCGCCAGTCAGCCGCAGCAACGCTGCTGAACCTGGTTTTGTACCCTGGATGTCGCCGTTATAGAGGGGACCAAAGGGGTTGTGGAAGAGGGAGAAGAGACTAAACCACAAAAGCGCGCCTGTAGTTGGACCAGAAGAACCCGCCCCGCCCCCCGCCCCCGACGCAAGAACATGTCCACACGCAAAAAGGAAATCGAAAATCCCGTGATCCGTCCTAGTTTTACAAAGGCTGGCTGAGCCCTCGGATATCCCTTCTGTTGCTGGGTCAGAGAGGCTTCTGCCCGGCCAGTCGGCATTGAGATGGTTCTCGCTCCGTTGATCGGAACTTCTGAGGCCGCCGCCGGCATTGACATCGCAATTTTTCGTGCTCATGTGCGGAGAGACTCGTTTATGCCAATGCCGCGACACCCTCAGTCTGGGCGGCCTTGGCCTTGAAAATATGTCAGAAGACAGAGCAGTAGACTAGAGCACAGTCAGAGACTCACCTCTTCTGCAGCAGGCTCCTCAGAAGGCTCAGATGCCTCAGAGGGCTTGGGTGCCTCCTTGGACCCGCCGTTAGACACCTCCTTAGGCTCCTTTGCGTCTTCCTTCTGCTCCTTCTCGCTCTCCTTCTCCTCTCCCTTGTCCTCTTCCTTGTCCTTGCCAGGCTCATCCGTCTCACCCGTCTCCTTGGCGCCGTTGGCTTTCTCCGCCCCCTTGGACGTGCCATTAACCTCAGCGGCCGGCGCCGCTGGCGTCCCGTCGACGGCCAGGAGCTTGTTCCACTTGTCTAGCAGAACCTGCGACCGGGGCTTGAACTTGAATTCATCCTCCTTCGGAATGTTTTCCAGCTTTAGGATCGCCTTGAGCACCTTGTTGATCTTGGTCTCCCTGATGATGCTGACTTCGAGATCGGGAAACGCCTCAAGCTTCGTGACGTAGTCCGACATCAGCTTCATCTCCTGCTCCTTCGGCTCGTGATCCCGGGTAAGGAGGCCCTTCTGAAGTTTGTGCCGAAGGAACAGCACTTCCTTCTGTAGACCAACGGTGTTAGCGCAAACCTGGGACTTCCACGCCACATCTGTAGTTATCGTACCTTCTTCCTAGAGTGCCTCTCCGCAGAGGACATTTCAGGCTCCTTCGGAGCTGTGACTTCTTCTTCGTCCTTCGCTTCTGACTCTTTCGCCTTTTTAGACTTGGGCTTAGCGCCCTTGGCCTCAGCTGTCTTCGCCGATTTGGGTGTGGATGTGGCGCCGTTGGCTGCCTTCGGCGTGGCACTGGTCGTCAACTTGATCTTTGGTTTCTTGACCGAATCAGAACGCTGCGGCGTCTATCAAGGTTGGTTAGCAATCATGGCTCCAAAAGTATCTCGCATGGCTACACTTACTTCGGCGCTTTCATCGGCCTTCCTCTTCTTCGCCTTCTTGTCTTTGGCCGGGGTCTCCCCCACGTCAGGCGCATCTGCCATGTCGATATCGTCGTCCTCCTCGCTGGCAGCCTTGGCCTTTTTGCCCTTGGGCGTTGCCGCCTTCGCGGCCTTTTCCTTCTCCGCTTGGATGAGCTCCTCCTGGTAGTTCTGCAAAAGTTCTTTATAATAATCCAGCGAGTGATTCTCCGCCGCCAATTGGTGTGCGACTTGCAGACTCTTTCTCATCTTCTCCAGTTTGACATCCTGCAAGACGGTTGCAGGATCAAGCTCGATCAGTTCAGTGTTGGGCACCCAGCCGCTAGAACACGCGTCAGCCTTCGAGACCTTTGCATAGAGAGGCAGCGTGGGCCACTTGGCGACTCGGAGACGTCCAAAGCCCACAGTAGCCGAAACTTACAATTCGTTGGTATGCAGGTACATGACGGGGAATGTCCGGTCCGCGACATTCTTGCCCCCATCAGCGTAGTCCTCGCGGTAAGTGCCATCGGCGCGCATTGCCGTGACCGGCCGAGTTTTGAGCAGGGATGCCGGAAGCATGTCCTCATCGCAAATGATGACGGGCCATTGCGGGAAGCCCTTGAGCTTGACGAAGTAGTGGTCGCCCGGCTTGGCATCCAAGTGCAACAAGCGCGGCTTCGATGCCTTCTTGTTGAGCTTTTTGGCCTTCGAGCCGCCGCCGCCGCCGCCGCCGCCGCCGCCGCCGCCGATGGACTTGCGCTTGGACTTGGACGCGTCGGCGTCGGGTGCAGCTGCATCGGCGGTGTCCGCAGTGGTCTGCTCGGTAGGCTCAGGCTTTGCTACTTCGGCAGCTTCGACGCGCTTGGGCGCGGCCTCGGCTGGAGCGGTGTCATCCGCCATCTCGACGTCAGGCTTCTTCTCGTCGGTTGGCTCTGTCGGTTTGCTCGCAGACGCTAGAATAAAAAATGAGAACAACGACGGTCAGTGAATGAAAGCTCGGTTGGGCATGTCGAGACGAAGTGGTTGGCACGGTGAAGCGTTGTTACCTTCAGCGGGCCTATCAGATTCTTCAGTCGCTTCGGGGGCGGCAGCGGCAGGCGCAGGCACGGCCTCAGCCTCCGGGTTGACGGCAGGAGCCTCCTGGGTTGTGTCCTTCTTCTTTTCCACGTCGGTGGAAGTGCCCTCAGTCGGGGGAGTGGCGCGATTGTTCTCGCCAGACATGGTCTCGAGATGGTGGCGATGTGATGTCAGCACGCGACTGGGGTGGAAACAGGAGCTGATGCAATGTTTGGTGCAGAAGAGCGAAAGTCGACGCGTTCTTCGCGTAAGACTCGACGAGGGTGTACGTGCTTCTCGCTCAGCTCCGCGTTATGATGAATGTTGATGGCGTGCGCGGTTGGGGGGATAAGTCACAATGCGCAGGCAGCTTGGCGATTGGAGCAGTAACAATGCGCCGAGGTGAAGTTGAGAGAACACTCGCGAAGCAGAGAAATTATTTGAGGGCAGTACACGAGGGAGTTGGTCCGAGCGTCTTGGCGACGCAGCTTTCTGCTTGGGCCTACGTGAGAGGGCGGCGGAGTTGCTCACGGGAGGAGCGGCAACTTGTTGTGGGCATGCGTCCGATCCATGGAAGCACAACGCCAACAGCGCCCGCCCGCACCCAACAACGCCGCTGGCCTGGTCAAAAGTCCCACGGTGCTTGTGAAAGGGCACCGAGTCATCGCCCATCCACGCAACTGCCAAACCGCACTCCCCTTCCACGGTCGGGCAATCTTGATCGACAGTCCATCAAAAGCCGCTATCCACCACGTAGTAGCTCTTTGCCACCCTCCTGGCTTGACGTACCCCAACCCCTCTCTCCCAGGCATTCCGAGCAGGCGCAGCACCAACAGGAGCTTTGTTGCAGATACCTGCTGCCACAGGCCGAGCACAACAACCCCCGAGACCCCACACCGGTTCCGAGTTCAGCCTGACGGACGCCGCCCTTTCATTCACCGACTGCCGAGAGGTCAAAGGAAACGAAACAAACAAAAACCTCGGAAGCCTCAAAGGCTGTGTCATTCTGCATTTGCCCCCTGCCGAACTCCTTTGTATACCGTACAACTGGTTGAAAACCCATCTTGTGCCGTTGGCTGACGACCCTCCATAATAAACCAGCTCTCAGTTCCCCGCACTCATTCACTCCTCGTCCTCCTCGTCCCCACTCTCATCTACATCCATGCCCTCCTCAACCATGACTGAGAACTGGGGTTCCTGGTCGACCCCAACGTAGCTGTCGCTCATCAAGAAGAGCTTCAGGTCGTGCCGGCCAGGCGCGGGCACGGTGAACTCCAGCCTGAGATTGAGCTCCCGTCCGACCGTGACCCGCTTGATTGCGAGCAGCGTCTTGGACTTTTCCTCGCCGACCACGAGCCACCAGTTCTCCGTCTTCTTGCCGGGGTAGAACGGCGCGTGCACCGTCGGGTCGAACTCCTCGTCCTCGTCCATCTCGCGCTCGATGCGGATCTTGAGGTATGCCGGCTCTCCCGCCCGGATGCTTTCCTTGTCCTCGACCTCGAACTCGAGCGAAATGTCGGGGTATTTGCTGTTTGTGAAGTTGGCTGCCTGTGCGAGCTGTGCTTGAGAGAGGCCGAGGTCCTTGACGAGCGAGCCGTAGTCTGGGTTCTCGTCGGGGTTCATCTTCTCCATGAAGTCGAAGATGTCCCTGACGTCGTACTTGTTCGCCGCCTTGATCACGTCGGGTGTGAAGTTGGGGATCTGCTTCAGCGGGCTATCACGATCCCACATGGCCTGCACCACCATCTGCGACATCTCCATCGCGTTCATCGCGTTCAGGTGGCCCTCGGACGAGAGGATGTCGACGATGGCGCTCAGGAGACTGAGAAGCTTGGTCAATATGACCTCCTGGTCCTTGGCAAGATCAATTGGCAGATTCATCCTGGAGAAGTGCGCCTGAACCAGGACAAACGCCTTGAAATGAGGCGAGTCGTAGACGGGCTGGGCCATCTTCACAGGCACGTTGTCATAGATGCGTCTGAGGATGACCTCCTCGTGCCGCCTGATCTGGATCGACTCGAACTCGGTTGCCGATGTTACGATCTCGAGGATGTTCTTGAGCTTGGTCTTCTGGTTCAGCGACAGCAGGAACGTCTGCATCGTGATGTATGAGATGTTGTAGTACGCGGCAATCATCGCAGCATTCTGCGGCGCGACGGACCCGTCGTCCTCGTCTAGATCGATGATGTTTGCCTCGGCCAGCTCCTTCAGCGTCAACTCGACCATGTCAGAGAGATACTGGCTCAGCCCCTCTTCTGTCGGATTCGTCAAGCTATAGTAGCTTGGGTTGGCAAGCAGACGCCGGTAGAATAATGAGAAGGTGGTCCAGTTGATGGCGTCTTCGCCGGATTCGATCATCTTGGTGCTGATCTCGGTGACGAACGCGTCATGGATGAAGTTGTGAAGATGCGACTCGACGGGCAGGGCTTCGTTGAGGAACTTCTTGTAGTACTCTCGCTTCACCGCCGGAAGCATGAGGACGCCCCGGCTCCGGCCGTCCTTGGAGGGCTGCACCGCTCTGCCAAACATCTGGAGAACCTCGCTGAGCGGATAATCGACGTAGCGGTGCTCCCTGCCCTCAAAGTATTGTGTGCCCATCACGATGACCAGGTGAGCGGTGCAGTCAAGCTCCCAACACACGTCACGAGATGCAATCAGCACCTGGATAGCACCGTTGTTGTAGAGATGCTTGACGATGCGCCTGTCGCTCTGGCTCAATGCTTCGTGATAGTAACCGACACCATGGGAGAGCGCCTCAGCGAGAGCCTCTTCCTGGACCCGCTCGAGTAGCTTCTGGATCTGCTCGACGTCGACATGCAAGAAGCGATCCTCGTCATCGTCGGCGAGGCACGCTGTGAGGAGATCCCGAGCCGTCGCTCTGGTCTGCTTCCGACTCGGCACAAAGATGAGCGCTGGCTGGTCCGCTGACATCTGGGTGACGGCAAGATACGTCGGCTTCGCCATTGCGAACATGAGCGATGGGAAGTGAGGAATCGTGTACGACTGGATATGGAGCTCCAGTGGCACCGGCCGCACGTGGGGACTGAAGTTGTAGATATCGTGCTTTTTCGCGTCGATCCACTCGCCGATGTCCCTGGCATTGGCCAGGGAGACGCTCAGGCCGACAATCCGCATGGGGCGCTCTGTCTGTGTGCGTATGTAATGCATCCGAGACACGATGATCTCGTAGATGTACCCCATCTGGCCCCCGAGCATGTGGAGGTCATCCGCGATGAACAGTTCCACGGTCTGGACGTTCTTCCTCCTCTTCCACTGCCGCGACAGCACATCCCATTGCAGCGGAGTGGCTAGGATAAGATCTCCCTGCTCGAGCAACTTCAGGTCGCCGGTGGTCTCTCCCGTCAGCTTCACGATGTCCTTGCCGCCGCGGAGATTGGAGAAGCGCTTCTGCCAGTCCTGGAATCGTAGGTCCACGAGCTCTTGGAAGGGGGCGATGTAGACGGCGCGCCCGTGGTCTTGCCTTCTCCAGTGACGCAGCAAGGCAAACTCTGCACACACCGTCTTGCCGCTGCCGGTCGGTGCAGCAACCAGCACGTTGTTGTCCGTGTCGTAAAGGGTTTTGAAGGTCTGCGTCTGCACCTTGTTGAATTTCTGAAAGTCAGGATACAGCGCAGCATAGTCCTTCTCCTTCAGAGCAGATACAGGGAGCGGCTGCAGGTCGAGCAGTTCCGTGTGTGGAGGGAACCGCTGCGGCAGGATAAGCTTCTCGAACGACACAGCCATGCGAGTCTCGGAGTGCATCCAGCGATCAGAGACGACCGAGATGAAGTAGTTGGGCGGCATCGGTTCGGAGATGGGGACCGTAAACTCGACGACGTGTTCGTTGGCCTCCGCTTCAGCGTAGTCCTTGCGTAGGATGAACTGGTCATGGTAGAGAATGTCTTCGCCGTCACAGTCCTCGACGATTATCCAGAAGCTCTCGGCCAGCCCATGGACATCAACATCCCACTCGAAGTTAGGGGTGATGGTAAGCTCGACACGCAACATCGATCTTGTCATGGGCTGCACGTTTGCCTGGATCTCGACCCGGGGGAACTTGGCAACCAGGGAGCACACAGTCTTTCCAGCCTTGGGCAAGCCCAGCAGCTCGCCCATACGAGGAGGGTCGAGATCGAAGTAATTGCTGAAGGGCACCTCTATCCTCTCCGCCTTCCTCACGATCTCAATCGGGCAGCCGGGAAACTGCCGAAGGGGTGACATTGTCGGCCACATCCTCTTCTCAGCCATCTTGCACAGGTTCAACGCCAGCTTGGCAACAGAGGCCCAGCCCTTCTTTAGAGAGATCTCGAAGATGGCCCGGAGAATACGGCCCGCAGACTGGGTGACGTAGACCATGTCAGCCATGAGAGCCAGGCCGTCCAGCTTCAGGCGAGAAATGTAGGCCTGGAGCAGAACATTGATCTTGGCTGTGGGCTCTTCAATGCTCTCTTTGACGGGAATGGGGACACGAGCGAGGAGTTTCGCAAGCTCAAGCTTTTCCTCCTGGCGCACTGGGATATACTTGAACTCGGCGCTCTGGGCGAAGACGCGGAACAACTCGACGTCGTTCATCGATGGCTGGATCAGTTTGTTGTAGGTATCCATCGAGCCGTGGGTGATGTAGTAATGGGAAGCGATGCGTCCAAGCTCGGTCGACTGCATCTTGCCGGTCTTTTCGTCGTACTTGACGAGGTTTGACTTCTTCAAAACCGTCGCAGCAGAATGTATCAAGTCGACGCGCATCTGCTCCAGGGCCTCGTCCTCTGCATACTCTGCCCCGACGCTGTAAAGCCCAGGAGAACGGAGCATTCGGACGAAGAGATAGGTATACCCCAGCCACTCAACACCTTCATCGCGGTTTCGGACATTGCCCAGGACAATCTCGGCGTTGAGGCTGTCAACGAGCTTGCTGGCCAGTTGGCTTTCAATCGGCAGTTGCTGATTCAGCAGGGACAGGTAATATGGAATTTCACCTTGCGTGGTGATGATGATGCCTTCACCATAAGTATCGAACTGCGGGCGGCCTGCGCGGCCAAGCATCTGCAGGACATCTTGGGGGCTCAATTCGACCCAGCTACCCTTCTCCGGGGAATAGACCTGGGTGCCCTTGATGATGACCGTGTGAGCCGGCAAGTTCACACCCCAGGCAAGGGTGGCCGTGCACACCAGCACCTGGATATGTCCGCTTGCAAACAGATCCTCAACATCCGTCCTGTCGGCGCGACTCATGCCGGCGTGATGGATACCGAATCCGTACGGCAGGATGTCCTTGAGATCCGTGTTGTTGACCGCGCTGGCTGCCTCGCTCAAAACTTCGCGGGTGCCGGCATCGTGCTTGAGGATCTGGTTGATGGTGTCCATCTCCAGGGCCTTGTCGCGAATGTACTTGGCCGTCTTGGCCGTCTCTTTTCTCGAGTGGACGAACACCAACATTTGGTTGCGGTGTTGGCCAACGTGCTCAAGGACCTTTTGGTAGGTGATATCGTTCATGGTCTTGAGCTGCTTGATGGCCTTCTTGTCCGTCACGCCGATGAACTCCTGGCGCAGCGGGCATGGCCGGTATGTGCTGTCAAAATGAAACATGCCCTTGTTGAAATCGACGCGGAGGAAGCTTGCTACATCCCGGTAGTTGGGCAGCGTGGCGGACAAGCCGATGATGCGAACTGGCTCACCCGTCTGCTCAGTCCGGCGAAGGGTTCGGCTGACGATACTCTCGAGGACAGGACCGCGATCATCATGCAGCAGATGGATCTCGTCAATAATGATGAGCCGGACCAGGTTGGTGTATGATATGTCGGTCGCCTTTCTTGTGATGACATCCCATTTTTCAGGGGTCGTCACAATGACTTGGGTCTCCGATATTTGCTGTTTGGTGAGCTGGCGATCACCCGTCAACTCCGAGACCTTGATGCCGTACGGCTCCAACCTCTTCCCAAAGTTCCCGACCTGCTCTTGGACAAGGGCTTTTAGGGGGGCAATGTAAACAATCTTGAATGCATCCAGATCGATCTCACCCTGGCTGTTCCTATTCTTTCCAATCTCTCGAAGCATTGTGAGCATCGCAACGTTGGTCTTGCCACTGCCGGTCGGAGCACAGATGAGCATGTTGCCGTCGTTCTGGAAGGCCGTAGGGTAGCACTTTGACTGGATCCTGTTCAGTGACTTCGTTGTGCTGAAAGGCAGCTGTGCCCACTCTGGCATCTCGGAAACCGGAATGTTCTGTTCGTTGGGGTCGGTCCGCTTCTTGGGTGGAGGGACATGGACCTCCTCATATCCCTTGAAGGTTCGCTTTGTCGTGCCGTGTGGGAGGGTGACCTTAGGGTTCGTCATTAGGTGGTTTCCTTGGTCAAAGACGAGGTTATCCAGGTTGATCAGCCTCCTCGGCTGTAGCCCGCCGACCAGCTGCCCCTCGGGCCGCTCCTGCTTCTGATGTTTAGCCTCCGCAAATGCCTCCTTGTCGATGTCCATCTTGATCTCCATCTTGGGTTTCTTCTGGTCATCCTGTGGCTTGCCATGCAGCTCGTCGAGGATCCAACGCAGCCCTTCTGAAACCATTTCCCGCTCGATAGTGTCGCGCTCTTCACGGTTCTCGGCTCTGGCTAGCCGGGTGAGCCATACGACCTTCTCCCGGTTCTCCATCAGCCTCTGGACGATCTCATGGTGCTCGTAGTCGAAGAGCTCCATCAGATCATTCTCAATGTCACGGAGCTGCTTCTCTTCGCCGCCGGGCTCGTCTGGCTCCCCCGACAGGATCTTCAGGGCTTGCGATGTTTTATCGTGCTGGATGTGTGCATCGGGATATGCACGCCCAATCTGACGTTGCAACCAGTACGCATCAATGTCACGAGCCGGGACGAAGTTCTTGTCCTGGGACTTAGCTGTTCCATCAGGGACTGCATCGATCACCATGGCCTCGCCGTCTCCGAGCCCTCCGCCTTCTTCGTCGCGGTCTTGATCTGCTTCCCCGCTCTCAGCGACTTCTTGGAGCCCTGGTTGATCTTCTTCGTCTTCCAGGTCCTCGTCTTCCGAGGACTCGTCCCGGACAACGTCCACCATGCCATCGTCTTCTTCGTTCTCGAAGTTGACAGCAACGCCCTGCCGACCATCGATCTCGTCTTCGCCAGCTCGTTTTACATCCTCCGTGTCTTCTTCATCTTCATCCTGCGCATCGTAGTCCGTAATCTTCTTCCCGAGGTTCATCAGCTCGTTGAACTGCTTGGCGCCCATCGAAACGCCCAAGATGTCGTCAATCTCCTTCTTCTTGTCGAAGTCCTTCAGGTCATCGTCCTTGAGGTACTCCAGTGTCGCGTCGGCAGCACTCCGCACGACCTCGGGTGGGACGTCGCCGAGGTTCTCCGCCACGATGCTCAGGATGAGGTTGAAGGCGTCACGCGTCGGCTGCGTTCGAGGCCGGTACCGGATGCCTTCGATCAGGGCATCAGCTCCGGACAGAACCCCGCCGCCACGCGCCTCGCCCTTGCCCTTCTGCTTCACAAACTGCAGAATGTCCGCGCCTTCTCGTATGCTCCCGCGCTCTACATCAGGCATAGCGCTGGTTTTCTTCACCTTTGGTGCTGTGCTCCGGCCGACCCGGGAACCCATATCCTTGATTGACAAGCGCCCGGCCAGCGACTCTGGATCTCCAGTGGCCTCGTCTGTCCGTCTTGTGACAAACCGACGGTCCGCCTGGAGGACCAGGTTGGACATGGCCGAGTACTTGTATTGCGAGACATCGCGGTGGTAGTCCGACATGGTCGGCCGCCGTTTGTGGTTGAGGAGGATAGGGTATCTCGAAATGGGTGAATGGGCGTGCGCGCTCGAGGACTCCCTCGCCGCAGAACCAGTCCTGCCAGCAACTCGATGGCGTTAATCGGTTTAATCCCGGTTAGACAAACAAAATGTGTGGTCTACTTCGCCGCGGATACGGCTGGGACGTGGCGTGAAGGCCCAGTAGTCGAGGTGAAAGAAGGAAGAAAATTACGGTGATGACATTGATTGCAGTCGCGAGAGTCGCGAGTGGGAATACCTCCGTATGTAGATGCTCCTGCGGCGACTTCATAGCGGCGGGTCGGAAATTTTTGGGCCGGCAGGCTGAAGCAGCGACGAGCCCTGATTGGCCCAGCCTGCGCGACAACCAAGCAATAAACAGCCCCTAGCCAGCTCACGTTCAGTGAGCGACCCGCTAACACGCCCCAAAGCACACCGAGCTGAATCCCCGACTTTGGTCCCTGAGGGTGATAACGGTTCCGTTTTTTCTAAACCAGACCATGACTATACTAAGCCAATACCTTCTGGGGAGATAGACAACCTGAACTTATCTCATTATGGTCTCATCAGGCGCGGTTGCCATCAAGGACATCCAGAAACCACTTGAGCCTTACATTCGGCCCCGAGAAGAAGTGACTCGTGTAAGGCAACTCCTGGCCGCCCACCTCGACTCGTGCCTCCAAGATGGCGCTGCGGTTGGGCCTCTGGCTCTCGTTGACGCCAGCAACATCGAACCCTCCCCAGCGTCCCGTGGTCTGCAGAAAGAATATCTCGAGGCATTGAGCGCAAACCTCGAGGCTCGCAATGAACTGGCCGCTTGTTGTCAGGAACGGAGTCAGCCCGAAAAAGAGGTAGATATTACTGGGCAAGGACTGGGACTCTTGCAAGCACATCTCGCGAGAATCCGTCTCCGACAAAGACGTGAGAAGCTGCAGGCCATAGAGGGTGCCCTCAACTCGTTCGGCCAGAAACCGGCAGCATCTCCCGGCTTCTTAGACGCTGGAGAGATCTTCAGGGACTCGAGGCCGCTCCCGCAAGTACCCAACGACTTGGTCACCGCCCTCACAGTAGACAAGGCCACATCCGGCCCGCAACTGAAGGAATTGATCGATCAACTAGAGAAGCACGTTCTCCAGACGAAGCTTGTCTTGAGGCGCGAGGAGCAATTGCTGGAGAAGGTGAAGTCGCGGACCACGGCCAGAGCAGAAAGCATCAGTGAAAGCGCGAAATTCGAAGCATTGAGCAGGACCAGAGCTGAACTCATCAACTGGATAGAGACCGAGCTCGCGAAGACCGGAGGTGATGACGGTGATGTGGAAGCGCAAGATTCCCAGAAGCACCATGCTCCAACGAGCTCCGTCAACATGGAGGAACAGCTCATCAGTATCAGGGAAAAGTACACACAATACCTCGACGCCCGAAGGGTTCTTCTTGAGCTTGTCAGCCAGCAGGCCCAACCGGTCATCGAACCACCAACAAAGAAGGCGGAAGCACAAACTCCTGCAGCACCAGGACCACAACCCACCGCACATCTGCTGTCCCCGTACCTTAGCCAGCTGCTCTCTATCGCCCGCGAACAGAAGGGGCTCATAGCCCAGAAAGCCCACCTCAACTCAAGCATTTCCAAGCAGGTGAAAGAGAACGGCCAGGTCGTTGACCACTTGGCCGAGGAAAGCCAGCTGATACCAGCGCATCCGATGCCGGGAGTGCCGCAGGCACATACAACATTGGCCGATGCTACATCGACTATCCAAGGTTCCGGCATATCTGATCGCGTCAAGCCCTGGGTATTCGCCGCCGACTCCGCCAAAATCTCGACGCTGGAAGCCGTGGCCGAGCAGATTGAGGAGGGGCAGATTGCCCTCGAGGGTTCGGTGCGTACGCTTGGGGAGATTGATGAGTTACTCGGGTTATCTCCGCTTGATAGAAAAGAGGACGGGGAGCCTGCCGGCGAGGATGATGTCTGGCTGGCCACGAGTCAGCCTTCCGGAAAGACGGCTGGGCCGAGAAAGCATACAGGTCGAACGGCAAAAAAACCAGCACGATATGCGAGTGTGTGGGACAAGCTGGATGGAAACCTCGGGCTCCTTCGGTCGGACAAAGATACCGCTTGAATTGAACAGCAGTGTACACCATGGCCGCAGTCCCGTCCTGCTCCGAAACGCCTCCCTAACCCGTCGGTGCCAAAGGCCCCTTTTGTCCCCCTTTGTCGAAATCGAGCTATCTCCCAGCCATAACTGCGGAAATACGTAGCGCTAGATCCAGTATTGAGAGGTGCTCATCCGCGCCGTCCACCAACCTCTTGTCTATTTCCGAAAAGATCATAACGATCTTGTTCTTTTGGACATCAGGAATCGCCTCGTCATAGACAATGGCTTGGTGGAGCTGTGCCATGGTCTGACCTGCGCTCCATCCGTCCGCCACCATCTCCTCCACCAGCTTCGCGATAGCCTGGTATGTCTCCCCAGCGGCACGGGGCCTCATCGCCTGCACCAGCTTCTGAATCGTATCATCCGGAATAACGCCGGCGATTTCCTCGACCACCTTCGCCGTCACCAACCTCTTGTCCACATCCATCTTGTCACTGTCGTCGCCCTCCACGAGCGCGGTGCTAACGCCCACCAACCTCGCAGCGCTTTGCAAGAAGGTAATGGCTTTACGCAGATCGCCATCGCTGCACTTGATCAGCGCATCCACAGCGCTATCCTCAAGCCCCACGCCTTCGAACTTGGCAATCTCCTCTAGTCTACGCCGCGCATTCCCCTGGTCGAGGCTCTTGAACCGGAACTTGCTGCAGCGGCTGGCCAGCGGGTCGATGATGCGAGTGATATAGTTGCAGATGAGGCAAAAGCGCGTGATCTTGCTGTACGTCTCCATGGTGCGGCGCAGGGCGCTCTGTGCATCCTGCGTCATGCTGTCGGCTTCGTCGAGGATGATGATCTTAAACGGCGGGCACGGATATCGCGACTTGTACCCGGGGGGCGGGTTGGTAAGCTGCGTGCGGGCGAAGTCCTTCACCTTCTCCCGCACGATCGAAATGCCTCGCTCATCTGAGGCGTTGAGCTCTAGCACCCGCGACTTCATCAGCTCGGGGCCGTAGAGTTCCTTGGCGAGGGCGAGAATCGTGGATGTCTTTCCGGTGCCAGGCGGACCGTAGAAGAGCATGTGTGGGAGCTGCACGGTTCGAAGGCATTAGCTGACGGGTAACAATGGCTGAGCAGCCGGATTCCACCCACATTGGAGGCTTGCAGTGTCCGTTGCAAGACGGTAATGGTGTGGTCTTGCGCCGTCACATCGCTGAGCGTCTTGGGCCGGCTGTGCGGGACATGTTAGCATCGTCGGTCTGAAAATCCCTGGAATCGACGATGTTTTACTATTTTTCGACCCAAGGTTGTACTCTGGTGTTCTCGTTGGTCTGTTTCTCGGCACTGCTCGATGCCGCCCCATTTGCAGCTGCGGCCTTCCGGGCCTTTAGGTCGAAGAAGTTCGACATCGCAGCTAGAGGACGGTCGCTGTCAACAATAGCGCAGTCCCCGCAAAAGTAATGAGGACCGAGATATACTATAAGCCAGAAAGATATGTCATCCGAGTCGGCTCTTGATCCTCTTGTTCTGCAGCTTCTGCTTACCCTTGAATCCTTAAATGGAGAAAGCAGGCACTTTACGCGTCGACGAGCTCGAAAACGCGGCAGGGCCTCAGCGCGTCAGCCCCTCATTCGGCTGAGGACGTGAGTGGAGCAACCAGGGGTCTCCCCAATTCATGGCCCACCTCCCGTTCCGAAGCTCTCACGGCCCGCGGGCAGCCTCCTAGGGCCGATCACACAACGAGGTTCCCAAGCTGGGTGAATTAACAGGTATGTATATAAGGACCTGGTAGTAGTAGACCTGGCGCGCTGGAATGATTTCCGTATGATTTTCAGTTCATACGCTCTGGTCTCGGAGCCTGCATTCCAAAGGTGCCGCAAGTGGTCGGTAGCATACAACAGCTAAGGTAGTGCAAACGATACGGCAGCCATTGAATGGGGCATGAACCGCAAAGACGAGTATGGAAACAAACACATGAAATGGAACCTAGCACCAGCCACGCACCTGTCACTTCAACGTTGGGGAGTCCCCGTCTTTGATGCGACCGGGAAGGCTGCCACCGGAAAGCCTTAGGTAGTACCCATGGATCTTATGGCCTGTGGGTTGAGAACCTCAAAACTACCTAATAAGTGTCAGCCCCGCACCTGCCCGTTGCTTTTGACATTGCATGGGCAGGGCCTCCAATTAGATCGGAGTGGCAGCCTGAAGTTGAACCTGCACTTCATTGCAGCCGGCCGCAAATGACCTGGCCCGGTTCCACTTCAGTCCCGGGCGGCCAGCCCAGCCTTTCGACCACCCGACCTCAGCCAACAGGTCTCACTAACCAAAGGTTACCTTCCTCTTCCCTCGTTCTCCTACGAAAGCCAACGTCCATTCTCTGCCCTCGATAACCCGCCACGCGATTCTTTCCGTCAAAGACAAATCCCCCTACATCACGGACCCCTCGGTGACCTTCAGCGATGGCGGACCAGTCCGTCTTCCGAATCACGAAGGTGGGCTGCTTGTCCTCGTCCCCCACGCCAGCGCGGGTTCGGTAGCTGAATGGCATCGTCGATGCTAATAAATGCAACGACAGGAGTTGAGCGAACTACAAAAGAACTCTGACCTCTGTATGCTCTAGACAGCCGGTCATAGCAGACACGTGAACTTCAGGCCTGACGCTTTTATGTAGCCCTCGCTGTTGCCTGTCGCGACATCGATGTGCGGAACGTCAAGGCCCTAATCATTGGGCCACACGACACCCCGTATGAGTTCGGCTTCTTCGAGGTATCACCCCCATCCAAGACCTCCCGGGGTTTCTTGCTGACATGCTCCTAGTTTGCGTTTAAATTCAACAAAGGTATATAACACATGATGCACCGCTACTGCTCCTGCCGGCATGCTGATCGTATGGCTAGAATATCCTAGAAAGTCTCCACAAGTCACCGCGATCACAACCAACGGAGGCCGGTGCAGATTCAACCCCAACATCTATGCCAACGGGAGGGTTTGCCTGTAAGCAAAATGCTTATTCTCAACAGCGGGCACGGAATACACTAACAGCGTTGCAGGTCGATCCTCGGGTAATTGTTCTCTTTCAATACACAGCCGCCGGGCGGTGTTGAGGAACGCTAACCTGGAGTAGGACATGGCGTGGGGAGCGAGGAGAGGAGTGGTCTGCCGTGCAGGGTCTTGAATCCATCCTGCTGTCTATCCAGAGCCTGATGTCTGCGAATCCTTACGAGAACGAACCGGGCTTCGAGGATGCCAACGAGCCATCCGACCAAAAGAACCAAAAGGACTATGTGCAGAAGGCAAGGGAAACTGCTGTTGTTGCCGGATCCCTGACTGACTGCCGAGCAGATTCGTCATGAGACACTCAGGATCTCCGTCATCCAGCGATTGGAGGAATACCTGAAGATCGGCCCCGACGGCAGCGTTCCGGCTCCCGTAGCCTCCAAGGACGAGTACGACCTAGACATGGATACCATCGAAGACGAGTCTAGCGTCCCGTTTGAGCCGTTCAAGGACCTATGCAAACGCCGGTTCTTGTGGTATTACGATTCCTACCTCGCTGCGGTTCAGAAAGGAAAGGAAGATATCAAGGACGGGTCGCCGTTTGTTCGGATGCCGTTTGAGGGGACCAGTAATACTATGGAGGGCAAATTCAATTACACTGAGCTCGAGCGCCGGCTACAGAACATCAAGAAGGCTCTTGATGCCGAGACAGAGGCGTGGGAGACGGAAGGACTCGCTGCACAAGCCAAGGACAGTACCGTTGCTGTCAACCTCCGACGGCAGTTCGAGCAGATTGTGGAATCCTTCAAGCGTTCCGGTGTCCCGCACAACCTTGAGTTGGTGGAGGGCAACCCATTTGTCTGGGTGCTGACCTACTTTGGAAAGCCCATGACTAATCTTGACGGCGGCCTGTTCAGGATCAAGCTGTGCTTTAGCCCGCGATTTCCCGAGGAGCAACCCCGGATCAAATTCGAGACGCGCCTGTTCCATCATAGGATTGCCGCGGATGGCACGCCTTGCTATGTGGTCTCCATGAGTCGCCGAGAGGATGTCAAGACTCATATCGAGGCGGTTATTGAAGCGCTGGAGGAGGAGCAACCTCCGTACGACCCTAGGACGCTTGTGTATCCCGAGGCTTTCAAGCTCTACTGGGGATCACCGGAGGACCGACGGATGTACAACAGGCGGCTGCGTCGGTCGGTCCAGCAGTCGATGGAAGAGTAGATGATGCCAGGCGCAGGAAACCGTTACCTCCCGCACACACCGGGGGTGACTGTGCCGGTCTGGGAGACTCTTCCCTTGTTTCTCTTACTCGAATCTCCGGGCATGGCATCAGCTTGCTAGGTCTCTCGCGGGATCCAAACCAAGCCCGTCGGCGTTCGGACATGGCTAGGGCAGGGCACGATCAATAGGGAGGTAGGGTTGGGCGTTTTTTTTCGTAGGTGCTTTGCTTTCGGAGCCTGATGGCAATCAATGGAAGACAAGCGTGCGCTAATATCTTCTCATTCTTTCCTGGGCCGATAGGTGGCCAAACCCGAAGCGTCTCATCTAGGTATCCCAGTAATACAATGATGTGTGTCGTTGCGGGCGACCTTCTGGAAAACGCATGGCCTCATACCGTAGCCTATCACTGGCCTCAATAGCCGCTGATCCTATGTCTCAAAACATCCAGTCATACCACGCTAGTTTCCGATTCCTATGCATAGTCATATAAGCCATCAAGCGTGAACACATGGAATATAACCGTGCCACTATCACCGCTTCCCCGCCTTGCCCTTTTTCTCCAACTTATCTCTCAGGGGGTTATACGGCGCCGCGATGCCAACCAGTCGGCCGCCTTGCTCGCTCCCACCACCGGCGGCAGCAGCAGCTGAACCGCCTCCTCCGCTCCCGCCAGCCTTGAATTCGTAGGTCCCGCCAGGGCCCAGGATCATGGGTGCTCCGGGTGTGGGCGCGGCTAGCTGCTCGGCATGGAGTTTGTCTAGCGACTCGCCTACCACGCCGTACTGGGCCCAGTTGATGGGCGGACACCGGACGATCGTTTGGGGTTTGGGAAGGGTCTGCCAGGGTGGTGGTTTCCCGGTGACTCCTTCTGCGTCGGGTTTCTGTTTTGCTTTCCCTTTTCCTGTGGAACTGCGTGATGGTAGGTGTGATCTGGAGGCGCCGTCGGGTTTTGATCGTTCACTCCTGATCCTGGGTTCTGTTTCATTCCAATCTGCCTGTTCCTCGGACTGCGCATTTCCACGCTCATCTTCCTCCTCCCCTTCCTTGTCATCGTTGCTGTCGCTGTCGTCATCCGAATCTTCCTCTATTGTACTGCCCCTTCCTCGCCCTGGGAATAGCGGATCGCCATCGGTGCGTATTCTTCCCGCCTGCAAATCAGCTATGAATGCCTCTGGGTCAGCAAGCGCTGCCTCCTTTGCCCGACTCAACGTTTGAATATCGGCCGTGGCGCGTGCGCGTTGCAGTTGTAGTATTGATATCGCACTTTTTAGGGCTATGACGTCGGGGTTGGTTTCAAAGTCGATCGGTGGCGCCGGTGGAGGTACGACGCCCACCTGCTCGGTCTGCGTGGTATGTGTAAAGGATGGCCGACCACGAGCAAAATCGGGTACCGTAGGTCTGTCGGTGCCGGTCGATGGAGCAGCGTGAGGTGGCAGGCGAGCCGGCCCGAGTGGCGGTGTGATGGGACTGACAGGCGGTCGTGGCGGCGACGACGTCCGCGACGCGTTCGAGCTTCGGCGGGGTTTTGCGGTCGCCGGGTCGGCGTTTGTTGCGACGCTCAGGCCCCGCATTATCGTGTCGGACGTGCTATTTAACGTGGATTTTGGATTAAGGCATGAAGGTCCAGAACGTTTATATGTAAGGTAGGATTTAGGTTTCTGTAGGCGACAACGCCATTCACGCCGGTGAATCGTGATTTCCGTACTCGTACCTCCCCGAGTGGTCTCGAGCTTTGTCCCGCCACCGGAGAAGGTGCCTACCCCACCGTTCTTGAGCCCGCCGAATCAGGCAATATCGGGTTGGGGAGCCCCACTCACCGCTTAGCGGGGCATCTGGGGCTGCGGAGTCGACTTCTATTCACCCCTCAACCCCTCGGTGGGATGAGATGCCCGGCTTCTACGGATACAGTACGCTGCTTGGAGCGTCCGTCTGATTCCATTCGCTATGTGCAGTGGGCGGGGTATTCCGTTGCTCTTACACCTCTAGATGAACGGAGTACCAATCCATGTGTCAGGAATAGCCCTTATGAAGAGCCGAGCTCAAGTGACGTTTAACGAAAGGGCAGGAAGACGTCGGAAAGGCAAAGATCTAGGTGGTTTGCGATTTGGAAACCTACCTACCTTATTGATCAGAGCTCCAAGGGCCTCAAAGACGCGGAACATGATTGTGAGATTCTTGTAACAGGAAGAAGCAATCCATGTGATCCGGAACTGCCATGACTATGGGCGGCAAGTGGGCGGCCATGTGCCCAACTTTAGCGGACGATCTGCCGTTGCGGCTCCGGCGCACCAGCCAATAACTGTGCTGCGATGGTAGCAGACCCGAGTGAACCATGACGTCGTCGATGAATTTGTTGGTTTTGAAGAAGTTGGGGCGAGAGAAATCCAAGGTGTGTTCAGAATCCAGAATTTGCGAGGGGAATTGCAATTCTATGACTATTACCATGGCGGTTTCTCTCAAGTAGTGTTGATGTCCTCTACTTAGCACGCAACTTTTAGTTCGATCTCTTCTCCCCTCTTCATCGACGTCATTGGTCTTTGAACCATCTGGAACATGAAAGGATTCCGGACCCGAAACGACACCGATGGGGACCGGTCGCGGCAGAGCCCAGCTCCGGGGCGGGCCTCCGAGGACCACCTGGCGGATGAACACACACGGCTCCTGCCGAACCGAGTGGACAGCACCCCGTATCTCTCTCCCGACGACCCGGCTGTGTCACCGTACAATCTCTGGACCGTCCGCTTCGTGCGCTGGGTCACTGTCGCACTTGCCGGCGTCAGCTTCGTGTGGTGGGTGCTGATGATCGTCGCCGTGTTCATCACGCCGACGGGTCTGCACGTCCGCGGCTCTCCCTTTTTCTCGTTCGCCTACGCCACGATCGCGTTTCTTACTCTCGTCGTCTCACTGCTGTTTTTCTCGACCCCTAGCAAGCTGGCAAGGATGCTCAGCATCATCAACGCACTTGCGCTGCTTGTCCATCTTGTCATCATACTGGCAGTTCCTGGGCTGCGCCACGCAGAGATCTGGGCCGGAATCGCCAGTGTCGCCTGGGCATCGCTGATGGCGATCTGGTTCGTGGCCGCTGATCGTACGGTACAGTGGGGTAAGGCGGAGGAAGAAGAGCGCTTGACCGGACGCTCGGAGACCAGGCGCACATTGCTGGAATGGCTGGCGGTCACGCTGTCGACCATCGCGCTGGTCATCATAACACTGGCCGTGGTATTGATGACCTGCACCCTGACGCTGCGAGCTATCGACTCCAGCCTCGACTCACCGGGAGAACGGTATTGGGTGGACGGTAACAGGTACCAAATCCACCTGTACTGCTTCGGCAACAAGACCGACGAGAAGGGTGGCAAGACGACGACCGTGCTGCTGGAAGGGGGCGAAGACACTGTGGAGCGCGGCTTGTGGCAGTTTGCTGAAAACGCTGTGAAGAACGGCTCGATTCACAGGTTTTGCTTTGCCGACCGTCCGGGGATGGCCTGGGTGAGCGAACCTTGCTTCTTCCAATGCGATGACACACTGACAGCCGGGAAACAGAGCGACACAGCTCCGTCGCCATTCTCCGCAAGCTTCGCTTCTGACGCGCTTAGCGAAGCACTATCCAGAGCTGGAGAAGATGGACCGTAAGCAACAATCCAGTCTGATGCGTAGCTCCATAAACAGAATGCTGACGAGCTCTCGGTTCTTAGATGGGTACTGGCTAGCGCAGGTATCGGTTCTCTGTACTCGCGAGTGTTCGGTTCCCGTCACGGTGAGCAGGTACATGGCATTCTCATGATCGACCCGCTGCATGAAGACTTGCTCTCGCGCATCGGGGCCCCAGGACGCGGCTTTCTGCTCTGGATCCGCGGGGTCATCTCGCCGTGCGGAATAGACCGGATCTCGGGGGCCATATTCAGGGGTAGGCGGGCCGTGGACCGGGTCTGGGGACGTTCCTCGTATCAGTCGGGGACGACCATTTTCGCTAAGCTCCAAGAGAGCTTAGTGGCCGACTCGCTCACGAAGCGGGACGTGGTGTCCAGCCGGGCTATACAGGACAAGGATACGCCGCTGGTGGTGATCAGCTCGGGCGACATGATTCGTAAAGATACCGACTGGGAGGACAAGGTTTGTGAACCCCGCGCGGTGTCATTCAGCATTGGACCTGGCTGACATAAACTACCTGGAACAGCAACGAGATCTTAGCCATCTCACCAAGAACCTGCAAGATTGGGACATTGTGGATGGCGCTCCTCATCGCGTTTGGGATACACTGAGCGGGCGAGAGGTCATCGAGAAGAGGCTGAGGAAGCTGGTGAGGTCTTCGAAGACGTCGGAGGTCTGATGCAGCTTGCGAGTAGCGGCGTGGCATGGAATTAGCTCACAGAATGACGGGGGCCAAGCTTGAGACGCAATGTTGACTCCACAGGGGTATATAGCCATGTACGGGAAGCCGTGGACGAGGAAGGATGAAGTCGACTCCTCTGCCGTTGTTGAGGTCCGTTTGGATCCGCGCGAGATGCTTGTATGTACTGTAATTGAGAAATGTGCAATCATTGTTGATTTAATGAGCGAGGTGCAGATGAATGCAACGATAGGCTGGACAGGACTGGATTTTTTTTATTCGAAGGAAAAGACTGATAACAGGTCTTGTCTGGCAAGGGATGAGCAGTGAGTGATAGACAAGAAAGCTGATCCCGCACGTTATCCCAGTTCTTTTAATGAAGGGAAAGGGACTGGGCTGGGCTCTAAACAAACCTCCCCGCGGTACCAAATAAGTATCGCTAGATGTTATTGCGCTGACAGTCTCCGCCTAGGTCCTTGAGCCCGACGTGGATTAAAGTCCCGAGACAGAATACATGGATGAATATATATGTAGTTGGTATGATTACATTAAAATAGCGATAAATATTTGATCCCGCTAGTAAACATCACGTCATCCTCTGACCTCCATCTTCAGGTACATAGGGTCGTCAGATAAACTGACGGAAACCGCGTCTATTTTTGTGCATGTGCTTTGGCATACACTAAATAACCTTGTCATTTCCCCATCCGCTGTTAGGTATGGTGGGACCGACTCTTGTGTGGTGAACCTGAACAGTGAACACAGGTGGCTCTTGCACCCAACCCAATCTTTGAGGGTCACGGTCCCTTCATGCTAGGCCTGGCACTCGTTTACCAAGGATCCTCCAACCGGAAGTGCAGATTGTCGAGTCATAAAGTACAGGTACATACAGAATAGCGCATGCACTCATTTTCACTATTGCACTCTAACCTAATTCTTCCTAGCTAATTAAGCTGCATCTTCCCTTTGGTAAAACCGCTGGGCACTCACTGAGACTGTCCGCCAGAAAGCCAGGAAATTGCACTCCGCCACGGCGGGGGCTTGTCGATCGCTGTCTGACCTGCTGGCTGGGTGGATCACACAACCTATCCGACCGACCTCCTGAGCACCTCGCACTACTCTCGTCATCCCCAACCGATCGCAGCCTGCCGGCGTTCGTGAAAAGTACGTGAGCGGGTCTGCATCGACCTCACCGTCCAAGATTGAAGCGTAATCAGTAATCAGGACTCAGTCGGCACGCAGCTGCACAGAGCCGTGGACTCAACCGCACCGACTTCCTCGGCATTGTCCCCTTCAGCCTCACCTAGCCACGTCAGTGCCCAGCCTGTCGCTACCTACCCGGGGCCTCGGCCGTACAGCCTGCCTACTCAGGTGGACGGGAACCGCGACGCGAACACGCTTTACCTACACAGGTTCGAAACGCATATCTCAGTTGTCTCTCTGTGATCAACTACTTGATGCTCAGGGAGGCCACCCCGCTCCGCTTCCTCACCGCACCCTCGGCGCTCGAACATTGCCGGCACTTAACGTCGCCGCGCTGCCGTCGCCGTTTCTGAACGAGTTTTAATGGTCGGGGGTGAATAGAAGGGATTGGGTGGATTCAGCATCAATCTACTATGTCGGGTTACGATTACGGCGGTGGCCCAGCAGGCGACTGGGCCCATGGCCACCCTGCGGCCGGTGAGAATCAATATTGGATGGACCAAGACAATGGCAGTTTGGCGCCGTCATCCTCGCGATACCACGGACCGCATGGGAACCAAGGCGGGAGGCCGCCCGCGGGCTCTCCCGCATTAAGTGCCGGAGAGCCGGACCTCGAGCCACCAAGACGCAGCGCCGAGCGAAATGGATCGAGACCACGAGGCTCTAGGTCGGCCAGTGGTCAAGTGCGCACATGCAGGAAATGTGGAGAGGCTTTGACAGGGCAGTTCGTGCGTGCACTGGACGGGACGTTCCACTTGGACTGCTTTAGGTGCCGTGTAAGTGCCATGCGTCAGAATGCTATTGGGGCTTTGTTGTTGACCACATTTGCAGGATTGTGGCGAGATTGTAGCGTCGAAGTTCTTCCCAGCCGAAGACGAGAACGGCGGGGGGCAGTATCCCCTCTGCGAGACAGACTACTTCCGCCGGCTCGGGCTGCTTTGCCACAAGTGCGGCGGAGCGTTGCGGGGATCGTACATCACCGCACTCGACCACAAGTATCACGTCGACCATTTCACCTGCTCCTTGTGTGAGACAGTCTTCGGTGCCCAGGACAGCTACTACGAGCACGATGGCCAGGTCTATTGCCATTACCACTATTCAACTCAGTTTGCCCAGCGCTGTAATGGCTGCCAAGCCGCCATCCTTAAGCAGTTTGTCGAGATCTTCCGGAACGGCCAAAACCAGCACTGGCACCCCGAGTGTTACATGATTCACAAGTTCTGGAATGTCCGCCTGAACCCACCGCGGGAGACGACCACCCCGATCCAGGACGACCCTGCCGGCCGCGAGCGCGTCCGTGAGGAGGAGGAACAGATGGAAGAGAAGGTCTACCGCATCTGGAGCGTGCTCTCAACGTTCGAAGAGTCATCGGCCGCTTGTATATCGGACATGCTGTTGCATGTGAGCAACGGAGCGTATATTGACGGCGTGATGGTTGCTAAGAGGTTCATCTTCCACGTCGACATTCTCTTCCGATCCGCAGACCGGCTTGATGCCACAATGGCCCGACTGGACATGAACGGTAGGGGTTGCTTGCTCATATACCTGGAGATCACAGCACTAATGCGGTTGGTATAGCTCTTGCTTATGGGAGGGAAGCAAAACTCCTTTGCAAGAAGATTGTGGCCTTCTTCTCGCTCCTGTCTAAGACGCAAGACAAAGCTACGCGCAAGCCCGGCGTTACCCAGGATCTCTTGACCCTAGTCACTGGTCTTGCTCACTACCTAAAGCTGCTCATTCGCATCTGCCTCCAAGGTGCGCTCCGCATAGAGAAAGAACGCAATAATACCGATGGCCTCTTTCACTTTCTCGATGACCTCAGCGACCTGGAGACACTCAGGACAGACGACAACTCTACCACCACCTTACAGCTGACATCCGGAATGTCGCGACTGTCGGCTCATGATTCAGATCAGTGCACGCTATGCCGGAAACCGATCGAGGATGAGTGCGCAAAGAACGGCGACAAGAGGTGGCACATAGCATGCGCCAACTGTTCACGTTGTGGCAAGGAATTTGGGCGGAACCTCCAGGATGCCCGTTTGAATCCTTATGACGCGAAGATTCTTTGCAGCAAATGCGAGCCCAATGCTCCCTCCAATGCCGGCCCATTCGAGCACATCACTAAGCTGCAACAGTACATCTTCCTGCTTCAGGTGGCACTCGCCAGGCTCTTAGAGATCCTTCGAGTCAACGGCGCGCTCACTGGTCCGTCGGATGATCCAAATGGGAACGGTTCGGGTTCTGCCGAAGGTCGATCCGGGGCATACGGGGGCGAACATGCGCACCATCACCGTGAATCGTCTTATGAGAGCGCCCTCAACGATGTGCGAAGGTTAAAGAGTACCCGTCTGGATAAACACCTGTCGTCGAGCTTCAGGAAAGCTCGGACATCACGAATCTTGGACGGACCCGAGAGCAGCAGTGCGCGGCCTGGATCCTCTGGCGGTGGTCCTGGAGACGGAGGCCTGAATAAAAACTTCCAAATTGTTGAAGAACGGGGGCCGATCGACGAGGAGGGCATGATGTTGCCCAACCAGGATGCACTGACACTCGACGACATCCCCCGAATTGTCGCCCAAGAACAGGCAAATAGAGAGCAACGACAATACCCTCCGTCACGGCAGGAGCTCTTCCGTTCGCCAGCAACTGAGCCTAGGCTGGGACCGAGTGCGACAGGCGGGAGTGGCCATCAGCGCAGCCTCTCGGAAGACAGGGTGGCCGGAACACGCGCGTTTGGCGAGCCATCCGTTCAGCGCTCCCGACGCTACTTTTCCGAACTCTCTGGGCTCGAGTATTTCATTGTGAGACACCTCGCTGTGCTCACTATGCACCCTATGGTTGAGTCGGAGTTCACGCTTGAAGAGCTGCTTGGCTTCATCGAGAGCAGGAAACCGGCGACCTTCTGGAAGAACATTGGCAAAGCCTTCAAGAACGATGGTCGCAAGAACGTGAAAAAGAAGGGAGTTTTCGGTGTCCCCTTGGAAGTCATTGTCGAGCGAGACGGCGCGGAATCCACAGACGGCGTCGGGCCGGGAACCCTGCGGATTCCGGCTGTTGTAGACGATATCATCTCGGCGATGAAGCAGATGGACCTCTCCGTCGAGGGCGTCTTCCGCAAAAATGGTAACATCAAGAAGCTCGGCGAGCTGGTGGACAAGCTGGACAAGGAGGAGGAAGTGGATTTCAGCTCGACGCACGTCGTCCAAGTGGCGGCCCTCCTGAAACGCTATCTTCGAGAACTCCCGGACCCGTTGATGACGCACAAGCTTTATCGACTGTGGCTGGCAGCAGCAAAGATCCAGGATGAGCAGAAGATGCGCCATTGTCTGCATCTGACATGCTGCCTGCTGCCGAAACCAAACCGTGACTGCCTAGAGATTCTGTTCTGCTTCTTGAAGTGGGTTGGATCGTTCCACCAGGTCGATGATGAGTCTGGGTCCAAGATGGATATCAAGAACCTGGCTACGGTCATCGCTCCCAACGTTCTTTTCGACAGGACCAAGACCTCTAGCCTCGACAGCGATCCGATGTATGCAATCGAAGCTGTGGAGGTGTTGATAGCCAACATCGAGGAGATGTGCTTGGTAAGAGCCTCTCTTATCAGTGTTCCTGGTTTCTTTACGTTTGTCATCACTAACGGAGATCTAGGTTCCCGACGACCTTGTCGACATTTTGAACGACCAAACCCTATTCAACAGCAGCGGAGATCTAACCACCAAGGAGATCCTGAAGAGGTTCTCTGACCGAGCCGTGAACAACCTAGGCCCACGACAGTATGCCGAAGTCACCGAGATTGTAGGCCGGCACGAGAATCCAAGCCGTCCTCCGCCGAGGCGGATGGAAACCGACCCATCTCAATGGCAGCAAGAAAGCAGTGTCCGACCGGTCCAGGAGCCGCCGGTCCCGTTCAACGCCCCACCTCATAATGTCGCAACACCGCCTCCGAAGCGAGGGCCCTATGATGCTCCCCCACCACAACAGCAATCTCCATACGGAGGGCAGTATGAGCAGACGGGCACACCGGATGCCAACAATCGCGGCGGCCAGGGAGGCCAACGAGAATGGCGCAGCTCGGCATGGGGGAGACAGAATAGCGGGTTGACGACAGGCACCGTCTAGGAGACGGGCCACGGTCACCCGGATATGCGTTCTCAATGATAGGGAGCTCTGGTTTCCTGACGGGTGTAGACGGCGTATTGCGATGCATTCACTGCAAGCAAGCATGGTTGCTCGGCGTTTTGTGACTTTATCCTTGTTTCTTCCCTAGTGGTGGAACCCTGTCATCCTATATCGCAAGCGAAAGGGAAGTGTATTTGGTGTAGAGGACAGTCGGGTACAGGCCGGTCTGACCGTAAATGTCTTGTTTATGTATCTGGGACGAAAACCATCCATGGATGTTTTGTCAGCGCCAGCATCGGGAAACAGGAGGGATGATAAGCCGAAAATGGTTGTGACAGGGGCGTGACTCCGGGATCGTTTTCATTCCCCTTCTACCTGGGCAATATCATCATGGCTGTTGCAAAGTAGGTAGAATTGACCGAGCATCACGGGACCCGAAAGCAGTGCAGGATAGTGTAAGGTGAAAAACCAGGAGCGCCCTGTTCTCCTTTCGTTCCCAAGGGACGGTCTTAAGATAGGTTGGGGACTTGACACTCCTGAGTTTGATTAATGTTTGGCGCACTACGTACAAGTCATTGCAGGTGACAACTTGATGATGGTGCCGGCACATCGTGTTCCACAAAATGGACACCAAGATTGCAAGTTCACCAAGGTTGGCATGAGTCAAGAGAAGCATGAATCTCATTGATGTCTTTCTCGTCCTCTGCCGGTTTGGTCGTGACACCCCTTGATTGCCATTAAATGTATTAGTCATGAAAGGGAAACATTCATGTATATGCGTCCCTCATGAATACCTAACATGTTATACATTCCTGCTCACGCTCAGGAATGTATAGCGGATCTTAATATAAAAGCACAGGCTTGGCCATCCATCCAACGTCCCCTTCGAAATCCCTATTCTTTCTTCTGCTCCTGCTCCAAAGTCCACTTCACCGACCTCCTGACGCCCTCATCCAGAGGGACGAGGGGCTTGTACCCCAGTCGCTTCTTCGCCTTGGAGATGTCGTAGTACCGCGTCATACAGCTATAGGTGATCCGCTGGCGGTTGAACGTTGGCGGCTTGCCGATGACCCAGAAGAACAGCTCGCTCAAGGCTCCCAACGCCATGCCGACACCGCGGGGGAGAACCCGGACACGCTCGGTCCCGTGGGGCGAACCAGCAGCGGCCCAAACGGCGCGGGCAAAGTCCCAGAAGTAGACGGGGCTGTCGTTGGTGATGATGAACGCCTCGCCATCCACGCGCTCGTGGTCCAGGGGTATGGTTTTCGAGGCGGCGGTGAGGAGGAGGGCGCGTGCGGCGAGGAAGTGCGCGTGGGCGACGTTCTCTACGTAAGTGAAGTCGAAGAGGTTGTCGTTGTCGCCGACCTGCACGTTGGACCGGCCTTGGCGGTAGATGTTGATCAGGTGGTACAGCGCCATGGTGTCGCCTTCGCCCACAATACCGGCCGGACGGATGGCGCATGTCAGGAGGTTTGGCGCTTCCGATGCGCGGTTGGCGGCAAGAACCAGCTCTTCGGCAGCGGCCTGGGGGATGTGGCTACGGGTCAGCAAAAACTGTGCTCGCCGGCTGCAATGGAGGCGGCTTGTACCTTTGTCTCCGAATAATACTCGCTCTGGTCCTTGCCCCGGATCACGGGCCACCGCTCGTCGGCGTTGATCAGGTCGCTCCGGTTATCGCTCATAACACTCGCCGAGCTCGTGTACACCAGCGCCTTGACACCGGTCTGCTGGCATGCCTTCACCACCGCGGCTGTCCCGTCGATGTTGACCTTCTTGAACAGCGCATGCGAAACACTGTCGTTGGCCTGCGCCGGCGGTGACGCGGTATGGATGACAACATCTGGTTTGACTCTGGCGAAGATGCTCTGGAGCTTCTCAACGTCGGTGATGTCGGCCTCATAATATGCCACGCCGTCCGACTCGGGACTCCGGTTTCGTGTGCAGCGCAGATCGACAACAGACACGGAGCAGGAGTAGTCGCGAAGCAGCAGGCGGACAGCGTGGTGGCCCAGGAAGCCGCAGCCGCCAATGACCATAACAGAGCCGAGCTCTGGCTTCTTTTCGGAGACCATTGTCGTTGTTGATCGTTGGTAGTTCGGCCGGCGTCAAGGTAGCAACACTGATCACGCTGCAATCGGGCTCAATCAACAGCGGTCGACGGCTGACGGTCGTGTAAATAATGGCGGACGGTCCAGACACTGTACCACTATGGAGTAAGTCGGTCGCCCAGCGTCTTGGCGCCCCTTTCTGCTTTCTGGGCTTCAATTGACATTTAGGCGGTATTGAAGGGCAGAGATGCAGGTGGAGTCGTGACTCGAGCCCACCTTAATGGTACGCCCCACTTTGGGCCTGGGCCCAGGGTTGCTGCGGAAGGCACCCCGCAATCTGCAACCTCGCGGCTGAACTCCGTACACTGCGGGCATATGACATTGAAGCTGCCTGTAGTTTTTATTAAACACTGGCAGATAGAGTGCTCACTCACGATCACTCCTCTACCAGGAGAGTGGGACAGGCAGCCCTTGGTTGCTTGCTCCACAGCCTCAACCGTTCGTTTCTCGGTATAAATACTTGCTCACACATCTTCTCTTTTCCTCAATCATTCCCCTTCACACCAATATCACTTATTCTTACCTGACCTTGCATTTGCTCGGCCCCACGTACAGTTTTCCATTCTTAGGACGCAGCTCATTCTTATTCGTTCGGCTACGATGGACAAGCCAGAGACCGAGATCCTCGTACACATCGCAGCACCATCCAGGGCTTTGGATGATTCAAAATACCGAGCCCTCGCCGCCGCCTACCTTGCCTTTGAGCCAAGGTCAAGGAATCTGGTCACGTTTGGGACACGGGGTCGCACTGAGGAGAATGGCAGCGTGGACGTACCTCAGTCAAACCCCGACCCTGGGAGCATTCAGTCACCAATGCTGTCTTTTCGGAGTGCCATCAACAACTTCGACTCTCCCCCGCTTCAACGAGCTGTTGATGGCTGCATCGCAACGTCGCAATTGTCATGGAAGGCCCCGCCGAGTGTTATCCAGGATTCCATGCCTGAAAACGATCTGGCCTTCCCTCAGTATTGTACGCCCACGAGACTACTGAGCCATTACGCTTCGGGGTTCGACAGCACCCAGATGGAGACCTCGCCGATCCATCAAACAAAACAATCCCCCACGCCAGCTGTCTTCCATCCACACCAAACGCACCCGATCCTGGATGATGAGGATGACGAGGACAGGCAGGAACAAACACTCGAAGTAGAGGATGAGAGGGCTGTGACCTCGCCCTCTCCAAGTACAGACAAACCTTGCTCTCAGCGCAGAACACCCACACCATCGGAGGAGCCACGGATCGTCTCTTCCTACCCCAGCCAACAACTCGAGCCGATGTCTTCGCATCGATCTGAATCGGAGCCACCCGTCTCCAAGCGGCCGCGGACATCCCGGGACCCAGCACCCGGCAAGCCCATCACTAGGGGTGCGAGTGACATGGGTCCTCGTCCGCGACGAGCGAATACTGGCATGGTACGCCGGCAAGCCCTTGACACACTCGAGATTCTGTCCCCGCCACCCATCACCGGGCAGAGGGAGCTACGCCCCGAGGATATGATCACCGATGTCCTCGCCGGTCTCGCCCGGGAGCTCAACCTCGAAAAGCGGTTCAAGCCAGAGACCCAAACCAGGGATCTACACCCCTTTGAGAGGGGCTACTGGTTGGTGGATTGCAGCTCCTGGGAGCCCGAGCTGAAGCAATCCGCCTGGAGTTTCCTCGCCGACTACTTGAGCAAAGGCTGCGCTGGATGGGGCACGTCCTGCAGGCGAGACCAGGACTTCTCGTGGATCCGGGTGTATTGCTGGGGCTGTGTGGTTGGACATCTGTATCTTGTCGTCTACTTGGTCAGCAAGCGGCGTGTGCTGTACACGGGCACTTCCTGGATCGGCGGGGATGGGAAGCCGGTTGTGGCCATGGGGGCGAGACAAGGGATCAAATGAGAGCGAGCAGGTTTGGAATGGGCCCTCAGGTTTCATCTTTGGATATTGTTTTGGTCTGGTTCTGGATATTTTGGCGGTGTCCTGCTTTACGCGACTATTGATACACTTTTTGGAACACGATACCCTTCTTCTAGAGCACGGGGCGGAGTTAGAGGATACTGGGACAGGGTGGCATATCGATAATTTTATTTGAGTGATAACGGGATGCATGGTAATATGTCGGCCGTCTGTTTCACCAAGAATCGCGTGGCAATGACATTAGAGAGCAATCCCGCATCTTGTGAAGAGAGAATCTTCACGGTCAACATATAAGAGGGCATAGTCGGCACATATCGAGTAAAGATACCATACTTGACCCATACCTAACCCATACCTGATCCTTCCCTGCTGGTAGGTAGCGAGAACCACCAAGTCGTAGGTAACTTAGATATGTACTTGTACATGGACAGGTCATACACAACAACCCAAGTCATTTCCATCAGGCCCAGCCCACCAAGTAAAAAAACGCAGAACTACCACCGGAAACATTGCCTAGAACTTCCTCGAACCTGCAAATGGTCGAGCATGGCGTTGCAATTTAACCGAAGTCGTATGACGCGTCTACTGGCTTCCTTGCTCGCGGTACGCATCCAACTCCTTCTGGCGTCTGGCCGTGTCGGTTGCTGCAATCTCGTGGAAGGGCTGAGCCATACAGTTAGCGACCGTTGACAGTATCCACATGCGAACTTTAGACGAGGTACCTTGCGCTCCTCGGCGCTCAACCCCTTCCACTCGACGGCGATCTTCATCAGCTTGTCCTTTGCGTGGGAAGGGTCATCGGCCATGGATGGGAACCGCGACTTGACAAATGCTACGAAGGGGGTCAAGTTCTGCTTGGGGTAACGAGCGTCGGGGATGCTGCGGTATTTGGTAATGCCATGTTTCCGCCTCAACTGCAGCCGGGCCAGGTTCGCTGCACGGATTTCCTGGGGCGTATGACTGTCGATCCAGTTCTGGAACTTCACCTGATTGGCGACCTTGTTCTGCTGCGCGATGGCATTAAGTTTCTATACAGCGGGCTGTGTGTCAGTGTCAAGTGGTAAAACAATCGCCTGACAGTGGTCGTCGTCCAGCGTACCTCGACCTCGTCAGACGGCAAGGCTTTGAAATCGACCGAGATCTGAGGCATCATGACTTCAAGTCCTTCCATTCTGCCCGCTGCCCTCAATCGCTGGGCGGTGAACACACTCCACGGCTTGTCCGGGAGCCCCTTTGGCTGCTCTCTCACCAGCGCCTTCTTCTTCAGATCCCTGATCTCAAGCTTGGTTTTCTGCTCCTCTGTCAGCTCCCGCTTCGGTCTGCGCGCCGGTTTTTCCGCCGGCTTCTTCTGCGGCTTCTTCGCCTTGGTAGGAGCCTTTTTCGCAGCGGCAGTCTTCTTGGCAGTGCCAGTCTTCTTCGCTCTGCCAGTCTTCGACGCAGGTTTCTTCTTGGCCTCTGCTGAGGTAGAGGTCTTGGTTGTCGAACCTTTCGGGCGACCACGCCCGGCGTAGCCCCTTGCGAAAACGGCAGCGACACGGATGCCGCTCGGCACGACGGGCATGAGCTGAGGAGCAGCAAATCGCACCGCAATACGGCTTGCGCTGCGGATCGCGAGCTCACCACCGAGGCGGACCTGCCCCGCGGTCGCACGCCGAATTGCGGACAACATGTTGATGACAAGTACCGGTGTTTTGATGTGCAATTCTCAATGGATTCGGTATGCCGACTGTGATACGAATGCGCACCGAAAGGAAGGGGCGGCGCGGTTGTAACAGCGACGTGAGGCACTCAGCTAGGTGTAATTTTATGCGGTCGCGCCCTGCTCGTTGCAGCAAGAGCTCCCTCCTGCCTTGTTGTGCGCAGATACGCTCCACCCAGCCCGCCATGTTTAACATGGAGCTATGTAGGTAGACCGGGGTGTGGCCTGACAACCGACGCACTGACCGCCAACGCCGAAACCTTCCAGGTTTACGGGCTTCTCGGTTGAACTGTTCAATGTCAACCCCGGCGTTTCTTCAGGACCTATCCTGCACAAGGGCCTGGTTCAGGGCAGTCCGTTCCAAGCATATTTTGCGACAGATAGGTGCCGAAATGCCCGAGATGTAGCGTATACCGCTTATATTGCAGGTGCCATCTTTCAATGCTCTAAGAGCGATGCTCTTTGGTCCGAGCTTTGACGATCCGTGTCTTACACTATTCAGGTACCTAGCATGTACTTGCACTATGCTCGAGCTACCTTTAGCTAACATCATCTAGACGTGAGCTTTTAGTTCAGAGCACGTCTTCATCAGTACACGAGACTGGGCATTTAAGAACGATTACTATTCGTGAGTGGACAATGTCGGCTCACAACTAGTATGGAATTAGAAATTGTGGCCCCAAGTTTGAGCGCCTACCTAAACCTTATTAACGTTACCTGGCAAACCCTAAGATGAATGACTCGGTGTACCGTGTATGATACGGTCCCTTACTGTGTATCCGCACAGACTCGGAGCCTTCATGGTCTCAAGCCGCAACTGCTCCACATCCTCCAACTCTCAAACTTCTGCACCCATAGATCTGTCGGCAGCTCAGCTTCGCACTGGGACATCCATTACTTCACCCATCTCGACGCAGTATGCAAGGTTTTATCTACTGCATTAACTACTGAGTGTCGGCCGATCTCAAAAGTACCTCTCACCACCACAGACATCCGCTGAGCCACCGTTACTGAAACCAGAAATGGCTCGGCCGAGAGACTCGCGCTCACCATCTCCTGCAGGAAGCCATGCTGCGCGACGACGGAAAGATGAAGAGCGACGTGACCGTGACCGTGACCACCGCCGTCGCTCTCGCAGCCCGGACGTAAGTGGCCGAACACCCTCGCGCCGCGACCCCGTTTGGTCTCCTGACTCATTCCCCCTGCAGCGCCGGTACCGCGACCGCGAACGTGAACGTGATCATGGCCGCGGTGGCCGGGATCGCGACTCATACCGCTGGCGAGACCGTTCCCTAGACCGTCGAGATGATGACTACTACCGAAGCTCACGGCGCGATGGAGGAGCTATTCGCGACCGTCGTCGATCACGCGATCGCATCCCGGACAGAGCTCGATCGCCGGATCGCCGTGGACAAAGGAGTGGTGATGGCAACCGGGATCATCGTGGCAGGCGGGACGATTCCCGCGACCGAAGAAGCCGCCGCGACGGCTCAGCGGATTCTGCCTCCCGGCGAGCCGACGGCGGTCGTCCGCGAGCCGTCAAGGCGGATGGCGTAACAAGCAAAGACAGCGAGGTGCGCGCTCACTCCCATTCTCATTGGGTTATCCATTTCCCCCAGCTGACGCATCTCAGGACTCGCAGCCAGTTAAGTCTACACCGACCCAAGCCCAGACGGAGGCAGAGAAAAAGGCTGAGCGACTACGCAAACTCCAAGCCATGAAGGAGAAGCATGCCCTGAAGGAAGCCAAGGAAGCCGACGTCACCGCCGGGAGCACTCGGATGCTCTTGGCTGAGATGGACCAGAAGGCCAGCGGTACACCAGGCCCAATTAGTCCTGCGCCGGGCTCGGCAAGTCCCGCCCCAGCATCGCCAGCAGCCCCAATGCCGTATACAGGCAAGTTCGATCCCAAAGCCATCGTGAGAAACGCCAAAGGGGCCCGATCCCAATCTCCGGCCAAGCTGGGCGATGTAAAGCTCGGTGCGCACGGCGCGAAGGCGCTAGGTATCAAAACTGAGGCAAACACCAGAGGTGACGATGGCTTACTGCCAGCCAACAGGGCAGTCAGTGCGTTTGGTTTCCAAAAAAGTGCTGACGCCCAGAAATCGGCTTCGAAACGCAAACTGGACATGGACGATGAGGAGGTCATCAAGCGCAAGCTCGTCAAACTCCCTGATTTCGTTACCGAGAATACCAACAGCACGGCAGAAGCAGATGGTGACGCGGAAGACGACGGAGACGAAGACTTGGATCTGCTTATGGCTCGGAACGAGGAGGAGATGGCAGAAGCTCACCGGATTCTTCAGGAGAGGCGCGATGAGCGCATCCAGAAGGAAGGCATGGCGATGGATGTTGACACGGATATGCCCAACGGGGAAGTCAAGGATGAGCCGATGCCGCCAGCTCCCGCCATGGATGATCAGGAAGATGTGGATCCCTTGGATGCGTTCATGGCTGACCTTGAGCACACTGGCTCTGCAGGTGGTGTGGGCTCGATACCTGTCAGGGAGCAACATGGCTCCAAAAAGGGTTTTGAACCAGAGGCTTACTTCAGTGACGATGATTACCGTCACGAAGCGGACGATGCCGATCCGTCATCTATTCTTGCTATGGCGGCCAAGAGGAAGAAGAAGGACATTCCGAAACACGACTACAGCAAGATTGAGCTCAACCCGATACGAAAGAATTTCTGGGTCGAGCCTCAGGAGCTCGCGCAAATGACGGAAGAAGAGGCAGCCGACCTACGCTTGGAGTTGGATGGTATCAAGGTCTCGGGCAAGGACGTGCCCAGACCAGTGCAGAAGTGGTCGCAGTGCGGCCTCACCCGGCCCATCCTAGATGTCATCGACGGACTCGACTACGAAAAGCCGACGCCGATTCAGATGCAGGCTCTACCTGTCATCATGTCTGGTCGGGACGTCATTGGTGTTGCGAAGACGGGATCCGGCAAGACGATGGCCTTCGTCCTTCCCATGCTCCGCCACATCAAGGATCAAGACCCCGTCAGCGGTGATGACGGCCCCATTGCATTGATCATGACCCCTACCCGAGAATTGTGCACACAGATCTACTCGGACCTGTTGCCATTCGCTAAGGCACTGAAGCTTCGTGCCGTAGCTGCCTATGGCGGGAATGCCATCAAGGATCAAATCGCCGAGCTAAAACGAGGTGCCGAGATTATTGTCGCCACGCCAGGACGTATGATTGATCTTCTGGCGGCGAACTCGGGTCGCGTCACCAACCTCAAGCGTGCAACCTATCTTGTCCTTGACGAGGCGGACCGCATGTTTGACATGGGTTTCGAGCCCCAAGTAATGAAGATCTTCAACAATGTCCGTCCGGATCGCCAGACAATCCTGTTCTCGGCAACGATGCCGAGGATCATAGACGCGCTCACCAAGAAGGTTCTTCGAGACCCGGTCGAGATCACGGTGGGGGGTCGTAGCGTGGTGGCGCCCGAGATCACCCAAGTGGTCGAGATTATAGAGGAGAACAAGAAGTTTGTTCGTCTTCTGGAGCTCCTCGGCGAATTGTATGCCGACGACGACGATGTCCGCGCGTTGATCTTCGTCGAGCGACAAGAAAAGGCTGATGACTTGTTGCGCGAGCTCCTGCGGCGAGGTTATGGCTGCATGTCTATTCACGGGGGGAAGGATCAAGAGGATCGTAACTCGACCATCTCTGATTTCAAGAAGGGCGTTTGCCCTATCATGATCGCAACATCGGTGGCGGCGCGTGGCCTCGACGTCAAGCAATTGAAGTTGGTCATCAATTACGACGCTCCCAATCATCTTGAGGACTATGTCCACCGCGCTGGCCGTACCGGGCGCGCCGGCAATACGGGTACAGCTGTCACCTTCGTCACGGAGGAGCAGGAGAATTGTGCGCCCGGGATCGCGAAAGCGCTCGAGCAGAGCGGACAGCCTGTTCCCGAGCGCCTCAACGAGATGCGCAAGGCTTGGAGAGAGAAGGTCAAGTCCGGAAAGGCTAAAGACGCCAGCGGTTTCGGTGGGAAAGGTCTGGAGAAGCTCGACAAAGATCGTGAGGCGGCGCGGATGCGTGAGCGCAAGACGCACAAGGCCGAGGGCGAAGAGGAGGACTTCAAAGAAGAGGAGACGGCAGAAGATGCGAAGACGGACAAGGCCAAGTCGGCCATAGAGGCAGCTGTCTCGGCCATTGTCTCTCGCGATGCGGCCAAGACAGATGCCGAAGCGAAAGTCGTTCCTGCCGACGGCGCAGCCAAAGGAGTCGCCGCAGTCGGCACCGGCAAGGGCGGCGCTCTGGACAAGGCTGCCTCTGCTATCAGCGAAATCAACGCGCGGCTGGCCCGTGCCGGCCAGCTCCGACCTGGTCAGCCGGTTGACAACAAGGGCCCTGATGCCGGCGCGTTCCACGCGACGCTGGAGATCAACGACTTCCCGCAAAAGGCTCGTTGGGCGGTCACCAACCGGACTAATGTGGCTAAGATCCTCGAGGCAACCGGCACCTCAATCACGACCAAGGGCACATACTACCCGGCCGGCAAGGAACCCGCGCCAGGTGGCGAGCCGAAACTGTACATTCTCATCGAGGGTGACACGGAGCTGGTGGTCGGCAAGGCGCTGTCAGAGCTCACGCGGCTGCTTAAGGAGGGCACGCTGGCTGCTGCGGACGCCGAGAGCCGGGCGCCTGCGAGTGGCAGGTACACGATTACGTGATGCGCTTCTCCCTCATCGTTTCTGTTTTATAGTTAAGTATTCAGTAAGGTACCTAGTCTCTCAGTAAGCGTAGAGGCCATTGGCTAAGGGGAGAACCTGTCGATTACGCAAAAGGTCTCAGAAGGGCATAATGGAGCTAGACACCTCTCTCCTTGGTAGGCAGTCCTTGAAGGATACTCATATAAATAACTCTTATGTGATGTTGATGCCGCTGCATCTCTCAACATAGTGTGAGTAGATAATACAATTACTGTCTGCCGGCTCCACAAACAGAGGGTAGTATGCAACATCTCAGTGTTAAATCTAGTCGAGACCAAAAACAAACAAAGGAGGCTAAACCAGATCAATCCTCAGCACCCAAGCTTCCGAACGCCCCCGACCACTCTGATGTCATGATGACAAGCACCGTAGGTGCTACAATAATCGATCAACTATGGCTGAGCGCACTCGTACTCTGGTCCAGGTCCCTCTGCCGCCTCGCAGTCTCGCTAGCCTCTTGAAGCACCTTGGTGTCCGTCATGCCCCGCTGCCTGTCTAACTGGGCCTTCAGCTTGCCTCCCTGCTTGCTCCCTTGGAAGCGCGCCTGAGGGGGGGAACCACCTGTTTGTCAGCATATCTTGGACAAGAGTCATATATAGTTATATTAGGGATGAGTGAAAAGCCTCCCCGGTGATTGATCGCGGAGCAAACTATGTGGAATATCGTTTATACCTTCGCAGCGTCTCCTGCTTTTCGGCGCGCTTCTTGGCCATCCCCTCTTGACGATGCGCCGGCTTCTGCGGCTCCGGATCCGCCCAGTGTCCGTGGTGGACCGCCGACCCTCCGGGGTGATGTCGCGGAGGCGGGGACGGAGGCGGAGGTCGGTGCGGCAGGTGTCTCACCGAGGCGGCGGCCCGGCTGCGAGAAGGGATCGCCGCCGCGCTCGGTGCTGCAGAGGCTTCCCATCGCTGGCGGAGCTAAGGTACCTTAGCTGGCTGGTTCTGATTTGCGTGAGAATTACGAGCTGGGTATCCGGATGGTGGCTGCTACTTCGACAGTGGGAGACGTTCGTCGGATGTAAAGGCGTTCGTGTACATTGCCCCACTCCCGGTTTCTTGGACGGAATCCTTAGCCGACGTTTTGTTCACATGTACTGTATTTCGCACCTCAGCCCCTGTTGAACCCTTGTTTCGGTGCAGGTAATGCAGTAGCCAGCTTTCTTTTATGTGAGGGCTGCGGAGAGCAACCTTTGTGAAGTAACCAGACATATCTCGCAGCAGGAAAGTAACGTTAGGTACTAGGTATCTAGGTACCCCATGGTGCAACTTTTGTGACTCCCGTCTGGGTGGTTTCTGGCCTTTCCATTACCGAGAGCAGCGTAGGCAGGTGGTAGTTATCGGGACCAACCTAGAGCATCAGCTTCTTGGTTCAACCTCCCACTTTCCACAGACAGCAACTGGATTCTGGGCAGATAGGACGTGCAGGCTGCCGTCCATAAACACCAACTTTGACACACATGTACAAAGTGTGTTAAGCAGGCGATCTCATCTGTAGAGGGCCAACCAATGAGGCCTTGTTGTAGCCCTTCACCCCACTTGCCGCTCACCCCACATCGCATGGCGGCGAGTTGTTGGTTGGTGCCTGCCCCTCGATTGCTGAGGAAGGAACTCGGGTCGCACAATGGACTTGTTGGCTTTGGGCAATCCCTCACTTGGCTGACCGTTTAGCTATTCGGAGGCGATTCCCATTGCATCAAACAGTGCTCGAAGTTGGCATTGCCATGCTGCGAAAGCCGCTGTGGTGGATTTCGCGCGGGCGCAGCTGCTGCCCGGAGTTCTGAGGTGGGAGTGGCCCCGTGCTTTCTCTGCCCTGGCTGGCCCTCAAGGTTCTCACGAGCAAAATAATATCGACCGCTCGGCATCACGGCCCACACACCACCCTCAACAGGCTCGCCCCTCGACACACGCCTTTGCCCAGAGCCGTACACCTTTCTGGCCTTACCGCTCGCTGCCAGCGTCACGAAGGAGAAGCGTTGCAATTGCCTTTATCGGCGCCGGCATACCGCCAATTTCCCCGAGCCGCAGAGTGCGCTGTTGGACTGCGGTCGCATCTACACATAATCGCCGGCTGCCCACACCCCGCGTGCCGCCATGGACGACCCTTTCGAACCCTCCGGTCGCTTTCCCGGCAGTGGAGATGGCTTCCACAGGCAGTCACAGAGCATCGGCAGTCACTTCGACTTTGACTTCTCGTCAATGATGCCCTCGCAGCTGGGGCCGGGCCAGCAGGCGCCGAGCGATCCCTCCCGACTTCACGGCGGTGGCGTTGCTTATGAATCGCACGACGACCTCTGCATCGACCACTGCATGGGCGTGGGACTGTACAACGGCTTCCAGCAGTTCAATCATCGCGGTGGCTCGACTTCCGTCCATAGTCGCTGGGCGCGTGACAGTTCGCTCTCTCGTTACGACTTCCCAATGGGCCACGACGCGCTGGCAATGCAGTTCCGTGCCACCGACATTGGCCACCAGGACTCGAATTCTTACCACGGGTGGTTTGACGAGCACTCCGGCTCGTGTGTTCCGTGCAACGCTGAGGATTGCCAGTCCATGGATGACAGCTGCTGCGACAGCCAGTGCACCATGACGGGCAAATGCACCGACCTCGCCTGTGCCGACACCGAGGACGCCTGCACCGACCAGAACTGCCCTGCCCGTCCTGACGTCTCTGTTCCCTCCGAGGTGGTCAGCGGTGCGGCCGCCCTCATATCCATCAACCACTCCCCTGAGGACACTCACCACACATTCAGTATGCAGCAGCCAGGTGAGACAAACCCCTTCCCCTGCCGTGCCGTGCTCCGTCAGTCTCACTGATAGTCAAGCTGCAGTCATGGGCAATCTGGGCTTCGACCTGTCTAGTACTCATCAGCAAACTTGCATGATACCGTCCGGCTTCCTACCGGGACCATTGGGCAACATGGCTAACCATCTGCTCGTTGCCCACGGCGATCAGGGCTCGTCCAACTGCACAAGGCCATGCCCTTTGGATGATCCTCAAAACTACCAGTTCTGTCACTTGCCGCTGTACAGCAATACTACCAGCTTCAACCAGTTCGGCGCTGCCAGTTCTGATTTCCAGATGAATGGGGGCTTTGTCGAGTGCGGAGCCGTGATCCATGACCCGGAAACCTTTCTCGCGCATTTCAATTCGCACCACAGGCCCTACCTTACTACTGGGATGCCCAACCCTCTACGTGCCTCAACGGAATCGCAGCACAGCCGGTCTGCGTTGTCCTCAACTGAAGTTGTCTCCCCACCTGCCACACCTTTGGACACCTCTGATTCTGGGAGGTCATCGACGACGCCATCTCCACTCACGCCGCTCTCCAACAGTGCTGAGATGACCGATGCCAAGTCTCTATCGTCGCTCCATGTCCGCAGCACATCCATCTCCTCGTCAGCAGAGCGCTCTATCGAGCCCGGAGCCGGTGAAGAGCACAGGTGTCTCTGGCGGGACGAAGGCAGTGACCGTATCTGCGGTCAGACATTTGCGGATGCCGAGGATCTGTTCAGGCACGCTGCGGAAACCCACATCAAGCATGCTCAAAAGGGTGCCCAAGGGTTCCGTTGTGGCTGGGACGACTGCCCACGCAGCGAGCCTGGCTCCGCAGGGTTCCCGCAAAGAAGTAAGATTGAGAGACATATGCAGACCCATATTGGTCGTAAGTGACGCTACTTGCCTCTTGCGATCACCCCCGCTGACATCGCACTCCAGACAAGCCTCATATCTGCCCAACATGTAACAAGGGCTTCTCGGCGAAACAGGCTCTCACTCAACACATGTTCATCCACAGCAACGAGAAGCCCTTAGTGTGCAACATTTGCCACAAAGCTTTCAGGTATCCTAGCGCGCTCAGTAAGTACACCCTACCTTTTGGGCACCTTGCTCACTTCTGTCCCTCTTCTGAGCGGGAGTACTGACAGCTTTACCAGCTATGCATCAGCGCGTTCATACCGGAGCAAAACCCCTGAAATGTCCAATCTGTGGGAAGGGTTTCAGCGAGTCCTCCAACCTGTCCAAGCATAAACGCACGCATGAAGTCAAGGGCCGTTTCACGTGCACTGTCCCTGGCTGTGATCGCAACTTTCACCGCCAGGACCAATTGCGGCGGCACATGAAAACTCACCAGAAAGAGGGCGAGTGCTGCAGACCGCTAAGGAGTCCAGTGTCCAGTATTGAGAGTGTATTTGAGCAGCAGCCACCGCCAAGCTGAGGATCCTTAGCTTCGACCTCCCTTCCATGATGTTTTGGAAGTCGCTGGGCAATGAACACCTACCTAGCTATCTCACCCTGCCAGGGCGCTACAACAGAGCCAAGGACTGCAGGGTGGTGGTGCGAGAAGGGATGGCACGGTCCGTATCCGGTGGCAGCGGGTCAGGCCCAGTCCACCTTACTCGCAGGGTCAACAGGCCGGTTCTCGCATGCCCGGCTATCAATTGGCGGAGCATTACCGCCATCCGGAGGGTCAAGCCCATTGAGACGGCAGCAGAAGCTTCTGCATTTCCCTTCGGGGCCAGGAAGATGATGATCCGGGACGAATTGTTCCAAGAAGCTCCATCGTGTTTACAAACGAAAAGACGAAGAGTTTTGGGAGGCAGTTATGGGCAGTCGCTTAAAAGGACGGGCGTTGGTTGTAATTGGGAGTTAGAGGAAAATGGGGTTAGGCCATCTACTTCGACGATTATTGCGCTGCGTAGACGGAAGTTGGAACTGCATATATGCATTCAGGGTTGCTTCAAAAACGGGAAAGTGGAGGATATACCTTACATAGCGCGGTCTTGTATTGCCGGCTAGATTTAGGACGACGTCATAGCGAGAGATTTCTCGGAAAGTTTGATGAGTGGTGTTTTGATAGCACATTGACTACATCGTTCTTCTAAACCCACATCACGGTAAAGCTGGAAACCACTTTTAAGTGCCAGAGAGTACGTTACTGCTCTTCTCGCGCTCTACAGCACCGAATGATAGGAGGGACATCATCCTCTTGGCAAGGGTTCACCGAGCAGTCAAGCCTCCCTCTCAGCCCAGCTCTGAATCATGCCCTCAGGAGTGGGTTCGTAGTGCTTGAGGGTGACCTGGCCGGTGGCCTCGTCCAGGTAGGTGTTGGCCTGGACAAACACCTTCCTCGGCTGCTTGTTCTTGAGCACGACGTCGCGCACTTTGGTCCCCCAGTACTCCAGCCCGACGCTCGACATATCCGTGAAGAACTTTGTGCCGGTCTCGACGTCGCCAGTCGACTTGTAGATGTGAAGCTTCTGCAGGAAGTTCGCAACGGCTAGTAGCCAACTCTGTCAGCCGCCATCACACGAAACGGATTCCTTTCTGGGGAGAGCTCACCTTTCCTCCCACTTGTCAAGATCTTGGACCGATCAAGCCGGATCTGCAAGTCAGACAGGTCGTCGTTCTTGTATTCAAGTTTGCAGAACTCGTCTCCGGCTTCGAGGAATGACTGGTAGACGTCAGCAAAGCCACATCTCATAGCACCCCCCTCCCAGACTTGTCAGAGCATACCTTAAGAATGGCAAAACGAGCCTGACAATGCGGCTGTCCCCACTTCTGGCTCTTGGGATCCCAGAATTCGACCGAGCACAGGCCGGCCCGTGCCATGCTGAGGTACGAGGTGTAAAGAACATCGCCTGCCTCGCCATCCATGTCGACCGTGCCGTCCCCAAAGCCGAAGATCTTCAGGGCAGCAAATTCACAGCTTCACCCATGTTGTTAGAAATGTCCTGTAGACCAGACGCATAGTTTTGTGAGCTCACCTCAGATGCATGGCCACCAGCTCGGCCCGGCATTCCTAAGGCACGGTGAGCAGGATTTTAGCACAAGAGACATATTCGGGGATCGTACCTCGTAGGCGCCAGCGAGGCCGCCGAATACGGAACCCCAGGTTTGGCCAGGCTTGTACCAGGTGCTGATGGGCTTCCCTGTCAGGGGGCTGATAGGAGGGTTTGAAATGTCGAAGTTGAAGACGCCGGGTGCCGTCTCCTGAAGAAGCTTGCCGCAGCCATGGCCTATGTGCCCCGTTAGTGATGTGCCAGCGTTTCTGGAGCTGGACATTCCATCATACCTGTGAGCTCATGCAGACCCACTTGTACCTCGAACGCGGCCTCCCGGTACTTCTGGTACAGTGCCAGGTCGCTCTCCGAGATGAACGGAATCTTCTCATCTGGTGCCTTGGCGCTCAACACATTGCCTGTACAGCGTGTGTCAACCCGGATTCAAGGATATCCATATGCGGGAACCAGGGAAGCGGCGATTACGCACCCAAGCTGACGTTCTTGAAACCATCTTGCTGCCTGATATCATCGTAATTCGGACTATACTGAGGTGAGCGTGCCATCTAGAACGCCGGCCTCTCCTGTGTACTTACATATTGATACCGGCTGGGATTCCGGAGCCTATAACACAATATTAGCGACCTTCGTTGTATCGAGTTTGTACTTGCAAGAGGGAGTTGTCCATACCGCAGAATGTGAGAACCTCCAAAGAGGTGAAATCCGGCGATAGAAATTTGTCCTTCTCAAATTCCTTCGACCACGGCAGCAACGGAATCAGCTCAGGCGCAGACCGCACGAGCTCCCCGAACGCCCGAGTTCTCTCAACTAAGCACGAGTGTGAGTCCAAAGGGGATTCTGCCGTTCAAGGGTACTCGGACGGGATGCTTACGGTTGACAACTGCGAGTTTAGTGAGCATGTAACATTTTCCGGTACCGATGTGCTGTATGGAGCGCACTTACCTGCGGCAAAACCTTCCCATTCGCCCCGAACGCCTGCGGGATCACGGTAAGTCTCGATGAAGCCAATGTTGCACTCCACCATCGGGCCCTGGTCTCGGATCCAGTGCCTCTGGCTGTCTTTGAAGGCTAGGAGAGAACCAGTCTCGAAAGACTCGGCGTATGCGAGATGCATCTTCTTCTGCGTCTCGTTCTCCGCGTTCTCGGCGGCCCTCTTGATGAAGTCCGTAATGGCGCTCATCTCCCGGGTATAGTCTCCGTAGACCAACTTGATGGTTTTGCCCTGGAGTGGCTCCTCATCGATCACATACTTGGTTTCCGTCCCGATGTCGCCGCCCTTGCTAGGGACGCTAGTGGTGGCCGAGGCAATCAGCAGCTCAAAGTCGCCATCGTTGGTCTTCCGCAGCCTGGTGTTCTCCGGGAGAAGTTTCTTATTCTCCATCCACTTTGAGACCGCCACGATCTCATCCTTGGTGATGCCGGGTGAGTTGGGATAGTAGGTGGTCAAGTGGCCATCATCTGTGAAGCCGAGGTGCAGAAGCCCCGGTTTGTCGGCTGAGAATATGGCGCCGTTGGTCGCCTTGTAATGCTTCTCGGCTTCGGGGGATGTCGAGGCGAGAGAAGCAAACACCGACTCGTCGCATCGAGGCAGGAACTTGGAGTCCCCGAAGCTTTTGTAGTTGCCGCTGTTGCCCAGGAATTGGGCAGCATACTGCAGGAAGGCTGAGAGCCCCTCCTCGTCGACGCCGGCTTTCTCAGCGAGTGTCTTCCAGTCGCCGCCGGCGCTCTTGTGCAGTGCCAGGATCAAGTCATATATATGCTCGGACTCTGGCGAGACCTGGCGCAACACGATACGGTTGCCAGCAAATGAGGCTCTAAGTTCCCAGATTAGCAGCCGCAGCAGTCGTAATGTGCTCTGTGTCTACGTCAGGGGAGTGGTTGACCGTTGACCGTTCTCAGAAACTCGGACTGCCTCAGTTGCTTTCCACCGGCCAGTAGTCAAGGGTTTTATTCCAGCCAACCCGTGAGTCCAAGGAAAAGTCTATTCTTACTTGCTGATGAAGTGGGCATAGCGCTTCTGCTTGTCTGAAAGAGCGTTGAAGTGCTTCTCAATCTCCAGCCTAACGACCGAAGGCGGGGCATCAGCCAGGTACTGGGAGAGCTCTTGGGCATTCATCGTGACCCGGCGTCGTGGTTGATACTGTTGAATACGAGTTGAAGGGAATACCGTTGCACGAAGCGCAGAGTGTGCCAATCTTGAACTCGATATCAGAGCAAGCCCCAGATTGCGAGATCTGAGGGGAAACGAGAGACACATTGAAAACAGCAGGAACAAACAAACACCGAATTATTGCGGCTTTGCGCTTACAACTATTGTCACCTCACAACAGCTGTCTGCATGCGTCGACTGCCCGAATTGGCAGGAGTATTGCTGCCACTGGCCCATGCCCCACCGCTGACACGTGCTGCGTCCGACAAGGAATGTTTGCCTCAGCGGGGTAGCTGTAAGCCGTAAAGCTCACAATGGCCGAGGCAGAGATTGGCAAGCCCTGGCCCTGAGTACTGCTTGATTGATTGGTGAATGCTCCCTCCATTCACCCCTTGCCGAGCAAGATCGAGATCCCGGCTACGTGATCTTTGTCAGCGTGCGGGTTGCCGGAACTGGAAATTGGTGACGTGCGAGTGAGAGGGTAGTACTGAGCTTGGCGGCAGTCCTAACCCTCTGCGATGTTGGAGGCTCAAGATGATCGAACCCACTACTAGTACCTACTCATGGCAACATTACTAGTATATTGTATCATCGACCCCTCTGTTAACGTGAAGAAAAGAGAGAAGGAGATAACGAGTGTTGAGAGGCTCGGACAATGAAGTAGATGAGGAGTGTGAGCCTGGAGATGTGACAGGTTCCGAGGTATAATGGAAGACTAGATTCACGACCAGGAGCCCAGGCCGTTCCCAACAATGAGATGTATACAAGCGGACTCAACAAGGAAGAGGATTTGCCTCCTTAATAGCGCCCTATGCTGTGTGGCCATAAGTACTTGTGCTGAGTATCAAGTATCCTGAGTACCTAGGTATGCATTCGTAGTGAAGCTTGCCGATACCTTCAAGGCAAGTACGCAGATGGAAGAGGTATTAGGTGCGCTGCTGGGCCACGGCCTGGACTGCCAGAATAAGGATCATACATATAGAGCTGTCTCCCACACTGGATCGTGGAGACGTCACTTGTTGTTTGTTGATTTTGGAAGAGTGATAGAGGTGAGCATTGAGCAGCATGGTTGACTGGACGGCTAAAAACCGATTCCCTATGGCAAATAGTCTTTCATCGGATAGCTGGTGAGCAGCATCTTAGCAGATGTCAAGATTCTGCTAGGAGACCACAGCGGCATAACTCGAGAGCACTGTTGTAGACTTGTAGTTTGAGATAGGTTCATTAGGTACCTATGTAGATCAAGATCTGCAGCGTCCACAGGTTGCCGCCCTAGAACCCAGCAGCAAATGTTTCCAGACCGAAACAGCTCACCTGCAGACATGGTGGATGCACCATGTACGACGGATTAGAGAACGTGTAGGACGATCAAAGCCTCGACTGGTTTCATGCTTTGATGGGCCTGCAGCTTCCGATTCCAAATCTAGAAAGAATCCAGCGGTGAACGCCATTCAGGTGCGTTGACGGTTGCATCGGCGTGAGGGACTGGTACTTACATGTACTACTGGAAATAGTTTCTACACAGTAGGTACGTATATACGATTGCAAGTGGTCTGTTGTCTACCGCGTTTGAAGCTATCCCGGCCTGCTGTCGCCCAAGCAATTTAAAGGCCGGCCTCCCTTTTACACCAGTGTATCCGTTTAGGAAGGCTCTTGGAAGCAAATGCATTAGGTGTCTGTCTTTAGATGACGCCTCTTAACAGTAAGGTGGACTCGAGCTACTGGCTTCGAACTCCTTTGCCTGTGAAATGCCGAGTAGGGAAAATCTCCCCGGACAAAGCACTTGTTGAGCCAGGAGAACCTCACGAATCACGACGCCCGGGGAGTCTGAGGGGCCCGGAAGCTGGTCCGAGCGGACTGAGCCCCGCAAGCTAGGGTGTGACCAATTCCCGGGGACGAGGCCGGGTGGATAAGGCTAACTAGTGGGGCAGTACGAAACAGGGCAGTCACGAGGCCTGCCGGTCGGATTGGGCGGGTGTGGGCTGTGCCACCTGAACCACCAAGACGGCTTACACCAGGCGCAGTTTGTTCCGTTAGGGCATGTTGTCAAGAGCATTGGATAAAACCTTGGTGTGGATTGCCAGCGAAAGGGGGTTGTTCTCTGCTTTCATGATTCTAGATTCATAGTCATGCACGATTCGGTTCATGGTTTCACCGCCCAAGGAGTTGTCAACTTTTAACGAAGCCACAGCCTGAGGAAATCAACGCCCCCACATTGGCTGAGCCCCCACGCTTTTGCAAAAACTGGGGCAATGTTAATGACGGGACCAGGAAGCCGGTCGTTGTTGGGCCTGTCTCACCAAGCACCTATTCTTTTTCTTCCAAGTTGCTACCTACCTACCGTGGACTGTCCAAGCTGTTCCTCTGGCGGCGTCATACTCCCATTGAGATGCAGCAGTAGACCAAGATGCTGGGGATTCATAGCGAATCCTATGCGAAGTCGCTCGTGGCATTTCCAATCTGAGCCATGGAATTTTCTTCATGGAGCCCGTCATTCGCTCGGCTTTTGACCACAGTCTCACTCCCCACATTTCCACTCGATGGAAACCATCCCACGCTTTGCTCCACGAAAATGTTTTCCCCCGGCTTCCACGCGACCGGACCTGACCATCATTGGTGGATACCTCACAAATACCTGGGTGGTACTTCGTACACTATACTCCTCTCTATGGGCGCCGATTCCGCCAGTCATAACGCCGGGCTTAAGTTCGACTCGTTGCAGCTGTGCTCGAGATCCAATAGGGTTACTACCTCATGCACATACACAGCAAGTGAGATTCGTGAGGTTCACCCATCCACGTCAATCTAAGACTGTCCAGGTGGACAGCACATGGTCATGTTATTGTATCGGTAGTACCTTAGTGTTGGATCACACCACGGTAACATGTATTGTACCGTACGTACAGTACATGACAATGGCATACATGGGTGAGTGGCCGGGTCCAATCCCCGGCTCTCCATCTTGTTGCTAGTGTACCGAAGCTAAGGTCAGGCACCCCCGACAATCCAGGCTACATAGTCCCCAGCTACAAGAAAGCGTTAGGTCATCGTTGCTAGACCCGCGGGCTGCCCGCCCACCAGGGACGCCATGTATAAAACGCGGGCGGTCCGCTCATCGACCTGCCTCCTTTTCACGTTACCCTACCTTCCAGCTATTGTTTGTTTGATCGTTCGGATTAGCAGTGTCCCATCTCCCATTGCTGTATATTCTTAACGTTTCACTCTGTCACTTACTCCTCTGTGTTCTCGTCTACCGTCCACTTGCCAGTTTCGGTAGTGCAAACCCTAGATTACCATCAACTCACACTTATACTACGCTCAACGGCACACAGACACCACCTGCTCATCCCACCCTCGCACACCAAGTGACCTTGCCATACACAGTAGTGGCACGCTATACGTTTCACGGCCCTCCGCGCAGCAGTATCAACGTTGGCAGCGTTCCCCTGCGCTCACACTGCGCTGTGACCATGCTCTCATATAATACCCCAGTCGCCGTGAACGGGCAGAGGCCCCCATCCTCTGGGAGCATCCCACCCTCGCCGAAGGATGCCCGGCTGCCGACAGCGACAGCTATCTCCAACAGTGTCATGAGCAACGGCACCATGTCTACAAATGAGTCCACCATGAAGCAGCAGCATATCTGGCTTGTGACAGGACCCGCGGGGTGTGGGAAGAGCACAGTAGCGAAGCACCTGGCGGATACGCTCCAGATGCCATTCATCGAAGGCGATGAGGTGTGTATCGCCCTCCCGGGGCATCCAGCTCTTGCGTGAACGAACAAGACGCTCATTGTCCTTCCTGGCTTTTAGTACCATCCGCAGGCCAACATCGATAAGATGAGCGCCGGCATCCCCCTGACGGACGCCGACCGGTGGGACTGGCTGACGGCGCTGCGGGAGGCGTCGATCCGTGAGCTGGACAAGGGCAGCGACGGCGTGGTTCTGACCTGCTCGGCGCTCAAGCGCAAGTACCGCGATGTCATCCGCGTGGCCCCTTACTTCTCGCCAAACCTGCACCTCCACTTCATCTACCTCGACGCCCCTGAAGAGGTCCTCCTGCAGAGGGTATCAGCGCGCAAGAACCACTACATGGGCGCCAATATGGTGCACAGCCAGTTTGAGGCTCTCGAGCGGCCCGGTCCAGAAGAAGTCGACGTCATCACCATCGATGTAACTCGGTCCCCCGACGCTGTCATGGCAGACGCCCTTGGCCAGGCAGTCAAGACGATGGACCGCGTCAAGCCAGAGGCTCAGCAATGACCCTAGAGCCAACAAAGTAGAAGGGAGGAGAACGTGGCGTCATGCGCGAACCGTTCTGTTGCATCAGATGAGGAGTTGGTCTTGGGATTTTCGCTGATCTCCTAGCACGACGATTTGTCTGCCTTATCTATTTGTTTTCTTTTGGCGCACTCATGTTTTAAACTGGCAGTGGGGCATTTTGGAAAGACGTTGACAATAACGGGATTCATTTGCATGGATGAGCAGGGGCTGCAGAGCCTCTCCCTCCGGTTACGGGCGTTTTCAAAGGAATTGGATACGGTGGTTTGGGCCTGGTGATCCTGTCCCTGGAGAGTAAGCGGACAGCCAATGCGAAGAGACTTTTGCCCCTTTTACGACTCTTAAGGGGCCGCTGGGACAGTGTTGTGATCCGAGATGCTCGGCCCAGACGAGAAGTGTCTCCCTCATCGTCCAAACTCAAGATACGAAACGGATATGTTCCCTTGACTGCATAGTCTCCTAGTAGCTAAGACGCCTCCCCACGATCTGGTAACACCCTGCAGGAAGCAAGCATGGGACGGGCCGGTCACAACTCATGCCCAGGAGAACCGAGAAAAAATCTATGACCTTTTCGCCGGGGACTTGCCTGTGAGGCTGCTTTACAATGCAGTGCGTACTTGTTAAACAACAGTCGAGTCCTTATTCGCAGCTTCGAAACGATCAGCGCTGCTAGATGAGAGGGCCGAAATGGGCCTGCCATGCAGCAACCAAACGAACGACTGCCGAGACTTGGGTGATATCCATGGTTTCCCTCAACAGAACAGCTGGATTTAGCCAGGCTAACAATGTACACGTGTATGTGCACTCTGCCCTCCCTTCAACACCGTGCGCAGCTGCCGCTTTTCCGGTGTTACCCTGGCTGGATATTCCGAAATGATGCCCCGGGTTTCACAGCATGACTCCCCATAACTTGGGGGGGACACATTCACACATTCTGCACAATAAAAGCGCACAAAGACAACTTGGCACCAACAGAAAGCTCCCGTCGCCGACGTCCTTCCCATGAGCCCAGAAGGATAGAATGACCGCATCCTCAACATGTCAGCCTTGGTAGTTTCTCACTTGGCATGGAATGAGAAAAGGCTGGATGCGACGTCCCGTGCATGTTGCACGCTTGTCATGGTCACACTTCATAGATTCGGTTACCTATGGTAAAGCTATGCAACCATTCGTATCCGTAATTCCGTTACAGACGCCCAACCCCCGAACAGTAGGCCAGTTGTACCTGACGAGTACCATGCGAGAACCAGAAACCGGCGGAAGAGGGATTTAATGAAGAGGTTGTTTGCTGTGAAGATGGTGTGCCTGCAGCGGGGGGCCTGCAGCCCAAAAGGAACGCACCCTCAGGAAGCGGAAATGCACTCAACTTGGAATTGGGTGAGCTACGGAGCAGCCGAGATCACAAGGCTGCAGCTGGCAATCAAGGAGGAATGCAAGACGCAGACTGGTGCCTGGAGCTGCAGGAGAAAAAGCATCGAAAGCTGCACGGAGCAGAAAACCACGCTTCAAGGCGACGCCCACCAAAGTCAAGAAAAGCAGTACTTGCGGGATATCCGACGGCTGTCTATCAAGTAAGGTACATATCAAGGAGAAGCTTGCCTGCGAGTGTATTGCGCGTGGACGCAAATAACTTGCACAGTAACGGACCATCGGCAGTGCTGCTGCCACTGCCGCTCTGCGAATAACCGGGTTAAGCGAGCGAGTGCGGGAAAGACGGCCGGATGAATTGAAAAAGGAAGTATTACCACCACGATCCTTCCACTTGATCCCCTCCCGCTGGTGCCCAACTGCGGGTACGACCTTTGCTCACTCTCAGCGCAGGTGCATGACCATGACATCCGGCTCCTCCACGATCGCGCGCACAACCTCGGCAGCTCGGGCCATCGTCGCTCCGTCCACGACTCTGTGGTCGGCACTCCAGCTGAAATTGCAAACCTGCCGCCGCACCACCCTATCCTCCTCGCCCGGCACCGTAGAGAAGGCCGGAACGGTGCGCATGCGGCCGATACCCAGGATCGCCACCTCGCGCTCCACCACCACCGGCGATAGGTACGTGCCCCCGATATTGCCAATGTTGCTGACCGTGATGGTGCCCCCGGACATATCCTGCGGCGAGAGCTTCCCAGCCACGGCCAGGCCCTGTAGTCTGCCCAGCTCGGCTGCTATCCCAAGGACGTTGAGACTGCCGACGTTCTTGATGACGGGCACCAGGAGCCCCAATGGCGTGTCCATGGCCACGCCGATGTTGTGTTGGCTGCGGAGGACGAGCATCGGTTTGCCGTTGCCGTTGCCATTGCCGCTGTTTGCATTTTCGACGTCGACGCGGGCGTTGAGGATTGGGTACTTGTAGAGTGCCATGGACACGGCCTTGATGATGAACGGGAGGTACGACAGCTTGCTGACCTGGCCGTCACTCATACCGGTCTTGGACAGAACGTTGTTGAGTCGCCCTCGGAGCTCGACGAGGGAGGTGAAATCTACCTCGTCGGCATACAGGAAGTGTGGTATGCTGAGCGATCGGGTCATCGACTTGAACATCATCTCTTGCGTCCTTGTGAGAGGAATTGGTGTTTCCTGCTGCGGCCCGGCCGCCACCGCCTGGGGCGAAGAGAGAGTGCCCGTATCGGTTGCCGCAGAGGTAGATTGCGGAGACGGCGTTTGTGCGGGTGCTGCGTCTCTCCTTTGAACAAACTTGTAAATGTCTTCCTTCAGAACCCGTCCGTCCCTGCCCGTGCCATCTATCTCTGAAATATCCACCTTGAGCTCTTTCGACAGGTGTCTGACCGCCGGCGTCGCAAGCGTGGCATGCGTTCCCTTCACCTTTGGTGTGCTTTGCGACTCGTGCTCTGTCAAGACAGCCACTTGCGCGGCTGCCGTCTCCTCGGTCGAGGGACGCACAGGCGCCTGAACAGGCTTGGACTGCGCGTCATTCTTTGGAACCTCGGGCTGCGTCAGGGCCCCCAGATCCTCCTCCTTGGCATCTCCCTGGATGTCAATGTCGACAAATGGCTTCCCGACCTTGGCCATTTCGCCGGCGTCGTAGTATAGCTTCTTGACCACGCCGGCAAAGCGGCTGGTAATCTCGACGGATGCCTTGTCACTCTGGACCTCGCAGAGCGGCGAGAACTCCTCAACACGCGCTCCTGGCTCGACGAACCATTGGATGATCTCGCACTCGACGATACCTGGAAGGGAATGTTAGTTCTAACTTTGGGAAAGAATGGAGGGCCACAGAGAGCAGATACAAAAAAGTCGACTATACATACCTTCTCCAATATCAGCGAGCAACACTGGCTTGATAGCAAAGAGAGGCCTCGCTGCATGGAAAGCCCGTACCATTGGCCCTGACAGCGGTGATAACGACGCGGACACAGACCGCCGAAGTAGACCTCTGTAGAGGCGCCATTGCTGGCGCACCGCGCAAGAACTGCGGCTCCAAAACATATCGAAAAAAGACAGCGAATATCACCAACGTCGATGTAGCAAAACAATCACATTCATCTCACAACTTGTTCCCCGCGCGCGGGTTTCTCGAGAACCACGGCGCGGGTTTTGGGGCCATGGCTTGCTGCGGCTTATGGCCCTGCTAGATGACGTTGGAAAGCCGAGCAGTCCAGGGGCACACAATCCCCGTGGATAACCGAGTGAGCCGAGCACTTCCAGCCCTGGCAGGGCAGTTGGCGCTAGCCAATGATGCAGAAGCACCCCGGATCCGGAGGCGGGGGACTCGGGCGATCTCACAGCGGGTGAAAGTGGGTCGCCTAGCAGGGTGGAAATTTCTTGGGGACCGCAGTTGAGCTCGTCCTAATAAAATCGACTAACGGTCCTGCGGCTGCCACATCTGCCACCATGATCACAAGGACCGGCATCCGGACGGGCTCCCGGACGGTGACCTGTATTATTTGTCAATGGCGGTCACTTAGTGTATCCTATCGCCGGCTGGGCGACAAGCCCCCGGTCTCGGCATCATCCCCGGACTCGAAAGCGGCCCCCCGCGTGGCTCCGGCAGCTAGCGGGACCGGTGCCGCCGGCGTTGCAGAAAGCCCGCTCGCCCATGCGCCCAGATCATATGGCAAGAAGCTCCAAGAGTTCACGCCGACACCCCTGGCGAGGCCAATCGGCATGAACCATCCTCCGAGCGCGGGCGAAAACACCGGCATCGACAAGCGCTCACTTAAGGAGCGCCACGCGGACTTCACTAACTACGAGAAGCACCTCCAGCGTCGGGAATATCTGTAAGAGACGCGCCCCCTATCTCACATAATTCCCCCTTCCCCATTTTCTCTCCAAAGGATCCCAAAAGGCTAACCCTAGAACTCCTCCCCCTCGGCAGCAAATCCAAAATCTCGCGCCCTTACTTCCGCGACTGGCGCAACCTCCAATTCCACCAAGGCAAGACCTTCCTCTCGCCACCACGCCTCTTCCGAGCCGATCTGTCACTCTACTTCCCCAACCTCCACGGCCGCAGCCTGGCCAAGACCCCCTCGGCGAAGGCCGCCGACACGACCCCCTTGCTCGAGGGCCGCGCCAGCGTCGTCTCCATCTTCAGCGGCATGTGGGCCGAGAACCAGGCACGCACGTTCACCTCGCGGGAGGAAAACCCAGCGCTGTACGAGGTGTTGGGGGCCAACGCCGGGCGGGCGCAGCTAGTGCAGGTCAATGTCGAGGAGGACATGCTAAAGGCCTGGCTGATCAGGTTATTCATGGGCTCGCTGCGCAAGAAGGTGGGCAAGGAGAACTGGGACAAGTATTTCATCGTGCGACGGGGCATCTCGGACGAAATACGCGAGTCGATTGGGCTGCTGAATAGCAAGGTTGGATACACCTACCTGGTGGATCACCAGTGTAGGATACGCTGGGCGGGCAGCGGGCCTGCTGAGCCGGAGGAAAGGGAGGGGCTGGTGAAGGGGTTGCAAAGGATACTAAGCGAGATGGAAAAGGAAGGTGTTGGGGAGCACTTCGTGAGGAAGGTGGCAGCCAAGAAGCCGACGGAGAAATAGACGTTGGATAGATAGACGGGAGCGAATGTCGTGTGATACCCCCCTTTTTGTTCGATAGACGCCGCCACTTATGTACTATATCAGGGGTGTAAGATACGGAGGTAACAATGCCTTCCATTCCGGCGCTGGGCTCAAAAAGGGTCGTCTGAAACAACCCCCAGGCATAACCCTCAACGCCTTGAACGCCGCTTCCTTAAGCCAGAATTATACAGTGTCTCATGTCAAAGCGACTCCTCTCGACCTTTTCTTTCTTGCAGCACCAATCGTGACCCACCCGCCGCCTCACAAGAAGAACCAAAACACCAAAAAGCACAAAGCAATAAACGACCCCATGATGATTCCATCTCGCCTCTTCTTGGCCGATATCCGGCCAATCAGGGTATTGATACCGGGAACCTGGCTCGCCGCTAGGGTGATGCGCCGGTTGATGTTGGCTAGCGTCTCGCGCTGCAGCGTGAAGCTGTCCTGCACCGCGTACGCCTGGCTCAGCACGCTGTCGGCCACGTCATGGCTGCGGTCCAGCCGCGCCCGCTCGTCCAGCATGTACTCGGCCTCGGCCGCTGCCGGGTTGGCCGCCCGGTAGGCCGAGATGTCGTCGCGCACGCTGCCGAGCAGGTTGGCGCGGTCGCGCGCCTCTTGGAGCGTGGTACGTAGCCGGGCGAGGTCGCGGCGGTGCTCGGACAGCTTGTCGCGGAGCAGAGCTAGGTTGTTCTGTTTGAGCGCGGATGAGGTGAGGGTCGCTTCCGAGTCGAGGAGGCGGCCTAGCTGGCCGATGACGGTCTCGCGCTGTAGGGAAAGTGGTCAGATCTCAAGATCCCATTGAGCAGCGATAGTAGTGTTGCCGCGCGGCCGGAGCCCCGGGGGGGAAAACATGACATGCCTTATCGAGCAGCTCCTGAACTTTGGCCTCTGCGTTCTTCTCTTCTTCTGTCGGCTTTGGTGGGATGTTTGTTTGCGTTGAGAACTGCGCGTATGTTTGCAGAGATGTCTCGGTCTGTGGGCGGTCAGTTAAGTAGTAACACATGCCTGACTCTTAGCTTCGACCCATCCATCGGCTTGTCGACCTACCTGGGACTCTAATGACCGCGCCTGTTGTCTCAGCTGGGCCCAGCCCTGACCTGCTGTTGTCGCCATATTGCCTGCAATGACGAGAGCGACGCGCCAGCATCCGATCGTCGACACCGATTTGGTTATGTGGTCCCCGTCGCAGATTCTAATGCAGGTCTCGGTTGTGCCGCTTTGTGAGATCAGATGCTGGCGGGTTCCACAGCTGCAGCACGGCTCGGGATGATGTAAATCAAGAACCAGGGTTAGGGTGACGAAAGCCGGTTCTAGCAAGATCCGAAGGCCGAGCAGCTTCACCCTAGCCTCGAATTAGTGGAAAATAACCATGTACTGATATTGGTAGTCACCGTGGTTTATTATAGGATATGCTGTTTGAAAAATTACTTGTAGTCCTCTACTGTATGACAGCATTTGTTGACAGCATTTGTTGTTCCTGAATCCTCGTTCAGGCCGCGCTCAACGGACCCCTTGTGGTCCACCGGTTACGTCAGATACCACCTGCGTTGCTCCGTAGCATAGAGAATATCATGTGTTTAGTGTAGCCGCACTTCACAAACATCAACAGCTGGACTCTCATCAACACACTGAGCATGAGCTTGGGAGCAAAATCGTGGCAAATCGACACATGTCTTGTTGCTCCCTTCAATGGCCTTGTTTGGCACTTGGGAACTGGGGTTTATCCGGCTCTGCCTTGCCGTACCCCGTCTTTCAGTGCTCATATCACAGTTGTCCCATGTACACGCATCACCAGGGGCATCCCGTTTGCTCTAAACCCGATTGTTGTTCAGTGGTTCCGATCCTCTGCAATGCCCGGTGATGCTGGGATCTTGTGACTGTAAACCCTCAGTACAGACGCCGTAATGGACCGAGAACCGTTGAACGTCCAAATGCAATTGGCGAAGCCTTAACCGTATCGCGCCATCGATGTCCCATCATGCCCCGCTCCTGCGCACCCTCTAAAACTTCATCTCATGGGGCTTGTCGCCCTTGCGGAGGCTGAAAGAGGCGGCAAGGTAGCTCGCGAGCATATCGACCTTCTTGATGTTGGCGATAAGGGCCTTGTCAATGGCCTTCTGGTCAGCCGCCCGGCTGCTGGAAACCTCCTTCTTCTGTATTTCTTTGTCAGCCCTGTACCACATCCACATGCGCACCCAAGCCGGGCCAGAGTCCGTACCTGGGGCTTCTCCCCCTGCTTGAAGAAAGCCTCCTCGCCAGCCTTCTCCTTCGCTTTCTCCGCCGTGAAGTACTTCGGCCGCGAGATCTCCTCGAGCTTGGCCTCGTCGATGCCGGCCAGGTCGACCTTCACGGATGTGGCAATCACATATCTCGAGTTGACGCGACGAAGCGGGACACCGTTGATCTTGAAGGGGCCAGTAACGAGAAGAACACCCTGGTCGAGGTTCTTGAGGAGGACGACGCGCTTGCCGCGGAACCGACCAGCGAGCAGAATCAGGACCGTGCCGGGCTGGAGGGAGCGGCGAGGGGCCCAGGGGCGGACAGCCTTGCGGACCTGAGAAGGAACAAATGTCAGAACACGGAGTTCACCATGAGTGCTGAAACAGCGCGAATGCATCCTCCCAGAGCGCTGTTCTCCCACTTTCCACCCCAATTGATGTCACCCCTCTGCCTCCTCTTGCTTCCGCTTCAAGATCCCCTCGGGAATAGTTCCGTCCACCCCAGTCAGGCCAAACCCGAACCGACCTCGAAGTCCGCCCGAATGTACCATACCCCAGCACCTCCGCAACCCGAGATATTAGCTGGGAGAAATGCATGCATCCACGTACCTGGCGAGGCTTGGCCTCATCCTCAGCAGGATACCATTTCTGCGCCTTCTCGGACGGGTGAGGGACCGTCCGAGTCGACTTGCCAAAGGTCTTTGTCGAGGGAGCTGCCGACGACGACATCTTGAGCGCTTTGGCTGTGTGGTGGATTAGTAAAAGTCGTTGGTCGGTCGTCAACGTTGACTTGCTGCTGCTCAGAGATTTTGAAATGAGCAAGCCATCGGTTGTGCGCAATCCCGAAAAGCACCAAACCCCAGGCTAACCACATTTGGAATCGTGGCAGATCCCGGCTTGGGCTGCAAGGCGGCGCACAGACCACTTTTCGCGGTAGGGTTTTCCGCCCTGCCAGCCATTTTGCGCATCCACACCACTCGGATTTTGTTAGGCCGCGAGCTTGCAGGAGAGGCTGTTCCCTTCCAACGACCGAAGACCCTGTCGCCGTCAAAGGAATCGTCGCCCATCGCCCATTTGACTCGACACCGACATCTTTCACAATGGTAGGTACCGTACAGTTTTTCGTTTCGCCGCCCGGACAGTCCCCAGAGGTTTCTCATACCCTGGTCTTGGCCCGTTATCTTCGTCCCTGTTAAACCGACCGACTTGAACTTTGCGAAATCTGAGGTGCACTTGCTGACCATCATGTCAAAGTCTTCCGGCAAGGTCAAGGCGGCCCAATTGTGGTCCAAGAACAAGGAGGATCTCACCAAGCAACTGGCTGAGCTGAAGACGGAGCTGAGCCAGCTCCGCATTCAGAAGATTGTCTCCTCGGGCACCAAGCTCACCAAGATGTACGTCGATTCGAATCCGAACGCACCGCAATGGGGTGACCGAGATATTGGGAGTGGGGGGTGATATAAAGGCAGCTTTGGCTGACATGCGTTTCTTTCTCGCCAAATAGCCACGACCTTCGCAAGTCGATCGCCCGCGTCCTCACTGTCATCAATGCGAACCAACGGGCACAGCTCCGCCTCTTCTACAAGAACAAGAAGTACCTGCCCCTTGACCTCCGAGCCAAGAAGACCCGTGCCATCCGCCGCCGCCTGTCCCCCGAGGACGCCTCGAGAGTTCTGGAGAAGACCAAGAAGCGCCAAACGCACTTCCCTCAGCGGAAGTTTGCCGTCAAGGTACGACAAACATGATGCCCCCCACGGAAAGAAGGGAGAGCCACGGCCGGGGTGCGAATGATCCAAGCGATGCTGACTTGCGTTTCAGGCTGCGTAAAGGCGTTTTCATGGGTAATGGGATGGTTGTATCTAGGGCACTTCCGGCGCGGTTCTAAAAGATTTGGCACTCAACACATTGCATCATCCCGGGGAATCAATCTGCTTTCAGGGTTTGGGGTGTTACTCGAGGTCAATGAATTATCGGTCCCGGCAAGGTATCCGTACCGCTGCGGAATGAAAGCACTGCGCTGAACGCACACACATCCGAGCCTTCTGTTGGTGATGCACCCCCGATGATGTTGGGGGGTCTTGTGCTGGTTGGCACTGCGCTCGCAGGGGCCTAGCTGTGGACTGGTCCGGGCCAGCCGTGGACATGGTTTTGGTCCGTTTTATACCCCGCCAGATATATGATACAGTTGGTCGACAACATCGTGATTCCCTGTTCCGCCTCATTCTTGAAGCCGCTGTCAGAGTCATTGTCTATGCCATTGTTCAAGCCATTCTCCAAGCCGCTACGTAGGCGCTTGTGCAAGCAATATCCCAAAGCCTGGGCGATGGGACAAACGCATCTCTGGGTCTAGGTGAAGAGGCATGTCGGGGATTGCTTCATGTTGTACCTCGTGCCGGGCGATGCTCCCCTGTTATCTTTCAGCAAGCATTCATTGATGTCCCCAACCTCATCCGACTTTTTCATGACCTTCTCATCATTTCTACGTCGTAGCCGTAGCCTGGTCCCTCACTCACTCAACTGTTCAATTGAACATTTCAGTGAGCTTCTGCCGGGCGGTGAAACGCTGAAGACAAGGCCATGTGGGTCAAATCAAGCAAGCCAAGCCGGTACCCCTGGAGCATGATGCGCAAGCTCCAAACTGTCCTCTCCCAAACGCAGGCGCTTGGTCACGTCTGAACCTCTCGACATTAAACTGGTGAGAGGCAGCACCACAACGCCAACACAGGCCACCATGTCGGCCGAACCGCTTCAGGGCCTCGCCAGCGTGGGGAAGGGGCAGAGCACTCGCGGCTTGCTACGGGTGATCATCCTCGCACTCATCGCTGGTGCCGCAATCTCGAGCCGGCTGTTCTCCGTCATTCGTACGTGTCCCCAAGACCGCCGTGCGGCGCTGGTCCCGGAGCTCAGGTTCGAGGCATTGGCGACACTACAGTGGCCCGTTCGCCTAGCGCATGCGTTAGAATGTTTATTGTGTGCTAACTGGGTCTCGATGTGCAGGTTTTGAGAGCATTATCCACGAATGTCCGTGTGCACCCGTCGTCGACCATTCCTCTTGGCCCTGTATTACTGACACTTGACCCAGTCGACCCTTGGTTCAACTTCCGCGCCACCAAGTACCTCGTCGCGAATGGCTTTTACAACTTCTGGGACTGGTTCGACGACCGGACATGGCATCCCCTGGGCCGTGTGACGGGAGGTACGCTCTACCCCGGCCTCATGGTTACGAGCGGCGTCATCTACCACGCCCTCCGGGCCCTTACGATCCCCGTGGATATCCGGAATATCTGCGTGCTGCTTGCGCCCGCCTTCTCTGGCCTTACTGCCTGGGCCGCTTACCTCCTCACCAATGAGATGACGCCGTCCTCCTCGGCTGGCCTCCTGGCTGCCCTGTTTATGGGCATTGCCCCTGGCTACATCTCCCGGTCGGTCGCGGGTAGTTACGACAACGAGGCCATTGCCATCTTCTTGCTCGTCTTCACCTTCTACCTTTGGATCAAGGCGTTGAAGCAGGGGTCCATGCTGTGGGGGGCGCTCTGCGCGCTGTTCTACGGCTACATGGTTGCCTCGTGGGGAGGCTACGCCTTCATCACCTGTCTTCTTCCCCTGCACGCCTTTGTCCTCATCTGCATGGGCCGGTACAGCACTCGGCTCTACGTGGCGTACACGACCTGGTACGCCCTCGGCACGCTGGCGAGCATGCAGATTCCCTTTGTTGGTTTCCTGCCTGTCAAGACCAGCGAACACATGCCTGCATTGGGTGAGTCTGTTTCCTAAAGGGAGGCTGAAGTGGACAAGTATCTGTTTGCTAACTCCCTCGAAACAGGCATTTTCGGCTTTCTGCAGCTGCTCGCCTTCCTCGACTATGTCCGTTCAGCGATTCCTAGTCGCCAGTTCCAAACCTTCCTGTGGCTGTTTGCCGGCGGTACCTTCGGTCTGGGTCTCCTGGGGTTGGTTATCGCCACCAGTGCAGGCTTCATCGCGCCGTGGAGTGGACGCTTCTACTCGCTCTGGGACACGGGCTACGCCAAGATCCATATCCCCATCATTGCCTCGGTGTCAGAACACCAGCCCACGGCATGGCCGGCCTTCTTCTTCGACCTCAACATGCTGATCTGGTTGTTCCCCGTCGGTGTCTACCTCTGCTTCCAGCAGCTCGCCGATGAGCACGTCTTCATCGTCGTCTACGCTCTGTTCGGGAGCTACTTTGCCGGCGTCATGGTCCGTCTGATGCTCACCCTCACACCGGTGGTCTGTGTTGCCGCCGCAATGGCCGTCTCAGCTCTCCTCGACACTTACCTCAGCGCAAAGTCTCCCAAACCCCAGGAAACACAGGCTGCGGACGGGTCCGAGGGGAAGAAGGCGGTGAAATCCGGACTCCGGTCCACGGGCAAGCCGGTGGTGGGTGTCTATGGGCTCTGGGGCAAGAGCATGATGGTCAGCGCCCTGGCAGTATACCTGTTGGTGTTTGTTCTGCACTGCACATGGGTCACATCGAACGCCTACTCGTCTCCGTCAGTTGTCCTGGCTAGCAGACTGCCTGACGGAAGTCAGCACATCATCGATGACTACCGTGAGGCGTACCAGTGGCTCCGCCAGAACACGCACGAGGACGCCAAGATCATGTCGTGGTGGGATTACGGCTACCAGATTGGTGGCATGGCTGACCGCCCGACGCTCGTCGACAACAACACTTGGAATAACACACATATCGCTACCGTGGGCAAGGCCATGAGCTCTCGCGAGGAGGTCAGCTACCCAATCATGCGCCAGCACGAGGTTGACTATGTCTTGGTCGTTTTCGGCGGTCTTCTCGGCTACTCGGGCGATGATATCAACAAGTTCCTGTGGATGGTCCGCATTGCCGAGGGCATCTGGCCCGATGAAGTCAGCGAGCGGGCCTTCTTCACGCCGCGGGGCGAGTACCGCGTTGACGGCGAAGCCACCGAGACCATGAAGAACAGCTTGATGTGAGTACTAGAAGTACCGTTATCTGATTAGGCGGGAGAGCCATGCTGACGGAATGAAACAGGTACAAGATGTCCTACTACAACTACAACAACCTCTTCCCTCCGGGACAGGCCGTGGACCGCATGAGGGGTGCCCGCCTGCCCGAAGTCGGCCCAAATCTTAACACGCTGGAGGAGGCGTTCACGAGCGAGAACTGGATTATCCGCATCTACAAGGTCAAGGACCTTGATAACCTTGGCCGTGACCACGCATCAGCGGCAGCGTTTGACCGTGGGCACAAGAAGAAGAAGGTGACGAAGAGGAAAGGTCCCCGGGTGCTTCGGGTGGATTAAGGGGCTAGATTTCTACCTAGCATTCACCAATGTTCACCAAGAAAGTATGTTAGAGTCAGTCTACTTTTTCCTTTTTCGTGCAATATAGGGATTGGGGAAAACAAAATTGGGCTTGCAGCGAACAGGACCTGCCTCGTCTCATCTTGACCAACAGGTGCCCCTGATGTAAACAACTGCCTCCCCCCCTTATCGACTCCTCACACCGCCTTCATATCGCCTTCCCTATGCCGTCCCTATACCATCACCGCCTTCAGAGATATGACGGCATAGCCCAAATGCACCACGGTCTTTGCTTTTAGGAGGAGCACGGCTATTCTTCGGCCCCCTCAGCGACCGACCTTTCTTCCCAACTCTGCCACTTCCATCGCCCGGTTCTTTCTATTCCACTCTCTCTCCAACTTTGCAAGTCCCAAGCCACGCACATTACGCCCGTCTCGCCTCTTCATCTTGCCTGTTCAAAGTATAATTGCAGCGATGTCGTGGAAGAAGCTCGTCAGCATGTAAGTCGGTTTATTCATCTCCTTGGATCTCCTCCCTCATCTTTTCGTGCGTTACAACCTATCTCGTGGCGTTTCACGCGTAGCTGCGCGGGTGGCATGTCCAGAGGTCTTTGCGCTTCGCTGTGTCGCGTCTCAGAGGTTACTACAGAGGCCATCAGTGGTTATTAAGTCGCGACGAGCAGAGTGTGCCTATTCATTTTCATTTGCTGACCATTCTCTACAGGACAAACCACGTCGACTGGGAGGCCGACGATGAGGCCGAGGATCCCAAGTCGGACCCTGGGCTGAAGAAGCGGTACCGCCTCACCTTTAATGTGTCTTTGAGCGCTTCCAGGGTCAGGGCTAAAGCCTGGCGCAGCAGGTCTACTTGCAAATGTGAGCCGAACAACAACAAGAAGAAGAAGAACAAGGAGGATCATGACGATCCCAAGTCCAACAACGAAGCTCAAGACAGCGCCGTGCCCGACAAGCACATCTGCTATGCATGTGACAAAGTCCGATCGGACGCGTACCACGAGCAATATCCGCTGGTGCCCGGCAAAGAGTCCATCCCCAGTCTCTGCACCGGGTGCCGCCGCGACCGGCAAGAGAGCATCGAGGCTGGCGCTGCCGCCGGCGACATTAATCTGCAGCAGGCCCAGATTGACGAGTGGCAGTGGTGCACAACCTGCGGCAACCTGCGCTCGGACGAGTACCACGCCATGTACCTGTTCAACAACAGGAAGATGCCGCCCTGGGCTGAGATCTGCGGCAAGTGCATGATCATCGAGAAGGGCAGGACGAGGACGGCCTGGCTTCGGTCGTTCCTGGCCGCGCAGATCAACAACATCAGTAAGGGACGCAAACATGGCCCCCTGCGCCGTCGGAGCCGGCGCAATCCCCTCAGGCCGCCGGACTCCTCGCCTCACACCGAGGGCAATCATTCCGCAGACCACCTTCCAAAGAAGGTCGATGAGCCCATTGACAACAAAAATCAAGGAGAAGGAGAACAGCGCCGCGGCGCCGTGAGTGGCAATCACGAAACTCACGCGGAGGAATCTTCCCACGTTCACCACCACCACGACGAAGCCTCGAAGCGCCCTCATGTGCAGCGAAGTTTCCGGGGGGTTACCTGCGAGACAGACTCGTCGGATGAAGAGTGGGAAAACAGACAGAGAGAGCGGAAAGAGCAGCGAAAGGCTCGCAGGGCCCACCTCGATTCACAAGCCGATCGCGCTCTTCGTCGTCTGAGCGATCTGCGTGACCACCTCTACCCGCTGCTGCGGGAGCAGAACTCCCAGCAATCCTCCGCCCCGGTCGCCGCCTCCGACACGGATCATGGTGATCATCATCATCATCATCAACCCGAGAGTAAGGCGCCTCCTCCTCCTCCTCCTGAGGAGGGACGGAACAACAACAACAAGCCGTCCGCGGCGGCGCCCAAGGTAGTCATCTCCGACACGTACAGCGCCCCGGAACTCTCGCCGCAAGACCATGACCATCATCATCATGATCCCAAAGAGGCCGAAGTCAAAGCCGAAGCCGAGCTGTGCTACTCAGCCCACGCGTCCGACGCAGACGTCGTCGACCCGCTCCGCGACAACCCCTGGGTCTCGGACACTTTTGTCTGGGCGCCCCCTCCTCCTCCCCCCCCTCCTCCTTTTTCTCACTCAACTACTACCCCGCATCGCCACCACCGCCACTCCACCGGCGGTAATGCTGATCATGACGATGACGATGATGATGATCATGGTGATGGTGATGAGTTTGTGCCCTGCTACACTCACTGGTCGCCCATCTTCAACGACCGCAGGAAGGTCTGGGAGGTGGATTCCGACGAGGAGCGCGAAATTGAGAGGATGCGGGCGCTGCTTCATCTTGGTCTTCACGATGATATGTGATTTTATGAGAAGGGGGGGGGGGGGGGGGGGGGGGGGGAGAAGAAGGCCTTCGCCTTCGCCCTCCGAGTGATTGATTTGAGAGTTGATGCGATTTGATCTGAGTGATGGTTTTTTTTCTCTCTCTTTCTTTGCTCTGAACTTGCCCTGCTTTTCTTTTCCACCTTTGTTGTGGTTGGTTGGTTGGTTGGTTGGTGGTTTTGCAGGTTTGTTTTGTTTTGTTTGCGTTTTCAGCCTGTCATCCATCATCCCTACTAGGCCTTTTTCTAATGTGTGATCCGGAGTTGAAACATATACTTCGGAGTCCAAAACAAGGTCAAGGGATGTGTTTGTTTTCACGGGAACCTCAGGATGGTTGGGGCTGCGCACATATCGAGGTGTGCTCACAGTGGCCTATTCACAGTCATGATATGAAGATGATAATGGTTCATGGCAACACGAAAGGACGGACGGGGTCGAAGAGATCCGAACCGCTGCTGAAGGCAAGATCAAAGCCTGTTGCCGGGGTTACTGGTTTGCTGGAGTCATGCTTGCTTTATTACGCAAGACACGGATGAGGTTCAGCTATGGTGGCAGCACGGATCTCATTCATGGCACAGCCAAAGCTGGAAATTTGTCGAGATAATGTGGATTGTAAGGTAATCACAGCAGCTCGGATAGCTAAGAGCACAGAATTCAAAGAAGTCCTGGCTTCTTCATATAAATCTTCATTTATTCTCAAGGTAAGGTGAAGATGGTATTTACCTTGCCTCCAATACATAGAGAGATGAGACCGCCGTAAAGGAATCGCTTGCTTGTCCCTCCCCCCCGCTGGCTTGAGGACCGTACCAGCGCCCAATACACAAACCGGGCTTTTTAAACCTCCGCCCAAAGACCATGATATGATATCCATCGCTTCGCTCCGTACCTAAATCCATGGTATCCTTCAATCAGCTCTAAACACACACACGCACATATTAGCGACTACACCAGTACAATACATAGCAGTGTGCCGTCCACCAGCCGCGAAACCTGCCCCTTTTTTGTCTTCCGAGATCCGTAGTAACGAAAAAGCCCGAAAGAAGACGTACTTGAGAAAAACAAAATACAGAAACCAGACGATGGGGTATGATCCGACAGAAACGTTCAGACGCCTCGCTTCAAGACCCTGACGTTTGAACGACAAGGACTAATGATTGTTTGATCGCTTTCCATCATGATTGGACACACCCAAGAAATTCGAAGCGACACAACGCTATCAGAGTGGCGGTAGGGTTGGAAAACCACAAGACACAAAAGGCCCAAGAACCTGGAACCCCGCATGTTCCGACTATCCCCTCCTGGCGGCTCTCAGCAGCTCAACCGTACTCGGCGAGGCATGCCGGAAGGTGGGCACCGTCCGGCCGCCGGGCATGTACGACGACCAGGGGGTCTGCGTGGCCGAGTCCTCGCCGAGCGTGATGCCCGGCGCGGGACTGACCCTGCGGATGCCGAGCGCGCGGCACGCCTCGAGGCGCTTGAGCTCGAAGTCGCGCGAGCGCTGCCGCTCGCGGTCGACGGCGTGCAGGCGCTCGTCCATGTCGTGGTTGGCCTCCTCCATCTTGAGGTCGTGCTCGCTCAGGCCGCGCATCTTGCGCTCCGCCCGCCCGCAGACCTCGTCCAGCTTGTTGGCCACGGCGTCGGGCGCGAAGCACGGCCCGCTGTCCGGCCGCGGCTGCGCACTTCCGCCCCAGCCGCAGCGGAAGACGAGTTGCGTCACGGACGACTGGTCCGAGTTCTGCCACACCGACACGCGGTCTCCGTCGTGGAGCGTCATCCAATATCGGGATGGCCCCGTGGGGTTCTTGTAGTCGTCCGATGGCAGGTGGACGCCGTTGATGTAAATGCCCTGGCTCGCCTTGGTCGAGATGTAGAAGTAGAATGACCCCTCGTCGGCCTCCGCGGAGCGATTCCACGGACGGAAGTTCTTGGCTGGGTCATAGTTTTGCTTCCATAGAAGGATCTTGAAGGCGTACTTTGGCACTTTGCCCTCCGACTTGGGGGAGAAAGTCCGCGTGTTCCCGGGTGCTCGGCCCCACGATACCATGGCTTCGGTGACCAAGACAGTAATCCCGGTAACAGCTGATCCGGATACGGACTGGAGATATGCGACTACCGGCCTCCCCGGGTCCGAGTGCATCGGTACGACGAGCTCCGGCACAAGATCCTCCGTGTCCGGAGGGGTAGCTGGAATGCTCGCGTCCCCGTTGGCGGTGGAGGGCATCAAACTATCTTCTGCGTCATGGTTCTGGGCTCCGTTGGCCGCTTCGCCACGGCGCTCGCAATTGGTGATGGCTGGGAAGTACTTCATGGCTAGATCCCACAGAGGCGTCTTGCCCGGTCCGAATTCCTCCTCCCTGGCCGAGGCGGCCAACTTGAAGGCGTCGAGTTGCAATTGGGTCATCTCCGGGTAGTTGAGATGCCAGGTTCTCCTATCCTGCGCTGACCAGTAGGTGGATTTGTGCACGGGGATGTCGATTTGCCGCCCGGACTGGGCTCGTAGGATGGACGGCATCTGCGCAAGCAGCTCATACTCGCCCCTGTCAACGAGCTTGCCGATCGTGAGCTTTGTTGAGCCTTCGGATCGAAGCCTCTTGAGACCGCGCCGGTCTTGCGCGGACGGCACCTCATCCCCCTCGCTGCTGTCAGATGAAGGCTTTCGTTTGCTCGAGTTCAGATCGCCGATCGTTCGGGAGCGGAGAAGGGAGCCGGCGTGCGACTTCATGTTAAGGTTCTCGAGAATCGACTCCGTACCGCCGAGGCTCTGTGATGCGACGTCAAAGGTCATGTTGTTGAGCTCATCAACCGACGTGCTCTCGTCGAGACCGGTCGGTGAGGCTCGCAGACCCCCTGACGCTGGCTGGGATTTCTGGGACTTTTGCCGAGGGGTGGTGGGGCTGTCCTCGGACTCGAAACTGTCCTTGATTTCCGTCTCAGCGCCAAGGATTTCCGTCGTCCCTGTCGACCCAAAGCTGGTCCCGGCCGACACTGGTAGGTTCAGACGCTCTGCCGGGACTCCCGAGCTTCTCACGGCGGAGGGGTTGACTTCGCCGAAAAGCCGCTGCGGGCGGTTATTCGGTCCGAACGTATAGTTTTCCTTCTCGGACTCGTACATGGTCGGATTGTCCTTGTCGAAATCCACATCATCGTCTTCATCATCTGTAATGTCATCGTCACTAGGGACGCGCAGCTCTCGACATTCCGCCCGGTAATTCCTCTCGGGATCCTCTAGGCTCAGCTGGGAGGCGTTGACACGCAGCTCTTCGTCTGCGATCTCCTCGAATGACTGCGCAACGGTCGAGAAGGACCCTGCAATCCACGCATGACTCTGGAGATCTGCCACCGTGGCCCTAGTTTCCGGTCTCCGGTTAAGCATGTGGCGGAGGAAATCAATGCCTTCCTCTGAAATTCCCGCTTCTACGAGTGGTGAGACGTCGAGAGGTCTTGTCATGATTTGATGAAGGAGTTCGGAGTGACTGGCCCCATTCCGGGCGGGAAAAGGCGGCTTCGTCGTCAGAGCATAAAACAGGACACCGCCTAATGACCAGATATCTACCGCGTGGTCATATCGCTGTCCCGTGGTCGGGCGGAGGTGCCGGTTTCGAGGATGTCGGCGGCCGCGATCGTCGTACTCGGTATACTCGGAATAGACTTCAGGGGCGCAGTAGAGAAGGGTCCCGCAGAAGGTCCGGAGGAAGGTCTGCTCGTTATCGACCATCTTGGAGAGTCCAAAGTCCGTCAACTTCACCACAAAGGGATCTCGGGAGTGCACAAGGATGTTGTCGGGTTTCACGTCGCGGTGGGTGATGTTCATGTCGTGCAGGTACCCGAGTGCGTCCAGTAGCTGCCTCGCCATCGTCTTTGTGGCGCTCTCCGACAGGGGGCCGTTATCTGCGATCAACCTACCCAGGTCGCCCCCGCCAACGAAATCCATGATGATAATGAGGAGCCTGTCGTCCCAGTCGAGGTGTTCGATGTATTCCACAATGTTTGGCTGCCCCGGAATGTGAGCAAGACGTGTTCAACTTATCCCCGGGGAGGATGGCGGCTTACATGTTTGATCTTTTGCATGATCCTCATTTCATTTTCCACCTTCTGGTCGAGGACGCCATTCTTCATAAACTTGCGCTTATCGAGCTCCTTTGCCGCGTACGGCTGGCCCGTGAGCTTGTTGGTCACTTTATGCACCGTGGCGAAAGCACCCCGGCCGATTTCGCACACACGATTGTACTTGTTCGAACCGTTCCATGGCCTTGGAAGGCCGTCGGCACGAGCACGGCCTCCATGCCTCGCTCGACCGTCATCCAGTTGCGCCCGTCGAGCCCCGACAGCATTGTTTGCGTTGCGAGCCGGGCCAGCCAGTTGCCTTGGCGCAGCAGGCTTGAAGATATCCACCTACTCATCCTGATCAGTATCCGATGGCCCCCGGCGTGCATTCATGATAGGGAGCAACCCACATGCCCACCCGGCCCAGGGACAATGGTCTCGTTCAGGTCAACAACACCGCGTGCTCGGCCTCCCAAATAGTCGTCTAGATTATGCTGATAGGCTTCTTGACAGGGGCCATCGCGAATCGGGATCCGAACTAAGAAGACAATGTCGAGGCCCGCTTTATGCATGAGGATCTTGATTTTCGACCCGCTGTTGAGCGTCCTCTTTGTCTCGGCAGAGGGGCCGTCCTTTTTCTTAAGCAGCACCCCGTCGACCACGGTCCCGTTCGTCGACATGTCCTCGAGCATCAATACACCCCACTCGTTCAGGTATATGCGGAAGTGTATCTTGCTTAGGCGTCGCTGAGGGTCGTTTATGAGGGTGATGTCACAACAGCTGGCATTCCTGCCAAAGGTGAAGCCTTTCGAGGGGTCCTTGACGTCTGACGAAAACCGGAGGGCAATGTGGCCAACGTCTGATTGAACGTCGGCGAAGTTCCGCGATTCGTCCTCCAGCGAATAGTCCAGGTTGAGCCCGTCCACATCTTCCTTCCCGACCATATGCTGCGATGTCTCTGCGGCAATCCTTCTGACCTCTTGGCGCGCGGATTCTGAGTAAGGTAGAAGCAGACATATTATGTCGGATATGTCTTCGTCTGAAAAACCACCGCTCTGCTGACCCAACCGTCTCGGGTCGACGACAGTTTGCGTCGCTGTGCGCGCGGTCAGCCAGGAAACAGACGGACGCACAATAGGGCCAGGCGACATCGCGTTGAAGCAAAGCGGGGATGCGAACCTTGGGTGGGCTGTGAATCCCTATATGGATCCATTGAGACAATCGCGCTTTTTACACCTTGGGGGTATCAGCTACTGAGTGCGGCGGGCGACGTGCACACACACACACACACACTATGGTTAAGCTCCGTGGCAGCGCACCGACGGCGCTGAGGGCGGGGAAGGAGCCGGGTGCAGCAAGCGCGCGTGTTTTCTCATCGGAGTGCAGATTGGGTATTGTGGAGTTGGAAAGCGCACAAGGCCGTCGCGGTCGCGGGGAGAGTCTAGCAAAGGGGAACGCGACCAGAACATGCAGAGCGGGTCGTTGAGGGGACGACGCGGGCAGCGGATCTTGGGAGTGGATGTTGCGGTGTGCACGGTGTGTCGCGCGGCGCACTAGGTAGGCCACGGCGTGGGCAACGAAACGGAAGCCTTGCCGGGCACCGAATCAGCGGGAGCGAAACCCGTCAATAGCGAGTGTAGAAGATGCACTGCGTCATGCTGAAAGCCAGACGGTAAGGTGAGCTGGGAGTGAGACTAGGAGATGTCCTTCATTACCTCAGGACGAGTTTCGTCCCTCGAGCCCCGAGTCTTTTCCAGGTTTGGGATTTGTCAGACAACAAACAGCGATGTCGAGCCTGGTCTTGGGTTGCCTAGGGCACGCTGCAGGCGCACGGGACGCATCCCATCCACTCGGTTCGGTGCAGACACTGCAGGGGAACTGCCCCTCCTTTTACATCATGATACAAGCGGCAATAGTACCTATATTGATCACTCCTATATTGAGTGTTTGTTACGCAGGTGGAATCGGGCCCTAACAAACAAACCAAAGCGGCGGGACTGTGTAGAACCAGGGCAGGACCGGATAAACGATGTCTATCTCAATGTCAAACAGCCAAATCGGCATAGGAAATCGGCGCAGTTGAGACAAGCCCTCTGATATCTAGGTTGGTAGGCTCTCTCTTTTGTTCAGTTGACTTGGCCCTTCTGACTGGCACTTGCTGTATCTTTTCAACTTTCAGACAAGGACCGCTGTCGCAAACTCCGCGTGGACAAACAAACGAACCAGGGCTGTGCACGGTACCTTACCTACCAGGTACCTTACTTGCACTTAAGTACTGTACATATGTCTATAGTACTAGTGGTGTACATGACCAATCCCCGCAGTACATACTAGCAGGTTATATATACAAATATGTGGTCCTACTGTAAGCTGGGTTACTTTGCTTTTACATAGTAAGCGCCACAGCTTCACATCAATGGTTCACAGCCCGCCTCGTGGAGGTCAGGGAACTGGGTTCCGGCTTGATCTCTGTTGGACAAGAAAATTGCCGATGGTGGGATGGGCGGGGCCGCCCGTCCCGTGGATTTGTCCAGCGATGAGCATTCCTCCGCGGTACCCTGCGTTTGAAACACCAAAAGCACAAGGGAAGCCGGGGGCAAGAACGCTGTCGATTTCTTTCCAGTTCTCGATTGGCTTGCCTCCAGCCTGCCCAAGATCGCGAGCGGATCCGATGAAACCATGACACACGGCCAGACCACTGGACATCGACACCCGCCCCTTTCGTGGAGTCTACGAGAACCCGCCCTTGAAATGGCTGGGAGATGACGGACGCCCAAACCACCTGCCCTGCACAACTCAGCAGTTTCCGGCGGTGATATTGTGGGAACTGCGACACGCTTGGTCGCTTTTCATTAATGAGCTTTGCTCATGATGGCTCACTCGTTAGGGACCTAGACCAAAGACGAGCTCTGCTGACATGACTCTAATGATCCTGTGGGGTGCCTATATGAGTACGTCCCAAGCTGGGACGGGAGTGGCATGGAGCAATTACCGTAGGGCTGCCTCTCCCGATTGCTCGGGCCGCAAGGTGCATGCCGTGTATCACCCCCAGATGCTGAGTGAAAGGAGCAGTGCCATTTCTCCGCAGACGAGAGGCAGCCTTGGAGTCGACCGCTGGATGGGCTGTAGGACAACACACAGTACCATTGCGTGTGATAGGTTTGCGTACCGCACCATACACTGCAGGTCACATCAAAGATGTATACCAGGAGGACATCATGATTCGACCAACAAGCTCCTGGAGATAACATATCCATCCGGACTTTCAGCCCTGCTTCGGGAGGTGTATCTAGAGTTATCAGGTATCACATGAGACAAGCCGAAGAGGACACGACCTGTTCCAAATTCCAATTCCAAATCCCTTTGGAAATCCTCAAGTTGCGATGTGCAACTCAAATAATCCAGTCGGCATCCTGGCTTGTCTTACTCCGATTTTGATAGCACTCATTCCGGAATACCCCATCCCATAACCATTGGCCGCATGCGATTGAGAAGATGTGATCTCTCAGCTCTGTTTGGTTAAGGTCGAAAGCGGTAGCGCATCCGGAAGACATGCAGGAAGAGCCTGGGGCAAGAGAGATGCCGGGGATGACGTAATCCCGTCCTCGGATAGCTGGTCTTCCCCGAGCGCGTAACAACTGAACTTCAGCAGTTCAAAGGTTGGGCTTATTACCGGCAGCCGCTAGGTCAACTTGCCCAGGTTCAGTTGACTCCCTAGCAGCTTGGTACTAGTCAAGACTCAGCAGAAGCATGTACTGAGTAAGCTCACGTCGCGGGGAGTCGGTAATCGCCCGGAAGAACCATCAAGGTGTTGCATCGATGCGATCGATGGCAGCAACCAAAAGCTAGGGGCGGAGCACTGGGTGACCGGCGGCCGCTGCGCACACCCCCACCTCCTGAAAGTGGTGCGCAGACGATAATACGCGGACACGCCGCCTTCGCAATAACCTAGGTTGTCTTATCCAACCTCGTATTCCAGTTCAAGCTCGTTCCAACCCTGTGCCGAGAGCATATTGCCGCTAATAAAGCGCTTCGATGGTCACAATACCGCTTGGCGAAGAGCCAAGCATCGGGTCAGGCGATGACAATGTGGACGAGTGACGCTGTCACGAATCACGGTAAGTTAACCATCAGTCACTCTCAGCGCTTCCTCTGATGTTCGACCTGGTTTCATGCAGATCAAAGCCTGCCCGATAACCGCCACCTAACGGAGCCAAGTCCGACGGGACGGACAAGACCAGCCACTTTTCTTCCTCAACGGCCCCGGGCGTGCGCCCATGCGCCAAGTGTCGGCGTCTCGCCCCGACCACCCAACGATTGGAGGCCTGAAGCTTTCAAGCTCCTGACGTGGTTTGATATGCCCGACGGGCCACAAGTGTGCAGCGTCTTCCGTCATCCCCAGCGGCATGGGCAACGCGAAAATGGCCAATCATGCCCTTGGCGCCATGCCAAGGGGCGTTGATTGACATGGGTGGATCTCAATTCAGATCTGAACGGAGACCTGGTGGAAGATGACGAAGCTTCCTTTGCTTTCAAATTTGAAGTGGTCTCGAAGTGTGTAATGTGAAGTTGAGTAGTGGTGAGAGGTTATCATAATACCCAAGGTTGGAACGGCGGTGTGCCGGAGATGCCGCCAAGGAGTGGGTTTGAGCATCATGAATGGTGGCAGACCAGCACTCGAGTCCACCGATCTGGATCAGCCAGGCGCAGCGGGAACACGCCTCTGTCCGTTTTCCTTGGAGAAGGCTGCTTGAACAGACCACTCTTGGATTTGACAGTGTAATAGAGTGAGGTCGACACTTATTAGCAAACAAGAAAGGCCGACAGATTACATCCAACTTGGACCCTGGAAAACCATTAGTAGGTGGACCACTTAAAAGATAGTACTCTACTGTGTACTTAGGTGTACGATGACATTCGCCGTCCCCGCCGCCAAGTGGAGGGGACTCTACAACACGGCGTAATCACAGCAGGGTGCATTTCGTCGCACCCAGCAGACCTGATGGTCCGGAGTCTCGGGCAGGAAAGGAACTTGGCCTACCTTAGAATCAGACAGTCAAATAGGTGCAGGCGCCCAGCAAGTGTTTCCTAGATTTCTGGTCTCTCCTGTTCTGTGTCCTTCCGCATCAACAAGCCTGCCTCAGGTTACTCTGCGGCGTTGAGCGCTTCCCTGCCGATTGGCAAAAATTCCGTCATTTCCTACAGCGGTACGTACCTCACTTATACAGGAGATGCCCTGTTGGTCTCGGAAGGCCCGGTTATCAGATGAAAGTTGAAGCAACCCCCGTCAACACTTCCGTGTGATGCAAGAAAGCACGAAACCCAACCGGTTGAGAAGATAGGCAAAGAGCTCAGACATTCTCCTGACTGTGCGTTGGTGAAAGAGCTTATCTCGGTGGCGGACGCTTTTCTCTCTGGTGGCCTGCTTTGTCTCCAAATAAAACTCAACGCGACGGGGGTATGCGGACGAAGTCTATCGTCAACTTGCACACCGAATGCCTCTGCACTTTTTGTCTTTTCATCCACAGTACTTGGCAGGCGAGGCGTTGGCTCTGCGGAGACACTGACTGACTTGAACACTGACGTAGAGCAAACCGCGATCAGCTGTCTTTTCGCACCCCCTCGCTTCGGATCTGTGCATTGCTCGACGGAACCAGTCGATAGAGGACATTCTAGCGAACGGTCTTTGTCCCGAATCTCCCGCATCCTTCACACGATCTAGTCCGGATGGAGTGGTAGCCGGCGCAACAGTGACGGAACCAGAAAATCGGGCCGTTGCCGCAGGACAACAGCTTGGACTGATCTCCCCCAAACGCCTCCATCGACCGGATCTTGCGAAGAAGTGCTGAACACTCTCGCTGCCGGAATTTCTGTTGTCGGAGAGAACATCATCACTCAGCGCTGTGCTTTGCCAAGTCCGCCTTTGCTGGTAGGATTGGAGGACCAAGACCCCACCATGGGTCGGAATCGAGGTATGTGGCATTTCAGTGCTTTCGGTTATTAGCGCTGGGATTCCAGACAGCACAGCGCACCACGACCACTGGCATGCAAAGCGTCGCTGCCGTGGCAATCATGAAGTGCATGTTTGCGAAGACCCGTGGCTCCCAAGACGGTCGTCCCTGAGAAGTGTTAAACAGCCACTGGGGAGAAAGAGGAGCCATTTTCCGAGATCGCGTAACAATCCCAGCAGATCTGCTGACACGAGTTACAAAAAGTTCGCTCGTTTATTGCACAGTTCTCCCCGCCTCACAAGGATTCGAGGACCCCTACTCCTACATCATCCCCTAAGACCAACAGCTTCCAGAAGCCCGCCCCTGTGCCGAAAGCCGAGTCGCGCCCGGTCTCGTACAACACGCCCTCCCCCCCTGCGCCTCGAGAAGCACCGAGCGACCCGACGTCGGCATCCTCGCCTGCAACAACGCCGATAGAAGAGCATGCCGCTCCGCCGTACTCGCTGAATAACTCGCCATCATCAAGTCCAGCGGGGAGGTCGTCAAGGAGAAGTTCGCGACCCCTGTCCATGGTGCAGACCTACCAACCGCCCATCATGGCCGTCAACGAGCAAACGCTGCCCGAGTTGCAGCCCGTCTTCACCCTGCTGAATAGCCATGCGAACAAGCTGTATCAGGAAGGCTATTTCCTGAAGCTGGACGATCAGGATATTCGTAAGGCACCTTGTCTGTCTGTGTGTGTGTGTCTTGCACGCCTGCCGTTGCTAATGCTTGCGCCAAGGAGGGAATCCGAACCCTGATCGAACATGGACGGAGTGCTTTGCGCAGTTGGTCGGCACCGTCCTGTCACTTTGGGACGCCGCTGAACTGGACGCGGCGGGAGAGGATGGGGAGGTGTTGCCCAAGTTCATCAATCTGACGGATGCGTCGATCAAGATGGTAGCGTGGTCCTCGTGAGGGTTCATTCTTGGTGACGCTTTGATGTCTGACTGGTAGCAGATTGAATCGCTCCCGACCAAGTCTAACGATGAGCAGCCGCTCCAGAATATCCTGAGCATCAGCACTGCTGGCCGCAACCGGTATCTGCTTCACTTCAACTCACACCATTCATTGGTCCAATGGACGTCGGGGATACGACTTGCCATGTTCGAGCACTCGACACTCCAGGAAGCTTACACAGGTGCCCTGGTCGCAGGCAAAGGGAAGAAGCTGAACAATATCAACATCATTATGGAACGTGCCAGGCAGCCGATCCAGGAATGGGTGCGCGTCAGATTTGGTGCAGGTGTTCCTTGGAGACGATGCTACTGCGTCATTGATCCTCCCAGCGAGAAGGAATACCAAAAGGCGCAGAAAGAGTTCAAGAAGAAGTCTCCTTATGACCGTCACGGCCCTGTCCTGAAGGGTGAGATCAGGTTCTTCGACACCAAGAAGGAAGCCGACAAGAAAAAGAAACATCAGCGGCCAATCGCATCCATCACCGACGCATACTCCGCATATGCCATCTACCCGCAAGCCAAGGAGCTCATTGACAGCTCGACGCTGTTGAAGATCGAAGGGAACATCACCATACACTCCGAGCCACCATCGTCAACAGAAGGCTTTGTTTTTATCATGCCGGAAACGCACCCTGCCGTCTCGGGTTTCGAAATGCTTCTGCGCTTCCTATTTCCGACATGGGATACCTTCGCTTTGTATGGCCGGCCTGGCCGCCTGGTGGCAAGCTCCCTTGATTCGCGTTCCTTGATGTTTGCAATGCCGAAGCACAAACGCTACGGCTATCTCGAGCTTTTGGACGTGAGCGGGCTGATCTCGACGGATGGGAGCTCCTCGTGGTCAGAAAGAGAGTGGCGGAAGAAGCTGAAGGAACTGACAGGACAGCGCATGGCCGCGATGGAAGAGCAGGCTGGCAGTCACAGCCGGAGCACAAGCCGTAACAGCAAGCGGTTGAGCTACGGGGCTCAGAACTTAGGCTCGCGGCCAAGGGTTGGCTTTGCAGAGGATGGTGGCTCGGTCCGGTCGTCACGATCACTATCCGTCTCACGGGCGGGTCGTAACGAATCGGCTCCTCCTGACCCAAACCGGGAGCGGGCACCGTTGGGAACCGCAGGGTATCCCGGGCACTCCCGTAACATATCGGATACCCAGATAGCCGATGGGTCGTTCACCTTCGGTTCGGACACGTATCCGCCAGGACCGGTAGCGATGCGCGGCTCCGACCGTGCTAGGGCCTTTGCCAGCGACCTGGCCTCCACGCCCGAGAGGGTTAGCTCCGAAGATGACAGTCCGGTGCGAGGCCCCATGGGCCCCGTGGCCAACAACCTCGAGGAGATGCAGCGCATGGAGACGCCTGAACCGGTCAACGCACCTCCGGCGTTTGCGCATGGCGCAGGTTCTCGCCCGCTGCAGAAGCCCCAGCCCTCTCCGGAAATGCGAAGAGCCACCAACCGGTTATCACACACCACGCTGTCGCAGCTCGCCAAGGCTGGAGGCTTCCCCCCTGACGCCTTCTCATCGGATGACTCTCATGAACACCGCCTCGAGGACGGGGGCGCTGGTCCGGGACCCGTGCACACTGACCAGCGTGGTCTAGCGGTACAGCCACAAACCACCGCCAACGCCGTGGGAACTGATGCTAATGTGAATGGATCTCGTGAAGTTGTGACATCGCCTACCACTGCCTCCTCACCGGGCGACAGTCCAGTACCGCCGCCACCACTCCGGGATCCTTCTCGGAAACGCTCGATCTCTCCGCTCAGGGCTCCCCCAAATGACCAGGCTCGTAATCCTCCGCCGGCCTTCCACTCCGGACCTCATGCTCCCCAATCCGCTGGCCATTACCCGTCTCCAGCTCACCGCCGTACCCCCTCCCCGGATCCGCACCGCCATCAATCTCCACCGGCCTCGAGTGGTTCACCTCCCATTAACAGGAAGCCTCTTCCCGCTAGGACGACAAGCCTATCCCACGGCCGCGATGCTGCAGCCCAGCCCGCTTCGCCCCGGTCACCAAACATGTTCCACTTTCCGGGATCGGGCGCCCGCTTTAGGCAGCTCGACGAATTCACTTCTCCGGTCGTCTCGCCGCAGAACCAGAACAGCCAGAGAAATGCAGCGGGCGGCTTCGACGACGCGTCATCAACAGCCAGCCCGGATTATGCGAGCACTAGTGGTTCTATTGATGATACCCAGGAATCCGTCTACCGGCCCCGTGATCTGCGGCCTCGTGCTGGCAAGCTCAAGACCATAGGGGACGATCCCACAAGTTCGTCCAAGGCGGGATCGGACTTGGAATTCGACATTCCCGAGATCGATTTTGGGCGGACGCTCAACTATGCTGCCCCCGTTCTGCCAAGCGACAAGTCGTCGTCCAAGGATTCATCAAAGCGGAACGACGCCTCGACTGGTTCGGGTCGAAAGTCCCCTGGACCAGCGGCGGCATTCTCCCATCTCAAGCGGCAATCAGATGATGCTAGCACCAACCGTCGAAGTGTAGTCTGGCCGGGCCCCCCTACCGGGCCGTCCACGACGCCCACGCCCCTCTATGCCCACCAGCGCGATCCATCAACCAATACACTGACCGAGTACCGCGCGTCGCATTCCCGGCACAGCTCGGCCGACCTGCTCTCCTCCGGACGACCTATGAGCCGCTCACACTCTCGGCATAGCTCGGCCGATCTCCTTTCCACCGGACGACCTCTCAGCCGCGGACCTGCAGCTCTCCTATCCGAGGCTGAAGTGTCTAAGGGACCGGCCAACCGCGGTGGTTTGCACTCCCGCAGCAATTCGGCCGATCTGCTCTCCTCGGGGCGTCCCCCAAGTATGGGACCGGGAGCTGTCCTATCCGTTGGGGAGGTGTCATCCCATCTGTCGGCGCGCGAGCAAGAACACGTCGCGCGAGTCACGGGAACTCCATTGATTGCCATGGCTACTAACAAGGCCCCGTCGCAGACGCAGAGCGGCCTGGTTGGCGCGATCGAGTTTAGGGAGCGAGAAAGGGCACAGATGAGACAGGGAATTGGCGGGCAGGCGGTCGCGCAGGCTATCGACCAGAGACACCGCGAGCAGCACCAGCAAGCCCAGCGAGCCGCACAGGTTGCATACGCGCAGCAACAGGCCCAGTTTGCTGCCCAGCAAGTTCAGGCCCGTCCGCAAACTCCGGGAGCAATGGGCATGGGCATGATGATGGGCTCCGGTGCCCCTTCGCCCTACGGCCCGCCGATGCAGCCCCGCCCGCAGACGCCGGGAGGCATGGGTATGATGGGCGGCGGTGCTCCTTCTGCGTACGCGCCGAGCATGGCTGGCATGAACAACCGCAGCATGAGCCCCGGCCCTGGCCTGATGAGCCCCGCACGCTTTGGGCAGGGACCTCCACCGCCGCGGCCCCCGATGATGCCTCAAGCGAACTCGTATGGCAATGGCGGCCCCGGTCCCCAAGGGTTTCCTCAAGGGTTTCCGCAGGGCAATGGATGGAACATGGGCAACATGGCGCAACGTCCGGGACCTCCCCCGATGCCTTCGCCTGGCATGGGCTTTGGGATGCAGGGCCAGCGGCCACAATCGCCCGCATACCAACTGCCTCCTCAGGGTCAATATGCTCCGCCCCCTGGGACGCCGGGTGGTCCGAGGCCCGGTACACCTGGCCGCATGCAGTTCCAAGGCCAAGCTTTCTAGAACAAGGCTAAGGTCAAGGACCTCATGGATAAGTTTGAAGCCATTTCCCAGCGGAAAGAAGCTCCGGTTTGAGCTGCTGAATTGTGATGTCGGGGCGGGGGTGAAGAGGAGGGTACCCATCCATCAGCGGTGGTTCTGCAGAGGCGCGGTTGTCTCTTCGAATCTTTAGGGATGAACGTACGGCTTCAACTAGACCGGGGACGGAGTCACCGGGTTTTTGCTTTTCATACAATGCTACCGAGGCGGATTTCCTTTCTGTTTTTCTCCTCATGTTCGAAGCTTAGCGAGGCTGGATCTGCCCCGAGAATTTTGGATTTTCGAATCGTTTTGGATTTTCCATGGACTAATGTACGATGCATGTATTGTACATGTACTTGCGTTGTTAGAGGACGGCCCAGACTTGTGTTTCCTTCAAGTTATTAGCATCTGTTCGAAGGCGTTACTACTAGTTACTACACCTGTCTTATGGCTGCATAGTTGGTCTGGTCTGGTCTCCAGCATAGGATAGCATAGCAAGCAAATCCGGGGCTCTGAGCCCTGTCAGAGTCGTTTTTGAGGGGTATGTCCACGGACTAATAGTAGATGATCTTCCCTAGGATTACAAGCTTGTCTCGGTGTGAAGCATAATATATTGTGATGTTTGTATTCGTATGTAATATGCCCGATATTGTACGTACTATGTATTACACTGTTACCGAACTAGGTTTCCAGATACGGAAGCTCCGGGTTGTGGGCGCCTGTGGTAAGGTAGATGGCCAGTGACCACTCTCCTACTGCAGGGGGCGTATGATAAGATAGCAACGTTACGTGCCATCGCAGGGCAGCAGCAGTAATACTTCTTTCACCCATCCCGACAGCAACTCCTGTATTGCTGCCCATCCGATCCCTCGAATGTTGTCTCCCAGCGCCACGGCTCATCAGGTCGCGTGCGCGCCGCTGGAATGAGAAGACTAGCTGCTCGATTGCTAACCCCAGCTGCACATCCACGATTGCGGGAAACGACCACCGTATTACCATCTCTTTCGAACAGCGCTTTCCATGTCACGTCCGTCACGTCCGATCTATCAACACCATGGCACCCCCGGCCTCGACTACCGCCAAAGCTGTTGCCGTCGCAGCAGCGGCAAATATCCCTGACGGGTCCGCTATTCCAAGACTCGTCAACGCCCTCCAACGCAACCCGGTCGCCAGTCACCCACCCACCCCTGGATGAAGTCGGCAGGCTCGACTCCGCCGTCTTTCCAAAACTACCCTTTCGCTTCGACACAGGCATAGCGCTGTTTGCGAAGCGAGCCCCGCGCCCGTTCCCGCCTCCGTACCTCTCGCCGCCCTCCGGCTCGTTCAGCGATCCGCTCAGCACGCACGACCGAAGCCGGGACCGGCGTCGGGCCTATGTGGACGGGCAGCTGATACAGGGTCTCACCAACGGCGATGACGCCGTGTTTGCGAGCGAATACTTCATCGCCGCCAATGACGGGGTGGGCGCCTGGAGCACGAGGCCAAGGGGTCACGCCGGGTTATGGTCGCGGCTGATCCTGCATTTCTGGGCAACAGCCATGTTCGAGGACGCCGCCCGCCAGGGGGACTCGTACCGCCCCGATCCCCTTGCCTATCTGCAGCGGGCGTACGAACAGACCATCGAGGCTACGGGCCCGCCCAACGACTGGCAGGGCACGACGACGGCGGCCGGCGCGCAGCTGCACTACCGCCATCGAACATCCGACGATAATAACAGCAGCAGCGGCGGCGGCGGCAGCGGGGACGACAACACGGTCGAGCCCCTCCTGTACGTAACCAACCTGGGTGACTCGCAAGTCATGGTGGTGCGCCCGGCGACGCGCGAGATGGTGTACAAGTCGACGGAGCAGTGGCACTGGTTCGACTGCCCGCGGCAGCTGGGGACTAACAGTCCCGACACGCCGGCCAACTGCGCCGTGGTGGACGAGGTGCCCATCCGCGAGGGCGACGTCGTGCTGGCCATGTCGGACGGCGTGATCGATAACCTGTGGGGCCACGAGATCGTGGAGAAGGTCTGCGAGAGCTTGGAGGCGTGGCGCGCTGGCAAGATCCCCTCGAGACGGGAGTGCCTGGCGCCGGATACGCATAGCAATAATCGAGACGCCGGCGGCATGCAGTATGTCGCAGACGAACTGATGGAGGCGGCGAGGGCCATCGCCGTCGATCCGTTTGCCGAGAGCCCCTTCATGGAGCATGCTATTGAAGAAGGGCTGGCTAGTGCTGGCGGTGAGTCTGTCCCATCCTCTTTTGTGGGATTGCGGTTTTGTCGTGGTAGTTGGGAACTAACGGGCGTTTGATTGCAGGGAAACTCGACGATATCAGCGTTGTGGCAGCCATCTGCAAGAGGAATGATGGCTGATGGAGGTGAAATATGTACAAGCCAACTGGAGGGGTTAGATGGTGATCCTGATGGGCCGAGATTGCCGACAGGAGTCGGTATGAGACTAGCTGTGTGATTACTACACAGTAACTAATACCTTGCTCCTAGATATAACGAGGGCTGTACAGGAGGTATTCTTTTGAATGTTATGACGGGATGGATGCCCAGGGTTTTATATAGAAGGCGGCCGCAGGAGGCTCGGCTTCTAATGGTTGCCGAGCACAGGTAATATGCGAGACGAGAGGCATCCAACGTGAAAGTCCTAGGTGCACTGAATCCCGAATTGTGCAGCTTCTACATCGTATCTTATACGCTCAGGGTAAACCAAGCAACCTACATAGTATCCACCACTGAGTTTCAAGAAAGAAAGCTTCAAGGCTCTTCTCGCTCTTCCATCCTGATAATGTTAAGGCTACGGGTCTCGAGCGGGTTCAGAACCCGGGCCGCTGGCTTGGTGGGGCTGCGGCTCCGTCTCTGAAAGCTTGGCGCTGCGGTCGGAGCTGTATCCTGGTGGGGCTTCAACTGACCGGAAATTTTTCGAGACGAACCGACATCAAGTATTTCCCATGGTCGGGCCTTTGGCTTCATCCACCCTCTCAGCATTCTGAGCTTCACATTCACCTCCTCATACGATGCAAAACTCATTAGACCCGTGAGAAATTCTGACAACAGCATCTCACTTATTATCGATCGCCTGCAGCAAGTTCTCGCCCCATAAGAGGGCGCTCAACTCGTCGCAATGGGCAAGCGCACGAAGCAGTACAAGAAGCTCATGCGAGCCTTCCAGCTGCTTGGATTTCGCGAACCCTACCAGCTGCTCATAACCAGCGACGTCATCCTCGATACAGTCAAGCTTGATTTGATCAACTTGTTTGAGAAAACGCTGTCTTCTAAGAACCTGAAGCCGATGATAACACAATGTTGCATTGTAGGTGTTTCATCTCCCGCCAACCCAGACTGTATGCTAAACAATGATCTTTGTAGCGAGCATTATATGCAAAGAATGTCGGGCCAAACAGAGACCCCGCCGTGGTTGCTGCCATTGATCGGGCAAAGACGTTTGAGAGGAGAAGGTGCGGTCATCTCATGGATGAAGATCCGCTTACGGAGCGAGAATGCATGCTCTCGGTCGTGGATCCGAAGGGGAAGGGGGAGAATAAGTTCAGATATGTGGTCGTTACTCAGGATGAGTGGTTGGTACGTTACCCGTTGCTGCTGCCCCCAGGAAGTCAGTGTCACATGGCTCCGTAGCTAACGTCAGTGACAACAACAGAGAGACAGGTTACGGTCAGTGGTACCCACGCCGTTGATGTACGTCCGGCGGAGTGTCATGGTAGGTTATGCGGTGTCCACTTGAGGCGAGGGTGCAGGTGCTGACAGACCGACCCGGCAGATTCTCGAGCCCATGTCCTCTTCATCGGCGCAGGCTAGAGAACGGGAAGAGCGTGCTAAGTAAGTTGACTCCTGAAGCTGTTCAGCTTTCAGTATCGAGAGAGACCGGCAGCACGGGGCCAGGGGCTGACAGACACACAGGTTCATGGATGGTATCATTAGGCGGCCCCAAAAGAGAAAGAGGGACGAAGACGACTCTGGGGAGGAGCATTCTGGCAGTGAAGACGAAGGGAAACGTGATAAACCCGCCGATCACGCCGAGGCCGCGGCGGAAGACAAGCCCAAGAAGAAGAAGAAAGGGCGCGGTCCTAAGGGACCGAATCCGCTGTCAGTCAAAAAGCCAAAGAAGACGAAGGCAGCAGAAGATAAAAAGCCAAGGAAATCGGAGCCACCGCCAAAGGACGCCGCGACTGAGGCCAAGCCGAAGAGGAAACGACGCAAGAAAACTAGTGGGACTGAGCGCAGTGGTACTGAGCAGGCGGAGAAGCCGGAGGCAGTCGCCGTCGAAGCTTCTGAAGGTTGACAGGGGCGGACAGTGATACACCGTCGGTGCGGCGATTTAAAAGCTCTGTGAACCGGAACTTGGGAGGGTTGAAATGGGATATTTTCCTACTGTACTAGCACGAGATACCTGCTGTCCAAGATGCTTCGGACATTATTGTTGAGAACTTGACAACTTCGCAGATCTTCCACTCCCCAAGCATACAATGCTGTTCTATTCCGTTTTTTTGTGAATATTTTGACCACATAATCTTCTACATCAGATGGACTTATTATACAGAAGCACCGTTACCTACTTGGTATGGATATAGTAACAGCTCGGCAATCGCTGTGGCTTACCGGTAGTAGTACATGTATGGATCCGTAGTGACAAACTGCCCACAAGGGCCGCCCATCGCCCAACCATCTCCAACCCCAAACTCACTACAGCCCCACTTTCCGTTTCTGGAATATGGGGCAGATCGCTCTGGTTTAACAGTACCTAAGTATCAGGCAGCGGGAGTGCCTTTCTTTTCTTTCCGCGCAGCACTCAAGTCCGATAGGATTCCGTTTAGACCCGAGCAAGCGTGATTTGAGACCCAAGTGTTCTTTGTGGCATCCCGCAGAACTCTGCAGCTGCAGTGCTGCAATGCAATCAGGTGAGACAGGAGGACTCCGCCATGTGAGAACCCCTGTCCTGGTAGCTGTCGTGTCCACGCGTTTGATGCGCTGCTAAGGGGCACTAAAATCACTTTGGGGTCCCTGATAGGGAGCAACTCCAGATGCTCGGAATCTCGAAACCTTGACTCTCGGAAACAAACCCCCGCCCCGACAAGCCCGATCGTCTGCCACCCGAAGGCCTCGTTTTGCTCAAGGATCGCCGCCGCCGACCTTCTCGTCGTCTTCATCAGCAATCCAGCCATGCCGGGTGTTGACGGGGCCTCGGCTGGCATTAACGCAAGCGCCTCACGCCCGGCTGCGACAAGCGATGACACACCCGCCGCTGCACCCACGGTCAATTCCAAGCCTGCAGAAGCCAAACCCGTCAGCACCATGGCTGTCGAGTACGACGACTTCGGCCTGCCCATAAGAAAGATCTCAGCCCCCACAGAACAAGGAACACCACCCGATGCCAGTGCCGCCACGGGCACGCCCGTCGATCGTCATCAGTCGAACAGGGGAAATGCGAGGGACGACAAGGAACCCGTCAAGGCACACACCGAAGGAGAACGGACTGTAAATGTTGCGGAAACGATCAGGAAATCCCTTGATGCAAAGGGTGGTACGAAATCGGGCAGCGACCAAGACCTCAAGGATGCCACCTCTCACAATGCAACTGGAACTCGCGGATCAGACGGATCCTCCGCAAATGCGGAAGACCAAGCGATATCTGAGGCTGGGAAGCCCGGAGAAAAGCATGATGCAAGCAAGAGGCAGAGCGGTCTTGAAGTCTCCGGGTTTTCGCATCAGCAGCTTGCCTCGCATGAGTCCGAGAAGCAGGAGGAGGACGACGACGGGGAATGGCAGACCATGCCGGCCTATGCGCCATACGATATATACGACGACAATAACAAGCTGATTGCCAAGGAGTACAACGAAGCCGAGGAGGAGACGTACGGGTATGCAGGGCTTGGCGGGGCCGGCAAAGGGTATACCAAGGTGCTGGTGGATGACGACGCCGAGTCAGCAACCAGCCTGGACGAGCATACTCAGTATCTGTTCAAGGATGCCGGCGGCGGGACCAGCATTGTGGACGACGACGACACTCAGCGGGACGCCGTGAGCCAGCTGCAGGCCACCAAGGAACTCCTGACGGAGGGCCAGAGGATCGCGTATGTGGGCCTCACGAGATTGGAGCTTTCGGCGATGCTGAAGGAGGCCGAATCCATAGAGCACACGTCCTCCAAGACCAAGAAGCAAGTGACATTGGCGGCCGAGAACATGAGGATGTGGAGCCAGAAGATGATGATCAGGCTCTATACGCACATGGACATCAGCCCGGACGAGCAGGTCATGATTGAGCAGCTGAGTTCGCACGGCGTGGTGCCCCAAGACCTGACTCCCGTCTTGATGGCGAACGCGCGCGTGCGGAACCCGATGGCAGCTGAGAAGGAAGCGAGGTCGTCCGTCTCCAGTCCATCATCTCGGCCCGCCTCAGTCGTGAGTTCCCGGACGGAGCATGCGGCCGAGCCGCCACCACCCTACTCGGTCGAGGACGACTCGGAGCTCACGGAACCTGTGAGGACGCCGTCACAAATGCCTACCACGCAGAAGATCGACATCGACATCCGGTGGACTGTTCTGTGTGATCTGTTCCTGGTGCTCATTGCCGATTCCATCTATGACGCAAGATCGAGGTTACTGCTAGAGAGGGTTGCAAAAGACCTAGAGATCAGCTGGCTTGACATTTGCCGTTTCGAAAAGAAGGTGACGGATGCGCTAGAAATGCAGGCGAACGCGGAGAAGGAGAATTGGAACGAGGAGGAGCATATGGAGAACCGCCGCAAGCTCGCCCTCAAGCGGCGCTACATGATGATGGGGCTCGCCACTGTTGGCGGCGGTCTGGTGATCGGCTTGTCGGCGGGTCTGCTCGCCCCCGTCATCGGCCTGGGCCTGGCAACCGGTTTAACAACGATAGGCATCGGCGGCACCAGCGGCTTCCTCGCCGGTGCTGGAGGCGCCGCGATTATCACGTCCAGTGCTGCAGCATCAGGAGGCATCATCGGTGTCAGGGCCGCCAACAGGAGGACAGGAGCCGTCAAGACCTTCGAATACCGGCCGCTGCACAACAACAAACGAGTAAACCTCATTGTGACGGTGTCGGGGTGGATGACGGGCAAAATCGATGACGTCCGGCTGCCCTTCAGTACGGTAGACCCGGTCATGGGCGACATCTACTCAGTCTTTTGGGAGCCCGAAATGTTATCCAGCATGGGTGATACCATTAACATCCTAGCGACTGAGGTGAGACCCTGGCCTGCCGCTGACCAACGCCTCTGACAGCCGAGATCTGTTATTTGTGCTGACAATCATCACCAACTAGGCTCTCACGCAAGGCCTCCAACAGCTCCTGGGCAGCACCATCCTCGTCACCCTGATGGCGGCCGTCCAAGTGCCGGTCGTCCTTACGAAGCTCGCCTATCTAATCGACAACCCCTGGGCCGTCTCCCTCGACCGTGCCACCATGGCTGGTCTGATTCTGGCAGACTCAATCATTGACCGTAATTTGGGCACGCGTCCTATCACCCTCGTTGGATACTCCCTCGGCAGTCGGGTCATCTTCTCGTGCCTCCAGGAGCTCGCTAAGAAGGGCGCTTTTGGGCTCGTGCAGAACGTCTACCTCTTCGGCAGCCCCGTCGTTGTCAAGAAGGAAGAGTACTTGCGCGCCCGCACGGTGGTAGCGGGCCGCTTCGTCAACGGTTACAATCGGAACGACTGGATTTTGGGCTACCTGTTTCGCTTGACCAATGGTGGTATCAGGCGCGTCGCCGGCCTGGCCCCCATTGAGGGTATTCCCGGGGTAGAGAACATGGACGTGTCCGAGTTTGTCGTTGGGCACATGGACTACCGGACGGCAATGCCGCGGCTCCTGCGCGAGTGTGGTTGGCTGGTGGAGAGTGATGAGTTCACGGAGATTGAAGACCCCGATCCGGATAACTACCAAGAGAGACAGCGCGAGCTGATCAGTGAAATTGAGGAAGCGCGAAGGGAGCTGGAGAAAGAGGGTAATAAGGAAACCAAGAGCGGCGGGTTTGGTTTCTTCAAGCGGAAGAAGGCCCTTCAGAAGCAGGAGTGGGAGGTCTACGATGAATCGAAGAGCAGAAAGGGCGGTCAGACGGAAGACAAGGATGGGAATAACCACGGCGTTCTCTTCGATGTCGACGCTATCCGCGCCGAAATCGCGAAGGAGAACCAGAACAACAAGGACGCCAATCTCGACGAGCAGCTCCTCCAGGTTAGGGAGATCAAGAGCACTCTACCGCCGATAAAACTCGATCTGAAATCCAACACTCCGCCTACCCCCAGCCTCACACCTCCAGCCAAGACGCGTCGGCAGACTCTCCGGGAAAGCAAGAGCGCCGACCCCATATGGTCTCCGGACGAGGACAGGCTGCCCCCGTACGAGGCTCGCTCCTCTCACGAGCCATTACCCTCCCGGACGCGGACCCCGACGTTCCCAAGCAGCAAATCAGAAAGAAACAGCCCATATCATGCATACGGCAGCCACGCGTATGGCGGCAATGGCGGCCTAGAAGATGACGGCGGGATCCAGATGACATTTGACACGGCCTTTGACGACCCCAAGCCATCGCCGTTTGCTACGACCGGTGGGACGTCCTCATCGGAAACACCGTCGAGGCCAGAGATTAGGTCATCGCAGACGGTGCCTAATATTACGCTTGCGGATCCTTGGGCTGATGACGACGAGGAGTTTGGGAAGGAGAAGGAAATCCAGATGACATTTGCTTAGTTTTGGGGGGACGCATCATTTAAGGGGTGTTGTGGGTTGCAGTCTGCGGGCGTGGTTGGCGGGTGGATAGGTAATGCTCATAATGATGGATACCTAGACGCGGGATACTATGCTTTAAATGTATATAGTCAGGGGCGTATGCATGGGTGGCTCCGAGCGATAGGTACAAGTACCAGGTATGCATTGTAGTTACAACTTGAAGCGTTGCTTTTCCGGCTCTGATATATCCGAGGGTTTGCGATTGTTCCGCTTTGCTTAAACACGGCATGAGCATGAGAAACTCACCCGACGCATTTGGCTCAGCAGTTGAGTATTCAACGCAGGTTACTCAATGATCTCCATTCACCCGCCTAACTTATACATGGCGTGCATGGCTCCCTAGGGCCACACCGTTAACATAGGGTACATGCATACTACGGAGCACTCAGCGACGGATGACAAAATCGGCCTCCCCTTCCACAACCTCCCTGTCCTCGGTATCTAGCTTGACTACATGGGCATGCCGCGGCCCGTTGTCGACGTGCTTCAGAAACGCCGCCACGGCGTCCTCTTCGCCTTGGGCTTCACCCTCGACCTAGTGCAGTTTGCGAGGAGAAAAGAGTGAGTGAGCCTCAACTCATCCTTCAAGCCAGAGAGAGGGAGGGAATGGGAGATAGCATCAAGCGAGTACAATCCCACACACACACACGCACACACATACTTTGTTGTTGTCTGTATTCCGCACCCAGCCGGTGATGTGATGCTCGACAGCTCGGTGGCGGGTGAAATAGCTGTTTTTGGCGGTTAGACATCACTTATGTAGTGTGTTATTGTGAATCTGGACCATGACAATGGATATAGTTAAGGGGAAGGTGTAAGTGCTAAAAAAGATGTATCGTACCGGAAGCCCACGCCTGTTTTATAGTCCATGGCGTTAGTGACACGCTCATTACGGGGAACATCTGATCTGAAAAGGCTCGTGTTCGTTCCAAGTCCATCCCAAAATGAAAAGCCGACGTTTAGGATACTATGAGTCTCTGTATGAAGAAAATGTACCTTGAACCGTGCCGCCGTGGGCGAGGAAGTAGACCTGTGCAAACTCTTGTGTCAGTGGAAAGCATACCGAGAGCCGCAGGGCGAGTTCCTCTCCAAACATAGTATGTACGGTACAGTACATACCCTTTTGACCATAGCACTCGGTGACTTTGGCCAGTTAACGCGGATATTAGAGTCGATATGAAATTGCGGTGAAAGCGGAACGCTCGTAGTTCTTCGAAATGAGTGAGATTCTCGAGATACTGGGAACCATGAATGTGAGCTCCAGTGGATGGAAGCTGCTGGTGATGTTTAAGCGGAGAGATAACTCCGATTGGATAAAGCAAGAGTGCTGGGAGTGAGGTGGGGTTGGAGTTGCCTTTGGGGACGGGCAGAAGTCCTGCTATATGGCAAGCTCAACACTTGAACTTGACAAATCTACCTATGCTGTGATCTGAAGTGGGTTGGAGTGCTGTATATCACCCGCAACTTGGCTGACAACCCCCCTGATGACCGACTAAACAATCTCAGGTTCGGTAGATTCGCCTGGTCCACGCGCAGCTGTATTCAAGCATCACGTATACAGCCCACAATTCACACATCCCTTAACGTGAGATAGGTAAGGTAATGAGCCATTCTAAAAGTGCCATTCCAGAATGCCAATCAACCCCCTCGCCATGTAACATGCCTTCACCCAGCCCGCCCGGGAAAAGGGGCGCCCAAAAGAGACAAGAAACCAGAAACAAAACAAACGCACATGTCTGCCTAACCCATCCGCGATGGGGCCTCTCGTCACTTCGGATCAAAGCTATACCGCAACCACCCGCCCAGCGCCCGCAGGCTCTCCCACCGGACATTCTCGTCGGCCTCGCCCATGAGCTCCATGATGCGGGTCTTGATGCCCAGCCGCTCTAGCTGGCTCCGCCTTTCGGGCACCTCGCGCACGAGGCAGGCGACGTCGTTGCAGGCGATGGCGAGCACGGCTTTGTCGTTGTCCCACGGCTTCTTCATGATGTCGGCGAGCTTGCGGATGAGCGCGCCGTTATCGTGCTCGAGGATCCGGCGCGCGTTCTCGGCCCAGAACACCGTGCTGCGGTGCGGCGGCGACCAGCGCAGGTGGCCCGAGTTGAGCTCGCCCACGTACTCGTCGAACGTTGTCTTGGTTTTGCTGTACTCATCTAGCAATTCCCGGAGCTGGTCCATGTCTTCGCGGAGATCCGGGTCGGCGAACTGTCTTGTCTTGAGGTTCTGAAGGAGCGCGGGCAGCCGGGCGAGGATCGCGGTTGGGAGGAGCGTGTTCTGGTTGTTCACCAGCAGGTTGAGGAGCGTTGAGACTAGGAGGCGGGTGGTCTTCTCCTTGGGTGAGAGACGGAGGAGCTGGGTATAGAGAAGGACAATGTCGTATTCACTAGGATCCGAAACGGTTAGTCGAAAGGCTGAAGGTGAATATAGCGCCTTCCCTGCCACTTACTCATTCAGATCGTCGCCAATCTCGACAGCTTCAAAGCTGAGCTGCCACATCACCAGTAGCACCCTGTAGAGTAGCTGAAGCCCAACACCACCCCCTAGAGAACCCTCGAGGCCGCTCCTTGCCGTACCCGTGGTGCCACTCCAGAGGCTGGCGGATGAATCACCGTTACCGACACCGGCCGCCGCCCGCAAGATGTCAATCAAGGGTGTTACGGTTTCGCTCCTCTGCTTCCAGAACTGTCGTCTTGGTGCGCGGCCGTAGAGCAGAGCCGAGTACTCCTGCACGCCGATATCCTGAAGCCCAGCATCCGAGCTCTTGGTGAGGGACGATAGGTAGCTAAAAATGACGGGCATGGCCTTGTCGACCGTCGCGGGGGACTCGTCTCTGGACCCGGCCATGAGACTGATCAGCACGATCGAGGTGAGCAGCGGGATCGGGTCTTCGGTGTTGGACGAGTGCGCGAGGAGAGGTAGGAAATGCCGGTAGGGGTCGCCGGTCTCGAGGATAGCTTTGGCTAGTGCCGGAATGCCTTGAATGCCAAGTTCTCAGTCAGTTATCCGGCGAGCGGATATGACGATAGGTCAAGGCAGTTTGGGTGCGACAAACCGTCAAGTAAATCGCTTAGGAGCACAAGTATGTATTGCACCACATCATGGCGCTTGGAGGCTGATTCCAACACGCTCTTCGTCCCTGAGCCACCTACAAACAGGGTGCGGTAGCCGCCCAGATCGGCCTCGACCGTTTGCTTGCGAACATCTTTCTTGACCTTGTCGACAGCGCGGATGCGGGCGAGCTGATCTTCAGTCAAGGTGCCCGCGCGCACGGCGTGATCCCACGGAATCGGCCGCTGGCGAATGTTGTTTTGCAGCGATGCTAGGTATGCTGGCGGATCGAACAACATGATGCGATAGAAGCTTCTGCGCTGAATCCTGAAGCTGGCGATAGCTTATGCAAAATTGTCAGTCTGGACGGTGTTGGATGTTGGAGCACCCCGACACGCTTGGCTACCCAAGATGGCCAACCCCAGTTACGTAGGTAGCGGGGCGCTACATCGAAGCTCCAGCAGCCGTGCCGCCTTGTTACAGCATTCAATACAACATTCTCCATGTTTCATGGACTATCGTACAATTCCAGCTTCAACCCCTTCCAAAAATCCCTACTGGTATCATTCTACGCGGAGTATCGGCCTCTAAGATCGATATCGACATGTTGTACGGAGGTAGGGGTACGTAACGGACGCACGGTTGGTCTCGTATCGGCAGGCAAGGTGCCAAGACATGGCGGTCTTCCAGGATGCATGACCGAGCGAGCGAGCGACAGGGGTTCCGTACCTAAAATGGCAGGGCAATGTGGCCGAGCCGCCGAGGAGAGTTGAGAACAGCAGCCGCTCGGAGCTCCCGATCTGGATTGCGGGCGGACCAGCAGGCATTGGGGTCCCGGAAAGTTCGAGGCTCTGGAGGTTTTACCAACTCAGACGGTACACTACTGTGGGGGTGCAACCCGTGTTGTCATGCAGTACTAGTAGCTTCCGAGCTGCACCTCCTGAGCGAGCAAGGTCGACATCGATGTAGTGTACGGTGTAGGCAAGCGGAAAGATGGCGCCAGGAACAGAAGTACGGAACCAAGCCTTCTCTGGGTGCAAAGCAAAATCCAAGTCATCAAGTCGCTAATCGAAACTTTAGATTTGCAGCCAAGCAAGGGTCGCCTTGTTGTGCCATGGCTGTCGTGGCCGCTCTGTGGGTAAACCTCGAGGAAGTTGCAAAAACCGAGAGGTTGGGCGCATCAAGAGCTTGTTCGGTTTAGAGGAGGTTGGGAACACCAATTGCGCCCGACCACCATGCATCACCTTACCAGCCATCCCGCAGGAATAAATCCCGCCCTGCAGGATTCCCCGCCCATTTCTCTTTTTATCTTCTTGTTCCTGATCCAGGACCTTTTCTCTGGAATTTTCTGGCATCATTCCCGATTTTCCACTTGTGACAACGGTTGACTCCTTCGCACGCCGCATTCCTACCGAGCGTTAGCATCTTGTGTTTACCACCATCGCAATCGCAAGGCTCAGTAAAAACCCCAGCGCAAAAGATTCCTGACGAGAGCTCGCACGAGATTGACCTCAGTGGCAACGGGTAGCGAATCGGGAGGTTTGAGATATTCGACGACACTTGCGGCGACGAACTCAGGGTCAACAAAAATTCGGACGCAATCCGCACGGTTCTGCTCGGTCCGGACCCCGCGCCCTGCTCCGCCCGGGAGCCCTGGTCGCTGGCGCACGGTGTCGGATCTCCACCACAACGGCCGAGCGCGGCTCCGGGAACCACCGTCCCCGGCTTTTGGCAACATGGCGCACCGCTCGTCGGCGCTGAGTATTCACTCGGTACTAGGGATTCTTCTCGCAACATCCGCATACCTGGCTGCTGCGTCGCCGCTGCCTAAGGACGATCTACATGCGGCCGGCTATGGCTACCTCATGCCCCGCCAATGCGCCGTGTACTGCGGTAACAACAACGACGGTTGCTGCGGTGCCGGCTATGTCTGCTACACGGCCGAAAACAATGTGGGGTGTTCGGCAACAGTAGGCGGCGGCTATGTGGTGATCGCGACAACATGGACCGTGACCAAGACCTTCACCAGCTCGTACAGCTCCTTCTTCCCCGCTGCGACAGCTCCAGCGGGAACCGAAAAGTGCGTCCCTCCCCCGGGCTCGGGCCAGATCGCTTGCGGCAATATCTGCTGCGCGAATTGGCAGTACTGCGCCTATGAGGGACAATGCATGGCGAACGTTGGGTATACGACCACGGACGGTGCAGGTGGAGGCGGAGGCGGAGTAATCGTGCCGACGACCATCACCACCGGCGGCCAGACTATCACGACCCAGTTCAGCGCACCATACCGGGTGACCAGCGGCACCGTCACGTCAACAGGCACTGCCGAACCTGCCTCCACCACCACAGGCGCCGTGAGCCCGGGAGGGACGTCAGGCGGGCTGAGCGGTGGCGCCATTGCCGGCATCGTTGTGGGCACGATTGCCGGTGTCGCCCTTCTCCTTCTAATCTGCGCATGCTGCGTTGTGCGGGGCCTGTGGCACGGTCTGCTCGCGCTCTTCGGAATCGGCAAGAAGAGAAGAGATTCGGAGACGATCATCGAAGAAGAGCGCTACACCCGGCGCGGCTCAACGCACTCGCGGCGGGACACCCACGGCTCATGGTATGGCGGCCGTCCCAGCACGGTGGCAGCGCGGAAGGAGAAGAGCAAAGGCGCGGGCCTGTTGGGCCTGGGCGCTGCCCTCGGCACGTTGGCGCTGCTGCTGGGGTTGAGAAGGGATAAGAAGGAGAAAAAGACCGTCATCAAGGAGCGGAGCGACATCAGCAGCAGCTACTACACCGACTCCTACACGGCAACAAGTCCCAGTATGTTGTTTCCCATGTTAATCACTTCTAGAGATCACCGCCGCTGACACTGAGGTCCACAGGTTCAAGGAGCAGCGACAGACGAACGCGTCACTCGCGGCCTAGCAGGGGGCCGAGCGCGAGTCGGGTTACCAGAGAAACACACACCCGCACACGTGTCTCGAGAGCGCCATCAGCAAGATCGCATCGGTCGCCGAGGTGATAACCATCACTCGCGCACATGCGGTAGACTCTAATTCCACCCTCCAATCCACCACAAAGATCACCACGAAGAATGACCACGACGGCAACGCCCAAATGTAGACTATACGCGACCATCCTCCAGTACATGATTTTAACACTTCTCCGGTATATATGTTCTTCAGCCCGTTTCTCCTTGTTTTCACTGGCGTTTATGGAGGCACGGTAGATGCGGAGGCCTAAGCTCTGAATGGAAAGGCATTCAGAGGCACTGGACGGGAAGTTTACGGAGAACGAATGGGAAAACGAAGGACATGAGATGTGGACAGTGCACATGATCAGCATTTACAGAGCGGCGGCGGCGGCATTTTGATCATGAAAGATGAAGTCAGAAGGGGATATGAAGGAGCCTTGGAGGGCTTCATGAATGAAAGATGGATGGATTTCCATAATGCTTGCAATCCAATTTGAGTCCCAATGACCGGCTTGGGGAAATGAAGTTTTCCATAGAATCTCAGCTCTATCCCAACCCATGATTTTCTTGAAGTACCTAGCCATCAACGCATGAGTTGATTCAGAAGCAGCCCTCTAGCCCCTGATCCGGACCCGCTACTCGGGTTCCCCAGACGATGGCTGGCCGGAAATTCGTGATCATCATTCATCGACTGGAAGGGCGTGCCTCGTGAAGGAAGTGATATTGGCAAGCACCCAACACCTTGTGGTTCAGAAGGTTGCCCATTTTGCAGTAGCGACTTTTTACGCTACGAAACATGCAAATGCCGATTGACCCCTTGCCACTCCGGTTGAGACCCATAAAGCACAAAGAAACCCATGGCCGCCCATCACTCCTCGACAAGGTTGCCCTTCTCCGAGACGTACAGACCGTCCAAGAACTGTGGAGCAGAGTTAGTCGCCGTGTTCCCGGCCGGGCTAGCAGTTTGAGGACCGCCAATCTCGAAGTCGTAAACGCACCTTCCGGATATCCTTGTTCCGCACTTTGCAAATTTGCTGGATGTCCGCAGCACTCTGCGAGACGGCCTCGAGCGAGTTACCGCTGAGGACGAGCTCATCCTTCTGGGTCTTCGAGATCTCGACATCCACGCCGGCCTGCATGACGACCCTCCGGACGATCTTCTCACCGATGAAGTTCCTACAGCAGACACAGCAGGTCAGCCTCGGTTCCCACTCCATTGCCATACGGCAGCGTGCGATGGTCCATCACAGCCGACTCCCGCAATTCCATATCCCGGATATCGTCCCAGTTCGCACATACCGGATCTCGACCTCGAAGCAACCAGTCTCGGCGTTCTTCTCCACGTTCACGTTGATGGGAAAGTGAGCGTAGACGTATCTCATCTTGTACTTAAAGCCCTTGGTGACACCAATGATGAGGTTGTTGATGATCGTTCGGACGGTGCGGAGAGCGGCGACGTTCTTGCGGCTGCCATGGTGAATCTCGATGCCGATCACGTTCTTCTTGGGCGCGGAGAAGTTAACCGCGATATGGCTTAGGTCCTTGGTGAGCTTGCCGCGGGGCCCCTCGACGGTGATGAGCCTCGACTTGATCGAGACCTTGACTGTAAGGACGGACCGTACGTCAGCAATTTGGCCAGTTTCGCACACCCCCAAAAGTCACCACGCCGTGTATTTCGCCATGATTCCCAGCCAACGCCCTCTTGCATCCTCCAACCTGGACTTTTCCGTGTAGGTCGCGATCGCGGGTCAAGCCGTTCTTCCTCTCCTGGTTCCTCGGGGGGTTGCACATCGGGCTGACATTGGCAAACGTACCGTTCTCGGGGACCTCGAGGGTCTCCTCACTGTGGATGTAGCGCATCTTCGCGTTGAGACCGGTTGTGAGGAGGGTTGAGGTGGTGGCTTCGTCGTCGAGGTGGACGGAAAGGTCGTATGCAAGCCCGAGAAAAAACGTCGAATTTGCGGCCCCGGATTAATTCGACTTGTGCGCCGATGCGCCTCGAGCTCTTGTTAGGGCAGAGGGGCGTGCGCTACCACGATTGGCTGACAGGTGGAGGCTGGAGCACCATGTGGGGCCGGCTGGCTTGTGCTCAAAGCCTTACTCCGTACCTCTCGCGACTTACAACTCCCAACATCTTTCGGTTCACGCACCACATGATGAGACAGAGCTGATGTAGACTGCGGACCGTCCTGCTCAGGGACCCATACTTGCATTACACCCGGGCATTGCTGAGTTCAAGATGTGTAAAGTGCGTCTCATCATTTTCGTTGGCGCTTGCTGCGCTGCAAAAACACTCGGTGACAGTACCCTCGGTCTTCTCAGTTAGCCCTTATGCCAACGGGGGATCGAATGATCATAACCCTCAATGAACCGGCTTGACGACTACGGTGTTAAGATAGTTGCAATCCTTGCTACCAGTAATCCAATATAAGTTGAAGAGTGCTTCTGCTTGTATCTTTGAGTACATGAGCCGCTAACCGACACCTTGGTAGGAGCATTCTCACACTTGGTAGCTCAGCAAGCAATGCTGCCCCTAAGCCTTACCAAAGCGTTGGAGAATTGCAATGCTTGATTTGACATCGCCATATCCCTGCTTACCTCCCACGTTCAAGGGCAACATCTCTGGACTGCAAGCCACACTTAGACCCTGTGCCCGTCCCCCAGACTGAGGAAGAAAGACCGGACCCAGTCAAGAAACGGTCCTCGAACCCACTCCTTCAGCGCCCGAAAACACGACAGGAGAACATAGGCACCAACCACGTTGCGGGTGTCCCCCATTGCGATAGATCCATACATGTGCTGGGAAAGGTCAGAAACGTGGTTAGGAGCAGGAGATGAGGGATGATGGGGAAAGGGAATACCGACAATTTCTGTGCGAACATCACAGGCGAAATAGAGGTTCCACGCCGAGCCATAAATCGCTATCAAGGGCAATGGTACAATCCAACCGCCATCTCCAGCTGCAGCAGAACCCGGGTCGGTTGCGCCTGCAGCATCCGGAACTGCTCCATGCGGGCATGCCAGGCGGCCGTCCACAAGCCCAGCTGCACGACTCGATCGCCGCCGGCAGTGATGCGCTTAGCTTCGATGGCGACAGCGATCGGCTTGAACTGAATTTTCTGGTAGTCGGTCTCGTTGACATGAGACTTCCCGCCGATCTGGGACTGGAGCGAGAAGCAGGCCTGAGAGATGGCGACATGGAGCTGACTGTCTCGGCGGCACTGAAGAAGGAGGGCGTAATCTACCTTGCGCCCGCCACCAGGCTTCCCGCTATTAGCCAGCTCACGTGCCGAGTTCCAGGTCCTTGCTTCGGAAGAGACTCCGCTCGTGCTAGTCTCCTTGTAGGAGCAGGCATAGAGGCCGTTTCTATCCGGAGCGAACTGCGGAACGCAAGCCTTGACCATGCCCGCGAAGGCAATGGCCTCTGGAACTACAGCATGCTCATCAGGTTGCGTGTCCGGGTCCTGTTGGTCGCCGAACACGAGTCGAAGGATGGGAAAATGGACCCAAAACCCCCCGACCATCCTCATAGTCATCAGACGACAAGGCCGTCTGCTCCACGATGCGTTCCAGTTCGTGGAGCTCTTGGAGCGCTTCAGTCCCTTTAGCCGGGGCCGTGTCATAAAACCATCTGTCACGGACAAAATCCTCGCCCAACAATTGTTCGACGGCCGGTCGGATCTCCCGGGGCATTATGCCTTCATGCGTAGCCGAGTCTTGCACCTTCTTATAGAGCGTGTAGATGGTACTCGGCAGCACCTCGCTAGGTCGCTTTGTGAGGCGGCGGACCACGACGGGCTTAGCGAGGTTTTGTAAATCCTGAGCCGTCTTGACGGGGCTTGATGACCGGTTGCGGCTCGAACGTTGCGTCCATGGTAACGCGACGCCCAGGCTCTCGGTGCCGTGACGGATCCGCTCCTTCGCACCGTCATTTACGCCGTGATCATCGGTGATGCGCTGTCTCTTGCATGGAGATCCGGACCTGAGAGGCTGTAGCGGTGCAGCGCCATCTTCGCCTGGGGGGTTCGACGTCGTCGGGGAAAGGAGGGCCGGTTCGCTCTCGACTGGAGCGAATTGCTGCCCACGCTCTCGCTTTGCGCGACTCGCACCACGGCTCACCTGCCGGGACGGTGTCGAGCCAATTCAAAATGCCGTCCATATAGTAGCGACGACATCAGAAAGAGGGGAAGCGCCGGACAGCTGATTGGGCTTGAATATGGTCGAAATTGGTGAGAAATTGATGGATGATCGCGCTGCTCTAGCGGGAGCAACTATAGGTTCACTGTTTACATAGAAGGTCACACAGTAACTATGGAGGTAGGGCATACCCACTGATTCCACCCAATAAGGGCCTTTGTGCCACTCAAGGTGTGTCGGTCCACATCATTGACTTGCGCCAGGCGCAAGCTATCGAGGTGCCGCGAGCTGCTATCTAATACGTACCTCTGAGCCGGATATCCAATCCAATACACAAACATGCGCTCTTAGACATTGAGACGCCAACACTCAGCGTAATTGCTCTCCAATTATCCCCGCGCCCGATACCGCTTGGTCGTTTATACTGGAGAGATCGCATGTGATCCCGCCTGCAGCGCCATAGTTCACAAGCCCACTCCCAGAGACCAGCTCAGAGAGAGACAGCCGCCATGTCGTACTTCTTCGCGACCCCGGTCGATATCGACATTGTCCTCGACGATGCCGACGAGCGGTCGATGGTTGACATTAAACTAGACAAGAACCGGCGCGAGAAGGCGCCGCTGTATATGGATGGCGAATCGGTCAAGGGCGCTGTGACGGTGCGGCCAAAAGACGGCAAGCGGTTAGAACACACGGGCATCAAGGTGCAGTTCATCGGCACAATAGGTACGGTCGCCTCCGTTGCGTTGGACCGTGCCAGTCAACTGACGGCACATCCCCGTAATTCCCAGAGATGTTCTTCGACCGGGGCAACCACTACGAGTTCCTGTCCCTCGTCCAAGAGCTGGCCGCGCCGGGCGAGCTGCAGCACCCGCAGACCTTCGACTTCAACTTCAAGAACGTCGAGAAGCAGTACGAGTCGTACAACGGCATCAACGTGAAGCTGCGCTACTTTGTGCGCGTCACCGTGTCGCGCCGCATGGCCGATGTGATCCGCGAGAAGGACATCTGGGTGTACAGCTACCGCATCCCGCCCGAGATGAACAGCAGCATCAAGATGGACGTCGGCATCGAGGACTGCCTGCACATCGAGTTCGAGTACAGCAAGAGCAAGTACCATCTCAAGGACGTCATTGTCGGCCGCATCTACTTCCTGCTTGTGCGCCTCAAGATCAAGCACATGGAGCTGAGCATCATCCGTCGCGAGACCACCGGCGCCGCACCAAATCAGTACAACGAGAGCGAGACGCTCGTGCGCTTCGAGGTATGCTCCCAGACTAGCTTGGATTTACAATATATGTATATATATTCGAGCCGCTAACGCAGAGATCGTGACAGATCATGGATGGCTCGCCATCAAGAGGCGAGACCATACCAATCCGACTATTCCTGGGCGGCTTCGACTTGACACCCACCTTCCGGGACGTCAACAAGAAGTTCTCGACAAGATACTACCTCAGCCTAGTGTTGATCGATGAAGGTAGGCTCACCTTCCTCATAGCTTTGCCATCTTCCCCATTGTATCCCTTCCTAACAATGCTCATCTCAGACGCGAGGAGATACTTCAAACAGTCAGAGATCATCCTCTACCGACAAGCGCCCGAAGTCGCCAACGGGCAGGATGGGTTAGCGGCGCCTCCCGAGCAGAGGCAGATAGCAGCTGTTCCAGCGTAAGTAGTAGGCTCGCAGTCGAGCCTGGATGCTATAGGGTACTAGTTAGTAGTATATGCAGTGGGCGGGGAGATGTAGTTTTTCAGCATCGGCGCGGCGTTGGTTCATTTGGACTTCCAAGAGACTCCTGGGTTTTGCATCCATCTGATATTTCGCCTGCTGTATACTGTATACAAGGTCGCAGATTCAGCTTGCCATCTGTGATCCCGTCCGAGACTAATCAAGCAACCCTTTTGCCATTACGCCTGTAACCATCACACACTATTTCCCATCTATGCCGGCCCTCAGATCACCGGACGTACGTACGTTGATCTCATTACAGAAACGCCCTGTCGCTTCTGGAGCACTCCGCCCTCCCCTTGGCCTCTCATGCCATATCCATCACGTCATCCCCAGCGGTCAGCTCAAAATGGTTGTTCTGGATCGCCACGATCCTGTCCAGCTCGTGCTGGTACTGCTTGCGCAGATCCGCTAGCATCAGCAGCCGCCTAGCCGGCAACTCGTGCGCCTTCCGCGCCGAGAACCTTTGCATCTTCTCCATGAGTGCTGCATCCTCCTCCGACACAATCTCTTGTCCATCGGCCGCAGTCTCGGCATCCAGCTTCCGCGCAAGCTCGTCCAGCTGGCCTTCGATATCATCATCTCCTGTGCCCACGTGGGAGTCCTCTTCCCCCGAGAGCACATCCTCCAAGATGTATGCCTCTTGCGGCGTGACACAGCTCAGCGCGTTGATCAGCAGCAGGTACTGCCGAGTTACCTGCGTGTCCAGTGCGTCCTCAGTACCACTGCTGACCTTGTCACCTTCGCCAGCTCGCCGCAGCTTCTGCAAACGATCAAGCAGGATGGCCGCGCCGCCACGGTAGTCGTTGTGGCTGATGCGCCAGGCATACAGGACCTGGTGGTAGGGCACGCCGTTGAGGACGTCCCTGGTGTGCCGGCACTTCTCCACGAGGATGTCGTCGACCTTGGTCTGCAGGCCCGAGAACGGCAGACTAATAAGCTCCGCGCTCTGGCCTGTCTCGCACATCTTTTCGACAAGCTTCCGGAGGCAAGACTTCTGCAATGCCTCGTTGTCCATGGAGAGTAGGGCCGAGTGGGCCTCCTCGAAGTGGGAGATTGCGGTGGAGGCGGCGAAGAGGCGGCTGAGCATTTCCGTCTTGATACCCGCGGTCTCATTGCCGCCCGGTTGGACGAACTGCAGCGCGAGGCGGGAGAACTCCATGACATACGAGTACGCCTTCTGCCTGTCGTACAGACTGACGATATGCGCATAGTAGTTTGGAAGCCCGCTGTTAAGGAGATTCCATTCGGTGTCGTCCAAAAGTCCTGCACTGTGACGCTCCATGTGTTTTATGGATATGCTCAAGCCAATGGCCGCTCTCCTAAAGTAGAAAGCAGCAGTGTCGTAGTCCCTGAGCGCCAGGAACACGCGGCCTTGAACATATGTCGAAAAAGGATCCCGGTCGGTGAAGGGATTGAGCTCCAAGGCGAGATCCGCTCGGTCCTGCTTGAGCAGCCAGCACTGGAGGAGCCAGGTGTAGAACACTGTTGTGCTGCTGGGAGCACAGAGGTCGAGCACCAGATCTGTGATGCTAGAAAGCAGGGGCATATTCTTGCTCTCCGGAAGACCGAAAAGGTGTCCGGTCAGCCCTTCCAGCGCAGTTATGGTGTTGTTCTCGTCTTGGCTGCGCTTGGTTAGGACTGGCGAAGAAGAGCCGGAGCCGCCGGAGCCGCCAGATCTTGCCGCCGAAACGCTCAACTCTGTCTTTGCCATCCACCTCAAATGCTCCAGCCTTCGGAGAGCATCGATCAAGCGCCGATAGACGGAGCCGACTTCGAACCGCGAGTGAAGTGGAGGGGCCTCCTCGCTTTCAATGTCAAACTCCATGTGGACAAGAAGGATGAGCTGGCTGAAGAGGATCTGCCAGTGGAGGTCGACGGTCTGTTGCACGGCACGGACAACCACCTTGCGGCCGAATCCAGTGAAGGGCTCCCGAAGCTCTTGGGAGTTCGCTTCGCTCGTCGCAGTGATCAGATCGAACAGATCGTCGTAAAGCCTCTCAGTCACCATCCGGTAGTTCTGGCCGAGGCTATCGATTACTTGGGCGATGTCCTCATCTGTGACTGAGGGCCAGAATCCGGCGCGGTCCAGAAAGAGTTGCATCCGCTCGCTGTCAGATCGGGCCGAATCCTCATATAACTCTGCCCTCAAAGCAGCTCTGCTGAGCTGGTACATGCTGTCGGAGAAGCTTCCCACAAACCCCAAGCCGGCGGACACCAATGCTGCGACATCTTCATTGCTTTTCTGTGGTGATTGGAGGTTGTGGTAGATGTGATCTAGTTCGCTACACTGCCTGACAGCAGTGATCAAATCAGCGCAGGCAACCCAGATCATGCCCTCCAGGGGGTCAAAGACCAGCGAGAGAGCCTCGCCCCTTTGCTTGTCGAGTTCGAGCAGGAGGCGCCAGAAGCGCATCCACTGTGTCTCACTTGTGTTCCTGAACTGATCATAGTCCGCACCGCCTGCTGAACTCCGCTCCAAGGTTGTCGTCGATCCTAAGACGGAACAGATGGACTCTACGATGCTCCTGCCAGCTTTTGACGCGGTTTCTTTATAGGTGCCCAGCCCTTTCTCGTACATCGCGAGCGCCGTCTCGAGGGTCGTTTTCGAAAAGCGGCCAGGGAAGAAGATGAGTTCGAGCCATTTCTCGGTCGAGTCCGTGGGGTTCCAGGGCCCTGACGCCCGCACCGCTGGCACCGTGTTCTCGACGTAAACCGCCTTCCAGCCGTCGCCAAAAGGCGCAGCGCTATTCCGAGCTTGCACCTGTAAGCGATGCACACGGTAGCTGGTATTGTTCTTCCACAGGGCCCACAACTCGGGCCCGTCCGGTTGTTGGGTGACGGTGAAGTCGGCCAGATTCCACACATCCAAAGACGACGGGCTTGGTGGTATCAGGTGGCTCTCTGGAAAGCAGTCCGCGACATGTATCGACCCTTGGTCGTTCGCCTTGACTTTCCAGAACTTGAACTCGCCAGACCCGACAGGTGAGTAGGTCACGACAAGGCATTGGCCGCGGCTGTTGTCCAATATCCGAATCAGGTTACCCTCGGAAGGATCCACCGTCCACTTGCCAACCTCCTGCGGGTCCCGCTTGGTGTTCAAGATATCGCCAGTATACAGAATTTGGCCTGTCCGCACATCCCATACCCTCATCCGATGATCTAGGCAGATGGTGAATAGAAAAGCGCTGTCCGAATGGCCCATAGTTGTAACTGCTGTCGAAGCAGCTGCCGTCAACTCCATGTTTATCTTGTCGTACCGGATGGTCGGGTTCCGTTGGAAGGGAACCAATCCGCGGAGACTCTGGCCCCATCCTGCGACGTTGTAGATGGTCTCCTTCCATGTCGCTCCGTTCGCTGTTGATTGAAACCCGGGATTAGCATCCCCGTTGACGGACAGTTGGTCTGAAAACCTACACTCATTGCCCTTATTCCTATCGAATTTCAGGATGCCGCCATCGTGCATCGTAATGAGCAACTGATTTGGGTTGACGACCGCTAGCCTGTGCGGGTGCTTAAACCCAAAGCCAGGCGGCGAGTACGGTTTGCACAGGTCGCCTAGCCCGCCATCGGTGGCACTTCTCTTCCGGAAGTGATCCGGGCGTAGCGTGATCGACCACAGCTGATTTGAGTGGTCGACCACATAGACGCAGAGCGCATCGTACTCCTCAGGGTCGGCGAGGCCAACGCATGATGTGCGGATCGGAGCAGGAAATCGGAGGTTAAGTATTAGTGGCGCATCGGACTCTCTCTGTTGCTTGCTGACGTCGGCTGCACGGAGGCTAAGAACATTGCCGTTATCGAGGACGCGCCATAGGAAACCCCGTGGTGAGCTGTGATGTTTCCGGTAATAGATAGATGATGCGGTCGCTAAGCTTCCGGACCGATACGCCTTCTCGTCGTCGGCTGAGGCACCGCTCCGACTGGAGCTCGACCGTCCGTAGGCGCTCTGCGGCGCGACACGGACCTGAACGGTTGATGACTGTGATGCAGGTTCTAAATTGAGTCGCGTCTCCTTGTAGAGTATCTCGAAATCGTTGGATGCCATTTTCTCCCCATATACAGTGCGCAGGCGACAACCGATGGATATGTGAGGACGTCGCGTGTACCCGAGATACAGACGCGATCTTGGGTTTCGAGGGCAGATTTCTGGCTGCTGCGGTGGATTTGGCGGGGAGCTAGGATGTCTGGGTTGCATAACCTTGCAGCTGGAGGTGAAGCTCAGCAACAAGCACAGACCACTCACTCAGCTTCAAAGCGTTGCTTGGTGGAGCCCGCTCATCCACAAGCAACCATCGTCAACGGTCAAACAATTGACGGGACCTTGCAGCAGGTGCATTTCGATTCTAAAAGAAAGACTTCACAGGAATTGAGTGCGCTGATACGGTCAGTGTTTTTGCCACGTAAAACAGCCATTACTTCATATAACGCCAGTCCCCCCATGTATGCCTAGCTCATACGCCCAAGTCGAAGCACAAGGTCCGTTTCTACTGCATCATCCCTCTAAGCCAGATCATTCGCCATACATGCATCATGCTATAAATAACCAGTGGGTGCAACTCGAACTTGGTCCCAGTCTTCTACTCCTTCTCCATGTCCTTCGGGGCCGGGTCCCCAATACCGTCTTCGTTGATGGCAAACAGACAATCGCTTTCCGGCAAGCAAGGACTGTCGTATATCTTTGCTATTCTCGTTTCACCTCTGCCTTTCTTCAGGCTAATCCTTGTGGTGCTGGCGTGAGCGATGATGTTGCCACCAATTGGCTTCTTGGGATCCGGGTTGAACATGGCAGACGGCCCACCGTCGACCTGGGCCACCACCTGGTTCGTGATGACAACGGCAATGCCAAACTCATCGGCCAGGCGCTGGAGCGTGCGGAGGAACTTGGCGAGATGAGTCTGTCTCGAGCTCAGCTCACCGCGACCCAGGAAATCCGTCCTGTACAGAGAGGTGGCCGAGTCGACGATCAGCAAGCTGAAGCGAGTTTCGCACATCATGGCCGCCGCCTGATTCAACAGTTGCAGCTGGTGATCTGAGTTGTAAGCACGCGCATAGGCAACATTGTCGAGGACTTCTTCGCCCGAAAGACCGTAACGGTTGGCAACTGCGAGGAGTCGGACGGGACGGAAGGTGCCCTCTGTGTCGATATACAGGCATTTCCCCTCGCCACCGCCCATATCGAACGGGAGCTGGCAGGTCACGGCTAATGTGTGGCAGATCTGCGATTTCCCTGTCCGGAACTCGCCAAATAGCTCGGTCACGCTGCCAGTCTCGATGCCGCCTGCGAGGAGGGTGTCGAGGTTCTTCGAGCCGGTAGTGATCGAGATCAACTCGCTGCGGCGCTGGTGCATCTCGGTCGCTGTGGTGAAGCCCATGGGGACGAGTTTGGAGGCCTCGGCAAGCAATTTGCCTGCCTTTTGCGCTGAAATACCATTGATCTGCTCGAGCACTCTCTGTGGTGTATAGGCGACAGATTCGACGGTATTGAAGCCCGCCGCGACGATATTTTGAATGTCGCGCTTGGTAATTCCGGCAATGCCCTTTGGAACCAGCGACGTTAGTATACTCCTATGTCATGAACCGATGCACGTGTGCAAACTGCGCTCCTTACCTCCAGCTTCGCGAGGGGCGTCGGCGCGCCAGGCCCTGTCTGTCCGCCATCCTCGCCATTGGCTGGATCGTCGTAATACTCCTCTTGCGCGGCCATTATGAAATTCCGAGTTCAGATAATGGTGCGGGTTCGTTGCGTGTGTTGGCAATTGTGTTGTTTGAGACGGGTTGTGAATCTGTGAAATCACACTCGGTTTGACTTTGTTGACTGAGGGAAAACCGCGGGTCATTGACGCGTTGGCGCGAATCAACAAATGACGCGGAAACCCGTGACCACTTTTGGGGCTTGCCGATTTTGGTTTCTGCCTGGCAACTGGCAAGAGGTGCCGCTACAATCTGCCCCAGAAGCCTCGGCTCTGAGGTCCGAGTCCTCAACCTTTTTTTGATGTGAACAAGCCATTGCCGCGACACGATGTATTTTTCATGAAAGGAAAAGAGCGGTTCTGCATTCTGCAGTTTTCTTTTTTATTCAAGCAGTGAGAACGCTTATAGATCACCTCTTGAAATGCAAAGGGGCGTTCTGTGTATCCTACTAGTAGTAATCCAATGTAACGGTAACGCAACCCCCCGCCCCCGTTCCCCGGATATGATACACCAAGGCAAGTCAAATCATCCATCTCTCTAAATCTAACTCTCGTCTCGTCTATTGCATCTTCTTCAGAGGCTTGTAAGCCTCCCTCTGAGCCTTCTCATAGCCGTTCACCCTCGCATAAATCCACTTGAGCGCCGAGGATGACACGGTGAGCAGGGCCGCAGAGAAGGTAAAAAGCAGTGCACGCTGAGAAGTGGACAGCAGCGCAAAGATTGGGTAAGGGTACCTAATATGTAGTCAAGTCATCAACCGGTGAGATCGTGAGACTGGTTCCGCTCCCAGGAGACGGCTCACCATCCGTTATGTCGGTAGCAGAGCTCAACCCAGTACCAATAGGCAAAGGCAAAGCCTGTGCTCAGGGCCATGATCGTGTATGCAGGAATGGTCCATGGCGGGCTGAACAAGATGAGGTCGAGGGCCAAAAAGACAGCGGGAGCAAAGTGAAATCCCAGGTCAGGGAGTAGATCGAGCTGGAGATCGCCCTGGAACAGCAGCTGGGGATCAATGAAGCGGATGCCCCAATATAAGATCGTAATGACAACTTCCAGCGGCGTAGCGACCACAGCGACGGCGTTCTTAGCCCTGAACAACGCTGGGCTCAGAGTAAGATCGGCGAAGATGCCAAGCACGAAGGACAGCAGCGATATTGCCAACCCAATGATGGTCAGGAACTGAAAGTGCCATCCAAAAGCGATCGAGAAGGGGGTGTCCCAGGCGGTGAGAAAGTAGAAGTTGTAGCTGAAGGAGACCGCTCCAAGGATATGGAGCAGCAGTGAGAGGGACCGTGAAGGTGAAGTGAGTCGCTGAAGAGGATGAGGAGGCACCATTCTAGAAAAAAGAGTGTTGTTGTGAAAGGGGCATAAGCAGCACGCAACAGAAATGTACCAACAAAGGCTCCAAAGGCTCCAAAACAGCTCTCGTGGCACCTGGGGAATGATGCCGAAAGTGAAAAGGTATCGGTTCCGACGACGCGTAAACAGCGGGTGCCAAGAATAATGCGACGGGATCCCGGATTTTGACCGCTACCGACGGACCCACGATGTTACCTCAACTCAAAAGACATCCTCGGAAATATAAATCAACGCAACCTTGCTGTGTAGTGAGTGTGTACAAGAACGAGAAGAAAGGTCAAATTCGTTTACTTAACTAGGTATACAGCACCGTGGGACTAGTAGCTCCCCTAACGTGCAGGCCAACCACCAGACTTGCGCAACCTTGCCGACGACCCCGAAGCCTGTCCATTTTGCTCCGACTCTTCGAGCTTTGCCATCCCCCTTGGCATCCCTAGAGCCCCTGCGGGAAGAATCTCGAACCCATCATTGACCCGCCTTGAGGACCGATTCAAGTTCAAGTGTAGGTCCCCGGGGCCGAAGGTCGGTTCCGGCGCAGACACCCCCTGACCCTGTGCGCCCGGCCCAGGCGTGTCGACCTGGGAAAGCAGCGAGAACCCGCTCGGCGTCCGGGCGGGTGTCGCAAAGGGGTCGGAAGCTGCTTCTGCTTCGGAGCATCGCCCCAGCGGAGGATCGTGCCCGGCCCGTACGCCCTGGGTAGTCCTCGCCATATAAAACCTCGAGCTATGCGACGAGGACGAGTAGCTCCTGCCGCTTGTGCTCCGTGATTGCGAGTCCACGGACTCCCTGGACGAGGATTCCCAGCTTCGCTGACTGGGCTGGCGCGGTTCCTGTCGAGAGGAGGAGGCGGGGACGTATGTCTCGTAGAGCGGTTGCTCCGCCGGTTGGCCTTCTAATCTTTGCAGTGTATTCTGGTCTAGTCCGCCGGCCGGGCGCGACGGCTGTCTCCTGGCTTTATATGCGAACCGGGAGAGGGGAGGAGCGCCAGACTGTGGGCGCTGCGTGGGATCATGGTCCGTGAGTTTCTGGGAAACAGCAGCGGCCGATGGCGTTCGCTTGTCTCCCAGACTCGTTGTCGTTACCAGCACTGCCTTCTTCTCGTTCCCTGGGTGATCTCTCCGCTTTTTCTGCGAGTCCGAGTCCCTGCCGGCGATAGAGGTGGAGGAAGTAAGCTTTGCCGATGCCGTCTCATTGAGTGATGCAGGCCTAGATATCCATATGCCGTCGACCTCAACGCCGCTTTGAATCGCACGAACACCGAAGGGAATGTTGTTGGTCCGCTTGATGGGGAGCCCTGTCTTACGCATCTCCTCCACCCGCGCCCGTTTCTCCTCATCCAGCACCTCTTGCTTCTTTACCAGTCTGTTATTCCACCACAGCTTGCCAAGACCTGCGCAGAAAACAGCCACAATCGCCATGGCAAGCACCTAGGCAGCGTTGTCAGCAAAGATGGCCTTGCATTCGGTCGTTAAAAGTGCGTTGAAGGTTGAAGGTGCATACAAATGTCATCTGCTGCCATAGCTCCCACGAGGTGAAGAAAGTGCCGGACATTGTCCTCGGAAATGCCGTTGCAGGCGCAGATCTGGATGAGTATGTTGGATACCTCACGCGCCGCCGGTGACCGAAGGCAGGCCGCCTCCGGCTGATGACCGATTCGACAATGGCACAGCAAATTCGAGGCTCCGAATATGCCAGCTTATGGGTACCGTAGTTCGGGGGCAGATCTGCTTTCAGGGAACCGTGAGGTCGACAAAAAAGGACGTTGAGCGCGGTATGGTCCGTGAAATAGGAGATCAGACCGAACCGGGTCTTGAAAGTTGACTCAGGGCGACCTGACAACCGAACTCCTTGTTGACAAAGAAGCTGCGCGCCGTTATAGCTCAGCTAACTGAAAAGGACTTGATTTGCTGTGGCTATCGCAAACGGCCAAGCCCCAATAATCCGATTTCCTGGGCAGATACGAGTGTGTAACGAGTGACAGCAACCTCGTGATGGTGCACCGTTACAGAAACGAGCTTCTTCGGCCTTCGACCAAGCCGGATGGCCGCATTGGCAGGGCTGATGATCCCGTTAAAGGTCCATGAGGGACTACCTGAAGAGCCCAGTTTGTGAGACGCTGAATCGAGCAATAACCGAGATGTCGGTCATGGATAATGCGAGATCAGCCGGGCTGTCCAAGCCTGCTCACTTGGTGGAATAACGTTAGGGCAACGACAAAAGGAAAACCAGTGGACTGACGGTGTGCAACCTGAAGAGGGCACCACGGGCCGTGCCTGTGTCCGTCCCAACCTCAATGGCAAACAGCGACAGCCAGTCATGAGATCCGACAACAGGGGGTCGGGCGGACCTGAGTGGCCTTTGTATGCCTGGTAATATGAAGTCCTCTCACGGATACTGACATCGGGGGACGCGAGATCGGAGAAATCGACCCACAAACCGCAGTGATCACGGCAACGTGACGCTCAGCTCAGATGGGTGACGACTCAGCGTCTTTCGATCCTGTCTGTCCGGCTCAGCCCATTCCCATATCTGCTACATTAGGTTGAGCCAGCTCTGTGCGCTCGGGCTGTTCGCATCCAGATAGCCTATGCACCGGTGGAGCGTCCCTTGCAGGAGTCGGCAGGCTAAATCGAAGAGCAAGTTACACGACGAGGAACAAGCAACCGGCTCTCATATTACATTCGAATTCCCGGCCAGCCGGGTGACCCTAGTGTCTCGCAGCCGCTGTGGCCAGCAGCATTCATCATCTCTTCAAGATGATGGCGGTGAGCTGAAGCTGGGCAAACGTCCCGCAGGTGCCGTATGGAAACCAATATTGCCATGTTTCGGGTGGACGCCGTCTGTGAGAACAGGAGAGATGCGGTTCGCCTGGTGTCAATACCGTAGTGTAGATCGTGGTGTTGCTCCAATATTCGCGCCGTCGCCATCCAATTGGAGCGAAAAATTGCAGTCGCATTCATCCAGATTGCAGACGGCATCGAGTTGCTAATTTTGCAACCAGCACAGCCCGGCAATTTTCGGCTCCCTGTAACGGCAAAAGGATCACGACCTTCCTGTCTCAACCATGCCCTTCCACAAGGTAGTAAACGATGAAGACGAGCGTGGCAAGCTCGGCGAGCTGAATGCCAAGGAGAGCTGAGTGAAGATACGTAAGGCTGGAAGCCCTAGCGGTCATGACCCACCGTAACGGTCTGGCTTGGCAAGATCACCAAGTCCACGACGACTCCACAGCAAGGGTAAGCTGTCAGATCGTTGGCCGGTCAACGAGCAGCCTGTCAGAGCACCAGACCAGGGTGCTGGGCACAAGGGGCAGACCATCATGGAAAGGGGAAATGCCCCCGAGCGGTGAGAGCATTGCTACGTTGTCTACACTAAGGTTAGTACGCTTGATCTACGCGGTTGGTGCGAAGGGGTCGAATGCTCAGTACATACAAACGATTCGGCCGGGATGTCCGCACCTACAAGGGCTCGCTCAAGTCTCACGGCGATGCCGCGATCGTGCTCATCACTAGCAAAAGGGTAGTGCTACCAGGTCTTTGTCTAATCAACCAGCACTATTTGATGCACTAGGCAGGTAGAACCACCACCAGCAGAACGTAATCATCTTGATCTGTCTGAACCTGAGTAAGTCCTGCAGGCCTTTGCGCACAACCTCCTTTCCCTCCAAATCTGCACCGAGGGTCGACAATATCACCCTCCCAGCCGCCTATGCACCGCGCCCCTCCTCTTGAGCCCCTGTTTCCTCGTTCGATGCCGCATCGTCCGCCTTTTCTTGAACTTTTGTCTCCTCGTCCGATGCTGCATTGTCCGCCTCCCCGCGGAGTGCTTTAGAAATTCTCTGCACGAATTCTTGGGGACTCTTCGTCAAGTAGAGCTCCGAGAATGTAAACGAGCACACGAACGTAGGCACCGGTTGATCCGGCTCTCCAACGTCCTTGAATCTGTGGCCGTCATGCTTGTGCTCATGGCCACCGTAGACCTCCAACACTTCCTGGTCGAGGTCAACGACATAAGCCCATTCGCAGAAGAGGCTGTCATTTGCAAACCCCAGCCGAAGCTGCACCGGAAATTTCTTGGGCTCCTCCGCGACGTCCTCAGCACCATCCTCTTCTGCGGCTTGGGTCGGACGGGCAATGATGCTCAAGATGCGGGCCGAGGTTTCCCTATCCAAGGTGGGATAAAGCTCCTTCACGACGTTCGTGCGGAACCCCCAGTCGAGACCCTGGTCTCTAAGGTTCTGCTCAAACGCTGCACACTCGTCCCGGATGGCTTCAAGTTCTTCCGCTGTCGGGTAATAGACGTGATCCAAGCCCGCCCTCAACCTCTCTATGTTGTGGGCCACGGACAGGAACTTGAAGAGCCTGACGCCTTGCACCTCGGGGTACCCATCAAATTGGCCGTACTGAGCAATAACCCATCTTCCCTTCCAGAAGACACTGCAGAGCATTGTAAGCCAACATCGCCCGAGAATATAAGGAACGGAAAGAAAAGAAATAACAAGGCAAGAGAACAAGAGACAGGAAAGAAAACAAGCATATCGTCCAACTCGTGAGATGAAAGAGTAACCAAGCTGAACTCGGTTGATACACTCGACAACGAAATACCTACTTACCAGATGAGGTGTCGGGTACCCATGCTGGTAAGTGATCGACCGAATTGGCAGTGGGTTGCTTGAAAGTGGTTTGGTTTCTGTTCGAATGAGAAAGGCGTTAGGAATTTTGTTGTTGGCGGTGTGAATCTCAACTGCAAAACGTACGGTACTACTAGTAGTAGTCAGGGCCCGCTGGCAGATGCGTGATGGCAGGAAAGTGTGCGTCGGCCGTACTTTCCTTTAAGCCATTACGGTTTTCAGAGTCGTTTCTTTGGAAACTGGAATGTGTGTTCACTTATTCCAGCGCTTAGGTTAGGTTTGAAGTTATCAACCCCGCGCATGTGCGGCTTCTGCCTGGAATAGCCCGCGTCTGGTTGGAAGAGGTGCCCGTGTGACAGCCTGAGACACTCTGGGGCGCCAAATCGCTTTAGATTGGTTTGCAGGGAGAGTTTGTTGGCAATAGGCTTCCATGTTGCAACAGTTAGTATTTAGTAGTACGGTACATACGAATTGTAGCCCGATCGGGCCAAAAGCACCAGACGCCGATGTATGTCAAACTTACGCCTTAGAAGACGGAACGAAGTTCATTAGCGGTTAACACCATTCTTCCTCCTCCCCTTTCCCTCCCGTGATTCTAATTGCTTAACTCATTGCGCAAACTATTGAGGTGAGGAACTTGAGGTATGGGGTCTTCTTAATCTTGGGGTGTACACGGAGGCATTTGTCCCTAGCATCAAGCTAAGTGATAATAACGTGGTCTTGACTGCTGCAGCGTGGATCAAGCGGAGGGCCGTTCAACTAGAAACTGAGGTAGCGAGAGACCAGCCCAGATGGTTTTGGCAGTTCTTGTTCACTCTGACTTTCTGGATACTAACAGCCTGTCCTGTATATCGAATCTAAACCGAAATAAAAGAGCTACACCATCAATGTGAGGAGCATTTGGGTAAGGGGGCGGTGCAAACCAGGAAGCCAGCAATGGTCAGACAACATCTGGCCGCCTTCAGCATACCTCAGCCTCCCTCTCTGATATTCAGCCCCGCTTGTGCCGAGTGACATACCCGACACCCCCGTTGTTCAAGAAATCAAGAACGCCTAGAATTTGATAAGCCCGAAAGAAATACTTGAGGTCCAACAAAGTCGTCTCCGTTTGATCTCCTCATTCGCCAAGGAACCCCACGCCAAGACGCCCAAGTCGTTAATGCAAGAACCCCTTACCGCTGGGGTACGATTCGTGAAATATCGCGAGAGATCGTGTGGAAACTCAATGTCGTAGATCTTTGCTCCTCTCGGTCGGTGCAATACACCAGTAGTCGTAAGTCGGGGTAGTTGTCGTCAAACCTATTGTTCCCAAGCCATATCGAAGTCGTGCCACAATTCCGTCGTAACCCCGATTATGCTGTCGCCGCTCAAACAGCAGTTATATACCGCCAAAACCGTGGAGTTGATCTGTCTCGCAGTAGCTAAACTAAGAAGAAAAGGAGGGAAAAAGGGGGAGGAAGGAAAGAGAGGCCTGCTTCCACAGCAAGTGTAGTAAGCTGACGAATATCAGTGCACTACCGAATGTCGAGCTGGAACGGCTTGAAGCGGCCTCCGATCGTGGCGCACCGGGGACATTTCCTGCGTGCGCCTTGCTCGCCCATCAGGACCTCAACACAGGCCGGACAGAGGCCACATATGCACTCGGTGCATGCATACGATTCCCTCAGCAAGGAGATCCCCTGGCAGGCAGCGCAGTAGATCTGAGTGTTTTGGGACGAGAAACTCGGGGATGAGTCTGACAGGCCCCGCGATTCGATATGGAAATTATCCCCGCCTTCACCGCTCTCGACCGACGGGAATGGTTCAGGGGCTTCAGGGTTGTACGACGGAGGTGTGAGAGCTCGCTGCAGGGGGGAAGCTTGGTAGCTTGTGAAAGCGTTCTGAGCGAAAGGCGGCAAGGAGGACCTCTGGATCGATACAGGCGATTGCGGCATCTGGCTCGTCAGGCGCGGGTCGACCATCGAATTGAACTTGAGACTCACAGGAGTTCTGTCCTCATCTATGTCTTCCGTTGCCGACGCCGCCGCATCGATGAGGTCCTCCCAGCGCTTACCATAGTCTCCAGACGGCTCTGCTGAATAGGCCTTCCGATCATGACTGCCAGGCCGCAGGAGGTCAGGGTTGCCTTCATTCTGTATTCGACGCAGCCACTCCGACCCAGGACCCTTGGACTTCCTTCTGTGGTGGCTTCTCTTGGAAATCGACTGTTTTCTCGGCCGGCTGGGACCCAGAGCTCGCTGAAGGGGCGGGAGAGTAGAAGAACGGCCGGGAGGTGAATGGGCCAGGATTGAGGGGAGGAATTCGCGCTGTCTCCCCATGTCGAGACTGGGGAGCGGTGCGCTTGTTATATCGGCGGTCGAATACTGTATTGGCGGAAGTTCCATCGATGACCTTGATATCCTCATCCCCTCGGTGTCGGAGTGCCAGTCCTGTAGTTCAGTGTCAGCGAGTGCGTGAGACACGGCCTGGGTGGAAGATTGTCCAGCACGCACCCCATCTGAGTCCCACCCAGAATCGTTTTTATGGCTGTGAAGCTGAGCGAGAGCAGCAGCAGCAGGATACAAGGCGCCACCAGAGTATTCCTCGAACCTCCGTGGGGTTCCTGGGCCGTTCAGTTCATCCTGGCGGAAGCTTTGTGGAGCTCCTTTGTTCTGGTGTGCATGGGGCGGGGCCATTGTCGGCTGGGCTTGAGGTCGCTCGGTCGGAGAAGTGTTGATCATGAGCAGGAAGCTCTCCTCAGTGGCGGGCAGCTTCGCAATGTAATGCTCCGGGTGCGCGCGACGGATATGCTCCTGCATAGAGCGGTACCGTTTTTCCTAAAGATGGTGCTGCATCAGTATCATGTATCCCGAGAGGCTGCGACGGTCTGTTCCAAAGAGTTCCTGGTGGCGATAGGCAGAATCCCGACTCACCCCGATACATCGCTTGCGACAGCTGGAGCCATCTTGATTGCGCAGCGGACAAACGACCTCATTGTTCGCATCGGTAATTGAGAAGGACGAGGTGAGTGATGATCTCGCCGGCATCTTTGATGTTGCACGATCAACCCCGCCACTCGTCGCCGTAAATATCGAGGGGTGCTGGCGGGGGGTGTAGACGATAGCTTTCCGTATCTGATAAGATAGCAAGTACGGCGAAATCGAAGCGATGTCAATTGAGAATTAAGTATCCTGCGATGCCGAGTTGTTCCAATTGACATCCGGGCGCGGAGGATTGGGAAGAAGTGATCGGGAGCTGCAGTCATCCAAGAGAGCTCCAAGCTCCTTGCAGGTGTGACAGGCGGTGTTTCGAAGAAGGGAGGACTGTGGTGGCAAAGGCCCTCGGGCGAGAGCAGGAGTAGCTTAACGCGAGCGGGGAGCGGAGCGGGGACAGCACCAGGGCTGTCTGGTACCGTGCATGTACTGTATGTATGTACAGTACACGGATGTACATGTCACGCCCGGGAAGCTAGCAGGTTTGCATGGCTTCCTGCTCACCAAATGCAGGTATCCAGGCCAGAATCGTTAGACAACCTGGAAATGTGATACTTGGTTCGAGGCACAATAGAGTCCAGACTAATCAAGGGATGAAATAACCGAAAAGCAGACTGCGCTGATCGTTTACGTGCACGATCGGATGTCAGTCAGATGCTGACCACAAAGGCGGGACTTGTAAGTGTACCGATCCCGTCAACGAGGACAGTCTCAAAGTCTGATCCCTCCACTGTGGAACCACACTCTGCAGCCCATGGCAGCTTTGCCTCCCTTGTCGCTTGTCGCAGAGCTGGGGGCGTGGAAGACCAAACTCCAATGCGACCATGGAAGAGACCGATAAGAGGGAAAGGCACATATAGGTTAGGTAGGGTTAAAATAACTGCAGCTGCCTACATATCTGTCTAATAGTAAGAGAAAATCAGAGCGATTGCGAGCTTTACATGACAGAGTTAACATGGGGTAGTGATTGTATCCGGATACTCCGTACCAACTTGAGGACTCCTTGGCTTCATACTCTTACCCGTTTCTGCCAGCCAGAAACGATCCTCCTTATACGGCTTTGAATGCAAGGCTACCCACACTTGAATAGGCACATCAATGATTCAATCCAACTTGGGCCCTGAATATCAATATCACTCGGCTGAGCATGCCTCCTGAACAATTGGCTAGAGTCGAACGACAAAATTGAGAAGGGCAGGATGGCTGGAGCTCATGACTCGGTCGACAGAGCGGATGCCCTCGACCCGGAACACGGAGGCGTGGGCACTCGATTGAGTGGAGAGCGAAAAGTCTTTTCATTCGCTGATGGCTCAATGACGGAAGCCCAGGTGTCAGTTAGCTCGGATCTGGAAGCTTTCCCAATTCAGCTGCAGCAACCTCGAAGCTTGGCTTGCCGGGTGAACTCGAGCCTTTGACATGGAGCCCGCACACCTTCCTCGTTCGCTGATCTTACACTACACAGGAGATCAAAATAACGCAAAACAGAAAACCAGACGGTTCTGACTCGCACGCCTCCAGCCTTCCGAATCCGGTTGGTTTTCTTCCTCCTTCCCAAGTCTTCAATGGGGCTTGGCCGCGAATGAAGGCGCATCACAAGGGCGGACATAGAAGTGGATCTGTCCAGTGCCGCGCTGATGGGATTGCGGGGGCAGCTCCACCTTCACAGTGCCAGTGCTTCGGGCGCTCTGACTGGGAAAATGGTTGTGACCCTGAATTCCGGCCTCCATCCACATGCATGTGGTGATCGCTACACAATTGTATCTTTTTCAGCTGACTAGAACTGCGGTCTCAAAAGCCTCCTACTAGTCATAGGCCCGCGTATACCAATGGCACTCAGCGACGGCGTACCGTGGGATGCTGGGGGCATGGTTCTACGAGAGAAGTCTGTTTCCTACGTTTTCACTGGTCAGGTATCCTGCGGTATTGAAAAGGGCCATCTCAGCACGTACTCGCTGGGCCTTCCAAAACGGCCGAACCCAGCTCGCCCCCTTGGCGAAGGAAGGCCCAGCGAGTACAACTACCTGGTAATCCTGCTTCCCTATCAGTGAACAGCATGTTCGTTGGACGAGGACGAAAACCCGTGAGAGATAACCTATCTCTTTTGAACTCTGTACCTTACCTCCACGCTCCAGTGAACATCAAGTTTTAACTTGGAGTAGCATATCACGATAACTGAACTCAAGTCAACAGCTAACGGTATACAGTCGGACGTAAATGAAACTTGAACTCGACTGCTAGGTAAGTTCATCATCAGGGTATATCTCTGATCTTATCATTTGAACTTTGCAAAGCTTGTGGGTTTGCGGGTCGCTTCTTAGCTTCGAAAGATGATCGACCCAAGGTCAACGCCGCCTTCGCTTTCGTACGGTACCATTCCTGGATAGGACAGGCATCCATACAGCGGATCGACGCGGATGCAGTGGTAAACTTGGCGCAGTATTGGAAAGAGACTAGACGCAAGTGCAGATATATATGCAAAGACTTGGGGTATCAACTTCGCGTCGTCCTTATCTGAGTCTGCCCCCTCATTTCCCATGTAATCAAAGCGTTCGTCCATCTAGACATCTCTGCACTGTGTCCCTGTGTCCCCAAACCAGACGGTACATGAACATGTTCATGAGCGAAGCTCATCCCCCGGGTTGGATTCTCATATACCACACATTCTAACCAAGCACCACTGGGCCAAACTAAGCAATTCCCCCTTGGATTTAACTCCACGGTGCCAAGCCAGGATTTACCGCAGCTGGCGCAGAATCTCAGTCAAGAAGTCCTCAAAGCTCAGCGTGATGTACCCGTCCCGGTCGTCGTCATAGCGCTTGAACACGTCGGTCATGCGCTTGAGGCTGATGCAGGCCTGGACGAAGAGATCAAAGCTCATGACGCCCTCATTGCGCTTGTCGTAGGTGCGGAAGAGGAGCTCGACGAAGCGGTCGCTCAGGCGGTAGCGGAAGGCGACCAGCGCGTTGCTGAACTCGTCTAAGCTGATGTTGCCGGACCGGTCTGTGTCGAAGCGGTCGAAGAGCGAGCGCCACGAGGCCAGGAAAGACCACAGGCCGCAGAACTCCTCGAAGCCAATGGTGCCGCTGCGGTCGCTGTCGAACATGCGGATCATCATGCGCACCGTCTGGGGGTCGAAGGCCGTCCAGTCGCCGTTGACGAGGGCTGCTGAGAGCTCTCTCTCGGAGAGCTGACCGGTGCCTGTGCGGAGCAGAAGCGTAAAACTGTTAGTTCTCAGGGAACCGTCTCGAGAGCCAGCTGATGACGGAGGGGCGTCCGAGACAGCCGGACAAGGCATCAGAACTCACCATCCTTGTCCACGGCCCTGAAAAGTGGCAGTAAGGTCGGGTCGGCCGAGCTATCGCGCGGTGCAGGACTCGGCGGCGGCCTTGAGCTAGCGGGCGGGAGGTTTTGATGGATCGGTCGGGCCGCGGCTGCGGTTGGGGGCGGGCTCATGCCGAAACGGTCAGGCGGTGCTGCGTGCCTGGGTGATAGTTGGTTCGGGCGGGGACCGTACGGATCCCCCGAGCCTCTGTGATCAAGAGGACGTGGAGGCTGTGGTTTGTTCTCGTATCGCGAAGCGGAAGAGACCGGTGCTGGAGACTTGTTGTTTCCTTTCTGTGTGAGGCACAGAAAACGGCAGATAAGTATTTAGCTTCAGCTCTGGTAGCAGCGCACAGCAGGGCTGCTCCATGCAAGAGCAACGCATTAGAATAGCTCACCTGCTCGGGCTCCGCGAATCTACAAATAGTGTTAGCAAAAAGCGCGGCAATGGTTGGATTGAAGGGCCGGGTGTTGTCGTTCGCTGATGGCGGGGCTTCTCAGGGCGGGGTGGACCAGAGCGGTTTGCGGCAGCGAGCAGCTCTCGTATCTACTCACCTAGGCAGTTCGTCCGGGTTGTATGGTCTATTGTACGCCATCTTTGCTTGTATGTGCGTTGATCGCGACTCAGGCGAGATCGTTGCTATCCGTTCTCCTGAGTGTGTCAGGTTTGGGTTTTGTCACACACACACAGGGTCGGAGACGGCGAGGAAGCAAGTGCTAAAAGTATTTAAGCAGCGTCGCAGTCTTGGATTCTTGGGTGCGGCTGCATCCAACCCAGCTTATCGACTCAGCCGCAAGCTAGGTTTATTTAGCTGCAAGTTGTTTCGCAGTAATGAATGCCCCAAGCCGAAGAAGAGGTAGCATGGATCATGGATAGATTCGGACAAGACAGCCTGGAGGGCAGAAATGAATGACCTTTGCTTTGAGTTGGGCAGCTTTTCCAACCTGACAACCTGACAGTGCCAAGGGATCCTGAGGTTGAATACGCGCAATTTCAAGGGCGGTGCAAGCAACAACTCAGTGGCAGTCGTGGATCCCCTGCAGAGGCTCAGACACCGGAGAATAAGCCTCCCGCCTGCGTCAGGATTTACATGATGTAGGACGGCACATAGTGTGCCGAAGGCATCAGATAGGTTCGAACGGTTTGAAAACAATAGTATGGCGAGTAAGTTATACGCCAGGATGAAGTCAAGCTCACAATGTTCCCGTGTTGTTGACAGACGGTGGCCTAAAAAGCTAAAACGCGAAAATGACAAATATTACATCTAACCACTGAAGTAGGTAGCGTATGCTCTATGGCTTCTTGTTTGTTTAGCTGGCTGAGTTGTCATCACATAAGTGGCATATCAACTCCGGTCTAATCCATCGAAATAGTAAGCTTCAAAGAATCAAGTGCTGTAGTTAGCCGTAAGATTTAGGTGGAACGGATGTTCTGACTTGCCGGTATGATTTGACGGGTTCGCAGTGCAATGAGTGCATGAGCAAAGCCCCTCATCTGCCTCCATTACCTCTACCAGGATCATCATGATGTCCGAGCATCAAGGATGAGAAACAGACACTAGTGTAGCAGCATAGGCATAGTTAAGAAGCGTGGAAAGAGATGCTGTCAACATGCCACGCGTTCAGCCCTGTGTTGAGAACTTGAGATGAGGCGATACTCGGGCCGAAGCACGGCACGGCTCCCGAACGTTCAGTCTCCACTGGCCGTCTCCGCTAAACGATGACTTGCAGCAACCTATCGAGGGGACACCGGCCTGTCCACAACTCCCGGACCTCCACGTGGTTATGCCCGGGTTACAGATATGTAAGAAACAACTTCAATACTGTGAAGGACTGAACGTTTCCCATCTGATTCCCGTCTACTACTCCGTCTTACAGAGGTGCGCTTTGTCCCGCTCGCTTAGACTCAGGGGAGAATATCAAACCTGGGGGCTGACTTCACCGGCTGTTTGAAAGCTATCCCAACAAAAATCCCGCCAGCTGCAGCATCACACAGCCACAGACAGTACCTCCCGGCTCAGGGATCGTTAAACGGTCGCTTGACTCATCGTCCCATTCTATTAAGCCAGACAAGGCACGGAAGATGTCTGGTCAGAGCCCTCCCTCTCAGGCGGACGAGTTCTGGCTATTTGGATACGGGTCAGTACCGCTGAACGGAACACCAGAATTGGTGTGATACTGACCAGTTGCTGTGCAGAAGCCTGATCTGGAAACCTCCACCGCATTTTGGTAGCCCTACCTTTATCTGATCATCCGCACCCAAACCCGAAGTCCCCCCCCTTTCTCTGAATCGACCTTATGGCTGCGCAGGGCGGGAGCTGACCGGGTCAAGACAGAAGAATTCCGGGCTGGGTGACCGGCTATGTCCGGAGGTTTTGGCAAGTATGTCGTCCTACCCTGTTCAACACCCCTTTCCCCTTGCCCGTGCCGCCCAAATACCCTGCTTACCCCCTGCCGTACCCCTCGCCAAACTTCTGGGCCCGTTCCGCTCCTTGCCCCGTCCATCGCTTCTCGATCAGCCCCTTCCCCATATTAATCGGATTATAGGCAAGGTACTTCAGCCTCACTGTTCCATCAGACACCCGAGGGCCCGATAATCGTGGCGTGCGCAGTTCGGTTGTTGGATATTGGGCTCGCCTTCAGATCATATCATCATCCCGGATCTCCCTGACGGATCCCCTTTCCATCACGTTCCATCGACGTTAAGCAAAGCCACTGACCCTACTGCCATGCCGACAGCGAAGACCACCGGGGCACTCCACAAGCCCCGGGGCGAGTCGTGACCCTTATCTCACGCTCGTACTGGGATCAGTTGACCGACCACCATGATTCAGCTCCCGAAAAGGTCTGGGGGGTTGCCTACCGCATCAAGCCCGATCGCGTCGCCGAAGTGAAGGAGTACCTAGACATCCGCGAGATCAACGGGTACACGATCCACTACACCCCTTTCCACCCGGCGCCCGGTGTCGACCCGGCCCTGCTGCCACAGCACTGTCCCTTCCAGACGCTGGTCTACATCGGAACGCCGGACAACGAGCAATTCGTCGGACCACAGGACCCGCAGAAGCTGGCCGAGCACATCTACCGCAGTGAAGGCCCCAGCGGTCTGAATCGGGACTACTTGTGGGGGCTGGAGCGGGCTCTGGATGAGCTCAGCCCGGACAGCGGGGACGAGCACGTCACGGATCTATCGACCCGGGTCCGGGCGCTTGCGGCTCGGGAGGAGGAGAAGATGAAGAAGACTGGCGAAATCCGAACTGAGAAAGAAGGAATCCTGCGTCCGCTGTATCCTGTCAGCGTCAGTCCGGAATGGGTGCTAGAGCGGGAGCGGCAACATCATGGGCAGCATCACGACTTCAGGAAAGTCAGCAGCATAGATGAACAAGAAGAGACAGAGAAGACTTCGTGAGGAAGCGGAGATGGAAAGAAGCATTTCAACAAGAAACCAGCAACTATGAGTTTCTCCTCTCTTCTCCCCCCACTAGCTTAGGTCCCCTATTGGGCTACCTTCGCTTCACTTTTCCTTGGCTTCCTCGGACGCCCCCTTTCCGCCGACGCCTCTCTCCTCGGCCCGCATGCAGACATTCCCAGAGCCAGCTCAGGGGATATCTCCCTGCACCATCATATCGTAAATGTTTGACGTTGAACTGCATCCCCGGCCACATCCACAACGCGGCAAAGGCCGGCCAGTGTCCCCATGCAGACACATCGGGGTCCAATTCATGGATCCCCACCGAATCAGACCCCCTTTTACCCCCAGCCTATCCTGCTCCCGCAACAGGCAACAGTTCGCAGCTCCCAATGAGGATGAGACTCGACAAGAAAAGGCCGTGAAGCAAGAATAACAATAGCGCAGAAGTTGCAAAACAGGAGAGCAACGATATCACCCTGGCCGTCCAGCGGACGTCCCCTAGACTGGTCTGTTCCGCCGACCGAGCTGATGTGAAGAAGGTTGAGCCGTGCAGGGGTATCTTGTAATCGATCGTTTCAGGGCGAGCAGAAATGTGGCAGAAGAAAGTCTGGAGGTATGTAACCTCTTTGTTTGTCCTCCGGTACTCCTCTCGGGTTACTCCTTCGGAGGCTCTAAGAGGGAACGGCGTATTCCTAATAGCCGCCTTGCCCAGGGCCTGCGGGTTGGTTCGGTGGCTGAAGGGGTTGCCCCTGTTGTGTAGGGTCAGGATACCCGTATGGCTGCGGTACCCATCCTGTCTCTTGTTAGAGCGTCGTCACGGTTCACGTCAGTGACATTTCTCCTACATACCCTGCGGAGGAACGACATATCCGGCCGGCGCCGACGCCGGCGCCTGAGCATATCCACGCCCATACGGTTGGGCGTAGAGATTTGGCGGCATTCCATATGGCTGCTGGGTGCCGTATGCGATTCCCGGTACGGGTCCGCCGGCCATCGGGACGGGGCCAAAGCCGCCTCTACCATAACCGTTAAGCGCAGCTCCTCGGCCGCCACCCTTAGGACCCGTGTCCGAGGCTTTGTCGACACGGATCTGCCGTCCATCGAATCTGAGACGTTTTGTGTTAGAGTCAGGCGCCGGCAGCGACGTCTCTGAGGTGACACATGACTCACTCGGTATTGTTCATGGCAGAGATCGCCTTCTGGGCGTCTTCCCCGTTCGTGTATCGCACAAAACCAAAACCTCTGCTGCGGCCAGTGTCCCGGTCTTTCACAACGACCTGACTAGCTGTCAGGTTCTCCTTTCCGACGCACTGTTTACAGAAAACTCCGGAGCTGGGACTTTTGGACCGGAGGGGACGAGGATTGAATCAGTGCCAATCAGAAGTGAACCACAACATACTGCTTCTTCCACCACCCCGAACTCCTCAAATTTCATTCTCAGTGTGGCTTCTTCTGTGTGCCATGCGAGGCCACTATCTCATGTCAATGGCCGCTGCCCAACGGCGGGTAGATGGACAGTAAATCTCGAGGCTTACCCAATAAAGAGCTTAGACATCTTCTAGGACCCTTTAGTTGGTACTGCCTTCTTGGTTCCTGAATGGGGAAGATTGAGTCTCACCGTTGTCAAGACTCAAGAGAGACAGCACTGCGGTGAAGTTCGTTGCGTTTGGAAAGTCTCCAGAGGGCAAAGGCGTGAGATCGGAGCCTCCCGTTGCGACGAAAAGGCGGGGAACTGCAGCTGTAGTACTTCTCCTGGCGCTGAACAAGAGCTTGTTGAGGAAGGAGCGGATCGGTCCTGCGGTTTGAATCAGCCCATCTTATCCGGCGACGGTTGGCTGCCTACAAGGTACCTGGGGTACCTAAGGTAAGGTAAGAGGTCAGACACGTCACGGGTGCTATGATTTCAGCCGAGGAGGAAGGCTGACCTCGACTAAATCGCAGTCTCGATTTCTCTAACCGAGGTTGGGAACCGAAGTATGGCAGAGGGGGGACGTTGGATAGTGTCCGGTCAGAGAGCGGCGGGGGGGGGCTAGCGAACCTGCGTTATGTGGTAAGGGTCAAGGATTCTCCAGTCTCTTGATCAAGCCGGTTGGTTGGTTGGCTGGTTGGTTGGTTGGTAGGAAGAGAACTCGGGAGGGACACAAGGACCAGAGCCGCCGGTATTGATGTTACCCGCTTTTTATATGGCTTCCGGACTTTGACTGTTGGAGTTGGCCTGACCATATACAGTTTCAACATTGAAGCATAACGATGCTGGCATAGGTAGGTCCAGAGTCCAAACAAGCATCAAACATACTACGAGAACCGGAGACCCAGGATGACTTCTGACCAGGGCTGTTGCATGGGGCGCGACGCTTGCACCTGCGAATGCAGAGCTCTAGAAAGCTTCGAGCTCGGGAGACTTATCCACCTTGAGAACCATAACCCGGGTATCAGGATTGGTCAGCGCTTAGGTTCGACATGTCTCGGTCATAACATCGCCAGAGTCCCAAACCATCCACGGAGCCAGGACCCACACCACGGCCCGAAAAAAGGCATCTCCCTTGGCCATTGCCCTTGCAATTTGATTTGTATGTAGTGTACCGCGTGAGTAACGTTAACATTTTTATTAGCCCTGCTGCAGCTGAGTCTGGCCATCCTTGTTGCGGGTCACCACGTCGAAACAACCCTAACCGAATGTATTGCAAAGTGCCTAGGTCCCTAGTGTAACTTACTCACCCTAGGTGCTGTAGATATCCAGGAAGGATGAGCTCCCCCAGACTTCCCGTCCAGGTTTCTCAGTGAGGAGATGCCGCCGGACAGCAGAGCAGCGCTGATATCTTCGAGGCATTGTGGTGATTTTGCCGGCATTGGCAAATATGCCCCTTAATTATGCCACCCGGTGCTTCTCGTGACTCGCCAGCTTGATCAAGGGTCCATACAGACTCCAGAGCCTCAGTCCCATCGGATGCCCCATCCACGCAATCAACGGTGATCGGGAGCAAGGACATGGGCTTGAGAGCCGCGTGCCCGGGGGTGTGCCCCTGGGGTCTGGGGGTGTAGCCTTGCAAGGATGCTATCGATAACGAGCGGATCTCCCTTGAAGCAGCTTAGAGGTAGCGGAGAACCTGAATGCTTGGGTTGGGAGTGTCGTCGTTCGCAAGTTCAAGACACCAACATCCGATACATGTGCGGAAACCTATTGGTGCCTACCAGAATGTGCCTAACTCACCCAAGAACTTGGAAGTTGCCAGGCCCTGGGATCACCCACAGCAAGACCGGCCATGAAAGGAAGTGGACATGGGCCATGAAACGTCCAGTGGTCGTATCCGTAGCTTCCAGGGATGTGCATAATCCGCAGAACCATGAATTTGCACTGCTGGGCAGAGAGGCGGAAGATGAAACTCACTGCACGGTCATTTGGCCGGTTTTGACTAGTCTATGTCAGACGTATTCGCCGTCGCTGTTTGAGAAATTGACAAGGAAGAGGCGTTGTATTGTACACACATGTACACTGGAAGGGACGCACCACATCATACCAGTGCAGATCTTGCTCTGGTCAGATGTTCGAGCCCGACGCGTCTCCAACATGGACCTTGGGTCTTGCTTGGTCCGCAGCTTCAACCGTGCAGTGCTGGATGCGATTCGCGGCCATGACTAGGAGACGACCCCTTGACGGCAGCCAGCCAGGAATTCGACACGCCTGGCGTCCTGTAGGATCACAGTAAATGCCCCAGCGTGTGGACCTGCACCTGAGGTCGGTATAGAGGTCGTGACACGGCTACTGGCCGGGGATAGCTTTTCCATAACCCAGTCGTCGATCACCCTATTATCCGCATTGCTGTCTATCAGCCTCGAGGGCGCAAGTGCCGTCTCCGGTCCTGTTTAAGCTTCTGTTGAAGCTCCAGACGAAGTTGGTTACTTTACTTCGCGGTATACTGCGTCGCTGATTCTGGTGATAAGCTAGTCAAGTTGTCAGGATTTACTGGCGTTGTGCGAAAGGCCAGAAGACTAGAGGCTAGAAGAGGTCCGTGGCCATCGTCTCGCAGCCACGTTCAAAGGTCATCTCTCCCATGCTTTCGGGTAAGGATGATAGACGACCGGGAATCGCCGCCAAAGAAGGAACTGCGGAGCCGGAGTCTGTCTGCAAGTCGCTAAAACGGGCAAGAGGGAGACATCAAACAGCGATCCATCTCGGTGACGCATCCCACTCGCTGTTTCCGCGTGTGACATGCAGGCTCGGGCCCATGTTTCATCTGGGGGAAACACACGGCCATTGGCCTGAAGTATGGATCTCGATCCGTCATCGGAAGCGCTGGACGGATGGAGCGGGACAACTGCCATGGCCCATGGGCATTGCCAGCCCAGGGTGCATAACGTCTGCCATTTATTGAGGTTCGATGGCTTATGAACAGGTCAGATGAATCATAAGGTACTTATTACAGTACTCTCACCTCAAGCAGGCCAACGAGGCTCCTCAACACAAGGGTGCCCAATGACTGAGACCAGAGTAGAGTCGTGAGATGATCGGTATGACAGCGGATCAGATATCGACATCTGCCCATGAACCCCGAGCTCGGTTCAGTGTTGGGTTAGCGAGTGACCGTGTTCAGCCATTGACAAGACCGAACAACTCACGGCCCGGTAGACAGGTATGACAACGCACTAGGGACACTAACCGTGCTGCCGTAAATAGAACGTGTGCAGATGATGTGCAGAATACAGGTGCATCAGGGCTACCGTCGGTTCTGCTGCGGACGATTCTTCTTCCATCGTAGTGAGCGGAGACTGTCAACCGATGTGCAGCAATGGTAACCTGAAGGGTCAGGGGGATCTCAAGACAGGACGACGGGGAGCACCCGTGACGCGTGCCCTCGGCATGGCTCCAATGTTGCGTTCAGTTAGAGGAATTGAGGCACGATACGCCTACCTCCCCGGCTGAAGGCAGGTATGCCGGCTGTTCCTATGTAGCGACGGGCCCTCTGGTCATGATAACCGAGATGACAAGTCAGGTAAACCCGACGCTACTCAGGGATAGAGCTACGTAGGTAGTAAATACTGAAATTGGCGCCCAGTGCAATAGAATTTTAAACCGACCACAAACTTGAAGCCCATGGATGTATCTACCTGTAACTGCAGTGAGGTGCCCGACTTGGAGTCAGGGTGCCATTATTCGGTGTCAGTTGATGGAAGGTTCGACCGACGGAGACCTCATACCAGGATCGGCAGGAACCTATCTTAGGAAGGCGTGACTGGTGCATGCACCCTCCTCAGGCTCAACATGCTACTAGGAGTATTGCGGGGGCCAAGTTGCACATCCATGCCAGGCTTGCTGTTCATCGCTTCGCCATAGGACAAGGCAACGACAATTCCCAGTGCCATGGCAGGACTTCGATCACGCCCTTCAGGGGTAACATCTCCGAGGCGCCACGAACACCAGCGCCGCCACGACCAGCGTGAGCAAAACAGACACAACACAGATTGCAGGATGGCCAAGCGAAGTAGTCTAAAGCATCGCCCCGCGACTGGCGAACCTACTTTGGAGCCTCTCGGAGAAGGCCCAACAATCCGGTCTAAGGGGGAGAACGACGAGTACATTCAGTCTTGGCTACAGCAGACACAAAATTACCCTTCTCGTGCCCCGGATCCAGACCATAGAGAAGAATGGTCGCAGATGCTAGAGCACTTTCGACACAAGGCCCACGCGGACAGGCGCAGGAAGAGATCAAGGTCTCCATTAGTAACCGCGCCTGCATCGCCCAAGACGGCGGAACCAGCGGAGCATCGATTCGAGAAAAGGGCTCGTCACAAGACCCGGGACGACAAATACGACTACAAAACACCCGCCGGCCAGAAACTTGTTTCGAGTAAGGAGCTTCGTGAACGCGGGAGGAGAGGCACCATCAAGGTCCGCGACAAAGAGACTAGAAAAGGCCACCCCGTAGGCACCTTAACAGCCCGGCGCTACGAAATCGTGCTGACACACCGGGATAGACACGTCATGGAGACTCCGACGTCATGGCCAGCCATAAGCTTGAAATGGGTATGGGTATGTAGTCCTCAGGCGCGGGATAGACCGGTTCCCTCACTTATGAAGTACAGCTAGCAGGTCAACGCCCAAAGCACGTTGGGTCTCAGACAGCCTAACACGGAGGCATTCGGAACACGGTGCCTTGAGGACAAAGCTGACCAGGAGTCAGAAGGAAGACAAGGAACTAGAGGAGCTTTCCACTTTCTTCTCCCGCAAAACCTCTCAAGCCAAACCCAGAGAGTATGCTTATGCTGGACGTTCCGGTCGCTCACGAGGTACCCCTCTGGACACTGAAATGCCGTCTTATCCTAGGCGACATGATCGCCACCCCTCACCCTATGGCTCGCAATGTTTTTATCGAAGCAGCACCGTCAGAGGGGTTGAAGGAATGTCCATTCATTCGAGCTCCCTGTCAGTGGCTAGAAGCCGCGGCGCTGAATTTCATTCCCTGAAGCGCTCAAGCAGCAAGCCCAAGAGCTGGTCTTCATCGTTGCAGCGTCACGGTACTCACCCTGCGGAGAGCGAACCCAGGTCCTATTCTTCCAACAAGGCTGGTTCGGGGAATACCACTGCAGTTCCCGGACAACCAGCAAAGCAACTCCGAGAACGTGAGCCGGCGGCCGCGGTAAGCCCTAAACGATATCGTTTCGAAAGGGCTCGGGTTATTCCGGGAAACACTCGCAAGGATGCTGCAGCACAAACAGATTTTGAGATCACAAGAAAGGATGGGTTCCCAGAAGAACAACAGCCTCCCAAAACGGACGAAGCTTGGATGGCAAGGAATTTCCCCTTGGAAACCGGTTGCCAGCATACTGCTGTCAAATTGCTCAGAGACAGTACACGAAGCGCTCTGCAGCAGTCTGTCGAAAGAGAGCTGCTGAACCGGTCAGCGCTAGCGCCACGTAGTTTCCAGTACGAGGCGTATGGCAAGCTGCCGAATGATAGCGGGGGGGTTGAGCATGAGAGGCAACGCTATGATGTGGGTGACGCCTTGCTGCTTGGGCGAAGTGCCGAGGGAGATGCTACTCCTGGAGTAGGCCCATCTATGCACCTTCTGGACGGCGATCAGACAATCCGACTAGACCAGAGCATGGATTGGGACATGGGTGCTCTCCTGGACCCTCCACGCCTGCTAACGGAACATGAACGTGTCGTCAACCGAGAATTTGACTCCCATGAAAGTTCCCATGAGACCGGAAACCGCCACGCTAATCCAGAAAATCTCGGGGTTGAGGATCTGGAGGAGTTCATTAAAAGAATAGAGGCTGAGGCAGCGAGGTCCTATGGACGAGTTGATGATGGCCTGTCATTTCCATACGACAGATTTGACCTGGTGGACGGCTCGGAACTGAGGCGCTCCCCGCTCCCCGAAGCCGCAGACTGTAGTGGAGCGAACGATACAGCTATTCTGTCGAGCAGACGTCGATCGTTGTTTGAAGCCGACCTGAGCGATTCACTCGCTCAAACAGCCAACTCGACCTATCCCGACTCATTTTCAGCATCGGAGCTGTACCCTCTAGGGGAGCTCCCGGAGTGTCTGACACAGGCCTGGCGGCAAAGGGGTATGTTGTAGAGTGCCATACTCTCGTTAGCGCACACGATATATGAGGGGCGGCTCTGGTTTCTGCCACAGCGCTGTGACGTCCAGCAAGTGATCCGTTGTGTTACTCGGGGTTCTCATCTTTCCACTCCTTCTTGATGGCATCAACATCGCAACCGCATCTTTCCGCTCTCCCAAGCGTCGCATGGGCTTTTCCGACCACAGGAGCATCAATCATCTTTCCGTCCAACGTCCAAGCGCCTCGTCCAACAGCCGAAGCTTTCTCGTCAGCGACCACTACGCGGGCCGCCCATTCAACTTCCTTTCGGCTTGGCGAGAAAATGCGCTGGACGATTGGTATTTGAGACGGGTGAATGCACTCTGAAAACAGCCTCAGTACGAACGCACCCCCCTACGGCCAACACAAGATGGGAAAGAAGGGAAACGACGAAGAGGATCACCTACGCTTCCCACTGAACCCCAAGCCTCTCCCATTCAGACATTCGTTCTCTAGACGCTGCTGGCCTTCAGACCCCCGGAAGGAGGTGCAAACAAGGTCGATGGTACTCTCCAACTCAAACGCGCGCGCCGCGGTTACTATGGCGCTGCGAGCGTACAGGAACTCGGACAGGCCCGGAGTGCGCTCGAGCGACAGGTCCAGGGCGAAGTCCTCGGCCGCGAAGATTAGGCCCTTAAGGTGGGACGAGGCGGCGCAGATGGAGCGCAGGTCCATGACGGCCTTGGCGGACTCGATCAGCGCGAGGAGGTTGAGCGGCCGTGTGTCCTGGCCGCGAATCTGACGGATAACGTCTTCAACCAGCAAGAGGTCTGATGCGCTGTTTACCTTGGGCACGACGATGGTGTCGACGCTCGGCAGGGAGGCGACGGCTTTAAGATCGTCTACCGCGTGCGGGGTGGAGACGGCGTTGATACGCACGGCGATCTCGCCTGCGTGGTGCTGCTTGTTCGGGAGCGCTGTGAGGTGGTCTCTTAAAGCTTCACGGGCGGATACTTTCATGGAAGGGGTTACTGAGTCTTCTAGGTCGTAGGTCAGGTTGTCGCTGGCGAGGGTGAGAGATTTGGCCACCATCTTCGAGGAGGAGGCGGGGACTGAGCCGGGGTGTTAGTCATGACGGTCATGGTCAAATACACGAACGAATTCAGAAACTCTAGTACTGTAGAGCAATGCCCGGCGGAGGGCGGGTATCGATCGCGATGTCATTGGGATTCGGGGATCAGTTGAGACGCCAAGTGTGTTGTTGAGGGCTACAAGTTGTTTGAAATCGCCCGGCCCTTTATCAACTGTTGAGCACAGAGAGAGAGAGACGTAGAATTGTGAATTCAAGTAAATGAGCTAAGTGATTGGAGTCAGTGCATCTCATAATACATTCCGTGAGTGACTCGGTTTGTACTGTGCATGTGAGGTGCGACGATCTAGGTCCGTATCTGTTGTGTAAGTGGGTGAGCCGTTTACTTTGACCGGCCGCCTGGCGGCTGTCACCAACTGCCAGATACGAGAGCGTTACATATTGTTATCGCAGCGACAGCAACCGCCTGAAGTTCAGAGCTGTCTCAACACGCAACAACGCCTCTCGCAAGAATGGAGCAGCCACAGCCCGCGCCGGGCTCTCTGAGCTGGCGTTTGAGCTCGCATCCAATAACGCTTTTGACGTTTCTGGCGTTTCGAGTCTGTAAGCGCATCTGCACTGATTTATTTGGCTTGCTACTGAGGGACACTTCTGCTGGGCTTCGTAACTGACAAGTTTCCCCGCGACAGCGAGCCTCCTCGTCTACCTGTTCGGCCTGCTCTTCACAAACAACCTGTAAGAAGGGCCCCCGGCAGTGGATACCTCTTCGTCGCCACACCTGTGTACCCTAGCAACAGCCGTAATGCTAACATTCCGCGTCGCCAAGGGTCATGATCTTCATCATCACCATCCTCCTCCTCGCCGCCGACTTCTACTACCTCAAGAACATCGCGGGACGTCGACTGGTTGGACTGCGCTGGTGGAACGAGGTAGACCCATCGACGGGCGACTCGCACTGGGTGTTCGAGAGCAGCGAGCCCGGAACCAAGGTCGTCAACCCCACTGACAGCCGCTTCTTCTGGATCGCCATCTACGCACAGCCTTGTTTCTGGATCGCGCTGGCGCTCGTGGCCGTGCTGACGTTTAAGTTCATTTGGCTGCCGCTTGTTGGTGGGTTTGCCCCCCGTGATTTGAGGGAAGACAGAGAGATCAAGAGGGAGAACCGTACTGACGGGGTGGTTCTTTTTTAGCCATCGCTCTCGTGTTGACGATCACCAACACTCTCGCGTTCTCGCGGTGCGATAAGTTCAGCCAAGCGTCAAATATCGCCGGGAGCGCCTTTAGCGGAAGCAACCTTGCCGGAAGCATTGCGACCAATATGGTCGGGAGGTTCTTCAGATGAAACTTGTAGGCACGAGTTTGATGACGCAACAGCGAACAGGAAGCGCGCCAATCCCTTCTTTATAGGAAAGACATGGTATCACTGGGGGTTCTGCGAAAACCAGGGCCGTTGCTCTCCAGGCTGTTCTCTATGTTGTAGGGGCAATCGGACTCGGGGGTACGCGAGCTTGAAGTTTGTAAAATTAGGGGCCAGGGGCCAGGGGACAAGGATCCGGCGTTCAGGCATGAAGCTTATTGAGAACGTTTCCCATACCGCGTGTTTTTGATTCCCGTGGTTCCCCTTTCGGACCGGTCGGTACTAGCGTCACTGCGGACGGAACGTACAGAGCCAAGTCACAGGTAGCGCAACTGACAAAGCTAGACTAGAGCTTTCTGATATCGCTTGGCGGACGGAGCAGGCCTGCAAACCGGCTGACTTATACTACCGTGTTGCCAGCGCTAAAGAGACCCAGTAGAGCTGATATCGCGGTTCTAAAAGTCGAGTTTGTCAGGTTGGACAAAGCGGTGGTAAAAGGGGGCGTCTTTCGAAGTATCAAGGCTGCCTAGGTAACCCATGGAACGAACGGCGGTCCAATGCAACGCGCAATACCTCTTTCGCAGCCATGAGCAACATAAAACGTCGTGGGAATCTTCATGAGAGCTTGGTCGAGTGACTTTCTTGGAAATAGTGAACATGAAGCTAAGAGAATCAACGCCCTCCTCACCAGACCCATCGGCCAACGACTCAACGCCTCCCGGCCTGTTCGATGGCGGCATCCAGCTGCCGCTCCTCCTCTTCCAACCTCCGAATCTCCTCCTCCGTCATGCCCTCCTCGACTAAGTGCGCATACGGTGTGTGTAGCGCCCTTGGTGTCGCCCGACCTGGGGTGGTGCTTGGCACGCTGACGCGAGCCTCATCGGTCTGCGCGAGCGACGCCGCGCGTATGCTAGGCGTACCAGCGGCGGCCGCGCTCGCACTTGGGCGGTCCGAGTATGGCGTGAAGGACCGCGGCTGGTCCTGCTGGGGCTGCCGTGGGCTGCCGGCCGCGCCTGCAGCAAGCGCTTCCCCTCCGTGTGCCGCGCCGCGCTGATACGTGCCGCCGGGGCCGGCTCCTGAAGCACCCTCGTCGGAATAGGGCGAATTGGGGCTGACCTCGACGTCGGCGGCCGCCTCCTTCTCGGCCATGAGATTTTCGGCGCGGTTTCCGGAGCCATATGCGGAGTCGACAGGGAGCATGGCCTTCTTCTGCTGCCGTCGGCGCAGCAGGTACCAGACGAGCCCGAAGACGAGAGCTAGGCCCACCACGCCGCAAGCAACGGCGATTCCAATGATGGCGCCGCTGGGTAGTCCTCCCCCACCATTAGGGGCCTTCTGGGATATGTTAGAGTTCCCGACTGGCTGTCCGCTTGTGGAATCTGGGATTTGGCCATTCGCACTAGGTATCGGCGAGGGAGGGGGGTTATAGGGCTCCTGGTTGGAGAACCTGGAGGGGGCTTCAGTGACAAGTTGATTGTACTGAGTCACATCTTTGACGATGGTGAAAAGTTGACTGTAGCTCTCGCTATAGTCTTCCCTTGGTCCGGCCCATCTAGCTTCAAAATAGAGCGGCACGCCCACATTGAACCGTTCTAATAAGTCGGGGGTGAAATCGGGGCCAATAGACACCGCATTTCCATCAACTGCACGAGTGCAGTTAGCACTTCAGCGCAATCCATGGAAATAGGAACAGGCAGAACCTACCTTGGAGCGTCACGTTCTTAATCCCGCTTACATTTATGCCTTCCCGCTTCGTCAAACCGCCAGGTTGTTCCGAATCTTGCGGATTTACAGACGGAGTCGCAGTCGGAGTCTGAATCTGAAACGGGGGGCCGTTGATGTTGGTTGGAGTCGAACCCATGAACTTCACCGAGCCTATCGGGACGGTATAATTGGCGAAAAGGATTATCTCATCGACCACGACACCTTGCGAAGCAGTCCATGTGAACTGCTTGCCGTAGATGAGGTTGATTTCAAAAATCGCTTGGCTTTCATTATAATCCCCCTTGAACCTGGAGGCGTCGAAAATGACGTCCCCTTTCACGGTCCCAAGGCCCAGAGCGACCACCGTCAGCCAGCGTTTCCCCTTCGATATCCGCATTGTCGTCGGCCGCAACCTCGAGCTTTCGGTTCCACTGGGAAGTCTTCAAACACGGAGCATCGTCGCACGAGAGAACTCTGCGGTTGCTGTCAATCGGGGGTTAGGCGTGCGCCTGCACTTTGCGAGATGCGCGTTGGGTCGCCGATTATTCTCCTGTCGCTGGAAATCCACACAGAGGAGAGAAAACCCAAAGTCAAAAGAAGTCGTGTCGTGAGAGGGGAGAATGTGGGCGACAAGGCTCCATGTCAGCAACCAACTCTCTTCTTGCAGCGCCCCCCGACCAAACAGAACACCCCAAGCGCTCAGCTGGGATGGGCAGAATGGCGCGGTCCCGCTGGCATAGCCCAAAGGCTGAGAGGCGCGGCTTTCACCAACCAGAAGCCCTTGTTCTGTCAAGCCGTCCACTCCTTCCCCAAAGCGGCACAACCTTTCGAGGGCCTGCATGCCAATCCTTTGGACACGGTGGAATGCTCCGAAAGGAATGCTTAGCGAAACGTTGCTGGCGATGGGGTTTGACTTGCTTGACGAAGAATCGTCCGAGGCTACTTATCATGCATGGCAGATCTCTTCGTTTTCTGCTGTCTCTCTGCTCTCTCTCCCTCAGCCCGGCCACAGATCCAGTTTAAATCACCTCTCGAACATCGAATCTTATTACGTTCGTTGTCTGTTCTACATTACCTTACTCCGTGCTTACTGTAAGGCTGGGCTGCCATTGTTGGTTTGTCCAACCGCGCGTTCCCTAATATAGCAACGCATAGGCCGCCCTGCAACCCACCCTTTGTTTTATGCGGGACGACCTGTTCTTCGGCGTACAAAGTACGCGTACTGCACAGTCAAATAGCGGTTTGGCTGCAACATGCCGCACAGTCAGACGGGCCAGTCGGCTCTGTCTCTCGCACAGAGCAGACCCTGATGTGGAAGAATCAAGCAAAGAATCCTTCGTTAGGGTCGGGTGTCAGCGAATCGCCGAGGGCTGAGCCTCTGTAATCCGTATGGCACCGATCAACCCGCCAAGTGGGGGTAGCGGCTGATCCTCTGCTTGCATACGGGTATCTTGGCACCGGTTGCGATCCTTCCAGTCTTCCCTTCATCACCGAGTACTTTACGACGGAGAACCTTCCATGTGACAAGACTGTACCTGCAGGACATTGTGGCTTTTCAGCGAGAGGAAGGGGAAGGAAGGCGTGGGAGAACGTAGCCATGTTGTTGACGCTATACCCTGAACAGCTTGAGAGATCGTAACCAGTGTCATGATACTATAAGGTGTGTAAATCCAAACAAGCCGGCGCAAACCACGAATTCCAATATTCCGCCCCGCCCTATCCTGAGCCTCATCGTCTTTGCTTGCTCGCCTGCTCCTTGAGCAACAGATCCCGCATAGCTGCTCTCGCGTTCCGACTGCCGCCCAGCTTCGGACCTCTGAGGATCTCTTCCTGCTTCTTGGCCCCCGGTTTGGCGGGGGGCGCCCTTCTCCTCCGGTGCCTTTGCGCCATCGCTTCCATAAACTCTCGCCGGAACTCCTCGGCAATCCGGTCGTCGGCAGCACCTTCCTCCGCTTCCGGGGCAGCCGGATTAGCAGCCTGGTCTGATTGCGTATCGTAGATGTCGACTAGTACGTACTTCTCGTCAGCCAACTGTTGAATCTACCAGTCCAAAGGTGAGGGGCAACTTACGTCTGTTTTCGCTCAAAAACTCTTCGACAAGCTGCTCCCGTCTGATTGTGTCGCTTCCACGGCGGTTCCGTGACCGCAAGGGTTTGCCGTCCCGCCCAAGGCGGACCTTTCTGGCTCGCCCTTTGCCCTCTTCCTGCTCTTCCTCGTCGATTTGGCCTTGCAGCCGTCTCCTCGCGCGCTCAGTCATCTCGGCGGTCCGCGCTCGAGCCTCTTCGCCGAGGTCGACTTCGAGAAGCCGACCCTGCAGCACTCGCTGGGAGTCGGAGTGACCGCCGGTAACCGCAAAGCTTGGGTCTTGCTGATCATCGCTCATAGCCGTAGTGCTGCTGTCCTGGCGCCTTTGTTGGTCCTGTTGCTCCAGCAGTGCGGCGGCGGCGGCGGCTTCTGCGGCGTGCCGCTTTCGTCTAGCCAACTCGGATTCTACGTACTCCTCCCTTGCTTGATCAGCGACTGGTTCCCCGTACTGGTGGCGGACAAGGGCGCGCAACTCACATGTGCTTATTGACCACCTCGCCAACCAGCCCCGTCTGCGGGGCAAATCGCTTCGAGATGCCACCGATGACAGCTACTTCAGCTGCTTGTTGCGCATCCGTGTTACCGTGCAGAACCATGCTCTGCTCTGTGTTCTCCTCGCTTATCACCTTGCTGTCACCGGGAAAGGACGGTCCAGCCCTGAAACCGACGCCGCCAGGCCTGTGCTTCCGGGAGTTCCGTAGACGTAGCACCTCCGCGACTGAAAGTCCTTGTTCGCCATCGTCCTCTTCGGCAGGCGGGTTTGCGGTGTCGTGTGCGGCAGCGCTATCCTCGGGCGCGGTCCCACCGTTACCGTCGCCGAGCTCAATGCCGCTCGTCCTCTCATCTGGCTCATCCGCCCGCTGCCGATACATCTTTCTTTTCTTTCCGGGTCGAAATACCACTTGAGGTAGCGCATCTGGTTCTGCATTGATTGTTGCCATGTTGGGGTTGAGTGCTTCGCTGCTTGTTTGTGATGAGGGGTTCGGTTGCGTTTCGAACTTGCGAAGGTGCCAGCCCAGTGGTTCTGTTTTGGATTCATCAGCCACTGTCCAGCAGGGTGCCTCTCTATGCACGCTGGACCCTAACCCTGAGGCTTACCAGATCCGAGACTCTTGAACACACAGTGCGCTTTTCACTGACCGTCACTTAAAGCGCACAAAAACTCCGGAGCTTGATGGGGATAGCATAAGCCGAAATCTATTTCGCTTCGCACAGCTTATAACTGCATTAGAAAGCGACAGCTCTTGAAAATCATGGACTGGTATACAAAGCATCCTCCTTGGGAAGCGGTTGCCTTCCCCTGTCTCCTTCATCCTCCACACCCTCCAATGTTATTGTCAACCCCTTCTTCATATGCAAAGTTGAACGGTGAGTAAGTCTTACATTTGAATGATTTACCTGACTTTTGAAGCCCAGCAGCCGGGTCTGCAATAAACGCTATTATATAGAAGACTCCAAGCTCGGTCCCGCAACTAAGACCGTCTCAGTTATCGCGAAAACTCGAATATTGTACCCGACAACAAATGTTGAGATGGAAATGCCTGGCGTTCAGCGCTATCTGGACAGAGAACGGAGGTCTAGCCCAGCAAGCCGAAAGTTGGACTCACAGTTCACTCCTAACGCAGCTTAATGGAGACCTAATATGCTGGCCCTAGGTTCCCAGAATTATCTCAGGACAACCAGGTATTGTACAAGTACCTTGGGTACGCACATAAAGGCCGGTCGGCCGTGTGCTTAGCCGGGCTTTGGACCCACCCGGATGATCGACCGGGCGGCCGGGGACCCGGCCCACACGTCCGGACCGGCCTCCAATGGTGCCGAAACAGTACCCGGGATGCTCCGGTTAGCGCAGTGCCGAATATAGAGCAAGGAACTGGGTCGGTCTGTGAACAGCAGATCACGTGCAGACCCGGTGGGCAGCCAGAAGTTCAGAACAAGCTAGAAATAGTGAGGATCTAAGGAGTAGGTGTGACTGACCAGCTTGTATCGTGCGCTGTGTTTCCCGGCGAAACTGAGTGCTTGGTTTCTCCAAAATCCGGTTCTAAAGCGGGTGTTGATGCTGGCCGCTTTATGGCGCTGTTCATGCGTGGTATCGGGGTTGCCGTATAACTGGTGTGCCGGACATTGACATCCCCTTTCGCCTCTTCCAGGTTGTGCAGTCACAAGTAGATTCCTTGCACAACATGAAGTCTTGCTCCGCGACAGATAGCTTGCTTGCATAGAAGGGACACAATTTCGACAAATCCACAATTGGGCGTAGTTTCGGGTCCCTCTGGGTGCTTACAGAATCTAGAGTAACACCGACAGCTCATCACGAGCGCCTACAAACAGGCCAGATGTTTCTTATATCTTCTCCGGCGGGTGGTGACCGGCGGAAGGGACCTGGCCACGGGAGTGCCCGGTAGATCTGGCCGTGACCGGTTTTCATAGATGCTTCTATTTCGGTGTTCTGACAATATGGAGTAAGTGTGTACCCTGTCTGCGAATGCCCGCAGTGACCGGCCGCTACCGGCCGTACTGACCAGCCGAGCCATCCCAGGTGTATCTTCACTTCGGGAAATACACACAAGCACTGCATGAGGGTAGCGAATCGAATGATATCGTGAAAACAAGAGCAACGTTGCCACCATCATTCAGAACCGCGCGGGGAGTATCTCAGAAGCCAAACCTAAATCACAGGAACACTTGTGTGATGTCCTAGTTTCCCCAACGCCGCCGTGTACCGCTCCTTCTCCAGGACCATTCCTCCGTAGAACGAGTGACTGTGAGATCCTCCTAGCCCTCAGTTTCCGTGGCCAAAAAGCCCATCCGACCCAGTAGAATATGTACAGAGAATGTAGGGTTGTACGAGACGTCGTACACAGCTCACCTCTCAAAGCCACCGAAATCCCAGCTCAGATCCAGTTAGTCGCAACCGGCCTAGGCACGACAAAGAAGGTGGCGAACAAGCTTCGAACCTCGCTCAAGTACTCATCGGCACTGATCTTGAGAAGCCCCTTGGCAAGCATTTCCTGCTCCTCCACGTCGACCACGCTCACCACTTGCTCCTTGACGCCGTACTCCTCAGCAAGCTCCGACACCTGCGCCAGCTCGGGGCCGAACGGGTGTTGCGATTCGCCATACTCCTTCCTGTGCTGCTGCTGATGGAGGGGCTGGGGCCGAGGCGCTGAAACCGGAGAGTAAGAAGCAGCGGCGGGCGCTGCATTGGCCGCGTTGGACAGCTTGGCCTTGTGGTAGGCGGAGCTCGAGTTGTGAGAGGTGACGCTGGTACTTGTGCTGGTAGAGGACGAGCGCGAGAAGGTAGAGCTTGCCTTGGTTGAGATCGTACGCTGTGACTGCTGTGACTGTTCTGACATCGCTGAGGTAGACCGTTGCCGGACCAGGGTATTGTATGGCTTCTTCGAATGCGAGACACTGCGTTGCGGAATCACGGGAGCTGTAGCTTGTGCCAGCGGAGCGGAAGTCTTGCTGGAAACGGTGAACATGGATGATAGGTGCTTCGGCTCCGGTGACAAAGACCTCTTTGGCGACGACTCGACATCCGGACTGGTTGGAGGTGTTGTGCCGTTCGTGAGTGCGCTGTCGGACATATCGTCGTCGGATCTTTGCGAAGACCCTGTAGATGTCGCCGACATGGGATTGATGTTCGGGGCATTGTATGACAACATGTTGGTGGTGTGGATGAGCTCAACTGGGCTCGAGATCTTGTGGCGGATCGAGCCGACAGATCCCTTCAACGAGTTGCTGCGATGGGGTGCGTCCTCTGCCGCCTGGAGGCTTTGCTTGACCCGTCGGGTCGTAAACGCCCTGGCGAGAGACATCGTGCCAAAAGAACTCTTCCAATACTCGGCCGAAACTAATATCGTCAAGGAACTCTATGTGGGCGGCTGAATCCGAGATAGTCGCGGCCTCGAACTGAGAGTCGAGGGGGCAGTTAAGTTGTCGAAATCGCCTTCCACTGAGATTTGAAGTCTTGTGAATAGGTTGACCCAGTTCTCGGTGTTGTTAATCGTTGCGCGGAGTAAGGAACAGGCACGCCGGAGCTAAATGGTACTGCTCAAGGTGACGGAAGCGCTGAGACGCTGGCGAGCTTGTGATCCACCGCCGGTGTGACGTTGCGCTGGTGAACCGCGTGCGTGTTCCGTTACACACCTCCTGACGATGGGGTTTTGCGGCACCCAATTCTCACACCTTATCAGAGCAACCAAGTCAGTCCAGGTGATGGCAGAGAAGAACTGCGGTTCTCGAAATGCCTTCGACCGTATGACTAGGTTGGGAAAATCGATGAGGCTCCTTTCAGAACGTGAATTGAATCAATCGGAGTTTAAAAATGGCCGTGGATCGGTGGTAAAAGAAAGAGTTGAAGGGAAAGTTGACCGTCGGCGGTTTTCACAAAGAAAAGCCGGCGGAGATTTGCGCGTGGGATCCAGTCCGTTTCTGTAGGTTGGACAGTCTTCGATGCTGTCGATATAAGTGCGCGAAGGATATCTCAGAGGGAACGTGTCAAAGTGTAAAGAGACGTAATCTAGCTTTGCTAGGTGTGATGGTCTGGTCTCCGGTCGAGGAGAAACAATGAAGAAAAAGGCAGAAAAGGAATGGAACCTGCTCCCAGAGTCTCAAATGGGCCCGCGATGAGGAACTCCGAACAGTTCAATAAATTCGCCGAAGGAGAGTCACTTGGATCCAAAGATCGGAAGGAGGGTCAGAAAGGGAAAGGTTGCAAGGTGGTAGGGAAGGGCATGGGCAATAAGGGAAGGGCATGAGGTTCGCGGACGGCCACAAACTCCCGCTCGGCGAAAAAACTAGGGGAGGGGGTAACGGGTACGTTCAAGAGCTCCTCTCTAGCCTGCTGAATTGCACCGCTGAGGGTACCGGTACTGGACATGAGTCCCCCTCCTGCTACGTGGGCTGGTTTCTTTGCTCGACCGGGGGGGTTGGCCCTTTGGATTTGCGCCAGGCCGGCAGGTGGGAGCAAACCATAATGCAGAACATGGGTGGTGATCCGGGTGTTCCCAAAGCGACCGGGGCTGGTTGCCCAACCCGCATCGAAGCCCGACCCACACGACCTTGAACCCACAAACCTTGCGGGTGGGTTTTATCTTACCTCTATCATCTGATTGGCGCTTGATTTCAAGGCTGTATAGACCAGACCAATGGGAGCTGCGGGTCTGTCACCTTGCAGCAGAACCGACCACCCTTTGCCCCTTTCCATCTAGTGCCGACCTGCGTACAAGTTGCTGATGGATGGTGGCGAGGAAGGCAGCTCATCAGCATTTGCGCACACATGATAGGCACATACTTGTAGGTGTCCAGTGTATATGTTAAATGCATCTTTAAGAGTCTGAGACGAAAAGAGATCTGTGGTGCGAATGTCGTTCGGCCTGCAGATGTTGTGGATAATAAACCTCTCTATCATGGAGTACTAATACCTAGATAGTACCCAGCTATAAGTACCTAATCCGTACTGTAGAAAAAGACCGCGTGAGCTGCAAGTGAACTACTACTGTGTAAGTACCTTACCTACACAGTAGTGAGACCGTGAGTCGATCTTCTGCCCCTTATGGGCGTTCCTGCAGACGACAACTCATTCTTGAAGTACTGTACAGGCATCGGCGTTATGGGCATACTGTGTAGACTCGGGACCATCCCACTGTTCACGTGACCAAACTGTGGATGGTCACCGTGACATCTGACTGTCGCCTGCTCGTGCCACAACTAGGTAGTAGCTAAGCCCAGACATCGCACGTGCTTGTTGGCAATATTCTCAAGTCGTTACTGTGGAATTCAGTACAAACCGCAAATCATCATCATGGCGCCCCATCTTGGGCGTTTCGAGCATCGCCCTTAGATCTGGGGGATCTGTCGTCCGATAGGCCGCGAGCTCGGTGCGTGACCAGGGACGACGGCCCCGCTCCGCCCCGGCTCCCCCGTCCACTGAGAAATCGAGGTTCGTCCTGTTCCTGCAGCTGAAACGGGCCTAAAACACAGAGACAATCTCATTGGCCAGGCATTTGCTTCTCGAAAACAGTTCGTCTGAAACGTGCCCAGATGGTCCGAACTGCCTCCCTGGCTGGTTTCCTCAACCATGCGCGCGGCAATTTGGCCAGCTTATTTGACTATGTAGTGTAAAATCGACAAACTCCCGTCAACCGCTGAGCGGTTATGGGTTGCCGTAGCTCGGTCGCTAACGAAGGTGCCGGACAGCAGGGCCCGTGCTCTTATCGCGGGGAAGCGAGCAGGCAGCTCGATATGGAGGATACCCCCTGGTGGGACATCCGTTCCCGCGCGAGTCCCGCCGCTTGGGACCAAGTCCTTGCTTGACCCATCTACACGCGTTACCTACGCCGTCTTTGTGAAACGTGAGGCTTCTAGTGCATTAAACTGGTGATGGTCCTGGACTCCTGAAGGCCTTATGATGTCCGAGCTTCTACATAGATTGCCTCGCTCTGTGCCAAAGAGTCGAGAAGTTGCCTTACCTACGGTAACAGAAGTATTCTGTAACTATGACTGGAGTATGTATACTTCACGGGCCCTATGAGGCTACCACAGAATCATGCTCGTCGATCACCTCAGGTAATGATGGGCCAGAACTTCTGACACCGGGCGGGACTTTAATGATCGTCGCCTAACGCATGGACTGAGTCTGATGTTGATCCGAAATGGAGCAACGGAGGGTTGTGCCATGCGAAGCATACACTGTGCCAGAAATTGTCACCAAGCTATGAATCCTGCTTCGGCACAGCACGAACCTGTGCCTTGACGTATACCTTGCGGATGCAACTGCCTGCCCATCGATCGGCTCATGACAAGCAAAGCTGGGGTTGAAATCCAATGGAACTATGTAGATGCATCGTATGCTCATCGATGGCTCTTGAGTATCACAGTACTGCAGCCTATACTGACTACATACCGGCCAGACCGACCGACAAATCATATCATCAACATCACAACAATGAACTTAATCCTCGTCTTCATCCATGGAGTCCCCATCATGGCTCAGCGCAGCACCGCTCTCATCTTCATCCTCCTCCTCCTCCTCCTCTTCACTGCTGCTACTTTCATCATCCTCCACACCAACCAGGCGATCTTCAACCTCATCCTGGCCTTCCGGCTTGCTTGGCACCCTCTGACCGAAGGCTTTGCGGACACCCGGGTTTGTGCTCGTGTCCCAGATAGACACGGTTCCCTTGCTCCCGGCAACCGCAAGCCTGAAAGCAACTTCCTTGTCGGGGCCAAAGGTTGTAGAGAAGACCTTGCCTACGTCGAAGTCGCGGGAGACGACCAACGAAGGACCCTCGGGACTGATGTTCCACAACTTAACAGTCCTGTCCGTAGACCCGGTGGCCATGAACCCAGGGATCACGGGGTTCAGGTCGAACGAAGACACAGACTCATCGTGGGCTTGCAGCTTCCAGACGGACTTGGCAGCTGCAGGGTCCTTGGGCGCGTTCCGCACATCAAAGTAGTGGATGATGCCCCGTTCGGTCGAGACGAAGAAGAAGTTCGGGTCGTGGGGGTCCCACCTCACGTTCTCAATGTCGCTCTCCACACCCACCCTCATGGGCTGCTCGCCTGGCGCACGCATATCGGCGATGGCAGCGGTGCGGTCGTAGCTGCCGCTGAGCAAAACCGTAGACTCCACCGAATGCCAGGCAAGCGAGCAGACCTTGTCGGTATGGTAGCTGTATGACTTGGCGCACTTCGTCGTGTGAAGGTCCCATAGCTTGACTGTCTTGTCTGCTGAAGCCGAGGCCAGGAGATTCCGGTGTTTCCTGTTTGCGGCGAGCGCCAAGACGGCGTCGACATGGTATTCGTCATTTGCCTTCTTCGACTTCTTTTTCTTTTTCTTCTTTTTCTTTTCTTCCTCAGGGTTACCCCCTTGCCCCAAGATCGCGTTGGGATACATGCAGTCCACAGTATCCAAGTCCCAGATCTCAATATCTGGGTCGAAGGTGCCAATGGCGACGAAGTTTGCCACCGAGTCCTTCTCGACGCCCGGCTTGCTAACGGGGATATCCAGCCACTCAACGCACAGAGGTATTGCGGGCAGCATGATATCGTGGTGAACGTAAAGGTTGTCGGCCTCGTCTTCGTAAACATAAACCTCCAAGTGAGCGAGCTCGTCCTCGACCTTAGCGGCCAACAATAGGTTGTCTGTTGCGAGAATCTGCAAGTCCTCACGATCCTCCTCTTCGTCTTCGGCGTCGTCTTTGAGGGTGATGTACGGATCGTCCTTGTTGGATTCGTAGTAGGCCAGTGACTTGACATTCCCAAACATGGCCATGGATTGCCCCTCGCCTTGTTCGTCGTCGTCGTCATAGTGCTCGAGATCATACTCCTTCAGATCATCGTCAATCTCGATGCTGTGCCACAGTGTCAGTGGTGGCGTCAAGGGTTGCGGCACATGGCAGTGACGAACTCTGAAGCATCCCTATCTTTTATTGTCGACTTTTCCTTCTCTTCCTTTTTTGGACTCTCTTCCCGCTTTGCCTCGTTCTCCTCGGCCTCCTCTAGGTCTTCCTTGGCGTCGTCGAGTTGCAGTTTCGCTAGGTTTGCGATACGCTCAAATTCCTCCTCGTCGAAGTTGTACTTTGTCGGGAATGGTGCCGCAAAGCCACGCGGTACCCATGTCGTAGTTGTAATCATCGACGACATTTTGAATAGCAGCGACCTAGGTGTGTCTGCACACGTTCCGCAACACTGTTCGTCCACGAGCACAACTTCGAAAAAATCCAGGATTTCCTCTGGCAACTTTTTAGTGGAGCGGACAGCGGGGCTTATCTTATCTGCGTGCAGCGTGATACTACAAGCTCCACAGCTTGGCGTTGCCTCGGGTGCTGGATCTGGCTTTGGTCGGATCTCTGATTGTCCAAAAGTCAACAAACTCTCAGCTGCGACGACACCAACGGGGAATTCGAACAAAACAGCCGGCAAATCTGGAGCTCCCACAACGATGGTCCGTGACTACGAGGATGACCGGTCGAGTAAGCGCCGAAAACTCGACTTCAACCCGCTGCGCTCTGACGATCGATTCAGCGATTTGCCGTCGCGTGTACAGAGCCGAAGCAATGGCGCCTTCAATTCTAGAAGCTCGACACCCCGCGCCGGATCGCGGCTTGCGGGTGCCGCTACCCCGCGGCAGCGAGAGTTTGACGGTCCAGAAGCCGGAGTGGATGACCAGGATGCCGTCAACGCCCTAGATCGCGATTGGTACGGAGGCGACGATGATCTCGGCGGGCATACCTTCGGCGATGAGACGCACAATCCGTTCGGCGACGAAAACGGGTGGGCAGCGCAGGAGAGGGAGGCGGCGATGGTGGAGAAGAAGATTGGGCAGCTCTCCCGAGGGATGAGCGCGCGACAAATACAGAAGCAGAAGGATGTTGATGCGTGGGAGACAAACCGGATGCTCACTTCGGGCGTTGCGCAGAGGAGGGACATGGGCCAGGACTTTGAGGATGACCAAGAGGGAACGCGCGTCCACCTTCTGGTCCACGATTTGCGCCCCCCTTTTCTGGACGGTCGGACGATCTTTACCAGGCAGCTGGAGCCAGTCCCTGCGGTAAGGGATGCCCAGAGCGACATGGCAGTGTTTGCGAGGAAGGGCAGTAAGGTCGTCAGGGACCGGAGACAGCAGCGAGAGCGCGCGAAACAGGCCCAGGCAGCCACAAACGTCGCGGGCACGGCGCTGGGCAACATCATGGGCATCAAGGATGATGATGCTGATAGCGCGCTGCCCATCGCCGTCGAAGGTGATCCCAAGGCGCAAAGCACAAACAAGTTCAGTGACCACCTTAAGAAGTCCGAGGGCGCAAGCAGCTTCAGCCAGAGCAAGACACTAAGGGAGCAACGCGAGTATCTGCCGGCGTTCGCGGTACGAGAGGAGCTGTTGCGCGTCATTCGGGACAACCAGGTGGTGATTGTAATCGGAGAGACGGGCTCTGGTAAGACGACGCAGCTCACCCAGTTTCTCTACGAGGACGGCTATGGCAAGACTGGCATGATCGGCTGCACGCAGCCCCGCCGGGTTGCGGCAATGAGCGTCGCGAAACGTGTTGCCGAGGAAATGGAGGTTAAGCTCGGCAGTACCGTTGGTTACGCCATCCGCTTCGAGGACTGCACCAGCAAAGACACTGTCATCAAATACATGACAGACGGTGTCCTGCTTCGGGAGTCGCTCAACGAGCCTGACCTCGACAGGTACTCGTGCGTCATCATGGACGAGGCGCACGAGAGGGCCCTCAACACGGATGTGCTGATGGGGCTCTTCAAGAAAATCCTCCAAAGACGGCGCGATCTTAAGCTCATCGTTACCTCGGCGACAATGAACTCGAAGCGCTTCTCCGACTTCTACGGCGGCGCTCCCGAGTTCACCATCCCCGGCCGGACGTTCCCTGTCGATGTCATGTTCCACAGGTCGCCTGTCGAAGATTACGTTGACCAAGCTGTGCAGCAGGTCCTGGCCATCCATGTTGGGAAGCCGGCTGGCGACATCCTCGTCTTCATGACTGGCCAAGAGGACATTGAGGTGACATGCGAATTGATCCGCGAGCGGCTGGACGCGCTCAACGACCCTCCGAAACTCAGCATTCTCCCCATTTACAGTCAGATGCCTGCAGACCTACAGGCCAAAATCTTCGATCGCGCTCCTCCAGGCGTGCGGAAGTGCATCGTGGCTACAAACATTGCGGAGACGAGTTTGACGGTTGATGGTATCATGTATGTGGTGGACGCTGGGTATTCCAAGCTCAAGGTGTATAACCCGCGGATGGGCATGGATACGCTTCAAATTACACCCATATCACAAGCAAACGCGGCCCAACGTGCCGGTCGCGCGGGACGGACAGGGCCTGGACAAGCATACCGTCTGTTCACAGAGAAGGCGTTCCGGGATGAGATGTACATCCAGACCATTCCTGAAATCCAACGAACGAACCTGAGCAACACAGTTCTGCTCCTCAAGTCGCTGGGGGTTAAGGATCTGCTCGACTTCGACTTCATGGATCCGCCGCCGCAAGACACCATCACGACCTCACTGTTCGATCTCTGGGCCTTGGGCGCGCTGGACAACCTTGGCGAGCTGACAGCGCTCGGGCGGAAGATGAACGCGTTCCCGATGGACCCGTCTCTTGCCAAACTGTTGATCACGTCGGAAGAGTACGGCTGCAGCGAGGAGATGGTGACGATCGTCTCCATGCTGTCGGTTCCCAATGTCTTCTACCGGCCGAAGGAACGGCAGGAGGAATCGGACGCGGCGCGCGAGAAGTTCTTTGTACCCGAGTCGGACCACCTCACGTATCTGCACGTATACACGCAGTGGAAGGCCAACGGATACAGCGACGGGTGGTGCATACGGCACTTCCTGCATTCCAAGTCGCTGCGGCGCGCCAAGGAAGTTCGGGACCAGCTCCTGGATATCATGAAGATGCAGAACATGGAGATGGTGAGCTGCGGCACGGACTGGGACATTATCCGCAAGTGCATCTGCTCGGGCTACTATCACCAGGCGGCAAAGGTCAAGGGCATTGGCGAGTACATCAATCTGCGCACCAGCGTCACCGTCCAGCTGCACCCCACCAGCGCGCTGTACGGACTGGGCTTCTTGCCCGACTACGTCGTGTACCACGAGCTGATCTTGACGTCCAAGGAGTACATGTCGACCGTGACCTCGGTCGACCCGCACTGGCTGGCTGATCTGGGAGGCGTCTTCTACTCGATCAAGGAGAAGGGGTACTCGGCGCGGGAGAAGCGCATCACCGAGACCGAGTTCAACAGGAAGATGGAGATTGAGGCGCAGATGGCGGCCGACAAGAAGCGGCTGGAGGACCAGCGGCAGGCAGAGAAGGAGGTAAAACTGGTGAAGAAACCGGGCCTGCCCAAGGATAAGAAAACGGTCACGTCGGGAGCCGTGGTGAAGCCGGTCCGGAAGCGCGCCGGAAGGGGATTCTAGAGCCGATACCCAGTACGCCTTCAGTCATTGCATATCTGTCAATTGGAAACCATCAGATGATGCGTCATCCCGCGATTGATGCGGACACAACTTCGTTCCACCGTCTGGTGCAAATGGGAACGGGCGGAAGGTGGCTCGAGGGTGAGTAGCGTCCGCCAATGCCAAGACGGCGCCGATCCTGGGCCACAGCTCGGCCAAAGTCGGTTAAAGCGGGCAGAGAACCGGAAACCGGTGAAGTCGCGCTGCTGCTTTCCGCTTCTCACTGCGTCTGCGATTGCCTTTTCATCTCCTCGCCATTCCATCCTTACCCCTTTTCCCTTCTCAATTTTCTAGCGCACGATTGATCTACGACTCATTTGGCACAATGCAGTGCTCAAGGTCGACATCGCTCGCGAAAACGCTCCGTGGGGCGTGCCGAAGTCCGTCGCACCCCGCCAGGCGATACGCTTCTCGCGCAATCGCAACGCCTGCCCTTCAGCAGCAGTGCTCTGCCGGGCAGTCTCACCGGCCAATCTACCAACATGCCTCAACGATAAGACCCCGCCAGCACACTCACCCCCTAATCCAGGTCCGCCATGCATCCTCCTCGTCTTCCGAACCCCTCCAAAAGACGCCCCTCTACGACCTGCACCTCGCCCACGGCGCCAAGATGGTCCCCTTCGGCGGCTTCTACATGCCCGTGCAATACGCCTCGCTCTCAGTCAGCCAGTCCCACCTCTTCACGCGCGAGCACGCCTCCCTCTTCGACGTCAGCCACATGGTGCAGCGCCTGTTCTCTGGGCCGGGTGCCGCCCAGTTCCTGCAGCGCATCACGCCCAGCGGCGTCGAGTCGCTCGCGGAGCACAGGAGCACGCTGTCGTGTCTTCTGCAGAGTGATGGGTCCGGCGGGATTGTGGACGATACGATTGTTACCAGGTTGAAGGAGGGCAAGTTCTATGTCGTGACGAACGCCGCGTGCCGCGACAAGGATAATGCGTACTTGGAGACGGAGATGGCGAAGTGGAACCAGGAGGCTGGGCACGAGCATCTGCAGGTGAAGGAGGAGAGGTTGGACGGGCAGGGTCTGGTTGCTTTGCAGGGTCCGGAGTCGGAAGGGATCCTTGCGCAGGTGCTGGCTGACGAGTCCACGTTGCATCTGAAGAAGCTGCTGTTTGGGCAGTCGGCCTACGCGAAGCTGAAGCTCCGGGGTATGCAGCTCAGCAGTCCGGTGCTGATCAGCCGCGGCGGGTATACCGGGGAGGATGGGTTCGAGATCTCGATCCCCGGCGACGAGACGGTTGATGTCACCGAGGCATTGCTCGCTGCCGGGCCCGAGAAGGTCCAGCTTGCGGGTCTCGGTGCGCGCGACAGCCTACGCCTCGAGGCGGGCATGTGCCTGTACGGCCACGATCTGGACGACTCCACCACGCCCGTCGAGGCCGGACTCAGCTGGATCATCCCAAAGGAGCGGCGCTCAGTAGACGCCGGCTTCTACGGCGCTGACGTGATTGCCAAGCAGCTGGTGGCCAAGAGCAAAGGCGGTACTGGCGTCGAACGACGGAGAGTTGGTCTGATCGTCGAGGGTGCGCCTGCGAGAGAAGGCGCTGAGATTGTCAGCCGCGCGGAGGAGGGCAAGGAGCCGGTCAAGCTTGGCATCGTGACCAGCGGGTGCCCTAGTCCTAGCCTGTCAAAGAACATTTCCATGGGCTATATCAGGGACGGCTTCCACAAGGCCGGGACCGAGGTGGATGTGTTGGTCCGCGGCCGGCCCAGGAAAGCTGTCGTAGCCAAGATGCCGTTTGTGCCAACTAGGTACTGGAAAGGGGAGGCGTAAGCGTTGGAGCGGATTGTCTCTTTCAGCTATACTTCGAAGGGATCAGCTCGTTCAACACTAGATTTGCGTCCGGCGCTAGGGCTTCAAACACTTTGGTTTCAAGGAATGGGGATGCTTCAACATTGGGTAAGGTAAACGGTTAATATTGCATTAGACAGCTCGCGTTGCCGTGTGACGTCGTGATCAGATAGAGATACCTTACCTAGGTAAGAGAAATAAAGTCTGTTCAAAGCAGGGGGATTCGAGCAGGAGGCGCCGCTATTTCGAAATTGAGACCGGCAGGTTTGTTGAAAAATTATAGTCTTATATTTCCCATACTCACGCCGTTTTATTTCTGGCCCTTCTAATAACCCCAATTTAGCAGTAACCTTTCGTTACCCCTGAACTCCGTAAACAGCATATACGCTATAGCCATGTTGAATGAACGCCCTAGCAAGCCTGACCAGGAACTCCCCAGAGTACAAAAACAAGTGCTTTTTAGGCCGGCGACGGCCAAGACCACTCTACTCATCTTGAGCCCATCTCCTCTCCCGCAGCGGCATCTCCTTCCCAGACTTCGCCCGTTCTCCAGTCACCTCATCTCGCCAGGCGTAGTACTCCCCCAGCCTCGTCTCGGCGTACGAGGAGTAGTCGAACTCTATCTGGGAGATGGTCGCCTGGATGAGCGCCCAGATGCCCCAGTAGAAGCCGGGTACGCCCCTAAAATGGTCCACCTCGGCGAGCAGCTTCTCGACTTCGGCGGCTTTGTCGACGGCAGCGGCCGCACCTGGCCGCTTCTTCTCGAGGAACTTCAAGTATGAGTCGACGTATTCGGTGATGAACTCGCGGCGTTGTGCACGCGTCGGCAGGACGCTGAAATCGCAGTCGAAGCCACCCCATTCGGCGAAGTGGTTTGCGATGTCGAAAGCTGCAGGTGACGGGGTGGCGTATTCGTAATCGATGAAGGTCACTGTCGTCTCGGCGCTCTTTTCGGTCTTGGGCAGCACGATCACGTTGCCGCTGAGAAGGTCGCAGTGCGCAAAGACAAGCTTGGGAAAAGTAAAAGTCAGCACGTTATCCTGGCTCTAAGGGTTCAAATCGCCTCGCCCGCTGACTTACCCCATTCACACCCAGGCCCGGCCGTTGGCTCAGCTCAGAAACGAGTGTTTTTAGCTCCTGCTGCAGCGCCGCCTGCCGCGCCCTTTGAGCCTCCGTATCGGTCGGCAGGGCAAATATCCACTTCTGCATGACTGTCCAGACATTCGGCGGAGGCTTTCCGGGTGCGACGCTGTCAATAGCCTGCTGAAACTCTGCATCCCCAAAGTTGCCATCCAGCGCCGGATTGGAAAGCCCATCCACCTTTGAGTTCTTGCGGCTGTGTCCCGTGTGGCCCGTTATGCAGGGAACAACAGCGTGCCACTCCGCCAGTCGGCGCGCCACGGCCTTGTAGATATCGGCCTTCCGCAAATCGTCCGGGTGGGTGACAACGCCCCGGATGAAGCGGTACATCATGCCATTCTCGAAGCGCGCAAGAAGTTCCGGCGCCAGTCCGTACCTCGTGAGCAGCTCATGATTCTGTGTCTCGCGGTGGCGGTCGATAATGAGGTCGGTACCGTGGCCGTAAGCTCGGAGTAGAATGGCCTCCCTGTCGATCGCATCCTTGGACAGCTCGGGGCGTTTGTTAACCGCTTTTAGCAGGGTGTTGGTGATGCCATCGGTGAAGCGCACAAACTCAACGTTCGAGCCGGGCAGCTTCCAGTCCGGGCGGATGGACAGCACCAGCTGAAGCGCGGATTCCTGCGAGTTGGCACTATCGTAGGAGAGGGGAATATAGCGAATGCGGTGCTTGTCCCCGTTCACCTCGCCATTGCGATGAATTCCATTTTCACCGCTGATAACCATTGTAACCGAGACCTCGGTACGGTCCGAGAAAAGGGTTAATACAGGGTTATCTATGGTACGCGTGTGTCTGCCGTCAAGGTGTCGATTTCAATTTTGGAGTACGTGTTGCGAGCGGTAGGAGATTCCACAAACGGCGGATCTAAAAATAATACCGACAATACCCAGTATTCGTAATAGTGACACTTTGAGAAAACTGGTCAAGGGGAAAGGGGAGGACCCCTTATATCGCTGCCGAATCAGGTTTGGGCGGCAGAAAGCGGTGACGAAATCAGACGCGCAAGAGGCGCACTACATACAGTAGTACACGGCAGTCCAGACGGAGGGAGCCCGGTTTGCGAGCAAGGGCAAAAGCAACAAGTTGAGCGATGGCAGTACAAGCAGCGTTGACCACACATTGCTTGCTCCGATGGGTTGAGTGTGACGGAAGTGATTTGGGGTTGCCTCGTCACACGATCAGTTGCCCTTCTATCCCTTTTTGAACTACCGTGTATCCTGAGCGGAAGGAACCGTGAGAATGCACCTTCCCTGTCGAGGGGTTCAACCGGGAACCTCTTGAGCTTGTGAATTGGCCCAAGCGTCACCATGAATGCAACCCCACGCTGCCCCGCTTAACTACCCCTGGTATGTCAAGCTTCGGATGCTGTGGAACACTGCCGTAGTGTAGCGTCACTGAGTTGTACAATACCGTGTAGCAGCATCCGGTCACCGTCAACCGGATTCGCAGTTTTCTCAACCCCGGCAGCCGGACCCATTCCGGATGGTGGCCGGACCAGGACAAGACTGAAACCGGGAGGCGCAATCGAATTGTTCGAATTGTGAAGTCGCATTGCATCTCCGTTCTGGGACCCGTGGCCATGGCGCCCCCCGTTGTTCCAAACACGGACAATTTCCTGGGCGTCGCCCTCGTCATCAACCGCTCGCGAGATGGGCCGAGATTTGTGTTTCACTACCCGCCCCACCTTCTGCCGGCAGAGACCGCGAAGCGGGAGGCTGATGATGGCGAGGATGTCGATGAGGACGACGACATGCTCCTCGGGCGTCCCCCCTCCCGTGATGCACCTCTTGAGACTAGCTCGTCCTCGAGCTTGCTCACCGCCCAACTCGCGCAGTGGAATCATGATGACCACCTCATCACGGACAGCGGCACCCAGATCGTCCCCTGGGAGCACGTTGCTGGCTTTCCCACCAAGGACCTGGTGAATGTCCTGACTCCGGCAAGAGCCTATCATAAGAGGTTGTTTCAGGTGTCACTGGACCCAATATATTGTGTCTCATATCCCATCTACGTCCCGGAGAACGGAGTGTGGCGGAAGAAGAAGAAGAGCAAGAAACCGCAGAAACAGCGCCAGTCGCAGAGCGAGGCAGGGCTGTCGAGGAAAGAAGACGACGACGCCGTGCCAACTGACGCCGCCGGATCAACGAAGAGCGCCGGCGAGAAGGGCGATGCGGAAAAGATTGAGGTGAGGGACATGGCGAAACCCCTGACAAGGCCGACCGAAGAGACCGAGGACAAGAAAAGCTCCATGACCATGTTCAACCTGGTCTTCTTTCTCAGGCCCAAGAAGCACGAGGTCAAGCCCCTCGTAGACATAATGTTTACACACATAATCAAAAAGATCAACAAGGCATACAAGTACTGCCAGCAGCGGAGTGACTTCGTCTGGAAGGAGTCGAAACGGATCCATGCCCTGAAGGAGAAGGGTCGCGAGGACAGTAGGTAGCCTCAGTTCCGCGGATCCCCCGTCGGTTGACTAACAGGTGGCATAGAGAGGAGGATGAGTTCGTTATGGGAAGAGATCCTGTCGACCTCATCGCTAGCCGCCTCGATGCAGGACATTTACGAGGCCGTGTCCCAGAACAGGATCGCCGCCTTGCAACTGGACACCACCGAAGGCACGGTAACCCACTCGGTCCAAATCCCCGTCCCGTTCCACGTGTCAGACCTGCCGCAAGAAGGAGAGCAAGGCCAGCAGGGCCTCTGGTTGACTACGGTGAACTCGCTTATGGGAGAGGAGGCGGCGGAGACACCGGGCTTCATGGACAAGAACTTCGCTCTCTTGCTCATGGTGGATGAGAGGAGGATCACTGCAGAACTGCAGAGCGATCCGGACGAGACCACGCTCGCTATGATCGAGTTTGTGCGCCACTGCAAGCCAACTCTCTCGTAAGTGCTCTCTGAGGCCGCCCATCGCTGGTCCTGACAGCTAACACAGCATGCCAGCTTCCACCAAGTGTTTCAGCAGTCCAGCAATATTCTCACTCCCGCTCAAGTGCGTAAGTTTGCGCAGCACTTCATCTTCTGGAGGCGGGCCATCGCCATCCCGCCACTCCACGCGCGCGACATGTACATCGTCAGCCCCAACTGCGACATGCGGAAGCTGCCGCAAGCAACGGTCCAATGGGCGCGCCAGTTCCCGATGTCGCCAGCTCTGCCCAACTTCCTCGCCGAGCTGAGCGTGGCTCCACGCCCGTACAAGCTGCACTGCCCCAGCAAAGCCCACCGCCCGATCTACATGGCGATGCTGGCATGGCTGATGCGCGGCGGCTGGGTCACCCAGCTGTGCACCTTCGCATACGTTGTAGTATGGCCCGAAATCATCTACGAGGTCGAGCACGCGCTGGAAGCCGAGGAGATTGCGCGTGCCAAACACTCTCAAACCGTGGGCAATGAACCGGGCAGCCTGGAAAGCGACGACGCCATCAACACCACCCCGCTCGCTGCGTCAACGCCCGGGGTAGCAGCCCTGGGCGACGCCGCCGTAGCCGGATTCGCCTCCGGCTTTCTTCCCTTGCTCTACGACGATGCCCGCGACTCCGTCTCCCCGACAATAGCAGGTCTCCACGATCTGTCCCTATCCCACTCACAGTCTTCCCTCGTCCCGCCAACCAGCAGAACCGCAACCCCTACCTCTCCCTCCACCTCCTCCACCCGATTCAGCAGCCATGACAGCCACCACTCCCCTTTCCCCCCACCACCACCATCATCATCATCCCTGAGACCTTCTTCCAGTATTAGTAACCATCCGACGCCGACGCCGGCCGAACAGGCGGCCGAGAAGGCCCGGCTGGCACGCATAGCCGACAAGGCCGCGCGCGAGCTAGCCGAGCGCGCCACGGCGCACGCGCGCAAGGCCGTGCCGCAGCAGACGGCGCACCCCAGCATCAACCAAGCGCGCCATCTCGAGGGGATGGCGCCGCATATTATTCTGGATGCCAAGAAGGCGACCGGCAAGGAGAGCCTGTACCTGAGCGCCATTGGCAAGCGGTTCCGCGATCGGGTGAAGGGGAAGAAGATGAAGGCTGGAAGAGGTCGTGATATTGGTGAGTCTAAAGTGGATGATATTGGGCCTGGAAGTGGAGCTGGCGCTGGCGCTGGCGCTGGTGAGAAGAAAGAGAAACTGAAGGAAGGGGCTGTCGGTGGCGGTACAGAAAGACGAGAAGCAGGAGGCACGGGAGGCGGAGGCGGCGGAGGGATCCGTGACCGTGGGGACTGGGATGAGAGGGTCGCCAACGCGTGGCCTGTCTTCTGCAAGTACTTCAACGGACGGTCCGCGCTGGAACGGATTGCCCTGCAGGAGGACATGAAGCGGAAGGATGTGTGGAACCTGCTGACGTCCATGAGTGAGTACCTACTCTGCGTGCGTCACTGGTAGGTACTAGCTAGGTATTGTACCTAGGTAGCAAGGGATTTGAAAGTTGTGAATGTCAAAAGCTAAGGTACCTCGCTCGCGTATGTGAATTAATTACATTCATATAAGTGGAGAAACACCTGGCGCTGGATGTATGCAAGGAAATGCTCAAATACAACGCATCTGCTCATGATCTGAATAGTAGTAGGTAGTGAATGGGTATTATGATGCCACGCTATACGACGGGACGCAGCCAGCCCGTCAAAATGATGGCGAGAGAAGACGTAACGCTGACGGTCAGAGTAAGAGCCTCGTGAACCAAAAAGAGAACTAAAGGAAAACCAAAAGTGCCCCCTGTCCGCGCCGATCCTCGAGGTATCATCGTAAGTTAACTGAATAGCCGGAAAGCCAGGAAAAGGGAGGCTCAAAAGAAACCCAAGGTTCCCAACCAGATCCCATCGTGTGTGTTTCAAGTCCAGACCCCGAGCCGCCATGACCAGACCGCGCCCTTAACGACCCTTGATATGCTATAAACCGCCGAAATTGCAGGACAGACGCGTTGGAACCCAGAACCAGGGCCATGACAGGAACCTCAAATGGAAAGCCAAGAGCAGAGACGGTTGTACCAAAGATGATAGGAGAGGGAAGCGTCTCGTGTCTCCCATGAACGCTTGCTAGACGGTGTACATCTGCGGCCCCAGGACGCGACACTCGTCGTCTAAGCCGTCAAATCCATGCCGTACTGATCTTCGTCCTTAAAGTTCAGGTCCCCACTCCCATCGTCCTCGTACTCTAGGAAGTCGCCAGAGTCTAGCATTTCATGGGCCATTCCTCTAGAGTCATCGTCCTCTGGACTGACAGAGGAGTGATCGACGCCGTTCCCGTTGGTGTTGGCGCTGCCGTTGAGAGGTTCGCCCTTATAGTCGGTGTGGTGTGGAACCCGAAGACCCGATCCTGCGGTTCGGGAATAAGAGAATGTCCGCTGCTGTCCAGTTACCTCATCAATCCGGGCCATGGCCTCCATGAGCTCTGTCTGCATCCGGCGCTCATCCTCGGTGATCTCAAAGGGTAGTTGACCCCCACGATCATACAGCGCGTTGATCAACTCCTCCTGCTGCTGGAGCTTCAAATGAAGCATCCACATGAGATCGCGCGTCCAGCTTACAGCGCCATTCAGGATATCACCCTTGTTGGGGCCTTTATCCTTCTCCTCGACGGGCAGGCCAGTTGTTATGTTGCCTGCGTTCCCGCCTGCAGCTCGTCGGGCACCAGGGCCGGCAAGGGCCGATGTGGCCTGGGACGGCGTTCCAATTCCTGCAAGTGTCGGCGAGAGCGGCGTGCCGTTCTGGATGGCCTTCCGGATCTTCTCGTCCTCCAGTCGATGTGCAGGCACCAACTTGCTTAAGTCCTGGATCCGCTCGTTGATGTTGTCGCGTCTCCGGCGCTCGACGAGATTGTGCGACTCACGCCTCCGCTTCCGCCTCGCTTCCTGAGTCGACGCGGCGACCGCTGGCGTACCAAGCTTAGCGGGCATCGAGGCGCCGCCTTTCAGGATAATATCGCTGATTTGGTTACTGTGCATGGTGGGTTGGAGCGGCGACGAGAATCCCGAGCCAGGGAAGGAAGATATGCTGTTAGGCGTCTGGATCCACTGACCAGAATGCGACTTTTCGCGATGGACGCTAGTCGTTCTGATCGGTTGGGCTCCAAAGGTGGACTCGGAGCCGACCTGCAGCCCCGCAATGGCAGCCGTCTTAGGGGTGAGCGAGTTCCTGTTGCTTGAAGGCTTCCGCTGCATGGTCTGGGCCATGCGTGCTCGAGCCTGCGCACTGAGGAAATTCGGGTCGTTGCTCTCGTTCAAGTCGGCATTTGCGAGAGGGGACCCTGCATACGAAACCGGGGACTTGAGCGAGCCACCGAACGGTTGGGCATGCTGGAGCTGGCGGTACTGCCCAAAGTTCTGAACGAACGGGCTTTGGATGGGATCGCCATCCGGGGTACTCGAGTATCCGTTCATGTGGTTTTGGTCGATTGGCAGCCCGTGGTGGGAGCCATAGATTCCCTGTGAAAAGCTGACGCCCATATCATTGATGTTGCGGTAGTCCTGGAGCCCAGCATGAGGCTCCGTTGGGCTAGCCAGCCCGTCCAGGAGTTCGTCATCCCCGAACACGGCGGAACCACTAGAATAAGCGTTTGGTGGATTGGAGGTGTTGGAGAAGTTATGTTGGAATGGCGACGGGAAATTTCCGGACATGGCCAAATCAGTCGGGTCAATCCCTCCATGCCCGTTCATCTGGAAGCTGTGCTGCGTCATCTTAACGATAGCTTGGGCGACGGCGGCGCTGGGTCGTGCGGACACGTCGGCTTCTGAGAGAGCCTTTGCGTTACAGTGACGGGGTCACAGACCCTAACGTATATAGACAAGAAGCAAGGGGTTCGTCTGTCGTAATTGGGCATCAGCTCCAGTGTCACAAGGGATAATACCGGCAGAGTGCGGGTGTGACGGGAGAAGGCGGTGGCTGTGCGGGGAAGAGGAATGCGCTGCACATACCTATAGATAAGAGTCCTTTCGGTTTTCCGGTGTCGGGACGCTGGCCATCAGGCGGCGAGAGTGAGTGGCGGACTGTGTGGTTGAAGTCAACTAGAAGCAAGCGATACCGGAAGCTACGATGCTTGAGTAAAGATATCGCTCGCCGTCAGGTCGCGTGTCTTCAGTTCAGTCGAAGAGCACCTGGAGCGACTTTTTACTGTCTTTCGCGTTTTGCACAGTTCAGGATATCGTTGAGCTTTGACAGTTCCGCACGGCGGTCGGTAGTGTGGATAATCGGAGTCGAGTTGCGGAGTGTGGGCAAGATGTAGGCAGGGGCTCAACAATGCCAATTGCCTAACCCTCTCGGGAAATGGTCCCTTCAGATCGGAAAGGGCTCTTCGTGAATCGTGACAAAGCGCCCAAGAGATAACCGCTGAGATTAAAAAAGCCGGGTTTGTCTTCGTCAGGTCCAACCAACCAAGGGGTAGAGCAGGAACAAGCCTGCCCAATTTGATTGGGGTGAGATGCCCCGTATGACGTGAAGTGTATCCGGAACTTGCGCCTAGAGTCAAGTCTCGGGAAGGTTGACGTGCGCAGGCCGTGTCGCAACTAGTTAAAGGAAAGAGAGACCTTGAAGGGTATCGGGGTTTTTGGTTTCACTCAAATCGTGGCGGGGAAAGGTGGGGAAGGCTCCAGCGGGGCCCTTTTGTAGATCCAGAAGAGCGGTAAAAGCTCCTATGATGATCTGATCTGTTGTTGAACAGGTTGGTGACTCTAGCTGGGTACTGCTTTCAGCGGCGGTTCATGCGAAGCGCAACACAGATCGTTGCAGCTGGTTTGTTGACAAGTGTTGGGACGAAGGCGGAGGCTAACAGAGAAGCGGGTGTGTTGTGACCGGTAGGCGTCTGCGCCTCAAGGAAAAGGTGAGCTAGGCAACAAAGGAAGTTGGGACCACAAGAGCTCAGGGCCAAAGAGCTGTTGAAGGAAGTAAAGGAAGGGAAAGAGACCAAGATCGCGGAAACAGCGGCTGAGGCCGAGAGTCCCGGAGTGCCTATTTCGGTAAGTAGGGGGCATCCGACGGGAAGGGTGGATGAGGGGAAGCCGGGACGGGGAGAAGGCGTCGCCACTAATTCAACCAGCGCCTACGCCGAAATCTGACAGCGTGCACACACACTCCGTTAGGCTCAATGCGAGCAAGCGATAAGATGGTGGAGGGGTAAGGTGTTTGGCAGCAGCGCTCGTGTGAGTTTCCAAGGCTCAGTTTCAGCGATTCCGACGATGATCCGTGAGACCGATGGCAAGCTGCCCCTCCGAGGACGGCCGTGAGTGGATGCGAGGTGCTGATTGGCTGATTCTCCTCTAGACCAAGCAACCTGGGACCCCGTGCCTTTGGTGATTGTTATCAGTCTTCGTGCAGATGGGTTTGCGGATCATAAGTTCCTTTATTATATGGAATCGGATGAAGGAGGAGTGCTGACAACTTTGGACGACGAGGAATGTACAATACCTAACGCTTGCAGCACAGGCTCCCGAACCCCGAGGATCCGAGTCGGTGGTGTCCAAATCCAGCAAGATCCGATCCCAGAGCAAGGGTATGATAGGTCCCTCGGCCGCCGTCTTAGTGTATATCACGTAAGGTAGGGCTGGCCAGTTTGTTGCTTGCGAGAAGACGAGAGCTCTCTGTTTCACTGTTTTCGCCGTAGTGTAGAATCGATTGACGTCGATCTGCAAAGGCTCGATAGGTGGGATGTGAATCTCAAGGGTAGTAAGCATGGAAGAGGTTCAAGTAGCTGTGCTTTCTAGAGCGGCTATTGGAAAGATGCGAAGCAACCTGGAAGGGGAGAGGGTACACTCCGGAACGCTTCACGCGCGTGGCAGACCCGGGCTTTTATCGTTCAAGCTTCACCAAGACCGTGGCATCTGCCATGGACACAGTGCTCTAGGTCGAGTCTACGGAAGTCGTCTGACTGCTGGGCAATCTAGAAGTTGGTGTGCGGGTGTGCTGAGAAATCGAGACCTGGGAAGTAGAAGGGCAGCTCGTAATGACAGTTTGCCATGAGCCTTGATTTTCCCACCTGCTCCCGCGCACTTCACCGAGAATGGATGCGTGGGCACCCCCCGGCCTACTAGCTACCAGTAGCAGTGTGACTCGAAGCTGAGACACCAAGGCACACCAAACAGAAAAGCGCAGCCACATTTCCACTCCAGCCTCTGGGGACGATACGTAATGCCTCTGCCAGTGCAGGCTCAGAGAAGCCCAGAAATGCCGGACGGTGTGGTCGCGCAACTTGCATGACCAGCCGATAGTCCCGGTCGAGGCTTGCAGATAGCATGGAAGAGTGCCGGCGTTGAGCTCCACAAGATGCGATGCAGACGCAGGAAAGGGATCGGCCCGTGTGATACACAAGGCATCGCCGCTCATCGATTGCCGGAGATATGCCATGCATGTTCCGGAGCAGACGGCAGACGTTACGAATATGGAATGCTACCATCCATTAGTTGAGATCTCGAGCGCAGATCCCCCGTATCAACTCCAGCAGCTTCCTCTCCACTCACGAGGTGGACTGTTGCCTGCACGTTGGCGGATCGGATGCAGAAGGCAGACCGACCATACCGACCATGCCGCGCGGCCTGGGCTCGAGAGATCCCACAGCCTGGCTGCTATTGGCGACCTAGGTGAAGAACTTCACCGTATCTGTCCTTTTGGCTAAAAGGCTCTGAAGCATGCCGAACTGTCCTGTCACCGCACTGCGCCGCATCCCGCGCATCAGGTGGAGGTCAGATGAGTCTCCACGTGCTGATACGATCGGTAGGCACTTAATACTTCGTGTGGACACGGCGAGTTAGGGTATACGCACGTCATCACCTACCTAGGTAGGTAGTACTATCGAATACATATTCACCCACTGACCAACAGCCGTCTACGTTCAGAAACATCCGGGCCTGCATGGCGGAGAGAGACGACTTGAACAGTTGAACCCTCCACGTTGTGGATGGCACCCATTGTCTCTCTGGTGGTACTGACAGAGGTGGTCCGTGATCACTTCTGGTGGGTCACTACGGTCAGGTAAACCAATCACATGGGTAAGATCGACGAAGTGGGTGCCCTCCACCGCTGCAGGGATACCGTTTCGGACCTGCACGCACTATCGATCAACCGCAACTCCGACTTCCTCCTCACAATTCCACCCGAAGCCCACCGACCACACCGTGACCTCCGTTGAAACGCTCAGCACAACCTCAAGGGGGGCCGCGTTTCCCGCCTTCACGTCGACGACGTTACCCTTCCGCATACTAAATACGGTGACAGCGACCGTCGCGAGTCCGCCTCCTGCTACGGAAACGGGACAAATACTGGCACATAGAAACCCCCACCTGGGCAGGATAAACGGGGTAACTTCAACAGTGACCAGCAACGGCCTGAATCATCTGAACAGGGTGCGGGATCACTCGTGTTTGCACATGTATGTGAGCTTGCCGCATGACTTCCTGCCCTCACAGTCGATAAACCGCCCATGGAAACCCACCTCCCAACTTTTCTTTCGCAACGCTCTGCTGGTTGTGACATGAACTCTACTCAGTCCATGGATGCTACATACCGCCCGGAGTAGGTAGCCCTTGCTCACACCCATGCCGTTAGAATTGTGGTCACCAGGACCCCCGTCAGCCTTGTCGAGTTCCTGCTTTGGCTCCCGTTCGGCCAAGTCGTTGACCGATACGCGCCGACGCATCCGACGGCGCGCCCCTTATCACTCCCACCAGAGATAGTCGGCCATGGCTTCGACATCCTTTCGAGACTCGATTAACTCACTTGGCTGGTCGCGTCGCGACGCAGACCTTCCGGTGAACACGTCTCGACAAGGGGGCTTCCTCTCATCCCTGCAGTCTCTGAACCCCTTTGGCGATCGTGGCTATGTGCGGCTCCCGACGACCGAAGGTGCAGGAGCTCCTTTACCGGCGCCTAGCCGTCGTGAAGAGGAAGACGCGTGGTTTGCTTGTGAGTCAACTTGCTTTCCTTGGATGTCTACCCCACGGCATCCATCTTGTTGTCTCTATGCCTCCTAAATTTAGGACCTTGTTGCCCCTGCCGACGGACCGGCGATTTAGGACATGTGCCGACTCTGCATGGCTATGTCTTAGGTCGCCCCCACCCATGCTAGCTATACTTGTACAGTATTCTTGACGGTCTATCATGAGCCCGGTCTACCATGGACCCGTCATCCTCCAGACAGTGCTTCGAGTCGACTGTCGACTCGCTACTGCAAACGATACTAACCGGGAGGAACATAGTGAGTCGGTGGGATCGTCTGCTGATCTTTGGTGCCTGCAACCTCGGGGCGCTTGCCTGCTTCGTTATCTGCTTCGCCCTCTTCCCAGTCATTTCTCTGGGGAGACCGCGCAAACTAGTCGTTTTGTAAGTGCCTAACCTGGCTATACTCTTCCCCCCACTGTTGCATGAAGCCCTGCCTGATGTCCTGTGTCCCATGTCTCACCCACTCTCCCCCCAACCTGATCCGATGGCCAGGCTTCCTGCTGCTGCCCTGGAGAACTTGGCGGGGATGAGTTCTTATGGTTCCCGTCGGTGACATCATCCTCCTTTTCTGTCAACAGTGTCAGGATGACACCAGGCTTACTCGGATACTCGCCACAGATGGACGCTGGGCTCGATGTTATTCCTGTCGTCCTTTGCTGCTATCATGGGCCCCTGGGCATACTTGCAACACTTGGCCTCGACGCCACGCTTGCCTTTTACAGCGGCCTACTTTGGGTCTCTTGGTTTGACACTGTATTTCTCCATCGGCGTAAGTCAAACCTTGCACCCGAAAGACAGGAACTTGGACACTGAAGCCTCCTTTAGTTGCAAAGCACAATCCTAACGTTGTTTGCGGGCCTCATCCAGCTGGCTTCCCTGATTTGGTATCTGGTGAGCTACTTCCCCATGGGTTCCAGCGGACTGCGCCTGGTAAGCAGTTTTGGGGCGCGTAGAGCGGCTGCTTGGATGACCACTTAAAAGGGGGGCCCATCATCCACGATGGCATGGTGACCATGTCAAGAAGCTCGCCATTGCTGTCATGGCCGTGGCGGACTACTCGGTCTCAGAATGTACCCATATAGTATGTCTTCACCTCTCGTTGGGTTCTAGTTCAAGTCGTGAAAGAGACAGAACAATTGTAGCACATCAGTCATGGTGATGTGTTTAACATGGTGTCGTTGAGTTTGCGCTTATCTATACGCTTGAGCGCCAGACAACATACTTATGCTAGAAAAGGGATCTCATATAGCCAGACAGCTTTTATCAGGTTGCTTCTAGGCCTGTCATTAGCGCAAAGATGACATCGGCTGAGCGTCCTCCATGTCAAGCAAACTTGAGCTACGTGTACCTTTTAGCCGACGCATCTTACTCGACTCGGACTCAGCATATGTCTTGTCTCAGCTTTGGTTTCCAGGCTCGAACCTAGGAATGCTAGGAAATGCCGAGCCTGATAGGGAGGAGGCCCAGAAAGTGAAAGCGTCTTCGTCGTGCTCGGGTGTCAAAGTCCTGCAATGTGAGGCCCTGCAAACCCTTGCACATCACTGCAGTTACCGACACTCCCGAGGTCACCCTCTGTAGGAAATAGAGGTACGCATGCTCGAGGCATGTCACGTACTACAAATACCCCTCCCTACTACACAGTAGGTAGTAGCTTGCCAAGAACGAGCCACTCATGTGCGCCAGAAATAATTGAGAGCTTCAGGTTCTGTCTCAATCCCACAGCCCATCGGCGCACCGCAAAGAGCCTTTGTTATCAATCATATCGGCAGCATGCACTACGTACGGCCTTACTACCACACAGAGCACAGGAGTCTGCCGTGATGAACTCCTCCAGCAACGGACGGCCTTTTAGAAATTAGAATTGGATCGCTGCCCTGCATCGGAGCGGGGAACCTTATTAACGGATCATCGGTACGGAAACCCCACCTCGGCCAATGCCTCCGCCCGAAGAAGGACGGGAATCACCCGCGTTCTCCGTCAACAGTGCAATATTACGCATATGAAAGCCGCCTCTCCAAAGGTTTTCGGTCGCACCAAGTGAAAAAGACTACCAAGACGTGAATGTGCGAAACTGTAGGAGTTCTCTAGTTCTACTTTGAAATAGAGAGACACCTATCCTTAAGTGGTATGTACAATACACAGTACGTACGGACAAACGTACCGTACATTCATGCAGTGTCAGCAAGAGCCGCCATTGCGGCGAAGAGCCGTCCATTTTGCGGGCTGTTCCGACCCCGCCTAACGAATTGAGTAAAGCCCACCCGAACGACGCCGAAAATCACCATGATCTGGATTCTCGTCGTCACCAGATAAACTCACAGTACCTAGTTATGTCTCGTCCTCATACAGAGAGCGCAATTGAGGCTTGAAAGTCATGTTGATGGACAGGACTAGGCTGTCTGCGTCGACTGTGCAGTACCTAACATCGACGAGGGTAATATAGGGCTACCGGTACCCCGCTAAGATCAGGGTCTACCTCAGCTTCAGTTAAGGTAGCTGAGGGTAGGACATCCCTCGCCACCATGGGAAAGCAAACAAGCATTAGACATTGAGGGCCACTGGATACCTACGAGTTCCAAATATTACTCATTCTGTTGCTAGGAATGCTGCACGGACGGAAACACGGCGACACTCATGTAGCCAAGCGGAGGGAGTAACAACTGGCTTCCCCTCACACTCCCGTCACCTCGAAACATTTTCCCAAATGCTACCAAGCGGAAATTGCTGGAATTCCTCCAACGGGATGACAAGGTCCGTTATATAACAGCCGCACTGCGTATGAGTGTGAATTGAGGGCCCGGGGACTTGAAGGTTGTGAAAGGTCTTATTAGAAAACTGGAAGCTGCCCTGCCCCATGCCAATGGTGCTCAAACGAATCAACAAGACGCGTTGCGTTTGTTCTTGTCTAGGTACCCAGAGCGTCGCGTTTGATGATGCCAACCATGTTAGAATTGTTAGAATTGGCGCTCATAAAGACAAGATGGAGCATTGATATGATCATGACGCGAAACGGGAGCAGAACGACTTCGTCTGCTTTGAACGGCCCCGGCCTGTGGATGTTGACGTGACCTCTATGAGTGAATGGCGGTGCAATTCCCGTTGTCCCCGGTCGTCCCTACCTTGATAGGTAGGCCTCTAGTTTTGGAGTCATGTCTGACCGTGAGCCCTATACCTTTCACAACCTGGAAAGTGTTTTAGCATCCCGGACCGTGTCGATGTTCTGAGTGTTCCAACCATCTTGCTTGTCCATTTTCCTTTTATTACCTACCTTACCTATGGTACCTACCACCTATACAGCACCATTTCCTTTGCAGCACTCGCCGATTTATATTCGCGCAAAACCCCACTGTATCCCCGGCACGGGCTCTCCCCTCACCCCGAGCAGTAGCGGTGCTTGGATGCTGCGACAATACTCATTGTGCTAGGTGCTGGGCTCTAAAGCTAACTCCACCGTTTTCCCAGCAGAGCCTGAGAGAGCCGAGAAAAATTTATTCCACACACGCACACAAATCACATCCACCTTTCGCCCTGCCGAACCACTTCCGCATTCCCCTCCACCACATTTTTTTTTCTATTTCCCCTCCCTTCATCCTACGGCGTACCTTGCGCTTCTACAACTGACCATCTTTCTACGGGTCGGTCGCTTGGTTTTCGTCTCCGGTCGCCCGTGGACACGAGGCTTCGTTCAGGCTGCTGTAGAGCATCTCGTTACCATTGCCGTCGACTACCGAGTTGCACCGGTTCTCTGCCTGCGGCGGTTGCGATTCTCGCTCTTTCCAGGCGTTCTCAGTCCGCGTCATAGACAACCTACCGCTTCGAGACCTCGTCACAAGCGCTGCCTGTCAATTCCAAAGGCATAACACCGAGCGTGATCACTCACGCAGGTGCTCTCTCCAGGCTTCGTCTTTCGTGGCCTACCAAACCGCCTTTGACCCCGCGAAGAGACAAGCCGCCTATCCGGTCGAGATCCTCAGAGACCCAGACCAGCCGACTGTTGCTCAATTTAGGCCCGAAGCGCTCTCGTACATTCCTCCCCGGTCTCGCGGCCTCAGCATTCCGTCAGTGCGGGGAGGTTGTGCCGGCCTCTCCGGACATCGCCCGACGCTAGCCAGGCATACTGAGCAACTTTAGCAGAGGTCAGCAAAGACAGCATTGCTTGCAATTTGCCGATCAACTAGGGCTTTTTTGCCGCACGCGGTCAGACTTGTTGGTCCCCGTCGTGAACCGACACTCGCTTGCCTTGTGTGGTGATACCGATTCCGACCAAGAATGTCGGCCACAACTTTCTCCTACGCGCAAGCCGCGCGAGGCCAGACGGCATCCCAACCCAGTCCGCAACAGACATCGAGCCCTGCCCCCTCAACGACCGGCTCGCAGGGTAAGGACGACGCCTCCACCGGTGCCACATCTGTAACAGCACCCTCAGTTGTGTCAAGCGGACCGGAAACTCAGAACCCAGAGCAGAAAACTGCAAGCCATGCTGGGTCCGCCGCGTCAAAGCAGGAATGTGAGGCCTCCTCCGTCGCCGGCACGGGCTCTACAGCATCAGTCGCAGAGCCATCCGGAAAGATACCCCAGGAGAACGGCACAAAGGCGGCTGATGTTCCGACTCGATCTCGGAGCGAGGACAAAGGATCACGCTCCACCAGTCGGACCTCCCGAGTGAACGATAATGTCGAAGGCAGGAGAGGCCGTAAGGGCAAGAAGGGACGTGGCGGCGACGAGAAAGCGCAGGGCGAACAGAATCAGGAGGAGGATGCAGAGAAAGTGAAGGAGGCGGCGAAACCCGTCATTCTCACAGAGGCTCCTCCGCCCGCAGTTAACCCCTGGGCCAAGCGGATGGAAGCACAAAAGGCGGCTGTCAAGGCCAAGCTAGCCTCCCCAGACGGCCCAGCCATCAGCAACGAGGTGAAGCAGAACCCTTCACACGAAGATTCGGCGATGCACAGCACCACATCAAATGGCGAGAATGCGCTACACAAAAAGCCAGTTGAGGCTTCGCGGCCTCCTGAGCAAGCACCACGCCGAAGCGGCCCCCGTGGCAGTCGGGCTGGTGACAAGGATGAGAAGAACTCTACGTCCCTTCCGCCAGTTGCGGATCCCTCGTTTTGGCCAGATCCAAAGTCGGCCGCTGCGCGAGAGCAGGCTCCTCGCAAGCCGCAGGAGAAGAGTGACCCGCCCGAAAAGGAGGGCCAGGATGAGTCTGGCCCGACCCGCAAGAAGACGTGGGAAAAGCTTGAGATTGTGCACTCGGTTGTCTTTGAGACACAACTCCCGCCGCTTCGTGGGTCGAAACCTCGCGGTGGTGCGCGGGGTGGACGTGAAGCAGGTTCCATGAGGGGCAACCACCCTGGTGCTGCCGGTGCTGCCAGTTCTGCCTCCCAACCTGGTGCCAGCTCAGCGAGCGACAAGGCACCCTCTCCTGGGGGCTCGACGGGCCCGAGGACTGCGACCACTCGCCCGCGTGAGGGAAGTATCCCGGCACGTTCGACTAGTCAGCCGCATGCATCTCAGACGTCGAAGCGTGCCTCGATTGACGGGGCGTCTCGAGACCAGCGAAAGTCGTCGGTCCCTGGGAACGCCGAGCAAGCGCGCGATGTCAATTCAGATGCTCCATTTGTAAGTCTCTTTGATAACCCAGCTGCTGCGTGTGACTTGATGTCATTCCCTTCTCCCAGCCAGGCGCTAATAGGAATTGCAGTCATCGAAGAGGGCCAGTGCGACCCGGGACATCCGGATGGAGAATGGACAATGGAGTGCCGAGGCTGGCCAAGCACCTGGCCGGACCCTCCCTCAAGAACGGAGCACCGTTCAGCACCGAGGCGACTACGCCAAAGACAGTGCACAAGGGCAGCAGTTTCCCGCACGCGAAGGCCGGCCGGAGCGCGGTCGCGGTGGCGGATATCGTGCCCGTGGCGGCCACAGCAGCTCGTCGTCTCACCTTGGATCTGCGTCATACGCTTCCAACGGACACTACCCAGCTTCTGGCGGCTTCCCGCCCCGTCAGAATCCCAACGCCCACAGCCCTCCCGCTTTCTCCACCCAGTTCCCCGCGTCGTTCGGTCACCCGACGAGGGGCAGGGGAAACAAGTGGGCTAACTCTGGCCAGTCAGCCGCACGCGGTAGCACCGGCGTCACTGGATTCCCTCCTAAGGCTGTCCCGGCGAATGACTACACCATGCCTCAGTACCCTCCCTACATGTACGCGACCATTTATGATCCATCGGTCGCCATCCTCAAGACCCAGGTGGAGTATTATCTGTCAGTGGAAAACCTCTGCAAGGACTACTACCTCCGCCAGCACATGGATGGGCAGGGCTTCGCTCACTTGTCGACAATTGCGGGATTCAAGCGGATAAAGACCGTGACCGAAGACCTTGACCTGGTTCGCCTTGCTTGCTCGCTCTCTGACCAGATCGAGTTTGTCATCGGTGATGATAATATTGAACGATTGAGGCTTCGCGAGCAGTGGAAGTACTTCGTCCTCCCTGTCAATGAGCGGCTCGAGCCTTTCCGCAACGATGGGCCGGCAAACTGGACTCCTTACAGCAGGCCTGATGCGCAGTTCGCCGCGCCTTTCCCCGCCGCCCCAGTTGTCCCTCAGCCATATCCTCCTGCAGCCAATGGCGCATTCCCGGCTTTCGCTGAGGAACAGATGTTCCAGTCAGCCTATGCCAATGGAGCGGCCTACATTCCAGTCACCAATGGTGCCGCGGTCAACGGCCACCTTCACGGACATGAATCTCAGTTGTCCGCAGGTGTACCGGAATACGCACCTCCGCAGTCTCCGGTGACACTGGAGAGCATGACCAATTTCTCCGACTCCCAGGTGGAGAATCTGATGATGATTGTGAGTCGCGAAGAGAAGGAGGAGGCAGGCTCTTCTGAAGGTGCCGGCGTGGCAGGCTACGTCTCAGAGCAGCCCCAGGCAAGCCAGAACGCAGCGTCCCCCAGCTCGGCTGAGACTCAAAAGTAATCCCCTGGCCTAGAACTCCAGAGTTATCCTAATCAATGCTAACATTCAAATAGCGCTACTGGTGCTCCTGCAAGCTCTGAGCCGCCCAGCGCGGATCAACTCGAACGCGGGATCGTTTGGGTTGATGGACAAGCGTCGGCTTTCCCCAAGGATCAGACAGACAGGAGGCCGTACGCCGAGATCCGCAAAGCGGCACTTGATGAGCGCCAGAATGCGAAGGCCGGCGAGACTCCCAGGTCCATGCAGAAGCTCTACAAGTTCTGGTCGCGAATGTTGCTGAATGATTTCAATGCCAAGGTCTATCAGGAGTTCCGGGATCTGGCGCTCGAGGATGCGTCGCGGGAGATTCCTGTCAAGGTCGGGCTGAAGTACCTGCTCGAATTCTACGACGGGCTTTTGCTCCACACCAACACCCGGAAGCCTTGGCCCCAGGACCGGGCTGTGCCAGAGATCTTTACATCACATTTCAACGAGGCTGCTGAGCTGGACCGCACGCTTTCCGGGAAGGACGTGACAGCAGTTTAGAGCCGTCCAGAGCCATGCTAGCTTGCGATGCTGGCGTTCCCTCCGGCTGCCCGCGCTACCAACGGGCATCCTCAGCGGTGGCATTCATTTGACCTACAGAAAATCTCTCGGATCACAGATGATTTGGGCGATCTCGTTCGCTTCGGTGCTTCCGCGGCGCAAACACATTCAATGGTGGTACATTCGGAATCTGTCAAGGCTACAGCCTCACCAAGGGCGGTTAATCAATCCATTTCTTTTCCATTTGGGGTTCGGTGTCCCTTCAACGGTTATATTCCCCCAAAAACAACACGCTTCGCTGGCGCGTATCGCCGTCGTTCATAACTTCACGGCTCAGTTGCACAGCGGCGTGTTCCCGAGCGAAGATTGTCTTGTCAGCAATGGCATTCGCAACGCCCACTGAATCGGTCTCCGCAGGTTGTTCGGCGTCCCCTACTTGGCGATCCCGAAGCGTTCAACGTCATACTTGTGGTCCTTGGTCTGGGCGTCGATCGATGCGTTGCCTCTGCACTTCTTTTGGGGCTCGCTCTGCATGTTTTGGGAGGATGGGCGGGCAGGCGGAAAGGCGTTCATGGACAGCAGTATGATCAGGGGTCGGGCCTGGTCGGGTGGAAGTTCGGCGGCCGCTTAGGTCGTAGTGAAGCCTCTGCATGATGAGTTCCGGGGTGGCGACAATAATCTTCTGGCTTTCTGTGGTTTTGGCAGCAGTCTTGGGTTTCATGGTCTCGACACATTCAGCTGCATGACCCCGGTGTTTATTGCAAGTGTTCCGCGTCCACTCGCCGCCATTCATACAGCAGCAGGACGGGCACGCTCGGCAGATGGCGTACGGGGCTGGCTTGCCTCTCCTGTTATGGTCGGGACTTTTGGCAGGGTCGTCGACAAGGGAGCACATGTGGGTTTCAGGCAGACGAAAAGTTCTCCCTGGAGGCGGCTTGACCGCAGCAGCTCAGCGACTACTCTTGCATTTCCCGGGTGAACGAGGAGGGCCGGAAAGGATTGATCAAGTTCGTTATGAATGATGGTGTCAACGGGGAAAAGCTGGATGGGGAATTTCAACGACGATTTAGACTTCACACTCTGCTCCTTGGGATCTCAAGCGGTGGTGGTGTGGGGATTGCAGAGTTCCTCATTCCTCAGCGGAGAAGACAAAAAGCATTTTGAGTTGTGTAAAGTGTATAAATAGACAGCAAACCGAAAAGGGAAAAATCATTGCTTTTCATTCCTGTACATGTACATATCATCCCCATTTCAATGGCAACAGCGTGTTCCCGCCAAGTGTTGTTCGAAGAAGGACTGTGAGTTTCCTGCTTTACCGTATTGGGAGAAGGTATATAATGTTCTGGAATGTAAATACATGCTCTTTTGTGTCTACACTGTATGTATGTATGTATGTATTGTACAATACAAGTACCCCCACCTCATGTGGTGAAAGTCAACCTTCCAATTCCTCCCTACATCACAGCCAGTCGCTGTTGGCAGCGACATGCTTCACAACCTCTAGCGCTCTCTTTAAAAGAACCGGCTCCGACATCAAGTAGATCACAGATCATTCAAACAGCATGATGGACAAAAAGAAAGCAGCCGACAAGTTCAGCATCAGAGCCACAATCACATGCCGGTTTTAGCCTGCGGTTTCGAGTCTGCACTCGCAACGAGCTAATACTCCTATCTATCACGTTCATACCTATTGTGTATTTGCAGCATCCGAGCCTGTGTGTTGGGTAGAGTGCCGCGTCGCCCCTGCTGCAGCAGCTCTCCTTTGCGTGCCCGTTGTGGCGGTCCCGGTCTAGGAAGTTTGAATGAGAGACAACTGGGAGTCCGAGTTGGCCAAATTACCACTATCTGTCCGCTGCTGCCTTTGGACACACAATGGCAGCACCGTCGTCCTCGGCGGCTGTCCAGCCGTCGACCACTCCGGCGGCTGAGGACGAAAAGGAGAAGCCGCGTCTGACAGACAAGGAGAAGAAGGCGAACCACATCGCCTCCGGTGAGTAGGAACAGAAAAACCCTCCTCAACTGGACCAAGTTACTTACCTACCTAAACCATATCACTCACTAACCAGCCTGAACAGAGCAAAAGCGGCGGCAGGCTATCCGGGAAGGCTTTGACAAGCTTGCGGAGCTTGTCCCGGGCATGGAGGGCTTGGCCCGCTCGGAGGGCGTCGTGCTTCATGGCACGGTTGACTACATCAGGAAGCTGCTGTTGGAGAGGAGGCAGATGATCAAGGATCTCGAAGCGAAGGGCGTGGCCGTGGATATGGAGTTGAAGATGTGAGTGTGCAGCTGTTTTCTCTCAACATGACTCGGGCTGTGGATGCTGACTTGGCGGTGGCACCAGGGCGCTGGAGATGCTGCCAGAGGGTTGGCTCGACGACGTCCCGGACGAGCTGGACAAGAGCCGCGAGCAGAGCCACGCGGAAGGAAGTAGTACGAGCCCGGCAGATGGCAGTGAGACGGAGAGTGCGGCATGAGGAGGCCCAATCCCGCGGCCGCGGCCTTGGATTCACGAACCAGTTTCGTACCACACGCGATAAATACACCCAATCTAAAATCCTCAAGTTACTGGTACAGATGGGAACCTTTGTAGTTTGTACCCATAGATCATCATATTGGCGGGTTGTCGTCCTGTATCTACTTCATACCCCTTAAGCCGAGCGTAAGGCGACAGCGGAGTATTGATAACGGTGAGGGAGCAGCTGAGCTGGGATCCATGGCTGCTCAGAAAGAGGAGCGAACAGATATGCATACCTAGCAAGAGCGTGTACGGTGTATGCAGTGATTACTTTCGCTGTATATAAGTAATGCTGGGATCCAAAGAACACCACAAGTTGTCGGTCGCAAGCGGTCAATGTGTGGCAGGTGGTGACTTGTGACATCATATGGGGAAACTGGGCATCGACGAGGCCATCCATCGCATTGGGTATCTGTGGATCACTTCAATTCCATCGCCGGGTCCCCTACGGCGCTACCAAGTCTGATGCCAGTGACTCAGTTCTCGAGAGTATTGTATGATACGGCTAAAAGAAACGCTGAAGTTGACATTCTGTGTAGTGCCCTCCACTGGTTCTCATGACCCGCAGTCTGTGGCACGGCCACACCACCTTTCCGTGCCCGACCGGGATGTCCTACTATCCCAACCACATGGGCGAGTCCCGGTCACACCGAGTCCCGTTTCTGCGCTGCCTCGAACATCGGTCATCCGCACCTCTGTTGGACTGGGGAGGGATCCCACGGTACATTAACAGCGAGATTCTAGACACTGAGGCTTTCGACGAGGTCCGTACAAAGTTAGTTAGTAGTATGTACTTGCAGAATTCAAGCACCGCACTCGCAGAAGTGTGAGCGTCGCCGTGAGTCGGCCGGGGGTTTATTGGGCTGGCGCGCACGCAAATGACGTTTTGTTTGCGCCGAAACGGAATGGACCCCTGGATCCAGCCCAGAAACCAAAAACATTTTTGGAAGCCGACGGCAGTGAGTATTTTCTGTCTGCAAGGCGGCAGTGCCCTGACACTTCGCGTAACTGGTACAATATTTTCCCTAGCCAGGGAGGTCGGTCGAAGCCAACCAAGACAACCAAGGCCCGCGGGCCCGGGACGTCTCAGCTTTGATCGCCGCAGCGGCCGCCTGGCCACGAGGGAGCCTGTGCCAAGGCCATGTCCTAGTCTTCCCGATGTTGGCCAACAGGCGGATCTGCGGGCCTCGAAAGTTGACGCAGTTCTCTTTCCAATTGCTTCGAGATGACTTCTTGTACCGTGCGCATCTCCATGTTCGGGGAGGTAAGGTACCCGAGAACGCCTAGACATTGTGCAGTTCATCCGTACTTGGTACCCGACTATCCGGGTTGATGCTTGCTGAAGCACAGACGGCATCTGGCGGTGCCTGAAGGGAATCCACTGGTGCTGTCACTGCCTTGCTGCTTTGCTGCACTTCGCCCCTCCCCCTCCCTCACCCATGCGATTAATATCTGGCTTGGCCCCCGCCCCGCCCCGTGCCCTTACCATTGCCCACTTACTGCGGCAGCATCCCACCACCTGATCTCACTTTCCTGCCCTCAGGTTTCCCATACCTACACTAGAACCTAGGACCTAGGCAATCCACCGGTAATCGCCCCAAACAAGCGACCAAACCCAGACAATCTTCGCAAAACGCCTGTTGGGTCGCTTGACTGCGTCGATATCGCGGTCATCTGCCGATGGCTTCGTACGACCCCTATGACGCCCCGGCCAGGGAGCGCACCACAAAGCGCTACTACCGGGAAGACCGCCGTGAGGACCGCGATCCTCGCTATTACGAAGCTCGTGAGACCCACGTCCACGTCCAGCCATCGCGCGATCTGGTCGCGCGGCCCCGAGAGGACAGCGACCTTTATGTCGAGGAAATCCGACGGGACTTCCCGCCTCCAGGCTACTCGTCCAGGGACCTCCGTCGCGCCCGCTCCGCGGAACCCGGGTACTACGACGAGCAGGATGATCGCCGCTCCTATTACAGCCGGGACCCGGACTATGACGACTACGACCGCAAGGCGCGCAAGAAGACCGAGGTTATGATTTACGAGGAGGAGCGCAAGAAGAAGGCGCGCATCCTATCCAAGCAGGAGCAGATCATCGCCGCTGTAACCGGTGCCGCTATCGCCATCGGTGGAAAGGAGCTCTACGATCGCCGCGAGGCCAGTCAGCATGGCACGGATGTCCATCGGAACCTCCTGGCCTCGGCGGCACTTGGCGCCGCCGGCGCCTTTGCCGGCTATCAGGGCACGGAGCTCTACAACAAGCACAAGGAGAAGGAGGACAGGAAGGCTATTGCCCACAGGTCCGGCTACTATTCGGACGAGGAGGAGAGCGCCAAGGATAAGAAGGGCCACAAGAACTTCCTGGAAAGCGCTCTTGCTGCCGCCGGCCTTGGCGGTGCCGTCAAGGCTTTGACAGGCAGAGACGACAAGTCAGACACCAGAAGCCGCCGCGACAGCCGCTCACGATCTCGCTCTCGGTCGAGATCCCGCTCCACCTCCCGGTCTCGCGGCAAGGACAGAGGGAAAGGCGGCAAGAGTGAGGCAGCCAGCAAAGTCCAGAAGGCCGCCATGGCCTCCCTAATTGCCGGCGCTACCGAGGCCTTCCGTATCTCCAAGCAGCCAGGCTCGTGGAAGGGTGAGAAGGCCAAGCGCATCCTTACTGCTGCCGCCGGTGCGGCCACTCTCGATGCTGCTCAGGACACCGAAAAGGCTGGTAGCAAGCTTGGCTTGGCCGAGGCTGTCGTCGGAGGCCTCCTTGGCAACCGTGTCCTCAACGGATCGAAGAAGAACATTGAGATGGACGAGAGGACCGGTCGATCTCGGTCTCGGTCTCGCGCTCGCTCAAAGGATGGCGGCGGTAGCGGCACGAGCGGGCTGGCCGCTCTCGCAACTGCCGGCCTGGGCGCGCTTGGCGCGAAGAAAATCATGGACAGTCATGAGCGGTCGAGATCCAGAAGGCGGAGCGTAGAATCGCGCGACAGCCGCGATGACTCTCCTGACCGCCGGCACCGCAGCCGGAGCCGGAGCGTTGTCGACTCGGCCCGACGCCGCCTGGCTAAGGTGGGCATCGGCAACGGCCCAGATGACGATGACGTTGATCGCCGCGACCGCAGTCGCGATCGCAGACGGGATTACGACGATTATGAAGGACGCTCGCGCCGACACCGCGATGACTACGACGACTATGACAGGGACCGTTCCCGCGACCGACGCAGGGACTATGACGACGATCGCTCCCGTCACGGCGGGGGACGAGACCGTTCTCGGCAGGGGAGACGCGGTTCCGCGTCAGAGAGCGATCTGGGCGATTCCGATGATGACAGGAAGCGAGCCAGGAAATTGAGAGGTAAGCAAATCATCACTACGGGTCTGGCGGCCGTGGCGACCATCCACGCGGCGCACAGTGTGTACCAGAGCATGGAGAAGCGCCAGTTGAGGAAGAAAGCGGTGAAAGAGGGACAGCTGAGTGCGGAGGAGGCCGAGAGGCTCAGAAAGAGAGCCCTTCTCCAAGACGCCGCCGCTGTGGGTATCGCCGCGCTCGGCGTCAAGGGCGCCATCTCGGAGGTGAAGGAAGCACGCGAGATACGGCACGAGATGCACCAGTGGAAACTGGAGAAGGCGGAGAGGCACAGGCGACGGCTTGAGAGACAAAAGCGGTTGGCAAATGGCGACGGCGATGGTGGCATCGACCGGCTCGGCAGACGCAGGGCTGACTATTCGTCTTCGCCAGCTCCGCCAGGGGCCGACCGGTACAACGAGGGACCCCGTTACGCTGACGGGAACCCGTACGGCGCTGTGCTTCCTGCCGACTCATACGGCAGGAGGTAGGTAGGACGGGGCAATCATGCTCGTGCTCCTTGCCGTTCCCCCGGTCGCAACCTTTGGTCTCGATAGACACGTCGCACCAGTCTACTGTCTTCCCGGTCGCGATTGCCATACACTCGCTTCCAATACCGTTTCTTTTCGGTATGTACCCATACATACACGCACACATCTCCAACCGTCAGCGTCAACACACGTGCCGCGAGCGACGCCACCACCGCCGCCTCAGACTGTACCAGCTGTCCCAACGGCATTCGATGGAACAAACCAGCCTTTCTCGGTTCAACTCATGGCACTTAACACTCCCTGTGTTTCGCCCTTCAACGGCTTTGGGGTCCTCTGAGATGGTCGCTTCCGGTTGGCTTCCCCAGTCAGCGGTCCCCTTCATCCCCAGTCCATACATACATGCTCTGGCTCTGGGTGCACTTCGCGGCGGCTTCAACTTCTTTCTAACCATTCCACCCGCACCATCCTCATAGACTTATTATTGAGAACATTCTAATTAATCTTTTGCGAGTGATAGACGATCGCCGCCGCCATTGAACCGCTGACAAGAGTTAAGCCCTGTGGGAACCGCACCACCTCCTTGCAAGAGGGCACACGTCGCTGGCCCACCAAGACCCCGGCGGCGACCAAATCTGCTGAGCTGACACGGCGCTGCGTTGTGTCACCGCGGGGGCACGACTTACCACACGATTGGCAACTGGTGGCTTACTCAGGCGAGATGAGTCAGCTGTGGACGAACACACGGGAGGAAAAGCCGATCCTTGACTAGCGAACGGATGAGATCGATCGAACGCCCGGGAAAGCTCAAGCACGACCTTCGCTGCAGACGGGACAGTTCGATCATCAAAAGGTCACCGTCGTCTTACCCGTCTTCTCTTTCCCCCGACGTCGTCCAGATATTCTTCTTTCGTCGTTTTCTATTCCGTTTCCTGTGGTGTACCCTCGAGTGGTTTCGCATGCACACGTTGGGCGATGATACCTTCCTACCTTCGGTTTTTGATGGGATCTGGTTCCCGGCCGGTAGAGGGCTCTCTGAGCCACAACGAACGGGTACGAGCGTGCACTTGGGTGGATTATCTCGGAGAGACTTCTTGGTGGATCTGATGATATTATGCTATTTTTCCCTCCTGCCTTTCCTTGCTTTTGGAGGGGTTATGATGTCGATGAAAAGATTTTATGATGATGTAACGTCATGTACCTGCAATGAAATGATTCACTATTTTATGGTTTTCTTTCGGTCTAGTCAACAGGAGTATAGACGCTGCCTTCTGCGTGATGACAGCCTCGCTTGTGCCCCCTTTTGTAAGGTATATATGTTCACCGTCAACAAACGCCTTTCCGTCCCACCATTGCTCAAGGACACCCCGACGACTGGCTGGGTATTGGTGGTTGATCCGGAGAGTTTCGGGATGCCCTCCACTATCACAGTCGGCTCAATCGAGAATTAGGAGGATCGCAGGCCCGCCTGTCTGTAACTTAAGAGGGCGATACCGGCTCGACCCCCTTCTAATGTTGAGGTCACCGCAACCAGCACACCAGTTGATTGATTGCTCAGCCTCCTAAACCGAACCGGCCCTCGTATTGTACAAGCATCGAGGTATGCAGAATGGGTCAGGGGATCGAAGCGGTTCAAATACAATACAAACCTAGACGCTGGATGGCCACAACATGTACATGGTGCAATACATACGAAATTGACAGAGTAGGAACTCTCAGGGACACCGAGCAGGTGGTGTTATTTTCTGATTTCCTGTTATCATGACAGAAGAAGCAGAGCAAACATCAATCTACCCCCAACATCGCATCCTGCTCAATTGCCGGCCCTGTCACATGGTTCGTAACCCAACTATCCTTGTAGCGGTGATGTACAATACCGAAAGACGCCAGCGTCACGAGACGAGCAAAGAATGCGCTAGTTACACTGGGTCGACAAGTTGGTGCTTCAAACACCCTCCTTCAATCGCCCCCGATAGCCTTCCCTCCGGTTTGCTTCCAAGCACTTGCAATAGCAAGCAGGTTCGACAGGTTCTTGTTCTGCTGGTCGTCGGCCGGGAAGATATAGTCGACGTACTCCTCCCATGTATCGTCGTCCAGCTTTCTCTTCTTCTTGGTCTTGCGCGGCATCTGTTTCTGGATCTTCTCGATGTCCTCCTGCGAGCCATGCATCTTCTCGAACTCCAGCCAGGCCGTCAGCAGCGACACGCGCTCGGCCTTGAGGTCGCGGTCCTTCATGCTCTTATGCGCACGCTCAAAGACCTTGCGGGCCCGCGCTTTGGCCTCCTCGCTGACTGGCCGCTCTTCAGCTTCCTCGTCTTCCTCCTCCGCACCCTCGTCTGGGACGTTGATCTCGAACTGTGCGTAGCTGATCCAGACCTTGGGGTGGTCGGCCTTTTCGAGCAGGCGCTCATACAGCGTGCGAGTCCTGTCGTATTCGCCCTCTTCCTCCTCAAAGTCAATGTAGGCCTTCCAGACCACCTCGGGCATGTCCAAGATTGGCTGCCCGATAGCAATCTCGAAGATAGCCCGGGTCCGGTCAAGGTCGTCCAGACCTCGCTCAAGCTCGGCCCACTTGATCCAGGTCTGACAGTTTGCCGGGTTGTACAGCGCGTGTTTCTCGTACAGAGTCCGACACCTCTCGAACTCGTAGAGCCGCTGCTCTAGGGAGATGTATTCCTTAAACAGCTTGTCTTTAGGGCACATGCCGATCGCTCGGCCCAAAGCCTTTCGTGCCGCGGTCAGCTGCCCCTGTCGGATCTCGAAATGCGCCTTCGCGACCCATAGCTTTGCGAAAGTGAACTTCTTGTGAGGGACGAGCCCCAAAGCAGTGTCGTAGATCTGCCGCGCACGCTCCGTGTCTTTCGTCACCCGCTCTTCCCATATCGCATAGAAGAGGAAAAGAAAGATGTACCTCCTCCAGTGGCGCTTCTCCTGGGTTGGGGGGACCTGGGCAATGGCCCGCTCATAGACCTCCCGAACACGGTCTGGGTCGCCGCCACTTTCTTCGAGCCGGGCGAAATCGAACCAGACGTCGTAGTTTTTGGGGTTCTCTTTGACTTGTTCCTCATAAAGCCTCCTCCGTTTTGTGATTACGACGTCTTCAACACCCTCCCTGTCGCCGAATTGTTTTTCGAACGTCGTGTACTGTGCATGCAGGGCCATTGATTTAGAACGTGGCAGGTTGTCGAGACCGAACTTGTAGATGGCACGCGCCCTCTCGTACTCCTTATGGCGGGCCTCGAACCTCGCGAAGGCGATGAACAGCCTCTCGTCCACCTCATCGTCGCCCAGCGTCTCGGCAATGGTTTGGATGGCAGTTTGGAACACCTCACGGACCATGTCGGTGGTGCCATACTCCTCCTCAAATTTGGCCCACTTTAACCAGGTCCTCGGTTCGGGGTGCACCTGAGTGAAGGCGCTGAAGATCTGTCTCGCCCTATCGTACTCCCCGTAGCGTTTCTCCAGCTTGATGTAAGCATTCCACGCGTCCTCGTCGGGTTGCCACCTCATCCACCGGTCAAATACTTGGCGGGTGCCCGGGATGTCGCCGAGCATCTCCATGACCCATAGGTACTTGTACCAGAGCTTGGAGACGCGTGGCAGCCGGGTGACTGCGCGGTCCAGGAGGTTGCGAGCATGGTTGATATTCCGGTTCTTGATCTCGGCCTCGATGTACCTGACCCAGAGTTCTGCAGAAAGTGTCAGCGGCTACCATATACGATACTTCTGCGACAGCAGGGCACATTAGGTTGGGCCGGGTTGCTTACGCGTATTGTTGGGATGCACATCGAGAGCGCGCTCGAAGACCGATCGAGCGCGGGCAAACTCCTTCTGCTCGAGCTCCCACTGGGCATATTGGAACCAATTTGCCAGGCGGACGCGATTGCGGCGAATGTAGTCCTCAAACTCGCGGCGCTTCCGACCCTGGTACTCCTTCAGCTCCTCAAGGTCGGCGAACCGCTGCGTCGGCTTCTGGATGGCAGTTTCCTGTCGGTCGACAGCTTCGCGAAGCAGCTGCTCGGCCGAGATCTGCACCGGCGCCGGCGCCTTGTTTTTGACCCTCGGTGGCCCGCGCGAATCCATGGTGTTGGTGTCTGCTGCGCACGCCGTCTGCTATGGAGCGCAATGTTACTGAAAACTGCGTGAGGGTATTTTGAGTTTTTCGGATCCAGGCCTCTGGATCACTTGGAAAGTCTGGAAAGTGCCAGGACACTGCTTGGATAGTGACAGTAGTCGTTGCCGGGATGCACAGTGCCAAGCCGCTAATGCTGCCAGAGCCCCACTTTTGCCATCCAAACGCCATTCAGCACTCGGCGCAGCTTTCTTACAAGTTCAAAAGATCCATCATGCATCACGGTCGTCACGCCTGCACCGCCCGCTTGCCTTCCCGCGACCTTGCAGCTTCTACAGTGCATCTGGCGTCACCACGTAATCTCGCTTCTTTCGTGTATGCAAGAGACATATAGGTTACCCATAATGTCAACACTCGCAGACGAGCTCCTCCAAGACTTCGAAGGATCTGGGTCCGAAGCCGGGGGCGACGAGCACGATGATGGCCTCTTCGGTGAGGCGGGCCTGTCGGGCGACGCCCAGGCAAATGGAGGAGACACATCTATGGAAGAAGTCCGCGATGAGGACGAGAACGCAGATGAAGACGCCGACATGATAGACGGCGTTGACGGCAACGCTGCCGCCGCCGCCGCCGGTGACGACGACGACGCGAAGACGAGAATCGAGAAGATGCAGCTAGGAGGTGTTCGCGACGTGCGCACCATTGCAGGGCTCATGAAGACCCTGACACCAGTTCTTGAGGTTAGTAGCGCCCTGCCCCGATCTCCCGAATCGATGCCCATGAGCCGTGGAAAAGCGTTTACATCTATCTTTTTGAGCAATAGCCCTGACAGTTTGCCTCGAACGCTGCAGAAAATCGCACATTATCAATCACAAACCGCCGACCCTGCAGACAGCATCGGCAATGTGGAGGACCATCCCGAGTACCACCTCCTAACGCAGTCGAACGGTTTATCCACCCAAATCGATAACGAGATCGTGCTCGTACATAAGTTCATCCGGGACCACTACTCGGTGCGGTTCCCGGAGCTCGAAACCCTGATCACCAACCCTCTAGAATATGCCAAGGTGGTTGCGATCTTGGGCAACGGGCCCCTGGACGCGGAGAGCATCAAGTCACTCCAGGTGTCAACAGACAATCCCCTGGGCGTGACGCTGAAGTCGGTACTCGATGGCCCGTCCCTGATGATTGTTACGGTGGAGGCCACAACGTCCAAGGGCCGGGCCATGTCGCAAGAACAACTGCAGCGGGTGATACAGGCATGCGAGATGGTCATCTCTCTGGACAAGGCCAAGAGAACCTTGACCGAGTATGTGCAGTCACGCATGAACGTCTTCGCGCCGAATTTGACGGCACTCATCGGCTCTCTGACGGCGGCGCAACTGCTCAACCAGGCTGGCGGTCTCACGGGCCTCTCCAAGACGCCAGCGTGCAACCTACCTGCATGGGGCTCGAAGAAGCAGGCCAGTGCAGCGCTGGCCACAAACGTCGGCATTCGGCATCAAGGTTTCATATTCCAGTCGCCTGTCATCCGGAGCATCCCAAGCGATCTCAAGAAACAAGCCATCAAGATGTTCGCCAACAAGATAGTCATGTGCGCTCGCACCGATTGTTTCCACCAGTTCCGCGACGGCTCCGAAGGCGAGCGGTTGAAGGACGAGTGCCTCGACCGTCTAGACAAGCTGCACCAGAAGCCCCTGAGCAAAGGTGCACGCGCATTGCCAGCACCCGACGACAAGCCGAGCAGGAAGCGCGGAGGACGCCGCGCCCGCAAGGCCAAGGAAGCGACAGCCATAACGGAGCTGAAGAAGGCCCAGAACCGTGTGGCCTTCGGAAAGGAGGAGCAAGAGGTCGGCTATGGAGTCGGCGACCACACCGCGGGTCTAGGCATGATCGGGCAGCGCGACGACGGGCGGCTGCGCGTGGCCCAGATCGACCAGCGGACACGTGCCAAACTGAGCGCGAAGAGCAAGGGTTGGGGCGGCGCCAGCTCTCTCAGCGGCAGCGCATCGTCGCTCAGAGGCCTCACTGGAGGCGGAGCCACCAATCTGACTCTGGCCAGCAGCAAGGGGTTGCGGACATCGGGTGTCGGGACCAGCTTGGGCTCGACCGCAGGCACCGTGTCATCGCTTGCCTTCACTGCGACTCAAGGCCTGGAGCTGGTCGATCCCAAGGTGCAGGCCGAGCTCAGCCGCAAGCGCAAGGCGGACGAGGATAGGTGGTTCAAGAGCGGCGCCTTCACTCAGGTTGGAGGGGGAAGCAATGACGGAGTTTTCAAGAAGCCTGAACTGCCGCCGAGCAAGAGGCTTGATACAGGTTCAACCAAGTCGTAGCTGGCCACTGAACTAGTTGTATGAACATTCTTACACGGCGCTTGAAGTTTGGAGGTTGTGGTATTACTTAGAACGGCTACCTACCTGGGTAGGCAAACTGAACACGCGCATTGTCTGAGTTTCGCTGCTGTCCCTATGTATTGTACAGGACTTTTACATCGACTAGCATGCTATGGTAGCATCACCTGCCCGTCCAGATCTGCGTCTAACACCTGGATACGGTACTGAACGCGTACCCTGATCGCTGATGGCCTGCAAATTGCAAGGGCGATCAACCGGTATCGAGGCACGGCTGTTGATAATCTCGTCATGGTAGGATGATCCCAGGGTCCTAGGCATCCGAGACAGCAGTGTGAGGCGGAGGGTCTCAGAGTGTCAACCCCGCACCTGTTTGCACATCACCTGTGGGCTCCTCAATGGAATTCTCTGCAAATCCCATGTTCCACCAAAAGAATGCCATGGTCTCAAAACTTGGATGCGCAACCACCACAGCATATCCCGGGCCCATCCAGATTCTCCCGTGCACCCTCAACACCCGCATCCATGGAACCGTCTTTGTCTCGAGCTTGATAGCCCAGCTGATCGAACATTGGAACGCGAAAGGAGCCAGCTTCTCATTTCGGCAATTCCCATGCCAAACGTGCTTCTTGTCCTCCCATCCTCCCGTGTTCTGTCTCCCCCATCCCTTGAGTTGTGTGTCATACACAGTAAAGAATTAGTGATGGCACTTAGGATTGGTCCAATGGGCGAGCTTTGCCCAGTCATCCATCCACCTGCGCTGGGACGCCGCTATCTCTGCCTATCTTTGCCCGATTCATCTGATGATCCCTCTCCCGAAGAACCCGTGTGTGTGCTAGCCGGTGAAAGGATTGGCTCATCATGAGCTTCTCGGGTTGAGGCACAGCGAGGGGTAACGGATTTTTACCTCTGACGATCTCTGGAGAATGGATGCGTGGCCATGCGCGGGTTGTGGGTTTCATGCGCGCATGCAGATACTGTACATAGTCGAGAAACCGCACATCACAGCAATGGGATTGTTGTTGTTCGATCTAGAACGTCTGACGCACGGTAGGCATCTGTCTGCTGACCGGAGTCCCTCGGCATTCAGGTGCCGTCTGCAACTCGAACAGGGCCGGTTCATGGTGGTTTAATTTCACCCGGCCCGAGTTGGGTGGTGTTTGCGACTTGTCAGTGCGATTTGCTGTGAGCTTCGTCGTCCATGAGCTTCGCCGAGAGATACAACAACGAAATGCGTGTAAGTGAGTGATGAGTGACTGGGAGAAGAGCACCGTGGGACGATCTGTCGTTATTTTTTCACACAAACCCTTATTAACCGTGGCCATCGACCCACCACCCATCGGGGGGTGCGGAGGTATCAATCGAAGGAAGCGTCGATGCAACTTCAAGCAGGCCTCAGGCCATCATCACCTTCAAAGCAAGGCAGTGCCTATATGGTATGTGTACGTGCATACATACAAGGATGCGGTCCTTCCGATCAGCCCTTTCGAACATTGAGTCAACGCATGATTTTTGCACAATCTTCAGGTTACCGGCTACTCACTGCTCCTCCAGACATCTGATATTGGGGGGATCGAAGTTATTGGGTTATCGTAGCATGAAGGGTCCCTCGGGTACCTATACGTTGTATGGGGTGAGGAAATCTGGAGTGCGGAGAGCCTGAGGAGGGAGTGAGTTATTTGCAAGTTGGTACGTGTAAGCCCGGAAACCAAAGCCGGGCGCGATTCCGGAGGTGAAAAAGGTGGTCTGCTCTCTCGCGTTCCACAGACTTCGGCGCATGCCACTGCACGCGAATGCGCTGCGCCGGTGTTATCGTATAATGACATGGTTGGCGGCATCCAGTGGCATCCCTCGTCCTGGGTGTTTAGGGTCGAGAACCGGAGCTCTCTCTCCGGCTTGCTTGGAGTCCCCACATAACAAAGGGCCTGGACTCCTACCCCTGGCACGCACGTCTCCGTATGTGATCTGAGCGGTTGTCTGATGTCATCATAAGCGAGGGTAGAATGCTTTGGATGCGGCTCCGGTCATGCACTTCCGTCCAGTGCAAGCGCGCTCTCACCCTCGCGTGGCGGATATGCCCGACCCACCTTGGACCGGAGAAAGTCAGGGACGGTTCGATTGCCCTGGCGAACTGTAACGAGCGGAGTCACGATTGAGCATGGAGTGGGGCCGTCCTGCACGCTCGCTTGGCCGGATCCACAGAGTTCTCGATCGCCAGCCAAAAGCTCGATCCTGACCTCAGGTTGGTCCCCAGTAGTCCCCAGTGCCAATCGCCGATGGGAGACCCTGAATCCGGTTATCACTTTCCGTGGAGCTCCCAATCGCATTGTTTCCCTTACCGTTTCCGTCAAAGATGAGCGCCCCATCCCTCTTTTCCCGTGGCATTTGATGTGCAAAGGTACATACCATAGTGTACCACAGGACCGGAAGCTGACCTGGGCTGGGCTGACCTCCCTATCTTTATGACCAACCGACCATCATTAGGCTCGGTCCAATCTGAAGCGCCAAACGGTGAAATGACATGCAGCAAAATCCGGCATGAATTTTGCAATCCAAGTGGCAAGAGAATTGGTTCTCCTAGCGGACCTTCTGCCCCTGAAGCAAAAGGAATTCACATGTTGCCCCTTCAAGCATATACTGTGTAGAAGCCTTTGCCCCCGAAGAAGGCGAAGCAGCTTATTAGGTACATATATACACAACGTACCTACAGTAGGTACATTAGAAGAGTGACGATGCGATGCCAGGGGACCGGAGGATCCAGCACGGACCGAATTTAGCACGGCACTAGTGATTCTCTCTCGGAACACCCCTCCAGTAAAGCGCACCTCGTTGGCTAGCCGGCACTCACCAAGCCACAACGCCTTAACACAGCTAGATGATCATCAAGGTGTGCCCGGTTTATACAACGATATGCGAAATAATCGTCTGGCAACATGAAGCCCTTCGTAGTGAATTGGAATGAACCGACTGGATCGGGCAGCTTACGGCGATCCGTATCAGAGTACTAGTAGTAATAGTTGCGCTCAAAGATAGCCTTGTCGATCAGGTGACGGTCACTAACGGACTCTGTTGAAGCTCTCAAAGCTGAGGGATGTTTGTACACCACCTTCCTGAAACAAAGCTGGTCAATAGGACCCTGCAACAGTCGGGTAAACAAGCTTGACTTGTTGGCGGTCTGGCACACTACATACGTGGATGGTTCTAGTATGGGCAGAAGGGTCCTCGGTACCTGTGCTATGAAGGGAGGGACCTCCAGGGCTAGGGTCCTCCAACAACAAATGTTTGTGGTCCACCCTGGTGCAGACTGTCCAGGGGTTCAAGGCCTCCATAGAAGCTTCCAGTTGTTGTACGCTTCGTACACAGCGACGGAATCGCAAGCTGCCAAGCTTGAAGGTTGCACGTGAATTATTACTATGTAGTATGCAAACATTTCATGAATTTGGGAGCAGGGGATTGGCAGGTGGCTGGGTATAGTTGTTAGGCGGTGTTGAACCGGACAACATTCAATTGTTTCGATGACAACCAACTCCGGATGTCACCACCTTCTAAAGGGGTACGAATCTGAGCACTCGGAGGCCCTGTGAAATAGACCACTATTTGCGACGACAGAGATACCTATACTACCTATACCGGAGAGGAGACATAGAGAATAGTGTACTCTGTAATGTGCCTTATATCGTACCTGCCTTACCTCTCTCACCGCCCGAGTTCCTGATGTCCCGTCTGCAAGTTATTTCCAGTCCGGAAAGATACATGACCAAGTCAATGCTACTGCACTGAACTGGACGTGCCGAATTCCGAACGACAAGTCAACGGCCCGGTCTAGGTTGCTCAACTGCACCTGCTGTCCAGATATGCTTCCATGATCCGTCTCGCCCATGATGGACACTTCTGTGGAGAAAGCCCAGAGTCTGAAAGCGATTGCGGGACCCATGCAGCTACTGACGTCATCTACAAACTGCGGCCGTGATACAGTTCAATGGGCCAACACAAATCCAATGAAGTGCGTGAAAAGCAGAGGAAGCAAACTCGTCCACAAAGGCACCTCCGACACGTAAATTCAAACAGTGAAGTAAAGAAATGAAATGGAAGCACACGCAGCAGAGTTGGCAAGCAGGGCAAGCTCTGCCGCGGACTGTTCCCGAGGAAACGTTCCCAAGTTCCAGGCTGGAGACCTGAAAGGGGTTCTCGGTGGCTTCGGGAAAGTCGTCCACACAAGGCGGGCCAATCATGCACGGCCCAGCTCTCGGTGCTCACGCCTCGCGCTGGCTTTCTTGATAGCTTCTGCGTTCCTGATCTGCCCTCTTACACTAGGCGCCAAAAGGTCGCGCATCCGAGATGCTGGTCCACCATCCCTTATGGCACGACGACGTCGGCGCTGGGTAGGACTCGCATGCCACTAAAACCTCACAATTTACACGACCACCTCAACATCACAACCCATGGACTTTACAGTCCGTTCGTCATAATGAGGAAAATAATGGGCCTTCAGAGCGGCCAATTGCAAGCGGAACAAGCGCGGCTACGGAACGGTTCACGGCTTTTAGTGCAGCGGCGAATGGGCGAATTTCGTCATCGAATCCACCGCCTCCAGAAGCTGGAACCCTGAATGACTCGCCGAGCCCTGTCTTTCAAACGGCGCTCACCCGCGCATGGGATCACAAGCCAGCCAGCCTTCTGCACACACCCCTTCCCCGCTCCCTCCAAGGGTTTCCCTGTCCGCCCTTGAGCAGCAGGGCAGCTGCGGGCCCCCAGAGTGCCATGCAGAAGCGATTGTGGTAGCAAAAGCTCGAGCCCGTTCTCCAGCATGGGGTTTCATGCACTCCCTTGAATGTACCTGGTGGCATGCCGGTTTCCTTTATTAACTCGAGGCGCTCCCCTCCTGGCAACCGCAGGATGTTTGCATTTCTAGCTTTTTAGTAGTCCTCTCACCTGTCAAACAATTTTCCCAAGGTCCTTGTCCGGCGTCTCACACGAACGCCGTCCCATCTGACCATCAACTAAGCAGCGTGCCCTGTCCCAAACGTCACCATGCACGGTCTCGATGCTTCTGGGCGCCAGATCTCGCTCTTGAATGACGATGATGATTTATTGTGGAACACCAGCCGATCTCACCCTTCTCAACCTGCACCATCTTACTACTCGCAAAAAGCACTCCGGACCTCAACAACACCAAACACCCCCCAGCTACTCCGTTCAGACTCTTATGACTCTGGGACAAGTCTTGAGCCAATATCTCCAATGACGCCAATGTACGAGCCAGCGATGCGATATGCGCCGTCAATAGGCACCGCCCGTTCCCCATTCGACGAGCAGTTTCCAGATGGTCTCATCTTTGCCGGTATGAAACGGAGGCCGAGCACTCTCAGTGACAGCCACCGCTCTCTCTCCTATGAAGACGACTCCTCCGCGACAACTCCTACCAGTGAGCGAGCCGAGAAAGGGGGAAGGAGATACCCCTGCCGCTTCCGGGACACCCACGGCTGCGACAAGACCTTCACTACGTCAGGTCACGCCTCACGGCATTCCAAGATCCACACGTCCGAGAAATCCATTCCCTGCTCTTTCCAGGGCTGCCTCAAGAAGTTCACGCGCACCGACAACATGAAGCAGCACCTTGAGACCCACTACAAGGACAGAATCAGGTCTTCCCGGCCTTCTCTTTCAGAACGCAGGTCATCTTCTGCCTCCACGAAGTCATCGGCGGGTCGAAGCAAGGCGGTGTCAGCGGCCTCAGCTACGACTGCGCCCTTACCTTGCCCCGTCAACGGCGTCTGGGAGCAGCCGCAGCCCGGCCGCCGCCCTAGTGCCGTGCATTTGCCGGCCAGCGGGCTTGACGTCCTCGCCCTCGCGATAGCATGTCAGGATGACGCATAGGGCGCATTTAAACATCATACTTTCTTAACACCGCTGTGTTGATACACGGACTTAGCCTGGGGCTTTTCTTTCAGTTGGTTTTTCAGGGAGTCCAAACACTTAGGGCTTTTCTTCTCCACTCGGGCGGTATTCTGGTCCATTCCTTGCAGCAACTCAGGGCAGTTGCCAAAAGGATTGCGCATACACAAAGTTGGCGACGTTGTCTTGCCATATGAAAGGGTTTTTTGCAACGAGGGGGAGGGAGGAGCATATATCTTGGGAAGGACGGCGTTATTGATGGTGTTCAGAGTTCGCACACAAGGATGTCGGGGGCGGCGGCTTTTGTCTGGAATGACGTTGCCGGGTTTTTTCTTTTTTTCTTTTTTTTACTACCCCTTTTCCCTCACAGATACGACATGTTTAACGTTAATCTTCATATTTGTCGCACCCGCCCACGGTAAAAGATGGACGGGGTGAGTTTGGATACGAAAGGGGTGGGCAAAGCTCCAGCAGGAACTGGTCCCAACGGAGATGGCCTGAAGGGCAAGCCTTGGGATTTGTCTTCACCCCGGCGCCGTGAGCAATGAGCATCGGGTGGGTTGGGCCTGAGCGCTATCTATCGCAATAGCAAGAGCTATGGGTATTTTCGGTGGCTTCGACGATCATCTCGACGAGAACAAATGGACAGATGGATGCAATGGAGAGGAGTGACCTGCAAAGGCACATATATCGTATGTACACAGGCAGGGAAAAAAGTCGCGACTAAAAGCCTCTCCACAATTAGATGGCTCTGCTCATGTGCTCGTGGCTATGCATGCTCCATGGTTCTAGACGGCGATGTTGGATCGAGACATGTCCTCTTTCTCCAGGCCTCCTCTGATTACTCATTAATTATTCATTGCTGTCGCAATGACAAAACGGATCGCAAAGGCGTGGCTGTCAACGTTCCACTCACTGATCTCCACGAAACATCACCCTTCTCCCCAGAATTCCTCATCCTCTGCACAAGCCCTCGCCATTTCGTACTGCTCGTCTGTCTGACAAACCAGCACCCTCGGCGATACCCCCTTCTTCCCAACCTCCTGCACAACAGCTTGGACTTTGGCCGCGTTCGCCTTCTCATCGATCGCGAAGCCCAAGCAGCCGACTTGGTCGACAACGGCCGCCCTCAACCTGTCGCTCTTCTCGCCTATGCCTCCGGCAAACACCAGCGCATCGACTTGGCCTCGCAGCGTAACGAAGTACGAGCCGATGAATCCGCAGATGCGGTCGACGACGAGATCGAACGCCAGACGCATCTTCTCGTCGTCGGGCTTGCCGGCAATGATGCCGAAGTTGGTGGTTCCCGTCAAGGCTTTCCAGCCAGCTTCCTTGTTTAGGATCTCCTCGGCGCGGGAGATGTGGAGTTCTTTCGTGGAAGCCGGGGATAGTTTGCCCACATCGCTTGCGTAGTGGAAGACCAGGCTTGAAAAGGGATGTCAGTTATGATGAAGAGAACCGACGGGGCGGGACGAAGAAGGGGCGCCAATGGGAGGGACCGGGGTGGTACTAACCTAGGATCAACACTCCCGCTCCTGGTTGCACCCGGCAAACCAGCCAGCGGTGTCAGACCCATGCTGGTATCCCAGCTCTTGCCCCCCTTGATGGCGCACGCGCTCGCCCCAGAACCCAGGTGCAGTACGATGAGATTGATGTCGTCCCGCTTCTTGCCCAGGAACTCGGCCGCGGCGCGGGTGATGAAGGAGTAGCTGATGCCGTGGAAACCGTACTTGCGCAGGCGGTTGCTGCGCGCGATTTCCTGGTTGATGGGATAGGTGCGGATATGCTCCGGGATGGTGGCGTGGAACTGACTGTCAAAACAGGCGACGTTGCGAGTGCTGGGGAGCTTCTCGATGCACAGCCGCACAATTCCGAGACTATTCGCATTGTGCAGTGGTGCCAGGTCGTTGAGGTTCTCCAGGTGGTGATAGGTACCGTCGGATATCAGCTGCGGCTTGCTGTAGTCGCCGCCGTGGACGATGCGATGGCAGATGAATCCGATGTCATCCTTGCTTTTGATGTCGGGCAGGTCGTGATCCCCAATCAACGTGTCCAGGATGAGGCTGAAGGCGTCCCGCTGCCCGTTGACCTTCTCGTCGACCTCACGATTCTCGATGATCGGTTTGTCGCCTCGTGTGTATTTGAGCAGCGCGGGAGGGGCCGTCAGGCCGCTCACTTGGGATTCGGCGATCTGCGTTGGGCTCTGACCTCGCTCAGCGCTGTACACTGAAACCTTCACGGACGAGGAGCCCGCATTGACGCTCAAAATGATCTTCTTCATTGTTGCCAGCTGTTTAATAAAGAATCCGGATGTATCTGTCGACTGCAGGACCCCGTGTTACTGAAGCCAAGAAAGGCGAGAAGACGGTAGGGTGGGGTCAGTTGTCTTTCTCAACTCTCAAGCTCCTAGCTGCCAGTCAACACTGGGACGGTTCTTTTTATGCCCCTGGCGGATGAACGTAGTGTAGACCGAGGACGCTTCCTACGGCGGGAATTTGACATCAGGTGAGAGAGGTTGCGCCGTGATACGACTAGGCGGCATCCCATCGTGGGCTGACAAGACCCTAGATTGACTGCGGGGGATGGCCCGGGGGAAGCTGATGGTATGACGTCGTGCAGGCTTGGCTCTGAGAAGGGGCTTGCACGTGGCTCGCAGCGGGGCCATCCGACAGGTTCTCGCCGGGCGGGGCACCTGCTGATACAGCACAGGTAAACCCCCACTGAAGCTTCGGTCTGCAGAGCGAGCAAGCCATGATGGACGACATCCTCTCCACGGATATCCTTCTTCTGTCGGTTTACCACCGACGCACTCACTTGCGGTTACCCCAATTCCGGTGGTTCTGATCTCCCAAGCTTTTCAAGGTCACTGATGCAACACGTTATGACCATCATGCCGGCACAAAGGGGTATCTATTGCAGAAACCTTGCAAAAGGGCACCTCGATCCCTCCCCTGTCTAACATCATAGACAGCGATTTCGATGGTACGTCCACTTCATTGAGTCGCGTCAGAGTCTGGTTCGTACGCTGGCTCGGCCACCGGCGGGAGATTCGAGCGCAATTCGGGTGACGGTAGCTCGGATACCCCGTTGATGTGAGCGGAGCCGCGTTCATGATATCCATTAAGATATGGCGACGGCAACTCGACATGGTTTGTCGGAAAAGTTGCTGTGAATTGGGCGTCTGCCATATGTGCAGCATTCCACTGGTCAATGAACCTCCTGTAATCTTGACGCTGGTAAGCCTGCCGCGCGAGTTGAGCAGTTTCGGGGGTAGAAAGCAAGCGGGTGGCGGCGCACTTACCGTCACTCCCGGCTTGAATGTTGGCGTTCCTTGAGAATTGAATGCCGAGATAACGTATGTCGAGGGCACTCTGAGCGACCGATGACGAGGACGAAGCGTTCCCGTTGACCGGTGGATTCCGTTGTCCGGATCGGAATATGGACGTCGCCGAGAAGCGCCGTTCGCGGTTCCCTCTTTGACTTTGACTGCTTTCCGAGGCGCTCCCTCTCCTAGCGCCGCGCGCACCCAACTGAAGCCGGCGGTGCCTGTCGTCCCGCTGGCGCAATTCCGTGTCGAAGTCATCGAGCAGGTACTCTTTCCAACACCGCCGATGGTTAGCATAGAAGGTCAAGTAGTGAAACGTCGAATATCTGTCACGCCACAGCTTTATCCTCTGAATCGTGCCCAATCCCCTGACATTGCCGTACGAGTCGGTCCTGCGGTCTCTGTCGGACCACACGACGTCAACATCGAACCAATCGATTAGGTCTCTTCTCCTGATGTCGCTCTGCAACTGGATCGACCCCTCGATGGTCGTGAATTCGTACTTGACTTCGATGTACTCATCGTGCACTATGCCGTCTGTTGTGGTATAGCGTATGCGGTGCGGCTGGGAGAAGGTCAGGTAGAGCTCCAGTTCTCGGGGGTCGCCGAATCGGCGATGCTGCGCATGGAGCGTGTATGGGAAGAGTTCGCTGGGGTCGTCAGAGGGGACTGCGCTGCTTCTTAGTGATGCGAACTTTTCGGTCGATGAAGCAGGAACACATATCAGACATACGGAAATGTTCCAGTACCTCGCCCGCATAGCTGCATTGCCAGAGCAGGCGCCGTGGGTTGGCACCAACAATTTCCCAGGGGCCGAGGTACACTGTCGTTTCGTTCGGTGTCCGCTCGAATAGCTTTCTAGACAGCCGGGGTTGTCAGAAGACAGAGCGCTGCGCAGTCGGGGCAAGGAAGGATAGGCCGTGGCGGCTATTACATTGTCGCTTGATAACCAGGGGGCCCAAGGTCGAGAGGCGCCGGGGGTGTTTGTGGGGCTGAGGACTCGGCCGTTAGGGCAGAGATGGCGGCCGAGGTTGGCGTGAAGGTCGAATCGACCGGGCTGGGTTGCTGCCCACGGGATGGCTGGGTGCTCAGAGCCGACGACATGAAGGAGGAAGAGGAGCCAGATCGCCAGGACGTTGCCATGTTCGGTCCGCACGACGTCACCCTGCTCAGAGTGCCGTGCACACCGAGGTTCGGTGGGAGTAACTGCGTAGCCAGAACCCGGAGAGCCACGGAGAGGCTGTCAGGGGATCGACGATGCAACGCTTGACCATCTCAGTAAACTAGAGAGAGTTGACCGGCCCAACCCTGTCGTCTAAGTAGTCCTGGGAACCGAGAGATGGCCGACCTGCAGAGGTTGACGATAAAGGCTCAGAAATGTGCGGGCTTGTGTGACCGGCGGCAGTCCACGACATGATTATCCGGACAGGCGACGGCGATGTTGATATGAACCGGCGGTGATGGGCGGCGAGAATGGCGTAAAAGGCTGGCTCTTTTTCCCCAACATCAACCGCTCAGCTCGACGTGGTCGGCCGGGTTGGTAGTACCGACACTGTAGGTAGAATCTGCAGCGTTCCGATGTAGAAAATCGCCAGCTTCCAGCGGGTAAGCTAGCAGGTTTCCTCCGCAGTGGAAGACAGCCGCGCGCGGGGGCCAGCGCCGCCGGTGGTATCCGCCCACCGAGAATCCCAAGGCGTGCCGTGGACCAACGCGTGTTGGTCCCAGACAACAGCGTCTGGTGCGGTTCAATGGCCGTGTGGGGGCAGGGGTAGCCGATGGGGTTGCGCTGGGAGCAGTCGCCGCAAGCGACAGGCCCACGGGCTGGCAACGCGCACTGCGATTTGCGCGATGAACCATGTGGTGGCTCATGGACAGGGGTCCAGCTGCGCATTAGCTTAAATCCGCTTGTTGCTCGCCTGTGTGTGTCACCATAAAGCGCCACTGGTGGGGAGGCTAAAAATCCTCCTATTGCTCGATGTCATCATTGTCATGGCGCTGGGTGCTTGGCTGCCTTTCGGGGAGGATCGGCAACTATCGTGAAAGAAGACAGCCTTAAAAGTATAAGGTAAAATAGTAGGTCGTACTGGTAGTGGTATCCAGCTTGCTGCGATGGCGTGGGGTTAAAGCTGGGATTACCCTAACCCTAATGGGGCTTCGACCCCAGGGCAAAACGGGTGGTTCCGGTCCCGCGCTCGGGTCCCTTTCCGCTGCCCCCACTCGAAGTCAACCTCCAAACTTGTCTGGCACGACGTAGAGTTCCGCATGCCGGCATGGCAAATGTTCGACCATGACAGGGAAACAACTATCCGATGACCGTCGGCTTATTTTGTCGAGGTTGCTTCAGATCACAAAGCTCAATAACAACGAAATCGCGTGGGTGCTCGGCGTAGACGAGCGAACAGTCCGCCGGCGGAGGTACGAGTTCGAGGCCACAGGTGAAATCAAGAAACACAAAGATGTCAGCAAGAACGCCGAGAAGCTTAAACCACATCACGTCGAGGTATTGTGTCATATCTATGTCCCTGTCTGCCCAGCTTACTGACGAGATGTGTCCCGGATACTCAGAAGCTCGTGGTTTGGCACAGGGACCACCCCGATGCTCTCCTCGACGACATGCAGTTGTTTCTGCGGACGCAGTGCGGCCTCGAAGTCAGCATCGCGACGATCAGCCGACAACTGAGAAAGGCATACGGGGGGACATTTTTGCGGAGCGGGCGCTGCGCGCGGATAAGGTCAAGGCAACAACGTGTGGCGGAAGGGCGATCCATTGCCCTTGAGCTTCAGCAAAGTGCAAGCGGTGACAGCAACAATGGTCAAACACCTGCCCCTGAGCCGTATCACGAGCGCGATCAACGGCAGCTGGCTCCGCTGGAACAGGTACTAGAGCCGCAACAACAGTAAGAGTTACCGCGACAGGCGCCCCCGGCGACGCATCACGCAGCCGCCGGGCAGCAGTATTAGACATTAGATTAGCAGCGCCAGCTAGCTTGGTGGAACGCCGTCAGTGAGTTATTATGATGCATGTACGGAGTAAGCGCCCCGGGCAGAGAGCCGGTTGAGCGTGTTATCCTTGGATGTCGGTAGTAGTTGGCTACACCGCGATCCCTGTAGTTGATAGCACTTTCGGGGTTTTATGGTCTTGGCCGGTAGGTTGGTTCCGGGCGTGGAGGATGGCCGTAGTGACAACCCGGTAAATCTCATACATTCACTGCTTCATAAGTCGTTGTCGTTGGTAGTATTGCTATTCGGCCGTCCAGTAAGCCATACAGCGTAACGTTTAGATGTCTACCTAAGCTGGGTGTTTTGACACCCGGGCCAACAATCACGAAGCGAGGTCGGATAAGCGTACCATGATAACCTAGCGGTACATGGAAAGTTTGTCGGATGATTCAGATCAAGAACTGTACACGCGGGTCCCGCCCGCTTCCGAAGGACGGGACTGCCGGTCCGGGACTCGTGCTGTCTGCCTTTGACTGGATGCTGTCATCGGACCAATGAGAGGCGCGAACTCGGGAGCAGGCTGCTGTCCGCCAATGTGATTGGTTGACCTTTTAACATCGCCAACTGCTGTGCACGGGACACAACTGAACTAAGGACCATGACGAATCCAGGTTGTCGGGCCTGTGAAGCTGCAACCTCTGCAGTGCGATCGTGCTGCAGACCTAATAAAACACTCAAGCCTGACGATTCTACAGCACAGCAGTACAAGGCTTGCGCGTTTTAAAAGAAGCTGGGACGATGATCGAGTTGAAAGGTGGCCTTGAAGCACCTTGAAGCGCCTCGAAGCTGCCCCGCTCTCTTCGATCTGCCTAGGTCTTGGCCAGAAGCCTGCCCGAACTTTGTGCAACACAACTTGAGCTTCCAAGCACTTGGCAAACTCGGTCTGTCTCTCTCAAGCATAACCAGCGCACTTTCCAAGTGAGCTGAACCGCGCTTTCCTTGGCCCCAGAGGGCCCTCCAGATATCGCGAGGCTATACACAATCATGGCATAGCAAAATGCAGCCAGTCTGCGGCTCAAGCTGTGAAGATCTCTGCAACCGTAGAACGCATGGAACTATTGTTGAAGATGGACCTCATTTGACGATCCGGCCCGGGGAGAGATGGATGCTCAACCCCCTGCCGCAGGGCCCGCTCCCCATCGCTCCCCCCCACACACGCCCAATCCCCGGAAACTTAGCATTGAATGGATTTGACTTCGGGGACTGGGCCATAGACAGTGGGGGCCTGATGTCGCTTTAGTGTCGCTTGGCCCTGCAGCAAGCAATATGAGCAGTGGTGTATCAGGCCTGCCCAAGCACTTGGCTCGACTCTCTTGACTGGCTGCCGTCCTCACAATAACTGACCGTGTATCTGGATTCCGGGGACGCATCTTCAGGAGCTGCTCACGGTTCACTCGCCGGGTCCGACATGTAGACGGGTGTCCAGCAGATACTCGGTTACCTACGCGCTCTGTATGGCGGCCGAGATGTATCCAGATCCCGAGAAGAAGAGAAACCGCGGCTATCTGGGATACGACAGCTCGGCACTGACACCACACGACCGCCAGGTAGGTTGTCGCTATCTGTTTCCCTCTGCTTGTGAGGAGCCTTGACGTGCTGACCAGGCACCGGCAATGCTAGGACCGCCAGCAATTGCGATATGAACTCGATCTCAACTCATGGAATCTAAGGATTTGGGGAGTGGCGGCCTCGGGCTTTCTTACAGACTCGTGAGTGCCTTCTACCTGTCTCACTCCGGCAGCGATCAAAGATGTGTTGACTTGGCATATTCCCAGATATAACCTGTTTGCCACCAATGTCATTCTCTCGACCATCTCATTCGTCTATTTCCCTCACGCAAAATGGTGTGGTCTGGTCATCAACCTGGCCACGCTGCTTGGGTAAGTAAGGCTGGTGGCTCGTGTGCGCTGCTATCCGCGCTCGACGAGAAGCCCGGCTGACATGGCAAACGCTTGGCAGATCAGTCATAGGCCAGCTGCTTTTCGGCTACCTCGCGGATAGGTATGGGAGAACGCGCCTCTACGGCATCGAACTCGTGCTGGTCATCGTCTCCACCATCGGAGTTGCCACGACCAGCGATGGTTACGAGGACATGTCTTTCTTGGCGCTCTTTACCTGGGTATGTACTGGTAGCGATCAGCGATGCCCGGCTTTGCGGTTTTAGCGTGACTTTGACTGACCATGGTTGTCCAGTGGCGTTTTGTAATGGGAGTAGGTGAGTGCAGCCGGCACGGTCGATTCTCCTTGCCTATTCATCGGTCCACTATCCAGGGACCGAGCTCTTCTGACGCTTCCCAGGCATTGGCGCTGAATATCCATTATCAGCCGTGATCACCTCAGAATGGGCGAGCACATCGTCGAGGGCGACCATGCTGTCGTCCGTGTTCCTGATGCAGCCCGTCGGGCAGGCTCTTGCCCAGCTCGTCGGTCTCTGGGTCCTGCTGGGCGAGGACCGTGCCCATAACCTCCACGACAAGCAGTGTGGTATTGACGCGCTACACGAGGAGGAATGCAAGAAGATTATCGACGGCATATGGCGCCTCGTCATCGGCTCCGGGGCGGTGCCTGCGCTGCTCGCTATCATCTTCCGTTTCTTTCTGTACGACTGCGGCCTCTACACGCTCGAGGTCAAAAACAAGCCAGGGAACGCCTTCAGGGACACGCAGAGAGTCTACGGCGCACCGCCGACGCCCAACGGCATAGCTCTGTCCCCCGGCGGCGGCAGGAACCCGTTCGAGTCTGATCCCGCGCCGCGGCAGTTCGCGTTCGAGGACCTACACAGCTACTTCATCAAGGACAAGAACTGGTACTATCTTCTCGGCACCGCCATGACATGGTTCTTCCTCGACGTATCGTTCTATGGCTTCAGCCTCGACAACCGAGGCACTCTTGCCGACCTCTGGGCCACGCATGAAAGAGTCCATGTCAGTCCTGACCTCCCGTGCTGGAATTCCACTCTTCCCGGCGGGACACCGCTAGCTCGAACCTGGCAGACGCTGGGGATCCCAACGTGGCAGAGCGACGTCACAGAGCCATGCAACACCATCTACCAGACGCTCATCGAGCAGACCAAGCAGTACCTCGTCACCGTGTCCATCGCCTCCATCGCAGGAAGCGTCTGCTTCATCTTCTTCGCAAACCGCATTCGGCGCCGGGAATGGCTGACCTGGTCCTTCATTATCCTTACTGTACTCTTCCTCGTCACGGGCGGTGTCTACTACGGAGTATCCCACAGGCCTGGCGCGCCGGCTACCGTCGTATGCGTTGCCATCTGCCACTTCATGTTCAATTTTGGTAAGCCTCCGAAACCCTGCACTCTCCCATTTTTTCTTCTCAAGGTTTCACTAATAATATCGGATGCTGCACCACCACAGGAGCCAACACCCTCACCTTCATAATCCCCGCCGAGATCTTCCCCACCTGCTACCGCTCGACCTGCCACGGCATCTCGGCCGCGGCCGGCAAGCTCGGCAGCATCGTCGCCGTCCTGGTCGTCTACGGCATCAACTCGGGCTACTCCAGCTCCACCCGCCAGGGCCTGATCTTCCTGCTCTTTGCGACCTTCATGGCGCTGGGCGCAATCTACTCGTGGGCCTACCTTCCGGACATTCAGAGGGTTGTCTACGATGGTGAGGGCGGGCGGAAGAGGCTCGAGACCAAGACCCTGGAGGAACTGGGCGAAGGGTACATAAGGGCTTGCCAGGAAGGGCAGGTCATCGGCATGCGGAGGAAATGGGAGGACCTGAAGGGTAGGCTAAGGAATAGGAAGAGGCTGAGGTCGAGAGGAGGTGAGCCAGCGCCTCCCCCTCCTCCGGCTGGGACTGCCGAGGTGGATGGGACCAGTCTTGCATGAGGACTGTATATTGTTTTTGTTCTTGGGTATCTACGCGGGATAAGGGCTTGGATGGTGGGAGGTTCGTATCTTCGGTTGGCTACTATCTTGTTATTGCGTTAGAGTTGGTATATCTATCAATATTTGCAGTAGGAGGTCGAATATGAATGGGCCATTATGGACACACTTTCTTCTGCCCCCCTTTCTTCTTGTCTTTCGTCTGTTGGGCTCTAAGGAAACCTGACCGTGATCGAGTCGATTGGCCTACTTCAGACGCTTCTGGTTGCTACAAAAGCACAGGTAGGTGTTCCTCGCTTTGAAACATTTTTGTTAATATTTTCCCGCCCGATAGAAACATGCCGGAGAACGGTTAACACAAATAAATGGATTTGCAACACTGCTGGCTAGTAAGAGGTCGTCCGACACAGGTACCTTATCAGACCAGTCACAAGCGACAGTGCCTTTTTAAAACAATGACTGGAGTGGTATTTGTGCTGTCTACCTGTCCTTTGCCCACCTATATAACCTTGATTGCGCACCCTTGAGTTGTACATGTAGACCCAACAGTCGATGCTGTCGCCAATACCCACGTTCCGCCCTTCCAACCCACATAACCAAAAATAATGGTAGCGAAGAAGAGCTGTATCCAAACGCCATGCCCGTGACCAAGAATTCGTAATAGCCAAAGACTCATAACGCGGTCTCTCTTGGCTTCGAAAATCCAAAGTAAAAAAGACCGGCAAGTGCCCATTCAAATCATATCACCAAGAAAAAATAAATAAAACCAAAAATGCCACCCGTCTAAGGCGCCGGTTCCCACGGCATTTCCATACCATCCATCGACCCCATCGCCATGATGGACCTGAAGACCCCCTCGGCAACAGGCGTCATCCCCTGCTGCCCGGCCATGTCCGCCCAGGTTGTCGCACCAGGCGTGTCGCCACCGGCAGTGGGCATGCTGAACCGCTGATCGGGAGTCATGCCCGTCGAAGCGGCAGCCGGGATTCCGAACGACGGGTCGCCAAAGAAAGCAGCATTGACATTGCGTTCAACGTCATTAGGTGCCGGGCCTGACATGCCGCTTACGTTCTGGTGTGAGCACACAGGACTAGTCTCGAAGGAGTTGCTGCCCGAGCCGCTGTTCAGATGACATGCACCGCCGCCGGGTGTTAGATTCGTGCGTTGTTGGGGGTCTGACATGCCGGTTGTGCTCGAGTTCGGCGTCGGTCGGTTTGACGGGCCGTCTGGGGAGGTGCCGGCGCCAGACAGGTCGTTGGTGCTGCCCGAGTCCAGGTCGGCGGGAGCACCGTAGGCCGAGAAGGAATGCGGCAGGACGCCATTGTCGGGCAGGTACGGGCTGGTGATGATGCGCTCGCGACTCGGGAGGCTGGTTGGGTGTCCAGCGGTGGGCGAGAAGCCTCGAGGGCCGGTGCTGGCGTCCACGTCGATGATCTCGGGGGCATTGGCGGAATTGCCGTCGTCCCCAGGGACTTTCATGTAGTGACACTGGTTGGTGTACCTCAGGATGCCATGCCGCTTCTGATGGTCGACGGGGTTGCCGCTAGCGATTGACACGAGACCAGGCGGAACATGTCTAGGGGAACCCGGCTAGTTCCAGTGAGCATCCTGTACATGAGATGGAACAGACGGCTGGGGAGAGGATGGGACTAGCACATACGCTATCGCTGCTGCGAGGAAAGGCGCTGCGCAGCTTTGGGATGCGTACGCCTAGCGCCTCGAGATCCACGTCTAGCTGGACCAGGAAGGATTCAGTGAGAGGGTTCCGTCGCTTCAGCGCATTCATGGCCGACAGGAGGAACCGCAGCGAATCGGCGGTTTGGCTGTCGTCCGGCCGGCTCTTGAGGTATTGGACAAACACCCGAGCGGACACGTAGAGACAGAAAGAAATGAATGGGTTCATCTGAGAGGATCGGTTAGTATGATTATTATGCCCAGCGCATGTGTTGCCATATATTACCGTAGAGAGATCAAGATGCGAGACCATCCTCATGATGCTCGCAATCTCGTTTGCCGCCGTAATGCAGCGCACTTTGCTCTCGGAGCTCACCGAGGCCGGTAACCTGTTCTTGTCCGCCTTGAAGATGGCCGCCTGGTGCAGGCAGATGGTGGATGTGTGTATACACATGTTGGTGAACACGACGTTGGGGTTGCCGAGGCCACTTGGCAGCTTCATGTAGGATGGCAAGGAGAGCGACGTGTTGAGCAGGATGTTGTCCATCTGCCGATGTCTCTTCCAGAACTCTCCATTCAGGTCATGGTCCCGGTCGTCGGAATCTGGGCGGTGCAGATGGACAAGATTGCGCCCGAAAAGGCATGCCATGAGGACGATGCCGCCAAAGGGTGATAGCTTCCCTACGCCCGCGGCAGTCATGGCGTCCTGGAGTGTCGGGCTCTGGTCGGGGCGGCTCAGCTCGAACGCCTCATCAGCCGCGGGCAAGTTTGTCAGGATATCCTTCTCGTCGATGGTCATGGGCCATCCCGTGCCGATGCTTGCAAAGCGGTCGAGACAGAATGCCATCCAGAACGTCCGCCTCCGCTCTTCTCTCTCTGTCCAATCTCGCGGCGGCGGGAGGCATTGCTTGACATCCAGTCCTGCTCCGTCGAGGCGATGAAGACCGATCCTGTGGAACGTAAGCAACGCTCCCTCCGGCTGCGTACCTGAAGCGGAACTTACATCTGGGACAGCCGCACACCTGAACCAGTGCTCATCCAAGCTCTGGGGAAGTACATCCACTTGAACTCGTACGAGGCCAGCAACAGGTGAGTCTGCGCGTGCGCGACCGAAATCATATGCTCGCCATACCCCTTGATATAATCCGACTCAAGATATTTCCTTGACCGGGCGTAAAATAAATCCTTGAGAGTTTGGTACTTATCAGACACGGAACAGGCCAGCGTCCACATGGCATACCGAAGGCAAACGGGCGGTCGTTGCGCTGGAGCACTAATGGACTGTCAGCATCGCAATGGATTCAGCCGGGATTTACGAGGCATACAGATTCATAGCCGCCAGGTAACGGTATTTGTGGATCATCGGCACCGAAGGGTGAATCTTTTCAAAGTAGATCTGATGCCTGCACCAAGATCAGCCCGTGCTCATCACACCGGATTGCTTTTTCACAGTAGGTCGACTTACAGCTCATCAATGGTCTCCTGAGGCGGCAACGGCTCCTCCAGACCCAGCCCTATCATCTCCCACGTGAAGTTGTTGTCCACTCCACCCATGCCCATGCCCATACCGCTGTTGAGATTGAAGTCTTCGAGCGGCGGCGGTGCATGGGGAGAGTCGGCGACGAAGTGCCAGCGATCCATCTCACGGCTGCTCGCAATGCCAATGGACGGATCGGTGATGTGAAAGTTCGTTGTGGCAGCGGTGCGCTGATTGAGGGGTTGCTTCGCGCCCGCATCGATGGACAAGGGCGTCCCCTTGCCTCCATCCGGAGTCACGGATAATGTCTCTTGCGTTTTCAGCAAGGTCTCAACTTGCTCTAGCGACGCGTGTTCAAGTTAGCGGGTTCCTGCTGCGACCACCTATAACGGCGGTTGACCGCGCCGGGGTACGGGGGCGGCGCACTTAGTCGTTCTTCCAGCGCCTTCACATAGCCCCTCTTCGGCCCGCTCTTTCTCCTGACCTCGTCGTATGCGCACGTGTGGCCGAGACGCGAACATGTGCTGCAGCTCGGCTTGAGACCGTCGCATTTCAACTTCCGTTTCCTGCAGATCATGCAGGCCAGCCGTTTTGGCTTTGGAACGCTGGAATTGCCTCCAGGGGGGGTCACGATGGTGATGCGGTCACCATCGTGGTTCTTGTCGAAGCTCGGGTCCGACACCATGATGGTGTCGGGCGCTGTCTCGGAGGATGTCGACATTGCAGTTGCGACTCCCTATGCAGCCTCTGTGTCGGTGGGCAGCGACTCGGAGATCCGGGGGTAACAAGCCGTTACGCAGGCATGCGGTTCTGCCTGCGCGGGGATCGCGTGCGGCTGTCTGTCACCTTCGCCTTCTCAGCTTGCGACTCTCGAATCAGGATCAGCAGCAGTGTCCGTTCTCCGAGGCCTTGGAGAAGGAGACTTCTGGGCAATTTGCTGTATGAGATTGGGTAGGGGAGAGGTAGGCGAGAGATAGGCGAGCGGTGCGGTCAGCGAGAGGAGCACGAGAATCGAACCCTTCAGAATCTAAGCTTCTCGGCCCCGAAGGATCGCTGTACCAATTATTAGTGACACTAGACCGCGTACATACTCCGCGCCAAACCCGGGCAATACCTGGTCGCACCAACGTTGGGTGAATCTGACCAAGGTGAATCGCCTAGCGGCTGCTGCAGCGGGCTGTACGTGTACAATACATACTTACAACGGTGTCTGATGCAAGTCGCTGCGTGCAGCTTGATCGCCGGGGCCACGCTGTATACAAATGCCTGGCGCCTGCCCTACAAGGCTTTGTGGCACATTTGTGGGGGGTTTGATTTGACTGGTCGTTTGTCCCGCCGATGAGGTCGCTCGAAATGAACACAAAGTAGGTGCTCCTTCCCCCTTATCGCTGCATCTGATGCATGTGAAGACCAAGCAGCTGAGCAATATCCCATCCGCTTGGTTCTCAGGCTTCATAGCGAAGAGGAAGCGAAATCAGATAAACCAATGGCCGGGCACACAGTACATACACCATCGAAGCAAATGCCCCTACGCTAACCTCAATCCCCCGCAACGCGCCACTCTCTTGCAGGGATATCTGGAGACTCAGCAGACTGCCGCGTTTTTTGTTTCCATGCCGTAGACCGCATCGACTTCCTTCTGAGGCTTCAGATCGTTTAACTCTGCCGTGGAGCTTGGGCAGCCAACCTCTTTCATGCTTAGACGTATTTCGACCACTAGGCTTATAGGAATCTGGCGCTGACCGACGTCTGTTCTACCATCTGATGATAACCTTGTGCGTCGCACTGTGGATGGATTTCAGAGTTCCGCGTCCATTTTACCTAAAGATGTCTTCAGGCGGCGAAGGGTACGCAACACTCTCACGTTCAAGGTTGTAACGAAGGTGCAGATAATGCCCTTGCTAGCGGGGATTATTAATAGCAAAGCTCAAGATGGACCCACGCCCTTCCGCATTCTTGGACTCGGCTGGCTCCAGTGTTGCACAAACTCGAACCTGGAAGCTGCATGTTCATAATTGCGTTCAGGACTCATCAACCTGTGGAAGTGGTACCGAGGAAAGAAAGTATGATGCTACGAACAGCTTGAGTGTCCCATGTTCAAGGTCCTAATCACTGTTTTGTAGTATGTACAATACAAATACCCAACCCCCAACCATCTCCAAGTCCCACATGCATACAGAATTACAGGTATTGTAAGTCCGTATGTAGTGGCCCATCCTCTTCCTGCTTCGAAGTCATTTCCAGAATTAACTGATCCCACGTGGATCTTGCCGCCAGCGGGACGTATTTCCGTCTTCTTGCTCGCGGGAAGAGCCGCATAGCCACATCTATCGACAATCTTTGGCGGGTTCCGCGTAAAATGGGTGCCATAGAGGGTCAAGTCGGAGTGAAGTTACCCCGTGCTGATAACGGCTGGTATGGAAACGCCCTGCCCAAAAATCTCACGGTCTCCAGTCGCATATTGAGAGAGTCGCCAATCATGGCTACTCTGATGAAGCGGCTCGAGATCAACAAGGGCGCGGGACCTAGTTAACTCGCCAGCTGCACCGAGGTCCTCGGATGCCGTCGACCATGTGATTCGCAGCATGAAGCTTTTTTGGTGGCCTTGCATGGTATTCAAAACGACCTTCCAGGTTCTGGTTTGGCGCTACGCATCGAGAACTCTGGCCTGATAGAAGGCGACTTAATGTTGATAATTCCGTGAGCCTGCAGCTCACTTTCTGTCCGCATCAATGATGCGGAGCACGCCAAGGTCGCTGTACGCGAGACAATATCTCGTGGGAGCCCAGGCGACTGCCTCGCAGGGCCCAGCCGTCTTGAACGTGTGAACATGCTCGCCGGTTTCGGTATGGGTAACTTCCAAGCCAGGGCCTAAATAAAGGGGTATGTAAGTAGTCCGCACTAGTTTCAGACGATAGGCCTATCGGCTCACCTTCCTCGCACCCGCCAACCACGTAGCTGCCGTCAAAGGTAAAACCTATAATTAGATCAGCGTTAACTTAAGCTTATTGCTCCAGTCCGGGAGGGAGGTGCCTCACTGATGCTCTTCACAGGCCCGACCATGCGGGAGACGGTTCGCTGGCATATCCAATCCTTGGTATCAAACAGGGCTATGATGGAATCGGCACCTCCGGTTGCGAGATATCTCCCCGTGGGCGCGAGTTCCACGGTGAGGCACGAGGCTGTGTGCCCCTTAAGCATGAACTCTGTCGACTCTCCCGGCTTGACGGCGTGGTTGACGTGCAGGACAGGCTCAAGCTCGGGATACGTCAGGATTCGGATCTTGCCCTCGCTGGTTGGAATGAAGACTTTATCTCCACTCCAGCAGAAAGCCATCTGATTACTGTCGCCCAATAGCTGGTGAGAGGAGATCGGGGCAGACTTGGTTGGCGATAGTTGGAAAAGCTCACCGCGCTGCAACCCGGGTCAAGTCAGTATGTCGTCCACACTCGGATTGCCGCGGCTCTGTCAACGCACCCTGTTTCCCACGAGCAGCGAGGAGCCATCAGGTGCCCAGGCGAGCGTGTGGGCACTGCCGAGCCCTTTGACTTCGTTGACGCACGCCTTTGTTCTTACGTCCCAGAGCTTGACTACTCCGTCACTGCTGACGCTGCAGAGCTCTGCATCCTTGACGGGGTTGAAAGCTACCTTCTCGATTCCGGCTAAGTGGCCCTTGAGTTCCGTCGAGAATTTCACGCTTGGCTTCTCGGGGTTCCCTGCACAATACAGCGGTCAGCCGGTGAGCGGAAACGAGCAACTGGATGCTCGGAACACTGCGGTACCGCACCCGAGAGGTACTGAACGCGTGGGCGGGAAGAAGAGACCCGGAAACCTACAAACACGGAGGGTTTTGTCGGAAGATCCTGTTGCAACAAGGCTGCCTAGAGGATTCCAGGCGATAGAGCGCAGACTAACACGGACTGTGAGCCAGGACCTCCTCCCCGGTGCGAGTCTGCCTAATCGTACCTCTGATGAGATGCTAACCCGCGACCAGAAGGTGACTCGCTATACGACGAGCTTTTCAAAGGACCAAAATAGACCGAAAACTTCTCTTTGGGTATGCGGCTGTACCGGGACCGGACCGGCGGCGCCATGGTGAGAAACGGGTGTTGGAGATGGAATGCGCTCTTCAAGCGTTAGCGGTCTGGGAGCCGCATAACGTTAAGAGATGATAAGCAACGCGTGTGGCGTTCGAAGGCGTGAGCGATGATGGTTGAAGAAGCTATGCGTAGAGATGCTAATAGAATACAAAACCGTAGCTTATGAAGTTGGAGTGGTCGTCATCCACCAGACAATGAGTCGGCTTACTGAGTAGAATGGAGATTTGGGTATTACGGCGATTCAGGGCATCCGAAGTTCCATTGTTACGGCCGCATTGTTGATGAATGAGTGAAGCAGTCCACTGAACTGAATGGCTGCATCCATCAATTTGAAGCTTGAGTGGGCCAAGCATGGATGTACCTAATCCGTACTTGGTCGGTAGCCCGATCCCCGCCAAGGAGAGGCGGGATCTGCCGCTCCCTACCTACGGATACAGCACACCTACCGCAGTACACCAAGAAGCACCCTAACCTTGTCGATACCCTCCCGACTCATACATCCACCCGACATTGCTGCTGCCTCATTGGTGTTCAATGCGCATGCCTTGCCAACAATCTACGGAGAACGAAACCCGGACATGAATTGACCGAGGACTAGGGACACTCGAGGTTGCCGATGGGCGCATGAGGCCGCAGTGCAGGCACCGGCTTCACGAGAGCCATGTACTGGCCGCTCGGGACTCCCCGAATCTATGCAACAAGCAACTCCCCTCAGCCGAGCTCATTGCGCGTTGTCTCCCATGATGGCCTTCCGGGCCCCATCTCTGCTGGACGCTTCGAGGGCCAATCCGATAGGAATTCGCTGCTGTCGCCGAGCTCCGCTGCCGCACCAGACGGTCCGCTTCCTCCGCCAGCACCCGGCCCCGCGACAGCACCCCTCACACCGGTGACACCAATCACCCCGCTGACTCCCGGCATCAAACCCGTCGAACACGACTATCCCGAGGAGGAAGGCACCTCGGAGTATTTCGCGCGACCCGAACCCCCAGACATTCCACTGCACGAGCCCATCCTCGCTCTACGCGTCGCCCGGGGAGGCCACATCTTTGCTGTCATCACGGAGACATCTATGACACTCTGGCAAACAAAGGTGCGGCTGTCCCATCATCACAGCCTCGCCGTGTTGTCTTTGTCTAATCCGCTATCAGCCAACTGTCGTCCTAGCTGTTGTCGTCCGCTCTGCGACTTCACTCCAAACCTACGGCACCAATACCAACTTGCTGCTCCGGCCAGATGCAGCAATCTTAGTCGTCCATACGAGCTTGGGATATCTCATAACATACTCGGTTGCCACAGACCCCGAAGCTCGGGTCTACCAGCCACACTTTGTCAACCACACCAATGTCCAACGGAGGCGCCAAAACCATGCCGGGGATCCCGGCCATACCGCCCCTGACCAGATACTTTGGGGTCCAGGTGAAGGGCCTGGGGTGAAGGATGTCAGCGTCCGCTTCCGGATGGTGATCAAGGTGGACGCCGGGATCGAAAGCGCATTGGCGCTCGACGACGAATTGGTCGTGGCCACCCGCAGGCCCGCGGCTGTGCAGTGCATCCGCTGGGCGCCTGACAGCTCGGGGAGCCAGACAAGCACAGAGCTGCTGAGCCGGATGGGCTGGCTAGGAAAAAAAGTGACAGTCAAGGAGATGACGCACGACAGACCTATGAACCTGTCGACATGGATTACCAGCGATGGCAGGGCATACGCCGTGCAACGAATGACTCCTAGTCACACCGACAGCGGCTCTACTGAGCCAGCTGACCCCAAGAAGTTATTCCGAGGTTATTGCTTTCACACTCCCCAGAGTAACCAGGATTACGCTGTGCGCTCCGTGGTCAACGCACGCTTCTCACTGATAGCGGTCGGGTGTGCCGACGGCAGCGTCCATGTGTACTCTGCAAGAGACTACTCTGGCAATATACCTCCCTCTCATATCCACACCTTGCCGGCATCTGCTGCCACGTGCGGTAAGCTCACGACTCTGAGCTACTCCCCTGACGGCTACTGCCTGTTCGCTGGTTTCGAGAACGGTTGGGCAACCTGGAGCGTCTACGGAAAGCCGCTGAGTAACACTTTCCATGCTGATCATGCGGTCTCGTCTGCGAATGGAGAAGCGTGGCTTTCGGGCGTGCTTGATGCCGCCTGGGTTGGCGGCTCCTGTGAGCTCCTGCTCACCAGCAGATCGCACGAGGCAGTATGGCTTCTGGAGATGGCCCGGAGCGCAGTAACCGGCTGTTACAATCCCGCCAACCTGTTCCGCACAGTCCTGCAGAGCACCTCAAGCGTGATGGTATATAGAGGCTACGACTTGCCCGACCTCACGTCCATCTCGGCCGAACCGTCGCTTTGGCACACATCCCGGATCCCCGCAGTCTATCTCCTGAACCAGTGGCCCATCAGGTGTACAGCCATTTCGTCAGATGGCAGATACGTGGCCGTCGCAGGCAAGAGGGGCTTGGCTCATTACAGCGTCAACAGCGGCCGGTGGAAGACATTTGGTAACGAAGCCATGGAGAACGAGTTCCAGGTCAGGGGCGGCATGTGTTGGTACCAGAACGTCCTGGTAGCGGCCGTGGAAGCGAACAGGTCCTTCGAGCTGCGCTTATACTCGCGCGAGGCAGCTCTCGACAGCGGCACGGTGGCTTATACGCAACAGATGGCGGCGCCGATTGTCCTAATAACGGTGACGGGCGAAGACTCGTTGTTAGTTTACACCTACGATAACCTCCTCTACCACTACGTTTTTGCTCCTATGTCGGGCTCCATCAAGCTCATCGAAATGGGTCACATAGCCTTCCACGGCATCGTACGGTCGCCTGCAAGAGTGAGAGGTCTCAGCTGGATTCTACCGGATCACCAGCTACTGGAAGGAGATCCATCCCAGGACGTAGCCCATGCGTCTGTGCTCTTTTTGGTGGACGGGAAGCTGGTCCTCCTACGACCGTCACTGGCTGAGGGCGGCTTGAAGTACGATATGCGTGTCATCGCCCATAATGTCGAGTACTATCTCAGCATGAGAGACCAGCCACGTACGGCAGAATCCGCGCCACAACGTCTGATGCAAGCAGCGGATGGCGTGGGAAGCGGGAGCCTGGAGGAGTCGCTCTGGCTCTTTGATGGCAGCGAGCTGAAAGTCTGGCCGGACATGGAGCCCGTGATGAAAGCCATATCGGGTGGGATCTCGCGGAATTTGCCCCCCATGGTTCCGTCGCCTGTCGACTTCTATCCGCTTTCGGTCCTTCTTCCCAAAGCTATAGTGCTCGGCGTAGAGCCCGATCTCATACAGCGGCGCGACATCGGCTTCTCCTTCTTCCGCTTCTCCATCAGGGTAAGAGTCCCGGCTGAACACACCAGTATGCGGTGTCAAGAGAACTAAAAGAAAGACCATCTCTAGACTCACCTCTTCCTACCCGACATCTTGCGCTTCTACCTGACGGCGAATAGAGCTGCCGAAGCCTTGCGGTTGGCGCAACATTACGAGCACTTGGAATACTTTGCCCATGCTCTGGAGATTCTCCTGCACCACGTCCTTGACGAAGAGGTTGATGCGAGCCCCAACCCAGCCCCCGAGCACGCCATCCTCCCGCGTGTGCTGTCGCTTCTGTCATCGTTCCGACAATACCTCGACATTGTGGTGCAGTGCACCCGCAAAACGGAAGTCAGGTCCTGGCGAACGCTGTTTGCTTATCTACCGCCGCCACAGGAGCTCTTTGAGGAAAGTCTCCAACGCGGCAGCCTCAAGACGGCAGGCGGTTATCTCTTGATCCTCCACACCTTCGATGAACTGGCAACAGCGAGCGAGCAGAGCGTGCGGCTTTTGAGCCGCGCGATACACGAGGAAGACTGGGACTTGTGCAAAGAGCTCGCGCGGTTCCTTGCGGCGCTCGATGAAACTGGCGATACGCTACGAGAAGCAATGGACATGGTCAGAGCTCGAATGAGCCAGGGGCACGAGGCCGATGACGTATCTGCTAGGAACGAGTTCATGGCAAGACTTGAAATCCCCTCAGGTGGTATCTACCCGTCTCTCAGCAGGGTTTCAGGGACAGGCAGCGTCGGGCGGATAGGGGGAAGCGATTCAGAAGCGGAGGGCCGATCTGCCAGTGACGCTGGCAGCCTCACCAGCGGCGCTCGTTCGGAACCCAGGGACGACTATCCGTAGGCGGAAGCAGCTCTGGCGGTATCCAAAGGAGGTCTAGCAGGGCGTTCGATAGGTAATAACATTATTCATCAGCACGTTTATTCTGTGCTGCACGGACACTCATCGAACGAAACCGCTCTGCGTCGCTGGACTCGGAAGGCATCGTCAAACTTGGAACAATTATCGTAGGGCAGCGTCGGTGGCTTAATATAGAGAAAGACATTAGCATTGGCCATCCTGTCCTATTCACATCTCGCAGTGCCGTTCTTTGCTAAAATGGTCTACCCTTGTGGGCCCGTTGCTTCCCCCTATGCGATTTCACGCGCGGTGTACGCCTCACTCAGAGCACGAAGCCAAACCCAGGAACAGCTACGCGCCCTATAGCCAAACTCTCAAAAACTTCCGTTAGGGATCTTCCCGCTACAGAATTTATAAAGTTCGAGACAAACATGTCACCCACTGTCATTGCTGCCAAAGTTCAACCGCTTAAGGGATCCGTCGGCTTTGGAAACGAGACGCGATCTTGTCCCATCGGCTTCGTTCCAGGCTTCATGGCGCGGAACTTCTAATAGCAATCTATAAACATTAAGCATACCCCGTACGGCCAGCGAACACGAGGTGTCCTCCGTCATCAATGCGTCTACTTCGTCTTTGTGCGCTCCCCGATTCAAGGCGCCGTGCTTTTGCGCGCTTCGGCGCTGCGCTCAGCCCGGCCGGGCCGGGCGTCTATATCGGAGAAACATGGCCTCATCGGCCAGGGAACACTGCTGTTTCCCAAGCCCGCAGTTTTCCGCATGGCCCAGCCGAGGTACTACTGCTTATTACTGGGGAAGCCAGAGGGGGCCACAACCGCAAAATCTGTCTTCCCCCATGCCCATACACACGACACAATGTGCTTTGATAGCTTGGGCAACGATTCAATGTTCTACCACCCCCCCCCCCCCCCCCCCCCCCAAAAAAACCCTTCAAAACGCGACCCAAATCCTACGCCCAACCACCGAAGCCCTCGCAACGCCGAGGGCGATGGCGGCAGCAACGTAGAGCAGGGCCGTGGTAACAATCAGGCCCCAATAAGAACCTCCGTTCCCCCTGACCACCCTGCCAGCGATGGGGATGGCAAACAACGACAGCAGCGAAGCAATGGTGTAGCAAGCGCCATAGTACCGCCCATACTCCTGCGTCCTGCACAGCCGGCCAACTGACACCGGCACAAGGCTGACACTGCTCCCGCTCGCACAGCCGAACACAACGGCGAAGATGGCGATGCCCGGCTTGGTGCCCCCCGCGGGGAGCCAGAGGACGAGACACACGAAGGCGGCGACGGCCGAGGTCACCACGTTGGCGTTGAACGGCCCGATCCTGTCGGCCCACCAGCCGCCCAGGAGGCGGCCGACGACCGAGCTGGCGTTCAGGATGGCGACGACGTCGAAGGAGAAGGCCTGGGTGAAGCCCTTCTCGAGCGCATAGCTGGACAGGTACGTCAGTGGGAGGAAGGCAGCGAACTGCGCCAGCACGACGGCGACGACGGTCGGGGCGAAGCCGGCGGTGCGGAAGATGCGGGCATGCGGGTGCGGGACGGCGTCCTTGGCGCCGGGGAGGCGCGCGCGGATCAGGAAGCTGGCGGCGGCCGTAATGGCGAGGCAGACCAGGGCGAGCGCGCGCATGGCCCACGCCCAGCCGACCCGGACGAACAGCGCCTGGACGAGCAAGGGGAAAATGACGCCGCTCGCGGGGCCCGCGGTTGTGGCGACGCCGGTGGCGAGGCCGCGGCGGGTCTTGAAGAAGTGGCCGATGGCGGCGATTGCGGGGGTGAACAGGAGCGAGCTGCCCAGGCTGCTGAGGATGCCGAGGGCGGCGAAGAGATGCCAGTGCGTCGTGCTGACGCTCGCGACCAGCAGGCTCACGACGAGACACGCGGTGCCGCCCAGGACGAGCCGGCGGGGACCGTAGATGTCGAAGAGCGGGCCGACGTAGATGCCCAGCAGAAGACTGAGCGAGGCGTAGGCGAAGATGGCGGCGCCAAGGGCACGGGGCCCGATGCGGATGGGCGGAGTGGTGGTGGTGAGGTAGGCCTGGAACGTAGCCAGAATCTGCATGAAGCCGAGCGAGGCGAACAGCCCGAGCCAGCACCCGAGCACGACGAGCCAGCCGCGGAAACCGCCCTCGGGATAGTATTCGCCGTCGGAGACGGGTGCCGGTCCAGATCTGCCTGCCAGCAGCGGGACGCCGCCGCTGGCGCTCGGTGTTGAGGCGGCTGAGGAGGTGTCCGACTTGTCATCCGACCCGGCATCGGCATCGGTTTCCCCGAACACGCCCGATACGGGCGTGACGGTAAGATTCATCATCTTGTAGTCGCTGTTGCTATCTCGCCGTTTTGTCCCTACGGACACGGTGCTGCGCTTGAGCTTGAGCATCTCAAGGCCTCCCGACTTGCTTACTGGCGGGCCCCCCACCCACAAACATGCGAAAAACGGACAGCCTTGCGCGATGGCGCAAATCTCCCATGCGGCCCGACCGAGCGATGACAAATTGAACGAGGCGAGGTTCCGAAAGGTTGATCAAGAACGACAGACGGCGCACAATGCAAGAGAGCGACTAGAGTAAGAACGGCGCGGTGGCAGCCGCCGATTGCTCTCAGCAGTGTAAGCGCTGGAGCACATGGCAATTAATCAAGGAGACGGGGTGTGTCGGACAGGCAAGCGCCCCCGTAGGTTTTTTTACGAACGTCTCACGCCGCGTTTTTGCCATCCTTCCCGGCCAGCAGGGGTCAGTAGTATGCACATGGTCCATACTGCCAACAGGTACGAGCTTTTTTGCTGAATCGGGAAGGTCTAGAACACGGGCATCGTGAAGCTTGGCAGGTGTTTTTATGCGACGCTGGCATTGAGAATGTAGTTATTTAGACTGCTAGTACCTTACAAGCAGCACTAAGTAAGCAAAGGCATCTTCGCACATATAGTAGGTAAGGGAGCCACTACCTAGGTATTGTACCTTGAATGTCAGAATTCATAACTTTCAATGCCATCACTTCTAACCTACGCAGCAAGGCAACCTACTTTTTCAGACTACCTTGCCTTAACCTAATTAGTAGTTGCCGTGAGGAAGCAACCAGCAGGAAGGCCGGGCACCAATCATGCGATCCCGTACAGGAATGGCACACCTCGTGCAGTGCCCCTACACCAAACCACGCCCCATCCTTGACTCCGAAATCTGAAATGGAGAAACGGATTTGACTTCGTCGGCCTGATGGAGCTTGACTACCTAAGGTAGGTAATCCGTCGATCCTGCCGTGAGGCTAGGTAAGTGGTAGCGACCGGCGGCTTCCCTGAAGAGGCAGTAAGCTCGGATGGTGCCTTACTACTGCGCCTCAGCAGGGGAAGGCTCAACACGCTGAGCCATCGGCTTTACCACCGCCTTCTGTCAATTTGAAGTGCTCAAAATATTGAGAACACATCCAAGAATCCCATAAGCAGCAACGGGTGAGATGCAGCATCTGCATCGTGGGAACTATGCAGTGGGGAACTATATAGGCATGACACATTTTCTCTGATTCTGGCAGCCCGCTTAGACGGGATCGGCTCAACCTTCGTCTTCAACCTCTTCCATGGTCACTTGGCGCGGGCCGCCCTCCTGAGAAGGCATATGGTTTGGCTGTGCTTGCAAAGTGGTCGCCTCCGGTGCCCGCAGATAACCGTCCTTCTCTAACTTGTCGGCTTCCTCTGGCTCTAGAAGACCGGCCCGCCCCTTGCTCTTTTCGATCTTCATCCGGACCGCCGTTGGCACAAACGCACTCACGGCTTCCTTCCGCAGGTCTCTGACAATGGGCTTGGCCTCGTAAACCGTCTTGGATTCGACGACGGGGGCAGCAGGCTTTTCTGGTTCTCCTTCTACGCTTCCCGGCGCTCTGTCCGCATTTCTCTTCGCTCTCCGCTTTGCATACCACTGGTCGAGGATCTCCTTTGGAATCGGCGGAGGTGTGTCTCGTGGCATGGGTATGCTCTTCACGTCCTCGGGAACGTCGCTATCGCTGCTCGATGCATCTTCGGCATCGCGCCGCCTCTTGCCCAACACGCCTTCGCCCCTCTGGCCTTGTCTCGGTGGGCCGCGTCCGAACTGCGGTGCCTTATCGCCTAGCGCCTCTCTTGCTTTCAATACCGCCTTCAGGTCCTTCTCGAGAGCCTCCAGCGCTTGTTCCTCGTGAGAAGTGAGCTTCCCCCCGCCCTGTTTTATCGCCTTAAGGTCGTCAATTTGCTGCTGTATTTTGGCGGGATTGCGTCTGGCGAGCTTCTCGTTCCTTCGGGCTTGCTGCTCCGCCTTGCCTACATGCGTACACAGTCAGCACGAGTTTAGATCTAGGCACGACATTAATGGGCCGCATCTCGGCGGGACGTACCCTTTTGATGGCCTTTGCTTTTTCAGCCTTGCGCTGGGCTTGCACCGGGTTGTAGTTCCGTTCTTTAGGCATCGTGGCCGACTACACGCGGCAATATGAAAAGCCTTGGATGAAGCGGTGAAAGGGTGGTTGTTGGCGCGAATTCGAATTCGACTAAAGTTGAGCTCTAGTACACGTATGTGATGAGGTCGGAAGCTTGCTGGAAATCTTGTCTTGTGTCCCCTCGGCACCTGCCAGAAATTAGAATCGCGCTTGCCTTCAGATGCCACTCAAGCTGCCTGGTGGCCCTGGTCACCAAGCCAAGCCTCAAGCGGTCTCGTTCCATGCAAGCCCGCTGGCTCCCGTGTTTCGTCGCAGCACAGGCCGAGCCCCACAACTCAGCTGGGCTGCTTCCCCGGCAACCTTGCATGTTGACGTCTTTACCCCGCCAATCACTGCAAGCAGCAAGACACCCGCGGCGCGGCACCATACTCATTTTAAGCACCCCTCTATCGCCGGCGCGTCTCTTCGCCTGCAGATGGTCAGAGACTGAACTTGCATCATCATCAACATTCTAAGGTATCCCGTTGGTGATCCCTCTTTTCGCAACTAACCTTCCCATCGGCCTGCAACAGGCGGAGGATTGGCACGAGCAGGAACAAGCGCATCCCATTTTCTTTTTCCTCGCAGATCGCTCGGGCACCATGGCGAGCTTCATGGCCAATCTATTCCCTGGCGGGAAGCAGGATAAGACCGACGTGCGCCCCTCCACTCCAGCTCGACACAACTTCATCACCCCTGCCACCACTCCACAAGGCAGCCCCAGCAAGAAGACAGTCCCTCCCGGCGCCAATGAGCTCCCTGTCGCTTTCCAGGGCATGAACCTGAAACCGCCCAGTGCGTTCGACACTCCGGTAAAGCTTAGCAGGCCACAGAGCGTGGTCGCGCCGTTATCGCCCGGCAAGAGCAACCTCAAGAATTTCGAGGAGGGCCCCGCGACGGTGGACGACAGCATTCTTCGCAAGGGGGCTGCGCGTACCGGCAGCCCAGTGAGGAATCAGGGCCAGGAAAACACTCCACCAACGCTTCCGAGGGACCCATTCACCGAGCCGACTTACCAACCCAGCCATGCCGCCATTTCGCGCCAAGAGTTGTATCAACCTAGGGAGCGGCCGTCGCCAACGGTCAAGCGATTCAACACGACGCGAGGCCTCAGCGCGGAAGAACGTGAGCTACTGCAGAAGCCCAACGTCAAGCGGCTGGTCAATGTTACCCAACTCTGTAAGTCGTCGACCAGAGAGTGTGGTATGCCTCCTAGTGCAACGCTCATTCTTTGATAGATTTCCTGGATTACTACTTTGATCTCCTTACCTATGTTGGGGCAAGGCAAAATCGTCTCAGTGCCTTCAAGGCGGAGTATCCACCGCCTCCCGAGACGGACGAGGAGACATATAATCAGATGTGGTCAAAGTACACCGGCCGAGAGCGCGCCAATCTCCGCAAGAGGCGGGTGAGGCTGCGGCACGCCGATTTCCAGATCCTCACGCAGGTCGGCCAAGGCGGCTACGGCCAGGTCTTCCTAGCCCAGAAAAAGGATACCAAGGAGGTGTGCGCGTTGAAGGTCATGAGCAAGAAGCTGCTGTTCAAGCTTGACGAAGTTCGGCACGTCTTGACGGAACGAGACATCCTGACGACGGCCAAGAGCGAGTGGCTGGTCCGCCTGCTGTACTCATTCCAGGACGACAAGAATATCTATCTTGCCATGGAGTATGTACCGGGAGGTGACTTCCGCACTCTGCTCAACAACACCGGCGTGCTGTCCAATCGGCACGCGCGCTTCTACATCGCCGAGATGTTCTGCGCCGTCGACGCTCTCCATCAGCTTGGCTACATTCATCGTGACCTCAAGCCCGAAAATTTCCTGGTTGACTCAACCGGCCACGTCAAGCTCACCGACTTTGGCCTGGCGGCTGGATTCCTGGCTCCCGCTAAGATTGAGTCGATGAGGATCCGCCTGGAGAAAGCGTCCGAGACAACGGTGCCATTCGGCAAGCCGATGGATCAGCGGACGGTTGCGGAACGCCGAGAGGGATACCGCACCATGCGGGAGAAGGACGTAAACTACGCTAAGTCGATTGTGGGTTCGCCGGACTACATGGCCCCGGAGGTGCTGAGGGGCGAGGAGTACGATTACACGGTTGATTACTGGAGTCTCGGCTGCATGCTCTTCGAGGCCCTGACGGGTTTCCCTCCGTTTGCAGGAGCAACCCCGGATGAGACATGGAGGAACCTGAACCATTGGCGGGACGTTCTGAAGCGGCCCGTGTGGGAAGACCCGAGCTACTTCCTCAGCAACCGAACTTGGAACTTCATCACAACGTAAGTTGCCACGCCTTCCTCCCATTGACATTGACGTTTGACGCAGAGTGTTGATGACCGTAGTTGTATCAACTCGAGGTCTAGGAGATTCTCGAACATCAAGGATATCTACAACCATCAGTATTTTGCCGAGGTGGATTGGGCAGTGCTGCGGGAGACCAAGCCCCCGTTTGTCCCCGAGCTGGACTCGGAGACGGACGCGGGCTACTTCGACGACTTCAGCAACGAGGCGGACATGGCCAAGTATAAGGAAGTGCACGAGAAGCAGCAGGCGCTCGAGAGCATGGCCGAGCGTGAGGACGAGATGAGCAAGAGCCTGTTTGTTGGGTTTACCTTCCGTCACCGGAAACCGGCTACCGATGAAGGCACCCCGCGCAAGCCGATTCCATTCGAGGGCGACGCCTTCGGTACTATGCTGTAGGGCCAGCAGCGGCCGCCCAGGAACATCTACCCGCGATCTAGTGGTACGTGGTGGACTGGGAAGTCGTATACCGAAGGATGTGTCAGGTGTTTTAGCTTGGTATGATGGTGGGACTTCTAATGGCATAGCGGGAACGGCGATACCAGGTTTTGGTCGGGTCATGGTGATCATGAGCTGTCTGCGATTCAGTTCTTATTCTCCTTCCCGTCTACCCAGCTCTTATGCCGACCATTGGTCGGCTGTTTTCGGTCTTATTGTTTGGGATGGCTCAGTTGCACGGACGGAAAGGAATAGATGAGTACGATGAGCACACGGTTCTTTTTGGTTGGCGGGGTCATGTTGACTGCCAGCACTTACAAATGGTCTTATTGGGTGTAGAACAGTTGTACTAGGCAGGCTATGATTTGATCGTCATTGCTTACTGACCTCATGTTATGTTTGTTGCTCCTTGCTCAGTCTGTGGTTTGTTTACATACGGATCCAACTCTTCGCGCCGCCGTCCTATGCAGTGACACAGTCGGGTGGGAACACAACGAATGAATCCGCCAATCAACGGGCGGGATCAAGGAGAGGCCTGCCCCGCCCTCGAACTTCAACGGCGTCGCGATGACAACTCAGGTCGGCGTATGCATCAATTCAGCGTGATCTAGGGGACTTTACTTTATATTGATCGAACCGACGGTGACTTGGTCCGTCAAAGAACACCCCCAAGTAGCGCATCCCGCCATCTTGTTCCTGTGTCGGAGAGACCATGGCAACACGCAACTTCGGCACAGGTACTGCACCACGACAGTCGATGGCTTCCTCGGGGGCCGTCGTGAAGGCCAGACAACTGGTGCGTTTTAATTCTTATGCTCGCTGATACTGTCCTCTTGTACTACATAAAAAAAATCCATGTCTGTCGGCTTGTTACCCCAGCAACCCGCATCTTTCGCTCCTCTCCCATGCCCGACCCGAGACGAAGAAGGCAGCCGAGAGCTCGTAGAACGCTAACGTTCAGGCTTGATCACCAGGCGCAGCTTCAATCACAACTGGCCCAGCTCTCCGCCAATCTAGCCGACACTGAGAACTTGTTGCGCATGACAAGCGTGCAGGCCGAGTCCATGCGAGGACTGGGGAGTTGGCACGCCGGGCTGTGAGTATGCCGTTACCGTCCTGCCGGCCTTTGCTCACTAGTACTAGCTTCATGGCTTCCAGCAAAGTCCTTGGGGAAGAATCTGTCCAGCAACAGCAAGGCAGCCAGACCTGACCCTTCTGGCGTAATTGGAAGCTATGGGTGAAGATCTACCACCGTTGCACCGGGATGAGCCGGGTCTTGGTGCGCTAAGGATGGCAATACCCGTCCACTAGAGTAGCGATAGCTCGGCGGTAGGATCGTTCTGGCACACGATTCCGTCTAGAGCCTGTTAACAAGAAGAAGATGATCCCATGGTTGCCGGCTCGTCACCAAACCCACGGTGACTCTAGCACTGGCTTCACCGGTGGCCCGGCATCAGCCAGGAGGACCAGGGCCGCTTGGTCGCTTGCTGGCCCATCCCTCGATGGCTCGGAATCAGAATCTAGTGGTTCAGGACACTGCTTGTCGATAAAAGTCCAAGCCGGGTATAGAAATGTCGGTTTCGACCGCGGCTCAGTGTATTGCGAATTGGAACCTTGTTGGCTTTTCGGATCTGAGCTCGAGTACGTGAGAACTGAAGACTTGATGTTTCGAGACGGCCTCAAGCCTTTTGGTTCTGTTCCCTCGGGCGACCTCCAACGTCCTCCGATTCTCTCGCCGTCTTCCGCTTTGGCCTCGCCGCAGTGACCGGATACCGCTTCTCCCGTCCACAGGTGTGGCACTTGCGAACAAGAACATCAGCCCATGGTTTTCTGGCCCCTTTGCTCCTATTCTCGATGGTTGATGTACAAGATGTGCCTTCATTGAGAACTGAGTCGCAGAACTTGCAAATGGTCTGCTTCACGGCCGGCTTGAGACGGATCCTTGTCTTCAGGGACACAGCGCGCAAGTCTGTTGCCAGCCGCCGGCTCATTGCCTCCAGCGGAGCCGACAGAGGCCCCGTATCCCCGGAGCCCGTAGATCGGTCAGGAACAGAGATAGTAGTGTCCGTAGCATTGGCACTGCTAGAGATAGTAGGCGGGCGCGCAATTGATGAGAGAGTAACGGCGGCCTGCTGAAGAAAAGAAATGCGCGAGTAGATGGCCCTGTTTTGCACACCCCCCCCAGATTTTCCTTTCGCCATGGAGGGATATGACTAGAAGGCAGAAGCCCCAATGATTCAGCTTAGACAGCTGTTATGGTGTGTACTAAGTAATATGCGCACTTTGCGCGCTTATTTGCGCGCTTCGGCGGGCGTTTGGCTAGTGCTTCTATTCTCAGTGCCCTGTCAGACTCAGTCGCCTGCAAGTTGGAAGCTAGGTGGCCCGTGCGTTACCGCCTCGCCACATCTGCCACCTGGCTGAGCCACAGCATTGTTTGTCCAGTCAAGTTTTGAGGCTGTGCTTTCTTTCTGACATGGGAGGTCGACCCTTTTATTTTCGCGTCCTCCCTCCATCGCTTGGGCCCTTCGCCTTCAACACAACCCATCACGATTCGCCATCCATCAATCGGCATTTCATCTACAGCGCGTAATTGCGACACTCGATCTTCGTTGACCTTTTATCCAGCGATAATCTCAGCTGGGAAATACGACATTAATCGCTCGCTTTCTACCGGTTCTCATTGTCGTCGCACTCGCGCCAAATCTCACCCAGCTGCAACATGTCGGCCGAAGAGGATCTCATCGATTACTCTGATGACGAGCTCAACAACGAGACCGCCGCTCCCGCAGCCAACGGAAAGAAGGGCGACGCTGCTGTCGCTGGACAAAATGTCGACAAGAAAGGCTCATATGTCGGCATCCACTCGACTGGTTTTCGCGACTTCCTCCTGAAACCGGAGCTTCTACGCGCCATCGCCGATTGCGGTTTCGAGCATCCGTCGGAGGGTTAGTCTTGACAAGTTTCATCCCCAGCTTATCGTTATTCCCTCTACCCCTCCCACGGGTCCGTCCATCTCGCAAGCAAAACAAGAAGAGCAAAGCTACGCAAAACAAGAACTGTCGGAAGCGGAGTTCGTTGTCGGTGCAGGCGTGCACAAGCGAATCATGGAAACTGGTCATTTCCACCTGCCAGCACATTGCCTGAGCTATCTTCCCCGAGGCGGATATGCTTTCGGGACACCACTGAGCTTCTGGCCGCAAGCACATGCAAGATCTTGCAGATGACGCTCGTCATCGTGCCTGGATTGACTGGCATTTTGGGAAGTGATGAGATCGGATGGGCTGCCTCGTAAGCTCCCATGCATCGAACTCATTGCAGGATTCTGTCATGGGACATGGTCCCTCGTCTCAATCTGCCATCGACTGTCTGAGACAGTCGGCGAAGGCTGGTGATGCTGCTGTGGTCGCACATCATCCGCTTCGCCTACATGTTGCTCTGCTGGTGCTGGAACAATCACGCATTGGGGAAGGGAGGCGAGCGACGGGGAGAGTTAGCTGAAGCCTTTTTGCTGCGACGATGGACGGACCTGGTTTTCTTCACGCCACGTCCGCCATACCCGTCACGTTTGCATACCCGATTCTAATACGGTCCCCGACTACAGTTCAGCAGACATGCATCCCTCAGGCTATGCTTGGTGGCGATATCATCTGCCAAGCGAAGTCCGGTCTCGGCAAGACGGCCGTCTTCGTTCTTACTACCCTGCAGCAAGTTGAGCCCGTTGCCGGAGAATGCTCCGTGCTGGTTATGTGCCACACTCGTGAGCTCGCTTTCCAGATTCGCAACGAGTACAACCGCTTCAGCAAGTACATGCCCGATATCAAGACCGGTGTGTTCTACGGTGGCACTCCCATCCAGAAGGATGCCGAGATTCTCAAGAACAAGGAAACACACCCTCACATTATTGTCGGCACCCCGGGTCGTCTCAACGCGCTTGTCCGTGACAAGCACCTACGACTTGGAAGCGTTCGCATGTTCGTGCTCGATGAGTGCGACAAGATGCTTGATCAGATCGGTAAGTCTTTTTGCGGCCTGCTGACCTTATCTAGCGTCGCTAATTCTCGTCCAGATATGCGTCGCGATGTCCAGGAAATCTTCCGCGCGACACCTCAGCAAAAGCAGGTCATGATGTTCTCGGCCACTCTCTCTGACGAGATCAAGCCGATCTGCCGGAAGTTTATGCAAAACCCCACAGAGCATTACGTCGACGAAGACACCAAGTTGACGCTGCACGGCCTGCAGCAGTATTATCTCGCCCTTGAGGAGAGGGAGAAGAACCGAAAGCTCAACGAGTTGCTCGACGAACTCCAGTTCAACCAGGTGATTATCTTCGTTAGGAGCACTCTTCGGGCCACCGAGCTTGACAAGCTCCTGCGCGAGTGCAACTTCCCGTCCATCGCTGTCCACTCTGGCGTCAGCCAGGAGGAGCGGTAGGTTCCATCTTCAAACTCCGTTGCGAATGGTAGGTTAATACTGACTCGTTGTGCAGGATTCGCCGGTACAAGGAGTTCAAGGAGTTCAACAAGCGCATCTGCGTTGCTACAGATGTCTTCGGCCGTGGTATCGATATCGAGCGGATCAACCTGGCTATCAACTACGATATGCCAGCGGATGCGGACTCGTACCTGCATCGTGTCGGCCGTGCCGGCCGTTTCGGTACTAAGGGTCTTGCTATCTCGTTTGTCACTACCGACCAGGACAAGGAGGTCCTGCAACAGATTGAGAAGCGCTTCGAGGTGGCTCTTCCGTACGTAACCCTTTCTAGAGTTGGTGGTCGCTTTGTCTCTGCTAACTTTTTACACAGTGAGTTTCCCAAGGAGGGCATTGATGCCTCCACATACATGGCTGCTTAGATCGAGAGGCTTGTGGCTTTTCAGGGTTGGCTTCTGGGCGTGGTTTTTGGCTTCTTCGTTCTGCGGTCGGGTTTTCGATGTTGACGTATTCTGGCCCCAACCGATGGGGCAGATCTGAGAGCGCAAACAAAAAATGTCATTCCTGCTGCGGGATGCGAACTCGGGTTATGTATCACTACATGCTTTCATACTGAGGAAAGATAAGATGTCTCTTTTGCAGCCTATGTGCATCTCGTGCCCAACATGTGTGTGCATTCTCATCAGAACGATGGTATAAGGGGATGGCGGTCTTCGAGTAGTTGCACATCTCCCTCCCTCCACAGTTTCCGGCCCATGGCTCTTTCTGACACACTTCGGTTGCCTGTCCGTGACATGAAGGTTTCATATGTCCAAGTTCACCACACAAGACCCGAATCTTTGTAACCTGGCTGCCAATATCAAGTGCGATTATTGTTACGTCGACCCTAACGTTATAATAGAGTCGTATTCCTCACACCCGGTGGCCAAAGACTCGGTAGCGTGTGATCAGAAGTGAGAAGCCGTGTCCGATGACAGGACTGTTGGGGCTGGTCTGCAGCGTAGCGTTCTGCACTCCTTGTCGGGTATTCTGACTGCCTACCCTTAACTACATTGCCCTACTACCTCTCTTATCTCCTGACGGCTTGGCTCTCTGCCTCCCCGCAGACCTCGTTTCGGGCTGCGCTCACCGTGGGTGGCAAAGTGGCACAGATTGCTCCGGCAAGGGGGGGAATGCGAGTATTGAACCGAAACGATCTTGGCCAACTCGCTAGCTCATCGACCACTCACTCACACCGAAGTAAAACGGGGCCAGCGGGGACGTCTGGCTCATTGTCTTCCCTTGTCTTGCTGACATAAGAATAAGCAGTCATTTCCTCCCTTTCCACTCATACCCGAGCTCGAAGGCGTCGTGTTGCTTACGGAAACCATCGTCTGGAGTACGATGTGGGACTGTATCTTAGTGATCACGGTGAGCGTAGTCGCCGCAGTGGAGGTCAGAAGGGGAAAAATCACGGTGAGCTTGATTCTCCAACGTGTAATCTTAGTGTAGTGTGAAGGACACTCTCGGAATAGCTACCAGTCATCAACTTGTCTGCTAGCCACCATCGCTCCGTCCTGTGTTAGTGGAGTTCAATGACAACTTGATTCACCTAGAGGCGCCTCGCACTGACTCGATTGTTGACGTCTTTCCACCCGAGGCCGGTGGGGTGGGATGGTGTGGGTTTTGTTGCTGCCTGCGATGCGCTAGGATCCTTCCATTGACCGTTCTGGAAGACCGCTCGGACCGGATGCGCTGCAAGAAGGAGGCTGTTGATGGCTTCATCGCCCTGCAGAGCGTCTAGCGCATATGTAAAAGCAATTCCCGCCGCGCTTTACAATATTAACGTTATTTTTGGCCCTGATTCTTCACGGAGCAGAGCGCGTCGGCGGTGCAACACTCGCCACAGTTAGCATCAACCGCCGAGGCTGAATAACCTGTGTCCCGATTCCCGAAGCTGCCGGCGCTGGAGAAGTGGCAACGGATGCATCTTCAATACGGAAGATTCTACCTACTCGGCTGTTCCGTCCGATGGGCTCCTCAGCGCGATCCTCCACCAAGAGGGAAGTGCTCTTGCCCTGATGTTACGTGGTACTCTGCCACAGGCTGCATTGGTAGTAAAGCAGGTATGGAGGTGAACGGTACTACCGATCGGGCGCTCCGCTGTTAGCTAGGTACCCTCTCTGTGTGAGTTGTCTCGCCGGCTGGGAGCCGCTCTTCAGCCCCGTCGAGCGTCATACGTACTCTATGCCACCAGCGAGCTGCGGGGTGAGTAGTTAATGTGCAGATTTGGGTCTGGACAGGGAGTTTCAGCTCCCATGCCCAGCTGATATTGATGAGTTAACAACATCGAAACGTGAATCTCCTCGCAAAGAGGCCCAGTCAGCTGACTTCTTCCAGCATTGTCCGTACCCACACCACGTCCTCCCTGGTTGGCGTAGGCTGTCGAAATATGTGGTCCGATATCGCCGGGTCGTACCTATACATGATGGTCGTAAAGCGGTCAATTTCGGGTTGACTCACCGTGTTGGACAGGACAGAAATTGAGCTGGCTGCACGCTGGCTCGGTGGATAGTTGGTTGGGCTTCACGAAAGTTCATGGGGATGCCATTGACGTCCTGTGGACTGAGGGCTCGAGGATTGTAAAGATTCGCCGGAGGGCCTGCGTGTGCCTTGGGTACACAGTAGTTCACCGGCACCTTGATGTTGGGTTGCTCTGCATTTCCAGGTTGTGCAAGGCGTCACGGAACTGGGTCCAACGCCAGTTCCGTTACGGACCTACGGTACAGGTAGGGAGGACGGTGGGCACCTTGATTGGGACAATTATCCGTTTTCGATCGGTCCCTGTTACGAAAAGTTCTCCGTGCTAACGGTTAACTGCTCTGTGGCAATAAACGTCAAGGCACTCTTCCTCTGCGCGTAAAAGGTGTATAGAACATTGGGGGTGTCTCAGGTGTCATGCAAAACCATGAATGGCTTCACAGACATGCATGCAATATTGCCTGGGCGCTTTAGAACTAACATATGGGGTATGAGAACCCAAGAATGGAAGCTGAAGTACATACGTTCCCGTTCTGACAACGCTATTAACTTCCGGGGGTTGTGATCCTAACTGGAGATAATACTCAGTTGAAGTGTCACAATCATTAAACGGGAGCCGGGAGCCGAGATGGTTTCACTCCCGTACAGCCCTGATGCGAGACAGAGGAGCGCTGAAGCGCTCGGCTGTGCGAGGGAAGCACAGGCTGCACAGCCCGCCGCCCGAAGCATTGCGGGGAAGCCGCGCAGCTCTGGACACACAACACGATCTACATCAACTCATGAAATGGGCATCACCATGGCTCACATGGCCAGGCGCAAAGTACCGAGTACGGGTTAGTGTGCGGCCATTACGGAGTACTAGAGCTCGAAAATAGGGAGAAGGGAGGCCATCTTCTGCCCCTTGCATCTCGGCACCTGCCAGCGCATGACGTCGAGAACCGAATATCGTGGCGGTCAAAGCAAGGGATACCTAAAGAGTTCTGCCAGTGACGGGATGTTGAGCCCGATATCAGATGCTCAACGCTCAAGTCCAGTGTACATCGGAGGAGCTGCATTCATAATGATAAGCCAGTGGCCAACCCTGCGGCTTCGGCGTGGTTGGTCGTAGGCAAAGTTCAAACCCTTCTTTCGAGTTACGGCTTTGACATCACGACTCTTATGCGGTGACTTATAGCCCATAAGATGGAAGTCGCGGTATACGAGCAAGACTGAGTGATGAAGGACGATGTGACCAGGCGGGCACACATGAGATGAGTTCGTGATAGAAGGCATGGAAAAGTTTTCCGGCCAGCCTCCCTGGGAGTGAGGTGGCGCAAATTACACTACTAGACTCCCAATCGGGCTGTGGCGAGCCAATGCTCGCCATCTCCGAGACCACCAGCCTGCTAACCGTTAACGCCAGGGTGGCTCGGGGTTCCAAGCCCATCAGCGATGACGAAAAGGTGACTCAACTATCGTACCTAACACTAGTAGCCCTCAGCTGTCATACACAGTGGACTCCATTGTGTGTTCTTGTCGAACCCGAACCGCCGGACTTGGACACGAAACGGCCCGTTTCGTACACATCGAAAACGTTGGGCCGGAATGTGGGGATAACTAAGGTATGCCTCGTGAAGGAGACTGGGAAACCAACAACCGGTTGGCAGGCTCGCTGGCCAAGATCAACGGTGCTATTACTCACACTGTGAATGAAACGGGGCGGACGGCGCCTTCAATTTTCGGGCTAAACCACTTTGGATGACAAAGCAACGCTAGACAGGGGCTGATTTGGCTCTGCGCGCCGCGCGCGGGCTGGTGACCGAACTGGCCACACAGACAACATGCCCACATTCCGCCCCCGCTGCTTTGCAGCAACTGCGCCAATCACGACCTCTCCAATTTTACCACCTTCCCCCATCTTACTGACGAGTTGAAACTGCTGTCCGGTCGAGGTGATGCTTGATCCGGCAGATTCATGACAGAATAACAGGGCGTTCCCGAGAACAGTACCTATCTATCATGGATCTCTCTGGGTAGAGGATAGGTGCGGTGAGCTGCGGTTGAGGAAGAGAGGATTCATCAGAAGCATCGAGTTTTACATTCGTGATACGGTATCTGTTTCCGCTGTGTAGCTGTGTTCCGTCCCAAACGTTTTGTCGAGCGGCGTTCATGTCGCACGCTTGTTGAGTCTCTGGCCCGTAGGTAATAAAGAGGTAATGAGGTACGGTAATAATGAACGGCTGGGGCCAAGGACCTGCAGGAGTGGAGGTTGGGAAGCTCCGGACTATCCTGTCACTCCTGTGGGCTTGCAGGAAGTTGCAGCACAGCACTTGCAGCTTCTGCCAGTCCAGTGTGGCAGACGGAATCCCATGGGGCATGTCCAGTATCCTGGCATGCCCATTCAAAACCTGGCTACCCTGCGCCCAGTGCCGTGCCGAGAGCCTCTTCTTCTTCTCCTCCATCGAGCAGCAACAATGCTCAACTTTAAGATCTAGGAAGAAGCGGCTCTGTAGTAGTCAGCTTGTGAGATCTTTGTATTAATCTCAACTCTCCACTCCCTCCTTTTTGAATTCGATTTCACAAGTCCGTTTTCCTTCTTCTGCCTTAATTCCCCCGTGGTCCGGTAAAATCTCCATGATTGCCAGTCTGTTTGTTTAGGACGCTTCCCTTTCTCGCGAGGCATTGACTTGCTTGCTGCGGCAAAAGAAAGTAGGCCCAACAGACGCATTTTTCTTCAGGCAGGGTCCAAGACAGAACGACGAGAGCTCCGCGCTGCTGTTCAAACGGCACTCGCCCGGCGGGCCTGGTATTCGCCACCTTTTGACGGAACAAGGAATCCCGCCTCTCGTCACAGAAAGACGAGCAAGAAGCAGGCGCTGCGACAACTCGATCACTCATTTGCCCCTTGTATTTGTACACACACCGATGACTACCTTTAGGTAGCTCGAGTCGCCGCAGCAGTTCAAGGATCCGCGTTCCAGGCTTCCGCCAGGTCACACCACGAAACTGGCTCCACGCTGACAGTTTGGCGCCACCTGGTTCCCGTCTTTCGGCAAGTGTCGGTTCCGTCCTCGCCACCACTGAAAGAGTCATCAAGCCAAGTGAGCCACCCGAAGCCGGCGACACTATCTGAAGTCATCTCGACACAAACACTCGCCACTTAGCGACGAGTCACAGCGCCCCTACCTGAGGCCGACAGACCTTTCACATCCTCATGTTAAAAGCGCCAGGTCAAGGTCATCGTGCAGTGACGCCGCTATCTTCTAGCCTTGCGTACATGCGCCTCGCATAAACTTACACAGGCCTCGAACCGAGCTCGCTCTACCTATCCTCTCTTCGACTTCCGGCCATATGGTACAGTCTTAGCTACCATATAACCTCACCAACTCTTCCGCTCGTCCCCAGCGCAGCATACACACGATGCCTGATGAGAGCATTGTCTTCACTCCAGTCGCCGTCTCTACCCCGTCTACCGGTCTGATCGTTCGTGGAACCCCGTCTTGTCCCGACCTGGCCTAGGATACTCCTCCCTCGGTCAGCATTCACAGCTTTACAACAATCCATGTGGCTTGTTGCAAAGCAAGTATCTCGATTGGTTCACGATCTGTTCAACGCTCCCTCGGTCAACCGGTAGTCTTCGCTTGACGGCGACTGGAGGTCATTCGACGCACACGACCACGCACACCACTCAAGCCAGACTGACCTTAACTGAAGATGATGCGCGGCATCCATGAGTTGTCATCTTCACTCCACCCTGCGCGCCCTGCGCCTTACAACAACCTGACGTTAGCTACGCTGGTCTCATCCTCGTCCTCCTATGCGTCCTCCGATCCATCTTCCTCCTTCTCGCTCTGGTCCTCTGTGTCTTCACAACACTCTGACGGTACCGCCTCGACCGCGCCGACGTCTGGATCCGACGCATTCGATGCCTACTGCATTCCCAACCCCCCGTACTCCTCATCGCAAACATCAGCCAGCTCCCTTGGTAGCTCATGTGGGCCCGCGATCAAGCTGCATGACCCCTGGGCCAAGCAGCCTGTCCAGTCACAGGCGCATGTCGAGCTTCCTGCTGAATTGCGCCAGAATCCGCGGCGCACATGCAACTCCGCGATATCTCGCACCGGGCGCCCGCCCTCGCTCGTGCGGCAAACTGACCGAAAGGTCAGCTTCGTCGACAACCTCGTTGGTAAGAGAACATGCTCGCGCCCGTTGTTATGGACACGTACTTAATGATGCCGCATGTTCCAGAAACGGCAACCCACATCGTCGAAGCCATTTGGCCTACCTCATCGGTGATGTATGGGAATGATGGCGGAAGCAGCGCCGTGTTGCCGCTGCGGAAGTTCATCGAGGAGACCCTCCGGCGTTCCAGGACCAGTTATTCCACTTTGCAGGTGGCCCTCTACTACCTGATCCTGATCAAACCTCACGTACCGGCATACGACTTCACTACTGAGCAGCCGAATGATTGCCACTCCATCCAGGCGATTCAGTGCGGCCGCCGCATGTTCCTTGCGGCGTTGATCTTGGCTTCCAAGTATCTTCAAGATCGCAACTACTCAGCCCGTGCCTGGAGCAAGATCTCCGGCCTTAACGTTCTAGAGATCAACAGGAACGAGACGGTTTTCCTCCTGGCGGTTAACTGGAACCTTCACGTCACGGAGGAGGTTTACAAGCGCTGGGCGGATTGCGTCTCAAGTCTGACGCCCACACAGCCTCCTTCTCCGGGCGGAGCTGCGCAGCAGCTATATGAACGCCAATGCTACGACTTCCGGCGCATCATCTTGAACTTGTCCCCAGACTTGGATAATCTGGAGGAGCTGGCTCCCCGATCGATGTCCACTAACCACGTCTCGGATCTCTTTTCCAGGCCGCTCTACACGCCTCCGGTGGAGCGTTCTTGTGGGTTTATATCCGATGGCGAGTTTGGCCTGGCTCCCAAGCATCATGGCCTACCAGCCGTGATGGAGCCAGCTCCGTCGGTGGCATGTGCTCCAAAACGCTTCGCACCCGCACTCGGTCTCCTTCCTACGCCGCGCCTGACTCCTCAGACTGTGGGGTACAGCACTCCTGCAGCGAGTACTGCGTCCTCAGTCCTTAGAAGGAGCTCGTCGATGGGCCTCGCCGTGGCGCAAGCATCGGCATCAATGGCGGCTCAAACCGTCGATCGTTGGCCGCCATCCGCGACATCGTCTCCCATGGGCTATGTGGCTCGTCGTTCGTCCCTCGCCAACTCGATCTCGAGCGCGTCATCGCCCGAGTCAATGGTTTCGGATTCTTCCGCGGTTTCCCGCTCATCCTCGATCTCTTCTGCACCCTCGGTAACCGCGCCGTCATACAAAGCGGATGTCCGTGCGCGGTACCGGTATAATGGGAAGTGCAGTGAGAGGTTGTGCCTGAAACCAACCATTGCTTCGGTTCCCGAAGATCATGAGGCGGTCTGTTTGACCAGCTCACCAGAGTCCTACGGCGTCGCAGCTGGTAAAGAATTCTGCGACATCATGGATACGCCGTTGGCATCACGGGAGCGTGAAATGAACGATGCCGCACAGGCTCTGCATGATCTACAGCGGTATGGCGCTAGCCGGTCGGCAGTGCAAGTCAAAACTGGAATCAAGCGGAGTAGGGCTCTTTCAAGGGAGAACGTGCTGCAGGACGATGTTCGCGAGATGCTCGCTGACCAATACTCCCGCAACGGTTCTTGGCTCGAGACGATGGTTCAACCCCAGCAGTCTTCACGGGCTTTCGCTTGGGACGGCAACAACAACAACAACAACAACAGCAGCCGCAGCAGCAACGGCAACAGCAATGGCAACAGGCGCAAACGTGTCTGCTTCTCTACTGAGCCGTCGCTACCTCATCTCAGGATTCCCTCGCTTCGTTCAACCGTTGGAGGGTACGGCGGTCCAAGGATGTGGGATAGGATCCTGAACTAGTTAACATCCTACGCACCTTGCATCACCAAACGCCAAATGCCAAACCCCAAACGCCAAACTCCAAACGCCATTCATCCTAAACAAATATGGATCGCACCTGGGACGTGGCGTTAATAATCCATGCCACGCACAGACGGGGCTTGCTTCACTATGTTCATATTGCTCGGTTTTGCCATTCCCCACATATCCGACATCCTGGAAAGAGCGGGGGGCCACCCTTCGGATATTGCCAATCGTCTTTCTCCTTTCCTTTTGTGACATTCCTTAGTCGTTGAAGACGGTCTCGATAGGATCTTCCGGATCCCTATCCTTGGCCTTGGAGCGTTCTAGCTAGGAACGGCTTGAATGGCGGCCAAGGCCAAGGGCGAGCAACAGATGTCCTACGTTCTATCTCGGTTAGGCTTACATCCCGTCGCGACACTCAGCATCGTGGTATCCCGCAACTCAACCTACTCCATGAGCTCGATGTTGACAACGGCAACACGATCTGGTACTCGACCGACCGATCAACGCACCTCTGTCGTTGATCACCACGTCCAAACCTCGAGCATTTCGAAGGGCGGCATTCCATCTGGGCCCCGGGACTGGCCGCCAAACCCACCGCGGCCACCCTGGCTTCCGGACCGAGAGGACTCGTATCGGCTATTCTGGCGGAGAAGTTCAAGTCCAACAGGACATGCCGCTACTAGCTGGTTACCGGTTTCTACGCCGAAGATGACGAGCCAAACACCTTTTCATACTGCGGCGACCCACTGATCGACTACGACTTCCACAAAATGTTTTTTTTTTTTTTTTTTTTTTTTTTTGCATGCATTGTCTTGTTTCGGGGAAACGGCGTGGGTTGGGGAGCCCGGGGGGGAGGGGGGGGGGTGGAGGGGGCGGAACTCTGGCTTAAATTTGCTAGGCGCAGAAGGTTGTATCTTGTGTACGATCAATGGGATGGGATGGTTCTTAATCTTTTTCATTCTTTCTTCACTGGTAACTCTCAGCGTCCCGGTTATCCGGACTGCGAGAACGGAAATGGGCATATTTGGAGCATAATGGATGGGGATGGGCAGCGGAGAGAACTAGGGACGGCCCCGACGAGGGAAGAGGGATCTGCAAAGACTGGTTTCTCTTCCCGCCACACCTGAACCGTTGCGATCTTGGAGTTTAACATGGGTTTCTTCCCAGGAAAGCGAGACCTTCGGGCCCTCGAAGAAACCCAGACAGACAGACAGACGAAATTGGGTTCCAGCAAGCTATCCCTCCCGCACTGGCGGCTAGCACACGCGCACAAACGCGCACGCGCACAAACGCGCACGCACAGATATCATGCTACTGTTAGCCAGAGCAACGCTAGGAGCTATTGAACGCAGTTGAAGCAGAAGCACGCATTTTGGTTCCCTTTCGTCGTGCGATGACGCCATCACCACGCTGCGAGATTTCCGTATAAGCGAGCATCGAGGCGGAGCCCCCTACAAGACGCGAAGCCACGAGACTTGAACCCCGATCACAGGCGAAGGTCTGGTCGAATCCACTGTACATACGGTAGTACGGGAATAACCTTGCGAGACCTAAAGCTATGGTTTGATAAGTACTGACGGGCGGAGTGTTAACATTTCAGCCTTCTCGTCTCGACGGTTCTGTCTTCTCCCACCCCTAAAATCGGGTATTCTAACGGATGACTTGGACCAAGCAGGCAAAGCAGGCAATTTGCCCATGAATTCAACTACACTAACTTAAGCATTGCCGAGCGACGAAGCGCCGCCGTGCCGCCGTCTTCCAAAAAATGTGTCCATTCCGATCTCGCCCCTCCGTGTGAGTCACCGGAATCCTTGCCCCTTCTCAGTTCGTTACCCTCCACCACCACCGCACTGGAACTTCTTGTTGGCTGGGCTGGCCGGCACGCTAAATTAGTCTGTTGTTGATCAGGCTGAAGTTGGGTGAATGGGATCCTCTGCCATCGTCGGAGGACACAAGCATACCCGACCTTACCTGACTCTTCGACGTGGTGGGTGGCAAGGCCCTAACAAGTGGTGTGCGACAACACACACTATGGCCTCTCACGTGTCACCTCAACTCCCTTGATTGATCGGGTAAAGACGGGGGCAGCGACTCACCTTTGACAGGATGGATGGGGTCGTAGGCTGGAACCGATGCACTTTGCGTGACTCTATTCGTATCCGAGTATGACTGTCACATCCGAGTCATCGACATTATTCACACAAAGCCGTGATGGGTCCTTTGTCGTTCACCGACCTCCTGTGCCTCCCCTGCCGCCTGTCTGCACCTCCCTCTTTCTGAGCAGTATAGTATACCTTACGTATTCGAGTCAGTGAACACCTGAGGGGAAGAGCCAGTACTGTCAGGTATCTATGTCCTTGATACTAGTAGTACTGTACAGTAAGTACGTGACATGAAGTATAGGAGAACGAGCATCAGATTCACAGACGGCGCGTATGATACCGTACCGTCACATACTCTTAACCTAAGATACGGTATACCTGACTCAGGTCAGTGTTTCACTCGCAGTCCACTGCAACTTCCGATCCTCAGGTCATGCTCGCCGCACTCGCTGGCGCTTCTCGCCTTCCGGACAGACGTGCCAATTGGGAATCTGTTAGGTACGCACCGTTTTGGTACGTTGTGCGGCATAGTATGTACTACTACTAGTAGTACCCGATGGTCAGGCCCATCGTTGTTGTGGCACATCGAAACAGCTTGACCGTTGAAGCATTGAGTTTCACAAGTGTGTTGCTGATGCCAGTGGGTTTGCCTTCCTCATCTGGGAACCTTTCTCGGACTTATCACGCTGGATGGATATTACTGAGATAAAGCACCCTTCCTTTGGCCTCAACTGGTGTAGGAGACCAAGAGTTACTATTCGTACTACCTAGTGCGCTCGCGACCCGTTGTTTGCGTGGCCCAAACTCGAGGATGCCGAGCTCTTACCACGCGCCTAGGGAGGGATGTAGGATGGATGAATGTCTTCAAGTCGACGCCCAGTCGTACAATATGAGTTACTACTAGCTTGTATCCACCAAGTTGAGGCTGGTGAAACAAAAGGCTTATTAGGCTCGAACCCCATCAGTACAGAAGGACACTGGGGGATGCCGTTACAAACCGGCCATGGTCAGAGGCCTGACCCCTTCCCTCCACAGAAGGGAGTATGTCGGCAATACTGTACTCCTTGCACCATACGGTTCACAAAGGATTTTCCAGAAAGGCGACTCGGTACAACTGCCGGCCGACGCCCTGGTGAAAAGATGCGACTCGATTTGCTGACAAGGCGATTTGGGCCACTCGATGCACTGGAAGAACTTAAGCCAGACACACGCGAGCATGCCTCCCGATGTGGCGATTACATACGGAAGATCAGAAGATCGTACTGGCTCCCCTCTTGGTTGGCGGGCAAGGACATAAAGAAGAGAAGAACTGGATATCTATGTGTAGTACTCCCTAGTATTGTACAAGAACAAGACGTACCGTTTCCATCAACGACAAGCAGGGAGGTGTCGCTGCCAAACTTCCACCCCTCAACTCCGATTGACCCCCCCATCACGCCGTGAAACGCCGGTCTATACGATTCGTGCTCCTTGCGCCACATGTAGCCCTGGATAGTAAGATGCTGATATTCCTGCGCCGAACGCCACTACTGGCATCAGAATGGTGGCCAAGCTACAGCCGGAAAGACCACTTCTTGGGCCGCGCCTGCTTGGCATTCTTCATCATGTTGATCCTCCTCAGCCGCTCGCGGTTGCTAGGATCCAGCAGGACGTCGGTGCCATCTTCGCTGAACCAGTGGCTGTGACTGCGCAGGCCACCGCCGTTCATCTTGACGCGCTGGACCTTGCGCAGCTTCACCAGCCCGTACCAGCAGACAATCAGGGAAAAGATGGAGGAGAGCGCCGTGACAGCGCCAAAGCCCCAGTTGGTCTCCTCGATGAAGTTCTCGAGGTTCATGCCGTACAGACCGGCCAGGAAAGTGCCCATGGCCAGCCCGAGCGTGCCAATGCTGAACTTGAGATCGAGTAGCATAAGCGAGTTCCGGTTGGCGTCGAGAATTGCCCGGATACTTGTAACAAAATCGTGTCAATACCAAGCATCCCAGTGATACACAGTTAAGACATGATCACCTACATCTCCTCCGTGTTCCTGATGCTCGACACAAGGTTGCTCGCTTCCTGCACCACTTCGTCGCAGATCTTATTGTATGACTCCAGGAGGAGCTCGACTTCTGTGTGGTCGTCCTCGCCTCTGAACAGGTCGTGTGTCTTCTCGGTCAGGTACATTGCGGCAAGGTCGTCATCGGCCTCTAGCAGTTCTTCGATCGCGTCGCGGACTAGCTTTGCCTTCTGCTCGAATGTGCTGACCCGCTTCGACAGGACCAGCAGGATCCGGAGCTTCTCGCGATCGATATCGTCTTCCAGCTCGCTCAGGATACGGATGACGGGGTCCCGTACAGACTCAAAGTCGGCCTCCAGTTCGGCTGTGACGGACATGAGAACTGCCTCGAGAGCTCGGAACTCATAGGGCAAGCTATTCGCTCCGGCGTTTTGCTTCTGCTGCAACTTCCCTTGCAGGTCATACATGAAGGCCGATTGGGGGTACGACGAGGTGGAGCCGTAGACGTCGAACAGCAGGACGCGGTCGTGCTTGATGAGGACTTTCAGATGCAGTAGGTTGAGGAGAATGGCCGAGGGGCGGACGAGGATGTGAGGGAGGTTGGACGAGTCGATCTTACGGAGATCGCGCGGAAGAAGGCCGTACTATGGGTATACGATCGTGTGAGCAACGAGATGCGGCCGATGGCCGTGGAATGATGTTGCGTACCCTAGCAATCAGCTCGCTCTTCTTGAGCTCGCCATCTACCATGATCACCTTTCCATTTTCGTCCACCTCCGTGCACCGAAGCCGCGGGTCGAGGGCAGCCTTCGCGGTCAGAGACCTGCGTTGGAAGATGGACCCAGATTCCTCCTCCAGCCGCACCCTGATGTCGCCTTCCTTCAGCGGCTCCCCATTCTTCTTGGGATCAGACCCAAAAAGCAATTCCTGCCATGCGGATTTAGTGCCATCCTCCCGCGGTGTCTGGTCCGAAGAAGAATACCGCAAGGCGCCGCCCGTGGCAGTAACCTCCTGGCGCTTGCTGCTCGCCACTGCAGCGCGCTGCTTCCTCAGCGTCTGGGGGAAGATCGCATCGAGACCGAGGAATGCAGCCTGCACCGTGGGTTCGCGACGTGTAATCGGGGCCCTCAGGAGCTCTGCTGATAGCTTCGCCTTAGTGCAACTGCAGCCATGGCGCCGAATCGGCAGGCGCGGCGCGCACTCTGCGAATACGAAGCCTTCGGACTGGGCGCGCAGGAATTTGAGAAGCCTCCGCGACGGTACCGCAGGTTTCAATGCCGGAGGCATAGCTGGTGCAAAGCGCTGGTCACTCCGTGCTGGATTGCGGTCGTCGCAATGGTGATCACCAAGCGAGAAGTCCCGGTTTGAAAACTTTAGCTGGGCGTCGGATGTGGATACCCACCCCCCTGCACATCACTGCACCAGGATTCGTTCTCCCTGTACGAGTACCGTACAGTCGGTAACCAGGGCACCTTATATTTTAGTACAGTATAACGTACATGATAAGCGAGCGACGCAGATAAGCGAGCGACGCACTTTCTACCACCCTACAGCAACTATCCTCAATTATAATACAACAACGCTAGCAACCAACTACAATTACATCAGAAATAGATGAATCAGATGATTCTACAGCCTCCTGGCAAGTGCGAGCATTATGGCCAGGCCTGCCGCATACCCTACAGCATCGAACCTTCGTACGAGCCCCCCCTGAACCGCTACCATCCGGCTGCGTTTCCTGCACTGCCTCCCCACCTACGGCGTTCTGATCTAGTAGATCCTTTGCATCTTGCACAGTAAGTGAACCTCCAAGCTGCATATGTGTTTTCTTGGCACGCCGGCGCTTGCTTAGTGCCTTATTGGCCTTGCGAAGCGAAGAGACCTCTGACCGAAGGAGGGCCACCTGGTGCATTACAGCCATCGTACCCTTGGCAAGCTAGTCTATAGCATCCAACATTGAAGTTGGGGAGCTATTTTGATGGTTCGCAATGCGAGTCTTGATGAGCGTTGACTGTGCGTCGGCTTCTCGTGGGTTATGTGGTGTCTGGAAGACCCAGGGTTATGCAGTGCTGGGCCGTGAGGTTGGGGGTGTTGGCGTACGAAGCTTTATATCTAGCTTAGAAAGCACCCGCTCTGGGTCGTATGGCATAAGGCCAGTCCCTGCAAAGCTACCCTGTACGTTCTTCTCTGTTATAGAAGCAAAGAAGGCTTCTCGGAAGGCACAGAGGAACTCAAGCTTGCTGATGTGGTTGATATGCATGCGCATTAAGCCCTCGATCTGGCGACCGTATGCCTGCTTAAGTGGCCCAAAGCAGCCAACATCGAGAGGCTGGAGCCTATAGGAAGAGTGTGGAGGTATGCAGAGTGTGACGATGTTGTTCTCCTTGCAGTAGAGCTTGAATTCGGTTGAGTGGTGGCTCTCGTGGCCGTCGAGGATCAACAACCGGTATATGCCTTTTGTTCGAGGTGCCGTATGGTAATCGAAGTGCTTGATCCAATCCAGACCTACTGCATTGGTAGTCCAGCCATTATCGGTGGTTGCAATGCGCCAGGTAAGTGGTAGGTTGCACTCCCAGTACCAGTTACTCTAGTGGTACTGTGCGGCTAGGATGATGAACGGAGGGATAACCCAGCCAAGGGCGTTGACTCCCTGGATCACAGTCGCCCACTCCCGATTACTAGGCTGAGCTAGTTTTGCCTTGCCACGCCCATCCGAGGTTGTAACCACTATACCCGCGAAGATAACACCTATCATAAACCTAGTCTCATCAAAGTTGTAGACATCGTCATCGACAATCCTATATTTAGCCCTAGTATTCCATATAAGTGCAAACCACTCGCTGATGACCTGTGGATCCTCGCATTTAGCCCTCTGGTAGTTGTACTTGCGTGTATACCGCGTACGGAGCTCTGGCTGGCGTTTGACAAAGTTGTGAGCCCAGCGTTTGCCGATAGGGGGCGCGTCGCGTTCGCATAGTAGGTGGTTGGCCATATCTTCCACACCACTTAATCTAGGTGGGAATGCGCGTGTAGATAGCTCAGTTATATACTGAACTATTGACTTCTCTTCTAGATCCGTGAGCTTACGCGAGTTGGCTAGAATATTGCGTCTTGCAGCACGTCCCTTGCGCCGGTGGCGAATCGTTGCTTCTGGAACGTTGTATAGCTTGGCTACCGCCCGGATACTGAGATTCTCGCTCTGTTTGATAGCTTCGAGGGCTAAAAGAAGCCTGGCTTCTTTTGAGGGGCTACGCATGGCTTGTTGCGGTGGTATTTGGTGGAAAAGTTTAGAGGAGGCGCGTCGCACTGAAAGTGCGTCGCTCGCTTATCTGCGTCGCTCGCTTATCATGTACGTTATACATCATCACTTTGCTTAAGAATAGCATCAAGTGATCAAACTGGCCAGATAAGCTCGCATCTGCTCATACTCCGATCCTCGACGTCACTAATGGCCTTTTACCGATCTTGAATCTCGAGGTACCTTTTTCTCTGCGATCATGGCTGTCATCATTATAGGTCCTAGGTTGATGTTGCTTTGAGGGTCTTTCACATCGACATCGCGCATGTGCAATGCGTCCTCGCCCGGTGGATTCGTCTTTCATCACTCCATAGAAAGTGTCTCTCTCCTCTGGCCGCAACCATGGAACTCACGCCCATCAAGGTCCGGGGCAGAGGACGTCAAAAGAAGGCTTGGAGACCACCAGAACCAAGACGCATCATGGAGAAGCGAAAGCGGAAGCGAACCCAAGATGGTGCCATACCCATGCATGACGTCGACGGATTGCCTCGAAAGCGCTGCAAGTCTAAGAAGCCCCCGGCTCCCATCGAGAACCTGCCCGTCGAGCTTCTCGAGCGCATCATCCTCTTGTCTCGGAACCTCAAATTCCTGTTCAGCAGCCTCCGGATCGGAAAGCGGTTCTCGCATCCACAGTTCCTGACCGAGCTGGTGGAAGCAGCCTTTGCTCCGACCTGGGACGAGTTGTTTGCACACCCAGATACCAACGGCATGGTGCGGAACATGACTGTGAACGTGCCGGGAGACCCCGAGTTCCAGGTCCGTCATGCCTTCTACATCACACCCGAACTAAGAGTTGCCAGGACTGACTGGATACCGAAACCCTCAACAGACTGATGTTCTTAACTGCCAATGGGTCAACGCCGACCTTGTCCTCGACGCTCAGCAAAAATGGGCCAGAAGGACGAACGGTCTGCAGTGGTTCTCCAAGTTACCTGGAGATCGAGAGCGCGCTCTCAGCCTTATGGAAGGTGTAAAGGCACGCTACGAGGAGGAGTGGAAGCGCTTCCAAATCGGTTGCCTGGACTGCCTCAAGCCTCCTGAAGTCGCTAGGGAACCTGACGTCTGGCGGGCGATGCTCCGGATGGTTGACAAGCGTTTCGATGTCCATCCCCGGATCAGGATTCCGCGTCGTCTCCTGACCGACCCCTGCGGTTGGGACTCGATGAGATTGTTGTTCTGGCTTGTCCGTGGGGGAGCTCGCCTGCAGCCCGAGCATTCCGGCGACTGGGAGGTGAGTGACCTTGCGATTTAGGACGCCATAATTTCGTTACCGCTGCTGACCAGCCTTCTCTACAGTTGACGGAGAAGGGGTTCGACACTGTCATGGCAATGGCCAATCCGCACCTCGGCGTCGTCTACTTGCAACTCTTGTACGACTTGCGCGCCTTCTGCCACTGGCCACCCGGCCATCTCGAAGAGAAGTTGGAGATCGCACAAGAGTTGGAGCAAAGGGAAACCGACGGGGACAAGAAGCTCATGTGGAGTGCTGGCCAGTCCGTCTTGAAATCCTTCGACGCAACCGCCATGGATGGATTAGACCAAATCCACATTACTAGCATACCATAGTTCGCCATCTAGTGCCTCAGCTATCCATCAAGTAGCTCTGTGGACATGAAGTATCTCCCTCCAAACGTGTGGATGACATATGACACCTGGTAGGCAAAACGATGGAACGTACACATATGGGGCGAATATCTGACCTGTCCGAGGGTTCAGGTTTTGCACACCGGGGTCCATACTATCCTCCATGAGGAGGGCCCCATGGATGCAGAAAAGATCGAGATAGAATATATCCCTATCGAGCGTCCGTTTGAATGTACAGACGACGCATCGCAACATGCCAAGAAACCGTTACCCGTTCCCAGAGTGCGAAATGATGTGCCACGCCATAAAGCCATTGTCATGATGACCCCTGCCTGATGTGTTTCCATTGTCAAGTTTCACGCCTTTGCCAATCAAAGACATCAGCATCACCAGGTCTTGCCCCCCCGACATCCCCGGATACGGAGAGTCTCGGCCGCATGGTCAACATTGTCTCATAATGTCACCACGGCTGCCGGAATTCATTTATCGCAATAAGTTGTTTAGGAGCCCGGGTTGGGGTTCATCTGTTTCGCAGCACACATCAGCCTCGGCTCCTCGTCTATCGTGGCTAAACGGTCCACTAACCTTGCGCTTGCCGCCAGTCAACGTGATGTTGACGAACCGGCGAGTGTAAGTGAGTCTCTTCTTCGCACGGCCCTTACTATCAACCTGTCAGAAGCCCGCTATTTCCCAGTCGTTCGATTGGATTATTGTCGCTGCAACGGGGTATCCGGGTAACTCGGAGCCTTTGTTCAGGTGCACGTACGGAGTCTTCTTCTTCTCTTGCTTCTCGACCTTGGGAGTCTGAGACTTGACCTTGCCTGTGTGTACCCGATCAGAATCCGTTCGACAATGTCCAGAGAGACGAATTTTGCATCGACAGTCGCTGCGGCAATCGTTGGGGAGGAAACATACCGGCACGGGCCAAACTGTGCGCGACAGGATTAGCAACAGCTTTGAACGCAGAAAACCGTCAGAGTGAGATGGATAATCCTTACCTTCCGTGAACCTTGCCCATATTGGATGTTGTGACTTGATGGCGATGAACTCTCTCTGAAGGACTGCGTCGATGAAGGCGGAGGACGGGGAGAAAGTCTGCAACTGATCGCGTTCCGGGGATGGCGATTTCTGCGGATTATCCTTCGGCTTACTAAAGAATTGTGGGAGCCCTGCGGGGCTGTTGGGGCTTCGAAACCAAGAGATGTGGCGGGTCATGTGAGCATGCACGTGCACCGATATACAAGCCAAGTGAAACCCAACGCAACAACTTGACAATGGACATGCAGGCTCTTCGAAGGATATTGTGCATGAAGGAGCTCAAAAGAGACAGTTCCCTGTGTAAGGTACTAATTGAACTGCCTCCTTCTCCGATCCTTTTCTGGAGGTAGATCAACATGTTCCGTATTACCAACTGCTCCCAAAGACGAACCCCCAGTAACCCATCTATGTTGATTGCCTATCCTGCCGAAAGTAAGCCATCATGAAGAACACTCTCCTTAATGATCTGCAATGGGGTATATTAGCGACGGTTCCCTGTGTTTATGTCGCCATACATTGAGGAGAACTACCTAATGCAGGCGATGCAGGCTACGGTACTTACATATGCGTACCTGTTGCAGCGAAAGATGATCTGATAAGATGTCTTGGCAGCGAAGATGTGGATGCGTGTGACCCCACAACCCCAGCATCATCCGACTGCGGCCCGGAACTAAATGGTTGTGGCAGGGGGATGCGGTGACCAGCAGTCGCCATCTCAGTATGAGGACTTCAAATTCAACACAGATCCCACACAGGTAGCCGAGAGGGTCTCTCCTCCATAACTTCCTGTCCTTCAGCTGCATTCTCTGAGCTGTCATCGTACAGAAACCGTCCATCATGAAACCGGGCGCAATCACATGCACCCTCGTTTCCTGCTGCACTGCAGCGGCAGGAGCAGCTACTATCTCCGCTTCTAGCCACGAACTCAGCATCCCAACGTCCTATGAGTCGGCCGTCCTTGGACGGCGGATCCTGGCTTTGACACCGCTCGGCACCATCTCGACCGTCTTCCCGGAAGACAAACACGCCGATGATGTCACTCATCGAGAGAACCGCCCCTCCGGACTGGGCGGTATGCCGTACGGCCTGATGGAGTACGTCGCGGACTGCGAGGACAACGACTTCGGCAACCCGACCATTCTGGCCATTTCCATCGGGACCACCTTCAAGAACGCCGCCGCGGGGAGCAACGTCAGCTTAGCCGTCCAATGGACGCCGCCTCATCCGCCAGCGAAGCGGATAGAGAGCACCGTCAAGCAAAAGTGGTTATCTTACCTGGGATGGTCCAGCAACGACGACGAAGAAGAAGCGTATCACAAGCACAAGCACCATCACGACTTCGCCCTCCCCTACTCAGCCGCCAACCTCCCGCGCTTCTCTCTGATAGGCCACCTTGAGCCCATCGAGGGCGGCGATGATCGAGACGGGCATGAAGGCTCCCAGCTGGCGAAGTGCTTCGTCAAGTCGCATCCCGACGCCAAATATTGGCTTCCCGGCAACCGGATCCACGAATCACACTTTGTGCGGCTCGTCGTGGAGCAGATCTACTGGGTTGGTGGTTTCGGCGATCGGGCATTCATTGGGTGGATCCCAGTTGAGGAGTGGTATGTATCCCCATTGCCCGTTGTTTGCCCTTTCTTCCCCTACAGCTTTTTTCGCATCCCGCTCTGGAACCGCTCGCGGACAATAGTCGACTAAAGATAAACTGACAATGACCACTCAGGCAAAACGTCACGCGGGAGGAATGGCAGAATGTTCGCCTGCCCGGGGAGAAGAAGGGCTGGAAGGAGTGGTCTGTTGTTCCTGGAGATCTATAGAAGGGGGCTTTAAGAGACTGGGGCTTGTAATGGTATGTCTGTCTACCTTAGCGGCGACAGAGATGATGAGCGCCACGCTCCGAATTTGTTGTATTCGAAGTCGTTCACTTCCCTGATATAGCAACCACGTATCATGTTACATATCAATTCTGTCAGGGATTTTGCACTTGATCCAAATTGCTTCAACACGGTAGCGTTCCAGCAACTGACTCTTGCGTATCTCTACCTTACCTAGGTATGCAGCATATCGTGGACCAGCTTTTGTGAACTGCTAACTATCAACAAATCCCAACCATACTTACATTCAGGGTCGGAGTGGAGCAGAGTCATGATTCCCAAAACCATGAGCCTCACGGGATGCTGTGGGCTCGCTACGTGCTCCGGTGACATCGACAGTATGAAACACACGCGTGACCTAATCTACACGGATAACCACCTTCCACCCCAGCGCCCCAGCCTCACGTATCGCACACGCTAAACATCCCCTCCTCCGTCTGCTGATGAGGGCGTTCCAGCCCTTGTCCGCACAGAAGGCCCGAGCAAAGATTTCCATGTCCGAACCGAACCGCCGCCGTCGCGTCTCCGAGTGCATCTTTTTCGAGGCACTCTCGAGGGCGCCCGGGAGGCTTCCGCTCTCACCACCTTGAGTCCCGCCCAAGACGGGACCAGACGGGGCAGGCGAGGGACTAGTGGCGGATGTGTTGCTGTCTGTTCGGCTGAGGACGGGGGACAGCGGGACTTCGTGCTCCTGCGGCTGGGGCTGGAAGTTCGTGATGCAATCAATGACGAGCACCTTGGCGGCGTTGCTGGTCGCGGCGGGGTTGAGGCTCGGGCGGTAGGGAGCTGACGAATAAGTGCCCAACAGGGATTCCAACGAGAAGTCTTGCTTTGTTATCAGCTCGGACAGGTGAAGAGCTGTGTAGGTAAAGTACTTGTGTAAGGGATGGCCTGCATCCCATTAGCTTCCTCAATATGACCAGGACAACAGACCAGCAGATTTGGGTGCTCTTACCGACAACGCTAGCAGTTTTACCGGCAGCGCTGTTGCCCCAGAGGTCGACATGTTTGATGGTAGGGCTGGAAGGTGACTTCATTATCTTTACATGTTGCGAAGGGACACAAGGGTGGGCCGTGACGAAGTTGATATCTTTGGCTAGGGAATAGGTGTGCTCCTTTGCCTCCCCAGAATCGGTATTGGTCACGGTAAAGGAGAGTTCGGCTGCGTATGCATTGATCTGCGGAGTCCGGCTATCATATGATATGGAAGTGGTTCCATGGTTCTCGGATCGTGTGGTATGAGCAGAGCCGACTGGTGCCCGGAGGCGAAGAGCTTTCAGCTCGATCTCGATGAACGGGGGCGGTTTATCCCGGTAGATGTTATCAGAGGGTACGATGAAATCGGCTGGGAGGACCGACAGAGGATCTGCATTCCCAAGTACATCCGACTCTTTTTCAACTGCCTTTTTGCCCCATAATCGGGCCTTTTTGTTGACTTGAAGCGAGTCTTCTGTTCATCCACATCAGCTGCGAGCCGTTGAGTGTACGACATTGCCGTGTTCTTACCTGGCGTTTCTTTTGCTTCAATGTTTACCCAGCAATCACCGAGACCTTGCGGGGTGATATCACTGGAAATCCAGCCCATACATTCTACAGCCCCTTTGCCGGCAGCTAGCACACGGCCAACAATACAGGCTGTGCTCCAGAAACTCTTGCCGGAATAGACGAAACCACCGGAAAGAACAGCCATGGGGCCCAGCTTCGACAGAGCTTCCGGATCATTTTCTAGCAAAGTTGCCATCAGAAAATGACATAGCCCGTCTCCAGGCAGTATTAGCCCCGAGACGTAGCTCTTAGAGAGCCACCCAGACGGCTGTAGAGCCGCTGAGATTTTCTTCCGCCGAGATGGAGTGCCATGGGGTTGGGTGTCCACCTTCGCGCCGCCAAAGTAAGACGAACGACGGCTCCCGGCTCGAGTGGTCGGGCTGGCCAGCGGTGTGTTGAGCGTAGTCCCCTCGGCCACGGACCGGCAGCTGTCCGTTATGTTGGAGACGTGGGAGATTGCGCCGGGCCAACGAAGCCGCCTGGCAAAGTGAGCCAGACCATCAACCTGGCGTTGCACGTGCCTCCCCTTGATTGCATAGACAGGGCCACGGCTGTGATGGCCATGCGATGCGGTGTCGCGACTCCACGACATACGTTTGGTCATACTCGCTAACCAACCCGAGGGCTTATCGTCGCTTGTTTGCTCGGTCGCTTCGGTCTTGATGACTTCGATATTCTCGAGCCACGCTCGGGCTAGGATGAGCGACCACTTGACGGACTTGTTCGCCTCTTTGTCGAACCTGTGGATCTCGGCAGGCTGAATGCTCTCCATCCCCAATTCCTCCCCTTCCGTGATCGCGTCCAATCTAACAAGCAGTTCGCAAGCTAACAGGATCTGCAGGAGCAACCAGTACCGTTCTTCGTGGAGGTCAGCCGCCAACTCGCCCACGTTATTAGACGATCCGTCCTCGCTGTTTTCCTCCACGGGATTTTCCCACAGTAGCTGGCCCAGCCGAATGCGCCACTCGACATGTGAAAAGTCGATCCACATGTTTGGCGCAGCGAGGACCTTGACTAGAGCGAGGATTTGAACGGACAGGCTATACGGGTCTCGGTGGTCGAGCACCTTCGTGGGTGGATGGAGGATCTGAAGGAACAGCTCGTTGTAGAGTTCGCTCGAGACCCGCCGCTCGCGCAGATGCCTCTCGGTGTACCTCTGCCCGTTCTTGATGAGCTGCTCCATGATCACCGTCTCATCAACGTGCCGCAGACCATCTTTTGAGGTAAGCATCTTTTGACGTTGTTCGACAACTACAGGCAGCCTGGCAGCGAGACCCTCAAAGCCGAACTGCTCCTCCTGAAGAGCATCGGCCACGGCCAGCTCGAGGGCTGCCTGGTACCCCACGCTCCCCTTCTCGAGCCCGGCCATGCTCAGCATATTGGGCCGCTCGCGGCATCGAGGATAGAAGTGCGCACGGCGCTTCTCCTCGGAAGCCCTCTGGGCAGCGGACCGGTCACTCTTGACATCCCGGGTGATGTGAGGCCAAGCCGTGACAGAGCCCCAGGCCTTGTCATCGATTTGCGTGTGGTCAGTGAGGTCCCGGATCTCCAGCGCCTCGTCCCACGGAAATGCTACCGATGGATGCGGGGCTCCCGTGTAGTGTCCTTCGGACCGGGCAAAATACTGCGGGGCCCCCGAGAACAGCTTCTCAACGTCGGACTCGGTCAGGCTGACCATGATGCGGTTCAACCGAAGGGCGGGTCGGGCCGGCGGACCTCGTGTCTGCTCGCTGCCCGGCGGCGGCGGGGACGGTAGAGGCTTATTCGGGTTGACAGGAGGACTCCGCGGCGAGAGTTGCGTAGATGTCTCGGAGACCTGATCAGTGTCGAGGATGGTCAGTCAGCCACATTCTCCGTGTTCATTGTGTGTCATTGGCCTGTGTGGTGAGGCAATGGACGAGCTAATGCTCTTTCAACGTTCAATTGGGATTGATATGTGGTATGTAGAATATCCGGGAAGAGAGTAACTGCGAGGCCCCTGGCGCTGCTCGTACGATTGGTGCAGGCCGCAACCGATGGGGGCATGCTGCCATGGTCACGCGGGCTGCGCCAGGGGTGACGGCATTCGCTCCGGGGAAGCAGCGACCGGGCTTGGCTTGCACTTTCTTCTCCAAGCACGCCCACGAGAGTCTGAGTGAGACAGGCAGCGATCAACACTGTTACCGTGTCGAACTTGCATTTGCATTCCAGATCGGCAACAGATTGAAATACATGGGGCTGGAGGACATCCACGGGGGAGAGTAGTTTTTTGGCCATTCTTACCGTTGCGGCGTCTTGCTGACGTTGGGTTTGCGATGACGTTCCCCGCTGAGGGGCCGATGACTGCTTCCCTGTAAGTCGACTTCGGAGGTTGTGCAACAGCTCTCGGTTGAAGCCGCGTCGACCCTTAATCCCACCGGTCTCACTGGTCTCGCCGTCGTTGGCCTCGTCCGATATGCCGGCAGCACGGTTCTCCTCGCCTTGCCTGTCTTCCTGCGGCGGGTCATCCGCCATCTTGACGTCATCCCCGTTGCTCGGCGGCTCGTTGTCTTTGCGACCGCGAGGCGATCTCTTCAAGATCGAGAAAGGACCCATGATAGATGCGCGCCGTTGGGAGACGCGGCCGATGAAGTGTTATCGAGGATGCAGCCAGTCCAGCAGAGCTTAACTGCAAGACGTAGTGCACCGGTCAAGCGGCAACCTGCAGGTTCCGGAGGGTTGGCTTTCGACTTAAAGAGAAGAAATGCGCAGTAGAGTCTACTGGCATGTAACACACCCTTATTAGGATCTTGGAGGTATAAGATATGAAAACACAAGAGACGGAGATCATTCCCTCAACGGCCCGGCGGGAAAAGATAGAGGACGGAAGACTCGAGCCGCCAGATGGCCCGCGCAGCAGGATTGGGGGGATTCTGGCTCGCACGACTCAGCAACCATGTCCGTTAGGTGCCCGGTCCCGTCAATTGCATTGTCGATCGTGTAGTAACATGCAGTGAGGAGCCAAATGACCACCAAAGCCATAATAATTAGGGAACTTAAGTGCTTATGAATGGAGGTGTAGGTCAGCAGCTATGGTGCCTAGAGGCCCTAGACAATGCATCCTCACGATCCTGCATGACGGAAGCGAAAGAAATGCAGGTCGTTGGTGGGGAGCTGTTCCCCACCGGACACTTACACGCCCCTTGTTTAATGTGGTATACAATAGTACAGTACTACTAGGTACGTATCCGTACTTTATGACTTGAAGGCCAGGGCCAGTCCAAAACTCCATCTCAACATTGAAACCTAGGTAGCTTTCATGTAGGAAAATGGCACGCATTGAGATGGTCTCTCTGATTATTCCTGAGTGCTCTATTCTCTCGCATTGAGTCGATTCTCAAGACTGTTGAACTGTATCATTCTGAATTTAGTAGGGCCTGGTCGCTGTCGCAAGTTCCACGCTAACCAGCAAACGGCATTCAACTGTACCCCACTGCCAATTACAGAGACTGGGAGTCTCCGGTGCGCTGGCAGGGCTGTTTCAGATCCAGAGGTAGCACGCCCAATGCCACGGCCCACCAGCGACTTGCACCGGCATCGTCATACATACAATACATGATGTGAATCGGCCTGTAACGGGTTGGTAATTTCATTGGAGCGTCCAGAGCTCTTCCTGCAATCACATATTTCTTTCATTAGGTTCACAACAGCCAGCTCCCAAGTCTTCTTTCCATTGCCGCGACCTCATGTGACAGCCAGCTGTGTCTTGTTGGGGGTCCGGCGCGGCTTCGAATGGCAACGCATTTCGGCTGTTGGTGATGGTTTGGGGTGCCGTCTCACTGCAGGCAAAACCGTGGCCATTCTTACTGTGCCTTGACAGCCCTGGTGCGTATTCTGATGAGAGCGGCCCCACCACATTCCAAATTGCGCAGGCTGATTGCACATTTGCTCTTTGTTGAGGTCCGCGCAGCGAACATGTCCGAAAGTGAGCAGCGACAGTTCATGACAGCGTCGGCTCGAGGACTCTCTGGAGACTAGGGTTGCTCAAGTCGAAGCTGAGATGTTGATCCGAGGCTATCTGGGCTGCCGGCCCCAGGAGAAGTTAGTAGCCCTGCAGAGCAGCACTGCCGGGAGAAAGCCATGCCCAACATATGGCAGACTCTTCAGCCCACATCCGCTGCTGTTCCATGAACCTTGGTGCCTCACTTGTTCATGCGGAAGAGGTGTCGTGGACCACTACCAACAAATATTTGGTGTCGGGGACGATGACAAACTCCTGCTTCTTCGTCCGTAAACGCAGCAATTTCACTTCGTCCTGCAAGACGTTAGCCCTGAATGTTGGTTGGCATCTGCCTAACGGTCACACCCTACCTCAGTGTCAAGCTCCTGCACGAGGCTGCCCGCAGTGCCAACGAACCTCCACACCATCGATGCCAGTTCCTCAGCGCCCTGGTCTTCGTTGGCGCTGTTGCCGCTCGCTTCACTTGAAAAAGACCCAACAGCCGCCGACATGGACAATCCTGGTGTCTTCGAGCTACGAATTGAAGAAACCTGACCGCTGGTCTTCAGAATTGCACCCGAGGCTCGGTCTAGGACAATCGTAGCCCTGACACCTGCCTTCTTGGAGAGGCGGCCCAAACTCTCCTCAAACGCATCAGGGCCGGGGGTCTGATGCAGAAGGGAGTCAGACCAGAGCGTTGTAGGCACCCACAGAACAACTTACCGAAATTGTATCCGCCATGGTAGTAGAATCTGAACTGCGTGAATCTATTTATTTCCAGGGTAAGAAACTCGTGAAACACAGAGTGGTAGATTGATGGGAGTGAGTAGAGCGAGTTGCGGCCCCCAAACGGCGGCTCGCTTCCCACCTATTCTACTCTGCTGAATGTGAGCAGGAATGCAGCACTCGGAGGGTTGACCGAGCACGCTAACTTGATCGGGCTGTGTCCCGCAGATCTGCCAGGTTACACCGCCTATTTTTCCAACAATATCCTTTCCGCCGCTAACTCTTGCCTTCCCATTGAGACAACCAAATCCATTCTTGGATACTGCTGGTCTCACTGCAGCATCGCCTATGAGCCAAGAATGGGTTCTAGCACCAAGAAGAAGAAGGAGAAAAAGAAGGACTTCCAGGTGCGAACCCCCTGATGCTATGCCTCAGAACCGCTCACTAAAGATAATCCTAGAAACTCAAGCTGAAAGTCGGAAAAGCGAAGCCGAAGGCATCCAACTTCACTGACACGAGCTTTAAGTCCAAATGTGTGAACCTTGATATCGGCGGTTGCTCAATCTAGTAGGGACTCGCTGACAAAGCCCAGCCATTGTTGTCAATCAGCAGACCCTTGTAGCAGAGAGCTCAGATCCAGCAGAGCAGTTCAAGCAGAACCTGTCACTTGCCATCAATGCAAAGTCCGACAATCAAAGACGCGATGCACTGGCGTACATTACCAACCAGCTCTCCGCCGATACGCCCAACAACCCGGTCGGGACTTCAGGGGTGTTAACAAAGCTACTCCCACTTATGTCAGACGGGGCGGCATCGGTGCGCACTCAGCTCCTCAAACTGTTCCGGTCTCTACCGCCAGCTGAGGTCGGACCACACGTTGAGAAGATCCTCATGTATGTCCGGAGTGGCATGACGCATCTGTCAAATGACATCCGGAGCGACACCTTGAACGTTCTGGAGTGGGTCCTGGACGTTGCTGGTGATGAGACTGTTTCCTGTCCCGGAGGTTGGCTAAAGACGCTGAATAGCTTCAGCTCAATGTTGGGCTGGAACCCGAGTGTTGGGTCTGCCATGAGCGCCAAAGGCTGGACATCCAGCTCCCGGCCGACACTGGGGACCAAGAAAGGGCCCGAGGCACAAGCCAGGCAGATCCAAGTCCTGGCGAAGTTCATCCAAACTGGCTTTCGGCCTGAGGCGCCAGTGCCGTACAACGCCGTGGCGTACTGGGACAACATCTACTGCCTGCCTGGGATGCCAAATCCCTTTGCATACCTCAATCTCTTCGGAACGCCCAGAGACGAAGACAGCGAGATGTATCCTGACCGCATCTCGAGACAGCGCGTCTTTGACGCGAAATGGAGAGCTGCCATCGCTGCCGGCATGGACGGTGCCAAGAAGGAGGGCGGTACAGTTGGCAGAGCTGCTGCCACCTTGGACAAGGCAATGAATGGCAGGCTTTGATAAGGCACACTAGATCGGCTTCGTTGCATTCTGGGCGTTAAGGGGCGGCAGGGTCATGGCGTTTCTTCACCTTTCAATGTATGTTTACCTTCCCATAAGGACTGAGTTTCAGCCTCGCTTCCCATGTACACTCAGTGCAAAATATGAACACGATTATCGGCTGACCTCGGTTCGACAGTGGCAGTGTCTTATTGATGCCAGCCTTCTTGGCCTCCTTGCTGTTTGATTTCACAGAGCGAGGCATCCTCATTCAGATATGAATGGCAAACTCACAACCCCGCGGCATGAAATTGTTCAAGAGCCTTTTCTTTTCTCAGCCACTCTGATTCAAAGCAAACAGAAGGTGTTTTCCTACAAACTACCTAAACACGTGTTATTGACACTATCCTGGTAACCCTAGCCAACCCCCCCTTTAAAACCCCTTTCAAAGTAAACAACCAGCTAATACTCGGAGCAACAGCGTAGTACACCACGACTTACTCTTCAGTACTCTCGCTACAATACGCGTAACGGGAAGAAATCAGGACTAGTACTGGCAACTAGCCGAAGCCTAACATCTGGTTTGGCATCGCCGGACCATGCCTCTACTCTGCACATTCCCGGGCCGTACAGTGTGCGCCCCTTGTTTTCCGCTGTCTTCTCCGCTGTGAGAAACCCTGGTCCGGAAGCTTCTCTGATCGGAACGGAGCGCGTGATAGGCCGCGTCTCTTGCCCTATTCACGGCTGCTTGTGGGAGGAAGCCAACGGAAATTTAATTTCGATTCTGTTGAGCTGGGCTGATTTGCAGTTCTTGCCCTTCTTGCTTGCCTATAAACTTTCCTCCTCTGCGGCTACCTTGGTTCCTCTTTCTCCTCTCCTTCACCAACTTGCCGCCCATCTTCCTCTGGACGGTTACAACATCGACTCTCGCCGCTAACTCGCAAGCTGCATCTCAACTCCCTCAATTGCTTGTGACTCGAGGTAAGCGTCATGTCTCTTTTCTCTATTCCCTTCTCTTTGCCCTAGTGCTCTAAAATCGATCACATTTCGAGATCGACCCGACTGCATATTCCGCAAGGAGCCTCCGCTTTTCAGCAACTCGCGCCTTCCCGACCCCCCTTCCTAGCCTCCCTTCCTGCTGTGGCTTTGCCTCGCTTAATGGGTCGGTCTTTCCTCCTGAACCCTCGAACTCAGGCTTACCTAACCGACCTGTCTGCCTGCGAGCCCTGATTCCCTCCCAAATTTCCACAGACCTTCCTGCTTCCCTGGTTGGGTTTGTTTTCTTTTGAGCCTGCTTCATCGAGGCCTCCCTCCATTTACTCTTTCCTCGTTGATTTTCCTGTTCGAGAACAAGCAGCTAACAATAAAAGAATCCAAAATGGCGGACCAAGGCTGGGGTACGACTTCCTCGGCTGGTGACGCTAACACCTTCGGCACCGCCGAGCTGAACGCAGCCCTGCCCGCCAATGGAAACAATCAGGCCGGTGATGAGCACAACGCTTCCCCCGGCTGGGTGAAGGCAACTCCCTACGACTACAATGCCTATGGTGTCGATGCCACCCATGATTGGGAGGGCAATGCAAAGACTTACGAGTGGAATGGTGAGCTTGGCGACGTCGGTCCGGAGATCCCGGCCCTTGAGGTTGAGCTCTTCGGTGAGCCGGGCAATCGCTCGAAGCACGGCATTGACTTCAGCAAGTGAGTTGTTTGCATCGATCTCCGATAGCTTCTTTGTCCTCGAGTTTATTTGGTTGACGTAAAACAATAGGATTGCTTCCATTGAACTGTTTCAGGAAGGCCCCGCGCGTGTCGAGCCCATCGCGACTTTCAAGGACGCCGGTCTTCACCCGGTCATGTTGAGGAACGTTGAACTGGCCGGATATGAGCTGCCGACGCCGATTCAGCGCTACTGCCTCCCGGCGATTCATCTTGGCTACGATGTCATTGGCATCGCGCAGACAGGTGAGCACATGGTCAGCTCGGGGATGCGGACTCTCCTCTTACCAGCGTTCAGGTTCGGGCAAAACCGCTGCCTATCTGATTCCCATTCTCAACAAGCTGATGGGCAAGGCCAAGAAACTCGCCGCCTGGCGGCCCAACCCGGCGACCTACAAGCCCGGTGTTGACGCTCCCTGCCGCGCTGAGCCTCTGGTGGTCATCATTGCCCCGACTCGTGAGCTGGCGGTTCAGATTTTCAATGAAGCGCGCAAATTTTGCTATCGTACTATGCTCCGCCCCTGCGTTGTCTACGGCGGCACGGGTTCCTACAAGGACCAGGAGGCCCAGCTTCAGAAGGGCTGCGATGTCCTGATCGCTACTCCCGGCCGCTTGGTTCGCTTCATGGAGGAACCTCGCACACTGACGTTTCGCCGCGTGCGCTACATGGTGATCGACGAGGCAGATGAGATGCTCGACCAAGACTGGAAGGACGAACTTGACAAGATCATGACCGGTGGTGGTAAGTTCAAATTCGAGAAGCGGTAGCGAGATATCACTGGCCTAACTGGTGAACAGACCAGGAAGAGGGAAACATCAACTACATGTTGTTTTCCGCCACTTTCCCCAAGGCTGCTCGGGAGCTGGCCAAGACACACCTGGCCGAGACCCATGTGCGACTCCGTGTTGGTCGAGCTGGAAGCTCTCACGAGAACATCAAGCAGAACATCGTTGAGGTCCACCCGTCGATGAAGAAGAAGTGCCTCATTGATCTGCTTCAGTCATTGCCTCCTACTCGCACCATCATCTTCGTTAATTCGAAGCGCACTGCCGAGGAGGTCGACGATTTCCTCTACAACTCGGGTATGCCGTGCACGTCAATGCACTCCGATCGTACCCAGAAAGAGCGTGAGGCGGCCATGCGTGGATTCCGCAGCGGCCAGTGGCCCATTCTGGTTACCACTGGTGTCTCGGCTCGCGGTATTGACGTCCGCAACGTGATGCATGTCATCAACTACGATCTGCCGTCCATGGACCATGGAGGAATTGAGGAATACACCCACCGTATCGGTAAGCTTTCGTGCCCACCGACATCATGTTGACATTGGTTCTAACAGCCGCAGGTCGTACTGGTCGCATCGGCCACCGTGGCCTGGCGACCTCTTTCTATACCGATAGAGATGAACCGATTGCCTCGGTACTTACCCGTACCCTGATTGAAACCAACCAGGAGGTTCCGGAATTCTTGCAGTCTTACGTTCCAGAGGGCGCGGCGCCGGGCAACCTCAAGTTCGAGGCCGACTCGGACTTCGAGGACGAGACCGCTGGCGCCGACGGTGGAGATGCCGGTGGCGGCGGTGGCTGGGGTGCAGGCGACGATGGTGATGCTGGTGATGCTGGAAACGGCAATGGCAATATCGGCGGCGGCTGGGGTGCCGACGACAGCGCTGGCAATGGCAATAGAAATGGCAATACTAGTGGAGGCGCTTGGGGTGCTGACGCTAGCGCTGGCTGGTAGATAGCCCACCTTGCTGATCACAGGCCTCGGGTGGGTATGCGGTGTGCGGATGGTTATGAACTGGCGACTGGTGGTTTCCGCCTGGGTTTGTCATGGACCTCTTTCAGGAGGAGATATTTGGAGTCTTTCTGGATGAGGCTCTGGTGAATCGGCGAAGCCTCCAGGATGGTAGTTCTTTGCGCAAGGAGAAGCTAATACGAAGATCACCCGGGCAACCCAACTGATGCTCCCAACAAAGGCTCGTGATGTGATTTGTCTTGTAAGCTGGCTCAAATTCAAAGCCGCCACCTGGCAGAGCACAAGGCCACAGCCCGTCCCTTGCATATCCATGGAAGTGACACCCTCCTCTATCGCACACCTACCTACCTTATCTTAGTCATATCTCACAGTTTTACCATACTCGATGTCTACACCCCGAGTGCACATGGTATGCGAGTGAATCTTGTTCCTCTGGCTATGTACTATCATGCGAATATGTGCTACGTAACATTCCGAGCCCCTTCGACCATCCCCATAACACCCTAGCAAGAAATAAAAAGCCCGTCAATATTTGGACGACGAAGGGGAGGAAGATAACCGCCAAGCCCGGAGCGGCAACGCTTGAAGTTGCAGCACCCTGGGTCGAATGAACAGCGCAAAGGTCACGACACCGATCAGCACGCAGAGGACGTTGACGATGTAGTAGCCGTCGCGCTGCATCTCGCAGACACCGCCGCCCGCTAAGCAGCGTTCCTTGTCCGCCTGGACGGCGCAGCTGAAGGGCGCCGTCACCGCGGGCACCGCGGGCTTAGTAGCGTCCGGATTGGGATGGGTCGGCGGGATGCACGTAGCGCTGGTGAAGTAGTCGACCATGCGCAGGACGAAGAAGCGCGGAAAGGTGCCGCCCAGATTGCACACCGTCGCGAGCAGGGTCATGTAGGTGCCGCCGATGACCGGGTCGGCGATGCGCGCGTGGAAGGCGGCCACGGCGACGAACATGATGGTGTTGGTGAAGGTCGAGAAGACGTGCTGCGCGATCACGGTCAGGAGGTACCAGCTCGTCACTCCGCCCGCCGGGAAGATGTAGACAGTGAACTGCGCGAGGATGGCGGCCGCCAGGCGGCCCATGAAGCCCCAGCACCAGAGGCGCATCGGCGTGTATTCCTGTGACCATTTGCCCGCGTAGTAGCCTAGGCCGATCTCGAAGGGGAAGTCGATCAGGACGGTGAGCGCCATGTTGTCGGTGCCGAAGCCCTTGTCAAGAAGTTTCAGGCCGGTGACGCCGTCGTTGGCTTGGAAGCCGATCTTGGCGATGAGGTGAACCAGGATAATCGCCTGGATGTTCTTCAGCTTGAGGACGCCCCACATGATCTTGTACACGTCCCAGATCCCGTCTTCATTCCTGGTCCTTTCCTCGTGCTTGAGCAGGGCCAACCCTATGGTCACAGCGATGTAGGCCCATCCAGCGAAGGTGAGGTAGCCGCCAAGGCTCAATAACCCGTGGTCGAGCGGCTCGGTGCGGAACCACTTGTTGGCGAAGTCCTTGGAGTGGAAGGCCAGGAAGACCGTGTAGGAGAGGAACTGGCCGGCGGTAAGCCCGACGGTCTGCGCCGTCGAGGCATACGAGACGTTGCCCGGCGTGAGCAGGGTCAGCGCCCAGCCGTCAACGGCGATGTCCTGCGTGGCGCACATGAGCACCAGGAAGAACCACCACCAGGTGAAGGCCCAGACCGTGGGTCCGCCAGGCTTGCCGGTCAATTCCATCCACTTCTCGACCCTTGCGCCTAGCCATAGCATGCCTATTCCGGATAGCAGCTGGATGGGGATGATCCAGCTCTTCCTCCGGCCAATCTTGGGACTCCATACCGCATCTACGATAGGGCTCCAGAACAGCTTCAGAGAATAAGGGTACGACGCTAAGCTGAAGATGCCAATCTCGCCGTACGACATGTGGTTCTTTAATAGAAATGGGACGGATCCTGTCGCCAGACCCAGCGGGATGCCCTGGAGGAAGTACAGCAGGACAAGCAGGCCAAAGTTCCTCTGGTCTTTCTTGGGCAGTTCGAAGAAGCCATGGTTGTTGGTTGTCGGCGTCTTGGGCACGGGGTCGTCGAGCGAGAAGGAGTTGTGAGCCATCAGGTTCGCTACAGCGCCCTCCGACGTTGAGGTCTCGTGCGATATGTTGCGCCGCAGGAGCTCGACATTGGTATTCATGCTGGCGGGGCGGCCGTTGCTCTTCCTCCCGGATGCGCGCCCTACAGAACCGTTTCGAGAAAGGGGCGGCGATTTGGCGCGACGAGACTTGGTACCCATAGGTATGACGTGTATGAGAATCAGGAGCGTTCTTCGTTGTGGGACGGTTTCACCTCGTCTCTTGCGGGTGCACAGATGGCGGGGATGTCGATCGATGAGGACTCGAGGAGGGTACCTATCAAAGACTAGGTCGAGTGAATGAATGGCTTGGGGCAAATATGCGGAGATGTGCGCAGGCCTGGAAACCACAGAGTGTCGCAGGGCTTGAACGAAATTATTAAAGAGAGACGAGAAACTTTTGTTGGGCGCCTGCAGGCTGTTGTCCTGAGCTTAACGAAGGTGGCCTTTTATGGAAGGCTGCCGGACGTCAGATCAACGCCGGGGGGAAATCCAGGATTCCAGAGCCAAGTTCCAGAACGAATTGAAAGTGTCCGGGCCACATCGCTTTGACCCGGCAGCTCGGAGGGCAACCCTGGGCCATGTGGAGCACTGGGCAGCCGCTGCAAGCTGAGGAGCTGTTGATTGGGTGGTGGAATTGTGGGGGAGCGCAAGCTGCTACGGTGGCCTTTGCACAGTGGCGTTGAAATGCACCCGCGCACTGCCGAGATTTCAAAGTTGCAGGATGACTGATGGTAATTCACGTGATCCATGACAACAGCAGCACAATCAGAAAACATACCCTTGGGTAGGTACCTATCTGTCTACTCTACGAATACAGGAAGGCTCGCACTTAATCCCCTTGCAACTTTTCAGAGTCACAGACATGCGAAGTTCGTCTGTCTCAGGCAGGCGAAGCTCCAGATCTGCCAAGCCTGAGATTTCTGCCAAGCCTGAGATTTACGCCAAGCTAGGTTCCGCAGCACATGCATGTTGGCGGACCGACAAGGGGCTGCAACCTCAAGTAAACAAAGAGCGGCGCTGTGAGAGATGATTCTCTGGCAGTGAACATACCAGCCAAGGCAGAGACCTCGTGACAATACAGTTCCATATTCTCGCCGGCCTCTGGTATCCGTTCATCTTGTAGATTGAGTCAGTAGCGTCGGTTACCTCGCGTCTCGAATTTGTTTCCCTTCATTCCTACGTTGATTGACGCATTAAACGGCTGGGGGCCGAAAATGGCATCAACTCTTGATGAGGAAATCGAGGACCTCCAGACAAAAGGTGCAGCCATACCGCAACTCTTCAATCTTCGTTCTAATCCATTATTATCCACTAACAAACATCACAGTCTCCTCGCTCAGAAAGCAGATCCGCATCCACACATCAACCCTCATCACAGCCCCCTCCACACGGCTACTCCTCACAGAAGAAGAGCCTGCCACCCCGAGCCTCACCCTGCCACGCGCCGACAACGACAAAAGCGGCAGCGGCATCTCTGACTCATCCATCAAACAAAAACTCGTTTTCCAATCGGCCCTCCAACAAGCGCACAACCAACAATGCCTGTATCGCGCTTGTGCTAGCATCACCACTTTTCGCGTGCGGGACCCGGACCCGCACGCCGTCGACGGCGGCGCCATCCTGGGCCTGCGCATTGAAGTCGTCAGCCGCGCCAAGTTTCTGCGGCCGTACTACGTCCTGCTGAACAGGCCGTACCCCGGGCCCGGGGGCAGCCGCCATCTACGCGTGCATCGGCATACCCTACCGCCGTGCATACCCCTTGCGGGATTGGCGGGGAGGTATCTACCGGCGCCCACGGTGGGAGCAGAAAAGTCGGGCAGTAGCGGCAGGCAGGATGGCGATGCAGGAGCAACCCGGGCCCCACAGAAGCAGGATCTGGCTAGGTTTGCGCGGGCGCTGCGCCGAGAGGTGGTCCGCTATCACCATAGGCTTGGCATCATTGCGGATCTGAAGAAAGCGGCCGGGCTGGGGAGGACAAGTAGCGGGCTCGGAGAGAGCTCGGAGCGGCAGCGGCAGCCGGCCGCGCTGGTGGATATCAGCCCGGCTGATGCCGAGGCTAAGCAGCTTACTATTGAGTGGGCCGATGGGCGCACCGGTCGGCTAGTTATGGGCGATGACGGGGAGATCCTCAAGCTGGTCGTGGTGGGCGAGAACGGACGGGACCGAGAGGCCGGCAGGGACCTGCTAGGCGGGGCGGTAAGGGTCGAGGACGTGGTGAAGCGGCTGGCAGCTTTTGTCTGAGTGCTGCCAGTCACTAGCCATGCTATGCACTTAATGATCGGGCTGCTCTGCTTTCTCAGACCTAACCACTGTGACAGCGCCGATACGCCAACCATGCGCAAGCACCGGACCCCGAGGCTGACCAAGGGAGGGGGGCGGCGGCCCGGTCTGCGGGCAAGACGCCCACCTCGGGGAACCACTCCAGCCAGTACGCGGTGCAAGGCCGGATGATTGCTTCCAAAGCCCAAGGAATGACACCCAGAGGGCATAGCACAGGCATACCAACGCCCTTTGTGCGAGTGCTACTACTAGTATCTATGCGTACGAAACCCCGGAGCTGCATCCCCGCGAAGGGGTTCGAGAACCCGGGAGGCAGGTTCTTCGCCATCCAAGCGGCACGCCGAATTACCTGCGCCAGCGGCGCCTCACCTTACCGCGCCGTCTTACAACCTGGCGTCCATTCCAGGAGTCACTTCGGCCGTTACCCCCAAACCCCTACAACGTCTATACCAACCCGTCTGATGACGCTCTGAATACTATGCGCGGTGTTTCGACCGTCTCCGTCAGCTCCGGCCACGGCATGTTCGACCCGTTCGATGCTATGTCCCAATCCGCCTTGCCGTCCCACGTCGACACGCCGCGGATGGCTTCCACCGAGACCTTCTTTGGGGTCCCCAAATCTAGGTACCAAGGTTGCTCTGCTGCTGTCATGCCATTAGTTTGGTGGCACATTACGAGAGGAGTGCTGGTCAAGGCTGCAACTTGGCATGGCAATACGTCGGGGTTGGTGCCTTCGGCTTTGTGGGGTATGTATTGTACACTCGGCATACGGGAAGTCGTCGATGTTCGGCCGGTGATTATCAGGATATGCATGCTATTTAGGAATGACTCAGAGGACCCCATACAGGCACGGATGAGAGCATCAAGGTCTTGGTTAGGTAGCGATCATTTTCGGCGCCGCTCGGGGAGAGGCCCTTGCCGAAGAGAAAACCTATATAAATTCATCTACATTAGGAAGATTCCATATCACATGAACACCGGTCGAAGGTTGATGTTGTTAGAACTATTAGACCAAAGTGATTACAACTAGCGTCCTAGACTTCGGGCGCAGCCAGAGGCTACATCCGGAGCCACGGACTAAAGTAGTGAAGGATCTATTGGAAAGTTGAATGTATCTATACAGTAAATAACCACGGCGAGAAAACATCATCCCCCTTCCCAGCATATCCCCAACCCGCAAATAGATCCACCAACTCTCCGCCTCTTTTAATGACCCCCTCTGTTCCCGCACCAGAAACCGTGATCTAACTTCGACGGCCCAAACGTCTCGCACTTCCCCTGGTAAATCACACACAGTGAAGCAGAATGAGGCGAAACGAAACAAATACGAGAGCAAGAGGGACCCAACGACCAACCTCCCTCTCTCTACTATACTTCACATAAAGGCGGCGGCAACGGCAATAGCGGCAAGCGCGCCACCAGCACGCTGGACATTGTGGCCAGTGCCCGCCGTCACAATGGTCTGCCCGGAAGACGTCGTCTTGGACGGCGGAATGATGGTGCCCACGGACTTGGTGGTGAGCGTCGGGTAGCTGGTGACGAGGGGCGGCGGAGGCCGCGGCGGAGCAACAACGGCGGCGGAAGAGGAAGAGCTGACAACCGGCGCCACCCAGGTCGAGGTGGAGTTTTCAGGAGGGGAAGCAGAGCTTGCCGACGTGGTAGACGCGGCGGACGTAGTCGGGAGAGTCGAAGACGGGGCCACTGCAGTGGAGGTGGGAGTTGCAGAAGAGGGAGGAGGGGGAGGAGGAGGAGGAGGAGGAGGAGGAGGAGGAGGAGGAAGAGGAGCTTGGGTGGAGGACGGGGTCTCGGTTACGGGGCATACTGTTGTGCTGACCGCGATGGTGACCGTGGTGAAGACGGTGCTGTGAGCCGGGCATTTGGTCACGGTCGGACGGCAGCTGATGATGGTGGAGACGCTCGTGGACCAGATGGTGCTCGTTGTCCACTTCGGGGGCTCCGGATCCCAGGTGGGATAGCCTGAGGGGACACTGGCAGTGGTGGGAATCGTGGGAGAGCTCGGAGACACGCTGGCAGTGGCAGACGACGGTCGGTCGCAGGCCGGAAGGCCGATACAGATGCTGAGCTCCGCATTGAGGTCGCCAATGATTGCGGCCGCTCGAGCGGCGAAGACCCCGAGAGCAACGGCTGCGGTCTTCATGTTGAGATGTTGCTTGGCAAGTTAGAAAGCGAGTGAGAGAAACGAGTGGATGGCACCTTGGGCACTGAGAGACACGACACAAGGTAGAAGCTCGGCTCGGGACGAAGGGTTGGTGAAGTGCTTTATATAGGATTTGTTGCATGTTCCCCTGAACCTCTTCGAAAGGCCTCAGCTGAACGCAACACAACGTTCGGACCCCCGTGGCGTCCAGCCGACAAGCTCCGAGGAAGAGGGCACCTCGAGCGGCGAGAGTGTATGCACCTGTTGATTGCTCGTGATCGACGTCAATATTGGACACCATCCTCCCGCCTCTGAACCAACCCCCTTGCCTGTCGGGAGTGCAAGGGGACATGTATGACGGCAAGACATGCAGGGCACAGAACACACAGCGCACAGCACACAGCCGCAAAGTGCTTCCCCCGCAAGATTGCAGTCGAGTTTGAATCAAACGTTGTATGCACATAGTCGGCCGTCCCTTGCTTCCATCCTGCAAGAGCGTGGCAACAGACCCGGCGCATTGGGGGCCTGGGGCCGATGTCATTGTCACTTACCTCCGGCATCGCGGGCCTTACGATGAGGGAGACGATCGGGTCCTGCAAGGGCTGGTCTGGCCGCTTCCAAGGGATAGCGGTAAGCGGGTGATCGGACTGTCTACCCTTGCATCGGCGCATCCCGTCCCTAGCATGGCGCGTCTCACGACGTTCTGGTTGTTGTTTCTTGTTGCGGGAGGCCACATTAGCTGCCTCAACCGCACCCAGGTCCCAGCTTGACTCTGTCTGTGCGGGTCGATCATAATGTCCTCAATGCGGAGAAACAGGGCTGGGTCAGCCTGGTCTCCCTTCAAAAGCCCGGTACGGCTGGGATGTCGTAATGTTGTTCTGCCGTCACATCGAACTGACGGATCGATGTCCCTTGGAAGTGTCATGGCCGCACACCGATCGTCCGTAACTGGCCACAATCGCCCGAGTTGGGAAGGTTACTGCGTCCTGCTGCGTCAAATGACTCAAATCAAAGGGTATCTATGCCTGAGACAGAAATAATCTCTTTGTTTTTCTCCTCTGGAGGCTGGCACGAATAGAATGGGAGACATGGACTCATCCATGTCCCCATCCCTTGCGACCTATCCGTATTCCGTACGAGCTGAGCTGACCGAGTTGTCGCAGATCCAGGGTTAGGGTAGAGTGTGCTAGGTGGATCCATCGGACGGCTCTGGGAAGATGTGGCTCAGCCATGCTCAGTGGCTAATGAATGACCTAGCTAACAACCTAGCATTTGGATAAGTGTGGCTGGAGCTGTCGGAACCGGAGCTTGCGGAAGCTCCGATGGGCCAGAGACCTAGCACTCCGCCTCATAAAGCTGACGCCATCCACGTTGAGGACAGCTTGACGCTGCAACGCTGGTAGAGCGATTGTATATGAGTTGGATGTTGTTATTTTTCCGTTTACGTATTTTTCTCTGGCATCTCCATATATCTCTCGTATTGTGCTCGCCGTGATCGACTTTTGAAAACCCTTTCTCTTCATTTCCACAGTTCTTGAACACTGCTGCAACTTCAACTTGCGACCTGAGCTCACAACCCTGAGAGATCAACTGCAGACAGACTGAAACATGGCGCCACCAGTTGACCCCAGCACCCGTAAAAGGGTGTTGCGAGTCATCTTCTTTTCTCTTCTGCTAGACTTAGTATGCCACTGCTACTGCGCGTTAGTGATCCCCTCTGTCTAACGATCCGTGCACAGATATCTTTCACCTTCATCCTCCCCCTTTTTCCGAAGCTCCTCGAGTTCTATCGCAACGCCGAAGCTCCCCTTGAGCCTGGCGCAGAACCATCCAAGACACTGCTGTCGAACGTGCTCAGCTATCTCAATGCCTACAAGGCGGCCTTTGCGCGCCCCATCGACTCCCGATATGACATCGTTCTACTGGGCGGGGCGTTGGGGAGTCTCTTCTCGTGAGTTCAGACAACGCGCTAATTGGGAAGGTATGTCAGTATTACAGGTGCTAATGTGACTTCTGCAGTCTTCTCCAAGCCGTCGCTTCCCCAATTATCGGCCACCTTTCCGACAAGTACGGCCGGCGTACCGCCTTGCTCGCTAGCATGGCGGGAAACATCCTCTCGGTGCTGTTGTGGGTGATGGCAGTCGATTTCCGGACGTTCTTGGCTTCGCGCATTGTCGGCGGTCTCTCCGAGGGCAACGTACAGCTTGCCACCGCGATAGCTACCGACATTTCCGATGCGAACAGTCGAGGGTCGACCATGGCCCTGATCGGCGCGTGCTTCTCCATCGCCTTCACCTTCGGCCCCGCATTGGGCGCCTGGCTCAGTTCCATCGCCACGGTGGCTGCCAATCCGTTTGCGACTGCTGCCGGGGTATCCCTATTCTTGATCGTCGTTGAGACCGTGTATCTCTATGTCAGCCTCCCCGAGACGCTTCCCTCGTTAACCAGGACGGACAGCGCAGCCTCTGCGGGAAAGAAGGAAGCAAAGCCAGCGGCGGTCCCGGTGCAAAGGACGAATTCGCATTTCCTCCTCAACCTGGTCCACATGGCTTTCCTGCTCTTCTTTTCTGGCATGGAGTTCTCGCTGCCGTTCATGACATATGACCTGTTTGGATACAGCTCGACCAAGAACGGGAGACTGCTCGGATTCGTGGGCCTGGTTGCCTCTATTTTGCAAGGCGGCGTAACCCGCCGGCTGCCACCCCTGCTCTCCGTCCGGATCGGCGTGCTGGCATGCCTCGCCGCTTTTATCCTGCTTGCCCGTATCTCTACCGTATCGGGCCTCTACCTGGCCGCCACATGCCTCGCAACCACGTCTGCAACCGTTGTAACCGGGTTGAATGCTCTCAGCAGCTTCGAGGCTGCCGAAGATGAGAGGGGAGGTAAATTGGGCATGCTGAGAAGCTGGGGCCAGCTCGGTCGTGGCCTTGGCCCTGTCCTCTTCACGACCATCTACTGGTGGGCGGGGCGGGAAGCAGCGTATAACATGGGCGCTCTCGGTATTGCGGGCGTGAGTGCGTTAGCCTTGCTCGGGTTGAAGACACCACGGGGGTCTGTGAAACAGGGAACTCCATCCAAGGCGCTGGGGGACAAGAAGGAATTATGAGCTGAAAGTCGCATCAACTCCGTATGTGACGGATGGATCTCGAATAGTACTGTACAATAGTTAACCACAACTTTGCATTAAGAGGCTGGCCTAGATATAGACGTATGCGACAGCGTCGCCTTCTGTAACACTGCCATGGAGCCTAACGTTGCCATTAACATTGTTGGATGTGCCTCTCCGTTCTATCGCAAATGATCTCGAAACCATGTCCGCGCCAGACAGTCCGAGACGAAAGCAAAAATCAAATGATGGCACACCGTTCGAAACAGGGTATCCTCAATCATCCACCACACTGGCTAGAATTAAAGAGCAACATCCTGGAAGGATGACCCATCACCAGGGGACTTCCCGCCTTTCTCGTCTTCGCTGGCCGCCTTGTTCTCTTGCGTCTCGTCTTCGTCTTCAACGGTTGGTTTTGGCCGCGCCGCCAGACGATTCTGATCTCGTTCATCCGCCAGGACCTTCTGCTCATCCTGCCCGCCTGAGATCGCTTTCTGCGACTCTTCTTCCTCGGTGCCGCTGGATTCCAACTCGGCATCCCCTTCCTTCTCCTGTCCCGCCACCTCTTCAGGAGTCGGTTCCGCTATCTGGCTAGCCGTGCTAGTCGTCCTGGCATGGTTTCGCGGGGCGTCTTTCTCTGGAGGCGGCGGTGCGGGCGCAGAAGCCGGAGCGGCAGTAGTCGTGCTAGTTGTACCAGCTGTGCCGGGCCTCTCCTCAAACGGTGGCCTGACCGCATCGAGATAAAACTTTGTGACACCGAGAATACGCCCGTTCCGCTCGCATGCCTCCACCCACTCCGGCCGCACGATCGGAATGTTGAGTTCGTTCGCCTTCTCCCACTGCACGCCGCGGCCTTCCGTCGTGACGAAGTGCGTTGTGTCAATGCGCACGCCGTCCACGATCTTGGCGCCGATGCGCTCTACCGCGGCTGTCAGGCTCTCGCGCACGGCAGCCGGCAATATGCCCGTCGTGATAGTGATACCGCTCAGGTCCGTCATCTTGTGCGTGCGCACCGTAACGCGCTGGCTCGAGAAGGTTCCCGCCGTCGTACGTAGCACCAGGTGGAACGTGTATTCGGTGTCCACAGCCAGGCCGCTGATCTTGGTGGTGTGCATCGAAAGCGGCTTCGGAATGTTGCCCGCCTTCTGCCCATTGCGGTAGAGCGCGAGGCTGATCAGATCGGCCGTGGCGAGCTGAATTGGGTCCCATTCGAGCACCACGCTCGTCTGCGTCGCGTTGCGGCATCGGAGCACGGGAGGTGATGGTTCGACGGAGCCAAAGGAGGAGAGGATCTGGTCCTGGAGCTCCCTGAACGCGCGCTCAGCTTCCGACTCGGAGTTCTTGTTCCGAGCAACATTGATGTCGACAATAGATCCCGATGTAATGTCAGGAGGAAGAAGAATGGAGGGAAACTCAATCTAAGAGACATGGCAGTCAGTATGGGTATTCTTCCCGGGCTGCCGGGGTGATGGACATGCCAGGCGTTTGTCGGGAGTGAGCAGGACGGTGACGCCCGCGTCGACCTTGCCGACGGTGAGCGAGACCAACATGCTTTCAGGATAGGCAGTGGTATGCCCGGTTCTCATTCGGCTAGTAGCTCTGGTTGATGCCGCGGCTTGGTATGAAGAGGCGAGGTTGCCGCTAGACGTTGGCGACCTGTCGCAAGTTTGGCGTTTTGGTTCAGTCGAAGACCCCTTGTCTCCGCCAAGCATGGCCTTGGCATTCTACTAAGGTGCAAGCTGGGATCCACCCTTTCCGCTAACGGTGCAGTGACGCAGCATCTATCCTCTCGGGCAGGTACCCGCGGGGTAACTTACAATAAACCCCACCATGGTTCATCGAAGCCTCGGCCATCTGAGATCGATTTCATCCGGTCTCATATCTTCATAGTCGCCGGCTCTATAGACCTACGAATCCTTTAATACATTCACGATGATGTCCCAAATCCCCTCCGAAACCCCGCCAGACAATCTCGCCGCGCTGGCCGAGGACCACTACTTCGCTGCCAATCCTCCGCCGAAGGACCTTGAAAAGCACGTTGTGCTCGCCCGGGACTTTATCAACCATCACTCAGCTGCTGGCAGACGCCTAGTGTTGATCACCTCAGGGGGTACAACGGTGCCGCTTGGTTCGTTCATTCTTGAGCCTGAGATGATCTAAGTTGTGATATCAGGGGTTGACAGAGGATCGGCAGAAAAGCAAACAGTACGCTTCATCGACAACTTCTCTGCCGGAACGCGCGGAGCGGTGAGTAGTATTTACCATTAGTTGGTAGAGCTTGAGTCATAAGAAAACGAAACCTCTGTTTCGGGGACGTCAAATCAAGTTAGCCCATGCGCTCAGATTCTTAGGATACTGACAAAAATTGTCCATAAGACAAGTGCCGAGTACTTCCTGAAGGCTGGATATGCGGTGTTGTTCCTGTAGGCAACTCGTCCAGACAAAGACCCCCCCGTTCCATCTTACTTCGCTGCCCCGATCCCGTTCTCGCTGTTGCAATATGTACACAGCCGATGCCAGGGAAAGCTAACATCCCCTCGTCAGGCACCGCCAATTTTCCCTTCTGCCGTTCTCCCGGCACTACAGTCATGCAACCGATTGCTTCCTAGACTTCCTCCGGGAAGGTCCCAATGGCAGCGTTGTGGCCCGGGACGAGGATTCGGCTAAGATGCTGGATGTCCTGCGAAAGTACCGTGACGCCCGCGACCGCAACATGTTGCTACTCCTGCCGTTTGTCAGTATTTCGGACTACTTGCATGAGCTGCGCAGCGTTGCCCAACTGATGCGACCACTTGGCCCTCGCGGGTTACTGTACCTGGCTGCTGCCGTCAGCGACTTCTTCGTCCCTGTAAGCATCTCGGATCTCTAGCTTGCCCTCTCCTTCACTAGATGCGTTGCTAAGTCAACCTCAGCCGGAACGCATGTCAGAACATAAAATCCAAAGTACAAATGCTGCTGATGTCTTCAAGAGGAACGGCGGCGCCAACGCCCGTCCGGTAACCGAGGAGGAGGAGACGTTCGACAACTTTGACTCTTCCCCGTCAGTGCCCAGGAGCAAGCGCCTGGTCATTGATCTGGATCCGGTACCCAAGTTCCTGAAGAACCTGGTAGAAGGCTGGTCGCCGCAGGGCATGATTGTCTCGTTCAAGCTCGAGACTGATCCCACCATCCTGGTACACAAAGCCAGATATTCACTTGATCGTTACCAACACCATCTCGTGATCGGCAACCTACTGTAAGTCAAGATCCCAGGAAACGAGAACGAGACTGGAGCTAACAAAAGCCCAAGATCTACACGGAAGTGGGAAGTTGTAAGTGTTTTACTTCTCCACTCTTGAAAGTCTAGATTTAGACGGGCGGCCTGTACGGGACTAATCGGGAGCAGGTGTTCGTTTCGCCGGGAAACCCGGATCGATGGATCCGCGTGCCAGTTCGCCGGAAAGGAGATGGAAGCGGTGCTCCAACGACAGAGACAGACAAAGACGAGCCCCTTGATCCCAACAGCTTGCCTGACGGTGAACCGGAACTCGAAATTGAAAGCCTCATCATTCCGGCTGTGCAGGACCTCCATTCGAAGTATATCCACACACTCGAGGAGAAGGAACGGGGATGAAGGATGGAAAGCGCCTGACTTTTCGCTTTGGTTTCCAGCGGAGACATGGATATAACCATAAGCGAAGATGATCGCCCTGAGCAATCGATGGCGAGCGTCGATGGATACTCTTGGCATCTTCCGTTGTCTCTGCTGTCCTCTCGTGGTTGTTGTGTGATACCACACAAGTGACTGAAATGGACCGGCTCCCTTCGATTGGTCTCCGGCTAGTTGCGATGATCCATTGTTCGCCCGTTTCAGACCAGGATACTGTCATATGGATGATGGGTGTATGTGCAATTCCTGCTCAGCCCTTCTGTTCTTGTTGTTCCTCTATCTTCAAGCTCGATCTATTATAAGGGTTCTGTGACAGTGCCGCCCTTCGAAACGTCGCCGAATCCAGATTTCCATCATATGTTCCGCTACTGGCAACCATACTCGACCCCTTTGGGCAGCTTACGGAAAGTCGGAACTGGCACTTGAAGACTTTGAGGAACCCAAACCGCTGTCTCTTCAATGAATTGCCAGGCACATTGCGAGACCTGTCGTCAGGGATGCGCAGTAGTCCCTAGACTTGAGTTGATATTTGCAGCTTAGCGATGTCGCCATCTCAACTGAGAATCGCTATGTCGCCGCCAAAGCCTCCCTCGTGGTGCCCTTAGGTGCCGAAGGTGGGTTCTTGCTGGGACGGACAGCAGATGGATTGGTATCCCCTCCCCCGGAGTGGTCACCTTCGACTTTCTGCGCGTCTCAGTCTGGCGTGATAGCGGAACGGGAGGTTGGTGTGCATTATCGCTTTGATGATGAGGGTTTGCCGTTGAATGTCGGATGGTCAGGTTGAAGCAATCGCCGTCCAAGGAGCTTGGAGCGCTTAGGTTCACCGAGAAGGCCTCTTGTGGCCACTAAGCCTTGGGATAGCGTCTGACAGAAGCTTCGACAAGTAGTCCACCAGATCGCCAAACTCAACCTTGAAGATCTTCTTGGGCTCGGGTATGGAAATTCGAATGGTCCCGCGAAGGCTCTTCTCGCCGTGCAGACTGTTACCAGAGGCATCATAGCCAGCAGCGTTCAGGGCGCGGCAGAGCGCGGCCCTCGCCACTCTCTCGCTTGCAGACCATACCACGGCGTTGCTTCCGTCCGACGCTGAGGAGGCATGTACATACGACCATAGCCGCCGGGTCTCCTTCTTCTTCGTGTAGTAATGCAGTGTCTTCTCGGTAAGAGGGTGCTCGAACGCCGAAAGGTACTTCAGGTGGTAAATGGAGAAGACATGACTCGAGGAGAGCGAAAAGCGTATAGGGAAATCGTTGAGTCTCTGGCGCGGAACCAGTTGCAGCGCGTTCGGGAATTTGATCTTTGATTTATTGGCAAAATCCATGACTTTCTGGCTTGGTGGAGCAACACCATTCGTGATTTTCGGAGCAATCACAGCCGGTGTAGTTGAGCTAGTCTTCCCCGAGTTGCCTTGTGGTATTTGAAGAGCATCGAGACTCGGAAGAAATTCTTCGCTCAATTTCGGTGCTTTCAGGCATCGTAGACTTCGTTGAAACATCCTCTGCATGGTTCTGTGAGGTTATGTTGGGGACTCACGTCAGCTCCCAGTTCCTCAATAGGTTTGTTTATTTACTCTGGCGCTTTTCTGTCGACGTCTCGTTATGATCCCTTTCTCAATGTGCGCTTGCGTCACAGAGACCCATGTTTTTTGTTCATGGAGCGTCGGGTCCACCCTACCCATCCCTGCCGTACCCCACTAGTGGGGCCTTGCCGAAACCCAACAACGCACAGCGCCACAGCGCCCCAGAAAGAGTCATCGGTGTTTAAATCCCCTGCACTTTGCCCCTCCTTAGTAGCCGTCTTCCTTCTCACAGACATCGGCATCGCTTGGCTGTTTACACAACACCAAAGTCTCGAGCAAGTTTTCCATCGACAATTTTTGGAAAGAACCATTTCTCGAAAGATCTCGCTTAGCCCTCTATCAAAATGCCGAAGAATAAGGGAAAGGGTGGCAAGAACCGACGCAGAGGAAAGAACGAGAACGAGTACGTTGCCACTGCCACCGCCGCCGCGTAGTCAATGCTTTGTCCGCATCACGATCGCTAACACTGGATATAGCAATGAAAAGCGCGAACTCACATTTAAGGAGGAGGGCCAAGAATATGCGCAGGTCGTAAAAATGCTCGGGAACGGCAGACTTGAGGCCATGGTGTGTTCTCTTCCCAAAGCAAAGAGGGTCAGGCAAAGCCGAACAGTAACTGACGATCTCTGCAGTGCTTCGATGGCGTCAAGCGACTCGGACTTATCCGTGGCAAGCTCCGGAAAAAGATCTGGATCAACAACGGCGACATCATCCTGGTCTCGCTGCGTGAGTACCAAGACAACAAGGGCGACGTTATCCTCAAGTACTCGGCCGATGAAGCCCGTTCACTGTACGCACAACCCCACCTATGTATTCGAAGCCATCTTCTTGCTAACACCCCACCCAGAAAGGCCTACGGTGAACTCCCCGACCACGCCAAGATCAACGAAACAGACACCTTCGGGCCCAACGAGGATGGCGATTGCGGTTTTGAGTTCGACGAAGACCGCGACAGCGAAGCTGAGGAGGACGGAGCTGCCGACGGGAAGAAGGAGATTTCGATCGACGACATCTAAACCAGCCGTCATCATTTTATGCCCACTCTCGGGGCGAGGACCACCCTTTCCGACTCCATCGTATTGCGGCCTCCAGGGGTCATGGTGTTGGGCACGGAAAGCAAAAAACTGTCTTCTCTCTCAAAACCTTGGTTATGCATAATGTATAATTCACGGTTCCCCGACAGTTGGTGGGCGTCTCGTCCTGGTTGTGGAGCGGGGTTTGGGGCAACATAGAGAGAGACTGGTCATGGTGGGAGAGACGTCATCACCGAGTCTATCTCTTGGTTTGGGGATTTAGTTTACTTTCCTTTCGGGTAATGAAGTTTGTTCCTTAGTTTGCACGGTTGGTACGCTTATGCGACTTATAGGCCAGTTGTGCAAGCGTGAACGGCGTGGCGTGACTTGTGAGTTGTTGGGCTGGCCTGACCTCTTGTTTGTCCCTGAAGCCTGACTTTACTCTGCCCATAGTAAAATGAATCCTCCCATGTGATGCGTCCAAGCATCAAGCATCATCACCTGCCAAATTTCTTGTCACACTTACACAGGAAAGGCCTAGAGCTATGGGATTCGCGATTCAGGCATCATCGACCTTTTGAAACCTCTGCATCTCGGGTTATAACGGGTTATAACTGTCTATGAAGAATAGTAGAGTACCGGCCTTCTTGCCCAGGACAAGCACCCTTTGGCAAGCAGGACACCAGTACTAGGGGGGAACCAAAGATACCAAGACCATTTGCCAGCCCTATAAACTCCTCTACACACCTATCGGGGTTCTCATTCTCCCATGCTCTGGGTTGATTTGTCTTTCCCATTCGGCCCTGTCTTTCCCGCAAAGTGACCCCATTTTGCATTTTGGAGGCTGGTCAGCTAGTCATCCTCAACACAGCAGGGCCCTAGAAGACGGCCAGCATCAGTGTTGAGCCGCAACATCACCAGTCATCATCATCGTCCTCGTCATCTGCAAGTTATTAGCATTGGGATACTAACAGAAGAAAAAAGGAGGTAAGGGGTTAACGTACCACTGCGGCTGACCTTCTCCTTCCGCTTCTGTAGGGCCGCAGCCAGCGCATCAGCCATACCTCCGCCGCCGCCTCCGGGAGCGACACCCGCAGGCGGCAGTCCGCTCCCGTGCGGTCCGGTATCGTTGCCTCCGCCAGGAACCATGGCTGCACTTCGGTCGCGGATCTGGCTGCGGTCCACTTTCTTGAGCGCGGCAATACCGCCCGCCCCCCGGATGCTGTCAAGCACCGCCGCGCGGCTCGAGTCGGGTGCTGGCAAAGCGGCAGTGGGAGCACTTGACGAGTAGCCAGAATCGCGGTTCGGAGGAGGGGGAGGAGGTGGTGGTGGAGGAACACCAGCTCCAGGCGGTGGAGGTGGAGGAGGTGGTGGTGGAATGCCGCTGACGCCGGGTCCGGGGGGCGGACGCGGCGGTGGTGGTGCGCCACCAGACATTGGGGTTAAAGGGGGCGCCGGCGGAGGAGGAGCATTCGACGAAGGCAACGGTGGAGGCGGGGGCGGAGCGGGTGGTGCTCCCGAGGCAGGCAGAGGGGGGGCAGGGGGCGCATGCGATGAGGGCAACGGCGGGTGCGCTGGTGGTGGCGGAACTGGGCTTCTAGCCGGTAGTGAAGGAGGGGGCCGTGAGCTTGACGGCGGAAGTGGCGGGGCGCTTGCAGCAGGAGCCTTGGGAGGTAGCGGAGGGGGAGCAGCCGGGGAGTGTGCTTGGACAGCGTCCCGGGATGGCGGGGGAGGGGGAACGGCACCACGACTGGGCGGCGGGGGTGGCACATTCCGTTGCCCGGGAAATGGCGGAGGAACGTTGAACCGCTGTGCCGGCTCCGCGTTCTCCATAGGCGTCTTAGGCGGCCGAGGCGGAGGTGGGGGACCAGGGGCCGGAGGTGATGGCACAGCGCGAGGCGGATCCGAACGCGCAAACTTGCCAGCTTCCGGTAGAGGCGGAGGAACCGCAAACCTCGGCCGAGCTGGAGGCGGAGGCGAATCTCGGGAAGGTGATGGTTCGGGCTGTGCTGAGATATGGTTGGCCGACCTTCTCGGCGCCGGGGGCGGTGGAGGAGCTGGCCCCCGTTTCGGGGGGGACGGTGCTGAGATTGTCTCGGAGACCGGACGATGCGGTGCCGCGGGCGGAGGAGGCGGTGGTGCTCTCAGTCCGGTTCCGGACCCGTTAACTGGAGGCGGCGGGGGCGGAGGAGGGTTCGACTCTGACTGATTGGCCTGTGCCGCTTGTTCCTGTTTGAGGAAATCGACAATGAAGTCTTGATTTTCACGGATAAAGTCGTCCGTCAAGCCCTTGGATTTCAGATCCTCTCCAAAGTGCTCCCTCCATTGCGGATCGAAGGCATCCAGTTTCTCGAAGCCCGACGAGTCCGCTAGCTCGTGGGGTCCGTTCAAACTCCCAGACCGGTGGTTCCGTGTTGGGGCGGGCACGCGTGGTGATTCGGGCGGCGTAGGAGCTGAAGAGTGTCGATGGCTTCCAAAGAGGCCTCCCAAGAATCCGTGATGATGCTTGTGGTGGCTCGCCGGCGCGGCTCCTCCAAATTTAGTCTTTTGGGTCGCCTTGCTCGCATTCTTTTCCCTGTCGTTCATCTTCTTCAGGAACTGTTTTGCCTCCTTCTCGTCGACGAAGGACAATCCAGCCAAGCATTCTTCCAGCTCGAAGGTATGGAAGAAAACACGGTCTTGATTGTAGCTCCAGTTCTCAAAGATCTCCTGGTCCCAGATCACTCCCCGGTTTCCTGGCTGCCGCCGTGTTAACAGAATGCTCCCAACATACAAACAAACAAATAAACCCAAATACATACCGAAATGTCCACCATCTTGATCCAGTACGTGTTGCCGACGAGGTCGTTGGCCAACACGATAGCACCTTGCAAGCCCGTATAAGTCCATTTTGATCGGTTTGGGTAGGCTATGTAGAGCCGAGCTACCGCGACAGCATGGATTTTGTTGGTCTGCTTCGGCACGAAGCGTTTGACGGTCTCGCGGTCGTCGTCACTTAGTATCGACGGCATCGCGAAATAGGGAAGCTGCCCGGCACCGGATCCGCCGTTGCGCTATCGAGAAATCCGGGGCAACAGGCACGATCACAAGCCTAGAACACCCAAGTAATCACAGTCTTGGCCGTTCAATTCGTAACGTTGGCCGCCAGTCACTTGGAGCGCGTCGCCGAGCGGGATATGGAAAGCGCCAATTGCGACCAGGTCCGGAAAGGAGGGGTTGCTGTTGATGTTTGAATAAGTTATGCGGGAGACTCGGTCGGCGCGCAGCTGCAAGCGCGAATAGTAGACAAACCAAGACAGTGGCCCAGGGGGGAACGGGTGGCTTCGAGGAAGGTCCGTATGCAATTCGTAGCAACGTGGTCTGGTGTAAGCTTGCATCACCTAGTATTGACTGCACAATGGAAGTCAGGGGCTGTTGAGCAGTGTGGGGTTTGCTGTGGCACAGCCACCGCTGCCCAAATGTGGGGGGTGTTCATAACCAAGTGAGCCAAGTACTAGTACACTAAGTGACTTCTGATGGAATACGGAGCAGCTTCTGAATATCGAACCTACTACATAGATGCAGACATGCAGACATCTAGACGCCTACACCATTTTTGGGTCCCTAGCCTCTGCGAGTCACAGGTCATTCTCACGCTGCTAAGGCTCTTTTCTGCTCCAATACGCAATGCGGTGCTAGGTTCTGGCACGGGCTCGAAGGCAGATACAGCCGAACGGAAAGTCAGTTGGCCAGCCACTCATGACTTCACCCGCTTCCCTTGCTATGTGGCTGAACTGAGAAATGAAAGGTTGATTTGGCCATGAAACGCAACGCTCTTAGCATACATAAAGCGGGATCCCCTTCGCTTGTTCTATTCCTTCACTTATTCAATTCCTGTGCCTTGGCGCGACGTTCCTCCTTGGTCCCTTCTTCCTGAACATTGAACTCCTTCGGAATGGCCGGACCAGGGTTGGCAGAGTGCGCTTGGAACGCCGCCTTCACATTATCAGCGACCTTGTTCAGCGAATTCCCCTCAGTCTGTATTGTCTTGTCAGTAATCTAGGCTGCAGCATTGGCTTCTTTAACAGCATGCGGGTGCTTGCCTGCTGGTTGGTATCCTTCTTCTCTGGGGCCTTTGAAGGGTCCATGATGGTAGAGTGTGACTGGGGTTGGATAAGGCTGGAAAGTGGATCAGGTGGAAGTTGGTGCTTTTTGTTGTGTCTTGCAGCTGCAACTGTTCGTCCTGCTCTGCAGTAGGGAGATGGGAAGGAGAAGATAAACAGCAAGATCGTAATGGGCCTCGGATTCACCGTACCTCTTTTAAGTCGGAGGAGGAGGACTCGTAATGGAGTCCCAAGCTGACAGGCTGACTGGTGACGATGACGTCGGCGTTCCCTGTCTGTCCGACCTCCAGGGCTGTTCTGCAAATGGCCGAGGGCAACTGAGGCTTGGCAGAAGTCTGTCCGACATCTCACTGTCGCGTGGTGGCAGCTGTCAGTTCGGCCTTCTCACCAGTCACCCACCACATCAAGGCATGACTTCCACTGGCCTGCAGGCAGCCACACAACTCTTTCAGGAGGAGGATGTTCAATTGAGATCGGTCATCGAGTAACGCGCCCCATATGGCGGCGGCCGGCACACCGCAGCCCGTAAAGCTCTCTCTGCCTTTAGTATGTTGGAACTTAGGTGGCCGCTCTTGGTTTGACGGGACCTTAAACTCATACTTTGTCCCAGATTTACCAGCAGAAGCTCTTTGAGGAATTGCGTAGCGAAGATGAGCTCGTCATATTGGCGCGAGGACTCGGCCTCATCCGGCTCATCACCAATCTTCTCCATTCATACGATGCCGCAGGAAATAACCTGATCGTCATCGTCGGCGCAGAAGACAGGGAGAACGCATGGATTGGCGAGGCTTTGGCTGAACATGCCGCCATCAGCATGTCGCCTCGGGCCCGCGGCCTGACTGTGGTCAATACCGACTTCACCAGCGTGGCCGCTCGTGAGAAGATGTACGCTGCAGGCGGCATTTTCAGCATCACATCCCGCATCCTGGTGGTCGATATGTTGACCGCGCTTCTAAACCCGGAGACCATTACAGGCATGGTGGTTCTTCATGCCGACCGGGTCATTGCCACGTCCATAGAAGCCTTCATCCTTAGGATATACCGCCAGAAGAACAAAGTCGGCTTCCTCAAGGCGTTCTCAGACAACCCAGATCCATTCACCGTGGGCTTCTCACCGCTGGCCAGTATGATGAGGAACCTTTTCCTTCGGAAAGTCTCGCTCTGGCCACGCTTCCATGTGCATGTGGCCGAAGCGCTAGAAGGGAAGAAGAAAGCCGAGGTGATTGAGCTGGAGGTTCCTATGACAGACGCCATGCGCGAGATACAAAATGCCGTCATGGAATGCGTTGAAGTGAGTATCCACGAGCTCAAGAAGGGCAACACAGGGTTAGAAATGGACGACTGGAACCTTGACAGCGCCTTGCTCAAGAACTTTGATGTCATGGTCCGTCGGCAGCTGGAACCGAACTGGCATCGCGTCAGCTGGAAGACAAAGCAGATTGTGAACGACCTGACCATCCTCAGGGGGATGCTCCAATCTATCCTGGCGCTCGATGCGGTCTCCTTCCTCCAGCAGCTCGACACCATCCATGCCGCGCATTCGCCGCCTCCCGGGTCGACAAGGCAGACTCAGCCTCCTTGGCTCTTCCTGGACGCTGCACAAACCATTTTCGAGACCGCAAGAAGGCGGGTCTATTCGAGTAGTCAGAGGGCAGGTCCAGACACCACTAACATTGACGCACTGCGACCTGTGCTGGAAGAACAACCTAAGTGGGCCGTCTTGGCCGAGGTGCTACAAGAAATCGACCGGGACCTCTACTTCGAGCCTGCTCTCCGCGATGACTCCAATGGAACGATATTGATCATGTGCTCAGACGCCACTACATGTCGACAGCTCCGCGATTATCTCCAGACAATGCATGTCAAACCGAGAGTAGAGAAGAAGGTTGAGGAGATCTACGACCCGGAGCAGGATAAGCCGTCCGCTGCCTTCATGATGAGGAGGAAGTTGCGTAACTACCTCAAGTGGAAGCGGGAATTTGCCCAAGTCAGCGCGACTCTCTTCTCGGAGACCCAGAAGGCCGTCGCTGGTGCAGTTGACCCACGCCTCGGCCGGTCGAAAGGCAAGGCGCCTGCAAACAAGAGGCGCCGTGTCCGCGGCGGCGGAGTGGTTGGCACAGGCCCTGGCCGTCTTGACAACGGGAGCATAGCGCAGTACTTTGAGCAGCCAAGTGAGGTGGCGGAGCTTATGGCTGAGGTCCAGATCACGGAGGAAGAGACGAAACAAAAGGAAGACGTCGTTGCGGATCCGTTGGAGAACATGGACGACTATTACCAGTTGTATGAGATGCAGGATCTGGTTGTCATCCATCCGTATGAGGGAGACCAGGACGAATACATTCTCGAAGAGATCAAGCCGAAGTACATCGTCATGTACGAGCCGGATGCCTCCTTTATTCGCCGAGTTGAAGTCTACCGCTCGTCCCACAACGATAGGAACGTTAGAGTGTACTTCCTGTACTACGGCAGATCGGTCGAAGAACAGCGCTACCTATCCACGGTCCGCCGTGAGAAGGATGCCTTCACCAGGCTCATCAAGGAGCGAGCCAGCATGTCGGTTGTGATGACGGTCGATCCCAAGGACGCCGAAGATCCGCAGGAAGCCTTCCTACGGACCATTAACACGCGGATTGCCGGTGGCGGGAGACTAGCCGCCACCGCGGAGCCACCGCGCGTCGTGGTCGATGTGCGCGAGTTCCGCTCGTCGCTCCCGTCCCTATTGCACGGCAAATCCATGATTATCGTGCCCTGCATGCTGACGGTCGGCGACTACATCCTCAGCCCGAACATCTGCATCGAGCGGAAGAGCATCAGCGACCTGATCAGCTCTTTCAAAGACGGCCGCCTCTACAGCCAGTGCGAGACCATGTTCCAGCACTACAAAAGTCCGATGCTACTCATCGAGTTCGACCAGAACAAGAGCTTTACCCTCGAGCCCTTCGCCGACTTGTCGGGGAGCCTTTCCAGCGTGAGCGCCGCCAATGCCGGCGCTAACGACCTGCAGAGCAAGATCGTCCTGCTCACGCTAGCGTTTCCGAAGCTACGCATCATCTGGTCGTCGTCGCCGTACGAGACAGCCGAGATCTTTGAGAGACTCAAGGCGCATGAAGCCGAGCCAGATCCGATTACGGCGGTCAAGGCTGGACTGGACCAGGATACGAAGGCGGACGAACAGGTGTTCAATGCGCAGCCGCAGGAGATGCTGGCTGCGGTGCCTGGGGTCACGCCCAAGAACATCATGAACATCGTGCTCGAGACGGAGAATATCAAGGAGGTGGCCAATATGACGGCGGCGGAACTGGAACCGATGGTCGGAAAGGCGGCGGCTGCGACAATATGCGGCTTCTTTGCGAAGGATTTGTTGGAGGATGAAGAGTGATTGAGCACTGGTCGTCTTGGGAGACTCGATAACTGATACCAGCGAGGTCACGATCCGCACAAGCACACATTAGAGCTGTTGGCCACGTTCGCAGTGATTTAGATCTATGTTGATTCTGCTAGACGCTTTGAGAATGCAAATGCAACGAGATAGCCAGCCAGTCACACGTGTCCTCCCCCCTTCAATTCCTCCCTTCCCACGTCAGGTAGAAGCCGAAGCCGGGGTATTGGGTATCTCATTTCCGTCGCAAACAAAAAGGAAAAGGCTCAAAAAGGAACGTCGCTGTCCGCTAATATTACAACCCGGAACCCATCAATCGAACTCTCCTCTCCCCATCGTACATCCAACCCTAGGTTGCTGGACTTCGGGCTACTAGTAGCTTAGATCGTGCTCGTAGTTCCAACGTGCCTTCTCCTGCCGAAGCCGCGCCTTCTTCCGGTAGTCGTGCCGGCGGTGTGGTGACGACGCCGTCCGCCACAGGTGTTGCAGGTCAGGCAGCCGACGATGATGTCAAGGAAGTTGACGATGCCGTTGACAATGGCCATGATGATGCTGCCGATGCCGTTGATGATGGCCATGATGGTGCGGCCGATTGTGCGGAGGCACGACTGGATCTGTATATTTGAAGTCAGGTTAGTATCGTGTCGGTGAATTGGTAGCAGACTGGGGATGTCAAGTCTACTTACGCAGGAGACGACGGCGCCCATTTTGATGTTGTTTTAGTTGATATTTTTTGGTGGTTCTGGTTGGTTTGGTTTGGTTCGTTGAAGATCGAGACCGTGGTGATCAACGTTTGGTAAGGTGTGCTCAAGTTTGTGATGTTTGTGGTTCTGGTGGATGTTGAGAGGTGTGTTGGACAGAAGACTCGAGGGTGCAACAAAGCAATATATATGTACGAGTTCTTATTGCCGTCCACCAAGTTATCCTTTACATTCCGCTCTCTTATTCTCCAGGGCCGTGTAAGTTGCCGGTGACGTCACCTGGCGGGAGGTCAAGCCCGTGGCTTCGTTTATCTGCTTCCTGTCACGCAAGGAGCCAACAAGCGTTGCAGGTCTTGTCGTGACCACTCAGATTCTTGATGCCTGATGATGACATTGTACAGTTGCAAGGACAAAAGCGTGGCTCGGTACATTTCCCGTATCCGTCATGTAAGGTCCAGAACATTGTGCAAAGCGAGCAAGCTGCAATGAAGTCATCCGATGCAACCTCGCCGTCCATTCATTCTTGTTGGCTCACAGCTGGCAATGGTTTCCCAAGGGGTCGCTGAACAATGGGCATTACGTCATACCGATGACCTTGGCTAGTGGGATGAGTTCGCGCAACCACGTGCCGGCCCACCGATCTTAATCGCTTCTTGGCGCTTCCACAAGCGACGTCAGGGGTTCGAGTTTCCAGGGTCCTCATGAAGATTTCACAACCGGGAACGAGTGTGTGGCTATCATCATTGCACCTTGAGGAAGAGCATGTGTTGAAGCGGGACCTGCATCGGCACATGAAATCGCATGCTAGACGTCGCAGACGCTCAGAAACGCCATTTTGCCTAGAGCAATGTTTGTCTCGAGGAGGGCAGCCATGCTCAGGCATCTTACTCCTCCATTGTTCAAGCCCCAAAGCGCAGATGAGATTACCTTAGATAGGTAGTCGGATATCATCACACATGCATGGTCATGCAGCGAGTGCCATCATATTCTCCCATCTTTCCCCCATGTTGGTCAACGCCCCATCAAGCGCCGCTGGATATTAACAAAATTGGCAAAGTTCATCTTTTCGGTCCCACGCTCGTCGACGTGCTCGCCGCTGACAATAGTGTGCACCCGCATCCGTTCGTCGTACCGCAGGCCTGACAGAAGCTTCGGCGTGATGAGGAAGTACTGGCTCGTGTGCTCGCGGCAAGCTACCTCGACCATGCGCTCATGGACCATGCGCTCGTTGCGCGGGTCCATACCCTGATTGATCTCGTCAACGACACGGAATGGAGCTTGGGCCATCGACTGCAGCGCCATCAGGTAGAATATGGTCGACACCGCCCGCTCACCACCGGATTGACGGTGCTGGTCCAATCGCTGGAGCGTCTCATTTTCGCTGCACCGGAACGTTTTAGCCTTTCCGTGTGCCAACACTATATAAGGGGCAAGAGAGGAGACTTACCGGAACTTGACTTTGATTTCAATGGCCCACTTCTCAAAGTCTTCGTCCTTGTGCACGCCCACTTCGCCGGCGCAGCTAATCTGTTCGAAGTTATAGCTGAAGGCGTCATTGATTTGACTGACCAGCTCGTCCAGCTTGGGCTCCCATCGACTCTTCACGTCATGTATCCTCGCATTCAGTTCCGCCATCCTGCTTTCCTGGTTCGCTTGGTTGGCCCGCTCCCTCTCGATCTTGGCCGCGTACCGCTCGTACTCTTCCAGCGCGGTGGGGTTGCTCGCGTGAATGACCTCGAGTTTCGCCTTCTCCACTTGAATCGATTGATCGACGTCCTCGACCGTCCTCTCCTTGGCCTTGGTCGATAGCTCATTCTGATTCTCCTCTGTTATGACACTGAGGGCATCCACTTTGCAGTGCTCCGCAATTGCTTTCTGCTCTTCTTGCTCGGCCTTCGCATCGTCGAGCCGTCGCCTCTCCTCCTCCAGCTGCCGAGTGATTTCGGAGTTCTTAGCTTTGAGAACGCCCACATCCGATTCTGCTTCCATCAGGAGGACCTGGGCTTCAAGCAGAGCATAACGTGCCTTTCGAATGCCGTCTAGTTGCTTGTGGTGGTGAAGGATCGCCTTGGCCTTGTCCAGAGCCGCCTGATCGAGGCGCTTCTCCAGTTCAAATACGCGATCCTTACATGCCATAAGCTCTTCTTCAGCCTGACCTAGCGTCCTCTTGGCGGCCTCTAAACCCTTGCTATCAGTGGTCGTAGGAGCTTGTCTCTTCGAACGCCGCATGCTTACCTATCTTGTCCGGCAAACCTTGCCATGCTGTATACTCGCGCTGGAGCTCTTTCTTGGCTTCACCCAGTTCGTGCTGGTCCTCTGTTAGCAGGCACTGGCCAGTCGTGGCGGGGATGGCGGAAACATACCCTCTTCCGTTCGATTGCGGCGATTTCGGCGCCGAGCCCTCTGTGCTTTTCCCCCGCGGTCGTGTATTCCTCGCCCAGAGCCTGTTGCCGAGTCTCCAGCTCCTCGATCCTCTGTAAAAGCTCCGTCTTTTCGGCCACGTCCACCGGCTGATCCGCCCAGAAACGGCCGTTCCCGAACCGGGTAACACGTGCTGAAGCGGCCTCCGGCCCGTACTCCCTTCTCCGCGTGATGCGGTATAGTTTCCTCCCAGCAGCAAACTGCGTGAGACTCTCGGTCTGCCGGACCCTTTCGAATTGTTCGTCGGGTATATCTCTCAGCGCGACTGCAGATGCGTGCACCCTCTTTTCGGAGCAGAGCATGGCGAGTACCGGTTCGGGTCCGTCCAGATAGTCGCTGACGTAGCCGTCGAATCCTAAGCTAGACAGTTGTTCTTTCGGTATGGGTGGCCTGAAAGCATTGTAGGGTGTGAGACAAGAACGTATCGTGACGGATAGCCCCATCTTGCCGTAAAACTGATCGCTGAGTTTCCGGTGGTCCTCCTTGGTTTGCGCCGTGAAACATAAGAAATCATCTGCCTGCAGCATCGACTGAACGAGATCGGTGTAGCGCTTGTCCTTCACAGAACACGTGAGCATAGGAGGCCCGAAGACTTCCTTTTCGAAGGCACCCTGGTTGTCCTTCAACCAAGCCCAACCCTTGGCCACGTCGCTGTTGATCCTTGTCAGCTGCGCCAGTAGTTGACCTTGCTGTGACTCCAGCTCCGTCACACTGGATTGTAGTCTCGCTATTTCCTGTCTGTTTTCGGCGCGTTGTAGGTGCAGTCGCCTCATCTCTTCCTCGACCACGGCGAATTCCGCTTCTTTTGCGCGCTGCAGATGGCCTTGCTCACGCTACGATCGGATGGTCAGCACGGGCAACACAAAAAGCACAAGGTCGGAATTCGCACTTACTATCTTTATGTTCCACTCTGCCGCATCAAACTTCGGAGGCGCTCCACGATATTTAGCCTCCAAATCGGTAAGCTTTCTCCGGAGGTCCGCGACGTTAGACCTTTTGGTGGTAAAACTATCCGTCTCAGCCTGTTTCTTGACTAGCATGTCTTGACACTTGGCTTGGGCAGCTTCGACTTGATTAATAGCAGCATCGGCAGCAGCCTCGGCAGCCTGCAACCGGTGCTGCCTGTCGGTAACAACTAGTTTGATCTTAGACTGGTACTCTTGCTTCTTGTTGACGGCTTGAAGTGCGGGGGCGACGCTCTTATGAAGTCGTTTAAGAGAATGCTCGGCTTCAGTTTTCCGTGCCTTTGCTTCCTTGAACTTCCTTCGGGCATCGTAGTACTTCACGACGAGACGCAACTTGTTGAGATAGTCAATCTCTTCTTGAATGGCTTTCCTTTCCCGTAGCTTTTCTACATCCGCCTGAAGGACTTGCTGGCGGGCCTCCATCTTGCGGAGTTCCTCGCGGATCTTCTCCCCGCTGTGCTCAGTCTCCTTCTGTAGCTTGAAGTACTCCTTCAGCTGATTGCGCCAGTTGATCATCTCCTCCGGCGCAGCCGCATGCAGTGTTTTCTCGAGTAGCTCGATCGGTGTGAGCGCAGCGAACTCCGCAACCTTGTCTTGGGGCAGGAATTGGCACAGGTTATCGATCTGGATTCTGAGAGAGCGCATGAGCTTCTGGACCTCCTTGTGCGACACTCTCTGCCCGTTGATGGTGAATTTCCTGCTGTTGTCTTCTCGCCGAATGCAGAGGCCCACGACGTAGTTCTCGGCATGTTCCGGCTTCCTCTGCAGCTCCACCTCAATCTCAGCCTCTTCATTACCATGCTTGACAAACTCGCCAAAGGCGCTTGCTCGACCGAGAACGCTTGAAGAGTATCCCAAGCCCAGGCAGATGGCGCAGACCAGCGAGCTTTTGCCGGTGCCGTTGGGACCAATGACCATGTTCAAGTTCGGCCCGAGGAAGAACTCGGCTTCTTGATACGTTACGAAGTTTCGGACTTTCACACGGACAATGGCACCGGGATGGAACCCTGAGTTTGGCGTTGGCCCATTTCCAGGCCGGGCCACGACTGCGCGTCTGCGCGCCGCATGCTGTACTTCTTCTTCATCCGATGAGACTGAGACGCCGTCCTCATCCTGGTCAAATTCGCGGGGTCCTTCCCCACCCCTCAGGCGGAGAAAACTGAAAGGGTCGACCGTAAGCCGCCCGTGCGTGGGAGTCGTGAGAGCTTCGCCCTGAGAGGGGAGTGGCTGGTTGACAGAGCTTGGATTAGACATCTTGACGCTCGGAGAACGTTGAATCCTGAGTTTCCGTAAGGATCTTTGGCCGATTTCCGGCAATGCCCATCATCGGCGTGGCTTGTCGTGGAATGTTCGTGGCCGCCTGAGGAATGGTAAGTCCTTTGCTGATGACGCGACGCGTCCGCTGCACTCAACCACGTAAATGGCGGGTCTGTACTATAAAAAGCCTCATACTGTGTGGTACCAGCCGGTTTGGACTCTTGGAGAATTGCTGTCATTAGCGCACAAAGACCATGGCCGAGAGTTAGGTTCAAAATCTGTTCCTACCCTACCTACAAGAAGGTAAGGTATAATTTCAACCTGACAATAGCTCTTTACCATCGGTACAGATGTTTGGGGCCCCAGAGCAGCAGCAGTTCGGTCCCCCCGTCAAATCAAAAAACCCGTCAAACTGAAGCGCGCACAGTGCCCAGCGCACAGACCGAGATGGCACTGTCAAAGTAACTGTACCACTCAGTCGGGTACCTCGCAGATTTAATGGGCCGAAACAGCGACCCACTACTAGTACTCTCTCTCCTGGATCGTGATAACCTCACTTCCTCAGCTGCTGTCCTGCTTACGTGCCAACACCGAGGCCCGTTGCTTTCCAGGCGCAGATAGCCAGATCAACTGTCCAACATGATGCCGTCTTGCAAATCCGGACGGACTCTTCCATTCGCCAATTCCATCCCCTAGGGACACAGTACACACTAAGTAGTAACACCTAAGGTATATGTTCAGTATGCTGCCACGTGCTATGCCGCTGTTGTCCAGATGGTGTTTACGGGCGCCTAACCTTGGCCTTACAAGTCGACCTTCTTCTGTGCGGATACTCAGTGAAGGCCGACGCTTCACTGGAATGAAACCCTCGAGCTAAGCAAGCTGATGTTATTAGGTTCCATACCGGCTGTGTTGATCTGCACCAGTTTGTGCAGACCTGGCATGCCACAGCACAGGGCACACACGAGCAAGAGACATGGTCACTCCCAAATCTCTATGTACTTCATGATAGCATCATGGTATGATGTGGATGAGCCACCGTGAGTAAGTAGCACCCCACATAGGTGAACAGGTCAGGTTGCCGCTGTGTTGTTTGTCCTCCATACGCTCTTACCCGCGGGCGTTTCCTTGCTGCCCGACCAAGTGAAAGTAGTGCGGAGGGCAGTTGCTCTGCTCCTGGTTAGGTGTCATTCTTGCCGGGGGATGGAATTTGCGATCGATAATGTTGTGGAAACAACTTTTTGAGGTTCCAACTTTTCTAGGTAGGGCCTGCAATCTTCCTGCGAGCCACCGAGAGACATCTGCGTTCCTGGCTGGGGCTTTGTTGACCTCTCCTTCCCGCCAACTCTTATTTGGGTTCAAATTCCTGACCTTGCACCGAGAAAACCCGGCCGGCAAAAACATCCCGCACATCTTTGCTCTTACAGCTCCTTCCGTCACCCACCCCTCTCTTCAAGTTGTTTACTTGCTTCGCATCCTGACCAGACCGCTCACCAGGCATTTCTCACCGCGCTGGTGAGTGTCGCTCCTTTGTTTCCTCGGGGGGGTCTCGATCAGGACTCGGGCACAACTTCAACTTCTAATAATTTGAGCCTTATTGACCGATTTCTTTCATATTGCTGCTCGATCGCTTATTCTTGTTCTCTCCAGCGGTCGATGATGTACTGAGCACCAGCTCACTTGCTCGGCCGTCATGGATCATCACAGCACCTCCAGAAATTCGGGCACTCGTCAGCCCTTGGGTGATGCTACACAGCGGCTCAACCACGCCACTGTCGCCAATGTCAACCACCGGTACCAGATTGGCGATGACGAGAACCTCATCTTGTTCAAATCCAAGACATCTGGTCGAGGCCGTTCATATCCAGTTGTTACGCCAAACAACCCCCCGGCCGCACAACGTACACAGCAGACACCGACTCTGGCAGCTACGGCCGAACCCGGCCCCGCTAACCCCCGCCCCCCAGCTGTCACTCAGGACACTCGTGAGGCAGCCGACTCCCGGCGCGTCTCCCAGTTCTCTAATGTCTCATCTAACGCGTCCAGCACGCGCCAGCTTAAGACCCATATTGGGCCATGGCAGCTGGGCAAGACACTGGGAAAGGGTGCCTCGGCACGCGTCCGTCTTGCCCGCCATCGGGTTTCCCATCAGCTGGTCGCAATCAAGATAGTCGCCAAGAGCACCGCCCACATGACCCAAGCAGGCAGTCTGGCGAACTTGGACTCCATCGACTACAGGAAGCCAACCACGGGTGCTGACGGGGGCCTACGCCGGATGCCGCTGGCTATTGAGCGTGAGGTGGCCATTCTCAAGCTCATTCGACACCCAAACATAATCGAGCTGCTGGACATATGGGAGAATCGGTCCGAGATGTAAGCCTTGCACTTCACTCCCAGCATCAGTGAGCTGTCGCGTGTGCTGACCCCAGTTTCTTTAGCTACTTGGTCACTGAATACGTCGAGAAGGGAGACCTCTTCGAGTTCATCAACTGGAACGGGCCGCTCCGTGAAGAAGAGGCAATCTTCTACTTTCGCCAGATGATGACCGCCCTGGAGTACTGCCACTCGTTCAACATCTGTCATCGCGACTTGAAGCCCGAGAATATCCTGCTGAAGGCGAACGGGCAGATCAAGATTGCGGACTTTGGCATGGCAGCCCTGCAGCAGAACCCAAACCACCAGCTTCGCACTACGTGTGGAAGCCCACACTATGCTGCACCGGAACTGCTCCGCCATCAATTCTACAAGGGCTCGGCCATCGACATCTGGAGCATGGGAGTCATTCTCTTTGCGATGCTTGCCGGGCGTCTTCCATTCGACGATGATGACATGGGCATCATGCTGGCGAAAGCGAAGCGTGCGGAGTATAAGATGCCGCATCATCTGACGAGGGAGGCCAAAGACCTGATCCGGAGAATTCTGGTAGATCAGCCCGCCCACCGGATCACCATGAAGCAGATGTGGCGACATGCCCTCATTAAGAAGTACGATTATCTGGATGAGTACCAGCAATGGGATGGACAGTCACAGACGGCGCCGCGCCACTTGGACACTGCGCCGATCCCCGAGGAGATTGACGTACAGATCTTGCGCCAGTTGAAGGCTCTCTGGCACACTTACTCGGAAGCTGCTCTCCAGGAGAAGCTCAGGCAGGAGAAGTAAGCAGCCATCCTTCGAAGAATCGATCGGCTACAATACTGACCAAGATGACAGGCCAAATGACCAGAAAATGTTTTACTGGTTGCTCTACAATCACCGGGAGGCTCAGCTCGAGAACTACAACAACAACGTCCCGATCTCGAAGAGCGATTTCCATCACCTGAAGCCACCCAACTGGAGCAAGCGTATTTCGACTTGCCAGTTCACGAACCCAGGACGGAACGGCCATGGCCGGACCGTGTCCCGGTTCACAGTAATCTCTAATGTTCCGGACGTAGACGAAGTTGGCACCATCCGAAGTTACGATCCTTACAATGCGTCCCGCGTCCTTCAGCCATGCACCTCCCAGGTAAGCCATGCCAAGATCATCGTCCACCGCAGCAGTCCGGAGCCGGGCGTCAAGCCGTCTTCTACTGCTCTCTCGCACTCGTACCACTCGTATCGATCGGTCAACGGCTCTTTCCGGCAGCGAGGAAGGATGAGCTCGCGGCGTGCAAACGCAGGCGGCCACCTGAACTCGCCTCAAATGTCCATGAGCTCCATCCGGAGCCACCACAGCAATCATCGCGTCCGCGTGAATAGTCGGTCCAAGCGCTCTGTCAGCTTTTCAAGTGTCCGTAACAAGGCCCAGCAACACCGCCGAAACCGCCACGCGACCTTGGCAGCTCCAGCCAGCAGCGCGGGGGATGATCCGGCGTATGACCGCAACATGGTCTCACCCTCTAGCCCCGTGAAGGCGTCGGGTCGCCATCAAGTGAGAGCTACCCGGTCGATGGTCGATATTGGCGACACGACAGATGACACGTTCATTTGGAGCGAAGAGCTTGAGCAACTTAGCCACTGCATAGCTCGTGACTGTGACGAGGCGTTCCAGAGCTCCCTTCTCCTGGCAGAATCAAGCGAAGCAGGAGTTGACTCTCGTGAAGCAAGCCCATTCACGCTATCCTTGGGAGAGCTGTCTGCATTGCGAGTTCCGGAAGGGCCAGCGTCCACAGACGGAAGCCAGCAGAGGACCCGTCCCTGGGACAACCGGCCACTGCCTCCTGTCCCATCTCAGAGTACCGTTTCGCCTCTCTCAACCCGGAATCACGGCTCGAAAGGCGAATCCATTTCGCAGGTGGTAAAGCCATACAAGCTCCATTCCAGCTCTAAAATCCAGATTCCCGAGCGCCGAACTGTTTCCGAGCCACTGTACGAGCGGACGATGAAAGATCCGAAGCCACTGCCCTCCATCTTTGAGAACACGTCAGATGATCGTGTGAGCCGCAATGTGGGCAGCCATGACTTGCGCACTGCTTGCCTGGAGACGCCAACCCGTACTAAGAATAAGGGGTTGGATTATCTAGCCAGAGCCGAAAATACCATCCGCGTGGTCAATTCACCCACAGCAATAGGCGCCCGAGATCACGTGCAGGTTCCCGAGCCTCTCAACGTTCGCAAAGTGTCACAAGATCCCCGCCCCGGCAAGGCAACATCAGGGGCCTCATTTCAAGACCAGCAGAGGCACACATCCCACGGATCACAACAGAAGGGGCTCTCAGCAGATGGGCAGAGCACTGAAGCCGTGCCGGCGAAAAAGAGGGTATCCTCTTGGTTCAAACGCAATTCCAAAGAAGGCGCGAGCGGTTCGAGCTTTGTGACTGTGACGGACACGACTCTCCAATCCGGGGAGAGTGCAGATCTTGAAACCAGACGTTCCAGCGGACCAGTTTCGCAGTCGACCGAGGGTTCATTGATGCAGCGTGTGCAGAAGAAGAAGTCGTTCGGCTTTTCGTTCTGGAAGAATGCTAAGGATGAGCTGAAAATGTCGCTTGCAGGTAAGCGGGACAACCGTTCGTTGCTGCATATCTACTTGTTGACTCGGCATTCAATGTTAGACTCAGATCCCGATGATGCGCAGACTCGCAATGGAAAGACGACGAAAAAGAGGTTTAGCAAGGAGTCCAAGACGCTCGGCCACGCAAGACACAGCGTTTGGTCGGAGAGCGATGGCGGAATCCGCAAGATTGAGGTCCAACAGAACTGGCTGGCCCGTCTCTTCCGCGTCAAGCCTGCCATGCGCTATATCTGCTTCGCCATCCTCAAGCGGCGTGCTCGTCAGGAAGTGGCAATCCTGCTCCGGGAGTGGCGCAAGTATGGCATGAAGGATATTGAGGTGGACAAAGCACGCAACGTGATATTCGCCCGGGTCGGCGCGAGAAACTGTAAGCTGTCTGGATCTGTGCTCCCTGGGTTCCATGTAACTGACAGTCTTTCCCGACAGACCTCAACTTGAAGGAGGTGTCGTTTGCTGTCGAGCTGATGACTGTCATTGAACATGGCAAGCGCAACCAGCTCAGCATTGCCCGCTTCACGCAGGAGAAGGGTGCCGCCAGCAGCTTCCACAAGGTCGTGGACGCGATCTACGCTGCATTCAGCACCCGTGCTCTGTTGGTTACTGATAAGCGGAAGGTCAATATGATGATCAAGACGCTTAATTCTTGAACTGCGGTAATGTTTCACAGCAGTTTCGCCTCGTCCGGGTGCACTAACCCTCTACCCCGGGACCTAAACGGCTTCGAAGATTGCGAGGGAGCAGACCTACCGATATTTTCTTTGCTTATTGTTTCGAGTCACTCATGAGATACAGAAAGGTCTTGGCCGGGGCTTTCTTTCCCTGTGGTGAACTCGGCTGCCCACTCCCGACCTCTGGCTTGTTTGGAGATGAACCAACTCCGTTTTCGTTCTGTCGGATAAGTCGAGGGAAGGGAGCGGGCACGAGGTACCAGATCGTTACAGAAGCATTGCTGAGAGATCTCATAATGGTGTTGGACTATCCTGTCTTAATAGGTATCTGCAAGGAAGCAGGGGAGGTGATTTCTGGTATGTAAATATTTATCAACTTTGTTGGTGTGGCAGATCATGTTAGTAGCACACGGCGGGAGTACTTCTATGAGTCGTAGTGGCCAAAATGGAGATGCATTGGAGTTAGACAGATTTTCACATTCTCGCTGGGCGACCGTTCAGGTACATGGAACTAGTCAGGTATTGTTTGCTTGGAACCCCCCTTTTCAGGGGCTGGTTGCTATGGGAGATCGCCCACAGGTGCAGGGGTTCATCCGATACCCCGATCGGGATCTCCCGGAGTGCCGCTGGACGGGGCTCCCGAGCCGACTTTAGCTGAAATTATTTGGCCGCCGGGCGAAAGCAGTAATTGAGTGGAAGTTTCGAGATTCAATTTTCGCGCATCATCGTGAACTCGTCTTCGTTCATCCTCACTGCCGTAGGGGGTCTTCTGATACCATTCGCTAGAAACAAACAGATTTCCGCAGGCGCAATCGCCTCACTTCAACTTTTTGGTCCACGCTCCGCACTTGGTGCAGCTCGGCTTTTGGTCAGTCGACTTCCAGCATGCTTCGATCGTTTCGCATTGCCGGGCCCGCAGCCCGCGGCAACCTTGGTGTGCCGAGGACAGCCCTTATTAGGCCGCTGAGCACATGTCAAAAAGCGTCAATCACTGCGTCATACCACGTTACAGCTCCGTCACGGACAAACCGCCTCACAACCCCCGCGATCCAGCACCAAAGATACTTCCACGGCAGCGCAACAAGGATGGCAGCAAAGACGAGGACGGAGAGCGATGCCTTCGGTGAGATTCAGGTCCCGGCCGACAGGTACTGGGGAGCGCAGACGGAGCGCTCCCTCGAGAACTTCCGCATCAATCAGCCCCAGGACCGGATGCCACCGCCCATAATCAGGGCTTTCGGTATCCTGAAGGGAGCTGCTGCGACGGTCAACATGCGCTATGGCCTTGGTAAGGCCGCCCCTCCTCTCAACGATACTCCAGTATCGCAGTTGCCGGCGGGAGCTAATCCAGCGACTTGTCCGGCCCTGTAGACCCCACCATCGGCAAGGCCATTCAGCAGGCGGCCAAGGAGGTCGCGGACCTCAAGCTGATCGACCACTTCCCCCTCGTCGTCTGGCAGACCGGCTCCGGCACTCAATCCAACATGAACGCCAACGAGGTGATCAGCAACCGGGCAATTGAGATCCTCGGCGGCACGATGGGCACCAAGAAGCCGGTGCACCCTAACGACCACGTCAATCGCTCGGCTTCATCCAACGACACCTTCCCGACCGTTATGCACATTGCCGCCGTGTTGGAGATCGAGGGCGAGCTGCTTCCGGCTCTTCGCAGCCTCCGCGCCGCGCTCCAGGCCAAGGTGGAGGAATTCGAGGCGAAGAAGATCATCAAGATTGGCCGCACCCACCTGCAGGATGCCACTCCCCTCACTCTCGCTCAGGAGTTCAGCGGATATGTCGCACAGCTCGACTTCGGCATCAAGCGCGTCGAGAGCGCTCTGCCGGACCTGCGCCTCCTGGCCCAGGGCGGTACTGCGGTCGGCACGGGCATCAATACCTTTGAAGGCTTCGCCGAGGCCATTGCGGAGGAGGTCAGCAAGATGACGGGTACCGAGTTCAAGACGGCTCCCAACAAGTTTGAGGCGCTGGCCGCCCACGATGCCATCGTGCAGGCGCACGGATCTCTCAATACGCTCGCCGCGTCGCTCAACAAAATCGCGCAAGACATCCGCTATCTCGGGAGCGGTCCTCGGTGCGGTCTTGGCGAGCTGATCCTGCCCGAGAACGAGCCCGGCAGCTCCATCATGCCGGGCAAGGTCAACCCGACGCAGTGTGAGGCACTCACGATGGTGTGCGCTCAGGTCATGGGCAACCACGTTGCTTGTACCATCGGCGGCATGAACGGGCAGTTCGAGCTCAACGTCTACAAGCCGCTGGTCATTCGCAACCTGCTCCACAGCATCCGGCTACTGGCGGACGGCATGCGCAGCTTTGAGAAGAATCTGGTTGTCGGCCTGCAAGCCAACGAGGAGAAGATTTCCAGCATCATGAAGGAATCGTGAGTTTCTTTTGGTTCCCTGGATCTCGCGCTTTGCGTACCCGTGTTAACACGAACTCTTTTGCTCGCTAGGCTCATGCTTGTGACCTGTCTCAACCCCAAGATCGGCTACGACATGGCTAGCAAGGTGGCCAAGAACGCGCACAAGAAGGGCCTGACGCTCAAGGAGAGCGCCATGGAGCTGAAGGCGCTGACTGAGGAGGAGTTCGACGCGCTCGTGAGACCCGAGCTCATGGTCGGCCCCAAGCCCTACAAAGGCTAGATTCATAGCGCTAGCTCTGTCCGATCAGCACGGTAGGATAGCCTGGAGAGTTCTTGTGCTCGACTATGCGCCCGAACAGGGGACGCAACGCGGCGATTGTCATAAGCATCGCTGAGCCAAGTGAAGTGATACCGCCATCCCTGAGTCACTTCACGCAGCAGAGATGGTAACAGCATGTACATGTAGCATCATGAGCGGTTGGTCTCTGTCCCACGCAGCATGGGATGGCCGGGGTTACCGGACGTAGTCAATGTGCGAGACATGTAAGAGGAGGAGGGAGTCATCCAACCACCACCTAACTAGCCTGGAAACTGAAGAAATACCAAAAGCTGCACGGCTGCACCCCTCGTTCTCTGCGATATCGCTTTGTGATGAACAATCCGTCGGGAACTGTCGGCACACTGCGGTACGTAGCTTCAACGACCTCGGCTTCGAGACGGCCGATCGGAGCTCGGCTGGTGGGCCCACGCTCCAGTCCTTGGCGCGGCAACGGGCGATGGGGTCATTGATACGGATAACGTTAATAAGGGATGTTGCAGGTGGGGCAGCCGGGCATGGCTTTCAGGCTGGCCGTGATTTGTTGATATAGGTAGCCGCCCGCTTGTCCGGATCGTGCCGCAAGTTCCAGGCGTTTGCAATTCTCACTTGCACTGTACATACTTGTACATAGAGTCGCTATGAAATTGCTTGGCTTCTCCATTCCAACCAGTTTGTTGGAAGATGGGTGTATCCGTATTGTAATAAGATGGGGATAACCGCGGCCAGTGACGGCAACGGCAATTGGAATTTACGGTTTGGGGTTCCAATGCAATAGCGGGGCCCCGCTTCGATGACCTCACTCGATGGGATTACGTACGGTATCGTTACCCGTAGCTTATCACATGCGTGCCTCGAACTTCCCCAGGCCCGAACGAAGCCAAATGGAGATGGCATCGGCATGGGGCAGGGGTTACACCGGCCATCCGCCAGCTTCATGTTGGCTCTACTGTGATAGAATCAGCTCTAGCGAATGTTAGTTGCCGAAGGTTGCCAGTTGAAGGCCCTGATATTTTTCGTCACCTCCTCGTAGTCCCCCCGTCGTAGCTTCCTCTTCGACGCCGCATCCGGACAGCTTAAACCCTGGCTCATCACCCCATTCAAGCACAGTCATCGAGAAACGGTTAAAGAAGACAGGATTGGGATTGAGACCTGTCATATCGGTACGTGAAGTGTTTCCTGTCCAGACCCAGTTAATTACCTAGCCTGGCCTCGTCTTCACACGGGTTGCGTGCATCTGGTTCTCCCTCTCCTAAATCCTCCCTTGCCCCGTCTTGGTGGTCACCTCAGTCCTAGTGATCTGCGGCCCGTTTCGGGTACTTGTTCTCGCCGTCCTGTGACGTTGTTCGTCTCCTCATCCCTTCAATGACAACATATACCGGTGGCTAAGACCGAATAGCTTACACGGAGCTGCAGTACCAACGCAACCGCCACATCAGACAGCGTCGACTGTCTCGTTACACGTCAACGCTACCATTGGATACAAACACCACGAAGACTCGTCACAAATACGCAAGCAATGGCGAGCCACGAGACCATCCTGCAGGGCGTGAACGTCCTCGGCCCGATCGAGGAGTCCCAGCGCAAGATCCTGACGCCCCAGGCGCTTGCTTTCCTTGCCCTGCTGCAGCGCTCCTTCAACCCAACTCGCAAGGCTCTGCTCGAGCGCCGCAAGATCCGCCAGGCCGAGCTCGACAAGGGCGCGCTCCCCGACTTCCTGCCCGAGACAAAGCACATCCGTGACGACCCGACATGGAAGGGTGCGCCACCGGCCCCGGGCCTGGTTGACCGCCGCGTCGAGATCACGGGCCCGACGGACCGCAAGATGGTGGTCAATGCGCTGAATGCCGATGTCTACACTTACATGGCTGATTTTGAAGGTTTGTATTGACTACCTCGAAGATGTCCCTGTTGATGGTGGATTATTTGTAGGAACGAGCCTCAGTTAATGTTAAATGCGTTCTCCAGACTCGAGTGCTCCGACATGGGACAACATGGTGAATGGCCAGGTAAACCTGTACGATGCCGTCCGGCGTCAGGTCGACTTCAAGCAAGGGGCAAAGGAGTACAAGCTGCGGACGGACAGGAGACTTCCCACCCTCATCGTGCGGCCCCGTGGCTGGCACTTGGAGGAGAAGCACGTCACAGTCGACGGCGAGCCCATGAGCGGATCGCTGTTCGACTTCGGCTTGTATTTCTTCCACAACGCCTTCGAGACCGTCAAGCAGGGGTTCGGCCCCTACTTCTACCTGCCCAAGATGGAGTCGCACCTCGAGGCGCGCCTCTGGAACGACGTCTTCAACCTGGCCCAGGACTACATCGGCATGTCCCGGGGAACCATCCGCGGCACTGTGCTGATCGAGACCATCCTGGCAGCCTTCGAGATGGACGAGATCATCTACGAGCTGCGCGACCACAGCTCTGGTCTCAACTGCGGCCGGTGGGACTACATCTTCAGCGTCATCAAGAAGTTCCGCCAGAACTCCAACTTTGTGCTGCCTGACCGCAGCTGTGTCACCATGACGGTGCCCTTCATGGATGCTTATGTGGGTTGCTCACCTCATGGCTCGCCGCATGTTTCGAGAGCACAGACGGACTAACACGGCTTTCGCCGCGAATAGGTCAAGTTGCTCATCCAGACCTGCCACAAGCGCGGCGTCCACGCCATGGGCGGCATGGCGGCCCAGATCCCTATCAAGGACGATCCGGCGGCGAATGAGAAGGCCATGGAGGGCGTGCGCGCCGACAAGCTCCGTGAGGTGCGCGCTGGCCATGACGGCACCTGGGTCGCCCACCCTGCCCTTGCTTCTATCGCCACCGACATCTTCAACAAGCACATGCCCACCCCCAACCAGCTCTTTGTGCGCCGTGAGGACGTGACGATCACCGCGAATGACCTCCTGAACATGAACGTCCCGGGCAAGATCACCGAGGAGGGCATCCGCAAGAACCTGAACATCGGCCTCGGGTACATGGAGGCCTGGATCCGGGGCGTCGGCTGCGTGCCGATCAACTACCTCATGTTTGTCCCCTCTATTTTCCTCGAATCTGTATTTCTCCCACCTTGAGTCACGGGTGACTAACATGGTTTCTTCTACTTCAGGGAGGACGCAGCCACCGCTGAGGTGTCGCGCAGCCAGCTGTGGCAGTGGGTGCGCCACGGCGTGACCACGGCCGAGGGCAAGCGCGTCGACAAGGGGTACGCGCTCAAACTGCTCAAGGAGCAGGCGCAGGAGTTGTCGGCCAAGGCACCCAAAGGCAACAAGTTCCACTTGGCGGCGCAGTACTTCTCGGGACAGGTCACCGGGGAAGATTATGCTGACTTCCTGACCTCGTGAGTATCCCCAACCTGTCCTGCTAGTCGTCGGAGTGGGTAGAGCTGACGAATTGAACCCATCAGGCTGCTGTACAACGAGATCACTTCGGCGGGAGCGCCCAAGCCGGCGTCCAAGTTGTGAGTTTCGCAAGGCTAGGACAGGACAACCGAGGGAGAGCATCGGAGACACGCCTGTATGGGAACGACTCACTCCCTGAATGATGCGAAATAGGTGTTGTTTGTTTCTTTGGTTGGCGGGCAGGAGAATGTAAGTCTGGGATGGCTCTATCTTCTTACCGTGTTGAATTGTTGAGCTGTAGTCCTGGGGAAATGGAACAAGCCAGGTTGTAACAACGGATTTAAGGGTTCACACATGACCTAAGTAGACCCCAAATGACATACCATGCGTCAAACACCAAGACACATAGAAGGATCCAATGTGAATAGGACCGAATCGCCCCCCGAGATCAGTTCTAGAAAGTCTCCAGTACACGTGGACAGCTACTTATCTTTCCTCCCCTTCCGATACTCAACATGAGGAGGCCCCTTCCCCGGGTCTCAAATTTAGTGATTCGAGCATACGCATCACTACGCAATCTGAACTGCTCTTATCATGCCTAGCCGTACAAAGCGTTGTCGGCCTGACACGGTTGTTTCCTAAACAGCGTCGTCACCCGGCAGCATCAGGGGGGCGGGCGCCGCACCTACGGGATTGAAAGGAGGCGAGCAAAAGGACACGCAAGGAGTATATAATGTTTGCGCTCTGGAGGCAGTGAAATGGGAAGGCGACGCCATTCCCACCATACCTTCCAGCTCGATCCCCCTTGTTCTCTAAGACCTGCTCAACTCGCACCAAGAACACGCTAAGGTATACAATCACGATGGGCGGCAGTGCCAAGATCGAGGGTAGCATGTCGTCGGGCCAGCTCGCAGCCATCTTCGTCAGCGCGTATCTCCTATGCGCTTTCGTCATGGGGCTTAGTTATTACTGGCCTGGACGTAAGAGCAATATACTATACTATACTATAACGTTCACAGATCCAAGCCGTTGTCCCTGATTTGCCCGCATTGCTAACGCTAACTTGAGTTTTGAGGCAGCGCTGGAAACCCGTAGTTTTGGGTATGGGATCGGCGAGAGGAGGTACTACCACTTCTTCTGGTCGGTCTTCTGGAAGGCTGTCAAGTTCACCCTCCTCATTCGTTGCGCTGAAAAGTGCTGGGAAGGATGCCGCAAGTTCGTGGAGAGGACGAGACGCTCTCGGCGGCAGCGTGCACGTGGAGCCGCTGTCGAAACAAGCCGCGAACAACAACAACAACAACAACAACAACAACAACAACAACAACAACAACAACAACAACAACAACAACAACAACAACAACAACAACAACCGTGAATGGCAACGGGGCAGACCCGGCCGAAAGCCGAAAAAATGTACGCCATGAGGCGGGCTCAACTGAGAGGCGGGGTAAGGACCGATCTCATCGTGGAAGAGCCCACGTTCAAACCTGAGCCAGGGGCTGTGGTCGTATCTGTCTCGACTGTGGCGGCTGCGATTGTGCTTGTTAGGTATTCCGGGCGCGTTCTCTTTCATACCGAAAGTGTCTTCCGGATTGGGGCCAAGGCGTGGTGATATCAGCACGGAGTGGAAAGGGGGAAGGAGGAAAAGAGGGCCCCGGATGGCCCCAGAATAGTGCTCCATGTGTTACGCCTTGCTTTTCTTCGCTTGTGGCGGTGTGTTGGGCTGATTCCACAGAGAAAGCCGGAAATTTAACTCGTGGACCAATAACTATCACGGAGCAAAATGTGCAGTGAATCCCTCAGGATGATATTGTCTCGGGAACCCCCAACGGGTACGCTGCCGGTACGTTGGCCGAGTTTGGCACAATAATAGGCACGCTCTCATAGACCTTTGGTTCGACACTGGTATTGACAAACGGCGGCATCCTCCTGATAGGCTCCAGCTCGCTTATATGGCGTGCGATATCCAGGAGAAGATGCTCGGTCCATGGTCGGCCAAATATTTCCATGCCGACTGGAACTCCTAGCGGGGCATCCGCTGAAGGAGGCGAGAAGCCTGCGGGGACACAAACGACGGGGTGCCCAGTCAAAGCGGCCAAGATCCCATTCCTCCCGCTCTGTGACGGTGAGCCAATTTTGACGACAAGGTTCTTTTGCTCCGGGTAGATGACTGCGTCGAGCCTGTTGCTCGCAAAGGTGGCTTCCAGTGCGCGCCTCAGGTCCTCGATGCGGCTTAGGCTCTCGCGGTAGGCCGCGTCGCCGGTCGAGGAATGCGACGCCCTTCCGATGAAGTTGTGCTGCGCCGGGATGACGAGGAAGTCCCCGCCACTGTAGAGCTCAGCGAAACTTGCCGGCCGAGAGCCTCCTGACAGATAAGCATCGAGCATCTCCCTGAATTCAAACACCTGCACATCGAGCTTCGCAATGGCAAGGGTATCGTAGATGGGGTCGGTGATGTTCACAATTTCGGCTCCCACAGACGTCAGCTTGGACACCATGCTGGCCATGATGTCGTTCACCAGTGTCGTCTCGGCAGATGCAAAGTAGTTGAAGAAGCCACTCAGTAAACCAAAGCGTAACCCCTTGAGGCTCACCGCATGCGTGGAAGTAGTATTCAAGTAATCCCTGTGACGGACCTCTCGAGGGACTAAGGCCGTGGCGTTATCGCGCGCATCGAACCCAACACCAGCCATGACCGCCAGGGCGACAGCGAGGTCCCTCGGATTCCGCGCCATTGCCCCGACAGTATCCTGCGTGAAACTGACGGGGATAACCCCCGCGCGGGAGATGAGGGCCCTGGTGGGACGGAAGCCGAAGAGCGAATTGGCACTCGCGGGGCTCCGAAGGGAGTTGACCGTGTCAGTGCCAGTGACTAATATGGCAGAGTTCGCGGCCAGTGCTGCACCTGTCCCCCCGCTGCTTCCCCCCGGCGTCCGAGTCAGGTCATAGGGGTTGACAGTCTGGCCGCCGAGGGAAGAAACGGTCAGCCCTTCCAGCGCCATCTCGTGGAGGTTAGTCTTGCCCAGCATGACCGCGCCTAGGCGTCCCGTCGTCGGCGCTTTATCGGAGGCGCGTGAATACCAGTCACGACTCACGGCAGCCTACACTCTACGGTTCCGAATGTCGTCGTCCTCGATCGCCATACGGTAGCGGCTGAGGTCTCCCAGGCACTCGATCTATGTGTCCTCGAACGCGGGCACTGTCTCGTACAATAAGGCCATCATGGAGTAGGCCATATAGATGAACGTAAGCATGTAGTCCAGGCTGGCCGGTAGGCGGTGCCTCAGCAGTTCAAGAAAACTATGGATGCCGTGGCGCCACATCCGCGCGGGCATTGCGTACTGACGGCCAATTTTCTCAACGCCGGGCTTGCCGACGGATGTTGCGAAGCGTAGAAAAAGTCGCGGTGCTCGTGGAGCAAGGTGCGATGAAGGGCAATGAGAACCTGCCACTGGTCGTTGTTAAGCTTGGTAGGTGGGCCGGTTTGGGAGCTCTGGTTGCATATCCGAGAGTGTGGAAGGCTTCTAGATAATAGCATTAACGTTAGCACTAGAAGAATGGATGATTAGCAGAATGCCACTTGCGGTTTTATCAGAAACCGCATTACTAGGCATCCTCGTGGCACCACGGTCGAACATTTTCGCTGCTGCTTGCTGCTAAGAGTAGAATGGTGGCCAAAGCTAAGAATGACGAGGGATAAGGGAAGAATGTTGTCGGAAGCGTTAGCAACTAACGTTGGAACTGCCTTTGATCTCCTAAGGTTATTCCGTACCTGAAAGGGAGTAAGTCTAGTATAGTAGGAGAAGGCTAGCTTTACTATAGTTAGGACAAGGTAATAGAAACTATAGAGTCGAGTCTAATAATAAGGTACAGTAGTTAAGGTCTATAATAGAGAAGTATTATACTAGCAGCTCTATAGTATAGGTCTATTATATAGCTATAGCAAAGGTAAGTTCTAGTAGAAGGTAGCTTTTTCTTTAGAAAATTATTAGTATAGTCTATATTAATTTCTTCTCTTTATATTTAAAAGCAGGCTTGAATAGTAAAGAAACGGTGCTATTGCGAGTTTCCTGGCAGTCCTATCTAGTCTCGCGCTGCCCGAGGCTCGGCGGCGATTATGGACCCTGGCGGCTCTCCATCGTTTTGGGCAAACCCGGTCCTGGCATCGCCATGCTCTAGCTGCGAGCAAGCTTCTTCTTTATCGCCGTCCTCGAAGCTTCCCTAGGACGTCTATACTTCGGAGTTAGAACTACTTCGTATTCATCATAGCCTGTTACTCTGCAGGAACTGGCCCAGGATGTTGGCTAGGAAGGTGGCCGCATCCGACTGCGGATTCGAGATGCTGTACCCATCGTGTCGTTGCTCCTTCTGAGGCGCGCGATGATGCAGCCTGCAGAAGGTATCGATACTTTGCTTTCCCCGAGGCGCGTAATGATGCCGCCTGCAGAAGCTAGTCAATATGATGCAGCCTGTACAGGCGCTTGTAGCTCGCCTACAGCGTTCGTCAAGTACGTAGCAGTAGCGATCGAGGGCTCATGACCTGTGGCGTATGGTCCCAAGATTGCTCCGTGATCTCCTCGCAGCCACCTCGGGTGGACGACAACCACAGTTCCGAAAATGGCGAACGCTGTGTTGAAGATGGCCGTAATCACCCCGACGACGAGAACGTTGCTTTGGAGCGACTGAAAAAGAGTTGTCCATAATGCCGTCAGAAGTGTCGATATAGTCGGATCTCGCTCGATCTCGCAAAATGACTGCGAAGCGCGCATTGGCCGAGCCGAGAGTGGCGACAGCCAGCGAAAGGAGAGTGAAGAACAAGATCGTAAGGCGAGCCCGGATCATATAATTGCAAGACATTATGGAGGTGCAAGGTCGTTGATGAAAGAGATGTGGCGACCTGATGCTGATCGGTATCGGTATGCAAGTTGCGAAGTGTGAGGCTTGAAGTATGAGAAGACCGACGAGGCCAGGGCAACCTTTATCTGAGATCGGCTGGCTGTTCCTTGCAGGTCTCTCGTAGTGTCAACCCCCCATAGGACTGAGCTAGGTAACAAATTTCCCCTTATCTTTCTTCCTCCATTCGGTCCTGGTCATCGCTAACAGTCATTGTCAGTAGCCTGAATGCCTTGCCGCAGCTATGTTAGCATTCGGACAGATTGCAGCCAACAGCGTTCCTTGGCAGACACGGTCCTAGGAAGGAGCTGGATAGGTGGGGCGACGGCCAGTATCAGGCACCTCGGTGAGGTGCCGCCTTGTTGGTAGGGTCAGGAACGGGACGACATATTGAAGCAGCCGTATTGTATTGCTAGGCAATCTCCGGGGACGCTGTGGGTCACGCGGCATCATGCCCGGGTCGCCATTCGTAGCGACGACGCGTCCTGCGAAAGCCGCATTTTCCCGCATCTCCTTCCTGTCTCATCAGTTGCGTGATTAGCGCTAGAGGGGCCGGTCGACGCACTTGACTACGATGCGATGATCGAGCGCGTCCGCTCAGAAGCCGCTGTGATACGGTAGAAGAGAGGTGGCAGTGAAAGACCAACACGCACCTTGCTGGCGTTGCGGTCGGGGGCCGTTCCCTTCCACGTATGCAGATATTATATTTCGCTCGTTTTTGCCGTGCCTAAGAATACGAAAAATCCAGAAGGGCGTGGAATCTGCGGTTGTGGCGCTGCTGGTACGGAATCCTTAAAATCACCACGTATCGTTCGCTCGCTCGTGCTTAAGCTCGGAACAATCGTGGCAGGGCCAAGGCTCAACTTTGATTGTTCGCACTCTCGCAGGTTTCGGCGGTCACGCATGTATTGGTTATCTTGGGGCCTCGTCACGGTCGTAGGTTTGCTGTTGTGGATTGTTCTTGCATATGCTGACTTGAAACAGGCTGAGGAGAGAAGTTAAGTCCGTCGCGAACGGACACCAACATGACATATACCTTTGCTTGTTGCCAAGGTGTCCGCCGTTCGTTGCTTGTGATAAGGCCCGGGATGGTGTGCCATCTTGGGCTCGATGCCGCCGGTGCAAGTTCGAAGTTCGTAAGGAGGTTTGTCGCCTAAGTTTTGAGGAAGGGTGGGTTCCGAGACACGCCGGTGGTCAACATAAGCCGTTCCGAATCTCGGTGGTTCCGGCAGCGGTACCAACAGAGGCAAGCTCGAGAACACCTATTCCAATACCACTTGCAACTTGAGGTCTACCAATACAGGAGAGTGATGTGTTGGAATCGTGGTCGAGTACTGTTCCTTTTTTGCGCATAAATGTTCCCTGTCTGCTCAAAAGAGTCTAAAACTGGTCGCCATGAAGACAAAACAACGCACCCTTTGAGCAACGACGAAGGCCAGAAGCTGTCGCTCTCCCAGGGAGGGCGACAACGCGAATACGGACTTGGTCCCACCTACCTACCTGGTAATCGTCTTTCATGACTCCTGTCTCATAAGTTACATGGGCCCGTTCCAGGTCTGTGATATCACTCACGTATGTTGTCACTGCTACCAACTGACTGAAGAAAAGCAGCCGCCATGGCACCAATCCATAAATCCCGCACTTAATCCGAAGGGCAGCCAGTCATTTCTCAGCACCAACCCTCCGTGTCCTGAGCTCGACCGCGCTGAATCTTCAACATCAAGGCGCTGGACTTCTGTCCCGGTTCCCGCCCGCTCAAGACCATGCGTACGGCTTCCGCCAATACAAACCGGGGCACCCAAGACTTTGAGTGTTATTGATTTCTCCTGTCTCGCGGAGAACATAGCAATATATCCAGAAGCGTGCCAGCGCCTTGCTGGCAGGGTACTGCTCCGTCGGCGCCCACCGCGTTGAGGATGACAAAAGTTGATGCGGCTGAGCGTCTTGCACCACTCGGCAAAGGCCTGCACGCTCGCATACGACAGCATGTCCACCTCCCAGACGTCGATCTGGGTGTCGCGCACCTTCTGCCGCAGCTGCTTGGCCGCGGCCTCGCCCTTTGCCGGGGATCGCACAGCGAGGATCAGCCGCCCGAGCTTGAGCTCGACGAGCCATTCGGCGCAGGTGAAGCCGAATGTTGCCGCCGGTTAGGATGGCGGTCTAGCTGACGAGGGAAATGCCCGGGGGCGGATCGACGGCTTTGGTAGACCGTGGGACATGAAGAAGCGGTAGGGAGCGCTAGGGAGCTCTAGCGACTTGGTCGACACGGTTGGTTTGAACACCTTTCTGGGGGTCTGGTGCGATACTGTATTGTCAGACTAGGTAGGAGAGACAATATATGTCTTGGATGTCTGGTGTTTCATGTTGATGTAAACCGACATGGAGTGCTTAACGCTGCACTTTATATACCGTTCTTTTATAGCTGAAGGGATTCGGAAGCTCATGTTGGCTCGGAAATCCGGTCCCCCTTCACAATCTTGCTGATTTCAGCCCTTGTTGGTGTGCACATGTGTGAGGTGGTAAAATAATGCGGGGTGTGCTCTATGCTAGGAGCCCCTGACCCGACTCAGGGAAGGTTGGGGAAGAAATTAACCCCCCCCAAACTGACCCGACAGGTTGGGTCAGGGCGGCTGCGGTAACGGTTTGTGTTTGGAGCAGCAACCCCTGCATCAAGCAATGCTGTGGCACAAGTGTGGAAGTCGCCTGAGAGTGAGTGTCATCCCCTCAACCATGGGAGCCGACGGAGACACGAAGCTGCCAGCATCATTTATTACACAACCGCACATTCTTCTTGCATCGTATCGGGCCACGCTCGCAATTGACCAACCTCTTTGATGCGCTTCGTGAACACACAGACAACAACAGATGGCGGACAGCACTCGCCCATCTAGTCGGGCGGAAGCACAACGACTAGTGCAGAGCATTGCCGATGACCATCGTCACATCCCTGAAGAGGTGCTGGGCCGTATGTCAGATGCCGATCGTCGACAGGTTGAACATGCCATTCTTATGATGGATCAGACAAGAGGTTCTTCTGTTTTGACGTAAGTCATGGCCCCTGCGGGCAGTTTTGTGCTTCGCGCTGGAAAAGTGCCTACTCATGGCCGGTCGTGCATCAAATAGCGTCCATTATCTGACCATGAACATTATAGCCTAGCCCAGAACCTTTATACAAGCAATGCTCGGTTCGTTTTTGAGCTGCTCCAGAATGCTGAAGACAACGACTACACAAAGGCTCAAGCACACGACGAGGAGCCCTACGTGTCGTTCCGCGTGTATCCCAATCAGGTGGTGCTGGAGTGTAACGAGGACGGTTTTACGGAAGAGAACCTAAGAGCTATTTGCTGCGTCGGCCAAAGCTCCAAGATTGGAGCTCGGGGGTACATTGGAGAGAAAGGCATCGGGTTCAAGTCGGTGTTCATGGCAGCATATCGGGTCCACGTCCAGTCTGGTCACTTCTCATTCCACTTTTTACACCGCCAGGGTGATTCCGGGCTCGGAATAATCACACCAATCTGGGAGGATGGATTATATCTCGGTGATCGATGCACTCGAATCACGCTGGACCTGCTGCAGGGTGGGACGCCAGAAGAGCAAGCGGGACGCAACCAGACGATCCGGCAGCAGTTCGAGGAACTCCACGACGCAATCCTTCTATTCATGAAGAAGATTGAGAAGATCGAGGTCGCTTTCTATGACCAGGAACGAGGCGGAGCCGGCGAGCCAGTGAGCACCATCACCCACTCGATAGATCGTCGGGGCCCGAGAACTGTCTGCACAAAACACACATCCCAAATGGGCCACGAACAGACGCAACATCGATATTACTACGTCATGAAGGGTATCGGGACGGGTCTGAGCAAAGCCGAGGGCCGCATCTACTCGCAATCAGAAGAGGCATCGGGGGCCTATTCCAGAGGAGAGGTGGTTCTAGCCTTTCCCCTGACGGCGGACTCGGTACCCATCCTGGAGAACCAATGGGTGTTCTCGTTTCTGCCCGTTCGCCAGATGGGTTTTAAGTTCCTGGTCCACGCAGACTTTGTCACCCAGGCCGACAGGCAGGACATTGTTACCGTCTCTGCCCGAAATCGGGACCTTGCCACGAAGATCGCGAAGGGCTTCATCAGGGCGGTCCTTCGGCTTTGTGATCATGAGACACTTCAATACCAGTGGATGCGGTACCTTCCAGAGGAAAGTGCATATCCTTGGGACGACTTCTGGAAGGGGGTAGTCGCGGATATCAGGATGCGAATCTGGTGGACGCCGGTTCTCCGCGCGGCCGTTCCAGGCCCGCTCCGGCTGATAGAGAGCGTACGGAGACACCGACCTACACACCTTGATGCGTCCGGTGAACCCCTACTTCCCGACATTGACCCATGGCCCTATCTGTCTCCTCAGTACGAGAGCGCTGATCTGGACCGATTGCGCGATCTTGGGCTCAAAGATCTAGATATGCACGGGATCTTCTTGAGGGCCAAGTCTGATCTCGCAGCACCAATATCGAGGATACAAACGACTCAGGACGAAGACTGGCAATCACGCCTCGCGAGGCTATTGCATTACCCGTTTGTGGAGAACACGGCAGTCAACATCACAACGCAGAGGGAGCTTCGCTGCATGCTTCGCTGCATGTGCCGTGAGCTGAACCTGCTTCCACTGATAGACGGTACTTGGACGTCAGCGGCATCTGGTTCCATCTACTACTCCAGGGTTCAGGGCACCAATCTAGACATCCCCCCGGGTCTAGCTCTGGACCTAAAAGTTGTGGATCCAACGGCTGCCGCCAACGCCAATCGGAAACAACTCTTTGACGCTCTGGGTGTCAGGGATGCGCCTGCAGCTGTTGTCCGGGCAGCTGTCTTGTACAGGTACCGCACCACCCACCCCACGCTTCCGGAGAGTGTGTCCTATCTTCGTTTCTTGTACCTTACCGAGCGTCTTGCCAACCATCGGTACGACGGCAATCAGAAGTTCCGAATTTATTCTCATCACGGACAGCTCGAGAACGCAACACAAACGGATGTCTTCGTCAGAGACGACGACGACCCTTACGGGACAGCACAGCTCTTACGAGCGACGGCGCCTGGACCTGATGCGGGCGCTGGTGCACCCGGACTAGATATTCTCTTTGCACATGCGGCCTACTTCCAAGATCCTCCCGAACGACGTGTTAATGATACATGGGAGTGCTGGCTCACTCGTACCTGCGGGCTTCAACCTTGTGTCACATGGATCCGCCAAGCTGGGGCTGACACGCAAGAACGTGAGATGACTACAGCTTGTACCTATGTTGCTCAGCATCGACCCGAGAAGTTCCTCGGTCTTCTTCGCGTAAATTGGAAACGCTATGGGCTACATCTTGAGCGGAAGGATAGCGCCATCATCGAAGATCTCGGCTGGATCCCGGTCCTGTGCAAGGGGCCCGGTATCAACCTTCGACCTCTCAACTCAACCTTTCTCCCTCTTGGGGAGCTGGTGACGGTCTGTAATCGGTTCATGCTTGACGGCGAGTTCTTCCCTTGGTTGGAGTTAGAGACTCCACTGAGCAACAACGCGGCTACCACCGAATGGAGACACCTGGCATCTGTGTTCGGCTTGGGATATGACCGCGAGCTCTTGGACCTTGCCCTGGAGGTCTTGAAGTCCATCGTGGAGGCAAATCCTCTTGTAGAGGATCTGGGGCAGCCAGAGCGTTTGCTCAAGCTCTATGGGTACCTCCAGGACAGGGTACATGAGTCCAGACATCGTGGAGCGTGCCGAGAGAAAATACGGTAAGCCCCCAATCACAACACCCCCCTCTAATCCAAACACTACTTACAACCAATCTAGGGGCGCATTTGCGTCCCGACCATCTATTTTTGTTCCTGAAAGCGAGACACATGGTCCAGCTTGGGCCGAGCCCCGAGATTGTCTCTGGAAAGCACCCATCGCAATGTTTACCAAATACACGCTAGCTAGAGCGTATACTCTTACATTCTCAAGCAGCGATGACAGCCTTGCCTGTCATGAGACGTTCTTCGTGCGCACCCTTGGGATTCCAAACTGCACGTGGGAGCATGTCGTGGACGAAATCAGGGATTACGCGATCGGGGTACTCATCGATCTCGATCTAACTAGAGCGAGGGAACTATACAACTGTCTTTCAGAGATGCGGCTGCTGGGCACTTCGGCTAGTAATCTCAAGTAAGTATTACCTGAGTGACAGGTGTGACCACATGGGAGCCATGCTGGGCATGCTTGCTGACCCCGTCACCAATATCTAGGGGGACCTTTGAACGCGAGGCTCTCATATGTGGCTTCGACGATGCATGGTACACAGCTTCAGACTGTCTATGGTCGAGTACCACTCCAATCAGGGGCAAACTCATCCTCAACAACCTTTACGGCAACGACTTGCGGGACTTCTTCGTCGGTGCCTTGGGCGTGTCTGAACTGACGGCCGAGCTGGTCTACGATAAGCTCGCGGCAAAGGACGGCCCTGAGTTGTCAGTTGAGGAGGCCAAGGAGACTTTGCTTACGTTCAACTCATTCCTCGCAGCCGGCAGTGGTGGATTTGATCCGGCAGCCGTTATTGCAAATCCGGTGTTCCCGGTTCGCTTCCCGAACGGCAAGGTCAGCCTTCGTACAGGCACCGAAAAGTTCGCACTGATGGATCGCAAACTCCTCGGCGAGGACTTTGCGGCTTTGGCCAAGTTCCTCGATTTTGGCATGGAAGAGGTCCGCATATTACAACCATTGTTTCAGTGGGCTGGGCTGGAAGACAGGTACTTGTCCAGGGCCGTCGGGGAGATTACCAGTGCGGATACGGAATCAACACGGGCCTTCTCAACACCTCATCGCGATATTAGGAGAAATGCACACGCTTTGCTTCGGTATGTTGGCTCTGGAACATGACTGGGTTGCTTGCATTCGACATAAGCTAACAACCAAAAATCTCTAGGGTTGCGGTGACTTACAACAGCCCAAGAACGAGCCGGGACTCGAACCTCAACGAGTTCTACGTATTCCTCCAGAACTCGGAAACGCTTGAGACGGACAAGATCACAGCGGAGCTTCTCCTGACCCAAGACGACACGGAACTGCGTGTGGAGAAAGAGCCAGCGTTGCTTCACATTCGCGAGGATATTGACGGGTTGAAAGTTTACGTGCCAGGGGATAAGAGGGGTCAAGAGGTCTGCTTCAACAGCAAGCTTCCCCGCCGTCTGTGCGAATGGATCATGACGGATCCGGCGACACAGATTGTGGCGCCAGTCTCGCCTGACGCTGTGGCTGTTGTCCAGAGCGTGCTGAGCGCCCAGCCATTTGCAATCAACGACATTCTGAACGAGCATGGGATTGTGGAAGTCAATATCGCTGACAGCGATATTGAGATTCTCGCCGACGAAAAAGAGGTCTACCGAGAGGAGGTCACCACCATCGCTCAAGTCTGGTTCCTTACCGCAGCCCCCACGGAGGCTTCCAACAACAACTCCCCATGGCCAGAAACTCCCACCTCTCGTTACCACGCTTCAACAGAGTTCAGCAGCAACGACAGCCCGGGGTTGGCAACGACCCTGTCCTCCTCGGTCGCATCACCCGGGGTCATCCCATCTGTAGACGTGGCTGCCCGGAGCAGCCACGAATCTTCAAGGCCTCAGTTACGCCGGATGGACGCGAACGGAGAGGTGGAGGGAGACCCTCACCTGTCTCTACTTCGGAGCGTCGTCGACGCTCCTAGACGCACTACCTTTCCGTCACGAGGTGCCTTTGACATGTCCGCCGTCAACGCGGCGCTACCGAGAGGTTCAGGGGACAACGACGCCGCAACTGAAAGCTTATCGGCTAAGGTGGACCAGCCAGATCGAGCGTGATAAGCAAATTGAGCGGCTGGCGAGCTGTTTGTAAGTGTTCCGAATTCCGGATTGATGATAGTATCACCGCTAAATCCAGACGTTAAGTCTTTAAAATGCCATCCAGACTTCGACCAGGACTACCAGGCTTCTCGAGGGCGAATTGGCAGAGTGCAATTTTCAGCTGCGTGGTGGCTCATCCGGAATATTCGGGTCCGGTAGCATGATCTAGGCGAGAGACGGCCGACATCACGTACACTGATGTCGACGGCACCCTCACAAGGCTTCTTATCAATGCCGAGACTTGGGCCAACGCTAGGCCATACTATTTCACTGAGGTCAATCAACAATTATAGGCTATAACTCGCTATTCTTTATAAGCAAGTACTAGTAACGGGGGGTGAGTTTCAGTCTCGTAGGAACTATAGTCTGTACCACTAGTGGTAATTAATAGAGCTGTCTAGTCATGGAGATGCAAAACTCTCCAAACACTGGGGGATTGTGATCTACGATACCCCTACGAGCTCGCCTAAGACGCGTCCGCGTCCGCCACGCCTACCAACAAGCAGGTTCACCAACATCCCTTAGCTCTTCATCGACACCTACAATATTGTCTGCTGCCGCTCTAGCAACCCTAATACCCTCCCCTTTCTGCACGTTACCCTCGCCTTCATCTATCACCCTACCCTCCGTCTCGGACGCCATGGTCCACGTAGCGCCTCACTTTTCCTATATGCTGACCGCTGACATGCTCAATACGCTGATTGAACGTTACTCCTCTTTGCAATCACCCAACGCTTGGTAGGCTGTGGGTCGCCTCCTGAATGAGGAGTGGTTCCTGGGATGGAAGAATGGACAGGAGGACAAGGGCAAGGCGCCGCCTGGCCCCGGCGCATCCAAACACCGGCCGCTGCCGGAGGATTTTGCCCTGCGCGGTATGCCCTGGGCCGGGCGGTATTACCCCGACGGGTGGTTTATCACCGGGGAGCGGATTGACGATGACGACAAGTACTTTAAGGTGCCCTCTATGACGGAGGAGCGGCGGAAGCGGGTACTCTGGCTTGGGTTTTGTATTGCAAGGAGGGGAAACGGCAAGTGGCTGCACTTTAACGAGTGGAGCCGACGGTTTGGCGTCAGCTATATAGCTCAGAGATGTTTCGAGCCTAGGTTCCTGAACTTTGGGCCGTTCAAAGTACCTCTTTAAATATTTTAGATAGTTTTAGGGAGGGGTGCGATCGGGTGTACTAAAGATTCTGCTGGTTTGGAGTTTTATTATATAACGTTATTTCTGTTGTATAATCCCTAATGTTGCCGTTGGGTGTACTATCTAGATTGATAGATCAATGGAGGCAAATAAGGCATGGTCTCACTCATAATGGGAGACTGTTCAGGCACTAGGTGATAGGTTTGTGCTTCTGTTACTCAACCTCGTGCTATGCAATGACTTGTAGTAGCTCTATCCGGGCAGAGCTAGCTAACCCCACGCGTTCGGCCTAGCGGCTAGTCCAAGGCTCTTATAAATAGCTACTACCGGCGAAGGCATCTAGCGTACCCTTTCCACTCTTTTGTAAGAATAGGTATCGATGTGACGTAGACGGCGCATCTGAGGACAAAAGAGCTCGGCGACGTAGCGGAGCTATATCGCGAGCTTCATTATAAGTACCTTACCTGTCCGTGCTGTTGCCGTTGGATGTACTGCCTAGATTCTTAGATCTGGCGTCCATAAGATCTCGGGGATAGTAAACAAATCCGGTCACCCTGGAAACCATATGAGCTGTGCACGTACGCTGTTTTTGATTCCTGCGTCCGGACCTACGAGGACCACCACGAGATCCAATCAGGCCTCAATGCGGGACCGTGGACGTCGCCTGTTCTTGGTAATAATAGTACGCCAAGCTATGTCCCTCTCGGCCTCACGCTCCCTTCCCTCCTTTTCCTCTTCCACGTCCACTACGCTGCCACTCGTCTCGCCACGCTGCATACGTTTCTCCTCTCTTGGCATTTCCAACCGCACACGCTCTTGCCCGGCAGCTCACCCACCGAGCCCTGCATCCTTGTCGCCTAGCTGTCTAAGACCTTCTAGATTCGCCTCTTTGTCGGCTATAGCTTCTTCTAATGACCGCTCGTCTTTGAGGCTCGTCAACATTGGAGCTCTCACGATCTCGCCGTGCTCTCGCTCTATACGTAGCAACACCTTATATCGTAGGCTTTCACATACTGTGTAAGCTAACGCCCTATCTGCCGAGCGGATTCTAGGCGCAATTGCGAAACCCCGTCCCCGCTCTGACTATCTGCGGCAATGCCGTAGGTATCGATCGTGTTGATGCACGGAGGCGCCGGAGCCCCACTCCGGGAACACGAACGGGTTCTCGGCCGGCAGAACTTCGGGCGAGTGTTAAGCTGGCGCTTGCTAAGTCATCAATTGCAGTTGTGCGAAAGGCAAGATTTTGCATAACGCACTTGCATAACGAGTGGCGCACCTTCTTAGACCTCATTTACTTTATATAAGTCCATCCCACCACAACGCCTCAAATCAATTTAAAACAACTCAGAATCGTTTTCTTCAGAGGTATCGCAAACTACTTGACAAGTTCGTGCATTGTGGCCGGGCTTCTTGCAGGTGCTGCAGAGCCGAACGCGTGGCTTACCCACGGTTACACAACCACCACTCTCGGACTTTTCTTCACAATCTTGGCCACCAAGTCCCTAGTCGGCTACCAGAACCAGAGTTTCTTGCAAACTAAGTGATCCTCACTCTTGCAAATGAGTTTCTTTTGTCCGGCGTTGTTTGCTTAGCCGCTCATCTGCTGCACGAAGCTCCTTGGTCTCAGCTCGTAGCAACACCATCTCATACGCCATGTCTGAGATGCTCTTTGCCTGCAAGTCAGCGATGTCGAAAGTATTAGTGGGAGAGCCATCTTGATGGTTTTCGATCTTCCGCTTGACGTAGCTGTTCCAGGACGCGAGCAGGGAGGAGATGGGGTAATCGGCGTAGGGTCAAGGCGAGAAACTACCGATTCGGGGTCGAAAGGAACAAGGCCAGTTGCTCTAAAGCCGGCTCGTATATTGTTAGCTGTAATAGAGGCGTGGAACGCCTCGACAAATGCGTCGAGAATTCTTCCTTCGTAATGTGGGTGATTTGCATCCGCATCATTCGCTCGATTTGCTTGCCGTACACTCGTTTGCGCCCCTTTCTCACATGTGATGAAGATTCTGTTGTTTCTGTGTGCTATCTAGCAGTTCATCAGCAAGAACGCTGATGGTGAACGGTATTGGCCCACCGATCACCTGATCGGCGAATCCGAGATCGAGCGCTGGTTCATCCAGGGTTTATAAGAGAAGGTCGCTCCCGAATCGGCGATGCTGATGAGCGTGCGGACTATGGCGCGCTCCTCCGGCCCTAACACGATACGTTCCTTGACGGAGTTTTCCACGTATTTGTATAGAAAGGCTTGGACTGGTACCTGAACCCTTAGGGCTGATGGGTCCCTAGCAAAGTCCACCCAGAAGCGGCAGGGGTCGATATCACGATAGCTTTACTTAGGTTAACACCTATTTCGAGCTCCATAGTAGGCTATATATATCTAGGGAGTACTATAGCTATTAACTATACCCTTGCTTTTTCTAGTAAGTCTATAGAAACTTTTAAAAATAATAAGATTAGTAATATATCAGATATTGTCCCCGGGTATTATCGAGATTTAATTTGGCTTAGGAAAGCCTAGGAAGGGGGAGAAGATATACTTGGTTCAGGCCGTCTATATTCTATTATACTCTGCTTATATACCCGGAGCAACAAATACCTACTTATTACCCTCCTCCTTTATAGAACTATCTAAGTAATCTTAGAAGAGCGTATTAATGCTTTCCTAGTCTACCTCGGAGAAGCCCAACCGTTATTATACCATTATAGTAAGCCAAGGAGTACGTTAGAAGTAAGAAGAATAATAAGGAAGTAAAAAGGAAGGATATTCTAGGGTTTAAGAGCGGGAGTAGAGAGGCCACGGTGGCATGAGTGAGCCAGGCCAGCACTGAGCCTCGAGGGTCGGACGTAGTTGGTTCGCATCCCCAAGCAGGGGGACGGGATCCTGGCGCCGAAAATGCATCTCCATCGCAAATGCGCGGGGCACTTGCTGGAGGACCCGATGGGTGTGAGCGAAGTAGAATGGGCGACGCCTTCCGGTCTCCGTCGCCAGCGCCGTTGGAGTCGTTACAGAGGCGGCCCCGGTCCGGGAACGCGAAGGGGATGGAATGGAATGGAATTTATTTCGCCCGGAGGCACCAAGCCTAAAGGGCCTTGGCACATGCTAACTACATCCGATTCGTTGACGTTCAGTCATCAACTCGTCCAAGCCCTCTACTCTTTTCCCTTTCCTCACGCCACCAACTGTTGCCTCTTGACTTCGTTTTGGGCTGGAGCAGTAGCGCTCTCTTCGGCCTTGCGACGAAATCGATCCTGACAGTCTGGCACCAATTTGACGTCGCGGAGCTCGGTTCTTAGGTTGAAGACGATGAGGCGGTGGACATGTGATATGAGTACTTCGTGATTGATATGGACGGAAGCTTGGTATTTTGCATGGAGGATGAGCCGATCTTTGTTCACGCTTACGCAATGAAGTCCTCGCTGCAGATCTCCGCATAGTCCTTTTTGACGGCCTGGCCCACCCGTAGCGCAACTTTCAAAGCCTCCTTGCCCTGCATCAGTGCAGAGGCACCAGGAGTGTCCTCCTCCTCTCTTTTCCAGGCGAGGGTTTGTATGCCATCGCCGTCCTTGAGGGAATATGGTTCATATTATCGCTGAGGATATCCCTGGTTGATACCACCGCGTACATAACCGCTGTCGCTATAATCGGTTTTGACCAGTAGCTGATGGGATATCCAGCGGTGCTGTGACCCGGACGGAAGGGTAGAGTACCTGGTTGTCCGCATGGACCGCGATGTGAGTGAGCACCAGTACGAGATAGGGAGAATATGATGGAAGAGTTGGCATTTCTCTGACATGTTGGCGACATATATACAGGGTCTTGCTCTGCCCATTCGGAACAGGAGACCTTCTGTGCTAGCAGACTAATGGTAAAAGTAATGAATCAGCTACGGCAAGGGGCAAAGCAAAGACACAAGCAAAGCCAAATATGCACTGTCCGAAGGGCCTCGCACTTTCAGCAGCATCGAGATATGTCCCCGTTGTCGGTGATGACGCCCTGTTTCGGCCAACCATCACGACTCCAAATGGGAACGCAGCCGCTGTGCCACCTTGACTGGCTTGCAGGAAGGCGACAGCATCAGGAAGCAAATACGTACCTATCTTCGAAAGGACATTACATGACCGGGTCGACCGCTGATCTTCGCTAGAAACAAAGACACTCGACCCACCCAGAAAGCCTGCGGGAAGTGACAAACTGACAATGATGATCGGGACGGGTCCGAGGTTAGCCAAGGTGCACCTATCGAATCCCTCAGCCACGGCGTTCCGGCATAAACCAAAGCCTCTTTGTGGGACCAAGCTAAGTCGGCTAGCCCTGTTGCCTACGGAGCTGTGGCAGCAAAGCTATCATGCGGTCTTCGCCTGCTAGTAACTCCGCTCTCGTGTCACGTCCGATAAAGAACAGGGTCTCGGAACCGAGGGGCGGAGGAGGAGCCGCTTCGAGAACACAACAAAAAATTCTATATAAAACTGCAACAGCGCCACGGAAAGCAAAACATGTTGAGTAACTGGCAACAAAGAGGACCCGGAATCTCAGACTAAAGCCACAAAACAGCAAAGGGGGCGGCGGCGACGTGTGCACGCCCACACAAGTTCCAATGTCCTACGCGCAGCCGTTTCCGGCCAACGCAGGGCTCGAGCGCCGCGACGATCTTCTCTTCCTCGCGGGCGTGCCGACCTCGGTGTCGGCACCATCATTGGCGTGCTTCCGCTTGGAGGGGTTCGCCTGCCGTGGCCGCAGCGTTCGGCCGCTGCTGCTGCGCTCGGGCTTTGTTTCGGCTTCGTCGGCGGCGGTCAAAGGAGGACCGGCCGGCGGACTCGGAGTGCGCCGGCCTCCGTTGGCCTTGGCCATGTCGGCCGTCTCGCTCCTGCTGGCAGCCGCTGCGGCCTTCTCGGCGGCGGCCTCGTCGTCGGCGTATCGGCCCGTGGCAAGAAGGCGGCGTGTCGGATCCAGCTTGCTCGAGCGGGGACGCAGCCACTCAAGACGATACTCCTCGTTATCCCAGTCATCGGGGTGAGGCTCGGGGGGGGGCGGGGGCCAATCGAAATATTCGGGTGCTTGGGTGTAGCGCGTGATCTGCTTGCCGGCGCGGCGGCCGCGGACCCAGGTCATAAGCTCAAAGTAGAACTCGGCAACATCGTCGTCGAGTTCTACATCGGGGTGCTTACACCACTTCGCCGGGTTGAAACACTCCTTCTCGTCGACCTCGTGCAGGATGTAGAACTGGAGGGCCGGGTCGCGTGTGATATAGGCGTACAAGAATACCAGAACACCCTTGACGTCGTCTCGTTCCCCCCACTTCCCCTTCATACCAATTCTGTACGCCTCGCCGAAGTCGATGAGGACGATCGCGTCCGTCTCGGGGTCGACAAGGAGGTTGCGGTCGGCAATGTCCTGGTGCATGATGCCATGTTTGAGATTCAAATCGTCAACCGCCTGCATCAGTTGCCGCAGCCACTTCAGCTTGAAGCGGCCTCTTGCCTTGCCCAGGCTGTCGCTGGGGATGTAGCGCATCGTGAAGCCGACAACTCGGGACCCTCCTCTCTCATCCAAGACGAGGCGGTCCAACAGAGCCATGTTAGGGTGTGGGGCCAGTCTGGCCGCCACCTGCAACTCCTTCCAGGGTAATCCTCGCGTACTGTATTTGAATGCGTAGCGGTTCTTGCTGTCCTCGCCCGATGGAGGAGATAGTGACGGGGGGTATGCGACGATGTCGACGGCAGAACGGCGGATCTCGGTGAGCTCGGAGCGCAAGACTGTTCTGGCCGCAACCGCCGGCGGGAGCTGGTATTGTGCAAGCCGGTGGTAAAGCTGACGTCCAAACTCGTAATGCTTTATGTCGGTAGACACCGACAACAGTTTGCCGGCCTCGTCAATCTCGACGGCGAGATTACCGTCTGGGAGAGTGTCCAGCTTCTTCTCCAAAGCAGCCGCCGCCTTTTCCCCCGGAACGAAGCGATCTCGTTCCTCATCCGGCTCATCGTCGAAGCCGTGCGGGTTCGGTAAGGTGACCTTGATATAACGTCTAGCATCGCAGTCGAACAGAGGCACCACGTAGGTTGTGAGCTCGGTGCAAACGTCGCCCAACGCGAATAACCCTTTCAGGTCCGGGACTCGTGGCTTTACGGCCTGCATGTCGTGAGCGGGCAGGCGTGGAGGAGGGCATCGATGTTTAGCACTTAGGCAACAGATCGGAACGAGAAGCGGACGGGGCTGTAGTAACGCGACAGCCTTCCCAGAGCTGATGGGCACGAGAATGTCAGACACTAGGATTCCCAGCAGACTTGAACAGAGTGCTTATAAAGGGTTAGGGTGGCGTAAAGCTCGCCACTTCAACGGACATAGGATACTCGATGGTCACAGACTTACAGTACGCTTGTTTGTTTGTTTGCTTGTTTGCCGCTCAAAGCGGTGAGGAATCCCTAGGAGTTCCGGACACGCCGAATGCGGACCCGGCACAAAGAAACAAAGAACCGGTCCAGTCTCTCCGCCCGTCCGCAACTCCAAAGGTCTCAGTTCGTGGGCTAGAACACGCCTCTTTGATCGGTTGACCTCTGTTGTCCCCACCCGCTTATCGCTTGATGCCAGAGCATGTCCATGGTGTCTAGAAAGTGCTAACCGAGATGGGAGCATTAACCACAGAAAGTGGCGGCGGCAGTGACTGGCGTATCATTGAGTCCCGTCATATCTTCATCGTTTGCAGCTGGACGCGACAACCACTCGGACGGATCGCACTGAGACAGTCGGCCCATGCGGATGAGCCGCGCTCCTGGTGTAGAGGGAACTCAGCTGCCCAACTTGAAACCGAAGCATAAAGGACTAAAACTGAGGACTGGATCTCTGAGACATTGCTTCACATGGAGGGTGAAGCTGCATCACAAACGGTAAAATGGAGTTTGTACAACCTGCAATGAAGACAACAACTTGAATGAAGTCTGATCAGCTTGAATGTCACAGGATCACAGCACAGTCAGCGGGTCGGACACCAAAGGCTCCAGCTCGAAAAACGGCTTGTGTTATCCAAAATGGTCAAAGCTCTCAAGTTAACATTACGGCAAACAGCTATATCTGCTCTATTGTCCCAGCCTTTGCCTTGCCCTCCTCTCATCAACGCAGTTCATCTCCAGCTGGATCCAACGCCCGACCATCGGACACAGACCCGCTCGCATCCTGTCATTCACCCCCAGCCACCAATAGCGAAGCGAGTGAACAAAGCATCCACCGCCATGCCGAAACCAATTCAGCCCGACGAGATCCACAGCCACACCGCGGTGTGGAAGATGGTCTTCTCGACAGGCTGTGAGTGCGGCTGGTACCTCTTTTACTATGCAAGCTGTGGGCATTTGTCCCGTCGCCTCCCATACCATTGCGAAGAGGCCCGGAAGGAAAACCAGATTCTATTTACCCGTCCTAAGTTCTGCAAGACGCCGGCTCCCATCACCCATGTCCGTGCGGTCGTGATCAGAGGCTCTTGCCGCACTTGCCTCACTTGCACAAGCTGAGCGACGCAAGATCCAACGAAACCCCCCTGCTTGTGAGACAAGTCTAGTGATATCCTATATGAGCTGCCGCTAACCCTTTCTCCCAGTCTATCCTGCGGTACTGCGGTGTCACCCGCCGTGCTTGGCTGTTTGGACTTTGGAATCAGGACCCGGATGCAACACACATTGCCATAGACGAGAAGGGGGGTTGGGAGTGCCGGGCATCTAGTCAATTCGCTGCGTCAATTCTTTCTTACGTGTCTCCTGGCAGTAGGCCGATCTCTTGGCTGCTTTTGTCTTGGCTGCGGGTCGTTGATTTCCATGCGGTGTTACCTCAGCTCTCTACTACTATCGGTCACTATGCTAGTTCTGTTGCTCTCAACGAATCGAAGTTCGCTCTCTAAATTACCCCGTCTTTGCCCTGATCTTATGAAATCGGCCGCTAAACAGAAGCCGAACACGAACAAGAATGGGATCCATGCTTCTGGCGGTACCTAGTAGGTACTATTCCTGTAGGTGGGTACTAGACGGTCCAGCGGACGAAGCATAATACCATAGAGGGCGCCGTTGATTGTAACGTCGGCGGTGGAAAGAAGGGTCAGGAACCGAGAGCCGCTGAGTCGCCGAGACGAAATCGAAGCGCATAGTCGCTGGTCCAATAGCCGGCCGTGTCTCGTAACGGAATGGGGAGATCCGTCCAGGCAGGGTTGGCGGTTGCGCCGTGATGGGTTGCTCTTGATGATGGGAGCCAGAAAGCCGGAGTGAACCGCTCGGACGCCATAGCCCCCTGAAATAAGGGACGGGTCTTGGTCCACAAACGATGCCCGAGTCTAGAACGACTTGCCTCGATGTAATTATTTGTATGGAAAAGGGCTCTAGCCCGTTGTTCTATATATGTCCTACACAGTTGGAAGGTACTCACTGTAAGGTCTAGCACTCCTCTACTTAGCACCCGTAGCAAGTCACATACGCATGCTAAGGGACATGGCGTTATAAGTAAAGAAATCTATTGAGACATACTTTTCGGACTATTATACTCGCCTCAACCCCCGCCCCGACTATATCTAACCACATTTGGCATAGTATTTATGCCACCACCCAAACCTACATCGCAGCTATATATTATACATAGCGACATAACATTCAATTATTGCAAGGGCCTATATCACGGTCGGTACAGGTATCGCCCCAGTTAGGAGTCGAACCCACGACCTTCTTAGTAGAACGGACAAAGTAGGGCATAAGTTACATGACTGTCACGGCAGGTTGCTCCTCGGTGTGGCCGAGTGGAGCACGCGCTGCGGCGCGCCTGCGTGAACGCGTATATGAACCACAGAGTCGCAAGGTCGGGGGACTTGCGATGTCGGCATCCTCTTGGAAGGTACGAGTTAGCCGAGTGGTTCAGGTAGCTCAATCCATCACAATGACCTATAAATCGGGAAATATCTTTAAATAATTCTATGTCGGCTACCTAGAATCTTTTCCTTTCCTTCCTTAGGCTTAGTTTAATAGAATTGAGTGTCACGAATACCTGGCTTAACTCTGTGGAATGCACAGTACTATCATAGCTTACTTTATATAATGCTTAGTTTTCTAAGGTTCTTATAATAGGAGCCGGTTTATGTTTTGGGAACTCTAACATCAATCTGCTATGCACTCAATTACGATGCACTTATATAGTAGTTTCCTTATATAGGATTGAACGTATACACCTGCAATTCACTATGCTGCATTGCATGGTTTTAGAGAAAATAGTACTCTATATTGTCAATTGAATGCGCAGGCGGAAATGGCTCTTATGATAAGTAAGGGAGCTCGGGGTAAGATACACTGTCATTTGGGTAGTAGCACAAATACTTTGCCAAATGTAGTTAGATATAGTCCGAGAGAGGCGAGTATAATATAACAAGCTCTATATTGTCCATCTCAATGCTATCATACGCGACGTTCCATAGGAATTTCATCAATGATAATCCGGGTAATATTATTTTTTGGATTTAGAAGTATCGTGTCTGCTTAGAAACGTCTAGAACTAGTAGCTATAACTAAGGATAAGAAACTATAATGTATCCTATAAGCGAGTTGAACATATAACATTAACGTGCATGATAAGCGAGCGGATCAGATAAGCGAGCGGATCAATTTCTACTATCCTACCACAATTATCCTCAATTGCAACACATCAACACTAGGAACCTACTATAATTACATCAGAAATAGATGAATTAGACCCTTCTGCAACCTCCTAGCACGTACGTACGTTATGGCCAGGCTTGCCGCATACACTATAGCCCCGAACCTTCGTACGAGCCCCCCCTGTACCACCACCATCCGGCTGCGTTTCTTGTACTACCTCCCCAACCACGGCCTTCTGGTCCAGTAGATCCTTTGCATCTTGCACTGCAAGTGATCCTCCAAGCTGCACGTGCGTTCTTTTGGCTCTCCGGCGCTTACTAAGTGCCTCGTTGGCCTTGTGGAGCGAAGAGACCTCTGACTGAAGAAGAGCCACCTCGTGCATTATAGCTATCGTACCCTTGGCAAGCTGGTCCACCGCAGTCAACATCGAAGTTGGAGAGCTGTTTTAATGGTTGGCAATGTGAGTCTTGATAAGCATTAACTGCGAGATCGCTTCTCGAGGGTTGTGACGACTAGATGCAATTGAACAGGGTCAAGCCGGCTGTTGTTGTCATTCTATTTCGTGAATCTAAGGTTGAGGAAAGGAAAGAGAAGTTCTGAGTCGGTGGCTCAGAACATTACACGAAGATATTCCTGATTTGTGGGTCATGTGACCGGTGCTCCACAACAGCCGTCAATCAGGGAGGTCGTGGGTTCGACCCCCGCCTGGGGCGACACCCATACCGACCGTGACAACCCCCCCCTCCAAAGAAGACTCGTCCGCGAGTCTTGAATTTCAATGCCGTATGCGCCTTCAACGCGCATTCCACCGTTCCATACCATTCCCAGGCCTCCGCCGTGGCCATGGCCGTGGGTATTACACCAATTGGTGTAATTCCAGACCAGCCATGTTCTTTACACCAATTGGTGTAATTGCGAACCAGCACATGTTTCTGTATCAGACGCTACTTCTTCCTCGTTGATCGCCGCAGCGGCGCTCTTCTGTTCAACGGGACGTTGTCATCGTCATGTTCCTCTGCGAAGCGGTCCTCTGCGGCGGCTTCCACCCAGCGGGCGAGGCGGACCGGAGGCCCAGCCTTGTCAGGGTACTCGTCGTGGAAGCGCTTCAACACCATGGGAGCGTTTCGGAAGTTCTCGGCCAGATACCACTCCGGGTCAGGGTCCCAGCCTTTCCACTGCACTTGATACTGGAGCTTGCCGTGGTATGTTCGGCTAGCTAGGACCCTTTCGACTTCCCACTCTTCTTCGTTATTGACTTGTTCGCCCGGTGGGTTCTCGGCCGCTTGGCCTGGCAACGGGTTATTGGGATATCTCCTCAAACGGTCAGGCGTGAACACGGTCGAGCTTTTCCACGAATCTGGAACCTTAAGGCGGTATGCCTTGCCATTGTGAACCTTCTCGAGGATCTCGTAGTGTTGCTGTGTAACAGGGAACGAGAGCTTGTCGCTCGGGCGGCTCGTGGTCTCGGATGACTTTTTGAGAATGACGACGTGGTCGCCGACGTCGAAATCAGGTTCCCTTCTGTGACGGTTCGCCTGCTCTGTTTGCCGGGCTTGTGCCTTCGTCATTGTCTCTCTTGCGGTATCGACATAGCCCTGGATTCGCTGCGCAACGGCTTGGGCTTCTTCACGGTTCATCTTTTCGCGGGGTGTCATGTCGGAGAAGTCTTGTGTTCTGGCCTGCCAATCGAAAGGCATGCGCATCGGGCGGCCGAACAGGACCTCGTGTGGCTGCAGGCCTATGCTGTCTTGCGGTAGGCTCATCT